ATGTTTGTGGAACAGACACAAACTTCTGGGTGTTTTCACAAAAACTAAACATGCCAAGTTCAGCGTCATGCAGAGCAGACCATCTGATAAAGCCGCGTCACGCCCCCTCTTTCCATGATCCGCTGCCACATATTTTGGTTTCTCCGGGAGAATTACAGAGGCAATCTGCTCACGTTCGACTCTACTTTCAACACCCAGACACCCACGAGGTTAGCCAGTCATCCCCGTCCCTTTCAGAACCGGCATTGCTCTTTCGAAGCAGTTTTCCTCGTGCTGTCTCAGAAGAAAGGTCTCAGGCCAACATATCCATTCCAAAGTCCACAAGCACGCCGTTTTGCGGGTGAGAGCACGCTTAGAAGTCACCGTCATTCGTGACAGAATGTTCGCTGTGGGTAGATTTTGGCCGCGCTTTCCAATTCAAACCTCTGTCGATTATAACTCCCCTCGATTTGACGAACAACACCACATGAGTGACTGCCAATTTCCGCCGCTTTATAACGTTTGATATGCATTGGGGAAATTTTTGCCTCGGAACCCTGCTAAATTCAGACAGCTGATCCTCCTCGAAGCTGCGAGACCAAAACGATCTTTTCACGTGACCATGAAAGTAAATCTTTTTCAAACCCATACACCCACGAAGCTAGGCATTTGACGCCGTGCTCTTCAAGCAGCTTCAAACATTTTAACAGTCTTTTACACATATGTGATACTAACGGTCTAATATGCCTTTGGCGGTGGGTGACATTGTAAAGTTGCTTTGGTATGTATCATCACCTAATCACACCGACAATATGATTGAGAAGGCATAGGTTGCCCGGTACTTTTTACTATCAAGAAGAGCCATGAATGAACTGAATAATCGATTTGAAAAACTATCAACTCCCGACGTTGGTCTTCATCGATGAAACTTTAGTCCACTTGTCAATGCCAATCAACCTTAGCAGGGTACCTCCCGGATACCTAAAAGTAGTTACATAATATGGCACAGTGGCCTAGATAGTTTTGTATAGACGGAAGTCAGGAAAAAATCACCTCGTTACTCCCTTAGCGTCTGCGAATCTCAACTGAGCTTGAGTATACCAGAACCACACTGCTGCTGAAGACTTAAGAATAACAATCTTCACCCCACTAGTTTAATCGCCAGTCAAAGTGCTGCTCCCATGCGAAAGCTGCAGTATAAATTGTTGATTCGTCAAAATGTTTGCCGACAACTTGCATACCAACTGGAAGCTTTTGAGACGGTGACGTCTTGCAAGGTAAAAAGCCTATTGGTAAGCTGAGAGCAGGGTGTCCGGAGAGATTAAAAGGACATGTGTTGATATTGACCCCAAAAGTGCTCTTGACCCTTTCGGTCGGCAAGCCTTCCCGAGGGCCGTGCTGTGGCGCGCAAAATGGTGTCGTTGGCAGAACCAAAAGATCAACTTCAGATAAGGCCTTATTGTACTCAGATTGCAGCTTCAATACCAAATTGGTTGCTTTGGCAAAAATGCCGGGAAAGTTTTCTTCAAAGTACAAGCCATTGATGATACTGTTTCGAACATTCACCGGCGCTTTTGAAAAAAACTTGTCACCCAGACCATTTGTGTGCTTAAAGAACTCCGGATCAGAATACAAACGTCTTCCACTAGCGTGCCCCAAACGGCTGTGGAGTCCCGAAACTCTCTCGATAACTGACCACAGCTCTGGCGCTTGGGCATGCATTGGAATTGAAACCTCCACCACATTATATCCAACCTCTCTAAATTTATCAATGGCAGAGAATACTTTTTGTTTCATCGCTTCATCCAAGAAGGGAGCCTCGAACGCTTCTTTCAAAATGCCTATGGTAAGCTTTCGAGGCTCTTTAAATTCAAAGTTCACATTAAGAGGAACCGCAGACTGACGATCGTCCAGAAGATCACTACCAGCTAATACCTGCAATAATGTAACATTTTGCTCAACTGTTTTCGTCATAGGACCAACATGGTCGAGTGTATACTCATTGCTGGTTATTCCAGTGTACGGCACCAATCCGAAAGTTGGCTTAAGTCCCACCAAGCCGCACATTGCAGCTGGAATACGGATACTCCCTCCTTGATCCGCACCCAAAGCCATATCGGCCTCGTTTGCAGCGACAAGCGCAGCGGAGCCAGAACTGCTTCCTCCTGCAGAGTGACCATGCAGATACGGATTGTGCACATTTCCAAGGCATGAGGTGTGACTTCCCGTAAAAGCACAAAGTTGCTCGCAATTTGAAGTCCCGACAATTTTAGCACCCGCTTCTAGCAAACGCGTCACTACTGTCGCGTCGGCAGAAGGAACCCATGGATCCCAGCAATCTGTTCCCATGACTTGGGGAATACTAGCAATACCAATGCAGTCTTTTATGCAGATTGACACCCCTGCTAGTGGACCATGGTTCTCGTTTGTGTCTTGCAGATCAAACTTGTAAACCCAAGCGCCGAGCGCGTCTTTTCCCAAAATCGACTGGACATTTTTTCTGGGAAACCGCACTAGATCTGTTTGAGGCTTGTAGTCGCACATGGCTTCCACGCTTCTCGCAGTTTCATGAGCGGCGGCTAGAAACTTATGGAACTCATCTTCCTCCCCTGGCAGAAGCGACACCCCGAGCTTATTGAGCTGCGCTTCTACAGTTTTCTTTGTGACTGGATTGTCTTCTGAAACTGCGAAAGACACAATTGACATGTTCAATGCTTCATCAACTCCTGCCATTGTTTGACTGAGCTGAGAACCCTTACTGGTACTGAAATATCTTTTACATCCGACAACTTTACACCGGTAACTAGTAGTAACCTTATCGATAGCGTAAGATCGGCAACTCGGTCCGAGATGAAATCAAGTTGAGTCGCTTCTGATAAGCGACAGCTAACCGGAAAAAGGGTTGATGCTGCTATTCTAACACTAAGCAAATGGCTGTTTCACGAGATAAGGTCCCTAAGCCGATCAAAGTTAACTCGCGACTCAGGAGGCACATGCACACGTTCGTGATTGCCAGGTTTTTAGCGGACCTTCAGGGTGGACACGAGAAGGTCTGACTAACATCCTACGCACACACCGTATAGGTTTGGCGGATCAACACCGAACTCCTGACTAAAAGACCAAGATAAGAATTTCGGAATCTTTTGATATGCAGATAAGCTTTGTCGGAAAGAACTTGGCATGCAAGATATCAGCAGACTAAGAAGGATCGTCGACGATTAGGAACAGGGCCACATAAATAGAACAATGGCTTCCCTTGACTGAACGGCTAGGGTCCACAACCACGGACAAGCAAAGACTTTACAAGAAAATGCATCACATCTTGGATGCAGGATACGGTTATGGGTTTGTCGTCGGACTGGGTGCGGCATTCGCATTCATTATGATATTTGTCACCAGGGTCTTGACCAAGTACATGGGAGAGGTTCAGGATTCGGAACATTTCTCAACGGCTTCTAGGTCTATAAAATCTGGTCTGATATCCTCAGCCGTGGTGTCATCATGGTGTTGGCCTGGTACCCTTCTCTCGTCCTGTGTGTATACCTACAGATATGGCGTTGCTGGCGGTTATTGGTATGGAATTAGTGGAATCAGTCACTCGATGTTGTTCACGCTCATTGCTCTGCAAATGAAGAGAAAGGCTACCGGCGCTCACACAATTGTGGAAATTGTGAGGGCCCGTTATGGCAAGGCGGCCCACTGCGTTTATCTGTTTTATTCTTGCGGCACCAACACGATTATAGCAAGCATGCTTTTATTGGGTTGTTCACAGGCCTTTGCGCACATTGCGAATATACACATCGTGGCTTGCGCTTTCTTATTTCCTGTCAGCGTGGCTGCTTATACAATGTTGGGCGGCCTCAAAAGCACGTTCCTCAGCGACTGGATCCACACGGTTGTGATTTATTTGGTTATCATAGCATCTCTTCTCATCTGCTATTGCACCTCTGATCTCATTGGCTCGACAGATAGAATGTGGGACCTTTTGCATACAGTGTCCAAAACTCATCCGTCAGCCGGTCATGAGGGAAGTTATTTGACTTTCTCTAACAAAGCCCTAGTAATGTTGGCTTGGAGTCAGATTATGAGTGGATGGGCAACAGTGTTTGCAGACCCATCTTACGGTCAAAAGGCAATTGCTGCGAAGCCTATGTCAACTATTTCTGGCTATGTCATCGGATCTCTTTGTTGGTTTATCATTCCATGGAGTTTTGGTCTAGGAACTGCTTTGGCGGCCCTAGCTCTCACAAACAATCCAGTGTCCCCCACTTATCCACATCTCATTCCTGCACAAGAAGTTAACATGGGAATGCCGCTACTTTATGGCCTTTACGCAATAATGGGAAAATCCGGAGCCGCTGCTGGTATCTTGGTCCTTTTCCTGTCATGCACTTCTTCTCTTTCCGCGGAACTTGTTTCTTTCTCTTCGGTCATTACGTATGACGTGTACAGAGCTTACATTAAGCCAGATGCCTCCGGTAAGCAACTGGTCACCGTCTCTCATATTTCGGTGGTAGCGTTTGCCTTGTTTATTGCAGGGTTGACGATTATGTTCAATTACATTGGAATTACCATTTCATGGATTTTGACGTTTATTGGTATTATTTTGGGCGCCGCCCCCGTTGGTATCACACTGACACTGTTCTGGCCAAAGATGAGCACGTACTGTTTCTATTATGCCTTGCCATTAGGCTCCTTCACTGGCCTCGGATGCTGGCTCGGAGCATGCAAGCACCTCTATGGGACCGTTAACAAGGACAACCTTGGTCTAGTAAATTCGACCATTATCGCCAACTTTTCGACCTTTGGCGCTACTGTCCTTTATTGCGTTATAATAAGCTTTTTCTTCCCAGCCGGCAATTCACTGGAGGAGCTCCAAGACAAATTCAGAGTCGCAGACGATGCCACCGCTCACGAGAAAAGCCTCATGCAACTAGACAAGCAGACGAAGGCAAAATTGGACAGAATTTTCAAGTGGGCTGCTCTTGGCGTATTTGGCATCTGGATATCATTCACGTTTGTGCTCCCTTTCCCAATGTACGGTCAAAAGTATATTATGTCCAAATCGTTCTTCAGAGGATGGGTCGTTGTAAGCATTATCTGGCTATTCATTGCTTTCCTTTACATCACCTTCTACCCCATTTATGAGAGCCGTTCCGCTTTGTTACACTTCTACAGAAGAGTCGTTGGGAAGGAACAAAAGGCGAGCACCGAAGTGTTTTTGTACGGCCAAGAGGTTGAAGGTTCAGCTTCGAGTGGTAAAGCGTCGGTCATCGAGCAAATCGCTGAAAAAAGAGATGAAGATGCTTGAGCAACCGGAGGGACAATTTAGGTGGACCAAGTCGTCGGCCACATGTTACCTCTGCAGATAAGATTCGCATTCTTATCTATAAGCCATTTCTAATCTCTTGAAAGCCTAGAGTTGATCTCTGCGCTACTTAATTATTTAGTTTAGATTGTTATAACATTACAGACTGGTATTAATGATCTAAGGATCTTTTGCGGGCACTCAACACTTTGTTAACTGCCCCCAATGCTTATTTAAGTAAGGCTTGCTCGGCAATATGTCAGTTCTTCAGAGTGGTCATGGAATTTACCTTCGGGTCACCAATGAAACCACCAATCATTGCAGTATCCTGTATCTTCAATGAGAGTATGTGTGTTCACACACAGTGTCAAATACCAAGAATCTTCGGAAGACTATTAAAAGTTAGGTTCCCAGAGCAACACTTCCTGATGCCATTCATATCCTTAGGAATATCGAAAGTGTCCCAAAACTCTCCTGAGTGGCATGCAGCTTTCAAGCAAAATTTGCTCCTCCTTTTAAGTTTTGAAGAGCTTGCCTGAGGGTATCCCATCAGTTGCCTGGGGGTATCCCATCAGTTTCCACATGCGCTGATACTTGTAATTTGAATATCTCTTAGAGACTTCTTTCCGATGCCCTCTGACTTCAGATTAATTCAATTTTATGCTTGTAGTATTGTTGTGCAGACGAGTGAGCCTACCACCTTTTTGCCTCTGAAGGAAACATAATCTTGACAGGTAATCTTCTTATAAGGATGATGACGGCCCCTATTGGGATACGCATAGATTCTTCCATGTTTCTGGGAACTCTAGCCTTGAGTATTCGTCCTGCAGTTCGTTAATCTGAAGAAGTAAACCACTTTCCATGTGCCACCCGATATGGCAGTGGAAAGGCCATACCCCAGGATTGTCCACCACAAATCGTATGACACCATACCCAAAACCTGGAATACTAACCGTATCGCGAAGTATTGGATTCTGGAAGTTCATTGGGGAAGAGCCTTGATCATAGAAGTCCTCTTGAAAGTAGCCGCGATCGTTGACCATAAGAACCCAGAACTTATGGCCATGCATATGGAATGGATGTGCGCCATCGTCATAATTGTTAATGATAAGATCAACAATTTGCCCCCTTTGATCAAAATTGAGAAGATACTGATCACTGTTCTTTGATTCGAGCGCTTTTGGGGAAAGTGTTCTCAATGAATTGTTGCCTGGGTTGAGAGCAAGCTCCGTCATAGTAGAGGAGTTAACAAGTGGTTTCCATGTCATGTCGTTGAAGTATCCTCTGTCCAACTGGTAAGCACCTATTTGAAAGGAAACTTCAAGATCTACGGAAACGTCTGGTCGTGTCGATCCATTTGCTTGGAGTGGAACAGTAGACCCCAGAGTCTTCAAAAGACTCTGGTCCAAGTCCCGACAACGTACGTCTCCGCCGTTGTAAGGCCAGCTCTCGCTCTCCGGCAACGTGGTGTTTCCGTCATTGTAACGAACGATCGCATGGAACTCAGGATTTAAATTGGAATTGTCTGTATTAAAACAGAATGTGTTGAACCTTGCGCGCATCCAGTATTGCGTGAGCGTGCCTTTCGGAGGCTCCAATATGAACGAGTACCGCTGAGCCACAGACAAATCAACCGACTCTAGCTCGAGGGGCTCGGTGTTAGTGCCATCAGCTTCGATGACTTTCAGCTTATGTTCATCGATTGCAAAATTCAATTGAGCAAAATAACCCGCGTTGATTAGCCGCACCCTGTACGTCTTGTCTTTGTGAAACTTTAGATCCGAGATATAAGACTCTTTGTAGGTGATATTGCGAGAGCTGCCGTCAGACGCCACATAGGTGTCGGGATTATACTCATAGCTATTGCTTCCTTGTATCAGGCCATCGTCAGGTACTGGCTCCGTATTCTCATTGTCCGGGCCAAGGTATTCTGCCATGTAAACATTAGCCATGTCTTGGTAGTAGTCGTTGACCATGACAACAACGTCCTCATCGTACGTCGTATTAAGGATTTTCCGTTCCTGTTCCGAATGTATGACTATGGGGCCGAAAATTCCATCAGCCTGTTGAGCCCCATAGTGCGAGTGGTACCAGTAAGTTCCCCATTGATCTTCGTCAATGTGAATCCGATAAGTATACTCTCCCCCATCACCAGGTATTGGGCACTGATTAATCGAGGAGGCACCATCATTGTAGCTCTCTTTACTGAAAAAAAGACCGTGACAGTGGATCGTCGTGGGCTCGTCCAGCTCATTCAAAACGTGAATGTACAGAACATCGCCGGAATTTGCCTCCATCAACGGACCTGGATAAGCACCATTGATGAGAGTCATATTCCGTTCAATGCCATCAGGAGAAACATTTGTTATCTTTGAAATGTTGAAGTAATAGTGCCTATCCTGAGGAGTATCATGTGTATCCCAGTATCCTATATCAATGGTATAGTTTGTTTGAGTGTCCAGGCGCCACGATGGTTCGATGCTACCTGGAGCGTGAGTAGGCTTTATGAGGCCCACGCACAGCCCGATCACTAAGCATGGAATCAGAATCAGGAAGACAAACTGTATCATGAAATATAATAAGGGACGTCTGTCAGGGTATGATCGCAGACCAGTGCGTTTCCCCTCTATATCTAGGCCCGATGCGGTCAGCTCTTTATTTCTGAGACCTTCATCAGAGTTTTGGTCGCGAAGGGCTTCGGCGCTTATGAGATGATCTTTATCCATCACGTCCTATCCTTCTGTACCTTTAGCAATTGAAAAATTTGAATTCCTTACTCTTTTATCAACAGCGAGTCACAGTATGGAATACTTAATAGCGTGATTTTGATCCATGTGGGTCACTAGTCCTCGTGCTTACGGTTGATTATGGCCCATGCAGCATCATTTTCTTGGCTCTCGGTCATAAATTGTCCTCCGTTAATTAAGACCTCGTGGTAGACATTAATGTGTTCCCGACAGAAAAACTTTTTTATCAATGAAGGTCGCAAAGGATATATAAGGGCGCTGATGAATTTCCAGAGCTCGATCTGTTTTTGGCTTTCATTCGGTGAGCATCAATGAAAACTTCCACGCTACTCTCCTCTGCCTTCACTGCTTTGACAGTTTACGGGGCTTCAAGCGAAAGCTATGTGCCTCGTACGTACTCAACGATCATGCCAAGCGCTTCCCAAATTGCAGACGATGCCGCCGATGCCAAGACCAGTCATGTGAGCTCGAACGTCAAGGGCTCCGGGTTTTCCAGAATTGGTATCATCTGGCTTGAAAATACCGATTACGACAAAGCCGCGGAAGATGAAAATCTTGCTTGGCTTGCCTCCCAAGGTATTACGTTGGACAACTACTGGGCCTTGATCCACCCTTCGGAGCCAAACTACCTTGCCTCGGTGGGTGGTGACTACTTCAGTCTCAACGACGACAGGTTTATTCAAATGCCTGAAAATGTGTCGACGATTGTAGACCTGCTTGACACGAAGAACATTTCTTGGGCCGAATACCAAGAGCACTTGCCTTACACCGGCTTCCAAGGCTTCAACTATTCTAACCAGGAAACCTTTGCCAACGACTATGTGAGAAAGCACAACCCACTCGTGTTGTATGAAAGTGTAACCAACAATCCCGAAAGACTCTCCAGAATCAAAAACTTCACCGAATTCACCGACGACTTGAACAACAAGGCTTTGCCACAATACTTTATCATTACACCCAACATGACCAATGATGGCCATGACTCGACCATCAAGGTTGCAGGTCAATGGTCTAGAGACTTTTTGGAGCCTCTTCTATCTAACGAGTATTTCATGAACGACACCCTTATTGTTCTGACTTTCGACGAAAACGACACCTACAGCATTAAGAACAAGGTGTTCACCATTTTGCTCGGTGGCAGCATTCCAGACTCCTTGAAGGGTACTAATGACTCCACATTCTACGACCACTACTCCCAGATTTCCTCCGTCGAGGCTAACTGGAACCTTCCATCTTTGGGAAGACATGACGTCGATGCTAATGTATTCCAAGTCGTCGCCAACGCTACAAACATTACCAACAAGGATGTGGACACCACGTATATGGTAAACAACGAGACTTATGTGGGCTACCTTCTCGACGACCAAATCGCTTTCCCAGCCCCAAACGTTACCGCTATCAACAGAAACGGTAAGGGTGTTTTGAGCGACATTGTGAGCAAATGGTCCTCTGAATGCAGCGCCCAGGTCTCTGCGAGCTACTTCACTGCTACCACCACAACGGTCTCTGGCTACATCACCGACGGTGCCACATTGGTTGCCAAGTCTGCGTCAGCTTCGGCCGCTGGTTCCGCCTCAGCTTCGGCCGCTGGTTCCGCCGCTGGTTCCGCCTCTGGCTCTGTCTCTGGTTCTGCTTCGAGCTCCAAGGCATCCGCCTCTGGCAACAGCTCCAGTTCTGCTTCCCACGGACAAGGTAGCGCGGTCGACGGGCGCTTGAGCCTTTTCACAATTGCCGCTATTTTCGCTATCTCTCTCGTATTGTAAAAAATGTTTTGCAATTTGTATTAAATATTTATTAACGTCTATTCTGACTTTTCAAAAGAGCAGTCAGAATAAAAATCACTTGTATCATACTTGCCTTGATATCATTCTACCTTGAAGTTTTCGCAGTCCTGCTTTCTGCACCATCGTTGTTAGCCTCCAAACCATGAAGGCAACGAAAACGAGGAACATGTAGTCAACTGAAGCAGGCACTATCGAATTTGTGGTGTGTACTCTCCAAATCTTTGCTACACTAGATCAACTCATGTTGGAAGGAGTTCACGACGAAGGATATCCTCGAGTTGAATCATCGCACGCTAGTATCACGTGCTCATGGTGACAAAATAAATCATGAGGCTTGAGCGGATGGTTTGCATCCTCTAGGAAGTCGCAGAAGTTCAAGCGATACAAGTTATGGCCATGGAACCATCACAACCCTAGACTTATACTCTTGGTAGTATGATGGATGGTGCAAAGGAATCATCAAACCGTTTGCTAGCTCGGACGGTAAGGGGCTATAGAAACGATATCATAGGAGCTGTGTCAAAGGAGACTGTGCGGCTGCTTCATGAGCGATCGTCATGTAATAATGAAGACATACAAGATCCTACATTCGATAGATTATATTACAAAAAAGGGTGAATAAATTAAGTGAACTTTTTCAGTGGCCTACAGCCGCCGACGCCGCTAGAGCCCAATAACTTTGTGTTATTAAAAAAGTTCGAAGTTGAGCAACGTCGCCAGGATATAATTATTCGGATTGCCATTAATTTTGCTCACAGCCTTACTCAATTGTTATGTGTATCGAATACCGAGCACTTACATCCGTCGTTACTAGTTTGAGAAGTGCAGCAACTTAGGGACTGGCCATATTGCCCCCCGTTCCGTTATTGTAAAATCATTCGCGTCGCTCACTAGTCCCCCAGCGATAAGAATAGTAAACGTTTTTACCCGAAGTCTGCAAACCCTCACTCTTGTTGGCAAATACTAGGTTTAAGATCCCTACCGAAGGAGACATTTCATACTGTCTACCTCCATCACCATACTTTTCCGCTTCCAGGAACGCACGTGCCTGTGAAAAACTTTGTTTTGATCATTTCCAACGGAAATAGCCCAAACGGGAGAAGCATGGGAGGTGGCAGGGAGTGGTTGGTGCGGGTAGGAGGGCGGTCCTTCAGAGAGAATCTGCCACAGAAGGCCTTGTAGGTGTTCTTGCTCTCGATGGCTGTAGTGTCTGCCGCATTGGTCAGCGTTTCGTAACTGTAGGTTGATGGTATGCATTTTCTTCCAATGGCTTCGGTCAGTTTTTTAAAGGCGGGGCCGCTATGCTTGTGCGTGCTACTCTTGTCGTCAAAGAGTGCGAGTATTTCATAGTACATGTGAAGCCGGCCCCGGTTGTTGCGCCACAGCCAAGATGCCAGTTTGGATACATCTCGAAGCGAGTGAATTTCGCCGTTTTGCACTACCGCACTGTGCAGCAGACTACGCATGAGAATGAATTTATTGCGCGACCGTAATCCCATTTGTTTCCCAACGAAATTAGAATGCGCAAATATTATTTTACTCTTGACTTCCGGTGAACTACCTTTGGTTGATGGAAACTCCCCACTTGTCCTGATCTTCTTGCCAGCTTTTTTTCTGGGGAGCTGGCATTCTAAGGTCCGTAAAAAATTCGTCATTTTCTGCGCCATAATTTCTTTGATTTATTTTCTAAATTTCTTGATTCATTCTTGACACTCTTATATTCTTTCTTGTTATTCAATTTCTTTTCACTTTCTTTCTTCCTGCATTCCATTTCCTGCGGCCCTCAACATTCTTATTTTCTGTCGATCCACTTTTTTGATCCATACATTTTCTTTTGATTTCCCCCGGCTCCTTTAACATGCGTAATCGATTCAGCTGCCGTGCTTGAATGTGGGAGATTTGTATAGGATCTGTCGCATCTTGCCGCGGATTTTGTAGCTAGTTATGTTATCATAAAAAGCGTAAATTTCTTGGAATTGTTTTCGGTGGCTGAAGGGTGGCAAGGCCACGATGCAGGCCAGTGATATCACACTCGAGTCGATCGACAAGGTCTGCCAGTTTCTGATGGAAAAGAACCCCCAAGAAGTCTGTGATAAGATTTATGAAAATTATGCTACTTTACTCCAAGATGCTGTTGTCGAGTCTAAGGAACAAGTGTTTGTTAATCAAAACCCAAGGAGGACTCTCTTATCGAAGGAAACTAGAGATGTCTTGGAATCTGTATTTGCGAAAAAGAGCATGCATGGGCGGTTAATTTTTTCTTTTTTCTTATTTTTGTTTTTTTTTTTGAATTAGCTCGCCATTGGGGCTTGAAGCTTTGCTCAAGCACTCGATCTAGTCTTTACAGTCGATTGATATTTATCCGGTAGTTATTTCCCAAAAATGGCAACGCTTTTGGAAGTACGCCCAATATTCGGTTACCGACAATATTTTATCTTCCCAGAGGCTCTGTTTGGGTGTTGGTAAAATAAATTGTTTTGGGAAGGTGAAAAATTCCTTCTCTTTGGCAAGCAAATATGAGAGCGCTGCATCGCGCTAGAATCATGGTAGCGGGCATCCGTTATTTTAACATGTGTTTCAACCAAATATGTAGAAAACTATTTGATATCAAAAAAGGCACCTAGACGTGCAGCGGCCGTAGGTTGTCTTTGAAGCCAGAAAGAACACAGATAAATTTATCGGGATTAAAGTTCCCGAATGACTGCTGACCCTTATCACTCTTAAACAATACTGTCAGATCAGCAAAGATATAACTAAACATTTAATACAAGGGCAATGTTTCTAAATCAAAGCTTTTAATAATAGTTCATCTTTTCGAGATCGATAAATATTTTCTTAAAAATAAAGTAAAGCGGTCCCTGCTTATTGCTTGGCGGGTTCTTCAACCTCAAGCATCTCAGCAACCCCCCATTCCTCAAAACCATCTTCGAACAAAACGCTCAAGTCTTTATTGGCTTTGAGAATATTTTTCGTATTAGCGTTCTTTTCGAACTCTTCGAATTCTTCGTCTGTTAGAAGGCAGCTATCTAATTGTTCCGATAGCGCCTTGACATTAATTTTGAGTCCAATAAAGACGATTTCGTTCCTACGATCACCGTATTTTCCCTCAAAATCTTTCTTTATCAAAGCGACAGTTTCCTCAGGAATTTCATCAAATCCAGACACATCGAACCAAGGAAGACCACCCTTTACCGTCAAAGTTGGACCTGCAGAAGACCATTCGCCTCTGAATATGTAGCGAGTAGCCAGCCAAAAAAAGCCCTTGGACCGCAGAAGTGGACCAAAGGGAGAGTTTTTCTTGTTAATCAGGATTTGGTCCTCACTCAACTCTTCTTCTATTTCCTCATCATCATCGTCAGTCTCACTGTCATCATCATCCCCACTCCCTTCATCTTCGTCTTCTTCCTGCTCTTCCTCATTTTGCTCTCTATCCTTTTTTATCTCGGCTTTGTCCGTCCCGTCTTCTTCATCGTCATCCTCGACTTCGTCGTCCATATCGCCTCCCATTTCGACCTGTTCTATAATGTAAAAGTGTTGGCGCATCATCTCATATAAACGCTTAGGGTGGAAAGGCTTTCTCCTCCTGTATACAAAACTGTTGACACCATATTCCTCTGTTTCGGGTTTAGGCGCCAACGTCCGGCGAGTATTGCCAGCAAAATCCCTGACGGTCATTTCGTTGATGCTACGCAACCAACCGGCCGAGGTAGAGGCTTTCTCGAAGTCAAAAAGTCCCGTATTTACGACCCTGTCCAGTGGGACTTTGCAGAAGTCGCTTGTAATGACCTGTGCAACTGGATTTAAAGTGTTAACAACCTTCTTGATTTTCTTAAGTTGCTTCTTCTTCACGGTAGAACTTTTATTAATTATGATAACATCAGCAAACTCTACTTGGTCAATCATCAAATCGGTGATAGTACGGTCGCTCTCACCTTGACCACTGTCACCCCATCTGTCGACCAAAAACTTTGTCGTCTCAACGTTGGAAAAAAAGTTTAGAGCATCAATAACCGTGACACAAGTATCGATCTTGACTAGCTTGTTCAAGCCACCATAGTTCAAGATCTTTTCAAGCAGTTGCGCTTCTTCAGGACTTACCTCCTGTGGATTATCATACATCATTTCGGAGAATTCTGTCGAGAATGTTTCAGCAACTTGCATTGGCTCGGCGATACCTGTTGATTCAATTACGATATAGTTAAACGTTTTCTGTTCCGCCAAATAAACCAGTTCTTCTAAAAGATCTCCACGAAGTGTACAGCATATACAACCATTCGACAACTGAATAAGCTTCTCCTCCTTGTTACAAACTTTGTGGTTCTCAATCAACGCTGCGTCAATGTTCAATTCTGACATGTCGTTGATAATCACGGCAACCTTCATCCCATGTTCGTTAGTTAAAATCTTCTCTAGCAATGTTGTCTTACCAGAGCCTAAGAACCCAGAAAGGATCGTTACCGGAATTGGCTTCTGGATAGTAGTAGTCACCATTTCAAATTACAACTTTGTAGTCACAGTTAGCTTTGAGAAAGTAAAACTCAGTAAGATGTCATCGATGCTCATCTCAGCCAATTTGTACTTCACGACTTCTCAGAAAAATTTTCACTCACCATCCGACACTCATAACCATTATTGAACTTTTCTCTCTCGGCTTTATTCGTTAAGAAGAGCTCGAATCATTTCATGGATCATGGTTCTTTTTTCCGTTATTTTCGTGGCGCCAGTACCGCCAGGGTTGTTTGTTCAACCTCAGAAAAAAACTTGGCAGACAAGACGGACTTTTTTCTTTGACCCTAAGGATGATGATTGAATGACCCCGAACATTTCTAAGGTAGACGCAGCCGAGCATGATTCAAACGATTCATTGTCCTTTCTCTTCATGTAAATGCTGATAATGCTGTGCTCTGCCTTGGCAGCCTCGCAATTGAAATATGTAAATTACTCTCTTCTTCGAACCCGACCAGGCATAGGTATCATGCCGACATCTTTCAGAGAGAGCCTTCAAGTTACAAGAAAGGGTGTTTTCTCGAACCAAACTTAAAAGAAAATGTAACTTGGTTACCTCATCTCTCTAAGAGGTTTGATGAGAGCGGTATCCATCTGACATGGCATATCGCTCACACTTTTGTGACTTAGCCAAGCTCTTATCATCATTCACACAGGGATAAGTTTAGAGCAGATCTGATAGTGGGTACCGAGAGAATTTAATCGATATGGCTCTATCTTGAAGGCTTCTCTTGAATAAAAAAAAGGTTTGTGAACTATTTATCTAACTATATCACTGTTTCGGCTTATTGTCATATTTCATGAAATTTCATTAAAAGGTCATGCATAAAATTGGAAAGCTTGTTCAAGAACCACATTCAGTAGCCAGCAGCGGTAACAAGACCATCAATTAAAGCTGCTAAGCCCACTGCACCAGGGTCTGGAAGTCCTCCCTCACTATCGAGTTTACGCAGCTCTTCCTTAGCAACATAAGACGCACGACCAACAAGAGCATCCATTTTTCTCGTCTTTTCGGCTCCCTCATGAGCTGCAGTCGCTGCACTTCTTAAATCACTACCGGAATTCAAAGCAGCAACGAAAGGCTGTAGGGCGTCAATCAAAGTTCTATAGCCCGGGCGAGCCCTCGTGTAGCAATAAAGTGCATCGAGAGCGTCCTTGGAGGCCGTCCTGAAAGTATCCACGGTTAGTTGTTTGTGACCCGAGTCTTGAACGCCCTTGGCTAGCGCAGAAAGATAAATGGAGTAAAGACCTCCCGAAGTGCCGCCCATCGAATCCTCAACAATGTAAGCAATGTCTTCAATACCGTGAGCAGCATCCTGCAAGCGCAAAGTACGATCGCTAATAGCTTCCTCCAGAGCTTTACCGCCGGAAACAAGAGTGGTTCCGCAATCACCATCACCAGCAATCGTGTCATACCAGGTCACTTTTGGCTCAACGGCGTTAACACGTTCGATACCTGCTTTTAGAATCTTGGCAAAAGTGTCGTAGTCTGCCTTGACGCCAGACGGCTTCTCATTTCTTGGGGTTTCCAGAGAAGGGGCAGTTGGTACTTTCCCTTCAGCGAGAACCTTCCAGTCAGCAGCATTGTGGTAGGTCTGGTTCCAACCACTTGCCGTTGTAGGGTAGTCAAAATACTTAATGATATCGGGACCTGCTTTTCCTGCATTGAGAAGCGTTATTCCGAAACCAGGGCCATTCAAGGCGGTGATGAAAGTGCCTGTAATGGTTCTTTTAGGAATGATATGATAATTTTTAATCAATTGCTCCGAAATGACCTCGGCAGCGTATCCAAGCTCGAGGTTGGAGATACCACCCATGTTGTTAACCAAAAGAATTACATCGTCTTTAGGCTCGAATTTAACAAACGAGTGGTCTTCGTCTTTGCCCAGAACAATAGGTAGCATTTTGGATACAAGCTCAGGGATGGAAGGCAAAGGAGACAGCTTTTGGGTACCTGATTCGTTGTGGATACCCAAACCAATTTCATATTCGTCGGGGCCTAGCATGTTTTCTGGCTTGTGACCCGGGACGGTACAATGGTCTAGGGAAGCAGCAATCGTGGCGCTGTTGTCAACGACCGATTGCGCCACCTTGGCAACATCGCGTAATTCCAGCCCATGAGCAGCGGCGGCACCGGCAATTTTATGCACCAGAACCGTCGCTCCCAGGCCACGGCGGCCTACGAGTGATCCCTTTTTTTTCCCAACAGATACATCATCACCGACCGCAACAAGCTCGACATTCATGCCTGCGGCCTTTGCGCGCTCAGCTGCAAGCCCAAAATGGATGATGTCCCCGGTGTAATTTTTAACAATAATAAGAGAACCCTTGGGAGATTCGACAGCTTTCAAGGCGGAAAAAATCTGCTTAGTTGATGGGGATGCAAAAATAGCACCCGCCGCAATTGCATCAAGGGCACCATCCCCCACAAATCCCGCATGCGTAGGTTCGTGGCCACTACCACCACCAGAAATAAGTGTGACCTTAGGTGGATTTCCCGAGCCAGGAGCTGACGCCGTACGGTAGACTACCCTGTCATGTTCGATTAGCGTCAAACCAGGATTACTCCTAGCAAGGCCTTTGAGATAAGGGGTAACGATGTTTCCATCGGATTTAAATTGTTTGTGAGACATTTCGTATGAATGCTCTTATGATTTGGTTTTAGGGTTACATTAAGAAATTCTGAGGACTACTTTTGACGTTCGAGTAGCACCTTTATATCTCAATTGAGATGCGGTAGTATTAGTGGAACCACAATTTTTAAGATTTGCGGCATTTTCCACTTCACGTACGTGTAGCGCCAAGTGCGCCTGGTTTGATCTCTGCAGCGCATTATTTGCAGTCGCCACATTGTTTTTTTAATAACACCGTGCAACATGTCCTCCTCGTGCTAAGAACGGGATAAGATCTGCCAAAAAGTGAGCAATGCAGTAAAAGTATCGATTTACCGTTGTTAGTTTTGGGGCTAGAAACCGGAGGAGTAACTATACGAGCTGTAGTGAGAAGAATCGTATTTCTCGCTGTCGACTCGTGGAATCGTACGATATGTTGATCTTACCACGAAATTCTTCTATTTCTGCGGGGAAAACTTTGTGCATGCTGCTGCATATTGCTGCACACTATGATCTCCTTAAAACGCTACGCAGAGAAAATCCGCTTCCCAGGTACTCCTAAATATCCGGGGTTTATCCGGAGGCATTTAATTATACGACAATGGCTTTAATTATTGTTTATCCGGAACAGAGGCGCCTTAGGGATGCTAGCAGTGTATGCAAGACTAATGCATTGGATGACAAGGGATTAAATGGTCTGATGAAATGGTTGTATGCATAATTTATGCAATATCTGTCGCCATTTTTTTGACTTTGACTTCCCCAATCGAATTAGGATGCTGCTCAATTGTATATATCATCGGATGCATGTTTTGGAAATAGAAGGCTAGGTTTTTTTTTGCTTTACTGAGTGAATCAAGATGTCAGAGTCGTCAGCATCTTCCACTTCTTCACGAAGTTCGGAACAGACTGTGGATAGACACCAACCTAGAGCCACCAACGAGCAATCGAACAGCCGTGTTACTTTCCGAAAGAATGTCGCGGATACCGAAAAAGACGCATCAGCTTTGAACCGGAAGCAGAACGCAAGCGGCCAAGGGCCTAGAGGTAAGAAATTAGGCGAGCTAGGTGGGTTTGCGAGAAGCACTCTGGCGCCGCTGACTCCCCTTACCAAACCAGGTCAGAATGAGAACTTCGCGAGCTCAAATGCCAAACCCTCCGTAGGATATGCGTATTCTTCACCAAATCTACAATCATTGAATGCTGCACCTGCTTATGACAGAGCTCGTATGATGCATTACTACCTTTCAGGCTCAGGTGTTCCGCGCGGCAATACAAATTATGTGGACCCGCTGTACAGACAACTAAACCCATCGGTCAATGGCTTGAAAAATAAGCCTGTTTGGAGTTTGAATCAGCCTCTTCCTCACGTTTTGAACCCGTCTCTGGCCGAGAAGATGATTCAGAAAAATATGGAGGCGCGGTCGCGCCCATCGTCAAAGCCTGGTTCTCGCGATATGTCTCGAGAAAACTCAATGACCTCCGCAAGCGACTGGTACAGAAGTCTTAAAGGTATGGCATCGGGTCGCAAGCAGGATGATGTGGAAGCGCAACTCAATCAAGGGCGGGCAAGCAGAGCTTCATCGAAGGCTACTTTCATCCCAGATTTAAAACCTACGCAATCGCAGTCTGAGGTAGCCAGGGAAAACCAACAGCGTCACCCGGCAACCTTTTCTTTGGGCGCCGACAGCTATCCTCCCTCCGTTGCTGATCGCCAAAATGACGCTCCAAAAACTCAGCCGCCTGCAACTCAAGACGCTGAGCTCCTACTAAAAGAGCAACTTCGGCAAGACGCTGACAATGCCGGTGTATTATGCGATGAGCTTGATAGTGACGATGCCGAGCCCACAACGTTTCCTAATTTCTGGGCAAAGATCCGCTATTATTTCCGAGAACCGTTTGCTGAATTTTTGGGGACCCTAATTCTTGTCATTTTTGGTGTCGGTGGTAATCTTCAAGCTACTGTGACCAAGGGTGCAGGAGGTTCTTACGAATCGTTGTCGTTCGCATGGGGCTTTGGTTGTATGCTGGGCGTTTACGTTGCAGGTGGTATCAGTGGAGGACATATAAATCCGGCTGTTACGATTTCCATGGCCATCTTTAGGAAGTTTCCCTGGAAGAAGGTTCCAATATATCTTTTTGCTCAAATATGGGGGGCATTTTTTGGAGGTGCTATGGCATATGGCTATTTCTGGAGTAGTATCACTGAGTATGAAGGGGGTGCCCATATAAGAACTGCCGCGTCCGGCGCATGCCTGTTTACAAATCCGAAGGATTATGTTACGTGGCGGAATGCGTTCTTCGACGAATTTATCGGTGCGTCTATTTTGGTAGGCTGTTTGATGGCTCTTTTGGACGATACAAATGCCCCACCAGCGAGCGGTATGACAGCTTTCATTGTTGGACTACTTGTTGCTGCCATTGGTATGGCACTGGGTTTTCAGACTAGTTTCACTATCAATCCTGCAAGAGATCTAGGCCCTCGAATTTTTGCTTCTATGATTGGGTACGGGCCGCACGCCTTCCATTTAACCCATTGGTGGTGGACATGGGGTGCTTGGGGAGGTCCGATTGCTGGAGGCATCGCAGGCGCTCTCGTCTACGATCTTTTAATTTTTACCGGTTGCGAATCACCAGTCAATTATCCTGACAACGGCTATATAGAACACCGTGTGGCAAAGCTACTACATCACGAGAAGAAGCACATGGAATACGAGGACGGAAAAGATAGTAACGATCACAGCTCTACTACCACTAAACACTAATCCATTTAAACCTAACTTTTTACTCGAGAGTTTTGGAGTTGATATTAAATTAACAAATTCCATTTTGGCACAGGCCACACGTTTTTTTCAATTGCGGCTATGGGCTATCAGGAATGGTGACGCTAGGACGTTACCTAGAGTTAAATAGTAGTCTGACGCTTCTTTTAAAAACTGGAGGAACAAGGGCTCATGAACTTTTTAAATACGTCACGCGACCATATCAGTATTTTTTTGCTTACATCACATCGGAGATTATCACGCGACAATTGCTCCTCTACTTTTAGGCAAGACCGCGTCGGAGAATCTTGTCCGACAGGTGCTTTCCGGAGAAGGGAGGCAACGCCCGTTCCTCAAATAAAAGAGGATAGAAGTTTCGGGCAGTTTTTTTTGTAACTCTACTGCATTGCCATCGTCTCGACGGTATTTAACCCGAGGCCTCCTTATCGATTGAATCTAAAAAAGTGTCGTCCCCGACGTTGTCTCCTTTCGGGTTTTCCACATGGTCAATTCACGGAGATGATCAATGTAATCGTGTTCCCGATGTGGCACCTCCAATAAACGTGTCAACCACATTTCGGTTTGACAACGATAATTTGAAAAGTGCCGATGAAAAAGGCCTTGACGAAGGTGCCGAAAGTAGACCAGTATATTCGAGAATTAACCACCCGAATGCTGAGAGGCTTGAAACGGTTCTTGCGGGAATCTTGGGAAACCCAACAGTAGCGTATTCGTCCGGGCTTTCTGCTTTCTACGCGATTTTGATGCATTTTAACCCTAAAAGATTGTTTCAGGACGACTGCTATCACGGATGTCATATAGCAGCCGAGAAGTTTTCGCGCGTGTCAGGCATGAAGGTCTTGTCTTTGGACGAAATCGAGACAAAATGCCAACCTGGGGATATCGTTCATTTGGAGGACCCCATCAACCCCTATGGGGAAGTCTCGGATCTCGAAGCCTATATCGAACTCACACACTCCGCTGGCGGCCTTCTCCTCCTGGACTCTACGTTGGGTCCACCACCGCTGAGAAATCCCTGGGAATACGATGTTGACATTGTTATGCACGCGGGATCAAAGTACTTCGGTGGCCATTCGGACCTTCTAAGCGGGATGGTATCTGTTAAAAGCCCAGAAATAGCCGAAAACCTCATGAACGACAGGCTTGTTTTAGGAACCATACCTGCTAGTCTTGAAAGCTTTCTTCTGCTGCGGTCCTTGAGAACGATGGAATTACGGGTCCTTCGCCAGTCCGAGAACTGCACAAAGGTTGTCAAGTATTTAAATGATCACAAAGAGGAGTACGCGGGCGTTCTCGAAACAATTCATCATGCAAGCCTACAAACTGAGAGTTTTGTAAAAAAACAATGGCCTAATGGGTTTGGAGCTGTATTCTCAATTATTTTAAACTCACCTGAACAATGTAAGGAGTTCGTCAAGAATCTGCAAATTTTTCAGCATGCCACTTCACTTGGAAGTGTCGAATCCTTGATCGAATGGCGAGCTCTGAGCGATAAAAATGTTGACAAAAGACTTCTCAGAATATCGGTAGGCGTTGAACAAGTTGAAGATTTAATCCGAGATTTATCTGAATCGCTAAGAAGGATCAAAGAGAACTAGAGTTCGGTGTGATGAACCACCAAAATTCTGACCAATTGTCAGCCAAGTCAATGTCTTGGACACGTTCTGCAATTCGAGGAGGTATTATAATGCTCGTGTTGTTTTTACCTAAAGAACTCTGTATGGTGATCGATCAGCGGTTTGTTATACTTTTCGTCAGACCGTTTGAGGATTTTAATATTCGCGTTGGATTTTTACAGATGACTCGATGATCATGCTCTTTTTTTTTTTCAAGAAAATCAAATGACTTTAAGGTGAAAAGACCTTGACTCAAGCACACCAAGCAAAGTTAAAACGAGGAAACGAAGCAATGTCAGACGAGTTAACCGTTCCGCAGGTCGTGGATGACTTAACAGATTTTCATGAGGCCAAGCGCGCTCTCAAGGATGTCCTGTCCGGCACTGCAGGTGGAATTGCGCAGGTCCTTGTGGGACAACCATTCGATATCACCAAGGTTCGTCTGCAAACCTCAACTCAAAATACTTCAGCCCTGGAGGTTGTGAAAAGTTTGATTAGAAACGAGGGAATTTTGGGTTTCTACAAGGGCACCATGGCACCTTTGGTTGGGGTAGGTGCGTGCGTGTCATGCCAATTTGGTACCAACGAAGCCATGAAAAGATTCTTTCGCCGCAGGAATGATGGCGACAGCCAAACATTGAATTTATGGCAGTATTACGTATGCGGTGCTGTCAGTGGATCCGCGAATGCTTTTTTGGCTACTCCCATCGAACATGTTAGAATTAGATTGCAATTACAGACTAAGACAGCAGCGAATGCCGCCTATAGTGGATCTCTGGACTGCTTTAAGAAACTTTTAAAACGGGGCAGTCTTATGCGGGGGTTCTCGGCTACCATTATGAGAACATCCCATGGCTTCGGGGTCTACTTTTTGACATACGAAAGCCTGATCGCACGCGAAGCGCATAAAGGGGTCGAACGGAAGGATATTCCTTCATGGAAAGTGTGTTTATATGGAGCAGCATCAGGTGCTTGTTTCTGGGCGATGACTTATCCCTTTGATGTGATCAAATCCGTTATGCAAAGTGATAACCTGAAATCGCCGGTTTATGGCTCCAATCCCTGGCAGGTGGCGAAAAGTATCTATAAGGAAAGAGGAGCGCGTGCTTTCATTAGAGGTTTCACCCCAGCTATGCTGAGGTCTTTACCAGTTAATGGAGCCACCTTCGCTACCTTTGAACTTACAATGCGTTTGCTTAAATAATGAAACGTTATTGCATCACTTCATGTATTAAATACAAATTAATAGAAATAGACCAGTAAGTTAAAGATACATCATTTGTCCTGATAATCTCAAGTTTGGAAAGGTTTATAAAGGGAGGTCTTGCTGCTTCAAAAGCAATCACCAATGAGGCTTCTGAAGCGAGTAACAGTATGTCATTTTAAAAGTAATGATCCCTGCTGTTTCTGGATGTCTTTCTAAGTATATATACGGACTTCGTCAGTTTTTCATGGGTTTTCAATGACGACGTTATCACCATTCTTGGCCGAAGACTCTAAGAATGCAGCGACGATGGCCAAATGATGGAAAGCAATTCTTGGGGATCCCTTTACGAGGGATTTGTCCTTCTTACTCACCGCCTCATAGAAATTCAAAAATTCAGCATTGACTCCAAAAGAGCCATCTTCCTTGACAGTAAATTCCTCAGTCTTTGCATCTGCCTCAGCGGAGTCACCGATGATAACAGTAACTTTTGGGGCCCTCTTTTCAGAGAGGTTAACAAGCAAAGAGCCATTCAAGCCGTAAACCTTGAGGAATACAGACTTCTCACAAGAGCCAAAAGCGGAACCGTAAGTGAAAGTGCCGATAAGATCGTTTTTCTTCATCCTTACGGTAGAGAAAACAACATCGTCAGTTCCTGACTGTGGACGCACTTGTTTCGTGTGAGCCGAGACCGAGTGAACTTCGCCCAAGATATCAACCAAGAAGGCTAGTTGGTGGACACCACCATCTGATAGGAACCCGCCGATATGTTCAGGGTTTTTCCTCCAGCTTGTTGCTAAGTACTTGTTGTGGAAGATAAATGGCCCCGTTGAGTTGTAGGTGAACGCACTTAGCGGCCCAATTTTAGGCAGATATTTCTTGACAGTCTTCGCGACTTCCAAGAACAACCAATTTTCAGCGATTCCGACGGGGACACTGGTCGTCTCCGCAATTTTTACAATTTCTCTGGCTTGTGCAATCGTGGCAGCAATTGGTTTCTCTAAGATGACAGGCTTGTTCGCAGCCACACATTTTACTACTGTTGTGGCATTGAATTGAGCTGGTAAAAGCGCATCGATAAAGGAGATAGACTCATCGGCCAAAATTTCATCTAAATTATCATAGACCTTATCCTTCGAGATTTCAGCAACTTCTGCAAAAGCTTCCGCTTTGCTCCTTGTTCTGTTGAAAGCCGCAGTCACTCGGAAGTGCTCTGGCATTTCCTGGTACGATGGGAGATGTCTGTCACGAGCGAAAATGCCGGTACCGACAATTCCAACGTTCAAAGTATTTGGCATGGTGGTTTGTAATGGATTTCCTTCCTGTGGTTAATTACTTTGGGAACAAGAATAGTTCGAGGGTTGATGTAGACCCATTAACCTCTTGACTTTATATACTGATTTTTTTTCCGGGGTAGCCAAGGCTACGCAAGAGTCCCAAAAACGGTTTATTTCCTAACCCCGGCGTTAATTCCAGTGCGGCAAAAAAAGCCAGCTTGTCAGTGAAAGCAAGACAAAGGTGAACGAAATGACGACATATCTCGCTTAGAATAATCTGGTGTTATCATTAATTCGTATACCGTAAACTATTGTTCCGGAATAATCAATCCGGCTTACAGGATGAGCACAGGTACACCACAGCCTATATAGTCTGACGGTCAAGTAAGCATAAGATTCATTTCCCAGCTCCTGTAAACGGCATACCAACTGTCGCTCGTTTCGCCGTTCATTCTTCTGCGCCAGACTTCGAACATCACTTGTCGGGCTCCCCAATAAGACCCCATGCCCGAATTGGCCAACTTTGCTGCCCAATTCTTGAACTGAATCTGCAGGTCTGAATCAACCGAGGCACAGCCTGCAATGAACCCTTGCCATATAAGCGGCACGATTTTTACGTTTTTCTCATCGATCAATGTAGTTAGCTTGTTTAAGTGCGTCAGCACTTTTCTGACGTAGCCCTGGAGAGTGGACAAACCACCTTCAGCTGCCATGGTGCGGTGATAAATGATCAAGCTGTAATAAAAGCTCATGGTGTGATGATAGACACCCTCCAGTGTATCGCTTATAAATTCGTCCGAATTAGGACGCCGGAAATCCCATTCGGAACTCCAGCTCATGAGTCTGGAATCTAGCCGCGAACATATATCATTATAGGTTCGAGGAAGTGGCATGCTTCTCGACCGAAAATACTCTCTGTGGCGCGCTAACCGAACGCAATCTGAAAGCAGAAGAATAATGGAGTTTGGCAGGCCATAAAGCGCGTCCGTACTCAAAATGTCGTTGCTGTTCAGTTTTTTCCGTGGATAATAATATGTCTGACTGGCGATGTCACTAAATATGGGCGTGCTGCCAGCACTTATGCTCTGCTTAACAAACTGTATTTTGATTTTGCCGTCAACCTGGTCTATAGCCTCTTTGAACTCACCATCTTCGCCTTCACATGGTGTAGCGCCGTCCTTGTCAATTTCCTCATCTGATATTACAATTTCTTTGGCTGTGACCGTATCTAGAGCAGTACTGTCTTGAATCAGTTTTAAAAACGAAAATATCCGGTGCAACGACTTGGCCTTACTAGAGATTTGTGGCCTCACTTTCATGCGATCTTCAACGATATTCTCGCAAAGAGACAAATGATACTGGCAGTCGGCCATTGTACCCCACACAACGTCAATCGAGTTCATTGACAAAATAGAAGTCAAAATATCCTTATACCTTTCTTGCTTGATTGTCGCCTCCAGACAAAGCTTGAGAAATCTTGAAGCTTGCCCACGAAAGTTGATGCCCATCTGCAAGTAAAATTTCATTTCTGGAGAATTGCGAGGAAATTTACTCAGAAGATTGAAACAAGAGACTGCGAGCAATGCATTCAGCAAAGAATTGCGCGAGTTTGACGTGTATCCGATTCCAGCCAGATCGCCTAACGCTTGAAGAGCTCTGGGAAAATATATTGTTCTCCAAGGATTGGTTGGGAGCGCCACAACAGTCATCAAGTCGACAACGTTTTGAAGATAATAATTCAGTAGAAATCTCGTCATTCCATGAACGTGTAATCCGGTGGTGGGTATTCTTAACAATAAATTATCGTTGTCGACTCTGTTGAAGACTGTGATATCCGGAACCTCTGACGGTACAACTTCCAGAACGTCGCGCGGCATAGTCGTTTCACCACCGGGAGCGTCAATTAAAATCTCGTTGTCAAGAGGAACTATGCTGGGTTTGAGTGACTTGGACGAATTTAGATCGGGAAATGGAGACTTGGTAGCATTATTTCGAGCCACATCCTTGTGATTTAAAAGTTTGTATATGTGAGAACAATCATCGACCAAGCTTGGGTCTCTTCCGGTACTATTCCTCGAATCCAGCCTCAAATCGTTTGCGATGGGTGGCGACGTTGCGCCGCCGCCGCCGCCACTTACGCGTGGTGCCAAGCCAAGCTGCATCATCAGGCCGTCTGTCGAGGCACCACGCATAGCAGACGCAGAGACAAGTGCATCTTCTTTCAACTCGTTGGATATCCATTCGTTGCCGCGAAGCTTTATGCTGGAGAAATCAAAGTCGAATAAGTTTGATATCTTGGAGCCACTATCGTCGCTGATTTTGGGCTCTTCGGCAGTCTGGAATCCGTAGATACTCGGATCAGCCTCCTTGACGATTACAGGCGGTGACCCTCGCTTCAAACCGCTGCCGTTTTTGCCAACTAATCCTGACAAATTCTGCCGTCGCCTTTTGCGAGGCGCATACTTTTTCTTGACTCGGTCGGTCCCTCGAAACACGCCAAATTTCTTTATGATCCACGTGCGCCCTTCTGCAATTTTGTCTAGACCCGGTGAATGTAATGCTGATAGTTCGTCGTCCATCTCTTCATAAAACTCATATTCTTCCTGATAACGTACAAAGGCGACGTTACGTCGTTGAAATTGTGGCTCTTCGGCAGAGCTTCCTCCTCCTCCTCCTCCAACGTTTGCTCCTTCGTTTCGCGTCTGATGTCCAAAACTATCGAAACTGATCGGCTGTGACCACCGCAGTTTTATATCATAACCTCCGCATTCAAACCCGGATTTCTCGCACCGCTGACACGAAGGCCGTCCCAAATCACATTTAACTTTGCGCGTTCTACACGTCCAACAACCAGTAAAGGTCTTGGCTCTCTTCGCGGGGTTTTTCCCTTTTTCTCTCATCGCATCGGCTACTCTGGACAAATTCGAGGTTTTCGCTAACTCTTTCAGATTGAAGTTACAAATTTTTCCGTACATAATAAAGTCATCGCGGCAAGAAAAAACGAGCCTTTCAAGATTATCTATTCATGAGGCATTGTAGATGGCGAACTTTATTGGTAACTAACGACGAAACCTTGACATCTTAATACTTGAAAACAAGACGAACACGGGACGTAGAACCAGCTTCCGTACCAACACTACCGGCATAAGTAACTTCAGAGGTCCGAAGCAGAAATGTCTCGTAGATTGAAGAAGACTAATCTATTTTCCAAAGACGTAGCATCCTTGATGTATGCATACGGTGACTCGCCTCAACCTTTACCAGAGACAGTGCAATGTCTAGACGAGCTGGTTTCGTCGTATCTAGTGGACATTTGTATGGCAGCGCACAAAACCGCACAAACGGTGCGGAGGAACAAGATCAAAGTCGAAGATTTCAAATTCGTCCTGCGAAACGACCCAGTCAAACTTGGGAGAGCTGAAGAATTGATTAAATTAAGCAGAATAATTACGGACGCTAAAAAGCTGTTTAAGAGCTCTGAGGGGAAATCTTTGAAGAGAATGCGAGATGGGTTGGGTTTAGGAGATGAAGAAGTGGACGACGATACAGAAGAGCCACACGAGGAGGAAGAAAAAGTGAAGAAAGAACCCCAGAAACGCAAAAAACGTAAGAACAACAAAGCTGCGTCTATTACCTGAGAGCTGGCTTTTATACAACACTTCCCTAATTTTAAATATCTATAATGAACGAGATGAATGGTAAATTTTATTTGTAGATTTTTATTCACCTTGACAGACCGCGATGCAAAGTTCGATTGATTGTAGTCATGCAGCTTTACTGAATGTTAAGCTGATATACGGTTGGATCCTGATCTGCCTCTTGTAGATATTCAGGCACCCCAACGAACCTGTTCCACATGCGATTAACTTTCAAAAGCATGAATTTAATTATATTGCGAGGAAGATCCCAATAGCTTCGGAAGATGAAGCGCAACGCCTCAGATACGTTGTTTAGCTCAGTGTCCCATGCCTGTCTAATACCAGTCTTAGTGACGTTGTTTACTACCTTTTTTGGCATAAACTTCAAGTCCTTAAATTCATTCTCTTGTGAAATGCCGTCTTGTGTCTTTTCAGAAGATGTTGCAGAATCGATCGAAGTTCGTGTCAATGGCTCTTCCTTCTCCGTGCTGCTGATAACAGAGCTCTTGATAAGTTTGAAGAAGTTGTTGGATTTGAGAAAAGACGCTAATTTGCCGGCCATACTGTTCACAGTTGAGTCATACATTTTCTCAAAGTTAGTTATGGCTTCCACGGATTTTGAAAGTCGATCAAACGTGTTAAACAGAGCAATAAGTTCATATTTCGTTAGTTTGTCCACAACATTTTGCTTCCCCTCTTCGTCTTCAGAATCAAACTCAAACAGTATTTTCAAACTGGTGGCATATCCCGTCGTCTGAACTTTTCCCCATAGCCGGCATCTGTCACAATGAACACAGTCCATGATTTTAGTGACATTTTTGAAACGCATTCTGAAATCGTCCTTCAATGTGCTGGTGACTTGGTCCTTGAACAGCAAATCCTCGTTGAAAATCTTTGAGTTTAATCTGGTAATAACGCTGTTTATCATTGACTTCACATCCTCGTGATAGGCGTTACAGAAGTCCAGGTGAGACAAGTATGGCCGAATTTTCCACAATGCCTTGGCAATAACAGCATAATTGAAGTAAATATTGGCAACACGATCTGGAAAATTTCCAACTCTTGCCATGAAAAGTTCTAAGTTAGGTTCCCAGGCACCAGTCTCGGTATTGAGATGATCGTTTGATAGATGTGTGCCAATCGAGGCATGTAGACCAGATATCAATCTGTAGAATGCATTCTTAGCGAGGCAGGTTCCAGCCTGTTCAGAGGAAAAGCAGTTTTCTTTGTATATACTAGACCAGATCTGCGTTGACTGCATACCACCGTAGCCTGTGAAACGTTCAGGGTTAGCAGTCAAATCCACCAAAACACTCTTTTCATTGCTAAAATCTTCTAGATCACAATAGTTGACATCTGGTTTACTCAAAGCACCATTTTTTTGTCCCTCGCAAAGCTGGTCCAGAAACGCACACTCATCGGAAGCGATGTTTTCACCCCCGAAACTCTCATTGTCAAGGCCTCCTAAAACCTCTGGTTGCCAGTATGCTGGTAAAGTGTCCCATTCCTCAACTACGTCCACAGCACATGCTCGATTAACGCAGTAACCATCGTTGTCATTCCAAAACGGACACTGCTTGTAAAGATCAAGCTTGAAGTATTTGAAGAAGTCGCTGTGCACAAGAGCGAGAAGATCGCTCCGGATCTGTCTATTAATTTCATTGATTTCCTTAAAAGTGACGTCGCACGTCGCGCCGACAGGCTCGTCTTTGTCGATCTGGCAAAAATTCGAAGACGAATCTGGCATCACTGCCTGCGCCACCAGATCTTTGGTAGATGAATCAGTTTTAGAGCTTGAGGTGCTCAGATCAGAGGCATAAGAGCCCGTTATCGTCAAACCCAGAAGTAATTCTATGAAGCGGTTTGCCTTCATTTTTAACACAAATTGACTGCGTCCCAAAAAACAACTGATCCAATACAGTAGAAGACTTTCAACCTCTCAATATATGTGAAGTAAGCTGCTTGTAAGGAGCTCTTATCGTTTATAATCAAAGGGTATTTGAACAGCCTGTCTTCTTTTATTTGTCAGGCCATCTCACAATTTTCCAGAATACTCGCTGTTAACGAACTTCTCTCTCCAAATCAGATCCAGCTCATCAATTCGAAAGTGTCAGGAGAACATCAACACATACACCAATACGGTATTTTTTAGCGATGCATACATCGCTGATGAGGTCTTGATCCATTTCTGGAAACATAGATTGTAGCGAGTCAAAAACTCGGGTATTCTCTTCTTGTTCCATTTTGCGGGCTAACTCCGTAGCGGCAGCCTCATTATCTGAGGTAGAATTGGCAGCAGCAGTACTGTTAGCAATTGCGGTAGACAAATTTCGCGGAGATACGAATGTTGCCGGCGCGGTTACCGATTCATCAGTTTCAGGAAGTGCCGGTGTAGGCGAAGGAGAGAAGATCTCTGTGACCTTGGAAAATACAGAGCCCATGATATCACGTGTTGGTGAAGGACTACGAACTCTCCGGTAGTGTTCTGCTTCAGAACCGGGACCCTCATGGGTATCGCGTCTCGCGCGTTCTTGATCTGCTTGTAGCTTGTTTTCTGCATATAGTGTTTCAAATTCTTCTGTATCAGAGATGCTAAGAGACTCACGGTTAAGGTGCAAAATGAAATCAGCGGCGGCTTGTAAGCTACTAAGATAATACGCGCTTTCACCGCGCATGGAGTCTGGGGAGCGAAAACGCTCGACGTAGTTGAGGTTAGACTCCAGACAGGACACATCACTTTTTAAAACGGCGTAGATGAGCATCGGGATGAAAGCGTCTGCGCCCTTATTGCTCAGTTTAGAATGCTTCAAAAATCCGAAAATGACCTTACATGCATTCAAAATGCACACCATTTTGTCGCGAGGTGCTCTGTACTGGTTCACACGTCCCAGTTCCTTGCCTGCCATTTTCGCGAAAGCATCGATCTTGGGCAGGAACTTATCGGAAACCTCAAGATGATTGGGAAGGAGGAATCGATACTCGAGCGCCTTGTCGGCCAGCTCTTTATCCTCTTCAAGGTCTCTCGCGTGGGATGCATCAAGCGCCTCGCTTTCATCGGCGAGGCAAGGCGAGAAACACCTTGAGTATAGTTTGCTCATTATGAGTTTTTCTATGCCCTCCTTGGCATTGTGGAATTTTGCCTTGTCCAAACCTTTGAAGGGCTCATATAGCGCCAACTTGCTGTAAATGAATTCCTTGAAGTCGTTGATGAGTTTAACCTGCTCCGATGCACTCCAAAGGGACTTTTGAGTGACAAAGTTATGCAAAAATGATCGCGTGTATTTTACAATTGGTTCCGCCCTAGGGTCTTTCATCTGAGTGATGAACAGCTGAAAGTCATAAAAGGTCTCGTCCTCCTCATTCTCAAGCCCAGCATCCTTCCCGTTCTCCATATTCTCTGTTCTGAGCTGCTGGCCAACTTCGCGGCCCCTGTTTCCCTCACTCGTTTTATTCATTGGCTTTGGGTTGTTAGTCTGCTAAGATAGAAAGTTTCTTGTAATCATTGATGATCTCTTCATATTCAAAACATAGGCATAGATCAAAGCCTGATAAGCCTTCTAGAAATATTTATGTGCGGTATACTATGGCATCATTGTGCGAATGCTTTTGCTGGCAAAGAAACCTTCCTCGAATTCGATGAGGACTCGTTGGCGAGAGGTATCGACACGAGTATATTCGATGAGCACCCGGTATTCAAGGAACTCGTGCCCTATGTCGCAGCGAGAGGACCCAATTACGCATCATTTACAAGATTCGGCGATAAAAGTTGGTTTTCTGCTGTCCTGTCCTTGAGAGAGCCTCTCACCAAACAATGTATCGATGTCGCTGACCGGTTCATATTACAGTACAACGGCGAAATTTACAATATTGGCAATTATACTAACGATACACAGTATTTCGCTCATCTTCTGTCTGTTACTGGAAACGTTGTCCAAGCCTTGCGGGAGCTAAGGGGTGAATTTGCCTTTACGGTGTTTGACAAGGAGACCAACTGTTTATATTTTGGCCGTGATTCCGTCGGGAAGAGAAGCTTGTCTTACAGAGTAACGCCCGGTAAGGAATTATATGTTTCAAGTGTCAGTGGTTCGAGAGATGGGTTCACTAATTGCGAGGCAAACGCTATCTACGTTTATGATACGCGCACCGGCAATGTCAGATGCGATCAGACAATTAGATTATCGCCTTACGAAGTGTCCAGAACAAGTGATTCCTCCATGGAGTATTTGAGTGCAGCCACACAGGACCTATTTGACGTTCTTAGCCGAGCTACAGGCTTGAGAATTGAGTCGATACATCCGCTGCACAAGGAAAACAAACCGATTGGCATTTTATTTTCTGGCGGTCTGGACTGCTCCGTAATAGCAGCCTTGATATGTCGACATCTTTCTAAGCGCAAATGCAATACAAAGGTAGAACTTTTAAATGTAGGCTTTGAAAATCCTAGAACGGGCCTAAAGCCCGGTGAGGTGCCCGATAGACTTTTGGCCCGTCAGTCGACTTTCAAATTGCGAGAACTTTTCCCAAATATTGAAATAATTCTGATTGAGGTAGACGTTTCATATGAAGAGTTTTTAAACCATCGAAATGCTATTATCGATCTCATATACCCAAAACAAACCGAGATGGATCTGTCCATTGCAGCGGCATTTTATTTTGCATCGCGTGGACGTGGATTCAAACGTGTAGAAGGCGGTATCACCGTTCCTTACGAAAGATCTGGAATTGTTCTCTTTAGCGGTCTTGGGGCAGACGAGCTTTATGGAGGGTACCATAAGCTGGCAAACAAAACAGAGGAACAGCGCTGCGCTGAGCTACAAAGTCAAATCAGGAATATCCATGATAGGAATCTCGATAGAGATGATAAAATCATTTCCTCACATGGCGTTGAGGTGAGGTATCCTTTTTTAGATGAAGAAGTCATCGAGTTCTCAGTCAGGTTACCGATCAATTACAAGGTCAATAAATTGATTTTGCGAAACATGGCATCGGAGTTGCTTGATATGGAAGACATAAGCACAGAGCCAAAAAGAGCCATTCAGTTTGGAGCAAAGAGTGCCAAAATGACTAAAGATGGGAACAAGCTTGGTACAGATATGCTGCGAGCTATTGATTGAGGAAGATGAGGTACTTGGCAGCCTGTTCAAAATTAAATGCGAGTAGCAGCGCAAACCCACCGAACATACATGCTTTGCTCAGGTTTTGGAGAATGCTCTCCGAACTTTCAATGTCAACCACACACAGAAGAATGTTGTTACCGTTTTTCACCAGCGGTTGCATTTTTTTCGCGATGTACTCTGGATGTAGCCTGTGATATTTAAGTGACAGAAACAGCACGTTACGTCCATGAACGCAGTAATCATAAAATATTTTGGTGCCAGCGGCTGCCGTCACATATCTCCAATTGGTATTTGTCAAGCTGTTGAGCAGCGGGTTACCTCTTTGCGAACTGCTAACCAAAACCGTTTTACCAGTACCGTAACCACCAGACTTCCGTTTCTTGGCGTTTGAGTCTCCGAAAGTATTTAAGCCTTGCTCACGCTGTTGATTAAATGCATTTATCGGTGGCTTTTTCTGAAATCCACTTTTCTGTTGTGCACGTATCCCAAAATCCCTACCCTTGATAGAATCGCTTTCAGCCGGTTTTGGTCTCTCTTCTACTTCACCTGCTCCATTTTGCTCTCGCAGACGTTGAACTCCAGCAAGAATGCTATCAAAGCTTGAGCTCGAGCCCCTTTCCATTCCACTTGGACTTGGTATAAAGCTAAATAGACATAATTTAACTTTTTTTTCACGAATCCAACATCCACCTCATACAACCTACAACACACTGCTATAAAAGGTCTACAAGTACCATCAATGTCCGCCCAGCATAGTATGTACCGCGTTTTTGTGCTTCAGTACCATTGAGTTCACATCAATTGAGACTTTTGCTAACTTTTCATACCCATAGTCGACCTTGCCAAGCTCAATCCGGAACAGCTCGCTGTCGTCAAGCAACAAATCGACCAGGAATTGCAGCATTTCACGCAATCACTCCAAGCATTGAACATGGCCAGGGGCAAATTTAAGGAATGTATAGACGACATCGTTTCAGTCTCTAAGCCTGAAAACAATTCACAGTCGATATTCGTGCCACTTTCAGGCTCTCTTTATGTGAAGGGAAGGATCAAAGACAACTCTAAGTTTATGGTCGATGTGGGAACAGGTTATTACGTCGACAAGAGCGCAGAAGAAGCGAAGGCATTTTATAACGCCAAGATAGAGAAACTCAACAAAGAATCAGTTCAGATTCAAGCTATCATAAAGGAAAAGAGCCAGTCGTCCGTGGCGATCGAAAACCAGTTAAGACTCGCGGCCATTAAGCGTCATGAAGAGCAAGCGAAGCAGCAGCAACAGTCACAGTAAGAAGAGGGTTTTGCAAAGTGGTCCCTCGTTTCAGCGGTTTGCTGCAGCTACCTCGCCATGGATATTCGACGTTTCTATGCGTTGTACTATATAACCACGTGACTTGTTGATATTTCTCGATGAGAGGGATCTCAACTCTGCACAGTTTTTTAGAACTGAAAAATTTTAGGCGATGAGATGAGCTGAGCATTTGGAAAAGTAGTTTGGAACGCAAGAATGGTCAAAAAAGCTGGTCGTAAGGCGTCCAGAAGAAGAGCCCAAAATGCCTTCGACATAGCTTCAAGAGATTTGGCAAATTCGAGCGACGAGCGAGGAAATTTTAGTCAAGATTTGAGGCAAAATGGAACCATCGTTAATGCTCAAAAAGGCGAGTTGGACTCAGAAGACGAGGAAATGGAGGATGAAGAATTAGATTCAGACGAGGCTCTGGGATCCTCTGATGAATACGATGTTTTAAATTCAAAGTTTTCCCAAACTCTCAGAGACATCAAGAAGAAGAAAAGCAAGGGTAACGGCATCGCTACTGAAGAGTTGGATGATGAAGAGGAAGGGTACACTTCCATCGACGAAAGCGATTTGATGCCGTTGTCAGAGGTTTGGGATATGGATGAAAATTCATCTTCCAAGAGGAGTGGAACAAGGTCACATGAGGACTTGCAACTGCAAGAGGACTCTTCGTCCGAGGCTTTGGGATCTGACGACTCTAGCGATCACAGCGACTCCTCAGATGCCGCATTAAGCGAGGAATCGGAGGAAGATCCCTTTGACGAGATTTCAGCCGACGACGACGATCTCGAGTTAAAAACAGTTGCGTCAAGATTAGAAAACAAGGCAGAGAAGGATAGGTATCGCAAGCTCAGCAAACAGCCCCTCGGAGAAGAAAATGAATATGCCATCCCTCCCTCTTCAGGCGGTGCTAGGGCCTTGAACTTGGAAGATATGATGAAAGCTGTGGATGATCCTGATGCCCTTTCAAGAGCGACGTTACTGAAAAACAAGAATACCGCTCTCGCAGTACCTTTGCCACAGAGAATCCAAAAGAGACATGAGCGTAAAGCAGCGTACGAGATATCCAAGGATGAGGTTAACAAGTGGAAAGACGTTGTTCAGGTCAACCGGCAAGCAGAACATTTGTCATTTCCCATGAATTCATCTGTTCAACACAATGAGGCTTCGATGTTTGTCAAGAGTTCAGACTCACCAGATGGAAAGCTAGAACAGAAAGTCGGGGAGTTGTTGAAAGAGAGCAACTTGGCTGATCCCTTGAAGGAGTCAACATTCGAGGGAATTGCCACCGCCAAGATTACGCCGGAAGAAATGAAGAAAAGAACTGCTGAGGTACGATTGATGCGGGAACTTATGTTTAGAGAGGAAAGGAAGGCGAAAAGAATCAAGAAGATTAAATCCAAGGCTTATCACCGCATCAAGAAGAAAGAGCTTTTGAAAAATCAAGAGCTCATTGATGATCTCAGTGAAGACGAAGAGGCCCGCAATGTTGCCAGAGCAAAAGAGCGGATGAGCTTAAAACATAAGGCTTCTTCCAAGTGGGCGCAAGACATGGTGAAACATGGCATGGCAAAGGATCAGGATACCAGAGAGGAAATCGAAGAAATGCTCAGGCAGGGAGATAGGCTCAGATCAAAAGTCATGGGACATGAATCGGGAAGTGAAAGCGAAGGTGGTATAAGCGACATAGAAGACGATCAGCAGTTAGTTTCAAATTCTGACGAGGCTGAATTGAGAGATGATCTTGGCAAAACTGGAGTTTTGAACATGGCTTTTATGAAAAATGCGGAAGCGCGCAGAGCGGAGAACAACAGAGCAAACCTAAAAAAACTTCGAGCTCTCGAAAATGGTCAGGACTTGGACTACGGGGAAGAAGCCGAGGATCAAACTGGGGCCAATGTGAACATTAATAGTGGACGCCGATTTTATACTCCCGGTGCGTTAAAGTCTGAGCAATCGTTAAAAGAAACCGAAGACTTGAACCCGTTAGAGGAGAATGATAGTCTGAAGGACCGTCTCACAAAATCGCACTATAAAGTGAAGCCGGAAAAGAAGAGACAACAGGGAGCAAAGACGCCGACGGCTGAGATAGCTGAGAATGGAAACTCAAATCCTTGGCTTGACGATAGTGACAATGAAACAATGGTCCAGAAATCAAGCACAGTTAAAGTGGTCGACGCAAACAGTGGGATTGGCATTAAGAGTGCTGGGAAAATAGACAAGCACAAGCTCAAACAGACACAGAATAAACTGAGGAAAAAGGCGGAGCGGGAGGATATGCTTCTCGACCTGGACAGCAGCAATAAAATAAACATCATTGATTCTTCACAAAAGGCAGGTGGAGGTGCCGTGTTCGAGCAGCAGGACCTCATAGCTGAGGCCTTTGCTGGAGACGATGTCGTCGACAAATTCGAACAGGAGAAGAAAAGGGTTGCGATCGATGAGGATGACAAAATAGAGGATCAGACATTACCTGGATGGGGTGATTGGGCTGGTGCTGGCGCTGCACCCCCGAAAAGGAGGAAACTGAAGAAGATCAAGGGAACTGTGACCAAAGATAAAAGGCGCGACAGAAACCTGAAGAATGTGATCATAAATGAGAAAGTGAATAAGAAAAATCTGAAGTTTCAATCGTCTGCGGTTCCATTCCCGTTCGAAACCCGCGAACAATACGAAAGATCTTTGAGAATGCCTTTGGGGCAAGAGTGGACATCTAGAGTAGCATACCAGGATGCCATTAAGCCTAGAATCATGACAAAACCTGGGTCTGTCATTGATCCACTCAAAGCACCGTTCAAGTGATTTCAGGTTTACTTTCTGATCTCGTTTGTTTTGTACGTACATTACATAGCCGGGAAGAAGCTATTGTTATAGCATCCACGCTGCTGTGGTGTGGTCATCTCAGATCACTTCACAAAGCATCCAATCTATCGTTGATCTCCTGCGACGTCAATTTTTTGAATCTTGGTCCCTTGACGCTCGTGTCGCCAGTGAAGCCCAGAAGATTCTCGTTTTCGTCACCCACAATGGCGATCTCGATTGTGTCACCATTGAACTCGCCCTCGACCGATTCCTTGAGAGTTAGTAGCGCGATATGAATAGCATCTTCCAGCTCCAGTTCGTCATTCCATCTTTTCTCCAAAAACGTTTTGGCCGCCGTGGCGCCCTTACCGATCGCCGTGGCTTTCCAAGGGAAATACGACCCGGAGGGGTCTACCTGGTATAAACTGAAGCCGTGGTGCTCATCGTGACCGGCTACCAACAGCGACACGCCGAAGGGCCGTACCCCACCCGATTGGGTCGCTTCTTGCATGACTTTGGCAATTTCGGACACGAGGATCTTGGTAGGCGGATACTCGTTGTAAACGCGTTTGTAGTGCGTGTGTGCCACTTTGCGTGACTTGTCGACCAACACCCTAAAGTCTGGACCCATCCCTGAGTACACCGCTCCGATATTTGGTGTGATCAGCTCTGCTTTTGAGAGCGTGTCGGCAAGTGCGAGCGGAGAGCTCGATTTCTTCTCGGTGGCGATGATAACCCCATTGGTCGCCCGAATACCCAAAGACGTTACACCTTGCTTAACCGCCGCCAATGCGTAGTCTATCTGGCCCAGTTTCCCGCTAAAATTGCTTTAAGTTAATACTTTGAACTCTGAATTCGTGCTCAACGCACTCGCGTCCAAGTCGCGCGCAAATTATCCATACCTTGGCGAAAAAGTCGTCAGAGAAAAAGAATATCTGTCAGTCATTGATCGTCACTTTTATTCCCCACCAATATCAGATATAGACGAAGTCCTCTCTCAGCTACTTGTCTTAGCCGTTTGCCACCGAAGAGGTGTTAATTGTCGATATAGTTGTTCCAGTTTGAAGAAAGCCCTAGTTCCGTATATGGCGATTTAGTATCATCACCATCACCTTCCACGGTTAGCCTCTGCTCGGCTCTGACCGACGCTCAGGCCCATTTGGTACTTCTTCTGCTGGGCCCACTCAAGATCCTGGAGCAGTGCAGGCGAGGGCCGATGGACGTGCATGAAGTTGCACTCGTCGCCGCGTTCGCAAGCTTGCATGTCGTGTTTGCGACAAATGGCGTCGTGGAAACCCGAGACATGCGAGAGATCGCAGTAGAGCGGGCGCGAGTCGTACCAGCGCGTGTTGAAGCTGTCACGCACCGCCTGTGCATCTTGGGGTCTGCTAAAAATAATGTAGACGTTCCCGTTGAGATGATCGTTTTTGTTTTCGCACACGACCATTGATCGGACCTCGCCGAACTTGGAAGCTTCGATGTAGACGTCTTCAAAAAAAGCGTCGAAATCACGCTGTTGGTCTTGTTCCGACGCATCTGCGCGGTACATGTTTGGGATCACGATGGTACAGGATCTGACGGGACGCGTGTGCTTTTTAGAGCACCGGTCGCCATGTCGGCAAGCACCGATCTTGTAGTAAAAATGACTGGCGAAAAGGTAGTAGTTAGTATAAGCTGTGGTAGAGCAGTTTTTACGTGTTCGGAGACGTCTTGCATACCATTTCTCCCTGTTCTCGTAAGCGGACATGGTCTCTTCTTCGCTATCGCGTTGTGCTGTCGATACTGTTCCGGCTAGAGATGTGTTTTCAGTTTTTCAAGATTAGCCCATGCGATGAGACATCACATCGGCAGTGAAGAACACATGAACAAACGAGCGAACTGGATCGCTACAAACCATTAGAAGGAGGGGGGTGCACTTCAAGAGCACGCTTAGTGGCTGTTGCACAGGTTTGGGGAAGTCTCAGCTCGTCTCACCCTGCTTCGTGTCAAGGTCTTAATTTTTGACATACATAGCTATATATACAGGACCAACCCGAGTGGTGGCAAATAGAATTAATTGGAACTAACAGGAAGCAACTGAAGGCAGGGCGTTTTCCCGCTACAAGTCCCCTTCTTTCTTTTCAGATTCGACGCTCTTCTGCGAAAGCTGCTGCTCGTATTTCTTGCCATTAATGTACATGGAATACATCAGACCTCCTGTCATGTACAGTGTGCCTCCTACTAGAGACAAAACCGTCAGACGGTGAACAGCGTCAGTCACTCTGGTGTACCAAGCGTATTTGGCCATGGCGATGTACGAGAATATAGGAAACAGGAGCTCGATATTACACGAATCTTAGCCAAATCTCTGTAACGATTTGCAAGTATGGGCAACTGATTATCAGGAGATATTTTGTGCTGTTTCCTTTGGAAAACCTCTTGGCTCGAACAAATCCGTGGCTGTTCAACTAAACACTCGGTATTAGGTGATATTTCTAGAATGATGTAAAATTTCATTTCGGTCGTAAAGAAAGACTATACAGGGTTATATAGAACTATATAAGCTCTGGAAAGATGACGGGGTGTAGGAGCCTAGAGTCCTGCTGACCACACTCACCTTTTCAAAGAGCAATTCGGCAAAGCGCTCGGAAGGTGAATTAACCCAAAACGACATTGTTCGTTAAGGCGTTCTTCAGTTTCTTGGGAACCCTTTTGTAGAAAGGTTCTGGTTTGTATCCAAAGAACCATTGAGCGTTCTCTTTGGCTTGCTCCACTAACTTGTCCTTCGTAGAAGTTGGCTGCGGCTTGATGCCGAAACTCTTGACGTAGTCGGTCAAATCCTCTACGGTCCAAGTCTTGAAAACATGGGTCCATTCGTCGGCCGCATCGGCGCCCTTTTGTTGCGCGTAATCGACCGCGTCGGCACCCTTTTGTTGCGTGTAATCCAAGGCGTCCTTGCCCTTTTTGTGTGTGTAATCGGCTGCTTCTTTGCCCAGCTGTTGCGTGTATTCAGCTGCGTCTTTCCCCTTTTTCTGAGCATAGTCAGCGGCGTCTTTACCCAGCTGCTGCGCGTAGTCGGCAGCGTCTTTGCCCTTTTGTTGCGTATAGTCGACTGCGTCGGCACCCTTTTGCTGCGCTTGCGAAACAAGTTCGGAGACTTTGTCGCTCGCCTTCTGGTAAACTTCCATGGAGTCCTCGTTCTTGGCCTGTACCCAGTTGCGCACGTTTTCGTAGCTCCAGCCGTCGAAAAACTCGGCCACCTGTGGTGACTTCGCCACGTTGGTCAAGGGCCGATTGCGATACTGCTTGACAAGATCCAAAAGCGTCGCGCGGGTGCTCAACATCGAGTACGGCACGTTGCGCGCGTCCAAAAACGCGCGCAGCTTCTTCTTGGGCCACGTTTCAACGCCGATCAAAAAAGTGTGATTGACAATGTTGTCGTCGTGCACAAACCAGTTCTTCCAGTCGCTGACACGGCCCTTGGTGCTCTCCCACACGGACATGACCGCGTCTTCGGATTTGGACAGGATCGGGCTGGCCTGCTTCTGCAGCGCACTCGCATACCACTCCAAGTCGTCCTTCAAGTAATTCTTGTGCTTCTCGGCCTGCTTCAGCAGGTAGTCGCGGTCGTGCACGTACTCTGCCGCGGCCTTGTCACGTATGGCCACCTTGTGGCTCTGGAGCCACTCCTCGAGCTCACGCGTTGACCACTTGTCGAACGCAGCGTCCTTGACGTTGCCGGCCTTGTCGAGCAGTTGCTGGTTGGCCACGTCAAGAGTCTCCAGCAAGTTCTTGCGCTCGTCATCTGCGTACTCCGACGCCTTGTACATGTGCTCCCGCACGGACGCGAGAAGCGCGTCGCGCTTCTCGCGCGCGTCGTCGAACGACACGTGGTACTCGCGCAGCCAATTCTTCAGATCCGCGTCGCTCCAGTCCTTGAAGTAACCTTCCGACGGATACAGCCCGGAGCTGTCCACACTGTGCGAGATCTTGTCAAAGTTCTCGCGCGCGAGAGCCGCCAGGCGGTCGCGCGACATGTCCGACTGCACCTTGACCTTGCTGCGCTTCAACAGCTGGCGTAGCTGGCTGTCAGACCACGTCGAAAAGAGCCAATCCGCGACAGGCTCTTTCGCCGCGTAGTAGCGCGCCCACGCGCGCTGCGCAGCGTTGCCCTGGTCCCAAAACTTCCACCAAGGCACTGGTTTGGCGCTCTTGTCCCACACCTCTGCAGCGCTCTTCCGGAGCGATTCCAGCGTCTCTCGCCCCGATTTTTGCACCCCATGTTTCTCGTCCTTCAAAAACTGTTCCAGGTCTGACGTCGTCCACCTGTCGTATATGTTTGCCACTTCAGCGGCGGCCAGTCCGGCCATTAGCATCACACTGAGTCTCATGCTGGTGTCTTAGATGATGTGCTTCTAGTGTTCACCAGGGGCACATAACCTATCCGATCCTTATACCAATTTGCCGCTCTTTATATACACGCTTCCTCCGGGATCCCGCGGGGATCCCCACGGGGCCCCCACGGGGCCCGTTAGGGCCCGGAGGGCCCTAACAGGCTCTCCAGAGCAATCCGCCGCTCTAGGGGAGCAAGCCTTTGCTCTTTGGGCCGCGAACCTTATTGCTTCGAACGGTGCGTACACGGTGATATGGAAACCGCAAGACGGGATGGTTTACGTGACTAGTGATACACGAAAAAACCCCGAGCCAAAGGGGTCGTCGCTTTGTACGCACTGGAGTGAGTAAGATTTGGGTTTTCGTACAAAATGGTTACCTTGTCTGCTGGCATCCCCCATCGGTTTTTTCACTGGGGGAGAACTGGTAATGGTAGTAGTGGACATTGTGACATAGGAAACGACAGATACATAACGAAAGCGTTATAACAAAAAGAGAGAATATGGTAGAGGTCGATATGGAGGTGGTGTAAGACGTGGTGTAAGACGTGATGTGTGTTTTGTTATGTGTTTTGTTATGTGTTTTGTTATGTGTTTTGTTATGTGCTTTGCGTTTGTTTTACGTTTGTTTTACGTTTATTTTGCCGGTGTCTTGCCTTGTGCGATGCTCAGTTATAATGGGGATTTAGTAGTAGCGTTGGCTATTGTCTGTTTATTGTCTGGCTACTGTCTGGCACTGTGAAAAACAGTCACAAGCCTGCGGTGGGGCATCGAGCAACAGATATAATTCGTAGGGACGAGCGTGGGGGAAGCGTGGGGGAAGCGTGGGGCGTGGGATATCGGTTTTCTCGTATGCAGCGACTGTACCCGGTTGGCGACCCGCACTTTGTACGACGCGCGGCCCGCATCTCATTCTAAAATATTCACGTCAACTGTCCACACCCGTCGCGCCGTATATAGCCCTTCAGCGCTCGTCACTCCTAGCCCATGTCCAGCTCTCTCATGGACGAAGTGTTCCCCACGGATCCTACGGCCGATCAGCCCACTCAATCGAGCGTGCTCGCGACCGTTGTACCCGAGCCCATCTGCGTCACCAAAGAACAGTCCAGCGGTGCTACGGGCAAGAACGGTCTGAGCGCGCTCCAGCACTCCATCGCGAGTCTCAGCGTGTTTCAGCATTTGCCCCGCCACGCAAACCAGGGCGTTGACGATCTCACGCGCATGCGCATGGCTCTCATATCTGGGGTGCCCGAAGAAGTGCAATGGGCCCTGAAAAAGTACCTGGCGTACAGCAACAAGGCCGCCTACCTGATCCGGTTCCGCGAGAACCCGGATCTGCCCCCTCTGCTCACTCAGTTTCTCACTACGCTGGCCCCTGAGCTTTCTCGCCTCGATCTGCCGGTCGACGACCGTAAAGATCTCGCAATCCTACAGCGGGGCCTGAACGCGGTGCTCATACTCCGCAATATGGCTCAGGATCCAGAATCCTCTCAGATACTTGCTGCAGACGCAGCTACCAAATCTTTCACCCTGACCGTACTTGAAACCTTCACTAGCATCAACAACAGCACTTTCTCACTCTACCAGAACAACGCCGCGTTTTTTAACGAACTCATTCACTACGTCGTCGACATTATGGAAGCCATCTCGTCGTATTTGGCGCCTGCAAAAAAGGACGATCCCTATTTTAAAAACCTGGTCTCTATTTTGGGCGACACCAACGATCGTTACATGGTGATATCCATCTTGCGGTCTCTTTCGCGTCTGCTCGTGAGATCGAAGGCTGACGATGAAAGCGCCGCTGACAATTTGCACGACGAAGTACTCAACCAAATTTGCTCCTATTTGCTGGTTGATTGCGACAGCGAACTGATCGTGGCGTCGCTTGATTTTTTATATCAATATGTGCTTCCAGGTAACGAGCGGATTACAATACTGCTCCAGAATCAGGACCGATACTCTCTTTTGACTGCCGTCCTGCCAAAGCTCCTGACGTACGACGTCAAAATGCCGGATTATGCGGCTTTCAGTAACACCAAGATACGGTTAACGAGAAGAGTCAAGCCGCCCGCACCGACGGAACCACCCGGCCTGGACCCACAACTTTTCGGCCAGCTTTTGGCCCTGAATGAACCTATGCGTTCGACGGCTTGGTTGAGATGCTGCTTCGAGCCTCAGCCAGAATCGGAGGTCACTCAGATTGGCTTATGGCGCGGTTATGAGTCCCAATTCTCGCAAGCGGTTAAAGACTCAGGCAGAAAGCTTTTGCCCGCTGTCGAATTCATCAAAAATGTCTCGAATGCGTTCAAAAACGCAGCAGCAATGGTAATCACAGATCAGGGAACCGGTAAAAAACGCTTCGTCATAAAAGGTGTCCAGCCGAGATTCAGAACTGTTTCCATAGCAGAGGGAGAAATTGCTGCTACGAGAACCCAGGAGCCTGCTCCTCAACCTTCTGAACCATTTCAACCTCAATTAAAGGAAGCAACGCAAATATCCTTACCAGAAATCAAGTTCCCAACAAGACTCTCAGACGTCTCCAAGGCAAGTGCTACTTTTTTGTGCTTGGTCTCCAACGATGTCAAGGGTGTAGGCTTAACGTTTTGCAAGCAACTAAGGCCGATCATTATACACAAGCTGGCAGATGTCCCACCTTTGAACCCGGCTTTATCAGAATATATGGACAATGTTCCCTTTGTATGACAACAACCATGACCTTGACCATGGATTCAAGATCCTTCCTTTCACTCCGTAAGTCATGTCGTGCAAGATATTTCCATAAATTCGTAAAGTATATATGTAACCCTAAATCCAATCTGTATTTTAGATAAAGATAAGTGATTGGTCATTAAAAGTTGTAAAGTATTGGCGTCAAACAGTAGAAGATGTGTAGTAAAGTTTCTTCAACACCGAGCTGAATGCTTTGGCCTTGGCAGCATTTTCATCATTTTTTTCAATTTCGTAATACGTTTGAACCTGGTCTATAAGGTCTATCATTTGTTGCGATTGGAAATTGAAGATGAGATCATTTTTCAAATATAACTGTCGCGTATTGGGGTTCAAATAGATTGTCTCGACAATGTTGTTGAAAAGATTATCCACTTCGTCGGGCAAAGCAATACTATTGATGTGCAGAAGCTTCTGCATAGTAGACTCCTCCAGTACAGGTAATTTCATGAAGACTCTCATCCGATAAAAGTTTCCGAGCTTCATGGCGATCTTTTCAAGCATCTTCTCCTTCCCCAAGTCGATGAATTGAAGAGAAGCGCTCAAGTTATTTAGCAACTGGTCTGAAATCTCTACCGCCACCGCGTTGCACAAGTTCCTTCCTCCTAAACCGGCATTTTCGGATAGCATTGTTTGATACAAAGCAACTTGTGACTGAAATGAGTCTTGAGCAGATAAAATATTAGCAAGTTGCAATGTATTTTCAATCTTTGGGAAATATGAAACAGGCCGGTCAAAGCTTTTCAAAAACAAGGCAAATGTGTATAAATCACCAGTTTGGTGCTTAGTTTTCGTCAAAGCTGATTCCAGAAGCTTCAGAGCTTCATCAACTTTCCCATTATTAATCAAAAATTCTGCCTTGATGTTAGTACCTTCATCGCCAAGCTTGGATTGGAACTTCTTGCAGAAAACTTCGTAACGAGCATAGTCCCCGCTTCTGATTGCTGATTTGAGTAAAATCGGTATGTTCATGACGGGACATTGGTCGTTAAGTTCAACAACCAGCTCGTATTTCTTCTGTTTGAAGAGAGTGTCGTAAATGTAGTCAACAGTAGACCTATTTTCGACTCGAGAGGAAATCCCTTGGAACCTAGCTGGGAAGTCAATGATTTGAATAAACGTTTGAATATCACGGGTGTTCTTAGCAATTCTCAACAGCGACTCATCCTTCAAGTGTGGAAGTATTTTATCTCTGAAGTCAGCATGAAGTAACAAGACTCTTTCCAAGTCCTGGTTAAAGGTTTTGACGACTAAGCAGTTAGCCAAGTATTTCAGCTCTTGGTCATCGGTGCATAGTTTCAAAGACATGGAGATTATATTTTCATCAACTTTTTTTTTGTGAATGAGTTCTCGGTATGTGTCATAGTCAAAACAGTATCCAGATTCACGTAGTCGCGTAAACGACTTCAGGCCCGTCTTATAGGAGTTGCGTATCATGGATCCGAGATTGAGCGGGTAAGATTTGTCCCAATCACCAGGATGGGCAAAATATTCGGTCAGTTCTTCGGGCATGTCAATCATTTTCGTTGCTTGGACAACAGTCGCCGAGACCTGCGTGGGATCCAAATTGAGGCGTCTATAATTAGTGACCAACTTCTGGAACCTCTCGGTCATGTCTTCCTTGAACTTCAAAAGAAACTCGTTTTCCATCACTGCATAATAGCTCTCGAGATCGCAAAACCTCGATATTACAATACCATGAAGTTCTAAATTGTAACCGTACTTCTCTATTGTCTGAGGAGAGCGCCACAAGCTCTGGAAGCATGCAATAAGACCACTGTGGTTAATGATTTTGCTATCCGATATCTTAAGACACCTGCAAGAGTCAGCGAAAAAAGGCATTTCGGTCACTTTTGTTAAGATTACTTGGGATTGGTAGCTTTCAATCAAACCATTCAAAAATTCAAATCTTTCTTGACCTTCCTCCATAAGGTTTCCATGAGTGGATATGAACCGCAAGAGATAGTCTTCCGGGCATTTGATCTCCTTGAAAAACCTAAAAATCGCACCGTAAAGTGAAACATCAAACTTGAATGACTTTACTACTGACTCTTCCACAATTTTCATAACGGTTTCGGTTTCATTCAATTGGAGAGCACGGCCTAGAAAAACGTTAAATGTGTTGTGAGTGTCCGCAGGTGATAGTAAATAATCGCTCAAAGCATGTCTCTCGCGCTTGAGTACTCTCCTCATGGGGTAAATGTAGTCATAGATTTTTTTGGAGAGATCCCAATTTTCCATGCTATTGGACAACAATGCCAAATGGAACTCATACGACAAATCGGGAACCCATCTCAATTTCGCAAAATTTAACAGCAAGTTATAAGCTTTCTCGGAGTCCAGTTTACTGACTGAGAGGATAAAATTGCTCAAAATCATCGCAATATTAAAAGCTCTTCCATCTTCCTCTCTAATCTCTGACAAAACCTTATCTAACAACTTTATAGCCACTGGCAAGTCCCCAGTTTCTACAAGTCCCATTAACGCCGCACTGTAAACTTCGTATTGTCCTTGACTAAGTTCTTTGCTTAGTGCACAGGCGTTTCTGAACTCCCCGTATACTCTTTTAACTTCTGCGTTGTCATTTAAGGATCTTGCGTAAAGTAACATCGCCACATAGTAGAAAGCGTCTTTGACGTAAAAGCTTGAGTTGTTCAAGGCATGTCTCACGTAATCGATTTGAACATATCCAGGGTATAAATTCATGGCGAGAAGGGAAAAATCTAGAACGCTCTTTGAAAATTCATGATTCTTGTGGGCATTCGAAGCCCTAAAGAGATCGACGGCAATTTTATAGAAATCAAGCCCGTTGTCATTGTGCGAGACACTTGCCATTATAGAGCCTTCAAAAAGAGCGCCTATCACCATGTTGTAGATCTGTTCCGTGGGCCGCAATTTATTAGTGATTAAGTCTTGATAACAGCTCAGAAGGTGAAACATTCTGTTGTCGAGGTTATCGTTGTCAAGAGACCGCTTGCAAACGGATTCTATTACCATCGAGTAAATTTCCAACGATGGCACGATCTCATTTCTTTTCAAAGACTGGTATAGAGCATTTATCTTGTTGAAGTTTTTCTGCTCGAAATGCCTCCTTATCTCTTTTTCCTGAGTTCTAAGAAATGTTTGTGGATTCAAACTCTCCTCCGTGTCAGGCTCCCAAGGCGAGAGCGTCTCAGACGGGGGTTCCTCGAGAATTGGCGCTCGATGCTGCGTAACGGGCGCCACTGCTGAGGAACTCACGTGCTCGGCACTCGCCTTTTCAGTATTTGTAGCTGTCGAGTAATAGCTTTGGGAGAGTTTTTGATTTATTACCACGTTCTTCTGGTTGTGGAAGTACGAGAGTTCTTCGGGCTTGACTCGGCTCATTAAGCTCTGTCCATTATGCGGATGGAGCGATGAAGTCGCGCCAAAGCTCTGTCTACGTCCTTCGCGTGTGCGTCGTTCGAGTCTCTCTGCGTTTTGTTCGTGATCCTCTTTGTTCAAGCTCTGACCATTCTCATCGGCTGCTTCTTTTTGTAGAACATATTCAACTGTGTTGTAATTAACGCTTGCACCCACAACAGGATGAGGATTCACGCCTCCAGAGTGCTGCGACGGAATCCAAGTTTCTTGGCTAACAAGACCTTGGTTGCGTCTCAAATACTGGTACGAACTTTCAAAAAACGCTGTGGCAGACTTTTGGGCAGAGCAATGATAGCCCTTAGAGTAAAACTTGTATTTGAAAGATTGGAAAGCCATTACTGTCGATCAACGACGAAAGATCGTAACGTTCCCCTTAGAAAAGTCCACCAATAGTGTGATTTAATCTCGAGTATTTGAGCACACTCTGTTAACAGTCGTCGCGCTGTATGGACACAATACCTTGATGCTTCGTCTCACTTTGGTTCTTTGATGCAACGTTCAGCTCAATGAGTGCTCCGGGGTTATTTTTTTTTCTCTCTTGGCCAAAAGGCCGAACCGGATAAATCAATTTTTTCCGCCGATCCCAGTCATCTTGTCAGCCAATAGACGTTTAAGTATCGAGAAGCCATCAAAACTGAACTGGTTTGAAGACAGAACTCACAATAGAACAGAGGGTAAATAGACAAAGCCATGCAGTGAGTCTCCTACTGAGTAGGAGCCAAGTTTTGGAGTCTACCGAGTTTTCGGAGGTTCCTAAGATTTTCACGGCTTCCCTGTGACGAAAACGACGACGTTGGAAGCAGAAACGAAATTTCTTGCTTAGCAATATTATATAGGTACGAGCTGCGAACACTTTTGTGATCGTTGGAGCTCCGGTACTTACTCTTTGAGAGCATATTCTCTTCTGAATCTATCATCAACCTTTGTTAGGTAGTAGGTAGAAGGTTGGAGCAGATCGGTGGTTCCCTTTGGAACGAAATCCTTCTGCAAATGCGCTTCTTCTCTTAGCTTAATAGCAGCCTCGTAGTCCACTGGAGACTCGGTAGTTCTGGATTGCAACTTCTTGTCAATGTTGAGAACGTTGACAATGTGCGACACGTCGCCGACAACCTTCAAAGAGAAGAAAGAAGCTGCAAGGCCAGATCCGTAAGAGTACAATCCGATTCGCTTTCCTTGCAAAGCCTCTGACCCGACGTAGAAGATCAAGGATGCCAAGGATGAGTAGGTCGAACCAGTGTACATGTTACCGGTGTTGGTGGGGACGATCAAAGAGGGGTCGACCTTCTTTTTCTGAAGAGCTTTGGCGACGCCGACGAAGGTCTTCTCGATGCTCTTGTCGACAAGGCTTGCTTCGTAATCGACCTGAGCTAGTGAGGCATCGACTTCAGGATATAGAGATGGGTTCGCTCTGAAGTCGTTGTACAGCAAACGGCCGTAAGATTTAGTCACCAATTTGCAGGTTGGAACGTGGAAAACGTTGTAGTCGAAATACTTGGCGACATTGACAGCTTCGGCTCCAGCTGGTTCCGCGACCAATCCCTTGGCAATAGCTCTTTTGGAGTAGGACTTGTAGGCTTGATCGAGCGCCTTGACGTAACAACTCAACGAGAAGTGGCCGTCGACGTAAGGGTATTCGCTGGTGAAGTCTGGCTTGTAAAAATCGTAAACATGATCCATGTAGGTTCCTCTAGCGGGGTCGAATACCAATGGAGCATCAGGACCGATCAGCAATGCCACGGTACCGGCACCGCCAGAGGGACGGGCGGCTCCCTTGTCGTAAATTGCGATGTCGCCACAAACCACGACGGCGTCACGGCCGTCCCAAGACGACGACTCGATCCAGCTGATACAGTTGAAAAGCGCGCTGGTACCACCGTAGCAGGCGTTAACATTGTCTACACCTTCCAAGTCCTTGTTTTCGGGGAAAAGTTGCGTCAAAACCGACTTGACCGATTTGGACTTGTCGAGAAGGGTCTCTGTACCGACTTCCAGACGTCCAATGCTGTTGGGGTCGACATTGTAGTTTTTTAGCAATCTGTGCAAAACGGTCAAACTCATGGAGTAGATGTCTTCTCTATCGTTCACAAAAGCCATGTTGGTTTGACCCAAGCCAATGGTGTATTTACCAGCGGAAACGCCATCAAATTTCTCCAGTTCTGCCTGGTTCACGCATTGGGATGGTATGTACACTTCGATACCCTTAATACCGACGTTTTGGGGTCTAGCTGACGACTCCTCAGTCTTCTGTCTTTTAACCTGGTTTTGTTCCGTCATGAAGGAATATATAATAATTTGACGCGGTTTGGAGAGCTGGTCAATTCTCAACGAATATGAAGCTTTGCTCAACTATGTGAACGCAGTACTCGAGCCGATTCTCACAAATATAAGATCTGTCCTTATATACCGTGTCGCTCGCTCGCGTTTCATTCTATAGTATCGTGCCGCGTGCCAGCAGAAATGAAAGAAAAAAGACTTATACGAGATATCGATGTATGTTCTCGTTTAAGCATGCGAAAGCCCAAGATGCCGATATGAGCGAAAGATACTTCAGGAACGCATTGTCCGATAATAGACGAGTTCGGCGTCTTCTTAGATATTACTCGGCGGCTTTACCGGTGCTTTATCACTGCATTATCAAATCTACGTCATACGCATCTTTCTGACGGTATTCCCGATTGACTTAAGGTCTCAATGTTAATGAACAAGAGCTCTCAAGTAATGAACACCTTGCAAATATAGTGGCCATTGGCCAATTTTCCTTTTCCAATGGGAGGTATCGACGATCTCATGTAGCGTCTTGAGATGAGATACCCGTTTCTTTTAACTTTCTGAATACCAGCTCATAGCTTTAAACATGAAAAGTGGCAATGAGACAGAATAAATCGAGCCAGTCGAAAATATCTTAGAGAAAACCTACACTATACAGAATTTTTTCACTGAATTGAAGTACCAGGACGGCGGTTTATCTGGTTTCTAAACTAGACTACTTAGCCGGGAGCCATCGCATAGAGAAGTAGAATACTAGTAGTAAATCTAGGGGACGATCTGGGGCGATTTTTGCCAGCTATCAACAACTTGCATAACCTCCAATAACAAGTTCTGGTCTCTTGGCCCAGTTGGTTAAGGCACCGTGCTAATAACGCGGGGATCAGCGGTTCGATCCCGCTAGAGACCATATTTTTGCTGGTCTGGCTCTTTTCAACTATATTGCAGCTGAAGATTAAAGGTGGCATCGGACCACAGAAGTGCTAAAGGATGGCTACATTTCACTCCAGAGAGCCTCGAGCGTCAAGCGTCAAGCCTAGGTCAATTAAGTAATTTTTTTAATTTAATATTAAGGTTTCAGAAAATATCAGGACAATCACCAAGCTTATGGTCTTTTCTGCGCTTCCAGTATTCTCCCTGGTATTTCCAGTATTTCAGCTTGGTCACAGGATGAGTCTCTTGTTTGAACCACTTGGGTTTGTATTCTTCGTGATTGAGCTCTCTTTCCCGTCGAGCCTTCCTCTGTTTTTGTTCTACACGGTGCTTTTCGTCACCAGCCTCATCGTAACGACCCTCTTCCATAGCGCGCTGATCAGGCCTGTGTCTTGTGTCCGTCGGCGCGATCCATGGAAGCAACTTCGGTTGTGGAGCGTTCAACGTGATTGCAAACTGCGTCAGATTAAATGGAGTTTCTGGTCTACTATGAGCATGCCAGACTAGAAACTTGGACCCATCAGACTGGGGTCCCGTTTTACTCCTTGCTGTTGCTGGAATTCCTGCCTTTGTTTTTTCTAATTGCATTTCCTCTGAAGAGTTAGGTTTCAAAACTTTCTTTGCATAAATCGCCTCATTCCAATGTCCACCAAATATCCATTCTTTTCCGCCTTTGCCATTGTAAACTTCACCTTTCAACTCATAGGCACTCGATGAGCGCCACCCGCGGGCTTTAAAATGGATGCAGCATCGATCTCCATTGGTATGATTCACAATTTCGACGTCACCATAATTATCAACTTGCGGATTACCCACGAGGATACCTACAACCGTGTTGTTAGGCTTTTTCCATGTGTAGAGATCGCTTTCCGTTTGCGAGTCGGGCCTAATATTCAGATACCATAAGCCCAAGTGTTTAAAATCAAATGATCTGCCGTTGAAGTCTGAGTCCACATTTGACTCACCGTAGAAATCCCATTTAGGGGACTCTGTCCATGTTGCAGATATTACTGGGTGATGGGATACTTGTTCTGTGAAGAACCTGTAATGCATATCGGGTCTGGAATATTCAAAAGTTTCACCCAGGAGGGGATTGAAAGGTTTAGCCACCCTTTTGATGGTAGATGCGTAAGAAGAAGCTGAGAATACAGCCACGTGTAACATTCTGAGGGTTGAATCCTCAAAAGTGGCCGCTTCATCAAGGAGATTGGAATACTCAAGGTCTTCTGCTACTCTTTGAAGCAAAGACGTAGGCTCATTGAATGTCACAGGCAGAGTCATCCTGGTCATGTCTTTGCCAATCATGGATTTCAAAACAGACCATAAACTCATTTTTGGACGATTATCCTTGCTTATCCTCAGCTTTGTTCTGACGCCATCTTCGTAGCCCAAGTACGACCCTTCTTTGAGTAGCATCTCCCTTTTTTCCTTTTGTGCTTCGGTAAATTCTACGTCAGCATCTTTCTTAGTACTGTCGCTAATTTCCATCGAGGGCACATCCTTTTCCTTCACAATTTCGTCTTTCTGGTTCTCATAATTCGCAACTGGGACCTCTAACTGCTCGCTTGCATCCTTTGATTGAGGTCTTCCATGTGATCTCTTGTCCTGAGCAGCGCTTTCATTCTCTCCCTCTCTATCTAGGTCATCTAGATCGTCAGCGTCGAAAAATTCATCGAGTTCTGAGTCTTCCTCTTTTTCCTTGTTGGATTTAATAAAGTCTGCAATTTCCTCCAAGGGCTTTGTAGTTGCAGATTCCTGAGCTAGATGATCAGGGTCTTGGGCACCACTTGAATTCTCGCTAGCATAACCGGCCTCCGACACTTCTAGAAGTTTTCTCTGAAGCAACTTCTTTAAATTCTTTCTCTCTGTATCAAGAGAGCTCAAACGCTCGGTTTTCTCAATTAATTCTAGTTCAAGATCCTTGACCGATTTTATCCAAAGGTTGTTAACATCCCGCTGTTTAGTCAGCATTTTAATAAGCTTCTTATCCCTAGTAGAAGATAAAACGTTGAGTTGATTGAAGTTCTGAGATAAGGCAGTCAGGGTCTTTTTTATGGCTTCCATTGCAGCCTCAGAAGGCTGAGAGTTTTCCAAAAGCTCGTTTAAAGACGCAAGCTCAATAGAAATTGATCTTTGCAAAATTTCAAGCTCTTGGTTGTGCGGACCGTATTCTGTTTTGAGGTCCTCATCGTAGTCTGATGCAGTCTTGTTCATGTCAGAAACTGGATCCAAGCCCGTCTCGCTGGCTTCTTCACCACCAGATCCGCCTTTGAAGAGACTTGATCTAGCGCTTTGCCCACCTGTAACAGAGGTACGCAAAGAGGCGGCTGTTGAATTTCCGGTCCTAGATCTAACTCGGGCCACGTAGTCCTTGCCGCTGGCGGTCAAATGTTCATTGAGGTCATAGTCGCTTGACGAAACCGACGATATCGAGCTGAGAGATCTATGATGCTGATGCTTACCGGATTTAGTATGAAGAGAATGCATAGCCTGAGCATTGGAAGCCGTCATGCTTTTGTTAAGTCCACCTACCTTGTGTCCCGCCGAGGAATTGAGAAGCTGGCCCGGCGGGGTTGATCCATTGGCGTTCCTCATAAGTTTTTCCCTATCCTTCGCAAACCTAATAGCTCCTTGAATAGCCCAAACCCATTTATTCGTCTCGACTGGATGATTACCCTTCAAATGCCACCTGACAGCCCCATCGCTGCCACCGACTATCTCAAATTTCAATTTCTCCGAGGAATCAAGGTGCAAGTAACAAGTAGACATATTCAAAGAACCGCGACATGCATTTTTGGTATCAGCTTGGTCCTTGTAGTACGAAAGAGTTCCGTCGGAACCTAAAATGAACCATCGCAACCGATATCCTTGTGCGAAATTGGTCCATTTTCTTAAATAACCCTTATAAGTGGGAGGCTCGTGAAGATTGCTAGCAACATCGATAACGCTCTGTTCTCGTGCAGCCTTCTCAAAGAGATGCTTTAATTCGACCTCAACAGAGGGCTTCCCAGACGTTTGCTCCGTACCCGATACTTTGCCTAGCAGTTCTACTGGCAGCCGACCCTTACGGTCTCTTTTGAAGGGATCTCCTCCGTGACCTAAAATCCAACGACACATCTCAATATCCTTTTTCCGCACGAATTCATGCAATACGGTATCTCCACTTTCTGGATCGGTCCCATTGATGTCAAGAAGCTCTGCGTTTCGAGCGTTGCTCATGATCTGGTCCAAATGTCCAAAATCGCGGTTATTGAAAGCGATCCGGAACTCTTGGGCCACTTCGGCGACGTATTCCGCGCGCTTGACCTGCATCATCTGCGCGATATTCAAGTTCTTGCACATTTCGATTGGCTGGAGGCCCGAGTTGTTAAGAATGCAATCGTTGATGCCTGGCCGACTCAAAAGAAGATTTACCACGTCTCCACGAGATTGATACGCAGCTAAATGCAACGGAGTGTTTCCCTCGTTATCCTGAAAGTTAAGGTTCAAATGCAATCCACCGTCTCCAGTCCACCGCTCCACAATGTCTTTGACGAGTTGTGAAGGTGCCACTTGCACCGCATAGTGTAGAATTAGCTGCTCTACTTCCTTTACACTAGGATCTTCAGGTGGTTGAAATTGTGTCTTAACGAGTGATTCCAACGACGTAAAGTCGGCTTTACGAAGTGATTCCAGAAGCTTCAGCTTCAGCAAAGGCTTGCTGACTTCGACTTCTGCCATGAAGCCTTAACTGATCAAACTCAAGCTAACAAACGAGATATTGGCTCTCAAAAACTGTTCCCCAATAGGTTTTCATACCTCGTTAAAATCCCTAAGCTTCCCCCATTTGCTCTAGGGTATGTTGATCTTTTGTGATTCGTGCAAAGGTATACACAACTCCCCATCGTTACCGGTGGGCCATCAGCCCAACGTGATATTGCGTTAGTACATAAGTGGCGCGGTTCCCAAAGACGAGAAACCAGTCCTTTGATCAAATATTGCCCACACATTTAAGCAAAGAGTAACGAGAAGGATAACTTTTATAATGAGATCTTCTATTTTTTGATGTAAATAGCTTAACTACGGGTGCTGACGTCGAAATAGTCGTAGCCGGATAAAAGAGAACCCAAACCGTCGGAATGCATACTGCTGGTATTAGTTCGACTGTTAGAACATATCTTGTCGATTTCTTTCAAAAAACACTCAATTAGAGACACGAACCTCTTAGTCTGCCGGTGCTTTGACGATGCGACAATGGAAATGGAATTATTTCTTATGATATAACCGATTCCAAACCCGTTAGCACAAACGGGCCCGAAACCAAAGCTTTTCAAAGACGGATTGCCGCAATTAGAGGTACTGATCACGTTGGTGTTCAACTGCGTCCAACTTTGGTCGGCGAAAATAGGTGGCATTTCCATCTCTGTGCTGAATTGGGCCTTCCAAGTGCAATATAGGGCGTACAAGTGACGATCCTGTCCGAAGCCCGCTGAGCATTCTCGAGTGATGCGAGAGTGCTCGCGACAAGCAGCATGAAGCAAATTGACACGCTCCTTGTCGGAAGTCGTAGTGCTGAACATAGACCGCACAAACGCCTTTGACTGATGCGACACACTGCGTATCGCTTCAGTCCTGCCGTTTTGGAAAGATTTCGTCATTGCGGGCTCATACGTCATCTCAAACTTACCGTAGAGTGCATAGAAGGCCACCTGGATTGCCATCTGAATAAAAGCATCTGGGGAGCAGGTGAGCGCACTTTTGATGTGACTGGCGCCGTAATTATCGAAATCGAGAACTGCGAACTCAAATTGATATATCAGATCTGACACCCGAGTTTCGGAAAAGTGCAATGAGGAAAGCAAAAAGGAGTCGACGCACCACTCCAGCTTTCGAGGTATTGTGATGAGGTTTGGCTCTGCATGTGCTGCAGCCGAATTATGAGAAATTGCAGGCGCATGAAACACGCTCGGCACATCTTTAGTGATTCCCTGAGCAAAGCTCAAGATCGAGTCCGTGTATAAATCGGTAGTGAGCCGCAACACCGTATGGCCGTCAATGCCGGTGTGCTCAAAATTGAATCCTGCCTTGCCATTCAAAGTGACGATAAGCTGCAATTTGTCGTACCACCTGTTGAGACAAGTGCCTTGCTGCACACCAAGAGGCCCAGATTTATGATGCGATTTTGGAGCACAGGGGCCGTTGAGACCACCGGTCTCAGTCAATTTGATTTCTGACGTACCGCACAGCATTGATTTGACAAGCTCCGCAGGGTCTTCGATAGCAACGTCGTCCAAACACAGGACGAAAAGAGCACTATCAATAATCCTGAGATTGTGTCTGTTTGTAGAATTCGAGCTTTGCGCGATATAATCACGCACATTAGACCAAACGCGACGATTCTCTGTCGTAAAAACACCCCAGGGATAAATTCCGCCGGCACAATTTTCGGCAGGGTTCTGCTCTGCCCCATGGCTCACTATTGAGAACAAATTCCACTCGAGTTGCTCATAGGTTTGGAAGATCGGATTGTTGTCGCGATCGAGCACATCGAACCAATAGAATTGTGACCTAAACATCACTACAATATGGTGACTCGTGGGGTCCGTTTGAAGCTGGCATGATCCGCCGGGCGCCAAGGGCGGAACACGGGCAGAACCGAACAAACGGTCGTATTGGTCCATGGATAACTGCCTGCCACGAATCGAATCGGGCGTCAAAGTTCCTTGCCGAATCTCGCGCACGAACTTGAGCGTCGAGTACACGAGTTTTGCTGCTCGAGTGATCATCATCGCATACCGACCAAAGGGCCCCACTGCCTGCCCTTCAGCGAGCCAATTAGCAGCTAGATTTCGTAGAGTCGGGTCGTCTTGAAGTAGAAAATGCGGGTTGACATTCAGGACGACCGACTCGTCGAATTCCAAATAAGCGTCGTACCAGAACTGTTGTATGTAGGAAGATTTTGGCCACGTGTGCGCCAGTTCTTTGTCATAATTCACCAGGCTCTCATGCAATTTCGCCAAGACCTCTTTGTTCTGCTCCGATTGCACAATTTGCACGGTATCCTGGTGCTTCTGAGCACTTTGAAGCGGTTCCAAGCGGTCTAAATATCTCTCTAGCGTCTCTTCCAGCGGAGGAATGGGCAATCGTGGCAGCAATTTAGATAAAGCTGGCATGACTGACGGCATGATGTGTACTGCGATATGTCTCTTCGGCGTCACTCTCAGACGTCCGACTACTCAATTTACATCATTGGGATCGTCGTCCTTATATGTCAAGCCCCTGAGGGCCAATGTCACTTTGTAGTGTTATCACTGTTATTTTTCCTTTTGGCCCGTTCCTTGCTATATGAGAGTGACCTTAAATGGTCACGACAACATATTCGGGGCCACCACGGGCCATGACCAAGGGATAACACGAGGGGCCATTCCACGGGAATGGAACTCGATTATTTTGACGCAGTTCAATCCATTCTGTGGAAGTCAATTCATGCCAACTTAAACATTTCTGGGAATGTCATAGTAGTCTAGTGAAATTAACATCTTGAACATTCAGTTTTTTTGAGTGATCGAACGCTAACCCCGACCTTGTATACTTTGAACCTGCGAACACGAAGATGTTGGTGATACTACCCGACCGACTCGTTGCTCAATTATTTTTGCACCCAGAAGCCCGTTGTTGTCTAGGAAGACTTTGTTAGCTGTTGGTACAGGCTATTGTTTTTCACTTGTAGTATATTAAGTGATTCCTGTAGTAAGTTTATTGAGAAAGACACCAGCGAAACACCACAGAGATAGAAAAAAACTGGAGGTGACGAGTTCACAGAGCTTTGTGAACTGTTGAAATGGCTACGCGCGTTAATTTAACTCCGGCGCAGCGACCACCAGGAGCTGGGGATAAAACTGCTTCCAAAGGTGCTACCCATTATGCATTGAAGCAGGTTGTAGGGAAGGGTGCTTACGGTATTGTGTATCGAGCGATCAACAGGCATACCAGCAAGGAAGTGGCAATCAAAGTTATAGAGTACGATCAGGACGAAGAATTGAATGAACACATGCTGGAGATTGATCTTCTCAAGAATTTGCGCCACAAAAACATCGTTAAGTATCATGGTTTTATCCAGAAATCGCATCAGCTATTCATTTTGCTAGAGTATTGTGCGCACGGGTCGCTGCGTGACCTCGTCAAGCGCACGCCACTGGACGAGTCGCAGGCGAAACCCTATATTCGACAGACGCTGGAGGGACTGAAATATCTGCACGACCAAGGTGTGATACACCGAGACATAAAAGCTGCGAATCTTTTACTCGATTCTGAATATGTTGTCAAATTAGCGGATTTTGGGGTTTCCACGCGAGTCAATTATCTGCCCATGACGTACGCTGGATCTCCGAATTGGATGGCTCCCGAGGTCATGGCAGGCAACGGAGCGTCGACCGTGAGCGACATCTGGTCGCTTGGAGCGACTTTGGTAGAGCTTCTCACCGGTAATCCGCCCTTCCACAATCTGATTAACGAAGCGGCCTGCTACGCGATCGTACACGACACTTACATACCGCCCCAATCGTTTTCGCAGCAGTGTCAGGCATTTCTGCGAACATGTTTTAACAAAAATCTTTTCAAGAGGCCGCCGGCACGCGAGCTGCTAGATCATGAGTGGCTTACAGAGTCGCGGCATGCTGCATTAGACCGCTTTAGAGAAGATGACAAAATCGCTGATAATTGGGATAGAGATTTTATTGAGGTTGAGGTCTCCCCGACAAAAAAGCCTGACGTCTGCGATGCATCGTATCATTTGGAGCTGCTAAGCAGGGCCCAGTCCGACTGTGTACCGCATCTGGTGTTCGCTGAATGCGATCTTCACAGCGTCATCATGTGTCTCGTCGAGCTATGCAGTCGTGGCCAAACAAAAAATGTGCGAGAACTTCTTCGATATGACATGGATTACAACAAAGCAGAGGGGAAGGATTTGTTCATCGCGTTAGGTGGGTTACCACATCTCACTACGCACTCTGCGGTCACAGAGCCCATCCTTGCCGACATATTTTTAGACGATGCCAAAGAACTCATCAAATGCAACGTCTTGTCGATTTGCAAACTACTTACCGATCCTCGCCTGATTCTTCACATTGCTTCATCTTACTCAGAGCTGATTAGACATAATTATTGGTGTCAATGGTGTGCAGGTCTTCCAAATTTGATGACCGCCATAGTGAGGGGATTAAGGTCCCGGGATCGCATTGCCGAAGATCTCCTTTTGAGGTTATCTAGCTCTCCAGAATATCCAATCGACAAGAAACTAATCGAAGAACTGATGAAGCTTCCGTTGGATAACTCCAGGCTGAAATATATCATTTTCAAGAGCTTTAACAACATTTTGCTTAGAAGAGAAGAAGACCGCATAGATTCAGCCGGCTCCTTCGAATCAAGGCCTCCGCTGATGAGTTTCAAGTCGTCTAGACCGCGCAGTGCATCCTCTTTAATTCTTCCACCTTTCTCAGCTCGATCTCCAATTTCTGAGGGCTTCTTGGAATGGCTTTTTAACTTTATTCCAGGTGAAGATGACGATTTGCATTTGATAAAAAATTTCATTGAGCTCTGCTTCAACGTTGCGCATTTAAACACCCAAGCTATCAGCGAGGTTGCCTCTCATCGCTCTTTTTTGAAATTGATTAAACAGGTTCTGTCGGGGTTTCATACCGATTACCACAACAGAAAATACATCAAGTCAATTTTACTCACCGCTGTTGATCTTTGCGTAGAACTTTCTCAAGAGCTTGATGAAGTAAGTTTGGCAGATACGGTGCAGATAGGACTTCAGTTTTCTGGGACAGCAGAGTTCGCCACGGGCGGAACCGATATACTATTACATTGCCTACAGTTTGCCATGAGAGCAAGGTTTCCTGTTATCGAGAATGATACTTCCATGATTATCAGACCTCCACGCTCAAAAGAGATACCAATACCGAGAGCCATTTTCTTGAAATCTTTCTATTCCGAAGAGGCCAAGTTTGGGAATTATATCACCAAAATCACGAAACTTTGCTCTTTGCCGCCATGCAAGAGTTTGGCCTTGGAGATAGTCTCTAACGCAGCCTTTATGGATAAGATAAGGTCACTATTTGAAGTTTACGGAAGCAGTTTAATAATACAAATTGATCTTCTCAAATTTCTCAAGGTAATTTTGACGCGGTATACAAGCTCGATTTCCAACAAAAATCAAAGTACCCTGTCCACTGAAGAGATTATCAGAGGGGCTTTGAACCAGCCCCATTCAGAACCAAATATAGACGTGATTTCTCAAGTTGCTGCGTTTCTCCAAGAGAATTGGACACCTGTTGAAGGCGACGTTCATAAAGTGGGAGCCGATTCCGTACTAATCAAACAGCTTTGCGAAGACATCAAGGCTTTAAAGGCGGTTAACATCGGAACTAGCCGCCCTCCTGATAAGGACGAATTCACCATTCCCAGATTTAATCCGATATAAAGTCACCGATAACGAGTAGACGTGAATTTCACGGTTCGTCAAGTACCAAAGAGGTAAAAGTTAAACATCGAAAAGTTTAGCATTTAAACCTTTTACCAGAGCAGTTCTTTTAAACTAGCAATTTGACAATGGCCATAATACGGTTTGAAGCTGAAGTGGCTGAAATGGATCTTGAAACCTGTTTTTGCTGATGTACTCCAGAAAGTTGCAGGACCCTGACAATGCCGGGGCGCTCCGAAATCAAGAGTACCAGATTCTGGAAGAAATTGGCAGAGGATCTTTCGGATGTGTTCGCAAGGTGATTCACACACCAAGTAGTCGAACCATGGTCCGCAAAGAAATCAAGTTTGGGCATATGAACTCAAAGGAAAGACAACAACTAATTGCCGAATGTGCCATCTTGGGCCAGCTCAAGCATGAAAATATCGTCGAATTTTACAATTGGGACTACGACAAGGATGTGCTCTACTTGTACATGGAGTACTGTAGCAATGGGGACCTGTCTCAAATGATAAATCATTACAAAAAGGAAAGGAAATATATTCCGGAAAAACTGGTGTGGGATATAATGACACAGATTTTGACCGCGCTGTATAGATGTCATTATGGAAGCGATCCACAACCTCTTGAAACGATTTATGATAAAATGAAGCTTCCAGTCAAAGGAGCCAACTTGGTTATACATCGGGACCTCAAGCCGGGGAATATTTTTCTCAGTGGGGAAAATCTAACGTCCTCTGCGGATAAGAATTCTAAGCTGGACTACAGCAAAGCTTTGGTGAAGTTAGGCGATTTCGGTCTAGCGAAATCGCTGGAGTCCAGTATAGAGTTTGCAACGACCTATGTGGGTACCCCATATTACATGTCTCCAGAAGTACTGATGGATCAGCCATACTCCCCGCTGAGTGATATATGGTCTCTGGGATGTGTTGTGTACGAAATGTGCTCGCTGCATCCCCCGTTTCAGGCCAAAACTTACTCAGAATTGCAGAGACGCATAAAAGCTGCTAACTTTGAACGCATTCCTCAGTATTACTCTGATGAGTTGCAGAATATTCTAACATCGTGCATTGAAAGCGATATCCAGAGGAGGTCGTCGACATTTGAACTTCTGCAAAATTTCCAGCTCAGGGTGGCCAGAAAGTCACTTCAATTACAACGATTCGAAGAGAATCTTTTAAATTACGAGAAAGAGCTCATGAACATAGGTAATATTTTGGAGCAGCAAGCCGGAGAATACGAAAATGAAATGGCAAGCATAAGAGCACAGTATCGAAAAGAGTTTGAAACTGCCGTCGAGGAACGCGTCAGAGCAGTGTTGAACGGCAAGAGGGTAAACAGCCCAACGGACATAATAACGGGCCGAAAACATTTGCATAGACCCGAACAGCTTTGGAGAATGAGAGGCAGATAACGGCCGTCTTTGTTTGCATATACGATAGTTAATAAAAGAACACCAAAAAAGATCATCTGTGAAAGAGGACGAGTATGCTATGTTAAAACTTATCGCCCGTCAAAACCTCGTAAGCCTCAAGATATTTAGCTCTTGTTTTCAGAACAATATCTTCGGGCATTTTGACACCGTCGACGCCAGCGACCTTGTTCTCGGTCAGCCAATTTCTCAAAAACTGCTTGTCGTAAGAGTCCTGAGGTTTTCCGACGACATAATTTTTCCCGCTCCAGAAACGAGATGAGTCTGGCGTCAACACTTCGTCGACCAAAATGATCTCGTTGGTTGACTTGTCGATCCCAAACTCAAATTTGGTGTCTGCGATTATGATTCCCTTGGATTTGGCGTATTCTTTGCACTTAGAGTAGAGTTGGATGGCTAATTTTTCAATTCTGTCGCAGAGTTCAGGTCCCACTAACGCAGCAGCCTGAGCAGGAGAAATGTTTTCGTCGTGTTCTCCTTGCTCTGCCTTCGTAGACGGCGTGAAAATGGGCGTTGGAAACTCTTGGGACTCCTGCAGGCCCTGAGGCTGGGGTAGTCCATGCACTGTGCCCTGCTTTTGGTACTCCTTCCAGGCAGAGCCCGTTATGTAGCCCCGAACGATAACCTCGAGCGGAATGAGCTTGAACTTGTGCACGAGAAGCGACCGACCATCCAGTTGGCTCTTGTACTTGGGCTGGGAGAGCTCGGCAGGCAAGCAATCGAAAATTGTCTTGCCGGCTGGGATGTCCACCAGATGGATGCGCACGTCGTTTTTCAAGTACCAAAACCAGAATTCTGACAGTTTCGTTAGCAGGACACCTTTGTCGGGTACCGTGTTTTCCATGATCACATCGTAGGCGGAAATCCGGTCCGTGGCCACGAAAAGTAGCGTCTCTTCGTCCACTTTGTAGATGTCTCTGACCTTACCTCTGGCTACGAGAGGAAGGATTCCGTCGAGATTGGTCTCGCGAATGCTCATTGCTAAGAATTGATCAATTGATGAACGACTCTGTTGGATTTCGGAAGAGCCACTGGTTTTTTCGTACGCGTGCGCTGTGATTATTTCTCTTTATATCTCGCACTGGGCCGATTTGGCCTAATTTTTCTCAATGGCTGCTGCAAGCCTATATTACTGATTCGCTATTTAATGAAAGCCAGAGTCAGAGTGTCTATCTCGAGAAAAAGAGAGGAGCGCCGTACCACAAGCTTTTCGCTGTGCAATCGCAACAAAAAAAGATCTACAACTCTACAACTATACTACACTGTTTTAACGGCCTATTGATTGCCGTTAGTCCGCTTTTCCTGTGATCCGTTCTCTGTTTGTTCTTAGTTGGATGTATGTACATGTCTCGCTCATACAAATCTTGATCTGTGAATGATCAATTTGTACGAGTGTGATGTCCACGTAAGACCGTACACAGTGAGCTTAGCCATACATCACCATCGACGCCGAAACTCATTAGATACTCTCCCGTATATAGTGCGTCTTTCTTCTCGATATCATTTACGACGCAGTTGAATCGTACACAATGATTACTGTCACATTTATGATCGTATAATGCACCCTGCCGTACAAAGATATGTAACAGAACCCTCAATATCATGTTACACGAAATTGGACAGAACTGAGTTACCCGTCCTTATATCGTTGGTCAAAAACCCGTTCTCAGCGAAACTCGTTCCCTGGGTTACCCATGTGAGTAATTGGAGATAGAAGAGGAAATGAGTCGACATAGTGACACGTTGACAATATTAAGCATGTAGGCAATACACAGGCCACACTGGTGAGTTGTGAAGATAGGCAGATATGTGTAAAGATCTGACTTTTTGCTTAGGAAAGCCTGCTAAGCTCTACGCTAATTGACGCTCCCTCGACGGTGCCCATTCTGCACCGCTTTTTCGACCTCAGTCTTTGACGCCAGGACAGAAGCACGTATATAAAGGCTTGTAGATGTCTTGTATCGCCAAGCACAGCCAACGAATCAGAACTGCTCGCTTAAGCGACAGATGCGTAGACGCGTCTGTCGCGTCGAAGAATCTAAAACAAGAAGTGGATCATTGATTACGAAGGGGAAAAATTCCTCCACTGAGACGTTGAAGAGCGCATCCCATCTAGTGATTTGCCAGGAATACGGCTGAGGACTCGACTCGAGGTGGATCCATGCATGAGATTCTGGACAAGGCGTATGACAAGTACGTGGGTGGAAACATCGACCAATCGAGCCTGAAGCACGGAGACCTGCTGTGCGATCCAACGCTGGTTGAAGATTACGCGGACGTGGTGAAGACGTTTCCGCAGAGACGGCGTGACGACGAGGAGCACAGCGTGAATAGCAGCGTCGTGTTCAACCCAGCAGCAGGAGCCGCTGGATCGCCGTCGAAACAGTACAGAATGAGCCACATGAGCCGCGTGAGCGGGACTTCGAGCACGTATTCGCGGGAGGACGACGCGGGCGCGAGTGCAGCTGCCTCCGCCACTGAGGCGGCAGAATGTGGCAGTGGCGCCACGAGCACTTCGGACCGCGCGCGTCTGCTTGATGAAGCGTATGAATACTCGGACTCAGAGTTTGAAGACAACCTCGAAACTCGGCTGAAGGACCTGGAGTCCGATTTCCGCAAGGGAGAAACAGAAACGGCGTACTTTTCAGACGCGTCCGTGGACGCGTCTGCAGAGGAGGACGAGAAGGACCTGGACATAACGAGCGGCCGGATAGGGCTTGAGCGCGACGCAAACGACGACGATGACGATCTGGACCCTGATGACGATAGCGACAGCAACCTTCTACCGCTGCCACCGCCAGAGGAGATCGACCCGGACAAACTCTACGCGCTGTACCAATTCCAAGGCCCGGACCCTTCGCACTGCCAGCTTGACCAAGATCAAAGCTGTGTCCTGCTCAACGATCAGGATTCATACTGGTGGCTCGTAAAACGGTGCAACGATGGCAAAATTGGGTTTGCCCCCGCCGAGATACTCGAGACTTTTCCCGAACGACTGGCGCGTTTGAACTGCTGGAAAAACGAAAACATGAAGCCCGACGAGGCGGCCAGCGACACATCTACGGAAGATGGCGACGCCAAGAAGGGAAACCTCCTTCAGAGTTACGAAAAGAGCAACAAATCCGTCAGCTTCAACGACGTGGTCAGCTATGCGGAGAGATATCTCGAAGGTAGTGACAACGAGAGTACAGAACACGTTGCAGCGGGGTCTCCTCTCGACGAGACCTACGAGTCTCGAATTAATGACTGCGGTGACACTAGCGAGGTGGTCAGCGACGCGTCGTTCACCGTCGCTAATATAGCACCCTTACAGGTGAAAAAGACAAGACCCAAGGGAGACAGCGAGACAGCACAAAGCACTCAGGCCGAAACCCTAAAGGAAGCGCCTGTACGGGAAAGCGTGGCTTCGGCCAAAAGTACAGATGACGGTTTACGCCAAATATTTCAAGCACCCGCAGTGCCCTTTGCGTCCAACAATAAGGGAATGCCGACGTCCAATTCCAACTATTCCATATCAACTATAGGAGAGTACTCTCCGTCTTCTTCCGAATGGACCAATGACTCACCGCAAATAAGCAATGGCGGTTTCGATTTGGAACCTACCAACGACGCAGACGCGATTCCATCGACAAGAGCCATTCAGGACATATCCAAGATCTTTGCAGAACCTGTGAAAGGCCCTACATCAGCACAGGCAGTCCAAGTAACGCAAGCTGCCTCCAAGCACGACGTCACCGCACAGCGTGAAAGCATATCCGCATCATCTGACGATTCCTGTTTAGATGAGGAGCGTGGCACATCGGCCACCACGATCAACAGCACGATGTCCTTGCCAGACGGCAAACACGTACATCACCCCGTGGTACTTGAACTTTACAGTCCATTGTTCAGCCGCATCGACGATTTAATGAAGAAACTAGATCAGTTCGTTGCAGAATGATACTTCCAATCCCCGAGTTTAATGTCCAGGTCGACAAGAGCTCGTCGTGGTTACAGAAGACGCAAGTGGCGGTGAACCGCACACGTCACCTATCATACGGTAGTGACGTATACTTGATAGAGCCCTGCAGGTTCGAGCTTTGTCAAGAGGAAAACCAAGAAAAGTTCAGACCTCGATTTTGTAGCGGGACGAGACTGAAGCCGATGATTCTCAAATAGTTATTTCGCCTTAGAGTGTCGAAGGTGAAATCTAATCGAATGTTCTTAATTTCGATAAACTTAATGTGCATCTTAAAGAAGAGAAAGACCTCAAGGCCGCAATCAACGCGAGGCCATAGGGTAGTATATAGTACAAAATGGGTAAACTGGGTTCTCTAACTAGGGAAACGTATTGTATACTGGAGTGTCCTCTGGCCCTTCCATTTTTTTTAACAGATTTTTCACCTTTAACTCCAAGAAAATCGAATATATAGGTCATCGCACTAACTTTAATCATTGCTTGGCCAAAAACTAAAGTACTTTACAGGTTGACAGAGTTGCAATTGCTTGATGTCACCTGAATGCAATATGTCATTGTGGAAACCACAACATTTATCTGTTGTTGAACTTGCATCTGTATTGAAGAATGCATTGTCAATTTCACAGTCGGACCGCGCAGATGCAATGGAATCATTGGAAACCCTCAAACTCCAGCCAGAATTTTTGAATTACCTGTGTTATATATTGGTTTCGACTGATGAGGAGTTGGATTTGGGCAAAGTTTTATCCAATAGCGACATTCAAAGCTGCCGGGCAGCTGCTGGCATGATGCTTAAAAACACGATACTAGAGAATCACGGAGGTTCTCAATATGACTATGTGAAATCGAATATAATGAAAGGGCTATTTATTGATAAACCTCTGCTGTCCAATATTACCGGCATTGTCATCACGTCGCTTTTCTCGTCTGTTTACAGACAAAATCGTAACGATCCAACCAGTATACAGATATTGTCGGAGCTTCTAGAACTGATATCCAAGGGCAATGAGGCTGGTGCCAAAGCCCTTTCTAAAATTGTTGAGGACAATGCGACTTTTCTTCAGTTGGAATGGGCCAACTCAGTTAGACCTATGGAAATTTTGGTCAATAAGCTACTAGAATTCATGCTGTCTGAAAGTAATGTTATAAGAGCCGAGGCTGTCAAATCGCTGAATACATTGATTCCGCTTGAGAGTCAATCAATGCTAACGCGGTTAGACGATTTTTTGCAGAACATCTTTGTGCTAGCTCAGAATGATGGTCATGGGTCGGTTCGAATTCAGGTCTGTCACGCTTTGACCATACTACTTGAGCAGAGGCCTGACAAAATAATAGTTCAACTGCCAGGGATCGTGCATTTTATGCTCCATATAATCCAGACGGTATCCGAAGAGAAAGTATCATTACAAGCATGTGAATTTCTTCTCTCGCTGGCCAATAGTCGAGAAATGCCCCGGGATGTGATGCAGCCCTATTTAAAGGACCTCGTCCCTACCCTTTTGACTAAAATGGTCCATGACGAGGACGAAATCCTCATTTTGGAAGCGTCTAACGACGACGATGCAAATTTGGAAGATAAGGACGAGGAGATTAGACCCTCAACCGCAAGAACAAGTAATAAAAGAGACACTCCCGCGAATGATGACGACTATGAGGACGAAGAAGATGGTGGGGCGGATGAAGTAGATAGTCACTGGAATGTGAGAAAATGTGCGGCCGCAACTCTTGATAGTGTGACGAACACTCTACCCAAAAACGTTTTATCAATTGCCCTTCCGCTTTTGAGGGATCATTTAGTCGCTGAAAAGTGGTACATTCGCGAGGCGACTATCCTTGCATTAGGTGCCATGGCTGAAGGTGGTATGAACTACTTTACTGATCAGCTTCCAGCATTGATTCCATTTTTAGTCGAAAAGCTTCAGGATCCATGGGCACCTGTAAGGACCATCACATGCTGGACGTTGGGGCGATTCTCTCCTTGGATTTTAAACGATAATACTCAGTTTTTGATTCCAGTAATGGAACCAATTCTGCAAGCCCTCATGGACATGAAAAAAAGCGTTCAAGAGGCCGCCATTAGCAGTGTGGCCGTATTCATTGAAAATTGCGACGGTGAACTTTTAGAGACATTACTTTACAACGAATTACTTGTCAAATTTAGCGAATGTTTTCAGCTGTACCAGAAGAAAAACCTGATCATCTTGTATGACGCAGTAGGAAGACTAGCGGAGAAGTGCGAGTTTGACGAGTCCGCGATTGACCTCATTTTGCCCCATTTGATACAAAAATGGACCTCGCTTGCGGACAACGATAAAGAACTCTGGCCTTTGCTGGAATGTCTCTCTTACGTGGCTGCATCCCTAGGCGTTAAGTTTCTTCCAATGGCGCCTGATGTGTACTCACGAGCCTGGCGCATTTTGTGCCAAGCGGTGGACCTGGAAACGCGCTCACAGGTCGATCCAACGATCGAGGTCCTCGACAAAGATTTCATGGTCACATCTCTGGATCTGATCGACGGACTAGTACAGGGACTTGGTTCCCAGAGTCAAGCGCTTTTGTTTCCCCACGGCGACCGCGCCATGTTCCAAGTGATGCTTCAATGCCTCAAGGACCATTTACCAGAAGTGCGCCAAAGCTGTTTCGCATTACTAGGCGACATCGCCTATTTATACGACCCGCGGCTTCTGCAGCAGGAGTCTCCTCTGGTGGAGTTTTTACAAAGCATCAGCGTCGAAATCGTGCACGCCAGCGACGACGGTAACCGGGACGATTCCGCCACAGCCTCCATGAACAATGCTATCTGGGCCCTGGGACTCATTAGCGAGCGTCTTGACCTGTCCGAGTTTATTATAGACCTGTCTCGCATTATGCTTGACATTTTTACGGACAGAAGATCTCACTACAATGGATCCGTCCTTGAAAACGTTGCAATCACGATCGGACGCATGGCCTTGTTCCATCCAGAGGTATTTGCTACAGGCCAGTTCGCCAGCGACACCGTCTGGTCGCTCTACTGCTCGCGAGCTATGCGCCTCGAAGATCCTGACGAGAAAACCGCAGCTTTCCGTGGTTTCGTAAAAATCGTCAACCTCACAGACGCTACGGTCCAGATATCTAATGCTACTCTACACAAGCTAGTTAAAGGTCTGGCTACTGACGTTGACATTACGGACTTTTCTGACGATCTCTATGGTCTATTCTTCAAGAACCTTGCCGCGCTCCAATCCATCAAGTTCAACGATGATGAGCTAAGCTTTCTCCAGCAGTTCACGTAATCTAAGGAAGACGAAAATTTTTCACGATGCTTTTTTTTCCCTTCGGAGATAGCCGAGCTAATCAGCTTCCCGATAAGCACTGCTCGCCGATAAGCGATGATTGTTAAAAAGCATGTCAGATGGGTGGGAGGTTTTGACCATGATGGGCCCGAAGCAGCACCCAGAAGGGCTTAGTTTTCTCCGGGGAACATTGAGGATACCACGGTGATCCAGGGGACTGCAAGAACAAAGTTTCTTTGAATAACCTATAATCAGATACGCATCTTGCAGTTCATCGGTACTTCGCGGGAAGTAATAGCATAAAGAAGCTACAGCATAGAAACTATGAGTATTAAAGCGATCTCCTCGTCGAACGTTATCCTAGAGGGTCTTCAACAACCTGCTACTATTGTTTATTCGACCGAAAGCGGGAAGATACTAGAGATCTTTGATGAAGTCGTTCCTAGGCTTCAAGACAGTCGGCTCGCTTCATTGAATGTTTCCGAGTACATAATTGTGTCGCCTCATGTGATTATGCCCGGATTGGTTGACACACATGTTCATCTCAATGAACCTGGGCGCACGGAATGGGAAGGATTTGCCACGGGGACGCAAGCTGCAGCAACCGGAGGTGTCACCACAGTGGTTGACATGCCTTTGAACGCGATCCCACCAACTACGACGGTCGAAAACCTTGAAATAAAGCTCAGTGCAGCCGAGGGCCAACTGTGGTGCGACGTGGCCTTTTGGGGTGGACTTGTGCCCGACAACATCGAAAGCTTGGTGCCGCTTGTGCAAGCCGGTGTTCGCGGGTTTAAAGGATTTCTTATAGATTCTGGTGTGGACGAGTTCCCGATGATCGAAAAAAGGCATATTAAAGCCGCGTTTGACGTCCTCGAGGGCCATAAGACGGTGTTACTATTCCATGCGGAACTGCAGAGTTCAAGTCACCATCACACTGTGGTTAATAACGACGGGTTGAATTTGCGGTCCATACGCTCCCTAGATGGTACCGAAACCATGACCGAGGAACAGTCCAATGCTCTTGCCCTGTCTACAGTTTTGTCACCTGCAGAACCACGTCGCGGCGAACCTTCTCACATAGTGCACCACGACGACCAGATAAGTGCACCTCTGACAGAAGCTGCCAAGGAGGACGATAATCTGAGCAACATCGACCCGAAAAGTTATCTCTCATTTCTGTTGTCGAGACCGGACGCTTTTGAAACAAATGCCATTGGCCTTATCATATCCTGCCTTAAGGAAATGATGCAAAAAAAGGGATCGGTGACTCCTGTTCATATCGTACATCTTGCTTCTCGCGAGGCAATCCCGTTAGTGGCATCGGCTCAAAGAGATTTCAACCTCCCCATTACTGCGGAAACGTGCTTCCATTATTTGACGTTTGCTGCCGAGCGCATAGAAAGATCAGCAACAGTCATGAAATGCTGTCCTCCAATTCGGGACGAAAACAACAGGCTTGGTCTCTGGGAGGGGTTAACAGACGGTATAATTTCGACTGTAGTCAGCGACCATTCTCCATGTACTCCAGAGCTGAAGAATCTGGCAAATGGTGATTTTTTTGCAGCCTGGGGTGGAATTTCCTCTGTCGGGTTGGGCTTACCGATCATCTTCACTGAGGCCCAGAAATTCTCAAGAAGTATCACGCTTTGTGATATTGTGCGCTGGTGTTGCGAGAACACGGCGATTCAGGTCGGGCTACAGGATCGGAAGGGGTTTTTGAAAGTGGGTCACGACGCTGACTTCATTATTTTCGATCGGTACCAAGAACAGAAGATCAGAAATGAAAATGTTCAATTCCGGAATAAGATTACGGCGTACCATAAGCTACCGTTGCGCGGTCGCGTGTTGACGACCGTTCTAAGAGGTCGCGTCATTTTCGAAGACGACAGTGGTATTTCCTCTAATCCTATGGGACAGACGCTGCTCGAACCAAGGAAATTGTAGTAGTCACAGCGAGTCACAGAGTGTCCCCATTTTTATTAGCATGTCATCAATATCATACACGCACATAGGTAAATACAGATACAAGTGCGTCATACTTAGCTACAACTAAACCGCATATTTTCGTGCTTCATTAAAGAACGCCTGGAGCACAAGACATTGAGCTACTCCCATTACAACGACCAACAAAATGCCATACAAAGAAAAACCTACAATTCTCTTTCCAGTTGACATTACCGTCTGCTGATTTCTAATGCTTCTTGCCTTGTAATGGTCCAATTTGCGCTCCAAAACGCTCATATGACGCTCAATGTCGTCGATAGAATCTTCCAGAGACTCGTGCAAAGGATCCTGACCAAACAACCCCTGTGGGAAATGTTTCTTTCGCCTTTTGTCTCGACTCGTAAATTTCTCGTCATATTTGAATTCGACGTCTATGATTTTGTTGCCCTCATCACCACTTGAAAAGCACAGACCATATTCACCCTTATGTTCACCTATAAACGACCATTGACCCTGAGTTTCACCTTTTCTGACCACCGCGGCTTTGTCGCGATTGTCAGGCTTATATATCTCGTAATTCACGCTCAATTTGTTCTCATCGCCGCGTTGAACAGCGAAATAATACGATATCTTACAATCAATGTCAGGCGTCAAGAGATAGAAACATTCTCTGAAGCCGGCTTTCAACTCGAACGTGATTGGGGCAGCTGTAGCAAGCGTCCAGATTAGCCAAAAAGCGAGCTTACTGGCCATCGAGATAGTTTGTTTTGGCTTAACATCAAGAGGTTTTTATATATAGTATATCAAAAATTGTCATTAATTAATTAGAGATGATCTTGGCCAAGTGAACCAAACAAGAAAACAGCATATATAGGAAAGGATGAGCGATGTGCCGTCTGAAGTCGTGGAAGAAATGCGGGAGCTTTGTGAAAGTGTACCAGGGCTGGAGGAGAGGTACAAACTTATAGACAAGATCGGAGAGGGCACATTTTCGTCTGTATACAAGGCAGAAGATCGAAATGGGACCACAACGAGTGGATTTTCGAATCATTACTGGAACAAAGATCAGAAATACGTGGCGTTGAAACGTATTTATGTAACTTCATCGCCCCAGAGAATTTATAACGAATTGAATCTGCTTTACATGTTATGTGGATGCACACGCGTTGCGCCATTGTGCGACGCGATGAGATTTCAGGATCAAGTCGTTGCAGTGCTTCCATGGTATCCACACGAAGAGTTTAGAAATTTTTACCGAGATTTACCTATTAAAGGTGTCAAGAAATATATGTTTGAAATGTTACAGGCGCTGAGTTTCGTGCATTCGAAAGGCATCATGCATCGCGATATCAAGCCCACCAATTTTCTTTACAATCCTCAATTGGGTAGGGGCGTTTTGGTCGATTTTGGACTCGCTGAAATGGAACAGAGTCGACGCGTTGAATCTAATGGTGGGAAAGATTTGCGTACGCTAGAGCATTATTGTCCGTGCACTCCAGGCGATTCTCGCCAAATGAGAGCCGATCAACAAGCCCTGAGAGGTGCGACGACAGCGCCCAAGAGTGGGCAAAACAATTTTGTTGATTTGAGCCAGGGGTTTCCGAAACATGAGACCAGAAGAAACAAAAGAGCCAATAGAGCCGGAACACGCGGCTTTCGAGCACCTGAAGTTTTGCTCAAATGTTCCAATCAAAATACTAAGATTGATATATGGTCGGTGGGCGTTATTCTCTTGAGCTTTTTGTCGCGAAGATTCCCAATGTTCCAAAGTCTTGACGACACGGACTCGTTACTAGAACTCTGTTGCGTGTTCGGGTGGAAAAAGATGAAAAAATGTGCTGCATTGCACGGACTGGGGTTCGAGGTGAGCGGCCTCGACAGAATCAGCGAAGATGGGTTTAAAGGTGGGATTAGCGAATTTGTGTACACCCTTCTTCAAGCAGAAATCGATGCCGGAACTTTTCCAGCCTACTCTGTTGCTTTCGACACGTTTGACTATCTGCGACACAGCTATTCCGGAATGGGAATAGCGCCAACCCTACCAGAAGCGAACATAGACGGCGCGAAGTTGGCCAAACTAAAAAAATATCACGAAGAATCATGGAGCGATCATTATTGGTGCTTCCACCTTTTGGAACAGTGTTTCATGCTGGACCCACATAAGAGGGGTACAGCCAATGAGCTGTTGTCCACACCATTTTTTGACGAGCTTTTAGACTCTGATCGCACCGAAAACGAGGATGAGGATGAGGATGAGGATTTGAACGAGGAAGAAAGCGAAGACGACAACGAAGTTGCCCGCATTGTAGATAGCGACGGTGGCGCTTACGACTAAGGAAACCAAGATTTCTGAACTTTTGGTACCGAAACGCACTTAGCATTGCTTTAAACACATACTTAGCATAATCGAACAAATAATAACAGCATTCAAATTTAAAAATGAGAGGTCTCGCTCTGAACCATGAGACACCATCATCATGATCATCATTAAAACACGAACGGAATCAAAAAGGCTCTTTTCGTACCGTATTTCTTATTCTTTTTCATTGCCCACAGGTACATTTGGCCCGCCGAGACGAACAAGAAGAACACGGCAAACAGGTTCAACTTGAATACGACGGTAAAGAAAAACCAGGATAGAACCTCGAAAGTGTAGTTAGGGGCGACAAAAATCTTAAAAATGCCGTCTTCCAATGGAACGCGCTGGATGACGCCCTTCTTCTTCTGAGCATCACCCCACTTGCGAAGTTTGTAATGAACGTAAAAGTTCCATACCTCGGAAAGAGCAAAAAGCCCGATCAGACGGGAAAGATTGTTGAGTTTTAGCATGGAGTAGATGCGGAAAAGCTGTGCGTCAGTAAGTGGGAAACCGTACCCAAAATAGCCAGCAGAAATAGCACCGCTCAAAACCCAGTAGTGGAAAGAGTTTTTGAAGATGTTGAAAAGTGGCATTGTAGCGTGCGAGAATTTATGCAGGAATAAAGATTCTAGTTCTCGCTTCGTGTAGTGCGCGATAACCATGTAGTACGCGAGCTGGTTGACAAAAGGGTTGGGGCGCCGCGAGGGAGAGTGTAATTTAGCGCCAAAATCGGTCGTTGAAAGCCAGTAGAACAACGAATGCACCAGAATTGGTCCGATGTATTCGACGCAGAAAACAAGGCGCCACGAAACTTGTGGGCCAATGTCTTTTACGAAAACCTGGGTCTCGCAGCCATCTGTGAAAAAATCATCCGAAGTAATGGCTACCTGTTTGGTTTCTTTCAGGTAGGTGAGTCTGATCCGATTCTTGCTGATGTTGCGGTTCGCTTTGGATATAGCCGTAAGGGCATCCTCGACGGTCTTGGTCCCGCCGGGGAGCTCCATGTCCTTAAGACTTTTTGATCTAGATTTCACTGCCACTGTCATGCTAGGGATAAGATCTCAGCAATTGGTAAATGTGCCCACTATTCGCTTCCAATTCTAACTTTGAAGGGTTTCTGACAGGAGGAGAAATGCTTCTCATTAATATCAGAGACTATGGGACCCATTTATCGCACTGCATACGAACCAAATGAGTTACTCATTTGTAGAACATTTCGTATAACACCATGGTAAAGCATCACACACGACAAGTGAATTCAGGAAACTCGTAAGACATGATTATTACGTAATAAATGATATAGGCTTTGAATTTCTTTTGTTTGTACCCTCTCGAAGTTATCCGTAAAAAGGTACATCAGTCTGCACGAACTTAACCTTTCCGCTGAAAATTTTTCTGCATCGCTACTCTGCTCAAGAAAAAAAATTTTATGGAAAGCTCATCTCATCTAGATCGAGAGCCATTTATCACCAGCAGTGTACTGTTTTGGCATCATCGCTTTAGCATTTCAGTATAGATAATGGCATTTCAACCAGGTAGCAGAGGAGGCCGTGGAGGTATGTGTTTAAGTGATTACAGGGTGCGTGTCTGAGCGCTGAGGTGGGAGGAAAACAAGTTACCAGCAGCTTGAGTGAAAGAACCTGAAAGAGATTCAAGAAAGCTAAAAAGGCCTTGTATGCAACTTGGGAGATTTCCAGCGCAAGTCCGCTGTTGTCAACTTGTATTTCATTTCCTTTCTGGCGATCATCGAGACCTCATGATTAGGAAAGTCGAGTTACTAACTTCCTGAATACTAGGCTCCAGAGGTGGCAGAGGTGGTGCCCGTGGTGGCAGAGGTGGACCTCGTGGCGGTGGCAGAGGTGGCATGCGCGGCGGCGGCCGTGGTGGCCCCCGTGGAGGTGGCCGTGGTGGTTCTCGCGGTGGTCCACGCGGCGGTGGCCGTGGTGGTGCCAGAGGCGGCGCTAGAGGCGGTGCCAAGGTCGTTATCGAGCCTCACAAGCACGCTGGTGTTTTCATTGCTAGAGGCAAAGAAGATCTACTGGTGACGAAAAACGTTGCACCCGGTGAGTCCGTTTACGGAGAGAAGAGAGTCTCTATTGAAGAACCTTCTAAGGAAGAAGGTGTCCCTCCAACAAAGGTCGAATACCGTGTGTGGAACCCATTCAGATCCAAGCTCGCTGCCGGTATCATGGGTGGTTTGGACGAATTGTTCATTGCTCCAGGCAAGAAAGTGTTGTATTTGGGTGCTGCTTCCGGCACTTCCGTTTCTCACGTCGCCGACGTGGTTGGACCTGAGGGTCTCGTTTACGCTGTCGAGTTTTCTCACAGACCAGGTAGAGAATTGATCTCCATGGCCAAAAAGAGATTTAACGTTATTCCTATCATTGAGGACGCCAGACACCCACAGAAGTACAGAATGCTCATCGGTATGGTCGACGCGGTCTTTGCCGATGTAGCCCAACCAGATCAAGCACGTATCATCGCATTGAACTCCCACATGTTCCTGAAGGACCAAGGTGGTGTCGTCATTTCCATCAAGGCCAACTGTATCGACTCCACAGTCGATGCCGAAACCGTTTTCGCCAGAGAAGTCCAAAAACTTCGCGAGGAACGCATCAAGCCTCTCGAACAATTGACTTTGGAACCTTACGAAAGAGACCACTGTATTGTTATCGGTAGATATATGAGAAGTGGATTGTAATTTCGCATTCTTCCCACCGCCCTCATGCTTGTAAAATAGAAACACTTTCCTGAGAGAAAACGGCACTTCGAAGACACCATTTTTTTGTATAAAAATTACTATTAAATCTCCTTTTCATTGTGTTGATCAATCAAGTAGAATTGTAGTGTCTTGGTGAAACCTTTGTAATGGTTTGGTCTTGTTGAATTCCTCTTGACTCGCTTGAATTGAGTGTTAGCTTATTAGACATTATCTTGCAGGATCTTCATTAATATCATCATGAACGCATCATCACCGGGAGAGGTATCAATATCTGTTTCAACTAACTGCAAATGTATAAAACTGTGAAAAAGGGCAATTATTAAGGAGGAAATAAGAGGATTTGATCATTCCAGTGGAATCTGCGCTTACTTTTGAGTATTTGACGAAAAACACCGGCGAAAATGGGCTCAGAGGTGGACGGGCCAGTACACCGAAATAATGTGAGAGATGGCGACGAGATTATTGAAATTATCAGTGATGAGGAGGCAGATGGTAGGAATTTGGTGGACTCTACTGGTGGAGACGGGTTTGAAAATGTGTTTTCAAGAAGCAGGGATGTTCTAGGACGTTTTGCGGGTTCAAACGGGCTGTCACGGCTGGAACAGGCTTCCGAAAATGCTGACGACGACATCGAACTCGTGGGGGAAACGTTTACGAACAACAGTGGCCCATTGAACGCTGACGCAGAATATGTTGACTTGGAGGCCGGGAATTATGGTGCTTCCAGACACGGATCTGCAGCTGACCTTATGGTGGTGAGGGAGTCATCGCGGGTTCCAAACTTGATTATGAGGCTTCCAGGAGATCAGCACATGGAGATACTTGGTACACAGTACGAAGAGCCGCCCAGGAGGTCTTTTGAAAATCAACAGAACCGGATGCAAGTGAACGTACGATCGGCGCAAGCACGTCAGAGACTTTTAGCGCGCTCGGCAAGGGCTGCTCAAAATTTGTTTCTACCGGTTTCCGACACCGGTGAAGACGATGATGATCCGGACTACGTGCTGGAAGATACTGAAAGCGATCATTTTCGTATTCCTGAAGCGATACAGCACAGGCGACGACAACAGCGGCATCCGCGAAGACGACGGATGATGGAAGAACAGGACCTACGACACAGAATCGGGCGATTGCCTCCTGAAATTCGAAATATCCTTTTAAATGTGGGTTCTCTAAATGAACTGAACCACAGATTGAGAGACAGTGGAATTTATGAGGAACTTGACTATCTTCGTGACCTATATTCACGGATAAATGCATTTCCCGGGCGTCTTGGGAATAGTGGCGCTTTTGGTCAGCCCCGGGGGCTAAGTTCACATCCCTACCACATGCCCATAGCTCCCCCAGCGGCATTTGCTGACTTCCATGGAAGTGCCCATGCATCAAGATTTCACCTGGTAAATCCGATGGGCATGCATCAGGTAGCTTTCAATGCTTTCGACGAAGATCGCCAAACTCAAAACATCATTGAGATGATACAAGCGCGAGAAGAACGGGAAAATGATGCTCGTAAAAGAAAGTATATGGAAGACACCAAGCCCAAACAGGAGAAATTCAACAAGATGGCCCAAGAAGTTCCCGAGGGCTATAGCGCTTCTTTTGACACAACTCCCAGAATGAAAATTAGCATACTCAAAAATGGGAAGGAAGAACAAATTTCGTTAGTCGATGATGAAGCAGCTTCCAAATACATGGATATTCCGATTTGCACCTTGTGCGGAGTCGAGCTTGGATTTGGTATTCCCGAAAGTTTCACTGGTATAGGTCCTAGTGATAAAGGCGTGTCATTCGAAGCTTTACAGGCTAGATATGATGTACACTGTCCATATCGGACTCTCGCGAGGCCTACGGAGGCCGACAGGGACCTTTCTAGACGAATTTTCGTCGCATCATGTGGTCACGCTTATTGTGGGAGGTGTCGCGCTCGAATTTCTTCGGCCAGGGAGTTTAATAGGGCATCCAAAAAGACGTTAGGTAAGTTCTACGGGGCATCGCATCCAGACAACTACGGACCGAAGCGTTGTGTAGCGGAGCAGTGTGATAATAATATTCGGGCAAAGGGCAAGATGCGGGAAGTTTTTTTCTAAAGCCATGAAACTTACTATCAATGAAATGCATACAAGAACCAGACCTTCTGGAAGGAGAACGTCGCATGGGAGAATCTTCATAGAAACCTTAGGCCGGGTGGGCAAGGCTCTAAGGTTACATATAAAATCTTTTCAAAACTACGAAAATACATGGTCTGGCCTTTAACGAATTTTATAGAACATAAATCAAGCGCAGTACTCCTCTTTGACCGTGCAACCGCTCGGGCGACTCTTGAAATCAAGCTAATTCAGAAAAGCATGTCCAAAGTGCAGCACAGACACATACCGGCCAGACACGCCGTTAAACAGTCGCTGTTGTTCGACGTTGGTCGCTGTTGCTGCACGTAAATGGGCTGTTGCTGTTGTTGGTAGTATCCAGGCTGCTGGTTATTGTAGTATTGTGGGGGCTGGTTTCCGTAGTACTGCTGCTGTCCTTGCTGGTGGTTTTGATAGTATTGTCCCTGCGGCGCTCCACCTTGTTGTTGAAACCCTTGATCGTAACCCCTCGTACCCTGTTGCTGGTATGCTCCTGGAGGAGCCATGTTAGGCCTCGAGTACTGAAATAATGACGAGTTTCGTTAGTTGAATTGATTCCCGAGAAAAAAACACTCGCCTGATTCACCAGTAACATACCTCTTGCTTATTTCCAGAAGCTCCGTTATAATAATCGGCCGCTGACATCTAAATCCGTCCCTTATATAAAGGTCTTAACTGACGTGATGAAGCAGGGCTTAGGACAAGAAGGTGCTATAAAACGAGTCCAGGATTTGTCGATGTCATTCTAAACGATGATTTATTCGAAGGGGTCCAAGGCATCAAGAAAATAAAGCCTTATCATACCCAAATGTTTGAGAAATAAGCTGATGATGAAGATGTGTACGCTAAAGATATAGCAAGTTTCGCCTTTTGTTAGTTGAGTTTCGTAGTTCAAAGTCTATAACTGACAGTGCGGGCTGTTTTTTCTCACAGAAAAAACATTTTCAAACTGGCATTTTTAATCAAGTTCATGAAATCAAAGAGATGTCCGACGGATGTCGAGAGTACTTTTGCGAAAGCCATCCAAAAAGCTAATTTATAGCGAGCATTTAGCTCACTATAGTTTGCAAAAAATACTGAGTAATTTCTTAGCGTCCAGAAAAGGCATCCCGGGTGGATTTGACAATTGTAAAGTGTTAATGACAGTTAAATAACTTCATATGATGGGCGTCACTACATGCACGGGATTAATGGGGCAAACTCTGAAACCATTCTTATTCGTCTCGGTACCATGGTAACAGTTCCCCTTGACGTTGGACAAGTGGGTTAGGGCCCTGTTATCTGCGGCGACTCCGAAGCTTGTGGCCCGAAGAGGAAAGTCATAAACACAGCGATGAGTTTAAGATTGAAGCGTCAGATAGAAAAACCTTGTGTAAAGTGGATCAGAAACCTCATTAGGTATTGGCACTGGAGAGGCATGAACTCCTTTGCGAGTGAGAGCGGAGAGTGCAATGAGAAGTCGGAATTGTTCCGCGGGTCGGAGCTTCATGATTCGAGCGCTTTCTCTAACAGCAGTCGCAAGAGCAACGTGAGTGGGTTGGCGACCGGGAACACACCGGTACAATGGCAAATAAACAGCAAAGAGTTTAAATTCACTTGTAACAGCACGCCCTCGAAATGCGAAGTGTCTAAGTATGATCAGCCGGCTCACAAATTTATGCGGAAGAGAAGAATTATGCGAAACACATTGAGCGGGGCTCGGCCACGACCTTCCAATTTGCAACAGTGTTCCTCCAAATTGGATCTTCTGGACGATCAAACTCTCACCAGTTTTCCCATACCGCCTCCGATATTGAACATCGGGGCAGCTTCAGTGTCAGTTAACCATCCTGCAAACGAGATGCATATGCGGGTCCACACAGCTGACAGGCGTATAAGCTATGCTCCTATGAACTCTCAGACACAACAGGAGCCCGAGAGCCACCCCATTGTTCTGATTGAAGATTATATCAAGCAGGATGAGGCCCGAACCAAATTTGCCAAGAAAGCAGTGTCGATTTCTGATCTTCGTCGTAAAGTGTCTAAGCGCAATGATACGAAGCTCCCACTAAAGCTTCTAACCAACCGGAAGTTGTCAATCACGTCTTCTTTAACCTTAACACCACATCTAGAGGACGAAAACTCGTGTTCGAACGGAGCCATTGTAATGGCATGTGAGGGCAGGAACACTTGCGAAGGAGAATCTCTGAAGATGCCGATTGGATCGTTCCCAGAAGTTGAAAACGCCTTGCGTAATATTGTCCATCTGAGCAAGGACGAAAGTAAGGACCGCTATTTACAAGCCTTAGACATCAAGTCTAAAATTAAGTACTGTGTTCTCTGCGAACGACCACTGTACGAGGTCAGTCAATTCATGAAAGACGCAGAATATCAGGAAATTGTATGCGAAAGCTGCACCTCAAAGTACGAACAGACAGCAAAACTTCTGGAAGATTATGAGTTCGAAACGTCCTATGAAGCAGATACACCAACTTCAAGTTTTCAAAATGAGGATTTGGGAGAGGAGCCCGAGCCATTGGTGTGCAGCTCAAATAAGAGGTTGAAGTTCAATAATTTCTCATGCATGCTGATTGACGGTCTACACTTACAGCTTGAAGATAACATTCATTTATCAAAGGAAAGGGTGGACTGTAAAACAATGCTTTGGTTCTTGGAAGCCAAAAGGAAACTCAGATGGAGGTGGCGTGTCAAAGGTTTGATTCCACAATTTTTCGCCAGTCAGAAGGACCGTTTTTGATTGTTTGCATATAAGAAACGGTTTCCATATTACTTACGCTGGCGACAATTTTGTCATTGTAATAGAGGCCACATCACACTTCTGCATTACCTTAGCATTTTTTCGCACCATTGCTACAATTGTTATGATCATATCTGTCAGTCTTGCCTCACAAACTGTCGATTACCACTTGAGCCACTCCAGTTTGGCGCGAAGAATTAAATAACCCAAAAATCTGTAAATGAACCATACGCATATAATGATTCCTAAATATTCACGAGTGTTTCTCTGTAATTCATAGGCCTTCAACACTTCAGAACCGGTAGAAAGCATACAGGACCCGTCGGGATTTTGTCCGCCGTCTTTGCAAGTAAGCTTCAAAGAGGAAGGAAATGCGTAATTGATCATAATCATCGCAGTATAATTTAGAGGACTGAGGTAATTAAAACCCTTCAGGACTTTAGACATGTGCAAGGACATGAGACCTGACATCACTGTTCCAATGGAAAGAATAATCGAAACCACATTAACAACAAATCCCGGTTGTTCAAAGAGTGTATTTGTGATTATTCCCAAAGCCTCACCGCAAGTGGCTACAATGAAGCTGCAATACATTGTCACAAAGAAATTTCCAGCCGTTCTATTCAATCCACAGACCAACACTGTGAAAATTGCATACAATGCGGACGCTAAAAGTGCCATCGGAAGCTCTATGGTCATGTATCCAAGCAAAAAGGGTGTCACACCGTAGACATTATCACTAAACTCTTGATAAAAATAGTCCCGCTCTTTCGGATAGCATGCAAGGTTTGTCAACATGCCGGTGAAATACAGCGCTGTGGATTGCTGTACTAGACCCAGTCTATTATTAATACTGGTGTAGTCGTGCTTTATGGGCGCAAAAAAGAGCGCTAAAATTATTCCAACGCCGGGAATTTGGGCGAGTCGCGCAGAAAGCGATTCCAAATTTCTGGTGATCGTCTTGAATTGACGTCTTATGCAGACTTTGTACGCAATTCTGAAGGGAGCACTAGCAGAGCCAGCTACTTCAAATTTTGCGGATGGGCGGTCGTTCTCTATCAATTGAGGTTTTGAAATTTTCCAAGCGTTTACGAGATTATCTACCCTGTGTCTCGAATTAGCCTCGTTCTCTTCATTTTGAGTGTTCAATGAAATCAGATCAAGGAAGAAGTCTGCGACGTTAGTTAAAGGTGGACAATGATGGCCGAGTGAAGCGAAATAATGGATCATCGCCAGCGGGGATCCATTAAACGCAACCTCCCCACCTTTGGCAAGGAGCAGCACATTGCCAAATTTTTGAAACAGCTCTGCTCTCGGCTGATGAATAGTCAGAACTACCGTCTTTCCGCTGTGGAGACATAGACCGTTTAAAACATCTAAGATTTTGAAAGCCGTATAACTATCGAGACCAGAAGTTGGTTCATCTAGCAGAATAATGGGAGGATCTGTCAATAATTGAATGCCCATGGAAACACGCCGTTTTTCTCCTCCGCTAATACCTTTCGTGAGATCATCGCCAATCAAGGTATTCTCACAGTGCTTCAGCCCCAAGTCACCAATTAGCTCTTCAACTCTGGCATTCCTTTCGTTCGAGTTTAAGTCGTATAAGCGAAGCTCAGCCGCGTATGAAAGAGTCTCTCTCACTGTAAGCTTCGACAAAAGATGTTCGTCATCTTGAGGAACAAATGAACAAAGACTGGAAAATTCTGGAAATGATAATAAAGCCCCCCCGCAAAGAATTTTACCTTGGGATGCAAAAGAGCGATTGATCGTAGATCTTAGTTTGCCAGAAACCAAATTTAAGAGAGAGGACTTTCCCGATCCCGAAGGGCCCATAACAGCATTTATCACGCCGGATTGAAAGGTCGCATCAATGTCTTTTAGAATCTCAAGATTTTTATGAGAGTAAGTAAGCATTTTCCGCCGTCCAAGTCTAATATCTCTCATCTGTACTGTGAGATTTAAGCGCGCAAAGGCAAAATCCACAGACGCCATTCTGGACTTAGAGGAAATGGCCTTGTTTGCCTCTAGATCCAAATGAATTTCTTTGGTTTCGGTGCATGTCTTCTTCTTGGCCTTAATTTTCTTTGCAAGGCTCACGTCGGTTTTGTTGATGTGGAAGATAACCACGCCAACGACATAGAACCCAAGAGCCCACAAAAAAATGATAACAATTGGTACCGTTCTCCAGTTTCGAGGGTATCCCGCCGTGGCCAAAAGCATGTTACCAGTACAATCATCCAAATCCGTCGAGCTACATCCGAGGTCTGTGAACTCATTAGACATGAGGCTGCCATAGCTGTACCAAAGGTAAGCAATATATTTGGTCCACCTGACATAAACTGGCAATTTCTTAGCATTTGCGAAAAACCCGCATGCCATTGACTGCAGCGTATAGTTAAGATTTCCAAATAGTGAAGCCTGAGAAAAATCTCTTGAAATGGCTACCGATAGGAATGCCACTGACGTTGACGTCTGATGAATCAAAAATACGACCGAAAAGTAAATGAAAAAGCCCTTCGCGTTCACATTTAATCCATACATGAAGAAGGTGATCACAGAGAAAATGAAAGGTACAGCGAGGTCTTCGAAGAAGAAGTTGGACAATCTTCGTGAAAGCAAAAATGCTAACGCTGAAACTGAGCCCTCTGCTCTCTCTCTGTCGTATATTTTTATGTCTTGCTCACATAGCCTGTAAGTTTCGTAAAGCAAGAAAAGATAGCCCTGTAGAGCACCTGCTGAATATAATGCGCCCGTAATCGTTCTGAGGCCAGCCAAAGTGGTTTGATCGGGTTTGTAAAAAATCCAACCTGTTATCACTCCAATAATAACGGGCTCTAGTAAAATGCCAAGGAAAGCCAATGAGTTTCTGAAATTTAATTTCGATGACCGCAATGTTAATACCTTGACTTGATCTCTGAATGAAACGCTTGGGGCTGAAACTTCCAGTTCGCTCTCATAATCTATGCTGGGCAATTCGAGAGCCTTTTCAAATTTTGACCAATTTGCGATCAAATCTCGCAGCCTTTGCTCTGTGAACGTAGCCGCAGCTTCGGTCCTCGAATCTATGCTGCACAAGTCAATAAAATGGTCGGCTGGATTGACGTGTTGTGGCACTTCATAACCTAAGTCACCAAAATACTCGACCATCTTATTAACGGGTCCACAATACACGTCCTGGCCCTGAGAAAGGATGCAAACTTGGTCAAGTAAAAAAAGAATGTCAGCCCTAGGCTGGTGGATACTCATGACAAAAGTCCGGCCTCCAGTGTGACTCAGTTTTCTCAAAGTCTTGATGAAAACGTATGCCGAATAAGCGTCTAGTCCTGTAGTGGGCTCGTCGAGAAACATGAGGGATGGGTTAGAAATAAGCTGGATACCGATGCTTAGTCTTCTTTTTTCGCCACCTGAAAGCCCCGGATTTCTTCTATCTCCTACAAAAGTATCTGCACAGTCCTTAAGACCCAGTTCGGCTATGAGCTCTTCCACGAGCTTCCGTCTCTCCTGCTTCGGACTGTTCGATTTCAAGTCTGCAGCGTAATTTAGTGTTTCTCTACAGGTAAGCTTGGAAGCTAGAATGTCATGCTGGGTTAGATACGCCGTGGTTACTTTATTATCAGTTTTTTCAGCATTTTCGGGTATAATCTTGAGGATGCCATTTTTTTGAAGGCCTCGGGAGTTTTTGCACGCCAATGCGTTTAGGAGTGTCGTTTTCCCACACCCCGATCCACCCATAATAGCCAAAATGGATCCACTTGGCACATTCAGCGAAATATTATTGACAATCGTAGAACCTGTCGAAGCTAAAACTGAAAGGCCTCGTACTTGCAGAGATGCCCTAGTGGTTGAAGCAAAAGATAATTCATTCTCCTTAGTTTCATAATCAGTCATAAGTCTGAAATTAAACTCGCGGTTGATTTGGATGTAAAGAAGCGAGTATTTTATTAGTCAAAATCTTGATGTTTAATCTATCAAGCTTGTTCGATTTGTTAAAGGAATCGAGTTGAGCAATAACTAAGTTATCAAATAAACCCCTAACGGCCTTAAAAAGCCTCTCAAAAGTATGTTTCAAGCGGCGTAATCCAGCTCTATATGGTGTATAGTTAGGAACCCCAGATTGATAGCGGTTTATGATATTTGCTTATTTAAATAGGAATTAGATCTTGAACTGATTAAAGATTAAATTCGAAACTTTGAACTGAAAAATTTACTCCACTACGCTGACGTCGGAAAACACAATGGACTCCATATTCAATTCGACAGCGACCAATCCGCGAGGAATACCCAGTGCTCCATTTGTAGAAAGGGTAGAAGATTTTGTGAAAGACCCAAATGATTTTGAGCTATGCTTTAATAAATTTCAGGAACGCTTGTCCAAGTATAAGTTCATGCAAGAAGCCAAATTGGCGACGCTCAAGCAATTACAGAGTAAGATCCCCGACATTAAGAATACATTGAGCATGTGTCGGCTATTGGAGCAAAGAAAAGAAGACGAGGAGTACTTCGAGACCAATTATCAGCTTAACGAAACTTTATTCTCTAGGGCAGAGGTAGACACATCAGAGGATGTAAAAGTCGGACTTTGGCTCGGAGCAGATGTAATGCTAGAATACCCAATTCAAGAGGCAATTGAACTGCTACAACAGAAGCTGGCTGATGCAAAAGATAATCTCAATCTTGCGCAGGAAGATTTGGAATTCTTGAGAGAAAATATCACAACCATGGAGGTCAATTGTGCAAGGCTGTACAACTGGGACGTTGAGAAGAAAAGAGAGTTAAAACAAGCACAACAGGGCACAGAAAACTTAAAGATTTAGTCTCAACTAGTCATTCTGAACTCATCCACACGTAAAAATTGTTTTTAATAATATAAACTCCAAAAACTATCGCCTGAACGTATCGAGAAATTGAACTCCCAAGGGGCGTGCTGGCTCATCGCCGTTATCCGTAGCTTCTGTTTCATCGCTACCACCCATGGAATTCTCGTTGTTTGAGGCCCTGAGTGAAACATTTTGATCATTATTTCGCCTTGGAAAGCCTGGTAGCATGAATCTTGAATGAAGCGGTACGCGAAAGGAAGCTAGCCCCGGAAACAGGCCCTTATCGACAAGGACGCCTGTCAGCCAGCTTAAGAAGCCACACCCTATCCCTGGTAAGCCTTGATTGATCAGCAGGAGGGTGATAAATGCGTTCAGAACAAACTGGTTGTTGAATTTCCACTTCAGCTGTTTCGAGTGTGATCCAAACGGGCGGGTTAGAACCATGTCAAATTCATACAGCTGCGGAGTATACTCTTTGTAAAAATGAAAAAGAGCGAGAACTATTGGTAGTGCTCCTGTGGGGAATCTGTTCCATTCGACAAACGGGATGATGTTAATCGCTACGTTAGCTGCTACCAGAAGGACAGTTGTGTACACCCAACACAAGCATATGATGCTAAGGTATTTGCGGCTGCCGAAAAGACGCTCTAGATGACGAAATTTGTACCATAGTAGAGCCAAAAGGGCAGCATCACTTTCATTTATCGCACCTAGCTGGAAAATTACCAGTCTGTAGTATTGCTTGTATTCTTTAATAAAGGGTTGATATTCCACCAAAAACCAGTATTTCAAATCGGCCACAGATGCTACTAATGGTATAGCAATCGTGGCTATCATGAGAGTTTTGGATATGGGGAAATTCCACAGTCCAGGTGGTGTCTCGCTGCACATTTAAAGCTTACGGACAAGATTGTTTAAACAATTAGATTGCCAAGTTTTTCAATTTCAAGGTTAATCTCGAAATATAAAAAGCTAACGGACGTGTCGAAGATGAGCAAGATCCATTTCAAGAGTTTCATTAAGAGATGGAAGTCCAAGACCCTGCAACAACCGCTGCAGTTGAATTGTTAATTAGAGAGTTAAAATCGAGCCGTTTTCATGATAGCTGGGGCGCTATTTCCCAGAACCTCGTACATTACTGCCCCCGAATCCGATCGAGGCGACAGCAGAAGATGCTGTTTGATTCGCTATGGACCTCACCATTCTTGCAATCAGTATCTGTCGATAATATTACGACTTGGTTTGAAATAAGTGAGGCCATCTTTACATGGAAGCTAGATATATCAGAACCTCAGATCAAGTTGGCCGATTTCTTCTTATTTTGGGACGAGGCGTTACGAAAATGTCAGCATTGGTCTGTGGCGCATTTGGCGCTTCTAAGCGGCGCTTTGAGCACTGACGGTAAGTTCCAGGAGTTCCAAGAACGATACGCAGTCGACGGTAGCGATACGGTTGCGTCGAGGTACGTTGCTTGGCGGTTTAAAATTTTCATGCCCTTGTGGACCGCTGCAATCACGAAGCAGCCACAATCACCAGCAATCATTGAGCAGCTTGCTCTTATTTTTGTCGGACAGTATCCAGGCGAGGATGCAAAGAATATTCCATGTTCACTTTTGTCGCAAATTTTGATGGACTTATGTGTGAGGCTTCTTTCCGGAGAAATATCTCAGCATTCCTTCTTGTCCCGACATTTAAGTCAAGTATCTCATGTTTTGCAGGTCACACTTCTTTCCGTACCTGACACCTTAATTTCGCGCATTCTAAGCCAGCTATGCGTTGCGACTTCTAATCTGGCAACAAAAGAGTTGAACGATGGGGAGAACGACTACAAATCACTCTTCTATACACACCTATTGTTGACTGTGGTATCCGTTCTCAAAGCTACTGTCGTGCGAGCCGAGCCCCACATCCAAGTCTGCCGTCAAGTCATGTTCATTCTCTTCAATTTGAGCTTCATTACGGAAAGTTTCGGCACCGTGGGGTTTGAGGAGTTTGAGTTGAGCTACGAAGTCACAACTCTTGGTCTTTTGCGTGACAATTTGAATCTACTAAGTGTCACCGAGGTAATGAGATCCAATTTAAGGTCGAACACGCAAAATGAAGTCAGCAATGCAAGAATGGTATTTTTGTTCACGTTTCTTGAGCGCGTTTTACCGTATGCCGCTTACCCCAAACCGTATTTCGACGAGTATCTCTTACCGCTTATATTTGGGTTTATTGCGAGCCCTCAGACCAGAATCGCTGAGGCTGCCCATTCCGCCTGCCTCGCATTGATCTCAAACCAAACGGTGCCTTACATCCAGACTTGGAAACTGCACGGCTGCAAAAGCTACCTGCTAGTATCCCTGTCCCAGTTCCGACAGGGGCGTCTGAACTCCGGACAGCTCACCATGATTTCACAGACCATTGCATCGCAATTTGCGTCCATTACACGAGTGGCAAAAGATTTTTCCAGACAAATTCTGCAAACCATTTACCTAGCAGTATTAAATTGCGAGAATGACGCTATGAGGCCCGTTTTAATCGAATGCTTAATAGGTCAGCTTCCATTTGTATCTCACAAATACGTGTGGGATTGGCTGGACAATTGCTACGAACTGATACTTAAATCGAGGGACCACCGAGTTCAACTCCTAGATAAGCTGTGGCAATGCATCCTGGGTTCCTCTGATAACACGCTACTCATCGAGTGGTGGTTCCGTCAGGGCTTACCTTCATCTAAGCTATAAATTTTCAGTCGAATATGAGAAGAAAAAGCAGAAAATTTTCCAATGGAGAAACAGAACCAAAGAAGTCATCACCTCAGAGTAAATCCACCGGGCTCATCACTTACCTTTTACAGGAATTTTAAGCATGAATAAGACGTCAGTTGAAGAGTCTGCGACTGACAAAGGTACCCTCAATGAGTACGAGAAGCATTATTTCACCTCATATGATCATTATGGAATTCACGAGGAAATGCTCCAGGACTCTGTGAGAACGCTTTCCTACCGCAATGCAATCGTACAGAACAAAGATCTTTTCAAAGATAAGATCGTGCTTGACGTGGGATGTGGTACTGGTATTCTGTCGATGTTTGCTGCGAAAAACGGTGCCAAGCATGTCATCGGTGTCGACATGTCCAGCATCATAGAGATGGCCCGTGAAATCGTGAGCCTCAATGGGTTTTCTGACAAGATAACACTATTGAGAGGCAAATTGGAAGATGTTGAGCTACCATTCCCCAAGGTTGATATCATCATTTCCGAGTGGATGGGCTACTTCTTGTTGTATGAGTCCATGCTTGATACGGTTCTATATGCACGTGATCACTACTTGGTCGAAAACGGTCTGATCTTCCCAGACAAGTGCTCGATCCACATAGCGGGCATCGAGGACTCTCAATACAAGGACGAAAAGCTCAATTACTGGCAGGATGTGTACGGATTTGACTATACACCGTTTGTGCCGCTTGTCAAGAGAGAGCCGCTAGTTGACACAGTTGAACACGGAGCAGTCAATACGACGAAACAAAAACTGATCGAGTTCGATTTAAACAAGATCAGCGTTGCAGACCTTGCATTCAAGGCATCTTTCAAGCTTAACGTCAAGACTCAAGATTTCATTAACGGTCTTGTTGCCTGGTTTGACATCGAGTTTCCTGCTCCAAAGGGTAAAAAACCTGTCACTTTCTCTACTGGCGCTCACGCACCCTACACACATTGGAAGCAAACGGTGTTCTACCTCGAAGACGACCTAGAGGCAGAGCCCAATGACACACTTAGCGGCCGGCTCGTGTGTACACCTAACAAGACAAACAATCGGGATCTCGACATCACTATCGATTACCAATTTAAAGCCAACGGACCTGACGGCAAGGAGAGGTCTCGCAGAAACAAGAATTCGTTTTTGATGCATTGAATCAACAAGAATCGGCTTGTCACCATGGCCACCATGGCCCAGGATGTGCTCTAGAGATCGCATCTTTAGCATTGAATCAGCTGTATAGTAGACTCTAGTAGTTATTGATGAAGGCGGGTAACGTCCCTGATCAAAAATTTTTATATTGAAAGGGGAACTCTCTGAAGCTTAAAACACCAAAACAAGGTGGCAAAGTAAGGACGAATTGAGGCAAATTGACCTCTAAACTGAGCCATTGAGTTGTCGATTTGTTTCTAGGCACGATGAAGATGCTGACGAAGTTTGAGTCGAAGTCCACCAGGGCCAAGGGCGTGGCATTTCACCCATCCAGACCATGGATCCTAGTGGCTTTGTTCTCGTCAACAATTCAATTGTGGGACTACAGAATGGGAACATTACTCCATAGATTTGAGGACCATGAGGGTCCGGTGCGTGGTATAGACTTCCATCCAACGCAACCTCTTTTTGTGTCCGCAGGTGACGACTATACAATTAAGGTATGGTCTTTAGAAACCAAAAAATGTCTATTCACGCTAACGGATCATTTGGACTACGTTCGGACCGTGTTTTTCCACCCTGAATTGCCCTGGATCATCTCCGCGTCGGATGACCAAACCATTCGAATTTGGAATTGGCAAAATAGAAAAGAAATTGCGTGTCTCACCGGCCACAACCATTTCGTGATGTGTGCGGACTTCCATCCTACCGAGGATCTGGTCGTGTCAGCGTCGTTAGACGAAACCGTACGTGTCTGGGACATTTCTGGTTTAAGGAAAAAACATTCGGCGCCCAGTTCCTTTTCGATGGAGGACCAATTATCATCTCAACAGAATCTGCTGGACGGCGGGTTTGGTGATTGTGTTGTCAAATTCATTTTGGAGGGGCACACTCGTGGTGTCAATTGGGCTAGTTTCCATCCTACTTTACCGCTAGTCGTTTCCGGAGGTGACGACCGTCAAGTAAAGCTTTGGAGAATGAGCTCCACTAAAGCATGGGAAGTGGACACATGCCGTGGTCATACCAACAATGTTGATAGTGTAATCTTCCACCCTCACGAGAATCTAATCATCTCTGTAGGTGAGGACAAGACAATCCGCATTTGGGATCTTGACAAACGCACTCCAGTCAAGCAATTCAAGCGAGAGAATGATCGTTTCTGGCTTGTAAGGGCACATCCTCACATCAACCTTTTTGGGGCGGCGCACGATTCGGGTATCATGGTCTTCAAGCTTGACCGTGAAAGACCTTGCAGCGCGCTGAATCAAAATCAACTCATTTTTGTCAACAAGGAAAAACAAGTCCAGATTTTTGATTACCACAAAAGGGTTGCTACTTTACCTTACGTTTCTTTGAAAAAAATTGGTAACACCTGGAATGCTTTTAGAAGTATAAGCTACAACCCATCGCAACATTCCATCCTCGTCAATAGTATTGACGGGCAGAGCGAAAGGTTTGCATTATGCACCTTGCCCAAACAGCCTACTGGCGCTATTGACCCTACGAATATCATAGAAGATTCTGGAAGTTTTGCCACTTTTGTTGCGCGTCATAGGTTCGTGGTGTACAACGCATCGGCTGGCACTCTGGACGTCCGCACCTTGGATAACAAAACAACCAAATCAGTCAAGATCGGCGGAGAGGGGACTGTTAAGGATATTGTATATGGAGGACCAGGTGCAGTGCTCATTTTATTGTCGAAAACCGTGATTCTCTATGACGTTCAGCAATCAAAGGAACTTGCTGAAGTTGCTTTGAAAAACGTGAAATACGTGGCTTGGTCTTCTGATAGCCAATACTTAGCTTTGATGAGTAAACATACTATCACGATCGTTACGAAGCAGCTGGAGGTTGTGACTTCTATGCACGAAACCATCCGTATTAAGAGCGCCGCTTGGGACGAGACTGGGGTTCTAGTTTACTCCACCCTCAACCATATCAAATACACCCTTCTCAATGGAGACAACGGTATAATAAAAACCCTCGAGAACACCCTTTACATTACTAAAGTGCAAGGGAAATCTGTTTATGCTCTGAATAGAGATGGCGAAGTTGAGATTGTAACGATTGACCCAACGGAGTACAGATTCAAGAAAGCACTGGTTAACAAAAACTTCCCTGAAGTCCTCAGGATTATCAATAACTCTAACTTGGTGGGACAGAACATCATTTCTTTCTTGCAAAAATCCGGCTACCCAGACGTTGCACTTCAATTTGTTCAAGATCCAAAGACTAGATTTGATCTCGCTATCGAAGATGGAAATTTAGAGGTCGCATTCGTCGAGGCCCAAAAATTAGATAGCGCTGTGGCTTGGGAGAGATTAGGCAAGGTGGCTTTGTCTCAAGGTAACACTAAGCTTGTGGAAATCGTCTACCAGGCTCAAAAGCAATTTGACAAGCTGTCCTTCTTATACCTATTGACTGGTGACAAAACAAAACTTTTGAAAATGGAGTCTATTGCCAAAAATAGAAGTGATATCTCTGGTCTGCTCTCGAACACCTTCTACAATAACTCTTTCCAAAAGAGAGCTTCAGTCTTTGAAGAGTTGGGGTCTCTTCCACTGGCGTACGCGGTCGCCAAGGCAAATGGCGACGATGAAAGTGCTGCCAGGATTTTGGACTCTGCTGGTGTAAACGAGAGCGATATCTCTCTACCAGAGACTGTTCGTGCTTCTACGCACGTCAAACAACCTGTGGTTTCCCAACCCGTTGCCAACTGGCCTTTGAAGGAGGCCGAGACATCTTTCTTTGAAAAAGCTTTGTCAGGACAGGTTGAAGATCTCGTTCTTGAAGACAAAGAGACAGACAAGGCTGTGATGCATCAGGGAGAACCACGAGCCGTTGAAGGAGCTCTAGATGAGGAAGAAGAAATGTTCGATGATCAAAACCTTGCCGCAGATGAAGGAGGTTGGGACCTAGGCGAAGAAGAGCTGGACATTGAGGAGCCATCGGTTCAATATCAAGCCCAACCTGAAGCAGGGACCAACGAGGATAACGAGACTGCCCTCTGGGTGAAGAACTCTAAACTTCCCTATGTTCTTGTCGCTGCTGGCGCATTTGATGCCGCTGCCCAAGCTCTTAATAAGCAAGCTGGCGTTTCGAATTTTGGTCCTTTAAAAGGACGTTTCCTAGACGTCTATGAAAGTTGCAGAACCTACATGCCACCAGCTTCCAATGATCTGCCCTCTATCACAGGTTACGTCCGTAAAGATGCCGAGGAAGAGTCCCACAACAAGATTATCCCATACGTTGCTGGCATCGATGTGGTGACGAAAAAGATGCATGAAGGGTTCAAGCTTTTTAAATCAAACAAATTGGAGCTAGCAATTGAGGCATTCCGAGATGTGATCTACACTGTGACACTTTTCGCTGTCAATGATGACGAGGACGAAGAAGCCGCTCGTAATGCTCTTTCAAAAGCTCGGGAGTACGTATTGGGTCTTTCTATTGAATTAAGTCGTCGTTCATTGGCGCCGGAAAATGTGAAGCGCAACCTGGAGCTAGCCTCTTATTTCACACGCACAAAACTGCTCCCTGTTCATCGCAGCACCGCACTCCAGGTGGCTATGTCACAGTCATTTAAGCATAAGAACTATGTGCAAGCATCTTTATTTGCCAGTGAGTTTTTGAATATCGTTACAACAGGTCCACGTGCCGAGCAAGCAGAAAAAATCAAGGACAGAGCCGACTCCTTGGCTCACGACGCTGTTGAAATCGACTTCGACCCTTACGCCGAGTTTGATATCTGTGCTGCCACTTTCACTCCCATTTACAAAGATACACCATACGTTGTCGATCCTCTGACAGGTGCCAGATATCATGCGTCGCAGAAGGGAAATGTTGACAAGATTGCGTTGGTCTCTAAAATTGGCTCACCGGCGTCGGGGCTTAGAATTCGCCTTTGAGAGTTCGAACTTTTGAGCTCGATAGGCTAGGTCTGTCTACATACTCATTTTCTGTAAATTAAAAAGGCTGCTGACTGATCGTTGTTGAATGTGTGGCACCGTGGTCACGTGGCTGTTGATATCTAAGCTTCTCAATGTTTACATATCTCAAAATCATAGTTGTATCAAATCAACGAGCATCAACAAATGGAATCCTATTGAGGAGAATAACGCTCCATTTTGAGTTACTTTGGCAGTCAATGACGGGAGAGATTATAACATTGCAAATTGGGCAATGCGGGAATCAGATAGGGAAGGAATTCTGGTCTCAATTGATCAAAGAGCACGGTATTGACAGAAATGGGCAAAGCGTTAAAGAAGAACAAGCTGATTCTGTAAGAGAAGATGACACGAGTGTTTTTTTCAGAAAAGATGGTCAAAACCGTTTTACGCCTAGGGCATTTCTGTTTGATTTAGAACCTAGTGCAATTGGAGATGTGCAAACTCATTTTCCAGGTTTTTTTAATGAAAGAAACATTTGGGTTTCGAAAGACGAATTAGGAGCAGGAAATACGTGGTCCAAGGGATATGATTATGGGGTAGAGAGCCAAGAAGACTTTTTGAATATGATTGACAAAGAAATTGATGCAACAGAAAATTTCGAAGGTTTTCAACTCTTGCACTCCGTTGCAGGCGGAACAGGTTCCGGACTTGGTTCAAGCATTTTGGAGGCTCTCTCGGATAGATACCACAAGAAAATCGTGACAACATATTCCGTGTTCCCAAGCAACGAGTCTGAGGTGGTGATACAACCCTATAACACCATTCTAACTCTGCGAAGGCTTATCGAGAACTGCGACGCGTCAGTCGTATTTGACAACAACGCATTAATGAATCTCGCAAGCAGAGTCTTTAGGGATCCCAACACAAGTTATCAGCAAACAAACCAATTGATTGCGAGCGTTCAGTCGTCCGTCAGTAACAGTCTGAGATTCCCAAGCTACATGTATAATTCGCTATCCAGCATTTTTTCGACTATCGTTCCAACGGCCGATCTGCATTTTCTAGTTCCAAGCTTCACTCCATTTACTAGTGATTTTATTTCCGAGGCAAAAGAATTCAAGCGAAATACTGCTTACGATGTCATACTAGATTTGTTTGACAAAACGAACACCATGGTTACCAGAAGCAATGAAACGCCGGTATACTTAGGCATTTTCGATTCTCTCGTGGGCTCTGTTGACCAAAACGATGTTACTAGAGCGATTTTAAAATCTCAACAAAGAGTTAAGTTCCCAGCTTGGTCCTCTACTGCTTTGCATGTCAACTTTGGAAAAAAATCTATCTACAACGTTTCGCCGAACTCTGACTGTGTAAGCGGTATGATGTTGGCTAACACTTCTTCGGTAACAATGCTTCTTCAAAAGGCATGTAGTGGATTTGATGTGCTATTCAAAAAGGGAGCCTTCTTGCACATGTACCAAAACGGCAGAATGTTCCAAAACGATTGGGAAGAGTTTTTAGAGTCGAGAGAAACCATCCAATTTGTCATCGATGAGTACACAGCTGCAGAACAGGAAAATTACCTGGATGAGGTTCTCATAGATGAAGAGAACATGGTTGGTGTTGAGGACGCCGTGGATGTTAATGGTGATAATATAATTTAGCATAGGTTGTTTTTTCTTGTTCCTGTTAGATAAAGCCGATAGGATAAGTTTAGTTTAGCTTGCATTTTTTGTATTATATAGACGTATTAATTTAAGGTCTGAATTGAGCTATCTTTTGTCCGCTTCCAAGCCTTGAAGGGACTTTTCTTGCGGGAGGTAGCGGCGGTGGCTGATATCTTTTACTTATGGATTCTGCTGAATGCGAACTATTTTGACTTTTGTATAGTCGGTTAGCATTACGTTCAGTTAAAGATTGTTGTAGGAATGATCCCTCACTCACACTTGAATCTCGACTATTATCCCCTTCGTAAACAGCTGAATCTTCGGCAGAATTATTGAGCCAGCTGACAGAATCAAAACATTTTGCTGCTAAGCGAGCCGTTGTCTTGTGTTCATTTTTTATTTCCGAACTTGAGCAAAAATTGTCGGGCAATGACAGGTACTCCAAGGTCTGAACTAGATCGGCTTTCCTATAATGAGTAGTAGCCAAAACCGTATTTCTCAGTAAAGGTAGTAACACTCGCAAAAAAGTGTTCCTTGTCAGTTCTTCGTCCTCAGAAATGTTCATCAGCTCTCTAATCAAGACATCAACGAAAACATGGAGGTCATTAACGTAAAAGAAATCTTTGGCCAAGTCGTCTTTGCTAGTCAGTATCAAGTATACGACTTTGCACATCATTATTTGGAGCGCTCGGTCAGTAATGCGATTGAATTTCAGTAAGAGAAGCCCAATAAAATTTTGAGAAACTGCGTGGTTCATCAAATACTTGGCTACCTTGTTTTCGATCTCGTACTTGTAGGACGATATCATGTATTGCTCACTGAGTGCCAACAATAGCTTAAATTTGGCATTATTGAAAATGTCCGTTGTTGTGTCCGACCGTAAGGTGCTCATCAAGTAGTAAACGAAAAAATCGTCCACTATTTGTATGTTCGATATTTCGCACTTGGAGAACTTGAGTTCCTGAAATAATATATCGATCAAGATAGTCGCGGTTTTCTTCATCCCCTCGATAATTTCCACGTCAATTTCAGATTTTTGTTGATCTTCCAAAGCGTCGTCACCGTATCGGCTTAAGTACGCAAATTGATTGTATAGATTATTGTAAACCACCGTAAAGCCTTGGAAATTCAGTAGCAGTTCCAACAGACTCGAATCTATCTTAACAGCACACAACATAATGTAGCTAATGATAAATTTCAAAGTCGATTCCAAAAGATCTACACTCAAAAGCGACAATAATTTACTCACACAAAATTCCCGATTTTCCTCAAAGAGCTTCGAATGCGTCAAAATTAACGCCAATCTGTAAATATCCTGTTCCGAATCTATCCTATTGTTGTAAGACTCCGCACATTTAGCAACGTACGACACCAAGCACGAATTCACTTGTGTACTATCATTCCGATCATTACAACTCAATACTTGTTCCATATCATCCCAAAATTTCGCTCTTTCATCATCAGTGCTATTATGTTCTCCGCCCGCGGAAATCACTGATGGCATTGACCAAGAAAGACGATCAAAATGCCTTTAAATCTGTATATGTATGTTTATCTCTACTATGAGAGTGAATTGCAGGGTTAATGTTTAGAAAAAAAGCCCGCCTTTCTTCACTATCCTCACATCCCAAAAACTGGAAAATGGCCACATTAACAGAGGTAAGATTTGTTCAGATGGTTTTGTTGAGATTATCAATGAGACTAACGGCTTAGAAGATTTTTGACCAGTTGGAAGCAGCTCAATTGTTACTTCGAGACAGGAGATATGATAAGGCAACGATCATGTACGAACGGGCGTTGAAATCGACTCAAACTTTGCAAGAAATCAGTGAAAAAGAGCAAGATAGCGAGCATGTACGGCAGGCATTGAGTCTTGTAGGAGATGATATTCAAAATAGGGTCAAAGAGCTGAAACTGTTGGAACAGGCAGCGCAAGAAGTAGCTCAAGACAGTCAAAATCAAAGCGATCGTTCGGAAATCACCGCTATGACGGCATTAAGGGAGAAGTCCTGGACAGATAGTAATTTTGCAACCGTAATTGAAACTTATCGAACGAGTTTACTGAATTTACTGAAAGTTCAACTGGAGACAGATTCCCGGTTTTCGACGTTGGAAGATATAGTGAACCAAAACGTCATTTCGTTGTTAAGCGATATGGGCATGTTAGAACAACGTAGAGTCGCACAATATGAGGCAAAAGTGGAGCATCTTGCTCGGGAAAACAAGAAAATGTCTAATCAAATCGTTAAGCTGAAAGAACGTTGGGGGAGTCTCGTTGAGAGCGCTCGTCAGAAAAGAAAACAAGAAAAAACATGATTTTACATGCGCATATCTCGTCACGATATTCCGTGCTGGCTGCTGAACAACTATTTACTCTTTAGATCATGCAAAATCTCTTCTTTGGTGATCAGATGACCAATGGTCTCGATTTGTTCTAGTAAGTTGTCAACGTTCTGAGACCATTCGTTCAGAAGAAGACTCGAATTTTTGGGTCTGCCAAATGTCACAATTTTTGCAGGTCTGTTAATTTTGGCATATATGATGCCCTGGTTTACCAACGTGCTGATGAATTGCTCTGTCTCGGCTTCGCTCAAATCCAGGAGTTCATTTACTCTCGAAAGGTTAATCCTGGTGTAGTATTTGGAAATGACTCGCAAGTTGTGTTCAATTACACGCTTATGCAAATCGCTCCAATGAGCCGAGTTGGACCCAAACGCTACCCTGTCGCTTTTCAAAATGGGTTCGTATTTCTGCTGCACAATAGGCCACCTCATCAACTCCGTAGTTGTGAAAAGCTTGACAAGGGACTCCTGGTCCTCTAGTTTTTTCAGATTATTGTCAAGCTGTATCTTGTGAATGAGATCATTTTGCAAATTGTCGTAAGGGGCCAAAACCAGGAACGAAACCACGTGTGAAAGCGCATCTTTCCATAGAGCTTCATCTTGTCTCACCGAGTTGGTGTTGTAAATTTCCTGATAGTACTGGGCTACTTGCAAGTAATCCGCATTGTGAAGTCCGATTTTAATAAGTAAATTATAATATTCGAGCTTCAGCGCAGCGTACTTATCATTCTTTATAGTCTTCTTCAATATTTTGCGTGACAATACTGCGGCCTGCGAGAAATCTCCCTTCAAGATACTCAATTCCATTTGTTCCATAATAAATTGAATTTTTTCGTACATTTCCATCGATCCAAACGTCTCTACCTGTAAAGCACATAAAAGCTCGGCAGCTTCGTCGATTTTACCTTGTTCTCGTCTGATATGCGTTAGCTCTCTGGTAACGCGGGCTCTTTCGACTTCAACAAAGATCTTGTTTTCGGTCACCGTTCTTATCGTCTCAATGGCCTTTATTTTAGTTTTGAGATCTTTCACATCCCTGAGTCTCTCCATTATCTGCTGTATCATGGTTTGAACCGACATTTTGAGCTGCCCGTGTTTTTTCGACAGCAGCATCAATTGATCGTCCAATTCATCCCATCTGTTATTGTCCACCAGCAGATCTACAATCCGGACCAGAACCTTTTTCGAAGATTCTAAATCCGACGCTTGTCTCGTCTGCTTTTCCAAAACCAGCAGTTTTTCAACTGCTCCTGTTACGTCTTTCTGAGCCAAAATCTCGATCTTGGGAAACTCATCATGCAGAGTTTCACTAAAGTCTTTATCAGCCTTGATTGGAGCGTCCCTGGACATCTTGGTAACCTAATGGAGGAATCTCTTATGATCGTTACCTCTTGAGTGTGCGAGTATAAGAATACCTTGATATGGTTCAGGTTTGCCACCGCTTTTGGCTTATTCCTATATACTCTTGTACGAAAATCACTAATCGATGGGTGAGATATTGATGGGCAAATTTTTCAGGCAGCTCATCGCATCGCTCGGAATCAAAAAAGAAGCGCTAAACAAGATCCTTAAACTACTATTCGATTGAATCGTTTGTTGTCCGAGAATCTGAATCAAGAGTTGGGGAGCTTTACGTTGTTTCTCGGTTATTTTTTGGTCAAATTTTGCCTATTTACCCCTACTTTTCTATCTATTCCAAGAGATGGCGGGTTCGCAGCTGAAAAACCTTCGAAAAGCGCTGAAAGATAATGGTCTTACCGGTCAATCTAATGTGAAAGGGTCCAAAAAATCAAAGAAGCAGTCCAGAGAATATGACCGCGAGGAACGGGCTAAGACGGTGGCAAGAATTCGAGAACAATTTAATCCATTCGATGTGAAGGTCAACCGAGACAAACGAAGCACGCACAACGGAGGTGAACAGAGGCCAGTGGGTAAACCTGGTATTTCGAAACAGATTGGTGAAGAGCAGCGGCAAAAGGCACATGAATTGAGAAAGGGCGGGAAAAACAAGCTTGGTGGGGTGTTTGATAGGCGTTTTGGTGAGAAGGATAAGACTATGACGGCCGAAGAGAAAATGCTGGAGCGTTTTACAAGAGAACGTCAAAATCACTCAGGTGCTGGTCGTTCTATCTTCAATTTAGAAGACGGCGATGATGACGGTGACATGTATGGAGAAAAATTAACACATTTCGGCAAGTCGTTGGCCCTGGAAGACGATTTCGACCGGGGAGATTTGGGTTTGCATGACGAGGATGACGCTGCAATGCTTGAAAAACGGGCACAAAGGACTTCGAAACGTCTAATGGATGAAGAGCTACTTGGGGATGAAGAGCCGCAACCAGAGAGAAAGAAAACCAAAGCTGAAGTCATGAAGGAAGTTATTGCCAAATCCAAATTTTACAAGCAAGAAAGGCAAAAGGCGCAAGAACAATTAGAAGATCAAATTGACAATCTGGACAATGATTTTGATGACATTCTTTCTCAGTTGCATAGTGTGCCGGAACCTGCTCGTTCAGCTGTCTTTGACAAAAATCACGACGCTGACAAGGAATACGATATGAAGGTGAAAGAGTTGATACTGGAAAGACGTGCAGCTCCGGCTGATAGGACCAAAACTGAGGAAGAGATCAAATCCGAACAAGAGCAAAAAAGGTTGGCGCTAGAACAGGACAGGCTAAATAGAATGGCAGGAATGCTCGAGGAAGATCGCGGAGTTGAGGACCTGGGCGACGAGTTTTGGAGGGGCAGTGATTCTGAGCACGATGGTATGGGTGTTGACGATGAGGGAATCGCCGACTCTGATGATGATGTCTCCGTGTCGGTGTCGGATGATGAACGCGAATCGCGTTCCTGCAAGAACAAGGCTGCGGCGCAATTTAGGACATGTCCATCAACTCATGAAGAGCTTTTGGCTGTTGTTAATGGCTATAAAGTTGGGGATCACTCCAAGATTGTGAAGGATATTATAAAAGCCTGCCAACCCAGACTTGCAGAGGGAAACAAACAACGTTTAGGCAAGTTCACGGGAGTGCTCTTGTATCATATCATGTTCCTGGCTTCCAACTATGGGGGAAACGAAGCTGGAGGGGTGGGTGAGAGCATAAATTCTCTCGTCAGTATCCTAAGAAATTTGGCGCAGAAATATAATGAGCCTTTATCTCTCTCATGTAGGGACATCATACAGGACATTCACTTAAGATTTAAGACGCAGCAACTCAACGGCCTGTCAAGAGGAGATTTGATTTTTTTCGCAACGGTGGGAACCATTTTTTCGGCGTCTGATCACTATCACCTGGTGATAACACCATGCAATATTGTCATTGGTGAGATTTTAGAACAGACAAAACCAGATACTTTACAAAAGTTGCTATTCTGCATCATCCTTTGCAAAATATTTTTGAAGTATCAGCGATTATCGAAGCGATTTTCCCCTGAGTTGGTATTTTTCTTGGAGAGAGCTATTATGAGCTTATTACCTTCATCCCAGGGAACAGACACTTATGCTTCCTCAAAGAGCGCACTTGAAGTGGGGGTCCTTCCTGTGCTCGATCCTGCTTCTTTCGCCTCCGCAAAGTCGCACCCTATCAGCCTAAACACACTCAGCATTTGCAATAGAGATATCACAGACGACTTGAAGAAAAGCGCTTTATCTGCAGTAATAAACCTAGTTGATGAGACTATTAGTCTGGTTTGGAAAGAATTATCTGCGTTTCCCGAAATAATTAGTCGCTTTGAAGGTCACTTGGCCACTTTCAGAGATAGCTATGAGCATTTTAATAGCCCAAGTCAAATTCTTCAAAAGATTGACAAACTCAAGAAGAATCGAGAGCATATCCCTCTAGCTTTGCAAAACCACAGGCCAGTTGGAATTCCTTCACATACCCCTAAATTCGAGGAGAACTTCAATCCCGAGAAGAGATCGTATGACGTTGATAGCGCAAGGAACGAAATGAACAAGATGAAGGCACAATTGAGGAAAGAACGTAAGTTTACGATGAAAGAAATTCGGAAAGATACCAAATTTGAGGCTAGACAACAGATTGATACGAAGAAGAGAGAAAGTGCTGAATATCATGCTAAAATGGCACGTATTATCAACACGATCAGCACTGAGGAAGGCGCTGAGAAGAGCAAGTACGAAAGAGAAAAGAAGCTTCGTAACGCCAAAAAGTGAGCAGAACACTTTTGAATTAACATTTATAGATTTTGCAAGGGTTAAAATACTTGATGCATGCATTGTATATCAGCGACCTACATCTGATTTTTTGTAGTACTGGTTGATCAGACCTAACACTCCATTTCCGCGACGTAACTCCTCAGTCTTAGTCTTATGGCCATAATCTTGAAGAGGTATAGAATTAATAAATGACTCGCCGAGGCCATTATCTCCATTCAGGGGCGAAGATGAACGTAGATTACGTCTCGTTTTGGTGGTACTTGCATGTCGCTTCTGGGATCCCGATGGGTCTGCATGCCTTGACTTAGAAGAGTTTTCAGTGCTCTTGGTACTGCGGCCGCCCAATTCAAATTGAGTTTTCCATGAGTAGTTCGTATGCGGCCAATGATCATTGAATTCCTTCAAGTTGTTGGACCTATTTCTTGGAAGCTGATATTTTCCGACAGCGTTATCTTTATTTTGATAGTCGTCAATGAAATACATGTAAGACTGCATCATTTTGTCGACACCTTTGTCGCTGGAAGCACTTGAAGAGCTAGATAAGCTTCCGCTGTCACTCTCCTGTGAGTTCCTTCGTCCTACTCGAGAACTTGACCCGGCATGTGCAGCATTTCCATGATCTCTTGTCTTTACTTTGAATGTGGCATATTTGCAAACATAACCGAGACCATCAACATAAACCGAGACTTCCCTGATAAAATCGATGATTTTGCCCGACGAGCTTGGCAAAGCAAACCAGAGAATGAAAGGACTCAGCACCAAGCTCGCAAGCTCCCTTAACAGAAGAATAACTTTCAAGTTGTAAAGCTTGCAAAATTCCAGCTTGACCTGTTCGGAGTGGTACCTGCCACGCCATTCTTTAGGCTCGTAATGTATACAGTCAATAAGTTCCTTGAGGGTCTGCTCCGGATCGAATGCTTTGTATTGATCCGAAAGCGAACTTCGACATGCGGCCCAAATAGTGCCGAATATACTGATATAGAACAGCACAGACCTATCTTGCGTCAACTCAAAATTTAAGAAGTTTTCGGGATCAAGAATTGTCAGCAGAGCTAGAATTGCGACGAAAGAGCCCGAAATGAAAGCCGCGAATTTCAAGATTAAATTTGTTTTTTCCTTTGGAAATTGATCGATGTAGCGATTTGCTATCTCAACGCTTAACCCCATCCTTCTTTGAAACAAGTGATACAGCTCGTTGTATTCTCTAAATTTCCATTCTGCTATAGGAGTGTACTGCCGTGAGCTGAGGGCGCCGGGCGTTGTTTTAAATTCGTTAAAATAGCGGAAAAAGTAGAGAAGAACAAAATAAGCCACGAGGAATGGTGAGAGAATTATGTTCAGAAATCCAGCAATCATGAATCTTTTTGCCAACTCGTTTTTCAAGTAATCCCTTTGAGAGTGCTTCAAAAAATTGTGCTTCAAATAGCCTTGCTCATTGAAAGCAAACCCCATGACACAGAGGTTTAAGTTCCATTCTAATGTTTTTGTCAGCGTGCTCGTGTGGTACAACGGAATTGGGAGGGACAGATTCAAAATGTCTGAGTTGAAAAGAGCAATGAGGTAGTTGTCTTTCCTCATTATTCTATTTGCCACGTCGTGTGCATTTATGCGACTTTTAGCTTTGACCTCGACGACATTCGCAGTCATCGCATTTTGGTCCTTGAGTAGGACGATCTGCTCCACTACACTTTGCCATGGCACTGTCTGGAGATCTTTGTCGGATATGTTCAGAAGGTAGGCATAAAAGTTGTGAATATCTTGAAGGGCTCGAATGTCGTAATAAAGCTGGACGAATTTCAAAATAATAAAGCTATTGAACATCCACAGGCAAAATTTCGTGAATCCAGTGATTTGAGTGGAATAGCACTGATCTATGCGTATTTGTGAGAATTTATGACTGCTAGGCAGTTTAGAGTAGTCGACACAGCTACCCAAGTAAGTGGAAATAAAAGTGACGAAAACCAGCGTCGCAAGGTTTAAAATCTTCGAAATGCAAATGCAATAAAATCCGTTGCCAAGGTAATAAGCGTATACCTCCTGTAGAAAAATATCCAGGTTTTCGACATTGGCCCATTTCCACAGAGCCTTCTCACGAGGACTTAAGGTATTTACTCTCGCAGCAGGAGTTTTGCTTACGGCTGTGATGTTGTGTAGAAATCGAGGAGGACGCAATGCAGGTCCCGTCCGTTGATTTTCTTCATCCCAGACGGATTTTTTCCGATATAGAAAACTGTCTTTTTCTAGACGTGAACCGTGGCTCGACTTGCGCCAATTTCTTTGTGTTGCTTGTTTCACGAAGGGAATATTGGAATAGGCATCTGCAAACGCTGGTGTTGCGTTTTGTCCTCTACTTTTTCTATCTTCTTGCGCAAAAAGAGGAGATTCTTCTTGGTCAATGTCGTTGTCATCACCTTCAGAATCTACTTCGGCCCTTCGCTTTTGATAAACATCGTGCCGTCGTTCTGCAATCCTGGAGCGATTTTGATCCGTATCTACCGCTCCTCTTGCATCATCTTCATCCTCCGTGCTTTCCCCTTGACCTGCTTTTGGTATTGAGCCCATTGAACCCTTTCGACTAAATCCTGCATCGTCTGATTCGTCCTCAAACGCCACACTCGTCATCCCATCGAAAACATGAGTAGGCTCTATCTCACCCTCGCTGACTTCATCTTCCTCTGAGCTTGATGCACCATCCGATTCTAGAAATCTCACGTCATTGTCCTGCTCAACTGACCTTTCTTCTTCTTCTAGTAGCGGTATCTGGGTCATTTCTGTGTATCCCATAGATCCATTGTCAGCGGAATTCGCTCCAAAAACCCGGGATAAAAACGTATTTCTTTCATGACCATTGCCAAGTGGCCCACTTGAATCCATTCTTGCTTATCAGATGCTAAGTCCTTACCATTTATTGTAATGTTCAGTTCATGATTAGGGTGCCCTAGGCATAAGTTCATCCTTTCGATCAATGGGCTACTTTCTCCGTACATAGTGATATATCATACTCAGATACTAGTACCATACAATCGACGGCGTTAAGCCCAAGACCCTGCGAGCTTTGACGAGCTCCTCCTACCCCTAAAATCTTGATGCAGCAGTGTGGTGTTTATCTCATTTTTTTGGCTTTTTTTCTAGTTTTCAAAACTGTGGCGTAACGACTACTTTTCCGTCAATTCGACCGAGACATTCGACGGCCCTTTCCTCTTCCCTGTCATCGAGCGCCACCAGTTGTTGTAGAAACGATGCCTCGGCACCTCTGCTGATGTCCATGACAACGTTGCCGACTTTTACCGACAATCTGCCTGATTTGTGAACTCGCAAAGAACCAATATTTCCTGTAACAGGATTTGGCTTATTCTGTTCTTGCTCAAGTTTCGTAATTTTAGAAGGTTTCTCAACAGGTTTTTCGTCCATAGCAGATGTCTCTGACGCTGTAGCAACTGCAGTGCCGGACGCTTCCGGTATCATCTCTGCCTCAAATTCGGGCAAAACACTCGGAAGCTGGAAAAGTAAAAATTTATTAGGTTTGTTATTCAGTCTCACCAGCTTCCTGGTAATATGCTTGTGGTCCTCGTTCAATAAATGGACTTCTTGTTCAGCCTCGTGGGAGTTAACGGAATGGAACTCGCCTTGTAACTTCAGTCCGTCCAATTTCCGCTGAAGCTCGGTGTCATTTCCTTTTAAGATGCTCTGTAATGCCGCTTTCACGCTGTTCTGCCTGTCCTCTTCTTCGTCTTCCAATTTCGGTACCCCCGGTGTGGGTTCTCGCGTCGCAGCGTCCGACATCGACTCCTGTAGCTCTTTTTTCACCGCCTCGACGTCCTCGTGTCGCACCCGCGTCGCTCGTACAGGGAACAAGCTTGCAAGCTGTTTAGATTGAAGAGCTGCTGCGTCGTCCTCATGGTCACTGTCAATGTCACTGTCATCCGCACGATTCTTCCTGTATTCCTTCCCCATGTTTATTTTAGTCGCATTTTCACCGTCCGAATCATCACCTACTTCCTTAAGGCCCTCCTTCAACAGGTTGGCCTGATTTCCCTCTGATTTGATAAAACCTCTTCGCATGTCACCGCCACCACCGCTAAAATTGCCGGCAGCAAACGGCCCGCTGTTGATCACATGCGTATTGTTGAGGTACCGCGGCGTCCTCCGTTGCATGTTGTTACCTATATTTCGTTTACTGTATTTGTGCTTCCCGTCATCATTCCTGCCGCGGCCCACTTCCTCTGGGGCCGTCTTGGGTACAGACGCTTCTCGCTCTTCCTTAGATCTTCTTGCCAGCACTTTGGGCTTGAACTTCAGTCCTGTTTTCCCATTGGGCTGATTTAATGACGGTAACCGGCCTGTACCACTCATAGTTCGACAATTCAGATGTTGATGATTGAACCAATTTGCACTCTTCGATCTGTTGATGTTGATCTAATTTTTCAAAATTTTTCAGTAGCTCATCGCATCATCAAATTTTCCAGAAGCTCATCGACTTACCAAAATAAGTTACAAAAGTAGAGATTTGATTTAGGTTAGAGCTGTTGAAAGGATGGTTAAACCTAATAAATCGAAGCGTGGCGAGGATCGACCAACTGGGGATGATTACGGTTTTAACGAAGTTGATAGCTTTGCTAAAAAACGAGAAAAGATTCTGTTAGATGAGGCCAGAATTGAAGATGAAATGTCGGAAGACGACGAAAGATTGATGGAAGACGACGAAGAGGAAGAGGTTTTGGGTGTCGAGGAGCACTCTGGTTCGGAAGACGAGGAGCTTGATGGACAAAAGGCATACAGGGAAGTTTTTGGTCGAAATCTGCAAGTAGATGGAAGTGAAAACGAAGACGGAGGAGACATGTTGGAGAACGAAAATGCTTGGGGTAGTACTAAGAACGAGTACTACGGTGCAGATGACTTGGAGGATGAAGAAGATGCGAAAGAAATTGAACAGGAAGCACTTCGGCAGCAGAAAAAGCATCTCGAGGATTTGAATATGGGCGATTATCTGGACGAGGGTCTGGATGAGGAGTGGGAAAAAAATGCTAAAGAGTTCGATGTGGCGCAATTTCAAGCTTCGGGTGCAGCCAGCGCTTCTGAAGCTGTAGGAAAGGATGTTTTCAAGATGTCAACTGAAGCAAAGCAAGAACTGTTGAAAACGTCATTTCCTGAGTTTTTCCCTCTAGCCAACGAGTTGGCAAGTCTGGTACCGCTGTTAGAAGACCTTAAGGTAAATACTGGGTCATCTGCAGTAAGCAGAATCAAAGCATTGGCTTTATCCGCTTACCTGGGCACTGTGGTATCATATTTTTCAATATTAAGGCATGAATTCGATACCAACGAGGAATTTCACACAATGAAGCATCATCCATTAATGGAGAGTATTTTGAGCTGCAAAGAAATTTGGAGGCAAGCACAAGAACTTCCGGAGGTAAATGATGGCGCAAGTCAGGATAACGACGAGGAGCAGCTATCTGAGGATGAAATTTTAGAACATGGCGGTATTGTTGAAGAGCTCGATGAGAAGCTCTTGCAAACTGACTCAGATCAGGGAGAGCTTGATTCTGAGGCTGAGGCCGAAGGTGAGGTCGCATCTGACAACGATGAAGAAGACTTTGAAATAGATGTAAGCAGGCCACGTTGGACAAAGGCTCCAGATAACAGAGCTCTCAATAGCGAAATGGACGATTTTGTTGAAGATGAGATCGCAGACGTTGATGCTCTAGACAAGAAGGCTAGAAAAAAGACCTTACGGTTCTACACTTCGAAAATTGATCAGCAGGAAAACAAGAAAGGGGAAAAGTTTAAAGGTGACGATGACATACCCTACAAGGAAAGACTCTTCGAGAGGCAACAACGACTCTTGGAAGAAGCGAGAAAGCGTGGGCAACAAGGGTCAAAGGATGCTGAACTTGACGGTAATGATCTCGATTCTGACGACGAGAATACAGCCAGTGCTCTTAAGAGGGCCTTTTCAACAGATTATTATGCTCAAGTACAAAAGGCCAGACAAGATAGAAAAGATTCTAGACAGCAGGCCCATAAACAGGCTCTCCTTGCCGCAAGAGAAGGCGGATTGGCAGAGCTTGCAGACGTTGTTGGGCAAGATGGCAAGCGTGCTATTAACTATCAAATATTGAAGAACAAAGGTCTTACGCCGAAGAGAAAAAAGGATAACAGAAACTCTCGTGTTAAGAAGCGGAAGAAGTTCGACAAAGCAAAGAAAAAGCTCAAATCCGTGCGTGCTGTTTACTCAGGTGGTCAATCCAGTGCTTACGAAGGTGAAAAGACAGGTATCAAAAAGAATGTTACGCGGTCGGTCAAATTCCGGTCGTGATAACTACTCTTCGCATAATTCTTCAAGTAACATTTCCCGCGGGGTAAGCTTACTCAGAAAAAGCGCTTTTTGTGAGAGTCTTTCTTTTATATTAACAATTCGCCTTAAAGCTATGCGGATCTTGAAAGAAATTGTACCTATCTCATTATTAATAGTTCATTTGTTATTGAAATGTCATGCTGATAATGTCACTGTCTAATCAATACCGGATTACGGTAAGGCTAGAACGGACCGACTCTATATTCTACATTAAGTTTTAATGGTGAGATAATGCCTTTAGAAAAAGATGCGTCTTGTTTACGCCTATTCTTTTCCACTTCTTTATGTCGCTAAGGGGCGCTAGATGTTTACCTTAGTCTGGCCTTTGTTCTGCCAGCGCTATCCACCGTTCCACAACCTGTGCCGACCTCCGATGCCGGCGTTCCGAGTACTTCTCAAAAACAGCCTGATGGCGCTTCATTGCGAGTCTGCAGTTTCCTAAAATCAAAGTTGCTAAAGGAATGAGTTGTTCCGCTGCGTAGCCCGAATAAAAAATATGTTCACAAGTCCATTCGTGCGACTTGAGTATGATTTTGCTCAGGTAGTAAGCTCCGGCAGCCAGCCAACTAGGAAGAGCAGAAACTAATCGAGGATCCATAATAGTCGTTTCAAGTAGATATTTCGCCAGAGTTCGTATGTCGTACTCATAATCGTCTGCTTTGCTCACTCTTCTTAAGAAAGACATTGGACCTGGCCACCCCAAGTCAAACCCTAACGTGTCAATCATAAAACTCTCGGCCTTCAGTAGCTCTTCTCGACTATAAGCATTGTCGAGCATGTACAAAATTTCTTTCAAAGATGGGCAATTGATCTCTTCAAACTTTGCAGCAATGAAAAGGGCCGCAGCACCAACCAATTGAAACCGGTTTAAAGTAACGGTCTTTTTGGATAGAAATCGATCTATAATGTTAACGGTGAGGTAAAGGGTCTCGGGAAGCAGTTGGAATCTAGAGTGTACTTGCACGAGCCAGTCGAGAAGTGTTGCTCTATAGGACCATTTAAGCTCCGGTTGAGAGTTCATGTAGGTGCCATCCGGCTTGTATTCCTGTTCCAGATATTTGATGTGATCAAAAATGTCATCGACATATTCTGCTACCATGACAACATCGTAGGTGTCCTCATCCAATAGATCCGGTGAGTTGCGATGGAGCTTTTCGTACGCAAGGCGTACTGTCCGTCGAGAGTCTTCGGTAACGAGGAGCTGAAGCGGAACGCACTCAAGCGACGAGGTGCCGTCATTGTTGCAAGCGGCTTCATGCTGCGGTGACAACGGAGCTGCATCGAGGGCAGATGATTCACTAGAACTTATGGTCACGTGACTAGCTCGCCTCACCACATACCCCAATTCTTCTATTTCGTCCTCGTTGGGTTCCTGTTCTCCATCTTCCGAATAGCTCTCATCAGCCCGTGCTACAGGTCCTGTGGTGTTTGACTGTGAGTGCTTGGACATTATCGTGTTTGTGTCCGCTGTGTTTGTCTTGTTTATTTGGGAAGTGACGTCGCTCAACGCAACCCTAGCCTCCAAATACCGTGGTTTCAGCGTGTGGTGCGCATCAACTTTCCCGGCCGCTATTGACGGCATGGAACTATTCTCATCGCTAAGTGCCGCTAGGTTCTGCGGTACGTAGTCTTGCATATTGTGCGTGGTGCCTTAGAACGCTCAATCTGATGTTGTTTTGGCCTTCACACAGGGTTCAATTCTACTTCCAATTGGACTCCAATTGTCACACCTGTGAGATCTGCTAAAGTGAAGCTTAAATTACACGTCTCAGCACTTCAGCCTGACGATATCTTAGCCGATGCACTGGTCAAAACACTCTAACACAAACATAAATTTTCAGCTCTTGGAACATCTTCAGAAATGAAAACAAACCAGAATTCAAACATCGCTTTGTACGTCACTACTCAAATAATACTCAAATATTCAGTCACCTGGATCGTGTCGATCGTAGTCACGTGACATCAGCAGACATCGACCCTTTCAGACTTAAGACGTTCCAGCGCGCTAGAACAACGAATGTCCTGCATCGCATTGCAAAGGCAAATGCAAAGGTAAACTTCTTTGATCGGTTTTCGCTAACAACGATGTATCCATATTCTCGTAACTGTCACGGCGGTCTGCAACCGTGGGCTTTTCAGGCAACAACACCGATAAAGGCGCAGGTGGTCGAACAATTTGTGCATCTCGTGCTGCTTTTTCCTACCCCGCTCTTGCCTGTAGACCATAGGTACAGCTGCGGAACGCTTGTCATACTTTAACTGTTCTGCGAGGCTTGCCTGTTCTGCACACCATTTTTATATCCTGCAATGTATGTGTTACTTTGTAGGAACATATAGGCACCTTGGATTGCATAGCAAAGAACGGTAGGCACTCTGCAGTCATGCTAGAAGTGCCTTCGTGACCGTTGTTGCTTATCTAATCTTGAGGCACAGCTGTATGCTGCGAAGCCACTTCTTGAGGCCTTGCCATGCCACGTGATGACGTCGGCTTAGAAGTACGGAGCTTTCAATGCGTCGCACCATTATGCATGGGAAGAAACCCCAGAGAGGTGAACAGACAGCGTCTTTTGAGATGTGTGTGTGTAACAGCGAGTCTGTCTCCTTATCTAATAACTGTGCCCTGTGGTTCATTTGGCGGTTATACCAGATGTATAACGATTGGCGGCACGTCTTACTCTTGAGATATGGCGCTATCGACATCTCCAGCCCAAATTTCCCTAATCAGGACATACAGGAAGCAACGCTCTTGCTGAGTCGAAAAAGTGGTTCCTGCAAAGCTATTGGCTAACTTGTCAGACTACGCCAAGTGCGTCCGGTGAGTTGCACGTGAGGCTGTTCTTTCCCGATTCGGAAACTTCGATCAGGTTTGAGTCGTCCTGCAAGAGAAAAGGCACAGGAAAGTTAACCACAGGAACTTGAAAGCGGGAAGCTAGGGTTTGATGCGAGCACATGTTGCATATGCATTTAACATGTGCCTTGTGACTACTAGTGATCCATGTGCCCACATGAACTTGCTGCTGCCTTTTACCGGTCAGCGATCAACGGAAGTTCCAGAGCTTTTGAAATTTCATCAGGCACGAAGCATGTGCCTGACAGGCACCGCTCGAGACACTGTACAGACAAAGGCGCGACAATAGGACGGAGCGATATGTCCTTTGAACAGAGCGGTCCTGTTGGGCGTCAAAAGTTCACCTGTGGGGTGGCTCAGTTCTTTTTTCAAGCAGTGTTGTCGAGTGGGGCCACCGCTTTCTTGGATGACGGTTAAAACTTTTTCACGGTCAATGGAAAATTCAAGATCTCAAATGGGGTTGTAGGCGGCATTGGCGCCGTAGCGTATAAATTTTTAGTGAAGGCAATAATTGTAAAGCTTAATTTTGAGTATGAAATGCTATGCTAGAATATCGATGATGCGAATGCGTGCTATGCGGTCGTGGCGAAGGCGCCAAGTGGCCCTTCGCACATGCGATTGAGGTGTAGTAACCATGCGATGATGTAGGTCGATCTTGTCAAAAAACTTAGGCGAACTGGTAGTCACTGAGGGTTGTTGTCTGGACCACTTGCGTGACGGTCGAAGTCGCTGTTGTGACCACTTCGATCGTGTTCACGATGACTTCGGTGATAATTGGCTTGGCACAGACACCGGCAAGGAGAAGTGCGGAGGAAACGATAGTTTGGAATTTCATTGTTGAGTATGCGGCAAGGAACTTTATTCGTAAGGCGAAAGCAGCGGCTGATCTGGTCTTTTAATATAACTTGATCAACGCCTTTGAGACCTGCATCTAGTCCTTCCTTATATATACCAGCGCACCAACGTCTTCTGGCTCGAACCGCGCCCCAAAGTACTTGCCGCTGGCCCGCTAAACTGATATCCATGCCTTACTATTACAGTTCCTCAGGCACGCAGAGCGTTCCTTTGCGTGCCTTGTAATTTCATGCATTACCGTGTTAAGTAATACGTGCCTGCATCTTTGTACCTGATTCGGTGCATGGATATTGTCCCTCTTCCTGCAAGTCAGCACTTCGATCGTGCGTGTGCCTGCGAGCCTCACAGGCAAGGCCCTCAAGCGCGGTACTCGATTCAGAGCTCATACAGACAAGCTGAAGATGACGCCAAAAGGCGAAGAAGCGCAAAGAAAAGCAAGTCACCATTCATGGAACACACGATTCTAGTTTCCACCTCCTGGAATTTGCAAGCAAATTCGAATATATTTACGGGTCTAATTCCTTTCCTAACCAAGAATATAGCATTAGTGCTCGATTCCGCTTAGCATCGATGCGAAGGTTTTACAGTACTAGAAGCTGCCGTAAGGACATTATGCTGGGCGACTCACACATCTGGCTTCTGACATCTGGCATTTGGCTCTTGACGTGGTTTTGCGAAGCCTGTAGTGCTGCCGTAATCCTGAGTAATTCTGAGCAGGGACGAAATTTTTTCGCCTCTAGGAAAACGGTATATTGCTTTTTCCTTCTGGAAGTTTTTTTGTGTTTTACGGCTTTTGAATGACTGCATGCAGATGTGCCTGTAGTTTCCTGTATCTAATGGCAACATCGTATGCATGGAAGGCTGCCGTTTTTCATCGATTCCGTTGCCAAATACCGTAAAGCGCCCTCATGCGAAGCGTCTTCCAAGCATCGACCGTTGGGACTTGGAGGCAGCCTCACGAGGAGCTAGGCAAGGTAGAGAAAAAAACGAAAAACAATGTTTCCCTTTTTGCGGTAATGGAAGAAGTAGTTCTATGATCAGGTATGGATTTGAAGGTAGTTGGTAGTAAAGCCGTGCTTCCTCCTACTATTTTTTGTTATATGCCTTTCTTGGTTTTCCATTTTCAGAAGCTATACTAGAAACGTGCACTCAACATAGTTGGCAACATCACGTGCTACGCGCGTGCAGGAATGATTAATACCTATGCACGAAAACTCGCAAGGTACCTGAACCTCCTTGTTTCGTTAGATGTTATTAGTCTTGTTATCTCCAATCACTATGAACGAAGATTGGGAATGGCTCTAAGGCTCTTGCCGGGTCTGTTGCCCGATGCGGAAATGCGATCTTTGATAAGCGCCTCTCCAAAGATGCGAATGCGATAAGAAAATTGATAAGAACGACAGTCGCTTATGAGTAGCACGTTCTTGGATGTACACGGCTCTAAGAGACGAGGTATGCGTCTTGACTTGTTAACGGAGAGCCCTTCAACTGCTATAGCCTGGCAAAGGAAAACACCCCAGCGCTGGTAAGGTGAAGATGGAAGGCTTGGCACCGTCCGAGAACAGCATAAAGCGCACGAGGTCGAGAGCCGGATGTTATACCTGTCGACTTCGAAGAAAAAAGTGCAACGAAGTGCGCCCAAAATGCGATGTATGTTCCAAGAACATGCTCAAGTGTATCTGGCCCGAGGCAGGACACGGGAGACTTACGAAAGAGATGCGCGAGAGGATGAAGCGGGAGGTCGATTTCTACGACGAGTTTAGCCGAAATGGCATCTCGGGACCTCGAGAGTCCAAGTTGATCTCGGGAAATTCTGATACCATTGAGTACGCCTCTATTGCTGTAGAGACTTCGAATAAGATCGAATCGCCACGCATTACAACTTTCGTCAACTACACTACGGGACGGCGCAAGAAGTTTGTGCGATTGGGTGACGAGCCCCACATCAAAACCGAATATGAACTCGATACGGCCAATTACGACGACAATGCTAGCGTTGTTACTTTCATGTCCGAAAACGATGATTTTTTCTCGGCAAACAACGGAAGGCCGGCTGATGGAGCGACCCCGCAGTCGATCAGCGAACATGAGCAGACTTTTGGTCACAAATCGTACAAATCGTCTCCAGAACTTACCTTTTGCACTTCCACAGTACATTTAGAGGACGACACGGAATTTCATGGCCTCGACGAGGAGCAAACGGAGCGGTTCTATCGAAGGCTTATGCAGCAGTTCGTATTTTGGTCCGACTCTTGTAGGAAAGGCAAACGGGGTTTAGAGTCACAAGCCGCTGATAGACTGGATTTAACTGGCGACGAGTTACTACTTTACTACACCTGTATCCATTATTTTCTGCCTGCTGTGGGTCCCCAGCACACTGTGCCCGCACTAACCACCACCGAAACATTCGTTCCACTTCTAGCAGAACATCCAATTGTGACAAGAGTTTTTTTATGCTGCGGTGCCACGTTTCTTGCATGGTGCCAGCCGGACAAATATTCTGACGTTGCGGAAGCGCTATATCAAGAAAGCAGGGCAGAGCTTACTGCAGAATTGGAATCCAATCGAACCCGAGGCGATGAAACATGGGCATTTGCATGTTTTCAACTACTTTGTTTAACCGATAAGCTACACAATGGATCAGGACCCTCGATGGTCGATCGGTCAGTAGATAATCTCGGACATTCATTCTTAATCATTAAACATAAGCGTCAAACGATCAAAAACAATGGGTCCTCGCCTACCGAGCGAATGCTGATCGAAAGTTTCATATACAACTACGCTGTGTCTCTGCTCGTGGCGCAAGACGTATCGAGATTGCCTGATCCATTTGGCGAATTGTTTCATGAGCTGGTGCTTATGCTGAAATCGCCCATATTCGACGACTGCGACGTCGAATGGATGAACAACCCAGTTTTGGGGCCGTCGGTCGATGCCTTTGAGATGTTGGCCCAGGTGTCATATATGAGTCGGCTTCCATTACCGTTAAGGGAAAACGTTTGGAAAGAAAAAGCACAGGGCCTGCTTAATGAATGTCTCTACTACACGCCACCAGCTTTACCGCCTGAAATACGCAAGAGCCCTGGGAAATATGCCAAATACAGACCGGGCCTCTTGTGTGGTTCCATCATCAGCAAAGCCTGTTATTTGCTGGTTAGCAAGATTTTAAAATACGAAGAGTTTAATCTTCGCGAGCATCAAATTCAAGGCGTTGTGCACTATGCTGTTCAAAGTCTTCAAGAGATTGAAAAGGGAAACCCTCTTCTTTGCATTCTACTATGGTCTCTTCTTGTCATTGGAGCATTCACAGTCGATCCTGGAGATCGACTTGTGATAAAAGAATATTTGAAAAGTACCTCCGAGACAATTCATTCCTATGGCGCGGAGAAAATTAACCATCTACTGCTGTCTATTTGGGAAGGCGAGAACTTGAATCTCCTATTTTCTAGAGATCGTGTAAGTCAAGTTATTATTTAATTATCTGATCGAAACTAATTGATTAACGTTATCGGTAGTTGAACTCTGTCAATCATTTTAGTGCCCTCTAGTTCTCAAGCAATTGGCTCATGAATTCTGATGCTGTAATTGACATGGCTCGCCTTGCATTGCCTTTAGCCCTGAGGATTTCTTATCTCGTATCAATATCCTTAGAGTCGCTTAGCAAAGATGAAAAAGCACCGAAGCTTTCCAAGCGGCATTCGGGTCGGAAACTCCGAAGTGGTTCTATGATAGATTAAAGAATAAGTATATAAAAGGAGCCCAATGGTTTGCTGCTTGTAGTCCTCGAGATCGCAATTTGAACGTTATAGTGAACATAAATTATACAAGCGTTTTAACCTATTTTACCACCAATTACAGAGATACCTAATTAAGATAAGAATGACAACCTTGATTACACCTCCAAGATCACCCATGGCCGGCGATAAGGCGACCTCAGTCGAAAGCAAGCACACGAGAGCAGTCGTCCCGGTAAATAGTACCGCAGACATCTTGAGAGCTACTGATACGTTAGCTAAGGCTTTCAAGAACTGTCCAGCGAATGACTATCTCATGAAGAAGTTCTTCAATCTGAAGATTGATGAACATGTCTCGAAGGCGAGGATTAACTCTATTTTGAGCTATTTTAATGCGCTTTATATGGATAAAGGCGGGGAGATTGTTGAGGCCAACGATTTCGACGCCGTCGCCGTATGGACCGCGCCAGGTAAGCACTTTCACCAAGACGAAACCAACGATGCGAAGTTCAACAAGGTCTTTTTCGATGATCTCTACGAGGTTAGGAAAAGAGTTTTGCCCTCTGGACTTGACTGTTACTACCTTTTCATAATCGGCAAGGATTTGACCAAACCAGAAGTGAGAGGCTCCGTTAGAGCTATTTTTGATGAATACAAGCGTCTGGCTGACGAACGAGGTGTCGCTTTGGTACTTGAAGCTATCTCTGACCGCGCTAAGTCTGTTTATGAGTACTTTGGGTTCAAGAACTATTACACCTTCCATTTCGGTGAAGGAGAAGTTGACTCCGAAGGTCATGTGGATCCAAATGGGAAAGGATTTGTCGGATACTTGATGATTTACTACAAAGACGAGTTACCAGGTGCTATTGAGAACTAGATAGGTGAAGTAATTTACATAGCTTGGAAAGAACTTGTGGGCCATTTTCAGAGTCAACTGCTCCCTGAATTGTCAGTGAACAGAAAAGCCTTCCCACTAGAGTTCCCACCCACAATCCAGTTTTGCAAAGGATGCCAACTCACAACGGCTGGCACTGTGGCCGTTTTAAGATGAGCCAGCTGCTGCCCTTCACTGTTATAAATGTCGATCGCTCTACTCATGTTAGCAATGGCGAAAACATCTGTATTTGGCTTAAAGCGAGCTTTCAAAATGCTCGTCCATCTTCCCGTTTGACAGTTATGCTTCAAGGTGATTTTAGGCTCTAGTTGTTCCTTAGGTTCGTGTCGAACGTCGAAAAGTCTGATCGTGTCGTCATATCCATTGCAGACCAGGCTTTCACCACTAGGAGAATACGAAACGGCGGATACGCTGAGCCTTGAATCGTAGATTGAAACAATATGATAGCTCGAGCAATTCTCGAATTGAGACCACTCTGGGTTTTTAACGATTTTGCGAAGATCCCAAATCTTTAGGGTACGGTCAAGCGATCCAGTCGCTATTTCATGAGGCCTTCTTGGGTTAACGCTAAATGACCCAATTTTCTTATCAGCCAATCTTCGCAGACTTACGTTGCTTGGTTTCGATCTTACATCAAATGTTGCAAATTCGCCGCTTAAAGTTGTAAGGAGAATATGATGGGGGTCGTTCGTTTGGAACTGATAGTCGCTGATTCCCACTGCCTCACCGTATTCATTCTCAAGAGTTAAGATTTCCTCGCTATTCAAAGTGTTCAGGTCAATTGAACGAAGAATTCCATCATATGATGCTGTCAATATTTTACTCAAATCTGAGGGCATCACGTCGATACGCCCTACATTCTTGGTGAAAAGCTTGAACTTGGTGATCTCTGGTTCAACGAGTTGGTCTTGTGGGTCTGTGTCAGTAACATTCCACAGTCCGACGTGGCCTGTCGTATCTCCTCCTACTATAAGTTTTTTATCTTCTGAAGGATGGAAAAACATGGCACTGATGCGATCTTGTGTGAGCTTAATCTCATTGGGTTGGAAAATATCATACATCTGCAGATCGAATTTCTGCTGCAATTCTTGCACATCTGAAGGCGGTTTTTGGTATTTTTGAAGCTCCTTGAAAAAATCTCCACTTGAGAAGTTTTTGTTACCATAGCCCACAAATCGCGCTTCCAGTTTGTTTTCATCCTCGTCCTTGATCAAATCGCTCAGCTTAATGTCTCCGATCACTGGTGTTTCCTTAATTTTCTTCAAATCTTCAACTTCCCGGTTTTGCTTGAAAAGTTGATCTTCATTCAAGCTAGAAGGAGTGTTTCCATCGGCCAATTCTCCCATTAGTCTCCTCGACCTTCTGGTTGGAACCTTGGGCTCCTTTGGCTCTCGCTTAACCTCTTTTTTCTTGATAGATTTTTTCTTGGGTTGTCGATGCCCATCTATACCTGCGTCTCTCTTTAACTGGCGAGAAGCCGCATTGAGATTCAACTTCTTGAGTAAGTCATTATTCCTCTTGATATTTTCCAATCTCCGCTTCTGGAAATCACTCAGTTCCGCCATAAAACGTCAAGTAGTGTCTTGTTCCCTCGATTATTTCATAGAAAAAGATCAACTTTCAAAATCTTCAATTTTTTAACTGTATTTTCATCAATTGACTCGTTGTAGACCACTAAGCACTAAGTGAGATGGTCAGCAATATCCTATCCGTATTTAACCCGGCTCCTTCTAGAGACCTTGATGAATCAGAAACAAGAGACTGTGTTCCCTGCCAAGTAATGAGCACCTTATTTTCTTTGGGATTTGGAAGTTATTTGGTGAGTGGAAAACCCTTTGAATACTGTGAAAAAGATCAGAAGAAGGGTATTTCTCTGAGAGAGTTCAATCGCTTGAACCCTCAGTGGTGGCGGATCACGCTAAGAAGTGCTGGCGGCATTTTATTGCTTTTCGGGCTTTTCAGAGGTACTGAGGGTTGGCTCTGGAACCGTGGAAAGATTTATAAGAAATACGCCTGAAAGGTGAGGAAAACGGACACGTGAATATCATGTATTATAACAGATGTGCATGCGATGAGATATATGTGAGTTACATATATGTTTTTTCGCCAACAAAAGGATAACAATTTGACGGTTCGTCGAGAGTATGACTTTTTTGTTAGGTATGCTCTTTTAGAAAGCTCAGCGATTGAATCTGGCTGCCGCTGCCGCATTGGCAGCACTTTCCAGTTGACGCTTGACAAGCTTCGCCTTTTCTTGTTCTTCGCGTAAAACCATTTTGTCTTCTTTTATTTTTCTCTTGATGCGTTTGCACCAATGCCTGAACTCCCGGTCTTCCAGAGACTTGCCCATCAGAATGAAATCGTGACACATCAGCTCCTGCAGCGAAGAGCGCTCACGTTCGTCCTTGACACAGCAGCGATTAACGAAATCCACGATCACTTTGGAGAATTGTCCAGTACTAGCTAACCTCGGCGGCGGCTCGTTTACAATTCTCTGCAAAAGATCCAAAATTCCTTCGGGAGTGTCTTTGTGCCCGCCCAGCGGGAATTCACCCGTCAGAAGCTCTATTATCATGAGCCCCAATGACCAGACGTCTCCTTTTGTCGAATAAACGTTACCTTGGATACGTTCAGGAGACATGTATGTGGATGTTCCAACGAAAGTGTCGGCAATGGAATTGATGAGTTTCCTCGAAACTCCAAAATCGCAAATTTTCACATTGCCTTTGCTGCTGATCAGCACGTTCGAAGGCTTGATGTCACGGTGAATAATCTTGTAGTCCTGATACAGGTAAGACAGACCTTGTAATACCGCAGAAGAGATTCGTGAGATAGAGAGTTCATTAAACCACGTTTGGTTAGTGTGCGCGCCATTTTCCCTTGGCATGCTTCTCTTGCACGTTGCCAAAATTTTGTCTAGAGATCCACAGTCCATGTATTCCATCAAAATCACTATCTCGTTGCTAGAAGATGGCGTGTAGAATGCACCGTAGAATTCCACGATGTTGGCGTGGGGCTTGACGCTGTGCATGATGGAAAGTTCGCGCAACAGCTGATTTTTGATCGCCTCTTTATTTTCTATGGGTATGGTTTTTTTCGCAATTACGCGGGAGTCTGGTACATGCAGTGCTTTTATTACCGTTCCTGAGTTCCCAGACCCAATTTTGCCTAGTTGCACCAAATCTTCCAATTGAATCCCATGATTCTGAAGAAGCGTCAGCCGCTCCAAATCTGAAGCCAAGCCTATCAGGTCTTCAGTGGGCGTTACCCCAGCTGACGACATATCGGACACGGTAGGGCTGGGCTGTATTACCATATGTTGGTCTCTAGGCGACTCGATCGTCGGCCCAGTTTGAAGACTTGACACATACACCCTCGGCTGTATTCTGGCGCTGTTGCTTTCTACAAAAGACCCGAATGTCTCTCCTTTACTTCCTCTCTTCCCAGCACCCAACGTAAGGTGCTTGAGATTCTTTCTTTTGAGAGACGATGGCTGGAACAGCCGTGAAGGTTCTTGCGCCATCGCTGGGGTCTAATTTTTGACACAGTGACCCTTCAGAAATGATTCAAAAGTGTAAATCGCAAAACTAGACCTAATTGAACTGATGCACCCTGTTTCAATGACTCTTTGAACCCAACTACCACCGTATAGCATCTCACATCCTAAGCTTCTAACAAGCTCAAAATGTCAGAGAAGGGTCCCATCCATTCCGGCTCTTGAGCCTGTTACCCGGGTTTAGTGAAGATGAAAATTTTACCAAGGGGCCAAAGTTGACAAACTAGAAGTGACTTGTACTAATTCAAACAGGATTCTACAAGCACCAAAAACGATTGTTAGTGCAGTTTTATAGCTCATTGAAGGATGGATTCAGATTGGAAAACACAGCTTAATATACCTAAGAAGGATACGCGTCCTCAGACTGACGATGTGCTCAATACGAAGGGTAACACATTTGAAGACTTCTATTTGAAGCGAGAGCTCCTGATGGGCATTTTTGAAGCGGGATTCGAGAAGCCATCGCCAATTCAAGAGGAGGCTATACCTATTGCTTTGGCTGGGCGTGATATTCTTGCCAGAGCGAAGAACGGAACAGGTAAAACGGCGGCGTTTGTGATTCCTACGCTAGAGCGCGTGAAACCCAAGGTAAAGAAGATCCAGGCCCTTATTATGGTCCCTACGCGAGAATTGGCGCTACAAACATCGCAGGTGGTGCGGACTTTAGGTAAACATTGCGGGATAGCGTGCATGGTAAGCACTGGGGGTACCAATTTGCGTGACGACATTATGAGACTAAATGAGCCAGTACACGTACTGGTGGGCACTCCAGGGCGCGTGCTGGATCTCGCGTCGCGTAAAGTAGCGGATTTGAGCGAATGCCCGCTGTTTGTAATGGACGAAGCGGACAAAATGCTTTCAAGGGACTTCAAGTCTATCATCGAACAAATTCTAAGTTTTCTACCCAAAATTCATCAATCGTTGCTCTTCAGTGCGACCTTCCCTATGACGGTCAAAGAGTTTATGGTTAGGCATTTGAACAAGCCGTACGAGATCAATTTGATGGATGAATTGACCTTGAAAGGTATCACGCAGTACTACGCTTTCGTCGAGGAAAGACAAAAACTGCATTGTTTGAACACGCTTTTCTCCAAACTGCAAATCAATCAAGCTATCATATTTTGCAATTCCACCAATCGTGTGGAATTGCTTGCCAAGAAGATCACTGATCTAGGCTATTCTTGCTACTACTCCCACGCAAGAATGAAGCAAGAGGAAAGGAACAAAGTTTTTCACGAATTTCGTCAAGGTAAAGTCCGGACGTTGGTCTGTTCCGATCTTTTGACACGTGGTATTGATATTCAAGCCGTAAACGTTGTTATCAATTTTGATTTCCCTAAAACCGCCGAAACTTATCTACATCGTATTGGTAGATCCGGCAGATTTGGACATTTGGGTCTAGCGGTCAACTTGATCAACTGGAATGACCGTTTCAACCTTTACAAGATCGAACAGGAGTTGGGCACAGAGATCGCGGCCATTCCCGCACAGATCGACAAGTCTTTGTACGTTGCAGAAGATAATTCGGCTGTTCCCGTTCCATTCCCGTTGGCCTCTCTACCAAATACTACTCCTAACGTTCCAGGACAGAGCTTGCCTCCACAACAGACACATCCTCAATTTCAACACCCTCAGCAATTCCAACAGCCCCAACAATTTCAACACCCTCAGCAATTTCAGCCACCTCAGCAGTTACAGCAGGTTTACTCACATGCATACCCTTCACAAGCTATGCCTCCTCCACAACAGCACGTCGCTCAGACACCATATTAGGGTAAAGCTAATGCGTTGAATGGGTGGCGATCGAAAGGCTTCCTTGGAGAGTTGATGAGAATGAGATGGTGAAAAGAAGGGGAAAATGAAAGAGAAGAAGAACGGGGCGAGGATGGGAAGAAATTTTGGAAGAACCAACCGAACAAAGAACCTTAAAATACAAAAAAAAGAATGCGTGAGCTGACCTGTTTTATAAAACTATTCTTGGGGCATTTTGCATGCTGATCGCGCATTTTAAAACGGAGTTTACCAAATTTTTTGTGTTTTCTAGCATGTTACGAACTGAAAGATTGGAGATCTCACAGCTGTTGTTACAGTAATGCATGATATATTAAACGTGTTTTCTTCACTTATGGTTGCATTTGCGCATTTTGTCACATTTTGATACAGGTCTACAACCAACAAAACACCTATTGCTACTCATTATGAGAGAGCAAATTGTGGAAGCTACTATCAAAAATTCGTTCAAAAATTCGATGTTTTTGCGCGGGCCGCAGCTGCATTTTCCGATTCTTTCGGTTATATTATTAGAGGTTTTACGGAGAGCTTTTTCTCTTATGGAATCGATGAAGGTACCACCGTCATAGATCCTAACCTCGTTTACGTATTACTCCACTCCAGATATATAATAGGAAAACAAGCATCTTTGCCATTCAATGTTTTCAAGATTACATGTGACATTTGATGAGGCATTCAAGTTTAAAATTTAGCTGTTTGATGAACCTCTTAGAAACACTTGTGAATGACCTAATAGCTTTTAGGTCTTGCTGACCGGAATTCTATGAAAGTCTTGAACCCTATATCGTTGTATTTAATCAATTTCGAGACCTTGAGTTATCCAGTGGTTTATTAAATACATTATTTGAAAACCCAATAGGAGAAATCTAAAACCATTCGCTTGACGATCTTAAAAGAGTACAGAATAAGAAAGGACAGACCATATACGTGTGCAATTTTTCATTATTATTTGCTGGAATTTTGGATTTAAGAGACTTAATATACATGCCGGTGAATAAGTTTGGGTTTATAAACATTGAGTTGAAATCATGGAAGAGCAGTTCACGAAAACACTAAGATCTACAATCGATCTAAACTCTATATTGTGAAATAAATTTGTTCAAAATTTAAGCATTTTATTAGTCCTCGATCAAATTTTATCAGCATTTCGGAGTTGGCCGAGGAGATAGGTATTCTCAAGCAGGAACGTCTTAAATTGAGATGGTTGAAAGATTTGTCAAATCAAAGTTCACTAATACCAACCCGTTCTAGTTAACGACAAAAAAGAAGGATTTTGGCGTTTTTTTGTACTTGATTATTCGAAGACCGGTTGTCTAATATATATTTCACGTAGAAGATATTGCAGATGTGAGAACTCAAGGTCTCGAGAACTTTCAAAAAACAAAGATCTTACCAAAATGAGCACGTTCAACATCGACGAGCAACGTCTCTTAATTGGTTCCGCTGCAGAATTTCTAAAACACAGACTCTTTTTGCATTTCACAAGATTTGAGCCTCGAACACTTATTATTTGCGGATCGGGATTAGGAGGAATCGAAGAAAGGATCGCACCCAGACCAGTGCCATTGAGCATTGACTACCATGAAATTCCAGGATTTAAGACTAGTACTGTTGCTGGTCACAAGGGTAAACTTGTTTTTGGCGTTATGAATGGGTCTCCGGTCGTTTTAATGTGCGGAAGGTTGCATTCATACGAAGGTCACGCATTGCACCAGACCACTTTTCCTATAAGAGCTTTGAATCAGCTGCAATCTATCAAATATCTCATTGCGACAAATGCGTGCGGTGGACTTAACACCCAGTATGCGGTGGGTGATTTAATGTGTCTGATCGATCATATCAATATTCCAGGACTTGCTGGCCAACATCCCCTTCGTGGTCCCAATTTCGATGAAACTGGACCTCGATTCCTGGCATTGAGTGATGCATATGATCTCCAGCTTCGCAAGCTGTTGTTTCAGAAGCGTTTGGAACTCGGTTTAGAACGTCCGCTGCACGAGGGCACATACACTTACGTCTCTGGACCCACTTTCGAGACCAGAGCTGAGGCACGCTACATACGGGCCATTGGTAGCGATGTGGTCGGAATGAGTACAGTTCCGGAAGTGATTATTGCAAGACATTGTGGCCTGCGTGTTCTAGCACTCAGTTTAGTGACCAACGCAGTTGTCGAAGATCCTCCAGCCAGCGCTCTTGATGAAAATCCCGTGCCCATCGAGAAGGGAAAAGCTACTCATGAAGAAGTTCTTGAAGAAGGGTTTTTGGCCTCGCTTGACGTGCAGGCTCTTGTGGAAGCCGTTGTTCAAGAGTTATAGACGACTTGCGAATTCCGTATTTTTCTGTTTTTCGATATACATAGAAACTTAGATATAATAAGCATGCATATCGTGGCAGTTCATTGCTCGACGGTACCGGCAGACTCCCAATCGCCTTCCAAATTCTCCTTCCAGAGTGTTACCTTATTGTCGCCACCAGAAACAGCGAGAATATTGCCCGACAAAGACCAACTGGCTCTCCACAGAACGTCTGGGAACTTATCTTGTGTCAAGAGTCTCTTCTTCCATGGACCTTGATTGTTCTCTTGGGTCCAAATTATGCAAGTCCGGTCCTGCGACACACTGGCAACGTAAGAGCACAGCAGAACGGATGGAGACCATGCAACGTCGCGAACCCAATCCGCGTGACCTTCCAAAGTGTCTTCTAAAAGATACGTGTTGGCGTCACTATTATATCTCCAGATTTTCACAAGATTGTCAGCACCACCCGTTACAAACCTGCGCAGTTGTTGAGGCGTAGTAGTAGCACCTTCCTGAATCGTGGCAGGAGCCCACGACGCGGTGTTCACGCCGATCGCGTGTGTATCCACGAGAATGGGCGCGGTGGTCCCATTCTCTTTGAACTCGACCACTGACACTTTCCCGTCCGATGAAGCAGCCAATAGCAACGGTCCATACTCATGAGGAGCCCATTGTACCGAGTTCACAGACGCAGAATGCACTGCATGTACTGCGATCTGAGACCATCTGCCACCTTCTTCTTTCCAGATCAACACCTTACCATCGTACGAACACGATGCTAAAATCGTACCAAACTTAGGATGAGCCCAATCCACCTGCCAGACGGGTCCCTCGTGACCTTGAAGCGTCTCGACATGTCTGTGCGTCTCTCCCTCTACCTCGAAGATCTTGATTGTTTTGTCCGACGAACACGTCGCCACACGTCTTCCGTAGTAATCAAGCACAGCATCATGGATGAGCTCATTGTGCGCATTAGAAATGGTCACCATCGTGGCAATTGAACTCACGTGAGGGCTTATAATAGCAATTCGATTAACTGCTATAACTGCTAACAGTTCAAATATGCAATTGGGCTTTCTCTAATAAATCAAGTTGTTCTGGGAAGCCGGGTTACTTGAAAGTGTTGATAGCGCTATATACGAATAACATCTTAGCAAGCATACTTTTTGAAATCTCATGAATTTGGGAGGATTGAGCAAGAAATCGAGACATCTAACGAGCGCTATAAACAGACTGACACGGCTGAACAGACAGTGAAGTGACCAATTTCTTGATAAAACTTTTAGGAGATAAGTTCTGGTAGCGGTTTTCAAATTTTGTAATTCATTCTATTTTTTGGTCCTAAGCCTATGACTGCTTTGTAAGTAGGAAATGCTGATTATGCGAGGTGTGTCTTTTGTAAAAAAAAGATTTTATTTCTTGAGTTTCGAGCATTTTGCAAAATCAGTTTCGCATTGTCTTATTCGTCATGCTCAGGCTCTGCAGTGGGCTGTGTGTCCACCTTTATAAATAAAGCAGCGCACTTGCGTAGTAGGAGTAAAAGTGTATCTCTGAAGACGGCAAGCACGACAATTAGAGTAGACCTCAAATCTTGAAGGAGACCAGTGCGGCTTAATTCGCTAGTTTCGGATTCAATTTCCGCCTGTTTGGAAAACAGTGCTTTAAAATTGAAAAATGTGGTATTTGGTACCTTAGAAGGCAACCCGTCAACGTCCTTGTTTCGAAACCGAGCCCACCACGACTTGGCACGCAGCTTCCAAACAGTCAGCTTAACGCCTAAATGGAAGCGATCGAGAATAAAATTTGGAACCTGCTCGTAGTAACGTTTGGCAAGATGATAGTCTTCTTTGACTCCAAGCCCATACTCGTACATATATCCCAGATTCCAGCTGCCTTGCGCAGACCGCTTCTTTGCGGCACTTCGGTATGCGGCTACAGCCTGCTCATATTGGCCGAGCCTGTAGAGAATATCCCCGGCAACCACACCAGCATCTCGATTAGACTGCGAAAATGCATTAGTGTAATACTTTACCGCCAACATTGCCCTGCTTTCAGGCGTATGAGGCGGATCCTCGAGTTGTAGCGGTGGCTGGTATAGTAGGTACGCGGCATTGATTTGGGCCGCTTCAAAACCTTGCTCAGCAGCAAGGGCGTATTGCCAGAGAGCCACCTCTGATTTGTCACGCAATAAATTGGCAAATGCTTCGCGAAGATGAGGAGCCACTTTGTCCTCGCATTTTTCCAAAAAGTTTTTAAACGTCAGAATAGAGTCGAGGTATTCCTTCTTCCCTGTACCCGACTCTTGATGGCTCGAGTATTCATACATAGCTGGTGTGTTACCCATGAGGGCTGCGATCTCCAAATGTGTAAGTCTGCCTCCCTGTTTTGTTTGTCCCATGAGAGCACCTGATCTCTCATGAGTGGCAGGTGCGCCATCGGTCGCACCACCACCAAGCAGAACGGCCATTTGGAATTCGGCAGTTTCAGTTTCCTTTGTACCTTGGTGCTTTGTCACCTCTAGATAATGAGTTTTGGCAATTTCCAAGTTGCCCGTGAAATAGTGCTCGATGATACCCAGGTCTGTATGGGCGTCAATCGCCACACTCCCCGCTTCTTCTGCTAAATCAAGTGCCTTCTCCAGATATTCTCTGGCAAGTCGAATATCGGTAGGAGCGCTTCCTTCGCCTCGCAGATAAATACGTCCAAGGAGCGCGCAGCATTTCCCGTAATAAAATCGTTGCAGATTGTCTAAAAAATGCGTGCTATCTTTGTATTCCTCAAGAGCGCTTTTCAGAATCTCGGCTGCAATGTCAACGTTTCTATACTGCGTATAGGTGCCCATGTAGTTGTCTATGGCCATATAGTAGGCATCTACTATCTGATTATCGGTCTCTTCGTCGTCATCTTCGAAATTACTCGAGTCCCGGCTCTCCCCGAAGCGAAGTACAACGTTGCCGTTACTCAGCGCTGTCAGAAAAGAAGAAGTTATGTCCGGACGTACTGCCCGCTTGCGTTTGGCTGATGTGAACATGGTATTGAGTTTTTCGCCCAAAAGTCCGCCATTAAAATCAGGTATTCTGACGTTGTAAGATTCCACGTAGGGTGGAAAGACATACCACTGGGTGTCATTGAAGTGATTCCGCACTTCATGGGCCACTGAACTGTACAGAAAGTGTGCACGGTCACTATCTCTCGGTACGCTAATCCCATAAAAGCTTCTATAGGCGAGGGCCATTTTGGCACGAATATCACCTAAAGCAGCAGCTCTCTCATAATACAACAGCGCCTGCGCGTCGTCTACTGGGAGTTGCCCAAAAAATCCCGTGGAATGCATTACACCGACTTCGAAAAGTGCACTGGCATTGCTAAAATTCGTCATTTCGTTAAATTCGTTCATATATGCGAATGCAACGCTTTTGTTGTGCGGGAAACCAAACAGGCCCAACAAGTTGATCTGTGCGAGCTGATATGTCGCTGCACTATCATTAAACGCATCGCTGGCAAACGCGAGCTCATCGTACGCTTTTCGCTGCAAATCACTTGCTTGTGAATCCCAGAAATGCTGGTACCGTATTTCTTGCTCTTGCTCGTAATAATCCATCGGAATCGTCATTTGAACTCCATCGAAAGGTTGTTTGAGCATGGCATCTTTGTCCAGTGATGATCTCAAAATGGGGTCCCATTCTCTCGGTAAGTCTCTCAAAATCTCATCAACGCTTCGCGAAACTTGTGGCTCCACTTGACCTTGCACCAGGCTTTCGCCGAGGAGCATAAAAGGCCATAGAACACTACTCCTCATGCTCTTTTATACTTTATAAATGGGTTGGGAAAGTGTCTTTTTCAAATACTCTGTTCTATATACCTTACGAACGAAGGCCAGCAAATCAAGGTAAACGTCGCTCAATAGTAATCCAAGATGAAGAAGGCTGGTTCCATAAGTCTTAAGTTGAAATCTTGCGAGAAAAACCTCAAGATATCCAAGAGACTTTTTGAGACTTTTTTGAGCCGTTTTTCTACCGATCGAAATGCGAATAAAACGGCCTATGTGGCGTATATTACGAATGTCAAGAACTTCGAACCGTTAAAAGCTTCAATTACAATCGTAGAGGACTCTGAACCACGCCAAAAATATTGAGAATCTGTTTAGCCTGTAGAGAACCATTTCCCCCCGATTTTCAGTCACCTGGAGCACAAAACTTGCATCCCTGATAAAAGTGATCGAACAGCGAAAGTATTCATATTACATGAAACTCAGAGATGATTATCTCTATGACAAGAATTATTGCATCCGCAGCTAAATCCAAATCTATGGGTCGAGGTTTGCTGCTTTCTGTAAAGATGAGTATTAGCGGTTCAGTTGTAACGGTTGAAGAGTAGCATCCCATCAAATTAGCTACCCGAGCACCCAAATACGTAGTTAAGAAACCTTGAACTCAGAAAATAGGAGGCAATAGTCGCACATTCAAAGACTCATCTTGAGCTATAGACTCCCCCATGTCATTCTTGTATTATATAACAAGACACTCCTCGCTAGTACCTCACGTTGAAAAACTAATATCAGCTGTAAAGTCGTCCCAAGCTTAAATAAAGACAAACCAATGCACCATATTGTACCCCAGGACACAATAGCACGTGTGCTTGAGACTTGTTCGTTCGAAAGCGAAGATACACGGATCACAGAGTCTACGGTCAATCTAGTAGACAAGTATCTAGAAATGTTTGTTCGAGAAGCAGTTCTACGATCACTTGAAAATAAAGAACAAGAAGTCAAGCAGGAAGAGAATAACCCATTAAGGGAAGCCACGGTCCTAACGCATAAAGATCTAGAAAGAGTATTGGGCGTTTTGCTGCTCGACATGTGAAAATTTGGAGCGTTTTATTCGGTAGGTAAACGTCTCAAGTCATTGAAAACAGTATATTTATATATACTACAGATCAATCAAACTGACACCCTGATCAGGCGTCGGGCCCTGCTGCATTCGGTTGTGCTGAGAGGGTTGGGAAGACTGGTTCCCAAAGCCATAACCGGTGTATGCAGGAGCGATGCTGGTGCTGGGGAGCCCTGTGTACTGGGTGCCCAAGAAAGGATTGTTTTTCGGTTCGTTCGAAACTTGCTTATAACCTGTACCCTGGGAATTGATGAATGTGCCAGTTTTAGTGTGTTGCGCTGGAACCCTCGCATCGCCCGTGTTACCGAAGGTGTCGATCCCTGTGCCCGAGGCCAGCAGATTGTTCAGTTCGCTGTACTTGTCCGAAATAGACTGGTTACCGGTTCGCGTTTGCTTCAGAGGCTGTTGAAGCATAGCTTGCTCGTTTCTGAGGGGCTCAGTAGGAGGCCTTGCGGGCGCGGCGGGCACCACGGGTGTCGAGTTCTGGTTCGCACCGTTTCCAAGTGCAAACGGATTATTGGATCCGGTCGGTAGCGGCATCTGCGACTGCGCAAACTGCTGCTGCTGTTGTTGTTGCTGCAAAAAAGCTTGCTGCTGTGCCAAGTACTGTTGCTCTGCCATCTGCTGTTGATACTGCTGCATTGCGAGCTCCTGCTGAGCCTGCTGAGCCTGCTGTTGCTGGAATTGCAAATACTCTTCCGCGGAGATCGGATTGCCAAAGATATCGTAGTACATGGGTTGCGCAGGCTGCGTGGGTTGCGCGAACATGTACCCAGTGGGCTGTTGGACCCGCTGCTGCTGCTGCATTTGTCGGAGTCGCCGCAGCTCTTCCTCCTCTTTGCTGAGTTGCAACGCGGTCTCCAATTCCCCATCACCGTAGCCTTCTTGTCTACGCCTGCGTTCTGCTTCTTCTTCTTCCGCCGTGATACGACTCTCCTCGAGGGCACGTTGCAAATCATCGTCGTACCCGTTACTGGTTCTCCGCCTTCTGGGCCTTCTGTTACGTGACCGCATTTCTCGTTCTTCGCGCAAACGTTCTTCATCCAGCAGTAGCGATGTCAGTTCCTTGGCCTTTATACGCACGAGTTGTCCCTGGTCCTGGCCCATTTCGTCCTCGTGCATGAATTCCCGTAATGTCTTGATCAAATATAAGTTTTCTTTGCACCACAACACGCAATTTTCCGACCCGTCTCTCACCAAGTAGTCCAGTGTTGTCAGCGACTTCGCCACATGTCGCCAGTTCTTACCTTTGTCGTTCAGTCTCTTGTCCAGCATGTCCATCAACTCAAAGAACTCAACACTGTCGTAAGATCTTTCAGCGATCACATCCAGAAGCTCCGGCGATGGGCCCTCCGGGTCGTTAGAGGTTGCTTCGCGCACAAGCACTTGAATCGTCGAGTACCCATTCACCACATTCTTGGCCTTGCGAATCAGGGATTTCGACATTTTTAAATGACTGCCCTTTGCTTAAAACGCTATGGAAACAGGCCTTTAACTGGAGCTTATGGTCTTGATTTCAACCTGATGATGGCCGAGTTCTTATAGGACCCCTTTAACTTGAAAGCGTTGATTAACTTCTTAATTATCACGAGATCCGGGTAACCGTTAAACTCGTAAAGGATCGATGCTTGAGTTGATACCTTTGCCGAGACTTGAAAACATAAAAAACACTCATAGACAAGCATATTGAAGCGATTTGCAGCCATTTGGGGGGTTAGAACGAATAGACATTGCAATTTGGCTCAAGTTATTCCTTTCGAGCTCGGAAAAGCACCAATTTTGAGGAAATCAAACCATTTTTCTGAGGTTTATTACATATCGGGGAGTAGACGGATATCCGGACCAGTGGGGCCTATAATTTAGAGCTTTCACATTACAATTGGTGTACATGATCACAAGGTTGTCATTAAGAATGTCCACGACGAAAAAACAAGCAACTTTAGGAAGCTTTTTCAGCTCGATGAAGAGAAGTTCAGCAGAAAAGAGCGATGCCACGGCGCATAGCTTGACGAATGGCGCCAAGAAGGCCAAGTTGGATGCGGATAGTAAAACACAAGGGGTAGGAGCAACACCGCCAGATACTTCGGTGGAAAAAATTCCCAGCGCTGCTCCTACGGCAACGCACTCTGCGCCCCAAGATAGCAAGATCTTGTACGCGGACATGTGTCGGGTTTTCAGCGAGATAGAGGAGACTTCGTCGCGGCTGTCGATTGTCAAGCTATGCAGCGATTTTCTGTACTCAGTTTTACTCAAGAAACCACAGGATATTGTCCCAATTACGTATCTTTTCATCAACAAACTTGGTCCCGACTACGAGCCAGGCCTGGAGTTGGGACTAGGGGAAGGTCTGCTGATGAAAACGATAAGCGAGAGTTGCGGGAAATCGCTGGCGCAAGTCAAGGCGAAGTACCGCGAGGTGGGAGATCTGGGCCGCATTGCACAGGACGCAAGAGCCGTACAACCTACCATGTTCAAGCCCAAGCCGCTGACAACAGGTGAGGTTTTCTCGAATTTACAGGCAATCGCCCGATCGGAAGGCAAAGATTCCCAGCTGCGCAAGATACGACTCATCAAACGGATGTTGACCGCGTGCGAGGGCGTCGAGGCCAAGTACCTAATTAGGTCGCTCGAGTCCAAATTACGAATCGGTTTAGCGGAGAAAAGCGTGCTTATCGCATTGTCCAAGGCTATTTTAACTTTAGAACAAAAGGGCAAAGAACCCTCAGCGGACATGGTTGATGAAGCCGAGGAGAAGATTAGAGACGCCTTTTGCCAGGTACCAAACTACGAGATAGTGATCAAAGCCGCCCTGGAATACGGAATTATGGAAATCGACAAGCATTGCAAGCTAACTCCTGGTATTCCTTTGAAACCCATGCTTGCCAAGCCATCGAAATCAATTTCGGAAGTGTTAGACCGATTTGAGGGCCAAAGATTCACTTGCGAATACAAGTATGATGGCGAGAGAGCACAGGCGCATTTGTTAGCGGACGGAACCATGCGCATATACTCCAGAAACGGAGAAAACATGACGGAGAGGTACCCAGAGATACGCATAAGCGACTTCATCGCGGAGCCGGACAAAACGCACACCTTGATCCTGGACTGCGAGGCAGTCGCTTGGGATAAAGAGCAAGATCGAATCTTGCCTTTCCAGGTGCTCAGCACGCGGAAGCGTAAAGGTGTGGTCGCAGAGGACGTTAAAGTTCGCGTGTGTTTGTTTGCGTTTGACATTCTATGCTACAACGACGAGCCCCTCATCAACAAATCTTTCGCTGAGAGGAGGACGTATTTGGAGCGGGCACTGAAACCTGTGCGCGGCGAGCTGCAGTTTGCCAACGAGATGACCACTGCGAGTCTCGACGAAATGCAGGCGTATCTGGACCAAAGTGTCAAGGACTGTTGCGAGGGTCTCATGGTCAAGGTGCTGGATGGGCCAGAGTCGCATTACGAGCCCAGTAAACGGTCTCGGAACTGGCTCAAGCTCAAGAAGGACTATTTGCAGGGTGTGGGCGACTCGCTGGACCTGTGCGTCATGGGCGCGTACCACGGCCGCGGCAAGCGTACTGGGCGGTACGGAGGGTTCTTGCTGGGCTGCTACAATCAAGACACCGGTGAATACGAGACCTGCTGCAAGATCGGCACTGGGTTTTCGGACGAGATGCTGCAGAAGCTGTACGACGACTTGAGCCCCACCGAGGTGGCTGCACCCAAAGCCTTCTACGTGTACTCGGATTCCGCCAGCCCCGACGTGTGGTTCGAGCCCTCGATGCTGTTCGAGGTGCTCACCGCGGACCTATCGCTCTCGCCCGTCTACAAGGCTGGCGCGGCCACTTACGACAAGGGCATTTCGCTTCGTTTTCCGCGCTTTCTACGTATCCGCGACGACAAGGCCCTCGAAGACGCAACGAGCTCTGAGCAAGTGGTGGAGCTGTACGACAGCCAGTCCCACATGCAGAAGTGAATACGTAAGAAGACTGACGCTTGCGCAGTCGGGCCAACTCCGCACCCGTGGCACCCCAGGTTCATGGCCCGTTAGCCCACGAGCCCGCTAGTCCGCTGCCTGGCTCGCACCTGGCTCGTATTCGCTACCGGGCTCGCTACCGGGCTTGCACCCGGTAGCTATAGCGACTCTCGCTTACCTAACAGTTAGGTTTAGATAAGCCAAAACACCATGTGACCACTTAGGAGTTATCGGTTCTACAAGACCGCACCCATCGAAGGAAACTTGATGGCGCCAACGAGGAGCCCGTATAAATAGGCGGGACGTTTCGACGGAAGATACGGAATTGTCATTTTGGTAGCAGCTACTTTGGTGGAATTACTAGTGGTTGAGGAAGACTTTTGAGAGCTTTTAGAAGTTAAGAAGTTAGGAACTTTAGAAGTTTGAAAAGTTTGAGATTTAAGAACTCTGAGTCGTTTGAGAAGTCTAGAAACCAAGAAGTTTAGACGTTAAGCATCATCTTTGACTATGGCGACGACACAGACAATTCCATCGCCCACCGATGTGGGCGCGCTGGCCAACAGAATCAATTTGTACACCAGAGACCAGCACAACAAGATCGATGCGCAGATGAGCGTACGGTTTGCGTTTGCCATGAAGCACGGATTCATCTATCGGCAGGGCCTGCTAGCGTTTTACTACGTGTTTGACGCGATAGAGCAGGAAATCGACCGTTTGCTGCAGGATCCACGGGACGCCGCAGAGTGCCAGGCCCGCGACATTCTGTTACAGTTCTGGGCCGACGATTTCCGCAGAAGCTCCAAGATCTTCCAGGACCTAGAGCTGCTGTACGCAGACGTGTACAGCACGCGCGAGTCGCTGACGGCGTTTCTGAACCAGCGCGAGCTGCCACGCGAACAGCAGGCGTTTGTCGACTACATCCACGCGAGCATTCGCGCAGAGCCTACAACGGTACTTGCGTACTGCCACGTGCTGTATCTGGCGCTGTTTGCCGGCGGCAGAGTGATGCGGTCAACCATTTACCGCCACACGGGCTTGTTCCCACATTTCCCGGATCTGACGCCGCAAGAGGTGGTGCGTAAGGGCACCAATTTCTTCACTTTCAGTGATGACGGCGTCGATGCCGAGAACAAGCTGCGCAAAGAATACAAACGTGGTTACGAGCTCGCGACGCGGCACGGACTGAGCGAGGACCAGAAATTGCGTGTCCTGGAAGTATCGAAGGACATTTTTGAGTGGAACATGCGTGTTGTCACCGAGATCGGCGAAATTAACCGTTCGCAACTGATGGGCACTCTGAGTTTCCGACTTGTGACGTTTTTCGTCGAAGAATGGAAATACTCTACCAAGCTGACAAAACGTCAGAAAACGCTGGTGCTGGTCGCGGGCGTCTTGTTTCAGCTGTTCCTAGCATACTGGATTTTGTCCAAATGGCTATGAATTGACTTCACGGGACAGGAATCCTCGAAGTACAAACTATGTAACTGTTATCCACCGAATGCATAACTCACAAACTCTTACACTATCACTGTGCCAGATAACTATGAATAACATGATACTTATATGTACAGGATCTAAAAACTGGTAGGCCGGACGCTTCTCCGCGATCAGTTGCCCTGCGACTGTTTTCTCTTCTCGGCCTTCTGCGCCTTTCTGCGCTTGCGCAGCTTGTGTTTCTTCATCTTCAGCTTCCTCTTTCGCATCACGCTGTCCAGCAACATGCCGTTCTCGTCAGCCTTGTCAGCCTGTGATGGTGAACATTGCACAGCGGAAAGCGCAGGAATCTGGGGGTTCAAGGCACATATCACGGTAGGTATCACCATAGGCTGGCTCCATGTATTGTGTGAAAGAGAATAAAGTCGAGTACTCGCCATGCTGCGGCTTATCATACCGAGACCCACCGACCTCCTCAAAACTCCGAACATGTTATAATTTTGCTTGTGGGTCACCGGGCAAGCGTTTCGAGCGGCAGGAAAAGGTAACTTCAATAGTGGACTACCTTAATGGAGTCGAGCAGACTTCAATTGGCTTATGAAAACGTCCTAACCGTGTATTTCGGACTACTTCAACGCCAGTTCCAAGGTTCGAAGCGTCAGTAAAGCTCTTGCAGATGTCTTCTTGATCGAAAAATTTGCCGTCATTGTCAACGACAAAAATCGAAAGTTCATTTCCATGGTCAAGGCAGCTGGAAAATTTTGAACCACACCATAGACAACAGAATCGACTTAACGAGCCTGCCGCGAAGCCAAGGTGATTTAGGCTTGGTTGATAGTTGATTTTACAGAGAATTGATGCGAATTAGCGTGTCGTGCTCGAGAGCGGCGAAAAAATCCGTGCTCAGGGGAGCAACTAGCTCACAAAAACGTCACATAATGGGTTTTGTCAGAAACGCATTGGGGCTTGACCCCCCACCATCCCCTGATGATCCAACACCTGAAAATAGATTCCATCCTTGGGATCAGTCGCCATCACCTGACCTGCGGGAGCGAGCCGCGACGATCAGAACGATGGCGAAATGTCCAGTGACGGGCAAAGAGATCAATTACACGTGTCCTAAATCGGGTATCCCCACTCATCACTCGAGAGAGGCGTGGGAAAAGGACTTGGACTACCAGAATTCGCAAAGGCCTGGAATTTTGCGCAAAGTGAATATCTATGAGCATGACCTGCGGTCCGGACGTGCTTTCCCCGAATTTGATTTCCCAGCGGAGCAGGACTTCGATAGAATGGTCAACTTGACGAACTGGGACCTGTACTTCTACACTCGTGGCTTTTATTCGATGGACACCGAGTTTCAGCTCGCTGCGGTCACTAAAATGCTGAGCTACCCGCTTACGATCGGGTCTGTTCTGCACCAGTTTTCCCCTTACTCTCTAAACCCTAAGGGCCCAGTCACTCTGGAGGGCTTAAAGTCGCTGGCGGCGCTGCGATACACTTTGTATCCCGAACAGAACCGGAAAGTCGCGACCGCGGCGAGAAACAGTCCGCTTCGGGTCTTCATTCTGGGTGCTCGCGCTGAGGCCCAGCTTCCGGGTCACGTATGGAAACAACTTCAGTATCTATATCCTGAAACAGCCATTGAGCTGCATTTCGTAGGGCCAGAGTGCTACTTCGATCGCACTAAACGCGAATACGTCACTTCTTCCACACCAATCGTGCAAAGAATAGACGAGTCTCTCAGTCTCGTCTACCACACGGATTACTTCCATGTATTCCATGAGGCCCAAGACTTCTTCCCTTACGACCCCTACAACGACGTGTTTTTCACGTTCCATCCTGGATTTGCCGCGCCTGAGTCGAGAAAACAGTGGATGGACAAAACCATGGCGGCGTTATTGGAGACCAAGTGCGCTATTTTCACAACTGGTTTCAACGAAAATGATCTAAGATCTGACGTGGAAGCGGTCCAGTCTGCTTTTGGGAAGGAGGTCGATCTTCTTATGGATCCCGTGAAAAACGTTTTCAACAGCACCAAATGGGAGCTCAACGACACGAATCCCCAAGAAGTTTACCAGTTCAACATGTACATTGCCGGATTCCGGGGTAAACGGTACCACGCGATAGAGGTATGATCTAGGTCTCTGGCCCCTGATGTACTCCATTAATACCTGTATATAAAAGCTGTACATCACTCGCGCACATCACATGCGCACTTCACACAACCCGCGCCAAACATAAGTATTAATGACTTTAAATGATAACAACAACTACGCTCACATAATGGCGCTGTAGAAGAGAACAAAATCTCTCTGGCACTTCTCCCACCTTTGCGGGTCGAAAAATACGTAGGATCCACGCTCGCTGGCTCCGTCCTGCGCCACTATAGGTTCCATTAGTGGATCTTTTGTAAGCCACACTTTCAACGTTTTGTGGTATCTCCAGTTCCGTTTTCTGAGCTCCAAATACGTTAATTCTTGGATCACGGTGCCAGGATGTTTATAAAACAGATAAAACAACGCTTCGTCCTGAAATAGCGCTACTTTGGCATGATCTTGTTGCACCGAATTGAATGTAGGAGGTTGTGGTCCGGATTGTAGCACATTCGGTATGTTACAGAACGAGTCTGGCACGAAAAATCTCGGTTCCACCTCGCATCGGGACGTCTCAACCCATGGCGATTGAAATGTGTCCAATACTCGGCTTCTTCTATTACTTTCGCTGTCTATCCCAAGCGAATGAAGCACCGACGAAAGATCTATCCCTATCGTCGTAGAATGGTCGTATTCGACTCCCATTTCACCTCGTCTTATAAGAGGCACTAAGGCTCGCAGTCCGTACTTGTCTAATGACATTTTCAATCGTTTCAAGGACTATAAATGGTCGGTTTGTTATTATCTTTAGTCCTTTAAAGATCCACCTCTAAGAAACAGGAAAATTTTCAATATAGAAACAGGCTCATCGCTCTTAAAGCCTGTTTCATGACATCAAAACGACCCAAGAAACTGGCTTATAGAAGCTTACAGGGGCGTGTATACGGTGATTCCGGTATTGAAAATGGCTGCTAGAAGATTTGCTCCAAATATCATCGTTACCGGCACTCCAGGCTGTGGAAAAACGAACACTTGCGAGCTTCTAAAACGACGTTTGGACAATTGCAATTACTACAACATCAGCGATTTTGCAGCGGAACACAAGTGCTACGAGGGCTACGATGAGGACCGCAAGTCGCACATTGTCGATGAAGACAAATTGCTGGACGAAATGGAACCGCTTTTGCGCAACGGAGGCGCGATTATCGATTGGCACGTCAACGACATTTTCCCGGAACGGTTGATAGACCTGGTAGTCGTTTTGCGGTGTGACAACTCCGATTTGTACGACCGGCTCATGAAACGTGGATATCACGACGCGAAAGTGCAAGAAAACCTAGATGCTGAGATCATGGGCGTCGTAATGCAGGACGCACTGGATTCTTACGCGCAAGAGATTGTTGTCGAGCTACCGAGCGACACAGCAGACCAGATGGACCAGAACGTCGATCGCGTCGTAGCGTGGCAGGAAAACTGGATCAAGCAGCATCCCGAGGGCGTTACAAATGAACTACAGGCCCAAGACTCTGAAAAGTCGGACAACTCCGAAGAATCGGAAAATGAGTCCTACGAGTCGCAGGACTCCCCGAGTTTGACCGAGGATTCCAACCAAGCATAATTCAACAACGCGGTTTAAGAGCACAAGACTAGCGAGTTTGCCAGATGTCATTTGTTGGTCGGTTTTTTTTCGATCTCATGGACTGAGTAGTCGTGGTTTAAAGCCTGGCAATGTTACCGTAGCCGGGGACTCCAATACTGAAAAATTTTAAGTGAAAAAAATGCTCGATGCCTCTCTACAGGCCAGGAAGACCAAGCTGCTGGGCCCTCTGGAAGAGGTATAATAGACAATCCGAGGATGTTTTATGTGGTGATTGAGGTGGACAACTTGCATTCCGAAGAAGCGCCGAAAGACCATGCGAAAATCGTAAAGTTTTCATATCAATTCGTGAACGCAGAAACCTTGGAAACGGTGTTAGAAGAGAACAAGCATGTGACGCTTGAGAATGAAATCAAGCTACAGGAGGCGGTGAGTCGGTTAGATGAAGACATTACGAAATCTATTGGCAACGAAGATTTTGTCATTTGTTCGTTAAACTCGACTTGGCACTTCCGTGTCACAATTCCAAGGCAGGCGCGGGACGAAGTTTTCATCCTACCGCCGCATTTACAGCATCCAAAGGTATTTGACCTGTGGAAGGAGTACGATAGATGGTGCGTGAATCACCCAGAGACGTTGGCTCTGCGTACGGGCAGTGTTGTGGCCAACAAGAGAACTAAAGATATTGGTGAATTGAGAAGAGTTTTGGAGCTGGACCAACGTGAGTCTGACGCCGAAGCGGAAACGGTCGCGGAGGCGGAGCCGACTACTTCAGATGTTTATTCTGCCAAATCGATTGACCAATTGTCCCAAACTTTGGAAACTTTACTGCAATTGCACAAGAAGTGCGTCACTGCTGAGGATAAAGCCATGGTTTTGACCCATCCTTACGATTCGCATCTGGATGTGCGCAATTTTTTGCAAGAGCGCTCGAAAGTACTTTACATGAACAACCTACCTCCAGATACTACCCAGAGCGAACTCGAGTCCTGGTTCACGCAATTTGGCGCGCGGCCTATTGGGTTTTGGACCGTCAAAAACATTGTTGAAGAAACTTCCAACGTTAATAACAATTGGTCCAGCAACAATAGCACGTATGTCGAGGCGCAAGACAGCATTTCAGGGTTTGTCGTTTTCCAGTGTCATGAAGACGCAACAGAGGCCTTGGCTCTCAACGGACGGTCAATTCTTTCGAATATTGCCAACACAAAGCAGCCTCGCGTGATTGAGCACATCGTAGAGATTCAACCTTCCAGCGCTCGCGTCCTTGATCGTGCCCAGGAAATTTTGTCACCGTTTCCACAAAGCAAGAACAAACCCCGGCCTGGAGATTGGAGTTGCCCATCCTGCGGATTTTCCAACTTTCAACGACGTACTGCTTGTTTCCGGTGTTCTTTCCCTGCTACCAGCGCTTTGGCTAATAACAAAAATGCATACATGAAAACAACCAATCCTGCTCAATCGCAAATGCAGCACACAGCAAACGCATACAAGACAAGACCAGGGACGCCTGCTCAACAATTACCACAATTTCAGCATGCCCAGTTCCAGCAACAGCAACATCGCATGCGGTTCACTCAGGGACAACGTTACCCTCAAAATCCACAGCAACAAAATGGATCGAACGTCCCATTCAGAGCAGGTGACTGGAAATGTCCAAACTGTACTTATCATAATTTCGCGAAAAACATCGTATGTTTGCGCTGCGGAGGGCCAAAGAGCGGCGATACTCGGAACAAGGATACGAATACCGGTAATTCTCTTGGTGATATTCAGGGAATGGGGAGTGAATTGGGAGTTTCTTTGGGACCAAATAATTTTTCAGAATCTGAGTGGTAATTCAGGGCTCTAAGAGAGACAAACGTTTAATCAAAAACTATCACAACTAATTTCTATTCGAGCTTGCAGTGATTACATTTTTTTAGTTGTCATGGGATTCTTGGGAAGGTTTTAAGAGCTGTTTACTTCGATATACGTTAAATAAGGAAAAAACGCACGTAGTTAAGAGCACAGATAATAATACCTAAATGTGTCATTTAAATGTGTCATGAATTTCAGCTACGTTGTTTTCGAAAGCTGCGGGCGCCTTATTTTGAAAGGTCCAGGACGGTTCTCAAACAGTCTCCATGATGCAAATCCTCGAAGGCTTCGTTGATGTCCGTGAACTTTCTCTCATGTGTAACGAACTCGTCGACCTTTAGTTTGCCGTTCATGTAATCAGAGATAAGGCCGCCCATATCAGACCTACCCTTGATCCCTCCGAAAGCAGAACCTTTCCATACTCTCCCCGTGACCAATTGGAAAGGTCTTGTAGAGATTTCCTCACCCGCAGCCGCCACACCGATAATAATGCTTTGACCCCAGCCCTTATGGCAAGCCTCCAAAGCATCACGCATCACGTGAACATTGCCGGTACAGTCAAAAGTGAAATCCAACCCACCGTCTGTCATTTCGATCAATTTAGAAACAATGGTTTCGCCCTCTTTGAGGTCCGTCGAGGGATTGACGAAATCCGTCGCACCAAATTGAAAGGACCAGTCTTTTTTACCTTGGTTAAGATCAATGACAATTATACGCGATGCCCCTCTTACTTTAGCACCTTGAACAATCGAGAGACCAACGGTTCCGGCACCGAAAACGGCAACGGTGTCACCCTTTTGCACATTTGCCGTCTTTATGGCAGCACCATAACCAGTCGTCACACCGCATCCTAATAGACAGGCCCTGTCCATTGGAGCCTTGGGGTCAATTGCGACCACCGAGACGTCAGCGACAACCGTGTATTGTGAGAAGGTAGAGCAGCCCATGAAATGCAACAAATCTTCGCCCTTCTTGTTGTGGAACCGGACTGTTCCATCGGGCATCACACCTTTACCTTGTGTCGCTCTGACAGCTCCGCACAAGTTGGTTTTACCAGATTTGCAGAACTTACACTTCATGCACTCAGCGGTGTACAACGCGATCACGTGATCACCAGGCTTGACATTCGTTACACCTTCACCAACAGACTCAACAATACCAGCACCCTCATGGCCGAGAACAGAAGGGAAAGCACCCTCTGGATCCTTTCCGCTCAAAGTATAAGCATCTGTGTGGCAAACGGCAGTATACTCGACCTTGATACGCACTTCGTGCGCTTTAGGAGGGTCAACAATGATTTCTTCAACCGTGAGTGGCTTCCCTGCCTCGTAGGCAACGGCAGCAGTACAGGTAATGGCCTTTCCAACGGTAGACATATGGGCTTCTCGAACGACCTTATCTGTAAGTAGAAGGGAAAATTCTCAATTTTCAATCATAGCAGATATATAAGACCATCGACGACCTTTGGCAATTGCTGCTTCATTCCGTTCGAAAAGACTTGGACTACCCAAAAGAGTAGTTAGTAAAATAGGAAATCAGCCTTCCGGAATTGGTAATAAGTGTTATTTTTAGTACAAAGTGACAGAGATTACCGCAATGGGAGTCGAAGTCAGTCACTTCCGCTTTGAGTTGTGAATCGCCGAGCAAGTCACGTGATCTCTGAAGGCAAGGCCTGACGATACCGAAACTGCGGAATCATAATGTGAATCCCTTGAGTGGTCAAAGCTAATCTCAAATATTCATCCACACATGGCTATGAGGCATTGTGCGTTTGTTTCCGTAGCATCCCGTTGTATAGTTCTCTAGCGATGTCTATTCTTATATATATATTAGCCCGAGGACGAAAAATTCAATGACCTTGAGGGTGTCTCTTGACATTTGGACAACGGAGAGAAGCGTGGCCAAGTGATGATCAAATTGGGCGCATTGGCGCGTCGCTTCTACCATCCAAGTGCCAAAGAATATGCGGTTGCCAAAAACCTTGTTCCCTTAGCGTACAGCAAGGACTCTTTGCAATACAAAGTATTGGACCATGCTTTGAAAAACAATGTCCCGGAGTACGGGTTCAATGAGAGAGCGATCGTAGCGAGTCTGACGAGTCTGGGCCACGGTTCCTCGGTGCTGTCGGCCATAGGGGCTTCGAATTCGCCTGCTTTCTTCAACGCTTCGCCCGCTGTTCTCGAATTGGCCAAGTTTCATTTAGTGCAGAAACGGTACGCCGTGGTGGACAATATCGATCGTGAACAGCCATTGCCATCGCTAGAGACTCTGTTTCTGCGCAGACTCGACCTGAATAAACCAATCGCACGCCATTTGTCACAATTGCTGTCGTACCTGTCAATTCCGGGTGATTTTCTTGTCAGTTCCGCTTTGCCCGAGCTGCACCGCCTGTCTGATGACATGGTATTCTTTTCTCACGAGCCCGATTCTCATGATTTTGCATGGTATTCCAAACGTTTGGCGATATCGTGTGCCTACGTAAGCTCAGAACTGTTCATGGCTCAGGACAAGTCTCCAGACTACCACGAAACGTTTGAGTTTGCTCGCGAAAAACTTCATCGTGTCACACAGCTTGGAGAGTACTATAACAATACCGAAGAATATCTGTGGTACACACTACTTATGAGCATCAACCTTGTCAAATCTCAACTCGCACGTGGATGAGGTTTTATGACCAGAGAAGCATTACATCCTAGACAGATGGAAATTCACTCTAAATCAAGTCACCTCCCCGCTTAACAACTTATCTGGCGCTTTCATTAACTTCTCGCATGTATACCATATATACACATTTATGCTGACTTTTTTGACTCACAAGTTGCACCGGGGCCACACATCACGATTGTTGCATGCTAGACTGCAATTGCACTAGTTGTGACCTTAATGTTTCAAGTTCTGTTTGCTTGTTCTTGATGTTCTCTTCACACCGACTGATTTCAGTAGATATAAACTCCAACCGTTTGCTAACATTGTTCTTGGCCTCGTCTTGGTCCACGGGAAGTAAAACACTCCCAGTCAGCTTGTAAACTTGAGTGTCATCCTTAAGTGTATCGAACTCGTCTTGCACAATTTTGTTTTCTTGCAATTGCGTTTCCAGCTTCTGTCTCGCGATCACCAGACTCTCTAAATCTTGCTGAGCACCTGTATATTTGGTGGAAATGTCTTGAGCCTGGGCAGTTGCCATCCTGATGGTCTATGGCTTATATACGTTGACCTTGGTTTAAAAAGTCTCGTAGATGTTGAATACTGAGTGAAAAATTGACATTTAGTTAACACACTCCACCTTTAAACAAAACGAACAATGCTGGTAAGTGAGCAACTTGGGCGTGGATAACCTAACGCTGATATTGCAGAGACAGATTTTACTAATACACTTCGCCTATAGTTCAAACAGTGGAACAATTTCACCGAACCAAGACATCATTTAGATGCACCTATTGATGAAAGAGATGAGCTGGATTCTTTAAAGATTGAACCGTTTCCACAAGTTTCCTTAGCCAAATCGATTGATTTTAGCGATTTCAAGAGACTTATAATAGTGGGGAAAACTTTAGAACCGTTGTTTCCTCGAAACTTAGTTGCACGTCGTGAAGTGTCTGGCTTCAAAATAACTTGGCACACCGAAATTAACGAAAGTCAAAAATTTCGCGAGGATTTCCAAAGCGAAGAAATTGCTGGATCTATGCGTGCTGAGCACACTTTGGAATTACCTATTGAGAGTTTTGGCCAAGACTCCCTGATTTTATGCATTCACGAAAACTTTCTTCGCGTGTCTCCGATAGTATGGAACATTTTGGGTTTTGAAATTGCCAAGTATTGCAGCGGACTGGAACTACTAGTATTGGGTACCGCTGACACAATACAAGAGATTAAATCCTTGGGTTTACCGGCTTATGATGCGAACCTACCGACGTTAATACCTCCTGAGTTTATCACGAGCTTCACGGCGAGCATTTTAACGCAGCTAATTGTACTAAAAGTGCCCTTTCAGGCACTCATAGCACCCAGTGAGGGCCCGTCAGGGTTTGAGAAGTTACGCTTAACTACTATGGATCAGCTCATCGACTTGTGCTGGCCTTTGTCTCAGACGCATGCGAGAGATGACTATGCCAAAGCGTGCCATCGCCATTGGAAGCTTAATGGGACAGCAATGGGCGCGCAGGCAGGATTATACGTTTAAATTCTATATAGCCTATAATAGCTTTTGGACTTGGATCATGGGCAAGAGTGAAAAAGTAGCATTTATCGCGATTTTCCTTTCTGATCAGATAGATATACACATTTTACAAAAAAGGTTAGGAAACTATAATAAACAAGGTAATGCAAAAGCTAATTGAAGTGCTTCAACGACAAAAGAGCATTAGTTCTTCTTTTTGTCTTTCTTCTCCTTCTTCTCCTTCTTGTCTTTCTTCTCCTTCTTCTCTTTCTTGTCCTTCTTGTCTTTCTTGTCTTTCTTGTCTTTCTTGTCTTTCTTGTCTTTCTTTTCCTTCTTCTCCTTCTTTGTTTCCTTGGAGTCCTCGTCCTCGCTTTCGGCCTCTAGCTTTCTCTTCTTCGAGGCCTTGACCTCTTCCTGAGGCTTATCTTTGTTGTACAGTTGGATAGCTTCTTGAATCGCTACCTCATTTTTCAAAGTTGGAGATCCTGTGCTATAAAATTCCAATCTTTGTTCAACTTGCTTCTTCAAAACGCTACCAAAAACACTGGTAGGTTCGTCTGAATAGTTGTCGATTCTGGAGGCGATGGAACACTTGTTTGCAAGGTATCTAGAAATTCTTCCCTTGTTCTTGGCTGAAGCCTTAGCAATAAATCCACTGTGGTAGATCAACCCGTACTTAGGAGTGTTACCCTTGGTCTTTAACGCTCTGAAAAGGGCCTTTTCGGCACCTAGAATCTGAACAGTTGAAGCAGCTTGTTTGGACAAGTTGGTCAAGGAACCGGCGTGCGAGATTAATCTAGCACCAATGACTTCACCAATGAGCTCAGACAAGTTGGGCGCAACGGTGTTCATCTTGGAGCATAAATACTCGTATAGCTGTCTGCGGTAGTCCACAAGAGAAACAACTCTTTGAGCAAACACACTGACATTCTCCATGTCAATGTCGGAAAGGTCTTGACCCATGGAAATACGAGCATTGTCAATCACACGCTCAGCAATGCCTGCGTCATTGTCGAGAAGAGCCGCTAGGTCGTGAACAGAATCTTCGTTCAAAGAGGCTTTGTCCTTTATGAACAAAACGAGCTGTGCAAACTTGTAGTTGTCGGGGACAAGCTTGGCAAGCTCTGGGAAGTGCCATCCGTACCATTCTTTGACTCTCATAGCGAATGTGTTGATATCCTTGTCAAGCTGGTCGAGCAAAGCGATAGCCTGGATAATGTGGTTGTCGTTCTTTTGCACAGAGAACTTGACCTTGGCTCTCGAGTATGCATGCCCCAGACCTAGCTGAGCTCTTTCAAGATCGCCCTCTTGCAAATCCTTGAGAAGCTTAGTTCCGTGCAATCTCACACCACGGATCAAGTCTTGCGCTAGCTCGTTGGATATACAGTCCACAAATGGAAATACCTCTTTAATGGAAGGACCTAAGTTTCTATCAGAAATGGCCAAAGTAACCGTTTTCTTGCTCGAACCTTTTGGAAGGTTCATGTCAAGAACACTCTTGAGATAGTCCGAAACTAGACCCTCTGAGATATCGTTCGAGTTCTCAAGCGCCTGAGCAGCACCTTTGAATGGTGCAAAAGACACTAGCTCGACCAATTTTGTGAAGGAACCGAAGTCATTTATTTGCTTCTGCACCTCTTTCAAACGTGATCCGATGTCATCTTGCTGCAGCTTGACCTTGAAAATACCATATCCCGTGGGCTCTTCAAAGAGGAGGTACTCGATAGGAGCCATGATGTCCAGAAACGCTATCTATACGCTACTCGTCTATACTTCCTTCAAGCTCATCTTAGCTGTAAAAGAAAATTTTTCAGCGAGATGAGCTACCTTAGTGAAAATTTTCCAGAAGAGAGGAAGAGCTTACCCGGCTAAACGTCAACAAATCACCAACTTTCAGAAAGGAGGTGAACTTTGTTAAGCTTGAAAACTTTAAAAGGCACGGGAAGAAAAGAGAAAGTAGTACAAAGTGACGACCAAATGGTAATGGAACATCACGATTAATGAATGAAACAACTGTAAAAAAAGTGAAAGAAGGCTTTACTTTATTCAGAGAACAACAAAGCTCGCCAAATGAATTAGCTGAGAATGAAATATCTTGGTGGATGAGTTTCGTTGACTTTTTGGTCACGCTACCCAATCGCGGATTTGATAATAGATGATAAGAATCATCTTGTTAATATCTCTAAGTTAGATTGACAAACTTGATGGTAAGAGAAACGAGTAAATATAATAACACCCATGGTGAACAAGCTATTATCTAGAGCAATGATGAGCAGCGAGACTCCCGTTGTCTATTCCATGACGTTCAACTCCCCGTCTGACACTTCGGCGCATTATATCCTTTCTTCCTCAGAGTCCCAAGGATTCCACTGGAATCAAGACCTGTTTGCGTCCCAATACCAGCAAATGTGCAAAGTGGTGTATGATGGTCATGAGGATGAGCTGGAGTTACTTCTTCAGAAGGTTCGAGACACTGTGGAACGGCATGATGAACCTCCAAGGTACCACGACGTTTTCGATCGGGACAACGAGGACATAGAAAGTGAGGATACATTAGTGCGCAGGAGACTTTCTGAAGAAATGACGCGTCCCAGACGACGTTCGGAGCGAAGCATTAGCTTTGTTTCGGATTCAAAAAATGGCCATTATCGTAGGGCTGAGACCGTCGTCATCGATGTTGAGACGGACACACCAGAAAACCTCCATTTGAAGTCGCTGGTAGGCAAATTTTGATAGGTTTCTGAGACTAGTGACTAGGTTGATTATGAGTCAATTAGGATAGGCTACTATGAGTATATTGCGACGGGTTGGAATGAGAATGAGCCCTTGCAACGGAATTACAATATAATATACAGAATAAATGACTATGTTCGTTTAATCGGTGTCTTCCCAATCTTCTTCCTCGGCATCGTTCTCTGCTTCGTCGCCGCTTTGGTCGTCGATCGTCACCACTGTGTCAGGATTATCGTTCTTGACATATTTGCGAGCTATTCTGGACGCTTTACCGATGGTTTGGGCTTCCTGGCGAGCCTTTTTCTGTACCGTCGAAAGCTCTTCAGAAAAGTTTTTGCGCACAGATCTATTGGTGAAAACATCCCACAGCTTGAGTCCCTTATTGACTCCACCAACGACGATGTTACCGGCAACCTCAATATCGGGCGCAAAAGATGTTGTCAGTACGTTTCCAACGCCAAAGTCACGACTTAGAACCATGCTTGGACCTTGAGCATTGCATTTCCATAGCTTGACCGTTTTCTCACCCATGGCGCTGGTGCACATCATGTTAGGCACGAATGCGTTAACGTTCAAGGACGAGATACCTGCATCGTGGGCATTTAGCGTCCAGAGAGCTTTGCTGCTCTCGCCATTTCTGATATCGAAGGAGTAAACATTACCAGCATCTGTACCACACATAAATACATTTTCGTCAGCAAACTGAACGGCTTCAATGTCTTCGCCGGACATGACCGACCAGTATTTGCTCATTTGAGAGTCATCGGCGATTCTAACGTCTGTCAATGCAACTCTCGCGTCGTAACCACCTGTGAGAAGAATGGAACCGCTGGTAGGATGCCATTGGGACGAGGACACATTTTTGTCAGAGTGCGTGGAGGCGATGGAACGTGCTGCAATTCCTTGGTTCAAATCCCATAGTTTGACAGTGTGGTCAGCAGAAGTCGAAGCCAGCACGGCACGGAAGTGTTTGCTATGCGCGAGAGACAGGACGGCGTCAATGTGGTGGGTTGTAACATGCTTGGACTTTTTCTTATTCTTTTTCTTCTTCTTCTGAGATGTGGATAGTTCGTTGTCCTGTGGTTCGCCCAGAATCATATCTGGAAACGCCTTTTCGACGCAGTCCAAGTTCCACAACTCGATCTGCGGGTCAAATGTACCTATAGCGGCAAAATTGGCGGGTTGTTCCGAGTTAGAGCCTGGTTTGTAGTTGATCCATTCGACGCACAGCGGGAATGCAGGCAACATAAGATCGTGGTGGACATAAAGTGCGTTGTCACGCACTAAACCGCGCGCAACGTCGGGGTCCTGTTCGTCGCCGGCCTCGTCGGGCACGTCAGGGTCGTTAAACCCGGCTCCGTCGTCGTACACGTAGACATCCAAGTATGAGATGTCGTCTTCGGTTCTCGATGCTAACACCATGTTGTCGGTAGGATACACTTGGAGCTCCTGTTTTTCCTCCTGATCGTCCTGCTGTGTGGGCAACGCCAAATACTGATCTTCGCCGTCTTCACCTTCTTCGAACTTGACTTCGTCGGGAAGCCCAGGGAACATCATTGCACCTTGGCCACCGCTGACGTTTTCGTCGTCGTAATGCTCTAAGTCGAATTCTTTCAAATCGTTGTCGTCTTCTATTTGGTCCTGTAACGTTTTAATGTCGGTTTCGTTGCCTTCAGTCTCTTCGGCGTCTTCCGCATCTCTAGCATCTTCCAGCTCGTCTCTTGCGTCTCCGAGGTTCAGTTGTGCCAATTGATTGATTCTGGCCATTTCTTCATCGTTGAGCTGGTATTTCTCCGGAAACTCGGACGGGAAGCCTCTTGGCACCCATGTGGTCGCCGAAATCATTGTCAATGCTTGTTTGGTTCAGCGTCCCGGTCATCTCATCGCGTCGCTAACTGAAAATTTTTTAGCCACATAGAGAGAAAAAGAAAGACAACACCGAGTAAGTCAAATGTTCGACAAAACGTTCTCGAGGAGAGGAAGGAACAACAAGTTAACAACTCTTGAATGGTGGCCAATTTTGCGCTTATATCCTGGCATCTGTTTACTTGGTTCAACCAAAACTGCAATAAAAACAGTGTCAAATTGTTTTTAGATTTTAGAAACCGGTGTATTATACGGGCACTAAACTCAAAAACGATGTGTCTAGTTAATGCAATTGATACACTTTTCCAATCGTTCAATCACCTTTCAGCCTTTATTTTTCTTGTTACTTCTTTGTCTATTGAATTTTCCTCGGCGCCAGCAACGTCACTGCCTTTTTCGTAAAATCATTAAACTGTCGGTGGTCAGAAAACGAAAACGACAAAACACAGGATGAAAGAGCAAAGACGAACAGCAACCAAGCATTCTGCCAACGTATGAGTCCATTGCTAATTAAATGTGAGGACCTAATTTTTCAATATCTCAAACCTTAACGTTCGATGACGAGCACGGGTAGCGACCTATTTTTGATTTAAATAACTTTATTAATATCATTGCCGGCCAAATCACATATGGCAGTTGACCCGTGGTGAGAATTAAAGATATGCACTCAAGGTCTTTGACGCGAGGATGTCACATTCGTCCCGGAAAACACAAATATATTTATAGTAATTCGCCAAATTTCCCAATATATCTGCACTGGCCTCAGGTAGAGAGATAGGCCAAAAGCTGGCTCGCAGATAACAGGGACAAGAAAAGTGGGAACGAACCTTGCATCGAAAACACGTTAATCAATTTGAAATTTTTTTGTAGCAATTGACCAAGACCATGCAAAATTCAAGTCGTAATCGTCAAAATGGAAGAGGTCCTTGACCAATCTGTGCTTGACCTGGTATCTGTAGTCAAGTTTGGTCAAGTTATCATATCTAAGTCACGTGAATTCAACATTACCAACATTTGAAAAAATGACCAATTCAGAACTCACCAAAAAGAGAACAAGTGTTACCATTCAGACCCTCCAACAGCTCCTTCTGACGCCCCCAGGGTTTCTCATTCAATGTCACAGGACGAAGATCAATCCAAGAAGCTGCAGGAGCTTTTAAAGCTGCTTGCTCTGCAGAAAAACAAAGCAGGACTCTCGAAACAGCAAGAAAAAGAATTCGAGGAATACAAATTCTGGAAGACTCAGCCAGTTTCTAGATTCGACGAAAAAATCGCGTCCGAGGGTCCAATTGACAGTTCCAAGAAACCCGAAGACATTCCTGACGCGCCTCTGCCGCTGTTGAATGATTTCGAGTGGTGCACCGTCGACATTACCGACCCCGCACAGTTGGAAGACGTGTTTGTTCTGCTTAACGAGAACTATGTAGAGGACCAAGACGCGACTTTCCGGTTCAATTATTCGCGTGAATTCTTCAATTGGTCTCTCAAACCACCCGGATGGAAAAAAGAATGGCACGTCGGTGTGCGTATCAGACAAACTAAGCGACTTGTCGCGTTCATTAGCGCTGCCCCCGCGACGCTTCGCGTGCGCAAGCGCGAATTCAAGAGTGTAGAGATCAATTTCCTTTGCATTCATAAGAAATTGCGTTCTAAGAGATTGGCGCCCGTATTGATTAAAGAAATCACCAGAAGAGTCAATAAACACGATATTTGGCAAGCACTACACACCGGCGGAGTTCTTCTGCCATCTCCAGTCTCTACGTGCCGCTACGCGCACCGTCCTTTGAATTGGGCAAAGCTACACGATGTCGGTTTCACAGGTCTCCCCGCCAATGCCACCAAGACCCAAATGATAGCCAAGTACACTTTACCAAAGCATACCACTACTCCTGGCCTGCGTCCCATGCAGGAAGAAGATCTGGACGCCGTTCTTGCGCTGTTCAACAAGTACCAGGAAAGATTTGACCTCGTCCAAATTTTCACCAAGGAGGAATTTCGTCATTCTTTCTTGAACACCGACAACGTCGTTTACGCCTATGTTGCCGAGACCAACGGTGAAATATCCGATTTCGTGTCCTTCTACTCCTTGCCTTTCACGGTTCTCGACAATCCACTTTACAACGAACTTGGCATAGGGTATCTGTTCTACTACGCTTCCAATGCGGATTTCCAGGAAGGCGACAGATTTAGCCGAGAGGCAACCTCGAAATTGAAGAAAAGGATCACTACCCTGATGGCCGATGTGTGCATTTTAGCGCGCGATTTGAAAATGGACGTTTTCAACGCTCTGAGCAGTCAAGACAACACGCTGTTTTTGGAAGACTTGAAATTTGGGCCCGGTGACGGTTTTTTGAATTTCTACCTGTTCAACTACCGGACGATTCCAATTGCAGGCGGACTCAACGAAGACAAGGATTTCGATCCAGAGGGTCGTAGTAACGTCGGCGTAGTTATGCTCTAGGTAAATTGTACGTCATCGGGCTTGGAACCGTCCAGGTACCCCGCTCTTACAAAAATTTATTTTAGAGATCTGCAATGAACAATTAGACAACGAAAGGCACGTATGTAGTAATCTAAGATCTTGCAATGTACGCAATATTCTTGGCTTGTGAACTCAGAAAGCTCGGCGTTCCTGCACTTGTTATGGCTGCCTTGATAAGCGGGTTCGTGACTTGTATGATCGCTAGAGATTTTTCTGAGCCCTCTTGAGGCTTTGAAGGTCATAGAAAAAAGAAGCTGCGCCTGGCTTAAGGGTCCCGGATCTGTAAATCTAATAGCGAGAATAACCGCGCATTGCCAATTAGCCACGATTCCGCGATCAGTTCTTGGAATATTTAAACTTCAAAGCCAAGTGCCTGTAGATGCATCGAAAAATTCGCAAAGAGCAGTAGCAGGCAAATTGGTACCTTTTCGCATGGTTCAAAATATGCAAAATAAAACCACACTTTTATTCTCATTGATAGGATCAAAGTATGCCGTAGCAATATTAGAGAATGTCTCCAGACCATTCCCAGATAAACGGTTGCCGGAGGCGTCGAAGTTGATTGTCAATTACGAAGAATACGAAAGTCGAGGAATCGCTCACGGCAATTCGGTGACTAGTCATGGAAGCTCAGGAGGTAGCAGCCACGGAAGTTCTGGAAGTAGTAGTCATAGTGGCTCTGGAAGTGGTAGTCATGGCAGCTCAGGAGCTTCAGGATCAAGCAGTGATCAAGGAAGCTTGGGATCCAGTAGTTCAGGCTCGACCAAAGGTGGAAGTTCTAGCGACTCGGAATCCGGAGATGATCAAGGAAACTCAGGTTCGAAGGGATCGAATTCCGACGGCGATGAAGGAGGCTCTGGTGTGATAGCAGGAAGTCCGCACGTACAGCCCAGTAATGGAAACCACGGCTCAGCAACAGGGGGAGATGAAGCTCAAGGCAAGACAGACGCGTCTGATCAGTCCCCTCATTCCACCGTCAGCCCCCAAGGCGCTGCATCCAGCGGAGACATAGGGACTACTGCATCTCACGACGCGACGCAGAGCGATCGCGATCTGGCTAGTTCAATAGAAATCACTACTTTGACGACCACCACTGGTGGACGCGTCCTAACGCAAACTTCTACGAGGCATCGCTATCGGAACTCCACAAACGGAGCCGATCTGCTCATGAAAAACCACCTTTTTGACGCCGGAATTGTAGCCATCGGAGTTCTTCTTCTGTGAGCAGAAAATAGCTCAATTCAAGATAATACTAGTTTATAATAATCTACATCTAACCATGCATCTTAATTGACTTTCCATTCCAAATCAGCTCCTATTATATACTGGATTCGACAAACGTTTTTAAAAATATGCTGAAGGCACACCAGTTAAGAACGTTCACACGCTAAATCGATGCAAAGAGCCTGGCGGCTAGAATTTCAGATATCTTTGAGTATAAGCCACATTACCAAAAGCGCAAATCGTGTTTGTTCTACATTAAATTGCTATGGGCTCATTGGGGAAGGAGCAAGGCTCAAGAAAAAAAAAGCTATAAAAGGAGGGGGTTTTACTCCTCTGAGCGCCTTTGATAAATTTCAGTCTACTTGATTACATCATCGGCGGCTATTCGTAGAACATGACATCAATGAGTGTGGCTCCGAGATGATGCATGACATATCAGATAAAGTTTTAAGTATCGCAGTCTCCAAACCGGGGGTTGGAGACTTAAGGTTCTCTCCATCTTTTTCGCGAGGTTACGGGACAAAGACTTGGCATAAAGTTCAATGTGAAATTACCAAGATCATATGATCGAGTGAGCCCGAACTGCGAACTTGCCTGAACCTTCACAATGACATTGTGGTACCGAAACTACTTGTTGACGATTTCCATTCCGATGTGCATAGATTTTGGGAGAAATGTGATATCTCTCCCAAGTATCCAGTGTCACGTTAGCAGAAGCATGGCGAAGAAGAGTTTGACGGAAGGATTTGGACAGCATGAATCACACGCGAAAAGTATCAACTACGTTTGAAATGAAAATCAAAGAATTGTTCCGGTGCCGTTTACGGGTCACAATCCTTTTTGTCGTAAAACGGGCGAGCGGGTTTCTACAAGAGAAAAAAAAAGAATATACTTATTAATGACCTAGTAGCGGTTAGGCTTCAGGCGTGAGGTCCAACATCCAACAAATTAACAATTGATGGTGCTCTGGCATCGCAACACTCACACCTTCGATAAGGATTTTCGTACAGTTTCGCTTGCTTTCTTTAACAGGTATCCAAATCCGTATGCTGGCCATGTTTTATCAATAGATACCTTGTCGCAAGAAGTAGACTCCAACGGCTTGCTGAAAGTCAGAAGACTGATAAAGAAAACGGGAAGACTTCCACAATGGGTCAAACCTTTGCTTGGCCGTGTTTCTGAATCCTGGATCGTGGAGATTTCGGAAGTCGATCCACACAGCGGACAACTCAGAACATACACTAGAAATCTGGATCACACCAAGATCATAAAAGTGGAAGAGTTCACGACTTACATATACGATAAAGAACTAGGGAAAACCCACGTATCGAGCAATGTCAAATTTTCCAGTGATTTTAGGGTCGGCATCAAGTCCAGAATTGAGCAATGGTCTCAAAACAAGTTCGCTGAAAACATCAAACGAAGCCGAATGGGCATGACTTTTGTTATGGATAAACTCGAGGAACAGTATAAAGTGGTCAAGGCCCAATGACTATCCTCATTTACGCATCCCCCTCTCTGTATTTAAATTGAAACACATACGCATTTAGAAATCGACAAGTCTGGTAATCCAGAGGTTGTGATCCGTTTTAACATGGCTTGCAGATGTTGCGGAGCCGAGGTTATGTTACTTGTCTACTTCTATGAACAGTCTGCGATCGCAGGAAGAGTACCGCAACGCAGGTGAATACATCGTAAAGACCAGCTTAGATGTCAGGCTAGGAGGCTTACAAGTTCAAAATGATTAAAATTACACTGTGTCTACTTTGCGTGAGCTTATAGTTCATACAAAATTCACGCAAAGTTCAAATCCCACTGCATTTCCTCTAGAACGTCAAACCAATCGGGTGTAGCAAACATGTTTCCATGCGAGCTGCTATCATCATCTGAGCGCCAAAGTTTGCGAACAACGGCCCGCGCACGCGCAACATTGCGGCATTTGTACCTATTTATGTAGTCGCCAAATTTGTGTTCAACATCCGCCCTTTGAGCAGGTTCCGTGGAGCTCACACCCAGCATGAACATAGGGAAACATAGCCCACCTTCGAGTCTAGTACCAAGTAAGAAATCCAGGCCGCTCGAAAGTTCTGAAGCAAGGTACTGGACTTCAAAAGAGCTCTTTTGCTGGCGGAAGATAGCGGTTTTCAGCAACAACAGAGCGGCTGTTCGGAATACTTGGAACATCTTATGGCAAAGTTCGCTGCCCAAAACCCCATCATACCAAGCAACATCCTTGGGGGACGGTTGAGCATTGTAAAGAGCCGCTTGCAACGTCTGTGCACGCCTCATAACGGCACCAAATGCTTCATGCGATGCGCTGGCGATTCCCTCGCGTTTCATACTGCGAGCAACATTCATCACGTCTCCTAAAATGCGGAAAATCGGTCTATTGACACCATGTAACGGGTCCACGCTAGATCCATCATTCTCCAAACTCGCGTCAAGTATGCTTGCGTATTGTTCCATCGGGAAATGCGTGCTTTCTGATCCCATTATGTCGTGATATATGAAATTTGCAAGTAACCAGTGTCTGGTGGTCATTGACCCAGGTGCTTTCAAATCATCAACTAGCATGTGAGTTATGTCGTCACCGACATGCTCTCGTATGAGTTTCGCCCCAAGCCTCAGCAAAATGCGCCATCGACCCACGTCGCCTTGACAAATTTCGGCTCCACATAAGACCAGAAGTTGAGCCATGACAAACAAAAAATCCGTTTCCTGAACTGATTCAGAAGTTTGCAGTTGTTTAAGAGACTCCAGCGTGTAAAAACTGGCTAGCTCGGCGTAACGCTGAGAACCGTTATGGCAACCGTTGGCCCTGTCGTTCAGCGCGAGATTTATAGACTCCAGGTTCGATTCGTCCAGCGCTGTACTTGCCGATTCATCATATTTGTCACAGGAGTCGTCTCCTAGGTCTGCCAATCTTTGCGTAAGATGGGAAGAATTGCCTTCGGGCTCTCCAATGCCAAAACTGCCACCCCGGTATTTCCCGGGACTCTCAGGAAACACAGGACTCAGATTCGGGTTATTAGCAGAGGTTTCTGAGCCTCCTATTGCCAGGTGATGCGCGGACCAGGCCAACAGGCCGTACATAATTCCCTCGTGCTGGTGCGCCATGGGTAGGAAAATTTGAAGATAGTAGTTGTATCTGACAGGAGCGATGGAAATAATCTGGGCAAGGTGTTCGCGATAGTAATTGTACAGATGCAACGCAGTACCGTCTAGCTTGGACATCATTGGGTCGTGCAATGACGGAAATAATGGCAAAATCGGCGATTCTTCGCAATGGTCCAAAATTAGATCGGATACCGAACCCGCATCCTGCGCTATCATCAGCAAATCATTCGAGGCAGAAATGGGCGTAAAGTTCACCGCTTCAATACAGTTTTCGTCCAATATCCCATCACCGGCGGTCGTTGAAAACAGGTCACGTGTTTCGGACTCTTCATCACTAGGGTTAGCAAACGTTGCCCGTTTCTTCAACTGCAAATTTCGCCGCTTCAACTCGTGTTCCACCCGTCGCTTCAACTCGCTCGCCTGATCCCGCGTACAACTTTTCTCCAAATAAACGCAATCGAACCCGAGTCGTTCGCAGTCATCACAGCTAGGTTTGCCCTCAGAACACCGTTTCTTGCGCACTTTGCATTGGATACACCCCGTTTTTCGGTGTGTCCGTCGCACTTTTATGATCATCCAGTCTATAAGTTCTTAGTCCGAATACCAACTCCCTCGGAGCATTACAGGTATAAACCGTTCACAATTTCAGTTATCTGTGAATATCTATAACCGAACGGCATTTAGCCGTTATCATACCGTCAGAAATGATGCTTCTTGAACCAAACTCTTTAATTTATCCAACCGATTAAACCAAAGCTTCAGCTCCTACGAGAAGAAATTGGCATTTACAAGAGTAGCAAGCCCGGGAAGGGTACGTTAGCTGTAAAATCGATGTATTAGATGCATTAGGTGCCCCTAAGGCTTGACTTTCATTGAATATGGTTTTTTTCAGATCTCTTTTAGACTTCTCGGCGAAAAGTTACTGTCAGTTACTGAGATGAGGTTGTAGTTTTACCGAAATCGGGTCTTGAAATGCCTGTATTTCGTTTAGCGCGGATATGTTGTCTATTGCAGCTATTGAATGCTCCACAAATCCTTTATTTTTGTTCCGGCTGCGTGATATGATAACGCCAGAAAGAAGTCGAGACAAGTCGAGTAAATTCATGATCTGTGGTATGCACAGGATTGTGGGCCTATCGTTTCAAGCGTTTCTTTATAATAGCACGTGGCTCAGGGCGAAGTGGGTGGTGTTAGTTGTTTTTCGTCTTTTAGGTATGTCTCCATCATTTTGACATGTTTAGTAGCTCTTACTTTCCAAGATCACACTATTTTGCACCGAAACAAACACCAAAAAACAGGCGACTAAGATGAGCAACGAGGGCCCGCGATCGCCTGAAGTTGATGATATCTATTCTGACATGTACTCCGCCTTTTCGCAGATGACTTCGAGCACGCGTAACGACATTGATAGCCAACCGTACCCTATTACGCTTAAAACCATCGGAATTTACGTTGGATCGACCATCGGAGGTCTGCTTTTCGGGTACGATACAGGAGTGATACCCGGAGTACTTTTGACATTGACACCGGAAGATTTGGGCCGTAAAACGTTGGAAGACTTTCAACGGGAGCTTGTGACGGGAGTCACAAGTTTAGGATCTTTGGCAGGCTCAATAATCGCTTTCAAGATCGTTGATCGGCAGGGTCGCAAGAAAACTTTGCTTATATGCAGCATGGTGTTTATGGCTTCAGGTCTTATCATGGCTTTAGCTAACAGTCTTGCGGCTCTGGTCGTGGGGCGCCTCATCGTCGGTGTCGCAATAGGAATCGCAGCGCAGTGTGTTCCTGTTTATCTGGCCGAAATCTCTCCCGAGCGAATAAGAGGAGGCGTTATCACGCTGAATACAATGGCTATCACCGGCGGTCAATTACTGGCATACTTGGTCTCGTTCGGAGTTCTTTCTTTTCGCCAGTCGTGGAGGATTCTTTTCGCATTGGGCATCATTCCGGCATTTTTATTCATTTTACTCCTTGATTGCATACCCGAATCCCCCAGATGGCTCATTCTTAACAACAAGCTAGCAGATGCGCGCGAGGCGCTTCGATTGATATACCCTTTAGCCAACCACCATGATATTGACAAGAAGCTAGCTAAAATGATTCATGACCTTACGAAACTGAGATTCTACCAAGACGAAACGCAACCTTTGCTTGCCACCGAAGATCCACTATTTCGAAGGTCCAGCTGGATTTCGTTCAGAAGAGCTCTATCTTTGAGAAATATGAGAATACTTTTCACACCTCGAGATCCTTTAAAATGCAAAGTGCATCATAAGATGGAACCCAGAACATACAGAGCTTTATTTGTGGGCTGCGTCTTGATGTTTTTCCAGCAAGCCTCCGGCTTCAACGCTTTCATGTACTATTCAGCTGTGATTTTTCAGAGGATAGGAGTTGACGCACCTTTTGCTCCAGCAATGGCTGTGGCTTTGACAAATTTCCTTTTCACTGGTATCTCCTTCAAGTTCGTAGATAAGATTGGCAGACGGAAACTCCTTTTGATTACGATACCCGTTACAACAGCTGGGCTTGTCATGAATAGCTATGCTTTCGAAAGTAACTCGGTATCGCTCATTATCGTTTCAACTGCAATCTTTGTTGCTGGATATGCTACGGGCATTGGAACCATACCATGGACAAGTGTGGAATTTCTCCCACTCAATCGCCGATCTCTTGGAGCGACGTGCATTTCCTGTACCAATTGGTTCGCCAACTCTATTTTGTCAATGACTTTCCTCTCCTTGACTAACAAATTGGGGAATGAAACTAGCATGCTAACATTTGCGGCAATTACGATATTGAGCTGGTTTTTCGTATATTTCTTCTATCCCGAGGTCAAGGGATTATCACTGGAAGAAGTAGGGCGCGTTTTCGAAAATGGTATTGACGTATATTACGTCTACCGAACGTATCACTCATGAGGAGGCTCGCCTCTACGGACGCCAAAAGCTTTCCATAAAGTTTCAGAAAGGGCTTTCCCCAGTTTTCTGTTTCCAGGTTGATTTCTGAGAGATTCAAAGATCAAGTTTTTACCTGCTTCTTCTGTCGGGCAGGACCGGTAAGCCGAGAGGAGAGCCTTCATGGTCGGGTATTCAGCTTGTATTGATAAGGCCTTTTCTAGAGATACTCCCTTATTTAGCATCAGAGCACGTAAATACAGCTCTTTTACAGTCATTAGTGAAGTTTTTCCCATGATTTCTTGAAAACAATCGAACCTATGACAACATTCTAGTTGAAGACCTCTCTCGAATTGTCCGCGAAAACTTCTCAATGACCTCTCATAATCCAATTGGTTTTTCATATCCTGCGGGCTAATAACCAGAAGTTTAGACGAACTGTACCATTCTTTGACTACATTGGTCATATCATGAAGCCAAGCAACTGTCGCATCGGAATTTTTTGTTCTTTTGACGTGGAAACCATGATAGATCACAGTAACCCATACAGCAGTCCTAATTGCTTCCTCCATTCGGACAGAGTCGCTGGCACTTGTCTCCTCAACCAAGTAGTAAATATTCTTGCATCCCGTCTTCTTTAACCGGTTTTTTTGTTCTGCAAATCTGTTATCAATAATACTCATCGCAAAATCGTCCAATCTCTTTCGTTCTAGCATGAAATTTAGCACACACTCTCTTTTCGTTCTTTTATGACGGGCCACCCATAGCATATCACTGACTGCAAGTTGCCTTATTTCGGTAGTAACGCCCTTTTCCATCAATTCACTAGCGAAAAAGTCCCTTTCTCGTTGTGATTTGACCTCCCGGTGATCTATAATCAAGACAACGTCAAAAGAACCAGCATCCCAAACTTCGTAATTTGTTGCTTGCCATCGTGCCCTGATAATGCCGTTTTCTTTCCTTATTGAAGAAGTTTTGCCGCCTTTCGAGCTAATGCTGCTTTGTCGCTCAAATATATCCAAACCCTGATCTGCAGCAGGTTCGACATCATCGAAATCCATGGATTGTATTTTCTTAGCCTCATCTGACGCAAGTATCCCATTAGCAGTTGCTGCCACGAGATCACTCAAATTAGCAGACGTTTCAAAGTCTTCGAAAGCTGATTTTGGTCTAGTTTCAGCAATATCAGAACTCTCTCTGTGCTTTTGATATTCCTCTTCGTTCTCAAATAAAATATCATCACTTTTCTTCAAAAGTTCCGCAAGGGCATCTCCATCGTCTGTTAAGTAGTAACGTTTTGGTCGTCCCTTCTCAAGCACGAGCTCCCTTTCTAAAAGCGTTTTGATCGCGCTCCAGGCGCCATGAAATTGCCTTGTAGAGACATTGGGATTAAAGCTATGATCGCAGAATTTATGGCCCATCCTAGAAATTTCATCTTTGGTCATTCCGCGATTGGCATAGCCCTCTAAAAGAGCCAACAAGATTGCATAGGCACCAGATCTTCTTTTCGGCACATATTTACGACGCTTTTTTGGTCGTGTTTCTTCTTGGTGAATGTCATCTCCTTGCCCAACGCGAATCTTTTGCCTAATGACCGCTTCTGTAGCATTTTGAATTGACACATTTTCTTGAGGCTCTTGAATATCCAATTCTTTGCAATAAGTGGCCAGCTTTTGCTTCATTACAGTTTTTATCCGATTTCCAATGCCTTTAACTGCCAACAAACTCGACGGCAAGAAAAGAGGCCCATCGTGTTGTCGAAGGTTGTCAAGCGCCCTCCCGTAAACTATTGCCAGCTTTTCATGCTTCGCTCCCACCTTTTCAAGTTCTTCTTCTAGCCATTTGACATACAAGGATTTTAAATCTTCTGGAAGAGACATCGTAAAGATATGAATATTGAACTCAAAACGGTGCCACTTAGCAACCCAGTGATCAATTCTTAGACAGTCTCAATCTAAGGGACACTGCATTCCCAGCACTGGTAGCAGGATTGACTTCTGTTAAGATCAAAGGTCATCGCGCAATTTGAACCTTTTCTTGTTTATGTTGTCTTTCACGAATCATCAACTATCGGCATTTGTTGACGCCTCCAAAGCCCAAGACGAAACTTGACTATGAGAGTCCTACTAAAGACAATAAGCCTTTCATATTGAACCTGGCATCTTAGTGCATAAATGACAGGTGCCCTTCGATTTTGACACTTTTTATATGAGGTGCTTCTCAGTGCCATTATTCAGTCGAGGTTCGCCATTTCCACGAATTTCACGTCTAGCTGCAACAGTCATATGGAAATGGCTCAGTATTGCTAGATGTTTGATAAATTCTCAATTAGAGATGTTGAATGTCAGTCGACCATGAATGTTAGAAAAGTAGACTAAAAAACCATCCTGAAGTACTCATTTTTTAATCATGTATGATTTTGGCAATCAATTATGGAAAGTCAAGGAGCTCTATTGTTGTAAGAATTCGCTGTAATGCTCTTTATTTCTTCACAAGGTGAACGTCAGCTTGAAAGCATTAAGAAAACCGAACATCAACGATAGGCAGTTCCGTTCAACAAGACCAGGGGATTGGATACTAATACATATATTCTGTTTGAAAATGTAGGACGCCACAGGAGATTCTCGTCTCACTGGTTGAAGAGTACCAAATTATATCTTTAAGTGGTAGCTCGCAGTATCATTTTACCTTCGAATTTATCAGAAAGAAGTAAGCATAGTTACCGTGTAGTAATTAAGGGAATTTAAACATATCAAGGGCTTATCTTGTAAAGCGAATCTTTCCATGACATGCCCTACCTTTAAATCCTTATTTGATGATTATAATAAATCTTAAGATTGTTTTTTATGACAGTTTAAACCTTATTTACCATGTAGCGGATTCTAAGGGGAAAAAATCTACAAACATTAACAAAAAGACATTAGAAATGATTGAAAAATAGCTACGAGCAAGCTTACAACTTGTCGTAGTACTCTTGCCATCCTGGGACTTCTTCCTTCATACCGTGTCTCTTACGAGCGGCAGCGACAATTTCACCAGCCTTGGAGCTTGGGTCCAATGGGTCAGATCCTAGAGTAGCCCAGTGGTCGAACACCATTTGTGGGAAAGCTTGACCACCAGTAGCCTGTCTCAATTCACCGGTGAAACCGAAAGATTCGTTAACAGGCAAGTAAGCCTTGACAGTGAAAAGTGGAGTACCAGGTCTTTGCTCTTCGGAGACGACTTGACCTCTCTTCTTGTTCAAGACAGAGTAGATACCACCAACGGCTTGCTCTGGGCATTGAATTTCAACCAAGAAAACAGGTTCTTGGATCTTAGGTTCAGCCAACAAGAAACCGGCGTAAGTAGCTCTTCTCATGGTTGGGATAATTTGACCACCACCTCTGTGGATAGCATCGGCGTGCAGAGTGACATCCAAGATGTTTACTCTGACGGAACGCATTTGCTCACCGAAGATTGGACCTTCCTTAGAAGCCCACTGGAAGGCAGCAACGACGGAGTCCTTAATTTCGTTCAAGTATTGAACAGCCTTGGTTTGGTCGACAACTAGGTTAGGACCGTTACCGTCTGGACCGAAACACCAAATCTTTCTGGCGTCAGTGACGTCCCAGCCGAATTCGTCAGCCAAGATTCTAGCACGAGCCTTGAAATCGTCTCTTGGGTTCACCTTACCACCTTCGATAGCCAAAGAAACTTCTTCATCGATAGGCTCGGCCTTCAAGTAGATTCTGTTATGCTTGTTAGGAGACTTGGATAGAGCAACTTGAGAAGATTCGGCCTCGACGGTTTCTCTGTAAGCAACAACAGGTGGAGAGATCTTCAGAGGAATACCGGCATGGTCGTTCTCCAAATCTTGCAAACAAATTTCCAAGTGCAACTCACCGGTACCAGCGACAATGTGTTCACCAGATTCAGACATGTAAGTCAAGACACATGGGTCAGACTTAGACAATCTCTTCAAACCTTCAACCAATTTTGGTAGGTCGTTAGCGTTCTTAACCTCAACCGCAACTTGCACGACAGGAGAGACAGAGAACTTCATGACCTTCATGTTGTGAGCGCCTTCAAAAGTGGTTAGGGTACCAGTCTTCAACAAGAACTGGTCAATACCGACCAAACCGACAATGTTACCGGCAGGACAGTCGTCAATGGCTTCGACGAATCTACCCATCATCAAAACGATTCTTTGAACAGCCTTGATGAAAAGATCGTCCTTCTTACCTGGAATGTAGTTTGGACCTTGGATTCTGATCTTTTGACCGGACTTAACAGTACCAGCGAAAACTCTACCGAAAGCGTAGAATCTACCCTTGTCAGAGGTTGGAACCATCTTAGAGATGTACAACATCAAGTCGGATTTAGGGTCACAGTGCTTGATAGCAACACAAGCTGGATCGTCAGATGGACCTTCGTAAAGTTGTTCAGCTCTGTAGAATTGGGCAGTGACTGGAGAAGGCAAGTGCATGACAATCATTTCCAACAAAGCATCAGCAGCTGGCAAGAACTTTCTCATAACAACCTTCAATAGAGCCTTACCTTCCAAGTCCTTCTCGTCACCCTTCAAGTTGATTTCCAACTTCTCCAAAAGGGTTGGGATCTCGTCCTTCTTGAAGTTCATGATGGCAGCGAAAAGTCTGAAAATAGGGTCCAAGACGAACATGTTAAACGCTCTTTCCAAAGGTTTACCGTCACTGTCGGTCTCCTTGTTAGTCCACTTCTTGGTCTTTGGGTTGAAGTAAGAGTCACCCCACAATCTGTCCATCATCTTTTGTCTGTCGACACCAAACTTCTTGGAGTATCTGTTAGCGAATTGACGGACGGTGAAAGCCCAACCGTGCAAACCGGAACCGAAAGCAACGGTACCTTGAGATGGGAAGACTTGAACATCACCCAAAACCTCGTCGGCGTAAGTAGAGATAATGACATTAACAGACTCAACGGTTCTGGCAAAAGATTGGTAAAGGTCCTCCTTGGAGACTTGCAATTCCAACAAAGCTCTGTCGACCTTGTTGATGACGACAACGGGCTTGATTCTTTCACCCAAAGCTTGTCTCAACACAGTCTCGGTCTGGACACACACACCTTCAACGGTGTCGACCACGACCAAAGCACCGTCAGTGACACGCAAAGCGGCGGTAACCTCAGAAGAGAAGTCAACGTGACCTGGAGAGTCGATCAAGTTGATCAAGAAAGAGTTACCCACGGATTTTTGCTTGATGTCCTTGACGTCATCTTCTGTCATTTCGGCGAAAAGAGAAATGGCAGTAGACTTGATAGTGATACCTCTCTCTTGCTCGTCCTTTCTGGTGTCGGTGAAACGGGCTTCACCAGCCTTAGCAGCCGAGATGATACCGGCTCTTTGGACCAAAGAGTCGGTCAAAGTGGATTTACCGTGATCGACGTGAGCAATGACGGACATGTTACGAACATTCGTAACCTTGTCCATCAGCTCACGGATTTGGTCAACAGTGAAAGCAACCATTGTTGATGAGATTGATGAAAACTGCTTCTCGCTTACCGGAGTGATGAATAGGGTGAGATGAGCTAGAAAATTTTCCAACTCCTTTCACGGTATATATATTAGCTTTGCGAAAAATTTTCCAGCGATGCGAAGGAGGCCCACGCCGTGGCGGCTCTTTCCAAGAAAAAATTTTAGCTGCTGCTACGTCGCTTTCTGGGGGGCAACTTCACATGAGCTGCAGGCATATCTGAGAACCCGCAGCGTTTTCTGTGTAGAGATATGGGCGTATAACCTGGTACACGCAATGTTCTGAAAACTACGCGCGTGGGGAAAGGTTGAAAAAAGAAAAGAAGGAATCAAAATGAATACCTCTCGCGTATGAAACGATATGGGTTGAAATCGGGTACATTCGTTAACAATGCTCGCCGACGCTAATGGGCTCGTATGTAGTGCGTGGAGCTTATCACCACGTGATCTGAATACCTTCGTCCTAGTGACCACTGTCGCATCGCTACTGAGTACGCTCAGAACGTGGAGGTACCGAGTAAAGCGGCGGCGTTGCGGGCGTCCAGCGCTCGTTGCTCCTCTGGATCGGTTGGGTGGGTAGAGTCTTGTTCTTCTTGCAGGCTGTTGTCAAATTCCGTTTGTAGTACGCCCGGTTGAAAATGACGATAACGCGAGTTGCCCGTCCAACTGTCACCCTGAGGCGTCTGGGACGGTCCAGTGGTTGAGCTGGTCGAAGCGCCGCGTCCCAGACGAGAAAGACCGCCCTTCAAGTCCGCTGATCTCACGTCGCTCTTTATGCGTTCCAGCAGCGTCAATTTCTTACGTTCGTATTCGATCTTGCGCAGTGTGTATTCTCGGATAGCGGCAGTGAGTGCATGGGAATACCATTCGAGCCATCTCTGTTTCTCAAACAGCATGTTGGCGGTCGTGCGTTGCAACTTTAGAGTAAGTTCGTGTTCTGCCGTGGTAGCAGTTTTCAATGCTCTGATAGCTTCGTCTACTTTTAAGGGATTGACATCGCGTTTGACGCGGAGTCTGCGTGCTTGGTCTTGTCTGAATTTGGTGTTTTGCTGCGCCTGCAGCAACTCACGCATCAAGAAGTGACGGTTCGTCAGGGCCTCCTTCACGACGTACGTGTCCTGCACAATCCATGCCAGCCCATCGTAGAGGGTCGCCATGTCCAGTGTGGCCACGACGCTGTCGATGTCGCCCACGGCGGTGAGCGTCTTACCGAAGCGCTTGTACAACTTGGTGTGAATCTGGCTCGAATCCGTAAGCATTTCCGTGAACGTCTGACCCACTCCATTTTCGTCCTGAGACAGCATTTTTCGAAGTTTGCTTAGTCTGTAGAGTTTGAGCTGGATCTCATGGCAATTGTAGTGAATTGATTTGACTAGCGGTCTGAATTGCGCTAGCTCGAGACATTCGTCGAACGGAGGCGCAAGCTGCTTTAAGGTCTTACGCCTGAGCCCTGTAACGGTAGATTTCACTTTACCGATTGGAGTGTACGTGTTGAAGTCGCTTTCGATGAAAAAAGCGAGTTCTTCGCACCGAAGCACAAGCGGATCTCCACAGATCCGGTCGAACCATTCCTGCATGGCGCTTTGCGTTTTCTGGTAGTCCTCGTTGTTTTGGATCCCGTAATTAGTACTGGGCGCGGGCAAACTGGGTACAAAAGTCTCGGGCAACGCGGCGTTGAGGTACTTGAACAGGTTTTGGAATTCCGACATGGTTTTCTTGAGATTGCGGTGCTTGGGCTTGCGGAAAGTGGGCAAATTAGTCGAGGCATCAAAAATAATGGCAGGATTGTCTTTCTTGTTAGCGAGGGACCCTACTCTTTCCAGTCCGGTGACTTTGACCACCAGAGTAAACTTTGTATTTTTACGTTCTGGGACCAAATTTTCCAGTTGTTCTTGTAGTGTAGTGTCTTGATCTTCACCGGGAGCAGTCACGGATCTCTCTTCATCGCCTTTCTGCAGCTGTGGCTGATTTTCAGCTTCATTGTCCCGTGCCTCGTCTGCATCGTGTGTCCCTGGAGCGGATTCAACTGCCGGCTCAGAAAACGGGTTGTTGTCTATATCGTCAAATGGGTCATAAGGAATAGCACTGGTCATAATTGCTACTTGAATAGCAACTGCGATGCCATGCAAACGTCCAGGAACGTCTTACGTGTCGCGATCTTGTTGTCGACACCAAAGTTTTTCAACTTTTCTACAACGTTTTAATCTAATTTTGAAATATTTTACCCCTATGCAATGTAGAAGGGTTGGTTGGTGCCAAGTGGAAAGACCAGACGAAGTCAAGTCTACGAGTCTACGAGTCTCTCCAGAGCAGTTATATAGTGGTGTCGCTAAAGATTGTATCCCAGAGCGAAAACGAACAATTTCCGTCACCCGCATCTTATGTTTTTCTTGTCCCTCTAGTGCTACTCGTGGTATAGAGTGGACTGATTAGTGCATTGATGTATTAGAATATAGGCGTAACCGCGTAATCCACGTAGACGCAGTGCACTTTGAAGCTTATATTGACCGGTAACGTGATGGAGCCGACAATTCTGAGTTACGTGAGTAGGTGCCAAACAGTTCGCAGTGTCTTGAACAGTGCAGGATTTCAAGGCGCAGAAGTACGGAAAGGCAGAATGGGGCCTTCATCGACAGAAAATGGGGCGCCGTGAAACAATTATTCGCTCTAGATTGGCTCCTACGCTGGCTTCCACACAGAACAACGTTGCTAGTATCTCGCACTCTCTCGTTCTTTGATTTTCCCTACAGCTCTCGGATTGAAAAATATATTAAATGCTGCAGATGTGAACGAAACCTCGAGAAAACATGCAAGTCAAAGCCAACGACAGTCGTGAATCTAGCACAGGAACCAGCGTCATGCCAAAGGTTCCTTCTCCGGCAATGCCGAGAATCGCGAAGCTGTGGCCCTCGAGCAAGACCGCGCATCGCGCGGTCAAAGCCGTGGTTTTCGACATGGACGGCACGCTGTGTCTACCACAGGCCTGGATGTTCCGTATGTGCGCTTTTCTAAGCCGTAAATCGTAAATTTCACTAACGCTAACAAGATACACTGTGCTGCAGTCGCCATGCGCGAGGCATTGGGCATCCAGGACAGCCCCATCGACATCCTCGCTTACATCGACACGCTCAAATCCGTGGAAAAGCGACGCGAGGCGGAGGCTCGCGTCGCGAACGTCGAGCGCAAGGCCATGGCCGAGATGCAGCCGCAGCCGGGACTCGCGAAACTGATGCAGTTCCTGGCCGAGAACAACGTGAGCAAGAACATCTGCACGCGGAACTTGATTGACCCTGTCAATCATTTGCTCGCGAGCTTCGTGCCGCGTGACCACGCTGTTTTCGACGTTATTCTGACGCGCGCCTTCCGCCCCACCAAGCCGCATCCGGACCCGCTGCTACACATTGCGCGCGCGCTGGGCGTGCACTCGCACGAGCTCGTCATGGTCGGCGACTCCTTCGACGACATGGCCAGCGGCCGCGCGGCCGGCTGCGCGACGATCCTCGTCAAGAGTGAGCACAATGCAAAGCTGCTCCAAACGCGGCCGGAACTCGTTGACGCCGCAGTCGACGACTTGGAGGAGATCATCCGCCTCTTGCAGGACGGCTTCGAGACACGGAGCGTGTGACTGCGGCGACGACAATACGCGCTCTCACACCTCGGTCACGTGACTCCTGCCCATCCACCACCCACCCATACCTTCCGTTTATGTAATCCCCATCTCACACCCGTGCACCCTCGTACCTGCTCCCATCTGGACCCATACACGCATGCCCCGCTTCGCGTCCACCAACCCGCGGCCCGCGGAAGCCGGCTCAAATGGACCCCTCCGCCTTCCCCGCTCCTTCCCGTGCCGCCCGTGTCACCCACCCCTGCTGTCACCCTTTGCAAACTCCGGGCCCGCTCTGCCGCGGGCCTCCCCTTGCTCTTCCTCTCCCCCTAGCCGCCCGCCAGACATGTACCCGGACAAACGCAACTCCGCTTCTTTTTCCGCCCTGCAGCCAGCGGCTATTCACCAGCGGGTGACACAAAACCACGGCGTGGTCTAGCCCTCAGTTCGCGTCCGTGCGGATCCGCACGGACGAAAGCACGAAAGTGCCGGCCCTATGCGAGGTCATCTATCGGCGCTGCTTGCTTGGCAGAGGCTCAACAAATGCGAGTCCTACGTACCGTGCCGCATAGCGACCTCGAGTGACCTTGCAAGGCCGCGGCTGTGAGCGCGTGGCCAGCGGGTGGCCGACGGTTTACGCGGAGGAGAGGAGTGGGCCCATTTTCAGCGGCGGTTCGTATATATAACGTATAGAGCATGGCTACTTCGCTGCCTGGAAGATTCCAGTGGTATAGAGGTTGATATACACACTTACTCAAGTCTGCGTTTTTCGTCCCGCACCTCTAGACTCAAGACTGACTAGAGCCAAATTGACCACTGCTGAAGATCAGGCCATCGTGGAGATCACGTGATACCTGCGCTCCCCCACTACCCAAGACACACAAACACCGTTTAAGCCCGCAGCCGCACCAAAATGACCAGAGCTGAAAACATAGAGCTGGCGACCTCATCGTCCGGCACCTCGACGCCGTCGAACGGCGGACCCGAGAAAAGCGGTGCGCACACCGACCACGTCGACCTCGCAGGCGCCAATGCGCAGCGGCTGGAAAGTCACGTGCACTCGGTCATGGTCGACGGCGACCTCGTGCATCTCGGAGACCGGACCTACCGCCGCAGCGAGCTCACCAACGCGTTTGCCGGTGACCTGAACCCGGGAATCCACATGCGAGCGCCCGTGGCGCTCGCAAACCCGGTTCCGCTCGGGCTCGCGTCGTTTTCGTACTCGTGTTTGCTGCTGTCGCTGCTGAACGCTAACGTGCGCGGCGTGACCAACAACCAGATAGTCGTGGGCGCCGGGCTATTTTTCGGCGGTGCGATCGAGCTGTGCGCGGGGCTTCTGTGCTTCGCTACCGGCAATACGTACGCAATGACCGTTTTCGGCGCTTTCGGCGGGTTCTGGATCAGCTATGCGGCCATACTGCTGGACCAGTTTGGCATAATGTCCGCGTACAAGGACGACCCGGCGATGTTGAACAACGCGCTGGGGTTCTATCTCACGGGCTGGACCGTGTTTACGTTTCTGATGTTCATGTGCACGCTCAAGAGTACGTGGGGCCTCTTTCTGCTGTTTTTCTTTCTGCAATTCACGTTCCTGCTGCTCACCATAGGCTACTTCATCGATAACGTGCACGTCAAGCAGGCAGGCGGATATTTTGGCATTCTGAGCGCGGTGTGTGGGTTTTACTCCCTTTACAGCGGTGTCGCCGACAGCAGCAACAGCTATTTCCCAGTACGCGCCTACTACATGCCAAACGCACCCACGGTCTGAAACGGAGCCTCGCGCCTTTGTAATCAATGTTACGTTCATAATTTATGCGCTGTCGCAGCGACAATCGATTTGCTAGAGACGACTGCCTCACGCACGGCTTGACGTGATGGGAAAAAAACTCCGCGACGGGGAATTGAACCCCGGTCCCGAGCGCGACAAGCTCGAATTCTAGCCACTAAACTATCGCGGATGAGGGATGGTGTACAAGCTATTTTGAGCATACATATGCTGTTGCCAGTACCATGGCGTACCCAAATCTCACCTCGAGCATTCAGCACTTCCCCGGATTAAAGGCATCAGGGTGGGATCTTACAGAGTTGAGCTTAGGCGTCACAGTCATGTCTTACCAAGAGTTTTCAGAGTACATAGACAGCGAAATTGATCTTTTAGCCACCCAATCCTTTACGGATGTGGCCCCGGAGCTTGACATGCCTCAGGATCAAGCGCAGCGACTCACGGCTTTGGTCCAGGAGAAGTTCGACGCTCGATGCAGAGAGCATTTCAGTAGAAGCAACAGAGACGCATTGTTGCGGCGAATAACCGATTCTCAGGCCAGCTCGAAGTTACGGCAGTTACAGACAGTGATGGACACTGTGGGCGATTTCCAGCGACAAGAAATTGGGCCCGATATCCGGGAGATCGCAGACGGCCAGGACGGCACTAGGGCCATGTTTTCGCTAGACCGATTGGTACACGCGCTCCGAGATCTGCCCAAAGTCACTTTGGTGGACGCAACAGATGTTCCAGGGTCTTCGCTGGTGCGAGAGTACGACTCGCTGCACAGCACGCTGTGCGAGAAAATACAGGCTCTTGCGCTTGCACGGCGCTACCATGGCGAGATGGAAGCACAGCGCACGCAGTTGGAAGCCCTCGTGGAAGCCATCCGAGCAACTCGAAGCGAGAGCGTCCAAGAATACTGTCGAGACTATGATGCTTGCGTCGCGGATCAACTGCGACATACGTGCGAACTCGTCGAGACACTGGTAAAGCGTGACGGTTCAATTCCGCCAGACCTTCTCGCAGAGCTGAAAACACTAGTCGCGTCTCTCCCCGCTGCGCAAGAGTAGCGCAGCGGCACATAAACACACTTATTTGTGGAGTTCATCGATTAAACCGAAGCAAAAGAAACTAAACTATACACATGTTTGCGTAGATTGAGCTAAACTTCTTAGTCGAACAAACCGAAACCCATGTCGTCGTCGGATTCCTCAGCGGCCTCTTCCTCCTTCTCTTCGGCAGCCTCCTCACCAGCGGCACCACCGGCAGCAGCAGCACCACCGCTAGAAACAGCAGCACCACCAACTGGGACGGTAGCCAACTTGGCTTGGCCAGCAGCAACGATCTCCTCGATGGAGCCCTTGCCTTCCAAGGAAGAGAGCAAAGCAGAGATTCTGCTTTCCTCGGCCTCGACACCAACGGCCTCAACGACCTTCTTAATGTCAGCAGCGGTTGGGGCGGCGTTACCACCTTGAAGCAACAACAAGTAAGCAGCCAAGTATTTCATTTGTGCTAAATTCAACGGACGAGTAATAGAATAATCAAATTAAGCCTTCTAAGCAGACTATTCTTTAGGTCTGACGAAAGTGAAAAACAAACTTCGAAAGAAGCTAGAAACTGAAAAATTTTTCTCTTCAATAGGCCATCTCATCGCGCGAAGCCAGTTCGACATAAATTGAGAAAAATGGAAAAAAAGAGTTGCGTGCCCGTGCGAAGCTACTGGTCTGTGTTGTTCGCGCTTGAAAGGTACAAGCGTGAAAACATTGGTCCATTGAAGCCAAATCATTCTGTACGTATTATAAGTCATTGATTACGGAATAAAACGATTTTTTAGATTAGCTAAGCCGGGAAGCACGTGAGATTCTTTGAGTCATGTGGCTTGGAAAATTTTACTTGGCCTGCAGGCTCGATGATGTACATTGATCTGAGCTTTAAAGCCAGCGGTGATCTGGTTCTTCTTGTTCTTCTTCTTATTCGCTTAAGCAGGTGCCCATTAGCGCTTTGCATTCTGATACGTAATGGAGTTCGAAGAGGCCGTCAAAGATATTTTCTGCGGTTCGGTCGCGGGGGCCTTGGGTAAAGTTGTAGAGTATCCATTCGACACAGTGAAAGTCAGGCTGCAGACGCAGCCCACGCACATGTTTCCGAACGCGTGGTCATGTATAAAATACACGTACGCCAACGAGGGTTTGTGGCGAGGATTTTACCAAGGTTTGGGGTCACCTGTGAGTGGAGCCGCACTCGAGAATGCAGTGCTTTTCGTGGCCTTCAACCGCGCATCGCATGTCCTTGAGCACCATACGTCATTGAGCCAAGTGTCAAAATCCGTATGGGCCGGTGCGTTTGCAGGTGCGTGCGCAAGTTTTGTGCTCACACCTGTCGAACTGGTGAAATGCCGATTGCAAGTATCGAACCTTACGAAAGTACCTGGGGCACAGTCTAAGATTTGGCCCACGGTCAAATCCATTTTGGCCGCAAAGGGACTTGCAGGTCTGTGGCAGGGCCAATCCGGCACGTTCGTGCGTGAGACAGGTGGTGGTGCGGTTTGGTTCACCACATATGAAATCGTCAAAGAGCTTTTGGCAGCGAGAAGACAGTCTCAAGAAAACCACACGTGGGAATTATTGGTAGCAGGTGCCTGCGCGGGTGTCGGATTCAACGCCAGCACTTTCCCCGCAGATACCATCAAGTCGACAATGCAAACCAGGCACGACTCCTTCATGAACACGACAAAGACAATTTTGGCCCGCCAAGGAATCTCGGGCTTTTACCGCGGGCTCGGTATCACTCTGGTAAGGGCCGTTCCGTCCAATGCGATCATATTTTACACGTATGAATCGCTCTCTAGCTATTTGCATCAAGGCTGAACACTGACCGCCGAGTTCAAATGCGCAGCTGTTTGGCTCTCGCTCTAGCAGTACGCAGTAAGCGGAACAGCCTCATACTCCACAGGACGAGACCCTCTTTGAAGAAAAACAGGAATGCTGCCGTCAAAATGCTCTGTACAAGCTTGATACCGATTCCACGGTACAGCGACATCGGCCCATTCTTTTTGACGCTCTCTAACAAAGTTGACAACACTGCCGAAGGACGCTCGTTGGCCACTGTTTTTTGATTCTGCATTTTCGTCTTCATCGTCACATAGGGATATGTGAGCCCCGTGGCAACGAGTTTCCCTAGAGCACCCAACAAAAACGCCCACGATGGACTGAGCACTTTCGATCCAGTCAGGTTCAAAACCGTATTCTTGAGCTGCTCAAAAACGGTGTACTGGATTATAGGGTTGATGACCAACACCAGAGCGGGTTTCAGGCCCTTAAACAGGGCCTGGAACCCTTCGTCTCTTGATATTTGATAAATGGTCTGGAAAGTTCCCGCGCTCGATTTTTGCACGGTCATTCGCGTATTCGCGACCCACAGCGGGTTGGAAGCCGTGGCGGTAGCGGATCCAGCCACCGTGCCGACTAGAAACGATTCCAAAGTGTTGAGCTGCTTGGATCCAAATATTTTCTTGACATATCCCGACGAAAGCTCGTAGAAATAGTAGTATACAAAATTTGATAGGGTCATTCCATAGATGGCGCTTTCTAGCCCAGAAAACATGGCCTTCCAGCCGTCTTTCTGAAGCATGTTCTTCACCACTTCGCGTGTAGACTGCTTCTTCTCATCGTCGCTGGTCGTCTGTAACTTGGTCGTCAACGACATCAATGGATACGTTAGAGTTATCGAAAGCGCTCCACCGGCAGCACCTGCCACTGCGTGTGTAAATGCATCTGCATCGCTTGGATTCAAACTTGTGTCCGACATTATCTAGTCTAGAATCAAATGCCCTTCACAAGAGTGGAATATTGGTAAGAGGAGAAGTGGAAACAGAGATAAGTCGCTTTCATGTACAGTATTTAAAGGTCAAATCCACCCCCGACGTTTTGATCATCCACTTAAACCCTGAGATCCCCACATTTGATTTTTGATTCCTATGTCGTGTCAAAGTGATAAAGTCGTTGGTGAGTTTTGTAAGTGAAATGAGCACGATGAAAGCAGCTTTATATAGTGTTTAAAGCTGTTATACCTGATCTGGGATTTGAGAAATTGGTTTTCGAATTGGGGTGTATTTTTAGGGAATTTTTGGTGAGCCTTTGTAGGTCTTTTCACCGAGTTTGCATGTTCGTTCGCTAAAAGACGTGAAAGCGGGTCCCCTGCGGCCTGGGGATTGGAAGTTCCCCAACCTGCAGGTGTACAATGCTTCTTGCAGCGCCATAGTCTCGCTGCCGTTGATAGACGTGGACTCATGGGTATTCGTAGTTTTGATGCATAAATCACGTGATCGCTACTTTTTAACAGTGTTCATCGTCATCACCAAATCACCATATCACCAGTGTGGACGATATCACCGTACAGTTACTTAGAGAACATCAGATCAAGATTCATACTAGAGATTCATGTCAGCTAATCCTTTTCAAAATATCGGGTAAGTAAGAAGTGTACGACGTTGACTTTTAGCGTGAGAAACAATGACTAACCTTGTTCAGCAAAAACGCAGCATACCTATGTGGTTTTGCGATCCTATCCGTTTTGGCCGTGAAGGCCGCCATCAGAGGGCGGCGTGATGCCCAGTTCGATAGGTTTGGGGAGAAATCTCAAGGCAGGGACGATTACTACAAAAATCTCGCCAATGTGCGGCCTGGTTTCCCGATTTCCCAAGCGGACGATGGGTCTGGAAGGAAAAGCGATTTCCAAGGTTCTGGGCTCAGTTATCTGAGTCGAAAGCGTGGCGACAAACTAGGCTTTTGGGATAGAAGAAGAGACGAGTAACTGTTTTTTGCAACACAATTTGAGTATGTTGCGCTCACCGTTAAAACGTTAGATCGTGTGATTCAGGTACGTAGGGCCCACTGTCGTGCTTTTCCGCATCATCCTGATCGGGCAGTATGTGCTGGCAACGCTTGCCGATTTACAGAGAAAGATGAGATTGATCAAGACCGACTTTGGAATGAATCGCTCCTTTGAAGAGCGAGCAGTTCGATAATAATACATGTATATACAGCTTACGGCCGTAACTTTGTTCAAGTCATTGGAGACGAAACGACTCCTTCACGAGCTTTAATCCAGGCGGGTAGCACACCAAGAATATCCCGTTCGTTTGTTCGCCCCTCGACAATTCCAAATAGAGTCCATTCTAATGGTGTAGGTGTGACATTGACTGAGACCTGGCTTGATTTGTGCATTTTGTGTCATCAACACTGGAAGTTATTCTCGCACTTGACCTAATTACTTAACAAAATTCATTTAAGGGAAAAAAAATCGCGGCAGACAATGTCTTTGCCTTTTGGAAGGTCATAGCAGAACAAGCTATTCCTTCTTTTCCTCAAAGTAGTCTGCCATCTCCTGGTCTAGTTGTTCTAGACTCTTCTTCTCAGGCTTAGGATTCTTCTTTTTCTCAACCTTCTTTTGCTTCTTCACGGCAGCAGCCTTCTTAGTAGGAGCCTTAACAGCTGGAACCTTGCGTTGCGCAAGCGGCTGAATCCTAGAAGCAAGAGGCTTCTTGGTAGGATCGATGATTAAGTTCAACTTTAGTCTGGTTCTGCCACCGTCGATAGGAGCGCCGTTAAACTTGGAGACAGCTTCCTTGGCCTTGTCGGAAGACTTGAACGTGATGGTAGCCATACCGGTTGATAAACCTCTTTCGTTGTAACTCAATAGTATTCTAGTCACGCCACCGATCTGGCTTGTGAAAAATTCCTAAATTTTCTTATTGTTAGTTCTTGTTCTTTGCATTTTGATACGATCTCTTGAGCGTCGAAGAGAAAACTTGGAAATTGAAAGGCCAGCTGCCATGGGAAACAATTAAATTCAACTTCACTCCACTAAATAAATGCTAAGGAGCAGCAATAATGAGACCCCCACGAAATTTCGGAGAACGTTGTTATTAGATAGCTCTTGACTCTGCTTCGACCACATCTGACCTGACTTCTCGTCCAGTTCGCTATCTTGATCACAGAAAGGCAGACAGGTTAAAAGGTTTCATTAGGCGAAATTCAAGGTGCAGGAAAGCTAGTTAAAACGCGGAAATGTGCTTAATTTCGAAAAGACTCCCATCTTTTTTTTTGCTACTTCAAATGAGATGTAACCTCAGCTACAACGAGTAGCAAAGTTATTTCTTCATTGATTAAATTAGGTCCAGTGGTAAGGTGATGAAGAACGTACCTTTCCCCCTCATACAGACACCAATAAAGCACTAGTTCCAACAGCTTTCAGAAACAAATCTAATTGCTCCAACAGCGTGTGAGAACTGTTTCCACGATTCACAATAGGCCCAAATTTTATTTGAATTTCCTTTTCTTGTATGTCCCAGCCAAATAACCATGCCAATCGTATTCAGATCGCATTTGTCGAGAAGCTATACTGATAATGACGTTTGCCACGCTCAATAATGGTAACGTCCTCTCTTCTGACCCGTTTGAACACAAGCTCAAAAGTCACATTGTGACGTGATCCGATCCAATTCCATTGTTTTGTTCTTTACTTGCTTAAGAGATCTTAAAACAACATCATTTTGTCCACGACAAACATACTCTTACTGCATCTTGTTTAATGTCTCTGGGTAGGCCCTCAACGTTGACTTTGGTGCCATAAGCAGATTCCAAGATGTTCGCTGTCTTTGCAGCAGCAGCGTTTCTTAGCGCACCGCCCTTAATGGGTGTCGCCCGACGGCGATTGCCGACAACAGACTTGGACACCTTCTTTGGAACGTTTTTGTTCACCTTTCTGACGCGTTGCTTCTTGTTTTCGCCGATGATTTCGTCCAAAGATCTATCTAGGTTTCCAGACATGTTTTGAAATTTCGCTTGATATTGATAAGGTTTTTTTTCGACGGGAGTCTTTTCGATCAGATACCGCTAATTAAAACAGTTTCTTTGATTTTTAAACCGTGAAGTAGGTCTTCTCTTGAAAGTTGTTCACGAAGTTTACGAAGGTGGCAAAAATGTCAATGATGGGTTCTCGTTATTGCTCTCCTTATATATCCTTTTTTCTGTGGTCCGGGTAACTTGATGAAATTGACATGGAAACGAGTCGCTTTTTGGATTCTAGCGTTGAACTATTGTGACGGCAATTATTCTGGTGCCTTTTGAGACGCGCACTTAAGTAAACCCAGATCGATTGATTTTAATTGTTTATACGCATTGAAATTGGCCATTATTAAGGGGCCATTTTCCTTGCCTCGTCCAAAGTAGGACATATTTCGCTTATACTTGCGAGAAGTTATGTTTGCGCATTTCGCAAGTCTGGGTGATTTTGTGAATCCTTTGCGGATGACTAGATCTTCATTTCAACTGGGTCATAAGTTACAATTGGAATTTTATTTTTCGGTTAGCTTTTTTGACATTTGGCTTCAAGCTAGAATTTGAAAAACTCTAAATTATACGATTTATCTACACCTGATTCTCAGATCACAGACCACAGACAAATTACCGAGGCTTTTAGTCTTCAAATAAAAAGAATATTAGATTTAAAGCATCTCTAAAGACGGGCCTTTCAAGAGAAACGTAAAGATGGTTTTCATTTTTCGTTTTAAGAGTGTCGTACTTCTTTAAACAATAAAAGGGCTACCTAGTCGACACCGCACTACTTCAAACATTCAAATTGAACGGATAGTATGCAGAGTTAAATGGCATAGAGTTAATCGCGTTGACAAGCCTCTGAGATCTTAGTCAATGGCAGAAAGTTATCTTTCTAATACGCATATGGAGGAAAGATCGCCATTTCGTAGCGAATGACTAATAAATAATGAATCATGTTTGACCTATCAATTACCTCAGTGACGAATTCTCCTTACATGATCGACCACAGCTACAAGGACGAGAGGAATATAGCCGGTCTTCACAAAATGCTGCTTAAAATGATGCTGATAGGTAAAGAAATACTGGTGAGTACTTACAACAAGTTACGTCGATAGTGATATCAACTGTATCATTGATACATCCGCGACGAATCAAATAATTTGAATAGATGACGATGGTTCACTATGATCAAATTGAGTAGCCAAATAAAGTGAACGTCTTTCCGCCTGAATAAGTGCTTGAAATTCGCTCACTGTGTCAAAGTTAGTATTCGTGAAAAGATACAGGGCTCCTGACGAAAAGCTTGATTTCGCCCGATTCGTCTCCAGTGCTGGATCCACCAAATAGCTGAACTTTCTAGCGCGCGAGCTACAATTCGACGACTCCACGTTTTCAAGGCCGACGACTCCATCAGCCAGGCTTGCGCACGTATTCAAATTTCATAGGGCTGATGCTGATCCATTCGCAGTCTATGAAGTCTGGTCTCAGTGCGCACCTCCTACAGAGCTATGATGAACACACGTCCCATCATCACAACGTTCAGTATATCATAGCTTCTGAATTCGATAATAAACTGGGTCCCGTGGTTAAGTTTCAGTATCCGAAAAGTATACCTGGGTTTAAAACCAATTTCAACTCAATTGGCACAAATTTGGCAAGTCTGATGATTCCCAACAGCATAGAGTCCAAGCCTGGCGATACAGACTTCACTGTATTCATTCTCTACAAGACCAGGAAACATGCATACAGCATCTATCCCATCGAGAGTCAAGAAGTAAGCGAAGGAAATTCGTGGTCGTCGACTATCATCGAGGAACGTGAGCAGGAGTTGAGCGGAGACGACGACGATGCAGTCGCTGCAGGCAGCGACGAGGATTTTGGACTTAGCACCAGTGATGATTCCCCACTATTTTTCTTCAATATTGCAAGCTCAGTACGAGATACAACCAACAAGCGCGGAGCTCGCATCAAATCAATTGGAATGGGAACTAAAATGTCGAATTTTCTAATACTCAAGCCCATTTTGGTCATGTTACTTCACGAGTACCTGCGATTGCCGAACGGTGGCACCAGCATGCTTGTCGAATGCTTCAACATGATAAATTCTCTAGATCTGTCCACGGTACGACATATTCATGGTGACCAATGTTTACAGGCCGTTTTGAGCTCGATTGGAGACGAAGATGCGGTCAAGACTCTGTTAGATCCAAGCAGTGAGAGTTTAAGAAAAATAATAGGTCTCAATATACTCCCTGAAAGTGATCAATTCGGCAATAAAATTAGGTTTAAATCTAAAAACATCGAATACCAGTTCAATATTTTCCAAACATCCGATTTACCTAATTACTTCACAAAAATACCTCTTCAAATTGATCTTATAACTTACGATCCGATACCAGTCGAAATCAGGTATAATGATCTGGTACTGAAGTTTGTCGCTCGATTTTTACAAAAAATGTATCGATGCAAACAAAGTAGTATGTCTTGGAGGCTGGTAGTTAACTGTTGCAAGCTTCCCAAAGATACTCTGTGCCAATTTGTCATAGCGCTTTCCAATCTGATGAGAGGCTTTGATAGACGAGATCGGAAAGGTCCTCAATTGTTTGTTTTCCCTTACATGGATATTTCATTTATTGATTCACTACGTGCCGCTATGAAGCGGGTCAAAAGTTCGCACTCCACATCCATCATAGGCGTCTCTAATCCTATTTTTGAAATACAAGAGGACATCTGGGATTATTACTACGATCTAGACGAAGATCGGCTTGTCAATAAGCACCTTTTAGGGTCCGAACCTCTCACGAAGAATCCAGCTGGTTTTCGAAAAAGTCGTCCGAAGTCTCTCAAAGTACAAAAACTCTGGACACGAGATTTTGGCGACTCTCATGAGTCGCACGCAGAGCATAATATTCAGATGACATCGAGGTTATCATTGGAGCTGGTAAAATATCAGCACGATAATGAGACTATTATCAACGTTTTTAAGCGGAAAACCATTTTACAAATTCTTAGCTTGCTAAAGAGAGCAGCCCAGAGGCCCTCACAGCACTATGAGTATTCTCTTAAGGAAGAATATTTGGTTGCATACCACGATTTCGTACTTTTCCCAGAATTTTTTGAGCCTAATTCACTGAATATGATCAAATTACTGTTCGACCTCGAACAGTGTCTGGCTTTTCTTTTAACAAATGAACATTCGAAGTTGGAAAATATCCAAAACACCTTAAATCAAATCCTTTCTTCCATAATGGAAATGTACAGGTACGTGACCTGCAACGTGGCAAGCATGAACACATTCCTGAACGTCTGTTTAAATTATCCTCCCACCCAGCTTGTAGACATTATGACGCAAGCGGACTTTTCAGAACTGGATCTGAAGCTTTGCGCCGAGAGAGCCCAGACCCTCAGTGGATTGTCTATCGAGAAAAGCCAAGATCTTGTACTGTGGTTCACGCGTGACTACTTTACCAATTTGCTGTATTGCCCGTTATTTTTGAACGATCGAATTGCCGAAGATCACTTTTCTCGTGGTTACGATGTACCTCTTTCATCTGCATTGTCGGACTCCAACTCCTTTTTTTCTGGAACAGGCGATACCAGGTACGATACTGTCGCTACTGGTGATCCAACCATGCTCGTCAGCTCTTTGAATATCGGTGCTTTTGACGATTCCCTAGCTGCCGATATCTCAAAGTTAGTGAATCAAATCAAAGAACATTGCATTGCTTTAATAAGAGCCATCGAAAGCAATTCTGTCGGAAGTCAATTGCTCGAAAAAAGGGTTAATCTCGCGTTCAAGCTAGTAACGAGGCACTTTACCGAGCCGAAACATGACCAGGCTACATGCGTTCCCAGTCACAGAAGAGATGCACAGTTTCCAATCAATGAAAATAATTTTGAAATTTCACCAAATCGACGTGAACTGTTGAACAATTTGAACACATTAGCAGAAGCACAGGGAAAACTCGCGTTGCGTGGTTCCACAGGTACTGAGTTTTCACGTCCGACGTTTTTCTGAGCGTTTCGTTTCTGACCCATAAGAAATCACAGAAGCACACAGGAGCTCGCAGGTTTCAAACCGAAAACGTGGGGAATCGTAAGCACATTACTATATCCTTCAGATCAGCCAAAATATGCCTCTGAACTGCATTTCAAGACTCGTGGATCGTCTCTTAAAAACACCACGTGACCTTCTATAAATTTGATTCACGTGACTCGGTCGTTAAGCTTTTGAGTTCTTCAATTAATTGAGTTTGATTGACTCGGGTTCCAACTAAATGACAACTTCAACAGAAGATCAATTTTTAGCATTGCTCGACCTTAAACTTAAGTGAAATCAAGTAGCTTAGAATTAGGACAATATTTCCATTTAATTCAGGGATATCCCATTTTCTCAACTTTGAATTGTACGTCTTCTTGTTTGCAAGCATTTGTTCGATTGTTTGAAACAGTTCAGTCTAAAATTCAAGCTAAATCTAAAGTTAGGTACGTTGCAATGGATTTTCGCACTGTTGGTATTTTGGGCGGTGGCCAACTCGGTCGTATGATTGTCGAAGCTGCCAGCAGACTGAACGTTAAAACGGTTATTTTAGACGCCGCAAATTCTCCTGCCAAACAGATCAACGCTACCGGGGACCATGTTGAAGGCTCTTTTGCGAATCCTGAAGATATAGAGAAGCTGGCCGCAAAATGCGATGTGCTTACTGTAGAAATCGAACATGTTGATGTACCTACTTTGAAGAAGTTGCAAACCACTTATCCCGATCTGAAAATATATCCAAGTCCCGAGACGATTGCATTAATCCAAGACAAGTTTACTCAAAAGGAGCACTTAATAAAGAATGGGATTGCCGTTGCTGAAAGTATTGCCATCGAGAACGCCACAGAGCAAAGTTTGGCTGCCGTTGGAGCTAAATTCGGCTACCCTTATATGTTGAAATCCAGAACTCTGGCTTATGATGGTCGTGGTAACTTTGTTGTCAAATCCAAGGACTCTATCCCACAGGCTCTTCAGGAGTTGCACAACAGACCACTTTATGCCGAAAAATGGGCTCCCTTTGCAAAAGAACTGGCCGTTATGATTGTGCGAGCTGTTGATGGTAAAGTATTCTCTTACCCTACTGCCGAAACCATCCATCAGGACAACATCTGCCACACTTGCTTTGCCCCAGCCCGGGTTCCAGATTCCGTTCAGTTGAGAGCCAAGCTACTTGCTGAAAATGCAATCAAGTCATTTCCCGGCTGTGGTATTTTTGGTGTTGAAATGTTTTACTTGGATAACGGGGAACTTTTGATCAATGAAATCGCTCCCAGGCCACACAATTCTGGCCATTACACAATAAATGCATGTGTAACATCCCAATTTGAAGCCCACGTCAGAGCCGTTTTGGAACTACCTTTGCCAAGAAACTTTTCAACCATGGCAACTTACGATACAAATGCGATCATGCTGAACATTTTGGGAGACAAGGAGACTAAGGACGGCGAATTGCAAATCTGCGAGCGTGCTCTCAGGACGCCAGGTACTTCCGTATACTTGTATGGAAAGGAGTCTAGGCCAAAGAGAAAGATGGGCCACATTAACATAGTAGGCTCATCGATGACTGAATGTGAGCGGAAGTTAAGTTATCTACTTGGTGAAAGCAAAGACAATGGCAGTTCTAGCGCGGCAGACAGGCTTGCCCCAGTCATACCAGGCATTTCTCAGAAGCCTCTGGTGGGTGTGATCATGGGTTCCGATTCTGATCTTCCTGTTATGAGCCAAGCATGCAACATCTTGAATCAGTTCGATGTTCCATATGAAGTTACCATTGTATCCGCACACAGGACTCCTCACAGAATGAGCAGATATTCTATAGAAGCAGCAGATCGAGGGCTTAAGGTAATTATTGCCGGTGCTGGTGGTGCTGCTCACCTACCTGGAATGGTAGCTGCTATGACACCGCTTCCGGTTATCGGAGTTCCTGTCAAAGGTTCAACGCTTGATGGTGTCGACTCACTACACTCCATTGTTCAAATGCCTAGAGGTATTCCAGTCGCAACTGTTGCTATCAACAACAGTACTAACGCGGCTCTCTTGGCCATAAGAATGATTGGCTCTAGTAACTCATCCTACCTTCGCAAAATGCAAGAGTTTTTGTTGAAACAAGAAGAGGAGGTTTTAGAGAAAGCGGGAAAGATTGAAACAATCGGATACCAGTCGTATCTTGACCAGAAATAAAGCTATCAAAAGCTTTGATGTGATGATTGTGTAGGTCTGTACTTTTCATATTCACTAGTGTGTGTGTTCTAGTTCGTGGAAAACACGTAGAGTCTAGCCCACAACAATGAATACGTTTTTCGAAAGTATGAACTTTTTATGCAGGTATAGAAGAAGCATCACTATGGCGAATACTAGAAGGTGGTTTCTTTTTTTGTAAACAGGAGGAAAGGACGTCGACATTTTGAGTTATGCCGTCACTGTTTGGTAGAATAGTCGCATAGCGCTTAATGAATTCTGCGCACACTGCGAAGCGATTCGTCCAAAAGCTGGGCTCGGTGAGTCTAACCAGCAGCTCCCAAGCGTCATCCTCAGTTAACTCTGAGGCTAAATGGCCCCATTCGAGAGATTTTGAAAATTCCGTTCGCACGTCTTCAAACGACCAGGACTGTTCCTCACATTGTGGCTCTTCTCGAGGTTTTATGGTGAAAAGTCGGTGCCCAGCTCTCTCTGTTTCAGTAAATACATGAGCCGTCCCCAAATAATGAAAACAAGCCAAAAGCGGAAGCGTTCGGCATGCCAATTTATAAGTCAAAAATGGATATTGAGTCCAGAGTTCAGAGCACTCCGAAAATTTAAACTCCAGTAAGGCTGCATTCAATCCTATGCTACTTTGCTTTTCGGAAAGGAAGTTTTTAAGCTCTTGCTGCTTAACTTTATAAGCAAACTCCCACCAACTTTGGCCCTGCTTATCGTGCAAGAAGAATTCATCATCAGGAATGTCTTTGCAAGGGGTAGGACAGAAGCATTTCATAAGAGTAATTCGTGCAGAGCTTCCGACTTCAGATTCGGGGCTCATACCCATGCACAAATTTAAAAGCGCAGTGCAATCTAAGATGGCAAGGAAGAGGGACAAAAGGTTTATATGATGAGGACCATCCTTGCACACGAGTGAGGCAGTAATTGCCTCCTTTAAGCCTTCAAAATAAGTGTTTGACATATGGCTTTCTTCAATGTTCAAAAGGCAAGATTTGTCAAACTTGGTATGCCCAGCATTCACAACGTCTAATTTACTCAATAATAGAAACGTTTTAGCCAGAATTGCTGAAGTATCTAATATTAATAATGATCCTTCGCATTTAGTTTCGGAAACTTTCCTATTCACGACTTTCTCAAATTTATCATGACGTGACATCCACTGTTCTCTTTCGAACGACCATATCAATTCATCCTGTAATCTTGCCGCAATGTAAAGACAGCCACTGCTACCACCACTCGTCTCACATTTTTCGTAAAGAGACTCCAATTTCGGCCCTCTGCCAAAACTGGAGTGCGTGGAAATTCCGGTTGGGATCGAGGCTCGATCCTCATCCAAGAAAGGTAGCGAAACGTGTGTGAAAAGGGCAGTTTTCAGCCGTTTGCATAAATCAGTATCCTCATCCGTATGCATGAAAACGCTGTTTCCAAAACATTCTTTTCCAACTCGAATCATTAAAAACAAAGACCAGGCAAGGCGGCAGTAAGATTCCCTCTGCATTCTAGTCACAGAACTCAACTTTGATAGTATTGCCTCATCAGGCGACAGTGCTGGTAAGGGCATCGAACATATAAATTGAGCTACCTCCTTCAAATGATACTCAACCTGCGCACAGTCTGATGCATACTTTGAGTAATAGTATGACAGTAAAATGTGAGTTTGCATCAAGGTTATAGCATCCAAGCGATCTCGATATTTCTTTATCATACCCAGATAATGATCAGCAGAAAAGGAGTGGTTGTTATCAAGTGGACACAACATATTCAGATAGGGTCTAGCGCACAAAAACATTGCATGTATCAAAGCCGTATTAGCTCGGGGACTAAATTGGCTCATGAAAAAATCCTTTGGCGGCAGGACCTGCAGTTGTAAGTGAATTTTTTCAAAGAAGACATCAAGAAGGAGGCACGAAATGGATGGAGGCGGAAGGTCGTAATCCAAAAGGTCTTCGCTTGATAGGCGATACCTTAGGGTTCTAGCAGTGGCTCTGCTCTCAGTATGCTTATTGCCTTCCTCCCATATTGATACAGAAGGGAGCTGAGATGTACTCGAAGAGCTTCTAGACTCATCAATGCTAGAATTCGATGAAGACAGGGTCGCGTCGTCTTCCGTAAACCTCTTCTCACCAGTGCTACTTTTCAAATTTTGACCGGCAGTCGAATTTTGAGGTTTCTTCGGGGAAGTAACGCTAGTCACAGGAACATCATTCCGAGTCTCCTCATTCTGATAACGTTCCAGTGATGGAACATGGCTACCTTTGAATCCCTGGCCTACATGAAGCTCATGTCGTTCGTACCCAGGATCCATGAAATTAGACTTCACAGTTGAAGGCTTATGCGCATGAATATCATGTCCGTCTTTAGTCTTCATTCTTGTTTCGCGGTGGTCAAAAGTTATGGTAGTGTAAGACATTTCGTTGTAGCTAGCGTCACTGGTGTTTGAGGCCGCGGGGTATGACTCATACGCTTGCGTTTCGTTCGGCGTAGATGTCGCATCGGTATCGGAGGAAGCGGCCTTCGACATATCTGCGAAAGAAGCAGGAACGGTTGACGAAGGTGAAGGCCATTCGCGATGTACACCAGTATTCGGTTGCGAATGAGAACTCTCTGAAAACTCGGAACAGGAGTCGCTCTGCTGGCGGTACATTCCCATACGAGAGTCAGGAAAAGCAGATCCGGCTTGATTTGGCCAAGGGCCTCCGTAAGGCGGAGGCCAGGTATATAAGTTACGCTCAGGGTTGCGCGAGTGATGAAAATGTCGTGGAAGATGGTGGGGATATTTCCAATGTCGCGAAAAAGGGTAAGGACCGTGATGTTGACCTGGATGATGAGGAGGATGATGATGATGCTCGAAATGTGGTGGAGGATGCGAAGGTCGGTTCCAAGGTGAAAAGTGCGGACCAAAATGATGTGTAGGTGATTCGCAGGGCAGACAGGGAGGCCCAAAGTGATGCGGAAATTTCGGAGGCATCGATGACGTTGAGGCCATGTGATGTGGCGTAGGGTTTTGACTTACGTGAAGTTCCGACGGCGGCACTGGAATCCTTACTGAGGGCCAAAATCCATGATACGCACCAAAGTAAGGCTCGAAATGAGGAGGACACGCCGTAGCTCTGCGTCCAGCGCCCACCCGAGCCGCGAATTCTGGATAAGAGTTCCAATCACGTGACGTCTCTTTTCCACCACCAATTCCACCTTTCTCTGCTTTGCCTTCATTCGTACAATATGCTCTTGATCCGTCCTCATGGTCAACTGCCAGGGACCCATTCCGATGCTTGGGCACACGTCGTCCGCCACGCATACTCGGCACAAAAACACATTCTATTCCCGCTGCTGCACAATTGGAACATCTTTTCGAATCCGTTGAACTCCCTTGTTGCTTGTGTTCTCCGTCACATTTCACTTTTTTTCCCGGCAAGCTAGACATGCCTTCCTGGCCACTTTACGCTTCTGTTCAACCTTTCCATAAAGATCAAAATGTCGCCCACTCATGCGGCCACTAAACTTAACCGTTAAGTCCCAAGGTAGGCCCTCCTTCCGAACTGTGACCCTGTTGAAGGTTATTTCATATCTATAGAAACGGTGATTTCTTTAATTGGGTTTTCAACATTTTCAAATGCCGATATGCTGGAGCACGTGATTCCATGCATGATAATATGCAGGCAGGAAACGTGCATGAAGACCCGTCATTCAGCAGGCTCCGAATAGCGCGAATGACAGAAGGGTGGAGCCTCGAAGATCAGGATCAGACAATGGACGACGTTTGGAATGTGGGAGTGAACGACAACATCTCCTCTGCGGTAAGGTCGCTCTTAATTTTGAAGGGCTTATTGCGCCATTGTATGACGGAACCGCACATGGCTTTAACCCAGATTGGAAGGGCTAGCGTTTCGCGCAGTAACCACACCAGAAGCCACTCTGGAAACGAGCGTCTCTCGTGCAGTATTTCGAGGAATTGAGGAGGTTGCGTCAAACTGGTGTCGCAGAAGATTGTGCGGGATAAAATGCAATACTGGATCCAATCTGTCGTGCACCATACAACGAAATGCGTCAGCATGAAAAGCGAGAAAGAAACTCCGAACAAGCGATTCATGCCAAACGCACCCATTAGACCTGCAACGAGGGACTCCGTAGTTGGCTCGAGTAGAGTGGCAGCCAGGACCATGTATTTCCGGACTCGTAGCCAGCGGACTCGGCGATCCACGTAGTTCTTGACACCGTTGTCACGCAGTCCGAAGCGAAGTGGCTGGACAACAGCGTCCAGACTCATGCCTGTCCTGCCGCCGAGCATGTCCCAGAGCGCAGTGCCGATCATGTTGTCCTCGCCAATATATGTGCTGAAAAACTCGATGCCGTGATGGTGCGCCTGTTCACTGCCTGCGACGACCTTTTTCTTGAGAAATCCGTTTTCGCACTCGATGCATGAAAATGCACACTGGTTCTCATGAACTTTCCCGTGGTTCTTGAGAGCGACGTCTCGGGCTCTTTTCTGAATCTTTGGATCTTTAAACAAGTCCGTCGGTTTTTCGGCTTTACCGATGAGCTCGACAGCCTCGTTCAGAGCGGAACGCCGGTACAAATTGCTCTTGCCATTCACACACGGTGCGATGCTGACTTTGTTGAATCCCACGTAAAATTTGGCATGCGAAGTGAACAAGAAGGTCTCATCAAGGCGCGCACTTAAGGGCATCGAATCGACTGCTTCATCGATGCTTACCGCCAAGGGAACATGGTGGGTCAAGACAACAGGTTTCCCAGATATTTTATCCCCGTTATCGACGTTATTGAGCAGACTGTCGACACTCCGGCCCAGCGTGCCTGGCGGACACCATACATTAGAGTCCAAAACCCATATAATGTCGTTACTCGCAAACCTGAAACCCTTCGACAAATTGTTGATTTTTGGATTGGGTCCGTAGTAATCCACATCGGGTTCCACGCCCACAAGAAGCTTTAAATTGAACTTGTCATATCTCTTTATGAGATTTTCGATCAGCACAATGCATGGATCCATCGCGCTTTCGACACAGAATAAAACCTCAAACTTATCCGCAGGATAATCCTGGGTAATGCAACTTTCCAGACACGATTCCATCTCCGTCTCGATGCCCTTGCAGGGTCTTATGATGGAAACGGGTTCGCATGCAGCGGTACCAGTTAATTTTGGTTTGGCTCGAGAAAATTTCCGAACTATCTCCAACCAGCCGGAATACGCTAGTAGCAGCACAACTATGTACCAGATAATCAAAATTAATGCTACTACCTTGGTAAAAGCGTCTTTTCCCGGATCTCCCGAGTTCGATGAGGCTGGTTCAAGTTGCTTAATTTGGCTCTTTTCGCGCAGAGCTTTCTCAGCCTCAACAATGTCCCATAAACGAAATCCAATTGCCAGCTTACTGCCAAGAACACGCATCTTGATGGATAATGCGGTGTTTTCGTTACCGGAACCGATGATCATGCAGACTCATACAAAATTTTTCTTTTGACCTCGAGCCTGACCGCTAAAGATCATAAACTGAATATACCCCACGCCCACCAGTTGACTCGCATTGAATCAGGTTGGCATGAAAGCGGAACTCTTGAGTCGCTGCCACCGTTTCAGACCTTAGTAGTAACGGGTTTCTTTTGATCTTGATCTTTTATACTTTTGGTCCTGTAACCAAATCAACTTTCAGATCTAACGAATAATTGATGATATGAAGGATATCGAAATATGGTGCAAGACGTTGATTCAATGGCGGGCAATTAATAGAAGGCATGCTTTGTAGACCGATTCCAGCAATATTAGTGGAATTTTCGAAATTGGGTTTCTTGATCCCTTGATTAATAGATGCCGATGAAATAAAATTTGTCAAAGGGAAATTCACCCTTGTGAACCTTATAAGCTCAATCGCAGAATCTGCTTACCAGACCCTCATTTGTCTTTTAACTTATGGCGAACATGATAAAACGACCAAGCGGACTCCAAAGACAGATTTTACACTTGTACAGGCAATTCATACGGTTAGCGTATCAGAAGCCGCAAGAGAATAGAGCTCACTTTGAAAAACACTTTAGGTATGAATTCCAGCGATACAAGGATTTGCCTCGCAAGGACTTTAGCACCATTGAACATCTGCTTAGAGTAGGTCGTCGAAGGTTGGAGCTGTTTTCGTCGCCAGAGGTCAAAGATATTCATTGACGCACACACACACACACCCTCTCGCAGGAAAGCTGCCAAGTTGTTTCCAAATTCTGTAAATAATATATTCACAACATTTATCTATTTTCAAACTGACATCTATCAGTATTCCTATGTACTAGTTTTCAAAAAATCATTAAGTTCAAGACCAAAGTCTCCGAGTTACCTCATATTACGCTGATCTGCCTCCACTGCGCTGGGTGTTAGTTTTCAAACACATCAAAATGCTTGAATAAAATGAAATAAACCACGTAATTCCGTTCCTTCATGTCTGATATGTCTTTCACACCAGTCTCATCTCTAATCAGCCCTGGCGCAAATACCAACGAGAGGTTATTCAACGTCATTAGGTTGAAATCACTAAACTCAGATACGATAATGAGATGATCCACGAGCTGCTTTAATAAATACAGGTGTTCAGCTGGAAGCAAATTCAAAATTTCTCGTAACGTTGACAGCGTTTCAGAGTAAAGCTTATTTTGCTTGGTGACTCTGGAATCCAACGATAAGTTACTCAGAAGCTGATTGTCTCGCACTAACTTCATCAAGGGCTCATAAACCTCGTACGTTAACACAGGGTTCGGTAGACGTCTGAGGTACCGTTTCAGAACCCCCGTAACGGCATGAACATCTTCATTCAGCAGTTTTATCAGCGATTCAGGCTGGGGATCCTTAGGAGACGCCTGTGCGAAAGCTGACTCAATCTGCTCGATCAAAATTTGGCTCCCAGACTTTCTGTAGAGCCCCTCGGCTTTAAGATATTCTTCTCGCGATTGAATTTGCTGTATGCACGTAGAAATTAGACTTGGCATAGAATTGTTCTCGAATGCGCAGCGACTAGTGAGGCTTGACCCATGCAGAGCATGCCCGCTCCGAGACATGTCTGACGATGAAGATTGACTCTCGGTTTTGTTCACAATTGGAACTAAATTCAGGTCACTAACGTCTGAGGGATTTTGCAAGACCGGCTGCGAGATCTCAACTCTGCCTACACTTAAAGACGGACCATTTAGGCCCTGCTTATTACTGGAAAAGATTTTCCAGAACCTTGGCTTAGCAGCATTGCCTACATTAGCAGTGGCAGCTTGACGTACCGGCGATTCATCAAATGTGTCCGGTTCTAACGACTCAATTGACTTGCCACGATCACTGCTTTTCTCCTTCTCAAACGTTCCAATATCCCTTCTGAGCCCTTCTTTGACAGACCTTAAAGATTCCACATCTGTGGTCAGCTGCGATTTGGTTGACTGAAGTTCACTAATTTCGACCTTCAGCCGACGTAAAATAAGTTCGAGCTCCGTAATGTCTTTTTCAAAAAACTGTCTATTTGTGAGCGTTTTAATGTCTTCCTCTTCTTTTTCGTCGAAGTTTTGCGCCGCAGTCAAACTCAGGCTTCTATCATGGTGTGAGGATTGATTAGAAAACGAATGTGTGTCGAGAGGGGGGGTGCGGTACACTGACACGCTTCCATTGGCACTGCCACTTCTCGCGTGCTGCCCTTTGCCCAGCTTATGAGTGGAGTACTCCGTACTATCACTTTGATGCTTTGAAGAAAATCGTCTTTGAGAGCCCGACGTGTTGATGCTCGATGAAGTCACCCCCCATCCAGAATGGGTATCAAAATCGGTGGATTTGCCTACAGCAGCGTTCTTCGTATCTTTGGACTTTGGACGTAAGTTCATCATTATACTCTTTGACCTCATAGAGAGGGACCTTCCGAGTTTTTTATTTGTACCACTGGAAGATCTTCTATGATGACCAAATAAAGAAGGCGAGCGGCTAATATTCCGATCAAGAGACGATGATTGTGCTGTAACAGGTTGGGTACTATCATAAGGAAGACCCATGGTGGTCCCACCTCCAGAAAATTCAGATTTTTCTGGGGTAGTTATCCCAAGACCGGCTTCTCTTTCATCATGAGTTCCTACCCTAACCGGACTATTTAACGCCTCCATGACGTCTGCCTCGTTTAGAACCAAACCCTGTCTGTTAGTTATTGGCGATTTTTGACTAAAATCGTTGGGCTTGTTTCGCAGAGGAGTCTTGTTTAAAAGTTGCTTAGTCTCAAACTTGGGGATGTCCAAGAGCTCACGAGACGCTTCGTTTTCGAGATGCTCGTCATTCTCCAAAGTCGTCCGAAGGAGGTCGTCGATAGATAATTGACTTGTGTGACCTCTAAAATCTTCCCTTTCTGTAGAAACCTCGTCTCCAGTTGAATTATAATCGGTATCCAGCAAGAATTGCCCAACCACGCTCTCAGTGTAAGCAGTTTGAGCTTCTTTTTTGTAACCCACCGAGCTTTCGCTTTGAGGATCGCTGCTCATGCCTTTCGACACTGCAGCAGAAAAGTCCAATGGCGCTGCTAATGAAGCCAAACTAGATGACAGGGTTTGTTTTTCGAGTTCGTGACCCGTTGACGCGGGCAACACTTCTATGCTTTTCCTTGGAGACAGAGGCCGATGCGCAGATCTGCGAGGGATCGCAGGTTCGATGATAGTTGCAGGTTCGATGACGCTCGCACTTACCACAGAGTCCTCGCTCGGCGTCATTGGCAGTTCTTTTTTCAATCGTCGTTTTTTCTCTTCATACAGCTTCCGTCTCTCGAGCAGCCGTTCATGACACCTAATGCAGAATAACCCTCGTCTCGTCTTGGCATACCTGAGATTTTCTATTTTGTCCCCACATTTACAGCATTTAAAACAGTCCGAACAATACGCTTCGTTGGACGTCGCTAAAATGATCGCCAGATCGTCGATCTTCTGCCCACAGTTTTTACAGGAATCAGAGCAACTGAAACATATCAACGCTCCAGTTCCTAAGACCAAGAAGTTAGAATCGCAGCTCAACGGTTTATCGCATTTATAACACGAAAAACAGTGCGTGTGCCATCTGTCTCCTCCCAGTTCGTACGCGTGTCCCGTAATTAACGGTTCTTTGCATCGCACGCATCCTGCTGGGTCGCCAGTTGACATTTAACCGTGCTCCAAGTCTTCCACGTTTGGGTTTAAAGCTAACGAATAAATGCTTGAAATCGTAGGTCTTCTTGCAGGGCTCCTCACAACCTTTTGCACATGTAGTGATCTATCAAGGAATGTTTCATTGAATTTTCGATGTTAGTGAACTTCGCGAATTTAATATCTTCCCTTACGACAACTGTTATCTATCTGTATATGTGTGGGTAGCTTCATAGGAATCATCAGACTATATATAGAAGAATCAGGTACCCGCTATGGGCAAATCGAACACTGATACGTAGATTACCGAGCATATATTAAATGGTCAAATTTCCGGGTCTTCGTTAATGAAGGCCGAGTTGTTTGGGTACGTCAAAAGCTGGAAACCAGGTTTCGTTATATGAAAAAAAAAATTGTTGATACAGCATCAAAAAGCACTTAAAGCGAAAACAAGGTCTGTTTATTACCCCGGCCTATACTTCGCAGCGCTATTACTCTCGATATGTCGACTGGTAATGGAACGGTTACCACCGCATCTTCGGAGTTTTTGTCCAACATCATAGGGAAGCCGGTTGTCGTTAAATTGCACTCTGGAATGCTGTATCAGGGAACCTTGGAATCAATCGATGGGTTCATGAATGTCGCGCTCAATCAGGCTACGGAACATTACGAATCCGAGAAAAACGGGCTGTTGTATAGATATGACGGTGATGTCTTTGTGAGAGGCACGCAGGTCCTGTATATCAGCGAAGCATGAATGAAGGTGTACATATAAAAAATAATAAGAAAGCATTTGTTCTCATAAAATTGTCAGGATCTTTGAATATTTATTTAAGCTGTTCAGATTCCATTCTTGGACGGTGATATAGTCATTCAATTTTCGATAGAGCCTCCCCTGGGCGATTCGGGGTGACGAAGAAAAGAACTCTAGTTGAATTAGTGCTCCTCTCCGCCCTTGTGGTGTCTCAAATGGAAGTAGTATTCCATGGAGTAACCTAGAACGAGGATGAAACCCGCGAGATGCAACAAGGGCTTCCCGCTGGCGTTGTCACCGTCAAAGTACTTGGCCTTGTATCTTCCAACTAAGCCAGAAGGCTTGTAGGCAGGAGCTGGACCCTGAGGTAGAGCTTTGTAGAATTGAACGACTTGCGTGATACGTTGTGCGTTTGGAGCGGAACCTAGGTTCTGGAATGTTCAACTCATGTTAGTATTGATCGTGTATGCACCAATAAGCTTGATTGTGCGACAGAAGCTTAGTGGATTCAGCAGCTCGGGGGACGTGTACTTTTCAGAGTCGATTCAAAGCGACTACCAAACGCCAAATATTTAGAGTTTGTTAAGTAACCCACAAGGAACTGCTTTCAACCACTCCTGTTTGAGATTTTTCGTTGCAATAAAACATTGCCCTAATAATACAAGAGAAAAAGCCTCAGAAAAGTCCCTTCCACTACTAACATACCTTAGCAGAAACAATCTTTGGTGGGATCAAAGTAGATAAAGCACGTCTTCCGAGCATTTTGAAGCAGCTTTTGTTCAATTTGTTACCGTCTTCGTCCGAGATATTCCTCTATACATTTAACATGCTTGATATTATTTGGAAAAAAACCCCGTGGTAATTATGTACGAAAAGTGTAATCCGGATTTCTGATTGGCTCTTACAAGGGACCTATATGAGAACCGTCTTCAATGGAAGACGGAATCTCCTCTCTCAAGAAAGCTAATATATCATTAGTATCGATAAACTTATCCCTTATTTTGTTTTGGAATTTTCCTCTTGCCTTTTCTTCCAAATCGATCTTCTCCCAATCTTTCCAAGTTGTAAACCTGACACCAGAAATATCAATAGCCCTTGATTTTGATGAGGCCACGCTTCGAAGGTCTGTTATTACCATATCAGCGACCTCAAATGCGTCTGCCATTGTGGAAGCTATGACACCACTACTTCCCTTTTTAATCCATCCAGAAACATAGAGACCAGGTATTATAGATCCCTGGGTATTGAGAACCATGCCTCGATCATTGTAAACATGATTTTTGGCAAATCCGATATTCAACGAGGGAAAATCAACTAGTGGGCTGCTCCCGTAGCCGAGAGACGTAATTAACACGTCCATATCATAATCAATTTCCTCGTACGCCAGTGGTTCGATTTTGGAATCCGCCGAAAGAATGTTTGGGCAAACGGTCAATGACTTTAATTTGCCATCCGCGCCGCTATTTATGCGCAGAGGCGTTTTCAAGTAATCCATCTCCCAATGTTTTTTGAAACCTGCCGCTGGTGGAGGAAACTTACGGTAATTCTTCTTGGTTCTTTCATTAAATGGCTTTAGATATTCTGAAGTCATCTCTACACGTCTCTTCTGTACTCTATCAGCATTGGTTAAGTCGATTTTCGATGCGTCAAAATATTGGTCACTTATAAAGCCTCGAATGCCATATTGCTCCAGTTCCCATAATTCACGATATTCTTTATTCGTAAACTTGCTGTGGACAAAATCCCGCCTAGCTATGAGCTTCACTTCTTGTATGGGTGCTCTGCGGAATGCGCTCAGGGCGAAGGGATTAATATCAGTATGAGCCCATATGTCGTTTTCCCGACAACTTAAAAGGACTCTGGCCAGGTCAAGCGCAACGTTACCGTTTCCTATAATGCCCACTTTGCGCACGCTTTCCCAGTCAAACCCATTGAGCTTTTCGGATTTGGCAAAGTCAGGATGGCCATTGTACCAGTTCACTATTTCCCGGCTCGTGAACACGCCCTTTGTATCATCCTCGCCTGGTATTCCGAGTTTATGGTCTCCCGAGCAACCATAGCTCAGGATAACGGCATCTTGACGTTTCATTAGGGTGTTCAGTTCTAAATCCTTCCCAATCGTGACATTTCCGCGGAACCTAAATGTATGTCCGTCAACACCCGGATATAAATACTTCCTTGCGTACTCTGTGAACGTTTGTTCGCAGTTTTTGACTTCCGGGTGGTCCGGTGCAACTCCATAACGGCTGAGTCCAAATGGCACCGGTAATTTCTCCCACAATGTGACATCAAGTGGAATCGGCGATTTTGACAGAAGTCTGCAAGCCGTATAGAAACCAGACGGGCCCGAGCCAATAATCGACACGGATTTACGCTGTGTCGTTGCCCATCTCACAAATACCCGAATAGGATGCATTGAAGTTCCGGTCATTTTAAGAGACCAGTACCGCTCGCTTCCTGTCCCTCGGGCTTTCTATAAGCTATATAGTTGTTTTTCGTCAGCTTTCTAAACGTTATTTGTCTACTAGGTTTACTCCGACTGGAACGAAACAAAACATCCAATAGAGAGTCTGAATAATTCTTCAAGCAACCAACCTCTACTGCAGTTTTCAATTAACGACTGTCCTTAGTATTTTAACCTTATTTGTATCCGTCTACAAAATAAAGCGCCACGAATATACGTGAATCACGGTAGCAGTGATAGTAGATTGATATATAAAGAAACATAACCTCAAACATCCAGTCATCCAAATGAACGGCTAGAACCTACCCAAATTCAAGGTCTCTTTTCCATGAATTTTTGAAATCAAAGATAAAGCTTCCGTTAAAAATTGAATCTTTTACCTTGTGGCTTTTGAAAATAAGTGCCAAGAACGTGTGATACATGGCATAGGAGACTAAAAAGACTACAGCCCTGGCAACCCTTATAACCAAGTGCTCATATGTTCTCACAATATTCCACCCGTAGAAACCAATGTCTTAGGCTACAAGATAAGATCGCTATTCATTTCAATGTGACGGACAGTTGCTCTCTTCAGGTACTTCAAGAAAAGCTTCTCAGCTTTTCAACTAGATATTAAAATAACGTGATCGTAGTTCAATATGCTGATAAACACCAATATCAAATCCTTCTCAAGCGGGATTCGTGAATCGTTTAGCTTTCTGCTTTATCAATTATCCTTAAAAGTCACATTCTACACGTGATGTGACTACCTCTGTTCACATGTTGTAGCCAAGGACTACAATGTTTACCAGCAAATCAACCTCAGATATTTTCAAGACGAACGTTGAGCCATGTCGTTGGACTACAAGAAGTTCCTGCTTTTTGGTGATTCAATTACGGAATTTGCGTTTAATACGCGAGCCGACTCTGGCCTACCAGAGCAGTTTTCCCTCGGGGCAGCTCTAGTTAATGCCTATACAAGAAAGCTAGATATTGTGCAAAGAGGGTTCTCTGGATATACGAGCAGATGGGGTTTAAAATTGCTGCCAAAAATACTGGAGAATGAGGGACCGAATGTCGTTATGACAACGATCTTTTTCGGATCCAACGATGCTGTTCAAGCTGGTCCACAGGCAGTAGAATTAAGTGAGTTTAAAAAGAACATAAATTCGTTGACTCAATTGATGCTGGACAAGGGTATCAAGCCGATTCTCATTGGACCCGCATTACATGATAAAGAGGTATGGGAACCAACCAAACCACAGGAAGTGAGTATGGGTTACGTACGCTCGAGTGAGGCCAATAGGATCTATGCTGACGCGGTGAGCGACGTTGCTGCTGAAAACAAGGTTCCGTTCGTGGATCTGCACAAAGCTTTCACTGAAAAGGGAGGTGATCATTGGCAAGAGCTCCTACTCGATGGTGTCCATTTTTCAGGCAAAGGCTATGAGGTCTTCTTCGATGAGCTTTTGAAAGCGATTCGAGGGTGGTACCCTGAATTGGCTCCCGAGAGAATTCCATACAAATTGCCAAATTGGCGCGAGGTCAAAAACGACGGTTCAAACCTTGACGAGCTGATTTGAGCGTCTGTAAGGTTTTTAGTGATTCCGAGAAGTGAGATTATATATGTCATTGCCTCAATAAAATACAGAGATATGATATAAAGAAAGATTTTACGATAAACAAGAAATAGTCATTTGAGGATTTCTAGCAGTTTCTCAGCTTTTGCGTGCCATAGACGGCCCTTGAGTGTGTCGAGATCTCTGGTTAAACATCTTTTTAAATGTAGATCGGGTGGGTATCAAATATTAACTGGAATTTTTCACTTTTCAACTCTTTAGCCCATCGCCAGAAACGTTGGAACTTTAAACATGGAAAATGGTTCCCCCCCTAAGCCCGATGGCTCATTTGATCTTGATGAGATCAGGAACAGTTCAGATGGATCCATGACTGGAATGGCTAAGAGACTTTTCCATCAGGTGATGCAAGGAAACCCATATTTCGCCGCTGGTGGTGGACTTATGATCCTGGGGTCTGGTCTCGCTCTGGCCCGTTCTGGTATTATAAGAGGCAGCAGACTGCTTTACCGCCAGCTTCTTGTGGATTTAGAGATTCCTTCAAAGGATAAGTCGTATCTTTGGTTTCTAGAGTGGATGTCGAAACATCCAAATAGGTCATCTCGCCATCTCTCGGTAGAAACGAATTTCATACAGCACGACAATGGTGCCGTCACGACCAAATTTTCTTTAGTACCGGGGCCAGGAAATCATATCATTCGATACAAGGGCGCTTTTATGTTGATTAAGCGTGAGAGATCAGGCAAAATGATAGATATGACTAGCGGCACACCGTTCGAAACTGTGACGCTGACGACACTTTATAGAGATCGACACTTATTTGGAGATATGCTTCTTGAGGCGAAAAATCTTGCTGTAAAGGCGAAAGACGGTAAGACCGTTGTTTTCACCTCGTGGGGACCAGAATGGAGACCATTTGGCCAGCCTAAGGCCAAGAGATCCCTTCCTTCCGTCATTCTGGATAAAGACATCAAGCAAAACATACTGAAAGACGTTCAAGAATTCATGAACAACGGGAAATGGTATTTTGAGAGAGGCATTCCATATAGACGCGGCTATCTGTTGTATGGGCCACCGGGGAGCGGTAAGACCAGTTTCATCCAGGCTCTTGCGGGTGAGCTCGATTACAACATATGTATCATGAATCTGTCTGAAGCCAATTTGACTGATGATCGCCTCAATCATCTCATGAATAATATTCCAGAACGCAGCATTTTACTTTTGGAAGATATTGACGCCGCCTTCAATCAAAGGAAACAGTCTGCCGAAAAAGGATTCCAATCGGGCGTGACCTTCAGTGGACTTTTAAATGCTTTGGATGGCGTTGCATCCTCAGAGGAAACGATAACGTTTATGACGACCAACCATCCTGACAGACTCGATCCGGCTATTCTAAGACCTGGCAGAGTTGATTACAAGGCTTTCATTGGCAACGCTACGCGTTATCAAATTTACCAAATGTTCTTGAAATTTTACCCTGGCGAAATAGAGCACGGTGAAGAGTTCTGCCGCAAGGCTATGGCTCTTGGTGTCCCTATTAGCACAGCACAACTGCAGGGCCTATTCGTATTCTGCAAAGATGCACCAGAGGCCGCGATCGAGATGGTCCCTACACTCGCATCTCCTGATCATGTGTTTCATTAATGACAAAAAAAGAGAGGAAGGAACTAACGATGTTCAATAATACGCCGATGGTTCCTCGGCTGGTTGGATTTCACTACTCTCGAGTACGTAAATCTTGTAAATAATTAACACTTATCTGATACATAAACCCAATTTCAAGAGCTTTGAAATAGGTCAAACAATACCAACGAACACAATAAGCGTCTGCGCTTCATAGAAGAAGGAGATCTCGATGGATGATCAACTTTGTTAGGTTAGTTGTCTATTGCTTCATATACGGAGGCCGCCGAGCAGGACTCTTTAAGACCGTTTTACACGATAGCTATGCTGACGCCAATATTCTTGAACTTAACGCCTATACAGATGACCTTAAATGTCTGGAGAGATCTAGAGCCTTAGCTGTTTAGTCGGGAAGGTCGTAAAGGGCTCTGGCCGCAAAGAACCTTGCCAAAATCTGTTATTCAGTAAATCGTGTACTTTCATAGGCTTCGCCAAAAAGTATTTTGATGTTGTCTGCCCACATCAAGCTCGCCGAATGCGGATCTTGGAAGCGCATACCTCGCATGAAACACCGGAAACAGTCAAAGTGCATTGTATTTTTCATCAAGCTGTTTCCCGATCTCTGAAATGTAGATGACAAAACCAATTCCTCGGAAAATAGCAACCCGTTAACCATTAAAAATGTCCTCGGCGGCATTTGCGATGTGAGATGGTAACAAGGCGTCACTTTCATCTCTTTCAGCGTATTCACACGCTTTCTGGACAAGCTGTCTCATGTATTCCTCCACGCCCACGCCAAGAATGAGCTCTTCAGCCTCGCTCGGAGACGCTGCAAAACTGGCCTCATTTGCCAGCACTTTCATGGCAGCCCGAGACATATAGTAACCGCTCATTCTCATTCAACGCAGGATTTATGATGGCTACCAAGATGCTTGTCTGTTTAAGGCATAGAGTGGATGATACAGATCTTAATATTTACGTACCAGAAGACATCGAGTTTCTCGATGTCCTTGCTATGCAGCGCTTCTATCCAGCCGAAAGCTATCAGCATCAGATATTGAAAGGGATTCAAAAAACTTGCTGAGATCTTGAAAAATCAACCATGCTTTGATAGATGGTTTAGTGTCACACAAATGCTGAAGAATATCATCAAGCGGGAACACCATGCATGCATATTACTATGAAAACTTAACATAGCTGTCACCCTACTTAAAATCAAGTTGATGCAATCTATCAGTATAGCTCACGATTGAAAAAGGAAACCACACATACCAATTCTATAAATTTTTTGATCTGAAGGTTAATTAATTTATTTGCGTTTTGTATTTTCAAATGACCGTGATACTATCATAGGAGCATTAATGTCATTAATTAGAGTTTGTCTTGAACCAAGTTTCTGAATTAAAGCTCAAAACTCTATTTCAGACTCCATTTCACAAGAACGCACCCTGCTAAAGTAAATATGCCTGTTGCTGTGATTACGATAGTTGATACCGGACGGACCTCTATTTTGGGTCTTAAAATGTGATGATTATTTGAATTGACCAAAAAGATACTCCGCAAGCAGGACGAGCACATCAGCATACTAAACTGACATCAGAATGAATTAACTTTTAAAAGTCGATGAAATGATTGAAAGAAGAAGACTCGACCAACCTTTACCATGTTAACCATAGCTCTTCGCAGGGTTAATACTATGGGATAACACGCTAACTTTGAACGATCTTATAGATGTTTAATGAAATCTGGTTTTAGTTTTCCACCAAAAAGAACCACAAAAGCTACAATCCTGTGACGATGCTCCGTATCACGCCTCAGAGATGTCTAGTACGTCCTTTCTCCATTTCAAGATGTTTGAAACAAGCGCAACCAGAGGTAAAAGAGAATTCTACTGATGAGCAGAAGTTTTTACCAATGTCAAGAGCACAGACTGCATATCTTGACAGAGTGATAAGGGTCGATCAAGCAGGAGAATTGGGTGCAAACTACATCTATGCGGGTCAGTATTTTGTTCTTGCCAACAAATACCCCCATTTGAAACCGGTGCTACAGCACATGTGGGATCAAGAGATTCATCATCACAATACTTTCAACAACTTGCAGCTCAAAAAGAGAGTAAGGCCCAGTCTTTTGACCCCGCTGTGGAAGATTGGTGCATTTGCTATGGGGGCAGGAACCTCGCTAATATCACCACAGGCTGCAATGGCCTGCACCGAAGCGGTTGAAACCGTAATTGGCCGGCACTACAATGATCAATTGCGATGCCTAACGAACCAGTACGAACTGCAAAAACCAGACGGCTCTCATGGACAAAGTGAGGAGGTGCAATCTTTGACAAAAACGATCACGCAGTTCAGGGACGAAGAGCTGGAGCACTTGAACACAGCAGTCGAGCATGACTCACACCAGGCCGTTCCTTACAAATTGCTGACGGAGGGGATCATGACTATATGTAGAGCGGCAGTCTGGACCGCGGAAAGGGTTTGAAGCCCGCGGTTGAGATGTCGATAAACTTCAGTTTTTCTTTTATGATACAGTCAAAAAGCATACATAGCACTAAACGCATGAGCCCTTCAGCAGTTGCTTTGCTTCCCATCAGGACTAGGCAGCTGGAGGACATAACAATGAATATTTCTGGGATTCTTACGAATGACTTAAACCAAACCGTCGTATAGGTTCAGGGCGCTCACAATAGAGGGGTCGACTTTGGAACCTTCTCTAAACTCGTCCAGCGAAATCGAGCCGTCTTCGTTTTTGTCCATGAGTTTAAAAATCTTTTTCACCCGCAACTCGGGCGTCGCTTCGTCATCTTCCAGCTTGACCATGGACCCAATCATTTGGTATATGCTGGTGACAATCGTCAGCATTTCATCGTAGGTGATCATGCCGTCGTTGTTCTGATCGTAGAGTTGAAATGCCCACACTAGTTTCTCTTCTAGTGTGCCCCGCGATGTGGTGCTAAGCGCCGTGATGAACTCCTTAAAGTCGATGGTCCCGTTTTGATCCTTGTCGAAAACGCTGAAAACGTGGTTCGCAAATTGCTCGGGCGACCCGAACGGGAAGAACTGCCGGTAGATCTTAACAAACTCTTCCCTGGTGAGTTGGCCCGTCGGACAGTCTCTGAGAAAACCCTTGTGCCACTGTTGAATTTCGCGACGGTCGAAGTAGGTTGATTGCCTCAAGCTGGCGAGATCATCTTTGGATAGCTTGGAAGCCTTTGCACCCATCGATAGCCGTAGAATATGGGACCCAGAAGTTGCCGTTACGAACGAATTTCCGTCCGATCCTAGTAAGCCTGTTAACTACGTGAGGGAGGCTGAGAAGCTCTGAGAAGCTTTAGTAATATCCTTTTAAGTCACGTGACCAACTTTTTCTCCATGACAAGTCAAACCGGACCCTGTGAAATATAATCTCGTTGGGACAGCGATGGGGAAGAATGCTCAAAACTTCACGAGTATTCTGTTTTAACAGGGACTGACAAGAGTACTTATAAGAGGTGAGAAAAGGGTAAAGCGTTTGATCAGAAGTCACGTGCTTTGAGGATTTTCACTTCTATACGGGTTACTTCGCAGAAAAAAGAGTCGTCTGGAATGCCTAAAGATACCTATATGCGCTGTTTGTCAACAGCGCGCGACTTTTATGCATAGGTGTTACGGTTTTTCTGTCTTATGGCCTCCCTAGATGATTCAAAGCGCTAAAAGCTTTTGTCGTACGTATTTAATTTTGCTCCAACCGCAAGTTTCCTGATAAATTTCTGGTCTATATATGATAGTCGGTCGCTAATCTTGGGCCGCGTAACATCGTCTTGGCGCTGGATCTCGTTTCGTTCTCAAGGCTGTCCAATTGTCAGAATTAAAAAAAGACAAGAGCTCACTATGAATGTTTAGTTTATGTAGTCGTTCCATTGGTAAACCGACAGGTGAGGTCCCGAATCATTTTTCTCATCTTTCTTCCAAATCAGTCGTCTATAGATTAATTTCATGTTGATATAGGCGACAATATTTTCACGACGCACTGGGCTTTTTGAGAATCTGAAATATGCTAGGAGGAGCTTCTCTTGGGTGGTAGGATCCCATTACATTATTGCTGAGAGATATCACGTGATGGAGATGACAGAATAAAGTGATATTAACCAATAAACGATTCGAATTCGATCGAACAGGAACCCATGGAAGCCCGAAGGTTACACTTATAATCTCAATCAAAGGAGATTTTTCAGCTTCATAGAAGCCATGTTGCCAATTTGATCATTAAGAAGCATATAATCAATATCTCATTATTCACTGGTAAAAAACAACTATGAATTAACCAAGTGACTAATTTAGGAATTTGTCGACTACCAACGCTAGACACCATTAATAAAATGAAATTATACAGAAACAACAGATACTGATGAAATCATTACGGCTTTAGTAAGCTTCTGCGAATTAAATGCATGTCAGCTTCTATTGGGTGCCAAGTCTTTCCGCCAAAATTCCACGACAGCTTTTAGGACGCGTTGTGACGGCTGACATGGGTGTAGTTTTTTTATTTAGGAGAGTAAAGTTCGGTGATTTTCGGGGGCAGTGTAGATGTCTAAGTGCTTAAGCTTTTAAGTTTGATGTACTTTCCATTGGCTATCAAAATCTTTGGAATGTGTATGCTCATTCAACAAGGGAAATTGCCGGGCGCGTCGCTGCTTGGCAAAAGACTTACATCAAAATTAAGCCGGTCGATTGAATTCTGCCGGACAAGCAATGGATGAGGAAACAAGGAAAAAGAAGACAAACTACCGCGTCACATTTCAATTTACGTTGCAAGAGAGTTACTTTAGTGAGCGACCTCGTAAAATTGTTACGAAAGAATTCAATTCAGCTGAGGGCCGCATTACCCAAATCGACACTTTCTTTGTAGTAATTATTCAAGGCTCTTGCAGTGAGCAAATTGGGCCTTTGGCTCAGTTGAATAAGAGCGATTTGTCATTGTGATTGAGTTAAACATATCAGTACCATGTCGTCGAGCAACAGAGATATCAAATCACTATTGACGTAACCTTCAAATGTTAGGATTAAGCATCTTTAGACAAGTTCTAAACCGTTCCTAGGTCAGTGCATCAGGCGAACAATGTTCCAGGATCTGCCCAGTAGGGGTAACGCCTCCGATGAGACTGAGAATTTGATCAATTTCGACCAAGATGATCTAGCAGTACCTGCCAATGCCGAGAAAGACGACGGAATGCGTCTCTTGTACCCTAACGTTCAAAATCGATTTCCGTTCAAGACGGCAGACAGGCTGATGGGAGAAATTAAAACCGATCTGGCATACATCTTAGCAGATGAGAACGCTGGAATTGCAGACAAAGGTCTTTACAATGGGATTTTAAAGCTTCCTGTTCTGAATTATTCTTCCAAAAAACCTGAATTGACATTCGCTATCGGCGACCTCTTAGATCAGGTGTCATTGCAAACCAGATATGACTACAAGTCTCTTACATGCCCCGACTTCAATGAAGTGAAAGTTTTCATGGGAATTCTGTGCAATCAATCTTTGAACCAGCAAGACTTTCATGATGTGATAGATACCAAATTTTATCACCTAAAAGTCACTGTGAAAACCCGCAAATTGCTCGAACGAACCAGAAAGAGTTTTGGCGTGGCACGCTATTATCTCGTCGAACAACTTCATCCTTTTGACGAGCCCGATTTTTTGGAATCTGACTCAGATAAAGTGTTGGACTCGGCATACTACGTGTCCAGCGAAACGAATAAAGTAGTTGGCATTGAGATACTCAAGCCCGAATTTTCAAATGATGATTTATCAATTTTCAAATCAGATGTCATTAGGGAAAGGTATCTGACAGTTTGTGAGAGGTATGCAGATCTTGATCCGCAAACGATCCCGACACAAGCCGAATGTTTGCATACTCTTATCAAAATCTTCAAGGGTCCGCTGAATCGAAAGAGTTCGGAGGACGTTTCAAAAACCATTTCTGCCGATAACAAAATTCTAAATTCGCAGTTGAATCCAAACTGGCTTACCGAAAAATACGGCTTCAAATTACTGCAAACTCAAGATCCAGAAAATGGAAATATTGCGACTGAATTTGAACCTCCTGATTTGACTCAACACCAAGAAAATTCAAACTCCAGGGCTCTTAGGTTTTCTTTTACTAGAAAATGTCTTGAATTGATCTTCCTGGGCAAATTGTCAGCCAGTCTCATACCGAAAGAAGATTTAAATCGAAACGCAAAGGCCCGTGTTTTCAACTTGTATCAAACAACTTTTTCATCAACGACACTGCCGCGACTTCTTGGTGACAACAAATCTGAATTTGATGATCGGTATCGTGTTTTTGATACCAATTACCACGTCATTAACCTTTGCGCGAGTTTAAGCTATGGCGACCACGAGATTATCAAGAACTATGAAATTCAGTCGTCTTTAGATCCTAAAAATATCGGCGTTTATTTCGATGCGTTGAGTTTTATTGCGAACACCAAGGGCAGTTATCAATTACTGGCGTTTTGCGGTAAACAAAACGTTGTTGGTCAGGAATCGTTAAGTGCGGCTTTGGCGCTCTTTGAAATTTCACCTGACGAAGTAATCCCTGAAACGATCTCCGATGATGTGCTTTTGGGACTCTACCGTAAACAGTTCAAAACTGCCTCAAGCCAACGTCGCAGTGATTTAAAAAATGCTTTGAGACTTTTTGCTAAATTCAAAGACAGCCGTAAGCTCAAATTTTATGTCGATCATGAACCTTACGAACATGCTCAAAAAGCTTATCACTTATTGGGGATTGACGAGTCTGTTGACGTTGATGTCATAGAGACGGCCTATACAATAAAAATTTCAGATTCGCCAGGCTTAAGGCTCGATTGTGATAGGGCGCTGTATACCCTCGCGGTAGCCAAAAGAAACCTCGCATTGTTCTCTTTTCTCGACCAAGAATGTCCATCCTTCGAAGAGTTTTATGGCACTCACATTTGGAGTTACAGCGAGGCTCTAAAATTTCTGCATGTCAATGAAAACGCGTCGGATGAGGTGGTACTTGAGGTCTTTCAGAGAATGTGGGGACTTGAGAAAAGCCCACCACCAGACCATTTTTTGCTGATGAGATCAGCTCTCGACAAAATAAGAAAAGAGAGAAACTCAAAGTTGATACAACATTTCCAAGATACTGGCATTGTCGATGTTACATACTTACCGGCAGGGAAGTGGCCCGCGGGTCTCAACAATATTGGTAACACATGTTACCTGAATTCTTTACTTCAATACTACTTCTGCATTTCATCTTTGCGAAAGTATGTTCTGGAATACCACGAAACCTTTGCTGATTACCTCCAGCGCCAGGAAAGTTGCGATCGCCAAAGAAGGATTGGTGGTAGGGAGGTGAGTCAACCTGAGGTCGAGCGTTCTATCCAATTCGTCTATCAGCTTAGGGAGTTATTCAAGAGCATGGTTCATACCGCTGAAAGATTTGTTACCCCAAGAAGGGAGTTGGCTTATTTGGCGTTTTCGCCTAGTAATCTCGGCGTTGATTTTGAAAGTCCAATAAAGGCCGATTCAGAGACTGAAGTTATAGATCTGACGGTAGATAACGAAAACCAGGATGTATCCTTGCAAAACGATCTTCTTTCGCAACCTAGCCCTGAGGTTCCTCAAGAGGCTCGACAAGAAGACATTGAACTAGACAGAGACGAAGATGGGAATATTCATGCGTCTTCCACACGTGTGGCCAAAATTAGTCCCGATCAGCTCGAAAATGCATTGGAGTTAGGCAGACAGCAAGATGTCACAGAGTGTATTGGAAACGTTTTATTTCAACTCGAAGCATCATCTGACCCCTGCAACCTTGATGAGGATGGAGAACAGCAAGACCTTATCAAAGAGCTCTTTTTTGGCAAACTGCAACAAAACTTAGTCCCCGATGATAATCCTAAAAAGATCAGAACAAAGGTAGAAAGATTTGTTTCATTGCTGGTCAATGTTGGCGATCATTCGAAAGATATCTACGGAGCCCTCGACTTGTATTTCAAAGATGACGTATTACGCCTAGAAGAGGATGGACAAGTGAAGAGATCTGTCGTGATTACGGAACTCCCCACGATTCTTCAAATTCAAATACAGAGGGTTTATTACGACAGAGAGAAATTCATGCCTTTCAAGTCAATCGAGCCCCTACCTTTCAATCAAATTCTTTACATGGATAGATACATGGACAGTCAGGATCCACTTTTCCTTAAGCAAAAGTCTGAGTATTCACAGCTGAAAGAAGAAGCCGAAAATTTGAAAGCACAGCAACGCCGACTGCTCTCTAGAAACGAGTCAGGCTTCACTTTCAAAAGTTCTTTGCAAGAGACTCGAAAGCTCATTGTTTCAGAAAACCTTGAAAGAAACGGCATTGAGATTTCAGCGAAAACGGATCTCCTCGACACAATCGATTCGACTATAGTCCGCATTGACAACGAACTGGCTGACATATACCAGCGTCTCAATGTCCTTGAACCTAAAATAGCGAACTGCTTTTCCGATTTTAAGCGACAGGCCTACACGCTTTTCGCTGTATTCATTCATCGTGGGGAGGCAAGCTATGGTCACTACTGGATTTACATCAAGGACTTGAAACGAAATGGCATCTGGCGGAAATACAACGACGAGAGTGTCACCGAAGTACCAGCAGCCGAGGTATTCAATTTTACCGAAGCTAACACAGCTACCCCGTACTTTTTGGTCTACGTGAAAGAAAGCAGGGCTTCGGAGGTTGAGCCAATGATGAGAGAACCTCATGGGGCACCAACTTATTGATCACTTGGGTTCAGAGTTGGCATTAAGCACCGAAACGATCATCTTTCCATTCCACATCCGAAAAAAAGCCATTTTCGTCGGCATAAGAAGGGCTTTGAACAAACCTAGGTTCAAAAATCTAAATAGGAGGACAAGGAAGAGTTTAAACTATTACGCATAAAGATTATGGTAAATTTGTAGAGCTGTAAATTGTCACCAGCCAAGGCCCTCAAAAGGCCAAGAAGTTGACTTATTCAATTCGACTACATAGTAATCACGTGCTTGTTGACAGAATCCGAACCTTGAAAAATTGAGATTGGACCACCTTGAATGCGACCAAACAAAATCGTGTCTGTAAGCTGTGAAATAATATTGAACGCTGCGGCCTCGGACATGTCGGGCTTGCAACGCCGTAGGGTTAATAAGGACACTGATGGAATATCCGAAGAGCCCATCACAATCATAAATGATGAAGAACCGGATAGTAGAAAAATAGCTTACGATCCTGAAGAGGCCAAGCTTGGTGAAAACGTACACACACCTAAGTTGAATTTGATGGAGGAGGTACTTCTAATGGGGTTGAAGGACAAAGAAGGATACACGTCATTTTGGAATGACAACATATCATATGCATTGCGTGGCTGCCTCATGATCGAGTTAGCGTTGCGAGGGAAAATAAGGGTAGTGAATGATCCTGCCAGGAAGAGATTTGATGTGTCGGAACGCCTGGTAGAAGTATGTGATGGATCGAAGACCGGTGAAGTTTTGCTGGACGAAGCTCTTAATTTGATGAAAAACGACGAGGCTTTGCCAATTGCCAATTGGATCGATCTCTTGAGTGGAGAGACTTGGAACTTGCTCAAGATTAATTACCAATTAAAACAAGTAAGAGAAAGATTAGCTAAGGGACTCGTCGACAAAGGCGTTTTGAGAACTGAAATGAAAACTTTTTTCCTTTTTGACATGCCGACTCATCCTGTCACAGATACAAGTTGTAAAGAAGCCATTAAGCGTCGAATTCTATCCGTATTGGTTTCGAGAAACATGGAGCTTAACTACAATGAATACTTCCCAGAAAGTGTTACATTCAAAATAATCAGAACGTTGTCTTTGATATGCGGTTCTTATGGAGCCAACGTTTTAGAAAACGTTCTTTCGAGTTTGGACTATGAAAAAAGAGACAAAGCGTTTGCGCGCGCAGACGAGATTTTGGCACAATTCTCACAATTCCCATTTGCGCTGGACAAGCCAACCGAATACGGCATTTCGGTTAATTTGAATAAGGAAGTGCAGCAAGAGGTTTCCGAAAACTCAGGTGCTGACTTGCAATTGGAAGTGGTTGCAGGGGTATTTGAAGTATTTTCTCGGATGGACGCCTTGCTATAATTCTATATCCTTAGAACATTGTGTTAAACACTATTTTTCTTTTATTTCTGGATGCAATATATCGTTTAGATGTGTACATCGGAGTTGCCTCGCAGCGATTTAGAAAGCAAGCATGCGGTAAAATGAATCTATTTTAGAATTTGTGACAAAAGCTCACTGGGGTAGTGAGCAGCGTAGAAGTTTGCCATTTCAGTCCGCGTAAAAATTGACGGTTTTTTGTCCAGCGCTGGCAATACATCAGTGAATGTAACTATCAGCGATCTTGACTTGTCTGTTTGATAGTCGCCACAGGATTCCCACCAAAATCCTCCAGCAAGATTGTTATCCATAACATATTGGGCCTTGCGCTTCATGGATTCGGTGTTGTCGTAAACAACCAAAGTCCGTTTCTGGACATCAATGCTATATGCCGAAACGGCATCAGCATCAAATTGCTCTTCCGTACCATTTAAAGGCAATTGATTGTACTGCCAAATGCCGGGCTCGCCCTCAGAAGCTCCTCCAACACCCTTGAAATTGTGTCCAATGACAGGCTCATCATAGGCGTGGAGTTTAACTCTAGTAAATCCCCGACCATAAGCGGGCATCCCGAGCACAATTTTGCGAGATGGGACCTTTGCCTGGTCTATGAGAAACCTTACACCCATGTCGGTACAGGGAGTGGTTTGGTCATTTTTAGAAGCGAAAAGGCTGCTATGGTAGGCGGTTTTTGATGACCACGACCCACTAAAATCGTAGGCCATCAAATTCCAGTAATCAACATACTCATCAACTTGAGATAGCGGCAAGAATTCAAGGTTCTCGACCAAAGCAGGAATGGCAGTTGTCAGCAAGAAATGGTTTTCTGAGTCAGCACCGAAAATGGTCTTTTCTAAATTCGAGAGTGCTTCTTTGAGCGAACTCATAAGGTCACAGTACGCTTGTGGCTCAATCCCATCATTTCGAGGAAATTCCCAATCAATATCAATTCCATCAAACCCGTATTTCACCATACTTTCTACCGCACTTCTGATAAAAGCACCCATTTTGTTTTTGTCACGAACTATCACGGGAAATGCCTGTCGGTTCGACCACCCTCCAATGGATAAAATTGTAGAAAATTGCTCAGCACCATCGGTGATGTTAAGTTTGGACAAATGTCTTGCTTTACGCAGATAGAACAATTCACCAAGACAGCCCATAGGCAATACCTCTTTTGCATCATGCGAATGGTGGCGATTTTCGTCGTGCAGACCATAAGATTTGGCATACCAATCCTTATAAGTATCCATCTGGAAATCCGACCATTCGTCGCTGGACTTGCACTCGCCTGTGTCCTGATCAATAATAAAGAATGAATAATACAAATGTGTTATTCTCTCCAAATTAACATCATGCGGAAAATGACTTCTGGGGGGAAAGGGCGACCAATTACTATAGTAAACCCCGGAAACGTAACTTTTGTCATTTTCTCCCACGTTTTTCATGTCTGAATCATGCGAGACCTTGGCGGAATCGCTTGCCTCCTGATTAAATACACCTTTGAACGCATCCGTAGTTTTCTTCCTCCAGACGCGTTGCAAAAACACCATCTCAACTATAAATCCAATAAAAAAACCTAGAAACAAAGTATTTAAAATGACCGAATGCTTCATGGGCTTGTCTTTTCCATCAAAGACCCGCTTTATATTAAATCATTGACAGTGACACAAGCCTCTATCTGAATTTATTTTCGAAGTTTTCGATCGTAAGATCTGCTGAAGAGACCCACGTGACCTGAAAACAGATGGTTTTTCAAAAATTTGAGAGCTCATCTACAAACCTAACAACAGAATTGGTGGGTCTACTGGCTGATATTATCAGACATTGGAGGCCATAGTTAAAGGATGTCAGAGGAGCTAGAGACAACGGCCAATGGAATTGATGGAGGGACGAAGCTCGAGCAAAATTCGGAGCCTGAACCAGCAATTGAGAAGGAAGAACTTGAAGATTTATTTGGAGAAGGCAGTGACCAGGAAAATGGGGGCGAGGGTCAAAGCGACGGAAGTCAGGACGAGGAAGAGATTACTAGGAAGCACAGGGTAGATTTTTCGGGCGATGAAGAAGATGAAGATGACGAACAAGCAATGTACACTCGAAAATTTTATGGTGACAACGCCGGAGAAGATGGATACGACGAAGATTCGCAAAAAGAGTTTAAAGAAGCGAATATTGAGATATCAAAGCATGTCGTTCCATACAGAACGGTGGCATCCACAGAAGAAAAAGAGGTAGTCTACTACGCCAGGGTTCCCGAATTTTTGACGATTGACCCAATACCATTTGACCCACCTGCGTTCAAAGACGGGATGGAAAAGCGATCAAAAGAGTTTACGTCTCAAGAGGACCAAGTAGGCGACAGATTGATCGAGGAGAACACGATTAGGTGGAGGTACTCGCGAGACGCCAGCCAGCACGTGTTTAAGGAATCGAATGCACAGATTATCGAATGGTCGGATGGTACTTTTTCGTTACGCTTGGGAGACGAATTCACAGACGTTCTAGTCAATGGCATAGACAACACGTATTTGGCTGTCTCGCACGACCAGCAGGAACTCATTCAATCCGTTGAGGGTGGCGATATAAGCAAGACGATGATTTTCATCCCCACTTCGACCAACTCGAAGATTCACAAGCATTTGAGTAAAGCAGTCGCGAGGAGGGAACAGAGGGAGCATCAGGGCCCCAATACGTACATTGCGCGCGTTGACCCTGAGTTGGAACAGAAGGAGCTTGAAAAGAAGCAAGGCCAAATTGTTAGAGAAAGAAGGAAACGGCAACACCGAGAACAAATGGAAAAGGAAAACCTGGACTCCCCTGGTCCCACTGCTCTGCGTAAGTCTCAGTCGATACTTCATGGCCACGGCCGCGTCGACGAGTACGAAGACGATGGTTTCATGGTAGACGATGAGGACGAGGAAGACTTTGTCGACGAGGACGAAGCGGGAGAAGACGACCTCGAAGAGGAAGATGATCAAGACGATTTGAACGCAGAAAGGTTGAGACAGGTTAAGCGTGCGGGCGCGGCAGCCTATGAAGATAATGACGATGAAAACGACGATCGTGAAGAGAGTGAATCAACATCCAAAGAGACCGTTTTGAAAAGGCGTAAAATCGCAGTAGCTGATGATGATGACGAATGAAAGCTTAATCATCATTTTATAGAGGGAATATAGGTGTCAATGGGCCTTATTTTGGCGTTCATTCGCCGAGAACCTTCGTTGATATGTACGAAAACGATTATTACCCGGACTCAACATTTTAAAGTTAATATCGCATTGCGACTATATAAGATAGGTTACGGATCTCACCTTCATTCCCTTGAAATTTAAAGATATTGAACATCTAATAGCAGCAGTTTCATAGTCATATCATAATGTCCTGGCAAGGTATGTTCATCTTTCTAAAAATGGGACAAGCCATAATTTGGATTTTGGGAGTGTAACTGCGAAGGAAGGAGATTTTTCATTGTCGAAGTTTCACTCGTCTGAGACCAAGACAAAGCCCCATGACTTGAATATACTTCCACACATGAGGCATTGTATCAATTTCATTTAATTATAAAAGATGTCGCAGACTAACAATCAATTCTTTGCAGCTTACACTGACAATCTTTTAGCCACTGGCAAGCTCGACAAGGCCGCTATATACTCGAGAGCCGGTGACTCTCTTTGGGCCGCTTCTGGAGGTTTGAACCTTGGTGCTCAAGAAATTGGTAAGATTGCGCCTGGTTTTGACAACCCCGCCGAACTTCAAAGCACTGGTTTGTACTTGCAGAGTCAGAAGTACATGTTGATTAAAGCCGACGACAGATCTTTGTACGGCAGACACGAGGCTGAGGGCGCCGTGATTGTCAGAACCAAACAAACAATCTTGGTCGCGCACTATCCAGCTGGCGTTCAGGCTGGAGAAGCGACCAAGATTGTCGAGCAACTCGCCGACTATTTGATCAGCGTGCAATATTAAGCGAAATCGCCAAAACGAGATCCAAAAGATAGCATCTTTTATTAAGCTTATATAGAAGTGGACACAGCACGCACCCACCCCATCAATGCCACCTTTTAATTATGTGTACAGCTAACAAATGTTCATTGTTCATTGTTTATTTCGCAGCACGCGTGGCACACCCGAATGGGTAGATCAAGATGTTTTCGAGATCCCAAATGCCCGTCTTAGCGAAGATGTCGTTCTTCACCACTTCGAGCGCTTCCTCTTTGGTGTCTGCCACGATCTGTAGATGAGATCCTGCGAAATTGGCAGGCTTACCGTCTATAACGTCATGGTAGATCGCGCCCGCACACACCAATTTTCCCGCTTGGACAAGGGGCGGAATGCCAGCCAGATGCTCAGGTCTCGCCTGTGATCTATCGCTACCTTTCTTGTCATACACAATAGCTACCCATTCAACCATTTTGAAGTTTTTTACCTAGTCAATTCTGCTCTGGACTTGATGGCTCTCAAGGCAAAGAAGGGTGTACTCTCAAACGATATGTTTATGTAAATGCCTGTTCCTAAAAATAATCACATGACCTATAAGTTTATGAAAACGATCAAGTCATCTCAATTCAATCATCAACCCCTCGAGGTACTGAAAGTTGAAAGCTAATTGAGGATATTTTTTGACTTTGCATTCGCTTGGAGATGATATCTGGATTTTTGGGCATTTAGCATAAAAAAGCCGTTTTTCACTTGAGTTAAAGAATCTTCTTTTGATTGCAATTCATAAAAGTTCCTTAGAATGCACCCAGACGAACTTCTTGATAAGTTTGAGCGCCTGAACGTTACGAAAGATCCAGAAAGTCTTCAAAATATTTACGTCGATTGCAAAAAGTTTGCGCATGTGAAAATTCAATCTTTCCCGACGTCACCTTTTCAATTCTTCGACAAATGCGAGGAAGTGGGCACTTTAACGAAATGGCTAAAAGATGGGACATGGGTGCTAAATAGCACAGATGGTTGGCCATTGCTTCGTGAAAATGTATGCAAGTTCATGCAAGATGGTGACAAACGACGAATTCGCAGTTATATCGGGCACGACATGGCCTCTGGCTTTGCAAGCTATGTTCCTCTCCCACCCGGAGAACTAGAAGATATGACCGGCGCATTCGAGTTCATCAAGCAATGGGAACACAAAAATGGAAAACGCTACCCAGACGACTGTGGCATGGCCATCGTTTGCGCACGACATCACTTGATTAGTCTGGCAATGGCGCCCTTTGGGGACGAAGACGTCAATTTTATCGCAGTAGCAGGGGAAGGCTACCTGTTTTTGTGGCCTGACAAACAGTATGTAAAAAAGGACTTAGGAATTCGATCCCCGTCCGCAACGGTTCGCAAAATTTGTTACGCTGGATTCGAGCTGGAAAACTTACTTACACGTTCTGCCACCGACCTTGGGGAAAGCCGGTTTTATTCTCTGGTAGAGGGACGTTTAAATGAAAACGTGAGATTTCTCTTTAAGGCTGAAATGGACAGTTGCGACTCGAAAGGGAGATACACCGAGATTAAAAGTTCCACTTCTTTCAGACGCAATAATCTTCAGCATCGGCGGAAACTATTGCGAATATGGATTCAGACCTCTCTTATACCGGAAACGAATATTTTAGTGGGCTTTAGGGACCCTCAGTGTAACCAGTTGACAGCTTTAAAATGCTACTCACGGCTGGAAATATACAAGAAGTTCAATTCTAACGATCTGCCTGTAAGTCGCAACCACTACAACTTTAATGCCAATATTTCTGTGCAGTGGTTTAGGCATTTGATGCATCATATTTCGAAACTTGAATCGTTGAGATCTAAACCGTCAGAGGGACCCAAGGCTTTCAAATTTAAGTTGACAAAAGATTGTCGTTTATTTCTGAGGCAACTACCTATTGTGCCTCAAGGAATGTGGCCCAAAGAGTTGTTCAGCTAGGGCTTTTGGGCGGACCCTGAGGTTTTCATAAGACGTTCTACCTGACTTTCCAAGCTGTTGAGCATTTTCTGCCAGGAGAAACTCTTGCTGTCTGGAATTACTTAACACTTGCAAGTATTTTGAGTACACAGCCTTACAGCCTTGAAATGATTGCCTGAAAGGCTACTCTAAAAGCTCCACTTATACCCGTCATGTAAGCGTTATTCGAACGGATTAATTCCAACCGTAATTACTTTGATTGACGTCCTCATTAGTTGTACGGGGCGTAATACCACCTGCTACGCCCACAGTCAAATAAGAAACGCTTCATTTAAATATAAAAATTAAAACATCATATTTTGAACGCCTCACCTTCAACTAGTATGGGCGCAATTCTCCTTGAAAGAATTCATATTGTCAAAAAATGGTTTTTCTGTAGTTATTATGGTATATCAGCTTGTCAAAAAATCGCCATGAAAGCGAATCGGCTCCTTTAGAAAATCTAGTAACAAAGCCTGAAGCATCTGTAGAGCTAATGACTTCAAAAGACATCTCTGAGGAGCTAAAGAGGGCTAGCCAAATCGCTCGTTTAGAGCATTCCAACACCAAACCGTTATATGTCTCGGCTATCGAAGTTGAAGGGGAGAGCAGCTTGAGGCCCTTGTCAGACGCTTTGTACAAAGCTGTATTCGACCCCATTCTGTCTCAGCCAGTTCAAACATTGCACTACATTTTGAATAACTTTTCTGATATCAGGGGTAAACTCATGCACACTGGGCTGTTTCAAGACGTTAATGTCACGTTAGAGAATGATGGCTCGACAAGTTCCGTTACAAGAGCCAAAGACATGACCTTAAACGGTATACAGTTGGGATCAGTTTTGCCCGCTGTGGCACATATTAAACTGAGCCCATTGACTTATAACACTTTATCCTTGACAAGCACAACTTCTGATAGTTATTCTTCAGCTGGTGGCCGTCTGGCGTTTGTGAATTTGCTGGGTAAGGCTGAAAACTTCGTTGTCCAAGCGGATTTGAAATATACTCCATTTTCTGGAAGACTCGATGAGAAATGTTTTGATGCTAGGCTACTTTTGCCCTTGCAGAAAAATCCTTCTGTTAAGGGCGTTTTGGATCTCAATTATGCGTCCATTGACCCCAATGAACAACCTTTCCTGAGCGCGGAAGAAATGAAGAAACAAAATCAAGTTTCGTTGAATTTCGGGGTCCAAAAAAGCTGGATTTTGGAAAACCTCAACTCCGTACCCGTTTTTTACAACGGCATTTCTCTAGTGTCGAGAAACGTCGAATCTCCGGTTCTCACCGGTGCGGGTCTATCCTCCGAGCTATTCAAACCATTTGAAGGAAGCTACGTGAAATCTAGTTTTGTTTCCGAAATTCTGCACGACTCAAGGAAATTTGCAGGTCTCTTCCCTACTTCGGGTTCAAGATTCTCGTTAATGAACGAGTATGTGTTGAGTCAAAGTCTCAATGCTACAGATGATTTGCCTGCACACCCAGGCCACGACAAAATTCGTTTGGATTTTGAAAAGCATGCCTCACTATCAGGTGGGTATGTGATTAATTCTTTGCAATTGGGTTTTGGAGGACTTTTCAACCTAGCTGATTCCTTGGCTGTCGTACACCCATTCGATAAATTCTACTTGGGTGGATTGAACACTTTGAAGGGATTTGCAAATAACTCTGTCGGAGACAAAGGTGGCCTTTTCTACTTCAAAGCTTCCATAGCTTCCTCCTTTAGACTTTTCCACTCTTCAAAGAATTCACCACTAAGACTACAATTCTTTATGAACGCTGGAGACGTTCTTAGACTAATGGAGACCCGAAAGCCTGCCTCAAGCTCGGGCGTTTCTTTGATTTACAGAACCAACGTAGCGACCATGGATTTGACCTATGCACTGCCTGTTTTCAACAGAAAACAGGACATTACGAAGGCCGGCTTTTCATTTGGAGTGGCTCTGTCATTCTATTGAAGCGTGAGCTGATTGTATATGCACCGTGTAAATATTCCATACATCCTTTAATGACCAATAGTAGAGAGGCTTCTCACTCGAGTGTTTGTTATGGCATTTTTTCGACCCTAATGAACAACAAGGTGGTGATTGGTTTGGAAGAGGTACGGTTCCAGACGTTAGTCAATTTGCCAGTAAATCGGTGAAACTTAGTTAAAAAAAGCTCAAAATCCCAAGATATTAAACCGAGCTCATAAATACCACTAGAAACTACAATGGAGAATTGAATTCCAGAATAAAAACTTCTTAGTTTACGTGACAGGATATCATGATGTCTGACAGTTCGTCTAGTAAGCTTAATCCCTAACAGAAAGCAAAAAAGAAGATCAAATATATACAAAAAACCTAGAGTTTTCTGTGATATTTACAAAACATTTGGTTGAGATGGCTCTGTGCTCTTGGTCGTATTTCAATGAGATGGGATGGTCACTGAAGTGGTGCTTAAAGCCTAATTAATGACGTTCATAGTACTGGCACCAGGATCACATGATCAGGCTGAAGAATAATAGAAGAGTAGAGGTGATGAGATTTTGAGAAAACTTGGAGCCAAACTTACACACCGCGCCTCTTGTATGTGGATTCTGAAATACCGATATTCTGATAACTATAGCAATTGGGAAAATGTTTCGTGTTTAGTCGGAAGAGATTGCCATCACAGCATTGGTAGATCGACCAAAAGCCCACTGTTTATCAAGAATGACAAAAGCATATCAAGACAGCATATCATAATAAACATTTTGCAAAACAATAGCATTCAGATAACTAATATTGGGCGTGTGACGAAGCACGAGGGAGAAATTTTGAAATCGGGCCAAAAATTGGTCTTTCCAGCAGAGAAACCTGTGTTACTGGAACTTGGCGTTAAGCCAATACAGCTGGTGTTCCAGTGGAAACCGGCAATGTGGAAGATTTCACACGATCTGTCGACAAGTGCAATGGGCACTCTCGATAAAGTAAGAGGTTTTGGAATCGAAGTAGACACATCTATGACGATGAAAACGACTCTACAAATTGTGAAGGAAAACCAAGAAACGTTTACAAATTGCATATTTGCCCTTGTGAGTGGCATTCCTATCTTAAAAGAGCACTTTTTGGCAGATTTTATCAGCTCTGCTCTAGCTACCCAGACAGATTTTGATGAATGGTGGCCCGCTTTGTTTGCGAAACATGCAGTTTTCCCTGATTTCAAAACTCAACGAAATGTATTTGGCTCTATCAATTTCATAGTTGCGACTCAGCGGGCTTTCTCGACATTTAAACGAATTGTCGAGGCAGGTGGTGGAAATATATGGTTGTGTGACGATATACAGCATCTAGGAAGATTTATTAACGACAAGGTTAAATCTGACCAGATTGTCTTTCTAGTTCACGTCTCCGGTCTCGATGATGTCAAAAACGATACCAGGGCTGATTCGGAGATAAAGTTAGCTAGGGATTTGAAGCGAGCTGCCTTAGGTCTCGGATTTGCTATACACAACGTTAACAGTATTCTTTCCGCGGTGCTGGGTCAAGACACCTCAGGGTTGCTGCGCCGAGTGCCGATAGTCCTATCTGACCTTAAAGAGGGTACTCTAATTGAGATTGAACCGGAAGATCGACCTACGAGCGATTTCGCTTCTCCAAGTCGGACGACCCCTGCGACTGGCAGCGAATCTCAAAATAAAGTACGTGCCAGAGCCAAACGAAGGGTTCAACCCCTAGATAGTCTAACTTTTTTCGCAGGCGGCTTGGCCTTTACCCCATCTGAAGATACCATACCTTCAAAACGAGCCCATGATCAACTGGAAGAAATTCGTATACAACGGAGTCCTGAAGCGCTTGAAAAATCGCCCAAAAGGCGACATTCCCACACCACAGATGTCACAGCATCTTCCGAAGTGGCACCTCAAAAGGAATCTTTTGTCCACAGCATTAGACTGGAAGCGTTACCTGAAGCAACGAAACCGGAAACTGTTGAAGATCTTCCTCCGACTGAAGCTCCCAGTGAAGTTATTGGAAAAGCTTCCAAGCGTTCTGAGCAAAATGAAATTCGATCTAGTGCAGCTCCTGAACTTCATGCTTTGGATTCGAGGAACGCTGATGCTGGGCCAAGAAACAAGCGGACAATTAGCAGTGAGGATATCGGGCAGCCAGACCAAAGCACAGAAACAAAGCGTTCAAGGTCTTTATTCCAGGCTATAAGAGATACAAAGTCGCATGAAGTAGATCGCTTCGAAAGGAACACGTTTTCAGTGGAGGATGCAGAGCTAACAGAAGAAGCGCTCAACAAGCTGGTCAATTTGGCAATCATAAACGTGACAAGCCTTATAGATCCGAAGAGAATAGATAAACCTATTGGAATGAACGCGAGCGATAAGAGCAAGCTATGGGCTGGGCGAAAAAATTTTAAAGCGTTTACTAAAGTGTGGCCCTCAGCAAGGGGAACAACAAATCACGGCGACAACCATAGGACAAGTCAAAGCAATCGAAAGAAATTGGCGCTGGCTAGATACTCGCCCAGCGGCAATGATGGCCAGGATAATAACGAGATCAGTTTTTCTTCACCAGAAACAAAGAGCTATTCAGAGAAAAACGTAGATGCCGGGAATGACGACGTACAATTTTCGTTTAGAAATCAAAGGACTGGGACACCTGACATAGCAATAGCATCTGCCTTACCGCAGGCTGTCTCACCGATCCTCGAAAAGTACTCGTCAACGGCCTCTAATGCCCTGTTTGTGATAGACGATGAGGATTCTCAACGTGTCGAAAATGCCCATATTGGAGACTTGCATGCGTCCCCAGCTCGATTAGGTGGCACCAACGCTAGTTGTCGAGCGTCTCCTAATGAACTTATGGCTAGAACTCCAGGTTTTCAAAATGATTTTCTTGGACGCAGACATGTTGACGGAGGTATAACTAATAATGATGATGATGATGATGATGATGATGATGATGATGATGACGATGACGAACCTCGCTTTAGATTCAAATCAAGGCGCTAACATTCTGATGTTCCACTTTGGCCGCCTCTAATCATGAAAGTGCTACTGGCCCCCAACTCCAAACATTGATTATATTCTCAGAGCTAAGTATTCATAAAACATTACCTAACATATACATCTGTATGCCGTGTGGTGGTCGTCGTTACATTTACATATCAAACAAGGTTTTACTCGAAGATCTTAAACCCTGGGAATTCCATGGTGTTGAATCTTTTCTCACCCTTCTCTTTAGAGATGTTGTGCAAAGCCTTCATGTCCTCATCTGACAAGTCGATTACATGGAAGTTGGAAGCAATTCTGGATGGGTTCTTCGATTTTGGAAGAATAACATAGCCCCTCTGGACACCCCAAGACACCAACAGTTGACCAGGGTCGACGTTGTTCTTTTCGGCAATTTCCTTTACCACAGCTTCCAATAAAAGGGGCGAGCCTTGAGATCCGAATGGAGAGTAGGCCTCAAGTAAGATACCCTTTTCTTTGCCGTAGGCAAGGAGTTCGTCTTGTGGTAACAATGGGTGGGTCTCCACTTGGTTAACAGCTGGAACAATTTTGGTGGTGGAAGCTTTCAAAAGATCTTCCAAGTTCTTAACAGAAAAGTTGGAAACACCAATTGCTTTGGTCTTTCCAGATTTGGGTAGTTCCTGCATGAGTTCCCAAGACTTGATGAAGCTCCAGTCCTTAACATCGGTGTCCGGCTCGCCCTTCTCATTCTTGGGGATGGTGAGGTAGTTACCGTCTTTGACGTGGTCGGTCTTAAAAGCCACGGGCCAATGCATCAGATACAAGTCTACGTAGTCGAGACCCAAACGCTTCAAGGACTCGTCGAGAGCTTCTTGTGGGTTACGATGTTGCGTCCCCCAAAGTTTCGTCGTGACAAAAATTTCCGCCCTTGGCACACCCGAGTCTCTGATGGCCCTGCCTACAGCAGCTTCATTCAAATAGATTGCAGCATCATCAATGTGTCTGTATCCAGCCTTCAATGCTGCCAGGGTGGAGTCGTAGCCTTCGTCCTCAGTGGATCTCCAGGTTCCAAGACCCACAGCTGGAATGGTAGCACCGGTATTCAACTTGTGAACAGTGGTACATTTGTGGAGAGTAGCTGGCATTCTTTTTCTTATTCTATCTGTAGTCTTAATGGGAACTTTGAGAATATCAACACTTTCAGTATCTTCAGATCCGTCGTGCCTTGATTAAAGCTTGTAGTGCTAATTAACGAGAAACTTCTGCCGGCATGGGTTCGTTCACATTTCAACCCCTTTTTATATTTAATCCAGAATCAATTCTGGCGCCCGTTTTGCGCTTGTTTCCTCTGGTTGCGGTCAGCAGCACAAGCGTTGCGTCTGGGACCTGAACTTGGCAAAAAATGCTACTAGCAGATAACTTGCTGTGACGTAAAATACCCATTATAACCCGCAAAGCCTTGCAGCCAATTCCAAACAACCCGAGGGACGTGGGACATGAGGGTGTTTGTTACTCCCAAATCACGTCAATTAGGAGTTAATTGTTTCGCATCAGGTGATGATGGCTCGTAAAGTAGTGAAAAATGGAAAAAGATGGAAAAATGGCATGAAATTTGGACAAAGTCGTTGGTCAGGCCAGGTATTGGCGGCATAGGTAGTAGCACTTGAGTTGGCATTTCCTCCAGTATCTTTGAAGGAATGACTTGTTTTTCATGTCTTGTTGTAGTTCATCGAAGTCCAACATGTACTTTGGATGGCGAAGAAGGCGTTGTAGGAACGCGAGAAGAATAGCGTTGAAGTAAAATCTTGCAGCAAGAGTCAAAATTGTGAATAAAATGGTGACAGAATGTTCGTAGCCTTGTGAAGCGCTCTGGGACGCGAGAGAACTGCCTCTTTTTACGAGTTCGGGAGGAGGACCCAGAGCAGACCCAGGGTTTTGGAGCTCGGGACGCGACTCTTCAAGCCCAGATCCGCGAGAAAACCAGTCATTGCTAAACCAAAGGGTGAACAGACACGTCAAAACCGTGTCGAGTGTGAAAAGTGCCACAACAAGCGAGAAAGTCAGCACATCCGGCTTGTATGTTTTGGATAGACCAATCGCATAAACGACAAGCGTGAACGCAGAAAACAGGTACAGCACCCATTGTAGGAGGTCGAGCGGGTGACCTGTGAACAACGCTAGGAGGCCGTAGAACCCACTACATTTGTTAAGAATCGTGATTCCGAGCGCTATCTCAACGCCGAGGTAAAGCGGAAAAGAGCCTAGAAAAGACTGCAAAGATGTGAAAGAAACGTTAGCAACAATCTAGAAATCGCGTAATACATGCGACAATAACATACTTGAGGCAAATGGGACATTTGAAGTTTCGCTTTATCGTTTGCTAATTACCGAGACTCGTTCCGATGACCTGTGTATATGGCTCGAGGCCAGATCAACCGACGAACAAAATTCGTCACTGGTGATGTTCGTGTGTTTTGAACTACAGTTGACAATAGAAAACAAAAATCACACTCGGGAGGTAGTCAAGGGCTCTCAAAGTGGTATGAAGACATGGACTTAAGGCGTATGGGACACCTAAGCTTCATTAACGGTCAAGACTCTATAGATCATTGTTTACGAGTGTTAGATATTATGAAGAGATCGCCGTTGAAAGTCGCAAATTGGGGATCCAATCAAGTAGCATCTGACAATGAATAGCGTTTGAAAGTGAGCTTCATCGATGCTTAGAATCTCTACTTCGGCGAAACGGTATTGCCCTTTATTATTTAAATCTCCTTGTACGATCTCTCTTGGCCACTTGACGATTTCCTTGTGGGCACCTTCATGGTGAAAAGTGAAAAATATCAGCCAGCTCATCGCCCGAAACTGACCCACTTGGGCAGGCATTAATTGCACTAGAAAGCTAATTTAGGAGTCGAAAATGGCATTGGCAGATGGATTTGCAGATCTCGATATTAGTAAGAGTTTTTCTCGCGAAGAAACGGACTCAAACAGTGCTGTTTTGGAACGGCACGGGCATAAGATCAAAACGGATGAATTGTCGATATCTAGAGGCAAAACGAATAAGGACAAAGCTGATAGGGCCACGGTAGAAAATGTTCTTGATCCGCGTACCATGCGTTTCTTGCAAAGCCTTCGAAACCGAGGTATTGTCGCAGAACTGAACGGCTGTGTAAGCACTGGAAAGGAAGCTAATGTGTATCATGGCTTCAGCGAAGAAGGTCGCCAAGTGGCTGTTAAAATTTATAAGACTTCCATTCTGGTTTTCAGGGATCGTGAAAGATACGTGGATGGAGAATTCAGGTTCAGGAATTCGCGATCCCAGCACAATCCACGGAAAATGATCAAAATTTGGGCAGAGAAGGAATTTCGCAACTTAAGGCGTATCCATCAAGCAGGTGTCATACCGGCCCCGCAGCCTATAGAGGTAAAAAATAATGTTCTTGTAATGGACTTCATGGATCGCGGTGACGGTTTTGCATCACCGCGTCTTAAGGACTACGCATTCGTGGACAGAGAGGAAATCGAGTATTTCTACGGCACTATGGTGGCATACATACGCTTACTATACCAAGTTACGCGATTGGTGCATGCAGATCTCTCGGAATACAACACAGTGGTGCATAACGGCAAGCTTTTCATGATTGACGTCTCTCAGAGTGTCGAGCCCGAACATCCGATGAGCTTGGACTTTCTTCGAATGGATATAAAAAATGTCAACAACTACTTCTCTAAACTGAGAGTTGAAGTCATTTCAGAAAGGTTGATATTCCAATTCGTCATTTCTGAGACCTTGGAGAATTTTAATGGTGACTCTACTAGCAGCGATGACTTAAGACAATACGTTCTAAGTCAGTTTCCGCGCAAAAAAGCGGCAGAGGATGAAGCCGAAGATGAAGTATTCAGATCTCTCCATCTCGTAAGGGACCTTGGTGGTCTAGAAGAACGTGATTTCGATAGACTGACCGACGGGAAATTAGATCTATTAAAAAGCCTGATTGCTCACGATCACCAAAGAAATACAAAAGACATAACGACCTCTGAGCAACTTGCTCTTTCGGATGCTGGCAGCGAGAGCAATTCAGAGCAAGACTCTGGAGGCGACGATGACAGCGGCGATGACGACTCTGGAAGCGAAGATGACGACGATGACGACGATGACGACGATGACGACGACTTCTCGACGGATGACGAACGACAGAAAACTCTGAAGGGAAAGAAGCATGAGGATAAGGATTCTAAGAAGCAAAGAAAGCAGGAGATGAAAGAAGCCAAGCGTGAGAAAAGGAAGACCAAAGTGAAGAAGCATGTAAAGAAGAAGCTGGTCAAGAAAAGTAAAGCCAAGAAGTAGTTGATTGATAGACTTCATTATATAGAAGATTACATTACATGGATCCACCGCTTTGCGCTTGCCCTATTATGCCCGCCATTTCGAGTATAGCGCGTTCTTCATTCAAATTTTTGAGATTAATACGCTGCCTCCTTTTGGCCTCTGCCTCTTCCCATTCCCAATTCTTAAGCTGTTCCTCGAGTTCTTTCTCACCCCCGCAGCCCCAAACCTCAACATCTTGTATTAAAAATCTGTATTCGTAAGACGCATGATGGTCACTTGCAGCATAAATTTCATTATTTGGTACAATACTACCCCCATATCCAACGTTTCTGAATGCCCCGAATTCTAGGTTAGAATCGACTGTTAAAGATACATTTCCTGGCCTAAAACGCTTGGAGGGACCATGCAAAGCCGGTTGTGAATTTCCAATACCAATCCCACCACCAACCGTGTTAAAGTAGATATTTTCATCGCGAGTTGCTTGAAATAGATTTTGTTTCGGACCCAGTTGAAGTATGGCGGTCTTCAAATTCCCAAAAAGGGCCTTATTGGTAACCCTCCATGGTTCATCAACATAAACCGCGAATAGAACTTTCCGCTTTCCGCGCGAAGCCGTATCTAAATGCTGGTCGAGATCTTTTAACCGTGGGTATTCTTCCAGAAACTTTCTATATCTTTGATTCGACCTTGCGAATTCAACGTCGTCGGCGACTCGCATGCCACTTACTAAAAGAATTGAAGGTGCCATCCACTTGAAAACTTTTGATTGGAAAGATCGCATCGAAAATCCTGATTCTCGACCGACGTAAAGCTTTTGTAGAGTGGAAAACAAAAGTTGTCTTTGCCAAATTGTGGCCATTTGCGATAGAAGTGCGTCGTTGACTAGCTTAGACTTTTGTAACGATGTTGTTAACTTTTCGACGGTGACAACTAGGTCGCGATTCAGAAACAGAACATGCTGAACAAACGTTCCAAGCGGATCTAACAATTGAGGGAAGAAAGTCTTGACCGCTCCCGTAAACTGTTGACAGGTGATGACTTTGCCCGACAAATCGGCCATGCCAGCAATGTTGGGACTCATTGTTCGTAAAATATTGAGGGCATATGTCTTAAATTCAGGCCAATTGTCATACAAATCCTTCGGTAGTTTAGAGTTTTTAGTCAAGCAATATGGCGAAATACGCAACAAAAACGTCAAAAATTCAAGCATCATATCTGAGGGCACATAAAGATCTTCCAAATCAACTCCGTTCAGATTTTCAACTATGCAATTAGAATCAAGTGGAGTTGTAGACGCCGGAGACGAAGAAAGTTCTTTTACTGATTTGTTAAGGGCCAGTGCAACGAATAGCAGTCGCGCCTGGTCAAAATTTTTGCGGCCAACAAACTTGGGACATCGTTCTTTGTCGAGCAGCAAGCAGCATTTCAAAATGCCCACATAAGTCAATGGAGCGTAGCTATCTTTTATCAGGGGAAAATTGGACAACACGCGCATTAAATTGAACAGACACTCGACCAAGACACTGTTTTCGGAGCCAACAGACAACAGCTTCATCAACATTTCGCATGAGACTTCATCGTAAATCTCAGAAACATTAGCATTGGATTTGAAGGAGACAAATTCGGGAGCGGTGATGAGTTTCAAAGCGAGTTTATCGTAATAAGAAAGTAAGTCGGTTTCTGAGCCAAAAGTCGCATTTTTGGCTTGCGTTTGTGTTTCACTAGATACACCTTGGCCCATTGCCACGACAATAGACGCAGTTTCTGAAGTTCCCTTTAACTGTGGTGGGTCTTATATCAAAAATGAAGTTGGTAGTAGTATAACAAGGTTTGGGCTTTATTAAGGTAGCTTTTCGTAGTGAAAAATCGTGTGACAATGGTTTAGAGGAGCGCGGCACACTACTTCGCACGATTTTGCACGAGGTTCTGTAGCTTTCGAAAGTCCATTCAAGTTCGTACGTCATCTGCCAAAGGCAAACCTAACAGTGCTTTAAATCATAAAACGTGGCACCTCGATGCACTTCTTAACGCAAGCGGCACTGAAATCAAAGACTTCCTCCAAAACTTATTTTTAAAAGATAAATTTACTTTTATTTTGAAAGCATAGACAATGGAGCCTCTTAAATTTCCAGTTGAGCATCTACGTCCGCCATTCAGTATCGATTTCTTCGCGTTGTTTCCGAAATCATTGTTTAAGGAAGGAAGACACTCTAAAATATGCCAAAACAAGTCAAGATGCAAAAGATAGGCTCGGTGGGTCCGCTTTAAGAATCAGGCTTAAAGAATAGCCACTGTTGCTGGTGGCTTTCAGAGACTCAGGCCTTTATGTAATGAGAAATCCAGTGGCTCATCCTATCTCATCATATCCACAGGTAAACTGAAAAATTTTCGAAATCAGCATCGATAGTTAGCTCATCGCAAGCTCATCGCCAGAAAAAATCATCGGAAAGAAAGGATTGTAAGCTTCACAACAGCTAGTTAATAATGGCTAAAGATCAACAAAATGATGAGGATCGAATTAGCGACCCAAGGTTTGCTAAGGTCCAGAACGACCCAAAGTTTAGAGACACCAAGGCCAAAAAGTTTAAAATCAAGGTCGATGACAGATTCAGCAAGAAAGATCTGGAAGTCAAGAGGAAGGCAAAAGTAGATAAGTATGGCCGTAAGATAGACAAGGTTGATAACAGTGAGTCGAGAGATTTCGATAGATTTTTCGAAAGAGATGATAGTGAGAACGCTGATGTGAAATTGTCTGATGATAATTCTGGAGATGAAGCTAAAATTTCGCCTCTATCGGTGGACAGGGCTCGTGGAGACGTTCCCAGCGACTATGTGTCCTCATCTGACGAAGCCTTCACTTCTTCGGATTCTGAGGAAGACTCTGAAGACAGTGAGGCAGAGAGTGACGAAGAATTGGGAGTGGAGCCTGAAAATGCTCGACCAGCTAGTGGTGACAGCTCAAAAACTCTTGCAGTGGTAAATTTGGACTGGGATCACGTTCAGGCAGCTGACTTGATGGTTACGTTCAGCAGCTTTGTGCCACAAGGCGGCAACATTACGAAGATTGCAGTGTATCCAAGTGAATTCGGGAAAGAGCGCATGGCGCGGGAAGAGAAAGAAGGTCCACCACGTGAAGTTTTCGCTTCGAAGAAAAAGAGTTCTAAGCGTGGAAATGACGATGCTCATGATAACGGCGACGTGAATGTCAGCTTGAAAGATCTATACGAAGAAGGAGACGCCGAGGCCGATTTTGATGGCAAATCTCTTCGCCGTTATCAACTTGAAAGACTTCGCTACTATTATGCGGTTGTATACTGCAGCGACGTCAAGACAGCAGAGGCTATTTACAAGAACTGCGATGGGACAGAGTACGAATCTACTGCGAATCTCTTTGATTTGCGGTATGTACCAGACGGAATGGATTTCACAGATAAGCCTCGTGACGAATGTGACCAACGCCCTTCAAATTACAAGCCCTCGCAGTTCAGTACTGATGCCCTACAACACTCGAAAGTAAAGCTTACATGGGACGAGACCCCGGCGCAAAGATTGGAAATGTCCAAGAGGGCCTTTTCCCAAAAGGAACTGGAAGATATGGATTTTAAAGCATACCTGGCGTCTGACAGCGAAGAATCGGAGAACGAGAAGGAGAACAATATTCGTGAGAAACTCAAAGGTTTGGTTCAGCAATCAACTCAGATAGGAGATCGCAACCTTTTCGAGGACCGTAAGGATGACGGTGCTAGTGACGTCGATATGGAAGTCACATTCGCTCCTGGTCTGAGCGAAGCTAAGGTGACCGAAGAAGGAAGGGATAAAGAAGAAGAGAGCACAATCCAGAAGATCAAACGCAAAGAGAAGGAACGTCGTAAGAAGAGAAAAGACAGGGTAAAAGAGCTAAAAAAACAGGCTGAAGAAGAAAAGAAGACCAAATCGAAGGCCTCTAAGAAGATCGATTCAGTCAGGGATGCCAAATCAAGAGCTGAGCTCGAGCTCCTGATGATGGAGGATGATGAAAACCAAGGCTCGGCGATAAATTCTAAAGCGCATTTCAACATGAATGAAATTCTCAAGTCTGAGAAGGAGAAGAAGAAGAAGTCAAAGTATCAGAATAAAAATAAGATTGTCGAGGATGAATTCAAGCCAGATCTCAAAGACGAGCGGTTTGCTGAAATGTTCGAGGATCGTGATTTCGCAATAGATCCATCTCAACCAGAATTCAAAGACACTGCCGCCATGAAAAAGATTCTTGAGGAAAGAACAAAGAGGGCTTCGGCTAAAAGACACAAGAGGAAAAATGGTTCTTTCGAAAAGCGGACCAAATCAAATGACGGTGTCAAGGTTAATGATCTTGTCGAGAGAATTAAAAAAAGCAGCAAGAAAAGGAAAACTCAAAAGTCATAAAATTAACTCAATTCAAATTAAAAAGTACATAGCATGTAGGCTAGGTGGAAACTTAAAAGCCAACGTCTTCGTCTCGTGTGTCATTTATGATTATCTAAGCTGACAATCACGTGATTGGGGACGGAATTATCAAAAAGTAAGCCCTGTAGGGGGCTCGAACCCCTAACCTTATGATTAAGAGTCATACGCGCTACCGATTGCGCCAACAAGGCCTAAGTTGAGAAACGCTGAAATGTATTTAGTTGCTATTGACTATTTTTTATAAGCTTGAGCTGCTTAAATTATGCGATGCCCACTTGATACAAGATATTACCCAAAGTCATCAGTATTCATGTCATTGGTACAGAACTACTCATCATCATCGGATTCCGATTCTGAACATGAAATAGAATCCCGCTCTTATTTACGATCAGCAAATCCTCAGAATGAGAGTCCCACCAATGACCGGACCAACGAGTGCTCGCTAACAATTCAAAACTCCCGAAAACCACAAGATACCGAGTCTGCCCTGTCACTTAAAAGACCGCCAACTGCCAAAAGATTGCACGTAAGTAAGGCCGAATTGCGGAAAAAAAGACGAAAAAGGAAGGGGAAAAGCCCATGGGCCTCTTGGAGTTCTTCCGAGGAAGATGGCGAGGCCACTGACAATCCAGAAGTAGGTGGGTCCAACGGTGAAGACGAAGCGTTCAATGGAGAATATACAGAGGATCCTGAACCGGCCTCGTCTTCGGCACTTGAAAAAGTGAACGAGGAGAGCTCTACGTTCTATGGAAGTTCCTTAGTAGACTACCAAGGACGCGGAATCTTGCATCCTCCTGCGGAGATAGACATCGACTTTCAGAAAGAGCCTTTATCTTTCGAATGCTATACTCCCAAGCGTATAATTCACGAGTTTGAGGGCCATACGGGTGGTGTTACGTCGTCGGTGTTTTTGCCCAATTCGGGTCACTTGTTTTTGTCAGGCGGCAATGACAATGCAATAAAGTTATGGGATGTTTATCACAATGCTGGTCTCCTCAGAGACTATATAGGACATTCAAAAGCAGTGAGAGAGGTGCAGTTCTCTTCTACTGGCGAAACATTTTCGAGTGTCTCATTTGACCGCACCGTCAAGATTTGGGACACCGAGACAGCAAAAGTTCTTCATAGACTACCTTTTTCAAGCATACCAAACTGCTCTGTTTTCCATCCGTCAAACCCCAGCGAGATCCTTGTTGGACTTTCAGATTCAAAAATCCAGCATTTCGATATGCGGATACCGACCAAACAGGGACTCGTTCAAGTATATGATCATCACATGTCATCCATATTATCGCTTGCATATTTCCCCGATGGATCACGCTTTATCTCGTCGTCGGGCGACAAAACCGTTAGGATTTGGGAGAACCAGATCAACATACCTATAAAGCAGATCAGCGACACTTCTCAGTATTCAATGCCTTACATTGCGGTGCACCCAGAGAGGCGGTATTTCGCTGCTCAAAGTATGGACAATAAAATCTACACATATTCCATGAAACCGAAATACAAAAGAAACCCCAAAAAGTGTTTCACGGGGCATCAAAGCGCCGGCTATGGCATAGGATTAGGGTTTTCTCCGGACGGACGATATATATCTTCAGGCGATAGCAAAGGACATTTACTCATTTGGGATTGGAAAACGACTCGCATGCTTAAAGAATTACAGACACCTTCAAAAAAACCAATTGTAACAGTTTCCTGGCATCCTCAGGAAACAAGCAAAGTGATTTGCGCAGGAAATGGCGGAAAGATTTATTTATATGATTAAGTACGTGTAAAGATAATATTGACCCATGCAACTAAGCATAGAAAGATACAGACTTGGATTTACGAGCTTGTACCTCACCAATGGCCTCCACAAAATCTTCATGCTTGACTTGAGACTGCCCGTTTCTTAATGCTATCATGCCAGCTTCCACTGAAACCGCTTTTAACTGAGCACCGTTAAATTCGTCTGTCGACCTTGCAAGTTCCTGCCAGTTAATGGAGTCATCGGTAGTCATTTTCCTGGAATGAATTTGAAGAATTTGGGCCCTAGAGTCCTCACTCGGTAGAGGGAACTCTATTTTTCTGTCTAATCTTCCTGATCTTAGTAGGGCTGGATCAAGCACATCCACTCTATTCGTTGCAGCCACAACTTTGACGCGGTCATCAGAGCCAAATCCATCTAGTTGATTAAGGAGCTCTAACATGGTTCTCTGTACTTCCCTATCGCCAGACTTTTCAGAGTCAAAACGTTTCGTTCCGATAGCGTCCAACTCGTCTATGAAAATGATAGTGGGTGCCTTCTCCTTGGCAAGCGCGAACGCGTCGCGCACTAATTTTGCACCCTCACCAATAAACATTTGAACGAGTTGTGGGGCAGCCAGTTTCAAAAAAGTCGCGTTGGTTTGCGCTGCACATGCTCTTGCAAGTAACGTTTTACCAGTACCTGGTGGACCATACATCAATGCACCCTTTGGAGCTCTTATACCCATATCCTTGAATTTCTCGCTTTGCTTCATTGGCAACACAATGGCTTCTACCAGCTCTTCGATCTGTTTGTCAAGACCACCGACATCCGAGTAAGTTTCCGTAGGTTTTTCGTCCACCTCCATCGCCTTGACACGCGAGTCAAATTCAGATGGCAAAGTATCCAGCACAAGGTATGAATCTTTGTTGACGCCCACGAGGTCGTTGGGCTTTAACTTGTCTGGCTCAACCAGACCCACCATGGGTAGGAAAACGGTTTGTCTGGACGACGTTTTGACAACAGCGGCTTTCCCACTAGCTACATTGTCCAAGTTCACATTCCCACCTTGTGTGGTAGACTCTTTGTGTTCTTCGTCGTCAAGCCCGTCCATGTCCATGATTTCCACCACGTTCGCCACCAGATAGGGGAGTTGCTTGTTGTTTTTGATTTTCTCCTTGTTGTCCTTAATCTTCTCGAGCATCACATTGTTCTCGTGCGACAAACGCTGTAATTCTGACCTGAATATACGGATTTCGTTGTCCAGCAGTTTTGTCCTAGTTTGAAGCTCTGGAGTGGGCAAATTAAGAATTTCCTGGTCGATTTCCTCATCGCCAGGTAATTTCTGAGATGCCAATTCTTCTAGCGTTGTCATTTTGAATGCAGCCTATTGTTAAACACCTTATTCGAGCCCACACGGCTTGTATTTCCAGTTTGCCACCGATAGTAGCTTAACTATGTCATTTCCTTGCAGAACGGTCTCTTACCGGTTGTCTCTAGTTGAAGATGATTTGATATGTACCTTAATACGTAAATGAGTAGATATCAGGTAGAAACCACGTGTGGAATCAAGTCTTTCAGCTCCCTCGAGCGCGTATAGGGTGCTTGATTGGCAACCGCTGAGTCTAGTAGGTGCAATATCACGCGAAGTCTCGCTTTTGGTCTCGCGCACCGCGCGAGACCAAAGCGTGTTCTCATATGTGACAGGTTTCGTCGTGGACACTCGAAAGCTCATAACTACTGCTGATTATGCTTCTCCAGCTCCTTTCTGAGCTCCTTCGTGAAATCGTCATCGACCTCCACATCGTCCCAGTCCTCTTGCCACAACGTAGCCTGGATATTCGTCGTCGCTTTCAAAGTCTCATCCTCGGGCCACGAATCCACAGGGAAATCTTCAAATTCGTCGTCCTCTTCAAGAGTTTTTCTTTGTTTCTCGTCAAGACTCATTGTGTGGTTGCTTTATAGACAGAGTTTCTGAACCACCAACAATCTTTCACTGTTGTTGACCCCGGATCCTGTAGTGGGTTCATCTCACCATTAACCTTTGCCACATTAGATGGAAGACTTCATAGAAGTTGAATTGATATTGTCATTTAGTACGGGTACTTCGAATTATGCATTCTCAGATCTACATCTCGCTGTCGAGACAAGCCTGCTACAACGAGACTAGCAGCAAGGTCGGGATTTATTAGGCGAACATTTCAGTGTGCATGACTAGCTCTATAACTTAATTAAGCTCAGAATATTTAAAATGAAATAAGAAATGATCTTAAATCATGGCTCAGATTACCACAAGAGATTACTAACACTTGAAAATGTATTTGAAGCCGCTGCAATTCGACTCTTGGTAGCTGTGAGCTAATATGTGTCAGAGCAATGTATAGCACCCTTGGTTAATGTATAGTCCTTTTGGGCCTAAGATTGAATCGCCAATTTCACAGAGTCGTTCGTTACAAGCGAGTCTTACCTGAGTGACACGTTTTGAGTATGAAACGTCCAGAACAATTAAAGTTCATGATTAGTTGTGGATGACAACTCTTAAAACTCGATGTTGCGTATTGCTAAGTATCAAGATCGCGTGCTGAACATAGACCCTACAGGGGTAGTACTTGTCCGTAAACAGCGACAGCTCGCTGATGACTTCCTTAGATTACAATGAGTGTTGACTTTCATTGGTCACGTGCATCAACGACTCGGATTGCCCAATAAGGAAACACATGTCATTCTATACGTCATCACTCCTCTTGGGTGACAGTTTTAGTCTAGCGATTTCTGCCTTACAAGGCAGAAGACACGAACCGTTTGTATAGTATGTTGGGTCTCTTTTAATTGAGACTCAATTAAGCAAAAACGTTATTTAGGGATTGATCTCTTCGACGGGGAAGATTCAATATGAACAGAAACCCATGATATGTGACTATCTGTATATATATTTCTGTGTGTGTCTTTTGATTTGGTTTTTTGCTATAGTGGCACTCCTTCATGCCGGCTGTCGTATGCAGGGGAGACTACGGGCAGGAAGAACCATAATTATGCCGGTATATAGTACCGAATAAGCTTTTACCGGTTTATATGGTGGGTTGACTAAAAATGAACTCCTCCGCACGTATATCTGGAGGCAAGTCTTTGATTGACAAGAACCGCATTTAACAGCAGCAACCAAGGTGACGAACACCAACGCTTTAATTTGTTTGGCTTTGCTGTTCAGTACCGTGCACTACTAAACTCCGGTTTCACAGAATTTTTTGAATAGCCTTGTCGCGGGTTTTTAAATCTTGTTTACAATGTCGGCGGCTAACAAATGCGGGGCCCTTAATTGCACTAAATGAATTTTATGACTCCGAGCAGTCAAAGCGGGAGCGCAAGATAGGTCACCCGAAAGTTTCACCATTGATCTCGTGCTGATTGCTAGAGTTGTCGGCACTGACCATACCTTTTCCCCAAAATTTGGCCTGCTGCTGACTTTAACACCTTTGTCTGTCGGATCAAGGCTTCCTCCTGTTATGGTATTAACGGGTATAATGACATCAAAAGTTGATATATCTGATGGGTTCAGCTTTTTCGCCCGATTATTTCAATTGTCTGAACCCGTCGCAGTTTACACAAAAGCTGGAAGTGTTGAATACAACGATGTTGCCCTTCATCGGAAGCAGATCGAGGCGACGTTTAGGGTATTATGCTCATACGTCGCTGATTTTACACGTCACAAATGTCCTACTGCACTACAATTTCTGACTGCAGTTTCAAAAAAATGTTTGAAATAAGCCGCCTTACAGCAGCCTAACACGATATGGCGTTGCCTTCGTTTAAGTATTAAGGCTTGGTGATGTTTGTCTATAGAAGCGCTTATTGAGGAACGTCATTTTCCTTCATGCTATAATAATAGGTTACCTTTACAAGGTAAAATTTTTCTTAGCATCATCTCATCGATCAAAACCTGCAATTTAAAGATCAGCAGAAACGGCTCCGGAGGTGCGATAGATACCGGAAGTCAACTTCTAACGGTCTGATTCTGTGAAATATGAAGTCAGTTGTCGTAGATGTCGTTCCAAAACGCATCAAGGGCATCGATTTCAGCGCTTTGTCCGCGAGCGATATCGTTGCTCAATCAGAAGTAGAAATCTCGACGAGGGATCTGTTCGACCTTGAGAATGGCAGGAAAGCTAAAGCGGGAGGTGCTTTGGATTCCAGAATGGGAGTTTCGTCGTCACAGGCTGAGTGCTCGACTTGTCATGGAAGCCTGGCAACGTGCCACGGCCATTTTGGTCACATCAAACTGGCTTTGCCTGTGTTTCATGTGGGTTATTTCAAGTCTACCATTCAGGTTCTTCAAGCGATTTGCAAGGGCTGTGCGCGAGTTTTGCTTAGTGAAGAAGACAAACGTCAGTTTTTGTCAGAACTTCGTCGTCCGGGCATAGACAATCTCAGAAGAATGGGCATTTTGAAAAAAGTTTTGGATCAGTGTAAGAAGCAGCGGCGCTGTTTGCACTGTGGTGGCCTTAACGGTGTTGTCAAAAAGGCTGCTGCGGGGTCTGGCTCTGCATCACTCAAGATCATTCATGACACATTTCGTTGGGTGGGTAAGAAGTCGGCTCCTGAAAAGGACAAATGGTATGGCGACTGGAAGGAGGTGCTTGCCAGTAATCCAGAATTGGAGCGATTCGTGAAGAGATCAATGGACGATCTGAACCCACTCAAAACTCTGAACTTGTTCAAGCAAATTGCGTCGGAAGACTGTGAGCTCTTGGGTATAGATAGTACACTCAAGTCTGGAAGACCGGAAACCTACATTTGGAGGTATCTACCGGCACCGCCTGTTTGTATCCGGCCCTCTGTCATGATGCAGGATTCTCCGGCATCGAACGAAGATGACTTGACGGTGAAACTAACAGAAATCGTTTGGACTTCTTCTTTGATCAAAGCAGGACTCGAAAAGGGCATTTCGATCAATAATATGATGGAACAATGGGACTACTTGCAATTAGCTGTTGCCATGTACATCAATTCTGATTCTGTTAATCCAGCAGTCATGCCAGGCGCTTCCGGAGGTAAAACGAAGCCCATTCGAGGTTTTTGCCAGAGGCTCAAAGGTAAACAAGGGCGTTTCCGTGGTAATTTGTCCGGTAAACGTGTCGATTTTTCCGGTAGAACGGTTATTTCCCCTGACCCAAATCTTTCCATTGACGAAGTTGCGGTGCCCGATAGAGTTGCTAAGGTCTTGACATATCCGGAGAAAGTTACCAGATATAATCGACAAAAATTGCAGCAGTTAGTCATAAACGGACCCAATCATCATCCTGGTGCCAACTATCTCCTTAAGAGAAACGAAGATGCGAGAAGAAATTTGCGATACGGTGATCGAATGAAGTTGGCGAAAAATCTACAGGTCGGAGACGTAGTCGAAAGGCATATCGAGGACGGTGACGTTGTGTTGTTTAATAGACAACCGTCCCTGCATAGATTGTCGATTTTGTCACACTACGCTAAGATTAGACCTTGGAGAACGTTCAGACTGAATGAGTGTGTATGCACACCATATAATGCAGATTTCGACGGCGACGAAATGAACCTTCACGTCCCTCAAACCGAAGAGGCCCGCGCAGAGGCAATAAACTTGATGGGTGTCAAGAACAATTTACTTACTCCGAAGTCTGGTGAGCCCATTATTGCAGCAACTCAAGATTTCATCACGGGTTCGTATCTCATCTCTCACAAAGATTCGTTTTTCGATCGTTTTCAGTTAACTCAACTTTTAACCATGATGTCCGATGGTGCCATGCAATTCGATATTCCAGCACCAGCAATTATGAAGCCACATTTTTTGTGGACGGGAAAACAAGTCTTCTCTCTACTGATCAAACCTAACAGTCAATCTCCGGTTGTGATCAACGTCGATGCAAAGAATAAGGTTTACATTCCGCCAAAAAACAAAACCTATCCAAACGAAATGTCTGAAAATGACGGTTTTGTGGTCATTAGAGGATCTAAGATTTTGAGTGGTGTCATGGACAAATCTGTGCTAGGAGATGGTAAAAAGCATTCGGTCTTTTACACCATCCTTCGAGATTTTGGTCCCCAAGAGGCAGCTAACGCTATGAACAGGATGGCCAAGCTTTGTGCTAGGTTTTTAGGAAACCGCGGTTTCTCGATCGGTATTAACGATGTCACGCCCGGAGCCGAACTTAAACAAAAGAAAGAAGTCATGGTCGAGGACGCTTATCAAAAGTGTGATGAACTCATTGACTTGTTTGATAAAGGGAAGCTCGAGACCCAACCAGGTTGTAACGAGGAACAGACCCTGGAAGCTAAAATCGGTGGTTTACTATCCAAGGTCAGAGAAGAAGTGGGAGAAGTATGCATTAAGGAGCTGGATAACTTGAATTCCTGCCTTATCATGGCTACCTGTGGCTCTAAAGGTTCCACATTAAACGTTTCCCAAATGGTTGCTGTTGTCGGTCAGCAGATCATTTCGGGTAATCGTGTTCCTGATGGTTTTCAGGATCGATCACTGCCTCATTTCCCCAAGAACTCCAAGACACCGCAGTCCAAAGGTTTCGTGAGAAACTCGTTCTTTTCAGGTTTGTCTCCCCCCGAATTTCTGTTCCATGCCATCTCTGGCCGTGAAGGTTTAGTCGACACCGCTGTCAAAACCGCTGAAACTGGTTACATGTCGCGTAGATTGATGAAATCTTTAGAAGATCTCTCTTGCCAATACGACAACACTGTAAGAACATCCTCAAACGGTATAGTGCAGTTTACCTATGGTGGTGACGGTTTGGATCCTTTAGATATGGAGGGAAATGCCCAACCTGTTAACTTCAACAGGTCCTGGGATCACGCCTATAACATCACTTTCGATCGCAAAGATCCTCTTCTTCTTCCGTATCAGATAATGGAACAAACAGATCATATTTTGAAGCCCTTGGAAGTAAAACTGATTAGGCACGACAACTTGGGAAATGTCCTCAAGGATCAGAATACCGAAAATATTGCATACATCGATCAATTTGATGCGGAGAGAAACTTCTATGCTTCTTTGAGAGTCTACATACAGCAGAAGGTAGATTTCTTAGCGGATGTTAGGAAGAACAAAGGCCTTCAGAAATATTTGAGTCGGCCAAGTGACATAAATGCTATGGATATTGATGAAGAACCCGAGGCGTCACAGGCTGCAGTTGACCAACTTTGTAGAATTAGCAGCAAAGTGGTAACCAAATTTTTGGAAATTGCCATCTACAAATACCATCGCGCAAAAGTTGAACCTGGTACGGCGGTGGGTGCCATTGGCGCCCATTCAATTGGTGAACCTGGTACTCAGATGACTTTAAAGACTTTTCATTTTGCGGGAGTTGCTTCCATGAACGTCACTTTAGGTGTACCACGTATTAAGGAAATCATTAACGCTTCGAAGGTGATCTCAACACCAATTATCAACGCAGTTCTAGTGAACGACCATGACGAGAGGGCAGCTCGTGTTGTCAAGGGAAGAGTAGAGAAAACTCTTCTTTCGGATGTTGCATTCTATATACAGGATGTCTACAAAGACAACATGTCTTTTATTCAGGTCAAGATTGACGTTGGAACCATCGAGAAGCTACAATTGGAACTAACTATAGAGGACATTGCAGTTGCAATTACTCGTGCGCCCAAGCTCAAGATTGCCGCGGCCGACGTGAGCATCATAGGCAAAGAGAAAATCAACATCAACGTTTATCCAGAAGGCGCCAAATTGAAATCGATTTCAGTTTTGGCTAAAGACCCCTCCGTTAACGAACTCTTTTACAAAATGCAGCACCTGAGGCGAGCTTTACCGGGAATTGTTGTCAAAGGTTTCCCCGATATTGCCAGGGCTGTCATCAATATCCGCGACGATGGTCGCAGAGAGCTTTTAGTTGAAGGTTATGGTTTGAGAGATGTGATGACTACAGACGGTGTCATCGGTTACAAAACTAAGACCAATCATATCCTGGAAGTTTACAGTGTTTTGGGCATTGAAGCTGCAAGAACAAGTATCGTGGGAGAGATTGACTACACCATGAGCAATCACGGTATGAGCGTCGACCCTCGTCATGTGCAGCTTCTGGGAGACGTTATGACTTACAAAGGTGAGGTTCTGGGTATCACAAGATTCGGGTTGAGTAAAATGAGAGATTCTGTTCTGCAGCTTGCTTCTTTCGAAAAAACAACAGATCACTTATTTGACGCTGCTTTCTACATGAAGAAGGATGCAGTAGAAGGTGTATCAGAGTGTATCATTTTAGGGCAGACAATGTCTATCGGTACAGGTGCATTTAAGGTTGTTAAAGGAACGGATGTAACGTCTAAAGACCTTGAACCCTACCCAACGCTGTTCGAGAGCTTGTGCAAGGCCAAGGGGCAGAACGAACTGAAACTAAGCTGAAGCGTGACATACTAAACACGTATAGATAAATTATTAATTTAAAAATTTGCATTAGGAAAGTACACACTCACACCGTAAACGAATAAGTCAACACTTCCTAGTGATCGATTCGACTCAATAAAATTGACAAAAACAAGCCCTGTAGGGGGCTCGAACCCCTAACCTTATGATTAAGAGTCATACGCGCTACCGATTGCGCCAACAAGGCTCTTGATATAGATAAAAAAGTTCTTTTGGCTCCATATCAAGATGTCATGTCATGCTTTTCAAATCGAAGTTAAACTAGTGTGATATTACGTCTTAGGTAACAACTACTTCGAGTATATCGTCGTCCTCCAAATCTAAGTCATCAACAGAGCAATTTAGATCGACTTTCTCGCTGTCAAAAGTTAATGTCAAATTTTTTGATGACGGAATCCTGTTGGCAGAGCGGTAATAATCGGCAAGTTTGGCAAACGTGGTTCTCTCACGTGCATTGACGTAGAACTTCTTGTTGTCTTGGCCCATCAATGCAATCCTCAATACTCTCGCCTCGTCTTCTGATGGTTCAATAATTTGTAAGCTATCGTCAGAACCTTCAACATCAGATTCTTCTATTCGTAGCGGTCCCCTTTGCTTTGTAAAATCTACGAGAACTTCAGGCGTCGCACTTAGGCTCTCTAACTCTTGTTGACGCAAAACAGCATAATTCCTCTCATATTCCCTTGCCTTGTCAGTTGACACCATGTAAATCTCAATATCCTGATTATCGTTCTCTTCATTTTCGGCTTGTCGGAACGAACTGCATTTCATGAACCCTAAGACCTTCACGCCATTCCCATAAAATAAAGTCACACGGTCTGCGGCGTAAATATGTTGGAGCTCAGGTGGAATCGGATACTCCTCGGTAAGTGTAGAAAGAGCCGTTGGTAATATAGATGAAAACGAGTGCCCACCTTGAACTTTGATCTCGACAGCTTTGCCTTGGGATCCTTCGAGCTGAGACACAAATTTTATCGGATACGCAGCAATGCCCTCAGCTTCCGGTGTTCTCGTCCCAGCCGAGGGGTCCACAGATCTCCTAGCAGGGCGTTCTTGGGTGGTTTGTAGCTCGTCGGAAATTATGATGGTGTCGGTCCTGTCTGGCACTTGTGCTGCTATCACTTTCGGTCTCTTCTCGAGTGGTAAGGGAGCCGAACGCTCCTCTGAGCTACTTCGAGAACTTAATTGGGATATCTCGGAGCTCTGGGAGCTACTGGATGCATGCGAAACTCGACGGCGACGAGTAGTTCTCGTATTCGTCGCTACATCGCCGGTCTCGGATTCTCTGGGCTTATCCTCTCGCTTGAAACGCCGAACCTGCTTTACATCCAAACGCGGTATTTCTGAGTCCTCGACAACACCTTTTTCTTGCGAAACCGACTTACCACCTAAAAGATAATCTCCGTAAAAAAAGTCGTCAAGGTCATCCAATTGTGCTTCTGACGTTTCTTTATCATCTTTTAAGGTTTCTTGAGTATCAGTTCTTGCTACCACCTTGATGGTGGACGAAAACCGCGGTAGTTTCTCACGTTCAGGCCCTACTTCACCAGCTTCGGGTGCCTCATCTTCAATGTATCCTCCAACCGTTTTGTTGGCATCGCTGTACGAAAGCTGATCCTCGATATTGCTAGTGATCACAGCTCCTTTCAATTGTGCATGAGACTGCTCGTCAACCATCTTATTGGAAAATATCAAACAGTTTTGTTGGTGTATTTATTGTCGATGTTGATATTGGTATTTTCTTTTGGATTGTTAGACAATTAAATTCGATGCCCTTTACTTACAGAAGTTCTTTAAAACCACCTCCAAGTAAACTGGCAGATGAAGCGAATTAAGTCCATAAGAATGGATCCTACAAACGTACTATTTTCAACTAGAACAGGAGCTACAGAGATATTGATATTTGTTTTTACTGATTTCTTAATTTATTCGTGAACTTTGTCCGCTAAGTTAATAACTGTGTCGAACGAGTTTCGTTTGCAAACCATGACGGTTTCACGTTTCAAATCCCTCAAGAGCCCTTTTTCTTGATGTAATGTTCAAAGGACCACTTGGGTCTCGACCGAACTATAATTGCTGAAAAAGGCTTTGAACAATTTGATTTGTAAGTCGATATCTGCAGCAGCACCTGTTTCTCTAATTGAGTGCATACTTAAAACTGGATTTCCGATGTCAAGGGTTCTCATACCCGTTTTGGAGGCCAAGATTGGGCCAATTGTAGATCCGCAAGGAGAATTATTAGCGACCACGAACAACTGTAGGGGGATTTGTGCAGCATCGGCAAGTTTCTTTATGACCAAAAACCCAGGGGAATTGGTCATGTAACGCTGATTGGCATTGATCTTTATCACAGGACCCTTTCCTAGCAGCGGCTTATGGTTGGACTCGTATTTACCACTGTAATTGGGGTGGATGCCGTGAGCGACATCTGACGACAGGAAAAACGACTTCGCATACGACTCCAACAAAGATTCAGCAGCTTGGGAGGAGTCTAACGAAACAAGTCGTTCCATGATGTTTGGAAGAAAGTTAGAATCCGCGCCTTGGGCAGAAGATGAGCCGACTTCCTCGTGGTCAAAGCAGGACATCATTCGAATACCCTCTTCGTTCTCAATGTCCAAATTTGCTGCCTCTGTAAACCCTATTAATGAAGTAAAGCACGTAGTCAGATTGTCCAAGCGACCCGAGAAAACAAATTCTTCCTTGAGTCCACCGAGACATGAAGGCTTGTGGTCATAAAGCGTTAACTCAAAATCCTCAATGTCAGAGACATGTTTCAACGAAAGTTCTCTAGCAACCAAACGGAGCAAATCTTCATGGTGCCGTTCCACCATCGATTTCACTGATGCAAACTCAGAGTCCGACATGGCGTTTTCCGCACCGCAAGAGTTTGGCTTGTCGCCGGCCAAACCGGCGATTGGCAAGAGTTGTGTTTCTTTGTTAAACTCGAATTTTTGATTTACGTCGCGGTCCAAATGGATCGCTAACGTTGGAATCTTGAGCAATGGTTTCTTAAGGTCTACTAATTTGGCGACACTGACATTACTAGAGCTGTCTTTAACGAAAACCCGGCCTGCGATGGCAAGATCAGCGTCAAACCAGGAATGCCAGATTCCACCTCCATAACACTCGACTCCAATCTGCTGGAAATGCTCGTTGGTTCTCTTGGAGATAGGTTTGATTTTCAAAACAGGGGAATCCGTGTGGCCACCTGTGATGGCAAACGGGTTTCCGGGCTTCCACTTCCCCCCAACAACAAAAGCGATAATCGACGAATTGTTTCTGGTTACAAACCATTTGCCCTGGGGCTTGACCTTCCCCTTCCAGGATTCTCGTTCACTGAGTTCCTTAAAGCCATGCGATTTAAGATGCTCTTTCATGTTGAAAACAGCATGATAAGGCGTAGGAGTTGCGTTGAGAAAGTCAACAAAACCTTGAGGGTAATTGATCGATCCACTGGACATTGTTACTGATTTCCGCAGTTTCAATCTCAGCATAAGACTAAGCGAGTGTAGGTGTTCCTGCTTCACACATGCTATTTTTTGGCCTATCACCAGGTTACGTGTCTTGGCACATTTTTCGTTAATCACATGAAAAATGTGTCAAATAACAGGGCAAATTAGTAAGAATATAGACTTCAGGGTGATAACTCTCATAAGATTTTCGTCCGATTCCAACAGCCTCAGTTGCTGGAAAACTTTCTGACCTTTTATATGCCCTTAATTGTTCACTGTATTGTTAACAAGGTCCCACGTAGTAAATTTTGAAATATGAAATAGTGGAAAAGGCGAATTTTAAAATTAAAGTCTCACAAGCCTAAGGTTTCTGCGTGTAATGTTCGAAAAGGTGTGTTTTTGGTGTGCTTCGTGCCCTGTGGCGGCCCTGGAGCAAAGCATAGCTACACTCCAGAAGTTAATGAGAGATGATAAAACTGGGTGAAAAAAATGTATTGGGGGCTGTTGGCCTCGGAAGCAGAAACTTCGTGATTTTTCATAGTTCGCTTAATTGTTAAACTGTACAAGTGGGCCAATGGTAGCGGTAAGTCATGGATTCTTTGTTGCTAATTTTTAGTGCAGAATATCTAACATTTTTGACTGTTGCTGGTGCTGTTGCTGGATTGCCTCGAAATCGATCACTCAAATGATTCATTCAATCTTTTTCTTCTTACTTACAATTTTTTATATCCATTAGTTGATTATCTACGATCTACACATCTCGTCTCCTGTACAATTGTGGTAATATCGTTCACATGGATCATACATCACTTTGCGACTAGAACTAGACAAAACTTTCAGCTAACGCAATCATCATACTCCTGGTTGCTTTATCTTTGAAATTTATAGTTTCGTGACCAAGACTGGTATCGCTTGGATTCCTATCGCTTCTTGGGTTCATTCGATCCTCAGTGTGTTGTTCTGTCGTTGTTATCACGTGATATGGGCAATAACGTCAGTATAACTTCATGATATTAACCCTATTCCCAGTGTGAAGGAATTTGACTTAGATTGTCTCTCTGTATTAATAATTTTAAGTGTTCAAACAGTTTGTTGCAGAGTGCAAAGAGCTCGCGATAGGCGATATCGTCAAGTTACAATATCGGTTGGTAACATCACGTGGTTATAATGACAGAATAATAGAAAAGATAATCCAATAAATAATTCGAATTCGATTTAAGAAGCCGTAAAGGACCACGTCGACGCCAACGGAGACCATAGAGTCATCACTTTGCCACAAATTGGACCTCCAGTAATAAGATTAATGGAACACAGGGAAAAATTTCCGTTATTTCTTGTTAAGGAGATTCAAGCGCTCAATGCCGGGTACGCCTGATTGCTAATGGAGCCTGTGAGCGAACAAGTGAGCGCTTTGAACGATGAACTACCGACCTGGGTATTCTCAATATAGCCTAATTACGATAGACGAACGCCCGTAATAAGCAGTGATACCTGGGGATCACTTTTCACTGATAATTGACCCCCTTTCAGAACACTTTAATATTTTTTAGACTTGCACCAAAATTCAAAAATATTTTCCCAACACGAGAACTTCACATACAAAGTAACCTCTCCTACGTGATTGATAATTACATGCGTTGGCTATCAAAGACAATCCCAGTAATGAATTATGGTAATGATTTCAAATTTATATCCTTGGCCAAGGGTCATAAATACCTTGAAAAGAACATAAGATTTTGACACTTTTTCCAAAGGAATCAGACCTGAAAAGCTTGATGCAGCTTAAAGAAACCTAGAGCCCGTTAAACTACTGTCATCAGGACGTTAAACCCTTATTCTTTCTTATAGACTAAAATCTACAGGTCGTATGTCGTTATAGACTTCTATTCGAAATCTGATAGAAGCAGTTTAAAGAAAATTGAATTACATTGTCCAAGAGGTAAACACCAGTTAAAGGTAACAGAAAGATTCAGTATTGACCTGCCAGATGGCTCCAGTAAATGGCAACGAACCAACAAGTCAGACGAAATCTGACAGCAACGGAAAAGCTGCTCAAGAAGCTCTAAATTCGGTGACTAGCAAAGATGATACGCAGGTGGTGCGCGGAAGACCCAGGCGAATAGCATCGAAAAGGGCTTCACAGTTGTTTGCCAACATGATAGACCCCAGTGTAGCGCAGGTGGATGATGATGAGGAGTTCAGACCGGAACCAGAAGACACAAGGGGCGACGCAGACGCAGAGGCAGAAAAGGATGAGGAAAACGACGTCGAATTGATTGCAGAAGAAGTTTCAGAAATAGCCAATTTGAACGAGACTCTCAGTCCAGCTGACAGAGTGTCTTCGTTGCGACGGAAACAGGAACCGCATCAAATAACTCTGGATGCAAAGAAGCCGAAGAAAACACCTGGGAAACGTGGCCGGAAACCCAAAAAAAGCGTCAAACTCGAAGAAGATATCAAGGCTTTGACTCCAACATCTCAGTTGGACAGTAAGCGCAAGCTCGTGCGTGGGTTGAAAGATTTAACTGCGGCTCGTGATAAAATTGAGCGTATTTATGGGTTAGACGAGAAGAAACTTCTGGGACTAGCCAAAGTGAAAGAAGGCTTTGAAGGCGGACCGTTCGACTTTTCAATCGAAAATGTTCAACCAGAATCCAAATATTATATCGACTTTGCTCCACCTTGGAAAAAAAACAATCCTGCTGGCTCTTTGCGACTCCAAAAGCTACAGATGCGTCCGCTGGACCGAGAAGACGCTGACAAGTTTTTCCCCAAGCGCAATGAACAGCTCAATGTTGTTCTACAGGATACTGAGGTTGAAATGAAGACCGAGGATAAAGTAAATTTCCCACTATTTTCAAACGGGCCAAGGCCAGGTTTTTTGTATAACACCGGATGCCTGGTCACCGATATGGCATGGCATCGGAAGGATAACGATACTTTCTTGGCATTGTCACTTTCTAAGTTCTGGGAAGATGCTTCAGATCCCCACTTAGGGTTTTTTTCGCCAGAGATCCACGAGTCCTCCATTGAAATATTCAAAGTGGATCCTGCCTCATTTTCGTTTACAAAAGTTCACACGATTTTACACCGATTTGGCGATTCTTGGAATCTAAAGTGGCACAGTGGTTACAACAAGCCAGGCGTTCTAGGATTGTTAGGTGCGGTTTGTCAAGACGGCTCTGTCAAATTTTGGGATATCAAAATTTCTGAAGATGCTCAAATTTTGATGTACGAAAACGCCTCAATCACTATATCAATACCAGAGGCACGCATAAGCTGCTATGACTATTTGTCAGACTCTACAATAGTTTGCGGATTTCATAACGGGTACATGTCAGAGTTCGAACTAAACTCTCCATCGAGGCCATCGTTCTATTACAAAATGCATGACTCTTATGTGTTATCTATTGCGACAGGCTATTCAGAGTACGAGGACACTTGCATTTGCACACTTTCCGTCGATGGTTACGTTTATGCTTACAACAGAAAGGACGTGCGTGGGTCGAAATGCACTGTATCCAGAGCTAGAGGTGGCAACAATACTCCCTTGGTCTATTCACCGCTTGTGTACTGCATGACGCTATCTGATGGAGTGAACTCTGTGAAATCTTTTCCGCCCAGAGCCATATTTGCAACCCATCAGATATGTCAACACGATAACACCGTGAGTTCACTTGCTTCTTCTCATGTGCATCCTTTTCTTCTCTCAGGATCTGCAAACGGAAGCCTTGTGATAGACAATTTAGTGAGGAGACTATTGACAGGAATCAAAAACAACAACACTGTTCATAAAAGCGCGAGATTATGGCAATGGAATTTCAGTGTCAAAGATGAGAAATTCAGATTAAACCCCAATTACGAAGTTCAAAGATTTAGTGTGAACGAGGTTTCAAAGGTTAATATTGATCCACAGGGGATCAACATAAACTGTGTTAAATGGTGTGAGCACTTTGAAACAGGAAAGTTGTACAGTTTTGTGAACAATGCGGGCCTATTGGTTGTAACAGAACTTGGATGATACAATGCGGATAATTACAATTTAAGCGTCATAGAATTTAGAGGACTAATATTTTGGAAGGGATGGATTTATCTCGTCGATGTATTTAAAAAGTCCGCCACGGATATCTCTGACCGTTGAAATTTTAAATTCATCTTTAAGCAACTTTGTTGCAAGCTGGGAATCATTACCATACCGACACATAACCAGAACTTCGCTCCTGTCTGTCAATTTTGGGATATGACGCTTCAGTAAGTCCATGTTCCCATCCATGTCGCGTAGCTCTTTTACCGTTATGTTAAAAGTATTAGGCAGATGAGAGATATCATAGTGATGATGAGGTCTGACATCCAACAATGTATAGTCCAATCCCTCTTGAGACATATAAGCCTTCTCGAATTCTTCAACGGTTATTCGCTCTTCGGGCTTGCACACATCATAATTGCGCTTGCCACAAAACAACTCGTAGTTGATACCTCCGGCAAGTATAGCTGCCCTGTTGACGGTCGAATCAGGTCCACAGCTTATGCAATTGGGTTTTCTGCCTCTCATTTTGAACCTTCTAAGTGTTTGATGAGGAAATCCAGAGTATTGTAACAGGAATGGTTCGAAGTTTTCCTCAGTGTATACGCCCATAATCAATTTAATCGTTTCAACGGCCATCATGATACCTACAAGGCCAATGCATGGGCCTATAACACCACCTTCCTGACACGATGAAACGTTGCTGGGAGAAGGAGGAGCAGGATAGAAACATCGATAGCAGGGACCCATGCTTTTAAAATTCAAAATGGAAAGTTGGCCCTCGTAACCTAAACCGGAAGCCGAAACTACCGTCATTCCGAGACATACAGCAACGTCAGAAATAAGATACCGCGTCAAAGGTGTGTCAGTGCAGTCCAGGACGTAGTCGTAACCGGTAAAAATCCCAAAACAATTAGCATGGCTCAAACGCACTGGATAAGTGGTAACTTCAACATGTGGATTTAATTTCTGCAAAAATTCTTTTGCAGAGTCGCATTTTAGCTTTCCAACGCTGTTGGAGCTGTGTAAAACTTGTCTATGCAAATTCGACGTATCGACAACGTCATTATCCACTATGCCTATATGACCTATCCCTGCGCCTGCCAAATATGGCAAACATGGGCAACCAAGGCCACCTGCTCCTATAATCAAGACTTTGGCGTTACGAAGCTTGAGTTGTCCATCAACACCGCCAAAAGTCTCTACTATCATCTGTCTGCCATACCTTTTAAACTCTTCCAAACTCATCGCAAGTTCATCATTTTGGAACTTTTGAACTCCCAGCTTTCTCTTAAGTTCTGCATTCTCCTTTCTCAATGCCTCGAGCTCTTTACGGTCCTCTAGATTCATCTCAAGAGAACCTTTCTTGCGCTCAACAATAATACCTCCAGATTCAATTTTTCCGATGAGATGTAATGCCAAAACTGAAAAATCTGATTATTAACTGATTCTTAAAGCGCTACGTAATTGAAAATCTACAAATCGTCTATAATGAAATTGGTCCAAAGTACAAGCATATTTGCTTCAATTATTAATAGAGTTTGTTGGAAATTTGTTAGGAGGCTAACTGCCTAATTAATCACTTCAAGCTTCGGCATCATAGAGCACCTCTTTTGGCTCATTATAATGTACAAGAACTCAATATTTCATTTAGCGTGATATTCCAAACATTGCAGAGGTCAACTTGCTAGCGTTTCACAATCCAATAGCATTGATATACATGTCGCCATTCGGCACTGATTCAATAGCAGTGAATTATGAAGTTGGGTAAAAAGAAAACTAAAAAATTGATTTCGCCCAGGATCGAACTGGGGACGTTCTGCGTGTTAAGCAGATGCCATAACCAACTAGACCACGAAACCAACTTGCTGGGAAACGTGGATGCCCTACATTCCATATTTAGGAGATTAAAACTCCAGGTGCGAAAGCCAAGGTTAAAACTACATCGACAAACATCGAGCTACCCATCCTAAACATTACCTTTAATTAATTATTTAGTCAATCAGCCATTAAATGACCTTTTCTTTAATGAAGAAATTTTTCAGATATCGCATCTGGAACACGCACGTACCAAAAAGAACTATCAATTGAATGCAAGACCATACCATAATTCTCGAGTTCGTAGACTCACTTTGATCTCGGAATTTGGCTTCTCTCTTCATAATCTCTTTTTGCTCTTTTCTAATTCTGTCAACCCTGTCCAGTAGTTGAAGCACGCGACTTCGTAGTGACTCCATTTGGCCCATTCGTCTGCTATCTAGAGATTGAACGTTGGCAAACTCAAGTTCTAAAAAAATTCTCAAGTTTGCGTTCATGTTGGAAAAGGTTGGTTTCACGCAGACTCGATGTTCTCCAGATTCCAGAGCCGTGAACATAAAATCGCCGGTGTGTGAATTCTTCATGTTTAGGACTCTGTGATCATTGTCGAACGTTTCGTCAACCGTAACTGTCATCTTCAATCCAAAATCTTCTTCAAACCGTCCGTTTCTCTCCACTTGAGCGTCGAAGTCTCCTATGAGTATAGCCCCCTCTGCTAGATCTTCGTAAAAACATCGGACTTCTCCAGGCTTCATGTAAAAGTGCAGGCCCAAAACCAGTTTCTTTATCATCAGAAAAACTATCAAGCGCACTATTTTCAATCGCATCGTGGCCAACTTCTGCCTCAATCACTGCCCTTTCCTATAACGCTTTTCCTAGCGTCTCTTTCAACGTTCAAATTTTACATGACGATGCCATCCCGACTTCGACAAGCCTGTAATATATCCTAAGAATTGTCAATTATAAACGAATACAAACAAGTCAAGATAAAAGACGAAACCTGTCACCTATCATATGTCTAGTTTTTGATCTACTTCTGTTGGAAACGCGCAATGGATTCGCCTTATGACAATGAGTTACAGCCTGCGTAGTTGTGCGTTAAGATGGGTTAAAAAATTGATGATAGTGTTCATACTCTTCGTCAACGTAGTCAGAATACCGAGACTCTTCGTAATAAGAGAAATGGTCATTTTTCGTCATGTCCGTGTCAATTTCAAACGCAACACATTGGTTTGGAAGCACTGGACATCCCGTAAATGGCACGGTTAGGGACGATGGGGCTTCGGACCAGAAAAATGCAGATTTATTTCGTTTTTGAAGCAGGATCTGGCCTAAAATTGTTTGCTCATGAGCGGCCAATCTGCCCCAAAAATTTGAGGTCGGTTGAGTCATCTCGATAGAAAGTGCCCGCATTCGCCAAGCGCAGTATTCACAGAAATATGCTTCAAAAGCATTTTTGGCCTTTTCGTAGTCTTCTTCCGAGTCGTGCTCAAAGCTCATGCATTGTTCTTTGTCGAATCTCGCTGACACCAAAGAATCTTCCCAAAAACGGCAAGACCATGCCAATTGAGGAATACCTATGGTTTCGTCTCGACTTCGTTCTTGGGTCCTCACGACCTCTTCATAATACGACAAGTAATCATTTTCACTACCGCCGTTTGCACGCGCTGCAAAGCGCGCAAAGGTCAAATAACAGTTCGGATTATACTCAAACCGCGGCTCATCTTCTCGGACAGGGTTATCGAAGAAAGGGAGAAGAAACTGTCTAAATTCTTCAATGGTGTCATTGATATACACCTGATCGCCAAGTAAAATAAGTTGAACGCAAGGTCTGATCGAGAACCATTTGTAAAAACAAGCCAAGTCCAAACACCTGGGTTTAAATTTCTTGAAGAAATTCTTTTCAAAGCACATATTCCAGAACTGAGGTGATTTCTTGGACCTCACCGGCGCAAATCCGTAGGTCCTTTCGAAATTGAAGAGCTCCTCATACGGAGAGTAACTGATAAAGACTTCAAATTCTTCTTCCTCTTGTGGTGTTTCATCAAGTAGTAGTAAAACGTCGCCTGTTTCTCGATCCACGTCGAAATGCGCGTTAACTTGGTCATTGTCGTGATTGACAAAATCAAGCACAGGAACCAGCGTATTATTGACTCTGAAATCGTCACTATCGACATCCACGGCCTCTGGAATTTCGAGAGATCGGGACATGCAGCTGGCGCATATCTTGGCGATTTTCACAGAAATTTGGTTGTCGCTAGTTATGACATTAGACACATCAATGAGCGCATTGAAGATCTCTGAGCATTTTTCGTATCCGTACTGGCGGAAGAGACGTATTTCTGAGGTTTCGAAGCTGTTCGAAAGATTGGAGTACACCGAATCGACCTCGGTGTCCAGCAATACCAGGTCCAAATATTTTTTTATTTTCTCGGGAATTTCCAGGCCATGATATCTAAGACACTCAAACAAAGTGAAATAGCTGACGAGGAGTAACGATTCGCTGATATGAGACACCAAGATCGGGTTCCGAAAATATTTTTCTAAACTCGCTTTAACTGCAGCGCTTGTTTTCGAGAAAGACGAGGCGTCAGCGTAATTGTTTTCATCATTCACGATTTCCAGCAGCGTATAAATGGAGAAAGTAGATAACCGAGGAATGCGCAATAGCTCTATAACATCAGAATTACCTTCAACTCTTATAGCTTCTAATTCTTTTTTTCGGATAAATCCACCGACGCCCTTAACCTTTTTGCATATATCCGATTTACCGACGAAAAAACCCTTATTACATCGAATATCAAAAGCCTTGATCAAGTCTTCAGGTACGCTAGTTTCGGTACTCCCACTCATTCCTGAAATTGTATCTCTTGAACAATCTAGGTCCTAGCTTTACTTCAAAATTAGTTACTTCAAATCAGCATAATCCCAGGATCAAGTAGTCCGAAGGACCCTCTTAAATAATAATAACGATTTCTTATCACGTGCGTATGTAAATGCACTCTAAATGCTCAAAGAATCTAGGCTGGGAATTTAGCACAATTGATGCTCTTACAGTGTTTTTGAATACCGGGTTAAGGTCTCGTTCAATTGGCTTTTTTATAGTTATTTTTCTGGTTCATTCAGTTGAACGGCTTTACTTCATATATATGTAGATGTTAAAATTGGAAAATTTTCCAACGCGATGAGCTTAATATTCACATTGCATATCGAACACAACAGATATCGAGATCCTCGTCAATTTGATAATGGTGCAGTCTGTTAAGGTTAGCGAGATAGTCAAAAGGAGACGCGAGACGGAAGACTCCGACTCCGACATAGATATCAGCAGCACTGACTCGGAAACGGAAGTTGGATTGGACCAAAATGAAGAAGTTGTGAATGTAGACTTTGACTTCTACGACGGAAATAAGAACGTGGACTTCCACGCTTTGAAGCATCTCATGCGACAGCTATTTGGATCGCACGAGTCGAACCGGATCCAACTAAGTGCTTTGGCGGATATGATCCTGGACTCACCAACGACGACTATAAAGACAGATGGGCCCGAATCCGATCCATACAGTTTCCTGTCTTTGGTAGACTACAAGGCGAACAGGAACAGCGACTATGCACAATATTTGCACAAGATAGACGACCGACTTTCGAAACAGCTGAACAAAATTGAGGCGTCCAACCAGTCATGCGCCATGCTACTTGGGGAACGGCTCATCAACATGCCACCAGAGATCATCGCGCCACTCTACCGTATCACTTTAGAAGATGCGTTGAAAAACTCTGGAAACGGGAAGCACTACGACTGGTACGTCATCGTGAGTCGCAAGTTCGAAGTTAATTTGGACGTGGACCAGGACGAGCAACAGAAACAAAGCGCCAAAAAACGGGCCAGGACCGCAGAAATTGACTATTTTCACCCTGAGGATGCCTTTTTTGAACGTCACGCTGCTCTTCACTTCGACGGCGACGGCAGAAAGGGCTTGATCCCCACTTACGTCGTAATAAGCCACGATTCGTTGAACAAGGCCATTGCCGAGTGTGAGCTGGAAATAGCCAAGTGGTAGAATTGGCGGCAAGCGGAGAATAGGAAACCTGGGTACTATGTTTAGCCGAGAGGCAATATTTGATCCAAGAAACCTCCAAATTAGTCAAAAGCATGTTCGACTGAGAGATGGGTATGGGATAGAGGATTTCGGTTACTACTCTGAAATTCACTTACCTTCAAGTCCCTACCAGATGAACCCGGGGTGACTTTAAATCTGACTTGAAATGGTGCAATGAACATTAGGACAAGAGGAACAAGTTAGCCGATTTAAAAGCGATTAGAGTCTCTCAACGTTCCTGAAGACGTTACAAAACGAACAAGAATATATTCATCATTAAAAATGAGAAGTTTGCTCTTTAAAGCGGTTCGATTGACGCAAGAGAGCGTCAGGAAGGTCTAAGCAACACAAGAGCTGTTATGGCTTCGTCGAAGCTTGTCTTATACTTTTGTACGTAAAGTGAGTATTGATTTCTACTCAAAAGCATACGAACATCGCTTTAAACGAAAATCGAATTCATGAAGCGCTAATAAAACTTCAAAATCAAGCTTTCTTGACTATATACCATCTCTCAAAGGACGAAACAACGGCTACATTCTGTCTTTCTAAACCGGTAATCCTATAGCAGGTGCAGTTTATTTATTCTGAGACTTTTTTCGCCGCGATTTGTTCTTTTCTGGGAGGTTTTTTGACAAGTTTTCTAGCTCCTGGCGAGTCTATACAAAGGCGCTATGAGCCAGCCGGCGAAAGACGATAAAGAAAACTTGCTGGAGAATCTGGTAGCTGAACGAGCGCGTAAGCTCACAGAGCTCTATTGCTTGTCTCGGCTGCAGGATTTTTTAACCATCACTAACAATGATGCCCTGGAGGCTCAAATCAAAAACTTTTTAGATAACAACAACATCCAAAAAGGACTTCGTTTCAACCCCCAGACGGTGCCAGAGTTTAACCAGGCGGAGGCACCTGCAGATAAGAAAACGTCGCGAAGCAAGAGCGGCACCCCTGTGGATAAAGATAATGTAAAAAAGGACAAAGAAGCTTCGAGGCCAGAAACAGAGACAGGCAAAGGTTTCAACACCAACACTAGTAACTCCATGAGCTCCTTGTCCGATGTGTCGACAGTCGATCCTCACAAGGAGAATGACTCATTAGTCGAGACAACAACCGTAGGCGAAGAATCACTGAAATCTGACGATAGACAGGGACCATCCGAGACTCCAAAGCGACCTTACGAACAGGGAGATCAAAGCAGAGGTGTAAATGGCGCATCTGCTTCACTCAACGCAGAAAACATTCCTCCGCAGGAAATTCACAACAATCTCAAGAGGCAAAAGATCATGAAGACAGATTATCGGCAGGTATCGGCTGTTGGTCAGAATTCCCGGAAGCGTCGCGTCGTTGATCAACTCTTGACCAAAACTCAAAAAAATTCTGATCTTTATGATCCTTCCAATATTAATTCCAAAGGTTCAGTTTATTTGGTGATGAATAATAATATACCATTGAAATTGCCACAGGCAATCCCGCTGGCAGAGCTGAAGTACGTTGCCCAGACGCTACCATTAGTCAAACTTATGCCAACGGCACATAAAGCCCTTACTACAGAGATTATGAATGCTGCATTAAATGAGGGGCGCATTGCAGTTGTCAGCTCGCGAATAGAGGAACTCCGAAGAGTAGGCTTGTGGTCTTTGAGGCAGCCGAGGAAATTCATAGATCCATGGGGACCTACTAAACCGAACCCTACCCATTGGCAAAGTCTTCTTACGGAGGCTAAATGGATGCAATGTGATTTTTATGAGGGCAAGAAGTACAAGATGGCAACGTGTGCGATCATAGCACAAGCTGTGATGGACTACTGGAATTACGGCAAAGCATGTTGTGTGGAAAGAAGAATACCCGGTACACATATTTCGGACTCGGATGCCCATAATTCTCAAAGAGATAAAGAGATGTCCACTCCTGGAGAAAAGAGTCCCTTCAAAGAGCTTGAACCGGAAGAGGAGTGCCAAACCATTGACACAGGTCTTTTGGTCAACGGTGCGCGAAAATTTGGTGAGGACATGCAGCCTTCAGACACTGTTCAAAACGAAGGTTCGAAGAACTTCAAGCTGCCATCTCCTTTCAACACGCAAATCTCATTAGAGTGGCTCAACTCACTTGAAAAGAAAATGTTTGAACATCTACCGATATACGCTGGCATTGATAAGTCAACGATTTGGTCCGATTCCTTCGACAATCTACCTTTCGAACCGGTTTCGAAGGCAACCGTGACGCTAGACGACGATCACTTTATGAAGATTGTAGAACGACAGATTGTAGACGATGAGCCATCTATCACACCTTTTAGCAAGAGACGAGGAATGTTTTACGGCAACAGAAGAAGTCATTATCTGAGACCACCGAAAGCCCCATCTTTGAGGTATCTGAGATACCGAACGCCAACCATTTGGTTACCAGAAGATGATAGTGATCTAGTAAAGAATATCAACACGTTTGCATACAATTGGGAACTCATAAGTGCCCATCTCTCTCCACGACCCAATAAGACTTATGCTTCTAATATTGAGCGAAGAACACCGTGGCAGTGCTTTGAAAGATTTATTCAGCTAAACGAGAAATTTCAATTCACCGACATGAAGGGTCCAAGAGCTCATGCGGCACAACTCTGGCTGATCGAAGCGCACAAGCTACAACAGCAGCAAAAACGTCGTATTTCACCGCTTGGTGTGGGAGAGGAATCCATACAACGAGGCCATCGTAGGCTTCGCTGGGCGAGCATGTTTGAGGCAATGAGAAAGTGCATGAAGAAAAGAGAAAACGCGCCAAAACCCAATCCATCTCAACCTAGAAAACCGCTAGATTGTAAAAACACTACGGTTCCAACGCCAGCAGAGATGTCCCAACTCAAAGCTCAGCGTGACGAGGCGTTACGCAGAGACATGCAAATGCGCCGTTTAGCAAAGCACAAGCTTCAAGCAGCCGCGTTGTTGCAGCAGCAACAGCTTTCTAAACGTAATTTGTCGAAGTTTTCGGGACAGAATTCGAATTCTACAGGACAGCGTTTCAGCCAACCTCAATCACCTTCAAATTCATTAGGATCAGCAGGAATTGGCAATACTAAGATTACTGCACAGGCGCTTCCTAAGCAGAGGCCGAGAACTTCAGGCGAAAGGGAAATTATTGAGAATTACGTTAAAAAAATCCTTCTTCAAAAACCCGATCTAACGCCTGAGCTCGCATTGAGAGCCGCTGAAAGCTACTATCGTAGTATAAGCTCTAAACAGCAAATCAAGGATGAACCTGGCACATCGAGCACTCATCCAAGCTCTCCTGGTGATGCAGAAGGTGCCATTTCAAACTTACGCCCAGAAGCGAAAGACGTACAGCAGGCGACTCGAAAGCTTGTGTCACCCACGCCACAGGAAATTTTACAAAAGTTACAACATGGAAAGTAACCCCACGAGGACATTTTAATGACATTTATATATAATCAGCGACTTAAGTACTGACCAGAGACTTGCCAGGATTACCATCAGTCAGACAAGAACAACTAATCTAGATTTTGGGAAAGACGAAAACGGACGACTCCTCTGTAGAGGACGTGCCAAAACTGTAACTGACTTTCCACTTAACCTTTAGAGGCTTGTCCGAGGTAGAGTTGGAGGTATCAATCCATCCAGTCTGTCTTACTCCGTCGATAGCACCAACGGAGAGGGTGCTTCCGGATTGCGGTTCCAATCTCAAAGTCATGGTCCGAGGAGCGGCAAGCATGAAAGTTAGGTTGCTTATAGGTGCGTTACCAATATTGCTGAAAATGGAGGTGACTCGGATGCTTGTGCTTGACTGCCTTGTAATTTCAAACTCGATTTTCAAGTTATTTGACGCTGAAACCTCAATGCGCTTTATGCCGTCGGTTGTTTGATTCTCAGGTTTTTTGGATGAAAAGTTTCCGAGTAAGTCGTTCTGGGCGTTGTATGACTGCGTTTGAGAAGGCTTAAGATCGGAAAATTCAGCAAGTAGGTCTAGATTACCAGAACTTGAAGTGTTCGAAGTGACAGGAGCAGGGCTAACAGAGGAAGTAGCCATGCTAGGACCTAAGCTGATGCTTCCGCCTAAGCCGAAACTTGGAGCTGGCTGACTGAAACTGAGGTCATTCAGGTCACCCAACAAGTCATCCATGGTGTTAGACGTACCAGCAATAGGTGCTGGCGAAGGACTGGACTGCGGTTCGTCGCCAAAATCGATCAAATTTAGCTCGTCGGCCAAAGTACCACTGGTTGCACCAGGCGAGGAAACGGATGAAACATGCAACTCGGCAGCCTGACCGCTCTGGCCCGTCTTGAGTAGCGTATACTTCTGAATCAACTGGTTCACAGTGTCATTAAACGAAAGAAGTTCTTGAACAAGACCATCGTCGTCCTGGTCCTCTTCGATAATCTTTTGAAATTTGGGTTGGGAGGATTTGAGGGCACTGTATAGTTCGATTAAAGTGTCATTGTTGAGATCTGGGGATTCAGAGGTACTGAGCATGTCATTGAATAGATCCGCTTTACGTTTGAGTTTGGTGAGTTCGTCTCTGAGAAGCTGTTTGGATTGCAATGCGTTGTCGGCCTTAAAACCAGCCATGACTTTCATCAGCTTGTTCGCCTCCTTCAAGTCTTCGGGCTTGCCCCTACGGATCAATTCGTCAAGCTTAGCGGCTTGTACGATTTCTTGCTCTTTTTGAATTTCGCTGGGCGTTTTGAGATGGTCTGTCGGACGCAACACAGACAAATCTTCTTCGCGTATCTTGGGAAAAACGTAGCCCTTGTATTTGAGCAATCGATGCATGTCTCGAACATAGCCCAAATCTTCTTTATAGGCGGCATGCTTACAGATCGTTTGGTACCATTCTTCGATCGCAGTCAAAATCAAACGCTGTACTTTCGAAAACCGAACGGGCGGCCTCTCTGGAAACCGCTTGACAAGCTCATTCAAAAACTCTTTACGCGATATTTGCAAGTGAAATGGGTACCCACAATTTTTCACCAAAACGTCCATCAAAGCCAGTGCAAACACCGCCGTGTGTGTGTCCCGGCTGTTTACAAGCTTCACAATCGCAATAGCTGCTTCACGTGGTGCGGCACCTTGTTTGGCATTCACGAAATCTGCAACATCCAAGTTCAATGCCAGATCCGGTTCTTGCAACGACAACCGGCACGCCCGTTGTATCTTCCGGACGAGGGGATTTGACCCGTATTGGGGTCTTCTTACGGGTGCATCTGCCAAATATATTCCTTGCGACATCTCAATGGCTAACCCTAAGTAATCGTCCTTTTATAGCTGTCCTTTTCTAAGATCAAGTGGGTCTAATTGCCCATTTCCTGATAATCAAAGGCCCCTTTTAGCTGATAATGAACTTCGAGCTTTGAGAAATCCGTGAAAAACGATGTAAAATACCATTAAATTACGTTAACCGTGATGATGTAAGAGTCACGTGCTGTGAAATTTATCGTACAAATGGATTTATTCTTATGCGAATAACATGCCCACCAAACTCTTGACTGTCGCCAAGAGCCACGTTTATGACGACAAGCTGGCATGGTTGAGATCGCGTGGTAGTCGTTTATATCGAGCTAGCGCGAAAGCGCTCATATGCACCAACAGGTATCTGTTTTGATCGCGGGTTTTACCGAGGTCACGTGGCCCTTGCGACAGTTTCGAACCGTAGAGAGCCGAAACCATGTCGAGTGGATTAACACGAGGGCAGGTTACATTGGGTGATGATTGTGTATAAGAATAGATATACCGTTGGGTTGAGGAGCTTTGCAAGGTCCTTTTGAGAGTTTTGAGCGCTCTGTATTAATTTGTCTAACATTCAACAAAATTTGGTCAGTCTGGATAAAATCCCGTATATCACTCGAAGGCTGGGCTTGCGTTACATCCGCTACCGGAAGTCTCAAGGTAAAACGGCTTTTTTCAACAGGTTGAAGTTGAGAGCATAAAGGAAGTAAATGGAAATTTGTTGTGAGGAGATAGCGAGATAGGATATCGTCAAGTTGTAGTATCACGTGATCGCGACGACAGATTCAAATAAGGCGGAACTGAATAGACAGTTTATGATTAAGATGAAGTCACAGGACCCGAATGATTCCGGTGGTGATCAAAGTTGTTGGAAGGAGCTGGCGAGAAGATGATATCGTTCAATTGCATTATCACGTGATCGATATGACAGAATAAAATTAGAGGATTGGACAGACGGTTGGCATTCCGCGAAAGAGCTGGAAGCTAAAACAGGTCCATTGACAGTTCTAGAGTCTTCAGAACATTGTGATCAGATCATGTGTGGTACGATAAATGACGTATGATGAGAATTAACCGTCTGGTATGAAGAAAGTAACGGATTCCAAATTGGGAACAATATTACAGAAATTGTATAAAAGGAGCTGATATGACCAAGATCATAGTGGTCATGGTCGTAAAATAGCCACGGAGAGATATAAGTACTCAATTCCTTACCAGCTTTATTATTTATATCAATTATGAATGAATGAACAGTTCAGAATTCTATCAACCACCGACAAGGAAAAGCCTCAACAAAAGTGTCGTCAAACCCCTTCATCACATCAAGAGTGATCTAATGGGTGACGAAATGATGACTCACCGCCACCTCAATGAAATTTCTCCTGAGGACCCAGCGACGAAAGTGTGTTTTGAGCCTTCGATGACGTAGGCTGATGTTTTTTTAGTAATGATGCAAAAAGATCCCAGCCTGTGGGTTCGTTATTGATAGCTGCTGACGATACCTTCTTTACAACGTTTTGTAAACTCACATAAAGCGATTTGACAATTTCCTTCGCAGAATTCGCAGTCCAACACGTTGACGAAAAAAGCTCGAAAATGATCTGAGCGCGCGAAAGCGAAGCTAATGCCTTTTGAGCTTCAGGGGTGGAAGAATTCGAATAGATGAAGGAGATGATCGCCATTGAGGCATTCCAAAGAGGCTGCACGATTTCTGACCAGCCGTATAGCACATCACAGCTCGAACAAACGGAGAAGACCAAGTCAACAATCGCGGACGCGTGACAGAGAGCGCTCTTGATGTGCAGCACTACGTTTGGCTGTTGCGAGTCTTGCAAAATTTCTGGACTGCAGCCAATTCTCGCTTGGGCATAGCGGAGGCGGATAAAGGGCCTCTGTATTAGTGTGTAAGCGTTATGGTAGTGAAGCTCTAAAAGCACCGCTTTCCGTGCCAATGAAGTGGGTAAAGCTAGAAAGCCTCGAATGTCACGCAACTCGGGTTCAGTTATGTCACCATCAGATCGATTAATTGATGGCTTGAAAGGTAGCCCATTATGCCAGATTTCTAGTTTGTCAAAAGCAGATGAAAGGCTCAAAGCATGTTCTTCAAGAGCCGTTCGACTGCTGCAGTCGCCATCCACAAGATCTGTGGTCGATACGCATGCACTAATGTCAGCCACAATGGTAGCGAGATTGACGAAAAGGATTGAGTATGTGTGAGTCTCTTCGGTCTTATCGTTCGGCGTGGGAGAAGAAAGATATCGGGTCAAAGCATCTTGAGTCGTGAGAGGGCATTTTATTAGCCCTTTTTGGCTGGCCGTGGGCATGTCCAGTTGTAAGGAGCATGTGAGGTCTAGCGAAAAGATGCTCCACCACAGTTGCATGCGAGCGGTTTTTTCGCAATCGGATAAGTGATGTGGTGGCGTTCGGTGAAGTTTGGCACTATAGGCCTTGCGAACAGTGACCCCAAGTAGATTGTAAGCATCTTTAAAAGCACAGGCCTTCATGAGGTAAAGGACCAAGAAAATGTGGCACCGTAACACCTCCAGCGTCACATCTGAGCTCGTCCGCATGCACTCGCGACAGCGGTAAAAATGTTCAAAGCCGGGCCAAGTGGCTGCTGCTGAAGCGGTGTCACTGTAAGACTGTCGGAAAAGCGGCTGCTGAAGTCCTAGTATGCGGCTGGAAAGTCCCGTGGTATGGCTGTGTTGCATTGCAAGAGCAATCATCGAGTCAACTAAAGCGTTGGTGGTCGAATACTCATCTGTACTGGTCGATAGCGGCACAGTGCCAAGCGCTGCAAACTCCGTGCTGCTCAGGACCTGCACGAGTGGATGAATAACGTCCCAGAAAAGTTGCAAATAGTGCTTTCGCTGATCGGAAGACAGATAACTCGAATACTGATTGCGTTCTAGCGCGGGGATAGTGGGGTATGGGGGTTGCGGAAAAAGGCCGCCAGTTAAAGCAGAGGGATGCGAAAAGGCCAATTCTCCACTCGCGAAAAAACCATGCACACGAGCTCCTATGTCGAGAATATCTTTATAAGCGTCATCCAGTGAAGTTGTAGGCATCCAAGCATCGTCCTGGGTATTCATTGTTTGAGAGGAAGAGCCGGTTATGTGCTGGTCGGATTGTGAGACCGGGTCCATGGGGGCTCTCGGAGATATTGCCGACAACAGTTCGCCGATCTCGTCGACTTCACCTACTTTGCCGATCTCCCCAGCTTTATGAGCATCGCCTATTTTACCAGTATCACGGGCTTCGCGAGTTTCGCCCCTCGCGAGCCCCAAGCCCTTGTGTTGGGTCTGGGAGCCAGAAACTTTGTGCGAGACGATGCATTCCAAGTTGCTTGCGACGCACCGTGTACAGGGCTTTTGTTCGTCACACTTGATTCGAAGAAAGCGACAGCGATCGCAGGCTCTACTGATTTTATGACGCTTGGTCATAGGAAGAATTGTGTGTTTGATGGCCAGATCGGCGTCCCTTTTGTCGTTGTTCTTTTTGCTAGCGCGATCATTCCTCACACCGGTCAGTTGACGCCGCTTCGCCGGCGGCGCAGCAGAAAATCGGTGGAACATAGACTTCCAAAATCTTTCGAATGGATAATTTAGGTTTCTATGCTCAATTGATTGTATAGTTGCTCATTCATGTTCGTCGAGTTGTCAGTGATGACGAACCTTATATTACTAAAGTTTGATCCATTCGAAAACTGGAGTTCTTGGCGTATCACTTTGTACTAATACGTCGTAGATCTATCGAAACCAGTAGCGCGTAATACTGAAGTGTATTCGGGGGCTCATAAGTGAGATTTCTATTGAGGTCGACCAACTTTGGTAGCTATCTTTGAATTTGGTCTTATGGCCTTGTACAGCTTGTGTGATATTACTTTCATTTATCGTTCCGTGATGAGAAGTTGACAATTCTAGTCCTCGATTCCACCACACTCGGATGGGTTTTTCAGGTATAATTATCATTCACTGGCTATGACTGGGGTTGTGTGTACTCCAATCGTTTTCTGGGTCCAATCCTGTCATCGTTTTAATCTATCAATGTGATCACATGATATTAACAATAGTGCTACCTATTAGTATCATCTATGGTTTAATTCCCTCTTTCGAATACAATTAAGAAAAGCTATGAGCAGACAAAGTAACTGTAAAGTAACCAAGTCAAATGTAAACCAACACCTGCTCAGGCCTTCCTCATTACTTTCCACCTGGTGTGGTTATTTATGTGGGATTGACTCGCGTGATGGCCCCCAGACCCTGCCGAGTTTTATACTCATATCGCTCCGGGGAGAGCAGTTCTTCGCTTTGTTTTGGCAATAAATATGGCTACAATATAAGTGAGAGCAAGCTATTATATGCAGCACAAATCATAGGTTATTGACCCCCTCGGCCAATTCGAGTTCAAGTCGTTGCCCGTACGGCCTCTACATCACTCTGTACCATTCTGTCATCCGCCTTGACACAGTGTCTCAAATACAAATATGATAGCCCATCTTCTTAATGGCTCTACAAACTGGCTAATAAAAGTCTGCAATAGCACCTTTGCATCTACATTGTCGCGCCAAACACCTGCAATCTCTGCTCCAGGGGAAGTTTCTGAACTTTTTCACCTACCACACTACCCTCTTTAGGTACTCCAAACACCATTTGCGCCTTCAATTGCCAGTGCTCTGGAACGTTCCAAGTGCGGCGCACGTCGTGGTCGATGAGCGGGTTGTAGTGTTGCAAATTGACTCCAAGCCCCAATGCGTCTAGCCCGGTCCACAAGTAGTACTGATGCATCCCACTGGTCTGGTGCACCCATTCTTCGGTCTTGTCTTTGTACATGTCAGGAGCAAAACCTTGCATTTCCGCCGCCGCCGTCACGTCGTCCCAGAACAAAATGGTACCGTAAGCATTCGCATACGCAGCGATCCGATCCTTCGAGACCGTACTCCAGCTTTCTTCGCCAATTTTCGCCAGCAACGCGTCTCCCGTAATGGACCACAATTTCCTGTGGTCATCACCAAACAAAACTGTCAATCTCGTAGACTGATTGTTAAACGCCGACGGAACTGTTAGAAGTGCCGTTTCTGCGAGTTTCACCACGATACTATCCGGGACCGTAGTCTTGGGCTCTAATGCTCGCATTGTACGACGATTTTGCGTCGCTTCACTAAACCCTATGGTTACAATTGGAGCAGGTGTCTTGTAAGTAGTCATTGTACGGGAAATGCGCAGTTGGTGTTTCTGTATTTTGTTAATAGCACAGAGCATGTCCAGTAGAATTGAACACCAGGCCCAAGTCCCCAGGTGCCTTCTTAAATAGTCTTTGAATCGTGACGGCCTCGAGAATCGCTGAAAAATTACTCAGCGCAGCACCAAACATTTTGAGAAATCGTCATCTCAAATCCTTCCAGTCATTGACTTCCATTGGCCCCCGCTGGTGGGCCCTCCAGCACTGACTTCGACATGGCCATCAATTTGTCAATTGTCGTGAGAATCACTTACCGTATATGGTGTTCCGGAACCCAGGCCAGGAATTACCACCTTAGGAATTACCACGTTAGGAATCACGAACAAGTTCCGAGCACACAGCTAACAGACAAATAGACAGACAGAACTACTGCATGCAGTAAACAGTAGAGCAAGTAGTGCGTCGAAGGGTCTTGTCAGTAGGATTAGAAAGACTGAATGCCGGGCCTCCCGGTAAATTTTGCGTTTGTAACCATCGAGAAAATGTGCAATTCCAGTAAATGGCCAGCGCAGCAAGCGAAAGGTTTAAAAAGGCGAAGTCAGAACAATCCGTTCTTGAAGTAGAATCTCGCATTGGCTGCCAATCCAAATGTCGCAAGAGCCGCTTTTCTTCGACAAAACCGGTCATCTTGAATTTGGGCCCGACGATGTCGATAACCCAAAGAACTACTCGCTCAAGCGTAAATGCTATGTCACGGGCATAGCAATTTTGCTGGTAATGAACGCGACGTTTGCATCAAGTGCACCGTCGGGTTCGTTCCAAAGCGTCAGCGAAGACCTAAAGGTCTCCGCCGAAGCGGCAGGTCTCGTGACAACGCTGTTTCTGGTGGGTTACTGTGCCGGACCGCTGTTTTGGGCGCCGTTGTCCGAGTTTTACGGACGCCGTAACATTTTCTGGATCTCGTTCGCACTTTACCTTGCGTTTGGGTTCCTGTGTGCGTTTGCGCCCAATTTCGGAGCACTGCTCGCGGGCCGTTTCCTGACAGGCGCGGCGGCCAGTGCTGCGCTGACGAATGCACCGGGAATTTTAGCAGACGTGTGGGGTGCGGTGGGTCGCGGTAATGCAATGGTTTTGTTTGCCACGATGACCTTTGTAGGGCCAGCGTTGGGACCCGTGGTCAGCGGCTTTTTGCAAGTGACCAAAAACTGGCGCTGGACCTTCTATGTCTTGTTGTGGATGGCTGGCTTGACTCAATTGCTGCTCCTGACGCTACCAGAGACTTTGCCGGCAATGGCTCTGCGGAACAAAGCCCGCCGTGTGCGTCGCACTACTGAGAACGACAGCGTTAGGGCGCCCGTTGAGGACTCGGATCGTTCGCTCGGTGGTGTCTTCAAAATCGCTTTGACAAGGCCCTGGAAACTCCTGGTAGACCCAATTAGCTTCCTAGTTTCCATCTACTATGCCCTCGTGTACACGCTGCTTTACATGCTCTTCAGCATCTACCCGATCGTGTTCCAGCAGAAACGTCAATGGAACGCTGGCATCGGAGAGTTGCCATTGATCGGCACGGTTGTAGGTGCATGCATTGGTGGACTACTGCTGTTCGTTAACACGCAAATACGGCAACGGAGATTCGCACATGGAAGAACACCGGTGCCCGAAGACCGACTACCCGGGGCAATGGTTGGCGCGGTCATGTTTGCGGTAACGATATTCTGGTTCGCTTGGACAGCAGAGTACGATTCCATCCCTTGGGCAGTGCCCACAGTTGCGGGCACGTTTCTGGCAACTTCAATTCTGCTCATCTTTGTCACTTTCATCAACTACATCATCGACACCTATCTGATGTACGCGGCGTCGGCCGTCGCAGCTAACACAGTGCTGAGATCTGCTTGTGCGGCGTCATCGCCGCTGTTTACCCAGTATATGTTCGACGCAATGGGTGTCGGCGGTGCTGGCTCACTCATTGGCGGTCTGGGAGTGCTTCTGATGCCCATGCCGTTCGTATTCTATAAGTATGGCGCCTTGATTCGGGCAAAATCCAAGTTTGCATCCACAGAAGAGACTCGTAATCCGCCTGCCGACGAGGAAAGCTTACCAAAAAGCCTAACGATGAATTCGGTTTCAAACACCAATAATGAACCCCTCGATGAACGGAATTAGACCAGTGAAGATTCGATGGACCTCTCAATGGCCTGCTATGCGATTTATACGGCTAAAAAGGCCCGGAAAACGGCAGCACACACTATTTACCGAAACAGAGTATCGCCAGCAAGCGGTCATGACTCATAAAATAAATAAAAGAGGGATCAGGAGGCTATAAGTAGTCTCTGACCTAGCCGTGTCTCCTCGATCAGCTTGCTGTTTTAATATCGATTGTCACTTGACACGGTTTCCCGTTTCATCGTAACGTCTATCTATATAAGGACACCTCTATTAAACTCAGTCTCTCCGTTAAAAACCTAGATGGAGCATGGAACCGGGCAGAGAGCGCAATGGAAAGGCCAATGAAACGTCCAATGAAGCATTAGATCGTGCACCAGAGACTGAGGTTGATTCCAATGGGATTACCGCACAGGAAACCGAGGAACAGGGCCCACAAGACCCGTTTGGAATTGACCGTTTGAGCGTCCATTATGACTACCTATTGTACCGAATTCAGGACTATGTGTCGTCAATACACCTGCAAACAACCAACGTTTGTCGTCGCCAAAACGAGCTTGTTGAGCAGGGCATAATTGGCGAAGTAATTGACGGAAACATCGAACAAATGCAGAAAGTGCTGCGACAATGCGAAGAATTGGAAAATGAGTTCGATAAGCTCGATCAGATCGATCAGATCGTCCAAAGTTTCCATGACCGAATCAAAGATGTTGCGGATTCATACCGGCAGCTGGCGCGCGGTAAGTGACGTGGACAAGATCACCAGGTTACTTTGTCTTGATCAAGAACGATTTTCCGCTGCAAATAACCGAGCCGCTGCGCGTCCTGACGGGACCTCGTAGCAACGCGTCTGAGACGCACGCACGCTAGCACAAACAGAGCCACGGTCTTGAACCGAGGGGCCCTTGTCCAGCGACCGACGTTTGGACCCGGCTCGCCCAACAATGCAGAATTGGGCATCTCGCTTTCGAGCTTGAGAATGTCGAGCCGCAAGTGCTGCGAGCTGGCTTTCAGCACTCGATTCAAGTACTCGTTCACGACCTTGAGATCGTTGGTGTGCTTCACCTCACGTCTGTACCGCAGCATATAGTAGTCGAGCTGATCCTGCAGCGACAAACTGTCCGAACCGAGTCTATTCGCACGCGAAGATACACTTCTCTCTTGTAAGAATTTTTTCTCAAGTTTGAGGTTCTCGTCTTGCATTGACTTCAACTCTGCCAGCAGTTTCTTCTTCATGCTTTGGTATTTTTCTAGCCAACGTGCGTCGCGCGTCTCATTGAAAGAGCCAGGGTCTCGTCCTGACTCCTCAGTGGCCTGCCGCAAGTTTACAAACTCTTTCGTAATGTAATCTAGTCTGGTGTTTGCGGCTTTCCATTTTTCTTTGTACTCGTTTTCAGAGTTTCTCGTATGGCTCAATTCCCGACTTAGTTGCAGTCTCTGAGTCGTGAGATCGCTGCAACGTTTTACCAGGTCAGAAAGCTCTCTATCCTTCTCTGCTATCAATTTTTGGAAGTGTTCTGCGTGATGATCGTCTTGATTCAAGAGTCCATGATTTTCCTTTCTCAATGCTGCGTATTTGGTCTCCAGAATTTCCAGTTCTCTAGCCTTCGTCTCCTTGACAGAGTCGAGTTCGAATTTGAGAATTTCGAGTTCTTTCTGGAGTCTTCTGTTGATAAGATCAGGCTCAGATTGCGCATCCTGTATCTGCAAGCGTAAACGGTCGAGTTCTTTTTGGTGCGCCAATCGCAACTCGTGAAGAGTCTCTTTGTTTGCAGCAAGAGTATGCTTCAAATCCTGGAGTTGACCCTGCAGTTCAGAAAGTTGCTCTTCCTTTTCAAGTAAAGCCCTATTGTTCCGCTTCAACTGCGGCGATTTCGCAGCTTGCTCTACAATTCTTGTCTTTAGTTTTTCGTTTTCCTGCTGTAGAGAAGTGCATTTCTCTGTCAGCTTGCGCGCTTGTACTTCGAGAGCGCCATAGGCTTGTTTCTCGCGCTTCGAAGTTTCTTCAGCGGTGTGTTGCGAATCTCGCAACGGCTTTATTTCCTGTTCCAACGCCAGGATACGCTCCTGGCGAGTACGTAAAGCGCGTTCCAGATCCTCCTTAGTAGCTTTAAAATGCTTTGATTGGCTCTCGAGTCGTGTATTTGAGCGCTCGAGTTCGTCAAGCCGCAATTGAAGCTGCGCTCGTGGGGCATCTCCGGCTGTTGCTAGTTCTTTCAACCTCTGTTCAGTGTCACGCACATAACTGTCGTGCGCCACTCTTTGCGTCGCCAATTCTTGCTCCAGTTTCTGGCGTACGTGCGTCACTTCCTTTAGCTGAGTCTCCAAATTCGTAATTCCCTCGTTTTTCAGGTCCAGCTGTTTTTCAAGCGCCAGCAAAGAGCCACCTTGATGATCGAACTCCTGTAGATCGCTCTCAAGCCGATGGATCTTGGCCTTCGCTTCCTGGAGTTCTCGTTGCAGACGTGCAGTTTCCACGTCGTGGTCCCGCGTGATCGATTTTGCTAGTTCTGCCTGTGCATGTCTTTGCTCCTCACGGACCTGTGCGACTTTCTCAACCTCGGATATTTGCGACAAGAGCTCCGAGACACGCTGCTCGAGATGTTCACTCCGCTGTGTGAGTCGTGTGTTCTCTTGCCGTAGTTGGTCTGTGGAGTCTTTGGCGCCCGTAGCGCCTAAAGCACTATCTTTGCCCTCTTCACTGTCTATTTTCGCCTGCAAATCGCGGTAGCCCCGACTCAGCGATTGATACTTATTCTTCCACTCCTGCAGCTCGTCTAAGAGCTCCAAATTCTGTCGTAGCTCGCCCTCGTCCGTTACATTGTTCAGAAACTTCAAAAGGCTGTTGCACCGCACCCGCAGGTTATAGTTCTCTGTGTTCAGCCTGTATAGCGATTCCTCTTGTTCTTTCAACGGGTTTGAGCTGCTCGGCTCTGTGAGCTCCGGTGCTTTGCCCATACTGGACATCTTGCCGTTTTGCATTGGCAATTGCGACGGAATCGAGTCGTCGAACGACGACTCGTTAAACAGTCGCGTCGAGTTCAATGTATCGTCGTGACGGTCGTGATAATACCGTCTGCTCTTCTTTGCAGGTTCATCCTCATCTTCATCTTGCTCTTCCAGTATCAGATGCTCATTAGACCTGCGTTTTCTCCCGTCAACATTGTGCGCTGCCTTATCACCGGTTTCGTCTCCATTTCTCACGTATCCGATGGGCGTAAACTCGTAGCTTCTTCGGTCCTCACCCCCATTCACCCGTGGCGTACCGGGTACAGTAGCCATTACCGTCTCCCAGTGCAATAGAGCCCTCGTACTGTGGTGATCTCGGTATTGATCTTGATGTTATTCTTGTTGGCAGAAACGCGAAACTAAACTTTGTGAACGCGCTAAGAGCGGCTCTATAAAAAAGGTCACGTGACAAAACGTGACGAATATAGACGAGTTAACTACGTGAAGGAGGGCCACTGTACGCCAATGAGGTCCCGACTGGCTTAATATCACCTGTCTGTATGCCCAAAGCCCAAAGCCGCGCGGATTACCAGAGACTGTGTATCCTTTTGTCGAGTCCTTTTTGGTATCGGTTTGTTTCCGGCTGAGTCGCGCTCTACAATCGGTCGACGTCGGCGAGAAAGTGCTCTAGTGCCTCGCGTGCTTCTCCGGAGTGGATAGACTGCTCTGCCGCGACGACACCCGCGGGCCAGTCCTGGTTGCCCTGGACAAGACAATACAAGGTCGCGGTGTTGAGCAGCACGTAATCATAGATCGGGTCCTGGCCCTTGCGATAAGCTCCTCCAAGGATCTTGCGTAGAACGACGGCATTCTGTTCCGGCCCCAGCGAGGCACAGTCTGCCAGAGTGTGTTCGCGCAACCCAAACAGCTCCGGCGTAACGTCGAATGTCTTGGGCTCGGCACAGCCCGGCACCGTGTGCCAGACAGTTGTGACACCCGTTGGCGACACTTCGTCGAGTCCGACGTGGCCCCACACGACGTAGGTTTCGCTGTCTGGGTACATGATCGCTGCGGCGCGAGCGTATTCGGGGCCCAGGTCGCGCGAAAACACGCCCAAAACCCGCTTGTGCACCGTGGGAACCGGGTGCAGCAATGGGCCCAGCACGTTGAAGATAGTGGGCATTTTCAGAAGCTTGCGCATCAGCGCAACGTGTTTCATGCCGTTATGGAAGTAAGGAGCGAGCAAAAATAAGAAAGAATTGCGCGCCCACAGATGTGGTACGGTGCGAGCCGTGACTTTCGAGGGATCGCAGCCCAGTACCGCGATCAAGTCACCAGCACCGCTGTTCGACGTTGAAGCCCGGCCACCGTGTTTGCAAACTTTGACCCCTGGGATCCCGGCGGCGACGATTGCAGACGAAGTCGACACGTTGAACGTGTTCTGTCCGTCTCCACCGGTACCGACTATGTCGATTGTCACTTCGTTGTCGCTGACGTTTGTCGCGTCGTTCGCGACCACATCAGAGTGTTTCAGTACGGCCTTTGCCGCTGCTGCGATGTACTCGGCCTTATGGTCCAATTTAGTAGCCCGGAGCGCTGCCAAAAAGCCAGCTATTGGCACGTAAACCGCTACATTCGGTTCTGACTCGTTGGCCAGATGTTCGATAATTATGCCGATTGCATCGCCCAAATCGGCTGGCGTCAGCGCAGGGGGCGTTGCGACCACTTTCCTGATGTACGGTTCCAGTTCTGACATCGCCAGAAATGTCTAAATGGGCCTTTGAAACGCAATTCTATCTTCTTTCTAGTGTTTGAGAACTTGGTAGATTCGAGTAGTCGAATTTTTCACTATGGTGAGAAACATCACCATGGCGTAGTTCAGGTGAGAAAACATAGGAGCCCTGATAAAAGCAACTCAAAATTGAATCAAACCGCGAGGATCACGCCACAGAGGCAGTTGGATTCCCTAAGAGCCTATTTCCAGTCGGTTTTGGCGCTACAAGTTGATTATAAAAAAGAAGTCACGTGATCATCGTCTCATAATCTCAATTGCTCACTGAAACCGGTGATGTTTGGTATCGAACGGTGCCCCCTGAACCAGCAATCCAATTTGCTGGGCCACAGAGCCCTCTAGTGGCTTTGGGGACATTCTTTCTTCAGGACATACCCCTAAAATCAGGAACATTTGTTACTGGTCCAAACTCGATCCAAAATGACGTTAAAAGTCCCGTTGCTTCGAGGTTCCGGAACCAATTTTTACCGCCAATCCATGCGTACCATTCTCATTACTCAATTCTGCCTTCTTTCCATCTGTTTCTTGCCGAACCGCTCATACTTTCTGTATATTAAACACGTAAGCCTTGAAACGCGAAAAATTTTGAAAACCCAGATTTTTATATAGTGTTCTCACTCGAAACACCACCGAAACACCACCGAAACACCATACGCTAACAGCGGCAAAGGACGTGACAATGACCAGTGACAAGGCGCCTGTAGGAATTTCCAACCTGCCTAACCAGCGGTACAAGATAGTGTCCGAGAATGGAGGCGTTTTCACGCTAATGGTGTGCGGTGAATCAGGAGTTGGTAAGACGACATTCGTAAACACGCTGTTTCAAACGACGTTGAAACACGCAGATTCGCAACAAAGACGCCACCTAGGGATCAAGCGGACGGTGGAGATCGACGTTCTGCGTGCTCAACTTGAAGAGAAGAACTTTTCGCTGCGTGTGAACGTGATCGATACACCTGGGTTCGGTGACAACGTGAACAACAACAAATCGTGGCAGACTATTGTAGATTTCATTGATGACCAACACGACTCGTACATGCGTCAGGAGCAACAACCGTACCGTGATGTGAAATTTGATCTAAGGGTTCACGCCGTTTTGTATTTCATTCGTCCCACAGGTCACGGGCTCAAACCTCTCGATATTGAAACCATGAAACGAATTTCGACGCGTGCGAACTTGATCCCTGTAATTGCCAAGTCCGACACTTTGACGCAGAAGGAACTTCACGATTTTAAAATCCGCATCCGCCAAGTCATTGAGGCACAAGAAATCCGCATTTTCACGCCGCCCTTGGACGATTCCGACGCGTCAGACCCAGCGGTCAAGGAACACGCACGTCAGCTGATTGAGGCCATGCCATTTGCCATTATTGGATCGGAGAAAAAATTTGACAACGGACAAGGCCAATTGGTGGCTGCGAGAAAATATCCATGGGGTATTGTCGAAGTCGAAAACGACGCGCACTGCGATTTCCGTAAGCTCAGAAGCTTGCTTTTGAGAACCAATTTGTTGGACTTAATTTTGTCTACACAAGAATCTCACTTTGAAACTTATCGCAGACTGCGTTTGGACGGATCTGGGTCTCCAGAAGACCCTTCGCTACCTGCCAGAGCGCCTGCTAGAAAACTGTCACATAACCCAAGGTTCAAGGAGGAAGAAAACGCTTTGAAGAAGTACTTTACGGACCAAGTGAAGGCGGAGGAACAGAGATTCAGACAATGGGAACAGAATATCGTCAACGAGCGCACAAGGTTGAACGGGGACCTCGAGGAGGTGCAGGCCAAGGTAAAACGGCTCGAAGAGGAAGTGAGGGCGCTTCAGGCCAGAAAGCGCTGATACAATCAGTGGTCAAACACATATATCTACAGATAACGTTAAATTCGTATAGTGCAATTATTCGCAATTCTATCTCAAACCCAGCTCATTGTCTGGCATTCATGTCGTATAACCTTTATACTAGTAACTATTTATCGTTCGGCGTCTGTCGCCTCTATTCCAATTCGGACAAGTATCTTTCCGCGTCCAAAGCGGCCATACATCCGGAACCGGCAGAGGTAACAGCCTGTCTGTACTTGGAGTCTTGCACGTCACCTGCAGCGAACACACCTGGCACAGAGGTCTCCGAAGTGCCTGGAACGGTCTTGACGTAACCGGTCTCGAACAAATCGACTTGGCCGTCAACGATCTTGGTGGCAGGAGTGTGACCGATGGCGTAGAAAAGCCCGTTCACGGGCAAATCGGACTCCTCGTTGGTCTTGACGTTCTTAATTCTGAGGGCGTTCAAGAACTTGCCGTCACCCTTAGCCTCAAGCGCGACTGTGTTGTACAAAATCTCAATTTTGTCATTCTTCTCAGCACGCCTTTGCATGATAGTGGACGCACGCAAATGGTCCTTTCTGACCAACATGAAAACTTTGGACCCGTATTTGGTCAAGAAATTGGCCTCTTCACACGCAGAGTCACCCCCTCCAATCACAGCAAGAGGTTTGTTACGGAAAATTGGCACGGCACCGTCACACACGGCACAAGCAGAGATACCTTGTTGCCAGTATTTGTCCTCACCTGGAAGGTTCATTCTCTTAGCAGACGCACCGGTGGCCAAAATAAGTGCATCCGTAGTGTTAGGTTCAGCATCTTCGTTGAATTCAGTCCAGAATTTGAACGGTTTCGAGGACAAGTCGACTTTCGAGATAGTCTCCGTGATAACCTCGGTGCCGAATCTCAACGACTGCTGTTTCATTTTGTCCATAAGCTCGCTACCTGTAAGACCCTCGGGGAACCCAGGAAAGTTCTCAATCTCCGTCGTCGTCGTCAACTGACCTCCAGCAGCGACCCCGTTGGCAAACATACCTTCATACAGGAAGGGTTTAATTTCGGCTCTCGCCAGGTAAATCGCCGCAGTGTGGGCAGCTGGACCGGACCCAACAATAGTAACTTTGTGATGAACCATTCTGACTCCTATTCTTCTCGTAAACCAAATCGGTAGTCCCATAGAACTAGACCCTTCCCTTCCTCTTCTTGGTTTTCATATCTCGAGCCTTTTATAGTTGTCCAAGCGGTCGAAAAAAAATTTACTACTGACAAATCATTGTAAGAAATCTGGGCCCTGCTGACAGAAATCACTAACTGTTAAAAGGCCAGAACCTTATACCAACAGTTTTCTTGCTTGTAAGACACATACCACGGCGGCTAGCCCCGGGCAGATACTTCTGGGTTACTCATTTTTCCAAAAACTCTCGTACACAGCCAATAGCTTTGGATAGTAAAGTGTCGTTCAACAACACCTGGTTGAGGAACAGGTCGAGACCTGCTCTGCGACGAGCAAGCCATTTGTTGTTGAGATTCACGTTATCGTATTGCCAGGACTCGAGCCAGCTGACTTTTGGAGGCAGATCTGGGACGTTGGCGCGTAATGACGCGGGCAGCGCGTCCAGCAAGCGCGCGCGAAATCGGACAAAATCTGTGTACCGTTTGTAGACGTAGATGCGCGGGTTTGTGCCGCCTGTAGTAGCTGTTGCACAGAGAACCAGTTCTATTTGCCATACGGCGAAGCGGGACCACTGAGTGTTGACAATGGTGCAGTCGCCAACGGTGATGTGTTTGAAACGCAGCGCGCCTGCTAGCGCTGTGTCTCCGGCACAAGGCTCGTTGTTGACCAGAGATATGGGTTCCGGAGCGAGGAATTGAACGGTGTGGCCCATTGAACCTGATACGTGGCGCCTGTAGTCGGGTCGGATGGGAATGGTGCTGGGCCATCTCGTATTTCTGGTGTAGATATGGGTAATAAAAGGTTGGGCGATGAGTTCGTGCGACGTGATCCGGAGACAATTGTTAGCTTGACCAGGTTACCGGGAAGTGGTGCAGAGCCAATAGCAGTGGAAATCTGATAATCACTCGCGACTCAAACAATTGAGATACGTGACCTCAGGTTAATGTTTGTCGGTATTTGAGAGTGATAAGTATCAACTTAAAAGTTGGCACTGGGAGCGAACCTTGCGCGTCATGTCGCTTTATCCGAATTTGCTTTTGACAGATTTATCGAGTTGCGACCCAATTGTAACCTACTGAGAGATACCATGAAACATTTGGTTACGGTTTTGCCTCTTACGGAGTCGTCGTCTCTTCGGGCTAGCATACCCTGGGTAGTTTACGCAATGATCGATATCCACGAGCACTGTTGACGGCCACATTCCTCTACGCTGCTGATGCCAACGCCAGTCTTCGTGCCTTTGTACATTTCTCATACAGTGTTGCAAGCTCTACGACCAGATGCAGTTGAGGGTTAATTTAATCTGTATTCAGATTTTGCCAAAGCTGCTAACACAGACTTCTTCCGATCTAGCTCTTTCTCCATCTTAATAACGACGAGAAATCTAGATCTTTAGTTGCGTACTTAGTGATGATGAAGGGATCGTGTTTGCGCATAAAGCGGTATGTTATGAGCTTTCGTACAAAGTGTTTATAGATTCGTCACGTTTGCTAGCAATACGAGAAAGGCCCGGGCCGTGCATAAGTGAGAAAGGGCCCCTCTGGCGCCAGTGGCCCTGTTGGTCGGCACATGTGAGATCAGTGTCGTGGATTTTCTGTAGTGTTTTCTGTAGCGACTTCTGCAGTTGTTTTGTTTCTTGTCATGCTTTCTAAGAGAAGACTGGGAAACCTTCGTCCAACCATCCGAACGGGTCGTTGAAGCGAATATCCTTGTTGAGACCCGAGATCGCGGCGAGCTCTTCTTGTGAGAGCGTCAACTGTTCGTCAACGGTCAGATTGAGTAGCAGTCTCTCCTTCTTGGATGACTTGGGGATGATTGCAATCTTACGTTGCGTGGCCCATCTCAAGAGTACCTGCGATGTCGAAACCTTGTGATTCTGCGCGATCTTCTCGACGGTCTCATGCTCAAACAGCGTTGGCACCGTCTTGGCTAGCTCCAAGTCCATCTCGATGAAGGACTGGGGACCGAACGACGAATACGCAACAACCTGGATGTCCTGCTGCTTACAGTACTGGACAAGCTGCTCTTGCGTCAAGTAAGGGTGATGTTCGATCTGTAGCGCGACAGGCTTGATGCGAGCACCCTGTAGCAAGTCGTGCACCAAGATACCGCGGAAATTCGAAATCCCGATACTCTTGATAAGGCCCTCGTCGACGAGCTTTTCCAACGCCCGATACGTGTCGAGGACAGGGACTTTCTCGAGCGAGATGTGGTCGTCCTTCTCGTCCTGCGCGCCTGTGTAGAACCCCGGAGGGTACCTCTCCTCGAAAGGAACGAACTTGAAAGCCAGTGGGAAGTGGATGTAGAACAAGTCCAAGTAGTCCAATCCTAGGTCGTCAAGCGTTTTTTGCAACGCCAATTTGACGTGCTCTGGACGATGGTACGAGTTCCACAATTTAGACACGACAAACAGGTCCTCTCGCTTTACAAGGCCCTCATCGATGGCCTTTCTGATACCTTGGCCGACCTCCTTTTCGTTTTCGTAATCCTGGGCCCCATCGAACAAGCGGTACCCGATCTTGATAGCATCGTAAACTTGCTGAGCGCACACATCGTTTGGGATTTTCCAGCAACCAAGGCCTACGAGAGGCATCTTGGTTCCATTGTTAAGCGTAACAGTTTCGGAAAGGGCTGGCATATTTGACAGTTTCTTTTGGACTGACAGGATTTTTGTAGATAGGGCTCTTCACTGGGAGTTCCTGTTGTTTCGAGCTTAGATTCCACTGCCTGGATCTTGAGTGGGGTTTGTTGATACCCTTTATATACCCTTAGACGTTGCCTGTTGATGTTCCGTGCAACGAAGGTCGTAGAAAGTGGAAATCTTCGCTTGGCCGTAACGCCAAATGGCAATAGTTTCGGCCGAAGCGCCGTGTTCCATCAAACACACCAATAGCTGTAGAACAGCGCAATTGAATTGCCCGGCTTCAATATTTGATTCTTGTTTCAGTAAGTGTTGTAGCCATTTTTTGGATGGATTTTTTTACATACTTAGAGTATCCTGACGGACAAATTGAGATATTAGATCTGGGAATTTTTATTTGCCGGAAAAGCTGCCTTTATCTCAAGTAACCATTGTTAATGCTTCGTTTTCGCGTCGATTGATGACATTAGTTGGGCTTTTTCTTGTCTTTTGCCTTTTGATATAGCAACTTGTAATTGTCCTAGTCCAGTAGGGGCTGGGATTCCGGATGTGAGTCGAGTGCCCGAGCGCGCATGTCGTCGGCGTAGAGCACAAAGTGCTGGTAAAAATAAATCAGGTCGAACGCAATGGTGCCCACACTACCGATGAGAAAAGGTAGTTCGTTCAGGGTGAATTGCCATTTGTCCGGGTCCGAAAGGAATTCACAACTTGTGTAGATGCTGCTCGCGTAAGTGATGTTGGCAATAAGGGTGTTGACAAACAGGAACGGCGACAGTCCGTCTGTAGACTTACGATGGTAGTTTTTGATCAATTGCGGGACCCGGGCACAAACGTAGCACATGGCGCCTGCCCACGACAAGGCGGTTCCTATAGAGGTGGCAGTAGTTGGCACAGCGGACGCCTGGACACGCAGCTCCAGGATACTGGCGGACGCGTCCCGAACCAGCGGGGCCGCCCGAGCCCGTGAGAAAAACATGAATAGCGCCGATAGCCAGTTTCCATGAGGCACAGAGCGCCCCGAGTGTCCAGAACGTGTCTCACTGCTCATGGAGTTCCGACTGCGGACCTGGGCTAGCGAATGTTCTGTCGGTTTGGATTCATGGCCTGGTGTGGCTAGTTTGTTTTCGTGTATAATCCCGTAATAGTAGTATTGCGCGCATATGAAAAGGTCATTGACGAGAAAATATACGGCTAAAATAATCTGGAAAGCTAACTGGTGCGTCAGAAGCGCTCCAATCAAAGTTGTAATGTCTCCAAACAGCCATGCAAGCAAGAAAATGGGGGAAAGCCCTTCCACTGTTTTATCTCTGTACGTTTCCAAAACTTGCGGAATTTGCGCGATAAAAGAAGTCAAGAACGAAATTGACCCCAAAACTGCTGAAATTTGTGGCAACACGCCATATTCGTCCGCCATGTTACCTTTACCGTTCTTGACTTTGTCGACGTGACTGATGGCTCATCAGCATAGTCAGAATAAAAAATCTTTATCGCTTTTTCTACACCGAATTCCAGGAAGGAACGTGAGACGGTACATGGGCACCCAAGCTCCGATATCGACGGCACGACAAGACTTTCTTCAGAAAAATTGCCCTAGTAAATTAGTTCCAGTGGAATGATTTGTTTCAATTTGAGAGAGTCTCGAATTGGCTCAATCTACCAGCAGAGATAATTTACTCTGCCGAGGAACATCTGGAAAATTCGTCATTTCATGACGAACTACTTCACTTATTATTGGCTCAAACGGAGTGAAGTGCTGTAATCTGAAATCATTATAAGAGGCCGTGCTTGAAAGAGGATTAAAAAGTTGTGGAATTGATTGAGAAGCCAAGAGTCGTAGGATGTGCGACCGCTCCTCAGGTCTGGTCTGCTAAATATATTCTTCTAGGAACTTCTCACCCTGTGGTAGTGTTTCCCGTTGGTTTTAAATCAAGGGGGATCCTCAAGTCGTCGTTATGGTTTATATAGAAAACTCTTAGCTTGGCGGCTAATTTCTATGTTTTGTACGACACTCGCTTTCTCGAGGAAAATCCATCCTGTATTAATGACTAGAATATACCTTAATAAACCTACACATACGTTTAAACGTATCTTGACTACCTGAACAATCGGCCTGCGTCAGTCGTTGCTGGCCTGAATCGCTTGGATAGATCCCTTCATATGCTAAAATTTCTTATAGTAATGCTGCCACTTCTGAACGAAAAGACTGTTCGTCTCTAATTCCCCTTGAGTGCCGTCCGTGGCACCCGGTATGCGGAAACTTTTGTCATTCAATTGGGCTAGCGATTTCAAATCGTTAAACCCAAAATGGTAATTGAGCAGTACGTTGAGCATGAGCGAGCAGAGAATCTTGTAGTTGATCACCACTTTCCTGTCCTGGTAATAATCCCACGTTTGACCCTGAAATTTTTCGCGCGAAACTGGAGAATTGGTGAAACACTGACTGTTATGGACAACAACGATGTCCAGACACCACATGAATAGCGAGTGATCTAAGCGACGCAAAATGTTCCACCATGTTCCAAAATTTAGAGTTTCGGAGTTGAACTCTTTGTTGAAGCCTTCATCCCTGTTGAGGTAGTGTGCAATCACACCGCGTGGATTGACAACGCGCGAATCAAATTTGTCCACGGCAGTGGAGTTGAAGCACGTGAGCTGGATCAAGTGCACCATCTCCCACACTTGACTCAGGTCAGTAAATGAGTGGTCGCGTAAAAAGTGAAAAAATAGCAATTCGTCACCGGGCAACAGACCTTGCTGGGATATTGACTTTAAGCGCAGCAGATGTAACAAATTTTGCGGTATGTCGTCCTCCTCTAGCAGCGGCATTGATTTCATCAGGTTAGTGATTTCCAATTCTTTGCCGCGTGGGAACTGCATCTGGTTCAAAACTTTGGCAACGTCTTCCAAAGGTACGATAAACTGGTCTGAAATCAGTCGCGTCTCACTTTGAAGCAGCTGATCATAAATTTGTCTTCGCGTTTCCGACGTTAATTTTGTAGACCATATAAGTTTCTTGAGTTCGTGGAGTGACGATTGTCTCGTTACACCTCGGTTCAAAAGCAGAACGTACTTCTGCCGATTGGTTCCATTGCGAATCAACCGTTCCTTATTGTCTTTGCTCCGATCCAGTTGCTCCAAAGAAGCCATGCCTAGCGTTTTGCTGATTTGCTGCTCGTGAGATCTTCTTTCTTGTTGATCCTTAGGCGGCAACCAGGTTGGCCGAGACGGACTGCAAACATCTATCTTGTCCTCGGAAACAAGCTGTAAATCTTCCATTCCTTCATCGCTAGCAGTTTTGAATTGTAGAGGCAGTACTTCCGCGGATGCTGTGCGTTCCCATAGTTTGCTCTGGGAAATCCTATTCGAGGAATTTTTATACACCGACGATAGGTTTTCGGACGTCTGCTTGTAGAATTGAAAATCGGTTGTATTATGCAAGCCCGGCACGGGTGACGGAGGCATCTCGTGATAATCCAAGAACGAGAGCTCTGAGGATGGGTTAACTGACTGTTGAGAGGACGACCGCGAAACAGATTTTCTAGTGCGCGAATTGGACTTGTTTGGAGTCGACTTCATAGATGCTAAGAAGGAGTTCGTGCTATGAGATGCGACTGGTATGTTCCAAATGAAAGAGTCGTCGATGTCCGACTCTTGCCCGAAGCCCGTCACTCCGCTTTCTTGGTCATCGTAATATTTCTCGCGTTGCTTAAGGGACTTGTGCAATGCCACTTTGCCTTGCTCTTTTCGCAATCTATAGCGCTGCGACGGAGTCAAGGCAGCGCCCTGCGGTAACGCAGGCGTGGACTTGGAAAACATATTGTTAGGCATAGAACCCGTGCGTGTGATTGGATGCTTTAAAGGCGAAGAACAGCTACTTGTTGTGGTGGGGAGAGCGACCTGTGAGCGAGCCATCGCGGCGTTCGTGAAAACGTACCTAGTTCCCAGACTATGTTGAGATTGAGCACTGCTAGTTTGTTCTGAGTCTACAGGTGTGGTAAGCTCGAGGGTCGATTCGTCTCCGGCTTCGTCCAGACTTGTTTCATCCCCAACATGTTTGGTTTCTTGCCCATCCAAATGCGTACCTGGTGAAGAGCAAGGGGAGTTCCCATTGGAAGACGACGCCGTCGAGTTAGGATCCGATGAAAAAAGCTCCGTGCTTTCCGTCATTGTAGATGCGCCCGAAGCAGGTCTATCAAACCGCGAGATCAGTTTTTTCCGCGACGGTGGCGCCGTTATTGCGCTGCCTAATTGTTCTTCCTGAGCCATGTTCAACAGTAAATTATCGCTCGGTCGACGAGCAATCCCAAGCCCAATCGTTTTGCTGTTGCTGCTGCCAATACTGCTGCTACCTTTTGGAAATGTAGTGTTCTTGTTCCTTGCTCGTACCGCTGGATCTGTAGTCTTGTTTACATTCGCTAAACCTGGTGATTCCTCGCGCAAAGTGTCTAAAGTGCTGTTGTGATGCAAGCTCATCAAATATTATAAGCGAATGTTAGAGCTTTTATTTCTGGCACCTTTCGAAGCCTATCTTTTCAACAGTGCCAACTTTAGCCAATTTCTTTACTTTCCAGTATGCGTTACTTTTCGACTTTAAAGCTGAGTTCTTCTTCGTAAGAAGAATCTAATGTTAGAAAAATTGACCAGAGAATGTATTCGTCGAAAGTGATCTTATTTCGATAGACCTAACCCAAACAAGCATCACTCCAGTGAGTCCTCGCGTCTCGAGCTCAAATTTGGCGCCATCTCTCCGTAAAATTCCCAATTTTGCAGCATATATCAGTTGGATTGTAGCAGTCACGTTTAACCTTTAAAAGCAGTCGTTTCCTGATTTCAAAAAAAAATTAAAAAGTTTATATGTAGAAGAAGGTGTATCAGTTGAGCTCGCGCTTCGAACTGGTAATGCAAATGTCTAGAGCAGGTCAGAGTCGTTCACAATCGAAGAATTGACTTAAGCTGCCAGAGGGCTCAACACGGTTTGTGTCACGTTGAACGAAAATAATCGTCCTGATGACCGTCCTTTTGAACCTGTGAGACCCATTTTTGAATTGCCTTTGGAAGGTACTGCATTGAGATTCTGCATTGATTCATCTGTTCTGGTATTGCCTTACTATGGTCAGATTTATCATACATTGGCTCGCTCTTTTTTTCCTGTCCTGTAGAATGTAGTTTTCTCTCGATTTCGCTCATTCTGGAGACGATTCAATCTTCTTCAGCACTTCTCGCAGGGAATTCTCTAAAACAGGCAATCCCTCGTCGACCATTTTAAGCAGCGAGTCCAGCTCTCTCAAAACCACAGATTTGCGATCAACGCGGCCAGGTTTATCAATCTCGTCGGAAAAGTCGTAGAACATGTCCATTTGTAGCGTTTTGGGCGGTTGCTCCATGTAGCTTACACCCACTGCGTGTGGCGCTGCGGAAGAGCCACCTGCCGTCGTGCTGACGCTTGTCTGAAAGTGAGATGCAGTGGTGGGTTGTCCTGTAGTGGTAGGAATGGCTGCTGTGAGCCCGTCTACAGACGCATTTGTGCTCCCGCTGGCCGTGCTAACACTATGATTGCGTCGCGACGTTTCGAAAGGGCCCTCTACCACGGGAGTCATGGCGACAGGCACCGCTGTCGAGCTGGTGTTGAATCCGAACTGATTTATGTTAGCATCTTCGAGGTTTGCCGTCAAGGAAGAGACGCCCTCGAGAAGCTTGTTGGGTAGCACCGAAGTTGGCGACGGCATCTGAAGCTTGAGATTCGGATTTTGTCTATGAAAGTCCCGGTTTATCCTGGTGGCCTGAGACGCGCTTTCTTGATCCTGGCCATTCAATGGCGTCAAAAGAACATCGTTCCTATCGGTTGTTGCAGGTTTCATTACAGACGGGGGATTAGCAGTCGAGTTGCCAGGCAAAGCGAACCCAAGGCCTTTATTTGGAGATCCGCTTGGCGCTCCTTGGGAGAGAGGATTGGTCGGAGAAACATTTCTCTGGCCACTCTTGGCGTGCGGCACTCGAAGACCTTCTTCCGTAGTTGGCTTAGTATTGGCCGCAATGCTACTGTTTGGATCGCCTTGGCGCGTTCCGCTACTTCCTGTAACAGTTAACCGTCTCTGGAGATGAGAAGCAGATTTACTGTTGGGTATAGTCACCGTCGAAGACCGTGGTTTGGTTTGAGTAGTCGCGCTCGGACCCGAATGGCTAGGCAGTTCTTCTGGTATCTCTATTTCGATGGGGGTTGGCAACGCTGTGGCGCTACCTGGTCCCATTTTGATCGGTTTTTTGAAACTTGTTTGTAGAAGAGGAAGCGATGGAGTACTTTGAGTCTGATGCAACACACTTATGTTAAGTTCTCCGTGCCCTGTGCGCTCCACAATAGGAGGAGCGGACTTCAGTTCCTTCTCATCTACAACTGGAATATGAACTGTCGTTCCGGGGTTTTGTAGACGAAAAAAATCGGAATCTGTCCTAGGCTCAGCGAACGGATCAGACTCCTCGAATAGCTGCTGTAATGCTTTTGACGCCTTGGTTTCTGATTTTTTCGTTGTTGTACCTAAAGTCTGTTTACTTTGATAAGTGACTGAATGCTGAAAAGTTGAATTGTTGTTAGCTCCATGCAACGTTGAATTTGTTGTGTTGATGCCGAATTTCCCTGTGGTTGTGCCTTGAAAAAGTCTTTTGTTGGAATGCAAAAACGTGTCGTCGTCTGGATACGCGTAATTATAGTTTTCGTTTGTAGTAGTATCCTCCGGAATTGACTCTATGTTGATTTCATTGTCGATGATATACTCATTGGAACTCAGTGAGTCAAAGTCCCATTTCATCTCCAAGTGATCTTCATCTACAGCACCATCAGCAAAATCGCTTCTGGGCTGCTCTTCTTCCTCCATGGTGGGGGCGTTATTTTCTCTTGATGTATGTTTGTCTCTATGCAGAAGATATCTGCTGATAAGCTCTTTTAATATCGAAACCGAATGATTTTTGTAACCGCGAATAAATTTCGTCTTGAGAAGAGCTTCCGCTGGCAAACGCTCTTTGGGGTCCTCATCAAGGCACAATGCAATGAATTCTTTTAAGGCGCTAGAATATTGTCGGCCCTCAAGCCGTGGAGGTTTGGATTTTGTAATGAGTTGCATTGCACGCAGGGCCTCCACATCGCAATAAGGTGGGTTCCCAGTGGCGATTTCAAAAGCAGTTATTCCAAGCGACCATATGTCCACCTTCGTATCGTAGTAAACGCCCTCCATTATGACTTCGGGAGCCATCCAATATGGTGTACCAGCCATTGTTTGTCTCCGCAGTTTAGACTGCGAAAGTTGCGCAGCAACCCCGAAATCGCACAGTTTTACGCGCCCATCGTTCATAATCAGCACGTTAGCGGCCTTAATGTCCCTGTGAATGACATTGTCTTTATGGATGTACAATAGCGCAACCAGTACCTCACGTACAATGACACCTATGTAATGCTCGTCAATTTTACCAGGCCTAAGAAGCGTTCGCAAAGATCCGCCTGCACAGTATTCCATTATAACCCAAAGTTTCGTATCATTGAGATAAGAACCGTAATAGTGTGTTATATTCGGTATTTGCTTCAAAGACGCCAGAAACTGTACCTCTTTCTGCACATCCTCCACCTCATCATCCGCAGAATCCAAATTCAACACCTTAATGGCGTAAACTTGCCTGGTTTTCGCATGGTAGCCTTTATAAACAACTCCAAATTTTCCACGTCCGATAACCTCTGTCCGCTTGAAAACAGAATTGATATTCCTTTCATTCCCTGTTCGAGCTCCACCACTTACCATAACCTAAAGAGAGTAGTATTTGGCGCTGTCAGATCACGACTTTCTCGGCTCTTGTCCGACAAGTGTCTCAGCTGGTCTTCTCTAGGTTTTTTCAGAGAGACCTCTCTTTTCTTGGAAAATTTGGAACCAAAGTAATCGGGTAAGAAGTGAGTAGAAATCACCAGTCACGTGATAAACCCATTTTGACCATTTGAATTTGGTGATCTCGAAAAGTAGTCAAGAGTAGTTTCACTACGAAGGCGTTCAGATATCTAAGAGTGCTGAAGCCGTCGCCTGTGGCCTGATGATTTTGCGAGGTAGGCCTTGTCACTTACAATTTGGCCGAACCATATGTCAGGGCGTACAGCAGATTCTGCCGTCTGTGCTTTCGCGAACAATTACAACTTGGAAGAATGGCAATGCTATCGCTGTTTTGGCACAAACCAAGGATCATTTGAAGCTGGAGCGATACAACGAGTTGAAAAGGTTGAAAAATTCGCTTATACGGAAATATGAGACAAAATACCTGAGTTTAATCAATCAGATTCGAAAAGTGCATGATCTGGATGAAAACCTAGTCTCAATGATCTTTTATCGTCACTCCGGGAAGCAGCAATTTGCGGCTTTTTCCAAGTACGTGGTCTTTATTGTCCATTCAAACCTGGCTACAGACGAGAAGAAAAAGGCTCTTTATGGGGCCATTCGACTTCAACACGCATTGTACCCGAAAGTCGCTGGAGAAAAAGGTATTTTGATCCCGGAAAAAGTACATGATTGGTTCTGGCTTAATCTTCCAAGAACACAAAGTTTTGCTCATTATTACTTTCTAATCCAAAATAACGTGCTTCTGTCTTCTGCGGCTGTGCAGCGATTTTCTTCACGGCTGCTGAAGGGCTCTGAAATGGAGCAACAACTGGCAACTTTCCAGATTTTCCTTCAGAGGCCTGAACACTGCAGCATGTTTGATGAGAAATTTGTACTTCTAAACAATTTCACGCACTGCTGTCGCTTGACTCAGGTGCTGATCAGGCAAAAGGATTTTAGACATGTCGAGAGCTTTTTTAAAGCACTTCTGGTGCAGCTAAGCACGCTCGGTACGACATATGAATGCAGAAACTATGGCGAGAGAAGTTCCATGCTGCTGAAATTCGTCAATACAATTTTGCTTTATTTGAGAGCTTCCGGAAATACTGAACTGTTTTTGCAAACATTCACCACCGTTTTCGATTTAATTTCTATGCAAAAACTCGACGCATCATTTCTTCACAAGCCACTGATCATAGCAGTGGTTTATCTAAGGGGGATACGACAATATGGCCAGGCTTTGAAGCTGATTTCTTACGCTCAGGATTTACCTACCAAGTCAGGCTTTTTATTCAAGCAAATGCTCATAGGTGAGCTGCTAACGACTTTCCGCCGTCTTGGCGACTTTCCAATGATTCTCAAGTACGTGCCGGCCGCGTTTTCGCACCCAAAGACGGCGATTTTGCTTAACAAACTAGGTCTTAGAGGCCTTGCTGACGGTGGCCTAGCAGAACCTGTACCAGAATCACAACTCCATCAGGAACTGGCGTCGACCGCGCCAATGACGCCCGTGCTTCCGAAACTTCGGAAGAGAATACTTCCTAATTCAGTCGTACTGACGGAGCTTTATCGAGCTGCCATGCAATTTACCTGCAACGTTCTGGAGCGTGAGCGATTCAAGGGACTCATACTTAAATTGTACGACAATTACAAAAAAACACTTCTGAGTGACAAGCAGCTTTTCTTCTTCCACGACTACGGCGTTATCAATGTTCTACTCCACACGTTACGGTTCCAACTCAAAGAACACCGGATGGCTTTCGTAATGCTGAAAGATTTCATGGAACTGCCCATCAAGACGTACGGTTCTCCATCGCACACGTTTGGTCTCGTGCTCTATAACAACTACGCGCTGTCACAGTCGGAGGTTTCGAGTCTCCTCGTACTCATGGACAAGAAGAATGCGAGTGTCGATTTTAAAATTATAGTTTCCATGATCCTGCGGCATCTAAGATGGGAACAAGAAGACGAAGCACATTCGTGGTTCAAAAAATTAACACATGCAAGGTTTCCACTGGAGCACAAGGCTTTGATCCAACAAGCAGTTATGCGCAATTGGAAGCTTCCTAGTCACGTTGACACGTCTTTTTTGCAAGAATCAAGCCCAGAACCTGCACCCGATTGCAGTACGGACGATTTGGACGAACTCTTGAAGGAGGAAACATTTCAAGATGAAAGTGAGCTACAAACTCAATTTGCCAATGATTTGGTACATCAGATGGAAGCCTTTAGAATAACCACAGCTTCTGAGGCTTCCGTGACACTATCACGATAATAGCATATATTCTTCTAGCATTAAGCATATCTAACGACTTTACCTTGGCATGGATCAAATCACTGCGTCTTATTCGACAGATCAGCACAAGACCACGAAGCAATGAACTTAAGGAAGCACCTTCTAGTATTGGGCCTAATTATATTTGCTTCAGCTACTTCAGATTTTGTTACTCCTGTTCTGTTATACTCGGAGAAGCTGTATGTTCATTGCAAAACCCATTTTTAGACTAAAACTTAGTGCGCCAACTTTTGATTCTAACATAGCATTAGATCCGCTGGATTGTTGCATTACCAAGATGAGTACGACGTGAATGGACAACTCTCGCAGGAGGCGTTTTTGGGAGTTGCAAGAGAAATGATCGGGAAGTGTCAATCTGACGCATATGTATTCGTCAATGTCCCAGGACTCATCGCATCAGACTTTGTTGACTACAGAAACGAAATGATGGCGTTGGCTCGCTATGTGAAGCTCAGCTCGACGGCATTGCGGTTTGAAACAGTGACGCTTCCTGAGGAAGAGAGCGATTTGATAGAAAACTTCGCGCAGATGGCATCGGGCATCTGTGGTATCGAAGACCTGATAAACTTGAACCACGAAGACATAGAAGGGTGGACAGCGTACGTTGATTCCCGACCAAGAATAATCACTATCAATCTTGCAGAATTGCCCGCGAACTCTACCTCAGACAACGCAACTCGAAGAGAAATAATTGAGGAAAACGACAAGAACTTGCGGGAAGTTCTGGCGCAGATTCCTTCTCCGTCACACACCGTTATTGTTACATCCACCGTGGGCAAGCGTTTGCTCAAGAAACAAGACGGCGTTCATGCCAGGATTTTTGATGACATTTTTGAAGACGCTTCGAAACAAGACGACGTGGAAAGAAACAATCGTGTTCTTCCGATTGAACCATATTTTGGACAAACTCGTCCAAAGTTTGAGGAGCCGTCGAGTCCCTTTCTGGGCGTCTTTGACAAACAGTTTTACCAAGAGTACAAGAGCACTGTTGACCTTATTATCATGGCAACTCTAGGTTTCTGCTCGTTACAAATCCTACTCTGGTACCAAAGTGCACATATTGGTGGGCCACAACCCGCAAAGAAGCAGAGTAAAAATGCCTATCAAGAGTCTCTTCAGAAGGGGCCCTCTACTAAGAAATCCGAAGTTACGGCTAAGCTTACTTCTGTTATCCAACAGAGACAGGTCACTGTTCTGGCTGGAAAACAGAACCCAGAGCATCATCTAGAGCCAATTTCAGAACAGAGTTAAGAACAGACGTAAAACAGAGACCAAACCCGAGCGTAAGGGACTGTTAATCCATTTAAGCTTTCCATTTTATGGCTTTCGAGCGCACTTTTTGAAATTATTGTACTACTAGGGGAGACTAGACGCTGCATACGCTACACGATCCATAAGGCTATCCAATGATAGACACATCTTCCTTCCTGGAGTGATCACTTCAGCCAAGACTTTAGTCCTCAAAATATCGACTAAAACTCTGAACTTACGTTTTTTGGACTATTTTCGATCAAGACCTATCCTCTCAGTAAAGCTTAAAATGAAAAACAAGCGGTGACATCTCGGCGGCTAAATTATGACATCCCGATTTTCTTCCCCAACTGAAAGCCTCGAGAGCAAAAAAAGTTAACCCCTTGAATTTTACTGAACCCTGCGAAATTCCGACCAAAAATCGTATAAATAGTGGTCTCGGTTTGCAATATTTTTTAACCGTGAGGCTCTTTCAAACAAGTCTTATACCCTTCAGGCGGAGGAAAATATGCACTAAACAACGTATATAAGCATTTTAGAGTCATGATTTCAGTCATGGATTAGACGAGATACCACGTCACTTAGAGTTTCGGACGTCGCTTTGTGTAGAAGCTTATATTCTAGTGATTTGCATATCGGATTTTTTGTCGGGCAAAGCTGGGTCAATTCTTTAACTGAGTCAAATATTTCAGTGAGGTATGAAGGGGGGGGGGTGAGGTGTATAGTTGGCTGATTAAATTGAAAGCATCGTGGGCTGTTGGTCCAAAATCTCAATCTCTAAACTTGGCTAATGCATGGTGGGTTAGTGGTCAGCGATATCTCTTTTCACGGTGCCGGGGCTATTCAATACAATGCGTGAAAAACAGGTATCCTCTTATAAATAATCTAGACCCCGGAAAATCAAATTATATTGAACTATAGGAAACGAAGAGTGATTTCTTATACTCAAGAATGTCAGCATTCCAGGATGAGCAAGACCTTAATGAGCATTTTTCTGACAACCCAGAATTCGATACCTGGTGCGACCAGATAATGACCAATCTGTTCGAAATGAACGGCCATTTGAGCACACTACAACAGTTTATCAAGACTTTACAGAAATGTAGTCGGCAGGGCAATGTTAGATCGAAAATGGTAGAGAACTTGGACACGAAATCTGTTGCCCACATTGAAAGTGTGTCCAAACTTTTAAAAGTGGTTAATGACTTGGTTCACAAGATAAGCGCGATTGAAGAACCAACTTTAAATAGCGCACAGCTAATCTCTCGAGAAAAACTCGTAAGAGACGTTAAGTTCTCCGTTCAAGGGTTTCAGACTGCGCAAAAAAGCTATACCCAGGTCTCCAAGGCCATCAACGACCAAGCCAAGGCCTCGTTGTCCGAGGAACGAAATCTTGGCATTGCAGCCGACAGCAACACCGTGGCTCTCGAGGGAGAACTGGGGCTCGCTACCACAACTCAGGATCTGCGGGGCCACCAGCAACGACAGGAGGCCGTTATAGAACGCGAGTCCATTAACAACGAAGAGTTTGCATATCAACAGAATCTGATTAGGGAGCGAGACCGAGAAATATCTCAGATAGAGAGCGGAATTGTAGAGCTGAACGGAATATTTCAGGATTTGAGTAATATAGTGCAAGAACAGGGCCACATGGTAGACAATATCGAGAGCAACATCTATTCAGTTGCGAACAGCACCCAAACAGCCGCCAAGGAACTCTCAAAAGCTTTGAGTTCTCAGCGGCATGCCAACAAATGGTGCATTTACATGCTCTTGGTCGTGTCATTCATGCTACTGATTATGGTATTAATAGTGGCTACATAGACATAGGTTGATATCTACGATTAATTGCAGGTCCAAATATTCGTACAACCGTCATCGCCGCCTGTCACTAGTACAGTTCTACCGTCAATTTCTGCCCACTTGACCACATTGACTTCGTAAACTCCGTGACACTCAGATACCTCCTCTTGAACTTCCCAACTACCCTTTCTGACTTCCTTGTATACCACAACTTTTCCATCCGACCCAACACTGGCTATACGTCCATCTGAGCCCCAACTCACACTGTATATCGATCTGGTATGCACCGCCGGAAGCACTGCTTCGAACTCCCATATCTGTTCGTATTCGTTGTCGGGATCTTCCTCTACATAGCGCCATATCCGGACAGTTCCATCGTCGCTTGCACTGCATAATCTAACATTGGGACCTTCTGATTTGGCGAAGTCAGAACACCACACTGTTCCCTCGTGTCCAGCCAGCACAGCTGCACATTCCCAATCGTCGTCGTGTTCTCTCCAAATTCTGACCGTGTCATCGTAAGAGCTCGAAGCCAGTAGCGCTTGAGACGGATGCCATACAACGTGTTTAACGTCCTGAGAATGTTCTTGCAAAACGCTTATACATTCAAACTCCTCACCGGCTTCGTCAGCTTCCCAAATCCACACGCTTTTATCACGCGAGCAACTGGCCAAAAAGAACCCATCGTGAGACCAAGCGACAGATTTGACCTCATTGTCATGACCTTCGATGATTGCCAAAAGCTCAGTGTCCAATTCCCCGTCTATATAATCAGCATTTTCTTCCTTGCCCCAAATCGAAATCGTCGAATCAAAGGATCCAGCAGCCAAAATGTGCGAATGCGGACGCCAGGCAACGCTTCTTACCGTCTTTTTATGTGCCGAATCGTCCAATTCTTCAATGACATTGAACTTTTGATGCTTTAGATTAACGAGCTTGATCTTTCGATCTGACGAGCTCGTAGCTAAAAGGCCTCGCGATACATCGATTGACCAGACTTTCTGGTCATGAAGTTTCAAAGATTTGACGAGTGACAAAGTCATTCTCCGGGACTTCCGTACTCTATTGGCTTCTTAGACTTGGTTCATCAATTTTATGGATATCTAGAAACTGGAAAATTTATCACGATCTTTAACTGCTGAAAATTCGTCAAACCGGAACATCATCACCATCAAAAGGATTTGGTTGAGCTGACCAAGTTACGATGTTAAATGATACCGCGAGTCGTTAATTCCTTGAGGGCTGGACGTCCGTTTAAGTTCGACAACGGTCAAAGTGCATTGAAATGGACTATAGGATTGGGGACCGTCGCTGTCGCAGCGGCCACAGCGACAGGTTTTATGTACCATAACCGCACGGAGGAGTTATCGCAGAATAAATTCATCAAGTATAGAGTGTCCTACAACAAGCCAATTGATCAAGACCATTTTTTCTTAGAGCTGTCGCCGTTGAAGAGACAGAAAACGAATATATGGACAGATTTTGGGGCGAACAAATTATGGTCAGTGGAAGTCAAGCAGCCGCAAATAATGGTCGCCAGAAGCTATACACCTTTGCCACTGGAGCACACGGGAAACGATCAATTGCGCGTTTTGTCAAACAACGATTTTGGTGAGGGGAAGCTATTTTTCTACATTAAAAGATATTCGAATGGAGAAGTGGCGAGATGGCTAAGTGGGTTACCGGTGGACCATATTGTTGAGATTCGCGGGCCGTATGCGGACTATGTGTTTCCTAACCTGGACGAAGACGACACTGTAGGCTGCGATAGACGGTTTTTGATGGAAGAGGGCGATTCCTGGTCATGCAACGCCCAATATCTGCATCGTCCTTTTGATATTTCCATGTTCACCGCTGGCACGGGGATAGTAACGGCTTTACAACTTGCACTGAAGCCAAATCCATTTCAAGGCAACATAATGCTATTTCATTCGTGTGGTAACCTATTAGAGCTGGGCCCGTTGGCGAACTTCCTGATAAAGCTCCAGTTGCATGGGAAATTACAACTACATCTTTTCGAGTCACAGAAAAACACAGATTTACGATCAAATATCCAGCAGACGCTTTCAATGATTCCCCCACCCTCTGTTTACGATCCTGAGGCTCCTTTTGAAAATCGTGATCAATTTATGCCGGTACTTTCTCTAGTGTGTGGCTCCTCTGGATATATTAGCACTGTAGCGGGCCCAATGCACAGTCTAGAACAAGGTCCAGTAGAAGGGTTATTGAAGCAGAGAGAATGGACAGACGAGAATGTATATAAACTTAACTAAGCTATAAAGCAAGTTTGTACGTAGATATTCTTGGATGTTGATTCAAGCTCGAAGGTTGTATTAACCTGACATCGTAAAATTCACAAATCAGATAATTGAAAAAAAGAGGTACTAGGGAACTAAAGAACCATTGCTTGAGCCAGTCATCCACCATCTAATGTTCCGGCTCGTGAGCATTCGCAATGCCTCGAGGCGTCTCTATTCTGCGAGAGTGAAAACTACTGATTTTAAGATAACGGCCCAAGATGTACCAGATGATTCTGTTGTATTTAGTATGATTCAACCGACAGGTAGGTTCCATTTAGGTAACTATCTGGGGGCAGTGCGAGTATGGAAAGATTTGTGTGATCTCAAAGGTGATAATATTAAGCTTTTGTTTGGAGTGGCCGATTTGCATGCCATTACTGTGCCGAAACCAGATGGATCCAAATTCCGTCAACTGAGAAATGAAGCAATTGCAAGCATATTAGCGGTAGGGGTTGATCCGTCAAAGGCAATTGTTTTCCATCAGTCATCTGTGCCGCAGCATACTGAATTGCATTGGATTCTATCCACATTGACACCGATGGGCTATCTCAATAGAATGACCCAATGGAAATCTAAAGCTAACGTTAATGACAATTCCAGTGACGAAGCAATGCAAGCCGTCAAACTGGGGCTATTTTCGTACCCGGTCTTGCAAGCAGCGGACATTTTACTATATAATGCGACGCATGTCCCTGTCGGTGACGACCAAGCTCAACATCTCGAACTGACACGCCACATTGCAGGACAATTTAACAAGACCTACAAGTGCAAGCATTTTGTTCCTCCGGCAACGCTGTTGGCACCGACGAAAAGAATCCTGGCTTTGAACAATCCAGACAAGAAAATGTCTAAAAGCGATCCAAATCAAAATTCTGTGATATACCTCAATGATACTCCCAAAATAATCAGTGCCAAAATCAAGCAAGCTTTAACGGACTCAATTTCGCATAAATTCTATTTTGACCCTGTCAACAGGCCCGGTGTTTCAAATTTGATCAACATTTTGAGCGGCATTTTAAGATTATCCATTAGCGAAGTGGAAGATGAGATTAGCAAGTTTGACAGTCATAGTTCCTTCAAAGATTACGTTAGTGAAATTTTGATTGAGGAACTGAAAACCCCAAGACATAAGTTTGAAAAGCTTATGCGGGATCAGGCCTATTTACAAGAAGTATCTGAAAAGAGTGCGCGGAGTGCGGCCACGATTGCAGAACCAAACATTCAAAAAATCAAGAACATCATGGGATTCTGAATCATGCCTTCGTTGGAGCGTCCACATTTTACATGTACATACCGAGAGAAACTTTGAAAACGATCTTGAACATGATACGATCACTATTGATATTACTCGAGAGAGAATCAATTCGAGAACGACCTCAAATTCCATCGCTAATCATACCGATTGCAGTTGCAAAGCTCGTAGTCACACGTTGAACATGCCGAATACTAGCACAGGCTATGCTTATTTTCTTCAAAAGATCCTCGGCCGTTTTCCCTCCAATAATTTTATCCTTGTAATTACCATCGCCGTAAAGCCATTCCATCACATCACTGAGGCGTTGGGTGTATCCCAGTTCACTCAAGCGAATACAATAAACGATCAGAAGTTTCACAAACTCGGCGTCTTCTTGAAGTTTCAGTAATACGAGAAGTTTATTCTCCAAATGCGATAACGTTACAACTTCCTCTAGATTTTCGAAGCCCTCTTTTATTAGAATAGTTTTAGAGAACTTTTGCAAGTTCCTTACGCGTCCTTTCCTATGGAGTTCGTCATTCGTTTTGCGTTCTAGAAAATTGATTATGCTTGCCTCATCACTTTCGAGTTCCGAAATAAGAGCCTTAGCTTCCATATTCCATGAATTGTTTTTTTTGTCTTCCTTTTCATTGTAAGGTCCCATTGAAGTGCCAGCCGAAGTTTTCGTAGCATCCCAATATTGTGAGCCGTATGCCCACCAAGAGTCATTAATTAACATCCATGTTTCCATATCTTTATCAAACATAAAACCATCACCGTTGCTTAAAGTCACAATTGGTACGCCAGCTCGAGTTACCGCGCACATCGTGATATTTTCCGCCCTCGTTAGAACATCATCCGAAAATCTTAGTGATGGGCTTAAAAGTGGATATATTGATGTCACCGGAAATTCCAGTTTGCAAGCTTCGATGTTCCAACAGTATAATTCACCCATACTCGTTACACACATCAGAAACTTTCCTGCAGCTTCTAAAAAGCTACAGGGAGTCCCGGTGATAAGAGGCGGCAGAATTTTCTTACCACTGTCTGAGTAAACATAAACGACGCCGTCATCGCTGCAGCAAGACCAAAAACTCTCTCCTTCGACACACATTGTAACGAATTTTGGCATAAAATCTTCGAAAAGTATTTTAGTTTGAGCGCCATCCTTCACTTCCAGAGTGATAACAGTAGGTTTTTGATCGTTCCCAGTACCATTCTTGACGCTGAATATGAAGTTTGAATCGTGGGAAGGGGAATATTGGAAAGAGAGTCTTACTTTTGGTGACGCCAGTCGCACTTTAGAAAAAGAGATCGTGGGCATTATTAGATTTGTGTCCAAAAAATCCATAGGTTCTAGATCATGTTTCTGTTTTTTGTTGGTTGGGCCTTGTTGTGAACCTTTAGGCTTTCGTTTCAAATCTTTAGGAACGCTGTATGAAGGTCCATTGAATTCCATAGACGTGCTCTGAATCGTGGTTGGCGCAATCTTTTTCTTACCGTTAACTTTCGACACAGAAGCCACTGCAGTGGAAAGGTTGAGTTCGTCTTTCACCCTAGTAGCAGGCTCGGGACCCACGTTGTCGGGTAAAGGCTCCAAGATCTTACGGGCACTTCGCATTGCCACAACGTCTTTTTCGGGTGAAACTTGTCCCAGCTCGGTTTCGCGAAATGCGAAAATAAACAAGTAGCCATCGTCAGTTACTGCAAACAATGCCTGTCCATCGTGACTCCACTCGATGTCGTTCACGAACGAAGAAGATAATGCATTCGTATTCAAAAGCGGTTTCGTTCTTTTCGTGTTCCAAACGACAACGTTTTGATTACCGGTTCCGGACGTTGCGAGCAAATTGTAAACGGCCTTCGAACCGTCTTTAGCCGGCTTTTCGTAAATTTGAGGTGAGAACTTGAGAACTTTGCATTTATCCATATGTCCTACAAGCGTAGTCTCCACTTTGAAATCGTTATTCGCAGCCAAAAGTGCGATGGCAGGCGTAGTTCCGTTCAACGAGTTCACGATTGGCAGCAAATGCGCTTGTGGTGACATGGCTATCTTGTAATGTATTGGATCGATTTGTACGTATTGCGGTAGTTTCTGCAGCAGCTTATTCGCGCCCTTTTCGTTATACTGAAACACGTACAAGTGTCGGTCGCTGCAAGAGACGGTAAATATTTGGCCCGTTGGATCCACGATTCCAGTTAACGGCTTAGTCTGACCCAAAGGAATTTCGCCAATCTGCAGGCCAGCATCCGGTTTAAACAGTAGTACAGCATTGCGTTCAGCACTAAAATTGACCAGAACAAAAATTACACCAGTAGTAGAATCAAATTTCAAGTCCGTTATGGTACTGGGTGCACTCAGTTCAAACATTTTCTTACTGACGTTATTTGACAGTTTCGAGTCCAACCAATCTTCTATTGTAAAAACACCCGTATCTGTGCCCAAAAAAAGCTTTTTTTGATCTCCAACAATACAGTATATCGTCTCTAGAACTTCTGGGATCTTAACTTCGAAATCTGGACTCACTTCACGTAAACTTATTTTGCCCAACGCTCCATCCACCAATTTCGAAATGGAAAAAACTTGAAGTTTCTTCAGCCCACCGACCACAAGCCAATCTCCAATGCAACAGCATGTCTTGTTGTATTTAGCTTGCAAAATGTGCGGGTACCTCAGCAACTTCATCTATCCTCATGCCTTTATTTATCTTGCTAAATAAATGTTCGTGAAGCTAATAATGTAAACCCATCTTCAAGAAAATTTTGCCCGTCTTGAACCTTATCAATTATTGAAACCACAGAATCAACTGCTTATATGGGGGACATTAACATGACTGAGTCCCATGATGGGGCATTGGAAGGGTCTGGATCGTCGGAATACGTTGAGTTTTGGATCGACCTTTTCCTAGGGAGGAAAGGGCACGAATATTTCTGCGATATTGATATGGACTATATAACGGATCGGTTCAATTTAATCAATCTTCAGAAAAGCGTGAACAAGTTCACGCAGGTGATCCAATACATCGTGGATGAGCTTGACGATAGCGTTTTGGAACAAATGCCGACGTCGAGATTAGAACAGTTGGAAAGCGACGCGAGAAAGCTGTATGGGCTTATTCATGCTCGGTTTATCATTACGGTAAAGGGACTTCAGAAAATGTTACAGAAGTATCGAAACGCAGATTTCGGGAGATGTCCCCGTGTGTACTGTAAATTCCAGCCGCTATTGCCCGTGGGACTGCACGATTCGCCAGGTATTGATTGCGTCAAACTGTACTGTCCATGTTGCGAAGATCTGTATATCCCAAAATCGTCGCGGCACAACTCAATTGACGGCGCGTTTTTTGGTACAAGCTTCCCGGGCATGTTTTTGCAAGCCTTCCCGGAAATGGTGCCAACGCACCCGGTCAAACGGTACGTCCCCAAGATTTTTGGGTTTGAACTACACAAGCAGGCGCAACTTGCGCGGTGGCAGGAGCTGCAAAGGCTGAAGCTGGAGAACAAGTTGACGACCAAAGGTGTCGATCTGGCAGGAAACGGGGGGTACACGCGGGGGAGCTCTAGAGAAGATAGTCTAGACGGGGAAATGTCGAGATGAGCCGCTGGGGTTCGGTGGGTCGTGGTGGTGGCACGCATGAGTTGCGCTCGTTGTCCACGGGCCGTCTTTTACTCGGCTAAGAAGCGCCGGCTACGCTGCTACTGCACTGCGGCTCCTCTGCGAACGCTGAAACATACAGAGTTTGATGCAGGATACGGAAGAACAACGGAAACCCGTCGAAAAACGTTAAATTCACCAAAACCCACCAGAATAGACCTAAAACCAACCATTTTTCGACACTCAGAACCAACTAATCCTATCTAATTATTTTCCCCATACGCTAGGATTTCGCGCGACTCTACTACCATCATCGCCCATCATCGCCGTTCACTGGTCTGTTCTCACTGTATGTTAATCATTGTATACTACTATTAGCGATTCATTATACACAATCAAAGATGCAAACAAGTCGTGTTTCGGGTACTCGTATATTACGACATTGGGCATCGAAAGCTCAACGGCACCCAAATTAAGCCATTTGTAATTGAAATTAATTATCAATTCACCCGATAAATAGACAAGTTCCCAGGTTTTACTAGACTGCAGTACGTGCTATTGACGGGTTGTTTTAACGACGATGGATCGGTTAAGCGCTTGCACTTTTTTGGTGGGTGGCATGACCTGCGGTTCTTGTGTGTCTACCGTGGAAAAACGGCTCAAAGAATTAGCCGGCGTACAGGAGGCTTCGGTCTCACTGGCGACAGAGGAGTGTCGGGTGGTTTTTAAAGAGGAAGTGGTGGGAGCGGATGCTATTAAAGAAGCCATTGAGGATTGTGGGTTTGACGCGGAGCTTGTGAGCAGAATATCGAGGATAGGCGGTGCAAACGTTGCGCTGACATCGAAGTCGACGTCAGCGATGTCCGAGACACAATTGGCAGTTTTGTCGGTACAGGGTATGACTTGTGGGTCTTGCGTCGGTATTGTCACGAAGCAGCTTGAAGAGCTTGACGGAGTCGAGACAGCGCGGGTCTCGCTGGCGACGGAAGAAGCCGCAGTAACGTTTTTGCCGGAAAAAGTGAGCATAGAGGAATTGCGACAATGTGTCGAGGACTGTGGGTTTGATTGCTCCGTGTATGAATCAAGCGCTTCGGAGCGTGAAAACGGTACGGAGCGACTGTCGTTGCGGCTTGTGAAAGACGGGTCAGTCGGTGTAGAACAAGATATCGAAAATCAATTAACAGCGACAGCAGGCATTGAACGTGCGGAGATTGACGCAACGACGGATCGAATTTCGGTCGAGTACAATCCACACGTGATAGGCGTTAGAAGCGTTGTCACACGACTTAACGGACTCGGTCTGGACGTTGTCTCAGCGGACTCATTCGACAACACGACCCAGATCAAAACGCTATCGAGGACAAAAGAAATCGTGCTTTGGAGGCGAAGTTGCGCCAGGGCCGGTGTATGCATGCTGTTGATTCTTTTCATCTACAAACTTATCCCTATGTGGTTCCCGGGCCTCAAATCGAGATTCATATACGCGGAAACGCCCGTGCGAGGATTTTTCTACCGGGACCTTCTGGGTATTCTAATTACGAGTTACGTCCAATTCATTGTCGGCGCACATTTCTACAAAGCGGCCATTGCCTCCTGGCGGCATGGTGCGGGTACAATGGACTCGTTCGTGTGCGTATCGACCACTTGCGCGTTTTTGTTTTCTCTGTTTTCAGTTTTTGCCAACATTTGGAACGGCTCAAACCAGATGCCCATGGTTGTTTTTGACACTTCTGCAATGCTAATTGGGTTTGTTTCTGTAGGGAAATTGCTCGAAAACAAGGCCAAATCAAGTACAAGCACCGCTTTGAAAAAACTAATATCTTTGGCGCCGTCCACTTGCACCATACTCGAAGACGGGGTGACGAAGACCGTTCCTGTCGATTTCCTGCAAGTCGGGGACCTCATCGAGGTGCAAGCCGGCGGTAAGGTCCCAGCTGACGGGGTCGTCTTAGATGGTGAAACTGAAGTGGACGAGTCCCTAATGACAGGTGAGTCCTTTTTGGTACCAAAGACTGCAGGGTCTTTAGTCGTTGGTGGATCGATCAATGGACCCGGCCTTTTACGCTTCAGGACTACAAAAATCGGGAAGCATACAAAACTCGCTCATATAATAAACACCATGAAACAAGCGCAATTGAGCAAAGCGCCCATGCAAAACTTGGCCGATTACCTGGCATCCAAGTTTGTTCCCTTTATTTTGATCCTGTCGTTGGTGACTTTTGTGATGTGGTACATTCTATGTTACACTTTACCGAAATTGCCTGCTGCATTTGAGACTTCGCATGGGCGGTTTTACGCTTGTTTGCGTATTGCCATGTCGGTGGTTGTCGTTGCATGCCCGTGTGCTTTGGGTTTAGCAGCACCTACTGCGATTATGGTGGGCACGGGAGTTGGAGCTAAACATGGGGTTCTAATCAAAGGGGGGCAGGTTTTGGAGAAATGCGACAACTTGGACGTGTTCGTCTTTGATAAAACCGGTACGCTTACCACGGGGAAAATGGAGGTGGAAAGATTTGTTCCATTGGGAGGACACGAATTGACCCTAGAGGAAATAGCATGTATTAATGCCGCCGAGGCAAACAGTGGGCACCCAATTGCGAAAGCTGTTGTGAAATTTACTGAGAAATTCTTAGAAGGATCTACAAAATCTGCAAGCGTCACGAATCATGAAGTAATTGTCGGTGGAGGTCTTAGGTGCGACTGCGAAGTCGATGGCGCTGAATATCATTTGGTTATAGGGAAAAAGGCGGTTGTACCCGATTTCGAACTCCGCATTGCTCCAGCGACCACGATGGCTTTGGTGGTCATGAACGAAAAAGTTCTTGGATATTTCGAGTTGATGGACTATGTCAAAAAAGACAGCTTCCAAGTTGTCGATTTCCTAGTTCGCAAGGGCTTTAAAGTGTGCATGGTAACCGGTGACAATCACGAGGCGGCGATGAAGGTGGCACAGGAGGTGGGAATCGACGCCAACAACGTATACAGCGAAGTTGCTCCAGATGAGAAAAACGACATTGTCATGCAGCTCCAGGAAGAAGGATCCAGAGGTGTTGCCTTTATAGGCGACGGGATCAACGATTCTCCCGCGTTGGTTACCAGCGACTTGGGTGTCTCTATCTCGACGGGAACAGACATTGCCATGGAGGCTGCTGACGTGATACTCATCGACAGCACTGACCCGACTCACTCGTCGCTGAAAGGCCTAGTATACGCGCTCGATATCGCGCACAGGACCTTCCGCCGCGTCAAGATGAATTTTTTCTGGGCCATGTGTTACAACATATGCATGCTTCCTATAGCAATGGGCGTGTTGATACCGTGGGGTATTTCGATCGAACCTCTAGTGGCCGGCGCTGCCATGGCTGCGAGCTCCGTTAGCGTAGTGTGCAGCTCATTGCTGCTAAACACCTGGAAGCCACCGAAGCTTGACGTTGACGGTGAAAAGACGTTTGGCGCAATCAGATTAGGCTGGTTGAAACGCATTTTTAAGAGAGAACCACGCCAGCCCGTCGAAGACATCGAGTTGCAAGCCGGCCTGCTACAAGAGTCATAATTTCCCGCTTGCTACACCATTCGACCCTCGTCGAAAAGAGCTCTATATTCGTTGTAATCTAAACTAATATACGTGAAAATACTCATATTCAAGATCTTACGCATTTCAACCCACCTATGTACACAGTGTCATTGTCACGTCGACTCCAAAACCTTGGTGAATATTTGTGAGACACCGCATCATTTTCGGCGGCTACAATAGCCGCCGATACGAGCACCGCCCAAGGCTTTACGTGTTTTCAAGGCTGAATTTTCTAATCAAAGAGAACATACACAGAATTCACTATAGACCCAAGAAGACTTATGAGAACAACAGAAGCCTCCTTAGACAAGAAACACGCTCTAAAGACAGAAGCGTATAGCTGTTCAAGGAATGTACGACTATCTTAGCAAACTAACTTGTGGTGTTGAAGAACAAAGTAAAAGCGTCCACATGACAGTTGTTCAGCTTCGATCGTCCATCTAATGGCTATGAGCGGTTGGGTTCATCCGGGGCTCGCCAGAGAGTAGCTTCTTGAAGCCTAAACCCATAACCAACTCACGAGGGCAAGAATCATGGATTACGATCCGGAGTTCGAATCACAGGGTTCGCGAATCCCTTCAAGAGGAATTGCTTCAGTACCAACGCTAGTTTGCACCAGAACATGCTCCGGCAAATCAGAAAGATGCATGTCAAGGCAATTAAGATGAGATGGTTGACCGGTGGGGTCAACTACAGTTACCTGTTGTCTACGCAGGACAAGAGCAAATCGTGGTTGATCGATCCAGCAGAACCGCTTGAAGTGTTGCCAGAACTGAGCCAGGCGGAGCAAAACAGTGTTGAAGCAGTGGTGAACACGCATCATCACTACGATCACTCCGGTGGGAACTTAATGGTGGCGAAAGAACTGGAACGGGTGAAACAGGGCCATGTCAAGGTGATTTGCGGCAGCAAAACGTCGCCTGCCGCGACAGACGTGCCTCAGCACGGCCAAGAGTACAAACTAGGAGACCTGTTGGTTAAGTGTATCCGGACGCCTTGTCACACGCAGGACTCGGTGTGTTATTTCGTGCGGGACCCGCACACGGGCGAGCGGTGCATCTTCACGGGCGACACGCTGTTCACGGCCGGTTGTGGTAGGTTTTTCGAGGGCAACGGCGAGGAGATGGACCAAGCATTGAACCGTCGGATCCTGGACGGTGTCGGCGAGCCGAACTGGGACACTACCAAAGTGTTCCCGGGCCACGAGTATACCAAGAGCAACGTCAAGTTCGTGCGTCAGGCCGTGTACACACGGCCGGGCGAAAACGCGGCGCTGGACAAACTAGAGCATTTTTGTTCGCGCAACGACGTCACTACGGGCTGTTTCACGGTTCGCGATGAGCTCGAGTACAACCCGTTCATGCGTTTGGACGACCCGACTGTTCGCGACGCTGTCAGCGACGTTGAGGGTTGCCTGTCGCGTGCAGAGGTCATGAACAGACTGCGCAAGATGAAGAATGCGGCATAGCGACGTGCGAGAGAAATCCATTGCAAGAATAGAGCGCTTCGCTTACAAGAGCTCCAAAAACACAAAAAAACACGATAAAAATCAACACCTACTGCGCGTGCTACATGTACAACCCCCAGAGACATTCCGCTCGGTCTGCGCGAGACTCAAGCAGGCGTTTGGAAATTATCTAAGTTTCCAAAACTACGTCCTGGGAAAATCACGGTTTCGATCTGCCTCCGCTGTCCACACTTCCATCGCCATGGCTAAAAGACATTGGAAGTTCTTATTATTGTCGGAGGCATAAATTTAATTCCCGGGGTTTTGAAAAACGCAACGAAAGGTCCTGTCGGCCGTGATTCACTCGTTTATATACCATGGTTTGACGCTGTCTGTAGGGCTGCAAAAAGAAAAAACAATTCGAGAAAAAAAAGAAATGAAAAAAGCTCCCATTACTCGCTGCTCTCGTCTGAAATAGCCGCCCTCAAGACGTGGTGATGGTTCTTCGAGGCTCTTCCCGTGGTCCCGGAAAGTTTGGAGCTTTAGCCTCTATTGATGTGTCATTGCCGGGTTTTTCAAATTTTCCTGACGTTTTACGTCGGGTGTGTGCCAGAAAGTGAAGGATTGAAGATAGAAAGAGCGAGACGCTGCTGGGACGTTTGCGATGTAGCTGGTGCGGAATGCTTTGAAAGAGAACGCTTTTGGGTAAAGGACATGACATAGCTTGTGAATTGCAGCGTAAGCGTGCTCTAGCAGGCCCATGTGGAGCCTGGTCCCTCCTTGGTCGTTCGTCTCGCCCACGATGGGCTCCCACAGTGGGCTTTCACAGTGGAGATCGCAACGGTGACGGTGCTGGAAACGCAGTACTATGTATGGGCCTGATCCATTCTCTCGACGATGAGCCGTATCATGTGATGTATGTTTTGATGCAGATCACATCCGTAACAAATGACATGATTTGAAATCGCTATGTACGCATCCGTTTCCATTATCACGTGATATTAGCTTGGCATATCATTCTGTACGTATTCGTTGCTGGTTACAATGTGGAAACAAGGAAACCTCCAAGAAACCACTCCTGTAAAACCTAACACACGTCTCCCTTATACACCGTAGCAGCGATGAGTGACGCGGAACCGGCCAACAAGCCTGTTGCAGACACTGCGCAAGCGAATATAGTCGTGGGAGACACGGAAAAAGCGGTGGCCGAGCAACCGATTCGCGCGACGGACGGCGAGGAGCGCAAGAATGAGCCTAAGGAAGGGCGCGACAATGAGACGTCGACAGCAGACGCTGCGACAAAGGAAGAAGCCGAAGAGACCAAAGAGACCACTCCCCAGGGTGCTGAAAAGGGTACAGTTGCAGACGCTGACTCCGAGGAAGAACGCCCTCCATTGCCCGAAAGAAAGTCGACAACTGAGGTACCCCTAGTTCCCGAACACGACGAGAACCCGGTGCTGTCGCAACTGAAGGACGCGTTCCCAAGCACGGACGTGAAATACGTCAAGGCCGTTTTGATAGCGTCGGAGGGCCGTTTGGACCCTGCGTTCTCTGCGCTTTTGTTTTTGTCAGATCCGTCAGTCGAGGCCGAGATTCCCATCCCGGCTGCCGCGGCCGCGCCTGGTGCCACGGAAAGTCGGGGTTCGAGCCGAAGACTGACGCAATTGGAACAAGACGAACAACTTGCGCGCAGTTTGGACGAGCAATTCAACAAGGACCGGCGTCGCGGCGGCACTGGCCGCACGGGCGAGGCCGAACGCCAGGCACGTGAGCGTCGCATTCGCAGAAGAGAACAGGCATACGAGGCGCGGAGGGCTACGCAGGAGGATCTGGACGGAGCCAGACTCGATGGAGACGACGATTTTTTGAGCCAGTTTGTCGACAAGGATCTGCCCGAGCTCAAGGAGCGGGTCGGACGACAAGTACAAGAAACGAGTAAGCGTGTCAACGAGTGGTTCACGGGTATCCGGCGCACGTGGACGCAGGAAGGGGACGTCGCGGCGCAGGAGCCCGGGGCCGCGCAGTACGCGTACGGTGATGACGAGCGCGATTACGTGAGCACTGCGCCGCGCCGTACCGCGCGGTTCAACTCTTTTGGCGCGCAGGTGGGCCACGATGACGCAGACACCAAGGGCATTGCGCTGCGTAACGACGACGAACTGTCCAACGACGACGGCGACGACATCCCGCCGCAGCTTCCCACGCGCCACAAGGCGGCGGACCAAGCCAAGCAAGTGGTCGCAGAGACCACCTATATCGACACTCCAGAGGCTGCGACCCGTAAAAGGTGGCAGCCGCTACCCCCGGAGCCCATGAACGCGACCGCGACCCCGACAAAAGTGAACGCGACGGCCAAACCGCGCAATCCTGACGACGACGAGTTTCTGATCAACAGTGACGACGAGATGTGAGATGCCCGCAATTGCACGTCGCGGCCCGCTGTTGGCTCCTGTGGGTCAGGACTTTGATATTTTCGCTTCAACTGATTATATGTCAGATAATGTAGATAAGTTTTAGAATCGATAGTTCATCATACACAAGCTAACAGCGCGGCAGGATTGGATTACGAACACGGACGTATTGCGGCGTTCAAAAAAAAGCTACGCGCCATATTGAGGGGCTACGATCTGATTCTGATTTGAACAGCAAAGCGGCTCATTTCGAAGCACTAGAAAAATACGGCAAGACGTAGCCTTACGTCTTAATGGTCACTTTAAAACGGTTTAATGGGAGCTTCTTTTGCAGGTTCTACCTTAAGCAAAGTTCTGCCTTTTATACTTCCATGAAAAGCTTGTGATGGGCTGAAAAAAAAATTATCACCAGATGCGGGTAACGTTGTCGTATGTAATGATTACTGGATCGCGGATTTATCGAGGTGTTAAGCGGCTTTAAAGCTGTTAACTCCGATGTTAGCTATCAACTCCTAAAGAAGCGCAAACAACTATTTATTATTACTTGAGTTATACCAGTAGGATTTCAACCTCTTAAAGCCCAGTTTTGGCCGCCTTTTAAATATTTCAAGATTTATTGGTCGTGAAGAGTGACATATCGTTCCTCACGATCCAATCGGGTTCGTTACCCGGCGAGAGGACTTGTCAAAGTGAAAAAATATTACAACCGGTAGGGATGCACTATACATCAGATAACCAGAAAGTGTACAAGCAGTGAAAATAGTGGTGCTGAAGGGCTCTCCAAGACCAAGATGACGGAACCGCAGAGCCTCATTACGCAGGTGCAGCCCGAGTACGGGCCTGCACCTGTTATGCCCGATCAATCGCAGCCGTTTTTGGATGAGGACTCGTTGATACATCTCAATATTCAGGAAAACCATTACTACATTACACGGAACCAGCTTATGTCGTTACCGGAATCGCTATTACTGTGTCTTTTCCCGTCAGGAGTGTTCATGGACCGCACGGGCCAGGTGATTACGAATCTGACGTCGCAGGACGAGGTCTATATTGGGAATTTTCCCCCAGCATGCTTTGAGTACATTATGGAAACGTATGTGCAGGCGCAGGAGGATTTGGCAAATTACCCAGTGGACGAAGTTTTTGGCGCGGGCGCCACAGCGTCGGGCCTGGCCCGCGACCAGTCGCGGTTTTTCGGGTTCGGGGCGCATACAGCGCCGCCTCCTAGCGACGCGGATTTGTTGCACGAAAAGCCCAGCATCATCGTGCTACGGGAAGACCTGGACTACTACTGTGTGCCACAACCAGTGCTCAAGACCGAGCGGGAAGAAGACCGCGCGGAACTGTTGCGCGAACTTATGGTGCAGGTCAAGCTGGCTGCCGGCAGCTACTTGACGTCGCAGACGAGCGTTTTTCTCGGGTTGCGCAGCTCCAATCGCGTCAAGCAGCCATTGCACCAGGGCCAGCACCAGGATGGTCACGGCAGTGTCTTGAAGTTGGGCCCAGCTGAGCAACATCTCATGGACATGCTATGCTCCTCTGGATTCCACGACGGCTCCCGGTGGGGCAACCGGTCCCAGGAGCCGGGCAAGACCGTGATCAGCTCGCTCTCGCTGTGCAGGCTCGCAAACGAGACCACTCAAGAGTTCCGCGACCGTTATAACGAGGCGCGTCGTGTCTACGACGCAGATCTCAAGAGACGCGCCACGTCGGAGCCCCTCACACCTTCGACGTCGCGGTTGTCACCCTCGCCCTCGCTGACGGCCGATGCGTCCTCGAAACGTAAGTCTCGGCTCTCTACGTTTGCAGACAACGTGCGGTCGCGTTCCGGGTCTCGTCAACGGTCGGGGTCCCGCCAGCGCGCCCCCGACGCGCCACCTGCGCTCTACGACCTCGTCCCAAAACCCGATATCAACTCCAAGCTGCTGCTGTTCTGGAAAAAGCCCGCTCGCAAGTGCTGGTGGGGCGAAGACGACGTCGATCTCGAAATCGAGATCCGCGGTCACTACGACACCGCGACCCACTCACTATCGGTCAAAAGTTCCGCACCCATGGCTCTTGTCAAGATACCTGTCAAGCTACACATCCGTCGAGTATGGACTTTAGAACTAAGCGTCGTGGGAGTTGACTGAACGTTGTTGTACCGGTATATGACCTGTAACGTTCGAATAAAGACCCCGATCACGCAAACGACATGCAAACAGCCGAGATCAAGCTCTCGGAGCTCGCACAGCTCACGTAGCCACACCTGATCCCGGCGAGAAAACGGCCCTCCATCGCAGGCCTATCTGTATAGAGATATAGAAATAAAGCTCGTCTTGAACGGCGGAAGTTCATCACCAATCACGTGTTTATTTTTTCTTTTTAGATCATTTCTTACGTAAGTCGCGTGACATCCCTTGGGCCCTTGGCAAAAACCGTTATCGAACCACACTTGAAGATGATCCAAATGTCTCACTTCAAGCGTTTAATCTGTGAGGTTCAAAGGACAGAACAATCCATTTCCGGGCCGAAATCGGTGTTTCAAGCAACTAGCGTTGTTCTAAAAAACATGGATGCTGCTCAGATGTTGAAAACGGCGTGGATTTTGGCCGGTTACGCGGCGCAAGCGGTGCGGATTGCGCTCTGCACCGTCGCGCTGATGTTGCTGGGACCCATGGCCCTGCTGTACGTGTACGACGCAGTACTCTACGCGTGGCGTGTGGTGACGGTGCGCGACCGACGTGGTGGTCCTGCGTCGGACGGACGTCGGGTCGGAGCGTCAGCAACCGACGCTTCGCCGAAACCTGTTGTTGCGAAGAGCGTCAGAGGTGAAACTGGCAAATCCACGAACGGCGCCCAGTGCACGGGCTCCGGTGCCGAGACGCACGAGACGCAGGCGCGTGCGAGTGCAGACCGTGGTGTCGCGCCGCGAAGGCCAGATATGCCTGCGCCGGAGCTGATTCACGACACTTCGCGGAGCCTGATTTCTAGCACCGCGTGAAGGGCACAGAGGGGGGAAAAGAGGCTCTACAAGACTCACAGTTTTACACACCAACACACGGATAATAGGATGAGGGTATCCTCGCAGTTTAAATATTCACGCAGCTTCAGTTATGCCGGTCATAACGTATAGAGTTTCCAGTTGCGGGAGGTCGAGAGAGGAGCCTGGGGCGCGCCCCAGGCCCTCCCCACCGTCGCTAAGTAGGTTTTAAGATTATATTATGGTTTCAGCAAGGCGTGGTTGGCCGGCTGGTAGGTGCTGTCGGTGCTGTCGGTGTGGTGTGGTCCAGTCACGTGATCGTTCCTGATAAAAGGTTTGCGCCGACGGCCGCAGGAATTGTGCATGTGTACGGCTAACGCTATCTATCTGATTACCTCTATTTGCGGTGTAGATTCGTCATCATCATAGTTACGTTGCAGCCCGGACCAACACACCTGTGTGATAGGGCTTTTAGCAGTTGACGATTGTCAAATTGGCATAAAAATTAGTGTCACGTGATCGCAATGACAGAATCAATAAAGGACACTTTCGGAGAAATGAAGATAGGAAGTGAAAGTCCTGGAGGTACCAGTGAAGGCTATGGAGCTTCTCGTATTGAATCAGACCAGTAGGGCCGTGTTACAGGGAAGGGGTATATCCCTTACCATTTTTTATTACGGGGGGATCAGATGTCGACGGCAAACAACATTACAAGAATTGCATAAAAAGAGGTGAGAGGATATACACGGCGGCCACACTGTCAAGATTCTCACGGAAAGAGAGATAAGCACTATATACCCGATACCCGCTATATTTGTAACTAAGAAACGCCAATGACAAACATGCTCTGTCGTCGACGGTGATCTCGCAAGGTATCCTGGTATAGGAAAAGTTTTCAATAAAACGGGCCCGGTTACAATTATAGCTGGACACAGTATCAAACATCACTAAATCGCTCTCTCATGTCAGGCAGATTCGGTATTCCTGGGGCTGCACCAGCGCCCAAACAGCCTTCGCGGTTCCAGCAGTTCAAAGAGACGCCCGCATACCCAATTTTGGTCAACGTGAGCCTGTTCATCGCGGGCGTCGCGTTCATTCAGTCGCCTCTCATGGAGATGATGGCGCCACAGCTGTAGACAGCTGTTGGTGACGTGTATATATGTATAGGTCCATGTATGAGTTCATATGAAAGGGCCCAGTTTTCATTATTATAAAAGTATTATTAATCTTACATTACACAGCTACTCCGGCACCCTAGTTCTTTAGCACGACGTACAAGGCGTACAACATACCGGGGAAGTACGCGCAAATCGTGAGAACAATGTCGATGATGCATTCGGTGCCCCAACCGTTGGCGAGGAAAACGGCAAGAGGTGGGAGAATAAGAGCTGAGTGAGGTGTTAGTGGTTGTTGTCGAAACCCTGTAGGAATGCTGCGAGGACGCTAGGCGTACATACCAATGACGATGTTGACGATTTTGGCGCTGTCCATTGTGTTGTGATGGTGTAACTGAATGTGTGTTTGTGGTGTCCAGTAACCACCGAGAGTGCTAGTTTAGGATATCTACCCCTATGATTGACCCGGTATTTATAGTTGTTTCGATATCTCTATCAAATTTCAACCGATAGAAAAAATTAAAAATCGCTCGCGGATGGACGCGATGAGCTACAACAAAAGAGGCGCCATTCGGTTTCCTATTTGTAGTATAAATGGCTCAAAGACGAGCCAAAGTTTAGAAGCTTGCCTTATTGTAGTATAAGGGCTTGGCTCGAGCGTTCGCTCGAGCCATTGTTCTTGTTCCTGTACTGTGCCGGCCATCGCTCAGGACGACTCGACTTGGACGGTGAAATTCGTAGCGACAACGTGGTAGGAGTAGAGGCATCACAATGGCATAGGTAGGGAATTATGTAAGCCCGCTGGGTCTCGGCCGGAGATTTTACTGCGGACTGTAACTGCATGCTATTTCTGTAAGCGGGTTTTCCATATGTACTGTAATCGCATCAGCTGGGCTTCGTAGGAGAGCATTCCATCACGCTGCACCGCATCTATCAGTCCTTCAACACTTTCTTGACCACCTTTTCGACCTCATCCCAGTCGTCCGTGGGCACGCGTGTCATCTCGAGTCCAAAGTACTGCTTGATGGCCGTGAGCACGTCGAACGATTTCTTGTCGTGTATGAATGAGATCGCTACACCGGTTCTGCCGAACCGGCCTGTTCTACCGATCCTGTGGATATAAGTGGCCGGGTCGGGACGTCCGTTCGCGAGCACCGGTAGGTCGTAGTTGACTACCATTGAAACGGTCGGAATGTCGATACCACGGGCCAAGACGTTCGTGGTGATCAGGACCTTTGAGCGGCCCTCGCGGAAATCGTCGATCAGCCGGTCCCGCTCCGACGACTGCAAGTCACCGTGCAAGATCGACACTTGGTGGCCCTCTTGTTTCAGCTTCGCGTACAGCACGTTCGCGGTTTGCTTCGTCTGCACGAAAATGATCGACGACCCTATCGTAAGAAGCCCGTAAAGCTCTGTGAGCACCTCATACTTATTGTTCTCGTCCGTACAGTCCATGAATAGTTGCTTGATCGCGTCCACGTTGACTTCGTTCTTCTGCAACTCAAGCGAGTTCGCGTTCGGCACGACCTTGCGCGCGTAGTTCCGCACTGAATCGTCGAAAGTCGCGGAAAACAACACCAGTTGCGTCGTGTTGGGTAGAAACTTCTTTACTCGCAAACACTGGTCACCGAGTCCCTGCTTGTCGAGCATATTGTCGGCTTCGTCCAAAACGAACACCTTGACCTGGCCTAGTTGGATCATTTTACGCCGCATGAGGTCCAAGACCGTGCCCGGAGTTCCTACCACAATTTGTGCGTTGATGGGCTTATTTCTTTCGTACGAGTCCGGCACGATTAGTTGTGTCGTGACTTTAGAGAACTTGCCCATTTCTTGTACCACTTCCAGCGTCTGTCTTGCCAATTCTCTAGATGGCGCCAGACAGATGGCCTGCGTTTGATTGACGCTTGCATCGACCCTGGAAAGCATGGTCAAAGAAAAAGCGGCAGTCTTCCCTGTACCGGACTGCGATTGCGCAATCATGTTTTTGGGAGGATTGCTCAACAGCAATGGCAACGCTCTTTCTTGAATTTTCGAAGGTTTCTGGAACTTCATCGCATAAAGCCCCTTCAATAACTCTGCAGAGATCCCTAGCTCTTCGAAAGATTTGATACTGTATAAAGGTGAGTTTGGATCTGCTTGAATGTCTGCTAAATTCACCTTCACTTCGTAGTCAGATTTGATTAAATTCGAATCCTTTTTTTTCTGGTCTTCATCATCTTTCTTCGAGTCTTCTTCAGTCATTCCTAATTTCAAGACCTTCTTCTCATCAGGGCTCACGGTCGCTAGAGCCGAAGGCTTCGCATGCGCATCGTCGTGCTGACTCTTTTGCGAGTCGATGTTCAAAGACGCTAATAAGTCCGCCGCATCGGATTTCTTAACTGGACCTAATTTATCATTATAATAGTTAGCAGAGATTTGACGCTTCACACGCTATGAAAACAGAATATCATACCGCTCATTGGGTTCAATTGTCTTGATATATATACTCTTTGTCTAACTAGTGATGCCATTATCGTCAATGATTTCTCTTTTAAAATTTTGAAATTCAATGCGTTCGTACGGAGGCCTCGTCCGATGAGCTTGTAGCTTAAGAACGAGCGTAATCAAGCCAATAGAAAAGTTGACTATAGAATATCTGATCTCTCTTATTGATTTAGTGTATTACTTCTGGACTCCCAGCGCCCTTACTATGCAAAATGTGATATGCGAATTTTAACAAACAAAGCACCCGTAGAAATGATTTACATGCCGTCGGGCGTCCAATCTAGTCCTAGTCTTTGGTACACCTGGGCCTGACAGAGTGACCATAGCTGAGCTTTTTCTTCTCTAGTCAAAGATACTTTTGACGGTAGTTGTGGTGGTAATGATGGTTCCTGAGCGACCATTTTGGCTGTGTTCTTCAGTAAAGTTCTTTTCAGTAGTGACGTTTCCCGACGCCTAGGTGGGATCGTTGAAGGTGGAGGCATGTCCGGCTTTTTCACTTTCAGTTGGTCTTGTTTCCATTTCTTGAAGTCGGTGCACTTCTTCTTGAAATCAAAGCGGCACTGCGCCTGAACGGCAACGTTCAAAAGGTAATTTTCTATAATGTTCCTCCATTCTGGTTTTGTCAAATGCATGATTGGTTCGTTCAAACCTGTGAGCTGTTCGTGTCTTTTGCGAGCAGCGGCTACCGTGTACTTGGCGCTAGTTAATTTGAAATCCTCCGGTAAGTTGGCTTCCAGGTACAGATCCGATTGCGACAGGGTCTGTATTATAAATTCGTCAGGAGAGTTGAGAGGTAAAAGCTGGACCTGAAATTTGGGGGACGCTGCATTTGCCTGCGTTTCCAGCGAGAAGTCGATGATAGGCAGTTGGTTCCCCCACTCAGGACGTAACCTTTCCACGATGAGCAACGAACGAATGTCGTTTAGGTCCCAATCCAAGAGTTCACGTTTGGTGAATTTGGGCCGACCATTGCAAAGTAGATTTTCCTGGTTCATAAGGATCTCTGGGGAGTACATGTCGTAAAACACTTTCGGCAACGCTTCTGCCAAAGTCAAGACTCTCGGTACCGATTTCTTTATTAGCGACGAAGCAGCGGTCGTGGCTGCACTCGACAAAGATGGATGTGACGAAAAGAGACTCGACGTGCCCGAATCTGCCTCTGAAAACGTCACCGATGGCGCGGAATAGATGCTCCCAGCGTCGCTGTCGGAATGAGATCGTGAGGCGCTTACCGATTTTTGCGCAAGCAATCGCCGTCGAATTTCATCACGCGCTCTGTTCGCAAATTCTGGTGGGGCATTGACGAACTCGCGCTGCGAGTTCGTTGGTAGTTGATTTTGGCCGTTTAATTCTGCGCCTTCCGGAACCGTGGCCAGCTCCGACGTTTTTCGTCTTAAAAGCAGCCCAGGAACCGCTTGGGATGAATTGGCAGGAGGTGGAGATACAAACATGACCGAAACTGGGTGTCTCGCACTGCCAACAGATGAGAACTTGATTGTGGCCTCTTAGAAAAGCAAAGAAGCTATAATTGGAATCAACAACGGCAGCTGCACTGGAAAAGGCGAAACTTCGCAATCTCGACTTTGTCTCTCTCTGAGTGCCAAAAGTCTCAACAGAATAACGACAAAGACCCCGTGCAGTAGCGAAACTATCTTAGGTATAAGACTGGTCCCGAAACCTTGCAAATTTGCTTGACGTTAAAACTCAAAGCTCTTTAGGCCCTTTCCTTCCGACTCACCTGATCTCTTTCTTTGTTCTCTTACTTATTCTTCTGAGCTCAAAAAAAGTGATGAATCTAATCTCTAAGGCGGATTAGTCCTAGTCCTGCCCGAGGTTCAAATCTGATACTGTTTTCGCTTTTTCTATCTTGATTATGTTTCCTGATATTCTGCAAGTACGTTTTGTTCACAGGGTTTTTCCAGAGGCCCTCGTATATAAATAAGAGTCCCTGAATTCTCCACACGCAATCCTTTTGCAGCCGGGATGAGGTCCGGAACAAATGCTATTGTTCCTGGAGTACCGGAAGATGATTGGCAGGGGGTGGCCACAATAACTAACTCCGAGGTCGCCTGCGTGATTTCTGGGCAATTGACCTCTCACGGATTATTTCCACCCCGGGGGGAAAAATTAAATCTCGGAAAAATTTTTCCACGGTGGGAGGGTCTAGAATGCCTTTTTTTGACGTAACCAGCTGATGCCCGGAAAAATGGAACGAAAAAAGAAATGAAGAACAGAAAATCTTTGAAATAACTCCGATGCGGGGAATCGAACCCCGATCTCCACGGTGAGAGCGTGATGTGATAGCCATTACACTACATCGGATACTGCTGAAAGAAGAGAGGGTATTTTGGAGCAGGAGACTAGTCGTTGATCACGTGACAATCAAGTAGTGTGTATTAGTTCGTCCTCGTTCGAGTGATGATATAAGGAAGTCAAAGGACCCTTTCGTTCTACTACTATTGCTTTATTTTATCATTTATCAGCCCTTAGTGTGTCGGGTGTCGCTACCGACTGTCACTAATGATATTATGTTTTTTTATGTTTTTCAATCTTTGAGTCGTTTCTGGGCTTGAAAGAAAATCAGGAAGGGAGAAGCACAACTTAATAAACAAGACGAGCTGAACTGGTACAACTAAATACCTCTCGACTCTTTTCAGATCTAGACCGCCTATTTAATCATTGTATAGTTAGCGTACAGGTTCAATTGTAGCCCGAATTCCGCGGCGGTGGGCGTGAAGAGCCAGAATAGCGAGAATAACGACCGCCTTGTTGGTCGCGATTTGTCTGGTAGTTCCGCGCATTTGAAAACCTCGAATTGTTACTGCCATGGTTGTTGAATCGCGACATACGCTCTGGCGGTCCGTGACGATTCGCGTACTGCGACGGCATGTTATTGTGAGGCTGCATGTTCACCTGCTGGAAATACAAGAAGGATTTGTACCCACCCAACCGCGGCTGGTACTGCGTGGTTGCACACGGACCCACCGGAACAACGTTGTATTTCATGTCTGCTGCGTTCCAACGCTGGCTGTAGCGGTGCACGACTGCGTCGCGGTCTTGAGGAGTCAACATTGGCTGGGATGGTATGAACCCATTCAAGAGCACAGACTTGCTCCGGCATGTTATCTCGGGCATTCTGTAGCCAACCTTCATGAACAGATTAGTACTCAAATCGGGCAGCCCACCGCCGCTGACGGGGCTCGAAAGCTTACTATTAAGCACAAAACCTTCCACGTCGCGAAAGGCTTCTCCCGAGAGACCACTGGCGAAATGCTGAAACTTCACAACCTCGACGGGCGTATCGCCGTACAAATTTGTAGCGAATTTTGCATAGTTCGCATTTTTATTGCTGATAAGCAAAACTTCATCCTTCCTGACGTTACGGGCAAGTTCGTCTGCACTCAAGTATTGGTATTGATCTCTAACGACTTTCAGCAACTTGCGTTCATCAATAAATGGCAGCAACGCTATACCCTGCCATGACATTTTCTTCCCGTTCATGTCGATAGGGAATTCCTCGGGGTAGAATTCTATTATTTCAGAGTCTGGTTCGCTCATGAGACTCTTGAACAGTGGTGGCAAGTTATGAGCCGACGCTGCGGGCAGGACACTCATCAATTGCTCATAAGGCAAAAATGGTTCTCCCTCCTCAAATTCAATCTTCAAATTTTTGACGTCCTTGAAATCGCTTGCAAAAGGAGCGTAGTGGTAAGGATAATACCAATTCCAGGACGCACAACCTTGATAGTAGTACAGCAGCACCCATGATATCCCCTCAACATAACACCGAACAAGGTCTTTCCTTAATTTGTCAGCGTCGTTACCGAAAACTCCGAATTTAGCTCTATAGTAACGATCATGAAATCCAGGTTCATAGAGCTTGACAGCCTCATCGGTGTCGATTACACCACTGACTACGCCGCTAGGATGTACTAAAGGTACCCCGGCCAAACTGCCGGTATCATCTTCGCCTTCTAGGCCCGAATTAGGGGTATCTGCTGAATCTTCGAGCTTTCTTTTTAATGAGCGCTCAACGACATCTTCATGGTTTCCTGCCTCTGGCGTAATGAGCTCGTCGTTGTCTTTGGAAGCAGCATTCTCGTTATTGTCGTCTGTTGCTTCTGTCTTTATAATTTGAGATTCCAGCTTCTGCTTCATCGCAGCAGCAGCATCAAAATTAGCTTCATTCGCGGCGCTGACAACAGAAATTTGAGATTCTTGAGACTGAACACCGTTTTCATTCAGCATGCTTTGCATTTTCAACACTTCAGCGGAAGTTTTATTGCCCTCGTTGGCCAAATTCATCTCCTTCCTGTATTTCACAAAGTCGGCGTTTGAAAGATTCAATGAGTTCTTTGCGGAATTGCCACTCACATCGTACAAAGGAAAACTTTCAAGAGGAGCAGTAAAGTTCCTATCAGTTTTCCCCTGTGTAACATTACTATTCTTGAGCAGTTTCCTTCTTTTTGCGGCCTCCTGTTTGCGCAGTTCCTGATTGTAGCGACTCTTGAAAATCTCCGGCTCTCTGCTCGCGAGGTTACTCATCAAGAGTTCAACGCACTCAAGGTTCAAAATTCCATCGCATGTCATATAAGTTCTCAGCTGCGGTAAAATTATCCTCCATACTTCCACCAAAGTATCTATACTGTTTTCCCTCACGTCTAAAGATGGCAAATGCGGTAGAAAATCGTTACCGCAGAAAAAACACATAAACACCCAATCATCAATGGCCCTCTCCAGGTCGAACTCAAACGAAAGACGCGGTATGAAAAGCTCAGCGCTAAGATACTCACGGAGTACACTTATATGTAACCAAAGAAATGGCTTTTCGGAGTCTTGTTGTTCAAGCATTTGTTTTTCTTCATCCGTGACATTAAAAGTATCCTTAACCCGCTGTCTGCGACGATTATCTTGGGCAAAGACGTCTTCTCGAAGAATTTTGAAATGTGGCTCGTGGGTCGCCAGTCCTAAAAAAATTAGATCGGCATCAAGCCCATATATGCAGTGGGACGTATTTGGGTTGTACTGGGGATCAAATCTCTGACTTCGAATGAAGTTCATGATTTTATGTTCTCCTTCTCCAGGAACCGTTGCATCGCTGATAATTACCTGCAAATTCTTCCAACCTGGGTCGGTAGCGAGCTTGAAACTTGTCCAATATCGAAGCGCGGCAGCAAGCTTGACCATAAAAGGCGTTCCCGGAGTGATAGCGTTACTATCCCACGTCCTTTTATTTCTAACGCTCTCATCAATGACTTCACCGAAATCTTCCTTTTCTTGCAAAACTCTCTCGCGCTCTTCATTTTGAATTTGGGCATCCCTTGCACTTCTGAATCTACGGCTTCTTTGCTGGTTCATTTTGGCGCGAGGCGCAACTCCATCAACTGCTATCATGAGCACTTTGCGCGGCCTGGCCATGTTTAAAACTCTGTTAGTGTATTCAAATACCGCCAAAAGCATATCATCTTCGGTTTCTGGCGGGGGACGATTCTCAGGGTGGGAGCATGGATGAACAATACCATTCATATCGAGATACAAATTATCCAGTTCTCCATTGGGATTCGGGGCAGAATAATCAATTGGCAGGGCAACACCATCGACAACCTGTGGCGCGTCTTCAATTACAGGCGAAATAATCTTAGGATACTTCCGTGAAAGCCACCTAAAGAATGACGGAACACCCATGACGGACTGATTGTTTCCCTGAAACTTCCCTGGTGTGTTTTGTCTGATGTCTTTAAAGAGAGTGTTAATATTTTTTCATTAATGGATATTCACATATGAGATGCGACGAAAAAACTAGAACTGGCATAAAAGCCTAGAGCTGTAAGAACAATGAATAATGGTGCCAATAATAAGATCTTTTTGTCTCCTTTCAAGTAGAAGAGAATAGCCATTTAGTATGCCGTTCCTGCTAAAATATTGAAGCCATCCTAATAGCGCCAGTTGCCTTACCTTGTTATCATTGCACCGCTTTTTGAATTCACTGGCTAGGCACATGCCTATTACCCAAGGCGTCTGGCTGGGAGTATGATTTAGAGATACAAAAACAGTCGTCCTGATCGTCAAACTTTTCGGGTGGCAGAATATACGGCAGCAGGATGCTTAGGGTCTTTTTCGTGGAAGCAGTTTCGTCCAGCCCATTGCCTTTTAGTGAGTGGATCGGGTTTTTGATTACAAGTTGCCGATTTTCAGAAGATGTCATTAGAACTCCAACTTCATAATTTTTGGGTTTTCGAGTGGCTGTCCCCCATGCATGAAGACTCAAATTCGCCGTTGTGAATAAAACCCAGTCTGGACAGTTGAAGCTTTCAGAGTTTTGAGAATTTGTAGTAAACTTAGCATAAAATTTCGTATGAGAAGGGGTAGTGTTTCGAGACGTGTGTCTTTCTTGGCGCTGCTTGAAGAAGAAACCGCTACTTTTGAGCTTTTCGTAAACTTTTCTAGCACATTCGTTTCTCGCGCGGTGGTAGTGAAACCAGCCACTCGCCATGTATCCCAGTGTGCAATTCCGAATTTCCTTCTCAGTAGGATACAAGATATACGGTTTTATTCCCTGTAATTTGTATAGCTCTGCCAATCGATCCCAATCCAATAATTGATTGGTCCGCTTTTTTGTTTGAAGCTCAACAGCAGGTAATAAGCCCGAAAGAAATGGGATCATGAGATGTGTCAACAAATTACCAGGCGGCGAAGAACCAGCTGTCAATGGCGCCCCAATAGTGGAGACCTGGCAAAAATAATGATGTAATTGATTATCCTTGTTTGAAGGGTCCTTAACGTGACGAAAATCCTGCAATTCATTGCACAAAAGTCGAAACCCGGTTCCAGAATCATCAAAAAGCTTCTTAGCGGGTCTAGGGGAGGAATATATGAATTTCAAACCATATTCCTCAATTTTGGTAAAATTTGTTTTCGTAATGGTCTCATTCAGATCACTCAAATCACAATCGTACGTTGACAAGTATTGCAATAAACTGTCTCTGAAATGAGACATACTTTTCCGTGCCTGGCTCTCACGGGGCAGCAGAGGACTGCTCCAAACCACTTGCTGTGGTAAATTTGTTTCGGCCGATGTGAAGTTATTGGATGGGATGTATATTCGCACGCCCCCATCCTTGTATTCGTTTATTATAAGCTTGGAGTGATGACACGTAAAAGGTGGCATGTCAATGAGTAATGTTTTCATGTTGCTAATTAGCGACTTAAGTTTTGGCGTCATAACGCTTAAAGGGAGAATGGTACCCTTTTGAGCAACAATGGTTAGCTTAACCCGGGGATCAAACATAGTCAAAATGTAATCCAACTCGTATTGAAAACTAAACAGCCAGCACCGACATAAATCTGCGCTCGAAAAAATTTCGGTGAAATCTGTGAACTTTTCCTGGCTTGCTCCGGTCGTTTCATATAGGTTTGATTTGACAATTTTGAAAGACGGCGTGTCAAGCGCTTCTTCTCGTTTGAATGACCCACGAGCTTTCGGATACGGTGAACCTTCTGACTCCTTAGTTTCGTTATCGGTTGCGCCGGCGCTAAGTTGTTCTGTTGCATTTTCAATGTCGGTCTCTTCGGCCTCTGATGTTAGGTCTATGATCTCTTCTTGGTTGAGTTGCCTACTGCTTTTGACTCTTTTTGGTTCCTCATTTCCGAATTGTGACCAACGGTCTCTCACGCGCTTTCTGACTTCTGAAATGTCATCTTCTGCCATCGCAGGAGATACAGGATAGCAGATGACTTCTTGTTTACTCAAAAAGAGTTTGCGAGAGACTATGTCTTCCTAACCTAGATTACCAGGGGGAAACAGAATGAGATGCACAAGCTTAACCTTGTTTATAGACGTCCGTGGTTGGCACTAATTGCAAATGGCTCCCAATGATACCCTTTTTTCAAAATGTCACTTCTTGGAAATTCGATATCTCTCAATAAAGACATCAAAGATAAAGTAGAGACAGAAACTATAAAGGAATTCGATACCCTGCATTTTACTTCAAATTAGTTTAAGTGGTCTCTTGATGTATGTCTTGGATACGTAATTGATGCAAATTTCGTCTAATGCTCGCTCGATGCTCTAACGAATAAGCTACAATCTAAACGGTATGGTGATTTGCTGAACTTAACTATAGCAAACAAATCCGCAATTGGCCCTCTACTTTCTACCGTTTTTATGGTCCTTGACTCATTTCATGCTTTTCGGAAAAGGTTCACTTTACGAAAGTACGCTTGCAAATGTTAGAGGTAAGTCCGAAAACAGCTAGTTTTTCGAAATGTACCTATAAGTTAAACAAACATACGCTGCTTGGTGTCGTATGACGAGTCTTCGTTTTATTAGGGGAGCTTTGATTAGCCGCTAAGGCGAAGAACAAACCACGGCTCTAAAGAGACTCCAGAACAAAGTAAACACAGAACCAGGATCTTTCAGAATAGGGAATTTTCCACCTTGGAGTCCTTTTATAATATGCACAGAATAAAAGTTGAGTTTGTACAACGTATGATACAAGTTGTCACTTTACCAAATGGTTAACATTTTGTAAGGAAAGAAAATGAGAAGATAAGACGACTAGCTACAAAAACCTTCACAAGTATAAACTCTTAAGGTAAGCATGAATTCCCTAGAGGCACAATTGACCGGAACATTAAATGAGTAGCTCACCTGGATCAAACGTCTGTGACCCTCGTTGAATATAAATTCATACCTTTATCAGAAGTTTCGTTTGCATGAAACGAATTGCTTGAAAATTCGATCTCGACAACCACATAAGGTGTCCGCTAAAAGGTCTATAATTTCTCTAGCGGTAAACAAAGTTAAAATATCCGGATTTGTACTGTTTCTTTACGACCTTCTTCAAGTGCGTGTCTCTTAAAAATCAACACCTTACGAACGCTTTCACTCCTTCTCTACAATTTCCAACTGATGAGCCTCTAAGACGAACTTCTATATCCTTTTAAAGATAAAAAAACCCCAACTCAAGAAATTGAGTCCTCTTATTCTTATCGGCTAAACGTCGTGAAAGGCTTTTTCTCGTGATCGCATCTACTGCTTTTACCATGAGGAGCTTTCAGAAGCTGATACTAAGGAGAAAGCACACCTTTCCTTTATGGACTACGCACGATCTTCTCCGCTCCGGGCTCCCAGCGAGAGGCAGCGAGGCCACGATACCGTACCGTGATTTCATTGAATGGGTGGGAATCGAAAATCAGAAATCCCAAAATTTCTTTGCTTCTCAGATGAGTTTAAGGGCCAGACATTCCCTGCCAACTACTGCGCCATTCCAACAGCTATTGTCACATTGTATCGCTCGGTGGTTGCTGGTAGACTATAAGCTCAACTATTACCCCTACTACAATTTAAATGTCGTATTGTTGCACACTGATTTCCACCGTTCACTTTCCATTGCAAGAACACTTTTAGAGTATTTCCGGTCCACGATTAGCCCCGGCTTGTTCGACAGAGTCACCGTTTTTCTTGTACCGTTACATGATGATTCAAGACGCAAGCTCATCCCTGACACCAAGATAAAAATCGTAGACCACAGTCTGTTTTCCACGGAACCGGACTTCCTTGTTGACGATCCTGCACACATTTTGATGGTCGACGACATTATGCGAAATCTTTCGCAAGATTTGATCGTCAGGAGAGGCAATGAATGGCACCAGGGTTTCGTTGACATAGCGACAGACGGAAGCCGCAATATGAGGCTTGAAATGGACATGGATTATTGGTGCAATAAGACGTTCAGATTATTGGAAGGACATTTGAACGGTGCAGCCGGCGACGAAGCCTTCATCCCGACAAAATTGGTGCAACTTCTGCATATTCTAAAACTCTGTGTTCCGGATCACAGATTGCTCGCCATCGACTACTGTGCAACGTACCGACCAAGCTTAGTGGACCGGCTTAAAGGATTGTGTGGGTATAAAATGCAAGACTATCACATGAGTCAAAGAATTGGGCCGGTCAACCCACTACACTCTTGGGAGCCATCTTCGTTTCTCTGCGACTTCAATCTTGTAAAACAACTGTATGCTTCCGTTAATGAAGGAATGAAGACGTGTCGAAACGACCCGCTAGAGACATTTGTCGAGAGTTGGAGCGATCTAGACGAGAGCAAGAAAAGCATGGACTGGAATGAGGTGTTAAGTCAGTCGGAAAGCCTAGGACAGAGTCCACTGAGTGTTTTACATGGTTGATTTTCGCTACAAAAAGGCTCGCGCTTAAGTTTTGGCCAAAGCGCCTGCCTAATTTCTCAAGTAAAATATTCTTAGCATTTTCATAATTGGCCCAATTAATATTCTTGAACAGTTGCGGCGCTGATTCTTTAAAAGCAGTTTGCTGTTTTTAACCATATAGAGTACATTGAAAGATAAATCCGACCTTTATAATTGTGTCAAATGCGACGTGCGGATTAAACTTGTGAGGAGTACTTGTTCAACTCTTGCATTTCGCCCGAGCTCGAAGTGGAATCGTGCTCCCACGGGGTAGACTCAGATGGGGCAGACTCCAACATCGCAGCCTTCTTCCGGCTGGTGATTTTAATGCCAACCGATTTACCTTTGAAAGCAAATCCTGGATGGAAGATCGACAGCGCTAACGTTGCCGCCGATATCATCAGTGCATCGAGAATAATGAAATACCATTCATGTGTAATCAGGTAGCCGGACCAGCCCTCCGCCAATTCGATGACTCTGTATATGCAACGAACATACACGAAGATAACTGTCGCCGTTAGAGCAAGAGGGAAATATTTGAAGACCCAGCGTTCCGGCTGCCTGAGAAATTCAAATTTGGGCCGGTATAAGTAGTCGATTTCTGTTTGAGTGATCTGTAGCAGGTTCCGCGAAAACTTTTGGGCTCCAACGTGACGTTCACGCGCCTTGATGTAAATCAGATAGCAAAAATGAAACCAGAGAAACAAGAAGGCCGTCATAGTGAAGACCTGAAAGGCTAACCCGGCTACGAAAATGTGATCGCCGGTGGCAGAGCTTTCATAATTTGCTGCGGCAGTGCCAGACATCCCGCCACCTACCGCCTGAACCACCAGCGAGATGATGTCGCAACCCATGAAGATATAGGAGTAAGCCATGGGCGATGACAGCAGGGCGAATGAGTGACCATAAATCTCGATCAGCTTTGCGAGCTGGTAGTAAACGCCCCCCATTGTGAACACTGGAGCAATTGTCAGACAAATAAATTGTAACAAAAAGTAGTTTACATTTTGCACATCGTTAGAGCTCAATGCTCTGCCCGTGTAACCAGCCACTTCTAGACCGCACGCACAGATGAAAGCGATGCAAATCCAGTACTGTCGCGTGTACACTCCAGCACCCAACTGGAAAATCCACAAGAGGCCAAAAATCGCGGCCATGGTCACATTGAATCGGAAATTTGGCACCATGCCCGAGTACATGGACAAGTTGGCCGGAATTTCCGATTGCGGGATATGATCTCTGATTGAAAGCATCGTGGCAAAGAAATCACTAGTAAGATTCCGAAAACCTTGGTAGAGATCTATTAAGCTCGATAGCTGCCGATTTCCTAAAGATACTGACTAAAGAATTCGGAATGGGAATTGTTGTCTATTTGTCACTCGGTAATGCTCGACGCTCGCAATTTCGGACTGCTAACTTATTCAAGTGTGATATATCTCAGTACCCTGTTCAAAGGAAAGGAACCACCAGTAGTCAATACCAATTTCACCTCAAATGCTTCCCTACTTCAAAGGCTTAGCTATTAGTAACCTCGGGGTGTTCTTTCACTTGCAGGGTTTTCGACGGCTTTCGGATAAATTTGCTCGACGGCCGTAATAAATATTAATAGATCATTTTCGGCGATTAGCGATTTTCTGCATCAAAAGTCCGATGAATCCTCAGGATTTCATAGTCATGTAGACCAAAAACCGGCGAAACACGCATAGCAGCTTTGCAATCACACAGCGTCTTGCTTGTGTCTACCTTCTCATAAGCCAACTTTGAATTCTTTAGGATGAGTCGTAATTTTCGAAATAGTTTTCAACTCTCTGGGCACGCAGACTCAGCGTTGAAGCCGGAATAAATAGTTGGTGCCCCTGGCTGCGCCGCGAAGAATCAACGTTCAATACTTCCTTGCTTACCTGACTTCGATGCGATTGTTCTCGATGAAGCCTTCCGGGCGGCTTCCGATGCGCATCCTGTACGGACCCTTGCCTGGAAGAACTCCCGGTGCCTCGGAAAAATCGATCGCGGATAAATTCTATCGCCGAAGCCGTTGATCGCGATTCAATTGCTCATAAATCACGATCCTCTCAAATTAGATCACGTGACTCATATCAAAACGGGGTCAACGCGTTCGCGGCTATAACAACGTTCTCATTTGCCGTTCACTCTTGGGGAGCCAAGAACGCGACGAACGGGACGGCTTAAAGAACTCTAACGCATGCTTCGCGAGCCACTTCGAAAAGGTCACATGGGGACTCAATGGGAATCCTCTCCTTGAAACACACCGCCCCGCTCAAACAGGGCCGTCTTATAAATGGTTCGTTGTTCGTTCACGTACAGAAACGCTACGTCTCTAAAAACAGAGCTGGTTCTGAGTACGAAAAGCGGCCGAAATTTAGCCTGTACGCGGCATCGCACGATGCGTGTCCGCCGCTGATCTCAGACAATGCCGTGTTTGTGCTTGTCCTCGTTTGTTACAGAATGCACGCCCTGGTAATGGCGGCGGCGGGGAACGAAAGTTAATCACCATTGACGAAAATGTTACACGACCAGAAATAGGTGCTAAGGTCACGTGGTTGCCTATCACGTGGAGTGTTTTCTCGTTTCCAAGGCTTTGGACACCTTTGTCCTGTATCTCCTGCCTATTTGTTGAGAGTCTATTGCTCGGGCGAACACCTCCCCCCTCCACAGTCATTTGGCCTTGAACGGGTGTTGGAATACTTCGGAAATGGGTGCTCATGTTCCGCGCGAAGAGAAGTACTTCAATCCGTACAACGGAAAGCGATACACGTTTGCTACATGGCTCTACGATGTAGCCGTATTCATATTCGACATTATATTCACCATTTTTTTCCGCGAGGTCGAAGTCCGGGGCAGCCACCATATGCCACCGAAGGGCACTCCCACAATTTTGGTTTGCGCGCCGCATGCTAACCAGTTTGTAGACGGATCTTTGGTGATGCGCCAGGTGCGAAAGTTGAAAGGAAACCGATCGCGGCAAACGTGCCTAGTCACAGCTCAGGCGAGCTACGACAAGAAATACATTGGTATTTTCAGCAAGTGTACAGGCGGCATACCTGTGCCAAGGGCGCAGGATAATCTCAAGCTCGTCGATCCCAGCATCCAGATCTACGTTCCTGATTGGTCAAATCCTACGATAATAAAGGGACGCTCAACCAACGCCAGCGTTGAAGTTAATTTCAAAAGTCGATTCGTGAGCAAGTCTTTGATAGGCTTGCCGGAGTATCTCGGAAATGCCCAAATCGCAGAAATAAGGGACGAGGAAACTCTTGTTTTGAGCAAGCCTTTCAAAGATACAGACAGAACTAGACAATTACTCGCGGAAGGAACCCAGTTCAAATATGCCCCGAGGATTGATAACACAGTGGTTTTCCAAAATGTGTTCAATCATTTGCACACGGGTGGTTGTGTGGGGATTTTCCCCGAAGGAGGCTCTCATGATCGTCCCTCTCTTTTACCAATCAAGGCGGGCGTTGCCATCATGGCGCTAGGCGCTGCAGCTGCGGATCGCAATATAACCATCTCAGTGGTTCCTTGTGGCATTAACTATTTCCACAGGAATAGGTTTCGGTCTCGTGCAATGCTGGAATTTGGCGAACCTATTCTTGTTGGCGCTGAAATGGGACAAAAGTACGCTGACGATCCGCGTGCTACTACCTCTGAGCTCCTCGAAACCATTACTCAGGCCCTTTACGCCGTGACTGTCAACGCCCCCGATTATGAAACGTTGATGACCATTCAGGCAGCCAGAAGACTGTACGTCCCATTGGCAAAGACGCGCCACGGACACCTACCGCTGCCTCTCGTTGTTGAAATGAACAGAAGACTTCTGATAGGCTACTCCAGATACAAAGATGACCCCCGAATTATGCATTTGAAGAAAGCAGTGCTACGATATAACTCCAAACTGTACTCCCTTGGTTTAAAGGACCATCAAGTTATGAAACTGACTCCAAAAGGTGGTAAATGGAACTCGATGGTAACACTACTACCCAGATTGATTCAAGTCTATATTTTTGGAGTCCTGTCTTTACCAGGAACTATCCTGTTCATGCCTGTATTTGTCACTTGCCATTACTATGCTAAGAAGAAGGCTGAAGAGGGTTTAAAGAAATCACTGGTAAAATTAAAAGGGGTGGACCTTTTAGCGACATGGAAACTTTTAGTGGCTCTCGTTTTTGCGCCAACGCTGTACGTGCTGTATTCTGGGATTTTGTCGTGGCTATATCTCCTACATCCTGACTGGTTTTCGTTCATGTGGATTCCTCGCGTAATGTGCTTTAAGCAAGTGACATTATTTATCTATTTCTACGTTCTCCTCGTTCTCGCGACTTACGCTAGTTTCAGAACTGGTGAAAAGGGGATGGATTTGTTCAAGTCGTTACCGCCACTAGTCGTTTCTTTGGTTTATCCCGAGCGCAAGCTAGCTGAATTACAAAAAACACGCGAAAAGCTGAGTGCTGAGGTCACCCAAGTTTGCAATGACTTAGGTCCAAGCGTTTTCCCTGACTTTGGTAAGTTTGCCAATTTTCAGAAAAAGGTTGTCAAAGAGGAGGCGAGCGACGACGAAATCTTTTCAACACGGAGCCGTTCATCTTCGGTTCATTCTATGGCGTCTAATCTTTCCAATGCTCTCTCCAAAGTCAACTCCCGAGGTTCTCTCTCAGACGTGCCTATCTTAGGAGAAGGACGCGTGACTGATGACCAGGAAAACGAAGATCAGCAATTCGAAGTGGAAAACACCAAAGGCAGCTCTTCGATCGCCAACATGGTGAGGCTCAGACGAAATAATACCAAAGATGAATGAACTTATGTCTATAATCAACACGGTAGACCGTTCCCACGTGAAACGTATCGTATACATATATTTGTACAATTACCGGTCATGCCTAAGCCCGGTTGCCGTCCTAGTGCCACTTAATCTTCACCTGCAGGGATCTCGTCTTTTAGTACCCTGTTGAGTTTGATGCGAATCTCGGTGCTTTGGTCACCTCTTAATACGTCGTTTACGAAAAACACATCACAGTCCAATTGAACCATCTCTAGAGCGCCTTTGAGCACCCCACAGAGAATGTTTGAGTACCAAAGCTCCTTGACGGCATCCATTGGTAGTTCCACGAAATCCGATAAAGGGTTCTCGTCCAACAAGAGTGAAAAGGCCTCCTTGTTGTTGGCCCAATTGGTTACCTGAGGTGTTATATTGAGGAAGATCTTGAAGGCACACTTACTTATCACTTCACTTGTCTTTACCATATTTTCGCATCTAGGCAGCGCTGTGCGTGCCAAGAAGTCTTCGATCAGTCTCGTTCCGATATTGTAACCCATCGCAAAAAGCTTTTCATTCACTTTGGTAAAGTTTCTCTGGAAGTCAGTGCTCAATTGGGATACAATGGATCCGTATGTCAATGTAAAGAGCTCCGCATTGATTTTCGCTGTCTTATTCTTCCATATTTCATCGCCAAATACTCTTAAAGATTTCGTTGACGAACTCACGTTCACTGAGGAAGCAGCTGCATTGGCTGATCCGGCACTCATTATTCTGATCTCAGAAGGTGACAATCGCGGATAATCGTGCGGCTGTGCTTAGTTGATAATCTATAGATTTGATTTGATGAGTTCTTGTATGGAAGTTAGAACTGAAATCAGATGTGTCATGATTTACGTAGGACCACTATGAGCAGTGACTTTTGGCATATAAGCTAGAGGTAAGCCCGCGCTTTTTATTAACCTGAGGCTACCAAATTGTCCAAAACGTTCTGAAACTTGCCGTGGGTTGCCTTGTTAGCTTTGCGCAAAATCCCCTCAGCTTTTTTGTAGCATTCTTCTTGGTCGGCGCTCTCTGCGTCGTACAGATTTCCCAAGTCTATGATGGCTTCTGCAACGTCAACCCAAGTTTGCGGGTCGTCTTCTTTTTTAGCGTTTTCCAAATGATTTACACCTTTGGAGGTGAACTCAATGGCGGTTTTTTGAGCGTCTGTCATATCTAGGCCGTCAACTTCAGTTAGGTTGTCGTCGTCGTTGTCGTATGCTAACGTCAAAAACACTTGACTAGGCTTCTCTGCAGCTTTTAAGTAAAGCTGTCCAAGACGCCTGCTGACAGGGTGGAAAAGCGTGCTTTTGAGAGATTTCTCCCTCTTTTCGAGTTGACTTGCAAGGTTCGCGAGCTGATTGCGAAGCCATTCGTGATGTGCAGAAAGGTTTTCACGAACAAGGTAAAGCGGATGTTTGGTGCTCAAATCTACGATTTCTAGTTCGTCTTCGTCGTCGCTGTCGAGTCCCTCTTCAATATCCTTTTCATGACCATAATTCTCGACGATGTCGACCAAGTCGTCGAAAAGCTGCAAAATCTCAAAGCTGAGCTCTGGATCCGATTCCAGAAGCTGAAAGTCCGTTTGCGCTCTCTCTACGAGCTCGTGCAACTTCAGTTTGTCTGCCTGTTCGCTGGTGACGTCCAGATCGGAAATGTACTCAAGCGGAATTCTCTGCAGCAAGATCTTGGCGCGCGCCAGTCTCAGCGCTCTGGAGTCAGGGAATTCTTCGAGTCCCTTCTCGCACATCTCTAAAGCTGCATCGAAGAAGCCAGACACTTCCTTCGCGGAGTCGTCTTGTCCCGCTTTGAAAATCGTGAGCTCACTCAAAGCAAGCGCGTAGATAGCATAAAACTCGTCATTTACAGTGAGCGAAGTCTCGCTCTTGTCTTGCTGGTTCGCTGCGCGAAGCATTCTATCGCATTCGTGGACAATGCCGTTGAGCACCAACTCGTCATCTCTGTCCGACTGAAAGTATGTTTTCCAAAGACCCTGTAACTGCGCCAATTCATCATCTGGGTCTATACCGTCCTCCAACTCAATTTCCAGTTGATTCGCTGGCGACATGCCAGGAACCGGAGTTCCTTCTGGCGACAACTGAGTGCCAGTTTTCCGCTTCTTAGCTTCCTTCCGCTGCTTGCCTAAACCCAAACTTCTTTTCGCCATTGCTTTCAATAGAATTGGATCGATATTGCGTCAATTGACATCCAAGTTCATGAATAACTGGCTCTAAACGATTCTTAAGTATCAGCTCATCGCACAACCATCAGCCGACTGGAATATTCAAAATCTTGGAAAAAGAAAATAACAGGTAAGATGCCTTCTCACGAAAAGAGTGAAAAATGAGTCGTATTTTAGTCACGTGCAATTTTGAGGAAAGGTCACATGACATATAGTGTGGCTCTTTGATTTGAGCATCATCGCTTCCCATTAAACAACGTTAACATTCACTATAAAACGTAATTGGTATAAGGCATTGTCGGTGGATTGGGATAGTTGGTTGGTTTGGGAGTATAGCTCGGAAAGCCTTAAGCGTATTTGGTTTTGGGTCGAGCGCTAATGATGAACCGCACGCCTTTAATAACTTCCGTTAATTCCGTTGATGAAATTCATCTGTTAGTCGGGACACATTCGTTCAATTTGGGTCTTGCGCGCATCAAATCGATTGTGGAGAGCGGTGCATACGCATTTGTCTTTGAGTCGGACGACGAAAATATTTCTGGAGCGATCTATAAGAGATTCGGAACCAATAATAGGGTCAGAGTCTTGAACCGGAAATTTGCTTTGAGTGATCTCACCAGTCTGGGCCGTAATGTTGTCGGCAGAGTAGTGGACCGCGTATTCGTCAATCTATCGCCAGAAGAGATGCTCAAGGCGCAGGACATTTACGACCAATGCATTAAACTGAGAATTCCAATTTTGACATTTCAGCGACCAGAATTATCCACATTCCATTTGGTGTCAACGTATTCGGATCCCGGCAACAGTGGACTCCAGATTGCAGTGACTACAAACGGCCAAGGTTGTTTGCTGGCAAATAGAATTCGGCGCGAAATAGTTGCCAAGTTACCGCATAATATATCCGACGTTGTCACGAACGTGGGCCACCTGAGAGACCGAATAATCAACGAGGATCACGCCCAACTTGTGAAAAACCATTTACTGATACAAGACCTGCAGGAAACGGGCCATGGAACTGATGAGGATGCTTGGGAGAGCCAGAAACTTAACAAACTTGTCCAAGAGTTCAATATGACCGAGAGGGAACAGAAACTGCGTAGGTCCAGATGGCTTTCGCAAATAATTACTTACTACCCTCTGAGCCAGCTCGCAGAGCTGCGTATAGAGGAGCTCGCCGAAGACTATTCCAAGTTACCACCTAATTCCTATTGGACAGGACAAACTTCCAAAAGCGATACCAATGGAAATTCTGAACTCAATTTACCCTCAGAACTGTCCAATAGTGCGAGCTCGGTCGTAAGCGCTGATAATCGACATGTCAATGTTACTACAGCTTCGAGAGGCAGACTTTCCCTTGTCGGCAGCGGGCCCGGGTCTGTTTCGATGTTGACTTTGGGCGCGCTGCATGAGATAAAAACTGCAGATTTCATACTGGCTGACAAGCTTGTGCCCGAAACAATTCTGGCCCTGATTCCAAAAGGTACTGAAACTTTCATTGCCCGCAAGTTCCCTGGGAATGCAGAGAGAGCACAGGAGGAACTTCTTGAGAAGGGACTCGAGGCACTTGAAATGGGCAAAAGAGTCGTTCGACTAAAGCAAGGCGACCCTTACATTTTCGGACGAGGTGGTGAAGAGTACTTGTACTTTTCAAAACACGGCTATGCTCCTCAGGTTCTTCCTGGGTTGAGTTCTGCTCTAACTTCAACAGTCGTGTCTAAGATTCCTGCCACGCAGCGCGACGTTGCCGATCAAGTATTGGTGTGCACGGGCACAGGGCGCAAAGGAGCGCTACCTCAAATTCCTGAGTATATCAAGTCATGCACAAGCATATTCTTAATGGCATTGCACAGATCTGAAGTTCTAGTGAAAGCGCTTTTTAAGAAAGATTGGCCGCTAGACACACCTGCAGCGATTATCGAACGGGCTTCATGTCCTGATCAACGCATTACTCGAACAATTTTGAAACACGTTCCAGAAGTTATCAACGAAATAGGCTCTCGCCCACCGGGACTTTTGGTGCTCGGTGATGCCGTTGGAGCGTTGGTTAAGTTTGATACTAGTCGTTTCGCTCGCGACGGCGAAAAGAAGTACTTCATTGAAGAAGGCTACGAATACGATCAGCAAGCTGATCTGGACAACATACTCCTATCAGCCTATGTCCAGGCCACGGGAGAATGAGCTACATTTTAATCCAGATCGATCTACGACTTCGAAAAACAGAGAGCTCCCATCATGCATTTTAACAGCTACTGGAATAAACCAGATCACGATTTTAATGGCGTAAGTCCCCCGACGCAACTTCTATTCCGACACCATCGGTAACTTACTGTAATATAATGCTTGTCGTCGAGAGTTCATCAGAGTGAAGAAAGAACCGTCCTGGAAAACTCTCAGAAGAGGTTGAACAGCAACATAACAATGCAAGGCTAACACAAAGTTCACCAATCGGCCAATTTCAACAGATGGAGATGAACGAAATCTGGAGAGATCTCGATGGTTCGAGTTCATTCAAAAATTGATGGTTCGCGCGAAATGTAGATTGGTCACATGACTTGTATGTAAGATTAAGCTAATACGGTAACAAACTATTAAAGTTTCCAGAACTTTAGTTGAAAATCAACGAAGCCCCGACAATGTTTGCAAACAAGGTTAAGGGCATTTCACGTTTGACGCACGTTTGTCGAGCGCTCCATTACAATGCCGCGTTTGCTTTTGATATAGATGGGGTATTGCTGAGAACCAAGACCCCAATTCCTGGTGCATCGGAAGCTCTAAAGCTTTTACAGAAAGAGAAGATTCCATTCATACTATTGACCAATGGTGGTGGTACGCTTGAAGAGCAGCGGGCTGCATTCATTTCGGATACGCTTGGAGTACCATTGTCACCCTTACAAATCATCCAAAGTCACACGCCTTTCAAGCAGTTGGTTCCGAAATATGAGAAAGTGCTTGCTGTGGGATCTGCTACCGTTCGCGAAGTGGCAGAGACGTATGGTTTCAAAAATGTGGTGCATCCGATTGACATAATGCGCTATGATCGAAGTATAGCTCCTTTCTCGAGTATTTCAACGGAAAAGCTTGAAACCGTATCTCGAGAATTGCCAGATCTTGCGACGCGGCCGTTCGACGCAGTGCTGGTGTTCAACGATTCACGCGACTGGGGAGCCGATATCCAGATCGTATTGGACGTTTTGAATAGCGAAGACGGATATTTGAACACGGTGCGCAGAACTCACAGCAGTAAACCTTCCGTTCCGATTTATTTCTCGAATAACGACCTTTTGTGGGCCAACCAGTACAGTTTGAACCGGATCGGCCAAGGTGCATTCAGAAGTACTATCGGTACGTTGTACTCGCGTTTGAACGATGGACACATGCTGGAGGACGTCGGTATCGGGAAACCCACCAAACTAACTTACGATTTCGCTCACCACGTACTTATCGACTGGCAAAAAAAATTGGACGAGGGCAACACCAGGGAAAAGAAACCCGGGCCGCTACCGCAACTCGGCGTTTCTCCAGCCAGCTCTCCGTTTGACAAAGTGTTCATGGTGGGAGACAACCCAGCCAGCGATATCATCGGCGCCCACGGCTACGGATGGAACAGCTGCCTGGTTCGCACGGGTGTGTACCAGGACGGCGACAAACTGCCTTGCAAACCCACGTTGATCGCCGACAACGTCCTGGACGCGATCGAAGCCGTTCTCGAGGGCAAGTGACCCCGCGACGCACACCTCACGCACACGAAAACTCCTCCAAAGACCATACATGCACTAGATATGTAGATTACCATTATAGACAGAAACACACAGAGACCCGTTAAATCTGGATCTTGGGCACTATAGTCTGTTCCGCGGCGAGCTTATCTGCGTTCCGCTGGTGCATCTGTTCCTTGCACGACTTGAGACCCTGACACGCGTGGTTTTCCATGAGCCGATGTTTCGAGCAAAAATGGCCGTGACAGAACTGACAGTCCCCTATGAATTTGAGTGCATTGCAGCCGCATTTGTCAAACAAACACCGGTCTTTTCTCCTCTTCTTACTGCTGTTCGATTTCTTCATCACTCGACTGCTTGCAGTGCCTGTTCCAACACTGTGCGTTACATCTGCTCCTTGGTCCTTTTCCACTATTTCTGCTACTGCATTTACCATTTTTTGATTTATTCTTAACCCGTTCTTGACCCGTTCCTGACCCGTTCTTGCCCCGTTGATACCGTCCTTTAAATATTTTGTTCTTGAAACATACTGTGACTATTAAACCCGAGGTGGCAAATATATATAAACTTGCTCACCCCTTTGGTTTCCCGACCAAGGAGGCTTTACTTTTTGCCGTATTTCACATCACTTTTCCTTAGTCTTCCATTTGGATAACGGGCGCGGGGCGGATTTAGTCAGATAACGTAACGTAAGCTGCTGATCGTACCTGGTGACGCGGTGTGTCACAGTGACACACCGATTACTCATGAGTATATCTCTTTGTACGCGATGAGTAACTCGGTTACTCATCGTTATTAACGGGATGAAAAGTTTCAGTCGGCCTTGGTAAATGTAGCATCACTATCAACGTAGGTACTCTCTGATGCCGGGTAACTCAGCAATCACACGCTGGGGTTTGCAATGTGCAAGAAGGAGCCCCCGCGACCGCTGTAAGCCACTTATTTTCGCTGTATTCGTACTTGGTACGCCCCAAAGCTTGACGTCGTCCCCCGTCGGACCCCATCTTGGCCATATCGCTGGCTGAAAGAGTCACGTGACGCAGGGTGTGCATGCGGTTCTCGCGAGCGAAACGGCGCAGATCAATCTGCGTCGACCAACGCTTTGAAGACGGAGCCGCCGCGGTGGATTTCGGGCTATCGACTCCTGCTCCGTCGCGAGCTGTTTCGAGTTTGGCGCCTTTTCTGTCGCCATGGTCACGTGATAACGCGCACCGTAACCTGCTGTCGACAATGTACGCCAACGAGTCTCCACATTCAATAGAGGTTATGGCGAAAGCCTAGCGGTTGGGTGGAAGGCCGCTCACATCTTGAGGGCGAACTGCTTGGCCTGCGGGCTAGAAGGAAAATACATCACCGGCCACGAGTCCCTGTGCCCCACGGCGTCAACACGTCAATCGCTTATGCCATTTTGGACTGATTTCTGGTTATAAGTTTTATTTAACCCCGTTTTACTCGCATTTGCCATAGTGAAACGTCGGCAGATAACCGTTACCTAGGTGGCCCACCGGCTCGAGGCCGTCGTTGCAGCGTCTATTACGATACAGCCTGCAAGCAACGACAAGTTTTGTACCCAATGCAGGTTTCCCGGCGCGGTGACAACCCCATAGGTGTACACGCCGCTCTGCACCGTCACAAACTGCCGTGCATACCTTCTTCGCGCAGTGTAGCGTGTTTTTTGCTCGATCTTGCATATGTTCGTAGATCATCACAAGTCGTCGGCTACGCCGGCGACGCTGATCTGCTGGCCCGGCTTGAACGCCGGGAGCCCCAAGTAGGGACACCCGGAGCACCTGAACGCGTCGCCAAGAGCGCAAGACCCACACCCGCCGACTTTCTTGCCCTGGACCGTGAAATCAATCTCAGTAAGCTCGTCGGCAGAGAAAGCGACCGGTTTGGCCAGCACTTTGAGCTGTGCAGCCCGCGCAGCGTCTATTTCTTGCTCTTCCATCTCCTTCATGCCACAGGTACAGTCCTTGCACGCCCTACGCCTGCGGGCCTTGGTCTTGCCGCACGTGACCAAAGTGATATCCTGATCCGCGTCCTGATCGACAAGTGTATCCTCGTCAATCAGTGCGGCGCCATTTTCCGTGGTATCATCACTATCGATCTTGAAATACTGAAGTTTGCTCACAGCGGCGGCATCCAGCTCGTCGTCGGAGTCGCTGACGTCGTCGTCTCCGCCCAGCGTGTCACTCACTGGCTCAACCTGCGGCGCGACTTTCCGACGGAACGTCGGTAACTGTTTCTTGCCCGCAGGAGCAGCGGCTGCAGCTCCTGCGTTCGCTGACTTTTTCTTAGGCAGCAGCGCAACCGCGGCCGCGCTCTCTTGGGTCCCATGTCTCACCCAGAAGTACTCGCTACCACTGTTCTCCATCACCGAAAATCCGTTCACAAGGGCGTCCACCTTGTATGCGTTGCTCAGCCCGTACAATTTCCCGCCCGTTCTGAGCGCACTACCTAGCGTCGCAATCAGCTTCCCTGGGAAAACGATCTCGTCGCGTTTTTCCGGCGTCACATAGTAGATCACATCATACTGCGCGTCTGCAAGTTTCACGTTCCCGTCATTCACCCGATTCACTAGATGTTGTTCCAGCGTCGAAGCGTTCGACAGCGCTGGCGAACGCTTGGCGTCTTCAAGCAGTTCTGGGCTCGTCGTCACCGCAGGGTGGATCAAAACCAAGCATGCTTCACCGCTTGTCATTTCTGTCAGTTTCGATTCTATGAGATACGCTTAAATGTCCTATCCAGCTTCTAGTCGGCTCCTGCCTTAGCGCTTGTTAACTATTGTTCGGCTCGTCCTCCAGTTCTGCTTTTCGCTAGTCATCGCTTAATTACTAAGAAATCCCATATGACACATTCGTAACGAATGAGTAAGAAAAAGAAACCGAAAAATTACAAATAACTTTGAACGAAAGATTTTCTTCGTAAAAAACTACTTAGAGCACGTGATCTCCGGAGTCCGTACTTAGAATGAAAATGTAAACGGCGAGAGCGATGCGACCAGTGGAGCGGTCAGGAGAGCGGCTGTCGGGGCATTGGCAGAGTGTGAGTGTGTTCGCACGCTGTCATACAAGAGACCGCCGGTGGACTTGATCTGTAAAGACAGGTGCGGGGCCAGAATGAGTTTTCTCTGTGTCATCGAGCCTTGAGCTGCGAATAGTATCATTTAAGTGGCCGTCTTCGTCGTCGTCGTCATCATCGTCGTCATCGTCATCATCGTCGTCATCGTCGTCATCGTCGTCGTCATCGTCTTCTTCGTCCAGAGTGCTTTCCTTTCTGACCTTGTTCGGGGTGCTCTCGACCTCGTCTTCGTCGTCGTCATCGTCGTCGTCATCCTCGTCCTCGTCCTTCGGATAACCTCCGAGCTTCATAACGACTTTGTCGACGATCTCGTTCCCGTCCATCATGCCTCCAAGCCCGATATCGCCGTGAATGCCCATGACCTTCTCGGAAGGCTTGAATATCGTAATCCATGGCATCTCCTCGCGAATCATCTTGAGATGCCGCCTCGTGATGCTGGAATTATAGCTGCTGCTGACCATCGATGGCGCTAGGAAAATAGGGAACATCGGGTTCCAGGCCCTGATCACGCTTGTGAGCAGGTTGTCGCAGAGCCCGAGCGCGATCTTCGACAGCGTGTTCGCCGTCAATGGGGCAACGACCAAGATATCGGCCCAACGGCGCAGCTCGATATGCAGGACTGGATCTGTGCGCTGCTTCCATACGTCCCACTCGTCCTGATCCGTCCACACCTGGATGTGTGGGGGCAGCTCGACCTTCGGAGCCGGTCCGCATGCGTGGCCGCTTCCAGGTGTGGTGCCCGCGGGCCCACCCGGTACTGCTATTTGAGTCTGACTTTGGCTTCTGCTCGATGGTGTAAAGTTAGCGTCGGCGCCCGCGTCGTCCTTGTTTGAGGGCAGCGCCGACAATGGCGTCTCCGATGGGGTACGACCCTCGATGCGTGACTTGCGCGCCCTCATTGCGAAAAATTGGGCAGCGGCCTGTGTTAAGATGACTTGAATGCAAACCTTGTCTCGTCCATAAATCTCTTCTAGCTTTTTTACCATAGCCTTGATTTTGAGAACCGATAATGAGCCCGTGGCGCCAAACAAAATGTGAAGTTTCCCGTCGTCCTGGGGCAAGCGTGGATCGCTATTTTTTCCAACTTCCCGCTTTGGGATGTTAGGTGCAATTTGCTGGAACGCTGGATCTGGTGCTAACTCGGCCATTTCTTCAGGGGACTCGATGATGGTCGGCTCAGGCTTCAAAGTAGAGTCTTGTCGTTTTTCCCCAACGCTCACAGGGGAAGCCATCATGGGCGGAGACATGGGGCTCCCGCTGTTCGACCTTGACCGGAACCCAGGTGAATGTAGCACGTCATCGACGTAAAAATGAGCATGTTCTTCCTTGTCAGGTTTTTTTGCTTCAGAATCCGAAGCTACGCTGGACGGAGCGCTGCTCTTATCGCTGCCGTGATGCAACAAGTCCGCAGAGTGCATTAGTTTCGACATAATTGTAGGCTTTTCTCCTTGACGAGAACCGCTCCTCATAGTCGCTGGACGTGTAACACCCGACGATACATCTGCGAGGGGTGGGGGTGATGCACCTTTTACACTCGTGCCTGGTGCACCGGTGGGCGAAGTGGCTCTAAGCTGAGGGCTAGAAGCATTACTCTTGTCGGTTTCGTCTCCGCTGTGTATTTTGCCATGCTGGGTTGCGGAATTGGTTACCGCTTGTTGCTTTAGCGACGCATGTTTGGAGTCGCTGAACGTAACTGTGGGAACTCTTTTCAATCCTGGTTCCGGCGTGTTACTTACTACAGCTCCCGAAGTACCACTGGCGTTCATAATCGATTTTGTTGCGCACGTCGCTGGACTTGTTGACCCCGGAATAACTGGACCGTTAATTGTCGATTCGGCGTGCGCGAAAGAGTTCATGGAACCGTCCGGGTCTGGTTTTCTCGCTGCATTTGAAAACGTTGGAGATATTATCGAAGGTGGTTTAGGATTCTTGCCACTAGTACCGCCCATGTTTCCAGACATAAGAGATTCTGACTCCTTGTATGGTCTATTGCCATCATCCGAGTTTCAATTGTAATACGTTGAAAATTGGTTTGGTTATGTAGTTGTGTACGGGTTGGTAATGATCAGATGAGTTGTGAATGAGTATCGAGTGAGTCGTAAATGGGTATCGAATGAGTATTGATACCTTTAAAAGCTGCTGATCAGCGCAAATTGGCGACTACTAATTCACAAGTCTCGGCAACATCTGAAAGCTTTATTCTGCTCTGTTTTGCTTGACTATGGTTTGCTTACTTCTTCTTTCTGGAACTATTCGCATAACGTCCACGACCGACGCGAACAGAATGATGCTTCAGGCCAGAGATGGCGAACGGCGAGACGAAGTTGTCCGCAGAACCGCCACCTATCCAGTCATCTAAGACCTTTTCGTTATGCCTTCTTGTCCAATCCTCTTGTTTCAGGGCCTGTACGTATTCTTTTTGGTCCTCACGCAGCAATGCGACATCTTGCGCATGTTTGGTGTGGACGAAACCCTTGTTTCCGGCTCTTTTTTGCGAGTTCTTGGACAACGGACTCGCTATCGAGTACTTGTTTCCTCGGTTGGTCCACTGGAAGTTAGCCTTTAGATGAGGAACTATATCGCCCGTCGTAGCGTCAACGGATACGGCACACCTTAGCAAGGTGGAATAGCCACCACAAGAGGGACAGAAATGTTTGGCCTTGCCGTCTCTGGGAATGGGTATCAATTTAAAGCACGCGTGGCATCTGAGCATGTAGTTGCGTAGTTTTTTGATGCGAAGACCAGACATGAAATTCATCAAGTTCAAATTCATCTGCAAGGCCACATTCTGCACAGCAAAATCCCCTGTCGCAAGTGCGACTTTGTTCTGGGGTAGGTCTAGTCGTTTCATGGGGTCGGCACTGTCGTCTCCGACCAGCATGCCGGTCGTATCTTCGCCACTGTCCTTGATCATGGCCTCCGTCAAATTCTCAGGTGTAATCCATTCCCCGTCGTCGTCGTCGTAGTAGTCGTTATCCTCCTTCTGCTCGTCGTTGCCGGCTACCTGAGGTTCCGCCTCAAAAGCTTCATTCGTAGCAGGCTGCTCCAGTTCTAAGTCGACCTTCCTGTTGAACATTTCGTCAGCCTTTGCGCCGTCAGCAATCTCCGCTGCAATTCTCTTTTCCCGCTGTTTCTTCCCGCCCCGTCTGCGCTTCTTTTTAGCATCCCTCGGCCTCTCGTCTGCAGTCTCAGCCACGTCTGTTGTCTCGGCCGCATCTGCAGCCTCTCTCGCGTCCCCCTTTTCCACATCTTCTCCCGGCGTCTTTCTCAATCTCCAATCACCGCCATTAAGCTCAATCTCCAGCTCATAAGTAAGCGCGATGATATGAATATCGTTCGCACTCAAAACAGAATAGTCACCTGTCAGACGTGCAAAATTGCTCACGCGTTCCACACTCTCCTTCTTCGGATGTCTCAACTTCAAACTACCAATGCTCTCCCAAATCTTCAAGTTCTCTCGGGCACGTTCGTCTTTAATTTCATGGAGAACCGTAGGTGTGGTATAAAAAGCCTTGGCGTAGTGCTGGTAATGAGTGTAAGGCTGTGTGATAAGCGGGGTCGCATCTAACACAAGCGAATCGACATGCGCCTGGAACAGATCACCCATTCTCTTTGTGATATTCTGGCAACTCTATTGGCTATTCTTCGATATCATCGCGATGCTCATCGCGGTCACTTTTTGTTTAAATGGAAAATTTTCCAGTCACGTGCAATTCTTGAGGATCAACCTTTAATTGTTAAAACTCATCTCGTCGACTTCCTAAATTCTAGTAATAGCCAAGTTTAAGAGGATCAAGACTGGGTTTCGGAGATTTACAAGCACAATTAGTTGCATTGCTTAGCAAGTCAGTTAATTCTGGTTAACTCAATTTTTCGAAGAGTGTTTTTTTGCTATACAATACTGGCATTACAAGAGTTCAACGAAAGTCTATCTCTTGAAATTAAATATTGAATTTGCCAAGTTCAAAAGCTGTGTTTGAGATGCCAATTGAAAAGGATTTAAAAACAGCGTATGGCGTTCTTTATGACGATAAAGAACCAGAAAAAGCCTTGGGGATATACGACTCTGTGCTTAAGCAATCGCCCACTAACTTGACAGCACTCGTATACAAGGCAGCTTGTCTTGAAAAACTTTATTTTGGTGCTGTGGACTGGCACAATGAACAAACGCTAGAAAATGCATTTGAGTTACTCCAAAGTGGCCAAGATGTCGCCATGAAGCGTGGGGACCGATCGAAATTGGCGTGGGTCAAATTTCGCATTTTCACTCATTTTTACAACAGAAAGAATTACCCAGAAGCGGAACGATACTTCAACGAGTCAAAGCATCTGGGCTATGACGATCCGACGCTTCCTTTGTGGCAGGCGAATTTGACCAAAAAGCTCGCAAAACTGCAGAAACGCAAAAAAAACTTGGCTCAGAAAGAAGAACCACATATAGATGCGTTGAACGCCAATGAAGAAAAGCTAGTCCTAACAGCTCCCGTAGCATCTGTACCGGCTGAGGAACCTTCTGGCTCACCAACTTTTAAAGTGGACTGGTACCAGTCGCCCACACATGTGACAATTGTGCTTTTCACGGCAAACATGCCCCATTCGAAGGACGACGTTACTGCGAAAGTTAGCGAAGAGGGCCGGCACCTTGATGTTTCTTTTCAGACGGCGTCCACCGGATCTGAATTTCAATACTCCACTGACCTGTTTCACCCTGTCAATCCGGCTGCGGTAACCACATCTGTATTCTCTAAGAAAATTGAGATCAGTTTGCAGAAGGAAACCAAGCAACAGTGGAAGCAGCTTGAACGCTCGGAAGAAACTCCAAATGTGATCACCAATACCGTGCGAACCGAGTCTGTAACACAAAATGTATCAGGGTTACGATATCCGACCTCTTCTAAAAAAACAATTGACTGGTCAAAGTTCGAAATCGACGACGATACACAAGAACAGGAAAACTCCGCTGATGCCTTCTTCCAACAGTTGTACGCTAATGCAGATCCTGATACTAGGAGAGCAATGATGAAATCTTACGTTGAGAGTAATGGGACTGCTTTGAATACTAATTGGACCGAGGTTTCCGAGAAAACTGTAGAAACCAGACCACCAGAGGGCCTCGAGCTCAAAAAACTTTAATGGTGAAGTTGCTAACTTCAATGCACACATAACCGATTACATAAACACGTTCGGAATCAAAATACATCCGTTTCCCAATTGATCGAAGAGCCAGGATTTTTGGCGCCTCGTTCGTTGTTCAAATTGGCCAGTTTTTCCCTCTTCCAGTTTGCGAACTTCCCGTCATCCATAATGCTAGTGTCATCATCATCGAGTTCACTAAGGTTGTCTCTTTTGTGATCTAAGGAAGAAAAGCTTTTGGTATTACTTTCAGTTAACTGAGTTAGCGGGGTTTCGTTGTGCTTCTCTTTAAAAGTCCAGATTTGATCTTGGCTATGCCTCTTGGCTAACAATTTCACTGGAGATTTTAGTGGCAAACCTTCAAGGTTTTCCTTGTTCATTTCTGAAGCGCCCGAGGGGCTCACTGCAGCACGAGAAAATGGTGTGCCTGATTCGAGAGACATTTGCTGCACAGATCTCTGTTGATTACTGAAATCATTAGAATTTAACTTATTAGATGACATCAGTGCCAGTCCCGCTGGTCGAGATTTGGTTGATGCGCTACCATCTTGCAATTTTAAAATTGGGGTGGCATTAAAGAAGTTATCTCTGCTGAATTTTGGTATTCTCGAAGGGCTGCTGTTCTGAACGATTGTTTCGGCTGTGAAAGCTCGTGATAAGGTGGGAGGCTTTTCGTTCCATCGTAGGGGTTTACACGCTGACCACTCTGGTCCTCTAATGGGCGAAGAATTGTGAAGCGTGGACGGATATGGCTTTCCTGGCCTTGATTTCAGACCGGAATCTAACACATTTCGGGGACCTCTACGGTAATTCTTGGAATTTTTATCCGATTCTATGAGCCTGATAGGCGATAGCCTGGTGGATGGTGGCTTCGATTTTGGATGCCTAAAGGATGAGTTTACTCGGCTCCTAGGATACTTGCTCAAGAGTTCCTGCTCTTGTTTCAATGCTATGTCCAGAAATTTGGCCCCGTCTAACAGAAAAGGCTCACCAAAGTCACTTTCAAAGTCTGATAGCCTGACTATGAGCTCTTGAGTAACATTGGGAAAATGCCTAGTTATTCTTTTCCGGGTTTTCTCCTCTTGGAGAAGAATCTTGTGGGAGTTTCTAGACAAAAGCCTTGAAGAATCCTTACTGCTTTTTTCTAACGCTAACTTATCTTCTTGAAGAGACTTGAATTCGTCAATGAGCGTCAAAATGGGCTTATATAGCGCCAAGCGCCTTTCAAGGTCTTTGATCTCGGTCTCGCATGCTTCTAAAACTTTCTCGTCATCTTCCAGGGAAGTCGACTGTGATACCATGGTATCAAAGAGCTCCTTGAAACCATATGTGTCTTTCTCACATAAATGCATAGCCGACCACAACTCTTGAATTTTGTTTCGAGAGTCTTGAATCAAGCTTTTGATGAGTTTTTTCTTCATGCCTTGCAAGCGTTGGAACTCATCACGGTAGGCCTGTAAAATGCTTGCTGATAGAAACGCATTTTCCGACCTGAATTTTTGAACGTAAGAAGAAGGAATTTTCAGTTTTTCCCACAGCTCAGAACATGTTTGTTCCAGCTTCGCTTTTTCCCTTTTCCTGGCCTCTTCAACAGCCTTGAGATCCTTGAACAATTTGCCTAACCGTGCCAGCGTTTTTGTGGAGCAGTCATAAGGCTGACTGTAAGGTTCCTTTAGTTGAGAGTACACTCGTAGTGTGTTGACAATTTGAGGATCTAATTCGTCTTGTGCATCTCGTCCCAGAACGCTTATAATATCGAGAAGTTCGGAACATAAGGATTGCAGCTTCCTAGCTCTGGCACTATATTCTTTCTCATACAGGCAGCTCAAAGTTTGGATGTGCTGCACCACGTCTTTGGAAATATCGTCAAAGTTAACTGTGTGCAGTAAGCTCTTTTTATTTTCGGTGATAAATTCACACAGTTTGGCCACGTTATTGTCGTGGGTTGCATCGAAGAACGACAGAAAATATTTGCTCATCTCGACGGGGGGCACCGTAGACAAAAGATACTCTATGTTCAACCCTTCGTACTCTGGTCGAAAATCATCGATCGCTTCATGAAGGGATCTGAGACGGATTGAACCCTGTAAATAATCAACAAGTTGGGGCCTGTACGTTTTCAGCACATAACTTCGAGCTTTGGATAGGATTTTTTTCTTGGTGAGCAGGGATATTGGCTTTTTAGGAGAACCCGGTTGTTGGCGGCCAGACTGACTGTCGTTCGACAGCAAAACATTCCTTGTGTAAAGATCCGGAATGGTACTGGTCCCTCTTGGATCGCGCAAAATTTGGAGAACCCTCTGGAGGACCTGCTCCCAGTTTTGATTGTCGGACATGATGCGCTCTTTTTCCTCATTTGCATGCTCGAAAAACCCGGTTATTGAGTCGGACAAATTATTGAAAATGAGTTTTTCCTTGGCAGAGATCTCGTCGTTGGAGTAACCGATCTCACGGTAAATGACGTTGAGATCGCCCAGTATTTTTTCGAGCTTACGCGAGATAAGGTTGAAGCTTTCCTTGTAACCTGTACAAGGTGCACTTTCGTCTGAAATGCATCCTGCCCCGTCATCAACTGTCTTCAAGGGAGAAGTAAGGTTTTTGATGTTCACGGGCGTCAGTCTCAGGCATTCTGTGTGTTCAGACATGTTAAACATTAAGGGACTCCTGAGCGTTGTGCCGCCAGTCAATTCGGTAGACGTGCTGCTGTCTTGCGAATAGCGATATCGGGGGATTTTAGGCTCGTTCAAGTTAACAAGATTTTGCATCTGGCCGACTTCGAAGGAAGGGCTCTTGCCGCTTTGTAGTTGTATGGTTTTTGTCCACTTGATGAGATTTTGAACACAACGGCTTGTTTATAGTTTACCCTAAACGGAAAACGTAAATAGAGTATTATGTGCTTCGTCCAAAGGGCTCACCAGGCTGTGTGCTAGCGCCGTGCTTTTTAACGCGGGGGCGCGTCGCAGCTGGAGCTGAGATAACCTGATAGCGCAATGACGGGACGAAGACACGCTTTTTTTCTCTATGAGACTAATCGTTTCATTCTCCGCCCGTCGCAATGCACTTCGCCTCTCAAAACATAAAAGATTCGCTGTCCAAACTATTTGACAGAAACGTTGTGACCCCAGCCGCGATACCAAAGTTGTAGTACCAGCCACGAAACTCCGCTTAACCGCCGGGTACCAATTACTCCCTCTTCCACGGCATTGTTCCGTCTTGCCCTCTGTATTACGTTTCTAAACAGGTCATATCACTCAGAACGAATTACTCGATTACTACCCACTCCAACTTGCAACGACAAACGCGTCAAGACCGCGTGCAAACGGCAAATTTGCACTACTCCAGCCGAATAGCCGCGCCAAGCTCATCGTTTGAAAAGCAGAAACCCTAGTAGACAACGCTTCTGACGTTCGGCATTCCCGATGCACACATCGAGAAAACCAGTGCCTTGCGTTTGCCTTGCGTTTGCCTTGCGTTTGCCTCGAGTTTTGCCTTGAGCTTTTGCCGTGAGCCTTCAGGGTCCAGTAGTCACATGGAGCCCTTCGAGCGTCACTTGTGACGGGCGCTGCGATTGAGCTACTGCTCAGAAAGCGGCGTTAGCGGACTTACATAACATTATCGCACATAAAATCTGCACAGAAAGCTTCGCAGAAGTAAATATCCTGCAGATTGGTCTGAGAAAATGTCGTTTTGTAAAACAGCTCAGAACACGGCGCGGAAAAATCTCCGCCATTTTCGCCACGAGCGCTTCTGAGATGGCCTCATCCTATTGGCCACTGATTGCCGTGCGTCCCCTCTCGCGCACTTCGGCGTTCGCTATCTATGGGCCCCGTCTAGAGAGTCAGCTTACCTATCTTGGCGGGTCATGGGTATATATTAGAGGTCCGCGAAAAGAGAACCTGGGTGGCGGAGTTAGGCGGTTACCGACCACTAACCACATACAAACCACGACCAAGCAGGAGCATCCCCTGCGAGAAATCAACAAGAGAGCTACTTCTTTGACAAGCAGTGAGCTAAGAAGCGTAGACTCAGCTTTGGTTTGAGGCCGATACACGATTGAGGCCGTGCTCGAATTTTGTGAACGCTAGAGACGGTAGCTGGGAAATTGCTGCTCGTGGACAGCCAACCGCAAACAACACACACAAGAAGAGGGAAACCAGATCGTGTCGTAGATCGACGTATACCTGCATTCCCCTTTTCAAGCTACTTTTCCAAGTAGCGCAGCCAAAACTATAATATCTAGCCCCCGCCATCCAACAATGCTCCGCTCTGACTCCTACGATCCGCAGGAAGAAGCGTACGAAGGCGGCATGCCGTTCGAAATGACGCAAGACGCGGAAACTTCGGGAAACGACGGTCACGTGACAAAGAAGCACTACCATTCGTGGGCCAACGTTATACCAGACAAGCAAGGCCTGTACGACCCGGAATACGAGCGCGACGCGTGTGGTGTTGGTTTTGTCGCGGACATCAAGGGTGCTCCCTCACACAAAATCGTCTCCGATGCGCGCTATCTGCTGTGCAACATGACCCACAGAGGTGCGGTGTCCTCCGGAGGCAACGGTGACGGCGCGGGTATTCTGGTGGGAATCCCGCACGAATTCATGCGCCGTGAGTTCAAACTGGACCTCGGAATCGAAATTCCGCCCCGCGGCCAATACGCCGTGGGTAACTGTTTTTTCAAAAAAGACGACACGGGCGGCATCCACAACGCCTGCCGCACGTTCGAACAGCTCGCTGACTCTGTCGGCCTTACCGTGCTAGGCTGGCGTTCTGTTCCTCGCGATTCGTCCATTTTAGGTGCTGTCGCGCTCTCGCGCGAGCCGGCGATTCTTCAGCCCATCGTGGTGTTGTCCGAGGCGCACGCCGCCGGCAAGACCGATGGACTTTTGTCTGAGTCCGAATTCCAATCACGTTTCGACGTCAAATTCCAGACCCAACTGTACATCTTGAGAAAGCAGGCTTCTGTTGCCATTGGGCTCGAAAACTGGTTCTACGTCTGTTCCTTGAACTCCAGAACAATCGTGTACAAGGGACAACTAACGCCAGACCAGGTTTACAAATATTACCATGACTTGACCAATGCTCATTTCGAGTCTCACATGGCGCTTGTGCACTCTCGTTTCTCGACCAATACCTTCCCCTCGTGGGACAGAGCTCAGCCTCTGCGTTGGATCGCCCACAATGGTGAAATCAACACGTTGCGTGGTAACAAGAATTGGATGCGTGCCCGTGAAGGTGTCATGGCCTCCGAAACCTTCCAGGACCAATTGGACAAACTGTATCCAATTATTGAGGAAGGCGGCTCCGACTCCGCTGCCCTAGACAACGTGCTAGAGCTTTTGGTTATCAATGGTGTTCTATCCTTGCCTGAAGCGATCATGATGATGGTACCCGAGGCTTATCACAAAGACATGGACTCAGACCTGAAGGCGTGGTTCGACTGGGCTGCATGCTTGATGGAGCCTTGGGATGGACCAGCTTTGCTCAATTTCACTGATGGCCGCTATACCGGTGCAATGTTGGACAGAAACGGATTGCGGCCATGTCGTTATTACATCACTTCCGATGACCGCGTTATTTGTGGTTCAGAAGTTGGTGTCATTCAAGTCGATAACTCACTTGTTATTCAAAAGGGTAAACTAAAGCCAGGTGACATGTTGTTGGTTGACACGCTTAAGGGTGAGATGGTGGACACCAAGAAGTTGAAAGAGTCCTTTGCAAAGAGACAAGACTACAAGTCTTGGCTCTCAAAGTTAATCAAAATGGACGACCTACTCAAAAGAGCTGCAAAGCTTCTACCATCCAGCTTTTTGCCCGAAAAGACGCAACCACTTAAGGTGCAGCAGGACCCACGTCTCATGGCACACGGTTATACCTATGAACAAATGTCATTAGTTTTGGTGCCAATGGCTCTCGGAGGTAAAGAGGCGTTGGGTTCGATGGGCAATGACGCCCCACTTGCATGCTTGAATGAGGATCCTGTCTTGACTTACGACTATTTCAGACAACTGTTTGCGCAAGTGACAAATCCTCCGATTGATCCTATTCGTGAGGCCAATGTTATGTCTCTAGAATGCTACGTTGGCCCACAAGGCAATTTGTTGGAAATGCATCCATCTCAATGTGACCGCCTGCTTTTGAAGTCGCCAATTCTGCATTGGAATGAGTTTGAGGCTATCAAAAACATCGAAAAAATCCATCCTAGCTGGTCTGTTGCCGATATCGACATTACTTTCGAAAAGTCTCAGGGGTTGCTTGGCTACACCGCTACTATCGAGCGCATCACACAGGAAGCTTCGGATGCTATTGAAAATGGCAAACGTATTTTGATGATTTCCGACAGAAAGATGGGTAGCTCGCGCCTATCGATTTCATCCTTGATCGCTGTAGGTGCTATCCATCATCATTTGATCAGAAACAAGCAGCGTTCGCATGTCGCGCTTATTTTGGAAACCGGAGAAGCCAGAGAAGTGCACCATTTCTGCGTTCTTTTGGGTTATGGTTGTGATGGTATTTTCCCATACCTTGCCATGGAAACTCTGGTTAGAATGAATAACGAGGGCCTTGTCAGAAATGTCGATGATGACAATGACAAGGTGGACGATGAGACTTTGCTAGAAAACTACAAGCACGCTGTCGATGGTGGTATTTTAAAGGTTATGTCTAAGATGGGTATCTCCACTTTGGCTTCTTACAAAGGTGCGCAAATTTTTGAAGCTTTGGGTCTGGACAACTCGGTGGTAGATCTGTGTTTTGCAGGCACCGCATCGAGAATCAAGGGTGTGACATTTGAATACATTGCTCAAGATGCTTTCTCAATGCACGAGCGTGGGTTCCCAACTCGCTTCACTGTCTCTAAATCTGTCAATTTACCTGAGAGTGGTGAATACCATTGGAGGGACGGCGGATCGAAGCACATTAATGATCCCACGGCCATTGCCTCCTTGCAAGATTCTGTTCGTAACAGAAATGAAGACGCTTGGCAGATGTATGTTAAGAAGGAAATGGAGGCCATTAGGGACTGTACATTGAGAGGCTTGCTGGAACTCGACTTTGAGAACTCCACATCTATCCCTCTAGAACAGGTGGAGCCATGGACTGAAATCGCAAGACGATTCGCGACGGGCGCTATGTCATATGGTTCGATCTCTATGGAAGCTCATTCCACTCTCGCTGTTGCCATGAACAGACTTGGCGCAAAGTCAAACTGTGGTGAAGGTGGTGAGGACTCAGAGAGATCCATTGTTAACACGAACGGTGACACGATGAGATCAGCTATCAAGCAAGTGGCGTCTGCGAGATTTGGTGTGACATCTCACTACTTATCTGACGCTGATGAAATTCAAATCAAAATCGCTCAAGGTGCTAAGCCGGGTGAAGGTGGTGAGCTACCAGCCCACAAGGTTTCTAAAGACATTGCTAAGACCAGACACTCTACACCTTATGTTGGTCTCATCTCTCCTCCACCTCATCATGATATCTACTCTATCGAGGATTTAAAACAACTCATTTACGATTTGAAGTGCGCAAACCCACGGGCTGGTATTTCTGTCAAACTTGTATCTGAAGTCGGTGTTGGTATCGTTGCGTCTGGTGTTGCCAAGGCAAAGGCCGACCATATCCTAGTGTCTGGCCATGATGGTGGTACCGGTGCGTCCCGGTGGACAGGTATCAAGTATGCCGGTTTGCCATGGGAATTGGGGTTGGCGGAAACACATCAAACCCTAGTTCTAAACGACTTGAGAAGAAATGTCGTGGTTCAAACTGACGGTCAATTGAGAACTGGTTTCGATATCGCCGTTGCGGTTCTCCTCGGTGCTGAGTCGTTCACTTTGGCAACCATTCCTTTGATTGCGATGGGATGCATAATGTTGAGAAAATGTCATTTGAACGCTTGTGCTGTTGGTATCGCTACTCAAGATCCACTCTTGAGAGAAAAATTCAAGGGTCAACCAGAACATGTCATCAACTTCTTCTTTTACCTCATTCAGGACTTGCGGAAGATTATGGCGAAGCTCGGATATCGTACCATCGACGAGATGGTTGGTCACTCCGAGAAACTAAGAAAGAGGGACAACGTATGCACAAAGGCTATTAACATTGATCTGTCACCAATTTTGACCCCGGCGCACGTCATTCGTCCACATGTGGCAACGAGATTTACTAAAAAGCAGGACTTGAAGTTGCACACACGTCTAGATAACAAATTGATTGACGAAGCAGAAATTACTTTGGATCGCGGTCTACCTGTTAACATTGATGCTACCATCATAAACACCGACCGTGCTTTGGGCTCAACGTTGTCTTATAGAATTTCTAAAAGATTTGGAGAGAAAGGATTACCTCAAGATACTGTTGTGGTTAATATCGAGGGCTCGGCTGGACAATCTTTCGGTGCTTTCTTGGCTTCTGGTGTTACCTTTATTCTGGATGGAGACGCCAACGATTACGTCGGAAAAGGTCTATCCGGAGGTAGATTGGTCATCAGACCACCTGAGGGCTCTAAGTTCAAGAGTGATGAAAACGTTATCATTGGTAACACCTGTTTCTATGGTGCGACTTCGGGAACCGCTTTCATCTCGGGGTCCGCTGGTGAGCGTTTCTGCGTCCGTAACTCAGGTGCCACGATTGTTGTCGAGAGGGTGAAGGGTAATAATGCCTTTGAGTACATGACAGGTGGAAGAGCCGTTGTTCTTTCCCAGATGGAGTCTCTAAATGCTTTCTCTGGTGCTACTGGTGGTATTGTTTACTGTCTCACTTCTGATTACGATGATTTTGTGGGAAAAATCAACTCTGAGTCCGTCGAACTACAAGGTTTGATAGATCCTGTTGAAATTGCATTTGTCAAGAATTTGATTCAAGAGCATTTCAATTACACTCACTCCGAGTTAGCAGAAAGAATTCTCGGTAAGTTCAACCACTACTTGAAGAACTTTGTTAAGGTTATCCCGTCAGACTATAAAAAGGTTTTGGAGAAGGAGGCTGCGGACAAGGCGAAGGCCGATGAAAAAAACATCGCGACTTTCCTCAAGAGATTCAATTCCGGAACGGATTTGAGCGCCGACGCCACCAACGGAGAAGTTGACGAACTACGTTCTGCTAAGATCAAAAAAATTAACAAGGTCAGCCACAGGAATACCTTGGCGGAACCAAAGGTGACTGATTTAGAGGATGCTGTTCAAGATGTTAATCAGTTGGAGAAGAATGTCGAAAAAGTGGAGAAAATTCGCGGTTTCATGAAGTATAAACTACGCCACGAGTCTTACAGAAACGCCAAGACAAGGACAAAGGACTGGAAAGAGCTTTCCAGTTGCGTTACCAAGAAGGATGCGAAGTACCAAACTGCAAGATGCATGGATTGTGGTGTGCCTTTCTGCAGCTCTGACACTGGCTGTCCAATTTCCAACGTCATTCCAAAGTTTAATGAGTTGGTTTTCAAAAATCAATGGAAACTTGCCTTAGACAAACTCTTAGAAACAAACAACTTTCCTGAGTTTACTGGTAGAGTCTGCCCAGCACCTTGTCAGGGTGCCTGTACTCTTGGTATCATTGATGATCCAGTTGGTATCAAGTCTATTGAAAGACTCATCATCGACAATGCATTTAAGGAAGGGTGGATCCAACCAAACCCACCTGCTGTTCGCACAGATCGTCGTATCGCGGTTATCGGTTCTGGTCCAGCAGGTTTGGCTTGCGCTGACCAACTCAACAGAGCAGGCCATAATGTCACAGTCTATGAAAGGGCCGATCGCTGCGGTGGTCTCTTGATGTATGGTATCCCTAACATGAAATTAGACAAGTCCGTTGTCCAACGTCGTGTTGATCTTCTGGCTGCTGAGGGAATTCAGTTCATTACCAATACAGAAATTGGCAAGGATATCTCTATGGCTGAGTTGAAGGCTGAGAACGACGCTGTTGTATATGCAATTGGATCTACAATTCCAAGAGACTTGAGGATTCCAGGTCGTGAATTGAAGAACATTGATTTTGCCATGACGTTGCTTAAGAACAATACCCAGGCTCTGCTAGACAAAGATTTGAGTGCTATTCGTGCCCAAGTGGAGGGCAAAAAAGTCATTGTCATTGGAGGTGGTGACACTGGTAATGACTGTCTTGGAACAGCTGTCAGACACAACGCGTCTTCGGTTCTCAACTTTGAACTACTTCCACAACCTCCTGCCGAGCGTAGCAAAGACAATCCTTGGCCACAGTGGCCCCGTGTCATGAGAGTCGACTATGGTCACTCTGAAGTTAAGGAGCACTATGGTAGAGATCCTCGTGAATACTGTATTTTGTCAAAGGAGTTTATTGGCAACGAGGAAGGTCAAGTGAAGGCTATCAAGACAGTGAGAGTTGAGTGGAAGAAATCGCAATCGGGGGTGTGGCAAATGGTGGAGATAGCGGGCAGCGAAGAAATATTTGAAGCTGACATCGTTCTCCTGTCCATGGGATTTGTCGGACCCGAATTGTTTGAAGACCCTAGTGTTCAGAAGACGAGAAGGGGAACCATCGGCACTGTCAATGATGCGTCTTACTCGACTGGCGATAACAAGGTTTTTGCCGCCGGTGACTGCAGGAGAGGCCAATCTCTTATTGTATGGGCAATTCAAGAAGGCAGAAAATGTGCCACTGCGATTGACAGTCACTTGATGGGAACCACCAATCTGCCTGGAAATGGTGGTATTGTGAAGCGTGACTACAAACTTTTGGAAGAGTTGGCTTCCACCGTCTAAATGCTTGAACTCAAGGATAAAGACACTTATTATTTATTTTGCGACTCTCGAAAAGCTTATCCGGGGTTTTTGTTTTCTAGCTCGTACCTCTCGCGCCCTTAGTGGTTTGTGGTTATTCTATTTATTGGGAACGGCGTGGTAAGTCAGGACAAAATGGCCCGGAAGCCGAATGTTACGAGTGATCAAACCTTTAAACTTATTTTATTTAAATCATTAAATCATCAGCGTGCTAATCGTTATTAAAGTGCAGGACATTGTCTCATTAAGGTGTGTGCATATAATGAAGCTAAGAGCTCGAGAATACACTTTTGATCTTCTTCCAGAGTCCTTTCTTCTCGTTCTTGTTGCTTTTACTCTTGCGACTGGATGCCGGAGAAAGTATATTCCCGGCTCCACCGCGCCCTATCACCACCGTTTTGGGAGGGTCGGGCCTGCTTCTTTTAGTCTTGAGCCCTTCGCTGTTCTTCGCTTTCAAAGACCCGCCCCTAGAGCCACGTGAATCTATGGCATCCACATTCCCCTCTGTTATTAGATCTTCATTTTCCGAGTACTCCACATCTTGTGCTTTTCGGGTCATCTTGGAATCCACGTTTTTACGCATGTTACCAGCACCGCCTCTACCAGTGCTGAAGACCGGTTGGAGGATACTGGGTGTCTGTGATCCCTGCGGGACCATTTTTGGTACGGGTTTGTCGCTTGTCACTGCCACATTTCCTGCACCTCCCCGTCCTGTGGAAACCTTATATTCTTGCGCCATTTGCTCAATGGGTGCTTTCTATGCTCCAGGAACTGAGAATTACGGTAATAGGACTAGGACCCTTTCTAAAAATGATGATGGGTAGTTGCGTCCACGGCTGGACACGTTTTTACGTAGGACACGATATCTCAGCTTTGTTTTCGACTAAATCGCTAACTCCTTCCTTCTCTGCAACTTGGTCATCGGCATTTTGCACCTTCATTCAGGTCCGACGTTCGAAACGACAACTCATTTCTCTAAAACTTTTTGTTCGTTGTGCTTCAAGAAAATAGTCGATGCCAAAAGAGAAGAAGAGCCATCTGTAAAGAACTCTGAAGCAGTTTTCTTCGCTCCAATACCCTCGGGAGTGCTACCTAGACTTTGTGCACCGCGAATTAGACAATCAGCCAGAAGAACCCAAGCGCTCACTTTAGAGATATGTCTTGGGACGACGAGGATTTTGTTGTTCCGTCTTCCGCTAAAGATGCGCCTGTCATGGCGTCTTGGGACGACGAGTTTACAGCCGGCGACGACGACGACGCTTTGTTAGAGTCATGGGATGCTGAAGAATCCGAGGGTAGCTTGAAGCCTGCTAAAAAGCCAGCTGCGGGTGCCAAAAAGGACAAAGCTAAAACCAATGGCAAAAAGGATTCCAAGAAGCAAGGTGAAGTGCTACTGGAAATAGACACTTTAGATGAAAAAACCAGAAAGGATGTCTTAAAGAAGGCTGAAGTGGACGCAGACCTGAAGAACGCAGCGGATTTGTTTGAAGGTCTCAATATGGCCGACGAACACCCCAGGGCTAAAGCATTGCAGAAACAGCTGGACGAGGACGCCCTCTTGCGTCCTGCCTCTTTCACCAAAGACACACCCTTCGACGCACACCCGCTGTTCAAGGCCGAGACGAAGATGGAGTTTCAAGACCTCAGAAAAGCGTTAGCGACCGCTATCACTTCAATGAACGACAAGTCAGCCCTCAATTACTCGTCGGGGTTGGCAATTGATTTGATAAGGGATGTTGCTAAGCCCATGTCTGTCGAGTCCATACGTCAAACCGTGGCAACTCTGAACGTGCTGATCAAGGAAAAGGAGAGACAGGAGAGACAAGCGCGTTTGGCGAAGGTGAAAGGTGGGACCGCCACCGGTGGTGCAGGTAAGAAGAAGGCCAAAGCCGCCAAAGCCAACTTAGGTGGTGCGTTTAAAAAGGACCAGGATGTCGACATGGACGCTTCCGCCTTTGACGATTTTGGCGACGATGACTTCATGTAATCTCGCTACTGGTCTTTAGTTGTGCACCCACCTGCCGGTAACCGATACATCCAAAGTTTGTAATTCATAGCGCGCCTCATACTTTGGCCATCGCTGCTGTCTCCTCAGACTACCGTCTGAACCTCATTTACCGCAATGCTCGGCGCTTGTAAACTAGAAACGTGAAAACTTTGTCGAGTTTGACATTCTAGTTATCAGCTTTATATAGAGAGTACATAAGAAGTAAGCTAACTGGCAAAAGTGAACTCTTCACTGGTTGAGAAGTCTGCTCCCTCGACAGGATCTCACCTACCTTTTATACCTTTTTCTCGACCCTTCTCACCCTTTGCCCCCTAAAGAATTTGCGCAAACGGGTGGAGAGAATTAACGCTTTTGTGTCATGATCCGGTCCCCAACAAGCATGTTGACAACACCTTGTTCCCCGACGGCGACTTAGAGACTTCAGGAGCTCAAAGGGCGTGACGTTTGTTCGAAGAGGTCATCTAGTGGATTGGCTCTTTTTGTTGGAGCTGTTGGGGAACAAATTGCGCTCTTGCAAATTTGCCCCCACTTCGGCGGCTAAACTATGCGAAAATCGCTATTCTCCCAGACATGAACATTAGGAAAAGAAAATAACAAGAGCGAGATCACACGTACGATGTGATATAACACATGACAAATATATATTTATTTTTTAAAAAACTTGCGAAAGAGAAGATTCGAACGCAGGTTTCAGTTTTCGTGAAATCACGAAATTACGAATTTTGAAAAATGGCATATAACGTCTTACGAAGAATTGAAAGTGGAACGCGACAAGGTTTTTTATTTCTGTTATTGAACAGAGAAATTGATCTTCGAATTCGTCAATCTATTAAGGTAGATTAAAAGGGTTTTTCTTTTAAGCTCAAGCGTCAACTTTTGTCTTTATAGTCGGAAAGCCATGTCGTTTGCTATATGGTCATACCGTCTGCGGAAAAACCCGATAATTTCGGTTGTGTTGCTTGTAACTGGACTATTCTTACTCGGGTTTATGTTCTTCTCTAAGGAGGAATCTGTGCTGGGATTTGATGGATCGTCAATTTCGACGCACAAATGGGCGCACGAGAGCGAAAAGTCGTTTTACTTCCCATACTCGAGAAAATTCAAGACTCCTAAATACAGCTACAAGAAGAAGACCAACTGGCTTTTCAGCGATAAAGTCGAAGATGTGATCCCCGTCGGCCACATTGCGCACTACGACCTGAACAAATTGGAGTCTACTGCGGACGCCGCCGTCAACAAAGAACAAGTCCTTATTTTGACTCCAATGCAGACTTTCCACGAGGGCTACTGGAATAATTTGCTCAGTCTTACCTATCCCAGAGAAAACATACAACTCGGGTTTATTATTCCACGGACTACGAGTGGAGATACGGCATTGCGCAATTTGGAAGCTGCTGTGAAAAAGGTTCAGACGGCCAAGAAGGACCAGCGGTTCTCAAAAATCACCATTTTGAGGCAGGACTCGCAAAGTTTCGACAAATTACGCGAAAAGGACAGACATGCGCTCAGTGTTCAAAAGGAGAGACGTGCAGCCATGGCGCTGGCACGCAACGAGCTGCTGTTCTCAACCATAGGTCCCTACACCTCCTGGATCCTGTGGTTGGATGCTGACATCGTAGAGACTCCTCCTACCGTTATCCAGGACATGACGGCTCACGACAAACCAGTTTTGTCCGCCAATGTCTACCAACGCTTTTACGACAAGGAAGCTGCAAAGGACTCCATAAGACCCTACGATTACAATAACTGGGCAGAAAGCGACATTGGGCTGGAATTGGCTCGCAATATGGCAGATGACGAAATAATAGTCGAAGGTTACTCGGAAATAGCCACTTACAGACCTCTTATGGCTCTTTTCTACGAAGATAACGGATCTCCTTCTTCCGAAATGGAATTAGACGGTGTTGGCGGAGGTTGCACTCTAGTAAAAGCTGAGGTTCACAGAGATGGGGCAATGTTCCCTAGCTTCCCCTTCTATCATCTAATCGAGACCGAGGGCTTTGCAAAAATGGCCAAGCGTCTGGGTTACAAAGTTTATGGTCTGCCGAATTATCTCGTTTTCCATATCGATGAAAAGAACTGATCCGAGATCATCATGCAACATTATTCGCAAATAAATGTAGTTTATTTTACACCTAGTTTATATCTTCCCTTCGTTTAATAAAGAGAAAAGGATAAAGTCAAGCATGTTATTGATAACTATTATTGAGTTTTCACAAATCATTTAGGAGACCGGAATGATGAGCGATGTTGTCCAGCAACTCGATCTTATGATCAGCCGGAGAGTGCTTTGTTTTCTTAACAAGCTCTGTAACTTTCGTGAGATTGAAGTCCAAGTAATCTGCCATGAATTGGCCAATTTCAATATTTTCGTGATTTCCTTGAAGGTTGTCAAGTACTTGATGCCACACACTTTGCCTGTTAGCGTAAGCATATATATTGACGTCCACGGCGCTGTGCCCGTGAGTCGTCCAACCAACTCTAGCTCTATCCGATACCATCAGATTTAGTTTATCAGCAATGTCGCCCAAAGATGTAAGCTCAGCGAGCACCTTCACATCATCACGCTTGTAGTCCACGATGCCAAGATCCCTCTCGAAAATAGAAGTTTCGATGAATTCCTCCTTGTTTTCGCCCGTATAAGAGAGAACCTTTTTGCTTAGATACTCACCTGAGTGACTGGCGTTCAAAAGGGCTTGTGGGTACCAAACATACTCAGGATAATCCTTTCCGAGCTGTTTGGCGGTAACTAAACCACCGGTCTCGTGATCTGATGTGACAATCAGAATGGTTTCGTCATCGGACTGTTCAGCGAACTTCCGGACAGCCTCAAACGCCTTGTCGAAGGCTAAAACTTCGCGTACCTGAGCAGCAGCATCATTCTGGTGACCAGCGTGGTCAATGCGAGACCCCTCAATCATCAGAAAAAACCCCTTGTCAGAATTCTCAGTGGCCTTACTCAATGCATTAACTGCTGTCATAGCCTCTTCTTCAAGAGAGGGATAAATAGCTTCGTCTCTATCAATATCGAAGGGAATGTCATAGTCCGCAAGCAAAGCGAGCAAAGGCAGGCTCACGTTAGCACCTTGCTGCAGTTTATGGAACTCGTGAATATTCCCTACGTAGCTCCATCCATTCTTTTTCGCTTCTTTTATCAAATTGCGGCCATCCGCTCTCGATCCAGCACTCCCGTATTCAGAGTCTGCAGCCGTGTAAAAATGCGTTCTTCCTCCTCCAATCATGAGGTCTACCATACGACCCAAGGGATAACCACCCAACTGCTGCTCGGCAATCAAGTCTTCCTGAAATCTGTAATCCACATGGGAACTGAACGCCGCAGGAGTAGCATCGGTAATACGCGTGGTGACAACAAGACCCGTGAGCAAACCATTCAATTTCGCAGCTTCTAACAAGGTCCCACAGGGGTCTTTCGTGGGATTGACGCCAATGGCTCCATTATAACTTTTCAGAGCACAAGAAAACGCAGTTGCACCGGCAGCTGAATCCGTGATCAGCGAGTTAGAAGATCTGGTCCTTGAAGACCCAATTAGCCGTTTGTCGAGGTTCAAAATGTCGTCAATGTCCAGGCTGTCTCTAAACTGCCGGAAAGATCTCGTGAGCGACAACGAAGCTGGTCCCATACCATCTGTAACAAAAAAAATCACATTTTTCTTCTTGGATTCTCTTCTGATACCACCTTGAAAGTAATTGATGCTCACCGAGCCCACTACTAAAAGTAGCAAAAGCGCAGCCAATGAAACGCGCAAAGGCTTAATTTTTTGAGCCCACTTCTTCTTGCCACTTCTACCCAAAAGCTGGGACCTTTCGCTGGGCATATTTGCCTTCTAAATATCGTTATTAGATCCCCTCAAGCTTTGCTTGCGGGAAGACGGATTGGATTGGCTTGTGATAATGCTGGTTCAGCTTGTTGACTTCGAGAATTTCAAATCATGTGGGACGTAAACGGGTATAAAAGAGGTAGCCATAAGTTCTGATGCCCTCCATGGATTCCTGAAATGCAATGAGTTTCGCAATAGCATGGAACCCTAAATTCTCAAATATCCTGGCAAAATTCGCGTATCATTTGTATTGCGGCGGTTTATTATCCTTATTTCTCTTGAGACGCACTATGAGCCATTCCGCAGCCTCTCGTACGCCTTGGCCGTTGAGAGCACTTATAGGAAGAACTCGGCTGTCTCTTGCGCCCAAATGTTCAGCTATTTTGTTGAAGACTTCTTTGATGTCTTGCACTTCCATCCGGTCTTCTCGGTCCTGTTTATTCGCAAGCATGAGTACCGGTATGCCCTCCACGTCATCATCCATGACAACATTCTGTAGCGCGTTACAACATTCATCAAGCCGACTGCGATCAGAACTGTCAATGACAAATACTATGCCGTGAGCCTGAAGATAATACTCAGCCCACAGTGACCTCAGCGCTTCTTGTCCACCCACATCCCACAGTTTCAGATTGCAGTTCTCGACCGGTATGGTAGCAACATTTTGACCCACTGTTGGCGTAATTTTCTCCAGCGGTTTTGATGCATTAGTGAATTCCTTCTTGAGCGTTTCCAGAAAAGTAGTTTTGCCAGCGTTGTCCAGGCCCAATATGAGAATAGAATATTGCTCCTTCCGATTCCAATTGGTATAAAGACCTTTTGCCAAGTGGAACATCCCGAAAGCGATTAGTCCTTTTGCCGAGGACTGTCGTGTTTATGGTTCTTCCGGCTTGTTGATGAACTTTTTCAAGATGAGATGGAGACCTCGAAAATCTAATAAACTAGCTAATTAGCGGTAGACAATACACGGATAGAACGGTTTTAACCAGATCCCGATCTCGTAGTCTACTATGTCCTACAACGGGATTGGGCTGAGGAGCGCAAAGGGCTCTTCGACTTCTGGTCACATCCAGCAGTCTTTGGCTTTCAACGAGAATCGTAAAGGTGTAAAGAACTTCCTCAATCGAGTTGAAAAGAAGAAACCAAGGCAAACAGTCCGCCAAAAAGATCAAAGTATTATAAATCATATGGAAAAGCGTGAAATAGAGCTGCGAGTGTCCGAACATAGAGATATGCTAGAGGAAGAGGGTCTTGATGATCCGACCATCGAAGCAAGATGCGAAGAGTTCCGTAAGAAAATTGCAACAGTTGTGGAAAAAGAGCGCGCCGATGAGAAAACAAGGAATGCGTACAAATCCCGAAGACTGCGTTCACGGGATGCGGAGCTGAAACCTGAGGCGGAGCCTAGAAAGCAACCGGGGAAGGAGAAACCTCGACAAAACAGTGCTGACGGTCACCAGCAATGAGTTGCAGCGTATCATTAGGTGCGCAAATATATGCACATCCCATGCAAAGTCCTCTTGAATGACGAGTCCCAGACTAGCACTCAAACTCAATGATCACGTAATGTTCGTCGCTGAACATCCACGTTTCCTCGCAACTGCACGATTCAAGCACAACGGCACGGTTCTCGTTTGGTACGATGCGTCCTCCAAGCCAATTCAGGTTTCGAAGCAACGGTTTTATGCCAGGAGCTTCCCTGTGCACATAGAGCCTCAACCAGGCCAGCCGGAGAGTAGCGCCATACTCCAGCAGGGCCATGAGCAGCGGCTTCGCGATCTGGGTAATGTCACCACGAATCGTCACCTGAAGACATGTGGCGTCGTTTTTGCAGAAAAATGGCCTTTGGAACCAGTCTGGAAAGAAAAGCAGCGAGTATGTAGCGCCAATACAGCGCCAGAGTGAGGTTTCACGCTGCTGAACTGTGGGCTTTATCATTCGTTCGTACATGGTGATATCATGTCCAACCTGTCGAACCACATACGCCTGGAATTTAGAGTACGCTGTAAAGCCAGGTATCAGAAACTGACTTTCTGTCAGGAGTATGACGTCCCAGTACAGTTCTGTGAGCTGTTGCTCACCCACTTCCAAATATGCGGTGTCACGGACACCACTCCTCCAACCCATCCACCAACGTGTAATAATGAAAGATGGGGGCCTGCGTCTGGCGACGTTTGGCTAAGTTTCGAATATTGAGGCTCACACTCATGGATTGGGTTTCGGGACGCTCTAGCCTATTTCGCACATGCTCAGAGCCCAACAAATGTAGTAAACGCGATTGTTTTCTTTCTAAGGATTCCATTTTGATGATTGACGAGATAGGTGTAGATGATTAAGATTATCTCTTGGAATCACGTGTAAAGAGCGAATTGAACCACATGGACTATAAAAGTCAAAGTGACAGAGAGACTTAAAGCTATACCATACAATGGTAAAGCGTGAAACGGAGCCGTGATTCTTAGCAGAATTGGGGGTAGGAAGTGGCTAAGTCTACTAAGATTCGTCTGCAATCATGCGTATATTCATGTTGACCGGGAAGTATATCAAATAGACTAGACAAACAGCACGCCGCTGTCTCATTATAGCCGGTGAGTATTGCAAATGACCAAAGACGATTGTCTTTCGATTTTGTAACCCTACGCTAGAGATACCTAAAGAAAACTAATTACAGGATGATATAAAGGGCTCCAGGAAGTGTTATGCAGATGTGAAGCCTGGTATGAATGGTATGTTCATTCAGGGCTCTTCTTGTTGCCCTTTGGATTGCCCTCTTGGCCAACGTCTTGTTCAGCAGCACCTTGTCGCTCGGCAAGTTCAAATTTCAAGCGCTCAGCAGCTCTATACACCTTACTTTGAAGATAAAAGCTTCCTCCCTTCTCTTTGTCGTTAACATCAAAGAGATATTTGTATCTTTGTTCTATCTTGTCCGTGTTCAGGTCATTCTCGTTCTCGATGTTCAGAATCTTGCAACTCTCATCCAGGGTAATTCCTCCATACTCTGCGCCGCGGCCTTTCGCTGCAGTTTGGCCCTGTCGGCTAGCTTGTACCGCTGCTTGTTTGTAAGCCTCGCTAAATGCACGCCCAAATACTTGGGCGCCCGTGAAGATAACCTGCATCAATGCTCTGTGAGCCATTTTTCCTTTTCAGTCGTCAATCTTATGGTGAATGGAAGCGTCTAGCTTGGTTTTCCATCAATTAATTCTCAATCCCGAGCGATCAAGACTTTCAAATTTTTTCTTTGAAATGTTACGTACAAACTGACTATAAATAACGATGAGGCAATGTCAAGAAACGCTCTACTACTACCGTCTTCCTTCTGAGACGAGAGGATACCGGGCCGTACCAAGTTCTTAATTCAAAATTTCAATTACAGCGGCTTCTGTTTTTTCTTATAATCCGCGAAACTTAGCTTTTTCTTTGGTGCACGCTGAGGAGCAGTGGCAGTAAGATTCCCAAGAAGACTTGAATCACCTACCGTAGCAGCAGCTCCGACAAACAATTTCTCGCTCGACGCTTGCTGCTTGATTCCGACAGGGTAAACCTCTCTATCCATGTGAGGAATCACCGGGCCCATGCTTGAAATATCGATTTCCACAGGAATTGGTAAAGCCTTCAGATCCGTCACACGTGATTCGTCAAAATCAGCAGGATTCGTTATCACTGTCACTGAGGATGCTATTTGGTGGGGTATTGCTATGCCGGTTTGTCGCTCTTTCTCCAGGTGCCTTTCCAACAAGCTCAATTTCCTGGTGCTTCTCTGGATGCCGTGTTCTCTGGTTCTTTTTTGAACGCGAGATGAATTTTGATCTTTCCCAGAGATTCTCATCTGAACGGATTGGAAATCAGCCAAAATTTCACTTGCTCTCGCGGCGCTGCTTATTGCCTCACGCGCCATCCTGGACAAAATTGGAGTCTGTCCTCTCCCCTTCTGCGCTCGATTTAGAATCTCATTCAACTTGTATCTATTGTTCATTTTGGATTTTACCAGCTTTATGAGATTTAGCGAATATTTGCGGACTTTTTGTAGTTCACAATCTTTGTTGTTAGAGCCACATGCACACTCGCAGCTTCCTAGGATGGTATCAACTGAATGAATGAGCATGTACTTGTCAGGATCTGGAAGGGACTCAACAGTATGACTGCCATTGATGATTGACAGTACGGGGTGTCGTAAGTCCCATTCCCAACCTAGTTGCAATTCTTCTCCAGCCATTATGTCTCGCGTTGCTTTTAAGATGAATTTCACATTTTTCGAGCTTTCTCCCAGTCGAACGGTTGCAAGCTCGATGTTGGGAAAACAGGAACGTCTGACATAGCGCGTCAGGTTACCTGCAAGTCTCGCATCGATGCATATGGGCCAGTGGGGGTGGCATATTACTTTAGGTTTTGTAGTCCCCCATATTCTATAATTGTTCCTCGTATCAGTAAGATACTTTTTCTTGAAATCAATTTCCCCCACGAATTCTTCGATTAAATCCGATTTTCGACAGTCTTTCTGTAGAAAAACTCCTAACTTCGCAAATCCCGTGAAGCCCTTGCTGCTGGAACTCTCCGCATAGGGTCTGACTTCTATTGGCAAAGGAGTAAAACTCTTCTTGTTGTACAGCGTAACCCAATCATCATCGCTGTGTGTTTCAATAAACAATCGAGCATATTTGTCTTTGTATTCACTTGAAGATAACGGGAAATAAACAATCGGGAATGCGTCTTTAGGACTCAGGAAACTGTCGACTTTCTGCACTGTTTCATCTAATTTCACATCTTTTTCGCCAGTTTTGATAGAGCTACCCACTTGAGTCACATCATTTGAAGAAGATCGAGCACTACTGACTCTGTCGTCGTCCACACTTTTTCTCTTCCTTTTGGACTTGGGATTTTTGCGCTCTTGTTGTTTTCGTTTGGCCCTCTTCACGTCTAGTTTTCTCGGATGGCATGCACAGCACAAATAATCGTCTGGAGCCGTTTCGATATCTTTAATTCCGTAACAAACTGCATGCTGCCATCGGTTGCAGTGATCGCATTGAATAGTGAAACCGTCATCATCGTCATAACCACAGATACACGTAATGGTGCCAGCGTCTGGATCAACAATATATGATTGCGGAACAGGCCACTGCTCGTCTTGAGTTTTTCCATGTTCTTCAATTTGGGACTCTAGACGCTTTTTTGCTTTTTCTCCCGAGTGTCTACGGAGGGGCAGAGGAACGGTAGCCGCCGCTGCTAGAGCAGCAGCTGCAACCATGCCCTTGCCAGAGCCTGAAAAAGACGACGAACTCCTGCTACGAGTATGCCCGGCCTCCGGGAGGTGACTTTCGACTTTTTCGTCGATGTTGTCTAGAAGAACCGCAGAAGCAGGACCCGGTGATGCAAGCGGATTCACTTGGGAATATGAGGAAGGCTTGGACGCTGTTGGGGAGTTCGAAGCCCCCGAGATATTTTGATTTTCGAGATCCTTCTTATTCGAGGGCGAGAATGGAGTCGAAAGTCGTCGAGAGGTCGGAGCTTGGCCAGCCATATTAAAATCCGCGCCAGAGTTCTCAGTGTGCGCCTCTGTTCCTTTAGAAAACATCAGTAACGTCGACGCATCTTCGAGAAGTGTGCTCTCGTCCTTTACGTTGTTTTCTGCCATCTGGATTTATCGGACGATGCCTTCATCCACAACGTCTTTTCAAATCCCGTACTACCCTAAGACCTTTTATAGAATATCAAAATGGTTCACCCTTAAACCTCACCCGGCTATACACAGTAAGCTCGTCTATCTGCAAGATCGTTATTCCACGACCCGAACAAAAACTAAACGAAGCTATTCCTTAACCAACAGGATGCTTCCAAAACCAAATCTGCTTGTTTATTATTTTGAGGAGATGAATCTCGTTCCGGTGCCAGCACTTTGAACGTGATGCGCACTTTATTGGCGGAATCTCTTTCTCTATCATTCAGATCAAGAACGAGGAATTTTAAGTTAAGCAGCTTAGTTAAAATTCAAGATGATTTCGTATAAGACTCCTTTCGTTTAAGATGAAGAAAATTTACCTAATTCTATACGTCGTCGGCTTGGTGAGTCGCATCTGCAATGACTCTCGAGTCACTGAAGCCTATGCGCCCGTGGACGATTGACCCATGAAGCTCTTGATGACGGCTTTTCGGGTGAATTTTGACCGAGGCAGTCTGCTCTAGCTCATCTAAGAGATTAAGTAAGTTTGTCCAAGCTGTCACGTTGATGCTCCATACGCCAAGAGAGAGAGTCTTTGGTCCATACACTTTCTCGCCATTGCCATCTCTGTTGATGCTCTTTTGTCAAATTACCCTCCATCCTCTGCCATATATAACGCCCGATGTTGGGCAAGAACTTGAAGGCATGGCCAGAATCTCCACAGCTCACATAGACATTTTCTTGTCCTGGGACACGGTCAATCACAAAGTCCGAGTTGGCCGAATCGGATATCCAACATATCTTGAGATCGACAATGTCTCTTAAACGACTTTGGCTGTAAAGCAGGTCTGGTAGGTAGTCTTTTAGAATGCGTTGAATTTTTGCGGTAATCGAGTCATAATGTGCTTGGACGATTGTTGGCTCCTCAATACGATACCGAGGCTTTACGCCGGAGGACTCACGGTCGTACGTGGATGCGGCGCTAACGCAGATTTTTAGGGTCCTCGTGTCCATATCTGGAGGGAAAAAGTATCCCACGGCAGGATTGAAGACAACAGGAATATTTGCGTATCGTTTACATTCCTCGAGAGTCAAGTTGATGTGGCCAACGTAGAGCCCTGTAGCTTTTATCACGCCTTGCAAGGGCAACAATGCGGACGAGTTTGCGCCACAGGAGATTAGCACCTTGTTTGCTTTGTAGCTTTGACCGCTCGCGGTCTCTACCGTTACCAATTGACCAGGTATAATCCTGGAAACCCCATTTTGCTCGAGGAATTGAACTCCCTGAGAAACACAGTATTCTTTCATCTTGGTTAGGGATTTGGCTGCATACCCAATTCCGCAGTCAGCGTTGAATCTTATTTGATCAGGGGAGACAGACGCGTTGTGTAATTGCGGGAACTTATTCCCGCATGTCAGATCGCCTTGGAATTCTTCAACGTCAAGACATCTCTTGAACTCGTCTTGCAAAATTTTCAGACTGTTTTTCTCGAAGGCGTAACGCAATGACTCCTTGGGCGGGACAATGCTAATTCTTCCACAGTGAGAGTAAACGTCATGCAATAAACCCTTGGGTAGCAACTCATCCCCGTTTCCGTTCCAGTAGTCACAGGCTTCAATTGCCAAAGATGTATAGAACCTATCGTCGTATTCTAGCCGAATTATCTTGTTATAATCGTTTGCAGCTGACAACGGAGACGGTATGTTGTACTTATCAATGACCAAAACGGCCTTTTTCCTGCGGATGCACTGTGCTGCGGTGGATAAACCAAAAACGCCACCACCAACTATGATAACATCATAAGGGTTGACTTCCGCATGCATTGTGGCCTTTTTATCCGTGTATGATTGTTTTTCCCTCGTGCAATTCGTGTAGAGAATCTTCAGCAGCGTTCGGACTTTAGCTTGACAATTAAACAAGCGCGTTAAGGAGAACATCCGACAGAAAGGAAACACTCGTCAATATCACACTAATGTGATTGATGCCATTAGAATTAAAATCGCATCAATTTTGGGTGCTTCGGTTGACTCGTTTTTGTCATTATCTGCCATATTCGGTGTCGATACTAACCCAACGGCTTAAAAACTCGCAATCATAGCAAATCTTGATAGGACAATCTCCACCTCTTGCTGGGAAGAGGAAAAGCGACGAGTGCTACTCTCACGCGAAAACACAAATTTATATCCTAGATTGGGAATTATAAATATTGTCATTCTGTCCTTTTGAAAGCTCGTGGGGACGAATACCTCAAGAGTGCGTAGATAGTAAGAAAATTATGTAAATATCCTCAATATCAAGAAAGATGAATTGGAGACAAAATTGAGGCAATATGCGTACAACTTTGCTCGGGTCTTGAAAAGAAGAGGTTAGGCGGCGCTGAATAGCTTATGTAGTAATTGAAACCACGAACTTATCCAGATAAACACTCCATTTGAGGAGTACGCCTTGCGACTAGGGGCTTATCAGTGTAATACATTAGGTGATACACTGTGAGACACTAGATATTTGGAGCTGCAACCTCACTAATACGAAATTCAGGTTTTATAAAAAAGTGTTCGTTTGACCTTGAGCTTGAACTTGAAACCCATGTATCTCATATCTCATCGCTTCGAAACCCTTTGAAAGCTAATATTTTTCATTCAGAGTGACAAACCCATACATCTTACTCATTTGAGTAATTCACGAGTCTCATCTTTTTTGTGGGCGACGTCTCGACGCTCGGCGGCTAAGAGAGCTATAAAAGGGGACGTTTGATCTTTGACACAGAACGCCAAAACACGTAACAAAAATATTCTCTTGTAAAAGAGAATACAAAATCATAGAATAGAAACTTGTCAACTTACCAAGTTCTTCATAAGCGCAGAGACGGAAACAACCAAACTAAGGAAAGAGATTTGAGTTCTTGTATCTGAAAGTCGCAAAAATGGTATTCAGACACAAAGTAAAGGAACCAGTTACTGGGGTTCCACCTGATATCGATTCTCCGCCTTTCTATATTCCCGTGAAGTCTATATCCAGGCGGTTCTCGCTGATGCAAGAACTCGGGACAGGGAGCTTTGGATCTGTGATATTGGCGAAAATACACCAGAGTGCGTTGACCGATAAGAAGCCACAGTACCACAACACGCTCCTGGACGAAGCGACGATTCCGTTCTTCGAACAAGAAAACTTCTACAACAAGCAGCAGGGCCTGCTAGCGATCAAGACCATGATGACAAGGTTGCCCACCTTGAACGACTACACGCGGGTTCGAGAAATCAAATTTATCCTGTCCATGCCGGCTCACAAAAACCTACTGCAGATCTTCGAGCTTTTCATCGATGACACAAATTTCCAACTCCATATCGTCATGGAATGCATGGAACAAAACCTGTACCAGCTCATGCGCCAGAGAAGAAAACGCGTTTTCTCGTTGCCATCGCTCAAATCTGTTCTCTCTCAAATTTTGGCAGGCATCAAACACATTCATTCTCACAACTTCTTCCATCGGGATGTCAAGCCCGAAAACATCTTAATCTCACCTTCTAATCATTTCTACACTAAGGGTTGGCTGGTGGATGGGAACTACAATGACAACTACGTGGTCAAAATTGCCGACTACGGGCTCGCACGTCATGTCGGTAACAAGAGCCCCTACACGGCATACGTTTCGACGCGCTGGTACCGGTCACCAGAAATCTTGCTCAGAAAAGGATTTTATTCAAAACCATTGGACATATGGGCGTTTGGTTGTGTCGCAGTCGAAGTAGCCACTTTCAAGCCGTTGTTCCCGGGGTCTGACGAAATGGATCAAATCTGGAAGATCTTGGAAGTTCTGGGAACTCCGCACACTATGCCCGAGACTCTGGTCAGCGGTTACCAGTCGCACGGCGGTAATTGGGAACAGGCCAAAGTACTAGCGGCGCGCCTGAATCTGAAATTTCCTTACGTTGAAGGCATAGACATCGAATCTATCATGGAGCACCCCCATCTCAGTAGTCTACGAAGTGTTGTTAAGGCCTGTTTGACATGGGATCCTAAATCTAGGGCCACGGCTGACGAATTGAGTCAAATGCCTTATTTCCAAGGGACCCCTGTCGCGGAACAGGCGCCTTTGGTTGAGTGTAGTAACGACGAAAATCACGAACAAACCACTTGCGACCACAGCAGCGCACTAGCACAACAGCAGCTAACTAAAAAGCTCCGCGACAGCATGAGCCTAGCGCCAACTGATATTATTAACAACGCCGCAGGTGAGTCGTCCAAGGTCTCGCTCCACGAATTCTTGCAAGAGGCACGTCCAACCAACGAGCTCTTGGGATCAAAGCGGGTCTCCGACTCCACATCTCTAAACGAGGACGGCAAATCACAGTCACACGCCAGCGGATCGTCGGACGAGGGCTCAGACCGCCACAACATCGCCGTGGATTTCGACGAACCCGAGCCAGAGGGCGACTTCGACATCCCCGCGTCCAAAGAGCTCATAGCCGATCTCACACAGACCTCGCTGCAGTTGCCCGGGATCGACGATTGCTCAGAGAGCAGTTCGTGTCCACCGGACGCGGACGACAGCTTTTCGAATTACTACGTAGCGTCCACCATGAACTTCGAAGCGACCGGAGCGGCCGCCGGCGCCAGCCTTAGAGCCAACGACTCCAATAACTATGTGCACGACGCCCCCGCTCGCTCCGACGAAATCCCGCTCATTAACCGTCACAACCACATCTTGGAAGACATGTCCATGGGCTCCGACAACTCGCAGAATCACGTGCCTCGCGTTTACGCGATGGCACGTGACCCGACTGAATTTTCTACGCCCATCAAAGAACACGACTACTCCCAAAGCTTTACGCACGCAGGAAGTCTAACCTTTTGAAGTCACTGCGTAACACACCGCTTACCGCGCTGCTTAGCACACCACTTGGCGTGCGGCCGCTCATGTCTTTTTCTAAAAATTTTTTTACACAATTTTTTCTACGCCTCATCACCTGTCTCTGTCTGTTCTCCTAGCCCACACCTGCGGGAAGCCGTTTCGATGCGTCGTTTTCCGACGCAACCGTTCCCGATTCCCGTCCCTTGTACGTATCGGCTATCCATTTCCAGACCCCAGGTTCCGATTCAAGCACGGTTGGGTTTTGTGTCCCCAACACCCGCGAAAACCATTTTCTGATCTGGCAAAAAACACACGCACCTGTATCGGCGTCTGTGGCTACCTGCAACCGCCCTACGAGCCCGCTTCTAGCCTGCTTCTAGCCCCACCATCTGCCATAGGCCATGTTTCAATGCATAGAAGCATTTTCGCTAACAACACCCAAACCTACCTATTAACCGCCTTCTTACAAGCCCGCGAGGCGACGCGCTCGGTGCGTGCCGTCGCTCGGGGTTTCAATACCCGAAACGGGCATCGCAGAAGCCTACGTCGAACAACGCGTGAACTATTTTAAGAATTTAGGTGTTAGGGTGTTGTATCTCGCGTTCGTTGTTAATGCGGTTGAAATCCAGTCTCACACTACGTTTGTGTCTGACCCGTCGCTGCTCGGCCGACTACCCATGCTTAGATAAGCCAAAGATTTCGGGGCCGTCCCCGATCCGCTATCCCCCTTAGTGGCAAGGAGTCTGAATGACGTCGTGTCGGAGGATGACACTTCGGCGCAACACAGCACGAAACAATCATGCAAAATGATTGACGTAGACTGAGACTAGTGAGAGCAAGCAGTATAAGTAGTGAGTGGGTGCCAGAAGGTGGTTTCAAGATCAAACTGCAAGATCAAGATCGTTCAACTGAAACAGTTGGAACCTTGAAACAAGTGCTGAAGTTATCTGTGGTGTCCGTAAAAGAGGATACACAGTTGTACGCAGTAGAAGTGAAGAGTAAACTTTCGTTATTATTTTCACGCTCTGCAAGCCTGTTTGATTTTTGTCCAGGAGGACCATCAAAAAATACCGGAAAACGTGTTCCTGAAATCAGCAGGAGACGATTCTGGTACGATAGGCCGAACAAAATAAACAGAGCAAGTGACAAGTGGCTTGGTGTTCGCTTGGGTCCCAGATAAGAGAAACTGAAGCGGTGAGAGTCACTGTTTACGGAAATACTCAGTTTCAACCCGGTATCGACCCAGGGAATCTTTAATTTCTTTTCTCAGAAGGCAAAGCGAAGAGCAGAACTGCCCCGGACAAGACAAACTCACTTTATAGACAAGGCTCGTCAAGACACACTCACTGATTTTGCTGAGACTTGCGTAAAATGAGTGACAAAAGACCAGGACTCTCCAACCAGAAATCCAGCGATCGTTTTCGGTTTCTGCGCAGTAGATCGCCTGCGGGTAATGCGCCGCAGGGACCTGCAAGCGGCGCGACAGCATACGATTCGAGCAGCGACGACGAGGCCGCAGAGCCCGTTCGCGCTACAAGCTCTCTAGCGCTTCCCTCGTTCAATCAGGGCTCCTCGCAAGCGGCCGGCCGCCAGCAAATGATAGAACAAGACGCCGTGGACACGATTCGGCTCAACAGCGGTAACGACGGGGACTCCGATCCTGGTGAGGACGTAGCTCAGGACTTGGCGCTCCAGGAGCAAATGCGCCGCGACTACGAGACCAAAAGGGCAAGATTCGCAGATCTACCACATGAGGACGAAGATCAGGTCGACGATGATGACAAGCTTGCCCACCACGACGAGGCGGACTTGACAGATATGAGGGGCGAAACACGATCTGCTAAAACAAAGCGTAACAGCGAGACCCCGAGCTTTCAAGAGGACGAGAAGGACAACAACGATACTTCGTCAAGCACGGCCTCCGACGAGGACAAGGTTGACCATTTCAAGTCCTTTTTCAGGCGCAGGTCGACTTTGCGTCGCCAATCCAACGATTCTAGGCCCAGCCACGGAATGCGCAGTTTGAGAGAGGAAGATGAAGACGACGGAAACGTGCTATCGAAGTTCCTCCAATTTACTGGCGGTGGTCTAACGCCAGCACTGGGCCGTACCGAGTCTCAAAAATCTAAACCCGACCCAGAAAAAATAGGTGGCCAGGAAAACTTGGATGCTCCACTCGAAGACCCTGACATCAAAGAGGCGGCTCAGAATATCGTGCAGTCGCATGCCAATGACGATCGGGCAAGGCGCGGTGAGAATTCTCCTAATCACTTGCAAGTGCCCTCCGACGTTGATCCAGCCGTGAGTCTATCAGACGGAGAGACCGCGGTTAACTCGTCTCATAGCTCTTTCTTCGCTAGTAGGGTGGGTCACTATGACGACATCGATCAGCAGGAAGACTTTGATCCTCTTATGGAGGACTCCTCTTTTATTGCACCCCCTTCAAGAGTACGCGGTGGTGTCTTGGGCTCGTTACTGAAGCTGTATCAGAACGAGCAAGACACAGCAACACAATCCCAAATCTCATTGGACCAACCAACTGACACAGAAGCCACCGATTCGCTTCTTGCCTCTAGGTCGGAGACGCCGGAAGCTGATGGTCAGAAAAAGAGCAAGAAGATTTCTTTTAACACCCCCTTTTCAACTGTGAAGAATAAAGCGAAAAGTGGGTTCGAGTACGCCGAGCACGCCGGTAATTCTCTAACTAAGCTTCCCAACTTCAAGGCTACGAGACCAAAAATGAAGAATGTGAAAAATGTCACCAGGCATGCCAACAAGTTACGTCGTAGGGCCAATGCTGAGGCAAGAATTACGGTCCATATTGCTGACCTTTTGCAAAGACAGAGATTTATCCTTAGACTTTGTAAAGCCCTCATGTTGTATGGGGCGCCAACACATCGTTTGGAAGAATATATGGTAATGACTTCTCGTGTTATGGAGATTGATGGCCAGTTTTTGTACATCCCAGGTTGTATGGTGGTATCCTTCGGTGATGCCACGACGAGAACATCCGAAGTTCAATTGGTCAGATGCGCTCAAGGTTTGAATTTGTGGAAGTTGCATGAAGTGCATTCCGTCTATAAAAGTGTGATTCACGACTTGTGTCCTGTTGAGGATGCCAACAATGCTATCGACAACATTCTGAAAGAAAAGAATTTATATCCGCCTTGGGTATGTGTTATACTCTACGGTGTCTGCTCCTCCTTCGTTACTCCGTTTGCGTTTGGGGGTGATTGGATCAATATGGCAACTTCCTTCGTCATTGGTACTTGTGTTGGATTCATGCAGTTTATTGTTGCTCAGAGATCAAGTTTGTACTCCAATGTTTTTGAGGTTACGGCATCGATTGTTGTGAGTTTTTGCGCGCGTGCACTGGGTTCGATTGCGCCCGGTAAGTCAAACATTTGTTTCGGCGCAACGGCGCAAGGGTCGTTAGCGCTAATTTTACCCGGTTACATTATCCTGTGTGGTTCTCTAGAGCTGCAAAGCCGAAACTTGGTGGCGGGATCCGTTAGAATGTTTTACGCCATCATTTATTCGTTATTTCTTGGATTCGGTATCACTTTGGGTGCAGCTTTATTTGGGTGGATATACAAATCGGCCACCAATGAGACGACATGTGCAAAAAGCGTTTCGCCTTGGTATCGCTTTTTATTCGTGCCTGCGTTCTCGATTGGGCTTGGCTTGATCAATCAAGCCAAGTGGAGTCAGTTGCCAGTGATGACTTTCATTTCCTGTTGCGGTTACGTTGTCACCTATTTCTCTGGTCTGCATTTCAAGAATTCTACGGAATTTAATTCTGCTCTGGCTGCGTTTATAATTGGAATATTGGGAAACCTATATTCGAGAATCTGGAAAGGATTGGCGGTGTCTGCCATGTTGCCCGGCATTTTCGTGCAAGTCCCCTCTGGTGTTGCCTCGCAAAGTTCATTGCTTGCCGGTATCCAGAGCGCTAATCAAATTACAAACCATACCAAAGGAGCGAACGATGGCACAAGCGATCTTTCTGGGTCAATGTCGTTTGGTGTTACTATGATTCAGGTCTCGATTGGAATTTCCGTCGGGCTGTTCGCCTCAACGCTTTTCGTCTATCCATTCGGCAAAAAGAGAACAAGTTTGTTCACCTTGTAAGACCACACACTACTATTGAAATTTCTTCAAGAAATGACACTAGTTTTTGCATATAGAATAAATTTACTATACATTATCTATTCTCAATTCATAAATCATCGTCATCATCGTCATCATCCTTTTTTCATTGAGATGCTTCAGGCTCATCTGTCGATTCGATGAATTTTTTTTTTTTCTTTGAGTGAAAAATTTTGACATGCGATGAGCATCTTGAATACCTTTCCAACCAAAGACAAACGGAGTGGCAAGTAGTAGTATCGGGTTCTTTAAGGATAATGTCATTGACAGAACAGCTTTCCCAGATCTCGGCTAATAATTCTACTGTTGCTTTGGATAGAAAGCGCAGACAAAAGCTACACTCGGCGTCTTTAATCTATAATCCGAAGACAGCTGCGACTCAGGACTATGATCTGATTTATGAAAATGCAGTGGAGGCATTACAAGAATTGGTAGAGATTGATGGTAGGTTTGATCAGTTTAATAGGTCTCTGTTCGGGGCCTCTTCCGTTTCTATTGATAGAAATGTGCAAACCAAAGACCAGGTCAAAAATCTAGACACTGCTGTTAACCAGTATCTGATGCTAGCATCCTCGAAATGGCACTTGACTCCGACTTTGCATGCGACAGAGTGGCTGGTTCGCCGCTTTCAGATCCATGTGCACAATGCCGAATGTCTTCTTCTCTCAACGATAAACTATTTTCAAAGTCCGATATTCCGGAGGATCTTGAACATAGTAAAGATCCCCCCACTATTCAACCCCTTGTCGAATTTTGTGAGGTCAGAACAAATGCCTTCTAACTTGACAATTGTCAAAATGTTCGATGATCAAGATTTTTTGAAGCTCTACACTCAGCACTTGAGCAAGACTATCAAGAGAAAAGTAACCTACACCAGCCAACTACTCTTCGCTAGTTGTTCCATTGTGAACCTCATTGCGTTCAATTCAACCAACCAATCCAAACTTGAAGCTTTAGTTCCTACTCTACTTGAATTGTCAGCCAAGCTTCTCACGTCTGAATTGGCGGAAGCACAGGTTGCAGCTCACACAATATTGGTCGTTTTTGCGACAGCTTTCCCCTTGAATAAAAGCATTATTGTAGCTGCTGAAGAGACGATTTTAGCCGGTCTAGCGAAAGATGGAGCTAAAAGATCAGCTTTGATAACCATTTGCAAGCTGCATCAAAGTTTGAAAGGACAAGGAAACGTTGATCAGCTCTCTTTGGCGCTTTACAAAAGTTTTTCGGCTCAATTTAGCTTTCCCAATGTGTTAGCATTCTTGGAGAAGCAAGAGAAAAATTATTTCGACAAATTCTTTACTTCTTACATTAGAGCTATTGTGAGATATGATCATGACAGGCTTCCATTGCTAGTGGAGCTACTGATAAAAACTAAATTTGAGAAATATGAGCTCAGATTTATCATAGTTGATTTGATAAATCTGTCAGAAGTCTTAGAAAATAAATCCCAACTTGGAGCGCTCTTCGAGTTGCTAATTGGCATTGATGAAGAGCTTGTTCTCGAATGTTTGAAAAATTTGAACATCAACTCAGAAGTTTTTGAGCTCAGATTAACGAGATCGTTGTTCCAGAGTACCGGGGCTGAGGCCGAAGATGATGATATTCAAATTAGTCGTGACGCATCAAAAGTTTCGGGCTTATCAAAACCCGAAGAGCCTTTCAAAGACTTTTTGAATCGAAACTCGCAGTGGATTTTGACGAAAAGCACTTCAGTTCTTACAGAAAATGACGAAAAATTCGGGAAACTACTCTCCCTTTTCGTTGAAAGTCTCAATAGAAATTATCAGCCAGGCCTCTTCTTGTCGACCTTCTTTACCACGATTGAGAGCAGATTATCGTTCTTGTTGAGGGTCATAGTTTCGCCTGCGTCGCCCAGTGCGTTAAAGCTGATTTCGTTGTCAAACATTTCAAAGTTGCTGAATCAAATAGACTCAGAGTCAAACGTTTTCACAATCGTGCCACTTTTGATGGCCGCGCTATGTGACGCAACCAAAACCCTTCGCGCAGGAATAAGCAAGTTGATGCTACAAATTTCAAAACGCCCTACAACAAAACATTACTTCTACGTTAATCAGATTTATGGTGAGCGTGAAGTGCCTATGCTTGCTCCAAAAGAAGGTTCTATTTGGCTAAATAATTTTCTCGAAAATTTCGCAATCGAAAACATTGACGCAGGCAGCTTGATAATACCCAAAAAGCATGAGAAGGCGTTTCTACTTTTCTGGGCTAATCAAGCACTCCATGTTCCTCTCCCATCGGTGAAGATGAGAATTTTGAACTGGGTAACCAAGCATCACTCGTATTCCTCCGCGTACTCTATCATCTTTTTACCACTGGTCGGCAAATACTTGAAAGAGAGGCAGGAATGGGAAGACAAATGTCTAAGCAACAAGACTAATTTTGAAGAATATGAAAGGTCAATAGTGGCGATTATTGCTGGAAAAGAAAAGAATGGTGAGCTTATAGAGTTTGCGCTGTCTGCGTTAAAATCCAACTTCCAACAGTTAGCCACATTAATGAGTATTAGGCTACAAAAAGTATTCTCTACACTCAAAACGGCACAGCAGCAAGATATTGTTAAAAGCATTGTTGAATCTACCGCAGAACAGGAACTGTACTATGATTCCGTCGGATTACTGCAGTCTTTACCAATCAATGCCTCAATTTTTGCAACAATTCTTAAAAGTTTGAGAATAAATACCGATGACAGTCAGGATGATTTTGTAAAGCGGAGGAGAAGGTCTTCTACAGCGAACAAGGCAGCACTACAAAAGGAAGAAATTTCACATATGGCTGAGATTCATTTGCGAAAGTTGACCATTGTTTTGGAGGCGTTAGACAGTGCCAAAGACGTTGGGTCACCTGGTTTGTTATCAGCTCTTTTTGGTATAATCGCGGATCTTGAGACGCTAGCTCTAGACGGCGGTCTGCCTGTTTTATATGCACAGGAATCTTTGGCTTCTTGTATGATGTCCACGATTGACGTTCTGAAGAAAAATGAGGTCACCGATACGTCTTCCATTAGAGCCGATGCATTGATAGCTGCTATAACGAGTTCTCAATCCCCCCAAGTTCAGAACAAATTGCTCTTGGTAGTGGCGTCTTTGGCTGGACTTAACTCCGAAATCGTATTGCATTCAGTCATGCCAATCTTCATATTTATGGGTGCTCACACAATTCGTCAAGATGATGAATTTTCTACTTTTGTTGTCGACAAGACAATCAAAACCGTCATACCATCTCTTGTAGAGTCAGGTTCAAATAACAAGGAGGAGGAGGTGGAGTTTTTGTTGATGAGTTTCGCAACTGCTTTTCCACATGTCCCGAAGCACAGGAGAGTTAAGTTATACAGCACACTTATCGAGACCTTGAGTACCGACAAGTCATTGGGGCCGTTTATATTTTTGATGGCTCAGCAGTATGCTCAACATATAACGAAATTCAAGGTTAGTGAGGCCAAGGCAGTCGTTGAATTTATGGTCTCCCTCCTCACAAAAATGAATGCTGCTGATCAACTTCTGGGATTTGACATGTTCTTGCAATTAATGAAAGTAATTTCTCCAGATTTGCCCGTCGATGAGAAGGAAGGTTTGGAATCGAAAACCTTGTTTTCGAATGGCATTTTGAACTCGACCATTGTTGAGATGGTTGGCATGAAGAATCATTTTTTGGAGTTTCTGAATAAAATCTTGAATGATCAAAGTTTGAGTAGAACTGGAGATCTCAAGATAAAGGTTTTACAAAGCTTATGGGACTCAGAGTCGACATCTGGTATTAACGAAAACATGAAATCTTTATTCGGTTTTCTTCTAGAGCATACATTAGAGATGATAGACAGCATGGAAAATTACAACCTTGGAGAATATTCTCCAGACACCAAGGAGTTGGCAGACGAGATGAGTGAGCAATCTTACATCTTTTTGAGAAAAATACTTGATTTACTTCCAATTGACGACTTTGTAGACGCTGTCTTACCTCTTATGCGTCAAAGCAACCGAGAGAACCTCAGACATCATGTTACTATCTCAGTCGCATCCAAATTTGACTTAGAGGTAGCGGAATCCGCATCAAGTGCCTCTAAAATCGCTACTGCTTTGATTGACACTGCAACTGATGCAGAAGAGACTGTCATTATAATTCAAGTGTCTTTGAATACTTTAGGAGCACTCGTTACAAAGTTTGGCCAAAACCTCGAACATGAACTTTTGATGAGAGCAATGACAACTGCATGTGATGTTTTGCTTCGCAGTGAAAGTGACCTGAAAATCGCTGCCTTAACTGTCATCACAAGCGTCATTCAAACCGTCGGGATCAAGTCAATTGCTCTTTATCCAAGAATTGTCCCACCCAGCATCAAGATTTTTGCAGAAATTGAAGAAAATGATTGTCTGAGGGAACAGTTGCAATTGGCTATTTTACTAATGTTTTCTTCAATGATTAAACGGATGCCCGGCTTTCTTTTATCCCATCTCGCTGAAATTTTAAAGATCATACTATCCGCGGAACAGGTTGAGGAATCTATCAGACTCTCTATTTTGGCTTTGATGGTCAGTCATATTGAGGTAAGAGACATTTTGCGGACGCTCAGCAAAGTTTGGAGCGGCGACATAAAAAATTCAAGCGATTCAATCGCCGTTTCATTGTTTTTGAGTTGCTTGGAATCTGTTGTTGATGTCATCGACAAGAAGTCCGCTGCAATTGAGTCGCCAGTATTTTTCAGGCTTTTGCTATCATTCTTTGAATACCGGACCATCAGCAAGTTTGATACAAATACTGTTAACCGCATTGAGGCCTCCGCTCATAAAGTTGCCAATTCCTACGTTCTAAAGCTCAACGACAAAGTCTTTAGACCACTATTTGCTTTGACCGTCAGATGGGCTTTCGATGGGGAGGGCGTTCAAAGCTTTGGAGTTACACGAGTGGAAAGATTGACAGCTTTTTTCAGGTTCTTTAATAAACTTCAAGAGAATTTGAAGTCTATTATTACATCATACTTCACTTATCTGCTAGATCAAACGATCGAACTTCTGCATTCATTTGTCAAGGGCGAAACAGTTGATTTGAATTTACGCCGCTTAGTCTTGAATTCTCTGACGTCCTGCTTCAAGTACGATCAGGAAGAATATTGGAAATCCACTTCCAGATTCGAAGTGATATCAGAAGCTTTGATTGCGCAATTGAGTAATATCGAGGACTCAGTCGCGAAGTATCTTGTCAAAGCCATAAGTTCACTGGCTGTTAGTAACGCTGGAGCAGAGGATCATAACAAGATAATGAACACATTGTTAATGTCGCACATGAAGGCTTCATGTAGGAGCAAGGAAAAGCTATGGGCTAGTAGATCCATTAAGGCGATTTATTCCAAAGTGGGTGAGAACTGGCTGGCTCTGCTTCCTCAGTTAGTTCCCATCATCGCTGAATTACTGGAAGACGATAATGACGAAGTCGAATATGAAGTACGCACTGGTTTGGTCAAAGTTGTCGAAAACGTTCTGGGCGAGCCATTTGATAGGTATTTGGACTAAAAAAATAAGTACTAGGGAAACTGGGCCAGTTTGCTGACCAGTGACTCGAAATTATATACAAGCATATTTAAGCATTTCTCGATACTAGAGTTATCACATTTAAATTGTAACTTTACTGGTTAATGCACTAAGGGCGTCAATAACCCATAATGAAACATTCTTTCGAGGAAAACGTATATTTACGGTAGCGAAAGCTCCCGACAAGACATTTACTATTAGTATCCTCTTCGTAATAGTACACCAAAAAGATGTAGACCCATTCATGCTCTTACAGTACATTCAAAAAAAAAATTTCCCAAACGGATCCAGGATTATTAAGAAACTACCCCAGTGATGGTTTCAATCTATCTTTCCAGTAAATTTGAAGGGTCATATCTTCTAAAGATGAGCTGACTTAATGGTTAGGACAGATCTGAAAAGGGAGCTGATACGCAAGAAATTGTTAGTTTAAATATTAGTAAATACAGGATAATGTAGTATAAAAAGGGACTGCTTAAATGCTCGCATTCGCTCGAGGTCGTCATCATTTTACTGTCACTTCGTTCCATCTTTCTCTCAGAATAGGTAAATGCTTTTCACGTGAAAAAATACCAGGCCCTAAGAGACCAGCTAAAGAATTAAGTAAGTGACTAGTTATATAGGAAGACACGAACAGTTCAACGGGATCTATAGAAGGAGATGTCAGCACTCAATTCGGATGTACGGGATTTTAGTTGGAGCTCACGCGAAGGTGGGATACCCATAGTGCTGAAAAGGCTTTTCAAATCACCGAAAAACCTTGATTTTGAATCTGCATTACATGAAATGATGAATCTCGTCTTCAGGCCACGTACGGCCTACCGATCGCTCTACTATCAACGACAAACAAAAAATAGATGGGCCAGAGATGATCCGTCTTTTTTCCTGCTACAAATCGGGCTACTTACAATAAGTTCAATCGTATGGTCCGCGGTGTACGGCCATTCTTTCTCTGGGTTCTTCAAAATGTTCATTAACATGATTTTCGTCGACTTCTTTCTCACTGGGTTTGCAATGGCAACGCTTTTCTGGACAGTGTTGAACCGGCGGTTTTTCAAGTTTCGGTCTGCATTCGACTCTAAAGTCGAATGGGCGTATTGTTTTGACGTCCATTGTAATGCGTTTCTTGCGGTTTGGTGCTTACTCTATTTTCTCCAGTTTCTGTTGATTCCGGCTATCAACCTTCATAAATGGATTGGCCTATTCATCGGAAACACCCTCTACTGTGGCGCTTTCGCACATTATTTCGTTTTGACATTCTACGGCTACAGTCAGTTGCCCTTCTTGAAGAACATCAATTTCATTCTTTTGCCAACTCTGGGACTGGCGTGCTTGTACTTGGTCAGTTTGTTTGGAATCAAACTTTCTGACGTTTTGAGTTTTCGTTCTTATTCCTCATCATGAACTGGTTCTCTGCCCGTCACGAAGCTTAAGTAATGATGGGGGAAATTCACACTGGATCCAAATGCAGTGTGCCGCATTAACACTCAAGTTGCTCGAAAACTATCACTCCAACGAAAGCGTTTCCCTCATTGTCCCGCATAGCAACCGCCGACCCGACGTACACCAATGTCGGCACTTCGTAGTCAGGATGGTTCGGAAATTCGGCCTTCCAAGGCGGCATATCGTGCTTCGCATTGTTCCCCGTGATCTCGACAAAATCTATTCTCAACGAGCCGTTGTTATCAATTATACAGTACAACTTATATCTCGCATTTTTCAAGTCAATTTCGTCATTATAGTACAAACTCCCAACCGATGAGCCGCAAGCTCTCCCAGTACAGGACCCAACACCCACTAAATTCGTTCCAGCCAATTTCATGTACAGGCCTGAAATTGCAAACGCCCCAATTTCAATCTCAACAGATGCCTCAAACGCATGACGGTAGGTATGCGTTAGATTAGCACCAAGATCCATAACACTACTTTTGGCTAGCACTCTTACGGCTTTCTGTTGGTAGGTCGACGGGTACCCAGTTCTTAAAAGAATGGCTTGGATCGGTACTATCATAATGGACGAAATTGCTTTCTGCTCTTTCTCGAACTGCCGCCCTATGATATCACTCGTCGATACGCATGCACGCGGAAGGAAAATTGATAACAGTGAGATCACATGAGCATGCTTAAAGATAGATAGGCTGAGACTCAAGTCGAAAGGCTCCGGTTGGGTGACTAATCACCTCAGATTGGCATGTTAGATCATAGTCCTGGTGCTCCTTTTCGTACTCCCCCGTTTCTTGCTCATTTTTTGTTGTAATATATGCAAAGTTAGCTAGGTTCTCAGCTGGCTATGGCGACGCGCTTGGCCTGTCAAAGAACCCTCTGCATCGAAACGGCTCAAGAAGTCAGAATCGCTGCTCAGACTTGACATGTGCGGCGACGAGCTGCTGTTCGTGTCTTTTCTAGACGCTTCTGAAATGTGTGCAAAATTCTGTAAGTTGGCCATAGATGCTACCTGTTTGAACTCAAAAGCCTCCGAAGCATGCCACATCTTGTATGTGGCGGTTTTGCCCAGTGCCATGTGTCTTCTTAGCACATCATCTTTGATGAAACCCATTTCAAGGCTCGTTAGGCCATCGTCGTCCACCCTTGCGTTGCCTTTTACGAACCTGAACTGCTCTTCAAACGACGGTTTGTTTGCTTCGCCCGTCTTCATATTGGGTCGGGTCCCGTTTTTACCGTTGGTTTCAGACTTTCTGGTAGCAATCGGGCTCGGGCTCGTTGGCCGTTTAGACGCTATGTTCTCCTGGTTCGCCGCGATTTCCTTTATCCTTGACAGCATCACTTTTTCGCCAACAATTCCGCTGCTGGGAAACCGCTCAATGCTTCTAAGCTGATTTGACATCGATTCTGTTAACAGCTTTGATCCCAAATCTGCGTTCAGCCAAAACTTGGCTGGTTGATTTCTAGCTCTCCCGTCGGGAGAATCTAAGTCTCTTTCCCAATCCTTGTCACTGTGGCTTTCGCGCTCAAGTCCAAACGTAGAGCTCCCAGAAGAGCTTGCTTCGTAGCCAGCTCCGAATATTGTTGACGAGTCCGCTGAAATTCTTCTATTGATGACGAAACTGTCGTATTTGCTCTTCATCGCATCCATTTTCATCTGGAGACGCGTCATGTGGCCAACGCCAGAACTTTCTCGAGAATACTTATCCAGGTCTCTTTGGAAGTCTTCTATGGTGTCGGAATCTTGTCGAGACAACTTTCTGACTCCCGGGGTCGTCAGTGGAGAGGGACCCGAGCTCAGATAGCTGGGTAATTCTACTTCAGCAGCTTCTTCGAATTTGTTGTCCAGAGCGTACACTCTCGAAAAGATGTCTTCGGCGATAGCCCCTTCCAGCAGAGATTCTAAATTTTTGTCACTCAGACCCTGTTCGTCTTCATTGAGTTTAGGACGTTTGTCTACATTATCCGATTCAAGCGAAGCATCCATCTCACCCTGTGGGAAAAACTTGCCTCCGTGTTTATAATCAATGCCACTGGCTCGCTCTTTTTTTGGCGCAGAAAATTCAATTCTGCTGTCTGCTCGCTTGTTATCGATTATCTCGAACCTCAGAGCAGATTTCGTTCTTACAAGAGGACTCAAGTCAGATCTTACCGTCGGAGTTTCTGTGGTGCTTAGACTTTTGGGCCGCGCTGTCACGTTTCGCTGAATCTCGTAGTGATGAATAGGGTTTTCTAAAGATTTCTGTCGACGCAGAGGCCCAGGGTCACCCACAATTACCTCAATTGACGGCCTCTGGCCTCCTGTCATTGTGGTATTGCTGCCAGCAGCTATGATTCCATTCGAATCCCTTAGCGAAACAGTGTTCGCGTTTCGCTTGTTTTTTAAATTGTTCAGCAAGATACTCGCAGCAGAGCTCCGCTGTCGGTTAACATTCACTCTGGAAGTTTTATTGTCGGCATTTTCTTCGCTGATTTCCTCATTTTGGTTTTCCGGTACGGTGTACAAGCTCTTTCCCGGAAGACGTAAAGAAGATCTATGCGAAACGAGCCGCGCATGCGGTTGTTGCCCGCTCAACATTGCCGATAGTTCGCTTCTTCCTCTAGAAGAGACGCCATTCTCGTCAACCCGATCACTGAGGTCGGTACTTCTTCCATGCATCATATCATCATTAGATACTCCAATTCACCAAAACCTCTGGTAAGAAAGCTTCGACAAGTCTCTTTGACGAAAGCAAATAACATGCTTTTAAAAAAAACCCTATTAATTTCTTTCGGAGTCTACAGCGTTATCCCTTGCGATATCCCTTGCCGGGAACTCTTGGTTTGCTGATACGGATCGAAAGTTTATCATTTTTCTTATCAGTGCAGGATCACCAATGACGTGCTGATAACCCACCTAGAGATCGATCAACCGTGATAAACAATAACTGTTTTAGGAGGGAGCGTGAGTGTAAGCCTTTGTTTTCCTTGTCGATTCCTTCACATCTCAAACGGTGTCAACGGCTCTTGTTAAGCACAGCACGGGACATGAATTTTCTCATGATGCGAATTTTCTAGGCTGTTTTCCAAGAAATGGGATTAGGAAGTATACTGAAAATCAGGCAATTTGCAGGACCTATCCATTCTAACCTCGGCCATACCACTTTTATCAGCGCGGATACATCATTCTTGATTTTTTTTTTTTTGCTTCCGGTTTGTATTTCTCTTAGCTGAAAGCAATACATAGGATTCGCCTCTCAAAAATCATGCAATCAGCAAGAAATTCAGGTGGTATTTCGCGTACTTGAGAAATACTTACTTCTTGCCATAAAGACACCCTGTTCTGATTCCCAATTTACAATTGCTAGGGTCCCAAATTCACAACCCCAGTAGAAGAGGTTTCGCTAAAAGACGTCATGGCTTGGTTGGGTCTTAGTATTAGTTAAATGGAAGCGTTGCTCCTATCGCAAAAGTTTAAACGGTCACTAAAATGTGCGGCACCAAAAGGCCTCTCTGAGATCCTTTTACGGCCTCGAAATGCCCTAGGAATGTGCCGAAAGCGTAAAATGGCGTCCGAAAAAATCAGTTGGAAGCCTCTCGAAAAAAAATTTTCGATGTCTCGCAATACGCTAGATGGAGGCTCGTGAGTGGCAGCATGCGTCGGCTAACGCATGTCGACAGGGTGCTTCTTCCAGATGGCTGCGCCGCACAACGATTGTGTGGCGGCGTTTGGAAAACGTCCCGCCGTCATCAGTCGTAGATGTCAATTGGAGGTAATCTGTCAGCGGTGTAAAACCAATTCTTAGAATCCACTTCTTTAGCAAGCCAGTCCGTGGGAAAGACCACGAGGTGTCCATTGATTCTTTCCAAAAGTTTCCGGGCTGTGTGTTTGTCGTAAATCCGTCTATTGGCTCCATACAAGACGCTACTGGACAATTTTGCTCTCACTCCATTCGTTCTATTATTATTATTATTGCGGAGCATATGATCCTCTTGTGAAGGTAGAGACTCAGTTCCGCCTTCGGATTTGTGAGAAACCGTTTTCGCAACTTTTGTTTGGCCCACTTGCCCTGGTTTGTCGCCATTTTGCTCTTGTTTAGTGATAACATCTTGGTTGATCTCGAAATCAGCTGCCATTCTTTTGAAATCTTTGTAGTCACGCCAAGACTGAACCGCATTATCTGGTTGGCAATGGAAAACCATGCGGAAGATGAGTGTATTCCGCAGAGCAATTGTGAACCACATATCTTCGTAAAATGAGTCGGCCAAAGGATCCTCGAAGGCGTACGGATCGACAAAGTTGAATCTGAAAATTGACGTCTGATCCAGTTGCTTATTGCCGACAGCCGGTATTATCTGTCGAACCAGTTCGTCTATTGCATCATCATCGAGCTCTTCGGCATCGAGCACTTCCGCATTGGCAATTCGGTGTAAGACTTCCTTAGTGCTGGCTGTTTTGTGATCGTGATTGTGCTGTTGCTCTTGACTGGATGTACCCGGTTTTTTGGCCTCCTTCTTGTAAGATAGATGCTGGAGGTAGCATATTCTTTTCAGCATATCCCATTTTTCATCGTCGCTTATATGCTTCTCGGCCAAGTAAGCCTCAACATCGTCTCTGCTCGGCAAAAAGATGTTCCCTTGGCTCTTGTTTCGTTTGTGACCATTCGAGAGCATTTTTTCGGCCCATGAGCGCAATTTGTCGGTTACGTTTTGTTTAAATTGTGCAGTCGTTTTCTTCCATCCATCTGGACCTAAACCTTCAACTTCTTGAGCATGTTTTTCATTGTTTACTAACCGGGGATCTGTGCTGACTGCTTTATTATCTCTTAAGCCCAAGTTAGCCTCGCCAGCGCGGTTGTTGAAAGAATGATAGTGCTTGTTAGAAAACGGAGCTTCAAGGTTCTCATAACTTTCGCGAGGGAGATTTGACTTTGCATTAGAGGCCATATCAAGGGGTCCGGAAGAATTTGTTTCATGGGGCTGATCTTGGATTCCAAATTTGCCATTTTTGTTATGAAACTTCTTCATCCAGCCTTCACTAGCATTTACACTCATAACCTCCCTATAAGCTAGTTCAAATAGCGACGAAAGTAAAATTTTCCTATCATTTTGCTCATCTTCGGGTAAAAGGTTAAGAGTCGAGGTGTTGCGGCTTGCTGTCTGCTCGAGTTTTCCAAATTTCCGCTCCACTATCTCGACTACGTCCACATCACATCCTAAGTGTTCACGCATCAACCTTTGACGCAATTCCCACGGAAACCGCCCGGCCAAATAAGGGTGTCCATTCATTCGGCTTTCGACTAAGTCCGTGTCTCGAATCAAAGCTGCTACTTCGCTGTCGCGATTCCCCAACATCGAACGTTCGTTCACATTAGCGCTCCCAATGATACAACTTCTGTCATCTACAATCATGACCTTGCCATGGACGTAAAGTTGCTCTGTGACCAGTCTTTCCTGAGGGCCAATAGATGCCCACTTCCTCAAAGAAAAGAATTGAATGTACTGCATTGGGTCAATATCCAATTGTCGCAATCTAGCGAAAATAGATGTATCCCCTCTAGATATCGACTGATATTGGCATTGCATGATGACGCGAACGCTCGATCCATCAGGATCATCCACTTGAGCATTAAACCCAGGCATTAGAGGAATGACAATGAATGCTTTCCATGGCTTTCCCTCGCTATTGGCTTTGATGATGCGATCAACCAAGGCATCTCCAATCTTGTTTTCGACAACGACACCGTCCCAACTTGAGCTAGTTACGAAAAACTGGTTTTCCAGATAAACAAAGTGCTGAGAGGTTTCTATCAGTTTCAAATAAGCGTTTTGAATAGATTTTTCGGTTTGCTTCAAGCCCAGCGACCAATTCCCTGCGCTTCTCAAGACTTGGACTTCGCAAGTGGATCTTGGCTTGATACTATTGAACAGGGGTGAGCTTCTCATCTCCTCTTTAGTAAAATCACTGGCGGGGGTCAAGAGAGGAGTGGGTCTCGTTGGTCTTTTCTGTCTCAACAGATAATTCCACCTCTGAACAAAGTGACGGGACATGTCGCGGGCGGCTTCGCCGACGGTCATCATGTGAACATCATGCCACGGCATTCGCGGGACGACAGATCTATCATACATCGATTCAAAGGGTTTATCGAGATCATAGAAATCACACACCCTGGCATTTGAATAATCCTTTCCAGGAAAAGTCTGCTGTTGTATGTCGTTCGTCTCATCGCAAAGAACGTGCTCTGGGGTATCGAATCTGCCATAACAAAGGTCAATGCCACCCATAAAGGCTATGCTGTGATCTATGACGGTCATTTTTTCGTGATGAGCCCAGAAGTACGTGTTTTGTAGCCACTGATTTGGGGACCGAATAAGGTGAATGTTAGGGTGAAGATTTAGCATAGAGTGCTTTGTCCAGAGGGAATCAGTCCCCACCGTAGTTCCAACATTTCTGTAGACAACAATGAAAATCTTGACACCTTTCTCAGCCCTTTCTCTCAAGATTCTATCTATCCTGAATTCCTGATTTCCTTTAACGGGACGACGCATGTAAAGTTCCGGCGAAAGCCACCAATCATGTATAAAGATCACATCCTGAGCCATGGAAAAGGCTTCGCTCAAAGCCCAAAAGTAATCTCTGCCGTCTACAAAGAATTTGCAAAAACAGTTTTTGCGAACCGGGGCAAAACTATCAAATCTGTGAGGTTGAGACCAAATGGTAGACTTTACCATTTTTGAAATGGAAGCCATCCAAAGTTTGAGTAAAAATTCTGATTTAACGATAACCTGAAGTTTCCGTTCGTTGTTTTCCAATGTAATCAAAAGTTTCGCGGAGATTCTTTTCGATTTGTCTTCTGTCGGGTCGAAATCTCGATATGTGTCTAAAGTGCCATCGACTTCACCAACCGCTTTCACTTTAAATTGCGAATCCACCAAAAAGACATCAAGCGGCGTGGTGGAGCAAAGATCGGAGACGTAGGTAATGTAGGAGTGCCTAATTAGAAACCATTTATTCGTGTGACGTTCTACCATTGCTCTCAAGTCGTCGAAGCGAAGATGAGCTACTCGCCAACCTTGAGTTCTTGCCGTTGACCTCACTACCATATAGCCTTGTTTGCCTTGATACCCATTTTCGTAACTGAGCAAGTTACCAATCGGAGAGAGCTCGTAAAATTGGAACAGGCGATTCGATTGCGGCCGAAGGCTTAACGCCAAGTTCAGGAGACGTAAGTAGCGCTCAAGGCGCAAGTGCATCGGTTGGGAATAGTCGTCTTCTTCTTCTAAAATATCTTCCAAATGCTTCATTTTGAGTCTACCCACTTGGAACTGTAGCGACGCACGACTGGACACGAGCGAAGCCATGTCTGCAGATGGAGATGGTATGCCGGATTCCGTATTCTCATCTTTGCGACCTCTGTGTAATCCACTTTTTTTTTTGCCCCGCCTTGCGTTGTCGTCTAGTCGAGGAAAATGCGGTAAGTAGGTTTGGCGGTAGCGATTGTGGTCGATGTAAAGCTTGTTGATGGTATTCTGCTGGAACGAAATCAGTTTTAGTTTTCCGTGCAAAGACGCGAGATCCTTATAAGACTTGATAACAGACCATTTCATGCGATTGGGACCCACGCCGTACTCGAGTTCCAAAGTGTACATAGAATTGTTAGTTTCGGACTCCAGAAGACTCAAAATCGACGAGTTGTCGCTGGCGTTCGCGGCAGAATCCATATGCCTCAAGTTATTTGCCGCGCTGGGCGCCTGTAGGGGACGCACTTTGACACCGAGCATGGCCAACAACAACGACGCGCGTCTGACGCCGTGTTCGTCGCGCAGAAAAGAACCGCCTGCAAATAGAGCCGCTGGGCAGCCCGACAAAAGCGTATCAATGAGGTCGGACGCCAAATTGCGTGTAAAGGCTTCTTCTAGAGCCGTTTGACCTGCCGAGGATTTGCCCTGTTTCGCGACCGAGGTGCGTTTGGGTTTTTGCGCAGTTAGTTTCGAGATACGCCGGAAAGCTTGCCCAACTTCTTTTTTCCATTCGTAGAAGGACTCGTGTGGGTTCATTCGACGCAACCAGTGCGTCTGGTCGTCCCGTTCTGCGTTTATGCTCGAATTTGGTACACCTTGGAACATCAGGTTTTTGTATTCAGCTTCGACATCGTCGTCTGCCGCCGAACCTACGTCTTGTGGCACATTGTGATCACCGACGGGGCACTCTAGCTCGGCTAGAGGCTCGGTATGCTGGCCCATTTCACCGCCATCAATGCTGATTGTGTCTCCGACCGGTTTGGCGGTTCCTTGCCCGTTCTCACGCTCGTTGGCTGGGTCAGAAACGCTGTTAAAACTGTTTCTAGGAAACTTCATTCGGCAGAACCTGGCTTCCACACTCCAATGGCTCGAAAAGGACACTTTATAGCCTCTAGCGTTGATCTTTAAATCTGGGTTTTGTCTACAAACTTCTTTTTTTTGTCACATGTAGCAAACCTACTATGATATATTCTACTATGCCATACGGTGTACATGGTAAACTGTGAGCACTGAACGGCGCCGTACACACTAAGACAACTACACCAAACTCGCACCGCTCAATTGAGCCGTACACAAACTCCACTGCTTCAATCGCTATGAAAAGCGGGCTCGAATCCGCTTTTCATCATCTCACTACAACCCTCAGTCTAACTAAAAAACTATCGAAAACTATCAACAGTTACAAGAATGCAAGAAAAAGTTCCCAACTTCCATAAATCTCTTCAAACATTCATTAAAGTTCATAAACCTGTATCATATCACTGCCTTCAATATGCTTCCCTTCGTCAACGACCTCTTTCCTTCTCCTTCACCTTATCACCTTATCACGATATCAGATAAAAACCATTATCAGAACAAACTGTCCTGTATAAGATAACAAGACCAAAAAGCGAGACAAACACCGTGAAGAGACATAGCGCATCGCGTCAGAGAAAAACAGCGTTTGCGAAAAACAGTCGCGAAAGAAATTCAAATCCAGTCACTCGGTCGTCTACTTGTTGGCAACTCTAAAACTGCTCACACACGTGCGGACACCACCAAGGTACCATACACATAGACCAGTACAGCGGGTGACGCTATCACTGATAACCTACGATAAGACTTATCACTGATCACCGCTTCCAGCTTTTCTACCGCGATCATCACTTCCTGCCACAGGTATATAGGGCGGGTGTCGTGGAGCATCGCGGAACATCGCGATAAGATAACATCTGAGATAAAAGGTTTTTCCGGGAGTGATTACATCAGACGGGAAAAAAAGTGAATAAGTGAAAAATTTTCAGATTAGCAGGCATCGAACCGGTTTTTAAGAGGGAGGAATAGAGGAACGAGAGCTCCGATAAGGCTTGGATTTGGAGCTTAGCAGATTTTGGGCAGGGGAGAAGCTTAGAAGGGAACCATTGAGCCGAAACAACGGACCAAAACGGTGGATTTTTCGTGCCAAAAACGTTTTTCCAGATACCTGGTCGATAGCGATACGATAAGGCGCATCGTCGAGTTTGGTGGAAATGGCCAAGACAGAGATTGAGACCGGTGCCGCTACAGGGGTCACTCTAGGTGCTGGTTCTGGGGCTTCGCTCGGAACCAGTACGGGGACCAGCACTGGGGGCGGAACGGGAAGCGGTCAAGGCCACGCTGCCGCAGGCAGTTCGCCGGTGTGTAGAAATTGTCACACGTCAACGACACCGCTGTGGCGGCGTGACGAGCACGGTGCCGTGCTGTGCAATGCGTGCGGGCTGTTTCTAAAGCTTCACGGGCGACCCAGGCCGATCAGTCTCAAGACAGACGTGATCAAATCGCGCAACCGCAAGGGCGCCGCACATCAACAGACAGACGCTGTCTTGGACAAGAAACGCAAAGAAAGTCCGCTCGTACATGCCAGCGCGGGCCCAGAGTCCGTTGCTGATACGCATTTCCAAGGACTTGGATCTCCGTCGCACGCCAGCCAGGGCCATGCGTCGCTAGCGCACACAGGCGGATCAGGACCACAAACGAAAAGACGCAAGCCACGTGATATGCGTGACGTACACGCCGCGGAAACACTAGGGACGCTTATGAAGAATGGCTCCGGTGCCGGTGTCGGTGCGAGCTCTTCAAATGCGTCGCCCGCATTGGGCCCCGACTTGACGAATCTGAACGGGTCTTACCCCGAAATTTTACCCAGCGGACCCATACAGGACCCCTCCAGTACGAATTCCTCTGCGGCGGCCGCGATAGCCGCTGCAGCAGGTTACAAAGTTTCGTTGCCCCACTTCTCGATGCTGCTGGGCGGTGTTCCTACGCCCCCGCCAGCAGTCCCTCCTTACAATGCCCAAAGTAACAGTCCGGGCCCGCAGCAAGAGGCCCAAAACCAAAAACAGGCTCGGTCTGTTTCCCAACCTGCACCGCAGCCTCCGTCTCAACAAAAGAAAAGTCCCGTGGCAGCGCCCGTCGCGTCTCCCACGTTGCGCGCTCACAACGAACTACTAGAGCGACAATCGTCACATCTGGCATCCATCAACGAGATCCTGCGCAGTCAAAAACCTAGATCAGAAAAATCTGCGTCCGCTGTGGCTTCGCCTTCGATGGTCGCCCAAAGGGATTTGACCGCTACGCAGACTCACACGCCCACGATTACACCAATTCCTTCGCATGCAGACATGCTCATGGCACAGGCTATGGGCCCTGCTCACAGCCAGTCTGAGCATTTGGCTCAACCGGAATCTCGATATTCGAATTCGCCTCCTCCAATGGATCTGCAGCGACGCAACGTCGAATCTAGTACCACGAGTAGAAGCAGTGCTGTGGACGAATCGCTGGTCCTAAAATCCGAGCTGGGCCATTCACATCACCTATCGCAGCATGGCAAGCCGCGTGGCGACGATAAAATACATCAATATGACGAAAGAAATGAAAGGGACGAGAGGGACCGGAAACAGCTGCAAACACAGGCCAGAGTGGCGCGCACGCCGTCGCGGCCCGTACAATTACCTGGCCAGGCCACCGATAATACGCAGTTGCCCATAGCGCAAACTCTACAACACCAAGAAGAGGTAATCAAGCTCAGGACGCGGATCAGTGAGCTAGAGTTGGTCACGGATCTTTACAAGAGACATATTTTCGAGCTCGACGCCAAGTGTCGAGATTTGGAGACCAAGTTGAATGACAATGGCAACTGAATATTGTGACGATTATTAACGGAAATTGTAAAATATGGAACTTTCTCGTGACATGGGTACCAAATGTTCATGAGGTGTTAATTTCTTTAGGAAACGCAGTTCGTTAAGACCATGCCAGGGGTTAGATTTAGCAACTGATCGGGAGGAGGAAAAGGGCCAGATATAATAAAAAGACCTACGCAAGTAAAGTTCAAGTAATCCATAAAAGGAACGAGTAGCTACGTGTAAATTATGACTTTGACAATGAAGCTCTCTAGCTCTTGACGTTGTACTCTTCATGGCAAGTAGTCTTATCTAAGCCAAAGTAAGGAAAATCACGTGAAATTCGCGTGATTGTCTCCAATAAGATTTTGAAAAGGATCTTTACAGATGATGAGGGACGGCGTCTCGGCAATTCGACGACCTCTCAAACCAGGGAGAACGTCGAAGGCGAGATTTAGGCTACGCGACAGTATTATGATGTCTCGAAACCCATCGCTTGGACTGGAAAACACGCTTTTCCAGCTTAAATTTACCTCGAAACAGCTGAACAAGCAAGCTCAAAAGGCTGCGAAAGAAGAGAAACAAGAGACCAACAAAGTGAAGAAGGCTTTGAATGAAAGCGAAGAAGTTGCCAGATTGTATGCATCGAATGCAATTCGAAAGAAAAATGAGCGGTTACAACTCTTGAAACTGGCTTCGAGAGTTGACTCAGTGGCGTCGAGAGTCCAAACGGCCGTGACAATGAGACAAGTATCGGGCAGCATGGCTCAGGTTTGCAGGGGTATGGACAAAGCTTTGCAATCGATGAACCTGCAGCAAATCACGATGATCATGGACAAGTTTGAACAGCAGTTCGAAGACTTGGACGCTAGTGTCAACGTGTACGAAGACATGGGAGCCAACGCTGATGCCGTGGTTGTCGACCATGACAAGGTGGATGAGCTCATTGGTAAGGTAGCTGACGAGAATGGCTTGGAACTCAAACAGTCGGCTGCGCTCAAAGACTTGCCTGAAGTTGAGTCCACTCCAGGAGAGATTTCAGACGAAAGAGAAGACAAGCTTGCCCAGAGATTGCGCGCTCTGCGCGGTTGAAAAAAGGTTTATGGTTTGTAATAGGATGTACAATAGACGAAGAAATCGTGTTTTTAAGCGAGATTAGATCTAAAAAATGCCTTCACCAAGGGGAATCTTCCCAGTCCCTTGGACAATCATTCTTTTTCTCCTATATCTACATGTGGGGAAATATGCAAGAATGGCTGTCATTTATCTTACATTGGCATTCCTCTGCCCCTGCCTGGCGGTGGGGCCATGCCAGCGTTAGCAGGTTGACTCTCTTTATTTTTGATAGTTTCATCCACAGAAAGGATAAGATTTGTAGCTTCCGTGGCACTATTGAGTGCATTGATCTTCACAAGCGCGGGCTCCCATACGAACTTGGCCAAATTGTCGCCAATGCTTTCATTTTCAAAATCGACACCAAAAGTCTTTTCACCCCTGCTGTGAGCCATTCTCAATTTATTCAACACATCAGTAGCGTCAAGACCTGCGTTTTCACACAGTTGTCTCGGGATCACTTCTAATGCCTTAGCGAAGGCATTGATTATTAGCTGCTGCTTCCCAGCAATAGTTTTGGAAAAATCTCTCAAATATTTAGAGACTTCCATTTCAATGGCACCACCGCCGGCCACGACTAGTTTATTTTGAAGAGCTCTTTTGACGATCATGATAGCGTCATGCAGTGATCTTTCGACCTCTGCAATGACTTGCTCTGCGCCACCTCTTAGCAAAAGTGTGCACGTCTTGGCTTGGGGACATCCCTGGAAAAGATTGTAACGCTCAGACCCAATCTGAACTTCCTCAAACACCTCGCAAGTACCAAGATGTTGCTGCTGGATATCGGAGGTCGTCGATTGAATTACACCTCCAACGGCTTTTATGACTCTGTCTAAGTCTTCTGGAGACACTCTGCCTGCACAGAAAATGTCTCTGTCTGCAAAATATTGAGTTGCCAAATCTCCAATAGGCAATTTTGAGAGCACTATGTTGGCGCCAGAATCTTCGATTTGTTTTAGTTTATCCAAAATGATTTGCCATTCCGCATCGACCACCGCCTGGTAATCTTCAACGTGCTCAACACGTACTTCCGCATTGTCTTTCTCAGCTTTCAATTCAAGTTCCACGTTCAGGCATACAATCTTTGGATGTTTGAATTTCTTGGGCTGTTGTTCAAATCCTGCGTAAGAAAATGTCTTCGCAAACGCTACACCGTCTATGAACAGAGAATCTTCCATCGCACCACCAGGAATTTTTTTGATACCGATAAGCTTGTCGTCCAGCTGCTGTTGATCTAGCGACAGAACCGCATCGACGCACATTTTCACGAAAAAGTCCGCATTGCTGCTGATAAGTTTCGACGACATCGCCGTTCTGGCACAGTGTTCTAACATCTTTCTGCTATCATTCTCTGCGGAAGTATCAACAGCCAATTCTCTTATCTTGTTCACCGCCAAATCAACAGCTTTCCTGTATCCTTTAATAATGATATGAGAAGAAATACCTTCTTCCAAGAATGGCTTGGCTTCTTTCATCAATTCTCCCGCTAGAATCGTCACACTTGTAGTCCCGTCTCCGACTTCTGCGTCTTGGGCTCTTGAGATATCAACAAGTGTCTTAGCGGCCGGATGCACCACGTCAAGAAGTTTCAAAATCGTTGCACCATCGTTAGAAATTGTGGTCTTCCCACTGGATGACACAATCAAAATATCAGAGCCCAAGGGACCAAGTGTAGGCCTTAGAGTGTCTTGAATTGCGAGACACGCGTTAATGTTCGATATAATCTGCCCTCTTCCCTGAGAAGCATCTGTACCCTCTTTTAACACAACAATTGTTGGAGTCTGGTTCCCAAAATTCATTTTCAAAGTATGAAATGCTAGAAGAGCTTTTGACTCGCAAACAGTCTTCCAGTTATGAACAGTACCTCATAGCCATTCTATGGTCATCTCGCCTTTTGCCACTTGAAGATTTTTCTAAAACTTAATCATTACATACGAATATCCTCAATATTCAAGTTACCTCAACTTAAAGACCCCTCCATATTGAAGGCGATTGAGCTCAAGCTTAAGTGCTTTGACAACGAATAGATAAGATATTTACATGGAAAATGCTATAATTTTGCTTTGCAGCTCACGCACTATATAAGGTCTTTGAACAAAAAAAATCAAAATTTTTCTCAAATTGCCCAACCGTTAACGTCACCGTTTGACCGTCCTTCCAACAAGTATCCACTTTTGTACCTGACAAATTCTACTGTTTCATCGGTGGCAGGCTCTTGGGGTTTCTGAGGTGGTCCTCCGCATTCCCAATGCCTGTCTTGTTTTCTGTCGTAAATCTTGACGGAGTTTTCATTGTTCGCAACCACGATATTGGAGAGATCGAAGCGGAGAGATGATATGGGGCTGTCCAGAGCAAAAGCTCCAGATAGCATGCCAGTGCGAAGATCCCAAATTCTGACGCTTCTGTCAAGTGACCCTGTGACAAGGTTTATCGAATCAAATTGCAGATCGGTGACTGCATCAGTGTGTCCTTCGAGGGTTCTGACAACTTTTCCTGAGCGTAAATCCCATAACCTGACAATACCATCTTTGGTTCCTGTGGCCAGGGCTGCATCGAAAGACTGCAAAGCGCCAATTATGGGTGGGTCATTGTGAGTAAGAAGAACGCTGCTTCGAGGGTTTTTGGAGCTTAGAGTGGAAAACCCGTCAGACGTGCCGCGAAGTCCAAAGTCAATGTCCAAAGTCTGTATGCATTTCCCTTGATCTAAGTCCCACTGCCGAACGGTTCTGTCCTGCGATCCAGATATCAAAGTTGCGCCTTCAAAATGTAACGCTGTGATCTCGTCAACATGAGCGTCAAACGTATAGCTGCAAAGATCCTTGGCATCTTCCTCTGGTAATTCTCCTTCTTCGTCAAAGATCTCGATCGCTCGTTCAACATCCCAGAGTTTTAGCACAGCGTCACGCCCGCCGGTAACCAGAGTGTTGTATTGATCCATCTGCATACAGCTGATGGAGGCCAAGTGGCCAGGCAGGTTGCCAATAGGAAGTTGCTTACTCAGATCCCAGACCTTGACAGAGTGATCGAGTCTTCCCGCTGTACACATTGTCCCAAAGGGCATGTCAAAATCTAAGCAGGTTATGCTGTCGTCATGTGCACTTTCAAAAGTTGCAATTTTCGTCCCAGGCTCGTAATATTGTTGAAGTGTGGGGAACGTTTTTCTTTGACGCTGATGTGAGGGAACTTGTGAATGTCTTCTGCTGTAGTTCGACCTCGCACCTCGAGAGCCCTCTGAAGCTTGCGTAGGCCGGTTTTTCAACTTTTGATATATTGATTGACTCATGAGGCCGTCGTTTTTGTCCTCACTGTCAGATTCAACTGTTGAGTCTTCGGAGTGCCCATTTCTGAGCTCTGGCTCGTTACCCTCATCGTCACCTTCAGAAAGAACAGCGTGAGAACCTTTTCCTAATGTGCCCGCACCGGCCACGGAATTATCGCTTTGATCTTCCTCTAAGCCGTATTCTTTGATCATATCGATACGATCTTTTGTGCTTGCAAGGTGCTTCTCAAGGAAGAGCTCATTCTGCTCCAACCGCGCTACTCTTTGAAAGACTAATTCGCGCACAGTTTTCAATTTTTCTATCTTGAGATCAATTTCCTTGATTTCACTCGCCGCTAAGTTTTTCTGAATTTCCAAAAGATCAAGACCATTGACCATACTTTGAGAAGCTGACGTCAAAAAAGAGGTCGAGTACGATGTTTTGATCTCCTTCGCCGACAACCCATCGGGAAGATGAAAATCCCGGCTGTTAAGCGCGCTTTCGCTGTCAGGCTGTTCACCGGCCTCCGTTAATTGCTTGCGTTGTGTATTTATTGTTTCATTAATCACCGGCAGCGATGCGCTAAAACCTTGAAATAGCGAAAACTCTTGTTTGGTCTTCCTTTTTCGTTTCCCTTGTTCATCGCCATCGGTCAACAGTTTCGTATTGCTGCCTATTCCATTACCAGCGTTCGGTATCTCTCTCAGCAAATCGTCACTCAAATAACTCAGCACCCGAAAGCTGGTCTTGGTATTGCTATAGCTATTTTGAAAAAATGATTTCCCACTCTCTGCTGAGTATATGTCTTGGAAAGTCTTATTATCACTGCGATCAGTGAAAACATTACTTCTGCGAAGCTTCATCAATGCGCCGCTCGACCCGGACTGCGTTATTGCTTGGTGGAGGATTTTTTTGTAAGGCGTGCTGTACGACAGAATCGTGTCGTCCCACGACTGAGACCCCAAAAAGGCCGTTGCTGTCGTCGACAACGCCTTGCTGAACTGGGAGAGCTGGTCCGAGGAGTTGGCGTTCGACGACATTGGATCTTGCCGTCTTGTGAAGCAAACATATTCACATGTCCTATGTTAAAATTTCGGCATGTATTATGATGGAAAAAAATATTAGGGTTGGCCAATGAGAAGGAAAGAGGTAAGAGACTTTGATTTTAGACTGAAAGGACATGTCTGGAAGAGGGGTTTGATGGTCTCTCTGTTTCTAAGTTCTAGAAGCTGTTGAAACAAGCTTTTGTATTGTGGTGGAATGTTCTGGCAATCCCCTTTTTGTTCTGTTTCACCGGTAATTCTCGCAAAAATGCGGAAAGAATGGCTCGCAATATTTTGATCTGCAGCTGTTCGCCGAAAAGTTTTACCTTTATCGCTTAGAATTAGCTTCAAATCATTGCTGATGAAGTCTTTGTGATGTTGAATGTCAGCCTTTGATTTTGAGAAGAAATTTTGGCGACAATCGAGCACGATGATTATAAGTGAATAATCGCCTGGCAATAACAGTATTTTTGCCAATGACGCTTAAACCCTATAAACTGACTCCATTTTGCGTAAAAGATGTGATGAACGCGATGCGGAGATAGACTTTTTTACCAATAAGCCCTTCTTTGCATGTTAATGCATCAAAATCCAAAGTTTGTTCTACTTGATTCTTATTCACTGGGAAGGCGATCGTTCTTCAAGTTCTGCGATCCTGCGTCTCATTTGTTCAATTTCTTGTTTTTCCTTCTCGATTAGCTTGCTTACGCTTGATGTCGGCTCCCTCTTCTGCAGTTGCGCTTCTTGATGTTGTATTTGAGACCTGAGAGTCTCCATTTTAGCGTATATGTCGTTGTATCTCCGGAGTATGTTCAAATATTGGCTTTGGTATTCGCTTACGGGCCACTCTGCGACTACTTCTTGCAGCACCAAAAGCATCAGATCCGCGGGGAAATCCTCAACGAACAAAGTCCTACGACGCCGCGTGGCATCATTTTGATTCGATCCCTCATCTGTCACCACGCTCCCATTTTGCAGCGCCTGAAGCAGGTTTCTAATATCTGGTCGCGACTCGAATTTTTTTGATAGAACCTCGAAGACACCACCCACTTTTTGATCATCGAAAAAAAATTCCCTAGTCGTCTTTCGCCTCTTTTTTGCTTCTTGTTCATGCTGCTTGAGATAGAACTCGCGTGGCACTTTGATAATGGGAATTTCATCTTTGGAATCGGTAGCATGATTACGCCTCGAACTCCTTTCTCTTTCAGTCAAGTACTCGAAAACGCCGTATTTCCCATCCTTTCTCCTAGGTAACCCATTTTGGTGGATTTTATACAACGAAGTTTCCTCTTGCGGGTCCCCGTCGCGTATAACCCTAGTAATGACATCCGCATATTGTTTATTTTCATCGTGCACAATGGCATTGTGGAAAATTCCTGGAGGTTTGAAGTAAAGGGTTGAGATCGAATCCGCAGATTGCGAAATCTGGTCCAAGCACTCTTCCAGCGAGCTCGACATGGATCCTTCCGGTGTGTCTGATGCCTTGATGAGCTGTATCTTGACATCATCAAGAAAGAGTATCAACAATGAAAACTCCGATTTTCGTGCAGAACGATGTACATACTTTGGCAGTAGGCTACTGCCAGTAGCTAAAGAGATCATTGGTATATATCCCAAGTAGCTAACAAAAGGTGGGTCTATTCCCGCCATGCAACGTAGACCTCATCTGTTCTAAACTTCTGAGTGACCACAGTCTCGCTGAGATCCTTGACGGCACCGCCCATCCGATACTGTAGCAAACCTGCTTGAGCTATCATGACGCCGTTGTCTATGCAAAAACGCTCGTCCGTTGCGTGAACCTGCCCATTCGATCGTTCGTGGCACATTTGGGCCATCATTTCCTGCAATCTCACGTTGCAGCCAACGCCGCCCACTATAAGGACTTGGTTGGAGTTGACGTGCGCCATGGCCCGCTCTGTAATTTCGACCAGCATGGCAAACAGGTTTTCCTGCAGCGAGTAGCAGATATCCTCAACCGTGACAATCTGTTCCTTGGTTTCGGGGTCGAAAAGAAGCTTGTTTCTGGTATTGTGGCTGAAGAGGTCTGCCGCAAGCGACTCGACGTAGCCCAGGATCCCGCTCATCGAAAGATCCATTCCCTTGACCGTATAAGGCAGTTCCACGAGCCTTTCTTTGTTCTTGCACTGTTTGGCGAGCTGCTCGATGTTGTACCCGGGAGAAGGCTCGTTCGGGATCTTGAGAGTGCGCGCGAACCGGTCCAGGCAGTTCCCAATCGCGATATCCAGAGTTTCGCCGAAAATTCGGTACCGGTTCTCGGAGTACGCTATCGCCTGGGTGTTGCCGCCACTGACGTAGAGGACCACTGGGTTCTCGGCCTTGGTGATCTCCCGACCCATCTCGATGTGGCCCACGCAGTGATTGACGCCGACAAGCGGCACGTCCCAGAGCAGCGAGAGCGTGCGCGCCACGACGACCACGGAATGCAGCGGCGCGCCCATCCCGGGACCCTTGGTGAAGCAAATAACGTCTATGTCGGCGGGGCCGTCGATCTTGGCCTCGTCCAGCGCGCGCCGCACAAGCCGCACGGCCCAGTTGCGGTGGTGCCGGGCCGTGTCGCGCGGCAGGAAGCCCTCGCCCGGCGGCGTGATGTAGGTGTCCCTGATATTTGCAAGGATCTCAGCGTCGCACTCGTGCGACAGATCGCTGTTGTCGTGACGCGGAAGGACCGGGTGCTTTATGATGCCCACGCCGAGCTTATTGGCGGAACCCTCGAGCCCGAGCCCGAGATAGTATTGGCGCCCGTTTTTGGGCGGTATTCCATTCAGATTGACCATCGCAGGGCGTCCCTTTTGGCCCTTCTGGTGATGTTACGGACCGGGGTTCGACACGGGTTTCTCGATACTGGTATCTATGCAAAAGTTGGTGAATAGCTAGCCGGTCACGTGACCCACTGCTCTCTCCCCCCATATCGACGCCCTGCGCCAGTTCTCACCATCTGCGCCTCTTTGGCCAAGTGGTAAGGCATCGCACTCGTAATGCGGGGATCGTGGGTTCAATTCCCACAGGAGGCACACGAACGTCTTTTTTCTTGGTCATCTTGTTACCCGGCCGTTCTCGAAACCGCATGCGGCATCTTTTTGTGTTCGTTCCGCCTTTCTTTTTTCCTGCTTGCTCCTCGGTTAGCGCCGTGTAAGGCATTTCTCCCCTTCCGTACGGCTCGAAAAGGGGACGCGCGCGTCTTTGACCCTAAAAGCAAGTGCTGCCGAGCGGGGTCTTGCGTCGCGGACTAAGACGCACCTCCGTGCCTGCACGAGCAAACCAAAATTTACCGTCCACCAGTCTCATTGGCGCTGTCTCCTTTGGCCCGCCAAGCCTAGGTAGCTCCTCCAGGCCGCTACTGCACTACATCGTGTACTGCATACTTGGCTACTACATGCCTGGCTTCTCAGGCAATTAGCTATGGGCTAGCTATGGGCTAGCCCATAGCTGGCCCATGACGGGCCTGGCGGCGAGCCTCACGGCTCTAGGCTGCCCGTCCCGTGCACTGCCCACGATCGGCAAAGCTACACCACAACAACAACCACCTCTGTATCTAGGGAGATCCGCTTGGCGCCTGCTCTTGGCGATGTCACGAGATACAGAGTCACTAGGTACGGCGGTTATCAGACCGCTATCGACGACACTGCCGCGGCTCCTCTGATACGACACGGGGGCTCCCCTCTCGCACTTAGCGTCGCCTGCCGTCACTCTGGGAAGGCTCCTAAAAAAGAACCGATAGATACTGATATGGTATCGATACCGATATCAGGATAAGGTCGATTTTCAGTCGATACTGGCAGATTTTGAGATATTGACAGATATTGGCACTTTTTGATAACCGTTTACAATGGAGAAAAGAACCTTCGGCCGGTTTGTAAGACACAGTAAATGCCAGCGTGAGAGACCCGGGGAGGGCCTGGGAGAATGTATAAAAAGCAGCAGTAGTTGTAGCAAAATGTAGTAGGTTTATAGCTCTTGTCTCCCTTCAATAGTCGGATAGTAGTCGCACAGAAAATCGTACAGAAGCTCTCTCTCATATCGCAAGTCCACGATGAGTACCTCTTCCAATCGTTCCGTGGACGACAAGAAGAACTATGTGCTGTCGAATGAGCAACCCGTAGACGGTACGGAGTACACGTCAGCGCACGACGAAAACGTCGAAAAATCGTCAGGGTCCAAATGGCAGGATTTCAAGGACGGGTTCAAGCGCATGGAACTCGAAGAGTTGGACCCCAATTTAACCGAGGCCGAGAAAATCGCGATCGCGACCGCGCGTTCGCCGCTCCAAAGACACCTGAAGTCCAGACATTTGCAAATGATCGCCATCGGTGGTGCCATCGGTACGGGTCTTTTCGTCGGATCCGGTACCGCGCTTAGAACCGGTGGCCCCGCCGGTATCCTGATCGGCTGGGGTCTCACCGGTACCATGATCTACTGTATGGTCATGGCCATGGGTGAGCTGGCCGTGTGTTTCCCCGTCTCCGGTGGTTTCACCACCTACGCTACCCGTTTTATCGACGAGTCCTTCGGTTTCGCCAACAACTTCAACTACATGCTTCAGTGGCTTGTCGTGCTGCCGCTGGAAATCGTCGCTGCGTCCATCACCGTTAATTACTGGGGTACACCTTCCAAATACCGGGACGGGTTTGTCGCGCTGTTCTACCTCGTTATTGTGATCATCAACCTTTTCGGTGTCAAGGGTTACGGTGAGGCCGAATTCGTGTTCTCGTTCATCAAGGTCATCACCATCATCGGTTTCATCATCCTCGGTATCATTTTGGTCTGCGGTGGTGGCCCTACCGGTGGCTACCTCGGCGGCACATACTTCCACCACCCGGGTCCTCTCGTCGGAGACACCATGGGCGCCAGATTTAAAGGTGTGTGTTCCGTGTTTGTCACCGCCGCTTTCTCTTTCGCGGGTTCCGAACTGGTTGGTTTGGCCAGTGCTGAAACTGAAAACCCCAGAAAGGCTCTGCCTCGCGCTGCCAAACAGGTCTTCTGGAGAATCACCCTGTTCTACATCATCTGCTTGTTGTTGATCGGCTTGTTGGTTCCCTACACCGACCCAAGACTTGTCGGTGCGTCCTCCGTCGATGCCGCTGCCTCTCCTTTCGTTTTGGCTCTAAGAAATCATCACATCAAGGGTTTGCCAAGTGTTGTCAACGTTGTCATCTTGATCGCTGTGCTTTCCGTCGGTAATTCCGCTGTCTTTGCCTGCTCCAGAACCTTGACTGCTCTTGCTGAGCAAGGTTTCTTGCCTAAGATTTTCGCCTACATCGACAGAAAGGGTAGACCTCTGGTAGGTATTGCCGCGACGTCCATCTTCGGTCTCTTGTGTTTCATTGCTGCATCCTCCCACGAAGGCGATGTCTTCAACTGGTTACTGGCCTTGTCTGGTTTGTCCTCTTTGTTCACCTGGGGTGCTATCTGTCTCTGCCACTTGAGATTCAGAAGAGCTTTATCCGCCCAGGGCAGATCCACCGATGAGCTTCCTTTCGTTTCTCCAGCTGGTGTCTGGGGATCATACTATGGTTTCGGATTGATTATACTGATCTTGATTGCTCAGTTCTGGGTGGCTTTGTTCCCACCAGGATCCCCTCCAGGCGCTGAGGCGTTCTTCGAGGCCTATCTATCTTTGCCTGTGGTCATGGCTTTCTACGTTTTCCACAAGGTTTGGAAGAGAAACTGGAAGCTATTTATCAGAGCTAAGGACATTGATATCGACACTGGTAGAAGAGAGGTCGACATTGAAGCTTTGAAAATCGAAATTGCTGAGCAAAAAGCCATTTTGGCTAGCAAGCCATGGTGGTACAGAACCTACCGTTTCTGGTGCTGATTTGCTCGTAAACTCTGCAAGTTTATAGCGCATAAAACAATCAACATTATTAGTATTTAACAATTGATATTAATCACTCTTCATTCATTACTCATTAACCCTAATTTATTCATTCATTGATGATCTAATTGATGACTTTTCAAAGCGGTGCGTCTTTTTTCAAGATTCACGGGAGCTCATCGCTCAGGTAAGAAATATGTCAAAAATTTTAGCGTCAACTAAGTCTCTGATGCGGAAAACTTCATAAACTTGTCGTGAATTACAGAATATCCATTAGAGCATCAATATCCATCGTACAGATTGCCCGCGCCAAGTCACATATTAGAGGTCTTCGTTCTCAGTCGTTTGGTTTTCTAAAGTTCGATATTTAATCTTAGAGGCTTACAATAAGCATAGCCATCGAGTTGATTGATGTCCCTGACGACCTTTGAACAAGCAAAAGATGTACTGTCGTTTTGCGTGAAAAATAAGATTTACTTCTCCTCTTTCAACTGTGAGGTCAAGCCTTCGAGTGCCGGTGGTATTGGCGTTTTCGCCAAATCAGATATAGATGCTAATACAGTTCTACTAAGAGTACCGAAATCGGCCGTTTTCTCTGCATCTAACAGCAGCATCGCAAACCTCTTGGTAGATGAAGAAATCGATGGCGTGTTGGCACTCACTTTGGCTTTTCTTTACGAAAGAGAGGTTTTTGGCCCGAAGAGTAATTGGTACAGCTACCTTCAAACTATACAGCTGAACTGGGACCAGGAATCTTTATACTTGCCGCCCAGTTTTTGGCCTAGTAATCGAAAGAGGCTTATGGAGCAGACGGCTTTGGGAACGCTTTTTCACGGGTTAGACAATGAGGGAGAGATTCTGTCCGCTTTTTCAACTGCAGTTGAAGTATCTCGCAAATGGCATGCTGAAGCGCGGCTGTCACCTCCGTCCATTTTACAAAATGATACCTCGGCCAATTCTCTCCGCTTTGTCGCTACGGTCTTCACGATCTCCTCGAGGGCTTTCGAAGTAGACGCTTTCCACGAAACGGCATTGGTCCCTGTTGCAGACCTGTTTAATCACCACGCCTTGCATCCAGACGTGAGATTCGAAAGCACTTATGAAGTATGCACATACTGCGGTGAATTTGGGGTCTGCGGCCATGCTGAGTTCGACGAGGAAGAAGCCAACGATGCAGAAATTTTCCACGAGGGGGGAATTGCTCAATCTAGAAACCTTCAATGGGTTGCTGCGCCAGAATTTGTCAAAGAGCTCGAAAAAGAAGCTGCTAAACAGTTAAAAAGCTCCATAAAGGAATTGATTGCGAAGCAAATTTCGAAAACCAAGCCTGGAAGCGTGTCTCTTAGCGATTTAGACCCGCAAGAGTGCGTTGATGTTGTCCTCATGAGAGGCGTAGAAAAACATCACGAAATTTTCAATTCCTACGGTGACCTTCCGAATCCGCTGCTGTTGGCTAGGTATGGCTTTTGCGTCCGCGACAACCCTAACGATCTCGTGCATCTGGCGCCTGAGCTCAAGAAGCTGTGCTTTTTGAAGAAGCTCGACCTCAAGCCGTGCTTCCTGTGGTGGATTCAAGACGGATTCCTCCTTTTTCAAGAGGCAAGTGGCGAAGTTTCTGAAGCTGATGGAGGACGTTCAAGCTTCACAGAATCCATAGAATCTGATTCTGATGCTGAAAATGAAATTGAAACGAACTCAGACCAATTGTCTGACGAATGGCAACAAGAGCTCTGCTTGAATTCGTCTGCAGATCCATCAGCGGCGCTCAAGGCATTTTTAAATTTACTAGGCATGAAATCTGCCCAGAGAGCCAAATTTTTCGAAGACGTGGAGCGTAACAGCATTAGCGCCGTAAACAAGTGGCTTATTTCAAAACCGTTAGGAACGCAGGCCCGTAAGCTTTTGAACGTAGTGGTTAAAAAGAAGAGAAACAGCTACAATTCTCTACTAAGGTCATTGCATGGCAATTCCAAGATACTGGTCCTGAGCGAGCTACATATCATTGAAAAACTTTTGACAAACGACGGAAAATAGAGGCAGCCCTTGAAGGTTGCATCTAGCGTGAGCTGTTGTTACCGCTGAATTGTGACTGAAAATCGTTTTATCTTGGCTGCCGCTCAGCATGACCAAGAAAAGTCTTTGACCGTGACCCCGTCGTGACCTGGTTCGTATGCATCCAAGTGTTGCCTGAGCTTAGAATTTCTGGCAGTAACCATTGTTTCGTTCCAACGGACAAGAATGTTGTCACGGTAACGAAGACCTCGAGTATGAAGCGGTGATCAAAGTCCTCTCACTGGTCATGAAATTCCGGCCCTGACCTTACAATTACACTGTAACATGCGTTCAAATTATTGAGTTGATTTGAACCCTCTTATAAAAGGGCCTGTCTTTCGTTGCTCTGGTCAATTTAATTTCCCTCGATAGAAACCACTACTAAATGAAAGAGCAAATTCAAAGTTACTTAAAAAGTCGCGTGACAACGCTCATTCCTCGGAAACCCTCCCTGGCTGAGTTGAGACGCGGTGCTAATCCCATTCCGGCGTTGAGGGTAATAAACTACAAACAATGGCTTTTTATCTTGAGTGCGTTTGCTACTTTTACTTGGGAAGCCTTCGATTTTTTCACAGTAAGTCTTAACGTCAAGAAACTATCGCATGACTTTGGCGTTCCGGCAAAACAGATCAGCTGGGGTATGACGATTGTGTTGATGCTTCGTATCGTTGGTGCTGTTCTGTTTGGCTACATCGGCGACAGATATGGAAGAAAAATTTCATTTTTAATTAATTTGACGCTGATGATGGTGCTGGAAATTATCACTGGTTTTATCAAGACCAATTTCAAACAATTTTTGGCCGCAAGAGCGATCTTTGGCATAGTTCTGGGAGGTATCTTCGGTAACAGTGCAGCGCAGTGTTTCGACGACTGTCCAGCTGAAGCCCATAGCTTTATAAGTGGTTTTTTTCAGCAAGGTTATACGTTGGGTTACCTTCTCGCAGTAATCTTCACGCGTGCATTGGCTGACACGACCAAACAAGCATGGAGATCTTGTTTCTGGTTCGCCTCTGGCATCACATTTTGTCTCATTGTTTTCCGTGCGTTGCTACCAGAGACGGACGCGTTTATCAGAAGCCAAAAAGAGAAAGCCGAGAACAACGACAATAGCACTATCAAAGACATTGCTGTCGCGTTCAAACGGCACTGGAATATGGTGATTTACATGGTGTTAGTGATGGTAGGTTTCAATTATTTATCTCACGGCACTCAGGACTTATTTCCAACTATGTTGACCAACCAGCTAGGCTTCTCTAGCAACAGTTCAACGGTGACCAACTGTCTTGCCAACATTGGGGCTATTTTCGGCGGCCTAACCATCCCACACCTGGCTAGGGTCACGTCGCGCCGTTTTGTGATTATTGTATGCAGTCTATGTGCTGCGTGTCTGATCTATCCATGGGGTTTCGTTCACAACAACTCCATCAACGCATCTGTCTTTTTCATGCAAATGTTTATTCAAGGAGCTTGGGGGCTGGTCCCATCGTACCTACATGCACTTGCGCCGGATCACAAGACCAAGGCCTTCTATGTCGGTATTTCCTATCAATTAGGGAACCTTGCCAGTAGTGCTTCGTCCACAATCGAGAGTTCTCTGAGCGAAAAATACCCTCTTTATGACGAGAATACGGGTCAGACAGTTATGGACTATGGGAAAGTCATGAGCATTTTGGTTGGTGCAGTCATAGGGTACTTAGTTCTCGTTGTCTTCCTAGGAACTGAAGGCAGAAGTTTAACTGATGGCGTTGGCGAAACTTGCGATGCCAATAATGAAGAGAAGTTAGAATCAGGAAGTTTGAGTGATTCTGGTTACGGAATGAAAGAGGAAGGCGTGGTGCTACAGCTGTCTCATCAAGATAATTCAAGTGAAGAGACAACAGTCTGATAGAATTGTAAACTTAGGTAGTTTCGATTTTTTGGTGTTTAATTTATAATGAGGGAAATGCTTTATTCTTTGCTAAATATTCATCTTCGAAAATGCTCTATTTTCCTAATGTCATAAAATTGATAACAGACGAAAATCAAACGAATTAGCAGTATCAAACTAAGGGAAGCTTGTGATGGATTACGCACTTGATTGATGAGAACCGCTAAAGAAGTTAGGTGGACCTAGTTGTTATGCACTTGAAACATCTCCACTGGCCACCAATGAAGTTATTCAAGATAGGTGGTGAGACTCTATCATTTCGTGTAATATATCTGAAGCTCTAATAGCGATCGTATGATGATTTATGGCCACCACTAAGATCTTTAGGGCTTCTATTGCCTCCTGGCGTGCTTGAGCATTCAATGTGTTATTCTGTCGTCATGATCACGTGATATCACCTCTCCGGCAAAGCACATCGACGATATCACCTACAGAGGCTATTTCCTGCAAACTTATCATGTTTAATATGAGGTCCGACCCTTCCTTTACTCTCAAGTCAAATTATTTGGGTTTCATACAAAACGTACCCACATAGTAGAAACTTGCATTTGAATATTACATACATCAACGAGGTCAACTGTCTTCTGGTGGGTGGGGGTGCAAGTCCAAAAACTTGAGTTTTCTATAATCAAAAGTAGCACGGAATAGTGTACGAAGATTTCCAAAACAGCAAATCTGGCCTCAGGAACAATCGCAAGCATGTCGGTAATTTGCTCACAGAAATTTAAAGTGTTCGACACCTGTGCACAAACAAATTTTAACTATTTAAGGGAAATTTGGGCAGACATGGCTGAAAGCTGGTTATCCTCTAGAATTGTTCTAAGCCTTGCAATGCTATTAAGTGACATATCTTTGACGGCTCGGTTTCGTTCATGGCGTTTGAGTTGAAATGATTTACTCATTTGATACTTCTTTCGTACATGTGGATATAAAACCCAGACCCAAGAATCAACCCAAGCGAAAAATTTTCTACCTGTATATAAAAGGTGAAAAATTTCAGCGATGAGTATATCGCCAACATTCCCTCAGATCCCCATCATCACACATTAATCGAAATGTCTCGTCCTCAAGTCTCCGTCCACTCTTTGACTGGTGAAACCACCTCAGCTGCTATCGCACTTCCAGCTGTCTTCTCGGCTCCAATCCGTCCAGACCTTGTTCACTCTGTTTTCACTTCCGTTAACAAGAACAAGAGACAAGCTTACGCTGTCTCTGAGAAGGCTGGCCACCAAACCTCTGCCGAGTCCTGGGGTACCGGTCGTGCTGTCGCCCGTATTCCACGTGTCGGCGGTGGTGGTACCCACAGATCTGGTCAGGCCGCTTTCGGTAACATGTGTCGTGGTGGTCGTATGTTTGCTCCTACCAAGACCTGGAGAAAGTGGAACGTCAAAGTCAACCACAACGAGAAGCGTTACGCTGCTGCTTCCGCTATTGCTGCTTCCGCTGTTGCTTCTTTGGTCTTGGCCAGAGGTCACAGAGTTGAAAAGATCCCAGAAATCCCATTGGTTGTTTCTGACGAACTTGAGTCTGTTCAAAAGACAAAGGACGCTGTCGCTGCTTTGAAGGCTGTCGGAGCTCACTCCGATGTCGTCAAGGTCTTGAAGTCCAAGAAATTGAGAGCTGGTAAGGGTAAGTACAGAAACAGAAGATTCACCCAAAGAAGAGGTCCTTTGGTTGTCTACTCTGAAGACAAGGGTCTTGTCAAAGCTTTCAGAAACCTGCCAGGTGTTGAGACCGCTGACGTCACCTCTTTGGGCTTGTTGCAATTGGCTCCAGGTGCTCACTTGGGTAGATTTGTTATCTGGACTCAATCTGCCTTCGCCAAGCTTGACCAAGTTTGGGGCTCTGAGACCGTCGCCTCTTCTGTAAAGAGCGGCTACACCTTGCCAAGCAACATCATCTCCAACACCGACGTTACCAGAATCATCAACTCTTCTGAAATTCAATCTGTTGTTAGACCAGCTGGCCAAGCTACTCAAAAGCGTTCTCATGTTTTGAAGAAGAACCCATTGAAGAACAAGCAAGTCTTGTTGAGACTAAACCCTTACGCCAAGGTCTTTGCTGCTGAGAAATTGGGCTCTAAGAAGGCTCAACAAACCAAGACCACTCCAGCTAAAACCTTTATGGAAACCTTGAAGCACGACTAAGCTATTTCTTAGCAGAATTAAACTGTTGAGAATGTAGAAACCGTCTAAGCATGCAAACTACTTATCTTATAGTCTACATATGTTAGTAATCTGCTGTATGGCCTTTCCTGTGTTCGAATTGAGTTGAAGAGTTGATTTGAAGAAGGACATCTCACGGTTGGCTCAAGCCGAACCATAATGGATGGTGTTTCTTCACCAACCGTGATTCAAGAGACATGCCAAAACTTCGAAGAAAATGTTGTTTGGACTTATACTTGGGGCGGCGTTATGCTGAATTGAACTGAATGCATCTGCATCAATACGCAAGACCGACTGACGAGAACGAATGCTCTGATCGGTCGACTCAAATTTTTGGTTCGGGGAAATTGGAACTTCCCCAGCACCGGACTTGACACACGACTCTGTGAAATCATCGCAATCGTTGTCATAGAAATACAAATCAGTATCAGAAGCAAAAGTCTGTTTCTTTTGGGCACCAATTAGGACCTGAGGACTCCGATACGGTGTTATTTGGATCTCTTTTACTATCAAGTAAAATTGACCTCGCTCGAGTATATCCAATGAATTTTCCCAGTCAATCATTCCTCCAGCCCAAGAAATAGTTCCAGGATGGTTAGCTGCGATTCCTGCCGGCCATAATGAGACTTCTAATCTCATTGGAGTTTGAGGATATTTGAAAATCCCAGATTCTGGATCAAAAGTGTCCCGTCTCCGAAGGGTTCTGACGCAAACCCCGTCTATCAACCAATGGATTCTATTTTCATCCCAATCTATTTCATAGGTGTGCACAGTACGAAATGTATCTCGAGAAACTGGCGCTTTAAGCATTCGGGTATGCACGGGCTCTCCTTGGAAATAGAAATTGCTTTGAGCGGACTTTAAATCGTTTCCTATGAATTCAAAATCAATTTCGTCTCGTACTGCAGATACCAGATCTATGGCCGATACCACGCCAGCACCTCTTGCTGTGCTCATACGAATCGAGACCTTACCGTACAAGAAAGACTTGGCTGAAGATACCAAACTTCCAGATGAACCCGCTGGCATTCCTAATACAAGACCTCGGCCTGGTTCTGAGGAGACTGGTCCACTGTAAGTGAAGTCATAGTTTTTGACATCCTCTTGAGCCTGAGTGAGGTTCGAGGTCACCAGATACTTCGAGAAATGCACCAGTCGCAGGTCATCAAGGTCGGACGACATCTGTGCCTTGTTTTCAAGACCTTGATGTAATTCTTCAGAGTCCGATTGAAAGGTGTTAATTATTACAGGCATTTCGAAGTGGTTTTCGGACTCAAAAACATCCATGGCTGCTCCACGCATAGCTGTGGGCATGAGTGCGGGAATTTTGATGCAACTATCGGCATATGAGAATCTGGGGTCACATCCTCCGACACACAGTGGTCCTCTCCCACAATGGCCGTACTGTGAACAGCAGGGCCATTCTTCTGGACAATTCGCTTTTGCGGAGCACCCAACTGGTGAAGCCGGCATGTAACTCACGACATGTTGTGCGAAGCAGATGGCAACGAAGCACATGCCAAAGAGAGGCGATGAAGTCATAACTTTGGTCTTTTTACTGACTTGGAGGCCCTTCGACGAACTACCCGTACCTGAAAAGTTGACCTTAGCTTGTCGAAGCATCCACTCATCACAACGTCGTAACGACAACAGAGGTAACGGACGAAACCCCTTCGAGCCCGATCTCAAAGCGTACAACTGTTACCGCACGCAAGACTAAATTTTGATTACAACTAGGGTTTTAAAGGCTTAGCATCTACTCACTCGCCCTAAGACAAAGTCACGGAACGACTTTCCGTCATAGTTAGATGTTTTTTGAGGCAGTGAACATAAGGAAGAGAGTAAAAATTTCGCTCTTTGGAGCGAGGGGCTAACAATAGGCGTTTGAGTTTTTGAAGAAGCGTGTATGGCACATGCAGAATCAAGCTCAGCGGCTAAGTTTTTCCTCAAGTGTGTTTCGTCTAAAGGGATTCCCAGTTTCCGAAAAGTATAAAAGACAGATATGGAGAGAGGGGTTGCTACATTCGGTTTGATTATAATCTACTAAACGATGAGGCGATTTCCGTCATTGGTTCGTGCCAAAAGAGAGTTTCTGTTCACTAGTCACTAACACCTTGATTGAAATGCTACAGATCAGAATTAGGGAGACTACAGAGAGGTACCCTGACGACGAAAAGACTATTTTTGACAGCAAAGTTGGCTTGACCGGGCGCTCCAAGACCGAGTGTGGTTTGCCATTGAAAATGAGAAAACACGCATCTAAAGAAATCGACGTAAAGGCTCTTTCAAGACTTTTAGTCCCTCCTGGATCAGTTCATACGAGAGAACTGTGGCATGGTGAGCCCTTTTGATAACATAAGGCTCTTCGAATTGCAAAAGTAATGTCACATTCTCGTTAGCAAGGCCATGATCATTAGCTTTTCCTGCGCTGAGGACGGGCGCTAGTTGACCGATAGCTGCGATTCTGCCTGATCTTTTGCGGGTGTCCTGCGGTGTGCTTGCATAATAATGAGCATTTTACCATTGGTAAAATGCAGGGTCCGCCGTGCAGCACGCTTCAAGCGGGAAGAAAAACATGCTCATTCGAGACAGAAAAAAAAGCACTGCGGCGCCGCCCAGATACCAAATGAGCATCTAAACTTATAGCTGTGCGCAAATTTAAGAATTTGGGAAGTACTTATGAGGTTGAAGGTGTCAACCAAGAAAACATGGTTGTTTCGCTAAGACTAGAAAACTGAACCCGAGTTTTGGCGCGCGATGAAATTTGTCCTGGCAGTGGCTTTGCTGGTCTCTGCAGCTCGAGCTTTAGTTCTTGTTGATTCCACATTGGCTTCAGCTTGCATTTACTATGAGCTCAAATATGATTGGGGATGTAAATCGCACGGAAACGGAATGGCAGCCTACAAGTGTCGGTGCGGCAACGTAAATTGGTTAGGCACAATAACTAACTGCATTGTCTCCAACTCAAAGCAAAAACACCTCGTTGACCATGCGCTAAAGCATGTCGCGACAAGATGTCGCCAGAAGGGAGACTTTCATTATACGCTTGAAGACATGTGGGGTTTTTACGAAAATGGAACACAATTTCGCAGAGACCCAACCAAAGCAGACCTCACCACGCCAGTGATGACTACCTTGAATGTCAACCAAACTCAATTCGATTGGTACTACCGCAAATTCAAAGACATGGGCTTTGCTGTGCAACGCAGTCAATGGTTTGGATGGGGTCTCGTCTTTTATTGGGCTGCGGTCATCGGATTTGCGACAGCCTTAAATTTGAACGAGAAGTTTTTTGGTTTCAAGTTGATTGGGAATCGTTTCAGTACTTCACTGGTAAGCCCAAGCTTTTTACAACCTTATTCACGTAAGATTGCTGCCATTGCATACCGTATCTTGCCTTCGCCTTACCCAAACAGGCTCCAGGTCATCGCTGTCGCAATATTCATTGTCCAGACCATCATTACTGCTGGTGTTGGATATAACGTCAAACTGCCTCACCCTTATTTGAAAACTCAGTGGTTCTTGAACATCGATATGCTTAGCTACAGGGTAGACATGATGGCTATTTCACTTTTACCCGTCATATTCTTCTTCGGCATTCGCAACAATCCTTTTATTCCCCTCACAGGTCTGTCCTGCTCATCTTTCAATTATTTCCACAAGTGGTGCGCTTACGTTTGTGCGATTCTTTCCTTTATCCATTCTATCTTGTGGACCGTAGACTCTATGCGGGACGGAGGGTATCGAGTGTGGTGGATGGATTCTTATTGGCAGCACGGAATTGCTGCTATGGTCTTCCTGTCTTTGCTTGCAATTCACAGTTTCAAGGTGTTCCGGGACCAGATCTACGAGATCTTCCTCGCTTTACACAAGATTATGAGTATCTTCTTCATCATTACCATGTATTATCACTTGAAGGACATGGGATGGCTCGGTTGGATCTGGTCTATGGTTGGAATATTAGCCTTTGATAGAATCGCCAGGATTATTCGAATTGGTTTGTCAGGTGGTCTACAACAAGCAACAATAACGGACTGTGGAGATGGCATCATCAAATTGTCACTAATAAAGCCAAAATATTTTGCATACATTCCTGGCTCTTTTTCCTATATCTACTTCATGAGCCCTCATGACCCATGGTACCACACTTTCCAGTCTCATCCATTTACTCTACTTTCTGAGCCCAAGGAAACCTCCAACGACAGACTAATGATGTACTTTAAGGCAAAAAAGGGCATCACAAATCACTTGCTAAACAAAATTTTGATATCCGGTAAAGAGAGTGTGAATGTCAGAATTTTGCTCGAAGGACCTTATGGTGGTGATATGTTACCTCAGAAGGTACACACTGAACGGAAGGTGGTAGGTGTTGCCGCTGGATTAGGCATTACTGCTGTCTACGCACAATCCCTACGTTTAATTAACAGCCAGAAAACTCAGACTGCAAACAGACTGTATTGGATTGTAAGAGATCTACGTGATATCGATTGGTTTTCCGAGGAGCTGAAGTTTTTGCAGTCCAAGAGCTTCGAAATATCGGTCTTATGCACTTGTTCTCGAGAATTCGACCAGGAGAGCTCATCGCTCGATTCGGATATTAAATTTATGGGTTCGCTTGACATTCAAATGCTTTATAAAAGACCAGATCTTGCGCAATTGGTGAAAGATGAGCTGGTTTCTGCGTCGAAAGTTTCGGAAGAGGTGACTTTTGTAATTTGTGGACCAGCTTCTTTCAACACCAGCTTCAGAGAAATCTATCATGAAGAAACAAAAGCGACCTCTATAGGGGTAAGTCTGAAGGAGGAGAGCTTTACATGGTAGAGGGTGATCCCGCATCATATCGTGGCATCATTAACGCATATATGCTTGTATATAGGGTTTTAGCACTCTTCTCCGTCAGATTCGTCATCGCTGAAATCTTGTTGCATTTTCAAAAGTTGAGACCATTTTTGCGTGAGTTCTCGGATAGCGTTGCTATCTATAGCGGCGTCTGCGACTTCTCTTGGAACTTGATTTTCAGAATGTTCCTTAGTAGCAAATCTTCCAATGTTATGTTCCGTAACAAGCCTCAATTCATATTCGCAGTCGCTGATATCTTTGATTACCAGTTCATGCCAGGAAAAGAGAAGAGAATCGGTTGTCCTACTAAAGGGATTCATGTCTATGAGCCACACCTTCGAGAAAGGGCGCGGTATGTAAACATCGCAAACAAACGACTTGTCCGGGAAATTTGGCAGGACAATATCTTCGATAAAATCGTCTACGAGGTCCTCAAAGGTATGTGACAGCGGTTTTAGATAATCGTAATAATTCAAATCTCTCTGGGAAACGCCTACTATATTCCCATCTCTGACGAAAACGCGAAGCTCCAAAGCCGGGTTGATATTGAGCCACTGCCGCAAGACAAGTTCAAAGTCTGTCACAGAATTGTGTCCATCTTTGTCGATGCATCCGTCGAATGCGGCATCTAAATCATGCGTGATGTAGTCAGATGCATTCAGCAGCAAATACAAGTCATTTGGCTCTCGGCATTTGGTCGAATTTTCAGGCAACATCCACGACGCGTCCTGCGGGCTGGACCAATTCAACTTGGGCGACACGGCACCCATTTCTGAGATCACAGTAGCAATCTTTTGATGAACCTCTGGGAAAAGAGACATGGGGTCTTTCTTATTTTCATTATCTCCAGTTTCGGTCCCTTGCTCGTCCTCCCAATCGCTGTACTCATTGTCCTCGTTACGATCCAGAGCTACAAAGTAGGAAGAAGAAGGGGATTTATCCTGACTGGCTAACGTTATACTATCCTGCTCAAGATACTGAACAAACTCATGGGGCAATGGCTTGATAATAACTGCTTTAGCAGTATGCGCCTTAAATCTATCATACCAGGCAGAAAAGCTACAGTTTTTCACCTGCTGAACTGTAACGCGTAGCTCGCTCAACTCTTCATATTGCGGGCCCATTGTTTCTATTCCAAAACACGCTCAATCAGAATTCAAAACCAATACTGGACTTAGCCCTTATTAGCTGTATAAGACGTTAATCACTTCAGAATCCGATGAGATGAGCTAAGTTGATAAAGAATTTCCACACAAATCATGTCAAACGAAAGATCATGGACAAGAACTGAAAAATTTGCCACCTCTGCACGCCTGAAGTTCACTTTGAGAACAAGAAATTGGTTAAGAAGCAGTTGAATTCGACTTGTAATTGAGGCTCTAGCTGATTGCCGTTTATTCTGTTTCATAATGGCCGTTAAAGCACCATCGAATACGACTTTCAAGAACCGCGAGAAGCCGCAGGAAGTGCGCAAGGCTAATATCATAGCAGCGCGTGCCGTGGCTGACGCGATCCGGACTTCTTTAGGTCCTAAAGGTATGGACAAAATGATCAAAACGTCTCGTGGTGAAGTCCTGATCTCGAATGACGGCCACACGATTTTGAAGCAGATGGCTATTCTTCATCCCGTGGCTAAGATGCTAGTGGAAGTTTCTGCAGCTCAGGATAGCGAGGCAGGTGATGGTACAACTTCTGTGGTCATTTTAACGGGTGCACTGTTGGGAGCCGCGGAAAAATTGCTCAACAAAGGTATTCATCCTACTATAATCGCAGAATCTTTCCAGAGGGCCGCCAAAAGATCGGTGGAGATTCTACTGGACATGTCGCATAAAATCTCCTTGGACGACAAAGATGCTCTTGTTCGCGCCGCGGCCACTTCTTTGAGCTCCAAAATTGTTTCTCAACATTCTTCTTTCTTGGCACCTTTGGCTGTGAACAGTGTTCTCCGCATTGTTGACCATGAAGCGACGAACGTCGATTTGAACGATATTCGTCTAATTAAAAAAGTTGGAGGAACGATCGATGATACGGAAATGGTAGACGGTGTTGTATTGACGCAAAACGTTGTTAAGAGTGCAGGTGGACCAACTAGGATTGAGAAAGCACGCATCGGTATAATTCAATTCCAAATCTCTCCGCCAAAGCCAGATACAGAAAACAACATTGTGGTCAATGACTACAGACAGATGGACAAAATCCTAAAGGAGGAACGCGCTTATTTGCTGAATATTTGCAAAAAAATCAAAAAGGCTAAGTGTAACGTTCTTCTCATACAAAAATCGATTCTTCGAGACGCTGTTAACGACCTGGCTCTGCACTTCCTATCAAAACTCAATATAATGGTGATAAAAGACATTGAAAGAGACGAAATTGAGTTTCTTTCCAAGAGCTTGGGTTGCAAACAGATATCTGATATCGACCTTTTCACAGAAGACAGATTAGGGTCTGCTGATCTTGTAGAAGAGATTGATAGCGATGGTTCCAAGATTGTGAAGATTACAGGCGTTAAAAACGTCGCGAGTAAGCCCACGGTTTCTGTGATTGTACGTGGTGCTAACAATGTTACTCTAGATGAGACAGAACGGTCCCTTCACGATGCTTTGTGTGTGATCCGTTGTTTAGTCAAAGAGAAGGCCCTTATTGCAGGCGGAGGTGCTCCAGAGATAGAGGTTTCCAGAACTTTAACCAAAGAGGCACGCACTTTGAAGGGTGTCGAGTCCTTCGTATGGCAAGAGTTTGCTTCTGCTTTGGAGGTTATCCCAACGACGCTCGCTGAAAACGCAGGTCTTTATAGCATTAAAGTTGTCACCGAGCTTCGTTTATTACACGAAAACGGAGAGCGAAACGCCGGCATTTCTATAAGAAGGTCCGGGACTACAAACACATACGATGAACATGTTTTGCAACCCGTATTGGTGAGCACCAGCGCCATTACTTTTGCTTCTGAATGCGTCAAATCGATTTTAAGAATCGATGATATAACTTTCAGTCGTTAAAGTTAAAAGCGAACCTCAAAAGGATTGTCCAAAATCTTTCGGAGCTCGCCCAAGAAGTTATTGTGATTTATGCAATGCTTTCAAAAAAAAGGGTTGCAGTAACCCCCATTGTCGTTCAAGGTCTATATAGTGCTCTCCTAATGTCGGAGATATGCGATCAACGAGTCTGTATAGTTATAATGCATGCGAGATATCTGTCTGATAGATTCTATCACTTGAGCGAAAAAATCTACCGCACCTTATGGCTACGGTTTTTCAGAAATGTTACAGCATTTTTGCTGAATATGTATGATGCCCCGCTCATGATTGTCGTCGCGCTTACAAGGTATCCGAATAAATCGAAAATGGTAGCAAAACGCTTTTGAAACGAACTCTTTCCTTCGTTACTGTCGACTTCCTGTTGCGGGTGCTGCTGTATCATATATATGACCCCGCAACCCAAATACAACATTTGCAGAAAGGTGTTCCACTTAGATATTTTGGTAGGACGAACAACCGCGCTTGGATATTTGAAAAAATCCCAATAGGTGCCCCACGTCACTTTGCCATACACTCTTCTGAGCGAAATGAATCTTAGATAAATCGCACTAATCGCCAATAGCACGTCTCTGCCTATTATGAGCCCTGCGACTGGTGCAGGAATTATCTGTGGGCCACCAGGAATCGAAAGTGAAAGTGTCGTCACAAGCATAAGAAATTTGTCCGCCATTGGGTCAAGAATCGTACCAGCGACAGATTGCATCTTGAATTTCCGCGCCAAATACCCGTCCATCAAATCTGTCACGCAAGAATATACAAAAAGCCCCAGTGCTGTTCCGAGCTGACTTGACAAAATACAGCTCCCAATTAGCGGTGCGGCAGCAATTCTCGTCAACGTCAACATGTTCGGTATTGTATAAAAACCCTGCATTATTTTTGTCTCGGAACTGACTTGTCTAGTGTCATTTTGACTCGATATTGTGCGCTTACAGACGGGCATCACCGTTCTCGCTGTATTAAGTCTCCAGCAACACAATCCATGGCTTCTAAAGATGACGGAAATTCGCTGTGGTACTATCAAAGAGGGCATCATTGAGGGCCAAGATGTTTCTTAGATGAGATTTGGCTTTCCAAATGGACCTTTATTCGATCGATTTATTTCGGTATTTCAAATATATGAAGCTTCTAATAGATCGAGAAATTGGAATTTAAATCCTAGATTCAGGACCTTTTAGTTAACTTAAAGGACATCGAAAAACCCGAATCCCAAAACAACTTTTTCGTTTAATAACCGAGTTGATTAGACCACTAAACAAGTGCGTGTTGAGTGAGGCTAATCAGAGTTATTTGACTACTTTAAACAACAAGATTTGAGCAGCTTCGGCGGAAGTTGTTGGCTTCAAGGCTTTCGAGATTAGAGCCAGCATTTTGATTAACACCAAGCCGATAAGTGTGTTTTCTCAGCGAATTATGAACGTGTTAGTATACAATGGACCTGGTGCTTCTGAAGATTCTGTAAAACACGCGGTTCGCACTTTACGACACCTTTTGGAACCATATTACGCCGTTAGCACAGTTTCGGCTCGAGTGCTACAAACTGAGCCTTGGGCTGCTAAAACGTCGGCAATCGCTTTCCCCGGTGGTGCTGATATTCCATACATAAGGGAATGTACCCCGGTGCTCCCATTGATTAAAAAATTCGTTTCACGGCAAGGTGGTGCTTTTATTGGATTCTGCGCGGGCGGTTACTTTGGAACTAGCCGCGTGGAATTCGCCACAGGAGATCCGAATTTGGAAGTCGTCGGTGCGAGAGAGCTCAAGTTTTTCCCTGGCACTGGACGTGGGCCTGCGTTCCGAGGGTTTCGGTATAATAGCGAAGCAGGTGCCCGTGCGGCGAAATTGAAAACGGAAGATGGGGATGAACTTTGTGTATACTACAATGGAGGTGGTGTCTTTGTCGATGCTGATAAGTTTGATAACGTAGAAGTCATCGCGACATATGCCGATCCCATTGACGTACCCTTTTCTGAAGATCCCGGCTCTCCAAATGGCGCTGCTGCTGCCGTTATATGCAAAAGCGGCAACGGTAAGGTGCTTCTAACAGGGCCACACCCTGAATTCGTACCACATCTCTTGCAAAAAAGTCTCGATCATCACTACAATGACCATGTTGTCGCCACATTGTTGAAAGACGACCAAAAGAGATTAAAATTCATGAAAGACGCTTTAACAAAGCTTGGATTACATTGCAACAGTGACTTTAAGGATGTTCAGGCTCCTAGCTTAACTCCTATGCTGATAGCGGCTCCCGGTCAGCCTGAGAAGTTCGAAGAGCTCAAGCAGAATTTAATCCACCTTTCAAACCCATCCAACAGTGGATACCTAGTACTTGAAGGTGAAAATGACACGTTCAATGTATACGACGGTTTGAAGTGGTTTGAGTCCGCTCAAAAAGCTCTGGTTGATCAAGAGCCCGAAGAAGTGGCCAAATGTATCATTTTACCAAATACTATCCAGGATCTTCCAAACAAGCACATAACTCCAAATTTCGATATGGCAAAGTACTTTTCTTCTCTCAAAGCAAAGACTAACATAGGCTCCATTTTGATGTACGGAGAAATTATCACATCAACTAGTTCTCTGCTGGATTCTAACAAGAGCCTATTGAAGTGTTTCCCCCAGAATTCTTTGCTACACGTTGGGACGATTCAAGTGTCGGGTCGAGGCCGCGGCGGAAATGTTTGGGTCAATCCCAAAGGAGTTTCCGCTTCCACAGTGTGCATCAATCTCCCAATGAGATCGCCAACTACCAATCGTCCAGTGTCTATCGTTTTTGTACAATATTTGGCAATGTTGGCATACTGTAGGGCGATTCTTGGCTATGCACCCGGCTTTGAAGATCTCCCAGTTAGGATTAAATGGCCAAACGATCTTTATGCCATGAGTCCTGATTACTATCACTCCAAGAAGATGCGACTTGTTGGTAAGGGTCATCACGGGCAGAAGGTTCCCCTCAACGATATGGAACCTGCGTTCGTAAAAATCGCTGGCCTTCTTGTCAATACCAGTTTCAACAACGACAATTATTCCCTACTTTTGGGTTGTGGGCTGAACGTAACGCACGAGGGACCAACCACATCGCTTCAAGCATGGATCAATATTTTGAACAAAGAACGAGAAGCTGCTCAGCTCGAACCACTACCTCCGATTGAAATTGAGAAATTGCTTGCCTTCTACATGAATGAGCTAAATCATTTGGTTGAGGAATTCCTTGCAAATGGAACCGATCGAATTTTGCCAGAGTACTACAAACTGTGGCTACATTCTGATCAAATAGTCTCATTGATGGACCATCAGAATGTTCGGGCAAAGTTAGTGGGGATCACGGAGGACTATGGTTTACTGATAGCTAAGGAGCTATACCCTGGGACGAATGCAGAGTACACAGGAACTACTTACCATCTGCAACCGGATGGTAACACTTTTGACATTTTCAGAGGATTAATTTCTAAGAAGGCGACTTGAGTTTTGAAAAGCATTATAATGGCGCTAAAATCGCGCCCGACTTATTCTCCTCAGGGCCCCACTCCTGCTCAGTCTTGATGAGCTGGACACAAAAATTGATACAGAACGTAATTATCCTAATTAATTCTAGAAATTTCATTTACATTTTCATGAGTGTTAGTTCAAGTGTTGTCTCACTGCAGTATGCAGCGAACACACCTGTCTCTAATGATACACAAGTTAGCCGTCGCATTACTCCTTTTTGGGAGATTGTGGCGAATAAGATGGAGAACCTGGGCTATAGCTGGGAGAAGTTGGTGAATAAGATGGAGAAGTTGGGCTGTAGTTAGGAGAAGTTGGTGAATAGCTTGGTGAGGTTGGTGAGTAAGATGGGGAAGTCGGGCTATAGCTTGGTGAGGTTGGTGAGTATGATGGTGAAGTAGGGCTATAGTTGGGGGATGTTGGTGAGTATGATGGTGAAGTTGGGCTATAGCTGGGTGAGGTTGGTGAGTATGATGGTGAAGTAGGGCTGTAGCTGGGTGAGGTAGGTGAATACGAGGGAGAAGTTGGGCTATAGCTGGGTGAGGTTGGAGAATAAGAGGGCGATGTAGGTGAGTAGGAAGGTGAGGTTGGAGAGTAGGAAGGAGAAGTTGGTGAATATGATGGTGAAGTTGGCGAATAAGCTGGAGATGTCGGAGAATAAGAGGGGGAAGTAGGGCTGTAACTTGGAGATGTTGGCGAATACGATGGCGACGTAGGACTGTAACTTGGTGATGTTGGAGAGTACCCTGGCGAAGTTGGTGAAAACCCTGGTGACGAAACTCCTCCAAAGCCAGGAGACGTTGGATTGTCTCCATAACCGCTGAAAGGAGATGACGCCGATCCGTAATCAGATCCGCCGTATGCCGTAAAGCCACCCGACATAGCATCCGTTGATCCTGAATCCACAAGTGGAGAAAACATCAATTCATCTTTAACATCAATCTCTGCATTAACGAGGCCATTTTCGACATTGTACGGAGTTGCACCACCGTCCTGTCCGTCAGCGATCTCGGAAGTCTTTTGTTCTGGCATGTACTTGATCAGGGAATCTTCATCTATCATAACGTCAAAAGCACCAGTACCGATTGGAGCCATTTGTCCCAGTAAAACATTTTCAGAAACTCCCTTACAGTCATCGAGCTCTGCTGCGGCACCAGCCTCAAACAGAATCTCAACCGTCTCTTCGAAAGAACATCTCATTAAAGCACCGGTGTCAGATCTGTTGAACCCGTGACGAGTGACAGACATTAAGAATCCTTGAGACGTCATGACGTCGACCAACAGAGCCATGTGTCTGTAGTTCACATAGGAACCATCAGAGGCAATGACATTATAAACCTCCTTGTAAAGAGCTGCCCTTCCGGCTTCTATACCCAAAACGTTCATGATGTCAATAAAAGAATTGGTGTAAATTCTACTAGCATCCACACCCGTCACGCACATAACTTCCGCTAAATTGACACCGTCAGTTTCCAAAACCCACTCAGGTACCTTTTGATATTCACCGGTAGGACCAGGGACCTTCCTATCATATTTCATCATCACAACTCTCTCGATATCTTCAACACCACGAAGCGTAATACTTTCAAGCATGGTATTCTCGATTCTTTTCAGCATGTGATCCTCCTCAGCTTCAGCTTCAGCGTCTAATGTTTTAGGGTCGCGCACCACACGACAACGTATAATAAGCTTCTCGGCATTATCTTCGGACCAGATGACGAAAAGATCGTTTTTGAAGGTCTCCTTAATTTTTTCTCCGACTTGACCCATAGTCAAATCTTTATCGTTCATTGCAGCACGATCCAACTCGAGACGTAGTAGCCAAGGCGACTGATGATCCAAAGATTGCTCGGTATCTTCGTCCATCAAGGAAAAGTGAAGTTGAATAATCTCTTCATCATCTTCAATTACGGTTGACCGAGGGTCAGGATCGTAATAAATTTCAGAAGCAACTGTAACACTTTTCAAGGTCGTATGCTCAATGGCAGACCTAATTAGTTTGGCCTTCTCTTGATCGGCAGAGTGCTCATGATCAAGGTAAACCGTCAACGACGGTGTCTTCATTGTCTTGGCCACGTTCAAAATTTCCTTCAAACGAGGGACACCGGATGTGACTTTCTTGGAGGCAACACCAGCAAAGTGGAACGTGTTCAAGGTCATCTGAGTGGCGGGTTCACCAATAGACTGTGCAGCCAAAACACCAACCATTTCGCCGGGGTGAACGATGGATCTCAAAAATTGAGCCTCGATATTGCTCAACACCCAGTCAAAAGTCTGTTTGGTCAACCTGTACTCTTCAAGCACTCTTCGGGAAGCCAATCGCGAGCGAAGCAAGCAACAAAATAGTGTCACAGCATTTTCTTGAGCCTCGGTTAGAATCTCAGCCTTCCCCCGAAGAACAAGTAGTTTGCTTTGCAAGTCCTTAACACCATAAACAATGTCCCGAATCGTTAAATCTGTTGGTTTCGTGTGATCAATGCGGAACGTCTGTTGCGCATTCTGAATAATACGCCTGATATTGACAGGAAGAGGCCAGCTCTGCTCCCCATCAGGGAAAATCTTCCTCAAAAATTGGCGATCTTGTAGTAACTGCTTGTATTCTTCGTCTAAGAGCGCCTGCAACTTCAGATCCCCAACAGTCTCCGAGCCAGACTCTAGAAGAGAAGGATCAATGGCATTACTTGGATTCAAAAGATCAATTCTGTATCTTCTCTGGAAAGCTGCATCAGAAGCGCCAATTGTGTCAATTGATTGCTTTTCTATGTGGCTCGCATCCATACCATCCTCACCGTAAATAAATTGGATGACGTTTCCCAGAGAGTTCCTTGTAGTTCCATCATAGTGCACCATAATGTCTTCCAATGCTTTCACAAGTCTACGCTGAATGTACCCAGTTTCTGCAGTTTTCACGGCGGTATCAATCAAACCTTCACGTCCACCCATTGCATGGAAGAAAAATTCCTGTGGTGTAAGCCCTCTCAAGTATGAGTTTTCCACAAAACCCTTCGATTCTGGCGAGTAGTCATCTTTTGAGAAATGAGGCAAAGTACGGTCAGCAAAGCCAAACGCAATACGCTTACCCTCGACAGATTGTTGTCCAACACAAGCCGACATTTGAGCAATGTTAATGAAGGAACCCTTAGAACCAGCACTCACCATCTGTTTGACATTGTTCAAATCCTTCAAATTTACTTCTGCCGAACGTCCAGCTTTGTCTCTTGCTTCATTCAAATAACGAACGACATTATCCTCGAAAGATTCACGTAAAGTCATACCATGCTTCGCAGTTAACAGGTTTGCCTGGGCTTCTTTGGTCACTTCTTCGACCTTCTTTTTGGCCACCGCAATCGCCTCCGTGATTTCTCTCATAGTTTTCTCGTCAGCAATGGTATCACCAATACCAATCGAAAACCCATTATGTAATAACCAAAAGTTTACCACTTTCTGGATATTTCCAAAAAGCCTGGCACAGATTGTAGGACCCTTTTCTCTTGTAACCACGTGAATCAATCCGCCACTCGAAGAGCCTACGGTCTTCTTGTCAACAACACCAAAAATGATTTGGCCGTCAATGATAAGCATCCCGTTATCTTTTGGAGACAGCAGAGTGGTTCCTTCATCGAATCTTTGAAGATGAATTCCCTTGGGAATTGCGATAGACAGGATTTGTTTTCCCGACCACAGAGGCTTCGGCCTCAAAATTGTCGGGACTGGTATGACACCGTCCCAATCAGGGATCCAGTACAACATGTTTAGCACTTGATCGAGCTCTATAAATGTATCTCTCAGGGTCATTTTACGAATACCGCACAACGTATCTTGTACGATACCCATACATGGCTTATTCGATTGAGCAGACACAATCTGTTGGGGGACAGCACATAGCTGAGACAGTTCTGCTCTCGTCTCCTCCGACTGTGGAACGTGAAGGTTCATTTCGTCACCATCGAAATCGGCATTATATGGGGACGTAACGGACAAATTGAGTCGGAAAGTAGAGTACGGCATGACTTTCACCCTGTGTGCCATCATAGACATTTTATGCAAAGAAGGTTGACGATTGAACAAAACAGGATCATTGTCGATAATATGACGTTCGACTTTCCAGCCGTATTGCAATTGTATGTCACCGGCTCTTTTACTGTATCTCAAATCGATACGGTCACCATTGTCACGAATCACATACTTCGCGCCCGGGTGTTCATTTGGCCCATTGCGCGCCAATTGAGTCAAGCGATCGATATTGTAAGGTGTTACTACTTCAGGGTATGTCAGGGTTTTTGCGATGGATTTTGGAACACCAACCTGATCCAAGTCCAGATTTGGATCTCCTGAAATGACCGTACGAGCAGAAAAATCAACACGCTTCCCCATCAAATTACCTCTGATACGCCCTTCTTTACCCTTCAAACGTGCGCGAATGGATTTAATGGGACGTCCTGACTTTTGCAAGGCTTGGGGTTGCCCGGCGATATCATTATCCATATATGTAGCAACGTGAAATTGTAACAAAGACTCAGACTCTTGAATAACGTGTTGTGGAGAACCGTTGATCTCCAGCCTTTGAACGTTAATGTTCGCCTTCAAAATATCGCCAAGCTTATAAGTCAAATCATCCTCACCTCTTTGAGTTTCATTGAAAGAGATCGATGGTCGCACTGGTGGTGGAGGCACCGGCAAAACTGTTAAGATCATCCACTCTGGACGTGAAAAATCCTCGTTGAAACCTAACCTCACAGAATCTTCCGAAGAAATATGTTTGAACACATTCAGAACTTCGTCCGCCGAGATTATTCTCTTCTCAGGCTGGTCAGCATCATCGGCACCTTTATCTTTCTTCCAGGTACCTACCAAAGAAAGACCATCCTTTCTGATGCTCGGTTGAATATTTCCGCAACCGCCTCTGGATACATACTGGGCTGGGTCATCTTCTGATGGTACTTCGGTTTCGCATACCATTTTCGTCTTACAGAGTGACCACACGGCATTAAATCTTCTCTTTGGATCCTTTATTTTTATCGCTTGTCTCATTAAATCATTATGCTCATCGAGCAGAAGTTTTCCGCAATGCATACAAACACAATCGCAGACCTTTTTGATTTTGGAAATAAAACCAATGTGGAAAACAGGTTTTGCTAACTCTATGTGACCAAAATGGCCTGGACAGTCATTCATGCCTTCACCGCAAGTTTGACACTTGTAGTTACGGTCGATCGAACCCAGCCTGGGATCGTTCAAACCGCCCACTTTGGCGCGCATTTGGGTCTCATCCATAGTTTCGGGAAATTCAATTTTGGCGACGCTAATAGCGCGAACTTCTTCAGGCGAAAACATCCCAAACTGCACTTCTTTGACAGTGCGCAATGGCGCACTTGAATATGGAAAATCCACCATTAAGAATTGTGATTTTTTATTCTTTTTTTAGCTTTTTAAGGTATAATAAATCAATTTTTGGAATCCTTTTTCTCCTATGTGACGTTACCGTGGTTTGCTGGAAGTGACAAGCTGATATGGCTAGCTTAACAGCACAGCTATCCTCGGGAAAACGACGATAAAAAATAGAAAACCTGGAGAGCTTTGATTGTTCCAAATGCTGTAATAGACACAAGAAAAGTGTTTCTGGTGCGGTTAGGAATTTGGTATCTATCTGATTTCTTGAATGCTGCAATTCTCCCCGTGTCTCTTCCTCTTCCTTGTCGTGACCTCACAAGTTCTTCTGAAGCCGATGATCGACGAAATCCCCCAAGTTAATCACTACCTTGGTATCGGTAGTCAGTTCGCAAACGAATCTTTTTTCAAAACCCGCCGGAACTGGGCTTGAAAGCTCAAAATCTTAACAAACAAATGCCAATCTGGATCTCAACCGACGGTTGGATATACGGTTCGATATTCCTGTGCGAATTTGTTTGTGACCTTAACAGCAGTTTAAGCTATTAATACGTCCAAAAGATTCCGTGCAAGCCTCGCGAAGCTCTTGCTCAGTGCTACGTTTGGTAAACTAATCCTTAACTTTAAATTCGATATATCTTTTGCCACCCCGTCGAAAATTTTTCAAAATTCAAAAGAGGGTAACTCGACCATCAATCATAATCACTACCTGATAACGTCGTCTACATACGAAGAAGATCAATGGCTCTTTATATTGGATTACACGCTATTCTAGGCGTCATTGACGTTTGCGAAGTTTGGTTTGATTGTGTTATGAGAACATTTTGGATAGGGATTTTTTTTGTTTCGCGACCTGTTCTTTCTTGAGTTTTCTAGCGTCGGCGATGGCTTTCAAAATGGCAGCGTCATTCTGCTGATAAGTAGTAGCGAATTCAAGGTCAGTCAGCGCCATTTCTGGATCTTTCATGGAGTAGTATGCCAAGCCACGACGGTAGAGAGCTTTGGCCTTCGATTTGTCGTCTGCATTGTCGGAATGTAGAACTTCCGTACAGGAAGTTAAGGTCGTAGCGTATTCCTTGGTCTTAAGACCGCACAGGGCCACGTTCAGAAAGACAGAAACCTTAAGTTGGTCCAGTTGGGAGATTTCATCGTCTGGAAGATGCTCTGGTTGGTACTGCTTCATCAAATTTGCAGATTTTTGATATTTGGAGAGCGCTGCAGCGTAGTTTTGCTCCTTGAACAGCTTAGTTCCGATGGCTTTGACATTCTCAATAGCAGCTAGTACCGTTGAGAAGTCGTCTAGGTTGACCTTGGCATCCTCGGCCAGCAGATCCTCGTAGTTGTCCCCGAACTCGTCGGTGGGAGTCTTTTCGGCGTCAGCTGGCACCTCGTAGTCGTCCGGCAGGACACCACAATCTTCAATCTTCACCTCACTTTCCGGCTTGTCCCCAGAGTCTGTAGGTTGAGCCTCGATCGCGCGCACGAGCCGCTTGCCCTGTATCACTTCGCCAAACACTACGTGCTTTCCGTCTAGGTGTGGTGTGGGCGCGCATGTAATGAATGCCTGTGAACCATTTGTGTTGGGCCCGGCATTCGCCATAGAAAGTAGAAACGGTTTGTCATGCTTTAGCGTAAGATTTTCATCCTCGAATTTTTCACCGTAGATGGACTCTCCTCCTGTGCCATTAAAGTTCGTGAAATCCCCAAATTGGCACATGAAATTTTTGATCACTCTGTGAAAGATTGAGCCCTTGTAACAGAGAGGAATGTCTGGCTTAGTTTTACTCATACCGCAATTGCCTTCGCATAGTTTTAAAAAGTTCTCTGTGGTCTTAGGGACAGCATCGTTGTAAAGTTCGAAGACTACACGACCCTTGGGAGCGCCACCAATGGAAATGTCGAAAAATACTTTTGATCTAGCCATAATTGAGTATTTGTCTTTGCGTAATGAAACGCGTTAACAGCCGGTGCTTCAAGGATTCAGCTTTGTCTAATTGAAGCTTTTTTAATCGAGAATACGATCAGCCTTTTAATCTCCATTAAATATTTTTTTCAATTTGTACCGGTGGAAAATACTAGAAATTTCAAATTCTGAATGTCCCACACGGCCAGCACATTAAAAGTCACTCTAACTGCTCCCGGTCTCTCATCGACAATGGCAACTGGATGCTGCATCGCTTGATTTCTTGCTAGTCCCATTCTTTTTCTTCGTTTGTGTCTTCATCTTCATCTTCACTTGTATCGTCGTCTTCCGCTTGCCTGTGATCGTAGTCCGTGTCTTCTTCATCCTCTTCTCCCCCGTCGGATTCTTGTTCTTCGCCCCAGACGTTATTTTGAGTGGTGTCGACGTCCAAGAGGTCGCTGAGGACGCTTATATAGCGGTCCTCATCAGCATAATGATTCTCATTCGAAGCAAGACCTCTAACGTGGCCATTGTCTTCCACAATCTCACCAGAATTCAAATCGATCACGTCGCCCTCGTCCTGCATCGACTCGTACTTCTCGATGAGACGAGCCCAGACCTCCTTCATGTTTTCGTCAGCTCTCTTATGGCGCTTCATGACCTCTTCGTCGGTAAGTTTGGGAATGGGTTGGCGCTCCTTGGACATAATGTAGATCACGCCATTGCGTTCTTCCACGAACTCCTCCGCTTCATCACCCGTGCTGGATCTGGAATCACCATTTTGAGGAGATTCCTGCGCTTCCACTAGTTCTGTAGAATCAACCACGCCAGTTTGAGCCTGAGCTGGCGTCGATGGCCGTTCGGGCTGTTTAGCAGGTGCATCTTGAGCTCTAGCTTGAGTCGCGAGCTTCTTCAGCGCATTGTGCAATCCTCGAAGCGTTTTTTTGCGACCGTGTCTCTTCTGCACACTACTCATGCCCAATATGGCAGCCAGGGACGTCACTTCAAGAATGAGAAGGTTTCGTTTTCCCTGTTCTAATGAGCTTCTCATCTTATTGACACTGCGCGAGTTGAAAAAATAAGCCGTGGACTAAACATTGAACATGGAGAGGTCGAAGAGATGATGAAAATAAAAAAGCGACCTTTCTTGTCGGGACTTTCGGGCCATCGTACGCCCTCGAGTCGCTGTCATTGTAGATCAATCACCTGTCGATGGTTCCCACTCGTTCTCTGTTACCTTTTTGCTCCCAGCACTTCTTAAAGCTAGCCATTTCTCCCAAGCACTGCCTCCAGTCGTTGGTGTCTGCGTGGCAGAGCTGAAGGGCCATGTTTTCTGCGAAGCAGCCCGTCTTGTCTATCCGTGAGTCCCACTCGTCGGGCGCCTCGTTCAAGAGATCCTGGTACTCCTGTTGCGCCTCTACTTGGTATTTGGTAAGGTTTTGCTGATCTTGTGTGTTGTCGTGGGCCATAGCTGTAGAATTGGGTAATTAAGATCCACAAAAGAGGGTTCAATGGGTTTCCGTCGTGTTTTGTAGTTACTCAAGTTTGGTTGAGTTAATTTTCGGATTCCTGGAGTTACTTCCTTAAGAGCGTTTCGCGTTTAACAAACTCCGTGAAGCTGTGTGACTTGTCGGCAGCAGGTGATATTTTGGGTACATTCACAATGCACATTTACATCGAGTAAGAGTGAGGGTTCTTGCAGATTCGCGATTCATTTGACGCATTTTGCGCTCAGCTAAACCAATGTTATCTGTAATGTATCTACATGTAGACTATGAGGACAAGTCGCTTGCCGAACACCCCCATAACGATCAGGCCATCTTTGAAGTGCTAGAAGAAAACACAAGCTACAGTAGAGACACGTGGAACGGAGCGTAACTCAATGTTCCATGCTCAGAAAGCTATTAGAGCTATGTACAGCGGCTGGCTGTCAATTTCTTATCTGAATGTCATCTGGCAATTTCAATCATAAAATCCTATAAACATACTACGCAAGGATCTTAAAAACGAGAACACACATACACAAATCAACGATCGATGGACAAGACTTCAACCTGCCTTTATATATCATGTCCTAAGCTATTGCCAAATCTTGCCGACAACACATTTCATATAAACAGCGTTGCCAGCGTCAGCAGTCGAGAACCTGCATGCTTATGCACAACGCAAGCAACTTTTGATCTGCCGTCTAGGTCATGTGATAAAAGTCAAGCCCCGTTGTGATGAAGAAGCGCCATAAATCATTCACCATCCACATCAATACTATAACACGCTACAAGAAGCTACAGACAGAGGATTTTAGGGCCATTTGTGGGTTCTGCTTTTAGGACACTCGCCGATGGAAAGGTTGACATCAAGGTCACGTGACCTTTATTGTACTCGGTTTTACAATAGAGGTGAGAGTAGGAGTAAGAGAAAGCATCTCGCCGGCAAAGATAGAAGCTCGTTGATTGTACCTGTTTGGCACCCTTGGCTGGGTAACGTTGGGACAGACGCCACCTCTAAACTGGACTGAGAAACGGTAGGACTTAAGAGCCCATAAAAAGTGGATTCTTTAAGTAAACCATCCATTAGGCTTTGATGAGGAGCTTCCCAAGAAACTAGGTTATGAAGTCAATCAAACCTACTAGTGGCTGACCCTAACAGATTTTAGTCGGGCCAGAGTTGGCCAAGAATGCATTTTCGTAAGTAGCGATGTACTACAGTTTCGTGTGAAAAGTTCTCGTCGTGGCGAAATCAAAAACACATATAAGGTGTCTTCCCCGTCCAAGGACGTTCTGCCCCCAAAAACCCGTATCGTGATTAACAGCACACGGCGGTTATCAAAAGAGCCAATTGAGCCAATGGTCAAGCTTGCTGAGTATGCGCGCACAGCGACGTTTGCATGGTCGCATGACAAAGCTCCGTTGTTGGCGACAGGAACCGCGTCAGGGGCTATTGACGCAGATTTTTCGAGCGAGTCCACATTGGAACTGTGGTCGCTGCTGTCGCCGCATTCTTCCAAACCAGAGGCAGCGATCAGTGCAGACGCCAAATTCAATGATCTCGACTGGTCTCACGACAGCCAGGTGATAGCAGGCGCGCTCGAAAACGGCACCGTGGAGTTTTTTTCTGCACCAGAGCGCGCGTCTGTCGCCAAAATCGCCAAACACACGACTCCCGTCAAGACTTTGAAGTTCAACTCCAAACAGGTCAATGTTCTGGCTTCAGGTGGCAGTAAGGGCGAAATCTACATTTGGGATGCAAATAAAGTTTCCTCAGAGGATTACTCGCCGTTCGTGCCCGGAACGGCCATGACGCCTCTCGACGAAATCTTCTCGCTTTCTTGGAACCAGAACCAATCACACGTTTTCGCTTCTGCTGGGTCCTCAGGGTTCGCGTCGATATGGGACTTGAAGGCCAAGAAAGAGGTCATTCATCTGAGCTATTTGTCGCCCGTGACAGGCACCAAGAACCAGCTGTCTATCGTCGAGTGGCATCCTAACAATTCGACCAAAATTGCCACGGCAAGCGGCAACGACAGCGATCCTTCTGTTTTGGTTTGGGATTTAAGAAATGCCAACGCGCCTTTGCGCGTGTTGTCACATGGCCACAACAAGGGTGTGCTTTCGCTCGACTGGTGCAAACAGGACGAATCGCTTCTACTTTCCAGTGGTCGCGATAACACATGTGTTTTGTGGAATCCAGAAGAAGGCCAAAAACTAGTTCAGTATCCAACTCGCGGAAATTGGATCTTCAAGACCAAATTCGCCCCTGCTGCGCCGGATCTTTTCGCCTCAGCCTCTTTCGACAACAAAATCGAAGTACAGACATTGCAAGATCTGACCACAACGCTAGATTTGGATGAATCGGTTACCAAACAACAAGAATCAGAGGTTGACTTTTGGAATAACGTTTCAGAGCAAAAAGATACCGAAAAGCCTATAGTTTCACAAGTGCAAGCTCCTGCGTGGTATGAGACCAAGTCTTCGGCACGTTGGGCCTTTGGCGGCAAGCTTGTCTATGTGAGTGGGAATGGCAAAAATGTTACTATCGCCAATCCTTCTATTCCAGGTATCGAACAAAACACGCTGTTGGATAAGGCTCTTCAAACCAGCGATTTCAATCCAATTATCAACAAGCGACTTGCTCAGAGTTTGGATAATGTTAACGAGGAAGATTGGACAATGCTCGAAAAGCTTTCGCTAGATGGTCCCAAGGCTTTTTTGGAAGAAGCGCTCTCTTTCGATGATGAAGAAGACGAGAATTCTGACGAGAAAAAGGGTAATGAGGAAGATGATTTCTTCAGCAAGTTGAATGAAAAATTCGAACCTTCTGGCCCTTTCAAACTCGAAGCTGAAAGCGAATCAATCGAGATTATCCAAAGTTTACTTCGCAAAAACTACAAAGCTGCCATTTCAACGGCTTTGGAGAAAGATCTTCTTTTGGAGTCCCTTGTTATTGCCTTGGACTCCAACGATGAAGTTTTGAAGAAGCAGGTTAAGGAAGCCTACTTTTCGAAGAGAAGCCACGATTCACCTCTAGCGCGTACATTATATTGTTTTTCCAGTCAAAATCCCATCGACATGGTTGAAAACCTTGACGTTGAGCAATGGAAATATGCTGCAAAGGCTGTTATAACTCTGGAAGCAGACGCCGAGACAAAAAATGAATTGCTCGTCAAATTGGGTGACAAGCTTCTTGCCAGCGACAAGCGCCAGGATGCGCTCATTTTGTTTGTCGCTGCACACTCTCTGGATAAAGTGGCTTCTGTCTGGCTCAGCGAGTCTTCAGAGTTGGAATCCAAAATGAGAAGCAAAAAAGCGTCCGTTTACGAGGCTCATTTGGAGTGTTTGACGGAATTTGTTGAGAGATTCACAGTTTTCTCTCGCATGACAAGCGCCTTGGGAGACTCAAAATTTGTCAACCAGGAGCTCGTCTCAAAACTACTAGAGTTTGTCAACTTGACCTCGTCTAATGGTAACTTCGACCTCGCTTTGAGGTTTTTGGAGACGCTGCCTGAAAGCAATGAAGAGGTTGCAACTGAGAAGCAGCGCGTTTTGATCGCCTCCAATAAAACCGATTCTGCTACTGCCAAAACTAAAAAACATAAATATGGCAGTGAAAGTGCTGTGGCCCCCGGCCCCTTCAATCAGGCCTCGAATTTGGTTAAGCCGGGGTTAGTTTCTACTTCTCCTTTTGCGCAACCCGCTACCTTAGCTACGCGGACACCATCTATCGGCGGTTCTGCTTCCTCAGTTGCGAGACAAAATTCCTACATTGCGACTGGAAGTAACTTGGCGACTCCGATGAATAAGTACGCTCCGGTTGGAGGTGTTACGGCAGCTCCAAGTAGCGTCCCTGTAACAGTGCCAAGTGCCTTCGGTGGGCAAACAAATCCATATGCGGCCCCTGCTCCCTCGGCAAATCCTTACGCTCCTCCTCAGGCAATGAACACAGGCTTTGTCGCCAGCGCTGCAGCAGCTTCCGGAAACTTTACCAATGGAGTCAGCCTGCCTTACAACCCAATTGCAAGTGTGATTCCTCTAGGAGACAGGGGCTTCAATGATTTAGGTGCCGGCATGACCCGACCCCCCAGCGAACCATCTGGCCAATCTCCACACTTGAATAAGAAGGCTAACGATGGATGGAATGACTTACCCTTGAGTGTGAAGGAAAAATCAACGCGTGCCAAGGCAGTTTCTGTAGCGCCAGTGAGTATCCATAACCCAGTGGCATCCGTTCCTGGTGCCCAGGCGCCTTCAAGTCGGGCAGTTCCTCCACCACCCCTTTCTAGAGTAACATCGAGTGCCACGGTGGCCACCCCACCCCCACAAAATGCCACAACTAAAGCTTTACCGCCTTCTGCCGCCACTTCCTCATCGACACCTTCTAACCCTTACACTCCTCCTATGAAAGCTGTCGCGCCACCATTGATGAACTCGCAATCCATTGCGCCACCAACCCCACCGCTAAATCCTTATGCCCCACCAGTAGCTACCACAGCGGCTCCCGCGGCAGCCGCCAACGCTTATGCCCCTTCGGTAGCAACCTCTACTGCTCCTCCAGTGTCCAACCCTTACGCACCCTCACCAGCTGCGATGGTTTCTCCTACACCGGCAACGATGGCTTATGGTTCAGGACCACCCTTGAACGGATTCACAAGCAATCCTCCTCCCACGAAGCCATCGGTTGGACCACCTCCAAAGACGATGAACAGAAAGACCCATGCTTCTCAACAGGTGGATTCCGCCAACGCCCTGTTAGATTCAATGCAAAATAAAGCTCTTCCGGTTCAAGCGGCCAGTGAGCTTCCACCAGTTACTGGAAGCCAACCTCCCGCATCGGCAGAATCTTCACTAACTGAAACTCCTTCTCAAAACGCTCCTTCAGGTATACCGGCTGACCAAGAGCCGATCGTGGAGTTTTTGCAAAGCGAACTTGCGCGTGTCAGTCCGCTGATCCCACGTGAGTATAGCAAGCAATTGAAAGACTGTAATAAGAGACTAAACATTTTGTTCGGCCACTTAGAGAGACAAGATCTTTTGACGCCTCCTACGATTGCAAAACTGCAAGAGACGATTAACTTTATGAAGGAACAAAAATACGAAGAGGCCATGCAATGTCATGTTGAAATCGCAACCAATCACTCCCAAGAGGCTGGAAACTGGCTGACTGGTGTTAAAAGACTCATTAGTATTGCGGAGGTCACTTCGACTTGACCAAACTGCTCATGTATTCAAAAATACTATTAATTCAATCCATAGTACATCTAACAGCAAAAATAACCATTCTCATCCCTGTTTTTAGGCGAATTGACGCTTAGGTTCATCGTCTTTCGTCGCATTTAGCTGGCTCCTCTTGAACGGCGTGGTTCGTTAGTTACATGAAATATCCAACGGCGAAATCTCAAAAGTTGATGACGACGAAAGGAACCAGTGGTGCTCACGCATAAAGGTTTTCAAAGCAAGTCTTTAGTCTCTCGCACCCATAAGGCACCTACACTTCTGTCCATCTCTTTTCCTGATCAAAGTTCCCCGCTTTTTAAATGAAGTTTGCATAATATACCATGATCAAGGACGGGACAGGGATCGACGAAACCAGCGTCATAGAGCGTGCGATCCGAAGTTTGAGCAAGCAGCTCTCGATAAAACATATAAGGCGAGAGAAGAGTCTCGCGAAGAATCCACCTCCGATTTCTCAGAGTGAAAGCAATAATGCTGCCACGAGAGTCAGCGCAGTTTATGAAGCGAACGACGGCAATGGAGACGTTTACGTGAATTTTTCAGATGTAGACTCCGAACTTTTCTTGCGTCCTCCTATGAAGCAATCGAATTCGATGTCGATTTTGGTTGGTGTTTTTGTTGCCGTTGGCGGATTTCTATTCGGGTATGACACGGGGCTCATAAACAGCATAACAGAAATGAAGTATGTTAAAGAACATTTTGCTGGGAATGGTGTCAGTTTTACGGCGAAGGAAATGTCTATTTTGGTATCATTTCTCTCTTTAGGGACATTTACAGGGGCACTAGCGGCTCCATTCATAGCAGACTCTTACGGACGCAAGGCTACTATCATCTTCAGCACATTTTTTGTTTTCATGATAGGAAACTCTCTACAAGTCGCTGCGAGCAGTTCTGTCTTGCTTGTGGTCGGTCGTGTGGTTTCTGGGCTCGGAATTGGATTCATATCCGCCGTGGTACCTCTATATCAAAGTGAGGCTGCCCAAAAAAAAATTAGAGGCGCCATCATTTCAACATATCAGTGGGCGATCACATGGGGGCTTCTCGTGTCGAGCGCTGTTTCTCAGGGAACACGAGATAGAGATGGCCCTTCGTCTTACAGGATACCAATTGGCTTACAATATCTCTGGACATTCTTGTTAGGTGCGGGAATGATTTTTCTTCCTGAAAGCCCAAGATATTACATTCTAAAAGATCAACTAGACCGTGCAGCAAAGTCACTGGCATTTTTAAGAGGCGTGTCTGACCACGATTCTGGGGTCATTGAAGAACTAGTGGAGATTAAGGCTAATTATGATTACGAGATGTCTTTTGGCAAGTTTTCTTATATCGATTGCTTCCGATCCAGTAGAAGTCGATCTAAACAAAGACTGAGGATGTTTACTGGCATTGCTTTGCAAGCATTCCAGCAGTTTTCGGGCATTAATTTTATTTTTTATTATGGAGTCAACTTTTTCAGTAAAACTGGAATCAGCAAAAGCTACTTGGTGTCTTTCATCACCTATGCTGTAAATGTGGGCTTCAACGTTCCTGGTCTTTTTTTGGTTGAATATATGGGGCGTAGGAAAGTTCTGATTATGGGCGGCGTTTTGATGACGATTGCAAATTTTGTGATTGCCATTGTCGGCGTTACTACAAGGTCTGTAGTCGCAGCCAAAGTCATGATAGCCTTCATATGCATGTTTATTGCCTCGTTCTCTGCCACTTGGGGTGGGTGTGTGTGGGCCGTTTCCGCAGAACTTTACTCCCTTGGCTTGAGATCGAAATGCACTGCCATTTGCGCAGCCTGCAATTGGCTCGTTAATTTCATTTGCGCCCTCATAACACCATATCTCGTTGACACGGGCTCGCACACTTCATCCCTGGGGACCAAAATTTTTTTCATTTGGGGAAGCTTAAACGCAGCTGGCGTGGTCATCGTATATGTGTCAGTCTACGAAACTAGAGGGCTAACTTTGGAGGAAATCGAACAACTATACAAGATGTGTCCGAACAGCCTGGCCTCTACGTATTGGAATGAAAAGATACGCAATTCTCCAGGAAATTTACATTTCATACCCGATGCAAAGGCAGGAGAAACGCATGAGACCTTGGAATCGGCACATATAAGTGATGGAACATCGGTATGTGCGAGCGCTGCGCCTGTGAAGTTTTCTGGACTTTGCAAGACGAACGAGGCACCCACGAGCTTAACGTCTGCTAATAATACCACTATTCCCCTTGCTGTCGCCAGAGAAAGTGAAAATCAAGCCCCGCCTCAATCCTACGTCGACCTAGGCAATGGTTTAGGGCTTGCAACCTATAACAAGGGCCCACCCTCGCTGCTGTCGAGTTCCAGCGACGAAGAAAACGACGGAACCACATCTCTCAGTGTGAACCGAGAGGATCGAGAAAACAGAGACAGCTTGAACGAGTACATGGCACAACTGATGAACAGTAACAGCATGAACAGTAACAATGGCACGGATTTCTAACGACAACTGGCACAAGAACAATAATGAGTTCAAAAAATTGACGAGGTTTTAGATTTTTTGGTACAGAACGAATCAAAGTTCAACGGTTTAGTAAAGCGACATTTCAAAACATTGGGTATTGGATTTTATATTAATTAACGATTGAAGCATTACGTGGGACGAATTCAAGGAGTCATTAAGGTAAAAGTTGGCGTTTTCATCGGTCGATTGACCGCTAACTCGTTCTTACGAGGCCGTCGTTTAGTACGTAAATCATATCTTCATTTTCGCGGCAAGCTATAAGAACAGTAAATCCTCAGGAACCTCATCATCATATTTGCGGGAACGGACGAGTAGACCAAGTTACGGTTAAGTCTCGTTACCAACGTGCGCAATTGTGGCAAACGCTCCTTGAGTTTTATAGGCCAAACTGAAAATTTTTTATCAGTGGTGGCATGAGTAAAGTTCGAGAGGGCATCTCGGAATCGAAAATGGGAAACTCAGACACCAAATACCACGACCGCAGTGGTCCTCATGAATCTCCATTTTTTGCAAACAACAAGAATGCTGCCAAACCATCTCTGCAGAACCTGAAAGCGGCTTCGGAGGGAGCGCTTTTCATGGCACCTGATAATGTGGCAATCCAAGAGAAGCTTTCGAAGAAAGCTGGGGCATTGAGCGCTAATAGCAGCAGACTGGAATTTGTCTTCTACAAAGTTTTCTTGTGCTTGTTTTTTCTAACCTATGCGTGCTTTCGATATTTCCAATACACCGTCAACAAAATCAAGATTCACGTTTTAAACATCGCGTACAGCCCTTCGAACACGCCGCAACTTATTCGACAAGACGTGCTTAAATTGTCAAAACTGCCAAAAAGATTGGCTGCCATTCTCGAAATCAAGTCCGAGGGCGATGTCGGTGGCGGTGTCAGCGGGCTGATCAACGACGGCAGTGATTTAGTGGCTTGGTCGGTTTCTGCCGGAATAAAGCATTTAACCCTGTACGATTTTGACGGGTACCTCAAGAAAAACGTACACGAATTCAGAGAGGGCGTTCATCACAAGCTAAGCAAATACTACGACCCCTCAAATGTACCGAAATTTGCAGTACGTGTTCCACAATGGAATTCCGTGTATTACAACTCCTCGAGCACCGAATTCAACGGAACGTCTACCAAAAAAGTCGCCATTGAGATTTCACTGCTCTCTAATCGAGATGGCCGCGAAACCATAGTGGATCTTACTAGAACCATGGCGGAACTCTGCACGAACAACGAAATGAAACTCGCAGATGTCACGATGAAACTGATAGATTCAGAACTTTTGCAGCTTGTAGGGCCAGAACCTGATCTTTTGCTTTATTTTGGACCTCGTCTGGACCTTCAGGGTTTTCCACCTTGGCATATCCGTCTCACAGAATTTTACTGGGAGGAAGACAACGACCAAGTCACTTACTCCGTCTTCATAAGAGGTCTGAAGACCTATTCTGCTTGCAAGGTTAATGTCGGCAAATGAAGCAAATAAGCTCACTCATTGCAGCCCCCTCGGAGCACAACGTCGAATACTTAACCCTGGAATTCGCTAGCCTATCAATTTGCATCTTTCATTTTACTTTTACTTTCGATTAATAATTTGCATATTATCAAGCAACATCAGCTTTAAGAATCAACTGAAACCCAGCATTACGAGAAGTGTAGCTATCTTCGATATTGCTCGATTTTCCTGGAATTTTTGAAGCATTAAAACCAAATTTATAACGAAATCCGAATACGAAAAAGCTTACACATCTAGCCCAAAATTTGTTTCAAATGGATTAGTAAATTTGACATCACCAACGCCGCTGACTCTATGGATATGTGGGTATATTGTCGCTGATGAACGCTGTTTGTTTTGGATTTACAGATAGGTTACCCTGAGACGTTCATCATGATATCAGAAATAAGATATCAAGGAAAACAACACTCTGTCTCAGGCGATTTTCCTTGTTTAACAACGGACGATAACCGATTTGGCGTATTTGAGATACGGGTATGTTTATGAGGATAGTCTGGAATCTTTGGAGCTTTAATTGAAAAGCTTTTTGGTGCTTCCAGGGTACTTTTACTTTGTAAACCGAGTTTTATTAACCTTTCAAACCTGTGGCAGATTTGAACAGCTACAATGGGTCTTTACATTTCTAAACTCTTCAACAGCCTTGTTGGCTCTAAAGAGATGCGTATTTTGATGGTTGGTCTCGACGGTGCGGGTAAAACGACTGTTTTGTACAAGTTGAAACTCGGTGAGGTCGTCACGACGATCCCAACTATTGGTTTCAATGTCGAGACCGTGGAATATAAGAACATTTCGTTTACCGTGTGGGATGTTGGTGGACAAGACAAGATCAGACCTCTTTGGAGACATTATTACAGAAACACCGAGGGATTGATTTTCGTGGTCGACTCGAACGACAGATCGCGTATTTCGGAGGCCAGAGAGGTTCTCCAGAGAATGTTGAACGAAGATGAGATCAGAAACGCGGCTTTGCTGGTATTCGCCAACAAGCAGGATTTGCCAGAGGCCATGTCTGCCGCAGAGATCACCGAAAAGCTGGGCTTGCACTCCATCAGACAGCGTCCATGGTTTATCCAGGCCACCTGTGCCACTTCTGGTGAGGGCCTTTACGAAGGTTTGGAATGGTTGAGCACGACGCTAAAGAAGCAAACCTAAACGGGTGGATTTTCCTTTAAGGTTACAAAAGGCTTTTTTTTCTCTTGCCTATCATTCTTATGGGGTTTTCTGAGTACTGATTTTCTGTAAACTATAACCTAGGAGAATAGAGCCCTTACTTTGGGCTGCGCTATTTGAACGCAAGGAGTTAGTATGCGACGTTCTTCAAAGTTAAGGATCTCGTCACATCAGCAGATCATTATCAAGTCAGGAATCCAATTAGATCTCAAATCATTCACATTTTTTTATACCTTTCTGCTTAACCTCTTGCACAAGCAAAAATTCTACTTCGCCATTTAAGGAAAGCGCAAGCTAAGCACTTACGACCCGTTAGATGTCATCTTCAAAAGCTTGATCTTAAATATCAATATTAAAGCGTCTCTATTTCGTTGCATGCTGATCTCTGGAAAATTCACGATTCTTACCCAGATCATATCTAAGGGTTACCCTGCCAAATCTAAATAGACTTTTGAGCTTTATGGGTGGGCTGAAAAAAATTTACCCAGAAAAAAGACCCATATCGATTTGATCTCCATCTGTAAAAACAGAATAAAAAGTATGTTTAGCTTGTTGGCAGACATTGAAATTAACTGGCAGAAGCTGAGGGGTTATGTGTGATTAAGTTAGGCTTTTTTACCGATTAATTTACGCGTTTTTTGATGATTTTTAAAGGAATTTTATGTGTGTTTTTTTGTCAGGCGTAACGTGTTCATTTGCAGCCAAAGAAGTTTAAGATAATCAGAATTAAAGGATAAGTTTGCGGTGGAAAAGTTTGGATGAGTTCAGAGGTGCGAACACTCGTTACGCGACTTTTGGGCTCCAACACACGCGGGCAAAATACTCTGATTTGAGGCAATTGCAGTGTTCCGTTGTCGGGTAGTAAATGACAAAATAGTAAGCACAGGGAAAAACATTCTATGGCGAGAAGTGATTGTAAACTTCTGCATTTCAGTTCTGCTGACATCTTAGCGGTTACTTAAGTGCGTGAATTATTGGTGCCGGTGGCATTTTCGGAGTTAAGCCCCTATTTCAAGCTTTTTTCGGGTCTGAAGGACTTTTTACTAATCTTTCAATGTTTTAACAGAAAATGGGTGGTTCATTCTCCAAGCTATTTTCTAGCCTTTTCGGGCACAAGGAGATGCGTATTTTGATGGTCGGATTGGATGGTGCTGGTAAGACCACCGTTTTGTACAAGTTGAAACTCGGTGAGGTCGTCACGACGATCCCAACTATTGGTTTCAATGTCGAGACCGTGGAATATAAGAACATTTCGTTTACCGTGTGGGATGTTGGTGGACAAGACAAGATCAGACCTTTGTGGAGACACTACTTCAGAAACACCGAGGGTATTATTTTCGTGGTCGACTCTAACGATAGATCGCGTATCTCAGAGGCCAGAGAAGTTCTACAAAGAATGCTGAATGAAGACGAGATCAGAAACGCTGTTTTGCTGGTTTTCGCCAACAAGCAGGATTTGCCAGAGGCCATGTCTGCCGCAGAGATCACCGAAAAGCTGGGCTTGCACTCCATCAGACAACGTCCATGGTTTATCCAGGCCACCTGTGCCACTTCTGGTGAGGGTCTTTACGAAGGTTTGGAATGGTTGAGCAACAACTTGAAAAACCAATCTTAAAACTACAGTACCCGTTAAATAAGCAAAAAAGTAGGAGCTACTGGGATCCTTTCGGCCTAATTTTTCTTGGCTCGAGACAAAAGTCTGAAGGTGATGATGTGTAAGTCATAAAGCCTATTGTGTGCTGATAGCGAACATATATTTTTTTAAATTAAATCCCGTTTTCAAGACGGAACGCTTGAAACCACTGTGACTATCTACCAGCTATTTTTACACTATCAATTAGCACTTTGAAGCTCAACCGCTTCTCAATACAGTCAAATCGATTGTTCTGAGCACTTGCAGGGCTCATAATTTAGGGCTTAATATATGACTGTTTATAATTTGAACATCCATACATCGTGAAAATTTCAAAAAAATATTTTTTAAAAAAAGAGAAATCATAAGAATTCGTCCAAAGGTACCGACTCTCGTGAATTCTCGCGGCCATCGTGACACCGCCTGGAAACTGAACAAGCTAGAGAAAACGGCGATTTCTTGGTGTGCTTCTACTTAGTGGAAGGACAGCAAGAATTATCGAAATGGTATGTGTATAGGTGGGCGTTTCGATCGGATAATGAAGGAATGAAGTGTATGTCCCGAGAGACAGTGGGAATCAGGACGTGCTTACGGGATTTGGCTGGACATTTAATGGAATTTCGACGTGATGAATTGTGAAATATTCGAGAAAGTTAAAAACGGACAAGGGCATGGCATGCGGAATAAAACGAGATTTGTTGTGGAGAGTGCTCAGCGTCGTCATTCAGAAAAGTTTAAACTGATACGCATCCTGGGATCATGAGGAAGCGATACTGATGATTTTTAGCAACAACGCTGGTAACGAAAATATTTTAAGAACTTGTGGTTTTACACCTTTCCTAACATTCCGATATCACCTCTTTCGGAGTATTTGAATACTAACATAATATCTTTCCCAGGCCGGTGTCAAGACTTACGAACTTAGAACCAAGTCCAAGGAGCAATTGGAATCCCAACTCCTTGGCTTGAAGAAGGAATTGGCTGAATTGAAGGTTCAAAAGCTCTCCAAACCATCTCTGCCAAAGATCAAGACTGTCAGAAAGGACATTGCTCGTGTCTTGACCATCATCAGCGAGAACCAAAGACAAGCCGTCAGAGACTTGTACAAGGGTTCTAAGTATCAACCAAAGGACTTGAGAGCCAAGAAGACCAGAGCTTTGAGAAGAGCTTTGACCAAGTTCGAGGCTTCCAGAATCACTGAGAAGCAAAGAAAGAAGCAAATTGCTTTCCCTCAAAGAAAGTACGCCATCAAGGCTTAAACGTCTGCATTTAAAAAGCTTGTTAATGTTTAGTTTTTTAAATAATTGTGAAAACCTACTTTAGTTACTTTGGATTAAGCTCATGCTCAGTCGGAAGACACAATCGTGTATGCTGTCTCATGCCATTCATAATGTCGACCATTGAATGGAGAGGATCAAGTCAGCGAGTACAAAAATCAAACAATTGGATGCTAAACAACTTGATATATTGGTTTTGCTTACTTAGAGAAACGGTTGGCCATCTTTTGCCGCTTGTATTCCTGAATTCTGGCCTTCAACTCGTCGTCGGGTACAACGTCCTCCAATCTTAACGGTACTCGATTAAACGGGTCAGTTGAATCACTCAACAAGTGCGCCTTAATAGTACTTCTGTCTATAGTGACCCTTGAAGCTGGAAGTATGACAGGATCTGTCATAATGTGGAACATGAGCGGATCCAAGAATTCTTCTGGAGCATCTTCCATTTCCATGTCTTCCTCTTCCTCGGCAATCTTTTGGTCTTGAGCATCTCGGGCGAACTGCATTAACTTGCAGCAAAACTCATCAGACACCAGACCGGTTTTGTTTCCTAAAATGTAAACAGCGCGATCGAACAACTCCTTTTGAAAAGATCTTCCATCCCTTGCCACCGCTGAGATGAATTCGGATTGATCAGACAAGTTAATGTAAACTGTTGTCAACGACTTCAGTAGTGCCTTTGGGTCAAACGAATACTTTTGAGGATCTTTGACCTTCAGTTCGCGGCATTTGGGTCCCACAAGTGATGCAAGATTATAGTCGAGCATACTAGCCAATCTGTCGACAATTTCCTTCGTTGTAAAGGCCCTTGGAATATCTTCTGTGAAGATGTTGAACAGAGCGACAGATTTTTCTGCTAGACCACACGAAGATCGGGCTTGTCTTTCGGCGGAGACTAACTTCGATTGCAACTCTTGGTCATCTTCTTCGCGAAATGATTGCAAACCCTTTGCTCTATTTGCCAACTCATTTTGAATGTTGTGTACCTCAGCTAAATTGCTCAAACCTTCGTCTAGAAGAAAAGTTAGGTCATTCAACATCCGAGCGACAAAGCGAATGAAAAAGTCTGCATTTTCCTCCGACTGCCATAGAACCTGCTGCCGATATTCTGGGATCTCATAAATTTCTTGTAAGATGATCGAAATGCTGTATCTGCTATTAAATTTGTCGTAGAATTGTGAAGAAGAACCCGTCTTCTCCACGATAACGTAGAAATCAAGCAATGCGTACAATAGATTATCGCGAACAAGCTCATTATTTTCGAAAATTTTCATCATAAACCCTGGAGCATTCTCACCCATATGCATTGCACCCACACTCAAGAAACGGACCAGCTTTCCTTTAAGGTGGGGATTTGAAACTAGCTCTGGACACCGTAAGATAGTAGTAGATAGCTCAACACATGAATGTAATCTTGGGCTACTGTAAAGGGGGGCGCTAACAAATTTTGAAATGAACTGGAGATAATTGATAAGCCCTTCAATGACAAACTCTGGATAATACTTAAATGGGATGGGTGCATGCTCTCTCAGATAATCAGCGTTATCAACATTTTCAACCCCAACCTGGTCAGGTATTAATGGTAAACTTAGAGGCTTGAAAGGGAATTCATGAGATGGATCAATGACGCGCATTAAAAAGGTCGAGGCGCCGCTGACAAATTCGAAAACTTCGTCTTGAATGGCCTTATGACAAAAGAACCCTTGCAATGCCTGTTTCAAAGACTGTGTGATTTGAAGAGTTTTCTCAAGAGAAGGGAGCTGCATTGCTGTAAACCTTGCAAACATGTCGTTGGTCTGAGCAACTCCTCTAATTCTCTCAACTTCTTGTCTCATTCTCTTAACCTGAGGGCTGATCTTTTCATCATATAAGATTGTACCGCCAATGCCATAATGGAGGTAAGTTAGCGTTAGAAAAAAACAGTCTGAAATAAAGTTCGGTTTGTTGTCCTCAGACTTCTTATTGTTATCGTAAAAGGCGTCCGCTTCTTTAAAATCGGAATTCATACGCGTCTCTTCGGACAAATCGAGGAGCAAGTTCAAATTGTTGAAGTAGTTGACATCAATTTTGTCAATTTTCTTGTAGGAGACGTCCAAAAAGGGTTGCGAGAAGCGAATCAGCAGCAGAGCAATGTTAGTGACAAAGGCATTCGATGCCAGCTTATTGGAATTGGCGTGATCGCCACGTCGCAAGTGGTTTTTGTTAATAATCTGCGCGAAATAGGACAGCATCGCCGATCTCGATTCGCCGGAACCGCGAATAATTTTATCGACAATAAAAAAAAGCCGGTCAAGAACGACTCTGTGTTCTGCTTGAAGAGCCTCGTGAAGAACATTCAACTGTGCTTGCGTTCTTTCCAGACCATCGCCGTAATTGCGTAACGCAACATTCGGATTAAGGGGCGATAAAGTAAAGATTGGACCCATTAGTGTCGTTTTCTCAAATTGATTTGGCTTGGTGTTGAAGGGTGCAAAAAATCCCTCGACTTGCGTAAAGACGCTCGCCACCTGTTTGTATGACAAAAATATCTCGAAGCACGCAAGGGTATTTGTGTACAAGGAGGTATCGTTCATATCGAAAAGCTTAACGGAAGTCAAGTGGCGTTTGAGCGAAACGAAGAAATTGTTCAAGAATTCCATCAGAGATTCCTCCTGTATGGCTCGCTGGATCAAAAGGGGTAAATAGTCTGTGTAGTCGTCAAACCGTTGCAAAATGTCGACCATGTAAGCCGCAAAATTGTTTTCACCCATGCAGAATTCCTCTATCTGGAAAACCACAAGCCCGTAACCCACAATTAGCTTTTCAGTCTCCTGTAATGTGAACGCATCTTCTTCGGATTTTTTGCTGATTCTTTTGGCCTGTTGGATTCTAAGGAAACAATCTTTCAAATATACAAATCCGGGTTTCTTGATGTCCGTATTCTCGGCAAGTTGGTACAGTAAAACACCGTCCACCGCATCGATTAGTAACGGCGACGGAAATTCAGATGGCAAAGTGCTGTAATCTTTATAGCCGTCTGGTCGACTGGTCGCACGCAACAACTCCTCAAGGGAAACTGCCATCACAGAACAAACCTGTAGTACTTGCAAGAACCGCTACGAATCCGTTGGTCTCCTTAACTGCCGGTTTACTGCTTGTGTAGGGTCTTGATTTAAACCAAGTTCCTGATCGATTAATGGATTAATGATTTAAGATCCTAAAGTCATCACATGACCAGTTCGAAGTGTGGTTTGGGTTAAATGTATCAACAACAGGAACAGAGCAACGAGGAAGACTCTGACGACGAAAGGGGCCGGTTGTAAGTTGTTGTGGTCAGGTCAGCATCCCACTTAAAATTAAAGTTGGTGACGTTTGTCAGGCTAAAAAGAGCGGTTAAAAAGAGTCACTAGGTTAGCTTTTAAGCACCAGTTCATGATCGGATACTGATCTACAAAGGGATAAGGAATATAGGCTAGAAAGGGTCAATTGGTTGACTAAAATCTGGAAATGGAGGGACTTAAGTTGACACCTGCTTTGCTGGTGGCGTTGTTCGAGAGACCGCACGATAGATATTTTATCACGCAGCTCGAGACATCCTTGATATCGTTTATGGACTCGGAAGCAAGCTCATTACAATTGAAACCTATGAACTCGTACTACCGACTTTTGGCACACCAAGTTGCCGAGTACCATGGGCTGAGGCATACGCTTTCGAAAAAAGAAATTTGCATTGTGATGTTCAAAGATACCTTCTTTGTTAGAAATCGAAATCAACCACTTTTGAGCGAGCTAGACCCGACTTCGGCATACCCTTGCACAGATAAAACTGCAAACTATGCTTCGGGCTCGAGGCAAAAGCGGACACCCGCGGTGGCCCAGGAGGCCAACTCGTTCGACGCTGTCGTGTGCGACGCCGTTACATCGCCGTCGACTCCTGAAAAACCGGCAATACCCGATGATGATTCGCCACAGCCACATCAGTTTGAGACCTCAAGGTACAAATTTGGACAGCAGGCTCGCAAGCCGCACAGGAGAAGATCAAGTCGGCAGTCTAACATGTACGTGGCGCCTTCTCCAATGTTTTATTCACCGCAGAATCCATATACGATGCCTTATTACATGTACAACCCGTACGCATGCATGTATTTGCCTCTAAATACACCATTTTCAGGCATGGGTCCTCCGCCAGTCATGCCTTTTGAGAAGCCGATCAATCATGCATACCCTGCCGTTGAGTCGAACAAATTTACCGAGAATCAAACATCGGATGATGGTAGTCTTATGATCACCCAGCAAACCGCGCAACGAGAGAAGATGTTTCTAGTAAACTCTCAAGGGAAAATGGGCCATGCTGTGGCTCTTAACACGAATAAGGGTCAAGGCGGCCTGTAGAGCGATAATGACACTGATCGAAATGATAGAAATATGGTTTGGGGGCGCATTGAATGAATTGAGAGGGCAGGCCCTTCCAGGAGAGTTACATAAGGCTCTATGTGACATCGAGACGTGTAGGCAGAATAAATAGTTGGCTAATAATGAAAGAGAAAGACCGCTTTCACTTCTTTACGATCTCGACACCCCAGTTCAACGTAAGATGGTTCGTCTTGTCATCGTCGATGAACTTTGATACTGCGCTGTAGCTGCCACGAGCCAAAAACCCACTTGGTGCCTCACTCTCGGGCAATTCGACCTCGTATAGTGGCTTTTTCGTCGTGTTGGGAGCGTAGGATCCAAGATGATCGTCGATTTTGTCGACTGCAATACCGGCTTTTTTGATGTACTGAACGTACCTGAGACCCGTAATGATTTCGTGTTGTACCTTGAAGCTAATGCGCAGCTTATAGATAGATTTTTCCTTGATTTTATAACGTTTCGATGCCAATTCTTTGATGGTTTGCTCGTTATTGAGATCAAATGTGATAGGCTCGCGCTCCGTGTTCACAATGAGCTGGATTTTCTTAATAACCACCCGCCTCTTGTCACCAGGAAACTCCAAGGGTAACAAGTCAGACCCCAATCCCAGGCTTTCTTTCCATTTGGCTAGCGATTCATCTTCTGCGTCCAAATTCCTGTATTCTGCGACGGTTTTCTTCGCTGAAACTTTGTAGTTATCGTTTGGCTCTTCGTTAAAGCCATTAAACTCATTCTCTTCAGCCATCATGTAAGGGAAACGGGACCTTAACCAGCTATTTACACTATTGGGGCTTCAAATCAATTCGCGATGCGTCGAAAGCTTTTTTTTTCATTACGGACTTTACCGAACTTGAAAATTGAAGGTTGCCTTGAAAATGATATCGCGATATCAAGTATATAAAAGAACAACACCTCGCCCAAGTGTGGACGTCTTGTTGAGTATTAGATGCTTCAAAATAGTAATAACATGGGTTTACCGAAATTTCCAGAATTTTTGATATCAACCGTGTCCGATCAAACGAAAGTTATGGCAGTTTTATTCGAAGAAAGTGATTCTTTGATTTGGTTTACCCTTCAAAACAAGAAGTTTATGGCTCATAATTGGAGAAGTTATTTAGAATTTGTAGAGGCAGTTCAGAAAAGGTTAAATGGGCTGTGCGATGAGGTTGAATGCGAGGGTATCAGTTCAAGAGGCGTGGATCATTTGGCCAATATCATAGCAGCACACCCCAGATTAGGGGAACCAAAGAAGACGTTATCAATATATTCTACGAGTGAACAACAAAGCTTACAAAGTTCAGATTCTAAGGAGACGCAGGAAAAGCTTCAATTCCTGAACGGACAGTACGAAGAAAAGTATGAAGGACTGCGTTTTATCGTTTTCGTCAACGGTCGGTCTAGAGCCGAGATCATGAAAATAATGAACGCCAGAATCAATTCGGGTAATTCATGGTACGAAGAAGCCAGAATAGCCATTAATGAGATGTGCTTAGTGGCAAAAGACAGAGCGCAGAAATTTGCGCCCGAATGTCAAATTCATAGGATGTAAATTTAGAGAGTAATAAAATTAGTAGTGAAACAGTACTTGTTAAGGGAAGCCTGGTATGATAAAAGATATGAACCTTATATAACGCAACACCCCCGTAATCAATTTTTGTCACAGCCCTTACAAGAAGTAATCGGGTGTTTTTCTACTAACCGTAGGCTCCCCGGGTCTCATGGATGGCTCATACTGTAGAAATTGTCTGTTATGATTTTCGTCGACTTCCATGATGGCGGCTTGATTGCCGCATCTATAGCAATAGTTTGGCGCGCTGAAAATGGTCACAACACTTTGTTGGTGAGACCAAGCATAACCCTCCATTACAAGTTGATGTGCTCTCGCGATTAGCGAGAGGTCGTTGGTGTGGTTGAACTGTTCGCTGATATCTTGACCAAAAGTGAAGCCGGCTCCTCTTGGACTTATTCCCCAACCGCCTCTGTCGTCAGGATCGGACCAAAGCAAGTCGCACATAGGGCCCTCATGAGGCACTTCTTGTATTCTGTTCAGTTCCCTAACTTGATCCACTGTCTCGATCATCGGCGAAAGACCGCCATGCAGGCAAAAAATTTTGTTGTCAACCAATGCAGTGATAGGAAAATAGTCGAAAAGGTCTGTGAACATTTTCCAAACGTTTGCGCTGCCGTATTTACGCAAGCATTCATCGTAGAACCCGTAAACTTGGGTAATTTGCCTGGATTCATGATTGCCTCTTAGAATGGTAATTCTCTTAGGGTATCGCACCTTCATGGCGACTAGATAAGATACTGTTTCCACCGAGTAGTAGCCTCTGTCGACATAATCACCCATAAATAGGTAGTTGGTGTCGGGGCAAGGACCGCCAATCTTGAAAAGTTCTATCAAGTCGTGGAATTGACCGTGCACGTCACCGCAAATCGTGACCGGCACTGACACCGGCTGGACATTCTCTTCAAACTGAAGCACGTCAACGGCCATTTTACACAGGGAACTCACGTCTTCTTCTGAAAGTATTTGGCATTTCCCTAAATGTTCAATCCACTTGTCCAGCTGGCCTATGCTGCCCTTAGTGAGCTCCAACGGCTTGTTCGACTTGTGATCCGCTATTCCAGACGTCTCTCCCTCAGACACTGCTGGAAAAGCGCGAGCATCTTCATCCAACGTAGGATCAAGTGGTTCGTCGACCGCGTCGCGCATTGGAACGTCGCTATCTACCTCCATTGTCTCAATATGATGCGTAGTAAGTCAAACAAAAGATGTACCTAGTAATCACCAAATTCTTATACAAATGCCCTGAAGGGATCGCACTTCTATCGTAACCAAATTGACTTTCTCTATCAATCTAACCGCGACTCAATCTATTTTAGTTTCAAACTTCGTAGACCGGACAAAAAAAGGTCAAAAACACTCCCAAAAACCCTGCTTCAAGCGATAACTGAAACTTGACTCCCTGAGTTGCAATACGGCTACTAATATCAAGCCAGTAACACAGTTCAACGACCTGTTTTATCTAGCAAAAGGGGTTTTTTCAGTTTAAGTTGATTAAATTTTTCTCCCTTTGATATGGGTTTACTGGAGGTTTTCAATATATAACTACGCACGAAATAAGGCTTCGGAGCCTTCGAAGGCCGTCAACCTCAGAGTTTGCATAAAAAACCATCTGCAGGAGGACTTTTTGCGATAATAGCATGCTGAAAAAGTGATTGGACTTTAGATTAAGTCTAGCCTGAGTCTAGAGTGAGCTGAAAATGCTAGTAATAAGCAGTCAAATGCTTTTCCATAAGCTCCATAGGGCATCTCTGAAGGCGTTGGGATAGTTTTTCAGGAATTGTGCGTAATTGGAATTTGAATTCATGAACAGGACCATCTATCAGACGCAAATGGGGCTGTGACATTATGCCAGGGATAAGTGGGTAACTAAGCGTGTTTTATTTGCAATGTGACAGGTTTGTGTACACTGCTGAACGTCAGACGCAAAGCGTTGACTGGGAAAGGCTTTGCACATGATATGTGACAGAAATCGTACGCAGAAGCAGCAGAGCTACTAAAGAATACCGTTTGTGTAACATGAGCGAGAGACTTTCAAGCACCCGACGTACGTTGCCCGCGAACACCGCGAGCGTACGTCAATTGGTCATCAACAAGCAGAACGCTAGAACACTTGCCTCCCGCAATGCTCTAACGAACCAGATGGAAGATGCCCTGGTCAAATGGAGGCCGCCGGTGTCCTGTCATGCCGGCTCGACGGCAGCGTTAAGGGGCAAACATCCGTACCAGATGGACTCGCCGCCTGGTGGTACCGAGCTGGGTCTGCGTTTTTCCCTAGACACACTGAAACGATGTTTCGAGACGTTTGGCCATTCTGCGCACTCCGTGCACTCCATGGTGGCACGAGAGTCCGCTGCTGACGATGATGCCTCCACGGCTATGTGCTGGTCGGTACAGGAATTTGGTACGGCAGCGGACATCGCGACACCGTATGCATTGCCGGTGTCGTCAAGCACGCTAAACGAGCGCGAAAACAGCTCGCCCATGCAATACAGTTTTCCGATTCCCGTACAGTACCTTCCGGTAGAGCGCAATACGGTGGATGCCAGAACTCAGGCTGCGAGTCACCTGCATGAAAGAGACGGTTGTTGGCCAAGTACGCAAGCGGTTTGTATTGCGTCCTGGAACCAGTTTGTCACGGTGGTCACCTGTAGTGGCTCTTCGCAGGGAGTGGACACGGAACACAATTAAAGTTGAACATATATGACATAGGTATAATTGACTTTTTCAATGGCTAATGTAACTGTCGTCGCCCAAACATTAAAACATGTAAAAGCACTTTCACCGTTTAACAAGTACAGTAAGCGCACTCAACTATGAAGTTGAACTTTCGCATATAACGAGTGTGAAAGAGGCGGCAATGTCGAGGATTTAACTAAACCAAATTCAGTATGCATACATGACATAAAATTCACGATGTGCACACACATCAAGCTCCTACAATACAAGCGCATAAATCGTCTATACATTCCAATCCCACAAGAGAAACCCATTCTCAGCTTTCTAATTGCCCCTTAGCGTATATGACGAGGGGTAAAACCCAATTTGGAGCTTACCAACATAATCGCTTAAAAAAAATCACCAAGTTGCTATACAATAACGAAAAAAGTTACTTCAAATTGATGAATATATGTCAAATAACTAGCAAGCTGTCCGCCATATACCCGTGCTGTCGTTGCCCTTGATACTATTGTACGTTATTTAACCCCGCCTACAGTTCTCAGGGTTCTATGGTGTGAACTTGTTCGGAAAAGACGTATACGTAAAAAACGACATCGACAGTCTCATTACGTAACTCCGAAATGGGAATTAAAAATGAAAATGAATCGGATTCAATCAACCAACAATATGTTCAGTTACTTTAATTTTACGCGGAGATACAATTCACCGACTGCCATGTTCAAATTGGTGCTAGCCCAGTAAACACATTGTAGTCTTAAATCCGTCAATTTCGTCAGATTTGAAATACTCAAATCCGGGTAATTGACTCAGTTACAGGGGCTTCAAGAGAAAAATTATAGAATAAAACACGCCCCCCTTAGTACTTTGCAACCAACAAAACCTTTAGGTCAAAGCGACAGAAGCTGTCTTACTCACAAGCTTCAGGCCACCGAAAACGTTTTAGAACGAGCGTCGAAAGTTAATTGCGGGTTCAGATAATCCTTTGGTTGAACTGCGTCTGTTTTTTTTCTATTCAGGGCGCCAACTCACTGCAATTATCAAGCGTCTGAAAAATGGCAGGTGCTTTGGAAAACGCGCGTAAAGAGATCAAACGGATCTCACTCGAGGACCATGAGGATTCAGAGTATGGATCTATCTATTCCGTTTCGGGTCCTGTTGTTGTGGCCGAAAATATGATCGGATGCGCCATGTACGAGCTGGTCAAGGTCGGTCATGACAACCTAGTCGGTGAGGTGATCAGAATCGAAGGTGACAAGGCCACGATCCAAGTTTACGAAGAGACGGCTGGTGTCACTGTCGGTGACCCCGTTTTGCGTACAGGAAAGCCTTTGTCTGTCGAACTTGGCCCCGGTTTGATGGAAACCATCTACGACGGTATCCAAAGACCTCTTAAGGCGATCAAAGAAAAGTCGCAATCGATCTACATTCCAAGGGGCATTGACGCTCCATCTCTAAGCAGAGACGTCAACTGGCATTTCAAGCCTGGTGAATACAAGGTTGGTGATCACATTTCTGGCGGTGACATTTTCGGCTCTATCTTCGAAAATTCGTTACTGGAAGACCACAAAATCCTTCTGCCTCCAAGAGCTCGCGGTACCATAACGTGGATTGCGTCCGAGGGCGATTACACTGTGGACGAGAAGGTTTTGGAAGTTGAGTTTGATGGCGTCAAATCCGACTACACAATGTATCACACGTGGCCGGTTCGGGTTGCTAGACCCGTCGCTGAAAAGTTGTCTGCAGACTACCCTCTTTTGACAGGTCAAAGAGTGTTAGACGCTCTTTTCCCATGTGTGCAAGGTGGTACCACCTGCATTCCCGGTGCTTTCGGTTGCGGTAAGACCGTTATCTCACAATCTCTGTCCAAGTACTCCAACTCTGATGCTATCATCTACGTTGGTTGCTTTGCCAAAGGCACCGAAGTTTTAATGGCTGATGGCTCTGTAAGGCCCATCGAATCCATTAGGGTTGGTGAGACTGTTCTGGGCAAAGATGGTCAACCTCGCCAAGTCACAGCTTTGCCAAGAGGTCAGCAAGATATGTTCTTGGTTCAGGACCAGGAGCAGGATGTTTTTGAGATAAACGAGTACAAGTGTAATGCGTCTCACAAACTCGTCGTCAGAACGGCAAGAGACGTCAAGATTGAAGGTCAAGAAGTGCTTTACAACGAGCTTGCTTACGTCGAGCGCAATGGCAGAGTTCTGGAATTGGTTCAACAGGCAAGAAAACCAATGCAGTTTGCATCTCAAATTCCTACTGAGCCAATTGAGTGGGCCATCGAGGCTGGAGATTACGAACTTGTTTCTGAGTCTATCCGGAAGTCTACTGTTCAACTAGTTTCTCCAATCCTTGTTGAAAAGACCACAATTGCTGACTACTTGAAGGCAAATGGCTTTGACCAGTCCATGGCTGCCGATTCATTAGCTTACTTCATTGGTTTGTGGTGCGGCGAGGGATCCAACATGGACTCTGCCAATAAGCAGCTAGAGCAAGGATTGCTTGAACGTGCTCAAGATTTGGATTTACATTGCGAATTCGAAAACCAACAAATGACCGTCTTGGGTAAACAAGCAAACGGTAAAGGTTTGTCTACTGAGAGCATTTTGTCCAAGGCTTTGATAGAGTTGAAATTCTTGGATATCGAAAACCAAAAGACAGTACCATCATTTTTGCGTAGCGATGCAACGTCAGTGCGTGAAAGCTTTCTTGCTGGTTTGATTGATGCTGACGGTAAAGTTGCCAACCAAGCATGTGAGATCTTTTTGAATCAAACCTCTCTATTGGCCGGTGCTGCCGCTGTGGTCAAGTCTTTGGGAATGACTGCCAAGAAGTCTGTTAGCAATGCTATGTCTATTGAGTCCTCATCTGCATTACAATCGGTTCTTGCTCGTTCTTTGTCCAGCTCCGTTGCGAAGCCAACTTCTGTGGTGCGCGCAGTAACGGAATTCGGATTCAACCTGGAGAAGCTTGAGGAAGATCAATATTACGGTATTACCCTTCAAGACACGTCAGACCATCAGTTCTTGCTAAGCAACCAAGTTGTTGTCCATAACTGCGGCGAGAGAGGTAACGAAATGGCTGAAGTTTTAATGGAATTCCCCGAATTGTTTACGGAGAGAAATGGCAAGAAGGAGCCTATCATGAAACGTACGACTTTGGTTGCTAACACATCTAACATGCCGGTCGCTGCTAGAGAGGCTTCTATTTACACTGGTATCACGTTGGCTGAATACTTCAGAGACCAAGGTAAGGACGTTTCCATGATTGCCGACTCCTCTTCCAGATGGGCTGAGGCCTTAAGAGAAATTTCCGGTCGTTTGGGTGAAATGCCTGCCGACCAAGGTTTCCCAGCATACTTAGGTGCCAAGCTGGCCTCTTTCTACGAAAGAGCCGGTAAAGCCGTTGCTCTTGGTTCTCCAGACCGTGTAGGGTCCGTGTCCATCGTTGCTGCGGTCTCGCCAGCAGGTGGTGATTTCTCTGACCCTGTTACTACGTCGACTCTTGGTATCACGCAAGTCTTTTGGGGTCTTGACAAAAAATTGGCCCAAAGAAAGCATTTCCCTTCCATCAACACTTCCGTATCGTACTCGAAATACACCAACGTTTTGAACAAGTACTACGACAGTAACTACCCAGATTTCGCCCCTCTAAGGGACCGCATCAGAGAGGTTCTTTCAAACGCCGAAGAACTGGAACAAGTGGTTCAGCTGGTCGGTAAGTCTGCCCTTTCTGACAGTGACAAGATTACTCTAGATGTCGCAGCTTTGATTAAAGAAGACTTTTTGCAGCAAAACGGTTATTCGACTTACGATGCTTTCTGTCCTATCTGGAAGACTCATGATATGATGAAGGCTTTCGTTTCGTATTACGAAGAGGCTCAAAAGAGCGTTGCAAATGGCGCTAGCTGGTCTAAGCTTGCCGAGGCCACCAGTGACGTGAAGCATGCTGTTTCCTCCTCCAAATTTTTGGAGCCAAGCAGGGGCGAGGAAGAGGTTCACGGAGAATTCGAAAAGCTTTTCTCGCAAATACAGGACAAGTTCGCGGAGTCAACTGATTAAAGGAACAGAAGTTTCTTTGAAATGGGAGCCCACCTAGGTGCCTTCCTACTGTAAGGCCCGCTTGTGTCCCCCATCGTTTGTAAAAAAAATTAAGTCCAAATAAACCGCCAGATACAACATTGAACGTTGAATAAAAGACCAATTGATAATTACTGGCGCCTAGTTAGCTAGTAGCCAGCGTTTGGCAGTGTCAACTGCAAAAATAAATCTTAGAAGCCATTGTCATTAACTATTTACGGGACTAAAAGATACACTCGCTAAATGCCAACTGCACCACATCACTAAAACAGTCAATTGAGCCTCTCAGAGGGGTTGTGCAGAGCAAGAACCCAAGGAACCTTCATAAACAAAAAGAACAAAACCTCGCTAGCAATGGTTACCATCCACTAACAAAGCCCATTCAAAATATCATTCGAGGTGGTTCGCTTATTTAGATCTAGCTCTAACCTTCCGCCGCTTTCTCTTTAGTCTTCTAGTTCTCTTCTTTCTCCACTTAGCACGCATTTCGGTGTGAAATAGGTGTTCTAGTGTTTTCTGGGGAAATAAAAGAAGTGGAAATCAAGTCAGAATGGAATGGATCCATTTAGAACTTTTTCAACCCCTCTACCAGCTGCTTGGGTTCCGCTTCCAAGGGGAGTGGGCGGGTAACAGCACGCAGTATTAATTTTGCGTGCCAGGGCGTCCACATTGTGCCGTACATAATTACTGGAGTTAAGTACGCTGCTTTCTGACTGGCATTGGCGGCTAAAGACAGACATTCCATCTAAATTTGAGCTTAAATGACCAGTATACAAACCGTTCATAATATAAGCATATTAGGACTACCTCTGAGCTCGTTCAAGTTGCTTGATCTTGCTTTCGAACGAAAATAATAAGGTTGAAATCAGATCACGTGCCGTTTCTCATTTTAAGATCACGTGCTTCTGATTTAGGATCTTATTCCTTCATGAGTTCACGTTACAAGTCTTTTCTTTCACAAGCATCCAGGTGTCTGGGCTGACTATTTTGGACAACGCTGCCTTTTTCAAAAGATGCAAATGTACAGGTGTTTGTGTATGTAAATATATGACTGTTATCTCAGTGTTGGTAGCCCGGTGGTGGCAGAGCTTCCGGTTGGATACAAATAACCGAAAGAGGATCAATAATTATATGGAGTCTTTGTTTCTTGAGCGTCTGCGCTTTGCTTTCTTTTGAAGGTAAACAATTGTCTTGCTTGAAGGGGGAATGCGGTGTTCCTTGTGCCAATGAGTCAACCGAAAGGCGCCGAACGATGCCGGCAAAACAGCAACTGCTGATCCGCGAGACAAAGACACACAAAGCTCAGTTCTCACAAAGCTAAAAGTCTGTTCAACGTAGGCTTCATTTGCTCACGTCCTGACGCGAGACCTGTTTGGATTCCTGTCTTATTGCCTTTTCAAGTGCTGACTTCATATCCTCACAGCCAAGCGCTTGGAGGATAGGATCAACATTTTGCGGAGTCAAAAGCGCTGCTTCTTTTTGTCCGCCGGGCTGTGTAAAAACCTGCTCAGTATTAGATATGGCGACGAATCGCACGCGTGAAGGATGTGAGCTGCTGAAAAGAGACTCCAGATGCTTCGCGCCACAGTACGCTTTAAAGTTGCAGTATGCCCGGTACAAGAGGTAAAACCCAGGCACATTTGGTAATACGGGAACGAGAACCAATGGCAGCGTCAGTGGGATGCCCAACAGGCTCATGATTGTATATTTTTTGTGATATTTGATACCGGTTTGCCACATTTGTAAAGCATTGGCCCGAATTTGACTTTCGCTTAGAACATCAGCCGGATAGTACAGAGTCACAGGCTCCGCGGTCAAACTGGAACCTCGCTTGAGGTATTCCGCGAGACTCAAAGTGCGTTCCTGGTTCTGCTCGACGACGCGTTTGAGCAAATAACTTTCTGATGGTACGGTACGCAGTGCATTCTCGGTCCAGGGCGTATTATCCAACAATCTTGTGATTGAACTGACAATCTTCTTATTATAGCTTTTGGGCGATTTTTGCAATTTGTTCCAAAGCTCAGTGGCCTTGCGGGCCACTTTTATCTCAAATTTGATAGCCAGCGATCTCGTGTTGATATATTCGGGCGCATACCGGAAAAATATGTAAGATTTCGTTTTCGTTAACGGTAAAGCTATCAATTTCACCGGATCTTGTCTGCATTGCTGAAGTGTAGGCAGCCGCTGCTGAATAAACGGGCTCCGCAGTGAGAAAAATCGTCTGTGGACCAAACTCATCCCACGAACCCACCTGGAAAACTCACTTGACCCTGCAATCGTGTCAACTCCTGGGTATCATTCGACTTTCAACAATTCTCCAGGGATTCATACACCAAGGTCTTATATATATTTTTCAGCTACATCTTCATAAGCAATAATCGATACAAAACTCAAAAACCACATCCAGGAGGCTCGGCCGTTAGAAGTTTAAGTTTAACAATTTTGGTTATTACCGGAAATTGGTTTCAATTTCAGCTTTTACATTTTGTCCGTTTCGCCAATTCAAGTTTATTGACGTTGACCCATTGAACGGTTTCAAAAATATTAAGTTCAGCAAACGACGGGCACCATCAACTTGTAGCTAAAGTCAAAGTTTTATCAATTTCAGATCTATTAATACTAGATGAAGAACACCATCTGTCAAAACTTGAAGCCAGCGCTCTCTCAACATCTCTGATTTCTATATCGCTGATGGTCTCTTATGAAAAATATGCCAAAGACATCACGATAGTTCTGTCACCGACAGTCAATTGGGCCTATCACACGGAAAACAAATAGTCACGGCAAGTAAGATATTTGTAGCAAGTCCCTCGTGAGAAGTACATTCCACTATCTGTAATCATCTCTTTATTAATTGCTTGTCATCGTAATCCAATTGAGTTAATAGGCTAATATTTGAGCTGAAAATCTCGGTAAAAAATTAAGACAGGCCTCTAGAGAGCTAAAATTGCCGAAATAGGCCTTGAATCTCAATCGCTGTTTACTTCAGGTGAATTTTTTTGTAATGATATAGTTGATCTTAGTTTAATATATATTAGTTTTGGAATGTGTCAGTTTTTTGTGATAAAAAAAGAGCTATTGTAGCACTGTGACATGAGCATCTTAAAGACCACAATAGGGCATAATGAGCTCTGATAACGAGCCCGAGATCCACCAAGAAGCTTTGGAAGAAGCAGGAACCGAGCAGGAAGCTGATAAAAGCGAGTTATCATATAGGGGTCCGCCAAGAGATGCAACGAGAGACGCAACGGGATTCAAATACAAAAGCCTTAATGCATACTCTCTTATTCCTACGCTTGTTCCACCCTTTGTATTAGATGAGCAACTGAAGAAGGCCAAAGTCCGAAGCTCTCACAGATTCGATGGAGATTTGGAAGAGCAAACAGACACTCATTGTAAAGATCCCTTTTTGGTATCGTACAACACGCAATGGGCTCCATTTGTCGAAAACATTGGATCGAATGTGGCTTACCTCACGCACGGTATAGTACCAAACGGGATCAAGACGCAGGAAAGCAGCAGCATGTCAAGTGTATCTGATAATAACGAAAAGATGAACAAAGTTGAACCTCACGATAGCTCAAGCGACACATCCGACGAAGGGCGCCTGGAGCGGGATCTTGTCAGAAAAGAAGTCTTCACGGACCTCAGCGGGTCTTGGGGTGGCAGTGAACGACTAAATGCAGTTTTTAATGGGCCCATGCTTGACAATTATGATTTCCATAACCCAAAGGACAGAAGTGAATGGCGCGCATATCTGGAACAAGTGAAACGGTTTTATTATTCTAATCAAGACGACCCCAATTCTAGTGGCGGAATAACTGGCGAAGAAAGGGACAACGACGATGAGGGCAAATTACACGGGTTTTTAGAACGTCAACGTTCAGAATTTAAGCGCAAAAAGATACACTGGCGTCAAATAGAACGCCAAAAGAAGCAAAAGTGGGGTCCCCGTTTAAAACGTTTGCTCATAGACAATCAATATCTCCCGCTGAGTTTCCGCATGTGTATCGGGATTTTGTGTGTGATTGCGTTAGGACTTGCTATCCGCATATATCAGAACTCCAACTCTACTGTAGAGTCCATTGATTCATCAATCCCACAACAACCAAGCACTATCATGGCAATTTGTGTGAATTCCATCGCATTGTTTTATCTACTCTACATTTCCTACGACGAGTTTTCAGGGAAACCCTTGGGGCTGCGAAATCCTTTTGATAAGTTGCGGCTCATCCTTTTGGATCTTTTGTTCATCATCTTCTCGAGCGCCAATTTGGCATTGACCTTCAACACTTTATATGATTCCAAATGGGTTTGCACTGCCGGCAGCTTCAAAAGTGAGGAAATACCTAAGGTTGAATATATATGTCGGAAGCAACGTGCGCTTGCTTCATTTCTCTTCGTCGTTCTTTTCATGTGGGTCATAACTTTCACCGTGAGTATCGTTAGAGTTGTTGAAAAGGTAAGTTCGGGAACTCAACGATAAAAAGACTATTTAATCAAAAGCTATAAGGTAAATCTTATACAAATTATATAGGACAGCATAAATTCTAGTTTACTGATTTCTTGTGCGTTCAGCCTTATTGTGGTTTACTCTGGTAGATAGGTGGTGTCAGTATAGTCCTTCACCTACTATTGATATATCAAGTATTACCCGGCCTTAAAATCGTGTAAAGCTGACCAGACAAGATACCATCTAATGGAAGTTTGATTTGACGCAGAGGGTTATTGGATCGTACAGAGCCTTTAAAGAGGGCTTGGTGGCGTTTGTACGGGAAAACCATAAGATGAGTGACACTCTACCAAGGGCAGATGACTTAGAGGCGACTTGGAACTTTGTGGAACCCGGAATTGGCCAAATTCTAGGTCGCGATGGGACACCATCCTCGACTTTAAAAAGGGTGGACAAAGTCTTATCACCAGCGATGTACATGGAAGTTTACACTGCAATCTACAACTACTGTGTGAATAAATCAAGCTCAACGGGGCAATTTAACTCGGATTCGCGTCAGAATCAATCCTCGATTTTAGCAGGTAGTGAAATCTATGACAAACTCAAAGCGTATTTGAAGAATTACATATGCGGTCTTCAGCGCGACACTGATGAAAGTTTCTTAAGCTTCTACGTAAGAAGGTGGAAACGGTTTACGGTGGGAGCCACCTTTTTGAATCATGCCTTCGATTATATGAACCGTTACTGGGTGCAAAAAGAGAGAAGCGATGGGAAGAGGCACATTTTTGACATATATACTCTTTGCTTGATGACGTGGAAACAAGTAATGTTCGATCAAAATGTGGAGCTTTTGGTGGGCGAAATTTTGGATGAGATCAAAAATCAGAGGGACGGCAAGCTTGTTAGGCAATCGGACACCAGTGTTGCTATAAGGTCATTTGTCGCTCTAGGCATTGATCCACAGGACTTGAAGAAACTCAATTTGAACGTATACATACAACATTTCGAAAGGCCTTTCCTCGAGAGCACGAAGGCGTACTATACCAGCTTTTCTGAAAATTATTTGGCTTCCCATTCTGTCACGGACTACATTTTTGAGGCCCAAGATCGGATAGGCGATGAAGAGACCAAAACTGTTCTTTACTTGGATGAACATACCCGAAAGCCTTTATCTGAAGCACTCAATGCCGTTCTTATCACGCAACACTCCGAGGCGCTTCAAAATGAGTTCATATTTCTGTTGGACTCCAGAGATGCTACCAAGATTGCGACTTTGTATGGCCTCATGCAAAGAGACCTTCAACTTCTTCCGAAGCTTGCCCAAGCTTATGAGCAGTATGTAAAGTCTTCGGGAGAGCAAGAAATTACGAAACTCGTCAAAGAAGCGCACAAGGTGGAGGAGAATGCAAAGAAACCGGGGTCTGCGATTGCAATTTCCTCAACAGAATATGTCAAAAGATTGATCCAAGTCTATGAAACATTTACGAAAATCACTCGAGACTGTTTCCACAACGACTCACTTTTCACAAAGGCACTAGATAATGCTTGTCGCTCATTCATCAATGTTAACGATTACGCTTTACCGCCCGGATCTTCAAAGACGGCGTCGTCTCGAACTCCTGAAATGCTTGCCAAGTATAGTGACCAACTTTTAAAAAGATCGAATAAAAATGCCGAATCGACTGCAGACATGTCGGTTGACGACATCATGACCATTTTCAAGTTTCTGACAGATAAAGATGCGTTCGAATCCCATTACAGACGCCTTTTTGCGAAACGATTGATTCATGGCACTTCTACTTCCGATGACGACGAAGAGTTGGTAATCCAAAGACTTCAAAGCGAGAATAGCTTGGAATACACCGGCAAAATTACCAAGATGTTTCAAGACATCAGGCTATCCAAACAGCTCGAAAAGGAATTCGAAAGCGCCATTCGAATTGCTCCCGATTACACGAAGGCAAGGTACCCAGACTTTCAGCCTTTTGTCTTGGCCGAAACCATGTGGCCTTTCTCGTACGAAGAGGTGGATTTCAAACTGCCGGAAGAGCTGGTCCCAACTTACAAAGGACTCGAACGATTGTATACCAACAAACATAGCGGCCGGGTACTCAAATGGTTGTGGCCACTGTGTCGCGGGGAAGTCAAGGCCGATTTGGGTCGTCCTGGGAAACCGCCGTTCATTTTCACCGTAACACTATTCCAAATGGCCATTTTGCTTCTTTTCAATAACCGCTCGGTATTAACCGTCGGAGACATCCAGGAACATACAGACCTGAGCGTGTCAAACATTGCTGCCGCTGTGGTGCCCTTTATCAGATACAAGCTTGTCACCCAAACCCCATCCGGACTTGACGCTATCACGCATCCAGATACTCAATTCAAAATCTCCACACCTTACAAGGCCTTAAAGACAAGAATAAACTTTGCTTCTGTTGTCAAGGGCGACCTCTTGGGCAACAACAAGGGTGAATTACAAGAGGCTCAGAAGATCGATAAGGAGTTGAACACTGAAAGACAGATTTTCCTCGAGGCATGCGTCGTCCGCATAATGAAAGCTCGCAGAAAGCTACCACATACCACGCTTGTCAGTGAGTGTATTGCGCAATCTCATCAAAGGTTTAATGCTAAGATTTCACACATCAAACGAGCAATTGATAATTTGATCGGTAAAGAATATCTACAACGTTGCGACGACGGCGAGTCCTACGAATACCTGGCATAATCATGAAAACAAGATTAACATTGACTGAAATCGATTGAGACGAATCGACCTTATTTAAAGGTTGTAATTTTTTTTTTCAAAAACTCTGAGTCTAGTTGAGTCAGCCATCATTGAAATTTTTCAGAATTCCTATGGAAAATTTTCAACGTCCTTCATGAGTCAGGCGCATGAAAGCATATAAAAAGGCTATCGATTCTGTTAAGGTTGAAATCAACATTGAGCTGATTAGTATTAGCTGATAAGGCAAGATAGTTTTTGAGATGAGCAGTCAAGAATTCGAACAAGTGACGGAATCGACGTCGGGACCAGCTCGTCCAAATCCATACGGACCTAACCCATCGGATTATCTTTCGAATGTGCAAAATTTTGAACTTATCGACTCCACTTTAAGAGAGGGTGAGCAATTCGCCAATGCTTTTTACTCAACTGAGACCAAGATCGAAATCGCCAAGGCGCTGGATGCTTTCGGCGTTGACTACATCGAGTTGACCTCACCTGTGGCTTCAGAGCAGAGTAGGAAAGACTGTGAAGCAATTTGCAAACTAGGTTTGAAAGCCAAAATCTTGACTCACATTCGTTGTCATATGGACGATGCAAGAGTTGCAGTGGAGACTGGTGTCGATGGTGTGGACGTGGTGATCGGTACATCAAAATTTTTGAGGAAATTCTCGCACGGCAAAGACATGAACTATATTGCTAAGAACGCCATTGAGGTCATTGAATTTGTCAAGTCGAAAGGTATTGAAATCAGATTTTCGTCCGAGGACTCTTTCAGATCCGATCTGGTGGATCTGCTAAACATTTACAAGACTGTAGACAAGATAGGCGTGAATAGAGTTGGTATTGCCGACACCGTTGGCTGTGCGAACCCTAGACAAGTGTACGAACTTGTGCGCACACTAAAGAGTGTTGTTTCGTGCGACATCGAGTGCCATTTCCACAACGACACTGGATGTGCCATTGCCAACGCATACACCGCTCTGGAAGGAGGCGCCAAACTAATTGACGTTTCCGTTCTTGGTATTGGTGAAAGAAACGGTATCACCCCTCTTGGAGGGTTGATGGCTAGAATGATTGTGGCAGCACCCGAATACGTCAAGTCCAAGTACAAGTTGCATAAGATCAGAGACATTGAGAACCTGGTTGCCGAGGCCGTTGAGGTCAACATTCCGTTCAACAACCCAATCACTGGGTTCTGTGCATTCACTCACAAGGCTGGTATCCACGCCAAGGCGATTTTGGCCAATCCATCCACGTATGAAATTCTTGACCCCCACGATTTCGGTATGAAGAGATACATCCATTTCGCCAACAGGCTGACCGGGTGGAATGCCATCAAATCTCGTGTCGATCAATTGAATTTGAATTTGAGCGATGACCAAGTCAAGGAGGTCACCACCAAGATCAAAAAATTGGGTGACATCAGGCCGCTCAACATCGACGACGTCGACTCCATCATCAAGGATTTCCATGCCGAAGTTGCCACACCTCGCTTGGCCGGTGGTAAAGACGTTTCTTCGCAAGATGTCAATGACATCGACATCAACGAGCCTGCAACCAAGAAGGTCAAGACCGAAAGCGCGAACTAAGAGATATTGTCTCGCGTATTACCGTTCTGTGCAACCTCAAAATACTATTCCTAATGCTATTTCAGTTTTCTTCATAAGCGTTTTACATTGTAAATACACACAGGCTCCCGTCAGTCAGACTCATCGCAATGCGGTTGGACTCGACGTCGTAGTCAACGTCGATGACTTGACTGCTGGTTGGCAATCTGTCGGAGAAGCTGTTGACAGCAGATCCAGACGTAACGTCGCAAATGTAACCCTGGGTCACGGCGTATCTATCGTGGTGGGCCCATTTACTGCGAACCAAGTACTGGTCTGCGTTACCGGTGCCGGTGAGTTGGAAAGAGCTCAGGACGCGGGACAGTTTTGCAGAGGCGACATTGGCGTCGTGAATTCGCAAGGTGCCGTCGAATCCGACAGAACACAGCTTGTCGTTGGACGTAAGGTCCAGCGAACAAACCGAGTCTGAATGGGCCGAGTTCCAGCTGAAAAGCTCGGTGGACGTGGAATTGCGGATATCGTAGCATCGAATGACGGGGTCCAGGCCAGAAACGTAGACCAGGTGGTCGGAGGCAGCGGCAGCAGCGACAGTGAACAGCGGGAACTCTTGTGTAACGCTCCAAATAGCGCGTTTGGAGTTCGCATCCCACAGACACAGCTGGCCGTCGTCGCCCACGGACGCAATTCGTTGCGTGAGGGGCAAATGTCGCACCTGGTTCACGACGCGCTTGTGGCCCACGAGCCTGCGCTGTTTGACACCGGTTTCGAGGTCGAAAACGCCCAGAGTTCGGTCCGCAGAGCCCGTGACGATACGCGCGTTGTCAACGACGTCCAGGGACGTCACAGCGGCACCCTTGGCATGCGGCTCGTCGACTTGCCAGCTGCACCGGGCTTCGAGGTCCCAGATGCACAGATGCGCGTCCAGACCGCCTGACACGACGCAGGAGCCCTGGTTCGCGAATCTACACGCAAGGACGGGCCGAGAGTGGCCCTCTGCCAGACTGACGAAATCCGAGCCCGCAGAAACTGCTGTCGCCAGACTCATCCCTGTTATCGGAACTCGACGTAGCTATATAGGCGACGTAGAAACTATGAGAACCCGCTCTGGCCAACGACACGAGCGGTTCTGTCTCGAGATGTTCATCTCTTTCCAATATGGCACGCGGTGCGATGCCCTGTAGCACTGCGTACGAGAACCTCTCCCTCCCAGTCTCACGTGACCCCACCAACATCACATAGAACGAACATCGTCCTCTCTGGATTCCCCCCACCCCCACGTCTTCGTGGCAAGAGATGCGTGGGGGGGGATTCTTCCAGGAGCCAATCATATGCATCAAAATTAAGGTCTCTGCGCCCGTTTCTACGTAGCTTGCCAAGTCGCCACTAGCAGATCCATCCCAGAGCCCGCTTCCTGCGGCTCGGCTCCCCTGGCTCCCCTTGCCGGGCCAGCTTCGTCCCCAGTTCTCCCCGGTGGAACCAACTCCTGTATATCAAACTGGTTAGCGAGCATTAACCGACACAAGAAGGCTACAATACTCCACCTACACGACACAAATAGGAATGCTAGCACGCACAAGTATCAGACAAGCGGTCAGAATGCCACGCGCCGCCGGCGTCGGCGGCGCTGCCGTAAGATTCGTGTCCGAGGGGTCTACGGGCACTACCAGAGGCGAAGGCGCGGACGACTCATTTGTGAAGCGTGAGCGTGCACAGGAAGACTACTACGTGAAGCAGCACGAGAAAGAACAGCTGGCACGTTTGCGGGAGCAAATCAAGCAGCAGCAGAAGAAGATCGACCACCTGGAAGAAAAGCTTGAGAATTTCTCCAAGTGAGCACGCGGATGTGCGGCCCAGATGTGCGGCCCCACTGCGCAACAGAGAAAAAATATATACGTTTACATATTCACTGCTGAAACAAGAATACCTTAGTCGCATGCGTCGCGGTCGGACCCGAGAGTCCGTATCTTGTCCTCCGACGTAGTTTACCGGCCACCGCGGTCCGCTCATTGTAGCGAGCCGGGGCCGCAGTCACAGCGACACACCCAGACATTCGAAGATCGAGGTAGGACACCCACCCACCATCACAGAAAGAAGAACGTCCCGTTTTCCAGCCGCGGCCCGCCACTTTCGCCCCGCCCGTGCACCGGGCCGTGCACCGGGCCCACGCAGCGACGCACAGCGCCGCGGTCTGCGCACATCCGTGCACCATCACCTCGGCCCGTGCACCGCACTCTGCGCGCCTGCGGCCCGCTCGCGGACCACACCTTTGAGCAAACGCCTATTAACAATTTTCACTGCGCGAGCGCTCCACCATCACTCTTCCGATCCCCTCAGCAAGTGCAAATGTCTGACGCTGTTATCTCCTACGCGACTTTGATTTTGGCCGACGCCGGCTTGGACATCACCGCCGACAACTTGGCCACTTTGGCCAAGTCTGCTGGCGCTTCTGTCGACAACGTATGTTAACACGATTGCCGTGGGCTGGTGAGCGGTGCGCACAATGGGTACGAAACGGGTCCCCCCCCAGGCTGCAGATCTCCCGGGAACCCCCAGGGCTCGAGACACGGTTTCAAAAACGTTTGTTTTTCGCGACGTAATCACGTCGCCAACCTCTACCCAGAAATCCTGCTCTCCCCTCCCCCCCTCCATCATACTAACCTATACCAGATCTGGGCTGAGACTTTCGCCAAGGCTCTAGAGGGCAAGGACCTCAAGCAAATCTTGTCCGGTTTCCACGCCGCCGGCTCTGCAGCTCCAGCTTCTGGTGCCGCTGCCGCTTCTGGGGCCGCTGAGGCCGCTGCCGAAGAGGAGGCTCCAGCTGAAGAAGCTGAGGAATCCGACGACGACATGGGTTTCGGTCTTTTCGACTAAGCAAGCACGTGACTTCTGCTGACCTTGCCTGTCCTCTACCATATTTTCACCCTATATAGCGGTGTTTAGCAGCACCTCATATTTCAATCTTTCCACCTTTACCCCTCTGGTTACCCCGCCTGCATTGCCGCGGAGAGTGGCCAGCCTTGAGCTGCACACTGCAAAACCAAGGTCAAGGTCACGGTCACGTGACCTTGACCTTGGTTTTGCCCGCGTTCAGCGCGCTGCCGCTGCCGCTGGCGCTCGTTCCGCACTTGCCGCGGTCTTTGGGCTCTATTTGCGTTCGTTTGTTGCTCGTTTAAGTGCCGAAGCCCCCGGCATTGTCAGGGCTCGCCGTTGTGCGTGCCTTGCAGCTGCGTGAAAATCGGGAAAGCCTGGGAAATTTGCCGAATAGCCAATAGCGATGCAGCCAGTAAACGGTTAAACGGGATCTGAGACGAGCCCCGCGCAGGGCCAGCGCCCAGCCCGGGCAGGGCGCTAGGCCGATCGCTAGGCGGGACGCTAGACGGGGCGCCAGACGGTGCCGCCTGGGAACCGACGCAAGGCGTAGGGCCAACTGCGGGTTGGATCGGTGCCCCGATCAAGACGGACTTAAGAGCAGCCGCCCCTCGCTTGCTTCCGCGGTGCGCATAGAGCTTTGGGAGGTCGGAGTTTCTTAGTATATCTGTAGAGCGTTCGTAAGGACACCGTCGAGGGTCGTGAGGTTGTGACCAGAAACGAAAGGTAGCCACTAGATATCGCGGGGAGGGCCATCACCACGAAGGACTCGCTGAAAGTACGCAATGGTGAACAGTGGGCTGTGCACGACCAGCGTCGCTGCGATCACGCCCGAGGAGCCACCCCGGTTGGGCGTCAAGGCCAGCAGCGCGGACCGCTCCGCGGTCCGCGACTGCGGGCCGGGATCGGAACCGGAACCGGAGCCGGAACCGGAGCCGGAACAGGACGCGACGGCTATGTGGCCGTCGCTCGAAAGCACACGTCAGCTCGAGACGTCCCTGGCAGAGATGATCCAGGAGCTGGAAAGGGCGCGTGCCAACTGGCTCGCGCCCGTGGACCGTGGGGTGCTTGTAGAGTTGCTGAACCGGTCTCTGACTGCAATCTCGCACTGGTCCTTGCAGGCGCAGATTTCGCGACTGGAGAACCGCAGCTCGTGGGACTCGAGGCTCGCGGTCGAAAGCTGTCTGATCAAGAAGGAAGTCGAGTTTTTCCGCAACAAATGCGCCGCGGCTACGGCGGCCGCTCTGACGACGGGCGCTACGTCGCCCGTCGTACCGTCGTCTGTGTCCAGCTCTCCGACGGGCCGTCGCAGACGCCGAAAGCGGTCCCTTGAGGCCACCGCCGGCGTATCGGGTCCTTCATCCAAAGCCGGGAAGCACAGATCCGCGGGGATAGCACCGCCGGCCATGCGACTGGTGGAAAACAGCAAACCGCATCCTCGAACGCGACGGAGCAGCGATAACCCGTCCGCGAACGATTTCGTTCGCGTTTTCCATCTAGAGAAGCTGTGAACGACGAACGTTGACAGCCCATCGCTCACAGCTCCGTGTAATACTACTGGGACATTTATATCGTTTAATTTGGGGTTTGATTTACGGACTGACTGATCTTATTCTACTTAGTAGCCTGCTTGTAAATATATCAAATATTGGAGTCATAGAGCGCATGAGACCACCTTATTTTGGGGCTCTTAAAGACACCTAGGGCAGCTGACACGTCCAGCCCTTTCAAATGTCTTATCGCATGTGGGCAACAATTCCGAAGTCAAGATTTGGGGTTTGAACTGTGCGCCGACACATACTGTCAGTGGCATTGCTGACTTCCACGGGCTAAATGCCGTTATACAAAAACCCTACAAACCGTCTTGACAGCAGAAAAGAAAAGTTCGATCATAACATAACGCAGGGTGGTGTGCCGAAGATGATCGTTAACTGCACATTACGATTTGCTACGAAGTAATTTTATAAGGTCTGTGGAAACCGAAAATTATCGAATAATCGGAGCTAGTTTTTCAAGCACCATTATTGGTAGCTGGTTGAATTCTCTGAACTTTTCGAGAATTATAGAAGCTAGACTGCCTATTCCTTCTTGCTTCTCTTATTCTCCATTGTTTTCACTTTTCTCACTCTCATAGTCGCTCGACAAGCGCTTGACAATATAGCTTTCAATTTCCAAGTGAAATACTTTTATCCAAAAATTGATATATCGACATCAACCAGCCAAAGCGGGAAAGACTAATACTTCGAGTCGTAGTTAGCACCAAATTATGACTCGTCTGGGATATGTGTCCCAGGAGTTTATGGGGCTGATTTGCTCGAAGCGGAAACACGCTTGTTTCTTAAGTTTGCTCGGAATTGCGCTCATATATGCCACAGCCTATGGATTGTCGAGTTCGCTAATATCCAAGTATCAGGATCCTACCATGTTTGCACCGAACAGTCAAGATTATTTCAGAACCACGCTTCTAGGGTTTTTCTCACCCTTCGCGCTATTCTTCTTCAAAAACTTTGTGCTTAACGTCAAGCCGAATCATATGCTTCTGAGCATCTTTGTCGATTTCCCAGTAAACGACTGGTTTTGTCTGCTGATTGTGTTCTGTTTAGCATACCCGCAGGTACAGGATGCGACAGAGACGTCGCATTCAAATGGCAAAGCTGCTGAGCCCACGACATGGCACATCATACCAAAACAATCCTTCATGTTTGGCGTGTCCTGGTCTCTTTGCGAGCTGTCGATCTGCATAATGAAAACCCTCAACAACTACGAGCAAATATCGTCTACACAAACAGCCGTATGGCCCCTTCAGAACCAGCAACGCAAAGAAGAGCCGGACTCTACTAGACCTAACATCACACTTTCCAAGTGTGTTGACGTCAAACGCAATTCCTCTTTGATCGGCGAAAACGTCTATCGCGACGATAATGATCCAACTGGGACTCCCGTTGCTTCCACGACTCATTTGCAAAAACCCGACAGCTCTACGAAAAATTATGGCAGTCTGAACATGGACGCAGGTGACGATACTGTTGTCGTGAATTTCAAAGACAATTCAATGACGTTTTTGAAGGATATTGAGGCCTCCGGCGCAAGTTCACAACCGTACAGTGTGGATGACTGCCAACCGGGCCGGATAACCCCGCTTTACGAAACCGCGTCGAACGCAGAGATGTTCAAACAGCTATTCTTGGGCTACCTGGTCATTGTCGATAATCTAGCATTGACAATTGGTCAGTCCCTGATATCGTCTGCCTATTTTATTTACGTTCCAGGCCACCCAGAATTGTTCACGCACTTCGTAAGGTATTTCGGATCCAGAGTCTTCTCATTTTTCCTCCTATGTGTGATCGGACCGCTGACGGTTTTCAACTTTCTCATTAACCTTACTCTATTCTATTGGGTAGACGACCAATCTATAAACAGCGATGACACAGCTCGTACTTTGAGCAATGATCTCAACCTCGATCTGCATCTACACAGCTCGCAACCCCAGAGTCTTCAATTCATAAATTCCGATCAGCTTTTTGTCCTCAACTCCATTTACACACAGGACATAATATCGCCTGACGAAGATCATGGGCACCGGTTACTACATTTTTACAAAAAATCCATTACAGCATGGCATTCTCTTGCCTCAAATCGGCTCTTTGTTTTCACAGGCATGACAATTTGGTCAATTCTCATACTAATTGCTGGAGTTGTTGGCACGGTACGACAGTAAAGACACGCTACATATTATTCTAGCAAAAATTCTATAAAATCAGAAGAACAACCCAATGACATCCATTAGACTAGCATAGCATTAATCTGGAAAAAACTTCCAGATTCCTGGCTTTCTAATTGTCCAATGCGACGGCGTTTGTATTTTTCGGCGTATGAACTCTTGAATTTTTCACATTGCCGGGGTCGTAAATACCCTCATATTAAGCGGAAAATGTCAACGACATGGACCCTTACGACACTCTCTTCCATTGTAACCAAGTTTTTATAGTTGATATAACCTCTGAGGCGTTGAGACTTTTCTGAAGAATCCTCCTTAGAAAGAGTTACACCAGTCCACTTGAGTTTAAATGAGCGCAGCCACTCCGCTACTTGCCCGCACCGGCATCACAAAACGCTCTTCCATGTTAGAGGCCGCGGTGAGAGACTGCAAGATTGTGCTTAAGTCGTCACCGGTCAATTACTTTTTGGTGTTTGTGCCCATTGGGCTTGTGTTTGGATACGGCGACTTGTCGTCGTCATGGAACTTCGTTTTCAATTTTCTGGCCATTATTCCTCTTGCTGCCATCCTGGCTTACGCTACAGAGGAACTAGCCGACAAGGCTGGTTCAACTCTGGGTGGGCTTCTGAACGCGACCCTTGGAAATGCCGTTGAACTAATTGTGTCGATCATTGCGCTCCGAGAGGGTCAAATCCGCATCGTACAGGCTTCCATGCTTGGGAGTCTTCTTTCTAACCTGTTGCTGGTTCTTGGCTTCTGCTTCATAGCCGGTGGATACAACAGAAAGCAGCAGACTTTCAACCAGACGGCAGCACAGACCATGTCGTCGCTGCTGACGATTTCGTGTGCGTCGTTGCTCATTCCTGCTGCCTTCCGTGCGTCTCTTCCGGATGATAACGAGCGTCAAGACCGCTTTATTAACCAGAAGATCTTAAACCTATCCCGTGGCACTTCAATTGTGCTTCTAGCGATCTACATCTGCTTTTTGATTTTCCAACTAGGCACGCATTACACCCTTTTCGAGCAGCAAGAGGAAGACGCACAGGGGGTTGTCGAGACTCACAAAGTGACCCAGACATTGTCTGTCAGATCGTCATTGTCCTTTCTATTCGCCACCACCGTTTTGGTTTCCATTTGTGCCGATTTCCTGGTGGGCAGCATTGATGACATTGTTGAAAGCTCGGGTCTCTCCAAGACGTTTATTGGTTTGATTATTATCCCAATTGTGGGTAACGCTGCAGAACACGTCACCTCGGTGATCGTAGCCATGAAGAACAAGATGGACCTTGCATTGAGCGTGGCAATTGGCTCGTCTTTGCAAATTTCGCTCTTCGTTACACCATTCATGGTTTTGGTTGGCTGGGCCATTGACGTGCCCATGACCCTCAATTTCTCCACTTTCGAGACTGCAACGCTTTTCACTGCTGTGTTTTTGTCCAACTACCTGATCTTGGACGGTGAGTCCAACTGGCTGGAAGGTGTCATGTCCTTGGCAATGTACATGCTTATCGCCATGGCCTTTTTCTACTATCCAGACCAAACACTTGTTTAGCGGTGTACTATGCTATACACGGCGAGAACTTCAATAGCTAGTAGTGCTCAGATTGACAGCTACGCAACAACTATTTATCCAACGCTAACCAGCGGTGCGGATAAAGTCTCGCCGCAGGTTTTTTTTAAGTAATATGTAGTAGATATTCCTTCACCAAAACGACAGCGACAGATGTCGCCTTCACTAACCTTGTACATCCATCCCTCAGTGGTCAATTCCGTGGTCCGATGACTTTTATCCGGTATTCGGTCCACTATTAGCCGTTGGTTACAACTGCGCGGTGGGTCGGTTTGTCAACCGGCTTGCCGATTTTACATCTGATCGTGAAACAACGCGTACTGGAAACAAAATGGAAACACATCGGAAACACGATTATATTACAAGATTTAAAAAAAGCTAGATCATTGTATTTACGAATGCAGGGACAGCCAAAGCTACGAGTGGAATCGGGCGTTGCCGTTGACGAGCAAAATTCAATCTTTAATTACCCAGATAATTACCTTTCGCGAACTGAATCTAATCATTCTTGTTCGAGATCCTCTAAAACGCGAACATTCATAACACCAGCAAGTTAGAATGATCTAAATTCTGGACCGTTGATCGCCTCTAAATCGCCTGTTCGTCCAATTTAGAAGGCTGGACTTCGTACATCGCGAAAATTAAAGTTTGGAAAGCTTCCTTTTTCAAGTCGCGAAAAAATTAAAGTAGCCAGGAAAAACGCGAAAAGCATGCCAGCCAAGCTGCTGGGCTCGCGAAATTAGCGAAGAAGCGAAAAGCATGGATTCAATTATTCGTGGAATAGCTGAATGCTGCCAGGATTTTTTATAAAAGTAGAGTGGATGTTATAAATTTATTGTCTGTATAAACCATCGGAGTGATCTAGTTGATCTCGTACGCTGCGGAAGTTGCAAGAGTGTTAGACTGCAGTCAACAGTGGTAGAGTCACGCAGAAATGTCAGATTACGAAGCTCTTTTGCAATTCAACAGAGAGCGTGTGTCGCTCGAGATGGTGAATTTTCTGGCAGCAACGACTTCGTCAATTATTCAAACGAAAGAGAGCAGTAGCGATGTGCAAGCAACTTTCAAACGCACGCCAAGGCTGGTTGATTTCATAAAGGGACTCGTTTCGCAATCGAATGTGCAAACGCCGACTCTGATGTCGACCGCCGTGTATTTGGCCAGACTGCGTGCGATTATCCCGGGAAGCGTCTACGGTATCGAATCGACCCGCCACAGGATTTTTCTTGGGTGTCTGATAATAGCAGCCAAGAGCTTGAACGACTCATCGCCTCTCAACAAACACTGGGCTTCGTACACAGGTGGACTTCTCGATGTGCGTGACGTGAATACTATCGAACGCGAACTTCTGGAATATTTTGACTGGAACCTCCAAATAACGACACGCGACCTTTTGACCTGTCTGGCACCCTTCTTACAACCGATCAAAGAGCAACTCGTCTTTCAAAAACAGCAAAGCCTCATATTCAATCCTGCACTTTCTGATTATTTCGGCATCAAAACAAAACCAGAGGCTCACAGTCGCTCCTCAAGCAACATGTCAATTCCTTCCTTGGCATCTACGGCTACACTGTCCAGCATATCTTCCATGGAGTCTAGAAGAACACCACTTTTGGCAAACACTTCAAGGACAATGCAATGCATAGCAGAGGAGACCTCAGAGCACGAAATTCAAAACCGTACCAAGCCTCAGCTCATATCAAGTGCCCTTGATTCTCATGGCAAAAATGCCTCAGATTCAAGTCTAAAAGTTGCAGGATCGAAACGTGCACCAGATAGATTAACGCGGCCGATCATCTTGAAAACAGGATTATCAAAACCTGTCCACGAAACGCATATCACCACCACTACTAAAAAATTTGGTCTGCGATCGAACTGGACTTCTATCTTCAAGTGAGATTTGGCATTTAAATCGCTAGGCTTAGGCGAAAAGCCAGCGATCGGCATATATAACATATAACATTACCCCAGGTAGTTGTAATAATTAACGCTTTTATGACATTGAAAGGAAAGAATAGAAACTTACTAAACAAGTATTTGAATACAATTATTCTTATGAATTTGCAGAGAACACCTTCATCTTGACCACCCTTGAAGTCATTTCCAGGTTTATACTTTTAAATAAATTGACCCGATACTATGTTTCTAGTTGTAAAGCTCGTCGTCGTCGTCACCAGCATCGCCAAACGCAGCACCAGATCCGTTACCGGATCCACTGGCAGCTTCAGCAGCGTTATCATCGAAGCTAAAGTTGCCAAATTGACCTCTGGAAGCCTTCATTTGTTGAGAGTAGGCTTCGTAACGACGTAATTCAGCATCAGAAACAGAGCGCTTAGCAGTCTTCATGGCTTCGGCAAAGTGTTGCTTTGTAATGTAAGGAACAGTGTCTTCAGCGTCTTCTTCATCGGCAGCAGCTTGCTTTTCGTCAATGTCAGCCATCTCAACATCCTCCGTTTTTACCTTTGCCTGGCGTTCGGCCTCGTTGCGTCTTTGTGCTTCTATAGAATCTTTAATTGCGAATTTGGCCGCTCTTTGAGCAATGTAAGATAAATCGGCACCAGAGAAACCTTGGGTGGCCTTGGCAATTGTGCTCAATTCTAGACCCGGCTCTAATGGAGCTTTCCTCAACTGCGCGTTCAAAATCGAGAGTCTAGCTTGTTCGTCTGGAAGAGGAACGTAGATCAGTTGGTCTAACCTACCTGGTCTCAAGATAGCTGGGTCGATTTGATCTGGTCTGTTGGTGGCACCAATGACAAAGACGTTTTTCTTTGCGTTCATACCATCCATTTCCGTAAGGAGTTGATTGACCACCCTGTCTGAGGCGCCACCAGCATCCCCCAAAGATCCTCCTCTCGCCTTGGCAATCGAATCCAGTTCATCCAAGAACACCACAGTTGGAGCCGCAGCTCTGGCTTTATCAAAAATGTCTCTGATGTTAGATTCAGATTCACCATACCACATACTCAACAGTTCTGGACCCTTGACAGAAATGAAGTTGGCGGATACTTCGGTGGCAACGGCTTTCGCTAAAAGAGTTTTACCGGTACCAGGGGGTCCATAGAAAAGAACACCTTTGGAAGGAGCCAAGCCGAACTTTGTGTATTGGTCTGGATGCAAAACGGGGTATTCAACGGTTTCCTTCAATTCTTCCTTAATGTCATCCAAACCACCAATGTCGTCCCAGGTAACGTTGACGCTTTCGACGACAGTTTCACGCAAAGCGGATGGGTTAGAGTTGCCGAGAGAGAATCTGAAGTTGTCCATAGTGACTCCTAGAGAATCCAAAACTTCTGCATCTATCTCTTCTTCGTCTAGATCGATCAGGTCCATCTTCTCACGGATTTGCTGCATGGCAGCTTCCGAACAAAGAGAAGCAATATCAGCACCAACGTAACCGTGAGTTTCCGCAGCCAAGGCTTCTAGATCAACATCTTCGGCGAGTTTCATGTTTTTAGTATGGATTCTTAGAACCTCCAATCTGCCGGTAGCATCAGGAATACCAATGTCGACTTCACGGTCAAATCTACCAAATCTTCTTAAAGCTGGGTCGATGGAGTTTGGTCTGTTGGTGGCAGCAATGACAACAACGTTAGATCTCGCCTTCATACCGTCCATCAAAGTGAGCAATTGAGACACAACCCGTCTTTCAACCTCACCATTGGTCTTGTCACGCTTGGGCGCAATAGAATCGATTTCATCGATAAAAATAATGGCTGGTGCATTTTTCTCAGCTTCTTCAAAAGCCTTTCTCAAGTTGGATTCCGATTCACCCGCCATTTTGGACATAACCTCAGGCCCGTTGATCAAGAAAAAAAACGCACCAGTTTCGTTGGCAACGGCTCTGGCCATCAGCGTCTTACCTGTACCTGGAGGACCATACATCAAAATACCCTTGGGCGGCTTGATACCGATGGCTTTGAAAAGCTGGGGATGTCTTAGCGGCAGCTCGACCAATTCTCTGATCTGCGCCATCTGCTTGCGGCAGCCACCGATATCGTCGTAGCCGACTTCGTTTATGTTGTTCTCCTCGTCTTCTCTGTTGATAGGTTCACCTTCGGAGTGGATAATGGTGTCCTGCGCTACCACGGCGTATTCTTCAGGTTCAACGTCGACGACCTTGAACTCTACCTGTCTCATACCACCACGAACAATGAAATGATCTCCTTTCCTAACAGGCCTGTATGCTTCCACAAAATATGGCTTCAAAAACACATCAAACAGACTACCGGTCAAACCTTCAACGGTGTCGGCAATCGGGAGAACAGATATCCGCGTAGCGTACTTGATATCAGAACACGCGTGAATGGTAACCAAATCACCCAATCTGATACGCAAATTATTGCGCACCACACGATTTACGCGACACACCCCGTTTTCCAATTCGTCGTCCAGCAAAACGATCAAAACCGTATCCTTACGCTTCTTGCCCTTCACAAGAACCGTATCACCGCGGAACAACTGCAACAAGTCCATGGTGTTCGAGTTTATCGCAATCACAGAGTTGTCGTCGTTCACAGCGTCATCCACGATCAGAGTGTTGTCCTTCTTCTTTCGGCGAAGAATGGCGGTAGCGGTGGCATCTTCCTCTTTTTTGTCACCACCGGACGCATCCAGAAGCTTCTTCTTGTCCTCAACCATCGTTTCGAACCTGTGTTTCTTTCGATTGATCTTCTAAACTGGTAGTCAAAGGGGTAACGTCTCGTATTTGCCACCGTCTTCCTTATAATTTATCTTAACCTGAGAGCTTACACTTGCCGTTATTAATTATGATAGCAATTACATAATCAGAACGCATTCATCACGTGATATCAAATTCACATCACATGACATTAACCCACACATCTCAGATAATACAGTTGTCGCGTGACTCACTGAACCACCGAGTTCTCTCTTGGTTGTTCACGCGCAACCCTGCCACGTTTAATTCTATAATCTCACCACCCTCCTTTACGCTATCTAAAGATATCACCACTTGAAAAACGAAATGTAGAACAAGAAAAAAAATACGAACCCAAAAAAACAGGCGACATCTAGGGCACTCGGGGTGCCTCCTCAGGTCTCCTTTTCAAGCTTGGCAACAATCTTGTCGCGCAGTTGTGAAAGTTTGTCCATGTTTGTATCGATCGAGGGCCATCCAACGATCAAACCGGTTTTGTCGTCCCGCTTGGGAATTAAATGGAAATGCACGTGATCGACAACTTGATGCGCTATTCTACCATTATTCTGCAGCACGTTGTAACCGGGGCCGTCAATTCCGTCCACGTCGAAACCAATTGCCTTTACGAGCTTCTTGGTCACAGGTAGGATGTCCGCCAAATACTCATCAGGTAAGTTATGCAGTTTGGCACCGTGGTATTTTGGAATGACCAACGCGTGTGCCTCCGCGGTTGGCTGAATGTCTAGGAACGAGAACGAATGTTTCGTCTCAATCAATTTGAAACTGGGAATTTCTCCTGCAACAAGTATGCGAGTTAGTCACTGTAGCGGTCCAAGGAAATCGGGGGTCAACAAACCTTTGATGATCTTGCAAAAAATGCAGCTTGCTTCATGTGCGACAGCTGACATATTATAGAATTCAGGGTCGCGATAGTTGTATTAAACAATGGAGTATTATAAGGGTTCAAGAGTTCCAATAGATGATTCCTCAATTTAATAAGTTAGAATCTTGAAGTTGAAAAACCTCGTATGAAAAGACTGTATGACTGGCATGCATCATGCAGCTTTACGCTGCCAACCAAGCTCAATTCAAACCACTATAAAGAGCGATTGAAAATCTATTGCCTGGTGAAGTGAACCTTTCTAGATATGTGGAGGGGATCTGCGAGAGTTCTCCAGAAAAATATTCGCAGGAATTTGGTCTCCAGAGCCGTCAAGGGCGGCCTAACGGCTCTCCTGCTCAAAACGGGTCAACCGTTTCAATACAACGTGCTTTTGACGGGCGCCGCTTACTCGACGAAGATTCAGCCCAAACTCACTGCCGAATCGTATCCAAGCATTTTGAGAAACCCAAACTACAAGCAATTAGCTGCTGATGACGTTTCGTTTTTCAAAAACGTGGTTGGTGAGACCGGTGTTTTGGAAGCTTCTGGAAGCGAGGATCTTGCGCTTTTCAATGAAGATTGGATGCGCAAGTACAAGGGCCAGTCCAAACTAGTGCTGAGACCAAAAACTACGCAGCAAGTTGCCAAGATCCTGCGGTACTGTAACGAAAAGAAGCTGGCCGTCGTACCTCAAGGCGGAAACACCGGGCTTGTGGGCGGATCGGTTCCTGTTTTTGACGAAATTGTACTGAGCTTGACGCAATTGAACAAGGTCAGAAGTTTTGATGAAGTGAGCGGTATCTTAAAGTGCGATGCTGGTGTAATACTGGAAAACGCCGACAATTTCTTAGCCGACCATGGGTACATTTTTCCTTTGGACCTGGGCGCCAAAGGTTCCTGTCACGTAGGTGGGGTTGTCGCCACAAATGCGGGTGGCCTGCGTTTGCTCCGTTACGGCTCTCTTCACGGAACCGTGCTCGGATTAGAAGTAGTGCTTCCTAACGGGGAGGTGCTGAACACTATGAACGCCCTTCGAAAAGACAATACCGGGTACGATTTGAAGCAGCTTTTCATAGGATCGGAAGGAACCATCGGTGTCATCACTGGAGTTTCTATCTTAACCCCACCCCGGCCAAAAGCCTTCAACGTCAGCTTCTTAGGTGTCGAGAGCTACGAGGCGGTGCAAGAGGTCTTTGTCCAAGCGAAACAGGAGCTATCCGAAATTCTGTCTGCCTTCGAATTTATGGATTCAAAATCACAGGAACTCACAAAGTTGCATTTGAAAGATGTCGCTGAGCCGCTCACCGAGAAGTATCCATTTTATATTCTCATCGAGACTTCAGGTTCAAATAAAGAACACGACGATGCTAAACTAGAGGCCTTTTTGGAAAAAACGATGGAATCCGGCTTAGTTCTCGATGGCGTTGTGGCTCAGGACGAAACTGAGTTGCGGAATCTGTGGCAATGGAGAGAAATGATTCCCGAGTCCAGTCAAGCTGGCGGAGGCGTTTACAAATATGATGTTTCTCTGCCCTTAAAGGATCTTTATTCACTCGTTGAGGCTGCCAATGACAAACTTTCTGAAAAGGGTCTGATGGACCCCGAAGATGCTACAAAACCTGTGATTAGCGCAGTCGGCTATGGTCATGTGGGAGATGGAAACTTGCATCTCAACGTCGCTGTTCGTGAGTACTCTAAAGACGTCGAAAAAGCTTTAGAACCCTTCGTTTACGAGTTTGTCTCCTCCAAAAACGGCTCGATCAGCGCCGAACATGGCCTGGGATTTCAAAAGAAAAATTACATTGGGTACTCCAAGAGCGACCAAGAGATCAAAATGATGAAGAATTTGAAAGACAACTATGACCCTCACCATATCCTTAACCCTTACAAATTTTTATAAGCCTTTTGATTATATTCTGAAATTCCAATAGATTTGTTTTATACAGGAGTTTGTCATGAATCGCTTTTTTTAAGACTTCATTATCACCACCATTGTTGCCTTCGAACTGAACTCTGGTGTAGATTATGAGGCCTTCGATGCATGCAGTATTCAACTTTTGTGAAACTTTTTAGAAAAATCTGATGTCTGAAGGGCAACACGCTTGCGCTGCCTAACTTGATCATCGTCAGGATCAAGTAAGACAATTTGATCGACAAACTTGTGCTTTTTGTTTATTTGAATCTTATCCTTTAAATGCATTTTCCCAATTCGCAAATGCTGAAAAAACCAACCCTCAAGGACGGAAATCTCCCCATTTACCGATGTTACGATAACCTCGAAAACTATGCTTTGATCGTTCCAGCAATCGCTGCAAGTTTCACAGATCTTGATCTCTTTGACAATAAGCGCTATGTCATTTGTCAGCCCAATATTATAGTCAATCAACTTCAAAGAAGAAGTGCAATTGGATAGCAGGTCTTTGCAATTTCTGAGTTTGAATCTATCGAGCAAAATAACACCACGCGTGTCAAAAATTAGGCAAAGGGAATCATTTATCATGAACAGCTTTTTGAATGCTGAGAAATTTTGTAACTTTTGCCGCGTATATGTAACCTCAGGCGATTCTTTATCAGTACTGAGTTCTGCTGCCTTGAAACTTCTGAAGGAGTCCACTTTCATCGCAGGTTCGTCAATGTACTTAGGCCTGAATGCTGCTAAAACCAGGAATTTGTCCAATAACACAATATCCATATCCTTATAATTGTCAGTGAAAAAAGAGGTTACATTATCGTCACCGTCTTGTTCGTCGCTTAGTTCCCCCGAGGGAACCCTTGTATTGCTCGAGGTTTCCACAATTTTAAAGTCGACAGGAAACGTGTTTCGTCGTACACTTCTTAGAAACTTCTCTTGGGCATTTTCTCTTTTTGGAGCATCGATGGCACGCGCAAATACTTCTCTCCTCAACGAGCTGCTTCCGAGACTGTGAAGGTTCGTGAGACCCCCGTGGCCGAGAGATCGTTCCGTGTCTGATGCAGAAAACAGTTCCATGGGTAATTTTTCACCGGAATTGGGCAGCTTGGAATTAAAAAGATCGTGCAATTCATCTTTCATGTGTCCTTGCTTTTGTCTCCACACGGAAAAAGCACTCAATTCGGCTATGCCATTATTCGCGATAAGAGATGCCCACATGTGTGGATCGCATTCGTAGTCTATTCGGTTCAAGGAATCTTGCTTTAAATATTCAAACAAGTCCTGTCCAAAGTTCTCTCTGCAGGCCGCACCTAAATTCCATATCTGTTCTTGGCGGGAAGCCATAACTTGCGTCTTGAGTGTTAAAATGGCAATGAAGAAGTCAACAAAAAGCTTCGGCAATCGTATCTTATGGACCGAGAGTGGAGTCCTCGGCGCCACAGTCAGAACGCTAAAGCTATCCAATGGGTTAATATGGAAATGAGACACGTTTTTCTTCAAATTAGCATAAATCGTTTCTTGAAAGCATGGGATCCGCTCGCGAAGCTCAGGCAGTCGAGACATAACGTCAGAATGGGCAGGAATTAAAAAATGGCATATGTGCTTCAGACGGGTGCGCCCAGTATATTGTGAGTGAAGAACAAAAGCAAGCTCCTCGGCGGAATAGAATTGGCTTTTGCCCCGTCCAGCAAAAGAGTCAAACACGTCAGATCTCACTTGCGAATAGCCCATGTCTTGCATTTGTTCGTAGTCGCTTGGTAAATTTAATGCGAAAATGAAGAGATCCCCGTAGCAGGTACTGCAATACAAAAGTCCGTCCTTATACTCCAATCCAACCATCGAAATATCGGCAGTATAGTTTAGCTGACTTCTCGGTTGTTGGCAAACCAAAATATAATTTGGAATTAACTCTATGCAGTTGTTAACCTTAAATTGGAAATCTTTCACTACTTCGATGAGCCCGTTTGACTTCCCAATAAACATGTAGTCAGATCCATCTCTTATTAAGTTCTCACAGTCACAAGGGTCCTGAGCCACACACTTGCGTTTCACGTAACAAAATTTCTGAATAATATTGTCAATTTCAGCTCTCTGAGATCCAACGCGAGGACATGCCAATATTCGACCATCTACATAGTCAAAAACACGATAACCAGATTCCTCACCTCTTAAATTACTCGGAGTTGAGACTGCGAACCGCATATTAAACGAACCAGTCCTCAGGTCTCTTGGTCAAAGGTTTTGTATCAACACGCTTGTTATATAGAGGTTCTCGTTTCGAAAAAGGACAGCCCATGTATATCATGAACATCTATAACAACTGACTTAAGAAATGATCTCGTAGAAATATCAACAAATCAAAGTCCAGACGTCGTTTTTCATCACTGCTAAATTTTTGATTATGTGGAATGAGTCAGAGGTTCTAGTAGATCGCAAGTCCAAGTTTCAAGGTCGCTGTTGTCGGATTACATCTCAAGAAGACATTCCTAAAATATTAGACAATTTACTGGGGACCAACAAAGCAGTAGCAAGGGCATCGCATCAGCACATGTACGCATGGCGTGTAGCAGAAGTTGCGTACGCGAAGAATGTGAAAGCCGTAAATCAAGTGAAAGAGCATTATACGAATCTTCAGCAAGGTTCAAGCGATTGTGGTGAGGCTGGAGCCGGTCGACGCCTTCTCACGCTTCTTGAAAACTACAAGGTTGTTGGTGTTCTTCTGATTGTAACGCGATGGTACGGAGGAACGCCACTGGGGCCTAAACGGTTCAGAAATATCTCGACGGTCGCTACCGAGAGTTTGAAAAGAGCCAACGTCATATTATAACTAGAAACTACATAAAAAGATCATAATTTCTGAGCTTCGGCATCGAACTTGCCCATTTGTTCAGCCCAATAAAGCCTCAATGGAGCGTGTGCGAGACCCCGTTTTGTAATTTCTTCGACTTCCGAGTTTTGGAGGTCAAAATCGTACAAAAGCTGCGCGTCTCGCACACGCTGGGGCTTTGAAGAAGTAGTGACGGGCAACACGCCTCTCTTGGAAACCCAACGCAGAATGATACTAGCTTCAGATTTTTGGTACTTGTCTGCCAACTTTTTCACATACTGGTAGAATGGATCCGAACTCGAGTTTTCGGGTTCTCTTTGCAATGGGCCGAGCGGCGAATACGCCTCGAGCAGGATATCATGTTTCTGACAAAAATCGTAGATTCCAGGCGTCTGATTCTGCAAAAAAGGAGAAAATTCGATCTGGTTTACCTGAGGCTTGATGGTCCCACTCTTGAGAATTCGAGAAAGGTCCTCTTTGGAAAAATTCGAAACTCCGATGTTTTTGGCTTTGCCGGCCTTGTAAAGCTCTTCCATCTGGGTCCATGCCTCTTCTAGCGTAAACCCGTATTTCTTTTCGTCAATGAATGGACTGTGGAGGAGGAACAAATCGACGTAGTCAACCCCCATTTTTTGGCAGCTAATGTCGAGGCATTGGCGAGGACTGTCCGTGAGTTTAAAGTAAAACGTTGAATACTTGTCGGTAATGAAAATTTCCTCCCTGGCCCTTCCGGCTTCTTTGAGAGCTTCTCCGACCTCCGAATAAGTACGGTAAATTTCCGCTGCATCTATGTGAATTATTCCAGGTAATGTCAAAGCATACTTGATTTGTTCGACAAGGGGTTTAGAGAATGTAGCGCTTGTTTCTTCGCTTTTATACCACCTTGTTCCCGTACCAACGACAGCGACAGCTGGAATTTTGTTCCCATTGTTAAGGTGCAAATACTCTTGCTTAAAAACCATTTTGATCAAATACCTGACAGACGTGGTAATTAGCCTAAGAAGATGCTTTTGTATACAGCTTCTATGTAATTACAATGACTTTCTTGATGCGAATTTCTTGTGATCTTGTCGGCCCTTAAATATCTAGCTGTTGGCTGCGTTTCCGCAACTGCATTGCGGCCCATTTGTTATATCATTTGTAATAGGCTGGGCAAAACCTTAATTTATGGAAGCAAAAAACTGAACTGTTATAAGGGTGACAACCGACTCCGATGCTAGTGTGAAATGCGGCCTGTTAGCATGTTGCAAAGCGCCAAGAAATTGCTGATGAACAGTAACGACGATAAACCTTGAGAATCGGGCAGTTAGAAGGTGAAACGTAATGTAAAATGATTCTGCAGAGCATAATTGACCAAGTTGTGATCATCATGAAAACAATATCTTGGGCAGAAATCTAGTTTCTAATACTGCTCAGATGCTCGCCTCCTGACATGCGTTAAATTTAGCTTTTGAGTAAATTACAAGGATGAAATATATAGGTATTATAGCTGCGAAGCCTGCCGATGCTTCTATGCGTTGTAAGACAGTCAGTGATAATTGAGTGGTTTTCGTGAAGATGAATGCAGAATGGTAGCCAGCGAATGAACCTGTGTTAGAGATTGGGTATTTTTTAAGAATTCAAGCCCTCTCACCGCCTGCGACCAGAGCTCCAACTTTTCGAGGACTGACGCCTTCTGTGATCGTTTTTCTTGAAGTTTCCCGTGTCGTTCCCGCGATCATAGTCTATAAAGTCTTTGTTGCGTCTCTTCTTTGGGGGTAGTACGGTGCCCTTAGATGACGGTTCAGGAACTCGCCCGGATCTCTGGTAGGGAGGTGGATAAAAGGTTGACATAGACTTATTGTAGCGCTGCGAGCCTCTGTCTGTTCCGCTCTCTTCACGTTTCCGCTTTTTCCGTCCGTTGGCTTGCAATACGGGTTCCCTGTCGTAGGAGGCATCGTCAAATTCGTAATCGTTCACCTGAAATGAGTCCTCGTCATCATCAGAACCGTATATACTGGGGAACCTGCCTCTCTCGCGCTTGTTCTTCGCTAGACATTTGAAGTAGTCGTTCTTCACACCCTTAGGCAAGTTGTCGCCCGAAAACGCGCTCCCATCTTCGTTGGGGACTCTGGAAGAGCGTCGTTCCAGACAGTCATCGCCCAAATGGCCTTTCATGCCACAGTTGTAGCAAAAAATCCGATGGATTGGTAGGATCCGCTTTTTCGAGCTGTCAAGCAGATAATAGCTTCTCCAGATGCTAGGACACCGGTCTCGCGCGTGTTTTTTGCTGTTGCAAAACGAGCAGTAGACACGTTTCCACTTGTGCGGACACTGACTCCTGTAGTGACCTTCTTCGTTGCAGTTAGCACATTTGATGGCTTTAGGACAATGTTGCGAGTAATGGTCGTCCATGGAACCGCAATAGGTGCAGATGACGTGCGGGCAGTTCCTTTTAAAATGACCCCGTTGGGAACAGTTGATACATTTAGGTTCGGCGTCGTTAATAGCGTCTTCGGGGTCCTCGAGCCCAAAATACCGGCCTTTTCCTCTGATATTGCGAAGTTCTTCCGGATTGGAATCAACTTCTTCTATTGAGGGTGCCATTATCCGGTCATTGGACTCGAAACTAGGAGTGACGTCCCGTACAAAAGGCAGCGAATCCATTGACTCGACTTCCGAGAGCATAGAACTCATTGTTTAATCGCTATAATCTGTGAAGGTGTCGCTCTTTTGTATATCGAATTATAGGCGATGAGGTTAATTTTTGGTCTAAATTTTTCACTCTCACTACTATCACTGCAACTACTACTATCCCATACGAACAAAGAGCTAAAAACACGCTTGATCCAGTTAACAGCGAGAACTTAGTACTGCTTGAAACTATAGCCTGCGAAATTATTGCAATTTTCAAAACACTCTTCGTCTTATAAACAGTCGCGCATAAGAAATCTGGCTTAAACAACTAAATTTTCAATTTTCAAATTCCCAAAAAGTAAGGCCATGACAGGCCGGAACACCTATACTTAACCTACAATTTTAAACATATTCTATCCTAATTTATTTGATGAGTTCTACCAGTTCGACTTGTCCCAGTTTCCAAAAGGCTTTCCCCGTCGTCGTACATTGAGATCCAGAACAGGCTAGTAGATTAGTCACAGGTCGATCACGTGATACGAATTCTCGATAAAAATTTGCGTTATAGTCATCTCAGTCAACTCGAAGTTTGACTCCATAACTGACAACATATAATTCAATTCAGCAATACAAGCGGCTATGAGCATTCAGAAGGCCGTTGAGGCTGTTCAGGAAAAGGTTAAGGACCTAACTGTCGACAATAAAGACAAAAAAAAACAGAGCAAACAAGGATCTCTGTATCTGGACCCTCAACCGGAGTTTATCGACGAGAGAATTCAGCTGTTCGAGAAACTACAACAGGAATACAATGACAAAGTCGCTAAGATGCCCAGAGAGGCCATCAAAGTTGTCTTGAAGGATGGTACCGAAAAGGACGCCGTTTCGTGGGAGACCACGCCCATGGATATTGCCAAAGAAATTGCCAAGTCGTTTCCTGATAAGCAATGCATATCCAAGGTTAACGGCGAGCTTTGGGATTTAGACAGGCCTATTGAGGGCACAGGTGGGGACGTTGTCAAGCTTGAGTTTTTCGACTTTGAATCCGAAGAGGGCAAAAGAGTTTTCTGGCATTCGTCTGCTCACGTTTTGGGTGAAGCCTGTGAGTGTAACCTCGGAGCCCACATTTGTCTGGGCCCTCCCACCTCAGACGGTTTCTTTTACGAATTTGCCATCAAGAACGGGCCAGAGGTTGCCGCTGACGTCCCCGAGAGAACCGTGTCTCAAAATGACTTCCCGGCTTTGGAAAATGTGTCTAAGAACGTGATCAAGCAAAAGCAGAAGTTCGAGAGGCTTGTCATGAGCAAGGAGGACTTGTTGAAAATGTTCCACTACTCCAAATACAAAACATATCTTGTCCAAACCAAGGTCCCTGACGGAGGTGCCACCACCGTGTACCGTTGTGGTTCTTTGATTGACTTGTGCGTTGGCCCTCACATTCCACACACTGGCCGTATTAAGGCTTTCAAGCTTCTTAAAAACTCTTCTTGTTACTTTTTGGGAGAGTCGACAAACGACTCTCTACAAAGAGTTTATGGAGTTTCTTTCCCAGACAAGAAGCTTATGGACGCACACTTGAAATTTTTGGCCGAAGCCTCCATGAGAGACCACAGAAAGATCGGAAGAGAACAAGAACTTTTTTATTTCAATGAAGTGTCTCCTGGATCTTGTTTCTGGTTGCCTCACGGCACGAGGATCTACAATACTCTGGTTGATCTTGTGCGTTCAGAATATCGTCGTAGAGGGTACGATGAAGTTATTACGCCAAACATGTTCAACTCGAAATTATGGGAAATTTCGGGTCATTTAAGCAACTACCAAGAGAACATGTTTACCTTTGATGTTGAAAAGGAAAAGTTCGGTTTGAAACCAATGAACTGTCCGGGTCACTGTATCATGTTCAAATCTAGAGAACGTTCTTACAGAGAATTGCCCTGGAGAGTTGCTGACTTTGGTGTCATTCACAGAAACGAATTTTCGGGTGCTTTGTCCGGTCTAACGCGTGTTAGAAGATTCCAACAGGATGATGCTCATATCTTTTGCACTCAGGATCAGATCGAGCAAGAGATTGAGAATATATTTGATTTCTTAAAGTTTGTTTATGGAATCTTCGGATTTGAGTTCAAAATGGAGCTCTCGACCAGACCAGAGAAGTATGTTGGTGAGATAGAGACCTGGAACAACGCTGAGGCCAAATTAGAGGGCGCTCTTAAGAAATGGGGTGGAAATTGGGAGTTAAACCCCGGCGATGGTGCCTTCTACGGTCCAAAGATCGATATAATGATTTCCGACGCTTTGAAAAGGTGGCACCAGTGTGCCACCATTCAATTGGACTTCCAATTGCCGCAGAGATTTGAGCTTGAGTTCAAAGCCAAGGAAAATCAAGAAGGTGAAAATTACGAAAGACCAGTCATGATTCACCGTGCCATTTTGGGATCTGTTGAGAGAATGACTGCCATATTGACGGAGCATTTTGCCGGTAAGTGGCCGTTCTGGCTCTCTCCTCGTCAAGTGCTTGTTGTTCCAGTTGGCGTTAAATACCAGGAATACGCCAAGGAGGTTAAAGACCAGTTGTCCGAAAAGGGCTTCTACGCCGATGTAGATTTGACGGGTAACACTCTTCAAAAGAAGGTTAGAAATGGTCAAATGCTAAAGTATAACTTCATTTTCATTGTTGGTGAGCAGGAAATGAATGAGAAGTCTGTTAACATCAGAAATAGAGATGTGATGGAGATGCAAGGCAAGAACGCCACTATACCACTCGAAACAGTGGTACCACAACTGTCTCAGCTGAAGGAAGACAGGCGTTTGGACAACGTTCTTATTTAAATATCATATTTTTTGGCAGTCTTGATCCATCAAAAACTTCAGATAATTGGTTTTTATAACGTTTATGCTCCACGATCAAGCTTTCTGGAGAATTTATGTACGTAACATTGATAAAAGTAGCAGTAAGCTATTCAAACTCAATCCCTTGCTTGCCTCTCTTCTTCCAATATCTTATCAAACTCTTCTTGCGAGGATTCGCCCTCTTGATCGAATGGATCGTAGACTGGGCTACTCAAAGTATCTATGTCTCCGGATCCAGATCTGATCGAAGACCATCTAGAAGACGACCCTACACCATTCCCCCCTTCGAACCCGCTCTTCCCGCGAATTTTTTCCCAAGAGGATGCGGGTTGGCTTTCAGGCTGGGGAGTTTGAAGTCCGTTATTATTCCCGTCTGGTGCACCCACGTCTGGAACACCCTCTCTTTTGTCAAAGGCAGGTCCACTGTAGAGATGCAAAGGATCCCGCTGATTTATGAACGATGCTGGTCTGTTTCCCTTTCCTTCAATCATCTGTTCAAGTTTTTTGGTTGGATTTGGGAATCTTCTTTCGGGATTATTATAGGTTGCATTGAAATACAGAGCCCATTTGGGAGACATGCCACCTTTGAGCAGCTTCAACATTTCATACTGCCTTTGGGCATTACTTTTTGGAGTTTCTTGTAAGTCACCATAAGCTCCAGTCGAAGCAAAAGAATCGTTAGGGTCGAGGGCTTGCAACTTGTATTTGTACATGTACCTTCCGCACACCTGCGAAGTAGCAAACATGGCCAAAAGCCCAAAAACAAAGTTTCTGGGCACTCTTACGCCCCTAATTGCATTTGTCTTGTAGTACTGCCAACCAAACGGAGCACCGAAAACTGTAGCGAAACCGAGCCAACCGCCCCACATTTGGGCGCGAGTAATGGACATGAATGTCTGCGACAATTCCAGTCTGTCACGAGGTTGCAATGCGCTGTCTTTCTCATAAAACTCACAAGCAGCTTTATAGGCCTCTTGGAACCATTCTTTCTTTAGCACATCTTTACCCTTCGACGAAGGGGTATCTGGGCCAGACACAGTACCTGACTCACTCATTGCAAATATCGAACAAGGTAATTGCTAATCGCTACAATAAGTAGTTAATGATCCAACTGCTGATCCAAATGCTGGTCCAAGTAGTAATCCAAGTAGCGGTGAAGGGTTCCCTCTTACTGTTGCTTAGTTGGTCAACCCTAGCCATCCGTTGCACGTATAAAGCTATGTGATGTCGGCCCTTAAAAAGGTCCGAATCCTAGAAGAACGGATCTATCCATGGCCCCAAATTTGGCAAACTGAATTGTCAAGACGAATATTTGAGTCAAAATGAGAAATGCTGTTGGTTAATTATACAAGCCCTTTGAGTTTTCTGACCATAAGCTCGTGAAAACTGACGATCAAATGTAGCCTGATGCTTCGAGGAAAACCCCGGGGGTTCTGCCAACCTTGGTAGTAAGCGTAAACAAAGCAGCAAAAATGAAAGCGCTAACATTCTTGTTTCGTGGATTTGAATTGATATCTGTGGCGGTTTTTGGTAGTCTCTGCTGCCTCTGCATTAATCGGACGTATCGGCGGTCATACGTTTCTAATAGGCTTTGGTGAACTTAGTAGTCCGATTGATCAAGATATAGAGCACATTGTCTTAAAACTTTTAGAGGTAAATGGGTACGCCTTGTTGCATTTCCCAAGGGAGTTTTTAACTCTCTCACCCATTGACGAGTCATTAAAGAGACGACACTATGATCACGTGACTCTCGAACCAAGAATGGGTATACGTAGGCCAAAACCCCGCTTGCATGGTTTTTCGTAACATTATCAAAGCATTTCAAGAGGTTCACCGCGTCATCAATGGTGGATTGTCTTTGGTCAGGTCGGATCGTTAAGGTCACGTGATATTCGTAGCAGTTCCTTCGTCCAAAACCTTTGCAAAAAAGTATCGACTACGAGAAACGTACGCCGTTGGGGATGGATAAAGTCTATATGGAGCAGGTTTATTTTGAAGACTTTTTTGGAATTTCTATAGTGGAATGTAAAATTAAACGTAAAACTATGCTCGAATTTGGGTTCTTTTGTTCTAATAGGTTATGCTTGACGACGTTAATTACTGATTATGAGGTTTTTCGTTGTCGGTGGCTGATAGATTTCTGAACTGTGCATTTAATTCCTTCATGATTGATCTAAATAATAGAGCCGATTAGGAATTGAGTACTTATATCTCTCCGTGACTATCTTACGACCATGAACACTACGATCCTGGTCATATCAGCTCCTTTTATACAATTTCTGTAACATTGATCCAAATTTGGAATCCGTTACTTTCTTCAATCTAGACGGTGAATTCTCGTCATACGTCATTCATCATACCACATATGATCTTATCACGATGTTCTGATGATTTTAGAACTTTCAATGGACCTGTTTTAGCTTCCAGCTCTTTCGCGGAATGCCAGCCGTCTGTCCATCTAATTTTATTCTGTCATGTCGATCACGTGATGATGCAATTGAACGATATCACCTTCTCGCCAGCTCCTTCCAACAAATGAAATACACGCGAATGAGACACTATCTGCATTGGTGCATGTTGTTTTTTCTGAGATAAGCGGTTGATGGAGAGAAAGACTTTCGCAATGAGCTGCTGCTGAGATACTGCACGATCTGCCTGGAAAATTCACGAACAAGAGACCAGGGGCACTCTGAGCAATTACTTCAGAGGTCTAGGAAATTACCGTGCCCGTGAGAGACAATGAGGAGGAATTGCTTTGTTACTTTACCACAGTACATGTCCGGGTGCTCGTGACGTCATAGTACAAAATGATAACTCACCAAAAATTACCAACTAACGAACAGCGGATTACAGAGTTTGCGGAATATGGTTCTGTCACGTAGCTGGATGAGTTCTACTAAATGCAATCATTTAATAATTCAATCGTGCGAGGTTTTTTGATTCAGGACTTTGGCGAAACTCATTTTGAAAAAGTCGATCAACAGCGCCTAAAGGCAAAAAGCAAGAAGGCGGTACACAGAACATAGCGTTAACCTGCTAAAATACTTTGCACAGCAAGCTTTAGCTGCTTTCAAGCGCTAATCTTGGCTTGTAAACGGCTTTCCACCTGAGGTTGTGTTGTTAAGCAAATGTTGTATCACCTTAGACGATACTGTATGAAGTAGTTTGTTATACTTTTGGAAACTTGGACATGTCAAACTGATCAAGGCAAGAACTGTAAATTTAGCCAATTGGTGCGCTTTGAGGGACCGTGAGGATGGACTACTTCTCTATTAAACAAGGATTTTATACCGGTAATTTCAAGCAGTCGTTGCAGGCCATTGCCAAACACAACAAAGTTGAAGATGAGACGCTCGAGTACTATCGTTTGAGAAACCTTCTTGCGTTAAAACAGTATCAAAAGACGGATTCGGCACTTGGTGCAGTTTTCGATGCTTATGCAGAGTTTTTGAAGTCTGGCGATCTTGCTACAGTGGCAGAAATCGCGCAGAATCACAAGTCGCCTTTCGCACAGAATCTGCTTGCGTGCGCTCAAGGTCTACATGGCGACTTTGAAGACGCTCTCAAGACGTGTCAAACAGAGATTGACGAAGATGAAGGCACTGGGATCTCAGAGCTTGTTTTGCTAGCAGTTCAACTAGCAATTCTGGCCGGTCAATCCTCAACTGCGGAAGAGATCTACCGCAATTACATGGCCGCTCACGAAGACCTCACAAGTGATGACGAAATTGTACTCAATTTTTGCGAATCCTATCTCCACTTCGCTCGTGGCGAAGAAACTACGGGGTCTAATTTCTATTTTTATGAAGAGCTGTGTCAAACCTCCCCAAGCTGGAAAACCCAGTTAGGACTTTTAACTCTGCAGTTGCAACAGTCAAACATTCCTGAAGCTCGCGCTATCGTCGATCTTCTTGAATCTGAGTTTTACCAAAACCAGAAGGAAAGTGCAGACGCATTTCTACCGGACTTGCTCGCTAACAAAATTACTTTGGGTGTTATGGAAGGAAATAACGTAGACCAACTACGCACTCAACTCGCAGACGTCGATGCAGGGCATCAATTTTGCAAGGATCATAAAGCCAATTCGTTAAAGCTCGACCAGATAATTGCCAAGTACAAGTAAGTAGAACTTCGGATTTCGACTCTTTTATAGTGATGAACAAGAAAATTTTTGGTACGTATAAACCAGCTTATTGAATATATCTCCATCTTCAAAAGATCAAGCCCGTAAAACTAAAGGTAAGCAATGGCTTCACAGTTGTCAGAAGCCGAGAAACGTCGTATTCTTCGGGAGAGAAGACAAAAGAAGTTCAGCAATGGTGGAGCTTCGTCGAGACTAGGTAAGATTACTGGAGAAACCGACAAGAGTTTTTTGGCTTCGGAATCGCCGCTGGATGCGAAGAAACCTTTACCAAAGAAGCAAGAGGAGAGTTCGTCGCGGAGTGATGTTGAGGAGTCGACTAAACAGATGGATGAGCTTCTGGCAAGCATTTCCACACCTTCGAAAAATCAACAAAATCATGGGAAAAAGCAAACACATGATGTCAAGAATCCTGAGATGGATTTGTTTTCACAGTTGGCTAAAATGCAGCAGGAAAATCCCGCTGGATTTGATGTTCCTGATACCGGGGACTTGTTTTCACAATTTTTGAAATCTGCACAGCAGCAAGGCCCCGATTCCGTACAAAGTCCTGGTGTGAAAACTGCAGATCCCACTGTCATTGAATTGCATTTCAAGAGAGTCAACCGCATCAAATCTATAACCGTTCTTTTGAGATGGATTATACTTTTGCCGTACCTTGTTATGATCAGCAAGCCGCGCTACAACGTCGCACTTGAGCAGCACTCATTAGGGCTCTCGAATGTCTTTGACAGAGCTAATTTCTTCACAGTATTCACTACATTTGAGCTTGTTGCGTTATCGATTTATTTTCAGCGTGTGCTGAATCTAGAGAGAGAGACGGGGATTAACACCTTGGAGAGCGGTAATAAAATCTTGAAACTCGTGTCGTTCATTCCTGAGGGCATCATACCGATCCCAGATCTGCGAGGCAAGATTTCTCAAGCCGTTCAATACTGGGGAGTTGTCTCTATGTACTTGACTGACTTATGCTTTGCCATCGTAATTATCGGAGTTGTACAGTATTTGTATTCATAAGGAATATATTAGTCTGTTAATTTGATTGGCGAGTGTCTATAGATTGCATATCATTTGTTGCCTTCGCCGATAATATCCATCCAGGTTTTATTCTCTTTCTTGAGCTCTTCAGTGATCTCATCCTTGATTTTGGCCACCAAACCGGGTCCCTTATAGGCAAAAGCAGTGTACAACTCAATGAAAGTAGCGCCGGCTTTGCCAAATTCGATGGCGTCTTTACCGGAAGTAATTCCACCGCAACCGACCAAGATTAAATCCGAGTCTTTAGTGTGTTTAGCAATACATTTTAAAGCCTTTAAAGCAAGAGGCTTCAAAGGCTTACCAGAAAGCCCGCCTGCTTGATTCTTCAAATCTATATCAGCAGTAATAAGGGTTTTAGGACGTTTAATGGTAGTATTTGATACAATAATACCATCCACTTTCGATTTCTTGGCAGCTTCGGCAATAGACTCAAGTTCGGGATCCGTTAAATCTGGTGCAATTTTAACCAAAACAGGAGGTTTATGAGATTTTGAGCCCAAAGCATTCCCTTTTTTGACAAGCGAATTTCTTTTATTGACCACTTGGGTTAATAGATGGGTAAGTTTTGATTCATTTTGCAAGTCTCTGAGACCAGGAGTGTTGGGCGAGGAGACATTCACCACTAGAACGTCAGCCACGGAATGAAATCTGACCACACCTTTCAAATAATCCTCCACTTCATCGCCTTTCTTATTTTTGCCGAGATTGATAGCCAATAGCTTCCCATTGTGAAGAGAAAGATTTGAGATATCGTCTCCTTTGAAATAGGAATTGATGTAGTTGGAAACACGGTCCATAACAGTGGAAAACACTTTCTCATGACCACTAGAATTGAACCCGTACCTGTTTATAACCGCTTCGTCCTGTGGCAGACGGAAAAACCTCGGTTGAGGATTTCCTGGCTGCGGTAAAGGTGTGATAGATCCAATTTCGTGATAAGCAAACCCACTTTTTAAAATGCCGTCAATGGCTTCACCATCTTTGTCAAGTCCAGCAGCACATCCAATTGGATTATTCAACTGGGTTCCAAAGACATTGACGCGCAGAATATCGTCATCTTCATCGAAAAGTTGTCTGGGAACTAATCCATGCTTCAAGAAAAATATTCCCATTCTATGGCCTGTTTCGGCATCTGGTGTCAAAAGTCTTAACAAAGGGCAGAACAGGTATTCGTGAATTGCTGATCTCGAGTTCATCAAATACAGACCAGCAATCCCACCACCAAACACCGCGGCAGTGTACAGCACAAGTCTCGCTCCAAGACTAGACCTCAATGGGTACCTAGAGTTCGACGTAAAATAGTTGGCATTTCTAGTCAGTTGCTGTAAGGGCAGTCGCCCACAGCTGCGCAAACTACTTACCGTCCACATTATTGGGCTTTGTTGTGCTTGAAGTAAGTAAATATTATTTTTCATGATTAGTTTAATTCGAAGAAGCCAATTTTTTCACTATGGTATTCAAACATTAGAGCATCTGGCACAGCACCACTGAAAGGCACGAAATACAAACAGCTAATCAACGAGGTTGCTTGTCATTTATAGCTCAAAATTCAAAGAATCTAAGGTATGGTTGTGTAATTTTTACATCGTTGGTCTATACTTAGGGAAAGATTGCAGGCAATGAAAGGCTAAAATTGAACACGCATAAACCAAATAGCCAAATATTCTATTTATCCTTGGCACAATAACTGCGGTAGTTTGAAGACATCTGAGACTGCTTGCCTTTATTTTTACCTAAGTTTTTTACCCTTGACAGAGTTCTGGCCCATTGCAAGGATGAAATTCGAAAGGGTGAAGGTTTACTTCCACCAGCCGCGATGTCAGGGTCACTTTGACAGGGCCAATTGCATTCCATGGAATCTTTAAGTTAAGATTTCCTGGCTTACGCGAAGAAAGCGGGTTTTTTTATTCCACTTTAACCGGCCTTTCTCGACGTGAACCGAAATTAAGGAGAAAATACGTTAATTAGAATATATGTTTTAAAAAGATAAACAGTGCTACGAAATTAACTCCTCTTTCACAAGGTGCAACTTTAGAGCCCAACGCAGAATCTAAATCCGTTGATTTGACCACTTAATTCTGGGTAGAGTTATTGTGAATTGTCAGTGTCGTTAATCGTTAATCTTTTGGATTAATCACTGAGTTCATTCATAGACACTGTTAACAGTAAAAGGATCACGCAGCGAATATTTATGTCAGACCATGATTAACTTGGAAATTGTTGAGGTTTATCATTATCGGTGGTTGATAGATTTCTAAATTGTTCATTTAATCCGTTCATAATTGATCTAAATAATAGAGCCGATTAGGAATTGAGTACTTATATCTCTCCGTGGCTATTTTACGACCATGACCACTACGATCCTGGTCATATCAGCTCCTTTTATACAATTTCTGTAACATTGATCCAAATTTGGAATGCGTTACTTTCTTCAATCTAGACGGTGAATTCTCGTCATACGTCATTCATCATACCACATATGATCTTATCACGATGTTCTGATGATTCTAGAACTGTCAATGGACCTGTTTTAGCTTCCAGCTCTTTCGCGGAATACGAACGGTCTGTCCAATCCTCTAATTTTATTCTGTCATATCGATCACGTGATGATGCAATTGAACGATATCTCCTTCTCGCTATCTCCTTCCAACAAAAACTCCACTCCACGTACATCATCATACCACACATGGTTTGAGTGTGGTTTTCTGATAGCTCTATGGTCACCATTGGATTCCTTGGACTTTCAAGACTCCGTGCTGAGTTTATTTGGAACCCTCGCGTCGATTATCTCACTTATTCTGCCATGGTAATTAAGTGAAATTATTTTCCTTTAGTGCAACTTGATGGTAAATACACCTCGTAAACGGTTCCAAACACTGAACATGCTCGGTAAAGAACAGATGCACACTGTGGTCACTATGGACTTTTCATCGTAAACAACTTTATTTCTCCCATCGATGACTTCAGACATCATAGTCGCGTGAAATTCTTTCCGTATAAGACACTGATTCGTTTCGGAGTCTCGAACCGTACTTATTTAGCGTTTCTAAGTCATTCAACATGTTGTAACTGCCTTACATGATACCATAATCCTGTGATGTAAATTTGGCGGGTGCTTGGAATACGGTCAGAAAAACGAAATAAAATTTACCAAGAAAAAGAATAAACCATTCAACCCAAATGAACGAAATCATTGGGTCTTAAAGTAGGCGAAAATACCGTTTTGGTATCTGTTTGGTCAAAATCTTGTTCTTTAGTACTGTTTAGCCAGATCGGCCCTTATGTCTTCGTTGATAGTGATCATACGGTTGTGGTGCTCTGACTGTCAAAAATTTTCAATTGACACAGATGAGATGCGATGAGATGAGACGAGATGAGCTGAAAAACCGCACAACTTCATCACTGACGGTGGTTTGAGAGGCTCATAGCTAGACCATTAACCATGTCTAAAGGTCTCAAATCTCAACCGGTCGTAAAAAAGAGAGATAATATCGAAAAATTCGAAAGAAATAATGCTTTGTCGAAAAATTCCCAGTATCGTAAAACGAAAGACAAGAAACTAAAAGCTGGACTGAAAAGAATCGACCAGAAATATAAAAATGCGGTATCATCAGCTGCCAGTACCGAGTATCTTCTGCCCGAGACGCGGGGTTTTCTAGAGGCCGAAGATGAGATGGAAAAGACCTTCAAAGTGACGCAAGCGGAAATCAAGGACGCCGTGGATGTAAGCACAGCTCAAAATGCACTGAATTTGAAGCTAAAAGAATTTGGTCCTTATCACATTAATTACTCCCGGAATGGGCGTAATCTACTCATTTGTGGGAGAAAGGGCCACGTAGCATCCATGGACTGGCGCAAGGGCGAGCTTCGAGCAGAATTGCATCTTAACGAGACGTGCCATGCGGCTACGTACCTTCAAAATGAACAATACTTTGCCGTTGCTCAAAAAAAGTACGCTTTCATATACGACCACGAGGGTATCGAATTGCATAGGCTCAAGCAACACATTGAAGTCACACAAATGGAATTTCTGCCGTACCACTACCTTCTAGCCACAGCGGGTCGCTCTGGGTTTCTCAAATATCAAGATGTTACGACTGGACAACTCGTTGCCGAACTTAGAACAAAGCTCGGCCCTACTTTAGCTATGACCCAAAATCCTTGGAACGCAATAGTGCATTTAGGTCATAGCAACGGCACGGTAACGTTATGGGCCCCAAATATGCCCACGCCCTTGGCTAGACTGCTCTCTGCCAGAGGACCCGTCACTGGCGTTGCAATCGATAGGCAAGGCTACTACATGGCAACGACGGGTGCGGATAAATCGATGAAAATTTGGGATATCAGAAATTTTAGAGAATTGCATAATCTCGAGAATCTTCCAACACCCGGTTCCGGCGTAACAATATCTGATACCGGTGTCTTAGCTCTATCGAGGGGACCACATGTAACATTATGGAAGGGTGCGTTAAGTAGCGCCAAGTCGAGTAGGCCCTATTTCGGTTCCAGTGGCCTCGCCGATAGAAATACTCCATATATGACCCATCTTTTTGCCGGAAACAAAGTCACAAATATGCAGTTTGTCCCATTTGAAGATCTGCTGGGTGTAGGACATTCTGGCGGGGTCACCAATTTGATTGTTCCAGGCGCCGGTGAAGCAAACTACGATGCCTTAGAAATAAACCCATTTGAAACGGCAAAACAAAGACAAGAGCAAGAAGTGAGGACGCTATTGAATAAATTGCCTGCAGACTCCATATCTTTGGATCCTGACATGATTGGTACCGTCGAAAAAAGGGCTTCCTCTGCCAGACTAACAGCTAGAGATCTTGCTGAGATTACGACTCAAAAGGAAAGAGACCTCAAGAATAACAAAGATATTCCAGCTGTCAAACCAGAGACAAAAAGTAAAAACTCAGGACTTCGTGCTTTTTTGCGCAAGAAGAATCAGAATGTAATTGATGAGCGAAAGCTAAGGGTAGAAAAACAGCTTGAAAAAGAAAAAGCTGCTCGTCAACGTAAGGAATTGGTCAAACGAGGCGAACAGGCCGAAGACCACAAAGATCTTGTCAGCGAAGCCTTAAGTAGATTTAGTTGATATGTAAAACAATCAGTTTCGGGTCACACTTTCTCTCTGAAATACATGCACGAAGCTACAGGATTTGATAATTGCTCAGTAAAAGTACTTTAGACTATACAAGTTTTGCAAAGTCAAGTTCTTCTTCTACCTTAAATGGGGTGGGTAACGGAGCGTCAACGTCTTTCAATTGCTTGGCGGTCTTGATGATCTCAATAGGCTCACCGGGAGTTTTATCAGTCAAAACAATAACACCGTTGCTGCCTCTGAATTTGCGCACGGGAACAAAGCGATCGTCCTTCGAAAATGCAATGTATTTAAGCTGCTGGGGCACAACTCTGGATGCGTTGTCAATTTGATAAGGCTTGTTGACATATTTGATTTTGTAAGAAGCTTCATCACTGACTTCATTCTCGGTGTTCTTTTTTTCGTCTTTCTCTTCAGCTTTCTCTTTGGGAGGCTTTTCTTCGACCTCTTTTAAATCTTTCTTACCCTTCTTGGCCCTGGCTTTAGCCTTCGCAGTTGTAGACAAAACTGCAGTGGCTACCTTCTCAACATTTTTATCGGTGCTCTCCTCGTAAGCAGGTGGGTAGTCAAAGACATCAGATTTCGTATGACAGTTGAATGTAAGCGATGGTATGCTTAAATCTTCACCTCTCACACCAATAATAGTCGTTGGAGTGAATGATAGAGACAAGAAATGTGCTAAAGGAAACCAATACCAGAACTGTGAAAACATGGCTAAGCCGATCACAGATTTTGTATCCAATGTTCCCATATCCACGTTTTCTAATTGTATAGTCACATTTCTTCCACCTGCATTGATGATACCTTGAGCCACGCAAGCTCCAAATTTTGCCAGACCCTCTTGATGCTTATTACCCATGACGCTCAAGAACAGGTTATTGATTTCTTTAACCCTAGGATTGGTCTTTTCGGTTTGCTGAATCAAGATCATAGCTAGAGCGATCATAGCCGCTTGTCTAACGAAATCCACTGAATCCTTCGTTAGTGGCAGTAGAACATCAACAGCAGATTCAAGTCCTCTTCCAGCGCAAGCTATACCCAGCGCAAAGGCGGTACCGCAGCGTACATGTGCGTTATGTGATTCAGCTAGAAGTTCTACGATCCTGGGCACCGTGGTGTAATCACGAATGAGGACAAAACCTAGTGCTGTAACCGCTGCTCTCCGAACATCATCATTGGAGTCGGAAACAGCAACGTGGAGAAGACTTTTGACAGCCTTGTTATTTCCAGTTCCCGCATAAGCCAAAGCAATTGTGAAAGCACCACCATAACGGATAAGCGCATCCTCATGGCGCAACATTCCTTCAATTGTTTCGTCAGCAAGCTCTTCCCTGCCATAGTTGATTAGAGCCAAAGCCATTGCTAGACCCCTTGTAATATTACCGTGTTGTGTTTCTTGGGCATAAGTCAACATGTCCTGAACAGAGGAACTCTCACCGCTCCCTAACATAATTAGACCCATTCCTAAGGCGGCCGCTTCTCCAGAGTTTGCAGAGTCATTATACAAAACCTCCCTCAAAGACTCATATAGCTCGGTATGGGCAGAACCCATACCGGCTAGTCCCACACCAAGAGATGCACCGTGCAATAGAACATCTACGTCTTCGTCTCCGGCTGAAGAGCTATTCTCAACGAGATGCGACTTCAAATAGCCTGTAATTTCCTTTCCGAATCCAGCGAAAATCAAGCCTAATCCATATAGAGAACCACCCTTAATGTAGCGAGACGCGGCACGGCTACCAGGTAAGTAAGGCTCCATAATTTTACGGCCTTCTGAAAGATTACCTTGATGAATAACTCCCAGGGAAGCCGTCGCGGTGAACTTCGCCCAGTTTTGAGCTTTGCCCAGCCATGAAAGGTTCGACCTGATGAACGAATCGTCGGTCGTTCCAGCGTGCATATAGCCATTGGCTACGCTAACAGCGGTATGAAAAAGAGAAAATTTACCGTCCATGGACGATTTTGCTTTGTTCAACAAACCCAAATCGATGTTTTTGTTTCTGAATAGGAACGTGTTGTAGTAGTCGCAAGTCGGTACTCCCGAGAGGATCTCCGATAGTCGCTGATCAAAATTCTCAGAATGTAAAGCAGTCTCAAGCCCCTCCAGCAGTCCCTGGGAAGCAGAGGTAACCAGGTCGAATGCAATTTGATACGTTACTTCTTTGGTTTCTTCCTCGCTCAATTTTTTGAAAAGGGAAATGGCCAAATCGATATCATTCAAGTTGACTATTATCTTAGATATGGTAAAATAGTCAGGGTTCTTCATGGCAATTAAAATGGCGAAGATTTTTTTCAGAATTGCATTTCTGAAAGAGGTGCTTGTGATCGTGGTGCTGGCGGCTGTCAAGACGTAGTTCACCAATTTCAAAGCGTTGGCATCTGAATCGTTTTGAATACGATTTTGGACAATTTCCTCAACAGTATCCAATCGGAAACTTTCTAGAGCAATGCCCACGGCCATTTTGTAATCGCCGCCCTCCATACATTTTTCAAGCATTTTCTCGAAGATGATCCGCAGCTGAGGCTCCGTATTCACGTCAAACTTCTTTTTGTTGTATGCAGCAGTGGCCAGTTTGATGTACATCTCAAGGCTTTCTGAAACAATTGTCTCCACGAACTGAGATTTCTCGTTCATATCGAATTGATCATCCGCGGCAAGAGCATACTTGACAGCAGCTTCATATTCTCCCAAGTTGTAGTATAGTTTTGAAACAACGATTGCTGCTAGTTTCCGATCTTTGAAAGAGGGATCTTCGTAGAGCGCCTCGATTTCTGTGATATCGTTCGAAATTTCGGACCATAATTCGTCAATCACCCCATTGATTGATTCTAAAGCGTACGACTTTACTGAACTGTCCTGCTCTTTTAAAAGAGCGAGTAGTGGAGCGGCAGTTGCTGCAGACATTCTACAGATAAACCGTTAAAACAACTTTGTTCGAGTCTCTCCGCTGTTTAGTAAGTAGTCTTCCTTAAAAGTGAAAGTTCATTTGCCACCGGTCTTGTTTCATTATCACTTCGAACGCTTCAAAGTTCTCGATAATCTTTGCGAATTCGACAATTATCGTAACAAACTACTTCAGCACGAATAATCTATGACGAAAAATTGACGAAATCAATAACTTAAATACGCGATATTTCGGTATCAAAGCGACTCGAGCAATTAAATGGCTTCATTATCTCCCAAATACGTTTTCAAGTATCACGCTCTTTTCGTGATAAAGGACTGGGTTTGGTAATCACCAGATTCTTCCGCAGTTTTGAATTTCATATAATTTGGTGTCACATTGTACGAAATATCACCATCATCTTCAACACGGAAGAACGACTTGATGGACTTACCGAATACTGGTTTAAACTCAAATACTTTATTTACTTCCGGAATAACGTATTTACATAAGACCAATTAGTACAAAAGACGGATCGAAATTTTGTATTCGGTGTCATGTAGCTGGTCGTAGATATCCTTGATGTCACTTTGGTTTACATTAGAAATATCGGCCATCAAATAGGCAATGTCGCCAGTAGAGTCTGAGAATTGTTTTTCGATGTTGTGGTTTGACAAAATGTTTGTCACGGTTTTCAAAACACCAGGCACGTTGTGGTGAATGTAAAGAACACGCACGGTGTTTTCTTGATCCAAGTCCAATGATCTCAACGAAACCTCTGGGAAGTTCACAGAGCCCACAGAGGTACCTTCGTTGATGTATTTGCTGAGCGCGTTCCCGACTTCGATACCTATGGCACTTTGAGCCTCCTCTGTTGAGCCTCCGATGTGTGGAGTTAGAATGACGTTTGGAAGCGAAACTAACTCTGAAGTCCAGCTGTTCAACTCATCGTTATAGGCGCCAGCACCGTTCTTCGCTGGTTCATTGGGGTAAACGTCTAGAGCAGCACCTGCTATCTTGCCAACCTTGATTGCCTGGACTAGGGCTGGGATATCAATCACGGTACCTCTCGAAGCGTTCAATACATACGAACCGTCTTTCATGGCAGCGAACTGGGGAGCAGACAACAGGTTCTTAGTATCAGGCGTAGCTGGCACGTGACAAGTGACGAAATCAGCTTTGTTCAATAGTTCGTCGAGCGTAGAGACCTGTTTGGCGGTACCCAACGCCATGATGGTCACGATGTCATAGTAGAGAACGTGCATACCGAAGGCCTCTGCAAGAACCGACAATTGGGCTCCGATGTGACCGTACCCAATAATACCAAGCGTCTTACCTCTCACTTCCCAGCATCTAGCAGAAACTTTGTTCCACGTACCAGTGTGAAGTTCGATGGATCTGTCGCCCAATTGTCTGGCCAAGGAGACGACTTCAGCCATGATCAGTTCAGCAACTGATCTAGAGTTGGAAAAGGGCGAGTTGAAGACGGCGACACCGATTTTGGCAGCATAGTCCAAGTCGACCTGGTTCGTACCAATGCAAAAACATCCAATAGCCACCAGGTTTTTTGCATGCTTCAACACTTTTTCCGTCAACTTAGTCTTTGACCTTATACCAATGGCATGCACATCCTGGATCATTTGAATGAGCTCCTCTTCGGGCAAAGACGATTTGTAAATTTGAACCTGATAGCCCTGGTCTTTAAACATATTTATCGCGGTTTCATTAACGTTTTCCAACAGCAGGATTTTGATGTCACCGGTCGAAAATGGTTTCAAAGCCTTTGATTGTTTCGACATACTAACACGGCGGGGAAGGGTGTTCATGAACGACTGCGTAGGAGAAGTCGAAACGGCTCCTGGTGACCCACCGAGTCGCACAGCTCTTTCAAAACTGTTCTGCAAATTCTCAATTTGTTGCGGACTGACCATCTCTGTTTTTTCAGAATAACCTAGCGAGTACAGTTGATATCAAAATTTTCTTTTACACAGGGACGAAATTGCCAGATGCCAGATGCCTTGAAATCGATTACTGCTTTTATACCCGACGCTGTACTTCGTGACCAAGACAGAGTTAACAATTCTAAATTTCCTTAATTTAATATTAAACTAATACTGAAATATTAAAAAATTTTCGAAAATGGAACGTGACATTGCCAGGTGACTAAAAGCCACGCGTGACTTAACTGAATAAAAGCGACTCACTTAAGTCTAGGAATGAGAAAACTCGCCCAAATCCAGTGAGACCAGGTTGTAAGCAACAGTTGAAGTCCTCTTATTTAGCGTTGATTGCAACGACTTGTCGCGTTTATTCAAGTCAGGGCTAGAACTAAGACAAGCAATTGAATGTTTTCAAAAACGTAGTTAGACATAAAACGAGAACAGAATATATACATGATTTGAAAATCACTGTTTTCCGATATTGACGGCGTAGTTCCCGTCTTTATCTTTGACAAGCATTTCAGCTTTAACTAAGTTGTCGAACATATCTTGTGGGATCCAGCCCTGCGTAGCGGCGAAGGGCGACGAGATCAGTTTCTCGTGGAAGGAATTCAGAGAGTTTGTGTGATGTTCCAATTGCTTGTCAGAGTAGCTGATGGGAAATTCAGGAGCATTCACGAGCTTATTTTTGGCAAAAACGTCCCAGACCTCTTTCAATTGCACTAGTGCTTCTTCGACTAGCAGATATTCGTCGTCGTTTTTCCTCTCAATACAGTTGATGTAAGGACAGCGTAGTAGCTTGATTGGAGGTGCCACAGCAGAGATGAGCTTACTTTGGTTCTTGTTTAAAGCAGCTTCCCACAAATGTTGATTTCTGGTTCTCTTGTACATGAATTTGTATTGCTCCTTTTGAGCATCATTCAATTCCTCGTAGCCCTCAACATCCTCTTTGAGGTCATAAATTTTGGGTCCATCGTATGCGACATATTGAGAGCAATTTTGCAAGATGAAAGGTTTGATGCAGCAGCTCTCGAAGTCTAAAAGATACGACGTTCCGTCTTTGCCGACAATCATGTTCATGGGGTCGAGATCTGGGTGATAGAGTCGGGGTTTGAACAGCTCTTTGATGTTTGGAATAGCACTCGAATTGGTGTTGAATAATGATGCCGAGGCCTTTGCCAAGTCCTCGTAAGTTCGGATTTGATTCTCTAACAAGGATTTGTCCGCAACCTCAGGGGACGAGCCCGCTTCGATCAATGCCAAACGCGCTTTAGCGCTCTCAACTTCCAATTCGGCCAGAGCTTTGATCATGGCTGTTGGTTGGTCCGCTTTCCATGGGCCAGTAAACTTTTTCAACGCTTCTGTGCTCAGAGCCGAGCCCTTGTTCCAGTAACATCTCTCCGTGGAAGGTCCCACCCTCCATCTGTTTTTCAAATCCGGTCTTGTCTCGCCCTCGTAGGCAATTTCATTAGTCTGGCTAAAATCTTTAGCAAAGTAAAGACTACCATAAGAAGTGAATTCGGTTTCCAATAGTCTGCTCTGAAATTCTGATAATGGCTCTATAACTTTGTTGAGCTTATCAATGTGCGACTTCCCATCAGCGGCATCTTCCTCAAGTGGACTCCACTGTCTCATTAAAAGTTCGCCCTCAATAAATTCTTCAAGAATAAATGGCTGTCTGATAGGGTTGGTGGAGTAAGCAGCATAACAGTATACTTTTGGCACTTTCAAACCCAGCTTCAGATCCGCGAAATCCATCGTTGCAACTTCACTCTTGAGACGCTCGGCCAAATTCGTTTCGCCGTCTAGCGCATATGGAATTCTCAAGATAAAAGGCTTGCCGGCGTTCGTATCGATCTTATAAATCCGATGATGCTTACCCTCGTGGATACTGGCCATCGTCTTGATTTGAACTTTTTCATTGGGGTTTACGACGCCAATGTTTTTAACAGACAGATTGTGTGGGAGTGTTACGGTAAGATTTCTGTGGAATTTTGGAGGTGGAATCTCGGCTTCTTCAGACTTGGCTAGGATCCTAGACTGGTTGTAAAGCTCACTCAAAACGTCGTTCAAGCCCTCAATGGAAAACCGTGTTTCCCGCTTTGACTTTTCCAGCTTATCGTTCTTGAGCCATGATCCCCAACTATACTGAAAGAAAGCGTTTCTTTGAGGATCATTTTCGTCCGATAATTTGGTAAAGGTTTCCTCTGGTTTGTCGTTTGGTTTGCTAGATGAAAATCGCGCCCAACCGGGCCGATTGAGGCGAACGTGGGCAAAACTCACCCGACCGAGTCCACTCGCAAGCCGCAAATTTAGTGAACCTCTCATAGCTCGTTGGTTTTTGCGGATTTGTTGCAAGCCGAAGTTCAAGTTTCTTAACTTTCAACATCCATCTGTACAAGTATTGTATTAGGAAAAATTGCGAGTCCGAATTTAAATATTGAATTAGACGTCAACTTAAAAAAGGGCCAAGTAATCCTTAACTTTACTTAAAAGAGCAAACATTGGTAACTTATCTCTAAAGCACTAATGAGCTTCAGTTACGAGCAGCTGTAGGGTTTCTGTTCTCCCATGAGCTCCCTCGACTTTAATATTATATGGAAGATCATTGATTAATTTGGAAAGTTCATAATTTCGTCCCGCAAAATTAGGTTTCCCGGCTGAAAATGAATGGAGAATTGAAAGCAGCTTAAAACGTCACTGGAGGTCGCTATCTGCAGCAACAAAAACCGGTGGGAGACTTCTTGCATCGCGCAAGTAAGAGGTGTCATCTCCCACGGTGCTCAAATTACTGTCAGCTTCGCTGTTGATAGTTTCGTAGAGCGCATGGGATCTTGACTTGCTCTCCTTCTCCGCATCGTCAGACAGCGCTAGGCTGCCGTCGTTAAAGGACTCCACAGAGGAGCTCAACTGAGGCAAATACGACTTATCGTTTAGAAGCCGCATTTTGTCACGAAGCGACATTGGCGCACCCCCACTCAAATCCGAAAGAGCTCCGCTACCGATAACATCTGAGGCACCACTGAGGCCCTCGCCTACCGCCCTGGACGTCGCTGGCTTCTTTAAGTGCGATTGCGCCATAGAGTTGAGAAGATTGAGTGAATACGGTGAGATTCCATACCTGTGCACCTTTCGTCCCTCGATCCCGTCTTTCGTAGCGACCATCGATAGCGACGACGTTACTGAAGACCGCGAGAGCGGCCTTGAGATCCCGGCACCCTGAATTTCTTCGTTTTCCAATTCCATCCCAGGTCGCATCGATCCGCTTTCATGCTTCATTCCGTCATGCGTCGACAAATTGTACAGCGAGATCGCGGAGGACACATCCTTTGAGCTAAAGGAAGAAGCAGACGAATCGTCCATAATTGATTACAACAAATATCCAGAATTAGAAGCGATATCTCAGTTCGATATTGCTCCAAAGGTCTGGCCTCTTTTCCGCATATGTCGCTGGGGCTTCTTCAAATCGAATGTCGTCGTCCCCTGCATAAAGGGAGCGAGGAATCTTGAAAAAATTGATCTTATGGCATCATCATCATCATTCACGGTAACTTTTAACGAATGAATTTGTAGTCTCTTTGTACGCATCTAGGAAATGTCTCCGTTTTTCGATAGTCGACGGCGGCTAAGTCGACTATAAAAGCGACAAGGTTTAGGGAGTTCAGACAGATATATTCTAACCCTACATTTACCACTTTTGGAGAGTGAACTACTATATAATAGTGTATAACAAGATGTCGGCAGCCCAGCAGTTTAAACCACCAGCGGTTACGTCTGTCAACGACATTACGTGTGAGCAGTCGCAGAAACTGGTACAGACCATGCTAACGATGTCGTTTGGGTGTTTATCCTTTTTACGTGGTCTTTTTCCAGACGATAACTTTGTTGACCAGAGGTTTGTGCCGGAGAAAGTGGACAAGAACTACCACAAAGACTCCCGCGCGGCACAGGCAAGCTCTATAAAGATTAAAACTTTGGTTCGTGGGAAAAGCGCAGAGGCGGACTTGTTTTTGGACTGGCTCGAGAAAGGTGTTTTCCAGTCTGTGAAGCACAAGTATCTGAGCGCCCTTAGTTTGGGCATTTTCACAGATATAAATTCGCCAACAGACCTGGTTGAGGACTACATTTTCGCTTTCAGCTATGATAGGCGAGGAAACGTCACTATGAGTGTGAACGGAGCGGAAGAACTGAGCTCGCTACTCGATTCTAGAAAAGTTGTTCAGCAATTGATGCGAAGATTTATTATAATAACGCAATCGCTGGAGCCCTTGCCAGAGAAAAGGTACCTTACAATGAGACTGATGTTCAACGACGAAGCGCCGGCGGAATATCAACCAAACCTGTTCCGCGATGCGACCCACGAGATACCAGCAACCATAGAATTGCCCTCATCGGCAGACTCGGATTCGGGCTCCGTGGGATCCCTTGATACAGGTTTCCACAAGTATGTTGCATTAATTTTCATTTTATGTTCTAGTGGAGAGCATCTACTAACGCACCTCACATTTGAACAGAGTTTCTATAAGAGTTTTGACCATACACGACGTTGGAGTGGACTCACTCAAGCCTACATGCTCGAAAAAATTCGATCCCTTTGACCTAGTTGATGGGAGCACGACGCAAACCCCCCATGAGGCTTCCAACTCGACGATTTACGACACGCAGACACTGGTTGAAACCCCGAAAGCTGCAAGCCAAACTTCTAGAGCCCTGCAAAATTATCTAAATCTGGAAGCTGCACAATTACCTCAAACTCAAGTCTTGGTTCAACGAGAAGAGGTCATCGCTTGCGAGTGTGAGATTTTTTGCCCAGTTTCCACGTCAAAACACGTCCTGTGTGCCTTGTGTAAAAGGCGCATGCATAAGTTGTGTTATGGTAATTCGAAAACCAATTCGGTAACTTGTGTTACCTGTCTGACAGAGGGTCGTGCAATAGACAAGTTCTCCAATGAATTCAAGGTTTTGATGTTAATGAGAAGGATCTATCGGTTTATGATCAAACGCCCTGACTTTCCACCTACACTCTCGGCGCTTTACAAAATTCTCGCCGGTAATGATGTCGATGCGAACGCCATCGATTTGATCAACATCGCTCTGTCGATATTGTTTTCGGAAGGAGTCTTCGTTGTGGAACAACAGCGCAGGAAATCATCAAATAGCAAACAGAAGTTTCTTAAAACTTCCAATCCAATCTTCATAGATCATGATGGAATTATAGCTGAAGGGAAATCTCTTCCTCCCAAATCGGAATGCGTTTGGACCTTTATTCCAAATGCTAAAGGTTCGCACTTTAGCTATACCTGTGCACTGTTCACTACACCAGAGCAAATAAGCCAAGGAATTGAATTTATCAAGTGCGCTGTAATTGATCTTAATCCTGAAGACATCGACGACTCACTTCAGAGCGACTTCATGCCGTCCTCCATGAACTTTCAGTCGCTGAAAATTGATGAAACCCCCGAATCCCAGCAGACACGGAAACGAAAAAGTACGGCATTTGACAGTTCTGAATGCGGGCGAAGTTTGGAAGGCCTAAAGGTTGCAAATATGCCAATAGAAAGCCCAAATAAGATACGGAAAATTAGCGTCTCTAAAAAAACTTTGAGGAGTTTCTGGTAGTTGTTTCGCGACGGCGATACCAAAAATCAATTCCATCGATAAACGACGTCTTTATTCCCACCGCAAGTTGTCAACCTTCAGCTCTATTTGCAGGAGAATACTGCGAGTTGGTTTAACCAAGCGGATCGACCTCCACGGCACAAATGAAATTCGGAAAAAATTAAGGTTAAAGAAAGAGTACTTAACTGATGTATAGCTTTAAGAGGAACCTATTGCTTCATTTGTAGTTTTCAGGCATCTGAAATATCTAGATCTACCAGCTCTAATTAAGTTATGGCTCATCTGCGGTTGCCCTTGAAGCTTAGCAACGTCAAAGCGTTCCCGAGTTTCGGTGGGCGAACACGCCCGATCTCGACCGGCGCTCGTCCGCAGCAAGATCTCAAGTACACCAGCAAGAAGGCTCCCCCATTCCAGTCTGGACAACCATTGTTCGAGACACGACCATTTTTAATGAAACGCGGTGAATTAACCCCTGGGATAACGGCTCTAGAATATTACGAACGGAGGACTAAACTGGCCACAAGATTGCCTGCAAAAAGTTGTGCAATTGTGGTTGGTTCACAACTCAAATACGCTTCTGGTCCTGTTTTTTATCCCTTCCAGCAGAATAATGACTTGTTTTATCTTAGCGGATGGAACGAGCCTGATTCTGTGATGGTTTTAGAGAAACCAACGGATAATCTTGACGAAGTTTTATTTCACTTGATTGTCCCCCCTAAGGATACCTTCTCTGAACAATGGGAGGGATTTCGAAGTGGGGCAGATGGAGCCTGTGAGATCTTTAATGCGGATGAGGCTACTGATAATCGTCAATTAGCACCATATCTCAGCAAAATCATCAAACGTAACAAATTCATTTATTTCGACAATCCTTCCTCCAAGCCCGCTGCAAATAATTCAGCCAGCTTTGGATCATTTTTCTCCCTTCGTCAAAATCCCTCTGCTAATGACACAGTTACGGATATTATAAAATACACAGGCTCAGGAAACAATGTTCGTGGTCTTAAGAGAATAGTTTCTGACCTCAGACTTATCAAATCTCCCGCCGAAGTGGCAGTCATGAGAAGAGCCGGTCAAATTTCCGGTAGGGCCTATAACCAAGCATATGCGAAAAAGATTCGTAATGAACGGACTTTGCAATCATTTTTGGAATACAAATTCATCTCAGGTGGATGTGAAAAGTCTGCGTATATACCTGTCGTTGCAACGGGTTCTAACGCACTGTGCATCCATTATACGAGAAATGACGATGTGATGTTTGATGATGAAATGGTGCTAGTAGATGCCTCCGGTTCTCTTGGAGGATATTGCACTGACATCTCGAGAACTTGGCCGGTCAGTGGGAAATTTACTTCAGCTCAGCGCGATCTTTATGAAGCGGTTTTGAATGTTCAGCGGAAATGCATTGAGCTGTGTAAAGCGTCAAGTCTGTATTCGATGCATGATCTCCATCAAAGGAGTACTTCTTTTCTGAAAGAGGAGCTCAGAAACGTTGGTTTTGGAAATTTGACCTCATGGGATCTAGCCAAAATTTATCCTCACTACATTGGCCACAATTTAGGTTTAGATGTGCATGATGTTCCCGAAAACTCTCGTCATCAGCCTATTCAAGCTGGACAGGTCATAACGATTGAGCCTGGTATTTACATACCTGACGATGCCAATTTTCCTTCGCATTTTAGAAACATGGGTATAAGGATCGAAGACGATATCGCTGTTGGTGTCGACACCTATACTAACCTTACTGTCGAAGCCGCCAAAGAAATAGATGACATAGAGTCTATTGCACAAAATGGCGTGAAAACTCATTACGATGAAGACGTCGTTTCTCCTCTTCTCCAGAAATGAATTAACTTGTACATAACTCTTATACTCTTACTATGTATCTCATTCGTGTGCTACGAGACGCCTTTAAAGTAGAATTGATCTACACGTTATCGTCGCTATCATTAGCTTCTTTTAGTGACATAGCCTCATTATTTTCGGACAGTTTCTTGTTCTGGTCATTGCTTATAATATTCAGCTGGATGATCTCACGCACTTGCTGGTTTCGTGCTTTCAGAATTTCCATTTTTGACGCTAATTGTAGGCCCGATTTTACAAGACCAGCTTGTAGTTCTCTCATTTGCATAGCCCCGCGATACATGACGAGCCCTTCTTTGACAACAAAATTTAAATTAGCATCCGAAATTAGTTGAGAGACATGGCTGGTAACATCTTCAAAATCCAAACCTAAAATTGACGAAAGATAACTAACCTCCACGACGTTGCATATACGAAGGTAGAAAAAGATAATCTTGTGATGAGCTGTTTTCGTCAGATTGGCCCACTGTTTACTCAAAAAGAAGCTGTCTCGGCAAACTTTCTGAATTTCATCGTTCCATAGCGTCAGAAACTCCTTAAAGTTCGTCGCAGCTAACAAATTAAGGCTGGTCTTCAAAACATCCGCCATATTGAGAAAATACTGCATATCTTCGAGCTGCAAAAACGTCTCTAATTTCTCAAAGGGCAAATAGACGATTATTGATAGGGAAACCATATAAACAAGCTCCATGCTTGTGAAAAAAGTTGAAAAGGACCCATTGGCTAGCAGATTTACAATTTTCGGAGTTTCTTGTTGAACAAGCACGAACTGTTTAAAACATTCGAGGTACTTACCTTCTAAGAAGTACGCTCCGCAGAAGAGCAAAAGAACCGTGGTTTGATCTTTTACCGGTCCTTGTAAGTTCCAAGTCTTGTCAGTCACCACAAGTTGGTTGGATTTCAAACGCTTCTCTAATTCTCGGAGAATTTTCCATTTTTGCGCCAAAATCAATGTCTTCACCAACCTCTCAATCTGCTTGTCGTCATGTTTCGCCTCCATTATAGTAATCGCCTGCGTATACTCATGTGCTACCACTTTCCTCTCTATTTCCAAATCATTGACGCTGCTATTATCTTGTCTAAACCTATCCCGCGACGCCGACACCGCCTTTTCGTCAATCAAACCAGCCGACGAAATCATGTGCATAAATAGTTCACTCGTGGGACAGTTCATCATATCTATCGCTTTCAAATATGTCAACGCTTTTATAGATATCTCTAATTGGTCATCTTTAGAGCCGACGTTCTTTCGAATCGCATACGCTGCTTGTTCGACAAGAAGCGGCCCAAAGAATTCGTCCGAGTTTATACTCATTCCCGTCTCAATTTAACTAACGAGTCTTATTGGCATTGAGATTCAATTAACTCGATTTGATAATGTTCATCTAAAGGTCAAGTTTGCCAAGTAATTGAGTTTGATGATACTCGATATTTGATTTTCGAAATTGATGAAGGATAGATGCCATGTGAAAAAATTTGAAAAATCGATATATTTAAGCAGCTCATCTCGCAGAGAATAAGCATGTTTACAAGACATTTTAGGCCTGTGAAAGAGATTATAAGGTGTTTTCGGAGTTTAGCAAACCCTGTTTATGGATCTTCGGTAAAACAGAAACTGTTTTTGCTCCAATCTCGAAATAAAGTATCTAAAAAGACAGGCGATGAGCTGAAAAGACAGGCAGAACGACGAGCAATTCAAGCCAAACGAGCCAATAAACGACCATATTCGAAGCAAAAAGCTCAACATATTCTGAAACTGAAGCATGGGATTTCTCCAAGCGAATTGTCGGTGGCACAACTTGGTCCAACAAGCAAATCTGATCTGCGGTATCTGACATTGACGCGCGATAAAAGAATGTTGTACACGCTTTTGGGTGTGACCGGGTCTCAATTGAGAGATTCGAAATTGGTAGCTGGAGATGTGGAGAAATTTCTGAGGCGAGGACAATTAGAAAAGGCGATTTTCCTGGCGAGACTTGCGCACAAGCGAGGTGTTGTAGGCATGAATTTGATCTTGGAATATGTATGCAAGAATATGAACGACGGTGGCGGTGCGATCGATTTATACAATTGGAGGAAGAAATGGGGCATAGAATTGAATGAATTTACCAACACCGTGCTATTCAGTGGTCTCGCTAATCTTGTAGAGCCCTTAAGCGATAAACAAGCACGTAGGGTATTCAGAATTGCTCAGCTTTTGATAGAAAAAGACCAGATGAATCAAATTGAGTTTAACGCGGCGCTCAAGGCTCTTTCAAACTCTATCAATGTGGAACGGGTTTTTGAGCTCTTCGAGCTCAAGCCGAAGACGATCCACGGGGACAAGATGACTTACCAGACCCTTTTAACCGCTTTGAAAAGGACACAGTTAGAGAAAGTAACCAGAGCGAATATTTTGATGGCAAAAATTCCACCAAAACTGATTGATTTCAGAATTGCTCTCGAATATTGCAGGATATGGGGAAGCTATGACGACCGAGATTTTCAAAGAATGGCATTATCTGCTTTGCAAAACTACTTTGCGCTAGGCGAAAAATCATATGCTGCTCTTTTGCCCACTGATAAAAGTCTGCCTCAATTGGCAAAAGTGGCAGGGACTGAGCGCTTTCCAGTCAGAGGCTCTGTGCTCGAAACCTTTATTGAACTATGCTTAAAAACCGAAGAATATGAATTAGCAACTAAAGTGTTCGAGAATTGGAAATCTAAGAATGAAAGGGTGCTCACTTGTCGTGTTTATGAGCTTATGATTAATGTGACTATCCGATCCCAGCCCAATTCATGCACGAAGAAAGTCTTGGAGTTGTTTGAAGCCCTGGATTCTCGTTTTCGAGAGAACAAGAGCGGTCTTATTCTTGTTTACAAGGCCTTTGAGAGGCAGGCCGCGAGGAAATTTACAAATGGCAATGAAGCTAGGTTGGAGGTTCTTCTCTCCGATCTACAAAATTTTGCATCAAGTATGGAGTCTTACCACGGCGCGGATATCAACGCCGAGGTATTACAGTGGAAAGTTTGGCTTTACTACTGGAAAATTGTGAACAGTGGGAATACTTTGGGGAAAATTTGCTTGACGCGCGCCAAATTCATCCTTGATCAATTCATTAATACCGTTCTTTCTGGACAGATTGAGCTCAAAAAAAGGTCTGAAGCTGATCATGGAGGTTTGCGTCATATTGAACTTGAATCTGTGAGATTTATTAGCGCATTTGCCGACAGATTTAGGGTGCAGGATCTCGACAACGTAAATCAGGATGGTGCTGAAAGAGAGTGTTTTCTTTTCAGAAGATCACTTTTACGCTTAAAGACACTTTTACTGGAGCACCTCCGAGTCATTGAGGGAAAAATCCAAGATGTCTCTGAGTTAGAATGTTCTATAAACCAGTGCTGTGTCCGGCTCAGAGCCATGCCAGTACCTCCGGTACCTGTCAAAGTGGAATCGTCCAATGTTAATAAAATCTAATGTAGCGAAACTGAAGTCATTCTGCAGAGGTGTACAGATATATGGTTATAATGAATTTCTTTCTTAGATACGGGAATATGAGACTATGTGCAAGGGCAAAGGACTTGTGAACTTAAAGGCCTGTCAACTGGCTGAAAAAGGTCTTCATTTTCTTAAGCCATTGTATGTATTCTTTGTTCTCTTTGAACTCGGAGTAAGAACCAATGAACGACGCAAGCTCTTCGGTGACACCTCTACTTTCCAGGTAAACCTCGACAGATTCCTGTAGCTCTTCGTCGAGGTTAGAGAAAGGTGGACCGTGATAGACAAGTTCGCGTGCGACTTCTGCTTCAGCACTCTCGTTCAAAGCGGCGTTGGCGCTGGTGTGAGGAGTAACGCTGTCGACGAAGAAGGTACCCTCTTGCAAGTTCATGAGCAAATCGAACGAGAGAGCGGATTGATCAGCGTCCTTGACAACGACCACGTTAACATTCGCAAAATTGTCGGACATGCTATCAAAGTCCTCTTCCTCGGAGGGTGTTGTCTCGGACTCCATAGCCGCTGTGTCGTAGGGCAAATTTGCTACCTGTGCAACGTCGAAAAACACACGCACGGTTTCCCCGTCGGTAGTCTTTTTCGTCACCTCGGTAATATTTTTGCCAGCAGATTCAACAACACTAAACTCATTTTTCTGCAAAAACGATTCAATGGCTTCTGGAAGAGCTTTCACGGCCTCTTCGGTTTCCAGAGCTATCTCGCTTTCTAGAACGCGAGCAACTCTCTCGCTTTGCTGGTTGTAGCGGGCAGCAGAAACGTGTAGCGATCTGGCAGGACCAGTAAGAGCGTAGCGGGCCATCGTGGAAGGGCGTGCGAATCGATGCGACGACTGCGAGCCAATTTGAGCCACTCTCAGCAGAGTGCGAGTAAACATACGAGAAGACATTTTTCTAGTATTGATGATCGGGGACCGGGTAGTAGTGGCGAGGCACACCTAGTATTCTGTGAATCCGAGTGATCGATGGCGAAGCGGTATGAGGTCAACTTACAAATTTTACTGAAGACTGAAGTCATTTAAAACGGCTTAGCTTCTTGCATTAGGTAGAGGGAAATCGCCAAGTCAATTTTTTCCTCTAGCCGGACGAAGCCGTGTAGCGAGCGGGTCGAGTTTGTGTTTAGAGTATCTAACGCGGCTAAAGCTTGTTGATCAAATATCCTAAGTAGATCAGGACTAGCAATTCTTCAGCTCCTTGAACTTACGGAGGCTTTAAATTGGCAGAACTTTGCTATCTGTCGGCTTTTGAGGACATCCAGAGATCTTCGAAGCACTTTTGAGATCCAATGGTGGGGATTCAATTTTCGAAAACTAACTAGGTTCCATCACATAAGGTTTTCAGGAATTGTTAAGGTGCCGGAATCTGGACCCTTCGAACTAAGGAAAAACCTGACAACTAGCGCAGAAGAAATAAAACAATGCCGACCTCAGGCAGCTCGATCAATGCTTTTTGGAGAATTCAAAAAAATGAATATGCAATTTATACTTGAGGCGATTTGGTTTCAATTAGTCGTTTGATGCGTCACCGGTCTTTTTGGCTAGTGAAAGCAATTGTTCTTGTAGCAAAGTTTCGATGTCTGGCAAGGGCTTCACAGGGCTCTTAGAATCCCCGTAAAACTGTGAGAGCGTTACGACCTTCAAAAAGTGCAATCTTTTTTCGTCACTTTTAAGTTTTTCTTTCTGGAAGTCTAATCTTTCCCTTTCGAGCTTTAATTTCTCTCTCTCAAGCTGCAATTTCTCTCTCTCAAGCTGCAATTTGTCCTTTTCAAGCTGCAACTCGTCCCTGCTCAACTGCAATTTGTCCCTCTCAATTGGAACCATAGTTTCTTGGACGACTATTTCCCTCTCTCGTAATCGAACTCGCACATCTTCTTGTTCATGCTGATTTTGCATTGACTGGTTTAAAAGCGTTGCAAAATTTCCAGTGGAGGCCGCTGCGTCAAAAGACAACGGTCTCAAAAGTGCATCTACCACGGTTGCCACCGCGCGAAGACTTGGCATCGGCGTTTCTGAAATTGCCTTAGAATCGAGAGCATTGGCGTCATGCACCCGAGATAAAGAGCCGTCGAAATCTGAATCGTCAATCTTCTTCGCAAGTCGAGGAGGGCCATCATTGCTTATCGTTCGACCGATACTATTTTTGCGATTCTGGCGCTCTATTTCTTGTTTTTGAAGTAATATTCTCTGCTTGTCCGCTTTATTCTTCAACCTTGTGAGATCTTCCAAAATACGATCTATCTTGTCAACACCTGTCATGGAGAAAGGGATTTTTTTGTCACCGGTCGTGCTGGTATAAATTTTGGCGTGCGCGCCATCTAACAAATATTTGAAACGAGTCTTGAGCTGTGCCTCGGTGGGAATAATCTTGTCTTCGAATGGCATTGACATCAAAAGGTTGTACAAGACACAGCACCATTTAAGGGACATCAAACTGCTCTGTTCTAGTTTGGGAGAAGAATTGTTTCGCAGATTTTCAAACCCCAGAAACGGACCTATTTCATAACAATTCTTGAGCAGATAATAGGTAGAGATGCTGTTCCATTTGTACTTGTACTCTTTGCCGTCCTCTATAGATTTGTAGTTGTTCGCTTGGATCAATTTTCGCATGGTTTTTGTCAATTTTGAACAAGCCGCCTTGGGGTTTCGGATAGTTGAAAGCTCCTCCCTGATAATCGCAGCATGAAAATGGTTCAAGAACAGCTGCCTTTGTTCCATTCTGCCAGGGGCTGTGTCGGTGAGCGGTGGATCGATGGCAGGGGTTGGCTCCGTGTCTGTGCCAGGAGGGCTGCTCGAAACCGAAATCGAAGACTCTAAGTGAGTAGAATTGCCTAAGGGTGGCAAGCCCGAGGTTTCGCCGCTTTGGCTAGCTCCAGCGTCACCCATGGTCTGTTGTTGTTTTCAATGGGCTTCGACGATATGTTTGGACCGCGTAAATGGAACTTACGCGTTTGGTAACCTTTTGGGAACGCCAGAGGCTAATACTTGACGCACTTCAGACGTTGCTTTGTCGAGGCGGACGTCAGCTCTTCCGTACGTAGTGCTTAGATGTTCGAACTATGCACGAGATCACGTGACCCCGTATCTCGGCAGCCGGCGCATTGTGCCATTTGAGTAGCCCGTGAAGGGACCTTGGCGGCAAAGCATTCAGGGCCATGCATGGTGGTGGCATTCGCACGGCTCCTGGGCGAACCGCATTCTTGCGCTATTCTGTCACGGTGGTCACGTGACATGGTCCGACATGACGTCAGCTGCCGAATTTCGGGAAACTAAAGTTATGAACTCTTGATTTGACTGCAAGGGTGACGGAAGTCGCCGACTGAATCACTGATAGCGCCAGTGACCCAGTCACCTACAGAAGTCTTTTCTGTAATGCAGTGCACCCCGTGCGATATTCATGCTCTGCCTCTCCGGGGCTGACTAACCCAAAAAACGCAACTCAATCACTGCTTAGCTAATTACGCCCAAGGAGTATTTGCCTAGGTTACCGCCTACGTACAAAGTGACATCTCGTCTCCCCCATCCTAACTCGGTAAACCAGACCGACATCTGGGGCAACCGCGTCACGTCTCGGATGTACAGTCTGCTGCCCAGTCTGCTGCCCAGTCTGCTGCCCCTGCGTTTCTGGAAGTCTCGTGCTCGTATTTAGTCCCTATGTGCTGCCTAGCCAGGTGTCTAGCCCCGGCACTTGGCCCACGCCAAGTGCCAAGCCCGTTTTTCTCTTCAGAACTCAGCGCCGAGAACCAGGTGATGGCTCGAGTCCCCTTTTTCCTTTGCCCGTGCGCAACGGGCCATTACGAAACCCCGACCATGCGTTGTCTTTCGGCCGGTTCTCGGCGTGCGGCGGAAAAAAATTATTCCATTTTTACCCAGACGCCTACGAGAGACGCGGCTGCTGGCAGCCGCGTCGTCACGTCTAGAACCAAGACGCGCGATAAGTGACATATTCTCGACCCATTTCCAGGGCCGACGGTAGAGACGGCATCTAGGAGGCGGGCAAATGAACGTGAACGTAAGGTGAACCTAGCAGAAACCGCATGGACACCGCATGGACACTGCATGGAAAGCGCACGAAAGCCGAAAGGGAGCCAAACACAGGGGTCGCACAAATCCAGTATATCAGTATCTTAGTAGCACTTGTCTATATATCGCTTACAAGGTCATAGGCCCGGCTCGAAGAGCGTGGATCTGCATGAAAAAGTAACAAGCAACTGCCGGCTGCCATTGTGAAAAAGCATCTCAAAACCAAAATAAAAAAACCGGCCAGAGAGCCTGCGCTGAGTGAAGAAAAAAGCACAAGAAGGCCGTTTAGGAGTCTGAACGTCCACTTGGATCCCGGATTCAACTACAATTTGCGTACAGAATGTGTGGCACGAGCCACCCGCTGACGTGCTCGACGGCGTCGCCCGTCAGGCAGGGTTCGGGCCATGTGATACATCGGCGAGCCACGTCGGCCCTGGGCACGGGCGGTTCTGCCGCCTGGAGCCCTGTCGAGGACGTCGGCCAGCGGCCGGCGTTCAAGGCCGGTGCGCTGGAAACCCGGGCGCAAGCGCCCGGGTTCCTGCTTCGGTCCAACAGCATACCGTCGCTGCCGACGCTCAGAACGAAGGAAACGCGCCTGCCCAAGCCCATAGGGTGTGAGCTGGTTTCCGGCGCAGCCCTTGCGCAGAAAGTGTCGACGACGAGGGCGTCGACACTGCTCGTGGTCGACATCAGGCCGTTCGTGGACTACTCACGCGGAACGATCCGTGGCTCGCTGCACGTGTCGTTGCCTTCGACGCTTATGCGTCGTAAAACGTTCACACTGGAACGACTCATTGGGAACCTGCCAGATCACGTGCGCGCCGGTGTCAGCCGCACGTTGCTGGAGCGCGACGACTGCTCGGACGTCGAAGTCGTCATCTTCGACAACACGTCCCACCAGACTGCCGGCGCGATCAGCGCTGCGTGCCACGGCATGGCGTCCAAATTCCTGCAGTGCGAACGCTGGGCGGCCGTACGGCCGCCCCGCGTCGCTGTCCTTGAGTGCGGATTTGTTCAGTTCCGTGAACTTGCAGCGGGCCAGGATCTGGGCGAAAGTCTCGTCGAAGAGCCCGCGGTTGTGGCCAATTCTCCGTCTCCCACGGGCTCGCAAGGCAGCCAGGGCCGTTCCGCCCAACTCAGCGACTCCGACCTTGTGAGTCCGTTTTCGTCGTCTCCGCTGGCCAGACCGCGCATGAACAGCATTTTCAGATCTACCTCCTGCATAGCAGAACCTCCCAGCATGCCCTCGTCGTTCTGCGAGTCGCCTGTGTCTTCATGCTCTCCCGTGTCCACGCTGTTCAAATTTCAACTCCCCTCCGCCAGCGAATGCCCGCCAAATTTCAAGCTCCCGCAAAGCGAAGAGATCAACAAGCTCGAAGATTACATCAGCGCGGTCAATATATGCGAATACAAGGACAAAGACAACGTTTCGACTCCTTTTCCCTCTACACAATTGCATGCGTTCCAATTCCCGCCCTCCGGCCCTCCAAACACAAGCAAAACCGAAGACAAATTGGCATTTCAACGGAAATACGACAGTATATGCGCTTCTGCCGACAAAGGCGGCGATGCATTCAAAGACGCCGTACCGCGTTGGTTCAAATTGCTAGTAAACGCTTCAAAAGTTGACTTGATAGCTCAATATCAAAAGATAGACTTGTTAGAAAAGAGGCGCCTCAGTCAGTGTCTGAGCAAGAACAAGGCTACGACCTTCGAATTTTGCCCGTCACACCTGGAAAACGACTCATCTGGCAGCGAATTTTCTTTCCAAAAGAGAACAGAGTCGTGTCCTTCGGAATGGCTAGATTATTACGATTCAGATGAGGAGGATAAAATAGTTCGCGTCTCGTCTGGTGTTGAACTCGGCTCCAAGAACAGGTACAAGGACATTTTCCCCTTTGAACATTCGAGGGTAATTTTAAAGAAAAAGGACACGCGGCACGACGATATATGCGATAACTATATCAACGCCAATTACTTGGTCAATCCTTTTGCCAGACTTCAGGCCCCCTCGGGACAGGATCATCCCAATGTTCGTTATATTGCTACTCAAGCACCGTTGGCAAGCACTACGCATGATTTCTATACTTGCATTATCAATAATGGTGTACCCTTGATATTGTCACTAACAGACGAGTTTGAAAACGGTATAGAGAAATGCTTCCGATTTTGGGCAGAAGGCAACTACGACGGTATTCATGTGAAAATGCTTGAGGAGACAGGTCTACCCCCGACGTCCTCCAAGGAGAAAGGGGACGATGGGAATGTGATCATCAGAAGAATTCAGTTAACGTATGACGTTGGGGAGTCATATGAAGTAATGCAAATACAGGTTAAAAACTGGCCTGATTTTGGCACTCTGGTAGAGCCTCATGAAATCCTGAGAGTAATAAATCTCAAAAATTTTGCCATAGGGGAACTCTATAGGGCTGGCGCCTATGACTCGCATGAATCGCCAACCATCCTTGTACACTGTTCTGCTGGTTGTGGCAGAACAGGCACATTTTGCGCTCTAGATTCCACACTTTCTAATATGTCCAAGCTTGACTCTTTGGAGGCCGCGTGGTCAGAAAGGAAAAACGATAAGCAGAAAGCATTTTTCATCACTTCCCCAAAATCAGCTTGTCTAAACGCTAAAGTTTTTGATCCAGTTAGCATTACCATCAACAGCTTCAGAAAACAAAGAATCGCTATGGTTCAAAATGTCAATCAGTATCTGTTTATCTTTGATTGTCTACTAGCGTACTTCAGGCTAAAGCTGGGAATGGCGACCTCTTCCGGTACAGATAGCTGGAAGTTGATGACAGAGGAAAATAGACAATTGGACACAGTGAGACATTTTTTGGACAGCAAGATCGAATGAGGAGATATTCGACTCACCGAGATCCTCCCTCTATATCTTCCATTCAATCTCACAAATCAGTTTGCATTGAAAGACTGCATTAAAGTACTAATGATTTAATTCGTATTTGATTTTTAGCACAACTAATAAACTCTAATATTTTTACATCTCGTTCTCTTGATTGGCCAAGTCAATTCCGTTGACTTAGATACTCAGCCGAGAAGTAGCTCATATCCAATTACCAAAATATTGATCCCAATGAGAGGTACTGCGGTTGATTTTCGTTAGTTTTGCAAATTCTTTCTGGACTTGCAATCCATCGAGGGGGTTTCATCGTAACTTACTTCTCAATAACGTCTGCACTGCACTTATAAGCTGAACAACTTTAGATTTGGCAGTATTTTCTTGCTGTCCGAAAACAGCACCCTGATTTGAACCTGCAACGAGTCCAACTGGTTGAGATCATTGTTAGTATTGTGCTAACTGTCACTGCTGTCTCTAAGATTCATACTTCTTCTTAAGAATCGTTCTTCGCTCAAAACTGCGACAGCATTGATGAGCAGAAGCACCACATAGAATAACCTTCCTAAACCAAAGATCATGTCTACGTGTTCTTGCTCTACCGTCTATTGAAAGGTGGTCAAGCCCGCGTTATCGTCTTACGTATGGTAACTTTTGGTAAAATTCCATAATATTTGAATACGACGAAATGTGGTAAACAGATACGACAACACAGTTTGTTCAAGTTGAACGTCCGGATGAAAGTCTAACGTAAATTGATTAATGTAGATGGAGCAGTCGATATGACGCTCCTGATATAAAAACACAATATAAAAGGTAGTATTTTTAAACCAAAGTGATGGTGAATGAAGCCACTTTAGTCGGCGTTACGACGAGCAACCTTCTTGGCCAATCTCTTACCAGTACCGAAGACCTTCTTGTCTCTGTTCTTTCTTTGCTTTCTTTGTTGTCTGGAAGGCTTCTCAACCTTCTCAGCCATACCGTATCTGACCAATCTGTAAGCTGGCTCGAATTTCTTGGCGTCAGCAACAGAGTTGTAGATCAAACCGAAACCGATAGACTTGCCACCACCGAACTGGGTTCTGAAACCGAAGACAGAGACGGCGTCCTTGTCGGCCTTGTAGATCTCGGACAACTTTTCACGCAACTCGTCCTTGGAGACGTTGGCTCTGTTTGGATGCAAAACGTCGACGACAAATTGCTTTCTAGCCAACAATGGGTTGGTGATCACCTTTCTGGTACGGATAGTGATAGCGTCAGACTGTGACATAGTTAGTATAAGATTCCACGAATACGGATGGGGGAAGTGGGACAGCGGGGGTCACGGTGGGATTTGGATTCTTGATCTTGACGTGCGCTGCAATTCCAGTGGTCACGCTGCACCCGTAATTCATCCTCTCATTCACGGTGCCGACTCCACGACATAAACCCAACTTGGCAGCTTTTCGCAGCTATTTCGTATCTTTCGCAGCCACGACCTGCGACCATAACCAAAACGTATTTCGCCATCGCTATCCCATCACTCTGCTTGTACTCCAGTGTTCACATACCATCCTGTTTAGCCTCTGTACTTCTTGAAGGTCTCTATAGTACCAAAACGCCCTGTGTGCTTTTAGGTATATGATGCTTGAAAAAGTTCACCACTGCTGCGCGCGCCGCGACTCAGGTCCAGCGGGCACTCCGGCACGCTAGAGAGAACTCCCGCACGGACACCAGCCTGGCCGACGCGGGTGGGGCTCTGGGCAGAGACGGGCAGAGCCGTGTGCGTGGGGGGGAGGACGAAGTCGCCCGTCGGTGCGCGAGCGTGCCAACAACCGCTGTCCTGGCACGCAGGACTTGCGGCTGTTGCCCACTTCTCTGTGACAGAAGTAAAAACGCATTCGACAAACCTAATGTCTATAATGTATGGGTGTCTGTCTCCATAAAAATTCCAATAACACCCTTATGTATGGGTGTACAGTACAACGTGGAAATAAAGCGGGGGTGGGAAAAAAGTCACTCGCCAGCTAGCGTACTCGTCTATGCAGACCCGACACCGGGACGTTTACTATACACTTTATTTTTCGTCCTGTAGAATACGTATTACACAACCCCTCGTTCGTTCTATTTCTCGACAGCCTCGATCGCCATGCGCACGGCCTTCACCTGCGTGTAGTTGTCGAGCGCCTCGGCACCCATCTCACGGCCAATACCGGACTGTCCGAACCCACCGAAGGGCACGCTCTCGTGGAAGTTGTTGTAGGTGTTGATCCATACGGTTCCGGCCTTGATTCTGTTGGAAACGTTGATGGCTTTGTTGACGTCACGTGTGTGGATACCGGCGGCTAGTCCGTACTCGGAGTCGTTGGCCATCGAAATCACCTCGTCCACAGTTGAGAACTTGGAGACGGTCACGACGGGGCCAAAGATCTCCTCACGGACGATACGCATGTCCTCGCGCACGTCTGCGAAAATGGTAGGCTTCACGAAGTAGCCGCGGTCGCCCGAACGGACACCGCCGCTCACAACCCGTGCACCTTCATTTTCTCCGATACCGACGTATTCCAAGATCTTGTCCATTTGGACCTGGGAGGTCTGGGCGCCCTGGAACACACCATCTTCGAATGGGTTGCCGACCTTCAAACCCTCGGCATATTCCCTGAAGCGCTCCAAGACTTCCTCGTAGACGGTGTCCTGCACGTAGACACGGGATCCAGCGCAGCACACTTCGCCCGAGTTGTAGAAAATACCAAATGCGATGTTGCGCACGGCCTTGTCTAGGTCCGCGTCACCAAAGACGATGTTAGGGGACTTGCCGCCGAGCTCCAGAGTGACTTTCTTCACGGTTTCTGCGGCGGCTTTCATGATGTGACGGCCGGTTGCCGTTGATCCGGTAAAAGCAATTTTGCTGACTTTGGGGTGAGCGCATAGCCGCTCACCGACGATCTTTCCAAATCCGGGAATAATGTTGACGACACCTGCGGGGATGCCGGCTTCGCTGACGAGCTGGGCGGCGTAAAGCGCAGAAAGGGGCGTAGCCTCGGCGGGCTTCAAAACGACGGTGTTACCGGTTGCGAGTGCGGGGCCGATTTTCCACGACCACATCAGTAGCGGGAAGTTCCAGGGGATGATCTGGCCGCAGACGCCGAGCGGCTCGCGGCGGGTGTAAGAGAAGTGATCCGTTCCGGTCTCGATGACACGGCCGAAAAGCTTGTCGGCCCAGCCGGCGCAAGAGCGGAGATAGCGGGACACGAGCGCGACGTCGCCGCGCGAGCACAGCAAAGACTTACCGTTGTCTAGAGACTCGATGCCTGCGAGCGTTTCTGCGTCGCGCTCGATGAGGTCAGCAAGGCGGTACAGGCAGCGGGCCCGGAAAGCCGGGTCCGCGACAGACCATTCGTTGTCGAAGGCACGACGCGCGGCTGCGACGGCGAGGTCGACGTCGTCCTCACGTGCTTCGTACACGTGGGTGACCACGTCCTCGGTGGAAGGGTCTAGAACCTCGAAGGTCTTGTGCTGGTGGGAGGCCACGAACTGGCCGTCGATGAAAAGACCCGTGGGCTGGTTGTAAGAGATGCCGTTGGGCAGCGAGATGGGCACGCGCAGGGGCGCCTGTGAGTAGGCGCGAACGGCACGCTGTGCGCACAGTGGAATTGCACGGCGGAGCGCGGTCACGTGTGCCGCCGTGTAGTGGGGGACGGAGAGCATCTTAGAAGTTGGAGAGCAGTCGTGTTTCGGGTTCCGTGAAACGCGAGAGATCCTTTGTACCGAGCAGAAAACCCCAAAATCTCGAGCCTCGAGGACGAAATGAAATTGTCCGTCTTATAGTCTGCACTCGAAGAGCTCGAAGCGCTGCAAGCGCTTCGAGCTGCGGCTCCGTGGCCGCGGAGCGGCCTCGGAGCGGGTGGAGCGGCCGGACGCGGCAGCACCAGGGCCCAGCGGGTGAAAGCTGGTACACCCGCTCGTACCTCCGGCAGTGAACGTAAGGCGGGGAAATCTGGCATTTAGGCTGGTAAACCGAGAACCGGCTCAATTCCCGATCGGGCATTGGCTGGTGGAGCGGGGTTGTGCGCGCAGGCGGGCACGGCGATGCGCTTTCAACAGGAATTTGTAATCTGAGAAGAGGGGCTTTCCAGAAGGCAGGGTGCACGGGTTGTGCAAATGCGGTACGGGCGTCAGGGTGAGGGGTAGCTGAGTGGCTTGGGCTGTTCTGGCACGGGTTGGTAGTAATTCGTATGAGGTGATATGCTATTACGTATTTTTTCCTGTTGGGTTCCTGCGGAGCTGAGAGCGGGGGAGGGAAGCTCTGCCATCTGCCGAGGTGTATGGGTCAGAGGGGGTTTTACGTCAGAGGAGTTGGACGGGGAAAAAGGGGGGCGTTATGTGATTCGGACTTAAGCATGCGGACTTTAGGCGTAGCTGGTCCGTAGGGCCTGGCCGAATTGATTCTGAATTCTGATACCAATGACCGGGTAAGGTTTTTGTTCTCAGCGAGTAGAGGACATCGTCACGAAATTTATGTTTTTTGTAGTTAACATGACATTCGGCCACAAGAGCCTGGACGGACATTTTCGACGCGTGCGAGCTCCGTGACCCGTCGCGAGCCATAGTATCTATGAATTGTGCCACCTTTATTCGAAACGAAAATACAAATTAAACTATCTAACAAGCGCTTGGCGGCCTCCACCGTCCGGCCCGGCCTTGCGATCCACGTCCCGCGCGTAGGCGACGTATGCGAGTTTTTCGGTCCTTGCAGGAAGCGCAGTCTATACAACGATATCGGCTAGAAATCGCGTCATTGGTATTTGATTCTGAGGATAAAGTTGACAACAACGGCTATCAACAGCGAGAAACACAACACCGTAGGCCCCAGTCTGTCGTCGTATGGGCCCGAGCCTCTGCGTCTGATGGCAGACGCTCTCCAGTGGTACGTGACCAGGGCGTAGACCATGGTAGCCATCGCGACAAGCGTGAAAAGACCCGCACTGATTTGGCCCACCTTGTCGCCAAAGTTCAGCAAACCTATTCCCAGGCCTCCAAGGGTAACTGTGAAGTTCAGCCAAGACAGAAAAGTACGTTCATTGGCGAAAAAAACTTTGGGCTCGACTCTCGTAGGCAGCGCGATCTTCTTGCCGGGAGCCTTTTGAAGTAACGGAGCGCTCGACATTTCTGTTTGGCGGTCTTGGATGCTACTTTAGCCAAGTAAAACCTGCTGCTCTCATTAATTAACGTTCCATTGGGCTTCTTTAAAGGCTTTTTTTTCTCCTAGGGGCGGGTACATTAAACGTCCACGTGGTGGATCTTATTTAGCATGAATGATTTTCAAAGGAAGAAGTCATGTTGTACGGTGGATCTGGGTTGTTCTCATGGGGCTGAACATCAAGGTCTTGCCTAAATGCCCCAGTGATTCGGGAAGTAGATGCTGATCCTATCTTTAATTCATGGCTCCCCTAGCCACTGGATTCTGTATTCACTTGACGACACGTTTAATTCATTTCAGGGCCACGTGACTATACATATAATCGTAATGTACGAAATGATTTCTGAACGAGTTACACGTGATACAAGTATAGTCATAAGGTACGACAAAACTCAGTTCCATCAGTTCCTACTCTTTAGTGCTAACAGAATAAGAATGGCTAAACGCTGCCAGCGATTTCCGAATTGGTGGATAATATGCACGTTTAGACTTTGAGGTGCAACAAGCCACTGCTTGATCTGCGTATTTTCTGTATTTTCACATCCAGCATCACGTTATACGAGGAGAATCTGCTTGCGTCAGTATCGCTAGTAAAAGATCTTGCTAGTCCAGAGAAATATGACGAGGCATGTGGATCATGCGAAGTGTCATGTTATGGAGAGTTAACCAGTTGATCTGATTCCTAATTGGGCCTCCCTGGAATTGTCGTTCAAAACTCAAATAAATGTATCCGGTTAGTCAAATTCTAATTTATTAATGTATTCCACCTCTGAAGGAAAAGTCCTGTATTATGCAATCCAACTTTGAGAGACACTGATCATGAAACTCACTTTGCAGAATGTTCTAAAGTCGAGATTTGTACGAGTTCTTCTAGGGTTGTCCCCTTCAAGATCACCTATAACGTCTCCTAAAAAGTCAGTGCTCAGTTCGGGAAGAAACCTTTAAGACTAATCACTTACATACACTTCGCACAGCCTGTACAGCCTGTACAGCCTGCCATGTCTAAAATTGTAGCGGAAAACTCTTTCATTGGCGAACAGAGGCCTTTGGACCTCAATGATTTTGATAAACTGGTCAATGACGCTTTTCACACAAGCGGCGAGTCTGCAAATGCTGGCACAGTAACGGAATCTATTCTGGAAAATCTCACCAAAGCTTCATCTGCTCACAAGTTCGTGGTTTCTATCACAAGTATAACCCAGGAACTTTTAGACAAGCCCGCCAGCCAACCCACGATCGAGAACTTTGTTGGTGGCTCTTGGGATAAGGCCAAAGACGGCCTCTATAGTACGAGAATTGAAAAAGACCAAGCGACGTTCCTTGTTACGGTCATCTGGCTTGCCAAATAAATGGCTGAATTATGCAAAGGGAAGGTTTTATCTAAAATGCCTTGAAGCGGCTAATGTAAGTTGGAAGGCGGTCCTCGCTACGGATCTGCGACAACCTCTGCGGTGCGGCGAGAATTCTTTGGGCAGTGCTTGAAATAGAGCGTAGTGCCGAAGAGTCGATATCCTTACGACATTTCAAAACCGCCGACAAAAATGATACTGGACAGTCCCAATAAAACTCCAAGAACTGTGTCCAGGTCTCTAAAATTGAGTCGCTAGGCCCGCAGCTGAAGTCCATGAAAAACTCCATCAGTTTGAATTTCTCATCGATAATGCCATGTTCTTCCTCTGGTACGAATTGCGCAAACAGCTTGTAAAACACTTCAAAATCGCGCTTCATGCAATCCAAAAACTTGTTGTTTTTATTTTTGAAAGAGTGCTCGTACTTTAAGCACTCCAAGAACGTTAATATAGTTTCTTCAACCACGTTTTCCACTAGCGTGGAATAAACGAAGGGGTTCATTTGTTCTCTTATGTCCCCAAGGTACTCGAAAAGGGTATCGGCAATTTGTTGTGCCTGATTTCCGGAGTACCAACTTTTGCCAAATATTTGGGAGAAAGGTGTACGCAAATCGTCAAACATAAGAGATATCAGGCCGGACGTGCCCGATTTTGCAACATCTGCAAAACCATCAAGAGTATGCTCAATGCTATTGGAGATAGTCTTTTCATGAACTTTTGAAACCATAGCACCCGATCTCTGTGACAGAGCCACTGCGTAATCCGCAGCACGCATTTGATCATTTGCTACTGCTATCAGATATTCAACCAAACCACCAGCCGGCGCGTCTATTCCTCCCACCAGTTCTGGATCTTTTTCAATTCTTTGATTGTAGGAAACCGATTTGCTGACCTCAGACGCTATGGCCCCCTTCCATTTCTCTTGTCTATCACCCAAAATTTTACAAAAGCTGTCGATAACGCCAACCAAAATTTTGGCCTGGCCGGAGCCAGCGGCCACCTCAACCTGCTGTGAAAACATCTGGAAACAGGTCTTCGTTCCGTCCAAAAAGAGGAGGCCCTCGGAATCCACATGAGGAGGAGTCGTTCTTTCGACAAATATTGTCATTTCGGAATCCACCAGATTCGTAATCCATTCCTTCATTTTCGAAACAATCAAGTTCAGATAGTCTTCAAAAAGCTTTTCCTTTTGTTTATCCCCAATGACGCTTTTAAGATCCTCTTTTTTGAAACCGAATTCCTTTCTGAGATTGGCCTGGAAAGTCTTATCATAATCCAAAATGTCTAAAATTACTAATGTCTCGGGCTCAGCATTCACCAGGCCTGTAATGAGGTTGTGTAATTCTCTATAATAGGCGTCGAAAAACACATCAAAAAGTTTCCAATTCTCTGGACAAAGTTCGCACAGATGACTTTTTACTATAAGTAGCTCATTTATCACCCAGTCAAGATTGTTGAGTACTTCAAACTTCTTTTCACCATCATAAGTCTTTCTGACTTCAACAAACATCTCAGAAATCGATCTATCGATGGTACTGAAAAAAAGGTCCCTAAAACCACGCTCATTGACTCTTGTTTGAATCGTTCCAACCATAATTTCTTGCGCCAGCGCTGCTGATGTAGGGTATTCTTCATTTTTGCCCCCCAGACTACTGTCCATATTTTCATAATTGTTGGGGAGCTTTTTCATTCTTTTGGCCTCTAACTCTCGTTCTTTGGTAGCTATGATGTTTCGTATGGCCATTATTTTCATGTCTTCCCTTTCTTCTTTTTCTACAATCTTAAAGAGTCGAATAAGGAGTGATTTATTTTCGGTTCGGACCGCTTCAACGAGATCATAAATGATATCCTTAAACAGTCCTCGAAATTTCTCAACAAGGTCTGGAAGCCGGGTGAAAACTCTTTGCATCGTTCTTTGAACATCGTCGCTAGAGATCCTTGCCAGAACCTGCGATTGATCTTGAAAATCGCACGCCATTGTCAGGGTGATATGCAATTGAAGGAGCCCGGGAACTCCTGTTTCGAGGATGTCCCTCCCTGTCTCTTCCATTAGCAACTGCTCAATGTTCTCTAGGAGCTTGTTGAAATGCAAAATCTTTTCATAAAATAATGTCGTTTTTTCAATCAATTCGTGGATCGTCGTTACACTATTAATTATCTCATAATGCTTGATTGACGATTTGTTTTCTTTGCTCAATTGCCTCACTTCCTTCAAGTTATTTTTAAGCGACTTCACATTAAGCTGTGCCTGCTTTATATCATCAATACCCGATAGGATAGTACTGAATTGCTTCTTTGATTGTTTGTCTAGTTGGTAATCAACCGTCGACTTCTCTTTAATTAACACATTCTTTACCTCCGCGAGCAGCTCCAACGTCGGCTCTCCCTTGATTAGCTCCGAAACTTTGTTAACAGCATAATCAGTCATATCTCGAGACCTTAAAGCCTTATCTCGACCATGGTCAAGTGGGTCCGTTTTCCTTCAAAATTAGAACTTTCAATCTTTGAGAATCCGCAAACGAAATTGGTAATGAACTCTTCGTTATATGTGATAAGAACTAATGAAGCTCATCGTCTAGTCATCATTTTATCTCGTAACACCGTTAGCGGACTCAATCCAAGGGCCATTAGGCCATGTTAAAACTGCTGCGCTTGTGTAATCTCCATGTTGTTCTGTAGATTTTTCTGTATTTGCCCTTGCAACTCTTAGGTACAACTTGACCTGCTCCTTTTCGTCGGTAGCTTGCTTGAGCAACGATGAAAAAGCGACGTCCTGTTCTATCAAAACATCAAGGTCAACGGTAGTATTTTTCCCGACATATCGCTCAACATCATTTATGAGTAGGGAGTATCCATCAAGGTCGGGCGAAGACGGCCCGGTATTATTAATCGCTTGCCATGCGAGCATGTGAGGTGACTCTGTGTTGTAAAACATTTGCGGGGGATCCGAGGATTCACCTGCTTCGCCACGCAGAAGCGTATGCTTAGTTTCAACAATGCTTGCATAGTCCCAACGGCCAATGCCCGAAATGACAAGACCTAACAAAACTCCTTGAAACAAATAGGCACTGGTTCCTCGAGTAGCGCAACCTGGAATCAAAATCAAGCCTAGAATGTAATGGTGAATCCTCAAGGTTAGTCCCCTCAAAGATGCGAGCAAAGAGAGCGCCAGAATGATTAGAACGTAAATTGTCAGATATTTTCGGAATCTCCCTGATTTCCAAATGGAGTAAGCCTGTATGACAGCACAGATCGCGATCGTAGTAATGATACCGCCCACAGCAGCAGCAGCACCGGCCATCTGCTTTAAATCTTCGACCGCGAGGCGGTCAACGGGAAGTCGATCAAATGTTACATTGTTCATGACGCCAATCCAGAATAATGGCAGCCAACAGATCAATTTGGCAAGCGGAGAGCCATCTTTCAAAGTCCTTCTAATGGCGCACTTCCAGAGCACATATAGTATGAAACAGAATGGGAGCATGCGTTGAAAGGCGGTACTTATCAACTGTGCAAAATCATCAGGATTATGCGGATCGACTACAAAAGGGGGATCTAACGCCATGACGAGCGTCCAATAGCCAACCAGGGAAATAATCCAGTAGCCCACAATACTTTCCGTGAGGTAAAAGACAGGCAAACTCAGCAAAATGTTCACTGCCAACACAGGGATTCTTGGGTCATAAATGCCGCTCATAGTACCACTTGGTGGTTTCTTAAAGATAAAAGATGATGGGAAGGGCGAATCAAACTCGACAGAGTCATCTGTTTGGTATCTCCCACGCTGAGAAGGGAAATTTGTCTGACTCCCATTAAATGATAATCGAGCGCTGCCGCCAAAGAAGGGAGAAATGATACCAGCATGAACCGCTGCACCGCACGGAAATGAGTCTGCTCGATAAGGAAATGATAAAAGCTCATCCGCTTTTCTTTCCCCACCGCCTATGACATATTGTCGATACTTAATGCGCTGATCACCAACCGCAATGGCTGCGTATGTGTAAGCTCCTTGATCGCATAGTGAGGGGCATCTGAAATAAACGTCGGGAGTGTAATCTCCCACAGTAACGCAGTCTTTGGCATCAAGGCCACAGGCATTGTTTTTCCCCGCCCAGCCTAGTTGTGAATTACACTGCAAAGTAACTATCGGGATCTTTTTGCCGTCATGTTCCTGAAACACCGGAGGTTTAACTGAGTAGTAATATATAATACTGCCCGCTAAACTTGCCCAAATGCAGCAATAAACGACCAACATCAGAATTCTAACACTCTTGGAAAGCCGTTTTTGGAATACCTCACAGGGGAAATTCTCAAGCTTCGATGTAAATGACCAGCGATGGGGGAAATTTGGCGGGTCGTCTCTTGGCTCTGCTGGCCCATACCATATAGATCGTAGCATCCTTTTGAAAGTGTTTGATCTCTGCAGTAGAACCCATTGCGCCGAGGTGGGACTTGTTTCTTGATCAAAGGGCGTCCAATCTTTTCCGGTCTCTTGAAAGGACTTCAATTCAAAAGCATTAGCATTATCTTCGGTATTCAAGGCCTTTTTAGCACTACTCATCGCTTCGTCGTCATGATAACTTCGGGGCTGTGGTGATGAATACGGATCGCGACTCATTGGCAACAACAGGAAATTATGGCCTCGAGTTACTAGATGAGATAAAGCTTGAAACGTCAAATCAATGGCAAATACTGAGAGCACGGAAGAGTAGGACTAACGAGGTTAAAGCTCATTACGGCTAGTTTCCCAGAGAGACGTTTGTCGGACTAAGGATTCGTTTGAAACGACAGAAGGTCACCTGACTACTGAAGACAAAGCTTCATATCGTAAGATGGTCAAAGTCGCCCAGCTTCAGCTCGTGCTATTTATTAAACTAAAGTATTGACTTATAGAGCTTGTATTTCGACTGCTGAGATCTGCTATCAGCTAAATTTAACTACATATTTGATATTACCTTCCCCATTTGATGTTTAACAACATTATTTCCCCCATTTCAATTTCAAATAATGAAAAAAGAACGCCTGATAGTGTTAACTAGCCAGAGCACATTTCGCAAGCACCGGGATTATCGATAGCACATGCGATGACCTTGGAATTGTAAATGTCGAAATCGCCTTCGGCTTTTTGATCGCTTTCTTTCTCAGCTGGCTGTGTTTCTGGGGCGGAATTGCTTGGAGTGTTCAACTTACTGTCCTCGATCTTCAAAGATCCTATGCTGTTGGACATGGAAGAATCTATCGAAGATGGAGCCGGTGAGGGATCTCTAGTCTGAGAAGTAAGCTCGAGTTTTGGGGCAGCACCTTCAGTGAAGTTCATAGTTCTCGGGACGTACTTCGCACGGTTTAGGTTATTCAAATCAGCGACGTTGTGAGCAGCCTGCTGTGCGACAGCCTTGTCTATCGTAAACTGAATAGCGGCGGATGCAGCTTGTGTCCGCAGGTAGTACATACCTGTCTTTAGACCCTTTTTCCACCCATAAAAGTGCATACTTGTCAGTTTACCCATCGTAGGAGCGCGGATGTGAATGTTGAGAGATTGCGACTGGTCAATGTAGCAGGCACGGTCGGCAGCCATCTCAATGATAGTCTTTTGGGAAAGTTCCCAAACCGTCTTGTACAGGTCTTTGAGCTCTTGTGGGATGTTTGGCAAGTTTTGAATAGAACCGTTGTCCGAAATAATGTGAGACTTCATGGCTTCGTCCCATACACCAAGGTCAACAAGGTCACGTAGCAAGTATGGGTTGACAATCTGGAACTCACCGGACAGTACACGACGAGAGTACATGTTAGATGTGTAAGGCTCAAAACATTCATTGTTACCCAAAATTTGCGAAGTAGATGCCGTTGGCATTGGCGCTAGCAGGAGCGAATTTCTGATACCATCTTTGACAATCTTGGCCTTGAGGCCATCCCAGTCCCACAAGTCGGTTGGCTTCTTGTTCCACATGTCAAATTGCAAAATACCTTGCGATGCTGGGGACCCCGCAAATGTTTCATAGGGTCCTTCCTTCAAGGCTAGTTCATGCGACGCAGTCAACCCAGCGTGATAAATGGTCTCGAAGATGTGAATGTTCAACTCCTTCGCTTCTTGGGAATCGAAGGGAATACGCAAAAGCATGAAAGCATCGGCAAGACCTTGAACCCCGAGGGCAATTGGTCTATGTCTCATATTAGATTTTCTGGCCGTCTCAACTGGGTAATAGTTACGGTCGATGATTCTGTTCAAATTGTAAGTGACGACCTTTGCAATCTCATGAAGTTTCTCAAAGTTGTACCATTGAGTCTTGCCGTCATCAGATGTTTCGATGAATGCTGGCAAAGAAATAGATGCAAGATTACAGACTGCAGTTTCACCAGGTTCAGAGTACTCAACAATCTCACAGCACAAGTTGGAAGATTTGATGACACCTAAATTCTTTTGGTTAGATTTTCTGTTGCATGCGTCTTTATAAAGCATGAAAGGAGTACCAGTTTCAGTCTGTGCTTCTAAGATAGCGTACCACAGTTTCTGAGCCTTGATGGTCTTTCTACCGCGACCCTCTTGAACGTAACGCTCATATAAAGCCACGAACTCATCGCCATAAACGTCCGCCAATCCTGGCGCCTCGCTTGGAGAAAACAAAGTCCAGTCTCCGTTCTCCTCGACCCTTTTCATAAAAAGATCTGGAATCCATAATGCAGGGAAAAGATCCCGGGCACGGATTTCTTCTTTACCGTGATTCTTCCGGATATCTATAAAGTCAAAAATATCGGAGTGCCATGGCTCCAAATAAATGGCAAAAGCACCAGGTCTTTTGTTACCACCTTGATCGACATAGCGAGCAGTGTTGTTAAAAACACGAATCATAGGAATCAATCCATTGGATGTACCGTTGGTACCGGCGATGTAGGATCCCGTCGACCTGATGTTGTGAATGTGCAATCCGATACCGCCGGCAGTCTTGGAAATCATTGCACACTCTTTCAAAGTATCGTAGATACCCTCGATGGAGTCATCCTTCATGGCGACCAAAAAACAGGACGACATCTGAGGGTGCGGCGTACCAGCGTTGAAAAGGGTTGGCGAGGCATGCGTAAAATATCTGAGGGACATTAGATTGTAAGTCTCGATCACCTTTTCAATATTGGTTCCGTGTATGCCGACGGCAACACGCATGACAAGGTGTTGTGGACGTTCGGCGACCTGACCATTGATTCTCAATAGGTACGAGCGCTCCAGCGTCTTGAACCCGAAATAGTTGTATTGAAAGTCTCTGTCGTAGACGATGGCCGAGTTCAGCTCATCCTTGTGCTCTTGCACGATCTCGTACACCTCCTGGGAAATCATAGGCGAGTGAATTCCGTTTTTAGGGTTCACGTAGTGATACAAATCGCTTACTACCTGGGAAAACTGTTTCGTGGTCTGCTTGTGCAAGTTGGAAATCGCGATTCTCGCAGCCAAAGTGGCATAATCCGGGTGGATCGTTGTCATGTACGCGCACGTCTCGGCTGCCAAATTATCCAGTTCTACGGTCGTAACACCCTCATAGACACCAGAAATGATCCGCTGCGTGATCTTCACGGCGTCCACATGTTTAGGATCCAATCCGTAGCAAAGACGCGATACACGTGCCGTGATCTTGTCGAACTTGACGGGCTCTTGGCGGCCGTCTCTTTTGTAAACGAACATTAGATCCGAGTCAAAAGGGTATGGTGATTGCTATTGAGTCGAAGTAAACTAACTGAATCTTTTGGTCAGTTTAAACCATCATAATCTTGTAGAGATGCCAGATAACTTCTTAAAAGTCTTTCATTTATAGCTAAAAAAATTTTGATTTCGCGTCGCACCCCATTACGCGTCACCTTTGCTGCATCGCGTTTCGCGTAATTGACGCGTAATTTTCTGACTAAAAACAAACGGTTTACGCGTTGTGAATTGCTTTTACAACATTTAGTTTTGCGCTTTAATGAAAAAGACGTTCATGATGATGATGATAATATATATCGCTAAAGACGTAATGAATGTTATGTAATGTGAAAGGAGAAGGTCACGCGATCAAGAGGAAGAAACCGGGCAGGTAGCGCAAGAGCCAGATGAATGGAAGACGAGCTATCGTTCGCGAGCGAACCTTTCTCGAGTTGTGTTTCCAACTCGAATTTTTACTTTCTTTTCGAACGGAAAAGAATTCCGGCAACAGTTGCCGCAGCAGCCACTACCCCACTCGCAATGACAATACCCTTGATACTTTCATTTTGGATCTTGTTCTCAACCATATTTCTCAGAGTTCTAGCTTGCAAATTGTGGGGCTCGTGGGAGCAAAGAGCGTCTGAGTATCGCTTAGCAGTCGAGTATTCACCCAATTTATAGCAACCTATAGTCAAATAGTACAGACATTCCCGCCGACGCATCGAAGACTCCTTGTATATGTCCGTGAGTATCTTGACTCCCAGTCTTTGGTCATCGCGCTCCGATGATTTAATTAATCCCCAGGCGTAATTGAAGCGGGATTGAACCGAGGCTTCGTCTCCACCCTCCGAAAGGACCTGCTGTCTCAAAATGTCCAGTTGCTCACGCGAAAGTGACCCATTAGCATCTTCTAGAGTCGGCAAAAACCCGATTTTAGTCATTTTATTGGCTCTTTACAAGTGGTTTTCATCAATTAAAGTGATCTTTACTATAGAAACCGAAACAAGTTGAAAAAGTTTATTACTTTAACTGGTGAAGAGTTTAATCAGACCCATCAAGGCAGAACAGGAATAACCATGTGCGATGATACGACCAAACTAAACAAGTCCAAACTCGGAACCAAACAATACTGGGATCAATTTTATGAGCTTGAGAAGAAAAACTTTGAGGAGAACCCAGAGGATACGGGAGAGTGTTGGTTCGCGGACAACGATGCCGAAGCAAATATGGTAGAATTTCTGATGGAAAATGTGGGACAACACCGAATTTCACAGAATTGCTCCATTTTGGATTTAGGTACTGGAAATGGCCATCTTTTGTTCCAAATTTTCGAAGAAGGCTTCCAGGGCAAGCTCGTTGGGGTCGATTACTCCGAACATTCAGTTCAGTTTGCCAACGAAATCTTGAAAAATAAATATAACGGAGACACTCACTTGTCATTTCACACTGCTGATATTTTTGATCATAGCTGGGCTCCGGGACAATTCGATGTAGTGCTAGACAAAGGGACCCTGGATGCCATTGCGTTGAGTGGGTTAGCACTCGAAGGTGGTAAAACTGTAGTCGAAGCATACTCTAGTGTGATCGAAAGCTTGTTGCCACCGAATGGCGTATTTTTGATAACTTCCTGCAATTTTACACAAGATGAATTGATAAAAATCATTGAAAGCGATAATTTGAAGGTTTGGAACACAATTGAGTATCCTGTGTTCGAATTTGGCGGCGTGAAGGGCACAACCATCTGCAGCGTAGCGTTCAAGATGCAATGACCACACGGTTCGGTCCCTGCTAAACACCTTATTTCTGCATTCACTTTTCTAAATAATCCGTTCCCATCAATTCATGGAAGCTGCTCTTTTATATTGTCATGTAGTTCAATGGCAACCTCGGCTTTGCTCACTCTAACAGCGTATTGCAAAGGATGTTTTTGTTCGTCCACTGAGAGGATACGAATGAATTTGTCGCCGTGAAGAGAGGCCGGAAAACCTTTTAGAACTGTAGTTCCTTTAACCAAAGATATGTTGAGTATGACCTTCAACAGGGCTCTTGATCTCATAACAATCCGAGTTTTCCCTGTTTTGCGATTTTTGTTGATGCTCATTACCCCAACGCCTCTTTCTTTCCAACCCTCCTTTGCGCCTTCGAATTGATAAAGTTTTGCGTTGGCCTGGTACAATGCATCCTCATCTTCTTCACCTGAGTCGACATTTTGCTTTGTTAATGTGACAATTCCATCGCTGCCATTGGTGGCCTTTGCGCTAGATTCTTGTTTCTCAGAAGCGTCTTCCTCCTCGGTGCTAGACTTTTGTTCTCCTTCCTTAGGTACCTTATCACTACTTGTTGGCTTGGAAGAGTTCAAAGCTCCGAAACCTGCCCCAAAGGCGAAGCCGGACCCAAAGGCCGCCTTCTTGACTCCCAGGGGCCCTGAATTTTCCCTTGGTGTTGAGGTTTTATTCTCTGTTTTATCTGCAGACGCAAGGCCGGATGTACCTTCCCCAAAGCCCGCAGCGAACGGCGATGATTGTCCGAAAACGAATTTTGGTTTAGCGTCTACAAGTTTCTCTTTGCTTTCAGTGCTCTCATCGCGACATTCCTCTCGATTTGCGTGGCTCTTTTGAGGAGCCTTTGCAGTAGAGTTATCGTTGTCAGATTTGTCCACTTCACTGGAGCTTTTCTGATCTTTATTAGTGCTTTCAGACTCTACATCTCGATTACTTGCTTCTTTCAGGTTCTCGCCAGTTTTCGTCTTTTTAGGATTCGACTCCAGGATCTTACTTTCAGAATCTTCCGTTCTCGGTCTTTTTCCGTTCTCCGGGTTGGATATACTCTCTTGAGTAGTCTCAAGCTGCAATCCTGGTGTTGATTCCTCAGAGACGTCCGCCATCCCTAGGTTCTGGTGTAGCAGGTCTTGATCTTTTCAGCCAAGGGCTTGAAGAATAAGAGCCTTCTTTGAGCCTGTTAAATTGAGATCACCATCACTCAAGACGGGCAAGCTGTTAAAGGACTAAAAGGTGTTAAACGTCGACTGTTACAGGCTCTAACTACACCTTACGTTTTGGTTTCTATTTCCCGTAAATATCACGACTCTGAATTCACCTGTCACTCAGCGTTTTTATACTGTATTCTTATCCGATAAGTAACGAACAATCGGGCCTACTCCAAATTCCTGAGTCAGCTTCTCAAACCACGAGAGGAGGATTCCGCCTTGCTTTTGGCCTTCAGGAATGCTCATGCATTTGTAAAGATACTTGACCAGAACGTCCTGCTGCTCCAACGACAGTTGTCCTAAAATGGTCGAAATGTCGTGTTGTCTGACTTGGGTTAAAACCTCGAGAACAGCCAAAAGGTACTGAAATTTCGTCGCGTCATCGGCACTATATGGAGGATCTGACATGGCAATTTGAACAGCTGTCTTAAAGTCACCGCTGGCCGCAGCAGATCTCAATTGCGAGATTTTTGGCTGCAGTTCTTGTAGTGACACATGTGAGCCATATGGAGGTCTCATATCCTCTAAAGTGAGTCTCCCACTATCAGGGTCAAAGGCATCGATGTCAATCCTCCTCCAGTCTTCCATGGCGCAGTTATTTGTGTGGTTTGATCAATAGGATTCTATTGAATTTGATACTTCCCCTATGCTTTATTTTTCAACTCGACCTTACACGTGGTTTGGTCAACTTCTAGTGAAAATGACCAGTTAGAGTATAACGGAAACGCTTTATTATACATTATTTAACGGTTATTTGAGGCTCCTAAGCTCTCAAAATTTTGTCCTTTGGAATACCATCGTACTCTCCGTAGCCAAGAGCTAGATTGATATTCTGCAAACACTGAGTGGCAGCTCCCTTGAGAAGGTTGTCGATGACGGCGCAAACGACAACTCTGTTTTTGGCGTCATTAACTTTGAAACCACCAATCAGAACTCCATGAGTACCGGCAACGTCCTTGACCAAAGGCACAGCTTCGGTGACATGTACGAGCTCTTCACCTGCGTAGAAGTCCTCATATAACTGTTGAACTTGCTCAACGGTTAAAGAGTCTTGCTTTATGGGAATTGACACAGTTAATGAAATTCCTTGAAACCACTGAGCAACATGTGGAATGAAGGCAACTTCGTGTTGTAGACGAGTCGAAACCTCGCGCTCGTGGATGTGATTCGTGAGACTGTAAGGAATGACGTTGTTATTCAACACGGCAGGATCGTTTTTTGGGGAAGGCTTCGTACCGGCACCCGAGTATCCAGAAAGTCCGAAAATAGTTGGGAGACCATCGATGTATTTCGAAAGAGGCGCAATGGCAAGCTGAGAGCCAGTCGCAAAACAGCCTGGGTTCGCAATCTTCTTTGCATTCGCAATGTCATCTCTGTTGTTCAGTTCCGGTAGACCATACGCACACTCCGTCTCAGGAGAAAATCTGAAGTCGGCAGATAAGTCAATGATCTTAGACTTGCCTTTAGAACTTTCAATCGCTTCAACAAAAGGCTTACAAACGTTGTTTGGAAGAGCCATGACCCACATGTCAACGTCTCCCTGTTCTTCTAGTCTCTTGATGTCCTCGATTTGAAGATTTTCGTAAATGATTTTAGACTTATTGTAACCCTTTAGCGGTGTGCCATTGAGTTCACGAGACGAAACATGAACAAGCTCAAGCTTTGGATGACCATCAATCAAAGAAATCAAATTTTGACCTGTGTAACCTCTTGCACCAATTAGAGCAACGCGGCTAACATTTTCATTTGAAGCTTGTGGTTTTGGAGCAGATCTAGTAGAATAGGCTCTCTTAGCCTGCCCTGCAGCAAAGACACCCGATGATTTGCCTTGTTGAACGGTGGAAACATCTGTTACGAAATTGTTAATTAGTTGAGACACCGTGTCGATATCCTTAATTCCATACCAGAATAGAACTTTGCCATTTTTCAGGTAGGAGCCCTCACTCTTATCGAAGTGCCAAGAGATGTTCTCATCATCTTCATTGAGGACCCATTGCAAGGCGGCAAAATCGCGATTCAATGCACTGAATACGTTGTCCGCCACATTGTTCAACCAACCAGCCTTAGAGCATAAAAACTTGTCGAGTTTTGGAACTAAAGCGTTCTCTTTAACAATAGCCAGAACGTCCAATGGTTCGTCCGAGTAGGAGACAAATTTGGTATTCTCCAATTCTCTAAAATAGACAGCGGCAGACTGTGCACCTGACGAGATTTCCGAGTCTCTCTGCAAAGCATTTCTCAGAACGTCAGGCGAAGAAAATTCTGAAAGTGAGCTTCTCTTGATAAGCTTGTAACCTCTTCTAATCATTGTACCTGCACCAGAATCCGTGAAAAGCTCTTTTTGTAAATCCTGCACGTTGATAATGGCTACAGAGGAGGAACGTGGCAAGAAATCGAGCAACTCCTTGATCTCTTTGATCTTCAATTTGGTGCCATACTTCACCCAGCTTTGTTTCATCAATTCATCATATTCCTCATCCAAGTTGATCATGGAAACTTTCTCTCCGGTGCTTCCGTTGATGATACCACCTTTTTCGTTTAAGTAGACGATCTTAAGTGGCTCGAAAATACGCGCAAGCTCACCAGCTGCAATATCTGCATTGACATTCAGAGTTTGACCTGACGCAGTTTCCGCAAGAGAGGTCAAAATGGGTAAAGCTCCAGCCTTAATGGAAGCTTCAATAGCGTCCTTGGTGACACCAGTAATGTCTCCAACCAGCTTGTATTTTTCCTTGTCAAGGTACTCAGCAGAAAAAACACCAGATGTAATCGGTCTCGCACGAACCCCCAACTGTTCTAACGCAGTAACCAGCTTCAAGTTCTGTTCCAAGAAACATTGTCTCACGACAGCCATGGTGCGCTCGTCGGTGATCCTGATTCCGTCAATATAGTCAGGTTCCACTCCCTGGGCTTCTAGTCTGTTGTTGACCTGCGGTCCAGTACCGTGGAGAACAATAGGATATAGACCCACATGGTAAAGGAAAGCAAGACAGCTGGCCAGTTCTTGCAAATTATCGCTTATAATGGCACCTCCGACCTTAATCACAGCAAACTGTTGCTGAGATACCGACGTGAAATACTTCAAGTACTGTTGAACCTCCCTTTTCGAGCCAATATTGTTCAAAAGTTGAATAACCGTGGTTCTGGTCTCTGACGATCCCACTCCGTTGGCACTCGAAATATGTCTCTTGGAGTAAACTACTCTTTTCTTAGAAAGCGTATTGAAGTTCACAGACCCCACGGTTCCGCATTTTGATAGAACTGAGGCTGCTGCCTGTAGTCTCGAAATTTTCAAGCCCCTAGTAGGTACCAGAAATCTCCCAGACATAGTTTCCCGGCTTTCAATAAGTTACCTAATGGCAAGGCACAGCGAACTCTCGGACTAACGAAAAGGCTTTTTTTATACTCTGTTAACTGCCCTTAAGGAGTCAATAGTCACGCTAAGACTCATCAAATAGAGCCGTATTGGAAAGAGCCTCTCTGAAAAATTTTCGCCGAGCAGGGAAAACATGAGGCCTGATTAATTTGGACGAAATACATCAATAACGGTTATCTTGAATCACGTGCCATCGTAAGATGATCTAGAAGGATTAGTAGTCTGGCTTGTCCTGAGCTTCCGATAATTGATCACTGGCTTTGGCTCTGCTGTAGCGTGACCTGTATTGGGTCCTCCGTGCCGTTGGGCCTGCCATGGATGACGTTCTCCTGGTATGAGGTGTTTCTGACGGTACATTTGTAGATCTCTGTAGAGTTTGGTGGCCGGAATATCTACTTCTGGTTGACATTGGGAAGGGTGGCGCGGCAACATTGACATCCTTTGTAGCAGCCGTGGTAGCAGCAGGAAACGCTGAACTTTTTGGAACGTTATGTGCAGGCGAGGGCCGTTTGGGCCTCGATTCGTCAGGGACGAATCTTGACATTTTGCTTCGCTTCATATAGCCTCTTCCCCCAAGGCCGCCTCCGAGACGTCGTGGCTTGAAGTATTTGACGGTCCTTCCGCGCTCGATGTCGACGATAACGGGTCTATCATCGATGTTAATCCCACGGTGAACCCCAATTTCTCGGACGGCTTTTCTGGCGGCAGATTCTTCTACATATGTAACGAATCCATAGCCTCGGCTTGTGGTGGTTATTTTACTCCTCACAACGCGAACTTGATCGATTTCGCCGAATTTGACAAATTCCTTCTGCAGTTCCATCTCGGATATCCTAAACGGCAGTCGTCCGACAAAAATGGTTTTGAACGGATCTCTGTCTTTAACATTGACATCTTCTTCTGGACGCCAAACTGATTCCTTCTCTTGTAACTCCTTCAATTCCCTTTCTTTCTCGTGTCTGGCCAGTTCGTAAGTTTCTAAATGCTTTTGCCGCGATCCCTCTGGAAAAGAAGACACATAGTCTTTTAAAACACTCAGAAATGGTGACAGTCCGGTTATGCTCGAGTGTGTTTTTCGCTCTTCTGGTGCATAGTCGACGGGCCTTTTATAACGCAAAGGCGGACCCGGTCTGAATAATCTGCTAGCAATGGGTTGAGCTTCAAAGAGAGGCTTTCCGATTGGCAAAAGTTAGTATCAAGATATTTAAAGTCTCGCTTAGTCGCAACATAATCAGTGCATACCATCCGTTGATAAGTTGTGAAGTCTTTAGAGAAGATTTGAATTTGCCTTTCGTATCTCAGCAGTTTTTCTTGAGGTGACTGTACAATCAGTAGTTAGCTTTTTTATAAACAGGTTATTAACGTTGCTTTGAATGAAGAGACCACCACCAAAAGACAGACCAACCGAGCCAACATCTCAATGTGCAGCAGTTGCTAGTTTTCTGTTCCATAGTAGACATCGCCTCTCTTCAAATGCAAATATCGGAATAGGTACATACTCGAGAGTGCACGGAAGACATCAACGAAAAATGTGACTTAAGCAGTTGTCATCAAGAATGATTTGATCTTGACCTTGACGCGACAGTCTAGTTTCCCGTGGCGATTTTCTTGCCATTGATAAGCTGATTCAAAAGGTCAGATGAATTGCTGCCAGAACCAGCGGGACGATGGGCCTTAGTCGCAGTGTTCATTGGTGTAAAAATGCCTGGTGGAGGAGGCGTGTTGACGGCTTTATGTTGCTGTTGTTGCAATTGGTCGTTTATAATTTGGGCACTAATGGACGAAGAAGTCGGTTGTTGAGACTGATTTCTCTGCACGTATTGCTGTTGTGGTTGTTGCTGAAGGAGCTGTTGTTGCTGCTGCTGCTGCTCCTGCTGTTGCTGTTGTCTGGCCAAAAGTATCTGCTGCTGCTGCTGCTGCTGTAGCTGTAGCTGCATTTGTTGCTGTTGTTGCTGCTGCTGCTGCTGCTGTTGTTGTTGTTGCTGTTGTTGTTGCTGCTGCTGTTGTTGTTGCTGTTGCAGTTGCTGCAATAATCTAGGATTGATTTGGGAAGGATTTTGCAGATATGGCAACAATGATGCACCATAATCAACTGGCTTTATGGCCAATATTTCGATCAGCTTACGAGCCAAAGTACCATCACTCTCCTCCGCTTCCTCAATCTCGGGAAAAGTGAAAAGAGATGGATAACTTTGAGAGAGACCACCATTAAGAGCATTGCTTCGAAGTTTAATTCCGGTATTACGATACTCAGATAGCGCTTTGATCGTGCTGTCAATGAATCTGATTGCGCTAGACAACGGGTCAAAAGGATCCACATATGTGCGGTCGGAATTCTTCTTGTTTTTGTGTTGACTCGTAGTGCCTTGGTTCACAGTAGCTGTAGAAGAAGCTGCAATCGATTGAGCAAGAGCCGCTTCCCCCAGCGTAGGAAACGCTGGTGAACTACCGTTCTTTGCGACATTAGAGGCCAATGCAGATGTCATGATAGGATTAACCCCCCATGGATTTGATCCAGATGGAGCAGGTGCTGGCGTCAAAACGGGTGTGTGTGCAGCTGAAGTAGATGACGAGGAGGGAACATCATCATTCTGGTTCAAATGAACTTTACTTAGTGCCGGGGATGCAGTTGCAGAAGGTGCAGCGGAGCCGCTGGGCGGTACGGATTTTTGGGATCCAACTGCCCCCCCATTTACAGTTTGTTTCAAAACAGGAACTTGATCGTGCTGTTTGGTACTCAGCTCCTTCCTATTAAATGAGTCCGCCTCTTCCCCAGGCTCGTGTAGGAACATGCAATTGGGATTTGGGCAACTCTGTCCCCTCAAATACGACGAACAGTACTTAGTAGTACCGTATGCGGCCTTGACCAACCGGCCCTCCATATAAGTACCGTCCACAGCAGCTATACACCTCGCAGCGTCCTCCTTGCGAGCGAAGGTCACATAAATGCCATACCCGGTGTGGTGGTGATGACTATGATGGGGGTCGCCATGCCCAGTTTTGCGATTTATGACGATCTTGTTTATCTTGCCATACTGCCCAAAGTATTTGTCGGACCTTAAAAGGCTGGACACTTCCTCGTAGGGAACGGCAGGATTCAAACCTACCACATAGACAAGATTTTTCTGGATCACGCGCATACCAGCCAAGTGTTTGCGATTCGCATATTCATTTTCTTTGCGCTCTTTGTCTCTTAACTTCCTTTCTCGCTCTTTCCTCGCGTGCTTTGCCTGCTCCATTTTGAGCTCTTCGGTCGACAAAACAACGTACTCCACGCTTTCGTCATCGTACTTTCGGCGACACGCAGGGCATCTACCGTTGAGTTCCGGATTTTGCCTTATGTTGTTGTAGCAAAACTGACAGATTTGATATCCGCACGGACAAGGTTTGAAGTTTTTATCCGTTATGTCCATTGGCTCGATGCAGAGAGGACAGAAATCCTCCTCATCTTCTGAAAGAAAAGATGTATCATAGTTAGCGAGAGCCGCTTGGATAGCTTGCATATTGGCGTTCATTTGTGAGTGTTTGTGTGCTTGGTTTCATTCAAAGCTAAAGCAGTAAGCTCTTATGAAGTTCATATTTTTTTTTCTAGTTATTTCCCAGAAGTTCGTCAAACATCGTCAAATATCGTCAAACATCGTCAAATATCGTCAAACATCGTCAAATATCGTCAAATATCGTCAAACATCGTCAAATCGGAAGAACGACGTGGCTCGACTGAAGATTTATGTTAAGCCGGCGTTTTGCTGTCGAATTGTTTCAACCAAAATTTACATAATTTGGAAAGCTTTATCCTCGGCGTCGGCGTACAGCAGGGATGAAAGATAAGCCTTATTTTAAGGGAGACGCCGTAATGTCTTGCTTGCGACCTCTGTTGTCACTGCCTTACATAGAATCTGTCTTTCATAGTACACCATGTGAAAAACCAAATCAGTTGAGATACACTCCGAAAATTAAAACGTAGTTTGCTCAAGCAGTTGAGTCAAGATCTGGGGAAGTAAAGACGTGACTTGCGAGTCTTGTCAATAAATCCATCACGCTCTCAGCTCTTGGAAACCTTGAAAGCACACTTAGGAGTCAGTAATTTAAATAGTTTGAAATGCCAGGTGACATTCATCATACAACTATTAAAAAAAGACACCTTCGACCCACGCCACTCAAAAATTCAGCTGAGAAGCGTTAAACTCTTTCTGAAACGTTCCGCTCCCACCCCATACAAATCATTAAGAACTTTCATATCTCATAAACACGTTACTTACATTTCCACGTTAAAAAATCTCTCGACGACGCCCGCTACGCAACATGACTGTTCTGCAAGGCTAAACCGCGGCAACAGCAGGAACCGACGACGCACGCGCGGTAGTTGGTTCCGTCAAATAGTCGACATCGACATAGGCGCTGTCACCGTGGCATTCAACGATCACGTGCACGTCGAATTCCTTGCCGTTTAGCTTGGTGTGGTCGTTGTACTTCCACACGATATGTTCCGTGGTCTTCTCTTTGGACTTGTCTTTGAAGTTGAGCTCAGAAAACTGCGTTTTCTCGCGGATATCCTTGAGAAGCCGTTTTTCGACGTGCTGGTGCAGATGTCTCACGAATTTTCTGCTGTGGGAGTTCGCAGTGTCCTTGATCTTGTCAGGGTCCTCGTGCGACTCATGTAGTACGAAAGGCGGATAGTACTTGAGATGGCATCTCACATGGTCAAACTCTTCGTCCTCAGTCTCATTTCTGAGGAAAAGTTCAAAAGAGTCCAAGTCTTCAAACACCTTAATGGTCTCGCCCTCCTTGTTGACTACGGTAGTCACTTTTGGAGTCTTTTTGTCTTTCTTGTCTTTCTTGGTCATTTTCGATAAGTTTTAGCAAGGGCAATGGTTTACTACTATCACTGTCTCGGACAGTAGAAGAATAAGTGATACGAATTAAAATACTGGATCACGGCACTTCAAGACCGGAATGGTGCGTATAGAACAACTGCATTTGGCGCTGCTTATATACAGTTAAAGGACTGCTATGTACGAGATCCATAAGGGGCATGCCCGGAGAATTCTACCTAACCTATCTCCAACTAGAAATGACCTGGTTGTTGTTGGTCTGGCAAATCTGATCGAACGACCATTTGGAGAGAGCCTTTTGAGGACTCAGGGGGCGCCGCAGTAAGTTGAGCGCCCGGGGCTTTTTGCATCTTGTATAAGCTGGTGACTTTTTTTAATTCCGGGGAAACACGCACAAGGGCACAGCGGTATGGGATATATGTGTCGTATTAAAGCACCCAGGACCAAGCCTGGTGTTAGGATGTTACTTGGTCCGAGGGTGTGCGGATGTACAATGCCCCATTGTTTCGTTCTGGACCCTCGGCATTTAATATGTCTGTGGGCACGAACGCGTTCCGCCCCCTCGCGTGTTGAGTTCGAGATGGCTCACAGCGCAAAGACGTATACAGGGCCAAAGGTAAGATTGGGGATAGAAATCTGCAGGCTCAACAAAAAATAGGGGGTAAAAAACAAGGGGGCAAGCTGGGGTTGCGTTTTTGTGTACATAAAAAGAGCCGCCGAGAGCTGTATATAAAGAGGGCCAAGGAAACTCTTCGAGCGTCTTCCTTTCGTCGCTGAATAACTCATTGAGACTGGCACGCTATATCAATGTACATACCTTTTCTATACGGCTATACAAGCACTGGCAGAGGCACCGACGCGACGCAACGCGAATGCTCGAGGGTAAGGAACTCTCGTGACCTTTGGGGTAACACCGACTGTCAATCACAACCAGGCTTCCTTCCATTTTTGTCGTGCTTTCCAAGAGGCTGCACCTGATTGTTAAGTTGTTTGAGCCATTTTTTCACTTCTATGCGAGTTTGCATGGTGGCCTTGGGATATTTGAATTTTGGCAATTGTTAATACAGCCATGAAGTATGTGGCTTTTACAGAATGCCACCTATGCGGCCCTTGACGACATCTGATCGATCGAATTTGGTACGGGTCAGGAGGCAGATGCATTTGCAGGTGTTGCAGGTCTTGTTCTTTTCAATCTACGCCGTACACGCACCTTCTTTCTATTGTAAGGGTTGTATTTCTAGCAGTGTTCTCATTTGTTGTGTCAAGGGCAAAATACCCTCTTCCGCCTCGAAACTCCTTTCGACCAATACTTTATCTGCCCATGCCTGTACCGTAGCTGGCCGGTCAATCTTCGGTATTTCATAATTTCTGGCACTATTTGGAAAAGGTCTTACCATTACTGCTAGCCCGCAGTTCAGTCCCCATGCATTTAGCGGACTTTGTGCCGCATTACAGGTGCAGTCCCACAACTCTGGAATGCTAATTTCCTTACGTTTCTCTGCAAGCACCGCTTTCATCGCGGCGGCTATTTTGGTCGCGAAGATTTCTGCGGATCAAACCTATTGAACTCAAACCTTTATTTTCAATCAAAATGATACCATCGGGCATAGATGTGTCCTTCCCAACCGCACGCGTTCTGCCAGCAATGCGACATCTAAGCACACGAAGGGCTGTTTCTCTAGTAAGCGCTCTTATCAATTGTTTCATCTCGGTCGGGTTAGGATTTGGGACTGCCATTTACTATAATGTCCTTTAGCTGAGGACGCAGTTCAGGGAACAAGCCACACGAAAGCTTGCTGAGAAAAGTTAGGTCCTGCCGCATGCTAGAGCCCTAATTTTGGAAAAAGCTGGCTTCACCAGCAATCAAATTCATTCACGTAGCATGAATAAGAGTTCTCTTATTAGGAAAAGTTTTGTAGATAGTACCTCAATTACGGAACTGGCTCAATATCGAAGAAGTTGCCTTTTCCAATTAATGGCACTATTTCAAAGTCGTTTTGCTTTCCGTACTCTAAACGAAGCCCAGCGAAGCACCAAATATCTAAGGAAGCCATCAGTCAGTCTGAATTGATTTACTGTGTACCGGAGTAAGCGAGAGCTCAACACGGAACACCTGATCGAAGGCTCCGGTCTGGTAAATTCTGATAGACCCCCAAAAAATCGTGAGACTTTGGGCTTTTCTTGATGTTCACTTCTCTGAAAGTTTGGGAAATGAAGGGAAAGTGAGGGTACCGTAGGTCCTTCTCCATATCTAGCGCCCTTCCCCAATTCTTTATTTTGATTCAAATGGTATATGCTAATGTTCTGCTTCCAGGGTCTCAGATAGCATTGATCCTTCTTCAACACACATGGTTCTATGCCTCCCTGCACTGCGCTGGTTTTATTGTGAGTTTAGCAAACCTTCGATTTGCCACTGCATCCAAACCCCATTGGTTCAATTATTAAGGCGCAACGAGCGCAGCGTCAGTTTCAAGAGCCGATTTTAGAAGCCAACTTTGTTATAAAAGAATTCCACGAGGTTCTGTCTTCGTCAATAGTACAACTACCGAGACCATCGCATTGCAAATAATCTTCGTTGATGACAAGCTCTATGACGTCTTCGGGTTCATCCTCAACCACTGGCTGTTCTAAAATTTCATGAAGTGTAAATTCTTGCATTCCCTCATCTTTTAAAATTGTAGATTCCGCAGCTAATGGCCCTTTACCCTTAGCCGAAGACCGCCGACGTTTGCTTATACTAGACCTTCTTGGCAGAGAGCTCGATGTCGAGGTAGAAGAAGATCTTCTCTCAAATGGTCTTGGTTGTGGCACGATTTGGGAACCATGCAGCAGTTTGAATAAGGGACACAAAACTTTTTTCCACCAGTCTATCCACAGCAACAGCTGCGATAGAAGCTCCATGTTTTCATTGGATACGTCGAATTTTCGGATGGAAGTAAGGTCAGAAGTGAAATCGTTATGCAGCTCAACAGTGCGACAATTGTTTGTAACCTGGAACGGTCGACCGCTATCACCATCTAGGACTATTTCTGTGGGAATTGTGTCGCATGGAAACTGAATGTCATCGGAAATGACCGTAAAGGCTAAACAAACGCCTCTTGTAAGCCTTTGAGAGTGTACGTTCACCCATTCAGAATCTTCGTACTTGAACTCGCTTAGGCGCTGTTCCGGATCTTGAGCTTCTTCGAAAACGATTTTGCCTAAAATGGCCCCATCGTACTGAAAATAAATACCAAACTCGTTATTCACATTTGTCAGGACTTCAAAATTTCCCAGACCGTTCTGTTTCAAGCAGGCTTCCAGATGGCCCGCTAATTCGGTAAAATATTTGAAAAGATCAAACGTGGTTCCTCTATTCGAAATGCTGTGTTCTAAGTCAATGCTCGAGTAAGTGTCGAGTAGAGACAAAAATTTGAGATTGTGATGAAAAACGGCTAGATCCCCGTACTGGTTCAGAGAATTGAACAGGATGTTTCCGCCCTCACCATTTTCGTAATAATTGAAGTTATCAAAATTGCTGGCCAGCACCAACTTCACATCTTTAATCTTCTTGTCACTTTTACTAAAATCCATATCAACCACAATGATCTTAGATGCCGTTGAGAGTCTGTGAGTTTCATTGTTCACATCATCTATGAAAGACTCGAGCCCAAGCGTTTGGCACAGCCGAGTCACATTTTCAATCGAAACAATTCCAGGTTTGTAGTCCCGGAACAAAGTGATCATCCGATCTAATCCATCCACATAAGCATCGCCCATTGAAAAGGTTATCTGGGTTGTTATTAAGCCAAGACACTACTAATACTCAACTCATCCTGATCTTAAATTATGATTGAATATTGAGTTGGAAGGTTGGCTAAATCACGTGACAAGCTGATAACTCACTTCATACGTAATACGTGGCAAATGGGTCGTATCTTTTTACGGATATGTGTACTCATTGGGTAACGTCAATTCCAAGGGTGTGCCAAAAGTAGGCAATATCGTTTAGACCGAGACGTATATCAATAGTACCATGCATATTTAGGCTCACAAGTATCGTAGGTTAACAGCTTCCTTAGCTGGAAAATATATGTGGTATCGTGTACTTACATTGAATAACTTGATGGTATGATCCTTCTAGCACTGGTCATATGGTGTCGTATCCCCATTCCCGTAATTTACCAATTACTTCCCATAAAGTACAGGTTGATAAGTATCCCCATCCTTCCATCATATCCCTGCTGAACTTGTCTTAGCGTTATTGTAGTGATATGGTCATTGCTGGAATGATCCGAGCTCTTATCGCTTGATGGGTCGATTCGGGAATCCGTGGTTATTCTGTCGTCGTGGTCACGTGATATAATATACCCGATATTCCAACTTAATATTATCATATATCGTATACTATTTCTAGCATATACGTAATGAAAATCCTAAGCCTAGGACACCCTCCATGGTCGCTCGAGTCTTGGGATGTTTGCGAAAGTACCTCGAATCCCGTGAATAGTGTTGTATCGAGAGATACCAAAATCAAGAGCGCCGTATATAATGAGCATCAAATATATATTTCTTCGTACGAATTTCAACTAGTTCGATACACCGCAAACCAGAATGGTTAAATTAATAGCTCATTTATTTGACTTGGTGGCCTGATTCAAGGGCCGCCTTGATTATAATTATTCATATATTATTATGGAATCCCCATTGAGGTTTCTTCGCGGCTTCTTGAGGTCTTTTTCCGATTTCCGAATTCTGTTAATCATTTTAAGTACTGTTCTTACCAGATTTATTATGAGTAGGAGATGCCATTATACAGAGACAAGAAGCCCATGCCATAAGAGCACAATGAAGCTTCGTCAGTTGCATTTAGCCAAATTTCGATATCCAATCTGCATGTAACGATATTTTTGGCGCTAAGTTGCCTAGTTTGATATTGGCTGCAGAGCCTGTCTGAAAAATTTTATATATGGACTCGACATGATGCAGGGCCCTATGGAGACAATCGTAACCGTTTTTTAGCGACGCACGCTCCGCAAACTCCAAAAATCAATTCATCATGTCTCAGGACATTACTCACCCAACAATTAAGGATGGATGGTTCAGAGAAATTTCTGATACCATGTGGCCTGGCGAAGCGATGACCTTGAAAGTGGAACAGGTTTTAGTTCATGAAAAATCGAAGTACCAAGACGTTCTTATCTTCAAGTCCACTACGTATGGCAATGTTCTTGTGCTAGACAATGTTATTCAGGCAACAGAACGTGATGAATTTTCTTACCAGGAAATGATCGCCCACCTTGCGTTGAACTCGCATCCTAACCCTAAAAAGGTTCTTGTCATTGGAGGAGGGGACGGTGGTGTCTTGAGAGAGGTGGTTAAGCACGAATCCGTTGAGGAAGCCTGGCTCTGTGACATTGACGAGGCTGTGATCAGATTATCCAAGCAATATTTGCCTGACATGGCCAAGTCTTACAGCCATCCAAAAGTTCGTACCCACATCGGTGATGGATTCCAATTTTTGCGCGACTATCGGAACACCTTTGACGTGATCATCACAGATTCGTCGGACCCCGAAGGTCCTGCGCAGTCACTGTTCCAGAAGGCCTACTTTGAGCTTTTAGACAGCGCTTTAACGGAGTCTGGTGTCATTACGACACAAGCTGAGAGCATGTGGCTACATTTGCCCATCATCAAAGATCTCAAGAAAGCCTGTTCGGAGGTTTTCGCCGTCGCTGAGTACGCATATACAACTATCCCAACTTATCCATCTGGCCAAATTGGGTTCATGGTTTGCTGCAAGAACAAGAACGTCGATGTGAAGAAACCTCTTCGTGAGCTTTCCGACAACGAAGAGGCAAAACGCTACAGATATTACAACAAAAGAATTCATGAGGCTTCTTTTGTACTACCTACTTGGGTCGCTAATGAACTTGACTTTTAGTTCCTCGATCGATCTCTTTCGCTTTAAATAACATTCTAATGTAAAATGTTGTTCTTAAATTTCAGCCCCGTTGAGGCCCCGCGAAGTCCATTTGAAAAGATGGCGCATTTTACTATATCTTCATCTCCGTTCCAGTCCCAAGTGTGTGATTTACTTCCATGTAACGATACCAGCAAGTCGACCCTGACTCACGCTTTGTTGAGGGCTTACAATCTCTTTGATCACTTCGATGAGATCATCGAAAGGCCAAGTTGCACCGAGAGGGATATTACACGATATCACGATGAAAGCTTCATCAAACTTATCATGTCATCTGCGGCAAGTGAGGCCAATGAAGACGAGGAATTAACGGGACGAGATGGAGTAACGAGTTTCGCCAGGGAATTTGCCTGCTCCAACGATGAAAATTACCTCTCTTGGTTTGAGAATATGCAAGAAATCTACGCTTACTGGAACTCGTATGCGAATTTTAATAACAACGCCCATCGACAGCCTAAAGAGTCTCATGCGAGGCTCAATCTGACAACATCCACGCGCCAGAAAGACCAGAACGCCTCCAAACTCGAAACATATGGGCTGATGTACGATTGTCCAATATTCCCGGACTTGCCACTTTATCTCAAGGTATCTACGGGTGCAACTTTGTCTCTGGCTTCCCGAATATTTGCCAAATCGCCAACGAAAATGATATTGATTAATTGGGATGGTGGAAGGCACCATGCGTTTAGATCTAAAGCAAGCGGATTCTGTTATGTAAACGATATCGTGCTTCTGATACTTGCATTGAGACGTAAAGGTTTTCGAAGAATATCTTACATTGACTTTGATCTTCATCACGGTGATGCTGTTGAAAAAGCTTTCGAGCACTCCGATAACGTCCAAACGATTTCTCTTCACCTATATGAGCCAGGATTTTTCCCAGGAACAGGAACAGTTGAAAGTGCTCTAAATCATAGGAGTGTTGTTAATATTCCTCTTCTCCACGGTTTAGATGATACGTTCTTATTGAACGTTGTTCAAGAAGTTATTATTCCTTGCGTCAGACGTCACAACTCTGAGATCTTAGTTTTGCAATGCGGCGCGGATGGCTTGAAAGGCGACAAGTATGACGAATGGCAACTTACAATTAAAGGTATGACTAAAGCTATCGTGAAAGTAGCAGGATCAATGCAAAATTGCCACGTTATTTTATTAGGTGGAGGCGGATATAACCCAAGGTTGATGAGTAGATTTTATACTTATTTGACGATGGAGCTTTTAAAAACGTTTAAAGGAAGTCAAATTAATCTCGACTCTTTGGTGGAAATAGATGACATTTTACCAGATCATGAATTCATAGATCAGTACCGCGATGAATACTTCAAGTTTTGGATTTACGAGATGGATGGCGAGAAGGGCAAAAAACTTAAAAACCATAACGAGATGAGTTATATAAACGAATTGATGAATGCATATAAGTTAATTTAATTTGAAACCACTTTAAGTCTATGCATAGCAGTCTCCCAAGACTGTTCCCACCTATTGGCAGATTCCTTTCTAGCTCCATCCTTCAAAACTTCCCTCACATTTTTATCTTTGACCATAAAAATGAGAGCTTCATGCAATTCTCTTCTATCCATAAATTTTAATCCATTCCTATTATGGGCCACCAATTCATCCAAGACCGGATAATTATAAGCAACCACCGGGATGGCCGATCCAAACATATCTAAGATTTTCATAGGTAGATCGAGCCCGGAACTGGAGGTGTGAAGCGATACGCCAAAGTCACACAGCTGCAAAAGTTTTGGATAATCCTCAGTGGTGAGCCACACAAACTCAATGGTCACTCGATCCCATTTCTCTCGCTTTACAGCATGCTCGTACTTCGATTTCAAAGGCCCCTTACCTGTAATAAAGCAAAGAATGCGAGGTAAACTGGCATCGAACTTTTTATAAGAGTTCTCGTAAATTTTGAGAGCCCCGATGAGAACAGAGAGATCCTCATCTGGAGTAAATGAAGTAGATGTCACAATTATTTGATCACCCGAGCTGGCATCAAATCCCTTGGGCAAATATTTGTGGACGAAAGGTTGTTGTAGAGCGACAGCTCGTGGCTTCTCCAGAGGTCTGAATTGTCTTGCCGGACGATCACAAAGAACTGCTATACGTTTTTTAGAAACTCCAAATTTCCCGACCAGAAACTTTTCCATCGCCTTTGTGACCGTGAGGTGAGCATGTGCCCATTTGGCGAAAAACCATTCGACGAGGAAAACTATGACGACAAGCGGGTGCCAACTGGAACCCAGTTTCAACTCCAATATCGTGTATCCTAAATTGTGCCAGTCTACTATCAGCTTACAGCCCGAAACGAGGCTGTAAACTGCAGCAATAGGTAAAATTGGTATACTTGGTGGGTTTTGAACCACCATATAGTCACTTCCACGCAGTTCCCACAAAGTCTTCAAAATCGAACCGATCTGAGATATTACTTTCAACATGGCAACGACAGCAAAAGTTCGTGGCTTCCCATCCGGAATCCACGTTCTCAATTGATGGATCGTGATTCTGGGATCATCGATTATGTCAGCCGGTGGCATCTCTTCAACTAGTCCGCACAATTCCACTTGCCAACCTGAACTGCTGAAACTGCGTGCATGGTAGCACATTCTCGGGGAATGGCCCAAATCCCCCAAAACACAAATAATGACCCGCTTTCTCGTGCTTCTGTTTCCGTATGCAAGGTACGGAAATATCACGTAACAGACTAAAGGTATGCATGCATAAAGCGTCAACAGCCACCAAAGCCATCCAGGAATCCATTCAAACATCAGTTGCTACTAATAATATGTATGTTGAGAGTCCTTAAACCCTTCAATGACGACGACCCGTACCTTGAGGAAGAGTTGATATCCTAATGGCCTTTAAGCCTACCAAGTTCTTAATTTCAAAGGACCTTAGAAGAACTGTTGATGTCATATTGAACGAAAGATCTCAAAATAGCTAGAGTATTATCATATATATCAAGTACACTTTGTCCATTAAAGTGTTCAAAACAAGCGTTTACAAGAGCACTTTAAACACGAAGCTGAACGAGATGTCAGCCAACCTTACGGAGGAACAGATAGCAGAATTCAAGGAAGCTTTTGCTTTGTTCGACAAAGACAACAATGGGTCAATTTCGTCGTCCGAACTTGCTACAGTGATGAGATCATTAGGATTGTCCCCCAGTGAAGCCGAAGTAGCTGATCTCATGAACGAAATTGATGTCAACGGGAACCATAAAATCGAGTTCAGCGAGTTTTTGGCGCTGATGTCCCGGCAATTGAAATCCAACGACTCTGAGCAAGAACTGCTGGAAGCTTTCAAGGTGTTTGACAAAAACGGTGACGGATTGATTTCTGCTGCTGAACTCAAGCACGTGTTGACTTCGATCGGAGAAAAGCTCACTGATGCCGAGGTTGACGAAATGTTGCGTGAAGTGAGTGATGGAAGTGGTGAGATCAACATCAAGCAATTTGCGGCGCTCTTGTCCAAATGAGTTAATCGAGGCCCATAGCTTTTTCGGAAACTTTGTCCAATATTTGAATAGTTCTTATACATAACGGTATATTGCAATAGATTTGTGAGAGAACTCATTTGAGTATGTATGTGCTTGATATCTTTTTGTTTCATACAGAGAATCTACTTGTGCAAACGATCGTTCTCAGTTGGCACAGCTCGTAAAAGATATCTCTGGAACGGGTTTTCGTCCGTACCGATTGCCCCGGGTTGTACACTCAATTCAACGGCAGGTTGACCTCTGGTGTGTGGAGAAGGAGGGGCGGGGGATCTTTTTGCAGGTGCCACAGGTGGTGGAGCGACTTCAACTGACGGCTCTTTAACAACAGCGGTTTTTATTCCACCTATATTGCTGCTAAGGCTAGGACTCCAGTTTAGCGAAGGTTTCTTGGCAGGAACAGGAGGACGTACTTTAAGAGATTCTTTCTTTTTAGGAATGGGAGGAGCCTTCTTTTTAATTTTTAGTTTTGCAGCTAGTTCATTATTCAAGGCTCCAAAACTATCTTCTTTCCTTGAAGCCGAAGCATCAGTTTGAATAGAATTCTTTGAGACAACATCCACAGTGTGTTCCCGTGAAGAATTTGAGACCATCGGCGATTCTATCCTTCTTGGGGGCAGCGCTGGAGAAGCAACAATCCGATGCTCTGCGCTCACCAGGCTTTGAGAATCTGATAGGTCGATTGTGGCGCTGTGAGCATGCTGTGGTGGCATTGAAATAGCTTCGGCCTGCAATGGGAGTGTTACGGCTGTTTGCAGACTTGGTAAGACCACCTGCTGCGATCTTTGCGAGGAACGAAGCGTATCAGATCGTTGCTGCTCATCTCTTCTAAAAGGTTTCGGCGGAGGCTGAAAGTTGACCTTCGCATCGTAATTGTAGGATCCTACCACAGCTGACTTGGGAACGTCATCATCTTTTCGTGACTTACCAATTTGCAAACGACTTTCATTGCTTGATAAAGTGCTTGACGACCTCACAGCGTTGTTATTCCTAGGTAAAGAGGTTCGGCTGATATTACGCGAAGGATTACAGTTCAATGTATCAGCTCCTGTAAAATTTCTCCCTCTCGGCGTGGGAGGCGGTGCAAAATTAGTTGGGATGGTTGGCGAATAGACTCCACTAATGCCTTTTTGGGCTGTATCGTGAGTGGATTCGCTGGCGGCAGCTTCAGCAGGCCGAGCTGGCTCTGACCTTTGCTGGGCTCTAACCTCAGGTGTGAGTGTAGGTTCAACAACAGGGCGTAAAGCCTTTTTCTCAGCCATGAGTTCTTCAGGAGTTTTTCGCACATACGGCTTAACCTGATACTGACCACTTGCCTGAACACTTTGACTGGCAGTCGTGTCTGGTGTAATATTTTGCAGAGTTTCCCTTTGATGTGGCTTCTCGGAAGTTGTCTGTGAATTCATTTCGTGGGGGAGGAGAGCAGCGTCGCGAGTATATACACTTGGATCTTGTTGCGCATCTATGCTATAATTTCTCGTAGGGAGAACAGGGGTAGACTCTTCGACGTAGTTTAATTCAATCGCCCCGTGAACCATGGGTTCCGGCGCCAACATCTGAATGGGTTTTCGTGTAGCATCGGGAGCAGCAGTAGTAGGAAGTGGTAACGAGGATTCGTAAACTGGTGGGGCAATATCCGCTTGTGATGGAAAATGTGGTTGGGCTGTCGATGGGAGAGGGCTTACATCTGCCATAGATATTGATCCTTGAGTATTTTGGGCATGTGAAGGTGTGTAAACTGTTGGTCTTCCGGCATTCGGCACAGAGGGTTGTTCTTTACCATGATATTGATTTTGACCTGGACGAACTGGAGGTGGCGGGAAGCTCGAAACATCTTGCAACGGTTGGGAAGGTTGGGATGAAGTACGTTCAAAACTTCCTGAGTCTTCGGAATCCTTTGGTTGATCAGTATTGCTAATACCGCGGCTACTATTATATTGATTTTTGCCAGCCTTATATCCGGCCTTGGCAACGGCTTTCGAGCCCTTGTAGCCATATTTACCAGCCGTGGATAACCCCGACATAATCGAGCCCTTGTTGTTTTGCCAGAAGTCTGACATGGCTCTTTTAATGTTCTTTAAGTTTCGTTTTGATATTAAATCCCCACAAGTGAGGATACTAGCTTTTCAAGTATGTAGCTTGTAGAAATCAACGTATATGAATGAACACAACAAAAGGGAAATGGACAACGTTTGGACTCACTCAAAGGATTGAAACTAACTCTTTTCATGATTTCAAGAAGAGTGGACTTTTGAACAACTCGAAATGTGTCATCGAGGGCTTCGATGGATCTGTCGACAGTCTCGCGTTGTTGAATCACGAGGGAAAAACTACAAGAGTTGTATGGTCACAAAGCGACAGTGGTCCTGATGTTGAGGATATTGGTATCCGTATGATTTTGTTATGCTGGGAGGAAGGTTTTGAAAGCACTGGGACGGATAGGTCCATTTTAATTCTACGTAAATGGATTTTGCAAAATTTCGATACTTTGATGACCCAAATAACCTTCAATAACACGACTATGATCAGCATAGGTGACTCAATTTTGGAGTGGTGTGGGTCGGGGCTAAAAATTGTCCTCGAGACGTCGACTGAAAGGCGAGCGCTTCAATCGATCGAACTAACAGTGTCGCACAGCGACGTGGAAAAATTTAAGTCTGCTGAGCCACTGTATCCTGTGTCGAAGGCCATTATACCACATTTGCACTCAAAGACGGGCATAAAGTTCGAAGCGTTTCACCTGTCGGTGCTTCAAATACTGAACAGAATCGCAATTTTCAGACATACAATTGTCATTCACCAATCCCTCGATCCGAGACGGGTAGCGACCATCATCTTGAACAGCCTAAACGGCTAAACGTCCACGTCAAAGCTGCTCCCGCAGCCGCAACTGCTTTTCATGTTACCGCCAGTGATCTTGAACGTTGAACCAATCAACTCCGACGTGTATGTCAGCGTCGTGTTATTCAAAACGGCCAACGATTTTTCGTCGATCACAACTTCTGCGCCTTCATCTGCTAAAACATAAACAACGTCTTTGTTTGCACCGAATTCGTCCTCATCTTCAAATTCGTCCTCGGGATTACCCTTCTCCGGCGCAGTTTGCGTGTCAGACGACGCAAGGTCCTTATTTATTAGTTTCAAGTTATATTGAAAGCCATGGCAACCGCCGCTTTCGACCATTATTCGCAGCACTTCTTTGGAGCCTTTGTAAATTTCGTTCAATCTGTCAGCGGCGCGCTGAGTTATTTGCAGATTTAGTGATGGTTTTCCGTTTATAACTTCGAAAGGCTTCACGCATCGATCGCCCTCCAGAGACGCAGCAGCAGCATACCGCCGAAGTTGAGGTGTAGAACATTTTGTATAAGGACCAAGAAACACAGATCTTAAGCTCGTTAGTCTCCTGCAAAGCATTTCGAATTATTTAGCCTTCCTGATTAATCAGTGCCTTTCAGAGTTGAGATGATTTGAATGGGAAGTACTCTTACTTTCCGATCACATGACCGTCAGAAATTAGCTAATATTCAATCGAAGATTTAACCATGGATAACGACGTCCGGGACTTCCCTTATGATCGATTAATTGAGATCAGTGAGCTGAGTATCGGGAAGGATTAATCCCGGTGAATGACGACTTTCAAGAAATTCAAATGGCGGAACTATTGAGTTTCTCTCAAAATCGTCGGGACCTAATTATCGAGAAAATGACACAGCCCATAGGAGAATTTAAAGGCCAACAACTAGTTTAAATCCTCGATTATGAGCTGCACAGAGCTTAGTTTCTGTATTTTGGGAGGAGCTTTAAAGGAATATCTTTGCAAAGGCAAGGCTCGACTTCTAAAGGCGAAACCAACGCTTTCAGTCACAGGGTTTGTTTGTTGTCCCCACAGATAAGGCAATTGGGATCTCTTGAATGCAAATAGCTATGGGAGAACGCCCCTTCTTCGCCATTGAAAATGCTGAAATTGGGTGAATTTTCGAAATCGTACAAGTCGTACAGCAGTCGTGTCATCGCGATGCAACATTGGCCGGCAATAATAGCGTTGGTACTTACCACGCTCGGTACAATGTTTTTGATGACACCTAAGATGAAATTAGGAGTCAATGCAGATGCATCTATCGCGTAGGACTGTGCACGGTCGATCGATTGCTCTGTTAGCCAATGAAGATGGTCTGGATTTTCGTAGTCAAAACTAACGTCAGGAAACGTTTGGGGCCATTGCACCATCAGAGCATATTCAATAAGGTGCTCAGGTTTGCGTGGATTGTTTGCGACGGTGCACAGCGGGTATGTCTCGGTTTTTGCGGGTAGCGTGTTCAAAGAACACTCGTAACAAGCAGAAAACCCGGGAATTATCACTTTGCAATGGCCCTTGAAGCCCTCCGACGCCCCGTCAATGAAAGGAATGCATTTTTGGAATTGCGATTCTAAAGTGATTTTTACAAGCTCTGCATTGACGTGACGGCGTGCCTCGACGGAATCCAGTCCCGAGATTACGAAGGTAAACTGCGCTAAAAAGTCTCGAGTGAAGAGCGTCAGGTCCTGAAAATGCGGCGTTACTTTCACCAACTGGCCACCCGCACCCACTATTTCTCTAGAATTTATATACTCAGCGGCGACCTCGACTTTGGCGCGCCCGACGTCTTTTTCCGTGAACAGAAACTGTCGGTTCAAGTTGGTAAGTTCTATCGTATCCATGTCGACCACATGCACCGTTGGAATGCCCTGGAGCGCTAGATTCTTGAGCATTTCGCAGCCCAGACCACCAGCGCCCAACACAAGCACAGAAACAGACGTCAGATCCGTCATTATGGGAGCATTGCTGGTGCTACAAACCTGTTCTACTGCTTCTGCGTTCATATACATCGACTTGCCATATTGGAAAAACAGAACATTCACTATATACGAGTCTAGTAAAAGAGAGACTGTGAGCAGAAGGAGGGTACGTTTGTACGGGTGCTCAGCTCAATCGCTCTTGACACCACCGGTGCCGGCCTTCTCGGCCTCCTCGATAGACTTCTTGTCGACCTTGGCCTCTGGGGACGCGCCAAAACCGCCGAACATAGATGGAGCTTTGAAGGGCCTCTTGAGGTCGCCGCTAGCAGGCTTACCGAACAAATGGATCTTGACCTCGTTGTGCTCGAGCGCGGACTTGATGGGGGAGATGCTTTGCATCAGCAGAGGGTTGGTGTACTTCATGTACAAGTGCATGAAACCCATCATGGCCAAACCCGTATAAATGGACTTGATCGCAGAATCGATTTCCTTCAGATCGTAGTCCTTGACGGTGGTGACTTCAAGCTTCCCCTCCTGTTGGCCAGCCATGGCGTTTGGTGGCGACACGTACTTGAGCGTTGTGAGGTCGTTCTTGCTGACAATCTTGCTTCTGGCGTATTGGTACACTAGGAACGCCAATGTCACCGATGTGACGTATGCGATTCTGACGTAGAGAATCACAGTGGGGTCTTCCATGTCAAGACGACGGGAGACCTGCATCATGGCCAACATGATGACGAGATTGGAGACCTGTGGGTTCATGGTTTGCTTGATTGGTGAAGAGGGCTTGAAAGAGAGCGTTCGCTTCGAGCAGGTTTAAAAACGGCACTGGAAAGTGGATACCTGTCTTTTTCACATCTAGAAGAAATAGTTGTTGGTCGTAAAAGTGTTGGTGTACGAAAATTTCGCCACCTTGTGGCCATGATCAAGCCATATACGTGAAGAGTGATGAGTGTAGCTGGTAGTAAGCCGTTTCAACAACATAGTAATTGAAAGATGGATTTCGCATTTTCTCTTCCTGCCGATGCAAAAAACCACCACTGTTGACCTACACTACTGCCTAGCCACATCTGCTTCCCAAGTTTTCTTGCATCACTACGCATTAGTCACGTGACCATTTGTCTAAAACTGCCCTTGCAACCAGGGCCATAAATAGTGTACACGGTCTTACGGTCCAATGCAATCTGACACTGTCAACTATCTGACGCCCCCAGCCATCATTCAGCCCAACTGCCAAACCCCGGTGATCCCCGTCGGGTGGTCGTCAAGGACGACCACCCGACGCACGCCCAATGATAAATTTACCAGACAATGGCTTTTCGTTTTCTCCACCCCACAAGAAAACACTCAAAAAACCCGAGCCGAATCGTTTTCGTATTTAATGCACCAAAGCGTGGCGAATCCACTGAGAGCTCAAGTCAAATAGTCAGATCAGTCCGTTGTAACTCAGCTGCGTTCAAGTTTAGAAAGCGGTTCGTAAAATGTGTCACCGGTGATTCCGTAGAGGAACTGGTCTTGCCTCTAGTACTAGCTGTATACTTGCGAAATGAAGCATCACTGTGTACGCCCTTTTGCTAAAATTTATTACACTCGCTACCAGCAAATCCTCTTTTGAGTGACACTGAGGAATTAAGACGCATATCTAAAGAAACGCTCGCTCAAAGCCTTATATTCAAATTTGAACTACTGAAGGTATCTAGTAATTTCCACAGCTAGTACGTTTCAGGTGTGTATGGTACGTAAGGTATTACTCTTGATTATCTATGGGTGGTTCGAAACTAGTATTTTGAGTCTTTCAATCATGGCACCCATGTCACCCTTCATGTAGTTGCGCGCATATAGCGAGGATCCACTTAGTACTCACCCGCCTGGGGTGAAAGTTTATGTCGTTTTGAACGGCACGGAAATTCTCGGAAAAACTGTTGAGGAGGAGCAGGGCGCCTGCCGGAAAAACCGACGCAGTCACGGGGCTCGGATCAATTCGGGCCGCCGCTTTCGTGTTTTGTATCGGATTATCTCGCTGCATGGAGAGAGGAGGGCTTTTCTTTTTCGAAAAGAAACTCCGTTCTTGCAAAAGGAACGCGCGGGTTTCTGAAAAATCGCGAGTTTTATCGATGATGCTCATGATGGCCCCACGTCTGCCACATCTGGGTATAAGAGCTGCGAACCGATCCAACAAGCAAGCGACGCAGTCGTAATCGAACAGAGCAGTAGCTAGACAGCAGTAATTGTTTCCTTCGTTTCGGGTTTCCCCTAGGCTTTCAGTTGGGAGCATCGCAGATGCAGCAGAAGAGCGCTAAAATGATAAACGAAAGCGTTAAAGCGTCGAAAAAAGAAGCTATAGTGTCGCCTGTAGCGTCACCTGCCGGGCCACAGGCGGCGTCGCGGTCGGCTTCGCCGCCGCTTGTGCCGCTAGGGCGTGCCGCAGAGCTCCGCAGAGAGGAAGACACTCTCTACACGTGTGCGTCGAGCGACTCGCTCGCGCACCTACAGGGGTCCTCGATGGAGCCCTGCGCCGCTGGCGCGTCGCGCAAGTACATTGACGAAGATGACTCACAATATTTCGGGTCTAGCGGGGTCTACACACGACACTGCGTGCGGCCGACCCGCGTTGGTTGCGACACGGCGTATTTACGGCCCAGAACGTGCTTTACAGGGTTCCAAGTATCAGGGTACAAGAGATACCAGGTGATGGTGACTCTACAGACCGTCGAATTGCCCTATGAGGGTGCGACGTCGACGTCGCCACACATGACCGGGTTTCTCACCATCCGGGGGCTTACGAACCAGCATCCGGAAATCACGACCTTTTTTGAGGGCTACGCGGTGACGGACACGGTCGGGTTTTTGTCGAGTGCGATGCCAACGGAGCTGGCGTCACTCAAGGCGTACGACCAGATCGATCTCGAACATTGGCTTAACTTCCCCTCTTTCAAAGAGCTTTGCATGCAGCCCACTACCACGGGCGACGAATCAAGCAGCAACATAATGCACAGTGTTCTTGATGGCTCCTACAGTCATGCGGACTATCTGTCGAACAGATTTATCTACATGCGCTGGAAAGAAAAATTTCTGGTGCCGGATGCGGAAATCGACTCCGTCGAGGGTGCGTCTTACGACGGATACTACTACATTGTACACGACCAGATCACAGGCGGAGTCCTCGGCTTTTACTACCATAAGGATGCTGAAAAATTTCAGCAGCTGGAACTCGCACCTGTCAGCAACTCCTGCTGCACGGGCGATTGCAGCTTCGAGTTTAACTGAACTGATGGCTTTCAGTTAAAGCTCTCATTGCATTATTCATCTTGGGACAAATTAATTAGGGTATAGAGTTTACGAAATAATAAATCGTCATGAATGTGGAATTGAGTCATGTGAACCACGTCTTCGACTAGCAAGCATCTTCACATACATACACAAACAAACGTTAGATATTAAGACAAACATAATCGTCAAGATAACGCAAAGTGCTGAATCTAGAGAAGTGCTCATGTAAGCTCACATCCCTAGCCATCGTCTATTGATTCAACAGGCTTGTCTTTCCTTACTAGGCTCTGGAGCTTCGGTGCTGGAGGTGCATCTGGCGAATCTGATCTCTTCTCACGACTTAAATTTGACGAATTCATTACTTTTGACAATTTACATGTGCAACAACTAGCCATTTAAATCTGTTACCAATATTTGATCTAATTGCTAGATCCTCTGGTTATCCGTTTACTCCATTTGATCTCTTAGTTGGTATTGTCTAGTTGAGCTATTTGACTTGTCACGGGACTAGCCGACTTTCCGTCTACTTACGTATAGAGCGATCCAGATCAACTTGCTAAAGGACTAATTCGTCTATAGTGATACTTCAAAGTTATGAGAATAGTAATCACAATGTACGATATTGTCATTCTAATTCACCATTATTGATAAACCTAACTATTCCAAATCACCAACGAACAGTTCCTCGAAAAACAATTCTCTACCGTAAGATAATAACCATGAATAACGTTAGACGTGCCGATCTTGCTGTCACGTATGTTTAAGGGCATGAAACTTTCTTCATTTTTTCATTCCATGTACTAACAGCTTGTGAAGATACAAGCATATTCCTGCGCCCAAGACGGCGTACTCAACGTCGGCACAAGGAGTGCTTTCGCAATCGATGCCCATGGCAGCCATGTTCATGAAAAACAAGTTTTTGGCGTGGTTCGGGCTCCTGAGCACGTTCCACAATTTTCTCACGGACACAACGAGCTCCGGAGGTGCTGGCCAGCAACCTCCTGTCATGCAACTTGTTTTGGGCCTCGTAAGTATACTAGTGTGCTACATGGGTCTAGCATTGCCACAGCCCGACGCACCAGCACCCAAAGCGGCCCAGGCGCCAGTTGTCACAAACAATTAACTTTAACGTCTGTACCTTTACGTCTGTACATATACGTACCTACACAACTCCGCGATTCTAATACAACTGCTACTCCCCAATGTCCTCGTACCAATCTTGAGGCCTCTCTTCTATAAACTTCTGCATGATGCTCTTGCACCGTTTATCGTCAACCACTTTGGTTTCACAGCCCCTCGATTCCAAATAACTTTCGCCGGGGGACTTGAATGTGACGTTTTCGCCTATAACGCACCGTTTTATGCCATATAGTAAAATGGCTCCGGTACACATGTCGCACGGCGACAACGTCGTGTACAGAGTACAATCCTTGTAAACGGAGCCCTTCATGCGACCTGCGTTCTCCAAAGTCGAGATTTCACCGTGCAACGTAGCACTGCCTTCCTGGAATCGCATGTTATGACCACGACCCAATATTTTACCGTCTTTATTGTTAATTAAACATCCTCCAATCGGGACGCCGTTCTCTTTGTAGCCGAGAAGAGCCTCTTCATATGCGATATCCATTCCCAGCTCATCCCATTGAGCCATGTTGATCGATTTAACGCTAAATGGACGGTAAAACTTAGGCGTTTTTCGTTCTTTGACCTAGAGCTGTTAACGAATATACATTTTCAATTATCCCATCTTGAAAAGAAGGGCAAAAATTGACTCTAGAACAAGTGACTGATATCCAAAATAAATAAAGACCAACCCCGATCGCTTAAAAACGCTAGTTTTGCCCAGTTTTGCCTACCATTTGACGAGATCGCCATGAATATCGTACCCATGCTAAGGTCTACAAGACGTAGGATGCTAGAATTACGGCATTTGCGGCTTTACGCTACTATAAATTCGGCACAGGAACCATTCTATGACGACTTGTGGCCCAAAACAAGTCGCCCAACACCGTACGAGGTTCTGGGATTGCCAGCAGGTCAACTGGATCATAAAATGCTGAAAAAACGGTATTTTGCCATGGCCAAATTATATCACCCCGATATCGCCGGTAACATCACAATTCTTAGGACCAAGAAACAGCATCATTTTGCTGAGTTGAGCGATCAGAGCATTCTTTCTGCAATCGACAAACAACGCAGGTTCCAGATGGTAAGCGAAGCTTACGAGCTTTTGAGAGATTCACGCAAGAAAAGCACTTATGACAGATTCCGGTCCGGATGGACCCATGGACCCATTGCACGTACGCCCGCGTACGCGGCCGCTGCGGGTCACGGATATCAGGAACACTATCGATATCAGTACTGGAATGCGGGGACTTGGGAAGATGCCAACAATCTAGGCAAAAACGATGAGAAACACATTTCGCCCTGGGCCGTGATAGCGTGGATGGTGGGACTTTTCATCTGTGCCGAATGTACAGCTCTTTTAACAAGGATCGAAGATTCACTAACGAGGGTCAGTTTCACACACGACGAAACCGAAAGAGACCTGACGCAAGCTCAAATTAATTATGGTCTCGACACCGACAAATGGTCCCGTTTAAGACGGTTTTTATGGTTCCGAACTTACGGTTTATACAGGACCAAATCAGATCTCGACAGGGAGGCTCAAAAGAACGAGGAGCTTGTTGAAAAATTGAAAAGAAAGGAAGAGTGATGATGAAGGCGGTGATATTGATGACTGTTATACGAGAGCAGACTTTTGTTACGAGCATTCAATATTCATGGAAAACTACCGTTAGAATGTCAAGGAAAAAGAGCTTAAGACTATGTTAGTCATTGAACAAGCATTGGAATTGAATCAGGCCACGGTTAATTGATATACGTCGTCTTACGAGCTTCTTAGTTTTGCTAGATGGAATGGGTTCGGCTTATATAATAAAGACTAGGATAGTCATGTTCATCTCTATGAACGAATATCATGTCGCGGACCCAGCGATAACGAATTCGAAAAGCTTCCTATCACAGTGAACAATTAGAGCAGAGAATCACGGCATTGTGTACTGTGAGAAGCTTCCAAGCGTGTACCAGATAACAATACCGAGTGTTCAGTAAGTTTCCATGAATTTTTTGAAACCAGAGACGGTTTTGGACCTGAAAAACATTAGAGATGAGCTTGTCAGGATGGAAGATACCATTATCTTCAATTTCATAGAACGGTCCCATTTCCCAACGTGTCCTGCTGTGTACAAGAAGAAAGGATCTGATATTTCAATTCCGGATTTTGATGGCAGTTTCTTGGACTGGGCGCTGATGCAGTCCGAAATTACGCATTCGAAGCTCCGAAGGTTTGAGTCCCCTGATCAAACACCTTTTTTCCCAGACAAGATAGAAAAGCCAATTCTGCCCAGTATCAACTACCCTAGGGTTTTGGCATCTTATTCTTCTGAAGTAAACTACAATCCGGCTATCAAAGAAGTTTACATTGATCAAATTATTCCTTTGATCTCTACTTGCAACGAGGAAAGTTGGGAAAATCTTGGATCAGTGGCCACCATAGACATCGATTGTCTTCAAAGCTTGAGCAGAAGGATTCATTTTGGCAAATTTGTCGCCGAGGCTAAATTTCAAGCCTCAAGGGCCCTGTATGCCAAACTCATCGAAGATCGAGACATCGAGGGGCTTTATGAGAATATTACCAACTCTGCTGTCGAAGAAAAAATTCTGGAACGTCTTTGCGTCAAGGCCGATGTCTACGGCGTGGACCCCACCAACAGGGAGGGCCACAGAAAGATTACTCCCGAATATTTGGTGAAGATTTACAAAGAGTTAGTCATTCCTCTAACCAAGAAAGTAGAAATCGATTACTTGTTGCGGAGACTCGAGTGCGAGTAAATTTTAACCATTATAATTTAGTTTTCAATGCGTAATCTAGATATGCTCCCCAGTTTTATTCCACCAGACGCATGACAGCCTCAAACGCCAGAAACGTCACGGCATTAGCTGGCGCAGCTCTCAGCATCGTAGGTCCAAAACCTTTGAAAAATGCAGAATAGCCGTACTTCCCGTAAATTGTCGTGGCTACTTGGATGGGCGAACTTCCCAAAGTAGGCTTTGTCAAATTGTCAGTTTGCATGACGGATTTTACGACATCTAGCGGGTAAACGGAAAGCCACAAAGTCATGCCAGACAATCCACCATACAGACACAGTTTCCACGCCGGGATCTCGGTACGAAGCTTCCTCCTTTTAAGCTGTTGCGCGATCAAAGCCTCGTATGTTAAAAAGTAAATACCACATCCATGAGCTTCTCGAAGCATGGCGGCAGACAAACCCCTCATAAGTACCTTCTGGGCAACAAGCTTGCGAATACAGTCAACGGGGCCACGAAATTCGGCTGCCCCGCCCCTTTTAGTTTGCGTTTGCAAACGAATCCTGACATGCTCTATAGGAGACGCTAAAAACGCATTCGATGTTCCTCCCACGAAACCACAGGCATAGTACTGAGGTAATGTAAGCACGTCGCCTTGCTGAGGGTTTCTGCTTCTGAAGAGCCTCTTCATTGCCTCGTTCATTCCGAATTGAACAGAAACACATGCACCTACCCCGATAAGTGGAGTTAGAGTGCCTTTATAGAAACCCCGGAAACCTTCATTTTTGACCAAATCCTTCACAACAGTCGATGCAGTTGTGGGTGTTCGGGATGTTTGTAGCCTAACTTTTGTCGTATCAAAAGGCTGGCCGACGAGCACTTGTGCGATGCCTCCAGCAGTTCCTGCTAATAGATCTTTACATACCCTGGTGAAGTCACTTTTCGCTGGCGACTCGTCAATTAGTTCAGGAACTGGGTTTCCTTCAGACATCGTTTGGTCTGAATGTTGAAGATTGAGTTTCTTCAGAAACGCAGACTCTGTCCAAGTCTTTAAATTCTGGATGCTGTTCAGCTCATCGCTGGAATTTTTTCAGTGAAAAATCATTAAGATAGCGAATGTTGGAAATTAACCACGTTAAGACCACTGTAGAAGATCGGTTTGACCATACAGATTACCTATCACGGTCAATGTAAGGTCAATGGCTGATAGATCTAATGGCGGTCCCTCGATTGCAAACATATCAGACGGCAACACTAAATTTTGTAAGTTAGTTCTTTCTTTGGGTTGTAGCGACTTCAATTTCAATTGCCGGGCCTTTTTAGCCCATTCTCGTAGCACGCTAATTTCCTGGGCAGTCATGTGGTCCGGAAGGTATAAGAGCACGTAAAGAATCCATTGTGAAAGACGCTGGGCGTTTTTGTCCTTAGCAATATCGGTAGCCCACGCAGTCATGTAGCTTGCAACGCGGAAAATCTGGTCTGCAGAGAATCGTTCCATATCTTGGCGTGTTGCGTCGTTGTGAGTCACGTAATGGTACCAGGCATTAAAATTTCTTGGAACGGGGCGACATTTGAAGAGATGTACTTTCAATTTGGATAAATTGTTTTCCGGCGGCCGATTTGCCATGTTATCCAAAAATCGTTTGAACCAGCTTTGATCTGCCATCTGCAAGGGCTCCTCATAGAGCGGAATGTCTTTAAGGGCAATTCTCAGCGGTTCGAGACGCAAGTCCGTGTCACTGTCAGAATCATGTTTCATCGACACCAAAAATTTTTTGACCTTTTGTAAAGCAATATCCATTGTTTCAGTGTTTAAGCTCTGTTCAAGGGTCCAATGTTGTGAATGTAAGATGTTTTTCGCTTGTTTGAACCACGGGAACCAAGTGGTTTGGTGTTTGTCGAAAAGAAGCAACTCAGGCGAAATGGGAGGCGCCTCATCATACATGTCAAATGATTTTACCATCCGAAATCGAGTAGTCGTTCTGCGATGCAAACTGGCTCCGACACATGAAGTTTTGAGCGCTTCTTCCCGCACTTCCATAAGATATTTTCTCACCGCTGGATCAACGCTTGAATCTTCAAAAGAAAAAGCTCTAACTTGACCGAAAATTGGATCCACGCTTTGGGTCTCTTGACCATCATCCTTGTTTCTTGCCATTGCCGTATTTTCAGTAGTCCTTCGAGTGTCAAGTGTGCAGTTTCGTTATTATAAGTATGTCAGCTCTTCTGATCTCTAATATGAGTTAAGATAGAGTTAACATCGAAAAACCCACGAGTGGAATAATATCGATCAACATGGTCCAATGGGACCTAAAAGAGTCGCAGATAGCTCATGGGAGCAACGAAAGGAGCTCAACAAAAGTGTGGCTCCCTTTTGGTGTAACGAACCACCCTGCAATGGAGTTAATGTTCCTGCGGAATTGATTTCGATGCACGTTCAGCAAATGCATGAAAATGTATGTGAAGCTTGTGGATTGAACCTGATAAATGAATGGTCACTAGAATTGCATCTTTCGGAATGCCATGATCCTTTTAGGCCGGCAAAAGGTGCCTTTATGTGCTATGAAATGAACTGTGATGAGCATTTCGAGAACCATCTTGATAGGGTTCAACATCTCAAAGACAATCACAATTACCCAGACGATTACCCATTCGATTTTATTTATGAAGGCTATACAGATTAATCAGCTCTTTTTTTGCGCTTCGGCTCGATTGCAACGGCCGGTTTTCTCTTGAGACGTGTTGTGACGTGTTCATCGAATTCGGAATCACAAGCTGGACATCTATTACCGGGCGGTATGATTGATAAGACGCACAGACAAACACTGCACACGTACCCAACTGCAACGACTTTCCCGGTTAGGTAGCAAGAGGTCCTAAAATCAACAGATCCTTGATTAGGTTTAACGATAATGGTTCTCAACGAAGGGTCTATAAACATCGCAGAGCAAAAATATTGTATTACGCCGTCGGTCGTGGCCACATGCAAATAAACTCCATTGGTAGCGTCTGTGGCTTGTTGTAGAAAGGTCGATTCCTGTGTTCCACCCACTTTTATAACGTCGATTGGACATTTCATCGTGGTCGCAGCAAATATGCAATTCATGATCGGAATGTACTGGAATACTTCATCTTTAGCACCCGAGGTACCACAAGTCAACACTAGAAGTCTGGATTTAAGCGACATACTGTCTTGTTCTTTCGTAATTCTGTTAATATACGCTAAACCAGCGGACATCGCTCCAGAAAGTGTGCTCTTTTGAACACCTTCGCTTTCACCAATATGCCCTCTATCCTCTTTCAAAAGATTGTAAATCTCCTCCAGCACTCCTTCATCAACGTTGCGAAACTGTCGATACATGTCATTGTTAATAAGCGAGAGATCCCCACTTTTCCTGTCAACCGATGGGTCCCTGTTCGGTGACGGATACAAATATCTGATCTCTGAGGAATGAGCAGCTATTACAGCAACTTGATTAGCGCTATTGAAAGCCAAATGCGCATTCAAAAACACTAGCAATGACTGTAATGTATCTAGCAAATTCGCATGTTCTTGATTTTCTCTTTCCAGTTCTGCCCACAACTTTGGATTCGTTTCCACTATAACGGTCAGTAAGGAAGGTGCTTCCTCATTTACGGCTTGTTTCAGCCTCGTGTTCTGAAAGGCGGAGTCCGAAATGGCATCCATGGACTCTCTTTAACGGTCTTTATTTCAAATTATTTCACGAAGTCCAGCAGTAAGAACCTCGATTTTCAATATGGTTATTATAAACTTCGATATTAGTATACATTATTCTACAGATATTACAGATACTTTGGTTTGAGAATAGTTGATAGACAGGTACTGACTTTCAGAATCCCAACTCAAAGTGTTAACATAACTTTCCGCCTCGTCGGATTGAAAATCGCCGAATATTGGGATGGATAATGGTTGAACAGATGTAGAATTTCCGTTGTCTCTCAGTTTATCAAGTAGCAACGATATCTCATAAACTGTGACCTCTCCGTCCATTTTTCCAATGGCGAATTTAGTCTTATCGGGTGAAAGGCTTCCGCATAGAATGGGGGTCCCGTCAACCAATGCCAGGGCGACTTGAGCATTTGATCGACAAGACCACACTCTGACTGTACCGTCCATTGAGGTGCTTATCACCTTTTCTTCATCAAGCCATTGGGCACACGTTATACTTTGACTATGGCCGTAAAAGCAGTTTGAAGAGTTAATGCTTCCGCTTCGCCATATCCTCAATGTTAAGTCTTCCGATGAGCTCAACAGCATTCTATTCTTTGTATTGAACTCCAGACCCGTCAAAGTAGCGGTATGCCCAAGCAATTTGCCCACAGGTTTATTTTCTCCCAGCGAATACACTAGTATACTGCCTTGCAGGCCAGGTATGACGAATTTGTCCACCCCAAGCCACTCAACGTCGACGCCAAGAACCTCTGAGGAATTATCGTCTTTAAGTTCGAAAATCTGCAATGCTGTTCCGGTTGACGTATTCCATATCACTGCCGTGTTTTGAACATCATAGCTTAATATATGTGAGTTGTCGGAACTCCATTTGACCGCAAGGATTGCCGAACGATGCAGAGTCAAAATATTGCACAATTTGTTGTTCGCAGACCACAGAACTAGGTTTCCGTTCTCCATACCACATGCCAACAGATTACCATCTGGTGCCCATTCTAAAACTGTAACCTCATTGCTCTCTGAATTTGTGGTCGAAACGCCAGGAATTATTGAAAGTTGCGCAATAAGTTTGCTGGTTTCAATCAAACTTTCCTCCTCGTTCTTATACGTTCTCAGCGCCAGTGTTAGGTTTTGTTCCACGCTTGCCAGTATGAGTTCACTTTTTGTGCTCCATTGCGCTGATGCGCTCACCGGGATCTTGGAAACTTCCTTGAGTGTCTTGATAAAATCTTGGTTATTTGCAGTTTCAGGCATTGACGACTTGGCGGACGTCATAGCGTCAGACGCGGCCGGATCACCGGCAAGAGCGAACCTGCCCTCGGCCACGATTTCCGGGTATTTTTGCCGATCAATTTCAAGGGCTTGAATCAATGAAAAATTTTTACCATACGACTGGTCGAACTCTTCCGACTGTTCAATTACCGATCCATCCCCTTTTACCATCAGATCCGCTTCTGTATACAGGATGCCACGCTGGACGAAATTGACCAAAGATCCTATGGGAAAATGTTCACCAAATCTCTCCTCAAACTCCAAAACCCGCGTATCCTCTTGTAAAGCCAGCGCAGACAGTTCCTTGCCCGATTCCTGAAGATATCTCCATATCAAATAGTTCAGCTCTTCACTTGTAATGCTCATCCGTGATGAATTTTTAAGCCGAAAACAATATGATTACAGTGCAGAATTTTGCGCACTTAGCTTATTAAGTTTCATTCAAGAGTTTGGTGACCTTTTGGCTGCTATTCAAATGAAGGTGAACGTTCGACTTTTCTTAGTTCATTGTTTATGTGTGAGTGTTCAATATTGATTTAAAAGACTTAACTTAGACTATCACGTGACTGGTGAACTGGCAATCTTAAAAATAATAAGGTAACTTGCCAAACGTTTACATACTTTTGATTTTAAGAGGTTTAAAACGTATACGACCGTAAGTAAGGGCTTTGCAAGGCGATTTATAATTCACCCTTTGAAAAAGGTGGATTGAATATTCTGATTGCTATTTCCGCTTAGAAAATGGTTGATTTTTCGTTGAGAAAAGCACGAAATAACTGGAAACAACTGTCTTCCCCATCAAAAGCCAAAGATGGGCATGATGAGATTTCAAGGTCGAAATCCAACCCTTATGAGAACCTGGACACAACTTCTGCGTATAATCAATTGCCAGACATTGATAAATCTTCGCGTCAGAAGGTCGGGACGTCTATGCAGAGAAGGCTCTCCGTGCACACCCCAAAATACATGGCTCCAAATTTTGACCTCATCGCGGAACCGCTTCCCAAATTGGATGCTTCAGCTCTTATGGACAAAAATGGGAGTCATCATTCACTCAGAGATGTGAAACCGCGCACAAAACTACGCCCAAAGACTAAAAACTATAGCGGGAATTCACTGAAACAGATTCTGTCCGATCCCAATTTCCAGGCCAAGAAGTTTGTTACTGCAAATCTCGGAAATGCCAGTGCAGTTGAGATAGAACAATTTACGTCAGGTCTTAACAGCTTGGCGCTGGAGGTTAGCGATGACATGAAGGAAAACGTTAACAAATCCTATAACGAAATTATGGTCATAAACTCTAATCTGTCATCCGCCTCGCGAGAACTGAGAAATCTTCGCTCTAATATCAAAGGTTTACAAACCATCATGGATAACTTTTATGTCATGGCCGAAAAGCGTGTCCTCTTAGAGAAACAAATGCAGTCTCGAAATAATAACGACAATCAGTCTCTACTACCACCGGCCAATGCATCCAAGGTGAGAGATCGAACAAGCGTGTTTATGCTCGAAAAAGTTTGGGCCGACGAACTTGCTGCTCTCTCCAAATCAGTCGAAGGTGCTCAAAAATTTATTTCCGCAATGCCCGGACGTCATGTACTCATGAAAACCGGCAACTGGTTTGAAGTTAATGCTGCGACATTAAAACCCCTAAGAGGTGTTCACATCTTTATCTTAAATGATTTAATTCTAATTGCCGTAAAAAAGCAAGAGGCACAACGGCATGAACTAGCACTTTCACACTGCTATCCGCTTAGGGAAACAGTGATAGAGGGTCAAGAGGGAAAAAGAATATCGATGAATTATGCCAACCGGACACAGTGCCTTTATCAAACCCAAGACCCTGAGGAGTTCGAGCGTCTTTTTGCTACGATCAGAGGTGCAAAGGACGATTTAAAGGACATTTCTGAAGCGGAAGAAGAAAGCGCCAAGCGTATCCGTGACTCCTTCAACTACCTTCGCTCCAATCAAACATTCTCTGGAAGAGATGGCAATATGAGTCCCGTCAAGACCCATGGCCGCCATACGAGTTTAGGAAGTATGTCTCCTCAGACTCACGGTACCGCTAATGATCAATTTTTATACCAAAACATAACCGCATCTGTTCAGTCCGTAGCAGATTATGGAAAAATGAGTGAAAACACAGTGCAGCTCAAAAAATTAGACGAAGAAATTGAGGAGCTTGACATTACGCTAGCGCGGCGAAAATATGAGGCTAGCGCAACAAAATTACATATACTTGATCTTTCAGTCACCAAGCTCAAGGAAAAACTAGGCCAGGAAGATGCAATTCTCACACGTCTTCTTGACTTAAAAATTGAGCAGCGTAAGCAAGACTTACTGAATAAATTGTATGGAATAATCTCAGGAGAAACAACCAATTTAAGTCAAGTTTTTGAATGCTTAAGGACTATGATCAAACTAGAATACGCCGACGATGCCCTCGAGTTGTTCTTACAAAATCGCTCCAAAAGGATTCAGGAATTAATCCTCCAGATTGGAGCGTTCGATAATTCAACCAACTATTTGACACAAATTGCTGTGATCAGATTTCAGGCCGTGAGGAACGGAGTTCTCTCAGTTCAGGATTTATTTGAGAGTAGAGTCAAAGACCTCTCTTCAATGATAGTGGTCTGGTGCAGCGACGAAGTGGACAAGCATTTCGCTCTTGTTAACAAGCAAATTCTTAACCACGAAACTATACCGCCCTCGTCCATCAAATCAACCCGAAAAGAAATAGACGCGTTAAAGGAAATTGGCATAGATTTTGTCTATAAACTCGACGACTTCTTGAGACAAAACAACTCAAGGATACGGTGATCTGAATAAAAAACTCAAATAAAAGAGCTTTCGATCACAATTCCGCATTAGATATAGCGTTTTCATGAAGCCAATCCATCAAAGAATCCATATTAAGAGTCTTCAAATAGCAAGCGCCACGACAAACCCATTCAGGAGCATACTCATTTGGTTGTAATTCGAGAAAAGTATCTGCGAAAACCTTGCGCTTTGTTGTAGACTCGTCAACGCATAACGAGAAGACTTCCATAGGTTCCTTTAATAAGTCAACCTGTACATGCGTGATAATTTCTTTTAAAGAGCCCATGTTCACTAACCCAGAAGATTTGCATTCCGAATTTTTACAAAATGTCGACCCGCAGCCTCGGGTGAGTTGGATCACGTATTTTCTCTCAAGCTTCCTGAGAAACCTCTTACCATCAAAATCGTCTTGAGTGTCAAAGAAAGGCCCATAGCACAAACTACAAAGACCCCACCTATTAGTCAAATTGGTTAAAATCCGACAGCAGTTTACGTTTTTGCAAATATCAATAACCGTACTTTTGCCTCTCTCTATCCTTTTAAGATCATGAAACTCCATATGACGTTCAAGTTCCATGAGTTTGACGGTTTTCTGACACCTATAGCATTCAGTTGTCTTAATTCCGCAATTGAGCTCGTGCCCCGAGAGCCCATAATATCGAGCTTCGACTGAGGATTCCCCGCGTTCGATTCTAAGATGACAAAAGCGACAACTGTGTAATCTCCTTGGACACACCTGGTGTTTGTGTTTCGCTAAATCATCTTTACTTTCAAAACTAGCACTGCACATATCACAACCGATTGGAACATGGAAGAACTCTAAATGCCTTAAACGAGACACATTCATGTCCCCTGCCATTAATTGATGGTCTTTGCAGCAATGCCAATGCTCTTGAGGAATGGTTTTGACTTGGCAATACATTTTGCCACACTCATCACATATACGAGTGCTCCTCGCGCAATGAACTTCGTGAAGCGGATACGTTCCAGCAGCAATTAAAGTGGAACAGTGCCTACATTTTACTTTTCCTTCAATCTCATCTTGGGACTCTATTTCATTAGCCTCTTTTATTCGAAATTTGAAGGTTGCAGTGTCATTGGAATCAAACCAAACAGGCTTAAGAAATATCATCCCTTCTTCAGGAAGTGGAACGATAGTTGAAGAGTTGACAGAGGACCTAAGCATTTTGGCTGAACTCATCAAGGTGCTAAAATCATAGCAGTCTTCTGAAAGGGTATTACTATCGTGCCCAGCTACGATCTGCAATGATTCACCCAAATCGTTCTGCGAAATTTCTAGCAACAAATTTTTTCGACATTTGAGAGAATAGATTTGTTGTTTGTCTTCGCTAACTGTCGTCAACTCCCCGATGCGTAGGGCTAAAGGCTTAGTTGAGTTTGAAGCAGAGGTTTGTTGAGTTGAGCTGCCTGATATGGATTCTTCCAGTAGGAGATCCAATTCGAGATCGGTGTTCACAACGATCGATACAGGGGAAGGATCAAGTTCGATGACGTCAAATTCAAAAATCTCGGAGGCTCGCTCTCCATTTGGAGCCTTTGAAACAAGAAGCCTTTGATTCTGAGTTACACACGTAATCGCATTGTTCATACGTGCTTCCAGGAAGGCTTTCATTGAGAAAACGTCTTCAGACACAGCTTTCTCGAGATAATTGTCTGATTTTTCAACCGATTCGAAATCTTGCGCTCCCCATTTTTTAGAGCCCACATACTTCAAAGTCAATTTCTCACAAGCTTTTACGTCGTGCGCTACTTGCCATTTCAATTTGTAAAACGCATCTCTCTTGTTACCCAATGAGTGAATTCCAAACCTCGATGCCACGAGCCATGGGAGAGTCACCGATTGCGGGTCGTCTAAGCTAAAATCACGCACTCCAACAGTCTGTACCCCAATGCAATTATCGTCACTGTCTTGTGACAATGTTAGAGTTATCACAAGAGGTCTCGAAGCGTCGAACAAATCGTGATCACTGCTGTTAATCAGATCATTAAGAACTCCTTGAGGAAGCGAAATTTTGTCGGAAAAAGGAAACCTCACCTTATCGACGCTGATATTCGTCAAAATGCCCATAATATTTCACTAAAAAACTCATCTCAAATGTAACAAGCCTTACAAGTGGCGCTCATTGTAATACTTATTAAAAGTCCATTGGTGAGATCGATGATTGGTTTACACATCTTTCTATACGAAAGGGTTTTTGCCAGAAGTTTCTGGAACTTCGACCATCAAATACTGTGATAATAAACTGGAAATCTATATGAGGAAAGCAAATTGAGAAGCGTCCGTTACCGTACCCAATACCAGCGTCTTACCGACCAATCCTAAGTATTCTTTAAATCCCGTTTGAGAGATTTTCGAAGGAAAAATGGAAAAGTTGTTGCATTGGTCCATTGCCAATTCACAAGGCGACAAAGAAGCTATTGAAAGAGTTGGCCAGCCTGATTCCAAATTACTGAAAGAATTGTTTCAGGGGGGTCCAGATGAGCCCGCCTTGATGAAACAAGCCATTACGGTTATATTGAATCCGGAAGCAACGTTGGATGCCAAACTCACTGCTTGTGACAATTTTGAGATGCTGATCGAAAATTTGGATCATGCCAACAATATCGAGAATTTGAAATTATGGGAACCAATTATAGATATTATGGACTCCAATGAAAGTGAACTACGATCTTTCGCTTTGTCAATAATTGGTACTGCTGTACAGAACAATAAAACTTCACAAGACAATTTTTTGTCGTATCCTAAGGGATTAGCACGCATCGTTGATATTGCTAAGCAAGATAATGAAAACGAGCAACCTAGGTGCAAAGCGTTTTATGCCCTGTCTAATTTAGTAAGGCATAACCCTTCTGGCCTGGCTAAATTCGAAAACCTACATGGACTCGACCTTGTAGCGCCCGTTTTACAAAACTCCGGCACATCAGAGAAACTCCAGGTCAGAGTTTTGGCATTTTTAACTGCAATTTTGAGTGCAGCTCATATAAACCAAGAGTTCGTCGACATTTTGCGCCAAGAAAGGATTATTCACAACGTTTTAGCGCTCCTTAGAAGTGATAGCTATATTTATGTGGTAGACCGCGTTCTTCAATTTTCGGCTATCCTGATTGCTGCTGGGGCCAAGTTCAACGAGGAAGAGTTATCCATTCTCAAACGTGGTCTAATGGCAATTGAGCCTTTGCGTGAGCAAATTAATGAAGATGATTTTTTGACGGTAAAGCATGTATTATAGCATAAAAAAGAGGTAGGTTTTGAATCATCATATTAACATTATTATCTAGCTCTTTTTTGAAAATGGCTTTCATCAGAGAAGTTCGCGCGTCGAAGATGGTGGCCCAATAAATTAATTCAAATATCGATTTACCTATTTGGCCATTTGCGCTTGTGCTTTTCAATCTACATAAATGAGTTCGTCAGGGTCATCTGAAGTAAGTAAGGTAACCATTGCTCTTTCAGCATTCTTTGGCATCATAGGCTGACCGTCGTCGCCGCTCATTATGAAGCCTTTCGTGATATCTTTGTATAATGACTGAAATGATTGATAAAAGCTTGATACCCTTCGGGCACGCAGGTTTGTCATTTTGTTCAATTGCTCTAAGGTACCACTCACCACTTCTTGGGGTGTCTGTGCAGATTTGACATTAATGTGTGACCAATCCAAATGTCTTATTTGGGGATCGTAGCGTATTCTACTAACCACAGGTATCAGGCTTTTAAGCCACAACCCAAGAGCTTGCGTTGATCCAAACAGGAAGATGCGGACATCTTCTTGCAATGCAATCTTTTCTGAAATAAATGTTAGTTCGTTCGATTTAACGCCAATTTCTTCCAGTTCACGAGCCTTTTTACTCTGGCGCCTGTTCTGTGAAGCGGTCGATTGAGAGCCCAATGAGTCCTGTATACGATCACGATATCGCTTGTCCTCTAAATTTTGTAAACCTCTCTCAAGAGATGTATAATCATTGAGTAATATTATTTTGGTGTCGTCCTGAATCCCAAAACTTTCAAACGTAAATTTTAGTTCATAATCCTGTGATTTTAGCATGGAAAAAAATTCTAAAGCATCATATAGCAAAATGCTTACTTTCTCTTTCTTTATGGTTGGTTCCCGAGGATAAAACAAGTCTCGATTGGCGTCATATACTGATTTGCATCGTCGCAATATTTTCAGTAAAGGTCTATGACTATGGAGGTGAATAATTTCCGTAGGCTCAAGAACCTCCTTGAGATCCAACCCTTTGCCCTTGATATCGTTTAGAAGATTTTCATCCATATCAATAAGCAATTCTTCTCTAAGAGCGACAGGGTCTTTCAAAATCTTGTTGACTAAGTTGAATTCTCTTTTCAAGCTCGAGTTAGCTAGGGCCTGCGAGACTTCCCGTTTGGCCTCGTCCTCTGTAAATGCTCGTGAGTTCAAAATGAATTTATCTAAAAGATAACCTTTCTCGGGAGCTTCGAAATTAATGTGCGCTCGCACTTTCTTACCACATCCAATAATTAAGTTGTTTCTGTTTATGCAAGTAGCCAGGTTTGAATTTACAACAGACGCAGGTTTCGCAAAATTCGAACTGTTATCAAGGTCAATCTTCAAAGCGCCACTTTTCCCATTTGTCATAATGTCAACCTGTGAACTCTCCTCTATCGCAGAAAGATCTCCATCTTTTTGGCTTACAAACAAGGTCTTCTCAGGCACTGGCGTTGGTGGATCTTCGAAGGTACTAGAACCGGGGTTTTTAGTCTGAAGCCATTTAGATGCAATTTTCTTCATGTTTAAGGGACTCCCTTGATGAACAGTGTTACTCAGATTAGATATACTAATTTCAGAGGATGACATGTTGTCCCCGAGTAACTCGTTCAGCATTGAGCTTTGATCTCTGGCTTTTGGTTTTTTGCGAACAGATTCGTTGACGCTAGAATATTTCAACGGTTCTAATTCCCCAGTGTCGTTTCCATTATCCAACAATTCATGTTGATTCGCGGCTGCAGTTGATAATAGATCCAAGCTAGTGTCATTCTGAAAACCACCTAACAGTTTCTCTGAGTCTAAGTGGCATGAATTTTCGAATCTTTCATTGTGAATCTCGCTTGGACTTGAAATGGGATGGGGTGTTGGCGATGACGGATACTGATTGGCGCGTTTCTCCTTTTTTGACAAGATGCTATCACCTTCTGATATAAGTTCAATAACTTCATTTACAGATCCCTCTTGTTTGCATCTAGACGACTCCTTTCGGCAAACTTCGATTAGCTCCAATGATGACATCTTATAACAGTTATCATCACAACAATCGCTTAGCGGTGAGCCCCATCTAGAGATGGTCTGATTACTTATTAGTTGATCTAAACATCCTATTCAAACTATTGAACTGAGAAAACTCGACAAGGTCACGTGACACTCTCGTTGTATATTTATTAGATCTTGAGTTTCAGGCGAGCTAGCGCCTCTGATAGACGTTTATTTGCAGAAGTGGAGGGCATTCTCCCCATGCTTCCTTGTCGCCTCACAGCACGACTCATTTCCTCACTAAATTGTAGCCTTATTATGTTCTTGATGTCTTCGGCGGAGTACTCGCTAAGCTTCCCCGAATTTGCCATTTCGATGACGACTTTTTCATTGGAAAGACACAATTGAAAGTAGCTGACTGCAGATGACATGTCATTGTCGGTCGATGTTTCAATGATGTTTCTGAATGCATGCTGTAACACGTTAATGTTTCTCAAAATTCTTTTAACGCCGATTTGGGTGAGGACAGGTATTGATCGCGAGCCTTTGATAAAGGCATAGCTCAAAACATCCGGCAACCCGGAGAAAATCATCCCTACTTGGTTTTTCGTAAGGCCTTCGCGATAACGATTTTCCATTGTGCTCAGTTCTGAAGTGAGAACTGCGATGTTTTCATCAAGTTCAACGCTGACCACATCAGGATTCCAACTTGAAGTTTGAAAGAAATGACTGATGAAATGAATTGTACGCGCTCTAATGTCGTAGCGCAGAGTAGAAAGAACGCTAGTCTCAATCGATTTGAAGCCAGAAATAAGCTTATCAAAATGGGTTAATGCTTCTCCATTTAGAGAAAATTTGAGATTCGACATCTGCTCATAATTGTCGAATTCAGACACCTCAAAAATGGACCATTGAGCTCTTAGTTCGTCAGCACTAATAGCGCGAGCGTCAAAAGTAACAGGCTCTGTTTGTTTTCTCAAACGCGGCAGCCATTCGTTGATCCACGTTACGGTGGTGCCTAAAGTAATCAGAGAACCTAATGTCGCGCTAGTAAGAAAATCTTGCCTTGAAATACCTTTGTTTTCGACGTAAAACTCAGGACAATTGATAAATAATTCGCTTGTCTCGTTAGGGATTAAAGCGGCGTTTCCGTTAATGATGTTTTCAGTTGTTTGAAGTAATTTTTTATTCCGCATCCAGACACTGGCGATGTATCTGTCGAAGCGATTGCGTCCTTTTCTCATCACATTTTCAAAAGTCTTGCTGAAATGCAGATGAAATTGGTCTAGTATCAACAAAAGTATCCTTGAAATAGGTTTTCGGTAGGTATGAGTTGTGTTCATGAGATAAAGGATTTTGAAAAACAACTTTTTGAACTCAAATGCTGACTTGTAAATCGATTGTTGCTCTGCTATTGTAACTAAAGAGTATGCATCAGCAGTATCGACATCGCGACTAAAATAAAACTTGAGAGTTCTTTCTAAGCATGGAACAAATATTCCTAACATACACTCCCCGAAAAAGTCCACCGGTGATTGTATATCCTGTTCCACATTTGGTATCGCATTCATGGTTCCTTGAATATAGAGCAAAAAAGGTTCTAACAGAAGAACAACATTGAAAACATTTGCGGGTATGAGTGTCTCTTCCTGCTCTAAGTGTTCTTCCTCTAGGAAGATTGAGTTTGGCTCAATGGACGTAGAGGCAGAAAAACCAGGAAACAGTTCTTTCAGCATGTTTTTTAACACATTTGCATGGTCTTGAGCTGCAGATGTATCGCTAATATTGCTTTGAAGGGAAAAGTACATTGTTCTTTCTGCTTGTTTCGTATCTGCCTGGCTGCCATTAGAAAAGGTCAGGCCGTGAGGAGACCCAGCTCTGAAAATAGAAGGTGGACATGTGTAGTTAATGAAAAGTGTTTTGATTTCTATCAAAGTCTGATGCCAGATTTTTTCAAAATCATAATGTTCTACTCCCAGTGAGGGTGGACTGAAAAACCGTATGATTTCGTAGACTGCTCTATGCGCTTGCACTGCAAATGAAAGCTTAGTAAAAATGCTCCAAAAAAAATTCCTAATCATAGCAGACACGGCATTTTGACCAAAAAGTCCATAATCATTGTTATAATCCATGGTCACGGCCATTTTTAAGAGAGAAGGATGGTTTTCTCGAATCTCTTCTGACGTTTTCTTGACAATGGTGTGAATTTCTTCTCTTGTGCGCTCCAGAATGCTCTTCGTGGCAGGACGAAGTTTATTCAAATCATTAAGTGTTCTTAACAAATTGAAAAGTCGACTATAATCTGAATCTTCGTCGTGCATCTTAGCGCTGGCATTTTCAGATGAAGCTTGTTTTCCAAGCTTTTTCAAAAAATCGAAAAGACTTGAATTCAAGGTTCTTGCTTGGTCTCCAATATCTATATTGACAATGCTGGATAGATAGTTTTCCACGCTGAAAGCTTCTTCATTCGACTTGGTATTGCTCTTATGAGCAACAGCAGAAGTTAGTCTCTTTGAGTAAATAAGGTCATTTATCTCCTCCATGATCGTTTCAAAGAGGGAATCATTATAGGAATTGACTTGCTGCTTGATCGCCTGTAAACAGGGCATACTCCAGATGTTGTATTTGCGGTCTAGTTCATGAACCTGTAAAAGAGCATCTTTGGCTTCATCAAACGACTTTTCTCGAGTTTTTTCTTCAATTAAGGCTGGAATAGCCACCAGTCGTTCTAAGGAGTCTATAACTTCAATCATACTAGTGTATCGCATTGAACTCTCATTCAATTCGCCTAGCGAGTCCTTAGAACTGTTGAACTTGACAAGCGATTCGTCAAATTTGTTACGAATTGATGTTATATTGTGCTGAGATACGTTAATCAGCTCCACTGTTTGCTCATAAGAGGCAATGCTAGAATTAAACGCCTGATAGTGCTCGTTAGCCGCTTGTTGCAAGTCGGACGCAACTTTTGACTGAAGCGTTTTGAATTCGTCTAGTCTGTGACCTAACCCGACCGATGTATCATCAAGAAGTGATAATGCAAGTTCTAAAGGGTTCGTATTTTCATGTAAGATTTTATTCCATCTTGTCTCAACAAGGTTCATGTCGTCCTTCAAATTGTCTAAAGCATTGTTCATTGCCCGCCTCTCATCGTCGGTGAATTCATTGACCGAGAGACCCCTTCTTCGGGCAACTGGGACACCTAGCTTGTTCATTGGTTCCTGCCAGTTTAATGTCCATTGATGTTTATTGTTACGGTTTCTTAACTCTTAAATCTAGATTCATGCAAATAGTGTGATACGATCTATGTCTTCAATACTTAAGAGAAGATGTTTATCATCCCAGAATTGTCAGCCGATATCAGATACTGACCTTGATCCTTGGTTATTAGTGACAAGCCGTTAACAAGGTCGGCATGAAATCGATTCTGTACTTTTTTTGAGCTTGTAGTCCCCGCTCCCGCATCGCGAAGATTAAAAATACTAATATTCGCCGTGAGTTGTGTTGTTTCCAGAACGATATCACTCCCACTTGTTCCTTGACCTATATGTTTGACAGCTTTCTCCTTCAGATTGAAAGCTAGAATCTCGCTCGTGTTGGTTTGAGAAATGAAGATATTGCGTCCTAAGACTAATAGAGTACTGACACCACTGCCAGTTGCTTGAGGCTCCTCGTTTTCTTGATTTATTCTGGGCTCTTTGGTGGCCACGAAATCGTCTATAACCGGCGGAACACTGGAGCTGGAACAGATGTGGCGACAAACCAATTTAGAGTAATCCCAAATGGAGAAAAGTGTGTGACTTGAACCTCCGATTACGATCAAGTTTCTTTCGCTTTTTTTGAATATTGGTGGGCAAAACTCCAACTGCGTAACGGGTGCACTATCGGCAAATGTCCAACTGTGCACCATTACACCGAACCTAACGTCCCAGGCATCAATAAACCCTTTAGACGTACCCACGGCTAAACAAACCAAATCGTCGCTCAAAGCACCTGTGATCACTGCACCATGAGCAGCGTTATTTTCGAATTTCTTGATGACACCCATTGTTCTTAAATCCAGGATCAGCATGTTCGATGTGTTTGTGAATAATGTTATCCACTGGTTTTTCTCATCGGCATTAACAGTCAATTTGATAGCATAGGTTGACTTTTCTGGTAAATTAAATGACCTGATCACTTCAAAGTCGGGTTTGTCATCCAGTTTTTGAGCTCTTTTGGTTATGATTTTCACAACAAGAACCCTTCCATCTCTCAAGGACACGACAAATATGTTGAATCCCTCTAGTAATTGTAAGTCTGTTATGGAAGAACCAAGATCAAGTGACTGAGCGGAGGAGAAGGATTTCCCGCTGCAAATCTGATCAAGGTCCCAAAGTTCGATCATTCCCTGATCCGTTCCAGAAACAAAGGAAGACTCGAGGCTTATCAGGCCCTTTATCGCGGAAGTCCTTTGACCGACAAGACAACTTGCCAAAAACTTACCACTCAGGCTAAAACCCCCATCAATTGTTAGCTGTGAGAAATCCCTTCTAGCCCCTAAGTAACTTGAACTGAATTCAGGATATTCTTTCAAAGCAGGCAGTATTGGTATCGAATTCAAAAAAGTCTTGACATATTTGTTACTCCCTTCGTAGCTACTTTTCATAATGTAGCGCTCCTCGCCATTGTATTTTGGATCAATTAGTGAAGTGTTATTGCCATTTGCGCGAGATAAACTCGACGGCTCTAACTGGACGTAAATGTTGTTCAAGCATGACGTTATGGTAGACGTTGCTCTGCTTGCTAAAATCAAAGATCCATGCGCCTCTACTGGACGTGAAAGAGCCGCGGACGTTGAGTTCGGAGCTGGACTTGGAGTACTCTGAAGCTTCTTTTTTAAGATAAGATGTGCCGATTCTTTAGCTGAATCTGATGAAAGGGGAAATACTGCATCAAAAAATACATTTTGAGGGAGTTTGTTTGATACAGAAGGTCCTATTGCAAGTTCGCTCAAGTTGAAATCCGTAGTCTCATTTTGTGATGCAGTTACATCGGGCCTCCTCGCTATCATTCTTGAGACCCGATATACGTATGGTCTCATAGCAGCTATTTTCCAGAATTCCCCTTCGACAAGACCCACCGTCTTCAGTTTTTCAATCCAATTTTTGTCCTCATTGGTGAGAAGATAGTCATGATTCTCGGCGTGCTTCCTAATTCCTCTGAGCTCTGCGTTTCCTCTATTAAGACCATAGTTTTTTGAGGACGAATCTTTTGAAATGAAGATAATATTTGGATTACCAAAAGCGTCCATCTTTTTGGTTGGTTCTTGCCGCCAGAAGAATGAATTGCCAGCACGCAATGACCAGGTGCACAGTAAATTGTAAACCGCTCGAGAGATAGGCTTTTTGCAGCTCGACAGCATGCACTCCCAAGTAAGTTCAACTTCTGTATCAAAAAATGGTTTAATTATCGGATAAAGCAGACAATAAACCTCTGCTATATGCAGCTTTTGAGAAATCTCAATCAGGAATAAAAGTGAAAACTGTCTTATCCACGCATTAGGATGAAGCAGCAATGTGGAAACAATCTCAGCTATGTCTAAGAAGTACTTTTTTCGGATGAGACCAACTTTGCATAGAGCTGTTATACTTTGAAGAACACTCGTAACAACGAGCTCTTCTGAATCAGTTATCGTTTGTACTAGAAGTGGCAAAATGTATTGGTCTAGCGTTATTGGACCCATCAAAATTGCGACAGATGTAATTGTTTCTATGAGCATTCGCCGCAGTGATGAATTCTTATCGTTCAAATAAGTGATCATATGGCTCAAAATGATATCGTTAGTCTTTTCGCGTCCAAACAAATGGCAAATTGGCAGTAAATCAGAAAGCAGGGCCATTCTAACATTTGTCTCGTTGTCCGTCAATAAGGCAACAATTATCTCCTCAAAATCTTTTATCAATCTTCGGTGTTGTATCCCCGCTGAGCCATTTAGTTGGTCATTTTCTTTTGAAAGATAGCCCGCTTTTTGAAATTTCGACGCTGCTCGACAAATCTCCCCCAAATCCGCGGCGAAGAGCATCCTGACGTAAGTGTTATTCTTAGAAACATGCAGAAGCTTCTTGAATCTTGGTAAAATATAGTCGGTGAAAACATTTGCATTCAAGCTTGTTGGTTTTGTCACTGTCCCCAAAACCTGTGTTAAGACATGAATAGCCTGCCCCTGTATCGCTTGTGTATTATCATTGAACATGGAGATAATAAATGGTACAACACGATCGAGCTTGTTAGCATCAGAAACAAATAGCGAGAATGCGGCTAATAGCTCGAGGCATCTCAACCTTGTTCTGAGCTTTACAACATTTCTCATTGCATGTGACAAAAGAGAAATATGAAGCAGGGCAGATTCACTTGCAGAAGATTCGACATCAGGATTGAAAGGCTGTAAAGCAATGACTCCCGTCGATGGAATGTTGAGAAAATTTCCAAAAAGCCGGCTCGGTGGTATTGGCTTTGAAACAATCTCCAAAGGATAATGCAGGGTTGCGCATATCTTACCAAAATCTCCATAAATTTTTTCTACCATCTTGTCGATATCTTGTGCTCTGCCATTCAGGGCCTGCATCTCTGATTGTCTCGTTTTTGGAAGAATGCCGCTGGCAACAATGGTCAGATCCTTGACGTAGTCATAAAAGAACTTATAAAAACTCTCTGGAAACAGATTTCCCCGGTATCTTTCTAATAAATCTGCGGCCGAGGGTCGGTTTTTCGGATTTAAAGCAATCATGCTAAGCACGAGATTTTGAATTTGATCATTTTCCAGGTGGCGGTCCAGAAACTCTCGCGGATCGTACTCGCCCGTCTTGTATTTGAAAAGCTGAGATAAATCGAAAATGGAATATCCTTCGCTGAAAAGTTCCGCAATACAGCAACCAGCGCTAAAGATATCCATTTTTTGTGAGGGCAAGGTCCTTGACCTTTTTCCCTCCTTGTATAGTTTCGTGTTAAACCTCTCTGGAGCGATGTAACAACTTCTGCGCTGTGAAGTATCAAAATAGAAAGAGAACTCGCCTGGATTATCCTCTGGTAAATACGTTGGTTTCAGAAATGAGGAGAAATCTGTCAAAACTAACCAGTTCCAGCTCGTTAGCATCAGATTCTCTGTTTTAAGGTCGCCGTGGACAACATCCACGGAATGGATCGCCTTTAGCGCCTGAAGAAATTGGAAAACCATAAATTTCAGTTCAATCAGCTCCAAAAATGGTCTTGAACTCAGTCGATCGTAAAGATTACGTCGAAGGTGTTGTCTAATCAAGTATCCAGCGCGGTCAGTCTCTAAGATTTTGCCATAATTGAGAACACAAGGAATATCGGCTAGCTTCGAAGTCTGAGTTTGGACGGATCTTACAACTTGTTCCAGGTTATAGTCATCTGTTGGCTTTATGAAAACTTTGATGATCACTTCGCCATGAGGATCTAAGGCTTTACAAGTTTTCAGAAATCGTGAGGAGTTAAGTTGAGACACATAATGAACTTCTTCCAAAACATCAACATAAGACGATATGGCTATAGATGGCGCAGTATGGGCTAATAACGAGAGGTCAGCCCCCATATTTCATCCCACTTTCAATTGATATTCAGGTCCTTGAAATATGATCAACAAGAACTCTTCCACATATCATCGTCAACGTTTTACTATGAAAATAAACGCCAAACGCTAATAAAGGCCTGAAAAGCGCAAGATAGTCCCTTTTTGATCTTTTACGGCTTATAAATGTCATATAAATGCAAGAAATTGTAAGTGTTTCTGTGAAATCTATTGTTTGATTAGGGGTTAGCAAAAGGTCCCATTAACGTACAACGCTTTCAAAAATTGGGCCTGAGCTAGAGTCAAAAGAGCGGAAGGAAATAAATGTTCACTTCGTAGCGTTGAAAATTGTTACTTCCTGAGAAATGCAATCTCTTATTTTCTTCATAGAGGTGAACTCTTTCTCATAAGAGTAGTCGAAATGGCCGTGTGGACATGTTGGCTCGTCGTTCAAATTTCTCACCTCAGACAAAAACGGATGAGCAATGGCTTGCTCAACAGTGGGTCGCGTATCGGGGTCCCATTGTAGCAAGTCATCAAGCAGGGACATGGCATCGTCACAAGCGAAAGTGTAAACACTTTTCCAGGCCAACTTCTTCTGCTGCGGCCGCTGAGCGAAAAAATCCCATGCTCGCGTCGAAGCGTATTTACTAATGACATCGTACGTGGGAGAGCCGATGAATCTCATTATTTCGGACACTTGATGCAAGGAATCCTGGCCCATGAATGCTGGTTTTCTTCCGTAAAACTCGGCGAGAATGCACCCCACTGCCCACATGTCAATTGCTTTTGTATACTTCTTGTAGGATAAGATCAACTCTGGAGCACGATACCATCTGGTTGCCACGTAATTTGTAATTGACATCTCCCCAGTGCTGGTCTGTGTGTATAGAGGAGAAACGCCACGTGCAAGTCCAAAATCACAGATTTTAAGGGTCCCATTAATTGTGCACAATATATTTCCGGGTTTCAGGTCCCTGTGAATCACCTCAGCGCTGTGGATGTATTTGAGGCCGCACAGTATTTGATACAAAAAGTGTCTTATGTGAAATTCTGAAAATTGAACGCTGGAATGAATAACACGAGCAAGATCATAGTCAATAAGCTCCTGGTAGCAATAGAGTCCTTCATATGGTTTTGCTGTAACAAGTTCTAAGTCGACCAAACTGACAATGTTCTTATGACCTCGAAAAAAATTCAAAAATTTCAGTTCGCGTATAGCTCTTTTGAGGAGCACTTCGCGATTGAAAACGTTGGTCACTTTTTTTATGGCAAGTCGACTTAGAAGACTGGGATCTCTTTTGTCAACAGCCGAAACGACGACTCCATAGGAGCCTTTGCCCAAGATTTGTATAATTTCATAATGTCCCGGCACCGAAAAGTTTGCCTTTTGATAAACCGTGCGAATGTCTCTCAAAATCGGGTGACTTTTCGGCAGACAGTTCAAACGCTCTTCATGCTTTTGAGTAACGTTCTGCCTTTTGTTGATGTTTTCATTTTGTTGAGCTTGATTTAATACGTTTGTATTCGAATTCAAAGCAAATGGGAGCGACATGGAACTGAGTTCAACCGACCACGAAAATTGCCTTGAATACTTCTCAGCCGCAAACTTAGTCTTTGTCTGAGCATGAAAGTGTAATCAAGTAAAATTCTTTCATCACGTCGAGAATATCTTGTCTGTCAAGCCGATTTTTGTGTTAGCACCAAAAGCGAAAACCCACAAATTTCAGACGTCAGACGGTATCAATGAAGTCACGGTGCACATGAATGACGGCTTTGTAATCTTGACTTCAGCTATGTGGTCATTTTGATCACATCCTAGTTTTCGTATATTTAAGTTTCACAATGAATCCCTAGAGAAATCGATAATTGCGAGAAATGAGCACGCCGAGGTAGGCCTGGATATCGCAAACTAAATTTAAATGGCAGTGTATTCGTGTTTGATGGTCTCCAACGGCGTAGTATTGTGAAATCCAGATTGCTCTTGCAAAACTTTCAAGTTCTTAGCAGAAATGGCCTCGACTTCGTCATTGAGAAGACCGCAAATTTCCAACGCGTCCTTAGGTGCAATCGTCTTTCTTCCGTCCTTCAAAACATACTTTGTGATGCCAAGCGAAGCTAATTGAGACCCATTATTGATCAAGAAGCGGCTCAACACGTAAATCCACTTTTCGTCCCAACATAATATGCAACTCCGAACTTCGTATCTCTGAAACGGCTTGATTTCCTTCAAGAAGTTTGTGAAAACGTTGGCAACCGGTACGTAGGGCCATCTTTTAGACGTCAAAAATAGTTTTTGAAAAATGGTGGTCATGAGATCGCCCCTCGAGATATCCATTTCTTCGAAATAAGTACTGTTACTCTTGTGCATGTAAAAGTCGCATTCGAATGGAGAAGCATACGTCGATAATGTCGTGTAAGCGAAACAACCGTATCTATCGTTTTGTAGTGTCCTAATGTTTCTGGTGTTCTTCCCCGTAATTTGAGGCAAAACGAGGTTTTTAAGGGCACGCAAGTAGAATCTTACAAAATACGCACCAGGCAAAGACTTGTAAGTGGAAATCAAGGCCATAATTGAAACCCATTTAATTACTCCAGCGATCATTGTTGATAACTTTGTAAGCTCGAAATCGCGATGTTGGCTAACCTTCCGTTGAGAGCTTATTGAAGGACAGTCGTCGAGCTCCAGGTTTTCATTTTCGAGAATCAAAAATCCTTCGTTTAAACGTACCTTCATTTCTCAGTTGTTGATAAACAGAAGGATGAGAAATGGAAACAAGTACGGACTCAACTGGAGCAGTTGGTGGGGACAAAAAAAACTTCGGTACTGTTTCACCATCTTACTCAATCATTGGCTCTCGATCAGTATCTGACTCGTGTTAGAAGCAAAAACGGAAACGAAAAAGCCCCCATAATGACCGACATGACCTTAATTGAAAAACCGGAAACCAATACCGGCGAAGTTGATCAAATACGAGCGTTTGTGAAAGCTATTTACAAGCATAAAAGCGGTAATTATCCGTCTCTCAAGCATTCTGGGGACGGGTTCATTTTTCCTGCTGCAGAGGGAGCTACTTCTAACCGAGGAAACAAGCTGTTGCAAGGGTCAGAAGGAATAAGCCGGAGTTTCTTGGATGATTCGACAGAAATAACGGAGGAAAAAGTGTTTTACAATGGGTCTGAGCACAAGCTTTTGGGGCGTAAATACGTTGATAAAATTGAAACGGACAACGTGGATTTGCATGAGTTGGTGGACGTTAAGCGCATCTTGACACCCATGCAGTCGCTCGGGGACGTGATCGATCATCCTGCTGTATCACGAACCTTCATGAGCACTATATTGGAGGAGTTGGCACAGCGCTCTGTTTTGATGATAGAGAAAGAACAGATCAACGTCATTCATTATTCGAAACTTCTAGAGGTTTTTTTAGGAAATCATCCCGATACCATACTAGAAGACACTCTACAATTAGTGGATTATAACCATAATTTAAATTTACCAGATGAACATGGAGACGAACAACCTAGGAAAATTAAAGAAAGTCGACTTCCAAATGGTGATGACGAGGATCCCTTTTTTGCACTGCCAGGATTTGACCCAACCAACACACTCACGTCCTTGATACCGCAAAACCACGAACAGGTATCAGAGGAGATTGAAACTGCGCGGCAACTCACGCAAATTGCGCTGCAAAGAAATCAAGAGTTTATAAGGAATTTGCAAAAAATTCGCAATTGTCTCGTTAAGGCTAATAGAATACGACGGAGGGTTTTGGCGTGGGGTAAGGAATATAATGGCATCCCTGAAGAAGACGTCACTGTTCCTTCTGCGCTGGATATGGTAAAACGCGGACTCATTAGTGCAACTACGAATAAAACAATGACTGAGGATATGGCTGAGGAGGAAAGTTCTGCTCAAGAGGAATGAATGGCGACCTTACGTTCAATGACGCATACATGTGAAACATCTATGAACATCATGTAAACAAAAAATGCACAAACCCCGGTGGAAACTTCAGACCAAACCTCCTTTACTGAAACTAGGTGTGCATCTTACCAGTTGTGGGACTGGTGATCGAGAACCTTACTGAAGTTAGGGCCTGCAGAAATTGCGTTTCCACCAGTAACAATGGGCACGACGCATTGCTTCACGACTTCATCAAATAGCTCCTCAACCAGGGAGCGCAGCTCTTCGCCAGTTTGTTTGAAATCAGGAAACGCATTGACTTCGAGTACCTTTACGTCCAAATTTTCGTCAACCAGAAAATCAAGTCCGTAAATTTCAAAACCACGTTCAAGAGGCTGGAAATTCATGCGGTTTGTAGTCACAGCCGCCAAAAAGAGCTCTTTTGTAATTTCATGTATTTGAGATTTGATTCTCAGTTTCTCATCCGTAGATAGGTCGGATAAGTCGTCAAATTCACGTACTGCATTCGTTTTCATAAAATTCTCATCAACATACAGGCAAGTATTGGTCAAATGGCATGCGAGGGCATTGATGTCGGTAGGCGAGTACTCCGAGACCTCGGCTGGAGAAACGAAAGCAGAAGGAGCGAACAAGGCCAACATGCGATCGAACACAAACACCTGTAGATCGCCGCGGCTGGTGACATAGCATCGAATGTGAAACTTTCGATTGTCCATTGAGGGCAACAGAAGTGGCTTCAACAGGTACTCCTGTACCAGAAAGTCCCGCAACTGAGACGTTACGACACGTGTATCATGGTTTTCCCCCTTCTCATCGTCGTCAGAAACTCCTTCTTCCTCAAAAGAATCGAAAATAGCTTGCAGCTCTTCCACGCTCTTGAAAACACGGATGCCTTGTGCCTTGTCGCTCATACTGGGCTTCAAAATCCACCATTTTTGCTCACGCTCAAGTTCCTGGCGGAGCTCCCAGGCTTCGTCCAGGGCGTCATCCAAAAATTCGGCATAATCAACGTTTATAGGGAAGGACTCCATAAATGCTTTTGCGAGAAGCGCGTTAGGATTTTTGGCCACATATGCGCGCACCGTGTGCGCCAGATAATGTTTGCGGATGAGGGCCTTCCGATAAGCGTAGCAGTTGGCGTAATAATCGCCACTGGGTTGACTCAACCGATCAAAATCTATATGTTCGTACTCCCCATAATGTAACACCCTCGCGTTAACACCAGCAGTAGCATGCTTGAGCGCAGCATGTGCTAGCGCCGCACTTCCGCCAGCATCGGTTATCCTCACCTCCGGCACGTGCCTCGCAAAGGCTTCCAGCAGAGGCATTCTAATATAGTCATTGGACGGTACTGAGAGCAGAAGACGAGTGTTGCGCTTACGGCTCGATTCAAACGGTAAACTTTGCGCTACTTCAAGCGGCAACTCGCCGGTTTTGAGCGGTTCGACCTGTTGGAATACCGCCCGAAGGGCAGTGACACTCACGTGACCTTCGTCAACTGCAGCGAGGTCGTTAAGTGGTTTAGCCGTGTGTGTGACGTTCCTTTGGCGGGCGAAATTAGGTCTCCAGCGGAAAGTGATGCCGTGTGGTTCGGCACGCGCATCAGCAATCTGCAATGCGTCCGAGTCCGAGCTTTCGCGGGCAGTGCCGTCATCCTTCAGCTCAAAAATGGAGCACCAGGTATTCTCCCAGATGTGCGTGTACACGGCGCGCGTCTGTGGGCCCAGTGTCTCGATGAGCGGCACATTGACGCTGTAGAAGTGCGCTGACGGGTGCCAGTGGCCGATGAGGGCATCGATCACACTGCACGTCTTTTCCGCTGCCGCGATGAGGATGTCTTCACGCACCTGTGGGTTGCCGTGAGAGTATGCCCAGGAGACGGCGATTGCACGCTTTCCAGCAGACCACACGGCCTCCATGGCGGCACCAACTGTGCCGCTGGACGTGATGTACGCTGCCGACGTGTTTCGACCGACATTGGGCCCAGAGATGACCAGATCGATGTCGGAATTGCACAGGTGGTGGAGCCCTATGTCGGTACAGGTCGCAGGCGTACCATCGACGAGACACCACGTGATTGCGTCTTCCGGGACCAGAGAATTCTCGATACAAGGGAGCGCGGAGTCGGGCGTCACACGCTGTGGCTGCGGGAAGGGCCCCAGAAGAGCCTCGTCTGTCGCGTCTCGGGCCATGTACGCGAATCTCGCGTGTGCATCGCGGCCAGCAAAGTGAGCCTTGCCGATCCAGGACCGCTGGCGGTCCGGGACGCAAATGGTCAGGCGCCAGTCTGGGCGGCGTCGCACTATGTGCTGTACGAGGTGTCGGACGTAGGGCGAGGCGTGTGGGTCCGGAGGACCATCGTCGTTTGTCAGCTGGCGCGAGAAGTCAGTACGGCGAAAACCAGACAGAGGAGAATTGAACGGAACTTACCAGTATGTGCATGTCAGTGGGAAATCCGGGTTAAACGGTGGTTAGGACGTCGGGTTTTCTTCCAGGACAGATGGGGGGTCCTGCTATGCTAATGAGATGCCAGTGGAGGCCGGAGTCTTCGTGCAACACGATTCATATTCCTCTCACGTGACATTGCGCACTTTTCCGTTCCAAGCGATTTGGGGCCTTTGTCCGGTCACGTGACAATATGACGTGCACAGTGACAGTTCGCAGCCTGGTCCGCGCTGCGAAAAGCAGAAGAGCCGTCTCCGGACCGACACTCTCACAGCTGCGAGCCCGATCCGCTGGCACCATGTCTATGTTCCTGAATCCCTATGCGTCGCAAGAGCTCAGCCAGGAGAAACTCGACATCGCGAGCGTCCAGTTCGAGGCCATGAACACCTCTTTCAACGCCATGCTGCGCGCGTGCCTGGAAAAATGCATACCGCACGAGTACGGCGAGGCCGAACTCAACAAGGGCGAGTCCACATGTATTGACCGCTGCGTCGCCAAGGCCCACTTCACAAACCGCCTGGTTGGTGGGTTTGTCCATGCGCGCGGCGTCGGTCCAGACCGCCTGCGACACTATGAGCGTTTCCAGAGCGACCGTACCCAGTGACTGTGTTATAACTTTGTCGTCGTATCACGCTACATGTCCGTTACCCGCCCTTTCTCACTGCCTCTCCGCCCGCCCCCTCCTATCTTGTTTTTTTTACTTGTATAGCCCCATACGCTATAACTTGTCCAACACACAACTACCAGGCGTTCAACCTAAGCGTATAGTGTTCCCACACAGTACAAAGTTACAAAACTTGATTTTTTTTCAGGTATGTCAGAGAGTGCCAATAGCGATAGGCATGCCCGTTGGGTCTGGTCTGGGTCGACTACAAACACAAACCACCGTACGCGACATGATAAGGCGTAGGTGCTGAGCACACCCCCAATTAGTTGCGCTTTGGTGGAATTGGCTGGCTGGGTGGCTTCCACCGCACTACGTGGCTAGCGATGTTTTTGGCACGAGGGTGTTTCTGTTACCCGGCCATACTTTGTACGGCTTCCGCCGTACAAAGTGGAAGTGGGGTGCTGACGTATGAAGCGACAGACGCGCGAAAAAAAAAACCAACCACCACAAAAGAAGTCGCGTCTGCCGGGTAACAGTGGCGGGACGCGAGACTGGCGGCGGTAAGCGACAGACGCGCTGTCGCGCGTCTGTCGTATTTATTTGTCGTTGTGTGCGGGGTGTCAGACGCAGAGAAGGCCCACTGGCAGGACCTGTAGAACCAGTAGAACCAAGAGGAAAAACAGTAACTAACCAAAATAACAGGTGTGGCAAGAAAAAAAAGCCTAGGCAAGAACAACTCAGAATTCAACAAACAGCAATGTCGGCCCCAAGAGAGACCAAGAAGAGAACTGCGAGAAGAAAGAAGGACCCTAACGCCCCCAAGAGAGCGTTGTCCGCGTACATGTTCTTCGCGAACGAGAACAGAGACATCGTGCGTGCCGAGAACCCAGGCATTTCGTTCGGGCAGGTGGGCCGTATTCTAGGTGAGAAATGGAAGGGTTTGAACGAGGAAGAGAAACAGCCGTACGAGGCCAAGGCCGAGGCCGACAAGAAGCGTTACGAGTCCGAAAAGGAGCTGTACAACGCTACCAAGGCGTGAACGCGTCGTTCTGGCGCGGTTTCCTGTTTTTTTTACTTTGTTTTTGTATGTCTTCCCTTTGGAGCGTGGCTTTCGGTGCTGCCCGGCTAGCCACTGTGTACTATTTTTTATCTACTACGCCGCTTGTGCTCGGACATGACTGGCAAACTATGTTTTTCTAGCTATCAAACAAGGTCTTTGGGGGGCGGAGGCGAGCTGCTGCGAACTGGGTTTCCGGTGCGATGCGCAAGAGGGGTTAAGCCTTGCCAAATTAGCCATATAGCGAAGCTTGGGTGTTCAGGGCGTTGTTGTCGTACAAGATGAGCTCCGCGTTTACGTATGGAATGCGCGACGCGTAAAAAAATCATCTTTTTTTTCGCGTACGCCGTTTTCGTTCTATATAAGTAGCGCGCGTTTCGTCGCGCGTAATTCTATCCAGAAACCCATATGCCCTGAACCATTCTGTTAGTTTTGAAAACCCTGGTATCCAAATCATAATGCTAGAAGCCAAATTCGAAGAGGCCAGTTTGTTCAAGAAGGTTATCGACTCCTTCAAAGACTGCGTACAGTTGGTGAACTTCAATTGTTCCGAGCACGGTATTGCTGCGCAGGCCGTTGACGACTCGCGTGTTTTGCTGGTATCGCTTTCGATCGGTACCGAGTCTTTCCAAGACTTCAGATGCGACAGAAACGTGACCCTGGGTGCGGATCTTTCGTCGCTTTCCAAGATCTTGCGTTGCGGGAACAACAATGACAACCTTACGTTGATCGCGGACGACACGCCGGACTCTTTGCTACTTCTGTTTGAGGACACCAAGAAAGACCGCATTAGCGAATACTCGCTAAAACTCATGGACATAGACGCGGACTTTTTGGACATTGAGGGCATGCAATACGACACAACCATCACGATGCCCTCTGCTGAGTTTGCCAAAGTGGTGCGCGATCTCAACCAGCTGAGCGACTCGCTGAACATTCTGGTCACCAAGGACACGGTCAAATTCGTCGCCGAAGGCGATATCGGGTCCGGGTCCGTGATTGTCAAGCCCCACACAGACATGGACAAACCCGACGACAGCGTGAAAGTAGAACTTGATAAGCCCGTGGATCTCACATTTGGTTCCAAATACTTGCTTGATATTATAAAGGGTGCAGGTCTGTCCAACCAAATCACCATCAAGCTTTCCTCAGAAACGCCTGCCCTTTTCGAGTTTGGATTGCAAAGCGGGTACTTGCAGTTCTTCTTGGCCCCCAAATTTAACGAGGAAGAGTAAGCGGTAGTCGATTCAGCGCACCCTATATCCTACTCCACTCGCTATGTCGAGATTGTACATTAATACCGGCTCTAACCGTTATCTATATGTGTCCATACACTAATTACAAGTCAACAAGTCGCCATCTTCAGAAGGCTACGCCGCTTCAGAGAACTTCCGTCTCTGGCTGCAGCAAAAAGGTCGATCTTATGCAACTTTTTTCCGTCACAGGAAGTATTAGCTTGAATGCGTCGCCCTGATTTAAATAGTAACGAAACATGCGTTTCACCCGAATGAACCCCATTCCCTCATAAAGTCTCAGAGCCGCTTGATTTTCCACTTCTGCTTCCAGCATAATTTCGTCACAACCCATTTTTCGCATTTGTTCAATGGCGATGCCCACCAACCGTTTTGCAATGCCTCTCTTTCGGTATTCCTTCGTCACTGCAAGCATGCCAATGTAACCTCTCAATCGTGCGCCTCTATGCTCCTCTGCCTTGCACACGATACAACCGATAGGTTGTGGTTCCGTCGGGCTTATCGCCAAATAGCACAACTCGGGCCACTGGTTAAGGAAGTACCTGTAAACATAGACCGAGTAAGGCTCACTCAAATCCTCATCTATAAGACGTTGCACATGTTGCAGTTCGGATATTTTGGAAAGATCGAACCGCCGGTACTCGATCCCCATTGACTTCTACTGGGATTTTCCTACGCTTTGTGATGATCCTACCTTAAGTTTGGTCATCAGATGAGTTCTTCGTTAAATGCGAGAAAGGTCTCTTGATCACCATGCGCGGGTAACCCTCCCTGGGGATCAACTTCTAATTGAACATCCAGAGAGGCCCTTAGTCACAGTATCACCACAGTGAGTTAAACAAGGTTTGGAGGTTTAACCGAGTGTTTTTAACTAAGCTAAGCTGCACTTGCATTATTAGGGTAATCTCTGTCTGCCCGTGGCGCTTTTTTGGTGTCCCACGTTTAGCAGGATTGGCGTTTCGGGGACGACTTTAGCTCATCGGAGTATTGATTTGGAGCTAAAAAACATATCATAGGAGTATGCCATCACAACAAGCAATAATCATTAATGCTATTACGGGGAAAGAGGTGACGACGAACCTTCGATGTTATTCGGCTGTTGAAGATTTCCAAGGGTTCGTTTGTCAACGGCTATCGATTCCTCATAATCAATGTTTCATTCTTCTTTCATATGGTGCGAAACTAAAGAGAGCTACATTCAACGATAGCTTAAAAAATGTTGAGGACGCGGTTTTCTACGCATTTGATCGTCGTTTATTTTCACTCCCACAATACCCACGGGACTCTGAAAGCATCATATATGAAGGAGTAGACAAATTACTGAGCCAAACTTGCCAGAGTGATCTTGTAACACTCATAAAGCCGATGCCTTCGCCTTTGAGTGAAGTCATCGATATAAGCGCAGAAATAACTCCGCAAAAGCTTTTTAGTCTTATTACAACAAACTTGGGTTGGCTCAGTGCACTTGACATCGATGTTCATTATTTTGACAAAATTCTTCATGACACTATAAGCGAGATCAAGAACGTTTCAAAATGTTTGAGAGTTTGCGAAGCGTATCTCAGACTGTACTGTCATGACATCGAAAAGCTCTACAACTCCAATGTCGAGTTTTTGAATCAGCTTTCTTTGAATAGTACGACAAAACAGTGGACATTGATATACGATGAGATTCTAGCGAAAACCAAAACTGTGAATGATCCGAATCGAAAGCTTCTAAGTGATTATATTAACCGGGGCGATCTTGAGAAGACGCATGCCGAGCTTGCACGCTTAGATGAGTCTGTAAAGTCTATCCTTCAAGCTCTGCGAGATCAAATTGATAAGAACTACGCGATGCGGCGCGAAGTAAATGCTTTTATTGATAAAACCGTGGCACAGATTGAGGAAGAAGGCTCCGGTTATACTATGGAGGCCAGCATGTTAACCAGATTTACTGAGATATGCGCAGATATAAGGGACCGATATCGATCTCTTCTCGATCTAGAGAGTAGTGATTTGACCCTAAATGTGATCAGAGAGGCTTCGGTTTCGTTATTGAACGACAAAAACGTTGTGACCCCCAAACTTTACACAATAGGCCAATCTCTCTTTGAGGCAGCATCACAAGCAAGACTAAAAAAAGTTCAATTCCAAAAAAGCTGTATTGTGTCTTTAGGAATGATTTCACAAGTTCAAATTGAGATTTTAGAAGTCAAGAAATCGCTACTGAAAGATTGCAATCGCAATTTGGAGCGTATGCAGGACTACGAGCTCAAAATATCACAGGTCGAAGATCTACCCATTGTCTATGGCTTATACCTCATAGAACAGTACAGACGACGGGCCTGGGAAACGCATTTTCTTGACCTGAAGAATGACTTTGGTCATCAACTATCTCTGGAACTCCAGAGAGAGGACGAGAAGCGCCAGCGTTGGTCCGAGAGTTTTGGCCCCGCGTGTTACTTATTACAAGGAAGAGCACACGATGCAAGAACTTTATTTCGAGATATTCAGGTTGACCAGAGGTTTTTATCCCAAAATTTACACGACGTGTCGCCAGAAGAGATTGAAAGGTATATCTTGTGCCTTTCCAATCATGAAATCTCCAACGATAGTTTAAATTTGTTGCAGACCAATCTCGACAGCGTGCGATGCTCTGCCCTGCAAGATAGAAAAGCTCGGTTGGGAAGCAGCTCGCAACATAATCAAGAGTTGATTAAAGGCTACAAAGCGAGGATCAGAAAGCTGGAATCAATTCTACACGACATTAAGTATACAGAGTACAGGGCGTGGCCATCGGGCATTTTAAGAGATATGACCACGTTTTCTTATCCTTTGAGTGGTCTATCTGTTAATGAAAGGATTTCTCTGTTTCTGTCCAGTGCGGAAGACTTTTCAAAAGGAGAGGTTTCGAATCATCGTCAACTCGAGGAGATGATATCAAAACTTCAAAACGATCTCGATGAAAAGACGAGCCAAAATATGATCTTAACTAGACGGTTGGACCAAGCTCGGATCAAGATGATTGATTTTGAGGACGAGAAGGCGGTCTATAAAGAAACCCTGGCGAATTTGAATGATGAAATACTAAAGATTTCTCAGGAACATCAAAGTGAACTTTCCTCCATAGAATCTCAACTGAAAGAGTCAAAGCAACATGTTCAGGCGGCAAATTCGAGAAATACAGAGTTGATTAATGGCATCAGTGATTGGGAACAAAAGTATGAGAAAGCAGACCTCACCAAAAAGAGTTTATTGGCAAACGTTTCGAATCTCGAAAAGGACTTTGCGAAAGAGCGCAAGACGTTGTGTGAAAAAGTCGAGGAGCAGGAAAACTTGATTACGTCCTTAAGAGAGACGGCAGAGCAATTGCGCGCCAGAAGCTCAGTCCATGAAGGTAACGACAGTACGAGCGAAAATAATTTTGACCTTGTTTCGTCACAAGGCATGAATCATCCGCTGGAATCGCGGCTGTTCGACATCTTTCTAAGTGACGTGTACATCCTGGAAAACATCGGATTGTTGCTATCGAAGACGGAAGACTCGACATTCCAAATCACGAGAGTCAAAGGGCTTCGAAAGGGAATTTCAAATGACTTTGGCAATAGCACACCTGAAGCTATTGCATCCTCCGCAATGAAAAGCATGGTCGTGCAAGAAATGAAAGAACTTTACGAAGAGTACCGCCGGTCGAGAAACGACGAAATTCAAGAAAAGCTTTCAACCTGCATAGACAGGCTTCTGGGAGGTAAACTTTTTGAAACCTCTGTCATCAGAAGATTTAAAGATATTGAATCTTTGGCTAAGAGGCTTACAAAAGAAAATAAATACAAGAGAGGTCTTCTTGAGAGTTTCCAAAGAGAGAAAATTACGATTAAGAATTTTCAGATAGGGGATTTGGCCCTATTTTTGCCAACTCGAGGCGCGCTCTCACCGTCGTCGTCAATATCATCTTTGACTTCCTCTTTTTCTTCTGTCGACCTATCGACGCCACCACCCTCTTTACCTCAAGGAACATCTTTAGGCAAAGCGGTAACTGGGAAAAGAGGAGTGAAGGCAAAATCTGTTGAAAATGGCACTCCCTGGGCTGCTTTTACTGCCTTTGATGAAAGCACGCGATACCTTTTGGCTGAAAGTGACAAGCTTTTGGCTGACAGAAATTGGTTTGTAGGCCGAATCACATCTCTAGACAAAAAAGTCGCTGAAGAGGGTCATCAGAACCCCTTTTCTCTTCCACCTGGAAGTCTTTGGGTACAAGTTACTGCTGATTTAATGACGGCTGGGAAGTAATCAAAAGCTCGGGTTTTCGATGCCACTAATTCCAAACGTGAGAACCTCAAGTAGGCTTGAAGATATTGCATATTCTTAATGTTCAAATAATGGTGTTGGTGTTTACAACTTTTCTATTTAATGATAATTTGTAGCTTTCGTACTAATGGCACCGTCATGCAGTGATGGGTAGTATCGAATGACCATGGCTTTACATTGCGAAAATATTCGCCTCTCAATATGCCCTCCTAACTACGCGAATTTGAGCACACAAAAGCAATCAACGATCCAAGCCTAGAGTACTATCTCATCAGTTTTTGCAGTGACTCTTTCTATTTGAAATTAAGACTTTAAGTCATATCAAATGAATAACGTCATTTAAATGCAGACTTCGAGAATTCTTCAATGAAACCCGCAAATTTTCTAAAGCCCAGGTTCTGCCGAGATTGAAATCAGCGGAAATGCGAAGTGGTAAGGGTTGGGAGTTGTATCCTTTCACCAAGTTTCTTGTAAATATCTATCTGTCCTTTCCATTTCCTGTAAGTACGTCTGAGCCTGCTCGTCGTTCATCTGACACCATCTTTTTAGAATTTCGAGTATGGTGATTCTGACCTGCACAGGCATTTTACCCGACGAGCCGCACAAATATATTATTCCTTTCTTCTCGATAAGCAGTTCACCTACCACTTGCCCATTTTGCCATAACAAATCCTGGACGTATTTGACATTGAAATTATTGACAGGATCACGAGAAAAACAGGTGTAAAGATGTAAACCCTCTTGTTCGAAAGCTGATAGCTCCTCCTTGTAGAGGAAGTCTCTGGCATTGAATCGATTGCCGAAAAACAGATATTGGTCTTCGAAGAAATGAGAACGCAGAAGGCACATCATGGGCGCTATACCAACCCCGGGACCGATCATAATGCAGGGCTTTTGTTTCATGTCTTTTTTCAAAAGCTGGTTATGTTGAAGTTTGTATCTCACAATATCACCTTCTCTAAGTTGGTCGATATACTGAGAGCACACTCCTCGCCTCACTTGTCTTAAAATTGTCTGGTATTTGACCAATGCAATAGTTAGCTCAACCGGGCTTTGCGATGGCGAGCTAGAAATGGAAAACAACCGGGGCTTCAAAATTGGTAGAAAATCGAACAAAAAAGTCCAAGGCAACACCAGCGAAGGAAAATCTTGAAGTACCTCCAAAATCGATCTGCGAGGCCTATTGCAGTAATCATATAAATCTTCCATATCCTCATCTAATGCGAATTGGCGTAGCTTTGACCGTTGCTGATCTAGCTGTTGTTCGCCGCCTTGTAAACGAGAAGCATCCGTTGCAAACATCCATGTTTTCATGAAGAATATCTTCCTAGGGATACTGTTTATATCCAAATGATATTTCAGAAGAGTTCTCAACGTTTTGTAGGTTATAATGCCACCATCGACGAGATCAGAAGGCAAAATGCCTTCGAATTTAAGTGGTTTATCTGCGATGCTCAACCATTCGGGTTGACATTCTAGGAACTTCTGTACGGACTCATCGGAATTGCACGGGTATATGGAGGCCGTATCACCAGGATAGTATTGTTCTCCTTGGTTCTGGAAACAGAATCGTCTCACGTCCTGAAAGTGATCACGATGAGTAATCCTTCCGTTGTTGGTCACTGTTCCAGTCTTAGCGACTGTAGTTCCAGAGAATTCAATAATATCACATGTGGGACCAGATTCATCCAAGGTAACATTGAAAAGAGGTTTCAAGTAGTTCTCGTCAGAGACTGGTTCGCGTAGAAATTGATCTTTCCCAACTTTTCTAGTGGGATACTTAGTCATGAGGGTTTCGAGCACTCTTTTCTCAAATTGGAAATAAACTCCCTCGACTCCAACCCCATTTCTGGCGTTGCTGCCGCGTGCTCCAGACTCATCGGCTTCCAAGCGCGCGAAAAGTAATTGAGCACCAAGTTGATCAACCATTCGATTATGCAGCTTCCGCACTGCATAGTTGAATTTGGGATACGAAGAGTCACCAAGTCCAAGCATACCAACTTTGAGATGTGATAGCAAGTCTCCGGGCAAATTTTTTCTCTTAAGAAGTGCCCATAATGTGTCCACCTCAGATCCGTTGGCCGCTTCCTTCGCATTGCGAGGCAATTCACCCTGACCCGTTGTTGAACAGATAATGAAAAGATATTTGCATGTTAGAATAGACTTGGCATCATAATCGCCTAAAGTCATAAGGGCATGTGGGAAATGTAACTTATGCAGTTTATATGAAAGTATCGACGCAAATTCATGTGAATTACCGGTCTCTGATCCGTAAAGGATGGCAATTTTTGTACCAATTGCCATTTAAACTAGAACTTTCAAGGTTCTTTCAAGTTCTCGACTCTAATGGACTCGTTACAACATCAATTTGTCCTAATGTTTGTTACTTTCTAAGACTACGTCTACAGCTCATCGAGTTTTCCAATTTTTCATGAGCAGGTGTTATTAATCGGGCAGCACCGAAAAAGTTGACTCACGGAACTCGAGATTTACGAAATCATGGAATTTATATACAGTAGTTATCCGTGGTCGATAAACTTATCTCAAAGTAAGTTGAAATTCGTCTGTCAGGTCTGTACGGACCAATTCTTGTATAGCGTTGATCTCTTCATTGGTCAAGCTTCTGTCCATCGATTGGTAGTTTATTCGGTAACACTGGGACACGCGTGACGTTTTTGGATGACGAAACTCGTCAATGAGCTTAACACTTTCGACGAGGTCCCCAGCACGATTTCGGACGATTTCCATCAGGTCGTTTTCGTGAATTTGTTGCTGAGAGGTTGTAGAGGGCAGCCAGAAGGCTACGTCTCGAACTGTTCCTGGATATTTTGAGTAAGGCTCGAAAGTAGTAATTTTCCCCTCTTCGAATTGGGAGTGGAATCTGTCGTCTTTGGTCCAAAGTAGCCGAATGTCAGGAATCTCGAATAGAAGCATAGCAATACGATCGAGCCCCAGACCAAATGCCCAACCAACTGCAGAATCTTTTTCAAAACTAGCATTTTGTAACACTTGCTCGCGAACTAAACCGCAGCCACACACTTCAAGCCAATCTCCTTGCCACCATACCTCGATTTCCCAAGAAGGAGCTGTCCAGGGGAAATACGCCTTGATCCAGCGAACTTTGAGCGTTTTCTCTCCGGCATGGCCCAAGCTTTGTAGTTTTTTGTTGAAAACTTGGGCCACGACAAGCTCCACGCTCCTCTTGAGATGCTTAGAACACAGATCAACTTCCAAATCTGTCATGTAGTCTTGCTTTGGATTTCCATCTAGAGAATTATCGTCCTCTACAATCAGTTGTGTGCTCTCTGCGGCCAGCTGCAATTCCAATTTCTTCAAATCACCTCGAATTTCAGAAGTTCCGGTCTCCGACCGTTTCCACACGCGTGCGCCTTCCATCTGATGGAAAACTGGATAGTGAGTTCTGTCGATCTCGTCTCGGCGATACACATCGGCAGATATGAGAAATCCCGGCTTTTCGGTACCATTGCGAGACCATTCGGTTGCAAACCTTTGCATGTTGCCAAAACATTCCATTTCATGCGCAGAAGTATGGGTTCGAAACAAATTCTGGTCATTAACATAGTAAGTGTCGCTTTTCGACCGACCCGGGTGATCTTTGGGGAAACCGAGAGAATCGAAGTTTTCTTCAACGGTGACGACGGGCTTGAAATCGTTGTAAACCTGGTATGCATTATCTGTAGAATTGAGTTTATCTTCGATTAGTTTTCGAAGTATACCGATTGGGTGCGATTTTTGTTGATGAAGTGGGCGAGTACTGAGTTCCAATATGTGAGATGTAACATTGGTGATAGAAGCATTGGTAGGATATTCTTTGCCCTGTATCCAGAGGCTATTGGGAACTTTCGAGTACAAGCGTATTTGCTTAGACCAACACCGAAAGATGGTCCTTATATGTGACATATCTGTTCTGTCGCTGTCCTCCCACTGATTTTCACGCTTTCCATACTTGGTCAATTTTCAATATCGAAGTTCTATAAATTGAAAACGTCGTCGTTCAATCAGCATGTAATTACATATTAAGAGCTTTGAACATCAAAAAATCACTGGTTTCACAAGTTTCAAATGTCAATCTCACTATCTAATCGTAGTAGTGATTTACTTGGAATAAGCTCGAATGAATGAATTTAATTCATTCCTTCAGTGCTCGAAGGAAATCATTACGCTTGAATTGAGATCGTGAAAAAACCTACAATTGAACGATGTTGCTTTGATTATAACAAGTAAGATTGTCGGTCTCTCCGTTAGTCTTTCTGCCTGAATGCTGATTAACTGGTTCATCAAAAGTAGGTACACCAAATTAAGTTTAAGAATTTGAAAAATTTTAAAGTATTGATTGACAAGTTCTGACTTGTAAAAGAACTAGACCTTTAGGATGTTTTCGCAACTGGTACAGTCTGCTAAAGGTCTTAGAACACACGGTCTTACGTTCAAGCGGTTTACTCACGAATATGCACCACGATTTAAGGTTGTAAACAAGAAACAAAAAGGTCGAGTTCCTGTTCGTGTTGGAGGTTCAACAAAGGGTTCTACGTTACAATATGGAAAATTTGGACTGAGGTTGAAGACCGAGGGTACTCGACTCTCAGCTCAGCAGTTGAAAGAGGCTGATAACGCTATTATGCGGTACGTACGTCAAGTGAACAACGGAAAACTTTGGCGAAGATTATGCACTAATGTTGCAGTGTGTATCAAAGGTAACGAGACTCGTATGGGAAAAGGAAAGGGTGGGTTTGACCACTGGATGGTGCGCGTTCCAACTGGGAAAGTGATTTTTGAGATGGACGGCGATAACCTACATGAAAAAGTGGCTCGCGAGGCATTCAGAAAAGCTGGTACGAAGCTTCCAGGAGTTTTCGAATTTGTCTCGCGGGACTCGCTCCTACGAGTCGGGTTACACAGCTTTAAGGATTCCAAGCAAGACAAACCTGTAGATTTCATCAAAGCTTTGAAGAGAAACCCACCCAAGGAGCTTCTAAATCAGCAACGATCTAAACAAGGCGTTTATAAAATGTTCCGCGGTCGCTAAAAACCACTAGTTTTGTTCTTGTACATAGTGTTGCTATAAGCACGAAAAGGAAAATGGCTATTCATGCACCTTCTTCGCACATGACTCTTGCGATGAACCCTTCCAGATGGTAAATTGCTTTGTTACCTAACCGTAGTCGCTCGTCAAATACACTGGCCCATTTTATGATTGCAGCTTTCAATGTAGTATCCCGAACAGCGTTAAAAAGCGCGAATGCAAGCTCGTGCAGCACCCTTTCTGCCGGTATGCAATGTGCCAAAAGATCGTATAGCGTAGCGCGACATTCGGCTAGTGAGCTCACGCTTTTATCTTTCAGGATCTTGTTCGCTAATTTGATTATAACAACAATCCAATCCGGGCGAATTAGTGGTGTGGTGCGTTTCAAAACCATTTCGTTATTGAGAGCCATGGCCTCAAGAGATAAAAGCGCTTTTCTCAAGTTCCCGTTAGCATCGCGACTTATGATCTCCAGCGCCTGGTTGTCTTCAACCGAGACCCCTTCACTATTGCATACATGTCTCAAAATTTTGACAGTTTCCGCATCAGTTGGAGCTGGTACACGTACAAGCAAACACCGAGATTTAATTGGGGCGATTATTGGCGACATGGAATCGCACAGAAGAATTAATCGAATATTACGCGAATATTTTTCCATTGTTCGTCTCAGAGCGGCCTGTGCGTCTCTGGTTAGTGCCTCTGCCTCATTTATTATAACACATTTGTATCTGTGCGCAAGCCCGCCTCCATTGGCAGATGATTGGAAATCGACTTGCTCCATCTGTGCCACTTCCTTCAGCAACTCCTGGATGACAATTCTGTCGTTGTTACCCATGTCACTAGGCGTAATTTCCAGATGGTACCCACTTGACACCACGTTCAGTTCTAATTTCCGGTTTGATGGCGTCGAAAATTGTCTGACGTCAATTTTCAGCTTGAATACACCTTTTCCAAATATCGATTGCAGCAACGACATGCATCTAGTCTTTTTACCGGCACCATTGGGTCCATATAACAGCAAATGTGGCAGATCTGATGGTTCTTTAGAGAGCGATTGAAGCAAGTCTGTCAGCCTTTCGCTGTGCGACAAAGTGTTCAAAGATTTTGGACGGTACTTATCAACCCACAGAGACATTGTTGATCGTCAATTCAAGGTACTAGTTGCTTCAGTTCCACCAAAAATAATCAACATTCTGAGTTTGTTAAAACCTAGAAATTTCACAGGTTCTCTTCAATGATAGTGGAAATGAAAAAATGACGGAATTCAGCAAAACACCAAATAGTGCAGGTAATTCAAGATTTTAAGTCATCGGGCGTAATTGCAAGACTTTTAAACTCCTTTTTATCCATACTATCATTGCCATTTTCGTAGATTGTCAAATCAAATAAAATTCGCACTACTCAACGGGTTTCAGTGTCTGAATATCTTGTCTAAAACAACACGTCATGAGAAAACGGCCGTTCTCAATCCCGCGACTCAAAGTAAGGTAATGATTGCCGCAGTTGAACTTGATTGAAGGGTAATTTAGAGCCGTATTCCTGGGCTCTATAAAGATCAATACTTTGCTCGAAGCGCCCTGCTTAGAGACCTCGCACATGTCATCTCGACAGTTTTCCTTGGAGCCGTGAATTGTTTTACGTGAAGATTGTGGAGTTCTCGGCACTTTGTCGTTCATTGCCTTACCGTTGATTCTAACCTGTTGACTCTCAAACTGCTACATATAAAACTACTCAAACTGCTAATAAACGTCGATGAAGGCGCAGCTTAAACCGGTTAGGAAGCCCTCACCCTCTGAGGCCTCCATAGTGAATTGAGTTAAATATACTGTTTCACGGCCGTGCTTACTTCGGCGGCTATTTTAGGTATAAAAGGGAAACAAAGAAAACAAATCCAACTATCTTTAGAAAATTTTTGAAACTGAGAAAAGCCACGGTGGATTTGCTTAAAGACATGATATTTGCAAAATGCTGCTTTTTGCGGGCTGCCTTCTAGAGTCCCGGGCTATGAATGAAAGGCCATTAGACAGGAAACGGACAGAAATTGTCTCACTGCCAGCGATGTCGCCTTTCGACCTTCTTCACCTCCGCTGAAGGTTAGTTCGCTGATGCTAATAATTAAGGCTGTTCATGTTGTGATTCTGGCCTAGGCGAGTACCTATAAAACTAGAACCCAATTCAAGCAAACTCTTGATATTATATGTAGCCATATCACACTGATTTAGGTATCCATCAATTCGTTTCTACTTTCTATGGAACTTCGTGCTAATTTTGAAATTCAGGTTCCGCTCTTTTGCCGTGGTCAAACTCCCAGACACCCAGCTACATCAAATTCAAAAAGGAGCGGACAGACAACTAAATCAGTATTTCGATTCACAGAGGGTCCATTGAAAAACTCAGGCTGAGACAATGGTCGCAGCTATGAGTCAGAACAGCATGAAGGGTTTGCAATTATTTATTGCAGACTTGCGATCCTCACAACAAACCGAAGATCACAAGCGAAGGATCCAGTCTGAAATCATCAATATTCAACGCCAATTCGGATCCGGCAATGCGCTTAACGGCTATCAAAGGAAGAAATACGTGGCCAAGCTTGCATACATCTACATTACGACTAATACTGCCAAGCTTAATGATCTTCTGTTTGGTCTGGATCAATGTTGTGAACTGATGTCGTCTCAGGTTTACAGCGAAAAGTACATTGCATACATGACGTTAGAGTTATTATACCACAATGAAAGTGTCGCCACCCAAGTACGAGATAGGTTGGTTCTTTCTTTAAAAAAAGACCTCGAATCGAATAATACCGATTATGCGGCATTGGCTCTAAATTTCATCGGCGTAGCGGCCAGAAATGACGACAACTTGACTCACGAGCTCAGCGACGAGGTTTTCCAGATTTTAAGGTCACCCACGTCACCGCAAATATTGAAGAAGAAAGCATCACTAGCGTTTTTAACACTTCTGAAGAATGACGTGACTATTCTGACACAGGACTCCCGCAAAGAAAAGCTATGGTTTCAGAGAATAACCAGCCTTTTGGATGACAGCGAAAACTATAGGCTCATGCTTGCAGTGTTACCTCTTGTCGAATTTTTGGCAACGAAAGTTGAATACAAAGCGTGTTTTCGGCTAGTCCCTCACCTCTCTCAAATTCTATACAGCTGCATTGTTGTCGGAACCAAAGATCCATCTTCGTTCCCAGAAGAAGAAAGGTTTGCCGGACTACCAAATCCTTGGATTTTAACGAAACTTATTTCAATCCTCAACATCATCGTTGCCGCTCCAGGTCACTCCGATAGCCAATATGACTTCTCGAGCATTGATCAGGCTACCTTAGGAAAACTTCGCTTGTGCGTGACTAGCATGCTCGAACTGGGCCATAAACCAGCTGCCGATGCTCTCACACGTTCTGTTCGTAACACCATTTTGTTTTCTCTGATCAATTTCGCTTCTAAGCTAGACCCCTCTGTGGCGGCAATGACGAGTTCGATAAATGCGTTATGTTTTCTATTGGATGCGCGAGAGACTAATACTAGGTATCTTGCTTTGGATTCTTTGGTCAAACTTTGTTCAACCAGTGGAAGAAACGCTAGAGCGTCTGTGCGCTCAGAGCACATGAAGCAACTTTTCCAGCTAATGCGAACAGAGCGCGATTCATCAATATTTAAGAAAACTGTTGACCTACTGTACACCTTAACTGATAGTGAAAATGTTCAATTGGTTGTGGACGAATTGCTGCAGTATGTTACCTCGGGAAATCAGATCGATCATCATGTGCGTTCGGATTTGGTGGTGAAAATCGCCGTTCTCACTGAAAAGTTTGCGAACGATTCTAAATGGTATGTCACAGTCTCGCTGAAGTTATTATCCTTATCAAACGCTTTTTTTAACGACGACGACATCTGGCAAAGACTTTGCCAAATAGTCATTAACAATGAAACTTTACACAAGGTGACTTGTGATCAACTCGTGAAATATATCTGCGATGATCACGCATCAGAGGCAATTATAAAGGCAGGTGCCTTCTTGCTTGGGGAATTTGGTACCTGCGTCGATGAAAGATATTCTATCGGTGATCTCTTCAACATATTCACCGAAAAATACTTTGCTGCATCAAACGCGTGCCGGGCCATGATTCTTTCCACAATGGTCAAGCTATATCAACATGATCCTCAAATCGAGTCGGCAGTAATAAAGTTTTTTCAGCTTGAGCTCAATTCCTTAGATATTGAGTTACAAACAAGGTCATACGAGTATCTCAAAATGATTCAGTTCGAAAAAGTTTCAGGGAAAAGTCTCGTACGCTTGATATTTGAACCAATGGTTCCCTTCAATAGCAAGAAAAATCCTCTTCTGGGTCGTATGGGCACACTTTCTCTAAGCTCGTTTGATCTGCCAGGAGGTGCCCGGGATGACCATTCCAGCAAAGCGCCCTGTCCTCCTCCTAAGCGCAAAATAGCTAAATCTGTGCAGAGCGACTATAACACGCATATTTTATCACCAAAATGGGACGAGGGCTTCAACAGAATGCTCAAACACAAACAAGGAGTATTTTATACTTCACCGTTTTTGAAAATTATCTATCGGATCCGCCAATCAAGGACCCAACCAGAGCTCATTGAAGTCGAGCTCACGTACGTGAGTCAGTCGGAATGGCCTATAAAATCTTTCTTAACAGAGTGGATTTCCTGGAAAACTGACGAGAATCCTCCTTATGTCATCAAAAATATCGAACTTCCAAGCACAACCTTGGCGGTAGGATCTCGATCAACTCACAAATTTGAAGTTCTCGTTCGGCACCCATTTTCACTTGAACAAAGTCCGTTGCTCGACCTTCAGTTCACTTGTGGAGGTAGCGTGTCATCTATCGTTTTAAAGCTTGGTGTTGCTCTAAGTAGTACAATCATCCCACCTCAGCTTAATGGGAAGGAAACTATTACTTTGGCACAGTTTGTGAAACGGTGGAGATCCATTAACGAGGCCCTTGGGAAAGAGGGTGAATCACAAAGGGTTATAAAGTTAAAATCCGCTAATCTCAGTGGTGGTGTTGTCAGTACGTTAGAGAAAATGGGGATACAGGTAATCACGCAACACTCTGTAGAAAACATGATATTTGGAGCTGCGATCACCCACACGAAGAGTGTAGGCAATTTCGGCTGTTTGATGAAGATAAGATTAACCGAAGGAACGGCAGAAATTACATGCAAAAGCACAGGCGGTAGTAAAGTCAGTGAATGCCTGTCGGAATGCATCCAGAGCGGCCTCGCTGTATGAATGAGGGCCTAAAAAAGAAACTTCGAGACCATTCAATAAAATCCGACAATAAACATCAAGGATCTCTTCAAAGCTTTTATATGTACCCTAACAGTAGCATTCTACGTGATAGATATACTTTTGGTTCAAATGCTGGCTTCATTTTTGGGTGGACGGATACCAAAAATTTGTGTTCCTACTCTAACTTCAGAGGTCCCTTGTTTAATTGCCTGCTTAAAGTCTGAACTCATCCCCATCGAAAGCTTGAGGTTTATATTGAAAGCTTTGTCAAGCTGTTGTTTCCAATCGTTGAGTGCTTTGAAATCTTGGTTTTCCTCGTTTTCAGAATGAGATTTCTCCCAGGATCCGATGGTCATCAAACCATTGAGCGTGACATGTGTAGCTTCAGCCGATAGGAAAAATTTCACTGCTTCCATGATTTCATTTTTGTCTGCCAGTCCCGATTTCTGGTCTTCGCCGGACGTGTTAATCTGTAAATTGCAGTTGATTTTGGGAGCATCATGCGCAAATTTCGCACGCGCTTCATTCAGCTTGCGAGCTTTCTTCAAAGAGTCAATAGTTTCTACCGCGTACAAGTTTTCCACTTTGGCCAGATCTTTGCATTTATTCGTTTGCAAGCCTCCGATGAAGTGCCATTTGATATCTTTGGGCAAGATGCCAGCTTTCGTAATCAGTTCTTGCACATAGTTTTCTCCAAAATTCCTGATACCGTAATCGTAGAGGATTTGAATGTCATCGGCTGGCTTCAGCTTCGACACTGGCAATAAAAAGACTTGTTGCGAACCGTTTTCCTTCGCATACGAGTCGATACTGGACTTGACCACGTCATAAGCAGCAATAATTTGTTGCTCCCTTTTTGTAGTCATTCTGCACAGACTTGAGGGCGTAAACATACAAATGTATCCATCACTACAAAGCTTTTCGAAGATCTTAGTTATGGATGTTAACCATATATCGTCATCGGGTTGCTTAATTCATTAGTCACGTGAATCATTCTTTTTTTCCGATTGATAATGGTACGAGATCTAAGCCGATTAGTCACTAAGTAAATACTTGAGCGAAGCTAGTAGTCCAGTTATAACATTTTCACCTAGAAGCGTAGCGCGTCCATATCAGAACGTCTAACGCTTTGTATACCATTTGTTGCTTTCGTTAAGTGGTGGGATTTTTTATTTTATCTGACGGCATGCTTCCCGATTTTCTAAATCATCATCCCGCAATTCCTTGGTAGTTTTATAATTTGCTGTATTAAGGCTGAGTTGTCGATTTTCTGCGATGCTTTCGTATTAGCCTGGCGTTGGCTTACATTCGCTAGCTTTCTTGAATAATATATAAATGGTGGTATGAATCATATAAATTTCTGACTAAATCAACAACAAGGAGAGACAACCTACAATCAGCTAGAAAATATCCCTGTTTATATACTATGACTTGCCTGAGGATTGGTACCTCTGTCTACATACCTGTCGCTCATAATTGCCGTTTCCTTTCTAATTTTTCTCCTTTGGCCCGAACCGTGTTTTAGCCGCGCAGGTTAAGGGGCGCGCCAGAAAAAAACTATATAAAGGCCGGATTTCAAGGAGGAAGAGGCTGCCTTTTGGTTACATGGAAGGAACATAGGACGAGAAAAACCGGAGCCAAGCGTCAAAATGGTTAGATATTGAAGCGTTGTCATGCTAAACAAACTAAATAGTTCCTCAATTCTTGTACTTAGATGCAAGAACACACGTTAGAATTCCGTGTTTGGCTTTGAAACAGTTCCTAAGGTCTGGATTAGACGGTCTCGCATGCGGCATTGACCTTAAGTTCTTACGGTGTGGCAGCTTCTCACTTCGGCCGCGCTGACATATCGAAATTGCATGCCGTGCAGTTTGTCGCTACGCCCACATGAAGTTCATCGAATTTCCATTATTTGAACCTACACGCATCAAACAACTACCAAGTTTTTTTCAAGGTTCAAACTGAATCATTCCGAAATATAGGCTTCCTGCATCTCCAGAGTCGCACCATACCGAAAAACTCCGAAATTGCATAAAAGGACAAAGCCTGTCAAATGAAATCATCCGTACAAAATTACCTCCCTAAGGGCTCGGTTTCTTCAAGTTTTGAGCCCATGTCCACTCGCAGAGAACTTCTTCAATAGGGGAACGTAGCTCAATTTCGTCATAAAGATGGAGTCCTTGGCATCTTTGGGGCCAACCTGGTCTATAACCATTGATTACTCCAAGGAAAACTTGGCGGCCATTTTAACTTCGCTCTCAGCAAAAGGGTTACATGCCGTTACAAGACCGGGCCACAATGACAAGACCCTGTATGTGCTGGTCAAGGACGATTCCAATATTGTTCCTGGCATTGTGAGAGAGTTGTCTTTTGTCAAGAATACTGTACCGCTTCCAGGTACCGCTCCCGAGCAACAAAGGAAACTTTTGACCAAAAAGATGCTCCTTAGTGCCCTCTTGCCCTCAGACGATCATTTGAAAGAACTAAATCAAATGACTGGGACGCCAGAGACTGCGTTTTATATGGGCTTTGTAAAAAGCTACACGCGATGGCTGATGGCGCTCTCTGTTGTAGGACTGGGGTTCCGCCTTTTTTCTAAAAATGCACCTTGGGAGTTTAATATGAGCTTTATGTGTGTGGTTCTCATATGGTCACTTTTGTTCATCGTTTTTTGGGGGGATAGAACAGAGCCCAGCCTTTTGCAGCACAACCCTATACGAAGGCTTCGCTCTTCCTCACCCGGTGTGCCACCCTCGTCAGTACGCTCGAGCTTTATCAAGAATATCTTTTTCATTCCCGTGGCAATCCAGTTTGGATTTCTGCTCATTGCTTTCCAGTTTCTATGTTTTTGCCTCGAGATCTTTCTTCGTGACATTTACGCGGGCCCTCTGAAAAGTTATGCCCCCCTTCTTCCTACCATCTTTATTTCGGTATACACCCCAATTCTAACAGCTATTTACAATGCTGTAATAGTTCGATTTGTCAAATGGGAAAACTCCAGCAGTCCAGAAAAATCGAAGATGCAGAAAAGATTTGTTCTTGCGTTCCTTACAAATTACACGCCTCTCTTCATTACACTCTATGTGTATCTACCTTTAGGGTACACGATGAACGATCGTATGAATGCTGTTACCCACTTTTCGTCTCGCTGGCATATCCCAATTAATGTGGCGCAGTTCAAAATCAACGTCGGTCGCTATCAAGATCAATATTTTTACTTTACCGTTATGAATCAAGCAATTGCTTTATTCCTTGAGAATGCGCTACCTTATATCATTGTGAAAGTGACTCAAAAATTGCAAGACCGTCATCCACTCCCCAGCAAGGAGAAAGTTGCAAAAGATTACCCAGAAGACCTCGGCATTTGGGAATATGTTTGTTTGGCGAACAGGGAGTCTTTTGGCGGGTTTGATGTGAATACCTTATTGACGAAATACATCATCCAGTTTGGATTCATAACAATGTTCTCCTCGATATGGCCCTGTGCTCCCCTTGCCTGTGTGGTTTTTAACGTCATTGCTCTGAAATTTGATATTTGGAGATGTTTGAACAAATGCTCTAGCCAAGGCTTTTCCCAAACGGATTTACCCGCCGAGAGTGTACGGAACATAGGAGAAGAAAATTTACCATGGACATCGCTTCTGAAATTCTTGTTTTGGATCTCTTCATTCGTCTCACCCTCTCTGGTTTTCATGTATAAGGGACCAGAAAATACAACTGTGACGCCTTTGTTCGAGAAACGTGAGACATGGCTCATGACTTCTCCCGTTCAGCGTGACTGGAGAATGGTGGTCGTTATGGCTGTCATTGTCGAGCATCTTGCTCTGCTTTCATTCTGGACCCTATCCAAAATCGTTCAGCAGCCGCACCCAGCCAGAGGCGGACCTTTTATTCCTGCCAAAAACTTAGTCGCCCCTCCTCGAATTGACTTGGGAAAAGTTGTTGAAGATTCTGAGAAGTTCATGAGGCCAGGGGCAGCTGATAGTTTACCCAAAAGAACGAAAAGCACGAGAGGTAGCGATGGTTTGCAGAAGACCGTGAGAGCCGCGGAAGTCCAGAAAGGACAGCCTGCGGAGAATGATATAGTTCAGCCTGCTAAAATAGTCATCTCTAATGATGTGAAAGCTGAAGAAAAAGACGATGAGTCAGAAGTTGAAGCGATGAGTAAAGACAGGGCAAGTGACTTCTCGTCCTCCAGCAGTGATGAAAGGACTGAAGGATCGGATGCACGCCTGCCTCAGAGCGTGGAGATGTCAGTGAGCTCTTCTGTTGCTGGGGCTACCCTTCCCGAGACCATCCCAACTTCTAAGAACTATCATTTGAGACATGATGGAGCCGGTGGTGACCTTAAAAAGGAAGCTGCCCGTGCTTTAGAAGGCTTGGCCCGGAAAGAGGCTGGGACTGGTGCTGGTGCGGGAAGCTCAACTTCCAAGCCGCTTCAGCATGAGCACGAATCAAAACATGTTTCATCTGTTGAAGATCAGCAAGTCCAGTTAAATAAGTCTAGTGGTGCGTCGGAGAATAAGTCCAAAGCCCTCGGCAATCAATTTGTTCCACAAAATCTGGCTCAAATACCAAACAATCGTGCAGCTGCTACTAAGGTTGTGGAGTCCACCCCAGAAAAGCTTGCGACACCTGTAAAAACAAAGACAAATGAGGAGCTCAAGACGCCCATGAAGACCAGGAACGACGTTTCGGACCGTGTTTCTTCAATCAAAAGTGGCAACGATTCCAAGGCACAGTATCTAGAGACTCCGAAGAGCTCTAAGCATGTTTCTAGATCAGGATCGGCCAAAAAGATGAAAAAGAACGTTCTGGGGCCCTTAGAGAAGCTCAAAAAAAAGTTCCCATAGATAGGTTCATTCTTCCACAGAAATGTAGGTTTAAAAAAAATCTATTTCATTAGACAATGCGAAAATCGTGATTGCCTGGCAATCTGCACCGCAGAGAAGGACAGTTTATTTCCCTTAATCTGAAAAAGGGTTGTGTCCTTGATTAAGAGCTGACTCAGGTTATTATGTCAACTCGGCTTCTCTTCCAAATATCATTCGTATACAAGACTTCTTCTCCGTCGACTCTAGTTAGTTCAACTCCGCTCTTCTCAGGTGATTGTACGCAAACCTGAGCAAAGCTTCCTCGTAGTCCAGTCGGTCTTACAAAAGGACCAGGGTTCACAAATAAGACGTTTCTGACAATTCTCGCAAAGTAAGTCAATTCGCTCGGAATTAAAACAACATCTGGTATAAGTTTCGCAACAAATTCGCTCAATCCAAGAAAGTCAACTTCCAAATTCGCGCCTGATAAGTGCTCCCATACTTCTTGTCCTTTGGCGTTCACTGTCTTGCGCTTTTTTATACTGCCAGGAAATGACGGGTAGAATCTTCGCTGCTGCAATACGTGCTCCGCAATTCTGTCTAGCCTATTTCTAGAGTAAGTTTTACCTCCTTTTACGGCTTCACGTATATCCTTGAATGCGTCCAAATTAGAGCAGCCGAAAAAGAATTCATTTAGCTTGAAAATTGAAGGGTTGGGAAAACATTTGAAGGTCTTGGGAAGATGTAAGGCTTTGCGATCCATAGCGCACTGTGGATAGGATGCATGTTTCATGATGGCATCGTTTGTTGACGGTATTAGTATCACTTGTATTTTCTCATTTATGTTCTTGAGTATCGGTGATACAACTTTATTGAAGATCTCATCAAGGGTCCTCGGTTGAGTGGTCAACCCTGGGAAATGCGGTATACAGCCGGATTCGATTTGTGAATGCATGATATCCAAAAATGGGCCAAACATCATCAAGACGTGCGGCACAAGCTCGGTGTTGAGCCTCTCGACGAATTCTTTCAAAAAGCTGAAATCTAATTCATTCGCAGCCGTGTAAGGGCCTTTAGTTATGACGATTTTTAAAGACTCTTCCTCCGGCTCCTCTTCGAACTCCTTCAATTCCTTCAAAGTAGACACAGGAGAGTTTAAAAAAGGTATGTCCATAACTTCCTCGACCATAAAGTATTCACCATTAGCATTTTTGCCTCGAAGGGCAACAATTTGACCTTGAAAAAAAGACGCTTCCTCAATTTTTTCTAGATTGAGACGAACTCTTCTTCCTATGCCCATTGAACGAGAGGCTTCGATGGCCAAGGAGTGGATATTGACGTTACTCTCTGAGTCGGCCGCATCTGCAACGATTCTGCCTACAGCTATTATTTCGGATTGGGATTGGCGAGAGGGATCTCCAATATCTGAGACAGCTAGATTGTAGTGCTGTTGGACGGCTTCCGTAAAAATATCGATTTGTTCATCGAGAACGTCTGCAGCCTCCAAGATGTTTTGCCTCATCGTTCTGTATTGATATTTCTCTGAATCGAAGAAAGGGACAATACTTACCTTATTTTTGGTCTCAAATTTTTGCCCTTTCGACATTTCAATGTTCTGAGGATTTAATGTTAACAGTATTTGGCCCTTTTCTGTCTTGTTTTCCACATTGCTAACCATGAATGGTGAAGAAACTTCGGCGCTTCGGCTTGTTCCACTAGGCGATTCGAGATCATATCGAGAGCGCTCAATTGACCCAAGAGTATCATCTGCTGAGATGTCGCTTTTCATATGTAAGTTACCCAGTTTACTGGGTGTGGTGTCAGTGCGTCTTTTCTTCATTAGCGGAGTTTTAGGCGAGGCAAATCCAAACAATGAGGGGCTTCCCCCATTACTAGGCTTAGCAATCTTAGGCCTCCTGACGGATGCTGAGCCTGAATTGTTGAGCCCAATTGTAGCTGCTTTCCGTTCAATTTGCTGCTGAATGAAACCTTTGAAAAGTTCGACATTTCTAAGGTTCAACTCAGCGACTTTCCCGTTCTTGTGATATGAAAACTGCTCCCACTTGATATACAGCTCTTCTGTATCCAATGAATAAATGCTTTCGATGTCTTTTAGTAGCCTCAAAATTTCAGGATTCTCAGCTCCTTCTCCAAATTTTCTAGCAATGTCGCTTTCTGTTGACATCTTGTCAAGTTTTAAACACTGCAGAGTCCTGTGGTTGGATGCTGGTAAGAGGTTTGCCTGTTGAGCAGGTTATCAATACTATCATGGGCGACGCGTAAACTATCCCCAATTTTAAGAAATTAACTTTCGTGTTTCGATGGTAAACCCGTAGAAAGTAACTTGATGAGGTTTTGTCGAGAAACTGGAAGTTCGAGAAACCAAATAGCGGTGCTCTTATCCTCACACCGCTGCCAAAGTAGGGCGAGATACGAATATCCGGCCTTTCGCAATTTCGTGTCTTCGCTGCTCAAAAGGCGCAAAGCCTGATCTTTCATAAAGGTTACATTTTTTTCATCAAGAGCGCTATTCTGCAACAACTGAATAAACGACTCCGCAATGAATGACATCAGTGTGTCACTTACTTCATTTTCGGATTCGAGAAGAGGCTCAGCTGCCTGTTGATAATGGTTCCACGTGCAGTTAGTTTCTATCAGGAGATCTCTAGCATCTTCACACAGGAGATAAAAAAAATCATTTTCAGTAGAGCAAAGAACTGCCACAGACTTGAACATGAACTCGTAAAGCATCTTGATCTGTTCTTTTCGTAGTTTGTTGAAAGGCGTTTTCCCACCTAAAATTATCACGCATATCGTCAATTGGACGCATTGAGAATATAATTCGGTGGCACTGGTAAACGCTGACGCCAAATAATCGAGGATTATGGAGCTCAACTGACATAAGTCCTGATATCCATTTTGTGCTATGAGCCAATCAACAAACTCGTGGCATTCATTCGCACGAAGTAAAAAATGGATAATCTCGTCAACCTTCGACGTGGGCACTGAAGATAAGTCTTGCAAGACGCAGTCTTGCGCCCTCGATAAATCATCCAACTGAAGTACATGATTCGCGCGATCCAGAATATCGTTAAGTTCGTGAGCAAGCACCGTTCCAGATGGAATATGCGACATTATGTCTAAATCATTGCTGGCTCGGCGAGATGATGCCAGGAACGAATTTTCCTCTTCCTTTTTTATATGCATTTCATCGAGCACATTTGCCAAATCGTAGTCTGAACCTTCCATGGGGGTATTTGATTGGGATTCTTTGACTTTTAATTCGTCATTGGTTCTATTTGAAGTCTTATCCTCCAGCGCATCATTCACAGGAAATAGCTGCTCATTAGCATTCGTCCTCTGTTCGGTGGGACGTGCAATTACACCATTCTGGTTGAAGATGTCACTCAAATCGACATTTTGAGCATTCTCATCATTTGAAACCCGCCCAGCAGACATATTGGTATCCCCCTCAAAGTCGAGTTTTGACACATGCTCGTCATGCTGTTCCTCCAATTCATCCTTTTCATACAAGCTCACAATTCTAGTCATTCCACTCAGTTTTGAGAAACCACCAAACTTTGTAAATCCTTCTTCTTCCATTAACGGTACAATGGGGTGATTAGTAACGTTTTCTGATAATTCCCTTCCGTTTTCTTCGTTTCCTTTATAACCAACTTCCTTTAAATCATTGATGACAACGCTGCTCGTACTATTTGTTCTCTTTCTCGTCAAAAGAGGATTCACCATTGTCATTTCCATGCAGAACTTTTCTTCCGGAACTATTATTTCATTAGAATCCTCCTCGAGGTTTATAGAGTTCAAAGGAAACTCGGAGCATCTAGCCGCCAATTCTCGACCTATGCTTGACTTCGTGTAGTGAGGGGCGTTCGTGAGAATTGCAACAAACGCACGTTTGTCATGAGACCACAGGTGAAAGAGCACATTTGAATAGAGTTCAGTGTTCAATTCGCCACCGTAAATGTTTATGATCTGTGATGTCACAGCTTTGAAAACAACATCGTCAATAACAGTGAAATTTGATATCAGGCAATCGACAACCACTAAGCAAAAATCGGCAATCACTCGTCTGTACTTGATGTAATGCATGGATGAGTCTCTATGGTCAACGTGCGTTTTGTTTAAAAGAAGAATAACCGCATCAACAATTTCGGATGCATCTCTATTTTGGACCAAAAACTGTGGGTTTTCCTTATTGATTGCCGAGAGCTCGATATAAGTTTCTAAGTCAATCAACCTGAAGAATTCTTGAGTCCTCAATAAGTCCTTCATTTGTGAAGACGTTTCTGTCATTAGCTGGCTCATTGAACTTTTGATTTGGTCACAAGGTAAGCGAACGTCAAGTAAAAGTAAATTTCTGAGCAATTGCAAACCTTGCGATCTGTCATTGGCGAGGTCAGAATCCAGGTATTTTAGCATCTCGTCAATTTCATGCCTTGATTGAGAAAGCTTGCGATCACTATTAGGCGCCGCGCCCAGATATTTTTTAATGAGCGAATTGGACTGGTCTTGCGTTAATTCATTCGTGAGGTCAATGTGACCATTGGGGCTGGGCGGTGATGATGTGTCTAAATTTGAGGTTTTCGTAGGCGCAACCGAATGACCTGAGTTACGGTTCAAAAAAGTCATCGGAGAGAAGTGCCTTCTCTCTCTGCTACTGTGTGGTAAAGCTTGCGACGTCGAACGACCTGCGGGATCACTTGCGGAACGCAAGCCTGAATTTCTTTGCAGCTGAGATGGTTGCATTCCGTTGGCAAAACTGGGGGTTTTGTAGCCAAGACTCGATCTTCGCGATGACTCGGATGAGACGTTATAAGAAGGTAAATAATCGACGCCCAAATGTTTCGGTATTGAGGCTTCCAAAGCGCGCTTCAGTTGCGCTGATAGACCTTCTAAAATTGGACTGGCGTGCTCTGGGTATACTTTGTAAAAGTACCAAAAAGTCGTTCGCATCTCTTCTCGTACTCTGGTCTGTGCATCTGATAGACTTCTCTTCATCCATTCGCAAATTTGGGGAATGTAGGTTTCCAACTTGATATGAAATCTAATGATAAAGATACGCAAAAAGATCGCACAAAAAGATCTAGGAGCTGTGTTCTTATCTCTGCTGAGTTGAGCACACTGTTGGAATATCCTGGAGTGGAACGAAATCCCAGAGAGTAAAACACAAATGGAAGTAAATGAATTTTGCGATGATATTTTCTTCATCGCGGAAAGTAAACCTTTCAAAGGATTGAAAATAGACTCAGCCAAGGGATCTAAACCTTCTCCAACTCTGAGCGCCAATTCTTTGATTAAGTTGGACCCGTTTACCGACAGAGACGTTCTCAGGGAATAGACAGCTTTGGAGAGACAATCTGGCACCTGAAATTCCTTGAGCATATATATGAAATCATCTTCAAAATACGTGGGCGCGTTGCCCTTGACAATTGAACGTAATTGTATCACGCTCTCTTGACGTCTTCTCCAATTTTGCTCGGTTTCCTTGTTGGCCATGAAAGGACTTGTAATTTCCTCTAAATCCTTCTTTAAAGACTCTATTGTCACATAATTTGTGGCTTTCAAATCGTCTGAGGTGGATGAGTGTTCCTTTATCAAAGATTGTAATTCTTGCGCTTCGTTGAAAGTATCTGCCTCTTTCTCTTCTTCATTTTGCGAAGAGCCCACGGGGCCTACATCAGATGTCGTGTGAGACTCAAGGAATGTACTCCTGGTAGTATCTTTCTTGATACCTTTCGAAAACACAATCATTGAGTGTTTTGTGTAGTATTTTGACAAGATGTCTCGTACGAGTCCTACATCTTGCAAAGTCAATCCCTCGGGTACATTCAACGCGATTAAAAAAAGAGACTTGAACTGGTTAAGCGTTTCAAGGGGATTTTGCTTGTTGCGCTGATGCATGACTACCAGCTCGTCCACGAACAAAAGTGTGGGAATTCGAGTTGCATCTCGAAGGCAAAATCGTTCCAGACAGGCCTCGAAACTCTTAGGCTGTGCAAGATAAATGGCTTCCAGCGCCTTCACAGATCCTGACCAGATTTTGCGATCTCCACCAATGGTGGACAGTAAAGCGGGCCCCAATCTCATAATCGATTTTTCGTCGATGTGAGCAGGCGCCTGCATGGCGACCCTTTTCATAAGGTAACACACCGCCGAATGGGAAAGTGCTACTACCCTTTTATCCTCAGAATCCGCATTTTCCATCAAGGAACATAGAGCCTCGAAATACCCTGAGATCGACGGCTCGTGTACAAGTTCTTTCTTAACGTGGCCCTTGAAGCCGTTCAGCTCTTCGATTTTGGCATCGGCCGGCAAACCAGGGTCTAGCAACACATCTTTAAGATGAAAAGTTCGTCTGCTAGCCATGACAGTCTTGGGACTGTGCTAATGTTGGTGTGCTTAAGGTTGCTGTTTGTGTATTCTAATGTCTATCAGCTGTAGTGATGAGATCGTTATGTGTCTGAAACCCATACCTCATTGTGAAACAATTCTATCACGTGATTTGTTGATAATATCTGCTCAAGCTCTCGTTAACCGCCGAGCGCACAGCCGCGAAGGCAAAAGCATGGAGCATGTAACCGTATACCCCAGCAATAAGAGCCTTCCAAATGGTGGTTGAGTATGTTTTCAGGAGCTTCCGCGTAGCTTTGATATGTCTTTCGAGACTTCTCCTGCATTTCTGGAATTAATTTGCTGGAAACTCCTAGGCTGCAATTCCCAGTGGACCATGTGGCGTTAAACCAAATTTGAGGCTATCACGTCGTTTCAAATTCACACTCAATTCGACATCAATTCGTGTGTAACCATGTGGACCAGAAATCATGCGTTCTTTCAACCAGTTGTTACAAAGGACCTTGGAATTCAGAAAGACCTCACAACGTACCAGAATGACAACCGCTCCGTGGGATGTTGGTCTTTTGTATGCTCCAAAAGACGTCTGGGAGATATAATCACGTGATTATAGCGTCACAAGGCTCAAAGGCGAAACTTAACTTACATGGCTCGGAGCACGGGGAGACGGTAGAGTTGGATATGGCACATAGTATATATCCAAATGTTACGACGTCGCTTTCGGGAGTATAGGCATCCAAGATGTGTAACATGAATTTCTGCGGGCTTCTATCATGGAAAATTATTCCATAAGAAGTTGCTACCCGTTGAGCATGAAAGGATTATCGCGGAGCAAGTATTCAAGTTCGAGATTGTTCAAAGTGAGCTTCCCGGGAAACAGGCGTTTCAAAATGTAACAGTATCAAGTTTCGTACAACGGGACCACCACTCTGGTTCCCCCTTCAGGAAACCAGTGAACTCAGATCAAATCAACTTCCAAGCTAATCACTACTGCAAGAGAACCGAATATCCAAACCTACCTGACGATATGCAACCAATCTACAAGCAAAGCAGTAACATCACTCAATCTACTGGTTCATTCTTGGCGTCTGCGCCCGTGGAATTACTCACAGTTCAGGGCTACGAGGATTTTCTGGCCAAGCAAGAAAAGCTTCACAGAGACGTTACGACTGTTTTAAGCGAGGACAAAAGCTGTGGCTACGTTATGAAGGGTACTGAAGTGATTGCGACAATTGCCGGAGAAGCTAGAGACCATCTGCTTTCATTGATGGGCGAAGATGCGTAATTTACAGACTGACCCCTTTTAATTTGCAAGCGAGCGTGGTTCGTACGCAACAATATTAATTGCGATTTTTCGTCAAATGTGTCAGACGTTCGCTTTATTTCCATAACGGTGATCTAACGGTTGGCTTTGGCTTGTTCACGTGATGCAACAACTACAATGGGCGCTGGGAAGCTTAAGGACCATTTGAGTTACAGCTCCAAGCCAATGCGTTCTCTTGGCCACTACCAGCTGGGCAAGATGACTGTAGCAATTGTATAGTCACATTTTCAGAATAAAGATTTTGATAAATAACTTTTAGACGTACCATAATAAGTTGTGTGTGCGACAGCCAGGCCATTTAGATCAGCCAGGCCATTTAGATCATGTAGGGATAGCGGGTATCATGCATACTCGATGATAATTCGTCCCATAACAGCTAGATTTGAGATAGTATCTTGAAATAATGGGCTCCAGGCCCTAACACATATAAACTCCTCTAAACTATGATGAAAAAGACTTACGGGGTACTGCGCTGCGTCGCACGCCCATGGGAATCTGCAAGTAGACGAAAAAAAGTCCCTGGCTTGAACTCTATTTCCAGCCCAGTGAGTAATCTTTGAATTTCTTTGTTCTTTGTCCTTTGCTCTTACCAGCAGACCCGAAGCGGTCCTGGACGAAACTACTAGCGTCGTCAGGCCAGGAAACAGGAAATCGGTCTTGAACACACGTTAAGGAAAGAACCAATGTCTACTTAATAAAATGAGAGCATCTGGATAAACTCACGCGCCGCCGAAAGAGGCTGCATACGGTTAATCGTGTACGTGTAGTTGCAGGGGCTTCTGCAAAAGATGGCCCATTCTTTCGACCTTGGTTCTCAAGTAGCCCTCGACTTCGGACGAATGGATACCTTCTTCGTCGTGTGTCCACGACAGTGGAACCATGGGCACTCTCTCGACACAGTGCAAATAGGGTGGATCTTCTATTTGTTCTATCTTGTCCGGGTTGTTCGTCAAGAGCCGTACTTGCTCGATTCCCAAGTCCATGAGTATAGCGCGTCCCATCGAGAAGTCCCGTCCATCTGCGGGGTGCTTGAGTAAGAGATTGGCCTGTACGGTATCGGCACCGAGATCTTGCAAATTGTAAGCTTTGAGCTTTTCACCTAAACCAATTCCGCGGCCTTCCTGGCGCAAGTAAACGATAACACCGCGCCCCTGACCACCTATTATGTCGCCTTCGCGGTCCATGGCCATTAGTTTACCGGCACGGTCAAATTGCTCGCCGCAGTCGCACCGGGCGCTCCACGCGGTTTCTCCCGTGTAGCACTCGGAATGGATTCTGACTAGCGTTTTCTGGTCGTGCCAGGTGTGTTCATCGACTACGAGGTCTCCGTCGTCACCAAACTGCAATTCCAGTCCGAGATGTTCGTCTCTGTCCGCTACCGTTCTGCCCGGAAACAGCTTTCCTACGTACGCACCCCTTACCATACGATCCTGTTGCGTCTCGCCAGGCCGCCTTCTGAACAACGTCCGTGACCTTATGTTCTCGCCAAAAACAATTGCCAAGTGTTCTTTTGAGTCCCTGTTGTTCGCATACAGATGCAGGAAAATATCTGGTCCGGTAGTCGTAGGTATACGTGCTCTGGCCACGCACGTCACAGTTAAAGGCTCGCTTTCCATAGTCATTGGCTTCAAATCTGAATTAGGGTCCATCCGTGGCTGTTGCAGGTGTTGATTTTTCACGAGCCGGCCTTTAAGTACTCTTGAAGACTCGCTTATAAATTTTTCAATCACATTACTACAAATGACAAAGAAACTGGAACGACAGACTGACAAGGTGCAGACTTAGTCAGAGCGATTCAGCAACTTAGTCAAAGCCAGTAGCATTTATCTCTTAGCGCTAATGTTAGGTCTACTCTTATACAGTTTTTCAAGATAATTTGCGGAAATAATTCCTTGAAGTGGTTCAATAGCTAATTTTCCAGTACTCTTCTTGCCGAAAACGGGTTCTAGCCTTTCCAGCTTGTCCGCATCAGCAGACGAATTCGCTTTAACGTAATCAAAGGGGGAGATATTTGAAATGTATGAAGGCGTCGGTTGATTGCTCAGTGCATTCGTCGCCGGTCTAATGCCCCATCGCTCCAAAATGGATACTAAATACTAGTCGTTCTTCTGTAAGAATTTGACTTAGTAGCTATAAACGGGTCTTCTCTTAAACTCACAAAGAATGAAGTCGTTATCGATGTTCTTATTAAGTCTTCGTGAACAACTCACACCATTGAGTTTGTCTGATATTAATAGATGTTGGTAGTTGTTTCTGGAAACGCTCTTAGAAAGCGAAGGGCGCCGACTTTAACTGTGCAGTAATTTGACTGCTCGAGTGCAACATGTGATTGTTTCCGGAACGGCTGATTAGGGTTGAAATCGTCTGGATAAGTAGTCTATCGTTGTCCTGCTCTGACGTTGCTCACTGGATATTCGAATACGTATGTGGCGATGAATCGTACTCTCGCCCCGGGCTTACTGTGACCGCTTCGCTAGGCATCTAGGTATCCATCCAAGCAGGGCGCCAGGGCTGGAGACGAGTCCGACGAAAAGGGTCTCCTTTCGTGAACTTGACTTTTCAGATTGGACGAACTCAGTTTTTTCCCACGAACGTAACTGTAATAAACTTGCCCTAGCTGAGAAAACATAGAGCCGCCGAGTTATTTGGCTTGGCCTGTTATTGGCTCATTGTCCATCTGAGTTACAGGGTTCGTTGCATTTATGTCAGGGATTTGTTCAATTCAATAAATTTGTTGTGAAATTCCAAGATTCATGTTGATGTCTATCAAATTGACATACACTTTTCTTTGCTGGAAAATTGGAATTTCTTCAAATATAATATGACAACAAGTGATACGGTTACTCGTCCGAGAGCAAAAGGGTTAAGTTTTGAAAACATCATTCCACTGATACGGAAAGGGTATTTGGAATATATTTGCTCAGAGACAATACCAAGCAATGTCAGGTTTGACGTTCACTTTCACAAAGTACATAAATTCCTGCATTACTGACATGCGTATTCTTGCCGCATTCATGCCGTTTTTTTGGTAATCACAATAAAAATTAACCAGTTTGTAAGCTAGTTCTCTCTTCCACCAAGGATCGCCTTGTTCTTTGTCGGTCCCACCTTCGTCTTCCCGCCTTCTTCCCATTCATCGTATATCTGTCACAGCCGTCCCTACGTTTTTGTTTGCTGACATGAAAGTCAAATGTTGAACAGCCGGTCTCACATACAACGGCACGCGACCTTACAATTCGTGGTTCACTTCTACAACAATAACGCAAGAAACTGAAATAATAAAAATGGCAGAAGTTGAGCCCACTGGGACCGTTTCGCATCGGGCGTTGGTATCACTGAAAGAGGCTGCACGAATTATTGGGGCCCAAGGGTCGACCATCCAGGAAATAAGACAGTCTAACCAAGTGAAAATTGGTATTTCTCCACATGAGAAAGGGTGCTCAGACCGTCTTCTCACCTGTTCAGGTCCAATCCAGAACGTAGCCGATGCGTTCAGAGACGTCTTAGATGTGCTCATTCAAGATGACAGCGAACCAGAAACGCACACCTACAAACCCCTCAATTTCATACTACCTCCTCCGTCACCTGCCGAAATGCCAGAGACGGAAACTACGAAACGTGTGGGCAACCTGCGTTTGATAGTGACAAACTCGCAAGTTTCGTCAATTATTGGCATGCAAGGCGCGCGTATTAAGGGGCTTATCGAGAGGCACGGAGTCAAGATCGTCGCGTCCAAAAATTTCCTACCAGATTCGCAAGACAGAGTGGTCGAAATTCAGGGGTTCTCTGAGTCCATCGCGAGCTGTCTCGTAGAGATTAGCCAGTTGCTGGCCACAGAGGCACGCGGGTCTCACGAAAAACATTACTATCCGCACACCAAGAATTTGGAAGAGGGCTCTGTAAGCAAAACAGTTCCGATTCCGGCAGAATACGTCGGAGCACTTCTGGGCAGAGGCGGTAATCGGGTGGCCAATCTCAGAAAATACACCAAGACTAAAGTTTTGGTGAGTGACGAAAGCGATGAAAACGGTCTCAGGAGCTTTACGATTACTGGTAACAACCAGAACAGCGTCAAACTCGCGGAAACCATGCTTTTGAAAAATTTGGAAACCGAAAAGCAGAGACGCGACGAGACCGCGACCAAAGAGTTGTGAGAAATCTTGCCCACCCCCCACTTCGTTGACGTTTGAACATTTGTGCTAATGTGTTTCTATATGTATGTAACAATATGTGTAGTGTAATTTTGTTCCCCTCAAGTGTCTGTCTTCTTTCCAGAAAAGTTCTTTCGATAATAAAAACTATTTACTTTGATCATGAATAGTAGCACTTTATAAACAAACTCATGGGGTAGGCGAAGTAACCGAGCACCTTTTTTTCAGCCTATCCAATTTCTTTTATGATTGTTATTTCCTTAATTGCGTTTATTTGAACTTCTTGCCAAACAAGATCATTTGCAATTGGTCGTACATGGAAATGACACCGGCACCGGCAACACCTCTCAAGATGTTAGCACCGCAACCCTTGAACAAGGACTTAATACCCTCGGCAGCAACGATTTTACGGAAAGCGTCAAAAGCACCGTTGTACTTGACGGCTTGACCGGAAGTCATCATCATTCTTCTTCTAACAGTGTCCAATGGGTAAGAAGCAGTGGAAGCACCGGTGGTAACGGCCCAACCCAACAAGAAAGAAGCCAAGAAAGAACCTTCCAAAGAACCAGTCAACAACAAAGGCTTTAGGGAGTCGTAGAGACCGAAGTACAAACCCCTGTAAACGACAATACCGACGACAGATGGCAAGAAACCTCTGTACAAACCGGCAACACCGTCGGAGGCCAAAGTCTTCTTGTAAACGTCGACCAAACCGTTGAATTGACGTTCACCACCCTTCTTGGCGTTCTTAGAGTCAGCAGCCAATCTAGTTCTGGCGTAGTCCAAAGAGTAAACAAACATCAAAGAAAGACCACCAGCAGCACCACCGGAAGCCAAGTTACCGGCAAACCACTTACCGTAACCTTCTTCCTTCTTGAAACCGAACAAAGCCTTGATCTTGTCCTTGAAAGCAAAGTTCAAAGCTTGGGTTGGAAAGTAACGGATAACATTGGCGGTGTTACCTCTCCAGAAAGAAACGATACCTTCGTTCTTAGCGGTTCTGGAGAAACACTCACCGATACCGGTGTAACGTCTGTCCAAAGAGCCTTGCTTGATCATTTCATCTTGGTTTTGGATCAAAAGCTTGACTCTCTCAATTGGAGCAGCAGCGGTCTTAGAGACGGCAGCGGAAACACCACCCATCAAAAAGTCCACCAAAAAGTTGGATTCCTTCTTTTCCACAGACATCTTTTGGTACTTGGGTCTTACTAACTACGGAGGGTACGAAGCTGAGGGCAGTAAACCTTGAGTTTTTGAACTTAACTAGTAAGAAAACGCACGTAAAAAATTGAGTTTCAGAAAAGGCGTCTATATCTTCTATATATATGTGAGCTCTCCTCCTCCTTCTCTCTCATCGCAGAAATCAGAAAATTTTCTTTTCTGATATTTTCCTCAAAGCGATAAAATGGAAAGTTTCGAACTTATGCTGTGGTGTGTGGGTCACGCTCACAATCTCTGCGGCGTTGTCTGAGTAGCTGGGAAATGGCAAGATGTGATTGGTCGATTTTGAAAACTGAGCAGCAAGAGAAAAAAAGAAAAATAAACCGGAGTGGGGTATAAACAAAAAAGCGCGTTTCGTAGAGAGGGATATGGATCGTAGATCTATGTCTCAAGGCATCACGTGATGGAGGGCAAAATTCGGAACCGATTGGGAAAGCTTTTTAAAAAAAGATGGGTGGGTTTATCATCAGGAACTAATCTCGTGATGATTCTCGGAGCGAAAATCGGGATAGGGTTTTAGGGTGTTGGGGTGTTTGTTAAAATCTAAGTCACGTGAAAGGCATGTGGCTTGTGGATCCACGTGACTTATTCTTTTCTTCATCCTAAACTTAGGACTTCCGAGTTCCGAATTTTAATAAGACCTTTTTAAGTAAAAGAACTGCTAGAAACTGAAGAATTACAAGCGCACCATCTGTGTCCAACAATTCTTGCAATAGGCCGTTCAAATGGACTCTTATTCTGTGAACAAATCGCGGAAACGTGTGGTAAAAGCGTGTGACGTTTGCCGGTCCCGCAAGATCAAATGTGATGGAAACGAACCTTGTTCCAACTGCATCAAGTATTCGACGGAATGCAAATACGTACACCAAGCCAAACGTCGCAGTTGCAACACCAGCCGGGTGTCCAACAAGCGGATATTGGAAGATCTTTCGGTGCGACTCGATACACTCGAGACTTTATTGATTCAGATCCGCGACGACGGTGTCAGTAAAGAGGGCACCGACGACGCAGCCGCGTCGTCGCTACCCAAGATAGAATCCGAAGAGGAGCCACCAGATTCGTCGTCGGAAAATGAGAACGAAGACGAAGACAGAGACAAGAGTGGTGCAAAGGGAGAAGACTTGTCGGAAGCCACTGTTGATGGAGACGACTCACGCGTGGGTTACATGGGACAACACGTAGCGTTGTCACTTTTCACCAAAAATGGACTGCTGTGGCTCAAGACAAAGATCTACAGGGACGAGCAGGCGCTCGTTTCGCTTCTGAAGGTCAGACATATGATGTGCGGTGAGAACATTGCCATTTTCAGAGGTGTCTTTGATAATCCGGTCGCCGACGACCGACTTTATGAGTTACTGCCTGCAGATGCGAACGACGAGTTGATGGACGTTTTTTGTAAAAGGGTCCTACCCATCGGCAGGATCGAACTCGACCTCAATTTGACCGAAATGCTTGCGAAAATGCGCGCCAATCCACAGAGTTTGAATCTGGCCGAATTGTTTTACTTGAAAGTCGCGATGTTACTTGCCATGACTTACAGTCTCCATACGAATGTCGCAAACCGATCCCTGCCCCGCTGGCGGGAAATCCGGTCGAAGCTGTTGCTCAGTACCGTGCCGTTGTACCAGTACACCATTTTAAATATAGTCGGCGATACCGTTCGGTACATCGAGGGTGTCGTTATGCTATGTTGGTTTACAGAAAACTCGCCTACCCCCCAGGTGAGCTACGGGGTACTGGCCACTGCCATTCGGCTTGCACAAGAGATAGGATTGCACGATCGACAAGCTCTTCAGGCCATCAACGAGCCTGCAGAAATTCTGAGGCGCCAGTTTCTATGGCTCTCTTTGTACCGCTTCGACATCCACTTGTCCATGCGTACCGGTAAGCCGCGCCTCATTCATGATCACGACTGCAGCTCGCTCAACGACTGGGACTTTTACGTACAGTCCCAATTGTATCTGTGGAACGAAACCCCCGAGGGTGATGCCCTGAGCGATCCGCCACGAGATCTCAAATGGTTAGATCGGCTCGACACTAATTTGCAAGTGCTTTCGTTTTTATCGCAGGAGGGCCTTGAGCTTTCGTTGCGGTACTTCGGCATGAAGCTGGCGGAGTACTCGGGCAGGCTTTATCGCTACCTGCTGTCTTCAAAAGCGCTGACTCAAACCAGTGGTAAAGAGCGGCTCGCGCTCGTTCGAAGGCTCAACGACGAGCTAGACGACTGGCACGTTATGTTTTGCAGCGCGTTCAAGACCTCTCACGACCTCGAGGCCCTGCCAGCGAAGTTGTCGCTGATCGGCGTCCTTCCTAAAAGTGCTGGCAAGCTCTGTCAGTGGAATTTTTTGTGTACGACGCCGCAGGCCCTGAAAACAAGGTTTCTTCTGCTGCACATGGAATACTATCTGAACTTATTGCACACAAATAGCGTTTTGAAGAAAAACCCATGGCAAACCGACAAAGCAGGCGATTCTCCACAGTCTTCGACGGCTCTGGACCGGTGCACGTTCGCCGCGAGACAGCTGCTCGAGCTGACCACGCTGACCATCGATCCGACTGAGCCCAATCAGTTTCTGCTCACAGACGCGCTTTTGAACTATTTTTCAGGGTTCCTCAACCTGCTGTGTCGAACGCTGGAGCACCCTGAGTCGTCTCGGGAAGATCTGGAGCTGCTGCTGAGGGCTGCGCAATCGATGACCGCGTCCGTGCAAGTGCACAACAGCTCGTTCTCGCTGAAGTGGACTTCCTTGACCGTGGTCACTCTGCACCTGCTCAAGGCCGCCATCGAGCACTACAACGCCAGCTGCGCGGACAAATCCGCGTGTTTGGACCCCATGCTTGCCATAGGCCAGATCCGGGGTCTCGAGGGCATTCTTTTCGACCAGATACGTCAATGCGTCGAAGAGGCCGGATCCCTCGCCGAAGATAATGGCGCCGCACCGCCGCGGCCCGGGCGGGCGCCCGTGAGGGCGCCCGCCAGCCTCGGCAAAGAGTTCCCGCTGGCTCCCACTCAGTCGACACTCGACTACTGGTTCGACCAGCTTGTCAAGGGTAAAGAACTCGGCACCGCGACTCTCTTCAGCGACCCCGGCGCCTTCAACGCGGACGTGGTCGACGGCAGCGCAGCTGCCGGCGACCTTGCCGTCGCTGGTGCGTCGACAACGGCCACAGCAACGGCTGGCCCAAACTTCATGGACTATCTGATGCCGGAGCTCGATTTCGACGCATTCTTGCGCGCGGAATCGCCCAACGGGCCATCCGTATTTTTCGGGTTCTGAAACACGGCTGCTAAAAACTGTACACTGCTACACGTCGCTATACTATGTGATCGTGTCAGCCGGGTCCCGCTTTGCCGGCCCGGATGTGCTCCTGTTCTCGCACGATTTTCTGCAATTGTTCGTCGTTCTTGAAATCTTGCCGCCAATTGCAGATGGGACACACGACCTGCTTGCCCCAGAAAATCGGAAACACGGGGATAAACCAGATCGTGATGAACTCCCGCCGTTTGACGGGTCTTACCTGGAAATTGTGGCAGTTGGGACAGTACAGCGAGCTGTACTGTTGTGTCTGGGCGTAGTCCTTGTCCCAGTCCTGCTTTCCGCATATGATCGGCACAAACGACATGTGGCTAAGAGCTGGGCGGTTAAGTGGTGGTGCGTGGGTGGCAGTCCTAGCGCAAACGGACCCTAGCCTCCAAACGGACCTGGCCCCACCTACGTATATGTACCGAACGCCGGGGTTGTTTCGCCCTTAAAACTTGCCATTGCGGCGAAGACGTCAGCAAAGGCTCCCTTTGCGGTCTCTCCCTGCGCGCGCCCGGTCACGTGACACCCGCTTCGCACCCGCGCGCGTTCTGCGCCGCGCTCGTCCGCAGCGACAGAAGCTTATCGCAACTTCGACGCCAGAAGCGCGCGCCAAAAGAAACGCAGACGCGGAAGGCTAAGTGTGGCACACCCACGCACCCCTACGCCCTACGCGCCCCCTGTTCTCTCTGATGGGTTCCTTTTTCCGTGGCGCCTGTGGCGCCGCGTCCCGGCCGGGCACCGGCCGGGTACTAGGCGCAGTAGAGTCCTAACCGGTTCGATTGCGATTCAGCCCAATGCGGTCGGCCGGTCCTACTCCGTTCTGGCACGCCCATTGACACATTTGTGCTCCGAGGACAATGGCTGCAGGGTCAGCGTTAGGTCTGCCTTCTAGGCACCTTTTCTGCCTGCCCGGCTGGCGCCGCCGTGTGGCGCGCGCACGGTACGGTGTGGACTCGAGCGCAAGCACCACCGGTACGTGGCTCTGGTGTTACCCGGACCTCGGGCCATCCTTCCGAATGAGGCAGCGGGCGCGCGCTGCGCGCGCCCGCTGCGCGATAACCAGCGGAGCGCAGAGCGCTCCGCCGCGGCGAGTTCTGTGCGCCAAGTGCATTGTCAAAAGAAACGCACCCTGTACGTGTGTGCGTGTTTGCGTCGGAAAAAAGGCAAACACCCGTACCCCGCGCGCACCCGCTGCTATGTCAGCACGTACTGATAACCAAGAATCCCGGTAGCGAGTGACTCAGCTCGGATCTTTCTGGGCATTTGGCCGTCCGGGTCCTCCGATCACGAGCCAAAGCACGGGCGCGTGCGTCTGGCACATTCGGGTCCGGTTTATAAAAAAGGACACTTGTTTCGCGGCGCGCAGTGGCCTGTGCCCACTGCGGCCCTGGACATCAACTGCAGACCTGGAGCATACTCACGTGCACGTCTATTTGTCGAGACGAAAGGCGCAGATAAGGAGCGAATACCAAAGCACCGCAAACGACAAGAACCAAGAGCGCGCGCTGGAATTTACCACCACATACATGTACTCAGGCACAGACGAATACGACCTGCTCGATAACAGGCTCGTGTACGCTGAGGACCCGCAGATGCAGCTCCAGCTGCAGAACCTCGAGCAAGAAGAGCTCAAGGAGCCGGACCTCGACCCCGTATTAAACCTCTACTATCCCATGGCCACTGCTGACCCGCTACCGGACCCGCGAGTCGCGGGTCCGGCCAGCTGGAGCGGCAGTGCCGCCGGCAGCTCTGCCGGCTCGCTTTTCAGCCAGGCCTCGTCGTCATATTACGACATGGACTTCTACACGGCGGTCCCGGGCTCGGGCCCGGTGTCCGGTTCTATCTCCGGGTCTATCTCCGGGTCTGTATCCGGCCTCGGGCCCGGCCTCGGACACAGGCTGGGTAACGCCGGCGGCTACCGAGACGAGAGGGGTGGCGCTCTGGGCTACGAAGCGGGACTAGAAGCGGCCGCGGATAGTGGCGCAGGAGGAGCCGTGTCGCGTGACCGCGACATCGCGAGGTTTGGGTTTCGCGTTGCCACTGGACACGGAATGGGCATCGGCCCCGGTGCCGGCGCTGACGATGACGACGACGATGACGAAGACGCGGAAGACGACGACGACGACGACGAGGCCGACGGCCGCCTGGAAGCGGAGCACGATGACGACGACGAAGACGGCTCGGACGGCCTGCCGCATCTGCCTCGACAACGGCGGTTTTCGTCGCGCACGCCGTCGTCCAACACACTGAGCAGCTCGGCGGCGGGTGGTGGCAGCGGCGGCTCTGCCGCCGCTGCAGCCGCAGGGGCTGCTGGGTCGAAAAAAGTTTCGGACTCGCGGCTGTCCGCGCAGGGACTCGCAGAGGTGCTGAACCTGGACTCCGCGGAAGAGGCGCTTCGTCGGGAGCGATTCATCCTCGACATTTTCGAGCGAGAGCTACACTATCCGCTGGGCTACAAGACTTGGGTGCGGGACACTTCCAAGGACTACCGTACGCGGCTGCTAGACGAGCTGCACCAGAGGGTCGCGCGCACGTACCCGGAGTACGACAAGCCACTTCTCGAGACCATAATCCGTCGTGCGACTTACTACATGATGCAAAGCCGGCTTCGTAGAGAACGGCGGGCAAAGGCCAAGATCAAGCGAGACCAGGAACGGAAACGGGATCCAAAGCGGCGCGGGTCTGCGTCCCGCGCAGCTAAGATTGGAATGCCACGTTACAATGGCACCGCGGGTACCGCAGGCACCGCGTTCATGCTGTAATAGTCACGTGTGCCGGCACCGTTTCCACATCCCCATCCAAGCAGCAGCATGATCGTCACGGCTCGCGGCGGCGACTGCGACCGCCCTGACGTACGCAAATATACATACGTACACGCAATCCACAATTGGTTTGTTTTCTCGTCCGGCGCGACCCGACCAGCCACATCAGAGCTGTATTTCGGGTTGACCCGGATTACAAAATAACTACCCGGATACCCGAGAGCGGGTAGTAAACGGGTAGTAGTCATGTACGGATCGAGTAATTCTTGGGTATATATTTTAATATTTTCAACTCATTTAAGGATATTTCGAATGCATCGTTTGGATGGAACGCGGATAAACAACTTGTTAGTTCAACAAAGCGTCCGTAAATCGAGAGAAAAGCATTGATCTTACCTAATTAGTGTTGAATTAGATTGATATGCTAGCTTTAACTATTAAAACTCGAGATCGTCGTCATCCGATTGAGAGTAGCATTCTATATAGTCATCATCCTCATCAGAATCTTGGAAATTGAGTGTTAATTTCTGGTCGAGGAGGCCCCAGCCCTTGAAGCGATTTCTAAGAACTAGTAACCTGTTAAAATTTAGACTGCTCATACTTCTTCTTTCTTTACGAAGAACTTTTCCGCTGATAGAAAATGCTCTCTCCAGACCGCTTGTGCTAAATTTTGTGTATAGAAGGGCCACCGCAAGCCTGAATAAATTGGGATATGCGCCACGGCGTTCGTACCACCATTGTATCAGGTCCTCTTTGAAGTCCAAGGTATGTTGCTCTTCTGCTTTATATTTGTCCCACTCACTGACTGCCTGATTGCACATAGAAGCCTCTGCATTACGTGAATGCTTTTCGCGCCGGTTAATTGTGGGTAATTTGCTGACTCGATGGCGCGTGCCTCTAAAAGATCTTTTGGCAAGTTCAGTTGATGTAACGACCTTTCGCGGTTCGGACTTCTTGAGGTAAGACTTCAAATACTTTTCCACTTTGCTTAGTCGAAATTGAGCCTCGTCCTCCGCCATAAGGGTGTTGAAGCACTGATGTTTGGACGAAGGATCCAAGAATGCAGCGACAAAATACAGATCGTTTTCCGTGAAGTACTGGAAATAAGTTGTAAATTTGTTTCGAGTAGAAAGGACAGCATCAAGTACCGTTTTCTTCATATCTAACGGCGGGTTTTTGAGTTCCATTGATAAAGGTGAAATCAAATGCTCCTTCTGTCGGTAGCTCTATAGTTTCCGTATGGGCATCACCGCATAAGTCATAATATTCCAGAAGTGTGTAATAGAAAGGTACCGCATTAGAGAGATGATTAAACGAAACTTCTTGCAGAGTGTCATTCAACACTTTGAAGATTGAGCAACAATCGACAAAGTACTGCAAAAGATGGACTTCCTCAGGGGTTTGCTCGAAACACTTTTCGATTTTTGAAGCAGCAGAAATGTTCTGTGGTGACTTTTTAAAGTTATTGAACCACGTCAGATACTGCTGGCGATATTTCAGAAAAGTGGTTACTTGCTTCCAGATATACAACCACCGTGTTTCCGATGCAGCAGGCACCAACGGGATTGAAGCTTTCATTAATGAAGACCTCAAAAGAGAAGTGTGCTTCATCTTGTGAGCCAACCGTGTGATACGCGCCAGTGCCAAGCTGAACTTTGTGTTTGCTTTCAGGTTTTTCACTACATCTTGGAAAAGAATGTTCAAAATATGGTTTCCACACCGGAAAATATGGAAATTTCCCAGACGATCGAACGTCTTGGATTTGCATTTCTTGAAATGGTCATGGACAAGGTGGGAATGCATGCATATGTTGTTTGTGGCATTATCACAAGTAATTGTCGCAACTCGATCATCTATTTCATACTCTTTCATCACATCCCGAACTTCCTTGAAAAGATTTTCCCCGGTGTGTGGTGTGTCGCTAACATCAATGAAACCTAGGATGTGGGTGTTGTACGGAGCGTAATGGTTATTAAGAAGAGCCTTGCTGCTGCCAACATCAGTCAGCATAGCATCATTTATAAGATTGGGAGCAAATGATGCGGCTACAGCTAGATATGATCTTCCATTCCCGCCGGACCAGATATCCAGTTCAATGTTAATGAAGTCAGTTTTACTCAATACTTTTTTAAGTGCAGTATTGAAGTGATTGGTATAGTTCGATAGCCTGTCAATGATCGCTGGACGAGATTTTATCAATTTAATACCAGAGCAGGCTTCGCTAATGACGTTCCAGCTTTTGCCTTCGAAGAAGGAGAACGGGACTAACTTTTCCGTCAAAAGCAAAAGAATACCAAAATCGCCAGGGCTATGCTTCCATTCTGCGGTTATTGCAGCTGGCGGTGGCAAGGAACGACACTTGACTCCTAATTGGCTGAGACTCCTAGATTTTTCTTCTTCTTTTCGACCGTTTTGGTATGCTAGAGGATGAACGTTCTTTACGTGTTTTGAAAGGTTTCCTGTGGACCTCGCTTCCTTGAATTCGCGTTTGCAATGAACACAAGAGGCAATCTTTAGTCCATCCACCTCTGTAACATCGAAGTGGCGGCGAAGGGCTGATCGATCCATCCATCCAGTTACTTTAAGTTGTCTAGTAGGTGTAATAGGAATGGAGGAGCCATCTGCCGCATCTACTGGGCTTGAGACACGTGGCTCTGGGGTGAGAGTCTTACCTTCCAAATCTGAGGTTTCGTCGGAAAGCTCTTCAATCTGATAAGACTCTTGGACCGCTATCATTGTGTGTCAGCTGAGTAGTTCGAACCGGGGAGCGGTTGGTCTGGATCATGTATGTTAAATATTTGAATTTTTGACGCCAGAAATTTTCTTTACGCGTTTCGGTTCGTGAAAGGGTATCCAGTGTTAAAGGACGCGGGTTGCTGGCGGGTCGCCTATTTTTTTCACGCGAGTAATAGGCGAATGAACGTGACGGCGCACGCGAATACTATGTGGGTTTCCTGGATAAGGGTTACCCAGCCTAAGATGGTACCCGAAATACAGCTCTGAGCCACATGGTGGCCACGCATTCCGTATGTTGACCTCCATTTATCGTATATAACTCGATTCGGTTTATGTTATCTTACAGAAATACGCTAATGTACAATGCCCCGGTCCAGCGCAGGGCGGGTTTAAACCCTCAGAACTTGGTGAAAGAACCCTTCTTGCGCGACTTTGCAAGCTTCTTGTTTTTCTTGTACGTGTGATGTCTGGCGTCTCTCCACCCCGATGTGCTTACTTTTTTCGAGTCTTCTTCCATGGCATCAGGAGCAGGTTTACTGCCGTTTTCAAGCGCCTCCAATGTAGTTTCGTCAATTTCTGCACCGTTGTTCTGCTTCTTTAGTTCCTCGACCTTCTGTCTTACCAGATCATCACGTAGCTTCTCAGCCAGCCTCTGACTACGTGCATCGGCAGCTTTTTGGAACTCGTTCTTCCTCTTTACGGACTTAGCCTTCAACTGAGACTTGGCACGTAGTGATTTGGCCATTGTGTTCGACCAGATCTCTGCGATGAGATGAGATGAGATGAGACGGGTGCGCTCATCTCAGAAAATTTTCAGTCTTTCATGATAAACCATGTGATGAGATTTGAGGGAAAGCAGTCATGTGTTTTTGAAAGCCACCCACACACACTTCAAAGATCTACCGCCCATACATTTTCAAAGAATTCAACATGATTTATAGAGGCCTTTTCTGAAATATCCTGCGCGTGACATTTTTTTGCGTCGGTACCGAAATTTCAGGTCGCATGGCATGTTAGGCTGGCCCCCACTGGTGACTGCATGCGCTAGGCTCACACCGCGGCAGTAGGGAACGCTCCTCCCTGCCCGTGTCTGCTGGCAGGAAGTCCCTGGCTCGGATTGCTGGGCCCAGTAGCGACGGAGAGGCTGCTGCTGGTACCAGGTTCCCTGTCTACCTCGGCCGAGGGCCCAGCATGGAGAGCAAGGGATGGGTTCGTGGAGGCAGACCCAGGGAATCGAGCGTTGCAAGAAAAACTTTGACCATACTTTACAGGTTTTGAAGAGGTTATTGGTTGAATTTAGGATCAGTAGAGAAACCAAAGCAAAATGTATGTGAATTGATGAGATTTAGCGGTTAGGATGGATGCGAAGTGGAGCAAAGTGTGTGCGTTTTTAGCGGTGGAGTTTTCCAGGCTTGAATTAGAGTTTTTGGACATGAAAAGACCGCGATGTGCTAGGACGAATTGTGGGATATATGGAAGACCTGATCCTTACGGAATGTGTAGTGGGACGGATCAGTGAGGCCAGGAGTTGAGTTCGATACAAAGTGATCAAGAATGGATTGGGACTGAATAGAGACGTGCACACACGACGTAAATCTCCACGTTACTTGGCCATCTACACAAGAACAAACACTAACATTAAAACAGGGCCAACTTACGTACTCAAAAGAGACTTGCCGCTTCTGTTGTCGGTGTTGGTAAGAGAAAGATCTGGATGGACCCATCTGAGACCTCCGAGATCGCTCAAGCCAACTCCAGAAATGCAATCAGAAAGTTGGTCAAGAACGGTACCATCGTTAAGAAGCCAACCAGAATGCACTCTAGATCCAGAACTAGAATCATGGCTGAATCCAAGAGAAACGGTCGTCACACTGGTTACGGTAAGAGAAAGGGTACCAAGGAGGCTCGTTTGCCTTCCCAAGTCGTCTGGATCAGAAGACTGCGTGTCTTGAGAAGATTGTTGGCCAAGTACCGTGATGCTGGCAAGATCGACAGACATCTATACCACTCTTTGTACAAGGCTGCCAAGGGTAACGCTTTCAAGCACAAGAGAGCTTTGGTTGAGCACATCATCCAAGCCAAGGCTGACGCTCAACGTGAAAGAGCTTTGAAGGAAGAGGCCGAGGCTAGAAGAGCCAAGAACAGAGCTGCCCGTGAAAGAAGAGCTCAAAGAACTGCCGAAAAGAGAGAAGCTTTGTTGAAGGAAGATGCTTAAGCGACTTAGCTTTAGCTTAGGAAGTCCTGTCATCATTTTCTTTCTCTTACGTTTTCATTGTACCCCCGTTATGTAGTATAAACCTACCGAACGTTGGTTTTTCTCTAGTAATTATCAAGGTATTATTATTAGCTCCGGAAAGCATTCCGATTCTCTTCTTGAAGCCTGATTATGCTAGCCAGGGCGCATACCTTTAAATCGCGAACTGCTCTCTAATGCTTTAAACTACATATCCTAGAAATCCGGAGACGCATTTGAATATGTGCGCCTTTAAATGAAAATATACACATGCGCAAGGGCCAGCCCTCGAACTTTGTATCTTAACGTCAAATCATTTCGTCAGTGTCCTTGATTCCATCGTGAAGGAGCGGTATGTACTCTTCGGATCCTACTATAAATTGTGCTTTCACAATCGGTGGGAAAAGAACATGTCTTTGAGGGTGGGGTACTGAGTTTCTGGGTTTGTTACCCGCCAAACATTCTCTTGGATGCAGTGAAATAGTCCATTCGTCTCTACTCGTTATTATACCAGGCATCGTGACTGTATCGTCATTGATCTCGTTAGGATGGCCGCTTTTGACGTTGACAATATTTCAAATTTTGATTTTTCAAAATGATAAGAATATCACATCTTTAATATAAGTTATCTATCGAATTTAATTAAAAAAGTCCTTCAATCTCACCTTCATCATTGACTTCCACATTCATGTAGCCAGCGTAGGTCGAAAGTCCAGGAATAGTTTGAATTTCGGCGGCGAGAGCGTATAGATAACCGGCCCCAATAGAAGCTCTTACGTCTCTAACAGGGAAAGTAAAACCGGTTGGAACATTCTTGAGCGAAGCATCATGAGACAGAGAATATTGGGTCTTTGCAATGCAAATCGGCAAATTACCGAACCCTTGCTTTTTATACAAGTCAATTTTCTGTTGAGCTTCAGGCGAAATCTCGATCTTGGCACCACCGTACATTTTTTGAACAATCGTTTCGAGTTTGGCCTCAACAGATTGGTCAACTTCGTAGAGAAACTTGAAGTCTTTGGCCTGCTTGGTAGCGTCGACAACCGCGTGAGCCAGTCCAATAGCGCCTTTACCACCTTCAGCCCAGTGGTTCGTAGATACTGCATCAAAGGCACCGGCTTCTTTGGCGGCTTTTCTGATGACTTCGATTTCGGCGTCGGTGTCCGATTCAAATCTATTGATTCCGACCACGACAGGAATACCAAACTGTTTGGCGTTAGAAATTTGCTTGCACAAATTGGCAACACCTTTGGCGACGAGATCAACGTTCTCTTCCGTGTATTCAGAGGGTAAAGATTGGCCGGGTTTAACATCCGGAGCACCCCCGTGAAGTTTCAGAGCCCTAACTGTAGCCACCAATACTACAGCATCCGGCTGTAGTCCCGAGGAACGACATTTGATGTTGAAGAATCTTTCACCACCCATAGTGAAGTCAAATCCAGCTTCTGTAACGACATAACCTGCTTCAGCATTGGAGTCCTTTGTCTTACCTACCAACTTCAAAGCGATTCTGTCAGCAATGACGGAGGACGCGCCGATGGAAATATTTGCAAATGGGCCAGCGTGGACCATTACAGGGGTACCTTCTAATGACTGCATTAAGTTGGGCTTAATGGCATCCTTCAATAACGCCGTAATTGCGCCTGCACATCCAACATCCTCAACGGTGATGGGCTCGCCGTCCTGGTTTGCACCGACGACAATGCGACCAACGCGGGCGCGCATGTCCTTCAAATCTCTTGACAGAGCCAAGATAGCCATCAATTCAGATGCAACAGTGATATCAAAGCCAGTTGATCTAGTGAAGCCCTTTTCGGTTGGAGCCTGTCCGATGGTAATTTGACGTAGCATTCTATCATTGACATCCACGACTCTCTTGATAGTAATCGTCGTAGGATCCAAATTTAGACGTGCAAATTTGGTGATCTCTTCTGGAGTTAGGTCGTCGGGGTTTGTTTTGCTAATGTCCAGCTTTTCGAGGCGCTTCAACATGGACTTGGTAAATTGACGACCGCCCTTCTTCTTCGGGACCAATCTATTGAAAAATGTGGAGTCCTTCTTTTGCGTGGATTCGTGGAACATTCTGGTGTCAATTGCAGCGGCAAGCAAGTTGTTGGCGGCAGAAATTGCATGAATATCACCAGTCAAGTGCATGTTAAATTCATCCATCGGTATGACCTGGGCATACCCACCACCGGCAGCACCACCCTTGACACCAAAAGTGGGGCCCATGGATGGTTGCCTAACGTTCGCAATCGATGGTTTGTTCAAATGGGCGGTTAGAGCCTGTACTAGACCCATCGTGGTGGTAGATTTACCCTCTCCTAGTGGCGTAGGAGTAATACCGGCTACTAGCACGTACTTACCGTTTTCATTGGCTTTCAATCTGTTAAGAATGTCCAAGGAAAGCTTGGCCTTGTAATGACCGTATAATTCGACCTCATTAGCATGAATCCCTAGCTCCTCTGCAACCACACCAATGTTCTTTGGGGTTTGGGCTCTGGATATGTCAATGTCTGACGGCACGGGAGATTGAAGCTTGAGTGGGAGGGGAGAAATCTTGGCAGGCTTGTAAGAGTCGGTGAGTTGTCTCTTGGCGGCAAGCAGAACGTTTTGAACAAGCATGGCAACGGTCATTGGGCCAACTCCGCCAGGCACCGGGGTGATGAAAGAGGCTTTGTGCTTGGCAGATTCAAAATCAACGTCGCCGACGAGTCTCTGGCCGCTTTTCTTGGTGGAATCTGGGATGTAGTTGATGCCCACATCGATGACCACAGCGCCGTCTTTTAACCATTCTCCCTTAACGTAATTGGGCCTACCGCACGCCGCAATTACCACATCGGCTTCGGCCAGAATGCGTTGCAGGTCCTTGGTATGACTGTGGCAAACGGTGACGGTAGCGTCCAAGTTCTTCAAAAGGGAGGAGACCGGAGTGCCGACAATGTCAGAACGACCCAAAACGACCGCGTTCTTGCCCCTCAAGTCAACTTTCGCCTCTTCCAAGAGTCTGATACAGCCGTTTGGGGTGCAAGGCAGGAAAAAGGGGCTGCCGCCCTTTTTGGAGAGCTCGCCGGCGTTGTAGCGGTGGAATCCGTCCACGTCTTTGGTGTGCAATACCGCGTTGGTGACTTTGGTCTCGTTCAAATGCTTAGGGAGAGGCAATTGAATGAGCAGACCGTGAATGGAGTCGTCACCATTGACAGCTTCGATCTTGTTGAGAAGCTCGGCTTCGGAGATGTCCTGCGGCAATTTCTCGACCAGACAGCGAACCCCGCTCTCTTTGGAAGTCTTGAGCTTCATGCGCACGTACGCGGAGGAGTCGGGTCTGGAACCCACCTGAAAAATCTTGAGCGTGGGCTCGAAATCTGGGTGTTCGGACTTGATGGTCTCGATCTCCTTGAAGGCCTCGTCCCGAAGCGCTTTGGCGACTTTGGTACCGGAGAGCGTATGGTATGGAGACAATCTGGTGGCGTTCAGACGCCTTGGAGCGAAGCCGAGTTGGGGAGGCAATGTTTCCGTTGGCGCTAGGCGCGCGGTGCCCGCGACGCGTGCGCTGAGCAGAGATGCGTTTCTGGCGGCTCGTGAGAACATCGGAGATCGTAGTCAGGCGAAACTGGGCGTCAAGTGGACCTCGGCGGGCGGAAGAAGGAGCTGCCTTATAAAGTGAACGAGGAAGGGAAGCGGCGGCACGCAGCTCATCTCGAGTCAGGTTCGACTCTGACTTGGAATCGACAGTGGCATTTTTTTGCAGTCTGCGAAAAAAGAAACGCCACGTAGAACGCGATGAGCGACCTGGGGGTCACGTGACCACCCCCGGGCGCCTCTCGCTGCAATCCCTACAGTCTGTCCTGCCTTCTCCCGTCTATGTTTATCGTGAGCTACAATTACAAATCGTTACAAACCTCCGTTCTATATTATGCTGTATTAGTTGTCAAGTTCAGAAAATCGAAAACCGTCTCGTCATATCTGCCCTCAGCGGCTAGCGCGCTAGCCGCGCTAGCGCGGCCGCTGAGGGGTACTGTTGTTCAGATCGTCCGCGCCTTGCCCGATCTGGAACGTTTTGAAGTTTTTGAGGGGCTGTTGCTCCGGAGAACGTGCGTCGAGATACGTGCCTGCATGGTCCGAAGCCGACGACGATCCCGACGCAGGCACTGTGTACAGGGACTGTATAAGCTCGCGCTGCTGACGGGCCACCTCGCGTGCAGCCTGCAGAGTTCTCTCTGTTGGAGAATTCTGGAACGACGCATCTTGCGTCGTTTCGAGTGCGGTGTCCGGCGCCGTGTCCGGCGCCGATCCGCCGCGCATGTGGGCGTAGTCCTGCATGGCCGAAGGCACGCACTTGTAGGCCTGCAGATTTCCGTACACCCGACGCGCGTACTCCAGCGGCGTCTGGGGCTCGGCGGAGTGGAGCTCCGAGGCCATTTGGAGGGGCGCTCCGCTGCTCAGCGAGCCGCTCAGCGAGCCGCCGAGGCCGTCGCCGAGGCTGTCGCCAAGGGCGCCCCCCAAGGGCGCGCCCAGAGATCCGCCTAGCGCGGCGCCCAGGCAAGGCACGCCCGCGGGCGCACTGGCCGGCGGCAGCGGCGCGCCGCTGCCGCCGATCGGGTCTAGATGCATGGGCATGCACGCAGTGGGTCCCGCAGAAGCCGCGCTCGGCAGAGCGCCGGCCGCTGCGCCGGGCGCCTCGTACGCGGCTGTGATCTCGGAGAAGGTCGAATGGAACTGGCGGCTGTTTTGGTCGGTCGCGGGCGCGCCGTGCTCGATGAGCGCGAGCAGCTCGCTTTCGTAAGCAGAGAGCTCGAGATCGGCCTTGACCTTGTTCAGAATGGACTTCTTCCAGACCTGGATGTGGGACGAGATCTGCTTCTTGGTGCGCCACTCGCGCGTTTGGTGGTGAATGTAGAGCGAGATCAGCTCGTTGCGGCCGTAGTTGCGGTCGCGCAGCTTGATCTTCGCGGTGCCGTTCTTGGCAATGAGCCGCAGCGCGCTCAGAAACGCGTTCTCGACGGGCGTGGGCCATATGTCGGTGTTGACCAGCGAGCCGGGCGCCACGTGCACGTGACCCGGCGGCGCCAGCGGCGCCAGCGCCAGCGGCGCCGGCCGGCGATCGCGGTCCTCCTCCTGTTTAACGAGCACGCGCTGCGGCGGAAAACCCGTGCCCACGCGCACCTGCCGGTGCCCGCTGCCCGTGTTTACGAGCAGGGGCCGCGCGTGCGGCGGCAGTGCGTGCACGCCGCTGCCAAAAATAGCCGCGTCCGGAGCCGTGTCCGGAGCCGCGGCTGCGGCCGAGACGCGGAGCGGGCCCGGCGCATGTGAAGGCGCGATCTCGTCGTCGTTGGTGACGATCGCCAGGTGGTTGACGTCGGCTTCGTCGTCGCCGTCGGCCGCGTCGTCCTGCACGTAGACGTCGAAGATGCGGGTGTGAACGGGATCCCAGCCCGGGGTTGGCCTCCGGTCCATTGGCGCGCGGGTGTGTGGGGGGAGTGCTTGTGCCCCAGAATGCGCAGGCGTAAACGCCCAGGGCCACCGGCTATGTATACTCAGCACTTGCAAAAGCGTCCGCGCGATTGCGCTGGCACGACTAATGGCGGCGTGCGTTCCGGCCGTTTCGGCCTGAAACACGGTCTGGCGCAGGTCTGCGCCAGACCTGCGCCAGCGTGTGTTTCATGTATGGATGTTGGCCGTCGTGATTGTGCGCGGATTACGTAATATACATGCGGCAAACGGCCGCTCGATACAACGTGCGTGCAGAGCGACAAACACGCGCCCTGCGGCGGGCCGGGCAACGCGCAGCGCCGGGCCTGCCTACTCGTCTGAGTCATTCAGATACTGCGCATAGTCGTCCGCAGAGGCAAACACGGGCAGCGCTTTGAAGCGCTTTCTGGAACTGCGCTTGCCGGAGGCGGCCGAGCCTGCGGCCGCAGGCTCGGCCGCAGGCTCGCTGTCGCTGTCGCCGAGGCCTGCGTCCTCGTCTGCGGCGTCTTCGAGCGCGCGCTTCTCGCCAGCAGCGGGGACGGCTCCCTCGTCGGCAAAACTGTAGAACACATCATTGTCGCTGTCCGCGTCCCCGCTGTCCGCTGCCAACTCCGCAATGACTTCGGACTCCTCGTCGTCGCTGTCGGACACGTCCGACATCGCCAGGTCGTCCATGGACACGTCCTCGTCCCCGTCCTCTTCGACGTCGGGCCTAGACTTCACCAAGGCGTCCCAGACTTCGTCCTCGTCTAGCTCGCTCTCGTCGTCAAATCTGTCGCTGGATCCGCGTTTCTTTTTCTCGGCGCGCCGGATCGCGGTCTGCTTCGTCGAAAAGTACTGATGGAAGAACCGCTCGTCGGGCGTGACCTCGTCGGCCCGTTTGGCCAGCCAGTCCTGCGTGTTCGCAGGCACCTCGTCGAGAACTTTGTCCGACGCACGAACGATCAGGTTGCCTGTGTGACTTCCGCCCAACGGTTGCATGATAGAAGAGCCGCGGGTGGTGGGTTTCTGTTTTGCATTTCTGTAAACAAACCGATCCAAGAAATGTGCCAGCGAATGCAGGCCAAGGTCCGGTTTCGGTATGTCCGTAGAACTCAGGAAAAAGGCCTGGGCGTAAGTCTCGACCGTGGGATGGAAGTGCCGCAAAAAGCTTTCGATCTCCCACAAAGACGAACTGTCCGCATGCGCAAACCGTGGGTCCCGTTTACGGCTGTCGTAGGGAGCAGCCGCCTTTTTGTCGCTGCTATCGTCACCGCCTTCGTTTTCCTCATTGTCCGAGACATATTCGTGATCCTCGGGAGTGTTCGAAAACAAGTTCTTGATCTGCGGCGTCGATTTGCTCAGCTGGAGCAGTAGGAACAGCATACCGGAGATCGCCCCGACATTGAGCCAGTTCAGGCACACCTGGACGATTCTTTTCACAAACGCCTCGACCCGAGGAATGTGCTGGTCGCTTTTGAGCGATTTGTATAGTAGATTCAGATAGATACCCTGTTTGGACGACGTCACGAGTCTGGGGTCCAGAAGACTCTCGTACAGGGTCTTGAAAAATCTGTCGTTGTTCAGACTAGCCTTCGTGGTCACCTGATGTATCAACACCAATGCTTGCACCGCGGTGTTGAAATTCGAAGAGTGCGTGATCTGGTACAGAACGTCCAGATGCACTTCGTACACGTTGGCAGGCATTTGCGCAAACGGCAACGCACGGTTCAGACCCGTGAGGATCGCAGAAAACAGCTTTGAATTCTTTTCGTCCACAACTTCCTGATCTGTTTTGTCGTCCTTGACAGACACCCCGCCTTTCTTGCCCCTCTTGACGTTCTTTTTCCTTTTCTTCTCGTACGACGCGTCTTTGTTCTTGGGCGCATTGTCCCCTTCTTCGTTGTTGTCCGAGTTGGTCGACAGCAGAAACTTTTCGAAAAGCGTAAAGTATGTCTTGATCAACTGGTTCGCAATCATGTCTTCCCTTCTCTTGAGGATCGTTTGATTCAGCGTGAGTACGGCGTAATACGTCGTGTGGTATTCGGCGGAGGGCCTTAAAGCAACGTCCACGATTGCGTCCAGAATCACTGATTTCATATTTGGGTGTACCTGTTCCAATTTAAGTAGCTGGTATGAGGTCTTGGAAGACACTTTTTTGTCGGTATCACCTAGCTTATTGACCCCCAACCGTAGCAAGTTGAACTCTTGCTCTGGCTTTGCCGTGATGAAGTCAAAAACATGCGTAAGAACTTGCATGCGAACGTAGACGATGGGGTCGTGCGACAGTTTCTCCAAGGTTTGCAACACCTTGAAGAAAAACTTCTTCAAGTAGTCCTCGAAGCATAATATGGCAAGTGTGGACTTGCTCAACATCATCGAAAGGTTTTGATTCTTGAAATATCTCAGCTTTCGGTCCGGCAAGATGCCATTAAGCAACAGATCCTTGAGTGCATTCACACTCTGAAGCGCAGAGTTTCTAGATTTTTTGTCGCAGTAGCCAAGCAACGTGTCTAAAGACTTCATGTTATGCAGTGGAGACTCTTGAATCAGCAACGTCAAGGCCGAGATTTTATCGTTCAGAGTACCTTCGGACAGAATCTGCGACATAAATTTACGCTGGGAAGAGTTCTTGGTAAATTCCTCGTAGTAGACTTTATTGTCCTCTTCCAATGCGGCTTGACCTCTTTTGTAGAGCTTATCTATCTGTTCCGCCGAGAGAGGGTCGTTTTGCTGTGATAGTTCAGAACCCGTGGGCAACTTGTACCATGCATTTTCAGTGGAAAGTAGAAGCTTGTCCGAGGAAACCATGTTGAGTTGTGAGACTAGATCTTTGTCTTTCTCCTCTTTTTCGGTGGCCTGTTTCTCGGAGCCCTGACTAAGACGCTGGCCCTCGTCAACCACCTGCGACGATTCTTCGGAAATGCTTTCTTCTTCCTCAGATTCCTCTTCAGGTGTGACAGAACGGGCCTTCTTGTGCTCTTCTTCTTCTACTTCTTCATCTTCTTCATCTTCTTCCGCGGGCACCACGGTTTTATCGAATCCCATGTTCTTCAAAAGGTCCTGGAGATCCGTGTTGAACTTGATGTCTTCTTTCCCTTCAGCGGGAGTGTCAAACTCCTGCTCGCTTCCCTCGTCGTCACTTGCGACGCCATTGATCAATTCCAAATCCTTTTCAGAGGCTCCCAACGCGAGAGCCTCGCGACGAAGAACTTCCGCATTACTCTCGGACGACGCATCGTTGCCTACTCCCTTGATATCAGGGCGTTCATCAGGCTCTCTGTTCGTTTCTCTGGCAGCTTTTTTGCCATTTTTAGACTGCTTCTTGTTCGGTTTTCTAGCATCTTTCTTGTTGTTTCTACCAGGCTTTTGGCTGTCATTCAACTTGGAAGATATCTTCTCCCGCAAAGTCGACAGATCAAGCTTACCTTCCTCGGCCATGCTTGCAATACGATCGGCTTTTCCTGTTTTAACCACTCGACTTCAACTCATCTCATCTCATCTCAAGTTCTTGAAAATTTTTTGACTACGGATGCGCGATGAGATAGGTAACTATGTACGCCGGACGACTACAAAGTACATAGACATCAAGAACCACTAACAAACTCCCGATTTCATCAGCGTTTACGTTATCGACTCTACGTCCTTTGTGAGCTTGCACGACCTCTCTGTTTGTTGATCAAGCGTTGCTGATCTTCCAGGACTTTTGATCTGAGTTTCCACCGCGCGTCTGACGAAGATTATCTCGAAGCGATCCAGCTGACAGGTCTGAATACTGACCACCACCTGACTCGCTAACGTTCGCAGAATAAAACACCAAGCCAAGTAAAATCACGCACAAACTGTTTCCCAGCTGTCGTAGCAAGAGTTTTTCTCGCCTTTCTCTACAAAGCAAGGTTCAGCCTATATAAAATGCACATCAAAATATCACCTGTTTTGCTAAACCATATAAAGTCGAACGCATTATTCTTGCATTTGCATAACCCGAGGCGGGCAGATCGTGCAGATCACGAAGGTCGTGTAGATCGGGCAGATCGCGCATGTGCTAGTCAGACAATTCTTACAATCTTTTTGTTCGCTGTCGCTGCCAATTCTGCTATGCATGCGCCGATACATTCTTACTAGATCACCTTTTTATGTCCAAAACAGCAATCTGCAGCGCACATTGTCACATGTACCGGCTGGCGATATTGCTCCCAACGTACAATGCAATATGGATTACAATGACACAGTTCGCGTCTTAACGGCACAATGCGTATTTGGAGAGTGAGTGATGACACGGTAATCGGCAAGAATTTGCTGGCGTCGACCATTGATCTCTGTTTCAGCCATGTTCTCGATTCGAGTTTTCGTTTAAGCATTCCGTATTTTGACGTAAAACTCCGACAGGGCGTGTGACCTAGCGCTAGAGTCATCAAGAGTGTTAGTAGACCTTCGCATCGTTTGGCACAAAACTACTGAAAATGCGACGAACCTAACGACTCGAATAGGCGCTAGCTCACTACGGGATCAAATCACAACTTCAGACAGGCCAGTTAAGGCCCACTTAGTATAATTTTATGTGACATTTCCAGAGAAGGGCTAAATCCTAGAAATTCGACAAAATCATCCATTTCTACGGCTTGAATGTGGAATTAGCCGCGCGCGTACTTCAGGAGTTATTACCTGACAAGCCCTAGAAGTTGTCTAGTTACAACACACAGATTAATTCCTTGGTGGGTCCATTCAAATTCCTCAGTCCGTCGTAATTACGTAGCCGACGCGCCCAGACTTCTTTGCGGGTTCGTACCCAATCATTCCTTTTATATTTAATAGCTTCTTACGAAAATAGTAACTAAGCTTAAAGATCACTCTTTACGTAATATTTCATCACACTGGTTCCCAGCGATAAACGTCATCTGATTATATTATATAATAGTGTACGATTAAATCTCTCAATGACAACTACCGTTCGAGTCCCGCAAGCGTCGGTTTTTTCCTCTTTTTCTCTTTTCTCTTTCGGATAACTGCGTACGAAGCTTTTCAGATTCTGTTACCCGGACTGTGCTGCTTCGTCACGATCACCTTGGTTTTTCTGATCAGGCCTTCGCACTCATTCTGTGAACTTCGACATATTTGACTTACTGGTGGCAACTTCAAGTGGATAGCACCAAAAAACCGCGTGTAAAACACCGAAAACCATGTCTTTGAAGCGTATTACAAAGGAACTCAACGATCTAGGAAGGTATGTGTTTGCGTCAGAACCTAAAAAATGGTTATTTTCTTGAGCCGTTGTCAAGTGAGCCATTTTTTTTTGTTTTTAATTTGTTTTACTCATAAGGTCTACGTTCCGTCGTAGTCCTTTGCTTACGACCCCTCTATAATATGATACTAACAGTGCCATTTGCAGAGACCCACCAACTTCTTGCTCCGCTGGTCCAGTCGGTGATGACTTGTACCACTGGCAGGCGTCCATAATGGGACCTGGCGACTCGCCCTACGCTGGTGGTGTTTTCTTCTTGTCGATCCATTTTCCAACCGACTACCCATTTAAGCCACCCAAGATATCATTCACGACCAAGATATATCACCCCAACATCAACGCCAACGGTAACATTTGTCTCGATATCTTGAAGGACCAATGGTCGCCAGCTTTGACCATTTCCAAGGTTTTGCTGTCGATTTGCTCGTTGCTCACCGACGCCAACCCAGATGACCCATTGGTTCCAGAAATCGCTCACATTTACAAGACCGATAGAGCCAAATACGAGGCTACCGCAAAGGAGTGGACGAAAAAATATGCTGTTTGAGATTGTTGCATCGCATGTGAGTCGCAGTGACTGCGCTGTACATAATACACATATCCATTCTCTATAGGTGCGTTTAAACAGAGTTGGCAGTAGCGTGGCGCAATGTAGCGCAGAACTTCAGATCAATCGACTCCCTCATGAGTGTTGATTATTTCTCTCTCTATATACTCAGTAACCTACTTTGACGCTCAATCTACTCATAATCACCGTCGCGGCGGTGCTTACTTGTTAACGAGGGCCAAAATCGTAAGGACCCTTCCACTACTCAATATTAAAGTCACTTACGGGAGAACAACGTAGACTGTGCACGGTTTGGACACCTCTGCGAGTCATACACCACTACTTATTCGCGACGACATCAAAAGAACAAGATAACAGACTACGATCATCTACACACCAAGTTAGACAACCTTAAGAGATCCCAAAATATTACGCTTCCTTTACTGTCAGTGCTGGTCTTTCTGAAGCTCATGTCGTTGTTAACGGAAACTGTCCTCGGCGGCTAATTGTAAACTATGGATATGCTGGCTTCTCTTCATATTTACGATACATTGAACAAGAAATCTCAAACAAAGTCTGACGATTCAGTATTTAGGCGGGTAGAAAGGTAGGAGTTCGAAGGATTTTTGGAATATTCCTGAGAGAGGTGACTCCCGAGACGTGGCACGCTTTGGCTTTGAATCGAGTTTCGATCCCGTTTTATATATAACGCTTAGAAGCATGTTTTACATGTCGATTAGTCGCATCTCCTTCGTTGAATAACACGATACATTTTGAAAATTCTTGCTAGGAGTCAGACTTGGAAAAGATACATGGACTTTAACTAATGCAAGACCGTTACTAGAAAGAGAAATCTTGAAACATTGCTCCCTTAAGTTTTGGTAAGACTAAAGGCGTTTTCAATGTGAAGAGATCTTAAAATTAATGTTTTCTGTGATGAATTGATTTTTGAACATATCACAGACGAAAAAATGCCTATTAATCAAGGATGACAGATTGGCATAACAAGGATTAAAAAACGATTTAGTTCACTTGAGGAATGCAAAAAGAAAACTATGTCGTCTACTTTAAATCATCTAGTCGCACTGAAACTTTAAAGAAATATTCGAGCTTGATTTTAAGGTCCTGTTGATGATTTTACAATTGCGAAAGACATATGAAATGGCCTTCTACTTAACACAATTGAAAACCCGTAACAGTAGGTAATTCTCTAGTGAATCGCTTTGCTTTTTTCAATTGGTCCGGTGAGCATGACTTCTTACAATTGACGCCTCAAGCATAGCTCAGCTGATGGAACTACAAAATGTAATTTTTAAAAAATGGGCTGAAAAGGCAAGGATCTCTCTCCAAGATGGAATCTCACTACATCAAAACATCCCTACGATGAGCACGAAAGTAGTGAACATAGCCGTAGATTGCGGCCAGCGTTTGAATCAGTCTACTGTCTTAGTGAATGGATCTTAAGGCTAGGTGACAAACCATAATATGCATCACCGAGGACGAACGTCTCTAAATGGAAAAATCAATGCCAATTGACAAAGAACCTTCTTTGAATTTCAAATGGCAAGCGCGGAAGCCGATAAAGCAGAGCATTAATGAGAGCGGTCTCTGATTTTCCAATTGTTAATTATCAGCAAACAAATCCATTGCGCCTGTTGCATTGTGCCGAGAAGCTTCATCAATGTCAGTTTTTTCACCGTCATTTAACCCCTCCCCAGCTGATAGTATTAAATGCATGTTTGTCAGTAGAGCCGCGGTCAAAGCGCTGTCGAACGTGGGAAGAATTGATGAACACAAATGTCCATTTGGTTGTGAAAAAGAGGCCAGATACACAGTTTGGTTTGAGTGAGGGTGGTGACGAGGGCGAGGCCGCGAGTGCAGCAGATTCTGGCGGCACTGTTGGAGACGGTTATGTCGAGGAAGCGAATATTGATGGGACATTGGAAAGCGTATCACAAGAAGACGCTAATGAAGAAATGGAGGGTGATAGCAGCAGCAGCAAAATACAAACAAAATATAGTGGCGCCGTTGCACCGGATTCTGGTGAGACCAAAAAGCTGGGACATGAAAACGAGGAGCAGGACCTCTCAGAATTTGATCTTGAGAATTTACAAGAGCATATGTCCGGAACGGACTTTGCTGGAAATTTGGCGTTGAAAGTAAGGTACGTGCTTTGGGAGAACGCGGTTGATCAGCTTTTTGGTTGTTACGAGGAAACAGAGAGCGGGTTTCTCTTCCACGAAGAACCAAGTGAAGAAGAGCTAGAAACTGAGATCGAAACCCTCTCATCCAAGAATGAAGTCAGGGACGTTGGCCCCGATCGTGGGGAGGAAGATGATGATTACGATATGGATGAGGAAGACCCAGCGGTGGAGGAAGAGTCCCAGGTGCTTGTTCAACAGGACACACCTGATCTCGAGTACGACAGCGACGGTTTTCTGATACTCTCTTTGGAAATTTCTAAGGAGACTTTGACGACTTTAAGCAATCGCGATACGCAGGCCATCATGGAGAGCTTCAATAAAATATACCACAGTTTCGAAGGGGATAAGGAAACACTTCTCAAGAGGCTAAAACTTGAACAGAGTGATAAAATGCTGGAGTCTTCAAAGAAACGAAGATACTCCCAAGTGTCGGAAGATGATGAAGTTCATAAACAAAACGAACAGGATCAGGTAAGTGATAGTGGAGATAAAAAAACGAGGATCCCAGAATCTCCAGAAAAGACTATTTCTGTAAACCTTGGATCAGCGAACTTTTCTCTGAAACATCTCTTGTCTTCCATACAGGACAACAAAGCAAAGCTTGGTATCTCTGATTATGAATTGAGACACCTTATCATGGATGTGCGTAAGAATAGATCTAAATGGGCGTCCGATGATAGGATTGGACAGGAAGAACTATACGATGCTTGTGAAAAAGTCGTTTTGGAACTGAGAAATTACACAGAACATTCAACGGCCTTCCTGAATAGAGTTAGCAAAAGGGAAGCGCCAAACTACTATCAGATTATCAAAAAGCCTATGGATTTGAATACCATTTTGAAAAAACTCAAAACATTTCAATATAATTCCAAGCAAGATTTCGTCGAAGATTTGAGACTGATTTGGAAAAACTGCCTCACTTACAACTCGGATCCTAAACATTTTTTGCGAGCTCATGCCATTGCTATGCAAAAGAAATCCCTGACTTTAATACCACTCATACCCGACATTGTCATACGAGATAGGGCTGAAGTCGAGAAGGAATTTGAAGATATCGACAATGAGAATCTCAAAGATGGGTTAGTGGATGAAGAAACATCTGGAACGGGACGGAAGGGTGGCAACGTAAGAGGAATTGTTCATGAAAACGACGAAGTGGGCAAGATCAATGGCTCTAATTCTGTTGAAGACAAACCAAAGACCTCTCCAAAGACGCTTCCGGAGGAGGACAACCAAGTCGAAGAACCAGACGGACGTCCCGAACAAGAAACTGATAGGGAGCATCAAGAATTATCGAAGGCGCCCGGTATTGCTCAACATGATCCTGAGGTGATCGAGAAGTTTGATTCTGAGGTCCAATCCAACGATGGAGACGATCTACAGGATGGAACAAAGGAATTGCAAAAAGTCGCGGGAAATGAAGCTAAACATGTTGAAGGCGAAGAAGAGGAAAATGATGATGAGGAAGAGGAGGAGGAGGAAGAAGAAGAAGGGGAGGAGGGCCTTGAGTCAGGGTTGTTCTTGACAGAAAAAGACGATGACGCCGACGACCTTGAGCTGAGTACCTGGAAGAGCCTTACCGCTACAGCTAGAGCCGACATGTGCGCCAAAAGAGCTGGTCTATTTAAAGGTCCAGAAATAAATCACGAAGCTTTGGCAATTTTGAGAAACCCAAGCAAAATGAAGGGCTTCGACCAGATTCTCAAAGAATATCATGAACAACAGGAAGCTGAGGTGAGGCGAAGAGAATTAGAAAACGAGTCTATGATGAAAAATGGTTTTGGTGCCATTGTGAAAACTGAGTCAGAAGATTTGCCTCAGTCTCAACTACTTCCCTCTGCTAACAATAGTGCAAGCGAAATTGACAAATCAGCTACGGAGATAGAACTGGACGATGCATCGGTTCTGATGGAATACAACGTTGCAAATGCAGTTCCGGAGGTAACCTATAAAGGCTTGGATAACGAAACGCTCGATAAAGAGGAGTCGCTACTTGTTCAGAAAGTATTATTAGAAGGAGACAAGATGCCTAATGTTTTCGCGCTGAATACCGACAAGGGCCTTTCAAATAAGACTAACAGAAATATTCAACTAATTCAGGAGGTGAGACACATCTGCCATAAGATTTCGTTAATTCGAATGCTCCAAAATCCTGGCCAGCAGGCTAAAAGCAATACAGGACAAACGAACAGTCAAATCTGGGATACGCATCGCTATAGATACACCAGCATAAATGAGAACATGGACATTGATCCAGTTTCCAAACTTGAGACCCATGACTACAAAAATGACAAGCAAGTGGTTTGGCGAATAATGCATAAGAATGTATCCAAAATTGCAATGTCGAGTGGATTCGAAAGCACGCAGCCGAGCGCTATTAACATGCTTACCGAGATTGCTGGGGAATACATTTCGAATTTAATAAAAACTGTAAAAAATCACCATGAGGGCAACTCCCTTAATCATAAGACTTCTGGAGACATACTGAAAATGTCATTGCTCGAAAATGGCATAAATAAACCAGATGACCTTTATTCTTACGTCGAGTCTGAATTTGTTAAGAAGACTAAGAAATTGCAGGACATCAAGTTTAAGCTCAACAACTTCCTAAAGGATCTACTCAGGCCAACACTTCAAGACTTGTCGGAGAAGAACTTTGATGATGAGAGTCAAAGTTTTTTAACAGGTGACTTCTCAAGCGAATTGTCAGGCGAGGATTTCTTTGGCTTTAAGGATTTAGGTTTGGATAGGGAATTTGGAGTCTTGAGCAACTCAGTGCCTCTTCAGTTACTTACATTTCAGTTTAGAGGTAAAGGCGCTGAGGCTACTGTGGAAGAAAATAGAATTCAGCCAGAAGAGTTCAACGAGGTTGTATACCAGGGGCTCTCGGAGCACGATATCGAGAACAGTGTTTGGAACACACTACAACCTTTACTCAAAAAGGCGCTTGAGCGATCCAAAGCCTATACTAGTAAGCTTCAGAAAAGTAAATTGCAAGACGGAGAAGGATCTGCGGAGCCTGTCGGAGATGGTCAACCGCGCATATTAGAGGACGAGGACGTGCCCTCAAAATCAAAAGCCTCCGGAAAAGCGCGTCTACCGCCAACAGGCAAAATTAGCACAAATTATAAGAAAAAACCATTGGCTGATGTCTTTGTCATCCCAGATGTTGAGATGGATGAGAACACCGGCGAAGATGACGGTTTGGATGCGACTCCCAGAAAATCAGCTAGTATTAAACTAGAAGCTAAAGTTAATGGCAATGGTGCAGGATTGGAGAGCTCATTAGAAGCTCATCAATCATTGAATATGGAGGCAGCCGTTTCTTCACAGTGAATATTCTTTTGCATGTACTATGATTAGCTTTTCTCAGGCAAGGGCATCATCACGATAATGATTTCTTATGACTTCGTTACATATGGCTGACTCACGATACGTTGTTCGAGCAAATACCTAATGGCCTTTGTTTATAGATCAATCGCTCTAATTTTTAACTTGCGGCATCGTCCTGTTTGGAACCTTCCTCACTATGCTCTGTATCAATATCTTGATAAACAACAGATTCCTTAGTCGTAGACTCTTCATTTGCGAGGCGCTCGTCTAATGGTTGCTGGGCCTCGTTACCTTTCATTTCGAGCTGTTCAAGTAGATTATCTTTGTCTCGAAGCTCTTCGAAGGGTAGAAACAAAGCCGACAAGTCGCCATCAATGTATGAATCAATGGTTTGGTCATCTAAATCATTCATCAAAGACGTAACTTTCTCCCTGAGTTCTAGTCTGGCCTTTTCACGCTCCTTGGTAACCAAATCATTCACAGATTTGAGTTTGAGCTTATCCCCAGTGAGCAATGCTTTTGATTGCGACTGCGCCGACGTGTCATCGCCTTTGTTAAACAGTTTAAAGCTTTTGGATTCACCCGCACTAGCCTGGTCTTCCAGCGACACACTTGCGGCCAGCTGATGGTCAATCTCAAACCTTAGGTCAACGATATGATCACCGTTCAAATTCCGAACTTCACCAACCCATATGAATTCGTCACCAAATTTGCATAGCGTTCCGTCAGGCCCCTGAAGAAGTTCGCGTGAAAGAATAGTTTCGAATGCATTCCAGGCTTTACTCAAAAAATTAGATCTGGCGGCTTCACTCATTTGAAGCGAAAAGGATTCTTGAGCACTGCCCGTGAAAACCAAAATCTGTGGACGCAGGGGCCTTACAAAGACGTCGTCGGGTACCGTCTCCGTCAGGAGGAAAAACCCATGTCCTACAAAAATCGGACGATAAAGCTCCGTAAGAGTTATGGGATCGTTAATTTCTTGTGGGAATATTTTGAAGCAACTCAAAGTGCTTGTAAATCCACCGTCGTCACTTCCGGAAAGAAAAGGAATTTTGCAAAGGTCCGGAACAGATATGCGAATATTGTAGTGGCACAGACGAGATTCTGTCACGGATACGATCTGGACCGTTTTCGTTAAAGGATCGCACATGTACTGAAGCTCTACGCTTCTCGGTTTCCCGGTTTCGCGACACAGGTCACCACCGCTCATAGTACTGGTAATATAAAAACCATACTCTCCAGATTCCATCTCAGCCTGGGGTTCTGCCTGAGGTTCGATTTCGTTTTCGTCTCTATTGGATTCTCGTGCAAGCGTAAAATTCAAAACTGGATCAACATGGCCGTTTTCGAAGTGGACCTGCGTCACCTGTTGACCATGACAGTACATATAAGTCCAAAAACTGTCACCGTACACCAAACACACATCTTTGAACTGATTTGAAATAATTTCGAGCCCCATTGTTAGATCTGCCTGTATCCGCGATTCCAGCACCGATTCGTCCAATTCTGTCGTTGAAAATTCACGAACGGGTAATATGCAGCGTACATTGGGCCCATTTGCGTAAACCACAGACCCATTGCTCGTTTTCGTAGCATTCAAACTCAGTTCTGCAAACTGTTCCGAATTCACATATCTCATCGAATACCTGGGGTAAAAACCTGGATTAAAATCCGGTGAATTGAGGGCCACAGCTTCTTGTGCCAATAACACAATACCCAGTATAAACAATAGCATTGCTATCCTGTCTCTAGCCTTCTCCTTGAGTCTCAATGGCACTTGGACATGCTCTTAGATCTGGTATATATTGAAGAACTCAAATTTCGACCTTGAATTTTTCACTAGTGATCATCAAACTTGTACAACACAAACAAATTGACCAAAATTGGGAGGAAAAGCCCCTTAGAGACCGATTTAGAGCCAATTCGGTTGAAAATCGTTCTATTCATCAAACATTTGCGATCATTACCCTTTTAACTCGAGTCCAACTGTGGCAAAATGAGACTTCTAGTCCTACTTATGATGATTCCGTGTATCGCGGTCGCGAACGAGGTTCGCGTCCCGCTCTTTGCACAGATACTCGGTGATGCTGACAAGACACCGTTGGCGTCGCTTGTTTACGATAAGGAATCGACCAGTTTCAGTATAGTCGACGTAAACGACGCATTACCGGCAGATTCTTACTGTATCGGCGCAGAAATGGACAGTAATTACTATTCGTGCTTTTCCTATATCCAGGTATGTTTAATCGTTCTGATGTGTTTCTTTGAGTTTTCCATGACGTTTACTAACCGTTTTTGCAGCTGCGCTACCCGCTTCACTATGACCTCTTTATCGATACTCGACAGGATTCGCATCTGTTGTACAAATTGTCACTCAAACCCAACCCGAATGCTCAGGGTATCAATCCAGTGCTTCGAACCCCGTCAGCTGGCCCACAACCATTACTCACACAATTAAAAAAACGACAAAGACTTATGAAGACAAAAAACCCAAATTGGGCCATGCCTCGGCCTCTTTCGAAGAAGACGCCGAGCCTGACGAGCGCTCGTTTCTCCAGAAAAACTGGAAATATATGTTGCTTGGTCTCATAATATACAATTTTCTTGGCAAGAGTGCGGCCTCTGCTCAACAGTGATGTACGCAAAAGCTATCCTCTTCGGACGGGGAAACCAGCTACCCAACACTCTCGACTATTCAAAATGGCACTAAAGCGTACAGAAGTCCTAAACGGCGCTTCAATGGCTACGTAATGAGGCTTTTAGCTCGTCCCAAATTTAACATCTGTCATGTATCACGTGAATTTGGTTTTTATTAAGATATAAGTATGGAGGAGGTTTGCCAACCAACGACACCATTACAAGATCGGGAAAAGACAGGAAAACCATCAGAATGGAGAAATTTGGACTGTCTGGCAAGCTGCCATCGTTCGGACGCGTTACACATAATACGCCACCAAATATGTCGAACGTGGACTTCACACCGCGTCATTTAAGGGTAGCGAATTGTCCTAACAATTCGTTTGCATTGGCGAACGTTGCAGCGGTTTCGAGTGCTGATTTCCCGGAAAACATATACATATTGATTGACAACTTGTTCGTGTTCACGACACGTCATTCACACGAGGTTCCAGCTGGAACGATTGGGTTTAACGGTAACCAGCGTACCTGGGGTGGATGGTCGTTGAATCAAGACATTCAGGCAAAAGCGTTTGATTTATTCCAGTATAGTGGCAAACATCCTTACTTAGGTACTCTGGAGCTAGAAATCTCGTTCAGATCGCGTGCGAAGGCGACCGAGGCACCATTTGACCAAGATGAACTGGCCAAACAGTTTTTGAAGAATTTTGAGTCGCAGATCTTTTCTCCGACGCAATATCTGATTTTTGAATACAAGGGTCATATCTTTGACCTTAAAGTGAGAGGATTACAAACCATTGATTTGGGTGATGTGGAAGTCGTGGGGCCCATTGCGACGGGAATTGAGGTGAAAGGGATTTTAATAAAACAAACGCAGATCAATTTCTTCAAAGGTCGTGACGGTCTCGTTAACTTGAAATCTACCAATTCGTTGCGGCCAAGATCCGATGCGGTTATCAGACCCGACTTCAAATTTGAGGACCTGGGTGTCGGTGGTCTCGATAAAGAATTCACCAAGATCTTCAGAAGAGCTTTTGCAAGTCGGATTTTCCCACCTGCCGTGATTGAAAAGCTCGGTATTTCGCACGTCAAAGGTTTACTGCTGTACGGTCCCCCCGGTACGGGTAAAACCCTGATTGCAAGGAAAATAGGTACTATGCTTAATGCCAGAGAACCCAAGATTGTGAATGGTCCCGAGATTCTCAGCAAATTTGTCGGTTCATCAGAGGAAAACATTAGAAACTTGTTCAAAGATGCAGAGGCAGAATACCGCTCCAAGGGCGAGGAATCCTCATTGCATATCATTATATTCGATGAACTGGACTCGGTGTTCAAGCAGAGAGGTTCTCGAGGTGACGGTACTGGTGTAGGCGACAACGTTGTCAATCAACTTTTAGCCAAGATGGACGGTGTAGATCAACTGAACAACATTTTGGTGATTGGTATGACAAATCGGAAGGATTTGATCGATAGCGCGCTCTTGAGACCAGGTAGATTCGAAGTTCAAGTCGAAATCCAATTGCCCGACGAGCATGGCCGCTTCCAAATTTTCGAAATTCAAACCAAAAAAATGCGCGACAACAAGATGCTTACTCCAGATGTGGATTTGAAACAGCTTGCCGCTCTTACCAAAAATTTTTCAGGTGCTGAGATCGAAGGGTTGGTGAAAAGTGCCAGTTCGTTTGCCATTAACAAGACCGTTAGTATCGGGCAAGGGAGCACCAAACTAAATCAAAAAGACATTGCAAACATGAAGGTTACTATGCAGGATTTTTTGAATGCGTTGGACGAAGTTGTTCCTGCATTTGGGATAAGTGAAGAAGATCTCAAAACGTGCGTGGAAGGTGGAGTGATCCATTACTCTGCCACGGTGGATAACGTTTTGAAGAACGGCGCACGGTACGTGCGTCAAGTAAGAGATAGCGACAAATCTCGGCTAGTTTCGCTCCTGGTGCACGGACCAGCGGGGTCCGGTAAAACTGCGTTATCTGCGGCGATCGCTCTCAAATCCGAATTTCCCTTTATACGGATGATTTCCCCAGAAGAAATGGTCGGAATGTCCGAGAGCGCCAAAATTGCATACATCGACAACACTTTTAGGGACGCGTATAAATCGCCGCTAAACATTTTAGTGGTCGATGCAATTGAGACCTTGGTGGATTACGTCCCCATTGGGCCAAGGTTCTCCAACAACATTCTACAAGTCTTGAAAGTCTACTTGAAAAGGAAACCGCCTCAGGACCGTCGTTTGCTCATTATTTCCACCACATCTACCCACTCAGTTCTACAGCAGATGGACCTGCTCAGCTGTTTTGACAACGAGATTGCTATCCCCAATATCACCACGTTAGACGAGTTCAACAATATCATGATCGAATCGGAATTTTTAGACGATGCTGCAAGAGTACGCGTCTTGAACGAACTTGCCAAAATGGGATCTCATCTAAACATCGGCATCAAGAAAGCTTTGACCAACATCGAAACTGCAAGACATGACGAAGACCCCGCTGGTGAAATTATCGATTTGATGGCTCAAGCCGTCTAGGAATTGATAAGTTATAAACAATTATAGTTTCATAGAAAGAAGTGAGATTGCATGACTTTTGTAAGCTGACTGAATCAAGTAGTTAACAACTTCAACATATTCCGAGCAGCTCTCGTCGTAGCTTGGGGGCCGCTGATGGATGATCAGTCTGTCTGGTGATGTCATTGTTCACGAACTAGAGCTTTCAGGTTCATCATAGTGAAAAATTTTATAGTAAGAAGCTCTTTCGTTAGCGATAGCTTGAAACAAACAAAAACCAGCAAGTTCTCTATGGCGCCATTTGTTTTACGTCCAGAGAATGCTCTGAAGAGAGCAGAGGAGCTTATATCTGTTGGTGAGCCTTTGGCCGCGCTTTTGTCGCTCTATGGGTACTTGTCTTCGAGAAGGACAAGATCAGCGCAGCCAGGTGCTTTGGAACCAATCGTGTTCAAGTTCCTAGAATTAGGTGTTGAGCTAAAGAAGGGTAAAATCATAAAGGATGGGTTGCATCAGTATAAGAAGAACATGCAGATCACTCCAGAGGGTCTTATATCCGTCGGTGTTGTGTCTCGTAAATTTATTGATCTCATCGAGGTGAAAATGGCCCAAGAACAAGCCAAGGAAGACGCACAAGAACAAGAAGCTGACGATGACTTGGAAGGCGGTGTGACCCCTGAGAATTTGCTTCTTTCCGCTTTTGAAGGCGACCAAAATGTTGCTGGATTTAACGATGAGGCTATCACGTCGTGGTTGCGATTCTCTTGGGAGTCTTATCGTGCCGTACTCGACTTGCTCAGAAACAATTCCCAATTGGAAATCACCTACTCCGGTGTTGTCAACAGAACAATGCAGTTCTGTTTGAATTACAAGCGTAAAAACGAATTCAAGAGACTTGCCGAAATGTTGCGTCAACATTTAGACTCTGCGAACTATCAGCAACACAAGCACAACTACTACACGGTTGATTTGAGTGATGCCGACACTTTACAAAGATACCTTGACCAACGTTTCCAGCAAGTCAACGTCTCTGTCAAGCTCGAGTTGTGGCACGAGGCTTTCAGATCCATTGAAGATGTGCACCACTTGATGAAGGTCTCCAAACGTGCCCCAAGACCTTCTGTGCTTGCCAACTACTATGAGAACCTTGCCAAAGTATTCTTTGTTTCTGGAAATTATCTATTGAATGCAGCAGCTTGGGAAAAGTTTTACAAGCTTTACTTGAGCAACCCTAACGCTACTGAAGAGCAATTTAAGGCCCAGGCTTCCAACTTCATGCTAGCTGCTCTAGCAGTCCAAGCCGATGATCTTCCTGTGGTAGGTTACGACCCAATGATTCGTCTATGCCATTTGTTGAGTTTAGAATCGAAACCAACTAGACAACAACTTATCGACGCCGCTTTGGAGGAATCTGTCTATTCTGGAGTCGACGATGCTGTGAAAAGTCTCCACAAACTTTTGGGTGAAGAGTTTGATCTAAGCACCGTCAGCCAAAAGCTTTCTGAATTGTTGCCAGCTCTAGAAAGCAAGCCCTATTTTGCACAGTATGTGGCGCCTTTGAAGAACTACCTCATCAAAAAGATTTTCGTAACTATCTCTGACAAATACGAGGTGCTTTCTTCCGAGGAATTGTTTTCCAAGGTGGTTCTTCCTGGACAGTTCGAGGCCTCTCCACTTGACATCGAGAAGTTGTTGATGCAAGCCGCTATGGAGGACTACGTGACGTTCACTATCGATGACGAGAAAGACACTATTACCTTTATGAAAGATCCTTTCGAAGCTCTATCGTCCAGCACCACAGTTGTCGGCGAACAAAACGAGCAAGAAAAGGAGACCGATGAGATTGCACATACTCCCGAAGGAGAAGAAACCGAAGTTGAGAGCGAACCAGAACCTGTTGTGACTCGTAACGCCGCTATTCGTTCCCACCTCAGTGACCTGGGCAAACTGCTCAAGGAGAACGAAGCATTTGAGCAAGGTTCTTACATGCAGAAAATCAAGATTACTCGTGAGAACTTGATTCAACAAACCAATGAGACTATTGCCCGTGAAAAGGAGGCTGCCGAAGAAAGAGCCAGACAACAAGACGAGAGAAAGCAGAGAGCCGAAGCTGGTAAATACGTCTCTGTCGAGCAAGCTGCTGAGGAAAGGCAAAGACGCATGCTTGAGGAGAAGGCCGCTGCTGATGCTAGAATGGAACTCGAAGCCAAGCGTCGTGCCGAAGAGAAGTTTGAGCGTGAAAGAGCCTTGGTGAGAGAGCAAGAGATGGTCAAGATGATTGCCGAAGTGAACTCCAAGGGTATTCTTTACATTGACCCTAAGGAGGCCAAAAATCTAACACCGGAGATGGTCCGTAAAATGACCATTGAACAATTGTCGAAAGACAAGAAGGAGTTGGAAGACCGTATGAAATACGCTTTTAAGAGACTCGATCATACCGAGAGAGCTTTCAGAAAAACCGAGCTACCTTTGCTCGAAAAAGATGCAGAAGCCCAAGAAGCCAGAGATCTTGAAAATTACAACAAGATGAAGACGAAACTGATCGAGGTCGCTAAGAAGGACCACGAAGAGCACGTGAAGCTGCACGAACGTTTGTCTAAGATCTCCGACGACTATGAAGTTTACAAAGCTCAAGTTCTGGCCAAACAACAGGCTTACTTGTCTCAACTTCGTTCCGACAATTTGGCGAAGTTTGAAGCTGCTAAGAAGGCTAGAATCGATGAGATTCGTCAACAACGCTTTAAAGTTCTCTCAGAAAAGAGAGACGAGGAGCTCAAGGCACAAGCCGAAGAGAAACGTCTTGTCGAACAGCGTGAGAGACTTGCCAAAGAGCGTGAAGAACGTGCTAGAGTCAACCAAGAGAAGGACGAACAGGCACGTCGTCAAAGAGAGATGGAAGAGGCCATCGAGAGAAAGATGTCGTCCGGAAAATCCGCTGCCACGCCAGCACCTGCACCGGCGGCAACGCCTGCTGCGGCACCAGCCTCTGCTTCCGCCGCTATTCCATCTACGGCTAACTTGACTTTTGCTGAAAAGATGAGATTAAGAAGAGGAGGAAATAGCAGAGCTCCACCATCGGAGCCTGTCAGAAACTCTGTTCCTCGGCCAGCCGCGCCAGCACCAGCTCCAGTGGCATCTCCTCCAGCACCTCAACCGCCAATCCAGGCTGCTGCCCCCGCGGCCGTCCCCAAGCCTTCTCCTGCTCCAGCTGCCACACCGGCTGCTGTGCCAGCTGCCGCACCAGCCTCAGGTCAAAAGTTGAGTTTTGCCGAAAAGATGAGACTAAAGAGAGAAGGTAAGATCTAGGTAATAACCTAATGGCAAGCACTAATTTAACCCTATTAATTTAGTTAATGCCTACAATAAATAGAATGGGCGACAAAGCTGTACTTTCTGAAGTCATGTGAACTAGTTAAGAATGTAGTCTACACTGTGTATGCCTCAACGTTGTCGCGAGTGGGCCGTCGCTTGTATGTATATAAGGGCTCAACAGTTCGAGTTTTTAAATGTTTACCAAAAGCTTTTGGGTTGTGTGAGTAGTGAATTACGGGCAATGGCTAGTGAGTAAAAATAGAGTATCCGTAGAAAAGGATATTCCTTCAATCGCGGAACAGAACACGAACGAGATCGTTTCATGACAATCGCGAAAAGAAAAACCTTTCATGAGAAGCCAAATTTAGTCGATTCGATCCAAGACGATTCCTGAGTTGGTACCAAGCTTTTTACAGCATTGGTAATAGTGGGCTCATCGGTAAACAACGCGTTCCTTTCCAAAGAAAACCTTGCATAATGAGTACATTCTTTGACGAAATGAAAGCATCTTTTCAAGATGTTCCGATCGATAACGATAACAAGATCGCTACATCCGAGTTCCTAGACGCGTCAGAATCGCTCGTCAAGCTGTTTGACTTGCTGGGTAACTCTGCATTCACATTAGTGCAGAGCGATCTCTCGGGGAATATAAACAAGCTACGCAAGAGACTGTTGGCCGCTCCAACGGAATCAGCCACATTGCAAGACCTGGTCATAAACGAACGTGCCTCAGGCCATAAATCCGCCTCTGAGGGACTGTTGTGGTTGACCAGAGGCTTGCAGTTCACAGCGCAGGCGCTGAGAGAGACCGTGGACAACCCAGACTTGGAATTGACCAAGACTTTCACGGACGCTTATGGCAAGACTTTGGTTAAATACCACAACTTTGTTATTAAATCTGCGTTCAAGCTTGCTATGAAGGCTTGCCCATACAGAAAGGATTTTTTTGCCAAACTAGGTGCTGATCAAGAAAAGGTTAACGCTCAATTGAAAGCTTGGTTGGAATCGCTAGAGAATGTTGTCGCCGTTTTGCTCGAATTTTTGCCTCTTGGATGCAAAGGTCTTTGAGTTTAGCAAAAGAGTCACTAGAGTCAGCCTTGCTCTCTGCAGTGTTCTAATTGTCGAATACCACCACATGAACCTGGACTGATGATCCAAGAAAAGTTTCGAATGGGAATGTTTTGGAGGACTTTCGTCAATGCAATTAGGTTCTGTAAAAGAACACTTGATCTCCGTGTAAACCTTGATGCACCACAACGACAACAACGACAAGTCGGGGCTATTTAACAAAGAATTACGGAAAATGTAGAACCAAAAATAAATTTACAACGGACTGCCTCCTCAACAAGAAAACACCCAACGGGGAAGAGAGAAATTATAAAAAGCATATTGAAGGGGACCGCCGAAATGACTTTCGGGGACCTTTCATTGAATTGAACTTATCAAAAGTCGAAAATCGAACAGGTCGAGACAGATCGAGGTTTAGTACAATTGATGATGATAATGACGATGACGATGATGATGGTTATTATGGTGAACGTTAATTTTTTTTTATTATATTCTTGTCAAAAAATTGTATCTCTTATTCATCATTTGAGCCTAGTTTTGTTATGTTATAGTGAAAACTCTCGTCCATCCCGAACCGAAAAAAAATAATAATCTCTTGCAAAGAGACCATAAGGGTTGAGCGCGCTTTAGTTATTATCGTAGGCGATTAAGAGTCTCATTCTTTTTTCCATTCTTCCTGCCTTTTAGCTTACAACAAAGCAACGGCGACAGCGGCAACGGCACCCATGAAAGAGGAACCAGAAGCGAATTGAGCAGCAGCACCCTTGGACTTGGAAGAGCCAGAAGAAGTGCTAGAAGCAGCTTTACCACCGGAGGAAGAACCAGAAGAAGAAGAAGCGCTACCAGTGGAAGAAGATTGGCTGCCAGAAGTAGAGCTCAATTGGATAGAAGTAGAAGTGGCACCGTTCTTGCAAACAAAGGAGTCACCTTGGATAGCACCTTGTTGTTGCAATTTCTTGAGGTTGTCACAAGTGAAGTTGGAAGAAGAAGTCTCAATGTCGGCACCACCTTTAACCGACTTCAAACCGGACAATTCCAAATCCGAAAAGTTACCAACAACGTTAACGGCACCACCAACGGATTGCAATTTTCTGAAACCGTCGATTTGCATCAACTTGGTGTTGTTGGCAATGACGAAACCGCCACCCACGGTGGTTAGGTTGGAGAAGCTGGCCTCGGTCAAGTCGTCGTTGGAGATAATGGACAAAGAACCACCCACGTTGGAAAGTTGGCTCAAGTTCAAGCTCTGGATAGCGTTGCTGAAGAATCCGAGAGACGCATTAACCTTCTGCAAAGATTCAAAAGACGCAGAGCTAACGTCTCTCAAGGTGATGTTGTTAGCCCAGACCAAGCTGTCGAAAGAGACGTCGGCACTTTCACCGTTGAAAGAAACGTCTAGAGAGTCAGCCACGGATTGCAATTTGGAGTCAATGGTTTGCAAGTTCTTGTTGTTGTTGACGTTGAGGTCGTTGACGTTCTCCAAGTTGTTGAAACCGTCGATGGACTCCAAACTGGTGTCACCGATGGTGAGGGATTGAACGGACTTCAAGTTGGTGGAGATGGTGCTGATCGCGGGCAAAGTTTGGAACACAATGGTCTCAACTTCTTGCAAAGAACCGAACGACGCGGTCTCGAGCAAAGTCAAAAGCGACAACTGCAAAGAACCAGAAATGGTTTGCAAGCTGTCGGCGGAGAAGCCTTGCAGCATGGTCGCGTTGTTGATGATCAAGTCACCCTGGATGGTCTTGACGTTGGCGAGGGACGCGCTGCCGCTGAGGCCCGTGCCGCTGATGCTCAAGTCACCGACAAGGGTCTGACATCCCGAGTACTTGTCGAGGTCGGCCTGAGCGGTGACGGTGGCGCTGGACGAGATCGAACAGGACGAAGGCACGCTCGAGGTGGCGTTGGAACTGGAACTGGCTGTGAATGCGGTTAGTAAACAAACAAACAAACAAACAGACGCGGACGAGACGGGGCGGGGCGAAAGGTGGTTCTAGAACTCAAATCACCCGGTACGGACTTCCGATATCGTATCGCATCGAGATCGGCCGCCGTACCAAGTGCGCGTTTCGGCGCTTGTTGTAGCCAAAAATTTTCGCTCCTGCTGGTTGCCTCTTTCGGGACACAGCGGAGCTGGGTTTGGCAATTTTTTCCCGTACTGGGCATAACCCTTGATCCCACTAAAAATAAACCGTGGTGGCGGTGGTGGTAGCCGATCTGGGCAAAAAAAAGCTTTGCACCGCTTTGCACCGCTTCGCGGTGCAAAGCTGAGAAGAGCATCGTCTCGACGAGCGCCGAGCTGGCATTCGGTTCACGAACCGAAAGCCAGGTGCACCATCAGGGACCAAATCGCTCACACCGCCCCCGAATCGTCTTGTGTCTCGGAAAAAATAAACATCTTAAATCATACAAGCTGCGTGCGCGGAAGCGGCCAAGAGGGTAGCAGAGGTTAGACTGGTTTTGAATTGCATAGCGAAGGAATAGAGGTTCTGCTCAAGTGTATGGCTCGGAGTGACAACTCTTGGAAGTACACCTGGTCGAGGAATGACGCGTTTTAAGTGGTCTCGGGCCGCTTCTCCTTTAAATAGTCCAGGGACAAAAAAAAAATTTTTTTTGTGGCGATACAGAGCGCGAACCCGGCGAAAAAACAACACAATCACCGGAGCAGGAAAAGAAACGGCCCGGGCGCGGCGTACACGGCGGGGGTGGTTGCGACGCGAGGAGAGACCGTGTCCAGGCCGGGGCCACCCGGAAGGCGGCCGGAGGCTGATCCGGTGGGATCCGCGGTACCCGGTGGGGGGACCCGGAGGGGGCAGGCGATACCGGCCGAGAAACCGTTGCTCGAGGATCGCCGCGCACGGGTAGCCGCCGAGTAGGGTGTGTGGGCCAGACGACGCTGGTGTCGCGCCGTACGGCGCAACACCAGCTCCTTTTCGAAGCATAGTACATTCGGTTAAACTATTTTAGTAACCTAAATAGGTAGAATATAAAGAACACGAGAACGCGCTCACAACAACAACGCAACGGCGCCCGCAGCAGCGGCACCGACGGCGGAAAGACCTACCGACAAAGCACCAGCGTCACCCTTGGACGAAGAAGAGCTGTTAGAAGAGTTAGCGGCCGAAGCGGCAGCAGATAGAGCAGCGATTGCGACAACAACGGTGTTGAATTTCATTTTTGATCTTTGTTTTTTTTTGGTAGATGCTCTCTTGGAAATGAAAGTTTAGGTACTTTCCCCGTCAAACCCCGCCCCTTATATATTCTTTTTGTGGGCTTATTTTGGTTTGAAAGTTTCGCCCCTTTCTTTCCTTTCTCTTTCATATTGCGGCCACAGCAAACGCCAGAGGGGCTTTGGCCCCTCTGGCGTCCTCTGGCCAGCCTTTCCCGAGCGGGACCGTCGCTGGCTGTCGCTAATCTTGGCTGTATTTACCCCTACGGGGATTCTTCCACGGGAATTCTGCCCCATACGTTTACATTGCTGCTAGTTTACCACATGCGGTAATCGGGAGCGGGGACAGCCGTGGGAACGTATATGCACAGAAACGCAGCGAAGCCCAGGCGGGCGACAAGAAACACGTCAAAGGCATGCTTACTTACGCAATGTAGACGCGACGATTGCGATTGCGCCGGTGACGAGGTCAAAGGTCAAAGCTGGGCGACTCCGTCAGCGGGCGTCACGAAGTCCGCTTCGCCGGGCAATACAGGGTGTCTGGGTTCGCTCTGTGTAGCCCAGCCCGGCCCAGCCCTGCACCCCGCTCGGGGCTGTCGGGACTGTGGCGAAGCGGGCACGACTGCGCATGGGCCGACTGGGGCGTCACGAGCAACGCGGGAAAATCGTTGACGGCGATTGTACATATATATTGTGTATGGGTGGTTCCTTTTAGTCCGACAAAAGTGCTTAAAATACACACACGCGTTGCCAGTGGTAACAATGGTTCCGCTTACGTAAACTCGCTTCGCAATATACACATGTACGCGGCCCGCTCAGCAGGTGCCTCAGCAGGTGCCTCGGTAGTTCTTCTTGTGTTCACCGCCCGTTTCCTCGTCCTCGTCGTGAGTCGCAAGCGTCAGCAGCATGTTACGCACCATATCTTCGCGCGCGCGGCCCTTTTCTTGCAACTGCGCGGGCAACGCCTCGTAGCACCGCGTCAACCTGTGCATCACCTGCTGCAAATGGTTGAGCAGCAGGTTCGCGAGGTCCACGCTCATTTCCGACCGGAACACGATCCGTAGTACTTCCCACTTGTCGGAACCGTCCGACGACGCCGGCAGCGGGTAGTTGGGGATAATCCAGCCGTTGGCCCGCAGCAGCGACGAGAGTAACGCCTGAGGGATCTCCGGGTACCTCTCCTGGAACTTTTTGGACAGTTTGAACGCCACTAATGGCACACCGGGTTTGAACGCCTCGGGTTCGCGTACGATCGTGTCCAGCGTGATCCGGCCCCCGTCGAATCGTTCGTGGATCGAGCTCACCACTTCGAACATGTCCTTGAGCTGCACGTTCTGCAACAGCTCCAGGCAGAAAAGACGAGCCACGACAAGCGCCCCGTTGAATTCGTCCCGATAGCCCTTTTTCCCAAGCGTCAAGAAATTGTAATACTGGTGGATCACTTGGAAACCGGGGCGTGAGAAATTCAGGTTGAACGTTTCCTCGATGCTACCCAGATACTTCAACTTGAACCTTAGTTCCGGCAATAGGTAATTGTCGTCTTTCCACAGGACCCAGCCCAGGCCTGGCGTTGTAAGACCAAACTTGTGACCCGAAGTGTTGATACTCACGACGCGTGGATGGTCAAACCCCCACCGTGCAAGCTTGAAACGCCGCATTTGTTCTTCCGTGAACGCAAATGGCACTACGAACCCGCCCGAAGCGCCGTCCACATGGATTGGAATGTTTTTGTTGCTCCAGTCCGGATGCTGGTTTTCGATTTGATCCAAAACGTCGGACACTTCTTCGACGTTTTCCAAATGGCCCGTGTATGTGGTACCTAGGATCACGAAGACCCCAATGGTGTTCTCGTCGGCAAAATTCCAGAGCTCGAGCGGATCTAACCGATGGTGTGATTTACTTGACACAGGCACCAGTCTGCACTCGACGTCGAAATAGCGAGCAAATTTCTCCAATGCCACTTGAGCGGCAGAAGACATGATGATATTGGGCTTCGCGGTCGACTTACCGGCCTCCCGCATTTTTTTCTCCCATTGCCGCTTCATGGCGAGTCCTCCAAGCATAATGGCTTCACTAGACCCCGTAGTGGGACATCCAAGTGCCGTATGTTCGGGACCGCATTTCCAGAGTCGTGCCAGCATGGAAATGCACCGTTGCGATAGCTCGATCATCTGAGGATACTCGTCATTGTCGGCCAGATTCTTGTTGATATTTGCAGCAATCAACCGCTGTGCGGTTTCCGTGGTCGTGGTATTCACAAAACTCGCCAGATTCAAGTGCGGATTGCCGTCCAGGGTCAATTCGTTCTGCAGCAAATTGAATGCAACGCTTTCAGGTAGGCCTTCTTTCGGAATTGAGAAAGAACCGCTGCCATCCTCCTGTGAGCCTGCCATAGATGCGCCTCCTGTAACCTTCAATTTTTGCATTTCATCGGATAATAAATTGTAACCTGCTGGCAACTCAATGTGCTTTACATGTCTTTTGCTGTGTCCTTCCTTGTGAAGCATTGTTCGTGGGTAGTTTTTTTTTTTAGTCTTGGCTCTGAATTGTCGAATTTTCGAACTCCGCTTCACAGCAAGTCTTGGCACTCTTATTTATATATCCTTACTCATACTATCCTCTTGTCATATTGTCATGCCGCAACCACCATTTGAGTCAGATCGGCGCAAATGAATACTTATTAGCAAAGGGAAGCCCGACTACGTACTCATTCAGCCCACCACACCGGCACAGAAGCTTCCGATTCCACCCCTAGGCAACAGCCCTTTTCACGTTTCCCAAATTACGCAAGCCGTTGCCAGGTTCGGATTTAGGAACGCCTGTACTTGTCTACGAGGAGATAGGGCGATCGAAGCTAAACGAGCTATACGAGATGTACAGACTAATAAGAATGAGAACGGGATTGGAAATTAGGGGAATGTAGTTTTCTCGTAGACCTCGATATACATGTGCTATACAAGCGGACGAGCTGAGAATCTGAGATAAAGCAATTGGTATTCGTCTAAATCATAGATGATCTTGTCTTTCTTGACATAGTTAGGAATGTTGTCGCATAGTTTGACGAGTTTGTAAAAATTCTCGTTCGCGGTGTCGCGAGCGAAAAACGTTAAGCAAAATTCACTGGGTTGGAAAGTGTCCAGGACGTGTCTGATCACGTTTACCTGGTCTTGTCTTCCTTGGCTGATGAGGTTTGCAGGAACGTTGCTCTCGAAAGAGGCATACGACCAGCCATCTTCTGGGGTCACATGTAAAGTGTAGTAGTATTGTCCGTCGACAATTACGTTAGACGAGTAACCACAAGGCGAGAACGCAAAGGAGTCCTCGCGAAGCGAAAGATTCCGTGACTGCTGCTGCTGCTGGTCACTATCACCACCACCACAGTCGTAAACGCGATCCAACTTGGTGGTCCGGGTGATCTCGGCTCCGAGCACGTGACCCGGGTCTTTCTCTGGCTCCTCGGATTGTGGTGGACGATCTTCGCGATTGCCTATGACAAACTGTTGTGCTTTGTTGGGTTTTAGGCCCGTCATGAGGATCTCCAACGTCTCGTCTTCATCCGTTTCGTCCGAAAGTTCTCGGGTTTTCAAGTCCTGGTTGCTGTCTGTAACGTACAAATTCCAGTGGTTTGCCTGGTCGAGACGGCCGACCAGATAGTTCTTACCGTGCCAGAAAAAGCGGTCCAAAAAATTGACTTCGTCGTTCCAATTTCTATGGATCCAGCTCTGTTTGGCTGGGAACATGAAACAGCGTCTGGAATAGAATACTTTGTAAGGATTCATTTTCAGCCCGTTTTCGAAGCTCCAGCCCAGGACCTGCTTGACGAGAGCGAACAAAGCTTCGAGACAGAAAAGCGTCGTCGTTGTGCCGCACGTCTTAAGCGTCAGTTTGTGGTCAAAAACGAAAAGCGACGACTCGCTGAGCAAATAAGCGTCGAGTTTTTCGGATCGATTCATCGACAACACCTGGCACTTGACCAGTTGCAAAATCTCGACCCAATTCTCGAACGGGATCGAACGCAGCGTTTTACCGCTGTTTGGAATCGACTCCACGTCGGGGTAAAACCAAATCTCCAAAAGTTTTTCGGGGCCCTCGAAGGAGTCTGTTGAGTTCAACGATTGTGAAAGCTCCCGGTCAATGTAAGTTGGACTTTGCATTTCGGGCGCACTAACTGTCATATTCCTCTAAGGGTTGAAAAAGTACCAAAAGCACACACGAGGTTTAATTTTCAATGGCTCTCGGCTCGCGTTATCGTGGCTTCGATGGTCTGTTGTACAAAAATGATATGTTAACACTAGGCATAAAGCAACAGCCTGTGATGAAACGCTTTACTGAAGACCACAAAAGAATTGATTGGAAATTAAAAAAAATTGATTTTGAAATCAAGTGGTACAATGTGTTGTTATGAAACGTCTTGTTCAGCCGTTTGCGATTAATTCGACTGTAATCGAATCTATTCAACTTTCACTTCAACGCTTTTGAAACGTTTGTTCAAAAATGCGATGAGATGCGCATAGGTGAAAATAAAATTTTTTCAGTTTTGGGACCCCGGAAATATCTAAAAACGTCACATGGCTTGCCATAGAGATCGAAACCATCGCAAGCGAGTATCATTAGAATGAAAGCTTTCACACATTTAGATAGAGCTATTAGCACCGCTGTGGCCATCGGTGACAAGGTTGAATAATGAATGTCTTCTGCGCGATTTATGTCAAATCCTTCCATGCTTTACTATTTTGTACAAGAGAGTGCGTGTCCGGAGACGGTATTCTGTGGCCCGCGTATGAAACTGCAAACTATTATCAAAAATCAATAGATGAGCGATTAAGCGGGCTAAGTCGTTTTTCGAAACAGTTGCAAAGCAGCTGAACTTATTCTGACCAGCAAGAGTGCTGTTTTTCTTTCTTCACTACGAAACTCAGCAAGTAAGATTTACGGGAGATCAATAATATCCTGGTGTTAAACCTTTTCTGTGGTGGAGCAAGTGCCAGGATTGTTGGCGCAACTGGGTAATCCGGCTTTTTGCACGAGAACTTGTAATGCACTGCAGGTAGAACGAGTCGTCAAAGTGTAAGTAGTCCACGGAAGCGCTCCCCGATTCGCAGGTTGCAAGCAGAATTCTCGCTGACAGCACCACATTCTCGGCAAGTCCCTGCAACGCAACGGAACTTGGAAATTCGAAAAGTCTTGGCCTGCAGCTACCACGCTATATGGAGATGAAACACGTGAAGTAGCGGCGCAGAACAAGACCCACCCGGCGACGAAAAACTCATCAGTTGGACAATCAAACCCCAATTCTGCCGCAAGGCGAAGAACTTTATGCTTTAAAAGCTCAACTCTCACACTTTTTTCTTGCTTACAACGTACAACCGCAAACGTCTCTTCACAGACAGTATATCCTACCAACAACGCTTCTCATCCTATCTGGAAAACCTCAACAGCGCTCATAATCCGACACATCCTTGCTCCCAGAAAGCGGACGGGGAACAGAGGTCGCAACATCGGACTTTGTAAGAAATCTCGGAAAGCCCACGAACAAGCAAAACTTCGGGTTGACGTAAGAAAAAATCGCACAGCTAACACGTCAGAACAAGCTTCAGCATACTGGGAACTGAATGTTCGGTGGTTTTAAAGATTCAGAAGTTGAGAGAGTTCTAAAATTGAAATTTCGTTCCTTATATAGTCCCGAGTTAGGCCGGGTAACTGATCGATTTCAATAAAACTAGATATCTGGGCATTGAATGATGAGCAGCGCTTTTTAAATGATAGATAATGGCCTCGATGGAATTGGTTTCCACCAACGCTGGTTCGACTCTTTACGTTGGAAACATTGACCAGAGAGTTACGAAAGAATTGTTGTATGAGCTTTTCATGCAAGTGAGTCCCGTCGCTGGGATCCGATATCCTCGGGACAGAGTTCTTCAAAACTACCAAGGTTTTGCATTTGTCGAGTTTCACAACTCTGAAGATGCCCAATACGTTGCAAAATGTATGAACAACGTCGTGAGACTTTATGACAGATTGTTGAAAGTGCGATTGTCCGGTAAAAATTCCAGTTCCAACGGGGATGTTCCGTTCGATATGGGTGCGAAATTGTTTATAAAAAATCTGGACGAGCTGATCGATGCAGACTACTTGAATAAACTGTTCACCAAATTTGGTCCGCTTCTGGAACGTCCTGAGGTTTTTTACTTGAAAAACGGTAAATTAAAGTGCGCTTTTGTGAAGTACACGACGTTCGAACACTCCGACAAGGCTTTATCGAAATTGAATAACCAGATGGTAATGAACAAAGTAATACAGCTGGACTACGCCTTGAAGGACGGCAAAAAAACCAAAAGCATGGTGACGAAACAGAGAGATTGCTGGACGGAGAGGCCAAACGACATCTATCATCTACACGTTGATCATAAACAAGTAAAAAAGTATCTCATAAAACATCAAAAACACCTATCTCCAGGTTGCAGCTATTGGCAGATTTTCCTAGCATCAAGATACTCTTCATAAACTGAAGTCCACACTTGACAGACGTCCTTTTCAGAAAACTTATCTTTGTCCTGCTCGTCTAGTTTGCATTCCAAATCCTTCGGAGACTTGTAATGCCACGGTTTTGCAATAGGATAATCCGAAAAATGGATGTATTTGCTGTCTTCCACAATTTCTCGAAGAGATTTTAGCTTGCCGGTGACCTTGCGTTCGTACCCAATAATGTCATCCGCAAGTAAAGCATGATGAGAATATTTTCTAATAGAACCTGTCAGCATCCCATATTTTGCATAAGGAAGCACCAAGATTTGAGGCTTGAATTCGGTGTTGACTTTTCTGAACAACTTGAATTGTTGATACACAATTTTCCTCAAGTTGTATAATTCGTCATTTATTAAATCCATATCGTATTGATCTTTTTTCTTCAACGCACGTGGTATAAGCTTTTCACTGATAGTCCTAAAGGTCTTTTCATTTGGCTTAATCACCATTAAATTAGACGCAAATTTAGCCTTTATGGCTTTCTTACCTCTCCGCAACTTAAACAGAGGTGAAGCTGAACCAGATGACTGCATCATATCTTTGGCAACATTTTTAGCATCAAGGTAAAGCGAGGTGGGTAAATTGGGTAAAAAGTTGTAAAGCGAAACACCCTTTTTCACGCGGAGTTCCAAATCTGTGACATAACGCTTCAAAGAGTTTGAAGAACCTTTTTCCTTTTGAATATCCTTGTAACCCTTCTCAATGTCACCTGGAGATAGAAACCAATATGCCAACGGTGCCGCGAACGTTATATTGTTTGGTAGGAAAAATAGTTCATCCAAGTTATCATGAAGAATTGCGTCGTTGTCGAGGTACACTACTCTTTCAAACTCAGTTTGATTGAACACAAGCAATTTGGTGAAACTGTTATGCCAAGGTGTTGAATCTTTTGGTTTAACGATATTTTGAATTGGCTTTATCACGACTTGATCTTGACCTAGGTTTTTCAGAACATCTAACCTTCTGCGTGTAATATCGATTTCGGAATGCTTGTCGTCTAGTAATCTGTCGGAAATTAGCAAGACCAATTTTGCCTCAGTCCCAGATTGTTTGAGCTTTTCAAATTGAATAAGCGTATTGCAGAGGTATTCACTATCGGCAACATAGTTTACGTATGCAAACTTGTTCCAAGAAATGTATGTAGGATCCTCGCGAGTCCTATCCAAAGCAGAGTCTCGTAGTTCCATTATAGTCTCAGCCGGAATCTGTTTAACATTTAGAGGATCATAGACACCTTGCAAACCTCCCTGATGTCTTTGAAAGAACGTTTTATAGTACTTAAACTCATTATTCAAATGAAGTTCTATCACCGCGTCAATTATCAGGAACACAATTGCCACTAATGAGACGCAAAGCAATGCTAATCTTAGCTTGCGCTTGGATATGAGCATTCCTCTTATTTTCGAGTTCTGTCTTTCTAAAATGATAATTTCACGTTTTCATTTACTAATGGGAAATCTTCACTTCCTTAGCTTCTCCATACAAATACGCTTAAAACACGAAAGGAATAAACGAGTTGACTAGAGGAGACTAGTTCAATTGGGTCTATATGTGTATATTACTAGATTGGTTCACTTTCGTTCGCAGAGTTTTAGGTATCTATTTTCTGAATGGAATTTCGGCTCTGCAAAGTGGACAAGTATTGTTTCCAGACGATCTGAACCATTTGTAAAGACAAGCGCCATGGAATCTGTTACTGCATGTCGGACATGTTTTGGTGGGTAACTTATGATCAACCGCGTGGAGAATAGAATAACAGATTGCACATTCTTCAAATCCAGAAAAATGTAAATTGACATTTCTCGTGAACAGCTCCAAAGAATCCATTATTGATCCATTCATTCCAGTAATGACTCTTTGAGTAGATAATATCCATGATTTCCATTTGTGCTCGTCGATTCCGACCCGAGATTGACCCAGGACTTGAACATTTGTCAACGGATAATTGACAGGTATCTTGAAAACAATCTCGAGTTTCTGCTCGTCAACCAAGTAACCTGCTTTGATCTCGTTACTTGCATTAATAATCTTGATTGATAAACTGGAATCTGAACTTGTCAACTTTTTAACTTTTTCTGCTGCTTCTTGAAGCTCTTGCTTAACTAAAATCGGCGTAATGTGTTTGCAAACAAATTTATCGATCTCGGTTTGTAATGCCCTGTCCTTGATGTTCAGATACCATGCACTTACAAGAGAACCTAGAATGTTAAACGACAAAAACATGAGGTGAGCTAAAAGCTTCTTCGATTCCATTCTCAAGTCCTCATCACCTGAAAATCTCTCAGTAGTTATAATATGATAATGTTCCACATCTGAGTCGGATATCGAAGCCCAGAATTTGCTATCTGCAGAGCTGACCTCTTCAGCAAAAAAACGAAGAACCCGGTCGATCAGGCCATTGTGCTTCAGCTGGTCAATGTAATTCTGCCTGAAATTGTAACTGATGTCTTTGAAATACGACAATGTCAAATACAAGCACCATAAATATCTGAGAAATTTCGCACCATTGGCGTAAGGAAGACTGTCTTGGGGTATTTTGAACTTGAGAGCTTCAAGTAGTTCACCAGGCAAATGGAATAAATCATCTTCTTGCTCACCATCCGCTTCCTTACCTTTCTTTAATTCATACTCTATAAGCGCATCTTGTTGGTTTAGGAGAATAATCTTACGGGAGATCACAGTCAGCAGTCTTATCTGATCGATGTTTACGTCTTGTTTTTGAGAACAGGCTTCGATATAGAAAGAAAGGTTCTTTCTGAAAAGAGGAATTGGAATACTGTCACAAATCTTCCAAGCGGACTTATAGAAACAATTCGAAACTGCGTTAGGCAAGGAGAAGTCCAATGACAAAGTCAATAGATCAATTAGGGTTTGTTCTGTGATGCTCTTATCTTCAAGCCATTTTGTCCCCGCTAACGTACCTTTTCTGGTCAATGCGTCAATCTTTGAGTAAAATCTGATACAATAGGATTTCAACTCCAGTTCTTGAAAAAAGTCTGGAACCAGGCACACATTTAGCGAATCATCTAACAGCCTGACAGCGTTTTCTTCAAGAGAGTGACCAAATGAAAGTAACGAAGGATAGTCAAACAGCCTTGAGAGAAAATCTAATAGTGTAATTCTAAGCGGATAGAATTCGTAAATTGGCCCATCCAACCAGTCACTTACTTGATTGAAGATCAAGCGCAGGCGTTGCGGGGCGATAGGAGTCACGCTATGGTCCTTGCTCTCGCCATGGTCATCGACAGCGAGAAGGCTATTCAACAAAGTGAGTATCAATGGCACCTGCCTAGAGAGCTCCGCATCTCTCACACCAATAAGTTCAGAGGCCAAAAAGGTTCTCAACCTTTCGGTTTGCTGACTCTTATTCCTGAACTTTTCAAATGATGATATTACCGCCGATGCCAATACACGTTCCCTTGAATCAACGTCGGATCTTAAAACTTTGCGAACATAAGGCATAAGATCGAATTCGCGATCAAACTCCGTTGTTGTTAAGAAGTCGAGGCTGTTATTCAAAAGCTTGTGAACAATGACGCATCTGTAAAAAAATGCACTTTTTTGACACCCTTCCATCGCTACCAGGTTTTCAAGTATTTCTGATGAAGGGACGATATCCCCATTAATGCATTTGAAAAGATCTCGGGCATTGATCTCATTAGACTTGTTTCTAAACAACGTTAGTTCAAACTCTTGCAAAAAATCCTCGGGTTCTGCTGAGAGGGTATTATAATCCATGGCGAGCTCACTAAAAACAGTGAAGCAGATAAGAAGCGTATCATTAAGGAGGTCAGGAGCGGCTTGCACCAGAGTGTGCAAAAAGAGAGCATACACAATTCCCTCTCTAACCTTGTGCAGGTTGAAAGGAACTTCAGACGGCGAAAGCAGACGAGCAGTGAAACCCAAGTTATTTGCCAGAGCAATATTATAGCCGAGCTCTGGAATGTGGGTATTGAGAAAAGAATTCACATTAGAAGGAAATAGGACATTGAATGCTTCATTGTTTCTTGCAATCAATTTGAGAGTAAGTTGAACCCAGAAAGAGGAAAAGTGCTTCTTCGTAAGAAGAACTCTTGAAAGTATAGCCTCCATCATGTTTGAAGCAATGTGGTTGTTAGATTTACAGAAGAACAAGGCGTCATTAAGAAGTTTATCAACAACTTTCTCGTCACTCTGTTCTACCATAGAAGGTAGAACTTTTGCGTTTTGGTAGAAGAGCCCCCTCATGTGTTTGTCAATCGACAAGAATTGAGTACAAAACTCAGCAATTTTGCCACGCCTCAGCGATTCCTCCAGCATTTGCTTCAAAATGTCCTCGGAGAGCATCTTAGAGCATAAAAGTAAACTCTCATTTGAATCAGAATCACCTGAAGTGATGCACTTAGTGAAGAACTCGCGCAAGGTCCTAGAGTTTCTACCCAGTGCCGATGCCACCCTTTCTTGAAATTGATCGAAGATCTGATAAGTTTGAACTGGACTCAAACCGAGAGATACAAGCTTACTGGCGAACTTATCAAATAGATCTAACCATTCTATCTCTTGCGAAGTATGCACGTAGTGAGACTTGGAAAACTGGATGAATAAAGCCGCTGGCAGCTTGAAGAAGTGCTTTTCCGTGAAATCAATCACTTTTTCCAATAGTTTCTTGACCAAGGAAGTAAGAAAATTAAAATCTTCCTTCATTATCATCAGTAAAGCCGTAAATAATAGGGCAGGACTCTTGTCTTTGTACTGTTCAATAGAACCCGAAACTTTCTCGGCAATAGCATGTACGGCAACCTCATTTTGAGGTTTAGAAAGCATAAGCGTCAGCAAGTTCTGTAGCAGAATAGACGCGGACTGATTCTCATTGATTGCGCCTTCAAGAATTCTTCCGATATGCGAATGAATATAACGAAATGATAGATAATTTGCCAGTAACATCTTCAATCCAGGAAGATCTTCAACATTTCTGGACTCAAGTTGTGCCACGATGCCTTCCAAAACAGCAATCCTTGAAGTTTCTTGTGAATTTCGAGGTGCGTCTTCGCAAAAGCGAAAATAACAGCGCCAAAACTCGGTAGCAGGACAATCTCCTCCTCTAACAATCTGTTTCCGCATGAGTTCCTTACTCAGATCAATTTTCCATACCTGATGCCATTGCTGTTCATAGTCGAACGTTAAATTTCCAATCTCATAGAGTTGGAAAAGAGCCTTATAATACAAGCCACCGGAAGAACAAGGGCCTAACTCCAGGAAATGGAAAATCTTCTCGTCACTTTTTTTGACAAAAGTCCACGCAAGCCCGTTTTCAATGGATCCCAACTCTGCTAAGGTGATTGAAATCTGTGGGAAAATTGACGAAAAATGCATTGCGCTTTCCTTTCTCAATTGGGCCAACGATTTCAGAATGCGCTTTGTGACCAACTTCAGTATCGAGTGATTGGAGGATAAGAAGCCGGACTTACTAAGGCCTCTAGCCAAGGTTAAAAGCGAGCTTAGCGTTTTAACATTATTCATATATTTGAAAGAAAAATTTTGCCACAAGTTTTCTGAGGATAGAATCTCTTCATATGTCTCGTTCCCTGTCAAACGTTTTTCTTTATCATTGACTATCATGTTGGTGAGCATACAGGTTCCCGTGGTAAGCAGACGTATGTATTTGAACCGCGAATCTTCATGGGAAACGTATCTTTCATCCGAAAGAGTGCCCTCGTTTTCATGCAACACGATTTCTTTGACCAGCTTCAGTATTGCCGATTCAAACAAAACCCAGAGTTTTGAAATTTTATCTTGATCGTCATTGAAACACCATAACAATTGAGAATATGTTGCTTTGGCGACCACCGCATCGTAGTCATGAGATCCTGACAACAGAAGTGGTATTAAATCTGGAAGAAACTTGGTTATTTTTTTGCCTCTTAATTTTATCAGTTTGCAGGTAAGTTGATGACAATTCGTTCTCAAATTTCTTGAATCGCTCGTTACCAATTTGGCATACATTTGAGACCAACAAAGTGTGAAAATATCATCGTCACAGCTTGATTGACCGAGGTTGGCACGGTCGATGAGTTCCAAAAGTTCGTTTAGAGCTTTTTCTTTCGTAGTTTCATCTCTTTTATGAAGCGATTTGAAGATGACTTTGCTTTCAGAACTTGCAAGTGAGTTCAACAAATGTTGTTCAGGTATACCACTGAAGTAGTTCAAAGAAATTTGAACACCATTGCTGCCCAAGCCGAAGTCGTCTGAGTACAGTTGAAGGGTGTTCACTCCGAATGACATCACTTCTGTAAGGGAAGGTAAGTGGTAGAAAGAAAGGTTGGTAGAGGCCTAATTTTTTACAAATTGTTGTCGAACAAAAATTACGTACTTGAGATTACAGAATTGGTTAAAAAGTGACCACGGCCATAACATACCCATTAACGTATCGCAATTAATGCCTCTCGACCTTTTGTAGTTCGAATAAGTTTTCGTTTCGTTTCGACCTACTCTCAGTTAATCTTCGCTTGATTCACACCAAATCATTGAAAGCCCAAATCTACGCAAAACTACAGAATCTTAGAGCTGTATAGCTTCCCTCAGTGAAACTGCTAAAATTGCAATTCAGCAAAGTCGCCTGCCTGTTTCTTCGGATGATTTTTTGGTAGCCTTTGATAAGCACGCAGTCTCATTCTGCTCTTAGATCAGGTCTGCACTCATGAGAGATACAGTATAAACGGAAAGAATACTCAGATGAAAAACTAAAATGGTAAAAAAGTGCTGAGTATTGGATGTAAGGAAATTTGCGTGGGTAAAGATGGGTAAACGTTTGATACCCGAAGCGCAGAAGTAAGCGCCTTTTTTGTTTTTGTTTTCAGATCAAAGATAATCGCTATTGATGGCTTCCATTAGCTACAGGCAGGTGCTGTTCAAAAAGTTGGTTTTCATATTTTCATTTTTGATTATGCTCGAAGTCGTGCGGATCCTTATTATTAGCTCTTCAACGCCATCGATTTGGTCAGTTATGACAACCTCTTGCCATTTTTCGTCTTCCAAGTTTTGGGCGAGTGTGCTCAGCTTCGAGACTAGTTCCTCTGTATATCCTCCGAAAATTGAGTACAGGTTTTGTATGAAGCTTTCAACTTGTGGGTACTTTTTACCGCCCAATTTGCGATTTATAGTAGCATAAGCATTGAAAAGCGCTTGTCTGGGCATTACGCGTCTCGGATTTTCTGCAAGACGATGCGCGGCGAATTTCGTCATACAGATCTGATGGTAATCATTGCTCAAAAAGTTTGCACTACCAATTTCCCTGGTAGAATAATTAAAACAAAAAGCAGTTCTTTCCTCTCCATTTGAATTTTGGACTATGCTTGTCGTCAAGTCCACTTTCAAGTTCATGTCAGCAAATGATTTACCTGTGGATGACGATCTCCAACTGTCAACCTGCAGAATAGACACACCGGTCATATTTTGGGCTTTGCAGAAGTCTGCTTCGATCCCAACATCTCGGAAAAACTGGACAAGTTGCGGATTTGAACAGGGATCCGCAATCAAACCGTCATACATTTTCAAAGTTAGACACGTAAGTGTCGATAGCGCTGCTAAAGTACTCATAATGCAAACAGGAATCCCCAACCCCATTAAACTGGAAAAGGGGAAACAAGCGACAATAGCGCCCGCTATAGTAACGAAAACGTTGAATAAATTCCATTTCAAATCTTGACGGTTCGTTGCAATTTCAAAGATTTCATCCTGAGCAAAAGCTGAAACTGTAACTAAACAGGTAACAAAACAAACAAATTCACGACGCATATCTGTAGTTCGAGGACGAATGTGCTTCGCCTGGTAGGTTATCGCTAGTTCTTCGAGTCAGCGTATCTCATCGAAATTCTCATTTTTTATAAGCGTCAGAATATTATAAAATGATGAAATTTTAATTAAAAAATCCTGTGAAACTTTTGAAACTAAAAATCGGGGCCGAAACTTTAATTTTATGCATTAGGCGCAGCAAAGAAAATTTCGTCGCCTGCGTTGGAAGTTTCTCCAGAATTTCTCATTTAATGAGCTTGTGATCGTATCGCTTCAAATTGATTGCCAAAGCATTTTAATAAACATAGGTTACAGTAACGGCCGAAAAATCAAATCATCTGGCTTTATATTAATGGTTGCTTTATCCTTCTCGGATTTTAACAATCGCATTGAGCGCAGTATATCTGAACTAAAACTTGCTTTACAAATATTTGTGACCTACGTCGTGACTTGCAGCGCGTTATACATACTCTTGGTACAAAAATTTTCTGAAAAAAACGTATTCGGTATGGCATCTGTTCTACAGATGAATTTGTAAAAACCTCTGCCCCTTTTCATCTTGAAATCGATGTCTATTTCGCAGTCCATGCTTTACTGAAATTATTTCTTCATAGAGAGAAATAAAAGACAAAGGCCAACCTTTGAGATATTAAAATTAATTTGACGAGTACAACTCATCGACTTCTTTTTGAACGGCACCCAGAATCTTCTTCCTTTGCAACTTTTGAGCAGAGGTAACATAACCATTTTGTGGAGTCCATTCTTCATCAAAAAAGACAATACCGAGCAAAAGTTCAATTCCGTTCAAGCCTTGAGATTTTGCCGTCTTCAACAAATCACTCAAAATAGCTTTTCTCAGCTTGTCGTCGTTCAAAACGTCCTCCACATCATTCTTGTCTTGAATAAGTCCCAGTGAGACAGCCTCTTTACCTACGCGATCCAAGTTTGGAACAACGATACCAACAGGCTTGACTTTGGATTGATCAGCATACACGCAAATGTTTAGAACGTAGGGGTTCGATCTGTAAACACTCTCGAGCTTTTCCAAAGCAATGTATTCACCGTTCATAGTCTTGACCAGATTTTTTTTACGATCAATGATTTTAAGTTGACCCTTGGGAGTCCACATTGCAATATCTCCAGTCTTGAACCAACCATCTTCGGTAAGAGAACTTTTCGTTTCTTCTTCATTTTTGTAATACTCGGGCAAAACTGAAGCGCCCTTGATCCAAACTTCTCCCTTGTTGTCCTTCGCAAAATAGCCAAGGTCTTCAACGTCAACCAGTTTCACTGTGACTGCTCCAACCAAGTCACCTTGAATCTCGTAATCAAAATGATCAGGGATCAAGATTGTGCAGTTAGCCATGGTCTCTGTAAGCCCGTATCCGATCAACATAGGACAGATCAATGTGGTCATAAATTCTTGCGCATCTCTACTGAGAGGTCCGCCTCCATTCAAAGTTAACCTCAAACATCCACCGGTGGCTTGACGAACTTTTTTGAAAACAAGGTTACCCAAGGTGTCAGCACCTGGAACATGAAATCTCTTCATTTTCAATTTGGCACGGTAGGCACCCCAAAAGACCTTTTGCGCTAGGTAAGGTGCTTTCTCGACCTCAGCCATTATACCTTTTCTAACTGCTTCCCAAACGGCGGCAACGCCAACCATGATGGTAGGCTTAAATTCCTTCATGTCACCTTGACACTTACGCACCGAGGTGTCCGAAAGGGTCTTGACAGTACCGTAACCAAGGGTGGCACCCCAGTAAAAAGTTATAAGTTCGAACGCAAGTTCAAAGATATGCGCAAGAGGCAAAAACGCAATGACACGGTCTGTTTCGTTGATAGTATCGCGGCCAATGTTGCACGAAATACCCCCCAAACCAGCAAGCATATTGGAGTGCTTTAGCACCACACCCTTGGGATCGCCCGTGGACCCAGAAGTGTACATGATGCACGAAACATCCTCCGCCTTGGGAGGCGTGGGCTGGATCGTCTCGCGGGCCTTTTGACCCATCTCGATAACCTCGTCCATGGAAAAAACATTGATGTCAGGACGCACTTCCTTGATCTTGGCGAGCGCGTCGTGCGCCTCTTTGTAAAACTTGCCCTTGTCGCGCTTGTCGTTCGCGTCGAGTGTATCGCCGTGGATCAAAAATTTAATCTCCTGGGCACTTTGCACCGGGCTGATGAGCTTATGCAGCAACGCATTGTCCGTAAACACCGCCTTGGTGCCCGTCTGCACCATGGAATGGATCAAACCTTTCTCACCAAGTGTGTCGTACGCGGTGACGACAGCAATCGCCTGGGACTGGGCGGCGAGAAATGTTTTCATCCACTTGTGGGAAGTGGCGGCAAAAATGTGCAGGCGGTCCGTGTTTCCAGGCTTGAGCCCCATCTCAATCAGCCCACGGCCGTAGTCGTGCATGACTTGGTTCATCTCCTTGTAGCTAGAATACTTGTAAGGTCCCAACTCGTAGTATAACCACGTCTTGTCCACCTTCTCTTCCTTGCCGTTTATCTTCTTGGTAAGCGTTTTCTTCTCTTCGTGCACCTCAATGATCTCACGCCAGCCAACCGCGTTGCGATTGCCGCCGCGCTCAAAGTTTTCGAGCGCATATTCGTAAACAGTCGACGCCTTGGAGTCCACAGGTCTCACAAGCGCCGCTTTCGCGCTCTTGGGGTTTCTTCTGGGCGCGGTTTCGTGCTCATTGGCTGGCTTGCCAACTTCCACGGAGTACTGCATGTTGTGTCACCGATTGCACTCCTGTTGAATCGATCGGGGGGCTAGATTGCGTCGAGGGGACAGCTGACCACTTTTTGCTCAATTTATATTTCCTCAACAGTAGCGTTGTACGGATTGCCCAACAAACAAATAATTATGACGCGAATGCCCGATTTGAGATCACGGCCACGTGATGTCTCTGAAACTAGCGATGCTCCCACCGGGTTAGTAACCTGTAAAAAAGCTGTGAAGAAGAACACCACGTTGTGCTTCCTCTCGCGATGACAGGTCTGTCTAGCCCCACCCTAGTGCTCGCTTTTATATACGCCGGGAAACCCGGGGGTCGTGCGCGCGGAAACTCCAATCAAACGGCTCCAGAACTGTGCGAGTTTCGCCACGGGAAAACGAGACTTGCAAGCAGATCCGTGTATGTCCGTCAAACTAAATGCGTGCACGGTGAACAGCGAAACTGACACACGGCACTTGTGTTGCCGGAAACACACGTGAATACAAGCCTGTTAAGCTGCAGTTCTACGTAGGTGGTACATACTCTCTTGAAAACGGAGTGAGGGAGGTGGGGGGGAGGAGGTAGTTAGCCGCTGAGGGCACGTCTCCTTTGAGATCCCCCTTGGAATCCCTCGAGGATTAGCCCCCTACCCCACTCCCGCCCCTTATATACCCCGCAAAACATCACAAAAGGTTTGCTATTGGCAGCAGAGGCTATGACATCACCCCAGGAGTAACCGCCTTTCGTCCGACCCCCCGACTCGCCCGAGGCCTGGAGACACCAGCCGCAACCACCTCGGCGGCTATCCGGAAGGGGTGGCCACACCACTTTGCGGTTACGTAATCCTTTAGTCCGCGGTAAAGATAACCCCTACACGTCATCGAGATCCCGCGCTTGGCGGAGAGGGGCCCACGTTGGAGAAACCCAGTGGGGTAGCAGAGGGTGGGGGGTGAGCCTTATGACCTGCGGGGTATTGCCCCCTGGCAGAGTCGCTCCGCTCGTCCGCAACACTTTATAAGTTGCCGCTCAGGCAAGACACCCTGGGCCCAGTTCCAACCCCTCCTGTTACCCCAACATACACCCCGCAAGCTCCTTTCGTCCCCGTGTCATGTCATACTCACGCTCTATCATATTATCCAATGTCCCCGTTCACGTCTCTGACGCTGCCTTACTTCGTCATATCAAAGACGGAGCCGGGGGCTCCCAGGTCCGGGTGGAGCATATTCAGCCGTTCCCGGATGCGTACCATTACGTAAACGACGCGCTTGCCACAAAGACGTTGCAGCTGATCATGGCGGACGAGAAGAGCGCCGCGGCCGCGATGGCGCTTTTCGAAAACCCCACTGCAGACAGCGAACTGGCCCAGACGCAGGCGCGGTTCCACGCCGGTTCAGAGGAAGCCACAGAGACGGGTCTGGGCGTCGAGGCATCGACGCCCAGACATATGTGGAAGCAGAGCGTCGGCGAAATGGGCGGTAAACCCGTCTTGGAGACGGTGGAGGCCATGCAGGACGTGGCCGAGGACGGGACCGTTCGCCGCCAAAGACGTATTTCTGTGACAATGATCTAGAAGCTAGGCGCTGGCCACAACAGACGGCTTGGCTTCCTTTGATTTCTCTTTTCCTTTTTTCCCATTCTCTTGGCTTCTGTTGCGCTTTTATGAATAGGCTATGTTTTAGTATCTCTCTCTGTATAAGGTAGCGAGCGAGAGTTAACGGTGTTTCTTTTCTTATGAGGTTCTTACGCAAGCCGCCTTTTGATTACGAAATAAATATTACGTAATACGGTTGCCAATAGCTACCTCAAAAGTCCGAAGAAACAGCCGTCGAGGTCGAAGTGGTCGCTTCAGAAAAGACAACACTACGCCGGCGACGCGTACTTGGTCAGTCCACGACGCACGGCAAGGACGCTGTCGACAATGACGGCGTCGACGCCCGCGTCCATCTCGATCTTGGCCACCTCCGGATCGTTGTTGTCCACGCCGTACGTAACGCACACCAGTCCATTGGATTTGACGATCTGCGCCAGTCTCGGTGCGCGAACTATGGGTTTCGCCGCAGAAACGATGCCCAGCAAATTCCAGGACCTGGCAAACCGAATCGCGTTCTGCAGCGATGCGGCCCGCGGATCTGCCATTTTCTGTGTACCGCCCTCGGTTAGAAACAAAATCGGAATCGAGGGCTGTTTCAGGGAAAGCATCACGCAGATATCCGGGTGGAACGACGAGAAAATAATGTCTCTGCCCTTGGCGTTGTCGTATACCACTTTCAAAACCGTGTCGCACCAATGGTTCAGCTCCACTGCAACCTGACCGATATCTTCCTCCTGGGCCTCGTCGAGCATCGGGTACTTGCATTCGACATTGAAACCGACATTTTGGGGGATTTTCTTGAAAAGCTCCTTCAAAGTCACAAACGAAGAGGCAATCGAGTGACCTCTCGCGTTTCCTTTGTAATTGTTCTTCTTAAACGTTCTGGTAAGCCGCATTCTGTCCTCGTAATGTTTCGAAAGTGGTATGCCGTTCCACAGATGCTTATTTCTACCGCGACCTCCTTCAGCACTGATCGTGCTGAGAGACCTCTGTATGGCCGCCGCGTCAACGTCATCTAAGGAATGCGGCTTCTGCGAACTGTCGCTACCATTCAGATGGTGATGTTTGTCCGCGTTGTTCAGGTCTAAAAACTGTTCTAGCGTCAACTCGTGCATGGGAATATCCGCGCCTGACTCGGCGACGAGGAAGTCGTGGTAGACAACAGGAATGTTATCCTTCGTGAGCTGCACGTCAAACTCAACATAGGACGCCCCCAGTGATGCCGCTGCAATGAATGATTCCACCGTATTTTCTCCTAATTGCAAGGACTTGTTAGCTAGCATGTTTTTGCCCAGACCTCTGTGGCCTATAACCCTGGTAGATACTAGTGACTTCCAATAAGTTGTCGTACGCTCGTCAGACATTTTAGGATGTGAAAATGGGGTCACTACCATGAATTCAAAGCTCACAGTACCTAGCACACTTAGAGTTTCACCCTCAACAATGGGAACGGTTACGGTATTTGAAAGTGCTCTGCGATTCCGTCCGACTGATGCGGATGCTTTATGAAGCAAAGCAACTGCCCTCCCTAACACAGGAGGCTTGGTTCGAACCGGGCCCTTCTGATAGACATCATGCGAATTTGAAACATTGTGGGCTGATCCAACGCCCCCCACGTTATCCAGACTGGATTTAGATGAATTTGACGAATAACTCACATGATAGCCGTAGGTCGGAACAACATCGAAATACAAAATGTGGGCAGAATCATTCTTGAAGGGCACTGTAAAATTGATGGTGTCCATGGTGTCGTCCAGGGGCAAATCGAGAACGTGAGGCGCACCGCCCAAGTCATCAGAACATGAAATAACCAGAGAAAGAGCAGTGTCAAGCTCCGTAGATGAAGCCTTGGAAAGCGGAACGTCGTTCAGTGATACAGGTTGTAGCTTTTCCCTTGAGTCTTTACTCCCCAATGTAATTAAAATAATTGATTGATCTTCTTTCAAAAATTTGTGGCCAAAGGATTTGACGGATGACTGGAAAGAGGGTTCAATGGTAGCTTTGGGCGAATTGATCAATGTTGATCTTATAAGCTTTTTCTTGCTGCTAATGGCAGATGGCTCTGATAACTTCTCGACTGATGAGTGCGAAAAGGTACCATTTTTGTATAAAGTCTTTTCAGGCGATTCTGATCTCAAATCTTTGCTGGGCGTAGAAGGCCGAATGGAAGAGGTAAAATTCGTGCCGTCTTCCCCAAAGCTTTCGTTAAGCTTGGGATGTGTCACGGCTGGATTATTTTCTATCGCGAGCAAGTCAGCCACTTCCATGTGCCCACGCAAGACGGCATGTTCCACTGGTGTCCACCCGCTATCGTCAAAGATCTCATACTTAGCGTGGAACTCAAGAAGGAGAGTCACCATATTTAGAAATCCCTCTGTAGCTGCCACAAAAATTGGGGTCCACCCAAATGCCGCCTCAGGAATTTCCGTATCAGCACCCTTCTCTAAAAGAGTCCGAGCGGCATTTAATAGATTGAGTTTGCAGGCAATGTAAAGCGCTGTCTCGTGTGTTTCCGGATCCACGTAGTTGATGTCAAAGCCTTTTATGGACAACAAAGATTCCAACAGTTTTGGTGAATTCAGTCTTGTCGCCAGTTGCAGTAGTCTAGGAGAGCTGAAAGGTTTTTCAGGGTCTCCATACGCAGTCAAAATGCGAACGGTCCTTGGATGCGTACCGATTACTGCCAAATGCAGCGGGGTCATTCCTTCAGCATCTCCCCATGAGCCAATCTCATCAATAGGGACGTCCTTGTTCCAAACACCCCAATCTTTCAAACTCTTAATCAATATGTTTGACACTTCAAACAGCCCGTATTGAGCAGAGTAGTGAAGAGGAGTACGTTTGTAGTTATCTCTTTGTAGTAAACTCGATCTCAAGTGGGCAGGCAATTTGTTCAAGATATATTTCAAAGAAACAGGCGAATCATCTGAATTGACACCGTCCGGTCCAAAAGCGCCGATCAATCTGCTGTTAGACTCTGGCGGTGCAGCAACCTCCAAATTCAATGTGTTGGAGAGAAGCATGTGGAGATCATTTTTATCATTAGAATCCCGAGACGCCTCAGTATTTGAGTTTTTCGTCTTAAAACTCTTTCCCAAGGCAATGACATGGTGATGGAAGAAGTTTCTGCCACTAATATCGGAAGAATCACCCAGAGCAGGAATTATCTCCAAAATTTCATCCAAGCAGTGGAAAGACTGGGAAATGGCAGCCTTGTTCAACAACGCAATCAAAGTACGTGTCGGAATTAGCACAGCAGAGCGATATATGGAAATCAATTCATTGATAACACCTTTCCCATCGTCCTTTTCAATGAGTTGGGATATAACATCGACCGGGGAGCCAGAATCCCTAGCTTCTAAAACCTCTGACCCCAAACCAGCCCGATTTGGATAATGCAAATCTCTGACCTTCGGTGAAACTCTCTCCAACGTGTCATTTATCAAAATCAAATTTTTGTTAAGCTCTGCGTCACTGCAGATCCCAAGGGGCGAAATACGAGCTCGGAAATACGTGTGTTGTTGGATTGTGCCCACTTTCTTGTCCAGTTTTTTCAAAATCTTGGTGAAGGCTCTTTTGTTCAATTCCGCATACCATTTTAGATTGCGGAACCGCGATCTCAATTCGATCAGCACGGCAAGCGCCTCATCAAGATCCTCATTCAAGTCAGATGGCGTTGGAAGAAACCGGGGTTCGCCAGCAAACATCCCTCCGGCCTGCCATGTTATAAAATCATTCTTCGGGTCCACGTGACTTGAGTACTCTGGTCTATCGTCTTGTGAACATAATGAGGCATTCAACTCATTAAACTGGGCAGAGGTAAGAAGCTTTCTGAGCCTTCTGTCATACTCCAAAAATTGTGAAGTGTAGAAATTATCCACCTTCTCAATGTCCCTATCCAAAACAAAAAAGAAGGACGCCAACAGCTTTTTAACCTCTGGATCATTCAAAAAATTATCAACATGTGAATAATCACCCCAACCTGCAACCGAGGGTCCGTTATTTTTCGCAGGTTGTCCAGTTTTGCGCCTTAATTCTTCTTGCACTGATACTATTTGCTTTATTAGCTTTTTCAGGTTTTTGTAGTTCACATATTGATGTGACCATTCCGGGACTTGATGATTAGGCAATGTTTTCCCAAACTTCATCTTTGTTTCCACTAGTGGGAATTGGAATATAAGCCTGGGTTCTGTGATGTCCGACCGCTTCGATGAGATTCGCCCATCAGTCCTAGTCTATTTATCTGATTTCAAAATGTTTCCCTATCCAATTAAACTCGGGCAATGTGCTTAGGCATGAGCACGTGTTAGAGGACTAATGTTATCCCTATATAAACTCTTAATAATTAGAACATAACTGGTCTGTTTTGACCAAATATCTCATCTGAAAACAAGTTAGTAATTGCGTAGAGCTTCGATCCATGGGTTTTGTAAAATGTAACATACTTGTTTGACGGACAAACTCATGAGTTGGCGTATTTCCAAGCCAAGCCAGATTTTGATCATCGACAAAGTTTCAACATCCTGTAGTATGCTTCTCCCCTCTCTCTTCATGCTTAATTCACGTAAAATCGGTAAGGAACTGTAAAAATAGTTTGGAACATATGGTTAGTATGGTTGCTAGAATTCAAAAGTAAAAGCGTAGAATACGAACCTCGCGAACAAATCCAAGTCTGGATCAAGTTGCCGTCCAATTCCCTCCAGTAGTAAAATGGCGACAATAACAGACACAAAATCTCCCTCCATTCTTACGTGGTGGCCTCTGACCATCCCAAGCATTTGATCTAATAGATCTCCAATTGAGACGGTGCCCAGTGTGAAAGTACGTTTCTTCACCTTCTTGACTAATTTCTCCACTTTGAGTGCGAACAAATCCTTGTCTACCGCGGTCTCCGGAGTGCGCGATCTTTCAATCATAAGTTCTCCGGCGCGGTACCCATCAAAACGCGCCAGAGCGTCGAAAAGCGCTATGAAATTCGTTCTGTTGCGCGAATTCAATTCGGTTACGAGTCCCGTGTCAATAAAACAAAGCTGCGGAGTGTACCGCGTGAGTGTGTCACGAAGATCTTGCGCAAAGGAGTCCTTATCCTTTGACATCTTCTCCTTAAGGTCACGCACAATTTGCGTACAGTCTTCTTCGCTTAAAGTTTGTTTACTCCCGTACCTGTCAGTTTCAATGAACCGGATCATCACATTTCCAGGATGTAGGTCGGCATGTATGAAATCATCGGATATTAGCATTTGTAAGAATGCATCGATGAAAGTATCGCTCACCTTTTTGCATAAGTTCACATCACCGATTTGATCTTTGGATCTCAGAAAATCCTCCATAGGTAAGCCATTCACATACTCTTCGAAAAGCACTTTTCGACTCGTAAGTTCTTGAAATCCTTTGGGAAATTTGACCTGCGGCTGGCCCTTGAAATTCTGATTAAAGCGCGTCAAATTCAAACACTCAATGCGCAAATCCAATTGAAGCCTCATCAAAATGGTAAATTGCTCGACTTCATTCGGAAGCGAGAGCCATTCCATAGTTGGAATCATATCAATTGTATCAGCGAAAAACTTCATAATCTTCAGATCTCGACTAATATTTCTGCTCGCATGCGGGTGGATAACTTTGACCGCACACCATCTGTTCCCCCCAGATTCCAGCTCCAGGTTTCGTTTTCGAAGGAACTCTGGCGAAAGCTTACCAACGTGGACCTGCGCGATAGCTCCCACCCCTAAAGGTTCCTCTTTAAACTCTTCAAATGCCTCATCTAAGGAGCCAATCTGAAGCGATTCACACACCTCGTTTTGTGTATATTTTAATGAATGTTTCTTGGCGTTACTGTGAAGCTTCCCAAGCTCTATGCAAAGACCCTCGGAGAACATATCCGTTCTTGAGCCTGCCCATTGGCCCAATTTGATGAAACTTGGGCCAGCAATCTCCAGAGCGGACCGAAGCAGTCTATACCACACTAGAGCTCCGTAGGCGTCTTTGGTGCTTGAAGTCATGTTTCGAATGTTAACCTTGTGCCCAAAATACACGATGGGGTATAACAGCAAAACGGGGACAAACAACGCTGAAAGCTCCAAAAACCTGAATACAGTAAGAATGGGTTCCAGAACAGAGTCCTTGAACTTGTACCAGGTTCTAAAGAGCATTCTCGATATTATAGATCGGCATTTGCGTAGATTCCTTAATCTTTGCGATTCCACGTCGCGTAAAAGCTCGCGCTGTGAGGCGTAGTAGAGACCCATTTCGAAAGTGTCCCCTGAGGGGTCAGGTTCGAGCTCCTCATTGAGTATTGTATGCTTGAAGGACCCTACTAGGAGCGCTGAGGGCAGCAAGAGTCTTGTCATTGGATATAACTTTGAATTGGCGCCATGTCTCGAGAAAAGACGGGAATTGAAAATTCTAAAAGATGTCCAGGGCCTTGTGAACCTTATGAAGTGGATCATACCGATGCCAGGATCAAAAACAGCCAAATACCCTGGAACGCAACTTAGGCTTTACCAACTAAACTCATCTCTTGCTCTACACCTCATATCTCGAAAACTAGCACTGTAGACGAGCCCTGTCGTCATAGTGCGAAAGGGGATTTCATCCAACATTAGAAGTGATACAATCTTCAAATACCATCGTTCTAAATGACCTGATAAAATGTGAGTCGCAAATGAGTCGTCGCTATGTACGGCATGTGAGTATTAAGCGGTGACTGTGCAAAGCACTACAGAGTCCAAGCAAGTTACAGGCTCCTGGACTGTTGAAGTTGGTGATTGTCGCCTCCAGTAACATAGGTAACGATTCAGGAGTCAATTATAATACCGTGCATAGTCTGAACGTAAGGGCAGTCATTGTCAGAAGAGTACCTTTGGGAGTCCACATTTTCAAATGCTTATTCAATGGCTTTCAATGAGAACAACGGGTACTTGAACGGTGGAGACTGAGTAAACACCCTCTAACAAAATGGTGACTCGAATTTATCAGTTTCATGAATAGCGTCTACAGCGACATCAAAGCTCATATCATTTTGTACAGTTCTTGGCCATGTAGACAGATGCGCTACGAGAGCACGTTATATACTACTAGTTCACAGCGATGCTCACAGTTGTTCCTCTTTTATCACGTCGATCAACCAGTCGAGTCCCTCCGTAATACCTTCACCCTTGATTGCGCTGGACGCAACAATGCTCCAGCTTCGGTCCTTCAACTCTACCAGATTCAGCTGTTTCGACACTTCGGACGCGCTCAGCGCGCCCGGTTGATCCTGTTTGTTAGCGAAAACCAGTAATGCTGCGTCCTGCAATTCTTCCTCTTGCAACATCATATGGAGCTCTTTCGAGGCAGTTGCCATACGGTCTTGATCTGTAGAGTCCACGACGAAAATCACTGCTGCCGTGTTTGAATAATAGCATCTCCAATAGGGTCTAATACTCGTCTGACCACCCAAATCCCACACGTTCAGTTTCAGATTCTTATACGCCAAAGTTTCAACGTTGAACCCAATGGTTGGCTTCGTGGTCACAACTTCACCTATTTGAAGCCGATATAAAATTGTGGTTTTGCCCGCACCGTCAAGCCCCAGGATCAGAATTCGAAGCTCCTTATTCACCCCCCATAGACGATCGAACATAGAACTGAAAAAGTTCCCCATGCTAGCTTATCTGTTGGATCTTGAAGACGATATCACCAGCTTCTTCTTTACCAGTATTCGGCTGGTCATATATGAGTTGGTTAACGTTGATATTACCAATTTTCAAGTTAAAGCCCTTAGGTGAAAAAGTTAATGATGAAAAATCTCAAATTGGAAATGTTCACCAAATTTGGGCCAAATAAGACCAGCCAAAGAACAGAGAATAAAGGTTTCTGGAGGGTTTTGATACTGAAGTTGCGTCTCCATACTGTTGGTTGATTGGGAGTCATGATTTCAGCTTTGACTAGAAGACTTTTGAGAGATTGGAAGCGACTTAACCATCAATACGAGCCGGCATATCATGTCAAGCCTTTTGATGCTGATCTTCATATATGGAACTTTGTTTTAACGGGAAAAGACGGAGAGATCGATGCAGAGGTGTTCGGCATGATTTACATTGGTGGTGACGAGCTAAATCCGGTGATTGTGATGCGATGTTCGACACCTAACGAAACTTTTCCCTTGAACCGAAACGTCAGTCTTACACACCTCGGGTCTGTTGTATTGATTAGCGGACTTACCGGGCTACTTGAACACGTCAAGCAGCGGGTGTGGAGTCGTATGAACCTGTCCACAGAGCCCGGGGTGTTCGACTGGCGGCTCACGAGAGCTTGGAATCGGGTTATGGTGAAAGATTTCAAGCAGGTATTTCCGGATTTAGCGTCAGAGTTCCCAGTTTCTGAGACCGAAACCTTGTTAGTACAGCAGTGGAGTGATTGCAACGCGAGACGTGAGCCTCGACCTGCTCCAAAATTCAAATTTCAAAATTTTACGCCGGCTACGACGCTGGCGTGCGATTCTAACGACAACCAGCATATGAAAAGGCAGCGCACGGGCGCAGAAGAACACAAGGGGATGGAGAGATTGTGGAATTTAGACGATTGTGAGCCTGAGTTGCAAAGGAAAAAGCGACAAGGCTAAGGATTGATCACCCAGCTGCATGGCAATAAGCCCCCGACCTCGATCTTCAACTGTTGCATATATGAAATTTATAGCGTTTAATTATAAGGTAGGAAAAGTGGATTAAATTCGTGATTTTGCTGAGCGTGGGATGTCATTAGCGAGAAGCAATAATTTTACTCATTTTGAGTTACTCAGAATCATTTTGATCATCTCGTTACCAATCTTATTGGCTTCGGGTAACATGGGTTTGAAAAACTCTTGGACTTCCTCGAACTGTTTCCTGTACAGATTAAATTCTCCGAATGATACAATTGCACTCCACATGCGAGCCGCAACCGCAAATTCCAAATCGTCTCGTCTAAACGCGTTGCAATCGACCGCTGCGTCTATTGTTACCTCTAAAAGTCCCGGAGTCATGAACAAATATTCTGACACGCCCAAAAATATCCTGAATAGCGGTGTAGAACATATCATATGGTCATAAGGATTGATGGACAACTGGTACCAACTATCGACGATGGCAAGTAATGAAAGGTGAGAATTGGGTAACGTTTTTTCACCCTCACGCGGCTGTCGTGTGCTCAAAGAATAATTTTCTAAAAGTGAGTCGTCTAACAGAAGTAGACCTTCTTGTTTTCCGAAGACGTACTGTTTTGCTCTAAACAATCGCTCTCGCAACTCATCTTTTTGCCCAGCGACTATAAGCGAATATAGTTCAGTCGTACTAGTCGCGTATTGCATGATCTGTTTGTGAGCAGAGGGGTTCATAATGGCCAACCCAGCATAGACATGCCATTTATTGGAATAAATTCTGAGCGAAATGTTTACTTTTACGTTTTCAAAGCCTCCAAACCACCGATTTGCGCCGATAGTCCACGGATATAGTCTCATTTTATACCATGCTAGGCCCATACTCAAGAACGCAGCATGCGTGACGGCTTGGGTGTCGGCAGTAATCCTATCGTGCTCCTCGTACGTCAAAAAAACGAATTGGCTTTTCAAAGATGACATTATCGCTTCGACCAAGGGCGAGGACGAGTCTCTAGAGCAGCGATGTCTAATAATGACCAATGGTTGACCTTCAGAGCTCACTTTGGGTCCATGTAACGAATGCACCGAAACGATGTCCACGTCTCGGGGTAAAAATTTCTCAAATGCGGAGATTTCAGGACTTTTACAACTGGTTTGACCGCCAACAATTGATCCCATTCTCGTTGAAGGCCCATACAACGAGACTATCTTTTCGATATTTTCTGCCTCCACGCTGTAAATAATGTAGTCACTAACACGCGAAACCAAATGCCCATTTTGTACCACTTCAAACTTGTTCTCGGCATACTTTTCAACCAATATCTCATACATTTCGGCTCGATCACAACAAACAACTTTCCAACCGGCCTCCGCAAATGCGTTCGCATACATTAACCCCATGTCACCAAGCCCAATAATGCCGACAACTTTAGTTTCTTGCCATTTTAAGATATCTTGATCGCTCGTCATGATGATTGATACTAGAACTAGAGTAGGAACCTGCTCAACCTGTATTTTTACACTGTTTCTAACCTCATTAGCTTTTAATCCAGGGCATCTCGAGACGTTGAAATCATTCTTACTATAACCTAAATCAACACAAAAGACTCACAAGGGTTCACCAGTTATATATAAGATTCGATAGCTTAGCTAAGCTATAGTACGCTAAGGTAATGGTAGTTGAGTACTTGCAAGAATACGTGATGATAAGTAACTAAAGCGGTGTAAAGATGAAGTGAAGGTTGTCAAAACGAAGTGGCGATGGTGAAAACAGTGTAATGATGTGAAAATGGCAAGAAACAAATATAAGCTATGCTGTCCTTGGGTTTTCTTAGTCTCTCTTTCAACCATCAAAGCTCCTGAAATGTCTTGTTCCGAGATGTCGGGTATTTTGAATAAGAGAGAAGAGCATCAAGACACACGGAAGACGCGTGGAAGCAAATTCTAGCTTGTCTGCTTACGCTTTCAAGCGTATATGGTGCAGCGGCTGACGGAAAAACACCATCTATTCTGGAGGCCGAATTGCAAGATTTTCGGCCATCTCCGAGATAAAGTGACGTTCACATATATAGACTGCCAAACTAAAAGGCAGAAATCGCCAATTCGAACAATCCACAACCCATGCTTGCAGAACTCTTGACAATCGAGGGGTTTTGTCGTTTTGGCAGTATCGTGTCGCCCGACGAAGAGATATCCAAGCTAGACTCGTCGGCCAAAAATGCGAATCAGGGCACCGCGTTCAAATTATTGAAAATCAGCCAATTACAAAACTCGTTCGGTCAATTGGTCCCCACTCCCAGCGTCAACATATTCAGATGTTTCCCGCAGATCCATTTGCAAAAGAAGATTGTGGAAAACTCTGACAACGAAACCATCACGCATGAAGTCAGGGTCCTGGAAAAACATCCGTTTAGTAGCCAAACGTTTATACCGATGGGTGGTTCAGCAAACGAGATCGCCTATTTGATAGTGGTGGCTAATTCCGACTTAAGCGGCGAACCTGACTTAACAACTCTGAAAGCGTTCATCTGTAGGGGCAACCAGGCCGTTACTTATGGTGCCGGCGTATGGCATGCTCCTATGATAGTGGTCGGTACCAGATCTTTTATGGACTTCACCGTGGTCATCTATGAGCTACTAGACGGCAATCACCCAGAAAAGGACTGTGTGGAACGACTTTACAAGAATCAAGAGGTAGTGATTGAAATGAGTACGATTAACCCTGTGTAAATGAGGGATTTTGTTAGAGTGGAGATTCTTGATGATATAACCCAGACGAACTAGATTTTCTTACGACAACTGTAATGTTGGTGATTATTGGCTTTACATTATTTAATAAAAGAGCTAGATTCATGGAAAAGCTGACGAAAAGAGGAATCTGGAGTCATTTTACGGGACGATTTGACAACAGTTGTTAGATAGAAAGCTCTCTGCTCTGTTCATGTTGAACGTCTATATATCTTGTAGAGGAAATTTCAAAACCAAATTATTTCGCTTCTCTAGCGCATCTCATCGCGATCAAAGACGGACAATGCAACAAGTATCGAAGGGTTTAGCCGATCTGAAAGTCGAGCAGACAGTAACAGATCCGCAGGGCAACCCCGGTACAAAAAATCGGGCTGTAACAAAACCCGTGTCACTGAATGCCGCTACGGGAGAAGTGATGGTGAAAAAATCCACTGGAAAGTCGAAAATTCGTAAAGGTCAGCCGGAAAAAGAGTACCAAAGGCAATTAGAACATTATATCGGGGTCGAAAAGGGGCCCCTACATACTCCAGAAGGTTGGATGGCCAAAAACGAAGCGCTGCGCGAAGTTGTCGAAGGCCCGGAATTAGATTTGACATTAAAACAGGATAGACAGCAATTAGTGAGTCGATGCCATCTCTTGTACTATGAAAGACAGTACGCCGAGTGTGCCGCGTATTGTGAAAAATTGCTTAGCCGGTTTGAAGTTCTAACGGATGCGAAAAGGACCCAAAAGGAGAAAGACGAACTGCGATACATTTTGAAACAGTGCCAATCCAAGCTGTCGCAATGAATCCGTATCTGTTTTAGCATTTCTTAGCTTGCATATATTCTAACTTCAACTCCGCTCAAATTTCGCGGTTGCAACCGCGTTTCTCTGTCTTCATCGCGTATGTCGATCTCGCTATCGTCGCTGTCAGCTATCTCGTCAAAAACAGAAACGCTCTGCGTTCTCACTTCGACACGGTACGCTCTTTCGCCCTCATAGTGACATGCGACGGAAAGACATTTTTCCACAGCTTTCCCCATCCCTAACACCGACACGTACTCTGCGCCATGGCGTCGTAACGAACCCAGCAACTTACCGATCCGCTTCAACGCGGAAATATACGGCGTCGATGCCTTCAAATACATGGTCGTCTTGATTTTCTTGTGCGAGAAGACCTTCATGGTAGGATGTTTCGAAATCAATTTCCCGCTCGATTTTTGAGCTCCAAGTCCAGCGGTTTTTCCCTCCATTAGTATACCCATTAATATACTATTTCGTCCCCTCGAAATAACCTCAAAAGCCGGTATTAAACTGGCAAAAAGGCTTGTTAAATTGGGCTCGAATCATCACTCGACTCAATCGATGCCCACTCGACAAGATTGACAAAGTCACGTGACAAAATACTATCACCTTCTACGGAAACATTGAATAAAGTCATATAATACGGAATGATGAAGTCACATGCAGAATCTAATGATGTCGCTCAGAACGGCATAATCACGTTCCGTTCTACAACGGCAAGGAACCTCAAGAAACCCTAAACCATTGACAGGTGAACTACTACTGTGAAACAGCCGCTTTAATGTTGATTTGAAGCACCTTAGGAACCGCATTTTTGGGAATGGACACTTAAGATACTGGAATGTCCAACGAAAGCGCGAAAATTTATGCGAAACTGACTCAAAATGCGGGCCAAAAAGCTTCCTTGACGTCCAGTATAGTACCCCAGCTTGCTTGGGCTTTGCATAGATTGTATCCGGCTCTGATCATTTTTGATGGATTTCTTAGTAATGTGTTGTGGTGTTGTGATGACAAGTGTCTTCCTTTTATTAATTTAGTGCTCTGGACCCTGGCAATTGGGCTTATCGACCCCAGAGGATCGAGCTTCGTCGCAAAAAGCGTCTACGTTTGGTTGGGGCTCATGAGCGCTTTTTTCCTGACGTTCTCATGGTTTTACTACGTGTCGTCAGTAGTACGCGATCTCGAACAGGCAGAACCTCCCACGGCGGACGATATTGTCATTGTGATGGAAAATGTTGTTTTCAAATTGAAGCGCTTAGCGGATGATTTCCGACTGTTACTGGACAGAAGAGCCTTGCGGCGATTAACCGTTTACGTGTTACTGTTGACACCATTCTACGTGTTTGCGACCCATTTTTTCTGGGGCCCCAGAGACATCCTAACGGGGATTTTGGTTATCGGTGGATTATTTCACTCTTCGTGGTGTCAGTCAACTCTTCGTCTCTGTTGGCGCAGCTTGTGGGTAAGACGTCTGTGGTATTTTCTGTCGCCTCAAAGTAATGGCGTCAGCCAGGCTAAACCTTACATTGTTCTCAGTGAAAACTCCGAGATCCCGTTTCCTCGCGCCCTGGAAGGTATTGTGGGTCATGAACTCGGTATCAAATTGCAAAAAATTATCAGTGACCCGATTGTTTGGGATGGTGACCATGCGGGCAAAGTCAACGTAAAAATAGTGGAATTTCAAATCGACGAAAATCAACGGAAATGGCCCTCTGACGGCTGGACCTCAGGCCTTTTACCTTATGAAAGACCTAAATTCTCATTTACGGCAAATACGCCGTGGCTAGCTGCGTCTTCGCCCTGGGAGTTCCAGGAAAACCTCGACCGATGCTGGTTCTGGATGGACGATTGTTGGAAACCTTCTTCCTGGACATATTTCGATTCAGGATGGCGTTTCAAGGGCCAAAATGATTCAATTGACTGTTACACAAGAAACAGAACCTGGAAAAGAAAGGCATACCGTCTTTTATAGTCATAATATCGCCATGATATTGCCTTCATGGGGTTTAGTTTTGTTGTAGATATCAAGATTTTTGTAAGGTTTCTAGCTTCAAGAGAAATCAACTACTTAACAAATAAGTCTTTAATGAACTAAAGACTGAGCAAATACAATGATAAGGACCGGTATCAAATGTCGGATACTGAGAAGGCAAATCCACAGTTCGAATAGTCTATTAATCACTTTTGAAGGAAACACGCACGGTGTTCAGGGCACCGATGAAGAAAGAATGAGAAATGTATTTGGTGGGAGAATAAAAGGAGAACCTCCAAAATCTACAAGTCGATACATCCAACAGGGCTCAAGAGATATCGGTGGGATTTCTGTACCTGAGAGACCTACAGAACCGGACAATTGTTGTATGTCAGGTTGCGCTAATTGTGTTTGGGAGATATTTAACGATGAATTACGGGATTGGAAACATAGACGGAAAGAAGCTGCTGAGCAAATTAAAGGTACTCAGGTGAAATGGCCTGCTGATTTTGACCCTCCTTTGAAATTTTTGGATATTCAAAATGTACCTATGAGCTTGAAGACTAAAAAGATCAATCTGGACAGACAGAAACGACGGAGTACTGCGTCTTTATTCCCTCCAAGAGAGGGTTCTTTGCCTAAAAGTGTGCTAGAGGCCAAAAGGCGACATGCTCAAGAAAAACAAGAAGCTAAGGCTACTATGGCAGACGAAGATTCGGAAGAGGGATGGGGTGATGTACCCATGTTCATCAAGGTGTTTGCTGAGTTCGAAAAAAAGAAAAAGCTAGAGCATCAGAAACAACACCAGCAACCTCCGGAGCCGAAATCCAACTGATGTTTCACAGTTTTCTGTTTTCTGTTTTCTGTTCAACTTCTAGACATACATTCCCATAAATATTATATATTCAGCATATCGTACTTCCCGTCATATAAAAATGGTCTTAACGACAACCACTTATAAGTGTAAATTTATCATTAGATATTTAAACAGTATCTGGGACAAGAGAGACTACCATCTCCTGCAATCGTTAGCATTGTACATGTAGAAATGTTTTTTGTTTCTTCAGGGCAAAGATTTAGCTTAATCGAGGTCGATGTCACCTTCAGCATCTGGCTTCTCTTCCTTCTTCTCAGCTTCAGCCTTTCTTTGAGCAGCAAGCTTTTCAGCCATCTCAGCCATTTGAGAAGCTTCTTGTTTAGCTCTCAAAGCTTGCCTCTTCTCTTCTTCTTTAGCCAAGTATCTGCCTCTGATGATGTTACCCAAAGAAGCGAGCTCCTCGTACTTAGCAATGTATTTGGCCTTGATGGAGTCGAAACCATCTTCGTAAAGCCAGTCTTCGGCCTTAGCAAGCATATCTTTCAATTTGGACTTTTCTTCGTCGGAAGCAAAGCTGGCGTATTCCTCATCCAATTTACCACGCAAAGTGTAAATGTACTCCTCCAAAGCGTTCTTACGGTCCTCAGTTTCGGCGACCAACTTGTCCTGAGCGGCAAGCTCGTTCTCCTTTTCAATACACTCGTTCAACTTCTTTTCGGATAACGCAAAGGTATGAGCCACAATATTCAAAGTGTCCTTCTTGACAGTCTTGGTGACTTCTCTGTATTCAGGCTCAGCGTCTTCTGGAGCATCGGCCTCCTTTGGAATTTCTTCTTGAACGGTAATGTCCTCCACAGTGTAGGCACTCTCGATGGTGTGTAATCCAGATGGATCGCATCTCAATTTTAGCTTGACAGGGATGGAAGTTTGACCCTTTGGAAGTTGAACACCCGTAATGTCCCATTTGGCGAGCTCCACAGGGGTACCAGCGGGCAATTCCTTGGCGTTTGTGTATTTGGCTTCCATGGAGAAGTCACCAGTGCGGTGAAGGGTGATCAACTTGGTAGATGGGAAAGAGCTTCCAGCTGGGAAAACTTCTAGATGATCTTCGTCTTCTTCTTGCTTGTCCCAGAAGTAAGAGACAGAGTATGGGTGAACGTCCTCGAACTTGAAAGGACGAACTCTCATGGTTGGAGAGTGAATGGCGCAAATGAAAGCAGCACCTTTGGCGATAGCCTCATCCTGGTTCAAGGTAGCGGATAGTGGCTTACCAAAAGCCTTAGAGATGGAGTCCTTCAAGCTTGGAATACGAGTGGTACCACCAATGATTTCAACAAAATCCACGTCCTCGACAGTAAGCTTGGCGTTCGCCAAAGCTTGTTCAATTGGCACGGTGACACGGTCCAATAGAGGTCTGACAAGTTCTTCCAAATCCTCACGGCTCAATTCAGAGGAAACGTCGACGTCGTTCATGACAGATTCAACATTGAAGGGAGCAGCAGTGTTAGCCGACAACACTTTCTTCAGTTTTTCAGCAGCAGTGATAACTCTGTTGTAAGCCTTGGCATTCTCTCTGATATCGATCTTGTACTTGGTCTTGAACAAGTCGGCAAAATGTTCAGTGATGGCACGGTCGAAATCTCTACCACCGAAATGTTTGTCGTAAGCGGTTCCCAAGACCTTAAGTTCACCCTTCTTGAAGGCACCAATCGAACAGGTGTATGTAGAGTGGCCGATATCAACAAAAGCGACGATTCTTGGTTTTTGGTCACCTTCTGGCAAATCGCCCTTGAAAACACCGTAAGAAACAGCCGCCGCAGTGACGTCGTTCACGATTCTGACTGGGTTCAAACCGGCGATCTTAGCGGCATCAGCGATTAGGTAACGCTGTTCCTCGGTGTACCAAGCTGGTACAGCGATAGCCACATCGGTAATGTTAGCCTTGGTTTCAGAGATCACAGTGTTCTTGACTTTGTCGATGAACATAGCAGCCAACTGAGTGGCAGAGAACGTCTGTTGTTCGCCTGCAAATCTCACTTGGGCACCAATTTTACCATTGTCCAACTTGACAAGCTTAGAACTGAAGTACTTGGCTTCCGTGGCAAAGTCGGCATCGTCGTAGTTCAAGCCGACGATTCTCTTCAAATTGTCCACAGTGTTCTTGATGTTTGACGTCTGCTTGTTCTTACCAGCTTCACCCAAAAACCTATTCTTCTGGCCAAATCCCACCATGCTTGGTGTGGATCTGTTCGAAACTTCATTGACGACAACATCAATGCCTCTGTTTCTGGCAACGGCCAAAACAGAGTTGTTGTTACCTAAATCCAACCCAAATGGAGTACTCATCTTTGTTCAACTAGCTCAACTGGTCTAACTCGTTTTGCAGATTGACGTTGGTATAGTTAGTGCAAGCAATGGTTGATGGCGATCGTTAAAAATTTTCTCTTATTTAAATGCTATGATCACGTTGATTTTCGAGAGCCTTCTAGAAAATCTAGAAAATCCAAGATCATCGTAGTGATAATGGTGAAAATTGGTGAAATCGGTGAAATTCGTTAACTCACGAACTCTCTTGGAGGATCATGACGAAAGTTTGCCAACCTGGCGTTGACACGAGTCTGTATAGCGAGTCTTGTTTCCCTAGAACGGTTCCTTGTAGTAACATTTTCCATTCTTCCGAATTCAAAATTTGTAAAGAATGAACATAAATGAGTAGATGGAAATCAGACAGTAGGTTCTGCAAAGCAACAAAATCTCCTTGTGTGGCTGGCGTCAGAAGCAAGGACTTGAGTTGGAGGTAGTCTTGTGAAACTCCCATGGCGTGCCGATTGGCCCATGGAAATTGGGAGCTGTTGAACGTGAGTTTTCTGGAAGAGTCAGGTTTCGGGAACCCATGGGTCAATGAGACTAGCAAGTACTCGACTGGGAACGCGGGTTTGGCGTTCTCTTTGACCGCTAAGTTGTACTCGTTCTTGCGCATGTAGAATATTTCTGGGACGTACCGATCGGCGTTCGTTTCTTGAATGTAGGCCATCGACGGATGCGTCGAGCCCTCGACGAAATCCGCTTGGACAAGCGCCTCTGCGCCCGCAGAAACCTGGTACGTCGAGATGTCAATCTCGCCGTCAACGTTGCCCGAGATCACGCAGGTTACGAACTTGGAGGAGAATTTGCCCTGTTCGCTGTATTTGCACGCGTTCGGGAACTTCAGTTGGTGTTTCGCAGCCATGATTACTTCGAGAGACGACAAAAAAAAAGAATCCTTGTGCCGTTTACAGAATACAGATCCGTCTCCAGCTCCGGCGTCGGTTAAATCTGTGAATATCATCCCCAGACGCACGAGTCCCATGTCCGAAGCAACGACATCGATTTTGTGCATTTCTTCGGCTACCATGGATACGTCCATACTGAGCCCGTCAGACTCGTCGTGTTGCGGAGGCTCGTAGATTGCATCCACCACAGCAGAAATTCCCAAAGGAGTGCTTTCGTATCTGTCGTAATGCCCGTATAAATACCCGAACCGTTGCGTTCCTGTGGTTCTCCAGCTGTTTATGAACTCGTTGATCATTTCGCTACGTTGAAATTCGACATAGTCCACCATACGGAACGGTTGTTGCTGCAGCGTAATCGCAGACGGCTGACATTTGGAGCATATACCCTGGGGCCAGGGTTTATGGCCCGTGGGACAATTCTTATTAATCCTGAAGTCCGGTTGTGACAACGGTGCGATGTAAGAGCTTGCGCTGGATTTCTTGTTGGTTTGCTCGTTGAGTTGCTTCAAATATGCATGGAAAGATATGTGCTTCAAATTACGCTCTTCGTGATATTCTCGGTCCCAGGGCGGAAGCGGCGCACAGTATTCACACATACCTTTATCACCGTGTCTACACAAACTAGATTTTGCCCGTGGAATAAGCCCGTCTTGAGATTCCAATTCCTGGTCAATTGCCAATTCCTTAACTTTCAAAGGCGCAGAAAATCCAACACCTGCATTCAATTTCACTGATGATTGATCCCTATCTGGGTTCTCTGCGTTCTCAACGTTATGATCCTCTCTCGTCCCGTAATTCACATAAAGCATGTCCCCATGCTTTAATCCAAGCTGTTCAACAGTTGACGTTGCAAGTGTGGCAGCTGGCTTCAAAGACGATGGCTTTTCACCAATGGCTAACGACGTCTCATCCACATGTGCTCCTAATTTCACGATTAGTTGCTCCAAGACAGCTCCAAAAGTCCAGTTTTTTTCACATTCGAGCCTGTGCATTCCATTCGGCGCGCGAAATCTCAAAATCATGGTTCAAATGGTTCGGTTTTGTCTTTGTCGATGCCTTGTTCTTGATATATGATAAAGGTAGTAACGTAACGTCTGGCTTTTAATATTAATTTGATATTCAAGAAAATCTTGGAACTTGAACAATTAACAAAATCGTGACCAAGAAAGCGATCAAGGATGTCGTTTAACGAGACGTTTGATAGTGATAGCTTTAACAAGACGAATGGTGACACCTTTGAGCCAATTTCAGAGACGAAATCCGTGTCCTTTTATACACCTATGGTGTACGTTTCGATCTTACTGATCTCACTGGTAATATTTGCATCGCGGTACAGAAGAAAAACGATAAAAGAGCTAAGTGAACTTCCGTCTATGTTTGATGAATCCGTAGCCAGGGACTTGTATTTTGAGATTCAAGGACTTGCTGAGACTGGGGAATCTAAGGTTCACGAGAAAGTCGTGAAAGCTGCGCTTTTGAACAGAGGTGCAGAGGCTATTAGAAGAACTTTGAAACTTAAAGAAAGCGAGCCCCAAATCACTGTTCTTTACAAAAACGGGTCTGTTGGTGAAGAATATTGGAAACGGTATCAGAACGAAGTGAAACTCACGGAATTAGAATTCAAAGAATGTATTCAAGAAGCAGAAAAATTACAACCTGGGTGGGCTCAGCTTTTCGTAGCGATCTCCAAGGAAATCTGCTTCAACCAGGCGATGGCAAGACGATACGAATCGATTTTGACTCGTAAAGAGGTCAATATCAATCAATGGGCGTTAAAGTTAGACGACAACGGTAAGTTGGTAGACTAGTGTCGTTTCCGTCGCAGCTTGATGTATGTACGCGTCTATAACATGCAAGAGCAGAATGATAAAGGAATCTACTGAAACACAAAATACAGAATGACTCACTGACTACAGACACACGTTTCTATGTTAGGCTTGAAGCGCACAAACTAATGCCTTCTGTTCTTCTTCTTTCCAACAACTTGGAATTCCCAGTCATCGACATCACCCTCGGGTAAGGCAAGAGCTTCACTCCAAGTAAGTGAATCGTTAACTTTCTTATCGCAATCGACACGTCTTTTGATAAATTCGGTGGCGAATCTCTTGCCATCCATGCTCAAACTGTTTGAATAGATGGTATCAGCTATGATTTCTCTCGATTCGGCACCGGTCGGTAAACTCAAGAGCACTTCCAAAACGCCATTGACGTCAACACCTGCAGATAATCTCATTTGAGATTTGCACCATCTTAAGAATTCCTGGCGCACAGAAGTGGACGCATTCCCTGTAAAAACAGTCGACGCGACGTTTGAGGGTGCCTTGTTCTTCAATGTAGGAATACTTGTAGATGATCCAATTTGTTTCACACCGGCAGCAGCACTCACAGAACGCAGTTTGTCTGGATTGATGTAAGAACTTGGCTGGTTAATCGCTTTGGATGCTTGATTTTTATTGGCCACAGGTTGCTTTTTCGTAACAGTCACCCATTCGTTTTCTTTATCAGCCAAGGAAGAAGAAGAAGTCCCAATTTTCAGTTTGGCAGCACGCTGTGCTTCTTCCCATAGTCTTTTTTGTTCAGCAACAAACTTTTTCTCCTCGAGTTGCTCCTTCTGGATCTGCTCAATAGTCTTGAACGCGGGTTTGTTATCCTTAACAGCTGTAGTGGATGCAGGTTTTTTACTGGCCCAGGTTGCAATCGAGCCAATACTGACGGGCTTCTTGTTCTCATTGATCAATTTCTGCTGCAACTTGGACGCAAGTTCGCGGGACTGCTGTTCCTGCTGTTCCTTGCGGCTTGCACTGAGTGCAGCTTCTCTTTTCTGAACATCTGCAAGAGATGGTCTTGCAACGGGGGTAGCAGCGTTGTTGGCCCATGGTGCAGGTTTTGCGGGTTGCAAAGCCGGCGACACGGGTTTTTTGGTTTCTTCTTCAATAAGACGCCCTTGCTCCAAAGCCCTGACGCGCTCATGTGTCTCTTGTTCTTCTAATTGCCGTTGTGCTTCTTGGGCTTGCTCCTGTAAAAGCTGTTGTGCGACTCTATCAGCCTCTTCTCTACGGGCCTGTTCCACTTTCCGCAATTGTTCTTCTTGGTGATGTTGCTCTTCCCTCTGAGCGAGCTCCCGCAACTCCTGTTCTCGACGCCTCAATGTCTCTCTCTGGTCGAACAGTTCTTGAGCATCAGCTAGATCCTTGTCCACTCTTTGAGCGACTCCCTGCCGGCCCTTCTTCGAATCATGGTCGACGATTGGTTCAATGGGTTTAACACTGCTTCTGATAGGAACATTTCTGGCTGGAATTCTAGCAGCGTTGGCATCCTGGAACTTTTCCGTAAACTTGTGTACGGGGATTTGGGCTACTGCCTCGTGGAAAAATCCTCCATCTAAATCTTTAATTTCCAGAATCTCTGCGTGCGAGTGATCTGGTGATCTAAGACGTGAACTAGAGGCATTCGTGGGTTGTGGCAATGACGAAGTAACTGCAGTTGGTTCCATGGGTGACTGTATGATCCCTTGATCAAAAAAGCTCATCGCTGGAGCTTGCCCAACCGTAGATGTGACGGGCACTTGGTTTTGCGCAACACTTTGTGCGACAAGTAGATCGAATCGGCTGAAGGGATCGACAAAATCTCCAACTTTCGAGATTAACACCCCGAGCGGGATGAATGCATCGTTGACCCCAAAGGGCTCTGGAGTTAGACCTACACGGCATACTTGTAAAGTCGCGTGCAGGTACCCGGCCTGGTACCACGAAGACATCGATTGGGACGTAAAGGGGCCTTGCACTTGTCCCTGAGTGTCAAAATATTTCCACTGGGACTGCGCTGGAGGCAGTGAAAAGACTCCGGGCGGTCGGGAGTCTGTGACACCGGTAGCACTTGTAGCGAACGAGGGACCAGGCGTGTCGACGGCTCCTGCAGCCCCAGTAGACCCCGCCGCAACTCCAGCACCGGATTGATGCTCATTGCCATCAAACAGCCTGCCCATTGCGTTCCCAGGCTGTTGTCTCTGCTCGGTCTGTGGTGTCCAATCAAGCGGCAGCGACGAGGGCGATTTGTTAAAGCCCGGCGTCTGTGCGAACTGGGGCTGAACTTGAGGCAGCACTTGCACTTGTGGCTGCGGCGGTGATGAGAAAAGCCTCGTATCCGAGCCCAAGTACGGAGACCCGTACCGCTGGATGCCCAAGTTATCGAAAAGCGACCCTGATTTGGCCAAAGAAACGCCTGAATGCCCTACTTTTGGACTCGAAACTTCGCTTAGCGACATACCTTGGAATTGCGCCCCCATTGATCTCAATGGCTCCTGGATGGTTCTATCAGTCGTATTCATGGCACCAAAATGTTATCGAATTTGAAACTGATCCCTCTTTGTAAAATGCGTACAAGCACGTCAAAAAAATTTTTTTTTGTTTTCTTTCAGAATCTCGTCCTAGTTTGGATTCTATCGCTGTCAAAGAAAGACCTTTAGGAGATCAGTTTTGTCTGTCAAACCGCTAGAGACGAACGAGTGCGACCACGGGAAAAGAAAATGGGCAAAAATGATGGCGTCGTAAATGAGAGAGGTGTATCGTTAGAGGTGATTGGGCTGAGGTGGACTGGGTAACGGGCCTTAAGATGTGCTGATGCACGAGGTGGGAGGGATTCCGGGTTTAATTGGAATGGAAAAGCGTTGTGGAAGAGCAGTAGCAGTGTCCATTGTAGTGTGCAGCAGCGGTGGAGTTTGTTGCGTCTTCGGATGTGATTTTTGGCTTTTTTTTGGCTTTTTTGAAGGTTGTGTGGTCATGAGTGGTAGATATCGTGACGTCGCGATGTTGCGGGGTTGTGGGTTCCCAAGACACGTCAGATACCGCTCTCATTGTTTGCGGAACCTGGTACGCGTGTGAAACCTAGAGACGTAGCTGCTGCTCGATTTGGCCGTGGACGTTGTGGCCGAGATCAACGGCGCCCGTGGCATCTGCGCTCGGGTAAACGTCCTCCCAGTCGACAGAGGCGTCCCTGTTCAACAGTATGTCGGCATGCATGGACCGCTGGCCCGTCGTGTCGAGCGGATTGAAATTCGAGTGCTCAACGATCTGCAACTCCATTTCGCGTTTGATAGGCTCAGCAATGCCAAACACCTGGCGGTACTGTTCGAGCTGTCTTCTGCGCTGAGTGGCGTCCCAGTTGTTAACTCTGTTCTCGAGCGGGTGTTGGCCGCTCAGCTCCGAGCTGAGCGGCAGAGCGCCCTTCTGAAGGCGCAAATTATCCGGAAGAGTCGGAGCCGCGTTGGACGTGGCTCCCTTGATCTGGTTGGAGGCAACACTGCTTCTGAAGTTGGACGATGGTACGACGTTCATGTTGTGCTAGGGAAATAGGGGGTTGGTAGTGGTGGTTGATGGTGTTTTGGTAAAGTTCGCGTCTCCCGCCAAGGTGCTCTTCTCACCGTTGAGTTTTTGCCACCGGAGCACGACACACGGCGGTATGGAGCCCCTTGGTCGTGAGAAATGACTTAGGGTCACATGACCTCTCAGTGGAATCAGGAAGCACAAATGAAGTAGATTTCAAATTGGTTCGACAGTTCACAGGCAGGGTTGGATTTTGATCTGTGTTTTCCCTCTTTGAAGATAACCGTCTTCCGCACAACTTTTCGCACGTGCTGGGCTTGAGATCACGTGACTGCTCCCACTCCTCACTCAAGCTCGCCATGGTGGCACCGGAGGCCCCCCTCCCAGCTATCCGCATTACGACAATCAAATATCAGCTAATAGCGGTACGTTGCAGAGGGCTCTCACCCTATCACTGTGAGCGACTCTAGACTGTCAGTACTTATACGTGTCACTTGAAACGGCAAGGGCATAAAAGCGACGGTATTCTTTAAGGAAATCAACAACGAGTTCAGGCAGGCCAGGCTGACTAGCTCTCAGAGAATCTTTAGGGCTTTGCCCATATTAGCAAAGTGCCCAACTTAGGAAAATAAGCGAGATTTGCCGGGTTCGTGCCCCACTACTGATTTATTCCAAACTCGTATCACTAGATTAAAACGTGAATGCTCGCTATCGTCGGAGCCAACCCACTCCGAGTGACGGGGCTGGCACGGGTATTTGCTTTTTTTACGTCCCTGTTGGTAGCTTTACAATGTGCAGTTGTCGAAGCGACAAAAAGAAGGTATCATGTGGCCACCATGACAGAGTTCCATGAAACAGAGTTTCCTAGAAGATATCTCTATTGAGGTTTACCGGTGTCGATGGCCGACACGCACTAATTGTTTGCTTGATTCTTTCACAGGATTAGATATGACTACTATAATGCTGTTCACGTTGTCTGTCGTCTGCTTACGCGTGACCTCACTCTCGTCGAAGAATCGTGGAGATAAAATGTGGACAAAAATTTTAACTGTTGAGGTTTATCATTGCCGGTGGTTGATAGATTTCTGAACTGTTCATTCAATTCGTTCATAATTGATCTAAATAATAAAGCTGGTAAGGAATTGAGTACTTATATCTCTCCGTGACTATCTTACGACCATGAACACTACGATCCTGGTCATATCAGCTCCTTTTATACAATTTCTGTAACATTGATCCAAATGTGGAATCCGTTACTTTCTTCAATCTAGACGGTGAATTCTCATCATACGTCATTCATCATACCACATATGATTACAATGTTCTGAAGATTCTAGAACTCCCAATGAACCTGTTTTAGCTTCCAGCTCTTTCGCGGAATGCCAATCCTCTGTCCAATCCTCTAATTTTATTCTGTCATATCGATCACGTGATGATGAAATTGAACGGTATCATCTTCTCGCCAGCTCCTTCCAACATTAACCTCGCACCATCTTTTAGACTCTTCACGATGCGATTGTGGTGATGTGACAGTGCTATGGCTTCCTGTGGAGTTCAAATTGAATCGTCCGTTCGATCTTCTCTTTTTAATCTGTCATCGTGGTCACGTGATACCACCAACTATTCTTTTCTCACCATCTCTTTCCAACACAATAGTGTCACAAGAACAGCTTGGAAGGAGAAGTTATGGCCCCAACGTACTCGATCTCTTATAATCTCCCAGAAATAAGCTGTTGATGAACAATTTAAGGAATTACAGGGTCGCTGACAGCCATTGTGGGGGCCTGGGGACTTCAGAATCGAGACCACAGGGGCCTACATAGGAAGGGAATGTGCAGTAGAGGAGGTATCTACAATTCGCATTTTACTAGCAAAGCTTAGAGCTTTCTCGCAAAGCCTTTGCCGAAGAAACTACGCTAAGGCTGACTTAGTCGTACATAGTGACCATAACTAACACTGGTGCAGATGGTTCGTGTATTTCAACAGGACGCGAACGTACCCCAGGTGGCTGCGTGACACCTCTAGACACATGAGCAGGACTTTTGACCAGAGTGGAAAGCTACCGAAAATGTAGTAAGGTTAGTAGTTTAGATTTGTTAGTCACGTGACCATGGTATCCTTCAAAACCTCCCAGAAGCAGTCTACAAAGAGGGGATATGGACATGGGTTTCCGACGTGTTTTACTGGTAGACTTGAACAGTTGAGTTCGAGCAACAACTCAGGGCAGGAAAGTGGCCTCCTCGAGGACAAGTAGAAACTCGTAAGTAGTGTTTTGGGCGATACTCTACAGTACGTACATAGTGATCCCCATTGTGATATCCAATACACATATAACTTCGATGGACTCGGTAGCTGACCCAATTCTTATCTGCGGTGGCGATGGGATGTTTCAGGCTCGAGAAATTAGCTCTAGTTGTGCCCAATTCTGATATTCTCTATACCGCGGCGAAAATCTCGCCCGACGGTCGCTTTATCGCTATTGGAGAAGACGCCAACGTTCTGGTCCATGATCTCGAAAAGGCACGTACAACAACGTATCCAACCGCACACACACGGCCAATTGCAAACTTGACTTGGTCTCCAGATTCACAGTGCATTGCGACTGCGTGCGACGATTTCACCATCACAATCACACATCTCGTGTATGGAGAATTGCATCGACTGACGGGCCACACCGCGCCCGTCACAGCTCTGGTTTACACGCCCAAGGGCAATCTGTTGTGCTCCTGTTCCGTGGACGAAAGTATAAAAGTTTGGGACACGCTAGAGGGCAGACTTCTACGTACGATGTCTGCGCATTCGGAATCCGTCGTTTCGATTGATATCCCAACGTGCGACGCTAGCGTGCTTGCGTCGGGCTCTTACGACGGACTCATCCGCGTCTTTGACACGGCTTCAGGCCACTGTCTCAAGACATTGACCTATGACAAGGACTGGCAAAGCGAAAACGGCGTGGTCCCCATTTCACAAGTCAAATTCTCCGTCAATGGCAAATACCTACTGGTGGCATCTCTCGACGGCATCATAAAGATATGGGATTATTTACAAGGGCGCGTCGTTCGCACATTTCGATCTGGTGTCTCTAGCACACTGAAATATTCTTGTGGCATGGATTTTCTGTACCCAGCGGACCCTACAAAGCCCCCAGTGGTTGTCACCGGCACAGAAGATGGGCACATTTACTGCTGGGACGCTCAAGACAAAACTTTGTATCAAGAACTCCTTGCTACCAACGACAATTCTCCGCTCATGTGCATAGACTGTCGCGAACAATACATGTGTTCTCTTTCGCTTCGCGGAGACTGTAGACTGTACAAATGGGTTGACGATAATTAATGTATATACTGATAAGGGCGACGCGTGAGCTAGCCAATGACCCTCTGATCTACAACTAGCAAGTTAATCTTTTTATGAATGCCGTATTCTAATAATCAAAAAAATGAAAACTGGTCAAAGGAGTTCCCTGATTAGGGACAATTGAGGATGCTGAGATTGCAAGCAAGAAGGCTCCACGCTGTTAAAGCGGCTCTTGCTGAATTGCCAGTTTCCAAGACCATTCGAGAACAATTCCAGTTGGCTGAGAATGGGTTGACCGTCAAACAGGCTTTAATGGCTCAATCAAAAGATAATATAACCTTGAATGGATGGATTGATCAGAAACCCAAAAAAGTTGGCAAAAATTTAACTTTCGCTACGTTAAGGGATCCCGGGGGTCAAAAGCTTCAGTTAATCGATTCTGGTACTGATTTAAAGAGCGCTGGTGTTGAGGATGTTGTTCAGGTGGTAGGACAATTGGTTCCTAAGAAGAGAATCAAAAATCAAGATACCGATACCTACGAGTTGCAAGTCAAAAGCTTGCAGACGCTTAATAAGGCCAATAAGAAACCTTCGCAGTTGGCAAATTTTAAAATTGATGGCAATTTCCCACCGGAAGACAGGGTTCTTCAATTGAGACTGCCCAAATTCCAGCGAAACTTAAAGCTCAGATACGAAATTACCAAAACTGTTAGAAGTTGTCTCGATTCTCAAAACTTTACTGAAATTGAGACGCCTTTACTATTCAAGTCAACTCCAGAAGGTGCTCGCGAGTTTCTTGTGCCGAGCAGACATCTTCAAAGCGGAGAACCTGCATTTTACGCTTTACCTCAAAGCCCACAGCAATACAAACAACTTCTAATGGCGAGTGGTGTGTCGCGCTATTTCCAGATTGCCCGTTGTTTCCGTGACGAAGATTTAAGAAGTGACAGACAGCCTGAATTCACACAGGTCGATCTCGAGATGTCTTTTGCTAGCGGAGAAGACGTCATGAAAGTGGTCGGTGACACCGTTTCGAAAGTTTGGAAACAGCACAGCGCGGACAACTGCTTAAAAACTTTGAATCGAGCAGGTCAAATCGTTGACGTAACTGAATCAACTCCCATACAACGACTGAGCTACAAAGAAGCCATGGTCAATTATGGTATTGACAAACCCGATTTGAGATTTCCTGATCTTAAGATACTGGATTTGTCGGAGTTCAAGGCTCGTGGTTACACCAACACCAAATTTCCCGTGTTTGAAATTTTAATTCTCCGTAATGCGTTTAGTGACAAGGAAGACTTGGAAATAAATTGGAGCATGCTCAGCGACGAGAAGCTGTATAATTACAGAGTCCCAACAGTGATACCCATTACCGACGAAGCTCAAGAAGTTAATTGGTTTGAAGGTTTCCATCCGATAGCGGCGTTTGAAAATCCGACAATACTGAAGAAATTCTTGAATCTTAGAAAAGGTGACATTGTATGTGGAGCTACTAGACAATTTACACATGCAATCTATGAGAATCCAACGCCATTAGGCCGTTTACGGCAATTGGTAACAGAAAGCGCCAAGGGGAAAGAACTGTATCAAAAAACACAACATCCTGTCGCAGCATGGGTACAAGATTTCCCCCTGTTTAACCCAGTAGAAGAAGAACTCGAAACCTCCGGGCGCAAACAACTGTACCCGGTCTACAAGCCGGACGCCATTTGTTCTACTCATCATCCTTTTACGATGGTCAAGCTCGCAGATTATTCTAAGCTCGAGACCGATCCCCTGTCCTGCCTTGGCCAACATTACGACCTTGTGATCAACGGAGTCGAAATAGGTGGTGGATCGACAAGAATTCATGTTCCCGAGCTCCAAAACTATATTTTTAAGAAAATACTGGGTCTGGAGAAACCAGAAGCGCTCTTTGGACACCTCCTGGAAGCTTTTGCAATGGGAACACCTCCGCACGCAGGGTTTGCCATTGGGTTTGACAGAATGTGTGCCATGATTTGTGGTACGACCAGCATAAGAGATGTCATTGCTTTCCCCAAGACAGCCACGGGTTCCGATCTCGTTGTTGGAAGTCCTTCTGTTGTGGGCAACGATGTTTTGCGATCGTATCATTTAAATGCTCGGACGGAGAAGGTGTCGTCAAATTGAGCGCTCAGCACTTGTAAATAACTTGTAAATATACTAGAAGCAAACTCACATTCACAATGATTTCGTCTTGCAAAGAATAACAATCACGTAGGGAATATAATCGACCCTAAAAGGCTGGAAGGAATTCTTGATTCGTATCTTGATTTCCCGGTGTCGGGCTTTTTAACTTTCGACATGAAAGCTCTCGAACGATTGAACATTGAACACAGACAAATTCTTAAAAGAGCCACATAGATAGATGGCTCCATTTCCAATCAAGACGATAACCTAGACTCCGGCGAAATAAGCTACCTCCGATATCATCAATTCATCGGTACTCTTCGTTAAGAGAAGGTCAACCCACACGGATCTGGCTTCTACAAAGAAGATATCCTGTAATAAGATATTCCTATCCGATATAGTGTAACGGCTATCACATCACGCTTTCACCGTGGAGACCGGGGTTCGACTCCCCGTATCGGAGTTTTTTTAGTTTCAACTTTGAATTCTAAGCTGGTTTCGTCCACATCTACAATACCTTCAAATGTGAACTAACGATTAAATCTCTACACATACGGTTTAAAACCTGAGCTTTCCTTATCCTTTAATACCTTACCTGTGCTCTTCTAATGGTCCGTGGTTGTAGGCTTAAATGGCGTCCTCTGTTTATCAAGAAGTATGCCTGGTGAAGTGATTCCCGTACTCTAATGAGCGTTCGTTTGATATCAAATGGGTAGCGTTGATGAATTGAACGGTGTGGAATGGGAAATGCTCTGCAATCGCTCTTTTCCCATCTTGATCAGCAAAATTGGATTTTACCGTCTTGATAAAATCGAGGGATCCCGGAAAGTGTTTGTGTGCCATCAAGTGCGCCCTCCAGTCAGATATGTCTGTGACAGCTGCATCCTTCATGTGGCGCACTGGGTTTCTGAAATATGTCATTCCATTGGCGTTTTAAAGCACGGGATGCCGGTACTCGTGGGGTTTAGGAGATTTAATCGTGAGATTGTTCAAATGATAGTCTCTCATACCGGCATTCGGGATGTACCGCTTCTAGGCCTGACCTGCTTTCTTGGGTTACAGTTTGTCGTCCGCTTTAATGTGGGCCTGCTCGATAACCTCAACGGAGGATTTGACATACACTTTCAAAAAAGGTGTAACTTGCAGTTGCACTACGGGTGCTTTGCATGCGTCCCGAAATCTCTCTGGCTGTTGTAACAGCGCGAGCATGGCTGACTACCTTGACCCCCATGAAGTATCCGAAGAGATTGAATTTCTCCAGATTCTGCTCCAGTATGAAACTCATCACATCTGAGGTTAAAGTGGCATAATTGAAGGGCATCGTGCTCCGCAAGCCCATGGTACCGAAGATCCAACACGTACACCTGCGACTGGAGGGCTGTGACGATCTTTTTGCAATCGTTCGAATAATTTTCCTTGAAATCGAAGAGTCCATGCATGAACACGGTTGGCTCTTCAAATGGCAAGGCATTTTGCCAATGACAAAGTACTCAGGCGGGTGAAAGTCGTATGCCAGCTTCACAATATTCTTTTGAGACAGTAGCGTCAGTGTCTTTGCGGTGGTCGAATTGCATTTCCTCAGAAGCTATGAAGTCGGCATTTTAGTTTTTACCAAGAGAAAATCGTCACATCAGTGCCTTGGGAATTTTACGTGCATGTTAATATGCTGGCACTATATACTCGCACTCATTGTTCAGAGCGATCAAATACCCTTCTACTCCGCGAGCGCTGTCCTACTTTTATCTCCGAATTTGATTCTCGAGCCGTATCCAATCTTGGCAATGCATTACAACGGTGATGTAGTGCGGCAGTTTAAACCGGAAAACGAACACCTAACTCCGAATTTCAAGATTTGCGTCAAAAACAAGCTTGCTTCGTGGAACTTTCGGATTCCGTGCATTTTGTTGGTTCAGCGCTGGGGGGATTTGTACATAGAGGTTGCACTTGCCAACGAGCTATGACACGAGTATACGTAAATTTTAGAATATTGAGATCGTTGCAAATTTTTTCAAAACAACAAACAGGTCTTGGCTTGTTGATATTTGATTGTCTGTTGATATTAAATATAGTCTCAAGGTGTCGAACTATTCGAACTGGTGAGACTCTCGTAGGAAAAGAAGCCATGAGGGGTATTCTATAGTGAAAGGTGGAAGCTTCCTGTCACCAATTTTGTAATCTTGTCGGCGAAGCTTTAAATAGTGATCACTCTTGTTAATATTAAAGTCATTTTAAAGATCAAGCAGAGCGCAACGTGGGCATTCTCAGAAGGGAACATTCAGGATACGAATAGCATTTTCTGAAATGTCAAATCTATGGAGAGAGCGCATACACGGAGATCACACTAACAAAACGGCTTCTCACATGAAGAAGAGACACGAAATGTTCGTAAAGATGGAAATGACAGAGAGGACAGAAAAGACGAAAGAGACGGAAACGACTACATATCCAACACTGATTTGATTTACTTCGACACACTCTTTAGGCCTTCAGCCTTTTCACCCTCTCTTGTAGAAATTCTTTGACATCTGTAAGTGGCAAGCCTCAAGTTACAGTGTCTGTCCAGTGTAAAGTCCTTTAGCGTACCTTATTAATGATCTTTGCCACCTCACACTGTCTTGAAAATCAAGAAATCAAGCTTTCCGTTCAGATCAAAGACCTTTGGAACGATTAAAGCAGATCCCAGTTCACGAAGCCATGCTCCGATTGACCAAGCTCGGAACCAACGTCGTGGGACGACGGCTGTACTCGGTAGCACCTGTAACGCCTGTGAACCAGATAACAATAGCAGATCTATTTGCCAAACATGTCTCGAAACAACCCATTACTATGATTACAGCGTACGATTACATTACTGGGACCTGGGCGCAAGCTGCTGAATGCGATATGGTCCTGGTGGGCGATTCGTTGGCCATGTGTGCATTGGGCTACAATTCAACTACTGAGATCTCGCTCCAAGAGTTCAAGTACCATGTTGCAGCAGTGTGTCGAGCACCGGGAACTGCTTTTGTTGTCGCAGACATGCCCTTCGGAAGCTTCGAATCGAGCCTTGAAAAGGGCATCGAGACGGCCGTGTCGCTCATGCAAGTCTCGAGCAAAGTAGGTGCCGTCAAACTCGAAGTGGGCAGTTCCAGCAACCCGAACGGGCTACGGGACTATTCTCTACGGCTAGCTGAAGAGTTGTGTTCAAGAGGTATACCTGTAGTGGGTCATATTGGACTCACACCGCAGCGAGTCCATGCTTTGAGTGGATACAAAGCCCAAGGCGGGGCCGATGCTCGTCGAGCAGAAGCGATACACAGAACTGCCCAAGAATTGGAAAGAGTAGGATGCTTTTCTGTGGTCTTGGAGTGTGTTCCGCATAAAGTGTCCGAAACCATCACACGGAACTTGAACATTCCTACGATCGGCATAGGCGCGGGCAAAAATACCAGTGGTCAGGTCCTGGTGCAGTCGGACCTTCTGGGTATGTTGCCGGGCAAATTACCGCGTCTTGCGAAGCAGTACGGACATTTGTATGAAGACAGTGTGAGATGCATAAGAACCTACATGGACGAAGTGACGACAGGCAAATTCCCAGAGAACGAAAAACATGGGTTCAGGATCAAAGAGACAGTGTGGCTCGAGTACCTTGCAAAAGTGGGAAAGGGTAACGGTGATTTATAAATACTTTTATATTTGACTTGTCGAGCTATTGTAATGACCTTTAGCTACTCGATTGTAATAGTTTGTCCCAGCTCCGGACAAAAGCAGGAATCGCGAATCCCACGCCATTCGGCGAGCGTTTCGAGCTTTTCCTTCGGTTCCCGGAAATACTCGCCACTCAGCACAAATGTACCCCAGTGTACCCCCAGGACGGTTTGCGCCTTGAGATCGTCTCTAATCTTGATAACTTCCTCGGGACAAATGTGACGGGGTTTCTGGTGCCATGAGGGGCAATACTGACCACACGGTAGCAGCGCCAGTTTCACATTAGGTCCGCACCAGTCCGAAATCCTTTTGAAAAGGTCGCTAACATAACCTGTATCGCCAGCATGGAACAGTATTGGTTTCCCACAATCGGCCAACAGAAACGAACACCACAAAGACCTGTTGGTGTCAACCAAAGACCGTCCTGACCAATGCATTGCGGGAGTACATGTGATTTTGAAATTCAAACGCTTGCTGTTGATTTTGAGCGTCTGCCACCAAGATAGTTCGATCACTTTATGGACTCCATGATCGTTCATGAACTCTTTCATTCCCTGCGGCACAATCCATAGCGGCTGGTGTTTACCCTCAGACCCCCAAAATTTGAGACTTTTGAAGTCCAAGTGGTCTGGATGGTTGTGAGATACCAAAATCACATCGGGTGTCGGAACGTCTTCTATTTGCGCAGGCATACGAGTGATGCGTTTGGGGCCCAACGTCTCGTGAACGATAAAATCTGAAAACAATGGGTCTGTCAGTACCCGAAACCCGCGATAAACGATCAGGTTGCAGGATTGACCGAGCCATGTTGTGTGTATTGGGTATGATGCTGTTGATGCACTACTTGTATCAAGTCTTGATTCGTCAACATTGTAGGTAAATGGAACTGTTTCCAAAGCCAGTTCTTCTTTTGGGCACCACTTGGGCTTGTGGATGGGCATCAGTTGATCCATAGACCCTTGATCGATTGGGATTCCGCCTCTGTTCCGCTGGAAAAGTTCCAGAACTCGGTTCAAAAAGAACTCGAACGCTGTTAGCACCCGGTACTCCTTGAAAGGGTTAGCAAATCGGCCCAAAATTTGCAACGGCGAGTATTTCACCAGCGTCGTACTCCTTGAATCATTTCGACCCTCAGATCCTTCAGATTTCGCTGCGTTTTCCCGACGATCGATTTCTTCACTGGCGGTGGCAGCGATATACAACGCGTACGCAGTGTACGGAACCAACACTGTGAGAAATGCCCGTTTAACATAATGTCTGCTACGACCGTTTCGTCCGTTTTCGTCCTCGTTTTTCTCAGACCCATTTTGAGTGCTCAATTGTCGTCTTATATCTCCAGCGAACACTTTTTGAAGTCGACAGTGCTCATACTTGTAGAACTGGTTCATACATAAAGAACCCCGTCTAGGCAAGCCAGTTCCACGGGAACACATGAAAACCATCCGAAACCGCTACAATCCAGTCAAAGCGGTCGAATGTTACTTCCCAGGGAAAGGTTTTGTTGGCCAAATTTTTCATGAACTAAGCGACATTTATTTAACAATCATTGGTCGATGTCCATTAAACGACTAACGATGACAAGAACCAGTTTAAGCTTGGTACCACCTTTAAATGGGCGTCAAAAAGCCACGGCAGGTGTTACGGCAAGAGTTCAGGTTCGAGAACCGTTCACTTATGGATACTCTTCGTGAGATGCCTTCCGGGTAAACGTCGGTGAAGATATCCAAATTTTTCAGACGAGCTAGCTCATCGCATGGAGATCATGGAACTCGATGAGTTATAAAAGCCAAAAAAAAAACGGTCAGGATGTCGTTCAGAAAGCGTGGGGATGTAATCACGCAGCTGCACAATGACAGAAACCCCGAACAGCGTTTTTCCAGGACCGAAATAACCAATGTGCGAGGTACAAAATCAATTAGAACGCCTGGTGGGATTTCCGCGGGGACTCGGGGTGTTAATCCGACGCTTGCCAAGTTGAAGGCTTCTAGGAACTCTAGCGGTATCACAGAAGTCATTGCTGGCTTGGAACAGGTTTCTATCGATGAGTCTGATTCAAGAACAACCCAGCAATCTAATTTTCATGGTTCTCATCCAGGTTTGAGACCTTCGCCCGCAACGTCTTTGCCAACGACTTCCACAGGAAGTGCAGATTTGGACAAGATTTTGAGGCACATGGGTCTTCCATTGGGGCAATCACTGCTAATAGAAGAGCAAACCACAACGGATTTTAGCTCTGTGTTGGCTAAAGTCTTTGTAGCCCAAGGTATCGTTCACAATAGAGTCGACGGTGGAGGGACCCAAGGAGCTGGTAACACGCATGTGGTTGTAGTAAGTCCCAACCAGGCGTTTGGCAAACAGCTACCTGGAGTGTATCATGGATCGACGAAAGACATCAAGCGATCTAAGATTTCAGAGCAAGAGTCGAAAGTGACGGTTCAGAATATGTTGCAGCAGCAGCAGCAACAAGGCCAACGCACGACTTCAAAGGACTTGAAAATCGCCTGGAGATACGGCCTGAATGATCAGAGACACAAATCTGGCAGTGGGAAACGAACTGAATCTGACTTGGAAACGTACCCGCGTTACAACAATGCCTTTGACATCACATCTAGACTCGTTCCTGCTCCCACATCCGCCGAAATAACGTTTATCTCCCCAATTCAGCCTTTGCGAAGCTTTTTGTCGCAGTTGGAGGCCGTTTTGAAGAAACACCCGTGCAAAGTCGTACGAATTTTGATGCCCAACTTGCTACATCCGGCTATATACCCAACCCGTTTTGCCAAACTCTCTGAAATTATACGACTTCTACATGGAGTCAGATCTTTGGTGAAGACTTACAGCATGCAAACTGCCATGGTGGCTACTTTTTCGTGTGATTTGTACTCTAGCAATCGGTTGTTCAAAGCCACTATTGAAAACTTATTTGATGCGATCATCAATTTGGAGCCATTCCCGCAAGAGATGTTACAGTTCCTAGAACGTGCTTACAAGACTCAGCCCAATCGTGTTCAACATGGGCTGTTGCACATCGAAAGATTGCCCCATCTCAGTGAGTACGGAGAAATGCATATTGCCAGGTCCGAATGGGCTTTCAAAAATGGCAAGAAGAAATTTGAAATTGAGCCATGGGGCATTCCGGTGGACGACAGCGAAGTTGATGAATCTAAGTCTTCCGTGGCAGGATCGGAACCTCATGAACATCAAACTACAAAGAACTTGGAATTTTGACCCATAAAAGAGTAGACTTATCAAGGAAAGTACCATATATAGGGAATGAAAGCTCTAGCAAGCTTTGAATTGGTTTTTCGATGATCTTGTGGAATTAATGATTGTATTAATTCACACTGCAAATTATTATAGCTTCAGTTGTAAAGGAAGAGCAACAGGAAAATATCATTTTAAAGCTGGACTTCATGTTAGCATAATATTGGAAAACTACTGATTCTCCAGAAACATTCTCTGTCAAGGGCGATTTTTGTTAGTAAATGGCATTTAAAATAACTACCTAGAATTTCAATGTTAGATCCGTAAGGCATCTCCAAAAACTTGAAACTCTTTAAGGTTTCGAGAGACTAACAGTTGATTGTCCGGAAAACTGTTTATATGATCCATGAAAGTCTTGGGATTTAATCAAGACGCCAGCTGTTGTTCAGTGGCGACGTCCAGCAATGCTTTACGCATTTATAATTGTGACCCTTTTGGCCAATGCTTTGAGTTGCAAACGCAGGTCAATCAAGATGAAAATAACAAGCTGAATTTGCAGGACTCTACTGAACCCCGATTTATCATTGGAATGCTCTTTTCGACGAGTTTGATAGCAGTTGCGGATAAGAACCAAGGTTGGCAAAGGAACCGGAAACTCCGGATAATTAATACGAAGCGAAACTCAACGATATGTGAATTAACGTTCCCAGAAGAAATTGTCGATGTTACAATGAACCGGAAGCGATTGTGTGTCCTGTTGGTTAACGATCAAATTTGCATTTACGATATATCCTGTATGAAGCTTCTACAAAGTGTCGATGCGGGAGTGAAAGCAGACGTTCAAAGTAGACGGGGTAGCTTACACACAACTTGTAATGTGAAGATGGCGTTGAGCAGTGACGATAGAAGTATACTGTGCTATAGTGCCGGTTCAGGCGTCCAAGGGGAAAAATCGGTGACAAATAGAATTGTGGTTTTCGATGCTTTGAACGCGTGTCCTATAAATCAACTAAATGACGTTCACAAGGGTAAGATCGCATGCATAGATGTAAGCCATAAAGGTGACCTCGTGGCGACTGCTTCGCAAAAAGGAACTATTATTCGAATATTTCATACCGGTGTCGACTCGGAGTTTGATGTCAATAACCCACTTTTTGGAGAATTTAGGCGCGGTACACGACCCAGTAAGATCTATGCCATCAAATTCAACAAATCGTCTACATTACTCGGCTGTGTTGGTGATACTGACACTTTGCACATTTTTAAACTCGCAAGCCTGGACAATTTACCAAGTAGTAATAACTCTGAAGAGGTGGAATCGATGCTTCGATCAAAAGTTGCCAAAGAATCAGCAGGTCAATTAGGATATTTCCTATCTAAAAGTGTCATTCCTCACTTACCAAACCATAAACTAACCAGAGACTATGCTTTCGTTAAGGTGGATGAAGCTGTACATCATTGCTTTGGGTTCCCGGAAGAGTTGCCCAACAAAGTATACATCGCAGGCGATGACGGTAAACTCCAGATATACGATTTGCCCGTCACACCCGGTTCCTGCACCTTAGTGAAGGTCAACAAATTTGTGATATAACATGCTTATGCACACACATTTCAGGTGATGGTAATCACCTTAGCCATAACCAATACCATTTTCTACACGCTGCGTCGGCATTCAAGCCGTTGTGATCTTTATCTGCTCCCGACTTCTTGGTAACCAAATCGTTCAAATTCAACTCCAGTTCATGGACCTTGCGCTTCAATTTAAGCTCACGTTCTTCATACTCCAGTTTCCACCACACTAAATGTCCTGTCAAATACACGATAGAACTCATTATAAGCAAAATCCACGCAGGTCTTACGAATTTCTTCAGAGTTGCGTTTTGTCGCTGGTCTTGTTCCGTTTCCATCCGTTTGAGCATTTGCAATTCATTCTGAGTATTGAGTTCGTTGGTCCTCTCGTTGATAAGTCTTTTGACCATCTCTGGGTCAACTTCGTCCAGGGACTTCAATTTGGCTAAATCCTCTAGGCTTTTAACCTGGCAAACCGCGTTAGAGCGATGGAATCCTCTTGCAACCTGCAATCTTCCACCAGCTTTCGTCCAATAGCGTAACATTCAGGTTGTGTTTGGCAATTCTATGTCTCGTTGCCTGGTTTGTCTACTAATAATTCATATTAGTATGTGAACTTAAATACTTGAACCTTGAAAACTTCATCATATATACACGAAACAGCTACAAAACTAAGGTTGGGCCCTATCACCAGGCTCGTTCCTCTGCCCGGTATTCACTGTCAATCAATTGGTCTTGTTATAAAAGCCGTAGTTTTCTCTGAGCATTCTAGCGTTAATACCGGTGGCAGAAACCGTATTTCTGCTGTCTCTAGCCATTTCTATGGCAAAATCACTTCTAATAATGGATCCAATACTCATGAAAAGACCAAATGTTCCAGCAGAGCCCGCAATGTATTTGCCGAGGGTTCTTATATAGCCACTAGGACCTGGACCCTGGGTCAAAATCGCAAATCCACCAAACAGAATACCAGTGCAAATACCAACCGAGGTACCCATCATTAGACCCATTTTGAACTTCTCCCAGTTCGAAGGCTGGTGTTGAGCATAGACCTGCTTGACTGGAGGCATATTGAAGGCTAAAGGGGCTAGTATTGTCGATGGGATTGGGAACTTAATGGGTCTTCACTAACAGTGAAAAAAATTGTCATATTATAGACCAACTTTAACTCATCGCTCGGATTAGGAGAGCAATGCAGTTTCAACTGATTAGAAGGCTTGGGCAAAGACAATTCGTCACAAAAAATGTTGTGAATGTACTCCGAGACCGTGGCATTCTATCGCAGGTTTCGCAACCGGAACCGGCCTTGCTAAGCCGACTTAATGCCGGTGAGAAGATAAAATTGTACTGTGGTGCCGATCCCACTGCCAAATCGTTGCATCTTGGTAATCTTTTACCCCTGATGATACTGCTGAATTTCTACGTGCGTGGACACGACGTGGTGGCTCTTGTGGGTGGTGCAACGGGCCGATTGGGTGATCCAAGTGGCCGGAAAACGGAACGGAATTTTGTCGCGGAAGAAACTCGACTCGATAACGTCTCTAGGATCCAGGCTCAACTGTCAAGATTCTTTGCGAATGGGCTTGACTACTACAGGAGTAAGAATGCCGATGCGATTCCAGGAGAATTGACTTTGGCCAATAATTTGGGTTGGTGGAAAGACGTTAAAATGCTGGACTTCTTGGCCGATTACGGCAGATTTATCAAGATACAGTCCATGCTTTCGAGAGATTCTGTTTCGGCAAGATTGGGCTCACAACAAGGTCTGGGGTTCAACGAGTTCACGTATCAGGTCCTCCAGGCCTACGATTTTTACCACCTCTACAAAAACCACGGAGTCACACTTCAAGTGGGTGGTAGTGACCAATGGGGCAATATAACAGCAGGAATTGATTTCATTAACAGGGTTACCGATCCCAATTGTTTGCAACACGCGGGACCCTTCGGTATAACTACAAACCTTCTCACAACTTCCACTGGCGAGAAGTTCGGTAAAAGCGCTGGAAACGCTGTATTCATTGACCCCACCATCAACAGCTCTTTCAGCGTATACCAGTTTTTCCTGAATACGACCGACAGCGACGTCGAAAAGCTTCTCAAGATATTTACGTTTCTGTCACTTCAAGAGATTGGAGCACTACTCGCACAGCATTTTGAATCTCCACACAAGCGCGTTGCCCAGAGAACGTTGGCCAAAGAAGCGGTAAATCTCATACACGGCATGGGCACCGGTTCTGCTGCAGAACACGTCTCTGAAATACTCTTTAGCGACAGCTCAACATTACCACAGGGCCGGGAGCTGAAAACCATGTGCGAAAGAGCAGGCGTTTTGCAAAATTGTTCCCGCAATGACAGTTTGATCGATGTTCTCATGAAAGTGGCCGATATTACAAGATCAGAGGCAAGAAGACGACTACAACAAAACAGTATCTACCTGGGACCCAACCGAAAAAACATCACCACGGATTTAGACGATTTGTCCTCATACTTGATAGACGATTCCATTTTGATTGTTCGTTTCGGCAAGCAAAAGTGCTTTGTCCTCGAAATGACGTGAACTACACATACCTGTAAATAAATATACATAGGGCTTCCAAGGCTTTCATTCTCTCTTCGCATTGGCGAAAACCTGAGTTCCACCCCAGGACGTAACTGCCCAAACCCAGAGTAGGGTCGGGCAGAGTACTATTAAAGACCAATAATAAAAGCCCGAGGCGTCGCTATAAAGCCTAACTAAACCGAAAACACATGCGAACACCAACAAATATGTTACCAAAAGCACCAAAATGCCAGCTTTTCGTTCTTTCATACGCCTCTTATAAGTGGTGATGTTTAAGTATCAAATGCTGATTTAGTTCTTGAAATTAAAACCTCTTGCTAATCAAGGTAAATATATAAACTAAGTTTTGATAAAGGATTTATTTGGTCGATAAGCGGCTATGACTGAACAACCAGATATGAAAGATATAGCATTGAGATTTTTACGTCAGTATAAGGACCGAGTTGTCAGTCGGTTTCGTCAAAATTCCGATGACCATCGGTTTAGTCAAATCATAAATTCGAACCATTTTGCAGGTCAAATATGTGGATTGAGTCAAGATTTATGCTTGAGGTACGAGAACGATGAATGGCAAAGTCGAGTGTTTGAGGTAATTGATGTTGATTTGATATACGATAATGTCGATGCCTTGGGAGGAGATGAGATGAGTTACACGGACAATTTGGTTAAGGAGTTGCTAAGGTATTTTAAGCAAGATTTCTTCAAATGGTGTAACAAGCCAGACTGTGAAACATGTCAATCGTCAGAGGGGCAAAATAATGTTGGCACTGAAGGCCCCAATCCCGATGAAAGTCTGTTTCGATGCGGTGTAGTGGAAATTTACAAATGCAATAATTGTGGTACAACGACACGTTTTCCTCGTTATAACGATCCAGTCAAGTTACTTGAGACCCGTACGGGGCGTTGTGGTGAGTGGTGTAATCTTTTCATGCTTTTCCTCAAATCTTTTGGAATTGAGTCTCGATATATCTGGAATCGAGAAGATCACGTCTGGTGTGAAATTTATTCCAATAAATTGAACAGATGGGTTCATGTCGACAGTTGTGAACAAAGCTTCGATCAACCGTATATCTATTCTAAAAACTGGAACAAGAAAATGAGTTATGTGTTTGCCTTGGGTAAAGACGGAGTTTCGGACGTTAGTAAACGGTACATTTTGCAAAACGACTTGCCGCGCGACCAAATGTCCGAAGATGACCTGGATCTAGTCATGAAAACCTTGACAAAAAAGCTAAGGTCTCATTTAAACGATGATCAAATCTATCAGCTCTCTTGTCGAGATGAGAGAGAACAGCTGGAATGGCTCGATCCAAAATTGTCTAGTACCACGCAGACTTCTCGGGTAGGCCGTGAAAGCGGTTCAGTTGAGTGGAAGAAGCTGAGAGGTGAAGATGGGGTGTGACTTATGTACTTATGTATCGCTCAATCACTGTACAAGCTCGTCAAATTTACAAAAATAATTGGCAATTTGAGTAATGGCCCAAGGATTGTGACTCCGGTCAAGATATGCCAGATGACCGCCGAGATCTGTAACGCAAAGGGTGACATTTTTGTTTTCTCTCGAATATTTAAATGGGATTGCTTCCTCACCAACCATAGGATCATCTTTGGAATTAATGATGAGAAGGGGTACTTTAACGTTTGGCAATTGATGAATAGATCCACAGGCGTTGTAATATTCGTTAGCTGTCTTAAATCCCAGACAGGGAGCCGTGAAAACGTTATCAAACTCTGCAGTCGATTTGAAAGAGTAAGCCTTTTTCAAGTTGTCTGCGGTAAATACATCAAAAGACGGATGTTCCAAACTTGGTGGTTCCTTTGGCTTTTCATCAGTATCTTTGAACTCCAATTCTTTCATATTGACTTTTACCAACCTCACCAAGAACTGAGCAATGCTCTTCGAGAATAGTTTTCTAGACCACCAGTCATCGTTCATCTTGACTGCAGACAGGTACAGATCCCAAGGCGTGCTTAAGATGGCAGCGGCAGTAACAAGCGACCTACTTCCCTTTTGGCCCAGGTAATTTCCCAAAATTGTGCCTCCAAATGAGAACCCCACGGTGTATATCTTTTTGTTAGGATGCCATTTCTTCTCGCGCGACAGAAACTCGTGCAAATCATCAGTGAACAGAGCATAAAATAGCTTTCGAGTCGTAATCTTCGAGCGCGCACAACCTCTACTGTTAAGCACGACAACATCAAATTTTCCGCCACTTATCTGGGCTATCTGCAACGCAAGAGCTCGGCAAATAAGCTCATGCGACCCACCGCTCAATCCATGTAAAATAACCACCAAAGGTTTCTCACTTTGATGCGTTTCCTCGAGCTCGGGGCTTGTCAAAAATCGTGTGCGAGGGTGCAATCGAGGCCAGCTCTCTGGATGAGTAGCACTTGCATCCTCTGCAAATTTTTCACGATTAAACTTCCCAGAAGCTTTGTCGAGCCCGTACTTGGACTCCCAGCCGCTCTTGAGCCAGTCAGCAGTGGAGATACCACCGTCGGAGAAATTTACGATTTCTCGACCGTAAAACGCAAGATTCGATTTCGAGAAGTCCGCCCCGAAAAGATACATAGTTTGCAAGTACCCGGTGAAAAGGTAAGGATTCAACTCGAATTGAGACCTGTCGGCCAGGGCTGGTACTTCCTTACTGATAAAATCATGCAATTGCAATTCTTGGCCATTTTTCAATTTCAACGGAACAGTCCCATCTGGATTAAAGACTTGATCAACGGTTCCACGAAACCCCCAGTGAAATGGATTAACGATTGGTAAAGTGGACATTTTCGAATCTGATATCCCAAATAGTAGCTTGGATAATCGAAGTTTGTAGACTTGGATCTAATTCATTTACTTGATGGTTTCTCAAATTTTCGGAGTTAAACACATAATCCGAAGAATTCCGCCGGAACTCACCATCCGTTCCGCAATGGCTGAAAAACGTCAAACTTCGAAATCTTGACCTGATATTCTCGACACAAAAGGCAAAATTTATCGGTTTTCCCCTGTAATTATATGGGTTTGTATTTCATGAACCTCTTTCTGGGAGCTCATTTTGACGGCTTTTTGTGATCTTAAATGATAAAGTGCTCTTGTGAGCCTTTTCTTGGCACTTTTAGACCTCTCTGTCAGCTTTGACACCCGCATTTCCTCGCGGGTTTCGTTAGAGCTCTATAGCCATCGAATAGACCATCTCTTGATATGAGTCAATTTAAATTGACTCCAGTCATGGAGCCCATGTGATCATCCTGTTATACGGTTTTAGCCGCCCAGCTCGTCTTCTCTGAAAATCGTTTATTATTCTGCTTGCCTTACGGTCTTAATCTCTTCTCTTGAACGTCTTGTTCATGCTTTGTTCATGTTCTCAGTTTATATATTTGGTGAACATGAAACCCACGTTAAAAAGTCATCATATCTTTGCCAGCCTTGAAATTCTGAGCAGATGCCTGTGTTACTCATTTAAGCCTGGCATCATTAGTCTGATGAGAGCGTAACTATGTATTTTTGTGTTTCCATTAACAGAAGTCAGCCTGGTTGGGGTGTCTATTTACACGAAAATTTGCAGCTTTCCTTAGTCCACATCGAGGTTGATCTCCTCCACGAGATTCAATTGTTCGGTCGCTCGCTTCAAGAATGTTCTGAAAAATTTCATTGAGAGATTGTTCATATGGAGTTTGTCTTCGATGTCTCTCTTAGCAGCCTGTTTTTTGTCGATGACAGCCTCGCAAGACTTGACAATCTCACGCGTGGGGAATTTCAAAACGTCGCGCATTTCATCAGAAATACGCTTCGAATTGGAGTGTGCGTAGTCGAGCCTCGCGAGTTTTCGATGGTACTTCATAGACAAGTTCATCGGTAGCGCACGTGGTAGATCATGAACAATGTATGCAACACCCAAGACGGAACCCACCAAGAGTGCATAAGTCGAGAGAGTTCTTATCGATTGAAGAGAGAAAAATCGGGAACCGTAAACGAAAACATTCGCGATAACCCTAGCCCCTCCCCAAGAGTACACGGCCAATGCAGGAATTTTAGACGTTAGCACCAATGAAGGAGTTGTCCAATACTTTGTGAGTGATTTGGAGTTTATGCCTAAAATTGTTTGCCATAGAGATAAATCGTCTTTGGAAATTTGATTCCCGGTTTCTGTTTCAACGTCGGAACCCCAGCTCAAATACCGGAAAAAGCCTTCCCAAGTAGGTGAGAAAAAATCCATTAAATCGAATGCTACATTTAACTTCCGTAGCTGTAGATGCTTTCTCTTCGTGAACATCAAATCGCTTTTCAATGCGCGATTAGACATGAAGTTGTCTCCAAGTTCTTTTCGGCCAAGGGTGTTGATTTCCTTCACAACGCGCTCAGTTTCGGCCCTTGAATACATTTCACTGCTCTCCACGCTTGATTGTACCTGGTCTATAATGAATTGGCGGGTGCGGAAGACATAGTCGTGAAGCGTAGAAATACCCTCGTAGATGGGTCGCTCATCGGCCATGCTTTCTAGGCACGAGTTAATCCTGTTTTTTGTGAATTCGTAAACTTCGCTGACGCTGGCTGCGACGATTTTGTCGACGCGATCAGTCAAGCTGCGGAACTCATCGGTGGTAGTTTTTAGTTCTGGTTGTATTTTCTTCAATTCCTCTTCAAAACTGCCATTCTCGGTCTGATACAGATCCAAGTTCCATTGAGCAATATGATTCATATCTTGCAAAAGTTTGACCAAGTATGTCTTCGCCGGCTGTAGCTTTGAAAGAGATCTCTTCTTCAGCAAGAAATTGCGCAAAGAGCTCTCAAGACTATCAAAATCTGGATCTTCGTCTCGATCAAAGTCGTCATCGCTGGGATCATCGTCGCTCGGATGTTGAGGTTTTGAGTCACTAGACACAAAATGGACGAATTCGGTTGAGTTTTTGTGGGACTCTGGGGAGATTGATTTTATTTGATCCAAGATTAGCCTCTTGCATCTATTCTTATCTCTAATTTGATCAAATTTATTGACAACAAAGAACATGAGCTTTTTCTCGCGAGACGCGACAGAGATGAATTCCTTTCCCGAGAGGGTCAGTTGGTTCTCTGAGTTGACCACGAAAATAACCAGGTCAATCTCTTCCTGCCTTGACATGACCTCTGTAGTCTGTATGGAATCCATGTTAAGACCTGGAGAGTCAATAAGGGAAATATCTACGGTACCATTTCTTAACAAACTTGACTCTGCTGGTCTTTTGTTGTCCTTAATGTATATCTTAAGCAGGGAGTATTCGTCACTTCTGTAAACCAGGTCTGGTAGTTCTTTTAGTGCGAAGCTCTTATAGGTTGATTTGTCGCGTATGTTATACTTTTCTGTTGCTTCTTGAACAGTCGCGGCTGCTTCAATGGGAATGGCGTGAACTTCTTCAACATCTGAGTTTTCCCTGGCCTCTAAAATCTCACAGAAAACATTGGTACATGGAAGTTGATCCACAGGCAATATGTTACGTCTGAGAAGTGCATTGCAGAAAGTCGATTTTCCGGCATTTAAATCACCTGTGATAAACACTTTTGAGGAAGTATCGTCGACTCGCTTTTGCAAAGACTTTAAATGTTTCAGAGCCGCTAAAGTTCTCATCTTGAAAAGCTTGGCTACCGCATTTTTGTCCAAATCAACTTTACTGTGTTTCCCGTTGTCAAGTTTCAGCCTGACGTCTAAGATGTGTAATGTTGCTCTGGGTTCGTCGAGTGGAACGAAAATGGACCTCTGTCCATTCTCTTCGGCCAATTCGTTCAAAAGCTCTTCCGAGTTAGTTATTCCTCGACTTAGTCCCACTCGGTTATTGTTATAATTCCATTGGCTAAGATGCATCGAAAGCATTCTGTCATTTGAAGCCCTTCTATTGTGTGAAGCATGATGAGCCACCAAATGAGAAAAGTCATCTCCCGCGCTAGTAGAGCCATCATCAATAAACGTCGCTTGATTTCGCAGATATGTGAGATTATCGGGTTGAGATCCGGAGAAAATGGCAGTCTCCTCATCATCATCACCTTCCACACTCTGAATGGATAAAGACACAGGCTTCTCGGATGCTTGTTTGTCGTCCTTCCTCTGCATGTTACCAAGCCTTGAGATGGTCAAAAGGGATCCGTGGTTGCTCTTCTACTTGCTTAGTGTTAGTCTTACATATGATATAGAAGCGGGTGATCTTGTGATTTGGGTAATTTTGTACGATTTCATGGACAACACCGCGGCGATGACCTTCAAGACCGCTGAAAGGACCGCTGAAAGGTGATGATCATTCGTATATAAGAGCAAGTAAGAGACTTCTCTTTGAAACGCAAATTTTTTGGGGCTTCTATGCCTTCTTTTCCGGCTTTTGTGGCCTGTTTTTTGGCTTGTTGAAGAAGATGGTCGTTAAAATGGCACCCAGATCTGAGCTTTTTAAGTCAGTTCTGCTGGTCGTGGTGTGGTAGCAGTTCATTTTTCACTGGCTTCATCTTTGGCCTTTTTGTCCTGCTTTCTTTTCCTTCTTCTTAGCCTTTTCTGGTAGCTATAGCATTCGGTTTCGCCGTAGCCGTACAGTGGCTTGAAGCTCTCGACGACACCGCAGTCTTCGAAAAGGTTGGGGAACAGCCAGAATCCGCCCTTCTGGCTAACGAAGCCCAAAGATATCAAATACACGACGAATCTGACGATAGCAACGCCGAAAAATGCAGCGATCAGGGCCAACAGGACAAGCGATAGATAGTACACGCCGCGTCTCATGGAAGTTGGCCATAGCGGATAGCACACAAATGCAAGAATTCCGACCACAATCCCGACAACCAGGAGGTAGTCCATCAGGGTCTTGGGGTTGTAGTTCCAAACGTAGTACTCGTCGGGGATCAGAGTGGCTTTGTCCTTGAGCAACAGGTTAGGGCTGTCCTTGTTGGGTCTGAGACCGTTTTCTTTGCACTCGGCACTGTGCAATTTCTGACAGGGGACAACCAATTGCGCGGTGATGAGCGAAATGAACACGCGTTTTGCATCCTCATCGTTTCGAATCGCAGGATATTTCTCTGGATGTTTCTCAGACTTGGTCTTGTATTCTGGAGAGTTGAGCGCACGCACAAATCGTTTGTAGCGGAAAAAGTCGACATTTCGAGACTGAAATATGCCCTGACGTTGTTTCAAAAGCTTGTGGCGGCGCAACAGCGCTGCCACGGCGGCTGGACTTTCGTGAGTAGCCATGATGTCGTGGGCAAAGTGGTTGGTTTTTTGCCGAATCGCGCTACTCGTGAGCAAGCTCTTAATATCTGGAAGCATACTGTGTACAGATTCCAATAATCGTCGTGCACGAAATTCCTCTTAAGATCACGTGACATTCTATTAAATCTCACGTTTCCTTTCAATGATACTAGAATGCGTTGTGTTGGGCGTATTTGCAAATCCATCCTTTTGAGTGTAAGATCTGGTTGAGTTTCTGCCAAGCTTTTCTGCTTCAGACTTATACCTCAAAGTCGACAACATACAACACGTCAGGGAAGACAAACTTGAAATTTAGAATTTTGGTACGATACCCCCTGACTTGGTAATTGTACTGTAATGTCCACAATTAACTCTGTATACCTCTGTAGCACGCTTAGTGCTGGTTTACTTTTCTGAAGGCATTGATTGGCATTGTAATCACGTGATGTGTTCTGTTTTTCGGGAATTGACGAGAAAAACTGGCTGAAATTCCAAATAGAAACAATGGATACACGAAACACGCGCGAAACAAAGTAGAAACGTCTTTACGTCGGCGCTTGAACCATGGTGTAGGATTAGTGGCTTACAGGATTTATATGGAGTGTAAGAGAATATAAAGAACTATAGGATTGTTTAGCATTATATCGTAACATATCAAATTGAATGAACTGCGACTTTGTACGATTATACACAACTATTCACAATTTACAGGCTCGTGTGGGAATATAAGAGATGATAAACCCACGTTGGAGTATTCTGGTTGAGATGGATTTGTATAGCATTATATTTCATTATAGAGCATTTTGTGGGTCCTGTCAGCTTATGGACTACGTAGGACATAGGACCATAGAGGACCATGTAGGACTGTACAGTATGAGGGACTCCGTGAGCCAAAATCCAGTAACACGGACTATTACACCAAGATACCCTAGTGCATTCCTTTAGCAAGTTTAAATTTTCGATGACGGTATTATGGTTAAGGTCTTCTATTCAGATTGCCGCTGAGCACTCCATTTTCTAAATTTCTACAAAGTTGCCATGACAATTGTTTGTACCCTAATCTAACTCGTTTCTTGGAAGTCCGTGTCACGCGATCACAGGTAAAAGAAATGTGAAAGCTTCAAGCTCATCGCATTGAAAAAAATTTTCTAGCCCGAGAAAATGCGATGAGCTACCAGAAATACGAGCTTCTGAAAGACCCGAGCTAGGCTTTTTGGAGTTTGATTAGTTTTCTCTTTTAAGCTTACTTCGGCGACCTAACTATGCAACTTTCCTGGAAAGAAATACCCACGGTTGCGCCTGCAAATGACCTGCTGGACATCGTCCTGAACAGGACGCAAAGAAAGACTCCCACGGTAATCAGACCGGGGTTCAAGATCACCAGAATCCGGGCTTTTTACATGCGTAAGGTCAAGTACACCGGTGAGGGTTTTGTTGAGAAATTTGAAGACATCCTCAAAGGTTTCCCAAACATCAACGATGTGCATCCATTCCATAGGGATCTGATGGACACGCTGTACGAGAAAAACCACTACAAAGTCTCGCTAGCGGCCGTATCCCGCGCCAAGACGCTTGTCGAACAAGTCGCAAGAGACTATATTAGACTTTTGAAATTCGGTCAATCGTTGTTTCAATGCAAACAGCTGAAAAGAGCTGCTTTGGGCCGTATGGCCACTGTGGTCAAGAAATTGAAAGACCCACTCGCGTATTTGGAACAAGTGCGTCAACATTTGGGCAGATTACCTGCAATCGACCCCAACACCAGAACATTGCTGATCTGTGGGTACCCCAACGTGGGTAAATCTTCGTTTTTGAGATGCATCACCAAGGCGGACGTTGAAGTTCAGCCGTACGCTTTTACCACGAAATCGCTCTACGTGGGTCATTTTGATTACAAATACTTGAGATTCCAGGCCATCGACACTCCAGGTATTCTGGACAGACCCACTGAAGAAATGAACAACATTGAGATGCAATCTATCTACGCGGTTGCGCATTTGCGTTCATGTGTTCTTTATTTCATGGATCTTTCCGAACAGTGTGGTTTCACGGTCGAGGCTCAAGTCAAACTTTTCCACTCTATCAAACCTCTGTTTGCTAACAAGTCTGTCTTGGTCGTTGTCAACAAGACCGATATTGTTAGACCTGAAGATCTAGACGAAGAGCGTGCCAAGTTGCTGCAAACCGTCGCTGAGCATCCCGGAGTTGAGATAATGGCTACGTCCTGTTACGAAGAGGACAACGTCATGGCTGTCAGAAACAAGGCATGTGAGAAGCTCTTGGCCTCTAGAATTGAGAACAAGTTGAAATCGACTTCTAGAATCAACAATGTCTTGAACAAAATTCACGTCGCACAGCCCCAAGCCAGAGATGATGGAGTCGACAGAACGCCATTTATTCCTGAATCTTTCAAAGCCCGTCAAAAATACGATCCAGAGGATCCAAACAGAATCAAATTGGCAAGAGACATAGAAGCCGAAAACGGTGGTGCTGGCGTTTTCAACATCAACCTAAAGGACAAATATTTGTTGGAGGACGATGAGTGGAAGAATGACATTATGCCGGAACTTTTGGATGGTAAGAACGTTTACGACTTTTTGGACCCAGATATCGCTGCGAAATTGCAAGCGTTGGAAGAAGAAGAAGAGAAATTAGAAGCAGAAGGCTTTTATGCTTCTGACGAAGAAGAAGAGACTTTTGAAGGTTTTGACGCTGACGAGATAGCGGACATTAGAGAAAAGGCAGAATGGATCAGGGACAAACAAAAGAAAATGATTGCTTCGGCAAGAAACAGAAAGGCTTTGAAAAACAGAGCTGTCATGCCTCGTTCCAAATTGGCCAAATCTTATGGAGAAATGGAAAAACATATGTCCTCTTTGGGCCACGACATGACTTCCCTTCAAGACAGACAACAAACTGCTGCCAGGAAAAACAGATTTATCGAAACTGGTGCAGATGTGGTGTTCGGTTCCTCCGAGAGCAATTCTTCAAATGCCAATGGTGGTAAATTGAGACAATCTGACAGACTGCTGGATGGTGTCGCAGATAGCTCGGTTAGGTCCAAGGCAGACAGAGTGGCTAAATTGCAAAGAAGATCAAGAAACAGAGATGCAAGACAAGGTGAATCTGACAGACACGCTACAGCGTCTCTTGCTAAGCATCTGTTTAGTGGTAAACGTGGTATCGGTAAGACCGACTTCCGTTAGAGGCAGAAAACCACTTCATTTTGTCATTTTTATCATATAAGTGTATACTAAGAAGGCGGTACTTATTTTGTGGAGTCCGCTTAGCGTCATATATCCGAAAGCATTGTGTCTTTATTCTGTGCATAATATCCAAGACTTTCATTGTCTCAACGACATCTTTTAGTGGCCATCTGACAAGGATTATTCGAGTCGCGACGTTGACACAAAAGCTCACACAGAGCATCAATAAATGATCAAAAAACAGCGCCTCATCGAGCCATTTTAAGACGATCCCTCGAAGCGCAACGTAGATAACGGCTTCCGAAAATTCACAGATGTCAGATGTTGGAAGCGATAACGAAAGAAGCAGAAATCATCAGCAGAATGAGAATCAGGCAACTGAAGGTTTGAGCGACTGGGAGGTTTTTGATGTTACGTTCGACGCAGGAGGAATGCAGTCACTTCTCGAAGACCAACCCCAATCGCAGTCTAGGCTGTCCGAGAACCCCGATTCAGCAGGAAAAATGGGGCGACGTTCTTCTGAATTCCCCATCAAAAAGTCACTTATGCATGAGGCGTCTAACCTTGAAGCTCAAAAGGACTTAGAAGATAAATTGGCCACAGATGCTGACCAAAATGGAGACCTCCAATCCCAGGACGATTTTTATTCTGCAGCAAGTAACGACATTTTCGCTCACTTAGGAACAGAGTATACCGTTTTCTCAAAACGGCAGCGCGTTTTGATATTCTTTATCATCATATTTGTTGGGTTTTTGGGACCATTATCAGGAAATATCTATATTCCAGCTCTGCCACTATTGCAAACTGTTTTCCACATTTCGGCGACTGCAATAAATGCGACAGTGTCTGTTTTCATGGCCGTCTTTGCCGTGGGACCACTTTTTTGGGCCAGTTTTGCCGATTTTGGGGGTAGAAAACTGCTTTATATGATATCGTTGACTTTGGCAGTTATAATCAACGTTTTACTCGCAGCCGTTCCGGCCAATACTGGAGCTCTTTTTGCATTGAGGATTCTTCAAGCATTCGCGTCTAGTTCAGTCATGTCGCTTGGGGCAGGAACGATCAGCGATATTTCTCCTCCAAAACAAAGAGGCAAGTCAATAGCATATTTCATGCTAGGTCCCAATATGGGTCCAATTGTGGCGCCAATCATTGCAGGGCTAATATTAATGAGGGGAAACCACTGGAGATGGCTTTTTGGATTGACAAGCATTCTATCTGCCATTGGACTCGTCCTGGTGCTTCTCCTGCTACCAGAAACTTTGAGGTGTGTTGTGGGGAATGGCGATGCCAGATGGAGGGCTAGTAATCAAGCTCCGGAGTTAGTCAAAACCGAGGATTATAGGAATACTGCTGAAATGAAACTGAAAGTGAAATTCGCGAGCGATATTGGTATTATGAAGCCGGTTTCAAACTCTGCTGAGTTCCGAAAGCTTTATCCGAGACCACCGAAGCCCAGCTTTAGAGGTTACTGGGCATTAATCAAGTTTGTCCCAGTAACTGTATGCTCTGTCACTACCGCTATCTTGTTTGCTTCCTATTATGCCTTCAGCGTCACTTTTGCGCATTTTCTCAGTCAGGATTATCATTTGACGAATTTGCAAATTGGAGCGTGTTACGTTTGCCCCGGAGTTGCCTTGCTGTTAGGTTCTGTCATTGGAGGTCACCTTTCGGATTATTTCAGGAAGATGTGGCTCAAGTACCATGAGGGCCAAGAGTTCCCATCCCACAAAAGATTGCTGTTGCAAGTTTGGGGACTTCTAGTCAATATTTGCGGATCGGTCGGTTATGGGTGGAGTATTCAATTTCATCATCATTTGGCAGTAGTGCTAGTATTTTCGTTCTTAACTGCTTTCGGGATGACTTGGTGTTCGAACGCGAGTATGACATATCTTACTGAATGCATGCCTAAAAGGGCCGCGGCAACTGTAGCCATTGGCAGTTTCTTCAGAAATTTGGCCGCAGCTATTAGTTCCGTTATTGTGATTAAATTGTGCGATGCAATGGGCACCGGATGGTGTTTTTCCGGTTTAGCATTTTGCAGCGTAGTGGCAATGCTAGGGATTATTTATTTGATCCAATACGGCGCACGATGGGCGCCAAAGGCTTAATCAACAGGCTCCGAAAGACCCACGAATACTAACATAACAACATAACAATTCAGAAGAAATCGCAGCTATAATAAATTTGTAACCGTTTAACTCGTAGTTGGTCGTGTTAAATTTCCTGACAGTAGCCCTGGAAATCATCCAGTTTCGTCACGAAATATTGATATATCATCTAGGAACTGTCAAATGTAATAACTATGCGTGAACTCCACCAAATTGATGCATATGGGTTCAAAAAGAGCGTTCAGCACGGATTTCACACGGAAACCCTTGAAAACCATCAGATGGCCTTCAGCAAAGTCCACTATCCCTGCTTGTTCGTCTCTTTGAGAGATCCATCAACTTTATAAATGTCAAGCTCATCAACTAGCCGTAAAATTCACCAAAATAAATAAAAAAAGGCCCAAAAACTAGCGATTTTCAACGGGATCGCGTATTGGCCTTATTCAACGCCCAATTCTCATTCTAATACGGCCAATGAACTCGATAAACCCGTCTCGATTTATTTATCAACGTTGCGTATGGTTCAATTTATATTGGGAAAAAAATGTCGTCATGATGGTATTAGTGATTAGTAGATATATAAGCTGCTGCAACAAGTATTTAAGGAACCATCACCTTCAAGGGTCCCCTTTACAGTAGTCAAACTCATCATTTTGACTACGTATGAATAAGAGCTTTAACAACGTTCTTAGATTGACTTTGAAAAGAACAATGACTCAAGGTTCCAGACATTACGATTTTTTGGTTATTGGAGGTGGTTCTGGTGGCGTTGCTTGCAGTAGAAGAGCAGCATCTTATGGTGCGAAAACGCTTTTAATTGAGGGCCAAGAAATGGGTGGAACTTGTGTTAACGTTGGATGTGTTCCCAAGAAAGTGATGTGGTACGCTTCGGATTTGGCTACTCGAGTATCGCAAGCACATGAATATGGGCTTTACCAGGACTTACCAGTTGATCAAAAACATCTTACTTTCAATTGGAATCAATTCAAAACCAAGCGGGATGCGTATATCAAACGTTTGAACGCTATCTATGAACGGAATTTGACGAAAGAAAAGGTAGATTACATTTACGGATGGGCGCGGTTCAATGAAGACGGAAACGTCGAAGTGACGAAACACGATAAATCCAAGGAAACGTACACGGCAGACCACATTTTGATTGCGACCGGTGGTACTCCTGTTATGCCAAAAAAAATTCCGGGGTATGAATTAGGGATTGATTCTGACGGTTTTTTCAAACTTGAAGAGCAACCTAAAAAAGTCGTTGTTGTAGGTGCTGGTTACATTGGAGTCGAGCTCGCAGGTGTATTCCATGGGCTTGGCACGGAAACCCATTTGGTGATCAGAGGTGAGACCCTCTTGCGTAAATTTGATACTTCCATCCAAACTACGATTACGGATCATTACGTGAACGAGGGCATTAACATTCACAAGGTTTCTCAGATTGAAAAAGTAGAGGAAAGTGACGGGAAGACGGGCAAGAAAACAATCACCTTAAACACTGGGGAACAGATTACCGATGTCGACAGTTTGATATGGACCATTGGTCGTAAGTCTTTGACTGGAATCGGTCTTGAACATGTTGGCGTAAAACTCAATCAACTGGGACAAGTTATAGTCGACGAGTACCAAAATACCAACGTCAAGAACATTTACTCGCTGGGTGATGTTGTTGGTAACGTCGAACTCACCCCGGTGGCCATTGCAACCGGCAGAAAGCTTGCTAACAGGTTGTTCGGACCAGAGAAGTTTGCGAATCAAAAGCAAGATTTTGAAAATGTTCCAAGTGTCGTTTTCTCGCATCCAGAAGCCGGTACGATCGGTTTGACCGAGCAAGAAGCGATTGAGAAATATGGGGAGGCTAACCTCAAGATTTATAACAGCAAGTTTACTGCAATGTACTATGCCATGTTGGAACACAAATCTCCTACCAGATACAAGCTGATTTGTGCTGGTCCCGAAGAAAAGGTGGTTGGGCTACATATTGTGGGAGATTCTTCTGCTGAAATCTTACAAGGCTTCGGTGTGGCAATCAAAATGGGTGCCACCAAAGCGGACTTCGATTCTTGTGTTGCCATTCATCCTACTTCCGCCGAAGAGTTAGTGACTCTTAGATAACCAACGGCCTAGTTTATAGAATCATTAAGCCAGTTAGTTTTATGTGAACAATATTTTCTTTTATTAAGAAAGTATCAGATGGGAGATACAGTATACACTCTTCCGAAATAGGTACATTCGCTGTTAAGATAAGGTAACGCATTAATTCAAAGACAAATATATCGCGCATGCAATTTATCTTTAAATTTAAGCCTTCAAAGAAGAAGCTCTTCTCTTTCTGACTTCAGCCTTTTCAGCCTTCTTCTCGGCCAATCTCTTAGCCAACAATTGAGCGTATTCGGCAGCAGCCTCTCTTTGAGCTTGGGCGTTTCTAACCTTCAAAGATCTTTGGTGTCTCTTTCTTTGCAATCTTTGAGGAGTGACGAGTCTTTGGATTTTTGGAGCCTTGGTGTAGGTCTTTTCACCCTTGGTGACCTCTCTTCTGATGACGAAGTCACGAACATCGTCTTCCTTGGTCAAACCAAAGAATTTTCTGATGTGGTTGGCTCTCTTTGGGCCCAATCTCTTTGGAACGGAGTCGTTGGTAATACCTTCCAACTCTTGTTCACCCTTCTTGGTGATGACCAAAGACAAGACGGCTAGATCTGGACCGACAATAGCACCTCTGACGGACTTTCTCTTTCTCTCACCGTTACGTCTTGGTCTGTAACAGGAGTGACCCTTAGCCAACAACAACTTAACTCTGGTTGGCAACAAGACACCTTGCTTCATTGGGAAACCTTGCTTGTCGTTACCACCGGAGATCTTGAAGACGTAGCCCTTGAACTCGTCACCGACAGCCTCACCGTCAACTTCTTGACCGATACGCTTGTCGTAGAAGACACGAACACGGTGTTCGTCTTCGATTTCGACGGTCTTCTGAGTGCCATTAACTGGGTAAGAGATGTTTAACTATGGAAAAGTTAGTAATTGGACTTCTTGAGCATAATCGTTCGAGAAAGCACATTCAGACTGCATCGTGTCTAGACCAGGGTGAATGTACTCGGCATTCCACGCTAATTTCAATAATTCTCGCGTACTCTTGTCCCACTGGTACGAAGTTCCACCTAATAGGTCTTTCGATCTTAAATCACACCAAATCGTCCCATTTTTAACGCAGCGTTCGGCCCCACCAGTTCTGATCTATGCATTCCAGTATTCAATTACTTATTGGTACTCACATACCTTCATAATGGCTGACTTGTCTCTACTCTTCTGATGACTTCCAGGGAAAAGGCTCTTTTCGTAATATCACTTGCATGAGCCGGTGTTGAATTTTTTTTGTCAAACAACTTCCACCAGCGGCACCCGCCAGAGGACAGCCAAAGCGCCCCGCCCACCGCGCCTTGGTTTGCGTCCCTGCCGGGCAGGGACGTGCAGCAGCTAGTGGGAGAGCGGTGGGAGGTAATCGGAGAGCGTAGGCGGAGAACCCCGTCCCCCTACCATCACATGCCCTGCCCAGCTTCGAGAGAACACCACCCCAGTGGGACTTGCGGCCTGTACTAAGTGTGCGCCCTCCCCATTTTGGTCTGATTTTCCGCGCGGCCAACAACTTTGAAATTTCTCAAAAGCTGAAACTTGGAATGCATGGGTTTAGAGTCGGGCACAAATTCTCAAGTTGTATGGGTGTAACGGTAACAAGATACTGAATTCCTTAATTTAGTTAAGCTGAACGAACGCTAACTCCCACTGGCAACTAACTACAAGTAATAATCCGAAAACGCTTGGATTGACCATATATTTGATAGATATGCAAAAGATCTAGTGAATGTAACAGCCTACGTGAACGTGGGACAAATCTCTGTGACTACGATGATGTGACAAACAGTGCCGAATATGTCTCAACAGTGTTCGCCGCACGCAGATTCTCTTGAAGAGCAGAGGAGTGTGCGAGTCGTACGAGGTATGAGGAATTCGCGAGTCCCAGAAGCCGACTTCGGTTCTGGTTTCCCTGACAAGCGAAGTTCCGATAGAGTTTTTTGAGACAGTTCGTTAAACAGGCGCGAGCCTTAGTTTTTTTATCCTTATTGGTATCGCTCATGTCACCGAAATTGAAATATCTACTCGATAGCGGTGTTTGATTGACCGTGATGTAGGGCGTGAATCCAGAATTCCCATTGTTCATAGACTGGCCCGCGGGATTGGGGTTGGTGGTATCGCCGATTCCAGAGCCGTTGTTGGCGGACTGACCACCGGGCGCCTGTGAAGTGCTCAGGCGTGAAAAGGACCAATCATGCAGCATACCCATCGAGACTCCCGGGGACGGAACGACCAAGTCCTGTGCGAATTTCGAAGGTAAAGATCCTGTGCCTGCACCTGCAATACCGCCCTCGACATGATTTGCGCCTGTGGACTGACCCAGTTGCTGCACCTGACTTTGATGCTGCAGATTATGCAGCTGTCTGTGCATCGAGAATGCCGGCGGCAGGGGCCCTCCACTGCCTGCGGCCGGATTGAGTCCGTGCCCGCCGGAGCCTGGGCCCATGCCTTGCGGTGTCGGCTGTATAGGTGTAGCAAAATACTGCTGTATAGATGGAGAAGCTGCTATCGCCGAGGGCAGACCATTGAAGAGAAAACCATTGGCGGGGTTGTGAACTCCAGAGGGTGCAACACTCGTGGTAAGCGGATGCCCCAATTGACCTGACTTGTCATTTTTTTCATAAGCAGCGGGATGAGACGGGTACAAAGGAGAAGCATGGGCCGACGAAGGGGTTCCATTCTTTGATCTAGACGGCCGCGGCAGTTCAATGCGGCCGCCATTACTTCGTTGAAATTGAGAGCCAGAGGCACCAGCCGAGACCACGTTACCGATCGGAGATCCGGACGACGGTTCGCTTTTGATGGAAGTGCCCGATGTGGATGGGATTTGGACCCGCAGCACGGGACGAGCACTGGGGTTTCGCCCAGACCCAAGCTCCTGTTGTGCCGTGAGCGGTGTAGATGGGGTAGAGTTATGCAATGCGCTGGTGCTTTGTACACTGCGGGGGCCCCTAGATGCACTGGACTGTGCCGTTGATTGGTTAGCGGTCAGTGTAGAACGGTCGCCGGCTTCGATGGAGGCCGGGATAGAAGAAGAACGGCCACCAGCATTTGACGCGCTGCGCGCGTAAACATTGGAGCTACCACCTGTATGCGAAAGGGCCCGCTGCGAGACCGTCAGCGCCGGTGTGCTTTGCGGGATCCGATGGTCCTGGTGAGACGCGACCGCATACAGGTTGTGGAACTGCCGTTGTACTTGTTGTTGGAGCGGGTTGAACTGCGGAGAATTCTGGCTACGCGGCCTCTTAACGTTCCGCTCGACTTCGTCATTGTCGTTCCCTGAATCGTCGTCTTCTTCGTCGTCGGGGTCGCCCTCGTCATCTTGCTTGAAATCCGAAAGGGAATGGGCGCGGTTCACTGCGGCGGCTGCCGTGTTACTCCGCCGACGTCCCGTGTCGTGTAATACCACTTTGTCTTTCTTCTTAAAGTTGCCGTAGTCGGCAGGACCTTTCACGTCGTGGGAGAGTGCATCGTTCTGATAGTGCTTGATGAGATCGGCGGTGTCCACAGACGAAAACTCGTAAAACGTATTGTTTGTACCCAAAATGATCAGAGCAACGTCTACTTGGCACAGCACGGCCAGCTCGTGCGCTTTCTTGAACAGGCCCGCTTTACGTTTTATGAAAGTGCTGTTGTCAATCGATCTTTGTTAGTAATAGGAAACGTGAGATGCATGACGCGCCTGATGGGGCCTGCTGGCTCCGGGGTACCTCCGGGGTACCTCCGTAACGCTCCGTATACCATACGGAAGCGTCTGGACCATGTCAAACCGATCTATAACATACACGCCGCGGTTCCGCTCATCGAGAATCGGTTCAATGGCGATCTTTCTTCTGCCCATCGTGTCAATTTTTCGCTTGGCCCTTGCTTGCCAAAAATATACCTTCTATGCGTAACGACCCGTTTCTCTTGGAAAAATTTATTTTAGTACCCTGATATACTCTTGGTTTTTTGGAGTCTAGATGCGTATCCGGTCGAAACCCTGTTGCACACACGAATATCGCCGCGAGGAGGCGTGCGTACATAAGCGCAGGAAGCGACGGACACCAAGCAGGGGTGGCAAAGAGAAAACGGCCTAACCACGCGCATGTGGCGCAGGCGCTGGCGCAGGCGCTGGCGCAGTAGCTTTTGTTTCGCACGACGGAGCGCGGAAAAAGTCACGCGCCGTGCAGCGTGACAGGTTACCCGCACCGGACTTAAAGGGGTGCCGCTTCTCACGATCTATTTTTAGCGCACGCTCGGCTTTTGTGGCTCTTTGTGTAACTCGTTTTGTACGGCCGGGCCCGCCCCTCGAGCGTTAGCCGCCCACCTTCCCGGAGGCGCAGCCCGGCGCAGCCCGGCGCAGCCGGGCGCGCGCGGTAATCGGTGAGATACTTAGAGCAGCGGTACGCATTCGGTGCAATTGCGCGTTAGTCCGCTGCGTGTTTTCCCCTTTCGCACGTTAGTGCTATGTGGACGGGGCGGAATCCGCGGCGATCGCACCACCCCGCTTTATATACAGGGGTGCGCCTTGTGCGAGTGAGACATCTCCGGTACCGTTGTACGGGTCCCACCCATACATACTCATTCGGTCACCTGACCTTCCCGTGCATCGCGATGTGTTCGTCTCTGACACCCATGCATCCGTTTGCGAACTCGATCACGTGCTCGTGCCCTTTATATCCCACGCCCCATCTCATTCCCGTGTCTTTTTGCGGAGACGGAGACGTATATTTCCACGTGATACCTCGCTCCCCAAGAAAACCCTGAAGCGGTGTCGAACCCAAAAATAAGCCCCATGGCTTTCTTGCCACGGCTCTCTTGCTTTTCGCAGGCCGACTCACAAGTGCCACTTACAAAGCGCTAGCGCTTTGTAAGAAGCTCATGTCGTTAAGCGCTCGAGCCCGCATAACAAAAGAAGCAAAGAAGCGGTGTTGCATTCGCTTACCACACTGTTCTTGCTTGCTTTTCGCACACTTTTCGCTTGCTTTTCGCACGCAAAGAACATTTTACAGTTTGTATAAATATTAGAGGCATAGTGAGGCGGTTTCGAGAGGCGGAACGGCTGTGTTAATGTAGAGATATACAGATACAGAAGCCGCCGAAAAATGAAAGGCAGTCTGTTCGAAGAAAACGACTACGCCAAGCTGGGCAAGGCCCAGGAGCGTGAAGACGTCCCAATCGAGACGCTCGAGTCCTCCGAGGGCTCAGAAACCGAAGACGAACATCAAATCAAGTACCGCACGTGCTCGTGGCAGCACACGACGGGCCTGATGTTGTCCGAGTACATCGTGCTTGCCATCATGTCTTTCCCTTGGTCCTACTCTGTGCTGGGGCTTGTGCCGGGTATCATTCTGACGATTTTCGTCGCAACGACGGTGCTATATACGGGACTCACCATCATCGAATACTGCGAAAGATTCCCGCATCTGAAAAACATATGCGATATCGGCCAGCACCTGTTCTGGGGCCACAGATGGGCGTGGTACGCGACCGCGGTGTGCTTCTTGCTGAACAACACGCTCATCCAGGGCCTGCACGTGCTCGTGGGCGCCAAGTACCTCAACACGATTACGGACCATTCCCAGTGCTCGGTGTCCTTCGGAGTGATCGCCGCCTGCATCTCGCTCGTGTTCTCGGTACCGCGCACGTTCTCGTCGCTGTCGAACGTGGGCTATTTTTCTGCGTGCACCATGTTCATCGCGGTCGTGCTTGCGATGATCTTTGCGGGCGTCCAGTCGCACCCTTACGGGTACGACGGCACGCCTGTGACGTTTCGGGCGTTCCCGAAAAAGGACACTTCCTACATCGACGCCATGGGCGCCTTCTTGAACATCGTGTACACGTTTGTGGGCCAAATCACGTACCCGCAGTTTATCTCCGAGATGCAGAACCCACGTGACTTCCGCAAAGTGCTGTGGATCGTCACCTCGATCGAGGTGGTGATTTTCACGCTTGCCGGTAGCATCATGTACGTCTACGTGGGCAACGAGTACGTGACCGCGCCGGCGTTCGGGTCGCTGACAAGGGCGTACAAGATCATCTCGTTCACGTTTGCCGTGCCCACCATCGTTTTCGCCGGGGCTCTGTACTCGAACGTGTCTGCGCGGTTTCTGTTTTTCAACATTTTCAAAAACTCGAAGCACAGACACTCGCACACGATTACCGGCTGGGCAACCTGGGTCGGCTTGCTTGTCATCACGTGGATCTGCGCTTTTGTCATCGCAGAGGTGATTCCCTTTTTCTCTGACTTGTTGTCGCTGATGTCGTCCCTCTTTGACTGCTGGTTCGGTTTCGTTTTTTGGGGGATGGCCTTCTTCAAGATCAAGCGGCTGGAACTCGGCAACGGCAAGAACTTCTACCGGAACCTGTCTCGCGTCGACAAAGTGCACTACTTTATCTCATGGTTTTTGATAGCGACGGGCCTCTACATCTTGGGTCCGGGGCTTTACGCTGTCATCAAAAGCATCATTTTGAACTACGAGTCCGGCGCCTACGGCACCGTGTTCAGTTGCACCTCCAACGGTTTGTGAACTCCTCACAATTGTACAATACGTATAGTCTAATTGATTTACTCTAATAGTAGAAAATAGACGGCACATGGCGTTTGGATCTTCTGTAGCAGATACACAGACAAGTCTATCTTTGACCGAACCCGTCCGGCCTACGATCGTCGGCGCCCAGCTAAATAATCTGGCCAACCGACCCGAGTTTGTAGCATAGACGGTTAAACAAAGCCGGATTTAAGACCTTCGTTCGGGGTGATTCGGAGATTCTCACCCCGGATTTAACACTCCGGAGTTAACTTAAACTTGCGGCGCAGGCCCTTGCAACCAGCATCGGGTAGCCATATACGACAAGCAAGTTCCCCCCACAAAGAAGGGACTTGCTATTAGCAACTCACGCCTGGCGGGCCCATTGGGACCCGTCAGGCCCTCTGAAGCGAGTAGAATTGCTAACAGGAGTCAGGCGTTCATGGCCGCGGTCATGAGGAGTCTTTGCCTGGGTATAAATCGTATAAATTGCAGGTTTCTGGGCTTTGGGTCTTTTCTGGGCGAGATTGGATTTGGAGAGTAGATACTTATATAAAGAGCATTAGAGTAGAATTTGGTGTAACTGAACCTGAGCCTCTTCAAACAAGCCATACGCACACATGCCTGAACACGAACAACTTAAATCCCAAACAATCGCCAGCGGACTGCCCACACCCCAACCTTACCCCAAATTGCCCAAAAATGTGATTGATATGTTCTCTCTGAAGGGTAAAGTCGCTTGTATTTCGGGTGCTTCGTCTGGTATCGGTGGAGCCGTTGCAGTGGCTTTTGCCCAGGCCGGTGCGGATCTCGCCGTATGGTACAACTCGCACGACCAACTGGTGCAGACGGCCAAAGAATTGAGCGAACAGTACGGCGTGAAAATAAAGGCTTACAAGTGTCCCGTGACGGATGAGCACAAGGTTCGCGAGACCATTGAGCAGGTTGAGCAAGATTTCGGACGCATTGACGTTTTTGTCGCCAACGCAGGTGTCGCCTGGTCCGAGGGTCCGCTTATCGAAGCCGAAGCCAAAGGTGTAGCCAGTTCCGAGTGGGAAAAAGTGTTCCAGACCGATTTCCAAGGCGTATACTACTGCAGCAAGGTGGTTGGCCGTGTTTTTAAAAAACAGGGCCACGGGTCCTTAGTAATAACGGCGTCGATGTCTGGCCACGTGGTCAACGTTCCCCAGCTACAAGCATGCTACAACGCGGCCAAGGCCGGAGTTATCCACTTGTCGCGCTCGTTGGCCGTCGAATGGGCTGGATTCGGTCGTGTTAACACTGTCTCGCCCGGTTACATCCATACTCCGATTTCGAGCTTTGCAGAAGCTAAAATCAAGCAAAGATGGCACGAGCTCACGCCTTTGGGCAGAGAGGGTTTACCAGAGGAATTGGTCGGTGCTTACTTGTATCTAGCGTCCGATGCGTCTACTTATACCACTGGCAGCGACATAATTGTCGACGGCGGTTACTGTGCCATGTAACCTGTCCAGAAGCTTCGAAGAACGTGGAGAAATCAAAACATAGCCATCCATATATCCATATATCTGTAATTAAAGAAGACGCTTAACAACAGGGTGGTCGCTTGCCTTGTCCGTTTCTTTGCTCGCGTCCCTCCATCGTTTAGTCTAGTTCTATATTAAACCACTCAAAAAATGCAATGAAGAGCTTTTACAAAGCTGAGCCAGCAATAATTCAAAACTACAGCGACCAACGGCTTCGGTGACATTTTTGCATAGCTTGTCGAACCGATAAACCTACATATTCCTTAAATACAGGCTCAATTTCGTGAATTTTGTTGCTATAGATCATCGATCTTGATGCTATCGAAACTCGGTTTATTAGCGCGCCATTTTTTTCGATAACTACTTCTTGCAGCTAAGGGGGATGAGTATTGTATAAAGGGCTATACGAGTAACGGCGTTCTTCATAGAGGGCTATATACCGGGAAAGACAAGATCAAGACAAGATAAAGTTATTTCTCTGTGCTTATATTAACCTGGAGCTTTAGGATTTCAGCGCTCAAGGTATAAATATAAAGATCTGTAATCTGACAAACCCATCTAAACAGATTTGCTAAAAAGTCCGATCCGAGAGAAAAGTGCCAAGACAGACAACTACATTAAAGTTAAGTCAAAGTAAGCCATTTTGATGCTAGGTTCAATATTCAGGGACTATCCTGAACCATCGGAAAACGGATATTGGGGTCGTCCAACCTCGACGATAGATTGGTGTGAAGAAAACTACGTTGTTTCGCCGTTTGTGGCAGAATGGTCCAATACGATAACCAACGGTCTGTTTGTGTTGCTGGCGGTTTTTGTCACGTATTCTGCTATACGCAATAACCTGGAGAAGCGATTTTGGTGGATAGGGCTTGGATTTGGCATTGTTGGCGTTGGATCCTGGTTTTTCCATATGACGCTTCTTTACGAATTCCAGTTACTCGACGAACTACCAATGATCTACGCAACTTGTATACCTACCTGGAGCATCTTCTCGGAGGAAACAGAAGTTTTGCGCAATTCGAATCGGCCTGCGTCTATCTCTAGACAACTGATCGTTGGAGTCATAGTTTTCAGTTCTGCTGCGATTTTGACCGTAGTGTATCTGATCTCGCGCAATCCAACATTCCATCAGACCGCGTACGCAATTCTGAACGTAATTGTTGTTGTTTCTGCCGGTGTGCTAGCAACAAAATACGTCAAAGACCCGTTGGCCAAGCAGAACTTGGTGAACACAATGGCGTTGAGTATTTTCATTTTTCTGAGCGGGTTTGCCATGTGGCAACTCGATATCCATCTATGCTCCTTTTGGATCTATATCCGCAGATCTTTTCTGCGGTTACCCCTCGGTGTACTTCTAGAATTGCATGCATGGTGGCATTTGCTAACCGGTACCGGTGTCTATTACTACATCGTCCATTTGGAATACCTGCGAACTTTGACCCATGGGCGCGCTAACGACTACACTTTGATTTGGCGCTGGAGAGTGTTCCCAGAACTTATTCTGAATGGTAAATCTATCTCAACAAGCTACAGCTTGGAGCTTCTGGGCAACCTGGAACAGTCAAATGTTCAAGAAGGCAAGCACCGTGTGAAAAAGGAGTGAGAACTATCTAGCTCTGTTTCTTAAGGGCAACGTTCTACGAATGTAGAAAATTCTGAACTTGCTAAAGGTACGATCTTAAATAGTAAGGCTATTTGCATTGAATAGCTGGAAAATCTTTGGGGAGAAACAATGGCGCTATAAACCATTTTAGATTGTCATTGAAGTGCTTTTCAGAGATTCAACACAATATTATGATATTCTTGTTGATGATATATATTAAAACAAAAAAGACCACTGCTACATATAGATTCTGACCCTATCAGATGAGTGATGAGACACTTCCTCCCATTTGTTTACTATTGTCATTACTGTCACTTTAGTCGTGTGATTTCTCGTCAGAACCAACTTAAATATTAATTGATTATTTAGCATAGTGAGTTTTTAGAAAGCTGTGAGCAGTGTAGTCTCGTCTTTTTAGTATTTGGCAGGAATGTCAGTTTCTTGTTTCGCGTAGTTCATAACAGTCTTCCTTTTTGAAACATGATTCCGAATGTCATCTCTATGCTATAAAACAAGAAATGGATCATCTAAAATCACAAGCAAAATATTTATAAGCTCACCAATAGCCAATGCAGCCTCCTTCCCATAACATCATCTCTAAAAGTCATTCAATCACATTCAGCTATTGAAGCACTACTTATTGACCGCCGTTTCCTTCTTTAAATATATCTAGATTAATAATGAGATTACGTAACATAAGACATAATCTTGGCAGCATTAGAAAGACGCAATTTAAACCTAGCAACCTGGCGAAAAGAACCTGGCGAAGAGAGCTTCAACTTCCCTTTTCTAGCCCTTTAATAAAGCATCAATGCCCAAAACAATTCCCGGCAAGTATCTGTCCTCGTCGCTGGATTTCAGATCCGACACTTTTACAATCCCTACGCCCCAACTATGGGAGCAGGTATCCGAGGCATCAATGGGCGATTCGGTTTACGAAGAAGACACGGATACCACTCTATTGGAAGAACGAATTGCTCATGAATTTCTCGGTGGGCAAATGTTTGATGGTGAAGCTCAGGGTCTCTTTTGTATGTCGACGACAATGTCAAATCAATTGGCAATTCGGTCACATTTGAACTTAGCTCCGCCTTTCAGTGTTTTATGCGATAAACGTGCCCATGTGTATGTGGATGAATGTGCGGGCATCGCAGTTCTTTCGCAGGCATTGGTGGTGCCCGTGGAAGCTTCCAATTCTCATCATCTCACTCTCGATGATATAAAAGCCAACTACATACCGAACGATGGGGATATTCACCTTGCACCAACTAAATTGATTTGTCTTGAAAATACGCTACATGGAATGTGCTTCCCTTACAGCGAACTCAGGAAAATCAGCGAATGGTGTCACCATGAGAATATCAAATTGCACTTGGACGGCGCCCGTCTTTGGAATGCTGCTACCTACCACGATGAACCTGACAAGTTTGCTTATTTGCACAAGATTGCACCTCTGTTTGACTCCATCTCCATGTGTCTTTCGAAGTCGATAGGCGCACCAGTGGGCTCAATGCTCATTGGGACGCCTGAATTTATGAAAAGAGCTAGACACCTTCAAAAACAGCAAGGTGGTGGCATCCGGCAAGCTGGGTTCATTGCACGTATTGCAAACTACTGCATCGATTATACTTACCCTGCCAAGATACACCAGGTCTCACTTAAGGTCCAAGAGTTCTGGCATGATCTACACCAAACTATGAAAGATATCCACAGTTTCGAATTATTTTTGGCGCACCCTGTCGAAACCAATTTCATCTTCATCGATCTCGCAAAATCAAAAATCAATATAGATGTGCTTCTGAAGTTCGGAGGGTTGAACGGCGTCAGACTTTTCGACGGACGTCTTGCTTTCCACTACCAAAATATTGATGATTCGAGCTTAGAAACCTTAAAGAAAGTCTTCCTAGATATGGCCGCTCACTACAAAGATCACGAGTATATCCCTGACGCGGGTAAAACCAGAATCTACTAAGTGGCAGAGTTAAATCGTCACTCCGTTCTTTTTTGCTGTCAACGTCTTCGATACGAATGGCCCATCCAGTTCGTAACCAAGTCTAGCGTAATAATTTCTAACTCCAACACCTGATATGACTGAAATTTTTTCAGAGCCATGCTCTTCACGCGCTATCCTTTCGGCCTCTTCCATTAATAAAGTACCGAAACCTTGATGTTGAAATTTCCTAGGGTCCCGAGAATGCAATGGAACCACAGATCCGTAAACGTGAAGTTCTCTAACGATCGAGGTCCTTTGACCCGTAAACTCTTTCCGATATGTGTATTTTTTTGAGGCTTTTCTAAGTCGCAGAAGACCAACTAAAATGTCTTTCTTAGGATCTTCGTAAGACAAGAAAGTTTCCCACCCGCCATTGGCGTAGTAATCTCTTCTAACTAGTTCTACCTGATCCGGTTGAACTTTGTGATGTACTTCCTGAATTCCGACTTCTCTGGTACGCACATCTCTGCACGTCGTACCGAAATCTTTCATTCTCGCCAGTGCCAGCTCTCTCAAATTACCATTTTCGACACCAGAAGTGACCAAAGGCATTGGAATATCTCTTTGAACTCTATAAATTCTGGTCCAAGGAGGTACAAGAGCCATGATACGAGCCACAAGATCAACCAGAGCATTGGCGTTATAGGACTTATACCGTCCTGTTTTCCATAATTCGTAGAGACCAGTGCCTCTAATAACCAAAGTGGGATAAATTTTCAACCCATCTGTCCTGAAAGCAGGGTTTTCAAAATATTCTTTAAACTGTTCTATGTCTCTTTCCATGCCGACGTTCGGCAGATCGGGCATCATGTGCGAAACGACTTTATAGCCGGCGTCTTTGGCCACGCAGAACGTTTCGGCCACCGATTTGACAGTGTGGCCTCTGTTGGTATCGCGGGCCACGTCTTCGTAAAGAGACTGAACACCTATCTCAAGTCTAGTGCATCCGTATTTCAACATGTCGTCCAAATGAGTTTGAGTACAGTAATCTGGTCTTGTTTCGATCGTAATACCAACACATTTGGTCAGACTTTGTTGGGAGTACTGAATAGCCTCGTTTATATTATTTCCGTTGAAACCAGACAACGCATTATGCAATTTCACGATAAAATCTTCACGATACTCCTTTGGTAGTGACATGAACGTACCACCCATGATGATGTATTCGACTTTGTCGATCGAATGACCCAACTGCTTAAGCTGTTCAATTCTACCACGGGCCTGTTCGTACGGGTCGTAACGAGCTCTTATGGCCCGCATCGACGTAGGCTCGTACCCGGTATAGGACTGTGTCGAATACTCAAAATCCGAATCGGGACCACCTGGGCAGTAAACACAGATGTTACCAGTGTAAGCAATGTGAGGACAACGATGGGGCTTGCACATTACAGCAACCACAGCAATTCCCGAAGCTGTCCTCACGGGCTTGGCTTTCAATTTTGGCAAAAGGTACTTTTTGTATTGATCTGGGATGGAATTAATGACATCAGTGAGCCGCGGTTGCTGTTTGAGTTTATATTTCTTGGAGAACTTGGTGATGAGTCCATTTAAGTTGATTTCTCGCGATGAGGTGGAAGTCAAAGAACCAACCAGTTCCAAGGTTATATCTGAGCAACACTCGATAAACCGCTCTTTTTCCGGGACGAGTTTTTGCTTGTTGGTCTTGGGACCATTACCTTTGCGTCCCATTACACTTCGAAGGCCTAATAAATGACGAAACGGGTTCTGTAAGGTTGAGTAAGCTACGATTTAAAGATGCGATGAGCTAACCGATTTTTCAAATTTTTCACCTTGTAGCTAATAGAGTGAGCATTTATCGTTATATACGTTGATAATATAGGGTGAAATACATCTAATTAATGTATTACCACCTGCGATTACTACGCATCTTAGTACCTTATTCAAATAACTTATCACTATCCAGTTGCTCCTCTCGTTTTTCCATAATTTTTTGTTTTGCTGTAGCCTTGTACTCTTACCAAGTGAAAGTTCAATTCTCTATCGAAATTTGATCCTTCGTGCAAGAGCACATCAACACATTTTTAGGTACGAAATTAGCGAATTATGGCAACTAGATCAAAGAACACAAGAACATTCTGATTCACGCGGTAAAGGACACATTAAGGATTGGATTCGTGACTGGTGTCAGCAATCTGGACATTAAAATTTCCGTGTTGTTTATTAAGAATCAAGGACATTACCTAAACGAATTGGACTCTGTATTTTTGATTCGAAAACCTGTATAATTGGCTTGCAAAATGGGACCAGAAGCAAAGAAGAAGAGGAATCAGAAGAAGAAGCAGAAACTTAAACAGAAGAAAGCTGCTGCGAAGACAGATACTGAGGGAGAAGCTGTAGCTTCAAACCAAGAGCAGTCCTTACATAAGCCGGAAAGTGACACGGAAACCGGTGAATCGGCAGCGCAAGATTTATATGGATGTTCAGAGCCAATGGAGGGTATAGAGGGCAGTGGTCACGCCGAGGAATCAAATGAGGATCAGGAAATGGAGATTTGCCCTCATGAGGAGTCTTCGATCCCGGTCTCCGAATCTGTCACAGCACAAGTGGCACAAGCGAACGAACTAATTTTGACGCATCAGAAAGACGAGACTCCAGAGCCTGAAAAGGAGCAAGAGGTAGGCGGAAATGTTCTGAGTGCCACATCAGAAGTTGAAAAAGTGCCAGTTAATTTGCCAGAAGATGGAGAGTACAATGAGGATAACGCTGCTTTTCTGCATGAAAAATTTGCCAAGGAACCACAACCTGAACCGAAAATAGAAACAACGCACATTGTAACCAATGTCTCTCCGAGTTTTTTGGGTCCAATTGCCGCGTCTGTTGCGGACAAGGTCGATACGAGCCATGAAGATCAAAAACAGGATCAAAACGAAGACCAAAGAGAAGGCCAAAACGAAGAAAACGAAGAAAACGAAGAGACGGATTTGCATACAGAACCAATCAATCTGAGGTTCAATCAGAAGGCAGGGGATTCTGAAATCTTACTGAAGGAAGATCTTCAAAACAAACTTTTGGCCCAGGAACTCGCCGACCCTGCACCTGTCTTGACTTCCGATGTTGATGAGGAAGAAGATTTCCAGAATGACGCTTCAGACACCGAGATGGACATTGATCAAAGCGTTTCACGATCAGAAACAGGTTCACATTTCGAGACAATAGGTGAGGCTTCTGTGGGACAAATGAATTCTGAAAAATCAGACGATCACGACAAAAACATTCACGAAACCGTTCCCGAAGGCACCGAAGCGGTCCCTACAGACAAAAAGGAGGACTTGTTTTCGACCGATGATTCTTCGAGCAACGAGCAGCATATTGAGCAAAATATAAGAGAAGAAACTAATGAACCTATCGGCACCATCATGCAAGCGGCATCAGAAGGCCATAAGAAATCAACAGAGTCCCTTTCAACCCATGTCTCGCAAGAGTTTATTTCTACCATTGGAGTTCAGAACGGACCTCAAACATCAGATGAAGTTCATAATTTGTTCCCTGACGACTCGGTCGCGCAAGAGCCTCTTCCTTGGGAAACGTCTGAAACCGAGGAAAAAACGCATGTTGATGAGAAGTCGCAAACTCCGGAAAAATCTCACTCTGAAGGTTTTTCTGGAAAAAGTTCAACGGGTGTTCAAGATTACGGTACGCCAGATCAAAGACAGAGTGAAGAAATTTCAGAGTCCTACGATGCCAAAGCGCAGGATAATATCGGCAATATAACAGTGGCTGATCAGCCTTTTAAGAACGAGACAGGCTCGACAGCGGAGGACACCAAAGAGCCACCAAAGGAGTCAACCTTTGAAAAAAAGTTCTCCTTTTTGGATGATGACGATGATCTACTAGATGATGATGATGAAAGTGAAAATGACAATGCGAGTGACGACAGTTTTCTTCCATCAGACCGTGAAGAATTGTCAAGTAATGAAACCACCGCCCAAGTAAATTCAGAACAGCGCTCTAGTGCTGGAACACAATTTTCATTACACCAAAAAGAAGTGCCAGACGCTTCGCAGAAGATTGCCAGTTTCCCAGTTCCCTATCCTGCCGAGCACGGGGTAGCTCCAACGGTGGACAGCAGTCGGTCCGTCAGCTCCGAACCCAAGGCGAAATACCTGCCTAGCGTGAATTCAAGTGGTACCGCAACATATGAAACTGTACCCTCTTTTCCTGCGGCTGGTCCTGCAATCACATTTACCGCTGCTCAAACGACACCTCATCCGCTTGTTAAGAACGACAGCAACTTGAACCAAAAGCTTGATGCTGAAAAAAAGAAGTCTGACGCTTTCGATTTTCCCCTCGAAATTATCCCACCAAAGCCTAGAAAGGTTAGTCATGCGAAAACATTCGCAGTGGCTCAAAGTCAAAGTCCGGTAAGCACTTTTGCTCCCGCTCGAACCTCTGGATCCTTAGTGGCCTCGGGCCAACCAATTGCGAAGCGTAACAACCAGGAAGTCACCGCTAGCAGAAGCGACAGCGTGTCGAGTAGTGGCTCTGGTGGCATGAGTGCATACGGCAGTGGCTTCGCTGCCCAGCGGCCAGGACCACCTCTCATGGCACAAGTGCCAAAGCGATCGGCTTTTGCACCAATGGTACCTTCTCAAACACAAGTCCAGAATATATCGGCCCCGTCAACCATGAAAAAGTACGCTCCATCTACTTTGAATGCGGAGCCCTCAAAATTTAGTAATGCGCTAAACATTTCTACTAAAAGTGCACGGGCTCGAGCTTTTAGCAATGTTTCAAATGGAAGTACGGGGTCTGCCGTGAGCTCATATGGGCGGGGATCTAACACTCAAGGTGGGTTACCTGGCGTGAATGGTAACCTTCCCGGCTTAGCACCGCCAACTGGGAATCTGGCACAAAATGGGGAGTCCGCCTTTTCGCCTATTCAATCAAACACGATTCCTCCGGTCCTCGATGTTACTTCTGCTCCACCGCATTCCTCCAACTTCCAGAAACGATCACATGCGCGCTCGAATTCCAGTGTTTATGCACCCGCCCACGCTTCGAAATACGCGCCCACAGTATTGCCGCAGTTTCAACAGCCAGTTTCTCATCAAGATGCTAAAAGCTACAGCGAGGGTAGTTATCAATTCAGGAGATTTTCTCGTAGTGGATCAAGCTTCCATCCCCCCATGGGTCCAACAGCCTTAGCACAAGAGGCTGTTCAAGCTCCTGTCGATAACGAAGCTATGCTGAAACGCCAATTTCCCATTTTTCATTGGGGAAAATCTTCCAAAGTCGTTTTCTCGTTCAATGCGTCACCTCCCGAGAATGGACTCTACGGCGCGGGTGATAACGGAATTTCCGTAAGGGTAGTGGGCTATGATAGAATTTTGAAATCAGACATCATTTTCAAGGCATTTCCGGGACCACTTCTGCGAAACAAAAGCAAAGAGAAGGATGTTGTTAAATGGATTGATGATTACATCACCGAAGTTTCGAAAAGAGAACCATTTAAAGATTTGACAATCTATGAAATTTTGAAAGTCAAGATTTTGAAGGGCAACTTGAAAGTATTGGCAAAAGCGCTTTACGACTATGAGGAACTGTTGCCCTTTCTATCACAACCTATTTCAAGCAAAAACGAGTCATCCAGTGCCACCAAGCTTAACGAGACAAATCAGTTGAGAATTCTTGCGTATCTACAAATGGGGGGTCATGAGCAAGCGTTAGAATTAGCCCTTGATCACAAAGATTATGCATTGGCACTAATGCTGGGCAGCCTTATGGGAAAAGAGAAGTGGTCAAGCGTTGTGAATGCTTATTTACACGAAGAGTTTGGCTTGAAGCATGAGGAACCACACGGCTTTTCTGTTAATTTGTTGACAATAATATTCCAAGTATTTGTCGGAAACGCGAAACGCGTTATGGAAGACATAACATCTGATCCTTTGTTGAAGGAATGGGCTTTGCGGGACTGGAAAATAATAATTTCTGCCATTTTGAATAATATCAATGGCGCTGGAGTAGCTTCAGAGAGTGACAACAGCAACAGCTCAAATCCGGGTATGCCAGCTTTTGTTTTGGAATTTATCGTATCCTTTGGGGCATTTCTCGCTCAGAACAATGACCAACTAGCTGGCGCGGTTTGCTTTATACTCTGCAACTTACCTCTCTCCCCCGCTGAGGTATTCCCAGGGTCAGATGTGAGATTTCAAAGTATTGGAAATACCAACAGTATCGAGGCTGCACTTCTCACGGAAATATATGACTTTTGCCAAACGACAACGTCTAGAGTGCCTGAACTCACCTGTTTGTTACCTCAACTTCTCACGCACGCTTCTGCTTTAGCTGATTATGGTCTTGCATCTTCGGCATCTAAATACACTGAGGCCATTACTGCGAATCTGAAAATGATGCCAAAAGGTTCTGCGTTGGCAATCGACATAGCCGCCCGTCTGGAATTTCTCAATTCAAAGCTAGTGGGTTCTAATGGAAGCTGGTTGGCTAAGCCCAAACTCAGCACTGTGTGGGGCCAAATTGACAAATCTTTCAACAAGTTTATTGGTGGAGATGACGATGAAGTGCTGAATAAAGGGCCCAAGGATAAGATCTTTGAAAGCTTTACGCCGACGACTTCTAGAAATGCTTCTATGCTGGATTTACACTCAGACGGAATACTAAATAGACCCCAGGCGCCTTTTATTGGAAATTCTTTCACGTCTCAAAATTCGCCAAATGGCGCGCACGAAAGAGCAACGTTATACGGGTCGAACTCTCCTGCCTTCAATGTCTATGGACAGGTTCAGAGTTCAGTTGAGAGATCAGCCGAAGTTCGCAATTCTCGGACGCTAGGAAAGACCGAAGCCAAGATGGTAGCGCAAGAAGCTCACTCAAGTCCTCAAATGAAAGTAGCAGATGCTGTAGCTAGGCCTATGGGTCTCACCCTCTCTGGACGAAGAAGTGTCACCTCTCTCAACTCCCCAGTTAGGTTGGGTGGTCTTGCTCCTGGTGCGGCAGGTCAGCCTGCTAAAAATCCGGTGATGACAACTCCGCCAATCGTTTCAAATAGGAACAAAAACAAGTATAGCCCCGCACAACTAGAAAGAAGACCGAGCGACGCAAATGCACCCTTTCTTGCCAATACCGTTACACGCTCACTTACAGACGTTAACAGCGAGGATTCAGGGATGGGTGCTGTTCAATATGGGGCGCTTGGTGCATTCACGAAGAGAAACTTGTCTAGAGACTCTCTCATTTCTCGTAGAGGTTCCACGCGGTCAGTGGTCAGTGAAGAGGCGTTAAATCAAACCCGGCCTGTATCTATTCCAGCTACCAGCAACGAGGGGAGCGAAGAAGAATTAGGTGTTGAATCTGCTATAACAGAAAGCGGAAATGCAAGTCCTCTCTCTTCTTGTGTGAGACTTAATAACTTACCTGAGAGCTCTACATTAAACAACGGGGTGTACGGCTCTTCTTCTGACGCTTGCGTTGAATCATCTCCTCGTGGATATTCGATGAAATCCAGTGACCAACTCATTGGAGTCCGAGGCACCTCTCCTAGCATTTCAGCTACCGACTCCGTTAAAGTAGGCTCATTAGAACTTAGGGAATCACCAACGAATCACCACGAACCAAACTTTACTGGTGAAGAACCTGACCCTGTGTTGAGCAAAGAAACTTTGAAGGAATCGAGTCAGGAGTTGCTAGTCAATACAGCCGAACCGATTTGGGATAAAAAAGCAGCGTCTTTTCACTCTTCAATCAGAGGTTCTCATGAAAGCACGGATGCGTTTAGTGATAGGGATCAAAGGCCGCTAGGATTAGACTTGCCTCAATCGCCCCCTGTTCGTGGGGCCAACCCATACGCGCCTGTATCTTCTCAGCTTCCAAAACCTACTACCGTCAACAACCCTTATGCTCCTAAGGATCCCTATGCACCTAAAAACACAGAAGATGTGTCTTCTCCAAAACCTGAGCAAGGGAGTGTCCAAGACCAGGTTACCGTCGATATGCCTGGTAATAGCGATTATAATCAAGATGGCAATCAAACTATTCCTACTGAAATGTCTCATGTTGAAGAAGACTCGCCAAAATTTTTATCGCCGGTATTTGTTGGCAGCGGGCATAACTCTGAAAGAGCTTGCGGGGCGCCAGAATCAAAGGCAAGCAGCGTCGCAGCCTCAGATGTGGAGGAGCAAGGTATTGATCATTCATATAAAAGAGAGAAATCTCCCAAGGTAGCTCCTGTTCCGATTATAAGACCTGCTGGGAACATGAGCTTCAAGCCTTTTATGCCAGCTTTGAAACCTGGACAAGAGACTTATTATGACGACGTTGTAGAAGACGAGTCTGAGGACGAGGATGATGCTTCAGAAACTGCAAGAGAAACAGCCGACGCCGAGAGGGAGCAGAAAAAAAGGGAGGAAGAAGCTGAGAGGAAGAGATTGGAGGCTAAGAAGGGGGAAAAGAAAGAGAAAGAAAAGAAGGATCTCGAAAACCGAGGCCAAGGCGGTGCGGGAAGCTGGTTCGGCTGGTTGAAAAAGGATTCAAATGAAAAGAAACCTGTTAAAGCCAAACTTGGTCACCAAAACACCTTCTATTACGACGAGAAACTGAAGAGATGGGTGAATAAAAATGCTACAGAGAAGGAAAAGGAGGAGCTTGCCACGCCAACTCCGCCACCACCCCCCGTGATCAAACGGAAACCTGCTAACGTACCTGAATCGAAGCCACGTTCAGGTTCAATGGCAAATGGAGCCGCTGCTCGTTCGAGCCTCGTTGGCGGCACGCACGAGTTAATAACTACTCCAGACCTGTTACCACATTCTGGACAAGCGTCCCCTCCAGTCACATTGAGAGAAAAGTATGCAGATGTGAATTTGACGGGTAAAAAGGCTAATGGACTTGACGATATTATGTCCTTAGTGAGTGGTCCAAACGTTGGGGGAGCATCATCACGGAAAAAGAAAAAGGCCACTCGAGGCTACGTTAATGTTATGAACAATATGTGACAACTTGATATAAAAAAGGCATCTAAAAAATCGTCGTTTCCTTTGCGTATAGACAAGAATTACTACTCACACTCTGCTTATATATTTGCAAGCTAGTTTTGATCAGAAGGAGGAAGTCTATACAGGTCACCGTTTTTCTTCATTCTCTCGATGGCAAGCTTCATATCGTCTTCGAAATTCTTCGGAAGCTTAGCGTCTGGTTTACTTTCAAAGACAGAACCAATTAGAATCGTTTCATTCGTCGTAGCATCGCACAGGAACGCTACGTAATCCACCACGTCTCTATCCACGGATTCCGTCTTGTTGGTCTGTTTATTGCGTTTTATGAGCCTCTGCTTGGTATTGAACTTGTAGATCAGTTGGATATGTTCTAATGGACGTCCTGGAATCATAAGAGCCTGTACAGACACTAGTTTAGGAATTTGCTTAAATTTGACAAGTTGCCAGTCAAGTTCAAAAGTTCTGGGCAGTTGCTTGCTTCTGCTTGCCAAGGCTTCTTCGACCCAAAGCGAAACTTTAGGTTTAACACTGGCCAATTGACGTTGCGCAAAGGCTCGGTTTACTTGCACATAAGTTTCGATCGCATTGTTTTTCCACAATAAGAACTTTGGTGTTAAACCCGATTGATACCTGAATAAAGCGATTTGAACTGTATTAAGTCCCAATGTGTAGATACGCCTTATCACGGCGTTACTGAAAACGAGTGGATGTCTTAAAAAACTTGGCAAATTCGTAAAGCTGGGGGGAATGTAAACATTCGTAGAGATACCCAAATGACGAGGATTAAAATCAACAGGTTTGGAATTTTTTTTGGCCTTCGTCTCATATTTTTGTTGTTCTTGAATCAAAAGACTCGATGTAAAGCATCTTTGAGAGATGAGAGATTTGATGGTCCGTCTAAATACGGGTGACCTAACCAATAGAGGGCTCATCATTAAATGCAAAGTTGTGTCAAATGCGTATCAAAGCACTTAAATGAAAGGAAAATTGACGATAGTTGATCCTCTGCATTTATATTCTTCCACTCAAATCTTGGTTCCAATTCTCAATTTTTTCACGAAATGAAATCCATGAATTTCGAACTCATCCCTATAACTTGAAGGTATCAAAGGAGAGAAGATTGACGGTCAAGAATCCATCCAGAATCCTTACCAAGGCCCGTTAAAGAGCCTACAGTGCCTCAAACCTAACAAATATCCTAATTTTGCCATGAAAACCGTCATTTGTGGTCTCAAAATAAGAGATACTGAGAAAATTAGTTGGTCGAAATCCTTGGCGTCATATTTAAAAAAAACGTACGGTTCTCCAACTTGGCATGAATTTTACGATCAACAATTGGCCGAAAAGCTGGACCATATCAGAAACAATGCGAATGGGGAGCTTGCAGCGGAATCTCTGCTGGAACAGAGTTTAATTTACTATGCATATTTGGAGCATCTCTACCTTCGGACAGGAAACAGCTCATCACTTCTGAGATTGGATTTTAATTGGTACGACGCAGAATATGACTCGAACAAAGGCAAGGAGAAGTTTGCACAACATACGTTAGCGTTCGAAAGATCCAGCATGCTTTACAATATAGGAGCGATTTTGAGCGAAATTGCACAAGAGAAGATGGCACAAGATGGAAAAATGGCCATTGCGTATCTGTCCAAAGCGTACGGATGTTTTGAGTTTTTAAGCGAGAACTTCTTGAATTCTCCTTCTGCAGATCTACAGGCTGATAATACGCGATTTTTGGCAGATTTGTGTCATGCGGAAGCTCAGGAATTGTTCTTGTTGGCGTTAATTAATGGTACAGATGCTTTTAAGAAGGCTTCTTTGATCAGTAAGCTTGCTTTATTGGCCAGCACGCTTTATGAGAAATTGAATAAATTTTATCTGGACACCACCACTGTGATAGGAGTTAGGTTTGGTGATTTGAAATGGAAAAGCATTATCGCTTGTAAAGCACATTTTTACAGAAGCGTCTGTGCTTACAATTATGGCCTTTTCCTAGAGCAACAAAACAAGGTCGGTGAAGCCATTTCTTTCATGAAAATTGCCAGTGAATCCATCGTATCCGCGCTGCCCAACAAGCTTTACGTCAAGGACGAAATGAGCCTTGACGCGTTCAAAACGCTAATCGATGGTAAAACAAAGTCGCTCATCAAGGATAATGACTACATTTACCACGATAGCATTCCAATAGATTCATCAGTCCAAGCCATCAAACCCATGGATGCTGTAAAGCCTATTGAAATTTCCAAACAGCTTGCCAAATATCTAGAATCGTGCTCCGAATCAAGTGCCGTACTCTTCAAAGGCATTGTACCCATGGAAATTTACGAGAAAGAGAGCATTTATTCCGAGGACAAGGCTCAAGCTTTGAGATTGGAATTAGAAAAAGTTAGCACGGCAGATTGGGAATTGACCTCTTTTATTGATTTCACCAACCTTCAAAAAATGATACAAGAATTAAAATCAAGAATCCAGAACTGTAATGCGGGAGGACAACAAGAAGATGTACAATACGCAATGGGTAAGAAAAATCTTGAATTTTGGTCTGAAAGCGTTAACAAAAGTCACTTCAGAGATATTGATCTACAGATGAAAGCTATCGTGAAGAAAAGGCAAACCATTATGAATAAACTTGGTTCCTTACCTCCCGGGTATAGGGACAATGCTGTTAAGCTCAAATCATCACTTATATCGGCCTCGAAATCTGACGATAAGCTTTTCTCGTCTTTAAAGCCGTATGCGGTCGATATCAAGCTTTTGGAAGATCGCACTTCCTTGCTGCAACAGTGGGATGCCTACAAAAATACAAATGACAATCATGTGAGTTTATTGGATATTGATGACGGTAGAAACGAGCAGGCCTTCAATAAGTTGAAGCACGTGGAGCTCCAGTATAACAACCTCAAATTGCTCAAGGAAGAGCGCACCAGAAATGCGGAAGATCTGAAAAGAGCACTCAATAATGATGACATTACCGACAGTCTTTTGAAAAATCGAAACAAGACGGACTCAGAGTTGAGGGCTTTGTTCCAAGAGGAGTTATCCAAATTTGATCCCTTGAGAACTAGGATAGAAGCAGCTATCTTCAAACAATCGGATATCATAAATGACATCAAAATCTCATTGAGTGAAATTTTTAATTTAACTGGAATTCAAGAAGAAGGATCAAATACAGATCCGAAAAAAAGCGAGCGCGAAGAGTTCTTGACCAGAATGGATCGTGCATTTGCGAGCTTTTCAACGTTTTCCCTTGATTTGCCTAAAGGTTTGGAATTTTATGACTCTCTTCTGAAAATCACTAATGAGCTCGCGGAGAGCAGCGAAGAGACCAAGCCACCAACGAACATCGAAAATCCTTCGTCTCCCGCCTTACCAAGAAATCCAGGTAATAGCGGCGTGGAAGAGAGGCTCGGAAGGCTTCATCTAACGAATAATTACGAGTCCAGAAGCCCCCCCATCCCATCTCGTGATCAGTACGGATTTTCACCTGATTACTCTATGGCTATCCCTGGGGGTCCACCTCTTCCGCCGAGACAACCGGCAAGTGGTATAACAACCCTTTTAAGTCAAAATCAAAACGAGGAGCGTGAATTAGAAGAAAACCCAACATCCTTTTACAGTAGACCTTCTGTTTTTGACGAAAACTTGTACTCCAAGTTCAGTCAATGATAGGATGCGAGTTCCGAGGCTAATTCGTCATTTTCGTTGGTTTTGCATTTTTGCGCTTTGATCGTTTATTTTGCATGCGCGCACCGTCATACCAAACACTCTCAGAACCAAATTCGTTCTCCGATAATCGAATGTAACTTATTAATCCATCGTCCATAACAGCCATAATGAAACTTTTGTAGCCCTTTTTCAAGCGCTGTATTTGCGTCACCTTTTTCGAAGGTTTGGCTTCTTTTTCCTTGCATTCTGAGCTTGGTTCTCCTGGCCAATATCCTCTATTAAAAAATGCTTTTAGCTTCCCCACAATTCTGCCCCATTTGGAGTCTTCACGCTCCGAAGTCGCGTCGCTCTTGGATTCTAGTTTTCGGAAAAGATATCGAAATTCGCGGTACGTGGGGAAACGCTGAGAGCTTGCGTTTTTATTGAACACAATAACTTGGAAATCTGGTACTCCTGGGGTTTTCTTCTTGAAACCTGCTTTTGGTTTCCAAACATCAAAAGTTATATGCCATTCTTTTACTTGACGCTCACTTTTGATCGGGACATGTTCGTGCACGGAAGATAACGAAGCAAACTTCTGTGCCGAATAGTACGGTACCAATTTGCTCAATTGCAGGTATAGTTGACCAGATGAGGTAAATCTCAGGATTTTGTAAAAGAACGGACTATAGAACGGGACGTTGAAAAGGTTTGTGAAAAGACGATTTATGCAATTGAACGATTTCGAAATCCAAGATGTTCTAGTTGAATTAGTGTTCTCCGAACACCCAATCCGGGGCCGATGTCTCGAAGAGGTTACAATGAAACCCAATCTTTTCAGATGCGCGTAAACGGCATAGTTATCAAGCTCTTCAGAGGACCGAAAGTATGCATACAAATCCTGGACACTCAAAGGCAGATCAAAATCGTCCCCGCACTTGAGGAAGGGTCTAACGGTACCTCTTTCTGAGAGATACACGAATTCGTTAAACTCAAGCCAACACACGCCCGTACGATCGACTTGGCCCATCGTATGCATGAAATTTCCTCGTGGAAATGGTATGAAGGCCTGATGCGTCGTTTGCTCATAATAGCCGTTGATAGTGTTTTTCTTTACAGAGCCTCTAGCAGCGTTCAGCAACGTGTCGAACATCTCCTGTCTTGCTTGGAATAGTAAAAACTCTTGGACATCTGTTCCATCTGGTTCGTAATCTTTCTCGCCTCTTTTCGGGATGATCGCCTGTTTCCTCGTTAGTTTGGCGATATGCGACCAATCTTGTACATCTGTAATGTCATCGTCTGAATCTGAATGCTGGTCCTTCCCATTTGACTCATTTTCGACCGCCATAGCTAGATGCTGGGGTCACTACAGGTGTGAATATGTATGCGCTATTACCATTAAAAGTGCGATGCTCATTACCAATATATCATCAATTGTCAATAGTTGAAAAAATTTAAAAAAACTCCGATACGGGGAGTCGAACCCCGGTCTCCACGGTGAAAGCGTGATGTGATAGCCGTTACACTATATCGGATTTGTTGGGGACTTCATCCTATTTGTACACTTATACACTAAGTGCAAAATCACAGTGATCACCTTGTTTCATTTACTCCTTTAGCGAATGTTATATGCTCTAGATATCGTGAAGCTGTATCTATGAACCATGCTTTCCTGGCCCCCCAATTCCTGCGCTTTTTTAGCGATTCTATAGCTTGGTGCTGTTGCACGTTTCGCATGAGCAGCTCGAGCCGCATTTGCATCTCGTAGGTTTCTTACTTGTTCCACAACAAGAGACAGGTTTCTTATCAATTGACGCTTTACCGGCACAACTAGAGCTGCCGTTTTTAGACGAGCAGCTCAATGAGGTGTTCTGACCGCTTTGCTGCTGCTGACAACAACCCATTTTCCTTTCTGCTACAGTCGAATCAAAGAGATTATCTTTCTCACTTAAGAAACAAATATTTGCAGCTACAAGACAAGGTCAAACACATCGATCTTTGCTGGTTTTATAGTCGAAACTGCCTCTAGCTTATCAGCCTGAAACAAAAACGACATTACCCTTTTAGGTAGTTACATGCGAGGCCGATCAGGTTTTGATAAAAACAATGACGTACTTAGTGATGTTCATAATTCACGTGACTATAAAAGAAGAGCTCGGCGGCTAATTGTTTCCCCTTCTACAAACCACTTTTTCTAAAAGCCAGATCGCCTCCTCCCAAAAAGAAAAAGAAAGCCGAGTCTAAGCATGTATCTGGTGGACGTAGAGGTCAACAAGCCGGTCTTGGCCATTATTAAACGTGTTTCAAGAGAAATTGGGCATCAATACGGGGGTAAAGCGCGAAGCGCGGTTTCCAATGTTGTGGCAAAAGCCGTCGAAGACAAAATAAGGTACAGCGCAGCTGGGGATAGGCCCATCGGAACCAGTTTTGAGCTTTCTTCACGCGATCTGGCTCTGGTGGGTCACGGATCCCTGGATATTGGCACCAGTCTCACAGAGGCCCAGGAAAATATCATCAAAAACCTTACACGAGTAATGCTACACCAAGTCTACGAGACTGGGACGTACGCAATATCTGAGGGTCAAAGAAATATGCTGTTATCCCTGTGTGTGAAACACATACACGTGGAAACGCGTCGGGCTCAAAGCTCGAAAAGGATGCGAGTAGAAGATACGGAGGGGTTCGTGAGCCAAATAAGATCTTCGTTGCAAAGTGAGCAACAAGAGCGGAATACGAGTTTTCTAAAAAAAGATAGCGCCTTTCAGGTAAGATTTTACGCCTGTCTCGACAAAAAGCGATCAAAGGAACCTGCTGCGGCTATTGCAGAAGAGTTTGATAAAATTGATTTGCACAGTAGTGAAAGAGCCCCGGAAGACGACGAAGACGATCATACTCTATTGCCATCTAGCGATGCAATAGCCAGTTTGCCCTTTTCTCCTCAGATGCTAGCCCAAGTTGAAGTGCATCTGTTGCCCTGCACGGAGTTTGAAGGTATGTGGGAATCGTTGCAATTTGACGATGATTTGAAAAGCAGGCTCTTCGGATACGCTACAATTGCGCTAAAATTGGCCAATTTCGCCAAAGGACATCAGTCTACCGCTATCGGTAATAACAAACTTTTGTTTGTGCATGGCCCTCCGGGTACAGGTAAAACGACCGTTTGTAAAGCGTTATGTCAAAAGTTGGCAATTAGACATGGACGCAGCGGTAAGAAAATTTTCTTCGAAGACGAGCCTCGAGTCGTGCTCGTTGAAATGTCGTGTTCTAGGCTTTTCTCCAGATGGTACGGGGAATCTGCCAAAAATCTGGATGGCATTTTTGAGAATATTGAGCGGTTACTCTTGGATCAAGGCAACAAAAACAAGATTGTTTGCTTGCTCATTGATGAAGTCGAAACAATCGCATCTTCTCGAATTTCTTTGATGGGCAAGAATGAAACGACAGACGGTATACGAGTGGTAAATGCGCTTTTGACCAAATTGGATCAAATGAAGAAATATAACAATTTCCTTACATTAGCCACTTCCAATTTGATCGAATCTTTGGATCCTGCATTTTTAGATCGAGCAGACGGTATGTTTTTCGTCGACAGTCCATCCTTCAATGCTGCAAGCGTCATTTTAAATTCGTGCATCGAACATTTGGTCAAAATTAACGTAGTTACTACGGTACGGGGTTCAAATATATTGGAAAATCAAAAATTCCGGAAAGCTATCGACTTGATTGCTGAGAGATGTGCGGTATGCTATGAGGACCTTAGAATGCTATTTTCGAGTTACTTTTTTCACTAACTGATGCCCTTCAGGAATCCAAAATCAGCGGAAGAACGTTAAGAAAATTACCTATTGTGTGCTTGTCGGAGAGCACCATGGCTTTGCCAATAACGATAGAAGATTTTTTGATGGCACTCGCATCTACAACTAGCATGAAAGCCAGGCAAGTGCACGTGGCAGTTTGCAACAAATAGGAATGACAAAGACGCATGTCAAAGAAATTAAACTCTCTTGGAGCGGACCTCGTGGCTCGTAGAGAGACCCCTCTCCTGCGGAAAAAATTAAAAGAAAAAAAAATCCGAAAAATTTAAAAGTAGGCAAGCTCCATCGACTTGGCCCCACCAGCCAAGTTTGAATTAGTTTCCTTTACCTTTGAGTCAAGTGAACATTGTCAAACATCTTCGCAATGCCAAAATTCCAATCGACTGCCCTTTTGCTGCTTGGCTTCTCAGCAGTGGTTTTCGCGTCTGCGGGCTCGGACTCATCGGTAGGGAACAACGAGGTCGATCCAGATGTGGCGGCCAACGATCCAAAGACCGCATTTTTGTTTGCTATTTCGATGATTATCGTTTCAGAAATTGGTGACAAAACTTTTTTGATTGCAGCTTTGATGGCAATGCGATATTCGCATCTGCTGGTGTTTTCTGCCTCAGCCTCATCCCTCTTTATTATGACGATTTTGTCGGGACTTGTGGGCCGCACTTTCACCACGCTTGTGCCAGTCTCCTATACCAAATTCATGGCCGGTATTTTATTCCTAGTTTTTGGGTACAAGCTAACTATGGAGGGACTATCCATGTCCAAAGATGTCGGTGTTGAGGAGGAACTAGCTGAGGTGGAGGAAGAAATTGCCGTCACAGATATCAACAAAGAAATGGACAACGCCGAGCAGGGAAGTGACAACGCTGTTTCGTCCAAACCAACGTATTCGAACAACAAATTGCTCAACAACTTCATCATCCGAACTAAAAATCTGTTTTCCTACATCCTTTCTCCTGTCTGGGTTAATATTTTCTCAATGGTGTTTTTTGGAGAATTTGGAGACCGTTCTCAGATCAGTACCATTGCCATGGCTTCCGGCAGTCACTATTGGTCGGTGATATTCGGTGCAGTTATAGGACACGCCATTTGCACGGGCATAGCCGTTATTGGAGGTAAACTTCTTGCCGCTAAAATCAGCATGAGAACTGTCACATTGGGCGGGGCGTTTTCTTTCATAGTGTTTGCCTTCGTATATATCGTCGGGGCATTCAACGAGGCCTGAAATGGCTCAGAAATTAGCACAGGTCAACATCCATCTTTATCTATTATGTTTACATTCTCAAATTATCAAGGATAAACCGTTCATTTTCATTCCTATCATCTTACTCAACTTCGTCATCCTTACTTTCGTTGCGATCACGTAGACCCCATAATTTCTGCCTTGCTAAAATTTGAATAGCTTCATCGGTACGCTTCTGCAACAGATCTATTTGAGGCCTTAACTTGTTTCTGAAATCACTGTCACATTCACCTTTGTATCTATCTTCACTTATGTCAGATACTAGTGTCTCATTTCTCTCTAGCGATTGATGCTTTATGCGAGATGCTAACTCCTCTACCGTTAAGAATTTCTGAACCTTCAAGTGAGAATCTGTTGTGCGTTTTGACTTCGTAGTGTTTGCCAAATCTTGCTGTTCCTTTTGATCCCTTGCTTGCGCTTTTAGAAATTCTAGATAAGATTGCCTCTCATCTTCCAGGTTTTGGGGTTGAGACATATGAGTTCTTTCAACGTCTTCTTAGATTACTAGTGATCTTCGAGATTTTATGTTCTTTGCACATTAACGTCTTAAGCGACTGCTCAGTAATGAATTCTTTAATTACTATGTACATTATGCGAAAATCAATGTAAAGTCTTGATAAAATTGTCCAAATTGTACTCCTCCTCGTATTGAGAGCTATCCCATAGCTCTTTGAGTTCTCCTACAGCTTCTTTAGCCTTCCCGGTTAGTCCACTTTCGTTGGCGATATCATCCATTTTCCCGTTCTTGGCAGCATTAGGTGTTCCTTCTTCTGCTTCCTGCGAGGGTACATTATCGGCATCGAATAAATCTAACAACTGATGAGTATCCATGGACGCCAGACCCGAGTTTTGTTGATTTATGACGGTCGACGCAATATTCATTTTAAATTTTTGTAAACCCATGATTTTCTCTTCGAGAGTGCCCTTGGTGATAATTCTGTAAACGTTAACGACTTTTTTCTGGCCAATTCTGTGTGCACGATCCATTGCTTGGAGATCATTCATGGGGTTCCAATCATGCTCGACAAATATAACAGTGTCAGCACCGGTTAAGTTGAGTCCCAAACCACCTACTTTTGTAGTTAGGAGTAGACAATCAATCGAGGGGTCTTCATTGAATTTTCGGACCAGAGCTTGTCGGTCCCGAGATTCAACGGACCCGTCGAGCCGCATATAAGTCACAGAAGGCATATATTTTTTGAATAGATCATTTTCCACCATATCAAGCATGTCCTTGAGTTGACAGAAAATCAAAGCTCTGTGCTGACTGATAACGTTATCCATAGATGGCAAATCACCTTTACTTTTCTTTTCAAGGTCCTCGGTTCCGATACCACATTCCAAAAGTAAATTTTGCAGCGCGCCTAATTTGGGCGCATGCGACAAATCATGCATGCTCAACCCAGTCTGCTTTAAGTATTCTTGAACTTGAAACCATTGGGGATGGCTTGGCGATAGTACCAGAGAAGGATGATTACACAACTTCCTCATGTATTGCAATGCTTGGAATATGTGCTGTTTGTTCTCAACGTCGGAGGCATGCTCAATGTCTCTTTCGACATTATGCTTTTGCTTTTTAGCGAAATCCTTGTAAAGTTGTTTTTGAAGGTCACTGAGTTCGCAGTAGTAATCCTGTATAATTTTGGGAGGTAAATCCGATAAGACGTCCTCTTTGAGTCTCCGGAGCATGAAAGGTAATACCTGCTTGTGGAGAGCGTCAAGGGCAAGAGCGCCCGCCTCTTGTTCCTTGGAGGACGTTTTGCTGTTACGAGATGCGGCCACGGGCTTGGCAAACCTTTCGTGGAACATTTTTTCAGTACCCAGAAATCCTGGCATCAGGAAATCAAATAACGACCACAGTTCGACCACATTATTTTGAATAGGCGTACCAGTCAAAATTAGTCTGTGATTTGCTTGTACCAACTTAACAGCTTTCGAAAGCTTCGATTGTGCGTTCTTGATGATGTGTCCCTCGTCTAAGACGCAGTAGTTGAAATCATATTTGGTTATCACATCGATGTCGTTTCTTGCTACATCATAAGAGGTAACAACGATGTCGGCAGTGTCGAGTTTATGTCTTAAAGGAAACCTCATCGAAGGCCCCCCCGCATAGATTAGTACTTTCAAGAACGGTGCGTACTGTTCAAACTCCTGTTCCCAATGCCCTGTTAACGATGGCGGGCACACGATCAGCGAAGGGAGAGGTCTCGATTCGACCGCACTGGATGCTTCGTAATTTTGATGTCTCAAATACTGATCGCTCGCAATGATGCAAATCGTTTGTAGAGTTTTCCCGAGGCCCATGTCATCACATAAAATACCGTGCAAATGATACTTGTTCAAGAACGCAAGCCAATTCACACCGTCTTGCTGGTACTTTCTTAGGCTGGTTTTGATCGCGACGGGGCACTTGAAAGGTTTTGCCTTCGAAGGATCCATCATTTGCTGTAAGAAATCTCGCTCCCTCTCACGCCCCTCCAACAGTTCGCTGGGCATTCCCTCGGGATCAGGTATACCCGCCTCCAATGGGACCAACTTGATAATGGATGCAAAAGTTGTTGTGGCCAAAGTTCTAACGTCCTGATTAGCATCACTCATTCTGCCTAATAACGGTACAATTAAGAAGACCACATAAGGTAAAATATCGGAGCCCATGTACTGAGATAGGTGGTATACAAGTTCTGTGAGACCTTGCCTATCCGTGACAGAGGAGGGATTGTTCATGAGCGGTAAAGCCTCCCTTATTATAAAAGGAATGATCTTGAGAGGCAAAACAGTAGCCAGATCAGCAAAAGTTCTTGCGGCGGAATACCTCAGAACCGCAAAGTCTGATCTCAGGAATTTGAGCAAGGCGGGCAACCTCGGAAGAACTTCCCGCTCCTGTAAGCTTGGATGCATATAGACGAATAGAGCTCGGAGAATCCCGAGGGCGTCTACTACTTCTTGACCTTTAGTGTTTACATTTTCCGTCTCGTCGAAATTTAGATCGCATCGTTGAAGCGGTTCGAATATTGACTGGTTTATTTGTGGGACGAGTTCTAAAACTTTTTCACCTTTGTCAATCAACAGCTCGCTCAGAGTGTACATAGCACCCTCTCTTTTAATGTGAGCATCTTCGGCAAGCTTCTTAGCACGAGCATCCTCTTGCATGGCTAACGCATTTTGCTCCCGACGAAGGGTGAGAATGGAAGTACGCAGATCAAAATTGGGCCCGAACTCAGGTACCTCGGAAGTGTCGACACAAAGAAACCCACATAGATTCTTAACAATCTTGTTTGCGACATTAGACTTGCCCTTTTGGACCAGATTTACCACCAGAGTCTTTATAGCATCACCCGACCTCTGGCGCAAAATTGAATACTTCTCCTCTTTTATGCTATCCATCAATGCACGAATGAAAGAATTTAGCTTCGTCGGCAATCCACTAAATTGAAGGATTGCACATGCGTAATTGGCCAATATACTACAGTACCGTGCCCTGCTGACCTCCTTGGCGGTCTCGATTGCTTGTAATACACGGTATTTCGCATCTTCAAGAGGTTTCTTGGTCAAAATCTTGTAGGAGTTGCTCAAATGCTTGAACAGTTTATCGCTTATCTCTCCATATACCTTCTCCGCTGTTTTAATGCCAAAAGCTTCTGGTCCTGCCTCGGATTCACCCTGAACTATGATCGCCAATTGTGGCAACCTTTGAGGTGGTAACATGCCAACATCTACAAAAGTAGATAGCAAACTCTGGCATTGCGTTCTAAGGGCTTTCAGACTTGGAACTAATTCCCTGAAAGGAGGGAACGTGGACGGGTCTGAGAGACCCTCAGACAAGAGCGGACCGAAAGTTTCAGCGAGGAATGCTGGACATCCCGCATGAGTGCTTTGAAAGTTCTTTTCTACGTTTATGCAAAACTCGGAGATGATAACGGCCACAAGAAGTCTCGGAGTCGCGTAGGGGAGCTTGAGGCAATCGAGTAAAACATTTGAGAAGAAAGACTTCAAGGTCGTTTCTTGAAACATTGATAGGGTAATTCCCAAAGCCTTCGCAGCCATAGTTCTCGTATTCACAATGACCTCTGTACCCAATAGCGTAATATCGCCTGCAAGCATCGGAGCATCAATATTGACACGTTCGCTGTTCGCAGGTGGCGGTATGTCGGATTTTACGGTCATTGAAGAGTTTCTCTTACGTTCGGAATGCAGTTGATAGTGTGGTGAAGGTTTCAAAATGTACTGCAGTTCCATATTATAACTCTTGCCTTGCTCACCAATTGGTGTTATTAGTAAATGAAGTATTGGTGCCAAGTGCTTGCCAAACAAGTGGTCTAAGTCTTTGTCAGGATTTTTAACCTTGAACTCCGACAGCATACCAACGTATACATCGAATGACATTTGTAAGACGCTTGGATTCTGTTCTAGTAAAATATTTTGGAATATCAAGCGGAAAACCTTTCCATTGATCCAAAGTTTGCTGAAGTCATCTTTAATCGACAAAAAAGCCTGTAGCAAATTAAGCACAGCAATTCGAACATTCGTAATCGAGTGGCGCAAAAATGGGTAGAGTTTTGGAACCAAACTTTTGAAGGACCATTCCAGTGGTTGTGAAAATGCCTTGGCCTTAAGCACGTCCAGAACTTCTTGATGTTGACAGAGTTTAGCTAACAGATCCATTACTGACCCAACACTGGATGACAAGTCATCCTCCAGATGGGTAAGGGAGCTCCAAATCGTTGTCAAAACGAGATCAACAGTAGACGCTTCCAACTTTACAAATTCCGAAGTGATAGGGGTCAGAATGGCAGCAGCAACACTTTGTACGTCGTCGTCTGGTTCCTTGAGACCATAGAGCACGATGTTGACCACGTTGTTCAAAAGTCCCTTGCGAAATAGAAAATCTGTCTTGATGCTGACGAAATAGCGTATTCCAAGCAGTCCACCGTGCGTTGCTTCCCAAATTTTGGTTGGAAGGCCTACTATTCGAGGATCTTGCAGCACCAGTTGCTCCAAAGCACCGAATATTTTAACGGACAACTCGTCGTTTAGATGTAAAAGCAAAGCAGCAAGCGTTTGAGCAGCCGATTCTCTCACGGGTGCAACGACCGTATCGTAGACGAAATCACCAAACCGATCCAGCGCGAAGACGGTCAGGAGTCTGGTAGCCAGATCCTCCAGAGCTCGTTGATTTCGACGATCGTTTTGTTCCTTGAGCTTTCCCTTTATCCTCGCCACACTCTTAGCATGTTTCTTCATTATCTCTCGCAGCCCTAGCGCAGCACCGTGCCTTATTTCCCATGCGTCATTCATTAAGTTTTCTAGTAATAGTTCATAAATCCCTTGGAACTGCCAGACAAGGCCAGAAATTTTCTCGTGCTTTTCCAGAAGGGGCGTTACCATAGATTCCACCATAATCTTCTTCTTATCCGTCTGTTCAGTGATCTCTAGCTTTGCATTGGCCAGACCGGAAGGAGAAGGTGTCGGACTCTGGCTGGAATCCTCCTGGGCCAATAGATTTCTAGAGATCGAGCTTTGAGATAAGTCGACCGGTTTCTTGGTGGTAGTTCTGGCCTGAATCTTTCTTTTCCGTTTGGCCATTGCCATCATTCGTGCGCTTTTCTTCGACTCTAGTGGCGGTATTGCACCAGCGCCAGCCTCAAGCGACCCGTTGGCCACGTTTTCCTCTAATTTGCCACTTTCCTCCGTTTTCGCTAATTTTTGGGGTGGATCCGGCGCTTCTGACGCTGGAAATGTGTGTATGCTCGACGCCAGCAGCGTTTTGCCTGTCTTCAACACTTCTCCTAGATTCCAATCGAAGAGTGAAAACAGGTCGCTGTCGTCCTGAAGCGACTTCCATTCGTCACTGTCGTCCAATTCTTCGAGCTTGAGCTGCATTTCTTGCTCGATCTTGACTTTGGCATTCTGACCGACGCCGTCGTCCTCGGTGCCGGTCACGTGCTCGCCATTCACACCGATGGCCCCGTCGCCGACGCCGTCGTCGCTCGTGACCTTTGGGTTGTCACGTGCCTTCGCATCTGCTTCTCCTCCTCGACTTACAGCACTGTCATCGGTATCGCTCTCACCGTCCTCTGAATTCGGGTCCCACGCGGGTGCGTGGCTCACGATCCCGCCCACGGCGCGAGCCGCCGTGGTTCGTGTCTCCCATTTTTTCGCCAGCAGAAACGGGTAAACACGCGACAGAAGCGACAACGTGTCCTCGGGATGCAATTTTGCCAGATCTCCGAGCTGGTCCGCGGCCATGTTGCGCACCGCCTGTGTAGACCCTGTTTCCAGCAGGATAACCTGCCGGTCGAGCCTTGATATTTGTGATGTCATGATTTTGTATCGCTTTTTCCCGTGCACTCAGCGCTCAGCACAACAGAGAGAGAAAGAGACAAAAACAGAAAAGACGGCACCAGAAAGACCCGTGTATTGCAGTACCCAAAACTCCTACGCGCTATTTTTGCAAGTTTCGTATCACCAACCTTCTTGCTAGGCCCTTGCACCAGAAAACTTTGTTGTTTTTAAAATGCCAAACCTCGGCGGCTCTGGTCTCGTGCCCAGTTTCGCTAATATTTTTTTCCCTGGCCGCGGGGCCAGCCCCCTTATATATCAACTTTTTTTCCCACAGCGTACGCGAGAGTATTCACAGAGGGCGCGGCGCGGATACGCGCTGCGTCCTTTGACCACCTCCGCTTAGACGGGCCCTGACAACTTTGCTTTGCTCTTACAAGACCCCGTAGACATTTCTATAATCAAGCACTTAGAAACGCGTGCAGGCCCGCCAAAAAGCATAGAAAAAAACAAGGAAAAATTGCCATGGTGTTTCGTAGAGAGTGATATTCGATATTCAAAGCCGGGTAACAGAGATAACGACACGTTTTGGTCAATAACGGTGGCAACGGGGAATTGCTTATGATTAGTATGTCCGGCTGATGCATTTTTGTGGATTTCTGCGATCTACGCTTCTGAGGTGTGTTTTGGGTTTACTGGGTTGTTTTCATGTTTTCGACATGCTAAGTGACTTTCAAGTGGTGATTTGAAATCAATCGCAAACGACGTCAAAAATGATAAATGTTAACGAGTCTTGGCCTGCAAACATACCTTTATTTGCGGGATAGAGGGCTAAGAGCGAGCCAACCAACCACGATGGCGGTGCTACCGGGCCAGATGTTTTCGAGCCAGCCGTCAATTTCAAGAGTAACATCATATATAGTTAAAGTATAGCGGCAATTATGGACACCAGACATTTTGACACAAGCACGCGAGTCTTGATATATTTACGAGGGCTCAAGGGACAGCCTCAGGGAGAGTTCCCGCTAGTGTCACTCAAGAAATGCCCGCTCGCAGCGACCTGTGTCGAATTGAGCTATCTAGTCACATCACACGATATATACCACGGCACGTGGACATAGACAATTACGTAATTTATCAGATGACTCTTTCGTACATAATTACCTAAGAGAGCGAGATACGCCTATGGTGAAAAAAAATCGCGATGGGATATTGGCAAGTCTCAATCCAAGTGCAGCGTCAGTGTAAAAGAAACGCAACGCAACGAGTTGCCTGGCCAGTAGCGAGCGTACCCGGTGTGAGTAATCCCAGTTAGGTACTCAATGCGTGATCATTCGTTGTTCTTGCAGTCATCGCGGTAAATTCCACGGCCACTTAGCCCGTAATAACAGTATATAAAAAGAAAAAACATGAAAAATCAGAGCAAATGCTAGAAGTGAGTATTTCATAAGTGAACTTGCAAGAGGCTGACGATTTTGGTGTAGAATCAGCATCCTACTGCTATAATTCTTGCGAAAATGTCGGTGCAATCGAACCCGTACGCTCCCAGTCCCAACGACCTGGTGTCGAACGTCGGAAATTTCCAACTCATCGAGTCTACCTTGAGAGAGGGCGAACAATTCGCCAATGCGTTTTTCTCGACCGAAAAGAAGATTGAAATCGCCAAAGCGCTAGACGACTTTGGTGTTGATTACATCGAGCTCACGTCGCCCGTGGCGTCGGAACAAAGCAGAAAGGACTGCGAGGCCATCTGCAAGCTCGGCCTCAAGGCCAAAATTCTCACGCACATTCGCTGTCACATGGACGACGCTAGAGTTGCGGTCGAGACGGGCGTCGACGGTGTCGACGTCGTGATCGGCACGTCGCAGTTTCTTAGACAATACTCGCACGGCAAAGACATGAACTACATTTCCAAGAGCGCAGTCGAGGTGATCGAATTCGTCAAATCCAAGGGCTTGGAAATCAGATTTTCGTCCGAAGATTCCTTCAGGTCCGATATCGTCGACCTGCTGAACATCTACAAGACCGTCGACGCCATTGGCGTGAACAGAGTCGGTATCGCAGACACAGTGGGTTGTGCAAACCCAAGACAGGTGTACGAATTGGTACGGACCCTTAAAAGCGTCGTATCATGTGACATAGAATGCCACTTCCATAATGATACCGGATGTGCCATAGGTAACTCTTACACAGCGCTGGAGGCCGGTGCCAGGCTTATCGACGTCTCGGTCTTGGGTATCGGTGAAAGAAATGGTATCACTTCGCTAGGCGGTCTTATGGCCAGAATGATCGTATCTGCGCCAGACTACGTCAAGTCCAAGTACAAGTTGCATAAGCTTCGCGACCTTGAAAATTTGGTAGCTGAAGCCGTCGAAGTCAATTTGCCCTTCAACAATCCAATCACCGGCTTCTGTGCCTTCACCCATAAGGCCGGTATTCACGCCAAGGCTATCTTAGCCAACCCTTCCACTTACGAGATTTTGAATCCTTCCGACTTCGGTATGACGAGGTACATTCATTTCGCTAATAGGCTCACAGGTTGGAACGCAATCAAATCGAGAGTGGAGCAGTTGAACTTGCACTTGACGGACGACCAGATCAAGGACTTGACCCAGAAGATCAAGCAGATCGGTGACGTTAGGCAACTTGGAATTGACGATGTTGATTCTATTATCAAGAGCTACCATTCCGAACTTCAGTAAAAGTAAATAACTGAAATTAAAACAAGAAGCAATGACGACTTTCTGCGCGAAGATTTGTGTTTGAGTCTTAACCGGCAGCGCAATATATGGGCTGGGCGGCTGCGTCGCCTAACACCAAAGTAATTGAAGAATAGACACCAAGCACAATCACCAATAGGAGAACCGCAATTGTTGTGATTTGAGACACACGATGTCTCTCCATAGAAGCATATACGTAACCACTTCAAATACCATTCCAGCTTTCAGCCCTATATAAGCGTAACCTATCTCGTAGGGCTATACACCCATACATTACCGACTTTCAAAACGTTTCCATATAAGCCCAGACATTTCATAGAATTGATCTTCAAAAAATAAAGCAATCATAATGAATCACTTGAGAGTAGTCGCAAAAGACACCGACTCATCACAATTAAGCGATTATCCAGAAGAACTATAAATCTCGACTTGGCGCTAAACTCTACCACCTCTCTTCCATCTCATCCCCATCAAGTCAAAGCGCAATGCCAAGTACGTATTAGAACATTACAAAGCAGACATTACAGTCTTACGATTGAAATGTCGGAAGTGGATAATTTGTGGAAACACAAAGTTTCCACTTCTTCGAGGTTCGGGTCCTCATGAATTCTCCATGTAAAAATGGACGAAGATGACTTTCTCTAAGTCTTTCATAGGACGGCTATCACTTCTACTCTGAAATCCCGACACTTCAGGTAGGAGGCCGTTCTGCAAGTTTTTTCTGCTATGGAATCGATTTGCTTTTGACCACGTCTTTGTTGTCAATTCTTAGAGATTGTTAATCTGCATTCATGAGTAGCGCTCAATGTAACCTCGTAGCGTGTTTGAACAAACACTAACTCTCAACTCAGGAGCCCCTAGAAAGTACTCTAAGACCTACTCTACCCCAAAGAGACCTTTCGAGTCCGCCCGTTTGGACGCCGAATTGAAGTTGGCCGGTGAATACGGTTTGAAGAACAAGAGAGAAATTTACAGAATTTCTTACCAATTGTCTAAGATCCGTCGTGCCGCCAGAGATTTGTTGACCAGAGACGAGAAGGACCAAAAGAGACTTTTCGAAGGTAATGCTTTGATCAGAAAGTTGGTCAGACTCGGTGTTCTTTCTGAGGACAAGAAGAAGTTGGATTACGTCTTGGCCTTGAAGATTGAGGATTTCTTGGAAAGAAGATTGCAAACCCAAGTTTACAAGCTAGGTTTGGCCAAGTCTGTTCACCACGCTAGAGTCTTGATCACTCAAAGACACATTGCTGTTGGTAAGCAAATCGTCAACGTTCCATCTTTCATGGTTAGATTGGAATCCGAGAAGCACATTGACTTCGCTAGAAGCTCTCCATTCGGCGGTGGCAGACCAGGTAGAGTTGCCAGAAGAAACGCTGCCAGAAAGGCTGAGGCTGCTGGTGAGGGCGAGGCCGCGGAAGATGAAGAGTAAGTTAATCATTGACATCACTCTTTGTTAATCCCATTGTCATCACTTGCAGATAATTGATTTGACGGCAGCACCCACATAGTTGGCCTGCAGAATGATCGCGAGCTACAGAAAACCATGCGAAAGATTATATACGATTTTTCAAATGTTGAAGCCGTTCGGACCATTCTGTAGGCATCTATGTAAAGGTGATTTGTAAAATTAAGACGTTAATCATTCTCTGTTTCTCTAATGCATAATAATACTTTAGCCGCTCCTAGAGAGGTTGTATATTAGACTTAACGAATTATAACAAGAAAGTTTCTAAATTTCAAATCTAACGCGGTATAAGCTTTTGAAAGTTATCAACGTAAGTTGTCGGAGCGCGTAGACCAACACACATCTGGCCCTACTTCGTGTTGTCGCCTTGAGGCACTTTAGTCTTCTGTGATAGATGGCCTTTGACCAGAAACCCATACATTATTAAACCACGACAAACATCCATACATTTTGGATTTTGTTAAAATTTGAAAGAGTGGAAAATTGAAACAGCGAAAAGTGCGTGGATTAGGCTTTGTGAAAAATCGTTCCTTTCATAGCCGAGACCAGCTCGCGGGAGGATCTCCTTCCATACTCTGCCTAGCTCTCGCCTGGGTGTACCCGGCTTCTTCCTGGGCCACCCCTAGGCACCCGCCTGCAATCCTGGCGGGCCCTGCCTACCCTCGCAGGACTCGTGCTTGCTAGCCCGGGTCGCGATGTTGCAGGTGGACCGCTGGAACGGGGAACCTCTGGAACTGGCATTGGGACCAGAAGAATCATTAAAACTTTTGACGCTCTCAGCGTGTAATATCTGAAATACAGTAAGCACCAAGGTCAACAAGCAAAAATGGGTAAATCGTATGTTAAATTAGAGAGGAAATTGGGTTTCCAATGAAAGGGGGATGCTCTCCGTGCAAATTCCAGCGTTTTAGCACTACTTTCGGGTTAAAATTATTCAAAGGTGAATCAGCAACCAATGGTGGGTGACAAGACGTTAACATCATAGACACCTCATATCGAACTAAGAAGTGGGAGGATATTCGACTGATAGTCGCCAAATCAAGCTGTCAAGGCTGGGAAAACTGTAACATTCAAGAAATAGTCATGACTCTCATATTGTGGACGACACTAGGACAAAGCACGAGAGCATTCACTTAAAACACAACATGGACAAAATCACTAACATATAATTTGTAGGCACGGTTACAGATCTCGTACTCGTTACATGTTCCAACGTGACTTCAGGAAGCATGGTACCATTCCATTGTCTACCTACCTGAAGATCTACAAGGTTGGCGACATTGTCGACATCAAGGCCAACGGTTCCATCCAAAAGGGTATGCCTCACAAGTTCTACCAAGGTAAGACCGGCGTTGTCTACAACGTTACCAAGTCCTCTGTTGGTGTCATCATCAACAAGGTTGTTGGTAACAGATACATCGAAAAGAGAGTCAACTTGAGAGTCGAGCACATCAAGCACTCCAAATGTAGACAGGAGTTTTTGGACAGAGTTAAGTCTAACGCCGCTAAGCGTGCTGAGGCCAAGGCTCAAGGTGTTGCTGTCCAATTGAAGAGACAACCAGCCAAGCCAAGAGAAGCCCGTGTCATCTCTACTGAAGGTAACATCCCCAAGACTTTGGCTCCAGTTCCATACGAAACTTTCATCTAATCCTTTCCGAACTTTTTGGCATGTCAGTTTTTTTCTGGAATTCGTCTCAGTCTCAACATTTATACTGTGTCTAATGTAAAATCGATTTGTACACATACTGTTATAAACAGGAGCTTCCCCTAGTAATTTAAAGTCGAGAAGTTGTCAAGTCGACCATTGATAGGTCTTTGGTCTTCGAAGTCGTTAATTAACGAATCACGTGACTGATACTAATCATAACTACTTTACGTAAGACTGAAAAATTTCACAATTGCATATAGATCGATGAGCTTAAATTTGAAGCGACGGTAAGCGAAGTTTTGGCGGCTTAAAAGGTGACTCTTATTGATTTAGCTGTGCTTGCGAGCGATTGATTGTTAAGTGGCTTTTTCCCTTGTTTTGAGAAGCCTTGGTTGGTCGAAAATTGTACCTTTTCTCAAGCTGATTTAAAAATACAATTCCATGCCCAGAAAGACGCTCTCGGAGTTGGAAAGAGAAGCTAGGGAATCAGGTCCGTTTTTGGGTAGCGACGAAACTGCCTCGAATTTCAAAGATGCCGGACGGGCAGTTGATATGAAGGAGGATACCACCCAGCAGGTTAAACCATGGGTTCATTTTGTTGCAGGAGGAATTGGTGGAATGGCAGGTGCAGTGGTGACATGTCCCTTTGACGTGGTTAAGACTCGTTTACAAAGCGACGTGTATCAGGCAGCGTATCGATCGAATGGTCACAATGCAGCAACTTCAGCAAATTTCCTGAAAGATGGTGCTCGACATTTTAGGGAGACCTTAGGCATCATATCGAGCGTTTATAGACAAGAAGGTTTCCGAAGTTTGTTCAAAGGTTTGGGCCCAAATCTCGTTGGTGTTATTCCAGCGAGAAGCATTAATTTCTTCACATACGGGACGACCAAAGATATCTATTCCAGAGCGCTCAATAACGGCCAAGAAGCGCCATGGATTCATTTGCTAGCTGCCGCGACGGCCGGTTGGGCAACCTCTACAGCGACAAATCCAATCTGGCTCATTAAGACTAGATTGCAACTGGATAAGACTGGATCGACAAGACAGCATAAAAACTCATGGGCGTGCTTCAATGATATTATAAAGAATGAGGGCGTGAAGGGGCTTTATAAAGGGTTAAGCGCCTCTTATTTGGGATCTGTCGAGGGAATCTTACAGTGGCTTCTTTACGAGCAAATGAAACATGTCATCAAGATGCGTTCGTTACAGAAGTTTGGTAATGCGGGAGAATCCGAGAAGACCACTGGCGACAAAATTAAGGAATGGTGCCAAAGATCTGGTAGTGCTGGATTGGCCAAATTCGTGGCCAGTATCATCACATATCCACATGAAGTTGTGCGTACGCGACTCAGACAAGCTCCTTGCCAAAATGGGAAGCCGAAATATACTGGATTGATACAATCATTCAGAGTCATTATAAAAGAGGAGGGGCTCGTCTCCATGTATGGAGGACTGACGCCACATTTACTCAGGACGGTGCCCAATAGCATCATCATGTTCGGAACTTGGGAATTGGTAATAAAGCTGTTGTCGGATAAATGAACAGTGCGCGAAGTAAGAGAAACACCTGTAATTAGAATTTTCCTGTAAATAGCTGAAACACAGAGGATTAGCTGCCTTGGTAAATGCTTCTGAGCACATTGTCGAATTCAAATGGTCGTTGCGGCTTGTGTTTGTTAGCATTGACGCTGTAATTTACACTCGATACGGGGGCGACTCCCTCACTAAGTTCAGATGCGGTATGCAATCCATGCAAAGAGTAATTGCTCTGTTCTGCTTTGATGAAATCGAGGGCCCATGCCGTTATTTTTTCGTCTTCCTGTATAGATTTTTGGATTTCAGCATGCGTCGCAGACGTTGAATTCAAACCGGAACTTTCCTTGGCGTCGTTGATCCATTCATCAACTTCTGGAATGTTTTTTTTCCGTAGCAACGTTGTTAAAAGTCCTTCATGTGCTGTTGTAGGAAAATTGGGCAACGGTACCACTACAGTAGCATCCAAAGTCTCTTCAAAATGACGTAGAGTGCTCGCCAAAGAGTGTAATTGGCTCACGACCACACTTACTTGCAATTGAAGAGAATGCCATTGCGGAAGCTCGGCTCGGGACATGTCGTCTCGCATTTTGGCCAAAGAATGCGTCAGTTGTGCTAATCTCATGCGAATGGCATCCAAAGCTTGTGTTGGAACCTCCTTGAAATCGTATTTTATATCTTCTTGAACATTGGGGACACTAACGTCTCTCATAGCACTATTGGTAGCCATATCCAACTTTCAGTTAATCTTCAACGAGTTGTCAATGAGTTTTAAATGAAGCCATCCAACGGTAGCTGGCAGGTGATGAAGATGATCGATCATAGTAATCATGTACGGAGAGGTTTTCAAAAGTTTCCAATCGTAAAGACGCTTCTCGGCTATCATCAACTATCACCAACTATCATCAACTGGCTATAGAAAGGCTATTAACAAGCCGAGCAATTGGCTTCCACATAGTCGTTGACGTGTAATATTAGACTTACGTGTATATAAGTAGAGCTTTTATGTCAAAGAACGCGGTTGAAAACGGCCAAGAAAAAGCCCATAGTGCAGCGAGATCGAAATCTGGAGCTGATAAGGTCAGTTCTAATGAATTGGGCAAAAGAAGTATATTTTACGATCCAGAATGGAATCCAGAGGGAAGACCTCCCTTAGGGCTTGCAAATGTGGCGTATAACGCGGCAACCTTCATGCCACGGAAGCCTGTTCAAGATGCACTTGCCGGACTTCAAGAAATACCTACGCCTTCTGGAAAATAGACGGAGACTGTTTCTGCATTTAAAATCGTGTTCATGGCACCTAGGAATAAGTGCTATTTTGCAATATAAGGAATATCTATTCATAATACGCGTGAATTGTACTGGCCACACAGCTCAAAGTGTATTTTCATTTTTTGGTTTTGGTTGGTTTGCTATTTCGTTCTGCTTATTTCAAGCTGGCAAGCAGTTTTTCGACGTCAGAGACAGACTGTTGCAAAACTTTGTCCTGGAACTTTGGGTTGGACAATTCGGCCTTGACTTTGGCAATGACACCCTCTGCCAGTTGTTTTTGCTGTAGCTGACGCACAGAGGCCTCGTATCTGACCCAGGAGTCTAGGACAGACTTGGCTTCAGCAGCAAGTTCGACTTTTTGTTTCAATTCAAAGACCTTGGCCTCCAATTCGACGGTTTCCTTGGAAACGTCGAACAAAACTTTAGTGGTTTCGGAAACGTTTTGCAATTCAGAGACAGATTCGATTCTTTGCTTGACAGCGTCCACGTGTCTCGTTCTGGAAGCGTTCAAAACGTCAGAGACCTGCTTCACTCTCGCGTCGGCAAAATCTTTGTAGGCTGGAGCCAAGAACTTGGCGACGATAATTCCGAAACCGGTGAAAGTACCGAGCAAAATGGTTTCGTCGTTGATAACGTAAAGCTCGTTGGATATAGCGTAAATCGCGGCTGCGGTCGAAGTGGCCAAGATACCGGTCTTCGACAAGAAATTGTTACCTGGCAAAGCGTCAAGGATGGAAGTGGCCTTGGATTTTGGGTCCTGAGGAGCAGGAGTAGACATATAACGCACACCAATTCTGTTGAAGTGAGGTTAGTATTGAGAAAATGACGAAAGGCAGCGAGCGGGAAGTTGAGACGGGTCTAAGGGATAGAGATGTGTATCCACGAGAATTGCTGGGGTCCAGATCAATGTTTTTGCTTGAAGTTAGAGGGCAATTCGCCAAACGGCACTCACCATTCTGTCGGCTAAACAAACCATTCGGTTTCCATCCGCCTTCCAGCAAGAAAACATGGTGTCCGCATTAAAACATCTTCAAAACCCACAATTACCCTTCAACATATAGTCCCAACAAACATCAACCGGTCCCTTTTGAGACACGAATAGACGCATCAAAACTCAACGAAAAACATACGGAGCTTGGCGGGCACTCAAAGCCAACAAAGGTCTAGCTTGCGCTCTCAAAGACAATGCACTAAAACTCATTATATTGCGTCCTTTAGCCTTCCAATCGTCTCTTGAAGTGCTGGTTCTAAGCCGTCCCTCTTGAATGTTGTCAGGGTCAAAATTTTCAATAATTGACTATTTCGAGATTGAAGATCGCTATACACGTCAGAAACTTTATAATGATTTGATTGGATTTAGGTCATGTGATAATCACATGATCACATCATACTTAGCTAAACGGTTTCGTTTGAACCAACGATAGTGGCAGCAGGGCGCCAGAGATGGATCGAATTGTCGTTAGAAACACTGCACATGAGCCAAGGATCATGCAAGTCCCAGCTGATGTCGTTTACGCCCAGCATGTGGCCACAATGCGTGAAAATAAGCGCGTCGTCCGTCGGAGCAGACATGTCCCATAGTTTGACCGTGCCCAAGGTTTGGCCAGCACTGGCAATTACCGTTGGCAAATTGTGATTCCACTGTAGGGATGAAACCGCGTCTTCATGGTATATTGTTCTAATAGGTTTTGTAAAATCTCGAATATCCCAGAAATTGATTCTGCCAGCAGAATCCGCAGAACTGAGCAGCATATCGTTGTTGGGATTGAATTGGCACGCGTTGATGCCACTATCATGATGCTCGGTTTTAGATAATCGATGTTTGAGCGGGTCGCGTATGTCGATGAGCCCCAGCACGTTACTTTCGCCGCAACAAGCAAGCAATGCATCATGATTAACCATCCATGCCAGATCGTTGCAACCAGCTGAGTCTGTTTTCGCAGTAAACTGCGGCTCGGAAATCGTTGTGTTGCTTTTGCTGTATTTCATAAGGTCCCAAACGGCAACGTCACCGCTAGAATAGCTGCTTGCCAGTGAGCCCTGCCGTTGCCAATTCCACGCTACCGAAGTGGCTTCTCGTTCGGAATCTTCTACTGGAACAGGCAATTGACATTCAATCTCGTATTTCGCCTCGTTATCCGCCAACAATTTGCTTCGCGAGCTGCTATGTTTGGTTCTGTCAAAGATGTAAAGTGCGCCCGCAGAGGACGCGGTTGCGATGAGATCTGGGTTTGAAGGACAATACCGCGCTCTATTACAATCACCTGCGGGATATTTGACTTGGACATCCGTAGAAAGACCCTTATGCGGTAATTCGACCCCATTATCCATCTTAAACTCCATATCCTCGATATCAAAGTTGGACAATGAGCTCCATTTCAAATGTCCAAGCGTCGAAAATCGGGCCACGTACATGGACTCATCCTCAGGGAACTGGGAAGACGTGAACGACGACAATAACACTCTGTGCTCATCAATTGAGGTATCCAAGTCTGGGAAAATTTGACATGTCAATGACGGCCATTTATTCGTATTGGTATTCAAATAGTCATACAAAAGCTTGGAATTCTTTTTCCATCGCATGTAATTCCGCTGTTTTTCTTCTGGAATTTCTGCCAATCGTGCCATTGACTCAATTTCTTCCCCCATAGCTTTCACTGACAGCTTATTGGTGTGATATGAGCTCCCTTTGCACTGTTCAAGATCAGTCTCTTCTCTCGATCTCTAGCAACAGTTACATTGAAAAATCTTTAATCTTCAACAGTTGTAATAAAGAGCGAAAATGACTCCTCTTTGAGCATAATCACATAAAAATATAGGCGCTATATATGTTATTGAACTATTCTTCATTATGGCCAGTCACCAGGTTCAGTTTAAATCCACTCTTTGAAAAGGTTGATCAAACCATTTGTAGACGCGTCGTGAGATTCGATCTTGTTAGAACCGTCCAATTCTTTGCCAATGACCTTGGCCAAGACCTTGCCGAGCTCGACACCCCATTGGTCGAAAGAGTTGATGTTCCAGACGGCACCTTCGGTGAAAGTAAGATGTTCGTAATAAGCAATCAAAGAACCTAGAGCCGCAGGAGTAATCTTTTGAGCCAAGATGGATGTGGTAGGTCTGTTACCGGAGAAGACTTTGTGAGGAACCAAACCACCGGTGGCACCTTCGCTCTTGACCTTTTGTTCGTCTTTACCAACCATCAAAGCCTCAGCTTGAGCAAAGAAGTTGGAAGCCAACATTTTTTGGTGCAAGTTGTTTTCAATTGGGTTATGGGATTGAGCAGCCAAGATGAAATCAGCTGGAATTAACTTAGTGCCTTGATGCACCAATTGGAAGAAAGAGTGTTGGGCGTTGGTGGCTGGTTCACCGAAAAGAATAGGCCCGGTAGAGTAGCTGGAGAACACATTGCCTCTGGTGACGCTCTTACCGTTGGATTCCATAGACAATTGTTGCAAGTAGGCAGGGAATCTGTGCAAGTATTGGTCGAATGGAGCAACAAGGTGGGTTTGAGCACCGTGAAAGTTGTTGTACCACACAGAAAGCAACCCACCTAGCAATGGAATGTTGTCCTCCAATGGAGTCTCGCAGAAATGCTTGTCGACCGCTTCAGCACCTTTCAAGAAGGCGTCGAAGTTGTCGAAACCGATGTATAGGGCGACAGAAAGACCAATGGCGGACCACACGGAGTAACGGCCACCGACCCAGCTTTCGAAACCAAACATATTTTTAGCATCGATACCGAATTTGGTGACTTCTTGCTCGTTAGTGGAGAGAGCAGCAAAATGCTTAGCAATGTTCGCCTTGTCACCGCCAGTCTTGGACAAAAACCAAGTTTTGGCGCTCGTGGCGTTTGTAATGGTCTCTGCGGTGGTGAAAGTCTTAGAAGCGATCAAAAACAAAGTAGTTTCTGGGTTAAGGTTCTTTAGAGTTTCAGCAATGTGAGTACCGTCAATGTTAGAGACAAAATGGACGTCCAAAACGCCGCCGTAGTGCTTGAGAGCCTCGGTGACCATAACAGGACCCAAGTCGGAACCACCGATACCGATGTTGACCACATCGGTGATCTTCTTACCCGTGTAACCTTTCCATTCACCAGAACGCACTTGCTCAGAGAATTCCTTCATGTGCTCTAGCACGGCGTCCACTTCGGGCGCAACGTTCTTGCCGTCAACCTTCATGGGCTTGTTGGCCCTGTTTCTGAGAGCAACGTGGTAGACGGCACGGTCTTCGGTGAAGTTGATATGGTCACCGGCGAACATAGCATCGCGCAATTCGACCACCTTAGCCTCTTTGGCCAATTCGATCAAAGCGGCGAAAACTTCGTCGTCAATCAAGTTCTTGGAGAAATCGAACAAAATCTTGGAACCATCGTAGTTGGTGAATGTCTTGGACAATTTTTCAAACCGTTTGGGGTCCTTAGCAAACTCGCTTTTGACATCGATGGATTTGCCCTTCTTATTGTAGATTTGTTGCAACTTGTTCCAAGCTGAAAGGTCAGAAGCCAATTTGAAGTCTGAGAAAGTGTTTTGAGAAGCCATTGTGAGAGTTATGGTCGGCGAGTCGGAAAGATGTTGATAGGAGATTGATCAAAATCTCGATTCGCTTTTATTTTAAGCCAAAACCCTTTTCAGTTTCGTTCGTTGCTCGAAGTTCTCAGGTTGACAAACGCTAGCGTCTTCTCCGTTTAGCTTCGTCTTTCTGTCACCTGTTGGAAGCCGCGGAAGGAAGCTGAGGAAGCTGAGGGTGAGGCGCACTTAGTACGGAAGGTCCCAAATGAGTCGAATGAGTAAGTGGGTACCGAATGGGTATTGAGTACCAAGTGAGTATTGAGTGTCAAATGAGTACAATGGGGGAAACTGAGAACCTCTATAGGCCAGACATTTTTCCATAAGCCACGCTCAGCATTACACGGACGTCCATGCTCTTCATCTGAGCGTCTAACTTGCATATTTTGATATTCATATTCTCCGTATCAATCTCTCAGCCCATTCAAACAATGCATCACGTCGTCAACCAACTTGCGCTCCTCGTCGTTACTGTCAGGAACGTCTTCAGCTTCTTTCTTATGATCTCTACGTTTCTTCATCGTTTGTAATAATGCAATATGCGCGCTTCGTAATTTCTTCAGCTGAGCTTCAAATCCCGGTGGAAACCCCTCATAAGGGTCTTCTTCCCTTGCCATACGTTTCAAATCGTCCAAAACGTCTATTTCACTCCACAGTTTGTCCTGTTGGTCTAAATTAGGTTTCGCTTCGATTTGTATGCCTTGCTTGGGCAATGTTCGCACAGGAGGACTAGTTCTTTCTTCATGGCCGCCCCTTTGTTCCGTTCCTTGTCGTTCGGACGATGACACCGACAATGATGAGTTTGCACTGGAAGTCATGTCTCTGTCTTGTAAAGTCATGATAATGACGAACAGTTAGTGGAACTTTTCTCAAATCGACATAACTATGTCGAGACGTCTAGGTATGGAAAATCGAGAAAACCACTGGGAAAGACTACTATGGCTCAAACAAGACTACCCGGATAATTACTCCGACCCCGCGTTCTTGAAAGAGCTTTCAGAGTTTCACCAACAACAATTGTTGCCTCACAGTCCGTCTTCCTATAATTCTATAGTACGAGACTTCCTTCTGTTCTATCATCGAGTCTTGAATGCGTCTTCGATCTACGTCATTTTCTCACTTATTTATTATTACGATTACAATCCGCTCCAAATTGCAATTGGAACGAGTCTCCTAGGAACATTGGGACTCGTTACTTCCAGGTACAGGTTTGTCCGATTGAAGTCTTCTCTCATTATCGTCTTTACATTGCTCAATCTGTCTCCATTGTTGAAATCGCTGTCCAGAACTACTTCGTCGGATTCCATTTGGACGCTTTCGTGCTGGTTGACGGCATTTTACGTGCTTTCCATCGCTTTGGAGACTACAAATATCATTTCTACAAATCTATTGGTGTGCAATGCTGCGGTTTTGGCTTCTAGACTAAAAACCACCACCGAGGTGTTTTGTTTCCTTCTCATTTGCATCGAGATAAATATTCTGCTCCCAAAACTGGAACGATACTTTTTCTCCAAGGAATTGTACGCTTACTACGCGGTGCTCTTTCTGGGCGACCATATCGTATTGTATTCCTTTGTCGCAATGTCGCTAGGAGTGCCCTATATGTTGTCGCTAGCATTGTTTTCGTTGGTTTTCATCACCGTTTTGCCAAGGTATTTCATGAGATGGCAAAGGCTTTACTATCGGGGAGGCGCCTTGCTTTCGAAATGGGACGCCAAAGTACCAATTTTCAATTGATTAAAAGTCCGGTAAGCCGCAGTGTCCCTCCTATTTTTATGTACATTACTCTCTGAATGCGCCGCCTGCCAGGACTAAATTGCTTCTTGTGAACTTCACACGGTAAATCGGTGTTTTCTTTGTGTAAAATGAAGCCATAAGGTCATTTGTCGGCACAATCGTTCTTCTGCGACCAAAATCTTTCACATCAAGATTTACTGAGGACGTAACGTCTCCAGTGAAACCCGTCAAGGGCTGCTCAGGTTCTGCGGTAGGCTCTGCAGTGGATTTCTTGAGATCCCAGACTCTGACGGAATGATCAGCACCACCAGAGACGAGGACGTTCCCCTCTTTACTGTACGACAACGAGTACACTGCATTTTTACCATGTCCCCTCATCTGCTTGAGCCGTTTACCCGTTCCAATATCCCATACATTGATAATACCGTCTTCACTTCCGGTAGAGAGCCATCTTCCATCCGGAGAGACCGCTGTCGAAGTGACAGCGGCAGTATGTCCCAAGAACAGCCGTACTGAGTCACCACTGCTCAAATCCCACATCCTGCAAGTCTTATCGCTAGATCCAGTCACCACGTATGTCCCATTTGGATGGAAAGAGACCGTGTCAACGTCGTTCAAATGACCGGCAAAAATGCGCAGTGGATATATGTGATCGCACGACCACAGTCTTGCCGTTTGGTCATGAGATGCACTGGCAAAATAATGGCCCAGTGGCGAAAATGCAACATCCCAGACGGGATGATCGTGACCTTTGTAGTTTACCAAAGATGTGAAAGTATCCATGGACCATAGCCGTACGGATTTGTCCTCTGACGCCGATAGAAGGTACCGGTTGTCGGGGCTGAAGGATGTGGAATACACGGGGCCACTATGTCCAATCAAGTTTGCAGTATTGCTCTTGTTCTGTTGTTTAGAAGGTAGAAGATTGTTAAGTGGATTCCCATCTAGTGACCAAATCTTGATCATGCTGTCTTGAAAGCTCGCAGACGCGAGCCTGACATCGTCGCTAAATTCCAGCGATGTCATTTCGTAATTGGTGTTGTGGAAAGTGTACATGCAGACGCTAGGAGCGGCGGACTGTAAGTTATCTAGCCTTATAGCGTCTCTGGATTCTCTCACTTTTTGAATTTCCAGTTTCAGATCCATGGCCGTTTTCAAAGGTAGCGGCAAGGAGTCACGCGCAGGCGATTCCAGGTTGGAGTTTTTCTTTATGTCGTCCTTCTTGTCAGTGTCGACTGCGGTGGCCACCGCGGCAGAAGCAGAAGAGGTGGCGCCATCTTTTTTCTCTTCTGAAAGAGCAGTTGTCTCATCGAACGCAGTTTTGTTCATTTCTCGAAATTCCTCAACCAAACTTTTATGAGATCCAGGGTCTTCCGCGTCCAATTTTTCTTGTTCCTCTTTCCGTTTTAATTCCATCTCGACCTCTTTTTGAAATTCTTCGTCCATTGGGAATTGTCCCAGTTTAACGGGTTGCGCATTATGGGCGTCGACATCGACTGCACCAGCGGACACGTCCTTGATACCGTCTGTAAGGGTTTCCTGAGATGTGATAGTCTCAACTATATTGGGGTCCAAATTTTGATTAATTATGCTGATTAAGAGGGACCCACCAACGCTTTCATTTTCGTTGAGGAAGTATAGCAGCAAGTTCAAAGTGGTGCGAGAAATGGTGATTCGGTACTTGTTAGATTGAAACCCCTGTGCCAGCTCGTTTTCCTTGATATGATCAACAGAATTTACCGAGAAGAGTTTGTTGATCTCGGAGGCGTGGAATGCGCGGTAATCGTTAGAAAACTTGTCGAAAAACCGCCGCGCCTGCACCGGATCTTTGGTGACCAAAGTGAGGAACACGTATATGAAGATTGGGTAGATGATACGGGTCAGTTCCGGTTTGTACATGTCCAAGGAAGAATCGACCCAATTTTTGAGCATGGAATAGGCGAGGAAGTAATGCTGGGGCGAATTACCGGCGTGTTGAGACACCAAGTTGCCGCTAGCGTCTCTCTTGACACCGACTGGGTTGGACACTGCACGCGAGTTCGGCGTGGCGGCACTTTGGTCTGGAGCTGGAAATGTCCCAGTCGCAGTTGTACCGGGAGATTGCGCATTTTGCGGAGTCAAAGTGCGTGAGCTTTCGACGCGCAGACATGCTTCGGTGCGATGGTAGCCCTTTTTGCTGAGATATTCGAGAACAATGCGGTTCAAGTCTGCGGCAGAGAAGGAACCGGGTCTGGCCGTACTGGGGGTTGTTCTCGGGGCACTAGTGCCATTGGTTTGTGGGGGTCGTACCGTAGTGTTTTGGGTCATTTTAGCAGGCTGTTTCTGGCCCTTTTGCGACATTTTCCAGGAGATATTTTCAGGCGAAAAGGATATGCGTTAGTCTTTGGCAGTCGCTTGGCGAGACTCGGGTTCCCTTGGGTCAATTACGCGCTAGAAAGACGTGGTGTTTGTCGTGCAAGAGGTGGTGTTGGAAAGTTTGGAAAATGACTTGGATGTGATCTTCGGAAATGACGTCGTTCCAAGTGATATACACCGCCCGGCTTCTGCGATGGGAAAGGGTTTCCGGGGTGCGCGGTCTGCATCGCGTGGGATTCGTGGATGTGGTCTGAGCGGGAGCGAGGCCCGAGCGCTCGTTTGTAGCGTGTCGCGTGTCGCGTGTTTTGCGTGTTTTGGCGGGTGTTTGTAGGGTGTTGAGAATGCGATTTCTGTGAATGAAAAGTGCCGCGAGACGGAAAAACGTGAACGGGGGTGGCGGTGACACTGCTGGAAGGAGCTTACTGCGGGCGGTGTTGTCCAGTATTGGTGGTGGGAGAGTCACGTGACGTGCGTGACTTTCTTCATACTAGACGGCGAATTCTCATCGTACGTTATTCATCATACGTCATTCATCATACCACATATGATTACAATGTTCTGGAGACTCTAGAACTCCCCATGGACCTGTTTTAGCCTCTAGCTCTTTCGCGGAGTGCCAACCGTCTGTGCCTTTCTCTAATTTTGTCATATAGATCACGTGATAGTGCAATTGAACCATGTCATCTTCTCGCCGGCCCCTTCTAACAACGTCTCCGTTACTTTCTTCATACTAGACACCGGATTCTCATCGTACGCCATCCCTCATACCTCGGATATTCTGATTGCAATGATCTGAAGATTCTAGATCTCGCAAAGAGCCCGTTTGAACTTCCAGTTCTTCCACAGAATGCCAACCGTCTGTCCATTCCTCTAATCTTATTCTGTCACGTCGATCACGTGATACTGCTATTGAACCATATCACCTGCTCGCCAGGGAACGCCATGACACACATGGTGAGATACGACGACGCAGCTACAAGAACAACCCGGAACAGTGTTTGAAGGAGCAGCATCACGTTGTCACGATGACGGATAAAAATTAGAGGAATGAACGGGCGGTTCATGATCAAGACGAAGTCACAGGAAGCGAGTGATTACTCACCGTCTATTTTAGCGAAAGTAACCGACTCCAAAGATTCAAGATTCCAAAGATTCAAGATTCTAAGGTGGACCACTACTACAGGAGCTGATATCACGTACAGAGACATACCCATGAGTGCTCATCCGTGGCACTTACGTAATACACTGGACTCGTCTTTGTTGGGAAACTCGCTTGCTCACAGTTGTGTTACACAAAAACGGGTACACCCACACCGCAACCCCTTTTTGGGTTGCGGTCACGTTGCACGGGGTGTTTTGGTGCGCTTCCTAACGGGAAGCGCGCGCAGGAAGCCCCCTGGGGAAGCGCCGACTGCGGACGCGGGTCCGGGCTTCCAGATTACTTCAGCAGAGCATCGGCAAATCAGCAGTTGGCCTGGCGAAAAGCTAGAGAAGAAGCGCCAGCCAGGCTCTAGAGCACCCGAGATCTGGAAACCACAAGCGTTTTATTTGAAGCCAAGTGTCGCGGGGAGACCCGTGGTGATACCCAGTTTAAAGCAGAAAAAAGCCAGCGATTTGTCTGCTAGCCCTGGTCAAGCGTACCCGCGGGATGAACGCACCGGCAAAACCCGCGATGATGACGATGGCCAGTACCAATCGTAACCAGACGCCTTCGCCGCGGTCCAGCACGTCGCAGGAGAGCACGCACGACGCGCTGGCGCGCGTCGTGCGGTCTGGCGACGCCGGGCCTGCTAAGGCGATGCGGTTCGTGGTCGCCCGGATGTTCCAGGTCGAGGACCCCGGCGTGGTACGTGCCCTGCGTGCCGTCGACCTCGTGCTCGACCAGACGTACTCGGAGTCGCTGACGCTGCGTAAGCTCGGCGATCTGACCTCCAATCGGCAATACCACTATTTCAACACAGTGGCGCGGCATCGCGACATCAGCAGGTGTCCCGTTGCGGTTCTGGCGCTGTACGCGGTACAGCGATGGGGCGGCGGCCGGCCCGCGGCGACGATCCGGTTTGACAACTACATGGACGTGCCGTTGCTCGGGGACGACGTTTGCGACGTTGCCGCCGGCGACGCCGTCGGCGACGCCGTCGGCGACGCTCCACCGCCGTCGCTGTCCAGCCAGGACTCCCCAGAGCTGTTTTCGCCCGAGCGCACCAGCGGGCCGTCGTCGACCTCCGTTTGGGGCCGCAACAAGATGGCGCGCATGCTCGAGCCGCCTGCAGCGCTTCTGTACGTGGTTTTCCCCTGGCTGTTGACGCTCAAGGACGATCTCGAGCACCGCGATCGCACCAACTACAACTTGCACTCTGTGTGCGAATTATTCGAGTTTCTCGCCAAAGTGGCGATCCAGGATTTCGCCTGGCTCGTCTGCAGCAATGATCTGCCGCGGTGGCAAGCTGTCATGGTCGATTGCGTACCGAAGCTTGCCTCTAATGGGTCCTTTTTACAATACCAGGCCAAGCTACAACCGCAAGTTCCGGGTCCAGCGGCGAGCCAGCCTCCAGGTCGCTCCTCTCAGCCGCAATGGCGTGAAGAAATTTTGTCGCGCGTCGAAGATAGCTACATCGAGATTTCGCGCAGGTTCGCGCTCCACAATCAGTCTGTATCACACGAAATTCAGGGCCTCAAGTCCGAGCTGGGTCAGCTGCGGCAACTCATCTCCGATCTCGTACAGTCCCAGAAGCAACTCTTGAACAAGCATCGTTCCCAGTCCTTTGGTAGTATGGGTAACGGATCCTTGGCCATGGATAGAAACACTTTTGCTAGTAATGCTATCAATGGCATCGTTGGTGCTTCCGAGGAGCAATCTCCCGCTGCAACGTCTCTGGCTCCTTTAAACATGCTCCACTCGCTCAGCACATCTGGAATGCCCGATTCCCAGAAACGAAAGCTACCATTACCGGCAACTTCGGGGTTCTCGCCTCAACCAGCAGATTCGCCTTTCAAAAGATTCAAATTCGATGAAGCTCGACTCTCGCAACCTCCCATCAACCCCACGGCCACTTTGGATTCACTTCTCTCCAAGCCCATGGGCAATCAAGGGTTGAGTATACCCTCTCTCAGCGGATTGGGCGCCTCGGCTCAAATTTCCTCCAACTATTCGACTCCCGGAAACACAACACAACTGGCATATAGAAATCCAGATCATCTGGAGCCCCACGAACCTTCTGGAGCGACCAGTGACGGTGATGCTGCTAACGAGGCCTTCAAATATAAACTTTCGCGTGATAACAAAACGGTATGGGATTTGTACAACGAATGGTACGTCGGTTTAGGTGGAAATCCGTCCATCAAGTCTCTTATAGAGATGTATGGCTGGAGAAGATGGAAAGTAAATGACGATTCCCATTTCTTCCCGACAAGACGCATCATAATAGACTACATCGAACGAGAATGCCAAAGAGGTCTGCGTCACGGTCGATTTGTAAATACGGACCGCGAAGCGATTCGGAAAGTGGTTACAGAAGACCTCGAGAAATTTAGAGTAGCCAACGGACTCAGCCTTAACAGTTTGTCCATGTACATTCGAAACCTAACGAGGAGGAACGCAGAGATATGCATATACAGTAATTTCCAAGATTGGGCAATTACATTGCTAAGCGAAGACATCAAGAATAAATTCTGCAGAAGGCACCACCATCGACATCGCCCAGAAATGAACTAACGAAATGTAACGATAGATATTCATTCAATTGTAATCTTAATATATATAAGACACGAACCTGACATGACCACGGGACCAAAAGCTCAAGCCAAAGCGCCTAATACTTATGTGTGGATTATAACTTCCGAGAAAAAAGCATATCTCGGTTGTAATTTCTACCTACGCCCTGATGTCACTTGGATCTATACCTGTTGACTCGTTGACTCCCTGTTAGTATGTTGAAATGCTCTAAATTAGTCTCTAAAAATTAGAATTAAATATCCACCACCAATGGTGCAATTTTGCTGGAAAAATTACAAAGCGAAGCCTTTAATTCTTGATTTGAATCAAATACTTCTAGTTATGGCACTACTGTAATGAAGCATGTCTTTTGCTTTGAAGGTTTCTTCACTTTCACTGTTTTTGTCAACAAATTGGTGAACATCATTTTTTCCAGTAACCACTGTTGATGCTAACAAAAACTACTAGATTTCGAATAAAGCAAGCCCACCGATAGAGTCAAGTTACTTAGTTTCCGCCAGCTCACAACGACTTAGATGTCAAATACCGGATTTTTGGTACCGACCAATTTTACGCTGCCCCAAACCCTAGAGCTATTGTACAGCATCGTCACCAACAAATTCAAGAATTGTGAAGAACCTAGTTCCAAAGATGACGATTTAAACTCACTCAAACACATGTACAAGAGTCTTTCACGCGTACTATCTTACTTGCGCGATGGTATTAGTGAGATAGAACAACATTTCAAGCTCGAAAGCCTAGTAAATGTGACAGAAACTGAGGTCGTTGAAACTGTTATCAGTATTCGAATTCTCGAACAAGACATTAGAAACACTAAATTAGCGGCTAAAAGAAGGCTTGAAGCGTTGGAAAATGGCAGGCGACATGGTCCACCTTCTTCTGGAAGTCATTTTTCGCTGTCGAGTCTATTGAAAAAGACTCGCCTGTCAAGTTCATCGCAACGTAAGAAGGAAATGGCTAGAATGAAAGAGGAGAAAGAGGCTAAGGAAGTGCTGAAGTTAAAAGAAGAGCGTGAGCGACAAGAGAAGCAAGAGCTGGAGAGGGAGACAGCGAAAAGGAGGAAAGAAGAAGAAGAACGAGCGAAATTGTTAGAATTGGCAGTGAAGAGACAAGTTGAACGAGAAATAGCGCTACAAAATACTTCCCGCAAAGAAGAACTTGCTCAATCGTTTGAGCGTGGTGATGACAGGGATAGCGCTGCTGTGTCACGACAACGAAGCTCATTAGACGTTAAAAGACCAATTAAACGTCCAACTGATCATGCTAGACGCAAGAGTGTGGATTTAGCTTCCAGACAGCATACCGACGCTACGAGCCCAACGGGGTTGGGTATAACAGACATGAAGAGAACGGCAATGAATAGTGTCAATAAAGCAGCATATGTGGCATGGTCCCAGTCTAATGTTGGTGTAGAGAGAAAGAAAAGCGAACGTCATCAACCGCGTGCGCCGTCAGAGCCTACGTCTCCGACGTTTGCCAAACCTCGTTACGAATACGTGAAACCGGTTATCAAAAGGCACAATATAAGAGCTCCAACAAAAGCCCCAACACGAAGAAAAGAGGCTCTAGTAAGCTCCGATAATGGGAAAACTGGACAAACCGTTGCCCCGAGGGTTAGAGCTCCCAGGGAAAGACCGTCTTCGACACCGTCTCCAGTGGCATCACCAAGATCACAATCGCCACAAAGAGTGCTTACTCCTCAGCAAAAAAGGATACAGGATGTTATGAGCAAGCTTGAAGGTGTTGACCCTGATGCATGCCAGCAAATTTTGAACGATATCTTACTTGTGGAGGAAAACATTTACTGGGATGACATTGCAGGACTCAGCAATGCTAAAAGCTCACTCAAAGAGACCGTTGTATATCCGTTTTTGAGACCTGACCTTTTCAAAGGACTAAGAGAGCCCGTGACAGGGATGCTTCTTTTTGGCCCACCGGGTACTGGAAAAAGTATGATCGCGAAAGCAGTCGCTACAGAATCGCGGTCAACATTTTTCAGCATCAGCGCCTCGTCTTTACTATCGAAATATCTCGGAGAATCAGAAAAACTAGTGCGCGCTCTCTTTTACTTGGCAAAGAAACTGTCACCATCAATTGTCTTCGTTGACGAGATTGACTCATTGTTGACCGCCCGGTCGGACAACGAAAACGAATCGTCTCGCCGAATTAAGACGGAGATGCTTATTCAGTGGTCTTCGCTGTCCAGTTCCACGGCAAGAGAAAGAGCTGAGGGTGATCTCGAGAGCGGCCGTGTACTGGTCCTAGCAGCGACAAATCTGCCATGGGCCATAGACGAAGCCGCAAGGCGAAGATTTTCGCGACGTCTTTACATCCCGCTTCCGGAATACGAGACTCGACTGGCCCATCTAAAGAAGTTACTACAAAACCAGAAAAACGACATGTCGGAGAACGACTTTGAAATAGTCGCGAAACTGACAAAGGGGTTTTCGGGCTCCGACATCACTAGTCTCGCAAAGGAAGCGGCGATGATACCCATTAGAGAGTTGGGTGATAAGCTTATGGACGTTGATTTTACGACAATCAGAGGAATTTCGCGCGACGATTTCCGGAAAGCCATGCTCACAGTCAAGAGAAGCGTTGCGCCTGAATCTTTGACCAAATTCAATGCGTGGGCGACAAATTTCGGTAGTACAGGTGCATAGTGCGAGGTAGACGATTTTATTCCCAGAAAACCCTTAAGAAGAAGGAAAAAGACGGAAAAAATGCATTTTGACCTGGAATCTTACTACGCAGACGCCATTTAACCTAATTTGCCGACCCGCATTGATCTACGCTCAGCGCGCTGTTCGTTGCCTAACTACGCCTGTTCTCATTTGTCCTTAACACCGAACGAATCACAGGATGGGATCTCAGTCACGTGAGAAAACGTCATAGTCCATCTCCGGAATCTTTAATTTAAATAAATAGTAATTGTAGAAGCAGATGAAGACGAACTTAAGCCAGCCTTTACGAAGCCTTGAATGGATGTATTTAGGGCTTTCAAGATCGTTAATTCAGTATAATAACGGTAACGGGGATTACTTACAGACTTTGATTGACCGCTGTGGAAAAAGAATCTCGTTTTGGGGGGTTTTCGCTTTTGGAGTAGTTTCGTTTTACGTTCTTTTACCAAGTCTCGTTCCATTGGGTATTAACAACCGAAACGACATGTTTTCGGGTTCAAAACGTAACGACAAGTTTACCACCGGTCTGATTAACAATAGAAATGACTGTTTTGCGAATTCGTCTGTTCAAGCACTTGCTGGATTGCCGAAATTGACTCTTTATCTGAACGACTTTCTCAAGCAGATACAATTTTTACGCACGCTTTTGGAACAGAATGATACGCGAAACGGCGATGCAATCGATGGTGACGAGACACCTGCCGGTGCCGAGACGCCTGAGAGTAATGATGAACATGAAAATGCGACACCTGATGGCACAGAACATTATGGTGTTCAACCGCATCTGGTCCGTCCAAGTCTTCAAGCTCTCGCGAAAGAGAGTGGAGATGCCTCGTTTTCGTCGACAGCTACGATTACTGTGCTGTCGCAGGCTGGTCATCATGAAGAAGTGCGTTCCGGTCAACAAGAAGAAGGGCCTGCAATTTCACAAGCGTCCAGTGACGATATCCCTGAAGTGCCCACCCACGAGGGTCTTTCGCAGATCTTGTACCAACTACAGCAACTCGTTTCGTCGAACACCTATATCTCGGTGTGGCCGTTTTTACATGTTTTGGAATTAATATTCGACGCGAAGATTTCAACGGGTCAGAACGACGCACACGAACTAACGCAGGTTATCCTAGAAACTTTGGAAAAGGAAAATGTTCGCGTGAGAAAATTTATCAAGGACCAGTCTTTGAACGTCATTGTTCCTGACTTCCCCATACGAGGGTCACTTGCGGATCATCTAATCTGTCTACAATGTCAAGATTCGTCCAAAGTCAACACGCATCCGTTCACGATGTATCCGATCGTCGTTCCACAAGAAATGACTGCTAACTTGGCCGAAATGATTGCGGAAAACCAAACCGAAACAATCGAGGGCTATTCTTGTCTTTGTTGTAAGATCAAGGCAATTGTAGCCAACGAACGGCAAAGAAATTATCAGGGAAACACTGATGAAGAGAATAATATAGTGAAGACCCTTGAGCGCGTAATTCCAGAAGTTTTCATTAACGACGATTTGTCTGAAAATCTGATGCAATACATCAACGATTACAACAAGGACGGATGCGATTCAAGTGCGATTAAATCTCGTATTGTGAAGAAAACGGTGGTAGTTGACTCACCGGAACTACTAATTTTGCATTTGTCCCGGTCTGTGTTCAATGGGATGAGTTATACACGGAATTCCTGTAACGTGCTTTTTGATGAGATTCTCACAACCCATGAGCAGACGATCAAGGACAACAGAAGCGTGGGAATGACTACAGTCAAATACAAGCTGAAAAGTGTTATAAAACACCAAGGCACACATTCTCAGGGCCATTACGAATGTTACAGACACAAGCCAGATATCCTCAAAGACGCCCTCTCAGGTCAAATTGTTAACAGATCGCCTATAATCGATTTTGGTATGGATTCAAATCGTGCTGCGGCTTTCGCGTGGAAAGAATCGGCCAACAGTGCAATGTCTGACGCTTCCTCGATTTCGTCTCAGGAATCCGAAAATTCTACGTCGAATCCCTTCAGAACGGTTTTCCCAGAATCTGACAATAAGACACCGCTGAACAGTGCTGTAGTCGACGGCGACGACTACGTCATTGGCAGTACTGACTCGTTACCCTCGAATGAGCCCTCACGCAAACCTTCCAAATTGAAAAGATTTGCTGGATTTCTGTCCCGACGTTCGTCGGTAGCGTCGAACAATGACAACAGTAGCTCTGCCACGGGTTCAGAACCCACTAAGAAACCTGCTCGGAGCCGTGTCAACAGTATCGCGTCATTGCACATGGCACGTTCAGAATCGCAAGACTCATCAGTAGGTGTATCTTCGTCAGGCCTCGATCTCACGGAATACAGTGCAAGCGAGGACGACGCGGGTGGCAGCAATATAAAGCGTAAACTCAAGAAAATCAAAAGCGTGATCAAGTTCCCTTACTGGAAGATTTCGGACGCCATTGTCAAAGAAGCTAAATCAAGTGATGTCTTAAGCGATACAAAATACGTTTACATGCTATACTATGAGCGGGTGGACGAGGAAAACGCTTGAAAGACCACGAGAATCATGAATGGATGAAGAAATTGGACACATAGTTGAACTATGGAAAGCTTATGAAAATCCAAGTTCTATATATATAGTTTGACTGTCCCGTACTAAGGGTGTACTAGATTATCACCATTCGTGTATCTTGATAAAGTTAAACTCGTAGGGTTCAACCTGAAATATGAAATACTTCGAACCTAAGAAAAGTGCAGACAGCGGGGAGATTACTGTGGCCAAAGGTAGTCATTGAGATGCTAAAAGTATGTTGGAAAGCTTAAAATTGATGGGGTTGGGGTTAATATTAAAAAATCTGGGCTTCGAACTGTTTCTGGAGCCCGAAATGCGATTTAACTCTACTAACAATTGACTTAAAAGAACTTCAAGTTGGGCAGAAAAGAAGGCGATAGTAGAAGCCGTATCACTTCAGCAGATATTTCTGCTCCTACTGCAGAAGGTGGTAATGCAGTGAGACACATGAAAACGGTACCCATACGGTCTGCGTCGTCAGCTTCAACGTCTTCGGTGAAAACGTCAAAGGAATTGTTTTCAACGGAAAAAGTCATTAAAGCCATTTACAACTATCAGGCTCAATCACCCAAAGAGCTTTCGTTTGTCAAGGGAGAATTTTTCCATGTAATGGCTGAGGACAAGGAATGGTACGATGCCTCGAATCCGACAGACGGACGACGTGGAATGGTGCCCAAAAGTTATTTCGAGAGTTTTGGTCGTCGTGGTTCGCAGTCTTCGAGACGGTCCTCAAGGCAATCTTCCAGAGATAGTACTGCTCAGGGCAAAAGTGGGTCTCTGTATGCAATTGTACTTTACGATTTTCATGCGGAAAAATCGGACGAATTAACCACATATGCGGGCGAAAATCTGTTTGTGTGTGCACATTTCAATCACGAATGGTTCATTGCAAAGCCCATTGGCCGTTTGGGAGGTCCAGGTTTAGTTCCAGTCGGTTTCGTGAGCGTAATTGATATCAATACGGGATATGCTACTGGAAACGACGTTGTCGAAGATATCAGGACTGTAAATTTACCTTCTGTGCAAGAATGGAAGGGTAACATTGCCAAGTACAAAGCCAGCAACATTTCGTTGAGCTCCCCTGAAAATTTCCGACAACGACGCTCAAGTTCGCTTTCGCACGGAATTTCGTCCGTCCCAGGCGGTGGCATTCCGCCCCATCTAAGTATGCACCAAAGTCTGCCCTTCATTGATGCGTCTGTGGTGTCCTTCTCGTTAGAAGGCGAGAAGTATTGGTACAATGTGACGGTCCACTTTTTTGATGGTAAACGTCGGACTTTGAAAAGGTATTACGAAGACTTCTATGACCTCCAAGTAAAACTTTTAGATGCGTTCCCAGCAGAAGCTGGCAAGCTTCGAGACGGGAGAGGACAATGGACCAAACGCATTTTACCTTACATTCCGGGACCCGTACCGTATGTCACCGACAGCATTACCAAAAAACGGAAAGACGATTTAAACACTTACGTTAAGGAGTTAATAGCTCTACCTGCACACATTTCCCAGTGTGAGCTTGTGCGATCTCTGTTTGCTCTTCGAAACAACGGCTTCGATCGAGAATTCGTTACGGAGCCCCCCTCAGGTGACAGAATTTCAGAGCTCCAAGAACCTAGACTCGCAGGTGTATCCAACATGTCATCCAAAGCTGAAGACGAGACCTTGACCGGAGAAGATTTGAAAGTGTACGAAATGATGAACGGATTATCGCTTAAAAATTCCAATACCCACTCAAGACCACCCAGCACGTTACCACCGCAACACAAGCCCACCAAAACGAAATTTTATTACAAAGACGACATTTTCGCACTACTTTTGGACGCAAATATTACGTTCGCAGACTTGCGCAGCAAAATTGCACCACGTATTGAGGCACCAAATTTCAAACTTTACGTTAAATTGAGCGACGGACTTGGCGAAGAGATTAAGGACGATTCTCAAGTAGCAGCCGTACTTGCAGGCCGGCTGAAAATAAGCATCTTGGACAGCGAGGATGAGACCCACGCTCCAAATTAATTAATCTTAGTGCAGTTTTGTCTTACTGTTTAATCCGAGTCTATAAGCATGGGTTCGTCGACATCGTCGAGGTCCATGTCAACGTCCATCACATGACCAATGTGATCTGTCTGCGATGTTATCCACGGTGTGCGTCGTACCCAGTTCAACCACATCTTATACACCAATTCCACCGCATTATACCACCTAATCACCTGCATATTGTCATCTCGTATTTTCTGCCACACTTTTTCATAAATGTTGTTCCTGGAACCGTTTCTATCACTTTCCCTCACCAATCGCCAAACTTGTTCACGTAGTACATCCGGCAGGACGTGACCCCCTACGACTTCTCTCCCATCATTCAAAGCCTTATTTCTCACATTCGAAGTTTCATTTAGACTCAAATTTTGTAAATCTTGCACAAGCCTTTGACGTTTGTAATTCGATATTCCCACTGGATCAGAGTTTCTTACACGCTTCATCGGAGTCATTTTCATCGCAACATCGTCTCTATTCTTTCAAAACTCGGTCATTATCATAAATCCACAACAAGTGATCCTCTCGAGTTCCGGAAAATTCTAGAAAACTCTACTAATCAATCAACGATCAATCAAATATATGTTCACTTGGGAATACGCGTATTTCAATGGTGATATCACTTATATTGACTTCTCGAGCCCTCGTCTGTCTCTGTGTCTGTCTCGTCACGTTTGTCACGTTTGTCGTTCTTTAAATATCAATTTCCAATAATGATCCTCTCCAAGTGATCCATCTCATTGAAAAATCCTGTAAAACGAAGAGGCTTTGACATCAGTCTTTGTACCGAACGAACCGTTATCCAGATGTTCCATACGCCTCCGATAAACAATCCCAAATTCGATTTATCGCAGTCGATCAAAGAATCGTATCAGGTTCGAGTAGAAACCAATTCACCAGTTTTGTCAAATTCTTCAAGTAATGGCAGTGGATCAGTGAATCGAGACGAAATTGTACAGGAAATTGCAAATATAACGGCGTTACCGACCGAATTATCCAAACTGATTGACATTTTCATTGATGATTTGAAACAACCGAAGTATTTGAAGCCTCTTAATGTGCTACAATTATGCGGGCTTTTTCAAAGTTTTTATGGAAAATTCGACAAAGCGGCGTTTCAGTGTCTTTCACGCACCGGTGAAAATGCCCAGGGATCATTTTTGACTGCACGAGAGTCCCTGAGTAGCGGAATCAGTGGGATTTTCAATAGGAGCAGGAGTAGTAGTGACACAAGAAAAAGGTCCTCGTCTTTGTTCAGTACAGATTCTGCAAACGGTGTACAACCGCTGCTGACACCGGAGGAATTGGCGAAACATGTCAGGACGAACGAGATCAACAATCACAAGATCGAACGGTATATGGACTTATGCGAACACGACGTTTTCAAACGAATACTGGAAGTGGGTACTTCTGTGCCGAACAATACAGCTCCGAAATCGGAAAAATCAGGACAAGCACGTACTCTCAAGGTCTCCAATTTGTTCCGGAACAGTCCGGAGTTTATCGATTATGATCGACAATTGAGTGAAAAATTAGAAGTCTTGGCAAAATTGGCCAAAGATGGGAAACTGAATTTGATAGAGTTTTTATCCATACGGAAAGACGATTTGAAACGAAGAGGCGTGCTTACGGAATACATTGAAAAATTGGTTTACGGTTCAATAGCGCCTTTTGAGAAATTACAAAACATTATAGCCATGCATGACGAAATGACATCGTCGTTCAACCATCTGAGTAACGACGATTTTCTTTCTACGTTAATTTACCTGATTGTCATAAATCCAGTCAAAAACATTTTCCTGAACTTACAATTCATTAAACTGTTCCGATACTCCAAGAAATTGGTCGAAAAGGATCTGTACGCGTTGACCAACTTAGAAGCAGCTTTAAAATTTGTGGAAAACTTAACGTTTACTGATCTGCCCAAAGAGCTGCAGGATCAGCTTTCAAGTGCAGAGGCAGACATGTTTCGGTTACCTTTATCGAGTAAAGTGGCTTTACCTGATATCGATCTTTCATCGGAAAATTCGGGCACAAGACATCCTGGACTTCCTAGAAGTAATTCTTATATGGAATTTGAAGGTTTCAGAACTGCACTAGACTTTTCCTTGAGGAACATCATCGGCAAACTCAGGTCGTACACTCCACCTGTAGCGTCTAACCCGGTGGCGCCAAATAGTAACACGACAAATGCAAATGCGGACATAGTGGTACCTCAGAGTATTTCCTCCGAAACGACTACCATGAAGAAATCAGAAATCCCGGAATCCTGGAAGGAGTACAGAAATAGAGAATTCGACGACTTGAAAGTCAGTGAACTGAAACAAGTCTTTTCAAATTACCAAAAGCTTTTAGATGCATTAGATAGCTAATTTTTTTTATTGACTTACTACTGAAGTCAAATGGTGCTCAGATGGTTTATCAAAGCATGCAATTCGGCTGTGGCGTGGCTCTCATCCCGAGGCAAATATGATTGGACGATCAGATCACTAATCTCTTTAATCCTCTGGCACGTATAAGCTAATGATCCACTGGTGGTATCCAAATACGCGATTAATTTACGCTTCAAACTCTCATCATGCGTTCTCAATTTCAAAATGTCTTGCACCACGGTGTCGTTAAGTTGGGCACCGTAACGAATACCATGCAAGATCGGAAACGACATCTTCCCCTCAGAGACGTCTTCGGCGAATCCTTTGTTTTGAATCATCGTAGCGTCTTGCAAATTGAGATAATCGTCTTTGATTTGGTACAGGATACCTAGTAAATTGCTGAGAGGCACAAGAGACCTGTGTTCGTTCCCACCTGGCGAGAAAACTTCCATGATCCGTACCGTGAGCCTAAACAACCCACCGGTTTTGTTCATAACCATATTCAAATATTCTTGTTCTGTTGGAACGACATATTGATCTCTCCAGTAGATATCCAAGCCTTGTCCACGATGTAAATTCATCATTTCCCGATCAAAAATGAGCAACAGTTTATTCAAAATCACGTAATCGTTCCTTCCCGAAGCCAATTCTCGCAGTTCGTTCATCGCACAGAAATACATGTAATTTGCCGTATTTATGGTCATTGGAGCTCCAAAAACCGTATGAGACGCCCTAATACCGCGTCTCCATTCAGAACTATCCTCGACGTCGTCAATTAAAAGACTAGACGTGTGTAGAACTTCCACAAACCTTGATATCACGGAAATTTTGTCCTCGGGCAATTTATAATACAAATTGAAGATTCGGATCAATTCTGAACGAAAGTTTTTGCCTGGAGAAGAGGCCAAATGATCGTACGGCTGCCTTATTATATGCTCCAATTCGTCATTCCAATATGGTTCATCTACTACTGTCTTTTGGAGTTGTTCTAAGTTCATGGTTTGTGTGGTTGATGTTGTTGGTGATGATGATGATGATGGTGATGATAAACGGTCTTGGTTCTTACATACGAATCTTGAAATTTAAGGAATCAAGTCGAACCAAGACAAGTTGGAGTAAGAGACCTGGTTAAGTTACAGGGCTAACAAGCGACGCTTGGCGAGTTAGATATCCGCTACAAGGCGATATGGAGAATTTGATTATTAATATGGTTGGTGACATACCCACAGTGACGAAGAGTTGGGCCGCTGGAACGGTTTTAATATCGATATTAACGAAGGCGAAGTTGATTGACGAGAATAAGAAGCTTTACAATTTTGATTTGGCGTTCAAGAAGGGTCAGTATTGGCGCGTAATTTATTCTTTATTTGATTACGGGAGGTTGAACTGGATCTCTACATTGGATATCATTTTGTCAGTGAATTATTTGAGTTCACTGGAAACTTCAATTGCAAGGAAAACTCGATTTCTGTGGATGATTAGCCTTCTATCTGCCATTTTGATAATATTGAGCAAATGGGCGCAGCCGTTGTCATCGTTGGGTCAACTTTTGTATGCGAATTTGGCATATTATAAGAAACGTCGTGATATGCAAGCGAATTTGCATCGAGATTGGATTAGTATTCCATTAGTTTTGAGTTGTGCGGCGAAATTGTTTGCCTATCCAATGATGCATTTCAGTTTGATACAATTGACAATGGAGTTTTTGCCGGGGCATTTGTTATTTTTCTTGGCTGAGGTTATGAGTAGGATTTACGACGTGGATTTGTGTGAACCACCTACGAGGTGGTTTACGCGAGAGCAAGCGTAGCTGAAGACCATCAGTACGTATTAAGGGCAGCGCGGCAAGCTCAGCATTCAGAAATAGCTTCTGGACTTCGAGAAGGTCATTCGTTGCGCAATTTGTTGGCATAGCAAGTGCAGCATAGCGAGACAGCTCGATTTCAACAAACGCAGCAAAGGTAAGCTTGTTTGAAAAACGTTCTAAACTTTGTGGGCTCGTTCCAAGCCAGCTGCAAGCCCAGTTCCATAATTTTAATGGACGCATATGTTGTAAGGAAAGCTGGGGATATGCTTTATATGGTGAAGCGCTTGAGCTCCTGTTGATGGCGAGGAAATGAGCGGGTCTACCAGGGAAAAGTCAAATAGGATCCAACCATCGATACTTCTGGCCTTCGTTCCTGTCAAGGCGGCACCTGGATATGCTGAACCAGGCGGTAGGATCTTCAACATGGTGGGAAAAGACGGTACAGCAGGTAAGCTCAAGTATATTTCAGAGGATTCTGATCTAGAGGCAAATCCAACTAGCGGAACGCGCCCCGGAGTAAGTAAGTTAACATATATAGAATCATGAGAGTAAAGGAATAGTTGCAGGATCGGCAACCGGGTTTTCCGGGTTCCCCAAGGCCCCCGGGACTCCCGAACCCACGCGTTTACGCTTTTTATCTGGCCAAGGCAGAGTCGTGATGCGATGTTGTAGCAGTAACCGGTTCACACGAGTGTTTATAGCTTGAAAATCATTACGTCGACACGCCGCAACATCAAAAGCTTCATCACAATCAAAGACGATGTCCGCCACACCTTCAGCAGTGATACCATGCCATTGTGCAGTGAACCGAGTCGCTGCCGGCGCGGTCAGGTTCGGTGCTGTTAAAGCGGTGTAAAAGGCTTGGTCTTCGGGGACGGTATGAGGTTCGCTGAGTAACCGCGACAACAGCGCAGCATTGCTACGCTGTTGTTCAAGTTCTAATTGACGTCCTGCTTCAATCAGTGGAATCAATTGACCGGCGATTTGTTGTAGAGTAGGTGACGTTTTACATTGGTGCGAGATAGCGTCAATGACGGTGGTGAGCGACGCATTGTGTGAGTTAGAGTGGCCACTGTAGTGGGGTCGTACAAGCGTTGCATGTGTTTTGGTTGTAGTACGTCTCATACGTGTCGGTGGCTTTTGTACTTTGATACCGGGAGACTTGTGATCCCAGGGAAGTGCTGAGGAGGTCGCACCATTCGCTGGTGCTGGGACGGCAGCAGGAGTACTCGCACCAGCAGGTGCAACCGCACCGTCCGTCACTCCCTCACGCAACTTCAATCTCGTCGACCGTCGAAGCCTCATTGCCGCATACCTTACTCACCTCGAGTTCACTTCACTTTATCGCGATGAGCTGATTCGAGCCATTGTTGAAATCTCAAATTTTTCACTTTCCTTTTTCCGTGATCATTTGGAAGAGCTCATCGCATCGAACTAACGGGCGGAGTTGGCCGAGAAGGGCGCTGTGACGCGATACAAAGGCGTTAGCTCTCGCCTACAGGCTCAAAATCGTCTTCTGCAAGTAACTGGATCACTGGATTGCGTTGGTGGGCGCGCACGAGGACGTGAACATGTGACACGGTTTTCACGCTTTGCAAATGCGGGTAGTTGATGAACCAAACGAACTCTGTCAGCGCGTAGCGGGCCAGGTTGTGTTGGAGGAACCGGTCGATCTTGTCACGGACCACAAGGTCCATTGCACAGGGATCGTCTTTGTCTTGTTTGTAGAGTGGGATCCGCACCTTGCTCCACACGACGAGGTGATGAACGTCGGCCTCGAGGTCGTAGGGGAAATCGTTAGGTAGGACAGCATAGAGATCCGGTCTAGAGAAGAACGCGACCGCTTGCCGGTCGCAGTCTGGGTATTGGGCTTCGAGCCCTGCCAGACTTTCACCGGACCAATGCAGCCGGTTCTCGAGAATGTTGTTGAGCAGGGAGGAGCCCTTGCGAGCCAGCTCATCGCGGAAGACTCGGTATTGCTGGGCGACCCTTGGGGTGCGCACGAGTTGATCGAGTTTGCCGGTGCGGACGAGCCCGACGGTGGTGTTCCAGTCGAACATGTTGCTGGTTGTAGCTGTGGCAGTTGTGGTGAGTTGCCGAAAAGTTTTCCTTTATATTGAAGTACACGATATATGTATGGATTCACGAGGCTGGCCTTTCCAAGCGCTTGCGAAGCACCCTGTGAAACATCTTGTGAATAAATAGTTTGGAGAGCGCCCTGCACTCTCCCACTCGAAAGCGTGCTCGAGTTTCGGTGTCTATATCAACCGCATAAACACACACCGTGGATCTACCCGGCCCTTCGTAGCAGCCGCTGCATCCTCACGGCTCCAGCGCCAAAGTGGCAATCCAAACGGTAACGTAAAACCAAGTGTCAGATAAAACAAATACATAACGCCCATGCGATTTAGTGGACACCGTGCCATTCGTTGCGACGCGGTACCAGCCGCGCCATGTATACCGCGTAAACTCCCCAATCTCATCGCGCTGTACATATCGCTTTCGTTACGTGAACATAACCTGTATTCTACACTGGTTGGGATGCCGTTAAATACAAATACGACAGGAGGGTCCAGGTGGGTTATTCTTTCCTCTCACACCACTTTGGGCTTTTGCATACTGCGGCAGTCGCGAGAGCTGTGGTCGTTGGGGGTGATCGTCGTACAGGGCCAATGGGGTTATAAACACCGGCCGTGCAAGGGAATACTTCTACAAACGGCTATAGCGTATACAGGAAAGTCGTGGAAAATGAGAGAGATACAGGGAAGGAGATAGCGAGAGGGTGTACGGGTGGTTAAATCCAAAAAGTGCGATGGTACATCGCTTGCTACGGGGAACGTGATTGCTCGTACGTCGGTACCGGAGGATTATCCGGGTAAGCTGATGTAATCACCGGTCGTGAGAAATGCAACTGAAGAGGTTACTTCTCTCCTTAGCGTGTGAGTATCTGTAGTAGGCTGTTTCCGGCACACCCAAGCTGACGTTACGTCGCTGGTTGTTCTTGTATGTGATTCTGTCACTAGGATCACGTGATGTTATGCAAGTGTCCCCGGAAGCCAAGTCCCAGACGTCTGACTCGTCGCTCGTCGCGAAGCCGCCCTAGAGCGGAGCAAGAACACACGGTCCACCAACACGCTCTCTTCTCTCTGTCTGCCCATCTGGCTTGGTTTCAAGCAGTTAGTCACGTGACTGCGACGACAGTATAAAAAGCCGAAATTTAGCAGGGCTTTTGCTCCTTTCCCACCCCTCGTTTTCCCTGCCTGGAAGAAACCCGGCAGGAACCCGGCAGACCAGGCACACGCTCGCGAGCTGTACAGCGGCGGAAACGCGTCGTCCAGCAATGCAGGCGCAAAGTCACCGGGTCTCCGAACAGCGCCGGAAGTACTGCGCTTTGAGCTTGCCACAGTGGGCACGGCGGCTATTACGCTACTCGTACAAACGGATGGAGCACGTGACTAGTTTATTTTTTGGCGGTCCGGTTACCCGCCCTCCAATAAATCGTACGCAACGATCGAGATCGCTTCGTTTTCCCAGGATCTTTGCCTGTTATCGCATCCCAGCCACGCGTCTCTGATCAGGTTCTTCTCGGCCCGAAAACTCGACAGCCTACCCTCCACACACGCCAACCGTCCAGTCCTCTGCCACTGCGCGCGTTCCTCCCCAATGAGTGCCGCCCTTCCCTCCATCCAGATCCCCATCGACTACACGCAGGTCCAGACCGCGATCGAGGATTTCCTCCTGCACTTCAAGACCGCCACTGCGGCCGACCTTGACCTCGGCACGGGTCCCAAGTACATGGAGCTGCTGCAGCAAGTTGCCAATCGTGAGCTTGTCACGCTGCACATCGACCTCGATGACCTCAATCGATACCAGATGGACAACGCGTTTGCGGGACTCGAATCCGGCAGTGCTAGCGCGACCGCGCTCGTACCCACCATTCTGCAAAATTGTCACCGTTTCATAGAACTTTTCAGCCGTGCTGTTGACACCTTACTGCCGCCTCCAACGCGTGAGCTTGACTACAAAGACGACGTTCTTGACGTCATCCTGTACCAGCGGAAACTCAGAAATGAACGCCTCATGTCCCGCCGCCGCACAGAACTCGCCGCTGAAGCTGGCGTGCCTCGCGATGATGAAATCATGCGCGAAATCGCAGAGCAAGAAACAGACCTATTCCCTGCCAAACTCGTGAGACGCTACAACTTGTACTTCAAGGCTCCCACTGCGGCGACTTCCCTGGGCAAAAAAACGTTGCGCCCTCTCGCTGTGCGTGAAATCAAAGGCGACAATGTCGGTCATCTCATCACGGTGCGCGGTATCGTCACACGTGTCTCGGATGTCAAGCCTGCAGTTACCATCAACGCTTATACCTGCGACCAGTGTGGCTACGAAGTCTTCCAAGAAATCAACTCCCGTACGTTTACTCCACTCTCCGAGTGTCCCTCCGAACAATGCTCTCAAAACCAGGCCCGCGGCCAACTGTTCATGAGCACACGTGCTTCCAAATTTAACGCGTTCCAGGAGTGTAAGCTGCAGGAACTCTCCGATCAAGTGCCCATCGGCCACATCCCAAGATCTTTGACCATCCACATTAATGGTACTTTGGTGCGGTCTTTGACCCCCGGTGACGTGGTAGACGTCACGGGTATCTACATGCCTGCTCCTTACACTGGGTTCAAAGCCCTCAAAGCAGGACTTTTGACCGAAACCTACTTGGAAGCCCAAGATGTGTTCCAGCACAAGAAAAAATTCACCTCTTTTGAAATTACACCAGACGCAGAGGCCCGCGTCATGCAAATAGTTTCCGAGGGTGACGTCTACAACAGACTCGCCAAGTCAATCGCTCCCGAGATTTACGGCAATTTGGACGTCAAAAAGGCACTTTTGTTGCTCTTGGTTGGCGGTGTCGATAAACAGATTGGGGATGGTATGAAGATCAGAGGTGACATTAACGTGTGTCTCATGGGTGACCCTGGTGTTGCCAAGTCACAACTTCTCAAATCCATATGCAAAATTTCGCCCCGTGGTGTATACACCACGGGTAAAGGTTCTTCGGGCGTAGGTCTGACCGCCGCAGTTATGAAGGATCCTGTCACCGATGAGATGGTTCTGGAAGGTGGTGCACTTGTACTGTCTGATAACGGTATTTGTTGTATCGATGAATTCGACAAAATGGATGAAAGTGACAGAACCGCTATTCACGAGGTTATGGAACAACAGACAATTTCCATCTCTAAAGCTGGTATCAATACCACTTTGAACGCCAGAACCTCCATCTTGGCCGCTGCTAACCCGGTGTACGGACGTTACAATCCTCGTTTGTCCCCGCTGGAGAATATAAATCTACCCGCTGCGCTGCTGTCCAGATTCGATATTCTCTTTTTGCTGCTAGACATGCCAGATCGGGAAACCGACGAAAAACTGGCAGAGCACGTTGCTTATGTTCACATGTACAACCGGCAGCCAGAGCTCGGGTTCTCTCCGCTCGACCCATCTCGCATGCGGGAATTCATTGCTTTTGCTAAGACCAAGAGGCCGACCATCGATCCCGACGTTAACGATTACATTGTTCAGTCTTACATACGAATGAGACAAGATTCCAAAAAGGCAATGGATACTCGATTCTCTTTTGGACAGGCTACTCCGCGGACGCTCTTGGCTATTATAAGACTGTCACAAGGGTTGGCGAAATTAAGATTCAGTGACGTGGTCGAGATCGACGACATTGAAGAGGCCTTAAGACTCATTCAAGTTTCCAAGGAATCCCTGTATCAAAATAACCAGAAAAGTTACGAGGATGAAAACCCAACCACAAAAATATTCACCATTATTAAGAATATGGCTAGAACTGGCTCAGGCCTGCACCAAAGTCTGCCTTATGATTCTGTTGTAAAAGTAGTTCGTTCCAGAGGTTTCACCTTACTGCAGCTCAATAGCTGTATTGAAGAATATGCGTACCTAGGAATCTGGAACTTGGTTAATGAGGGCTCGACTTTGCATTTTCTGAATCAGGTAGCTGACCAAGATGCCGACATGAGCGATATAGGCACCTCCACGCCAAGGCTGTCTGCGGCCGTCTCCTCGCCTGTCGCGCCCCTCCGGGAAGACACTGAGATGCACGACGACTGAATTTGTTTCGATCAAAGCCCGAACAATCAGTAATAATATTTGCATAAGGCTTGCATCTGGTATAGCAAGCTCAACCTTACACTGACGGCTTATGCAAGCTTGTATTATATTTAACGATGATGCGCATAACACATACGTATGTGTTCGCGCTTGTGAGCCACATTCGTCAGCCCACGCTCAAGCTGATACATGAAATGATGATCTCGTCTCATCCCAAACTACTCAAGTTTGTCCTCGAAGACTCGTCAACATTATTTAAGAAAATAGTGCGACCAAATTTGAAGGTTCTTGTCCATAACGCCCAACCCTCAGGAGAAACTTAGATAGAGGGAAGAGGCTCTGAACGACTGTAAGCTCTCCGAATCACAGATGAGAACTTTCGAAAGTTAGACAGCAATGCTTAATCGAAGACATTTTCACGTGATCCCCTATTTCAATCTCATCTCCTACAGTAGCATACCGTGCTGACAGGAAACAGCGTAGAATAACGACCACATAAAGCCTTTGAATGGTACTCCAAATGACATTTCCTGTGATATCATTGAAACCGAGTTATAATTCCATCATAAGGGGCTGCCCGGGCCTTGCGGAGACACTTGTAAGTTCTAGTGTTCAAATGACGATGAATTTTGAGAAACTAACAGGAATCAATAGCCCCGTCTAGAGTGTGAACTTCGAATCAGATCAAATGATGGTAAGCCTTTCGTCCTCTCAAATATCGAAGTTATCTTTCGAACGATCGAGTCCCTAAACAGCAGTGGTCATTCCTTCAGCTCAAAACCTAAGCTCGAAAAGGAAACCGTTCATTGCCGTAAGAATATCAAAGTATCCGATAAGAGACTGATAGGCATTGACGTACCGATTACAATTGCCATTCCTGAAGGTATCAAGCAGACAAACCTAAATCCAAAATTTGGGCAATGCTACTCGGTGCTGGAATGCACGGCGTATTACTTCCTGAATGCAGGGACAACTACCCCACTTAAACGGTCATTCTTCTCGTATGTAAACGTGGAAAGATTCGACGTGTTTGCGTCGCTCAAAGATCCGAAACCGTTGAGACGCCAACAAACCTCTCCCGACGGCAAGTTTGTCGTGAAATACACATTCAACAACTCATTGGTCACTGTCGATGATCTCCTACAGGTGGAAGTTGAAATTATACCGAACCTAAGCGCCCTGGGCTCTCATGCGACTCAGAAGATTTTCAATAAAAAATCCAAATTCAAGAGCATGACGTGCGAGTTTAAAGAACTTCTGGAAGTTCACGATGCGCACGTCGATTTCAAAGAAAACCTGTTAAAGTCGACTAACAGAACTTTTAACGAGACCATTGGGGCGAGTGGTATTAAGGTACAGTCAGAAATTCGTATTTGCACGCGAAATGAACTGTTCAAGCAATATGAACAATCCATGAGTGAGCCTGCCGTGCTTTTCCGCTTGCCCAACCATGAGCCAGACCTGACCACCGTTCCGAAAACTGTGCTGCTGAAGAACAAAAACAGGGCAATCCCATATAATTACCATACTTCGGTGACGACCCGTGGCAGCCTTTTCTCAATTACGCATGCCGTTACTCTGCGCCTCAAAATCAGCAATGCAAAAGACTTTGAAATGACACAACCCATAGAGGTGACGCCCTGGCTTGCGCCACATACTAAACATATCGCCGGTGTCGTCGCACAAGAGAGAGAAATCGCAAGAAATGCTCGAGCGTTTTACGAGAGTTTCGGAGGCCTTACAAGAAACAAACACACAGGCGAACTTGAGTATCCTTCACTCCCTCCAGTGGTCTACACCGCTGACAGAAACACACTGGTACATCATGGTATCCTATACAGTATCAGCTCAGAACAGCCGCAGAGGATTCCTGTCATCGAGTAAGAAGCGCTTCGTGTGACGTGCTTTGGTGAAATAGCCTAGGCTTTTCAAGATAGCAGAAATGGTTCAGACGCGTAGCCAGTACCCAGTGCTCGCTTTGAGAAGTGGGTTAAGGACCATCTGGAGCAATTGCTAGACAGCTTTGCTTATCAGAAAAAGACGATGCATAGGAATTCCCAAGAAATTTCGCTTTTCGATCACTCAACAAGCTCCCGGGAGAGGGAAATTCTCGAAGCTTTAGGTGAGGTATACTCGCTCATAATTGTGCTAGATCAAGTGGAAAAGGCATATTTGAAAGATTGCCTGTCGAGTGAAGAATATACTTCAACCGTCAATAAGCTTTTGGCGCAGTACAAGACCTACTTGGCAGATGAGGAAGTCGCAAAGGAGTTTGGGGGACTGGAACAATTCAGGGCTAAGTATCAGATCAGTGCTTCCAATGCTATCACGAGATTGGAAAGGGGTATGCCTGTGACTGTGGAGCATGCCATTCAGACTAAAAACAGTAGCACAGCGCTTTCTAGCAACGGTAAGAACATTAGTGGGAAAGCCGTAGCAGAAGCGACTGGAAACTTCATCACGGTGATGGACGCGTTGAAACTGAACTACCGGACCAAAGAAAAGCTTCATCCCTTGATGTCGGAGCTTTTGCTGAGTATAAATCGAGCAGGGTCGCAGGATTTCGAGTATCGAAAAAAACTAGTCGAGTGGACTGTAAAAATTAACAAGATGAACATAAGCCAAAGCTTGGAAGACAGCGACGCGCGCGAGCTTCTGTTCGACTTAGAGGCTGCTTACAAGAATTTCTACACTTTACTTGAATAATCTGGCCTTGTGGGAGATTTTTTTCCGCCTCAACGACGTCAAGAGCTCTACAAAGACAAAGTGCTGGCTACTTTGTTTTGGTCCTTCTGCGGCTCGCCTCATGTTTTAGACATCGAGGGAAGTACAGATTCGAAGGTTTTATTTTGGAAACGACGCGAAGTAACGAGTTTTTGAGTAAATTTCACAGGAGAAAAGCGCTTTGGCTACAAAGAGAAATTGCGACTCGTCAGGGAATTGCTTATACCATGCTCATGGATGTGGGACAGCGGCTTGTGACCATAAATCAATCGGTGTGTTTGTCATTTCAGGGTAATAAGTGATCAGTAGTGATCAGCTGTTCACCACCCTTCTAAAAAATTTTCAGAAACAGAGATTTGATGTGCACCTTCATAGTGTTACAGAATAACGAGACCAAAGGGCTTGCCAATGCTTCCGAGATTTTTGAAACTTTCTGCCAATTTGGCTGTTAAGAGCAATGAACTGACGTTTAGGACCCAAGCTTTAGGAGCCCAGCGGTTTTTTCATCAAGGGCTATCGTTAGGGAATGCAAAAAAGGCGGATGCCGACAAAACAAAGCCCATCCTTACAGAAGACTTGTTGGCGCGTGCCGGTGTGGACCTTGAAGAGACTGCTCAAGCGGGGAAAAATAAGGAGCCCAACGAAGAAGAAGATTCGCATGTGGGGGAATCGAGCAACAAAAGACGTAGAAAAAGACAAACTTCCTCGGACATCAAAAGGGAACGGTACGCCAATTGGTTTTATATCTCGTCGTTTGCAGGGATCGCCGGAGTGACATTGTACATGTCAAGAGACTGGGAAGAAAATGAGCCAGCTGACTTGCAAAACGGGATTAGCAACGGCTACTCACCAAGTTTGATGTACCAACGGTTCAAACAACGTTTCAATTCGATTTTCACTTATTTCCAAGAACCACCATTTCCAGACCTTTTGCCACCACCACCTCCTCCACCATACCAAAGACCTCTCACTTTGGTTCTCACATTGGAAGACTTTTTGGTGCATTCGGAATGGACGCAACAACACGGCTGGAGAACCGCCAAAAGACCCGGTGCCGACTACTTCCTGGGTTACCTGTCGCAATACTACGAGATTGTTTTGTTTTCGTCCAATTATATGATGTATTCGGAAAAAGTAGCGGAAAAACTAGACCCAATCCATGCATTTATCACTTACAACCTGTTCAAAGAGCATTGCTATTACAAAGACGGCTGTCACATCAAAGATCTATCGAAATTGAACCGCGATTTGGGTAAAACGTTGATCATTGATTGCGATCCAAATGCTTACAAACTTCAACCGGAAAATGCGATTCCAGTGAAACCTTGGGACGGTAAACCGGACGACCAATTGTTGCGCCTGATCCCGTTTTTGGAGTACTTGGCCACTCAACAAGTTTCGGACGTTAGACCTGTGCTAAGCAGCTACACGGACAAATCCCACATCCCCGAGGAGTTTGAACGTCGTGTCGCTGCGCTCAAGGAAAAATTTTTCAAAGACCACGATTCCAAAGCCAATGGTAATTGGGCTTTGAAGGCGCTGGGCGTCGGTGCCGTGGGATCTCAAAAGATCAAATTTCCGTTAGATCTCATTCGCGAAGAAGGTGAGAAAAATTATGTTCGTTTCATGCAATTGATCGAAGAAGAGAAAGAAAAAATTAGACTACAACAACAACAAATGGGCGGTCAAACGTTTACGCTCAAGGACTACGTCGAGGGCAATCTGCCCTCGCCCGAAGAACAAATGAAGATACAGTTGGAGAAACAAAAAGAGTTTGATGCCCAGTACGAAACTCACAAGAAAGAATTGAAAAATAACTCTTGAGCTCTTTCTTCCTCCCTCTCTCTCGCTCTAAAACCACACGCCACCAGCCTCACGACCAACTAATATGACTGATTAACGTAAACTGTATATATGTATAATGCTACTACTCATTAATCTTGTTTTTTGTTTGATTTGTTTTCTTGGTTTTCCCACTATCTTGTCTAAACAGACTTTTTCACCAGATTTAGTTCTTGATATCAGGGTTTAACGGGGGGTTACAAAGGGAAACTTGTATATAAGAAACGAGCAAACTGGGTCAAAACCGAGTCGATAAGGACTATCAAAAGTGCTGATTTGCGTGAAGAAGTAGTACTTCCCTTTGCGAAGATCTGCCTTTGAGTTATGAGCGCGGGAAATCGACATGAATATCCAACCATAAACATTGTTAACACGAATTATTCCAAATATGGAACCTCGGTGATTCATAAAAACGCTAAAGATACGAACTCTAATTCCAGTTTGACCGGGAATCAAATGAATCTAAAGAATCAAATGAATCCTTTGGATCGATTTGATTCTTTGGCGAGCACTGATAATAGTGATAACGACGGAACCACGACGACAACGTCGTGGAAATTGAAAAAGAAGTATAGGTCGTTACTGAACAATTACACTGGATCAACTTCGAAAGCAAAACGGTTTATTGGTAGACTACACGATCATGGTTCCAGCGATTCGTTTTCTATCTTTTCAATTAGAACTTCACATTCGAACCGGAATTTGGGTTCTGCGCATTCGAAAACGCCTGGTGTGGGCGTCGGGACGCAAACCAAAGTGATTCGAGAGGATTGGAGACCTTTTCAAGACATAAACGCTTTACCAATTGAAGTACTTGCTATAGTGCTGGAACAATTAACAAAAGGAGCGTATTTGCACGATCACAGGGCGATCGTGAGATGTTTGTTTGTTTCTCAAAAATTCTATGAAGCGACCAAAATTGCGCTTTACAAAGCCCCCGCTTTTACGTCTACCTATAGAGTGGCGCAATTTGTCACCTGTCTTCGGCTTCACCCGGAAAATGGGCTTCACGTTCGATGCATCGATCTGTCGAGCCTCAAAAACGGGTTGATCGAGGATCGCAAAACAGGCTGTGAAGAGTCCCTGTCAGATGAAGACGAGACTCAAACTGGGCCACCAAGTCCTGAAGCAAGTATCGATGAAAGAGATGAGGACGACGTGGACTCTACTGAGGGCAACGTTGAAGAAGGTACTGCAACCCAAACTAACGAAACGGCTGATTCTTCTGCAGAAAATGACGGCTTACCTTCGTATGCCCTTGCTGGATGGAGAGATTGGAGGTATAGATTCGATCCCTTGTATGGGAACCAGATGCTCAACAGCTATAATGCTTTGAAAAGATGCAACTCGCGAGCTTCTTCTGTCATTTCATCGAGCACCGGTGCCCCGTCACGTAGAGCGCATCGCTCCAACAGTTCAGTGAGCTCTTTCACAAACAGTCTGATGACTTCTTTCTACAACTCAACCTCATTGTCGTCCCTCACTTTGACATCAACTACAAACTCAAAGAATAAGAACAACAGAAACAGCAAATGGTTCAGCAAGTTTTTCAATTCTAAGAGATCCCAGAAGGTGTCTGAAGAGCGGCCACGCTTGTTCCGAGACGAATCGAAAAATTCCGAGGACATCGACGAAATGGAGCAAATCGAAGAAGAGCGCAAACCTTCCATCAAATTTTGCCTTGACGGGGGACTCAAGCATCAACCATTCCACGAAAGCCATCCCTACACCAATAAGTTCTTGTTGAAATATTCTTTATCAAAGGACCTCCCGCTGGGTTACATTTGTCACCTTATCACGAGCTGCCCCAACCTTGAAGAGCTCAACTTAAATAATTTGAACATTTCAAGCGATTTCCGCGTGGTGAGTCAAGATTGCATCGATCGCGCTGTGCCGACGTCTCTTCTTCCGAGTTTAAAGGAAGCCGAATGCGATATGGATAAGCAGGTAGGTCGCAATTTGGAAGCCGTTTATTTGACGGATTCCCACAGAGGCCACGATTTTTACCAGGACGAAAAATTGAACGGCATGAAAAGGCAAGAACAATTACATTTTGCGTCTCCATATTCGATGCATGGAGAATCGTGGATATCTTCCAACTATCCCCCTCCGATAAGCCAGAGGACCAAATATCGGGATCAGCGCAACAAGTTTGCCAAGCGTTCAGAGTACAAGCTCAAGAAAATAGAAGTGAAGGACCTGTTTTCAATGTTTGAGCTTAAACTACCGTTTTTGGCCAAGCTGTCGATGGATAACGTTGTGTGGTGCTGTCAACCCGATGTCAAAGAATTCGTAATCGGCTCTCTCGGACGCGCAGACAATCTCATGTTGAGTTTCAAGCATGCGGGCATGGGCAGAAACTTGACATGGGCATCTCAAGGTACCGTGAGAGACTTTCTGGCCGTCATTTTACTCGGGGAACTTTTGGAGCGCGACGAATTGTTTCTGCAAGACCTTTTCAACATTCGCATGGAAAGATTTTTGACAGCATTACCCAGAGATTACAAAATTCTAGAACTATCCAACTCTCTTCAATTAAAGTATAGAAGAGGCCAGATCGAATGCCAATTGGAAATTCGTCAAGATTTCAATTTCCATTGCAATGTGCAGGACGTGGGAAATGGGTCACTAGGCGTAAAAATCACGCTGGGATCCAGGAAACTTGGTGATGAAATGGCTCAGAGAGTCACTGAACTAACCCACACTCTCCTCAATCGTCTTCAAGACATGCGGGCTGCAGATCTCCGCAGACATGTTGGCCAAAATCAGTACGCCATAGGTATATGAAGTCACGTGATTATTATTGAAAAATCCCGTTTTACCGGTAACGGGCCGATTGTTAAAAAAGAGTCATTGAGTGCCAATTCGAAAAGAAAGATTTTCGTATACTTGAGTCATCGTTGGGTTTGAATAGGCAGGAAGCGGGTTACCAACTACGGCGTCCGTAGAATCAACGCAGTGAGAGAGCGGCGCTTCGAAAATTTCGGGCCCCGTCCAACGATAGAAAAAAAAATGCAGGATTCATCTCGAGAGAAGGTTTATATTGACAGAAACGTTGAAATCAACACTTCTGTGCGTACTTCGAACGGGCTACCAAGTCGAGTTAGTTTCTCAGTATGTGAGTCGTGGGCCTTTGAAATCTGTCAAATGGAGAATGAACATCTATGGATTCTCTACGTCACATGACTAAAAGTGTGGTGAGCGAGAGACCTTTTTATGTTTTCCAGCTCTCCATTCTGAGTACGCAGTGGTATATTGGCGTGCTTTCTTTCTGCGGTATAATTTACTAACCAAAAATGCCAATTCATCAACACAACATTACGGAGCCTTTGACCTTTGAAGCTCTAGATTGTGTTTGGCAGATAAACCAGTGACGAAACTTATTATCAGCACTCTTGGTGGAGCTTTTGTTAAAACCGCTACAAGCAATTCATCTCTATTAAATCAACTTGCCTATAATGCGGTTAGAAAGCTTTCCACAGCACCACACAAAACTCTTGCACCAGATGTTGAAGTGATAACGCCGAACGGATTTACTTACAAGCAACCGACAGGACTTTTTATCAACAACGAGTTCATCAAGTCCCAAAGCGGCAAGACCATAGCAGTTGAGGATCCTTCTACGGAACAGACCATTGTCGAAGTTGAGTCTGCTAGCCCGGATGACGTGAACTATGCAGTGGACTGTGCAGAGGCTGCTTTCAACTCTGGTTGGGCTACTTGTGATCCACGTACTAGAGCTCTTCATCTCTTTAGACTCGCAGATTTGGTAAGCGAAAGAAAGGAAATGATTGCGTCTATCGAATCTATGGATAATGGTAAAGCATTGGCCTCTTCTCGCGCCGACGTTAACATTGTGATCAACTATTTGAGATCAGCGGCTGGATACGCTGACAAATTGAACGGCAGAACCATCGATACAGGCGATGGATACATGAACTACACTTTAAGGGAGCCAATTGGTGTATGCGGTCAAATCATTCCATGGAATTTCCCATTGATGATGTTGTCATGGAAAATAGCGCCAGCACTTGCCGCGGGTAACACGGTCGTTCTAAAACCAGCCTCTCCAACTCCACTAAATGCCCTTTATTTCGCGTCTCTGTGTAAGGAGGCTGGAATCCCGGCAGGTGTTGTCAACATTGTGCCTGGACCCGGTAGATCGGTTGGTGACACTATCACCAATCACCCGAAAATTAGAAAGGTGGCCTTTACAGGTTCAACTCAAATTGGTAAGGATATCGCGGTCAAGGCAGCGATGTCAAACTTAAAGAAGACGACGTTGGAACTTGGTGGTAAATCTGCGCATTTGGTTTTTGACGATGCAAACCTTCAAAAAACCCTCCCGAATCTCGTGAACGGAATTTTCCTGAATGCTGGTCAAATTTGTTCTTCTGGCTCGAGAATTTACGTTCAAGAAGGCATTTATGACAAACTATTGACCGCTTTTAAGAACTATGTGGAACAAAATATCAAAGTCGGATCTCCCTTTGACGAGTCAAACTTCCAAGGTGCTATCAACAACAAATCGCAACTCGAAACAATTTTAAATTATATTGACATCGGTAAAGCGGAAGGTGCTAAAGTTTTAACTGGTGGTGAACGGTGTGCCGGAAACGGATTTTTCGTCAAGCCCACCATCTTCTACGATGTCAAAGAGGATATGAGAATTGTCAATGAGGAGATTTTTGGTCCAGTGGTGACAATCTCCAAGTTTAGGACTACTGAAGAAGCCGTGAAAATGGCTAACGACTCTGAGTTTGCTCTTGGTGCCGGTATCGAAACTGAAAACCTTTCTACAGCATTAAAAGTTTCCAAAATGCTCAAAGCCGGCACTGTCTGGGTGAACACTTACAATGACTTTGACTCATCGGTTCCATTTGGTGGTTGTAAACAGTCTGGTTATGGAAGAGAAATGGGGGAAGAGGCCTTTGAATCGTACACACAGGTCAAGGCAGTCAGAATCAAGCTAGATTAAGTATGTCAGGCTTTGTAATGTATATATATATAAAATTTCCTGTCCAAGCATGTTTATTATTGCGACGCAAGCCGCAGAAATAGTTCGGCGACTTTTACAGGTTGATCTAGACAAACGTTGTGAGAACAATCCCCTAAGACAACAAGTTCTGCGGAATGTGCGGTGGTGAGTCTATTGTAAAATTCCTTTACACCGTCCAGCGGCGTGATAGGATCATGATCTGCACCAACAACGACGCAATCGAAATCGAGTGTCAGCGTGTCCCACGTAATGGGTTCCCAGCCTCTAAAATAACCAATAATGGAGCGACTATTGATCTTGACATTACGAGAAAACTGCCATAGTTTGCGATAAGGATGGCCCTCGTAAAAGAATTTCACGATTCCAGAGCTTTTCAAGCCTTTATTCTGGTCAAAGTTTTCTCTGTAATAATCGAACAAAAATGGCATATAAAACATAACAAGCAAAGCACCACGCACCGCTCGACGTCTCAATAGCGGCAATACAGCACTGGCAGGCGTCAGGAAAATTATCCTTTCGATTTTTCTATGTTCGCGAAACAAGTGCTGGTAATGAAGTGCCAAATGACAGCCCATAGAATGACCGACTAATACGAGCTTGTTGACGTCTCCCACTACCGAATCCACACATTTGACAACTTCAAGCATCGGATACTCTGCCCATTCACTGCTTTCACCAAAACCAGGCAAATCAATTGCCAAGAAATGTTCATCAAGGGCATCTAAGACCCTTAAAATTGGTTCAAATTGAGTAATATTGCCTCCCAAACCATGGAAAAAAAGCCAGATTCTGCCAGGTTGCTCACCCTGGTGTAAATTACGACATACTCGAACTTTGGCACCATTCTTTAACTCAACAAATTCGCAATGCTCTTGGAAGAATTCGTTTTCAAAATCCAATGGTTCTTTCAAATCTTTCGAGCTTATGGGATCAAACACACTGTAAAATTCTACAACCTCTTGAACACTTTTACCAGATAATGGATCCAATAACTGGGTAGATTTCTGAACTATATCTTCTGGACTCATGGATTACTCATATTACTGGGATTACGCAGTGGGTTATCCAATGGGTTATTTAATGAGATAGTTAGTCATGAGTAGCTAATGGGTACTTATAGAGCTATGTACAAATAGTCATCTCCGTCCATAGTGACGAATGGTCTCGAACTATTTTCGTTAAAAGGTGCTAACACAGAGATCACGTGATTCGGCCGCCTACAGTAGCGATATAGATGCGGTCGGTACCCTATGGAAATCTAAAGAACGTCTTTAGACAAGTCAGCTTTTCAACGAAGAAAGCATGTTGAAACTGATGGTTTCTTAAAGCAATTAGATTCTAAGATTTCGTGAAAAGAAACTCCATCCGGCCTGACTCGTCCGAAGTGCTAAAGTTTTTCTAACATGTTATCACTTTACACGCAGGCCAAATCAGTGATATTTCACTATCAAAAGCCACTATCCATAATTTGACGAAATAACATCCGACCAAGCAGCTCAGGAACCAATGCTTGAGCCCATAGTATACGTTGGCAAAATGGTGGTCATTATGCCGTGGAATATTTTGATGGCTTTGATTTTTAAAGGACCTCGAGAGGGTCGAGAGGTGAGCTTACAACGACATTTAGCGATCGTTTATTTGAGTACTTTTGCCGATCATTTGGACTATTTGACGATAAAACAGTTCATAAATCCGATTTTACGGGTTTTTATGAGGCTAACGTTATGGTGGATGAAATGTGGAGAGAAAGAGGGATTTTTACGATGGGTTTCTCGAGAAAAAGGTGACGGCGAGGTGCCTTTGCTATTGTATATACATGGTGGAGGCATGTGTTTGGATATATTGACGTCGCATATTCAATTCATGAAACTTTTGGCTCAAGAAGCGGGCCCCATGTCTGTTGCCTTTTTGGATTATTCTGTGTGCACACCGTATCCGGGTCCTGTAGAACAAGCGTGGGATTCATACCGTGCTGCTGTTCAAACGCACAAGAAGATTTATTTGGTGGGCGATTCCGCTGGCGGGACGCTATGTTTGAACATTTTACAGCGGTGTTACACGGAAAGCGAAATTTTCCCCGAGAAATGCGTCTTGATTAGTCCATGGTTGAACGTCTCGAAACCAGAATTGCATCTTGCTGAAAATCGTCCTTTGGATTATTTGACATGGAACCAACTTGCACTGTTCAAAAACATTTACGCTCCAAGCGCCGATCCGGCCGATCCAGGTGTCAATATCGAGGTCAATTTCTCAGAAGAGATGTGGGGTTCCATCCTCGAAAACACACGCTGTTTATTGACGTATGGTGATTTGGAGATCCTCAAACCTCAGATTCTAAGGTTTTACATGAAATTACAAAAAATCGACAAAACACGTGTGTTGTTGGCACGCGAAAGTTATGGAGTTCACGTTTCAACAATACTCTTTGATACCTGGAACTATCCTCATGATGCTCCACTCCTAACTGAAATTATTGAATTTCTGCGAGATGTTTAACTGAAGACGACTCCGTCGATATTTTAGCATGGTTTCTTCAACTAAGCCAAATATTTGACAATTGAAGGAGAATTACTGCTTCCTTCAGGCGAAGTGTCAAGCCTATCTCATCGAACATAGCATTTTCGAGAATTTCAAGTCAGCTAAAAGAGCTAGTTGCTCGACGGAGCTGATAAACAAAAGTTAGCCTGATAGACATCGAATATAAACGCTACATAAGAAGATCTCAGGACTCAGATGGTCTGGGTTCCATAGATCTTTTCAGAGATTTGATTTTCATAAAGACAGTGTGCTGAATGAAACAATGACGAAAAATCCAACGGTGAAAATTGAAAGTTGGACCAGGTCAAGAAACTAACGAAAACGAAGTCACTAAGCGTATCAATACCGCTGGAAGAAGCGCTGTGAAGTCTTTGGGGAAGGAATACGATATTGTATTACGATATGAACAGTGCTCCTAAAAAAAAGTTGATGCCGAAATCGGCTTTGTTGGTAAGAAAGTACCAGAAACCTATTCGAGCCATTTTCATCAGCTTCATTGTTATTTTATGCGTTACGTTTGTATTGCACACGCCATCGCAACCTCGCGCGCACGAGCTTGGTAAATTGGTTCAAACTTCGCAAAAACTCGATACTAGACACTTGGTTCTGCCCGCCACAGATAAAATACAAGATGTTCATTATCCAGTGAATGATGAAACTAAAGAAAGTGCAGCTATGGTCACATTGGCGAGAAATCGGGACTTGTGGTCATTGGCGAAATCTGTTAGACACGTGGAGGACCGCTTCAATCGCAGGTATCACTACGATTGGGTGTTTTTGAATGATGAACCTTTCTCTGAAGAATTTCAACGTGTCATGACAGCATTGGTCTCCGGAACAGCTAAATTTGGCTTGATTCCAAAGGATCATTGGAACGTTCCGGATTGGATCGATGAGAAAAAAGCCGCTGCTGCTCGTGAGAAAATGGTTGAGTTCCAAATTCCGTATGCGGATTCGGTTTCTTACAGAAACATGTGTAGGTACGAATCTGGGTTTTTCTGGAGGCATCCGCTTTTGGACAGTTATTCTTGGTACTGGAGGGTAGAACCCGACATTGAACTGTTCTGTGACATAAACTATGATGTGTTCAAATTCATGCGCGAAAACAAAAAGAAGTATGGGTTCATTTTGTCGATCAGTGAGTATGTCGAGACGATTCCTACGCTTTGGAATTCGGTCAAGGAGTTTATGGCGAAGAACCCCAAACATATACACAAGAACAATCTCATGAATTTCATTAGCGACGACAAAGGTGAGACTTACAATTTATGTCATTTCTGGTCCAATTTCGAAATCGCTTCACTTGATTTCTGGAGGTCTCAAGCTTACAGAGATTTTTTCGATCATCTGGACAAAACGGGTGGATTTTATTACGAGCGTTGGGGTGATGCTCCTGTGCACAGTATTGCTGCTGCTTTGATGCTAGATGAAAGCGAATTGCATTTTTTCGACGGTATTGGGTATTACCATCCGGCTTACTTCTCCTGCCCGGTTGAAGAAAAGATAAGACTGCAAAATCAGTGCGTATGCGACCCGGCTACTGATCAAACTTGGATGAACGGGTATTTCTGTACCAGAAAGTTTTTTGAAGCCAGAAAACTCGCCTTACCAAAGGAAGTCGAGGCCAGGTAAGGAGAGATGAGATGTAGGTTTGAATCCAAGAATCCCTTCCATCTTGCGGAGTCGTGTAATGCCTACCACGCGGGCTAGCACATAAGATAAATTTGATTATTTTGACCATTTTCGCCCTTTAGAGCGATTCATTTTGGTCTTGTTAATAGTGTATTGTATCTACCACATATGCCATGGCTGGCAAAGTAAACAGGCCGAGTAAATTCATCGTGAATTCTCAGTACTACAGACGGTATAGACAACGTCTCAACAACGTTTTACGAATTATATATAACTCGTCAATAATATCGAGACTTAGGCTACTACTCACCAGTGAAAAAACGAATCCTAATTCAGTTAACTGGGACAACAAAGATAGCCGTTGAAACAGTCCTACCAACTGCTTTGATGCCGCTATGGAATACTGTAAGGTCAAGGTCAGTTTTTTTCGCGAAACTGTCGTTCAAACGATCCAAATTGGCCACGAACCGGTTTAATTCCACATCTACAGCTGCGCTTCTATTGCAGAAGAACTTGGCTCTACGGAATCACGCGCTTTACAACTATGAAAACGATACCCTCAGATGCACCGTATTGGACTCCAAGGGAAATATGACCACACCATCGATGGAAATCAAAAGAGATGAGTTGATCTCAACGCATGGACTACTTCCTCGAGATCTACGGAAAATTGAAAAATCCAGAAAGAACGATTTGGTACCGAGTTTGTTGGTCAGAGAGAATAGTATTTTGATCAGTTTGCTTACGATTCGGGCGCTGGTGAAATGTGACGCAGTGATTCTTTTCGATTCGATGGGCATCTCGTTGGAATCGCGAGCACACACGAATTTTCTTACGGATTTAAAGGCAAGACTTCGCAATCAAGAGGGCAATGGTATTACAAAAGATCCGCTGCCGTACGAATTCAGAGCCCTGGAATCGATTTTCATTTCTGCACTTTCGAATTTGGGTGCCGAGATGAAAGTCCATCTTACGGTAACAAGAGGCATCCTTCAGGACTTAGAATATGGTATTACACGGGATAAACTGAGGTTCTTGCTGGTACAGAACAAAAAACTCAGTATTTTCCACAAGAAGGCTGCTTTAATGGGAGAAATGATCGATGATTTGTTGCAGCAAGACGATGAACTGTGCGAGATGTACCTCACAAGCAAAAAAGCCGGCAAAATACGCGACAAAGACGATCACGCCGAGATCGAGATGTTGCTTGAAACTTACTACAGCCATGTCGACGAAATCGTACAGACGGTGCGAAACATGATGACCAACGTCAAGACGACAGAAGAAATCATAAACATCATATTGGACGCTCATCGAAACCAGCTTATGTTGTTGGGGCTTCGATTTTCGATAGGATTACTTGCATTGGGTGCCTCCATTTACGTGGCCTCACTGTACGGTATGAACCTGGAAAACTTCCTGGAAGAAGGAAACATAGGTTTCCCGCTAATCACGATCGCTTGTGCTTTCCTGATGGCATTAATTTTCGCACACAGCATAAGGCAACTACACAGGATCCAAAAGATGACTTTGATGGGTAGTCAAAGGTCTCAACTAAAATGATGAATCGAGCGCTGGATCGAGTAGCAAATGAGTTTTCGTCAAATGAGCTACATGTCATGTGCTCTTTTCCATAATTCTCATTTTCGCACCCGAGAAACAATGGCACCTTGTCATCCCAGACTCTAGCTACCAAGCACAAACTAGATAAATGCAGAGCAGGCTTGAGGCGATCTAGTGCTACTTGATTTGGTTGGTTGCCGCTAGGTTTGAGCATTTAAAAATGATTGACATTGAAAAAATCTTTTCATTCCAGATTTTTTTCATCTTTCTGCGAGAGTCTTTAGAGATTATTGTGATCATCTCGATTCTGTTAACGGTGGTGAAGCAGGCTCTCTTCGAAAAATCTCAGGCCGATGACACCGGATCCAGTCGGAGTCTAGCCGGGGGTGATGCTGCACAACGGCTTACAGCTGAGGAAGAAGAAGTGTTGGATGAATCTACTGCAGTTCCAGAACCTCGTGACCAAAGTCCGATCACAGAAAACGGTGGAGGTGGTGCATCTAGTCACGTGACTGATGTACCGATGAACGGTTTACCAGGGGAAGGTGCCAACAACTATCAATTGTACAAGAAACTGAAGGTCCAGATTCTCTCGGGCGGCATTTTAGGGCTTTCATGCTGCTTGTTAATTGGCGGTGCCTTTATCGTGACTTTTTACCTTGTCGGCGCAGATCTGTGGTCCGCGAGCGAACATTACTACGAAGGAGTTCTGAGCGTGGTAGCGTCTGTGATAATATCGGTTATGGGACTGTTCTTCTTGAGGATGGGCAAATTACGGGAAAAATTTAGAGTGAAGCTTGCTTCAATTATTTACTCGAGGCGTGGGAGACTTTTGCACGATCAAAGTGAGCGTGCGGTCAGATTTACCGAAAAATATGCACTCTTCATTCTTCCTTTCGTTACTTCACTTCGTGAGGGTCTCGAAGCGGTCGTATTTGTCGGGGGCATTGGTATCGATCAACCGCTCAGTTCAATCCCGCTGTCCATGGTAAGTGCGATCGCTGTCAGTAGCATTCTGGGCTATTTTTTTTACAAGTCTTCGAAATCGTTCTCGTTGCAAGTGTGTCTGGTTGTCACTACTTGTTTTCTCTACCTCATTGCTTCGGGACTCTTTTCTAAGGGTGTATGGCAATTCGAAGTGCAAAGATACGTTGATCTCTGTAATGGACAAGACATGTCGGAAGTGGGCAGTGGTCCAGGATCCTATGATATTACAAGATCGATTTGGCACGTAAATTGTTGTAATGGCGAGCGTGACGGTTTATGGATGATTTTCACGGCGGTGTTTGGATGGACTAATAGCGCCACTTACAGTTCGGTACTAAGTTACTGTCTTTATTGGCTCCTTCTCATTGGCATCATTAACATTTTATCTGTTGAGGAAAAGGTCGGTTACATCCCTTACGTCCCTGTGGCTTTACAAAAAAAACGCATACTCAAGAGGTTACACATCGTTGAAAAATCGCTTCAACTTCGTCATCTGTCCGGCGGTCTTTCATCCCTTCCATCGGATTGTTTAGAGAGAAGAATTTCTAAGGATAGTCAGACTAGCGCATCACCTTTACTCGGAAATGGGCAACAACAACAGCAGCAACAACAACAACATCATCATCATCATCATCATGATACAATAGCAGAAAGTGTACCTCATTAGGCTTAATATTTGAAATGCATGTATGTAATGAATAAAATAGAGCTTCTTCGAAAATATACACAGCATGCTATTATACAGAAAGGTGATTTTTCATTCAATCACGACTACTACGTCGCCAGCTTCGACCATGTCTCCATTCTTGTGCAAAATGTCGAGCACTTTGCCCTCCCGTGGTGCTGCGACCACCATCTCTGTTTTCATGGCTTCGACAATCACTAAGCTTTGACCCTTTGATACTTTGTCACCAACTGTAACTGTTGGTTTCCAAAACCTTCCTGAATATTCTGAATAAACGAATTCAGCGTTTTCTGGATAGCTTTGCTCAGGGGCAGCGGTGCTACCTGTAGTTTGTTCAAGTTCAGCATTAGATACTTGAATTAACTTGGCAAACTCCTCGGCCTTGGAACCTTTCTGGCTTTCTTGGAATTTTGTGATTGAGTCAATGTTTTTGTCGATCCATTCCAAATAGCGTTTGTGATCGAAAACGCCTTCTTCGATTTGGACAGAGAATTTACCATTGCTGCAGTCTTCAGTGAACTTGTCTAGCTCTGCCTCACTAACGGGGTAGAATTCGACCTGATCAAAAGGTGTAAGTAGCCATGGATGTTCCTTTGAGTGGGTACCTAGCTTTAGCTTGTCCCAGATTGGAATAGTTCTACCAACCAATTGATATCCACCTGGAGAATCCATAGCATAGATGCACATGTACATGCCTCCAATACCTACTGTACCGTTCTTGGTGTAAGTTCTCGATGGATTGTACTTCGATCCTAAGAACCTGTGACGAGGATCAAGTGGTACAGCACAAGGAGCGCCTAAGAACACATCTCCAAGACCCAATACAAGAAACCTAGCACTGTAGAGCATGTCTTCAACGTCTTTGTGTGTGATATCGTTAACGTCAGCTATGAAGTCAACATTGTTAGGAAGCCATGGTGCAGATGAACGGATTGTTTCCTGATAACGTTTGACACACTCCAAAGTTTTGGAATCTTCAAAAGCAAGAGGCAGTTTCAAAATTTTGGACTTTATTGACCAGTTTTTGTCGAAATGTATTTCTTGCTCATAAGCAATCAATGTATCGACAAGCCTCTTTTGAGAAATCAAATATCCGTCGAATTCTATTAAGACAGATCTGACACCTTGAGACATCTCGATGATACCGACGGTATGATGTTTTTCAACGGTACTAATAAGTCTGTTAACTCGGTAAGAAATGTTCAAATCCATTTCGTTTTCGCCATACTCAACAAGGACATATCTGTCACCAGCCTGGCGATAGGTAACTTTAGGCGAGAGGTCGGACCTTTTGGCGAGCTGGGCGAGAATAGGATCTTCATATTTTGGGAGCACTAGTTTCTCATTCAATACCTTCAAAGAGCCGTCTTGAAATGAAGCAATGGCATTGTCTTGTGATTCTTTTAAACATCTTGCCGTCTCATAAGAAACAGGAACGAATTGAATCAAATCACCTGGTTTCACTTGTCCAACCTTCCAAAGCTCAGCCTCTGGAACGACGGCTTGACAAACAAAACCCCCAAGCGATGGACCATCAGACGTAATAATCACTGGTTCATCTCCGGTAAAGTTGATGGCACCCAACGAGTAGACATAGTCATGTGCATTAGATGGATGCAAGCCACCTTCCCCACCATCGTTTCTCGCCCATTTCGGTTTAGGACCCACTAGTCTCACACCAAACCTGTTTGAATTATAGTGAACCTTCCACTTCTCAGCGAAGAATTCTTCAATCGATTCGGGTTTGAAGAAGTCAGGAGAACCATGAGGGCCACAAGTGACACCAATTTGCCATTCCTTCTGAGCAATTTGTGGTATTAAGCTGTTTGGAGCCATGGCGGGCTCGTACATGGGTGCAGGGATATTAGTTGAAGCAAGTTCTGGTTTGTTGATAAAGAGAACATCACCCAACTTCAAGACTCTACCATTGTAACCGCCCATATTTCCCAGAGCGAATGTCGAACGAGATCCTAAGTATTCGGGTACATCAATACCTCCTCTCACAGCAAGGTACGAACGGCATCCTGAAACAAGCTTGCCGATTGCCAAAGTGTCTCCTCTTTTAACTGTAATCGGTTTATTCAAATCAACAGGCTGATCATTGATGGTACATGGGGCAACACCTCCACTTATCGCGATGTCACATTCGTGGTGGAAGAGAATTTTGGGGCCATTTAATGTGATTTCAATAGCAGGCGCTTTCTCATGGTTTCCCACAATACGATTAGCCAATCTAAAGGAGTAGGCATCCATGGGACCAGAGGGAGGAACACCAATCCTCCAATACCCTTTTCTTCCAGGATAATCTTGAACAGTGGTGTAAGCACCAGGAGCTAAAACTTCGATGGCATTTGCCTTGTAGTCGAAAGAGTCCAAAACCTTTGTAGCTACCTTGGCAGATTTAAACATGTCAGAAGATGCAATTGACCTAAGGTAGTCGATATTTGTAACGCACCCATAAATGACAGTTTCCTCTAGCGCTTTGTTTAGCTTGATTATAGCATCGTTCCGATCTTTCCCGTGCACAATAATCTTGGCCAAAGTGGGGTCGTATTCTGCTGATACAACAGTTCCTTTTTCAACCCAAGTATCAACTCTTGCCCACCCGGGAAATTTGACATCGGTCAGTTGCCCTGGAGAAGGTCTGAAATCTTTGATAGGATTTTCAGCATATAAACGAGCCTCGATGGATGCTCCGTTGACTCCGATCTTCGTAGAATCAAAGTCAGGAGGATCGTCAGCGGCGATTCTCAGCATCCATTCAACTAGGTCGAGGCCGGTGGTCATTTCAGTAATTGGATGTTCGACTTGTAATCTAGCATTTACCTCCAGAAAATAAAATTCGTCCCTCTTCTCATCGTAAATAAACTCAACAGTACCAGCACACTTGTAATTGAGTAATGACCCTAAGTTTTCAGAGGCTTTTCTCATCCTTAAGCGTGTCTTCTCGCTCAAATTTGGCGCAGGAGTTTCTTCAATAACCTTCTGGTTGCGCCGCTGCAAGGAGCAGTCACGTTCACCGATGGCAATAGCCTTCCCGCGGCCATCTCCCATCATTTGTATCTCAACATGTCTTGCATTCTCAACAAAACGTTCTAAAAAGACGCCAGAGTCGCCGAAATATGCCTTACCTTGGTGTTGGACGGTTTCGAAAACTCTTTCGATTTCGTCCTCTGAATCGACTTTCTGCAAACCAATACCACCACCGCCAGCAGTGGACTTCACCATTACAGGGTATTCAATTTCTCGAGCAACTTTCTTGGCCTCCTGAGGTGAGGAGATGAGACCGGAACCTGGCACAAGTGGCACACCAGCTTTTGCAGCTATTTCTCTGGCAGAATGCTTTAGGCCCAGTTTGCGAATTGCGTCACCTGAAGGGCCAACGAAAACAATTCCCTCTTGACCACACCTGTCAGAAAAGTCAGCATTCTCGGACAAAAACCCGTACCCGGGAATGATCGCCTCAGAGTTGGTTTCTTTAGCAGCAGTAATAATCTTGTCAATGTCAAGGTATGTCTCGGCTGCCGTTCTTCCATGAAGCGGAACTGCAAAATCGGCATCCGTAACATGGCGAGAATATTTGTCGGGGTCCGAATAAACTGCAACGGACTTGATGCCGAGTTTTTTCAGCGTTTTGATTATTCTGACAGCAATTTCACCTCTGTTGGCAATAAGAACCGTTTGAAAAGGTTTCTTGGTCTTGGCATCTTCTCTTTCTAGGTATTCCACGTAAGTTTTAAAGCTGCCATAGCTAGTGATGTCCACGGTGCCCTTCTGCGTGTAACCAAACTCCTCGCAAATAAAGGATTTCACCCATTCACCGGATTCAAGTTCGACAGAGCCAATTCCTAAAGGTTCAGGAACCATTGTAATGAAAGTGCCAAACTTGTCCTTTGGTACACTGTATACTTCAAGTTGAATTTGAGATCCAGTAGTAGATTCTACTCTTCTGAGACCCGGTTTCAAAACCGGACCAGTCTTGGGAAGAGCGTAAAGCTTGTAATTCTTAGACGTTTTTGGGGAGGCCAAATATTGTGCATTAACGGCCTCCAGCTGCCAATGTAGTGGTAGCCCTTTAAGATGAGCTCCTACGACTGCTAGCCTAATTGAATTTTTGAGACATCCCTCGGGGCCTTCTAACTCGTCCTCTAGGTTGACTTGTTTGTCAGTGAAGACACCGTAACTTCTCGAATTGTTTGGGAAGGCCTCTTTGAAGAATCTGTTGGCCAAGTCCAAAAGCGCGAAGTCCGTGAATTTCTTCCCGATCAATGTCACACCGTTGGGAAGACCATCGGGCCGAAAACCGGCGGGAATGGCCAATGCGGCCATGTCGGCCAAATTAACAAAGTTGGTCCATGTTCCTTGTCTGGAGTTGACAAGCACCGGTTCGGCTTCGATTTGCTCGAAAGTTGGATTCAAAGGACAAGTAGGAACACAAAGGACGTCTACTTCTTTCAGTGCCTTCTTGACTTTCTGCAAAATCCCTTGACGCTTGTATTCGAACTTGAAAGCGTCCGCGGCGTCGAATTTCGTGGCAGATTTGATGATCGCTGTAACTGTTGGATCAAGAGTGGATTTTGGAGGATTTGTCGCGAAAAAATCTCTCGTGGCCTCGTACCGCTCCGCGACCCATGCACCTTCGTACAGACAACGTGCTAGATCTAGTAAAGGCTCGAAATCCAGTACCGAAACTTCGGCGCCCGTCTTTTTCAGGTTTTCAACAGCGTCTTCATATATTTTAGGATTATGCGTCTCCCCGTACCAGTAAAGTTGTTTGGGGATGGCGACTTTCACGTGCTGTGGATATTTTCGCAGTGGATTTGCTGGGAGTGGTCTTGAATATTCGTCTTTCTCTGAATCTGGTTTGGCCATGACTTTGAGACAGGTTTCCGCATCCTTTAAATTGAATGCAAACACGGACACGCAGTCCAGCGATTTACAAGCGGGTACGACACCGTAGCAGGAGAATATGCCTCTTGTAGGTTTCAACCCAATTAAATTGTTCAAAGCAGCGGGGACTCTGCCGGAACCCGCAGTGTCAGTGCCCAAGGCGAGCGGTACTATACCTCTGCCCACTACGGAGCTGGAACCTGCTGAAGAACCGCCCGAAACGTGCTTGTCACTGAAAACACAAGGAGTTTTACCGTAGGGCGATCTAGTGCCGACCAAACCGGTTGCAAACTGGTCCAAATTGGTCTTCCCCACGATAATGGCACCTGCATCTCTCAAAAGCGCTACCACGGTTGAGTCCTGCGCTGGAGTGTACCTAAAAGAGGGGCATGCGGCAGTTGTGTCGAAACCGCGTGCATCGATGTTATCCTTGATCGCGACAGGCACACCGTAAAGCGGTAACGTGTCTTTATGCGCTTTGCTTTGCAGGATTTTCCACTGTTGGTCGAGATTCCCTTCACTAGCGACCGAAATCCAAGCGGGATCCTCAGGTGCTTGTTTTTGGCTCTTCACAAGCGCGAGCAACGCCTTAAACGAAACCTCGGGCGTTGAGTCTGCATGGAATCGCAACCAATCTTGCACGGTCCACCCATAAGTGTCAGTGGACATGTTATCTAACTGTACCTCTGTAAAACCCTTCCTCTCGTCACAATTGTTGTTCACAATTGTTGATGGTATGTTTCGAAAACTTGGCGGAACTAGTCACATCTCTATACTCATTATATATACACTATTTATACACTATTGGATGCCCTTTGATTCTGCGAGTTCGTTGATCTAAAGGCTATCCTTATCAATGTTGATATCGCTTTCCTATATTGCAATTTCGACAGGAACCGTTCACGGCGATTTCTACAGCGCAAATTTGCGCTGTGGAAATTGCGGGAATCTTCAAATTAGCGCCACGCTCATAGGGCCAATCGTAACGCCATTATGCTGATGCACGAACTTCAGGCGATTCGCCGTAGAACGCCGAACTTGTGAAGGAGGAAAGAAGCCGCGATGGTATAGTCATAGTTACATCACCGTGAGCTGGAGTTATTACAGAGCACAGCGGTTTTCGGCTTGAGCCGACGGCCGATCGTACCCATGGCTTCGGATATGGCCGTGACCGTGGCGGTCTGGGTCAGGGTGTACGGATGCCTATTAATGTGATCGGAAATTTTACGTGTATAATGACAACATTTCGTATAGAAACCATCAAAAAAGCTTGCACCCAGGTTCGAACTGGGGACCAACAGATTTGCAATCTGCTGCGCTACCACTGCGCCATACAAGCAAGTTTCTTGCACGGATAATGATTTTCCCTTGTGTTACATTCTATATAATAATTAACAGCTTGATGCGATGGGAAAACAGATAGTGAGGGAGTTTATGCTTGTATGAGGTATTGACCGGGGTGGTGGTAAGTTATGAAGGTGGCAATCATAGTGGTGAGACCAAATTTGCTGGTTTCCGCCTGGTAGTGTAAGTACTTCAACAATGTCAACGAATGGACTTTTTGAAATTTGAAAAAACTGACGGGATGTGTCGGATCATTTGTAAACGCTAGGCTTTTGATACCACTCTGGTATTCATTTTGAGGGTTTCTTTTGTTATCGTCTCTAATACACCATATAAAGAGCTACATCATTTAAGTGAACTTTGAAAATTGAACTTCTGACCAGTGGCGATCTAGCTCAAAAACTAACTGTTCCCAACCACCAAGTCTACTAAGAAACATGTTTTCAAGACAGCTTGCCATGCGGATCTTTCCACAAGTAAAAACGGCATCTTTTGGCAGTCATTTCAGCAGTATTAACAGGTTTATGAGCACGGAAACCAAAAATGCCATTACTTCTGCGATCGGATCCGCTCCAGTAGTGTTGTTTATGAAGGGAACACCAGAATTCCCTCAGTGTGGATTTTCTAAGGCTACTATCAACATGCTCGGACAGCAGGGGGTCGATCCCCAAAAGTTCGCTGCTTATAACGTCTTAGAAGATCCAGAATTACGTGAGGGTATCAAAGAATTTAGCGAATGGCCGACGATCCCACAGTTGTTCATCAAGAAGGATTTCGTTGGCGGGTGCGATATCGTTATGAGTATGGCTCAAACCGGAGAGTTGACCAAACTATTGGAAGATGCTGACGCATTGGTTCCAGAAGACGAGGCCTAATGACTCCTATACTTATTTAAATGTTTTCTCATGCCTTTAGACCTGTAAATAACGAAACTTTACTTACAAACTCCACTCTTTGTGCTGAGTTGAGAAATTCGCTTTTCGTCATGTGTGAAAGAGGTTCACAGTGGTCGATGAGCTGGAACCTCTCAAAAAATGACGGTTTATTGCAACTTGAGTCACAGCCATTTAACTTAGCATTCAGACTTGAATCGACTAAAGTAAGTACCAGTGCTAGATGTCGCTTCTCCCAAGGTATTATATGTTCTCCCTGCACTTTGGATTCGCAAACAGTAGATAAAGGTAAGCTGTTTGTAATTCTTGGTATAGAGGGATTCAAGTCCAATTTACGTCGTTCTTTTAGAGAATGAACCAATTGGCTCGAGTTCGAACCTTGGAAAACACTCTCACTTGTTGAATCGACGGCTCTTACTAGATGACTCGACGCATCCAGACTTGGATACACTTGAGTTATCTAGGCTTGGTGGGTACTACGAGATTCTTGGTTTTAGATATGTCCAAGTGCAAAAGTTGGTTGAAATTTTTTGCCTTTATATATACTAGTGAAGTTAGCTATATTGAAGAGTGAAAAGGACGCCGAATTTGGATGAAAGTCAAAACCCTTTTCATGAGCCGGTAAATTGATGTGGTTTGTGCTAGCAAATTCGCTTAATTTCACTTGACTTTGAGCCTAGTTGGGGTTTAATTCTACCAGGTTTGAAATGTCGGGTTCAATCACCTTGGCTTAGCTTCTTCCAAAATTTCCACCAACCGTGGACCCAAAGTTCGACACATGGCTTTCCCTTTTTTGTTCCATAAACAAACGTCTTCGTAATCACAAAATCGACAGTATGTTACGAAATTTTGGACTGTTGGGGAAATTGGATCAATGTCTCTTTTGCCAAACCAGAACATCGAACTATCTTTGATTTGGTTCTTCAACGCTGGCCAGTCATACTCAAAATTTACACTTTGGAAATTATGACCCCTGCAGTAGTATTCGATGCTTAATTTGTCCGAGAGAAGCGGCCCTAATAATGTATACGCTTGTGCTAATCTCGCAGCAAAATATTTGAGAGTCACTGGTTGTTCCCATGTTGTGAAAAGATGACCATATCTCTGTTTAATTCGTAAATCACTGACCGTTTCGTCAAGGTGATCCATCAAGTAGGGCTGTCCTGTGGGTTCGTCATCAAACGAATTAAATCCAATTGGTTTGCCCTGTTGAAGACGTTCCATGTCTGCTACGAAAACCTGGTCCATCTCCAGTAAACTCAAAATTTTGGTAGGATCTATAGGCGCACTGACATCAAAACCTCGCCTCTGGGCGTTTATCAAAAGTTTTCTGTAAGTTTGGTCGGAGTCAAGGCTCAGAGTCTCCAGAAACCGTCGGTAGTACATTACTTGGAATTTCGAGTATTTTATAACGCTAGATTGACGTGGGATGCTCGGTGTAGGTCTCGTCTTTACGTCACTCACAATTATATGGGCTTTGCCCTTCATGGCTTGGATTTTGAGTGCCAACTCGGAATAAATATGCTTCAAGTCCCTGTGATGACCAGGCAAAGTCACAGTCCCCTCCTCATTAGTCAACACCAAATGATCTATGATCCCACTCACTAAAATATCGTTTTCATCTCTCGCAGGCGTACACAAAAGTTCACCGGTTCGGGAATCCAAGTAACAGTGGCATAAAAGCTCTCGCGCATGCCCATTCTCGAACAGGTCCAGAATCTTGGTGATACTCAAAAACCAGTCTTCGACTAAAGTGTGAAATGGGTCGTCTGGAATTTCAAGATTGTAATCTTCTTTGAACTGAATGTAATCGAGTGGAACCTGATGCGTTTCGTCTTCTAGTCGCTGGTGTTCTTTTTTACCAACTTTCAATTGAGCATGTTCATACAAGGGAATTCTTGAATAAATATCGTACGCTTCTCGAAGTTCGCACCATCTCTTGGTCAGGAGTTTCGTTACCGATAATCGGTTTTTCCGGCTACCTGAAGCGGCATCGTCTCGTGGATCAATGGGCCGTCGAGCGTATGCATGATGATATGGACTTTGAAGCCCTCTTGGTAACTTAAAACTCAAAAAATCGGGTTCTTCTTCTGCATTAAAGAGTTTACTGACTATGGGAAGTTTCTTGGACAAATATTTTAACTTTTCTGCCTTGATAGCCGGTTGGCCCCGTTCGATCTCTTTGAAGAGCGGAAACTGACTTACCGCATCTAATTCCTGCTTGGTCAGTTGGAACTTATCATCATGATCTACAAGTCTAGCCGAAGATTGAGTACATCTTCGGCCAATTGCGACCATAGAGATTCTAGAAGATTTTAAAGACATAACGAGCAAAACAGGCTTTTACGCGATATTTGCTTCTAGTTTAACGTTATCTTCGTTTAACCTTTAAATACTAAGTAATGAAATTCTATCAAAATGATTTATATGAGAGTAGCTTAATGTATAATAATAATCCGAAACGTATGAGAACTCTGCTGATGAAAAAAAACTGGCTATCTTGAAAAAATGAAAATTTGATCAGTTCAAGCCTTTTTAACTTTGGCTTCGTCACCCGGTTTTTGCTGGAAAATGGTAGTGTCCTTCTCGTGTCTGTCTTTCTTTGGTCCATGGAACCATTTCTTAAAATCAAGAATACCTTTGATGGACCACACCTTGACTCTCATGTAGTAGTAACAAACGCACATGGCGACGAAATTAAAGCCAATGTAAGCCCATAAAAATCCGAAATTTCTCCATCTGTAGTCCCATTTAACATTAAATTGTTCGACGACTTGATCCTGGACCACGTATGGACAGTAAAGACAGTCAGATGTGGCATTTGGATTGTTGAGATAGCCGCTGTTGTTGGAAATGTAGGTTTTCAAATAATCGCCGCACGTTTGACCCTTGGGTGGGTCCATGACATTGAATTCTTTTTCACCGCAGATAACAGGCTTTCCATGTACCAATGGAGTGACCAAAGATTGGACCACGTAAGTGAATGGGGACACGTTGTACATGAAGCGTCTCCAGAATCCGGGCATTTTTTGCCTGGGTTGCAAGATACCACAGAACAGCAACATAGCAGCAAACAGATTGGAATTGATCATGGACGCAGATGGTACATCGGGCGACAGGTATAGAATCCATAATCCGTAACTGCAGAAATAGGCTGGGAACATGATGACCCAAATCAAGAAGAAATAACCGGCATGCGAAGCTCTACCGGAAAATTGGCCCGGCCAATAGTAACAGATGTAGCACAGGAACTGACAAAGTGTGGACCACACGATTTCGACAAAAGTATGCGAGATCAAAAGTGCACTCCAGTGAAATGTGTTGGACGAGGCCTCCCTGACTTCATAAAGTTCTCTGGAATCGTACGCAAAAACGTGCAATTGGTTAATCATAGCCAAGGAAATCAACAACATCATGAAAATAGACGAGAACGCTTCCTCGGCACCACCGATGCTGTGGTTGACCCCAACGTAGGAAAGACCCACGAACAGAGCACAGAAAACACATTCCAAAAATTTGGCTCTAATATAGACAGGAGATCTCCAGAATTGAACAAAAGTTCTATTCAGGACACACTTCATTTGAGTAAAGTAATTAGCAGCATATGTGCCTTGCAATTCTTTGTCGTCTTTAACCGGTTTGCTTGGTAGCACACGATGCAATTCTTCGACCTCTTCTCTTGCAGCTTGACACTCGGGGGAATCTTTCCAAAGGTCGTGCCAGTCAGCGTCAGCTGAAGCAGTGGCACCAGCACCAATACAGTTCAGAATATATTCAGCAGGGTTTTCAGAAGCACCACACTTGACACCAGATTGACGCTCAAAATAAGAAAGCAACGTTTGAGAGTTCTCACCGATATCGCCAAAGTACACCATTTTACCACCTTTCTTTAGCAGCAAAAGTCTGTCGAATTGTTCGAAAAGAGTAGCAGAAGGTTGATGAATAGTACAAAGAATAGATTGACCGGAGTCCGCCAACGCTCTCATGAATTGCACGATAGACCAAGCGGATTGGGAGTCAAGACCAGAGGTAGGTTCATCCAAGAAAAGTAGCAAAGATGGTTTGGCCACAAGTTCAACACCGATGGACAATTTTTTACGTTGTTCAACGTTCAAACCTCTACCGGTCTTACCGACAATAGCTTCAGCGTAGTTTTGCATACCCAACAGGCTGATAATCTTTTCGACGTATTCATGTTTCTCTTCCAAAGGTGTAGATTTAGGTTGTCTTAGTTCAGCGGCAAACCTCAAGGATTCTCTGACTGACAATTCGGCCATATGGTTGTCTGCCTGGGCAACGTAACCACAAGATCTGTTGAAAGAAGCAGGAAGGGGCTTTGCATTAACCAACATATCACCAGTGATAACACCCATATTAATTCTTTGGGCCAAAACGTTCAGCAAAGTAGTCTTACCAGCACCGGATTCTCCCATCAGCGCGGTCATCTTACCGGGCTTGACATAACCGAAAACGTCGGAAAGTAGTTGCCGGGTCGCGCCATCGTAAGGAATAGTGTAATCCAAGTGATTCCAAGTAAAAACGTCCTTTTCGGCGATAACTTTTTCCAAATCAACACCGGGACCGTTCAAAGATTCCATCATTTCCTCTCTAGTAGCGACCTTGGCGTCAACGGATTCAGATCCCTTGTCTGGCATATGGCCTCTCTTGTACAGCAACAAGTCACCACCACCTTCGACAGGCTTCAAGTATTCTGACATTATAACGTTCAACACAATGTAACCAAAAGTCCAAACGACGTTGATACCCCAGTCTCTCCAGGCGTGTTTGTAAGCGAAATGGTATTTGTCCTTAATGTAGGCATCACCATCGACAAACAAGGCACCCTTGACAGCACCTGCAGCATTGCAAATTTGGTTTGCAAGAGACACGTTTTCGTAACCGGGACCGCTTGGAACCAATTGACTGCACAGCATATGTCTACCGTGGAATTCCGTAGACATCAAGGACTCATAAGAATAGGTTAGCGGGTTCAAGTAGTGGAACCATCTGATCCAGTGATGCATTTCACCGATGGGCAACACGAAACCAGCATAAACACACAGCATCAAAACCCAAAGACCACCGAGGGCGTGGGCGGTACCACCGTCTTTGGTCAAAGTAGCCACAAGTTTGAAAATGAAAGAGGTACACTGTTGGGTGGTGAACAAATACAGCATATACTGGAAAAAAGCACCTGCGGTGAATTTCAAATAAGGAATCCAGTAAGAGACGAGAGACAAAACGACAATAGCAGTAAGTTTGGTAGGCACCTCGGTGAAAATTTCTTGAAGGGCCTCTGCAGACATGTGGTACATGGAATAGGACTTGTGTTTAACAATGATGGGTCTATTGGCAAAAGAGTTGGAAATTTCTGCGAGGGAAGTAACCGCGGCAAACAACAGGACGTAGAACAGTAAACCACCTCTGGAGTAAGCACCATCGGTGGTGGACTGGCTCTTGGGATCGATTCGGTGAAACATAGAACCAACAACGAGACCCTTGGTCAAAAACGAGGACAAATAAACTTTGGTATAAGTGAAGTCACCTTTAGTTCTTTGAAAACCACGGATCATACAGTACCAAACCTGCGACCAGAAATTGACCACAAATTGAGACTTGTTACGTTGACCCTTTTGAAGACGTTGTTTTTTAGCCCTCTCGAGTCTGTCCCGGGTCTCGTCTGCTGGATGCCGCGAGCAATAATCTTCAAATTCGACCAGACACTCTTGGTACTCTGGGGAGTTGAGCCAGTAGTCTTCGAATTCGACACTGGATTTGGGTATTTTCTCGGCAAACTCCGGTTTGAAATCCAAAGTCCGGTTGTCGAAATCGACTGTGACAGAGGTTAGAAACTCTGCAGAAGTCATACGTGCGGGTTTGATCCAGCCCATGCGCTCGAAATAAGCGACCGCTTTGTCGGCAGGACCGAAATAGATTTGTTTACCATTGTACAACACGGTGGACTTGTCGAACAGTTGGTAAATGTTTTCACCGGCCTGGTAAATCGCGACAACGGCCGAGTTGTTCATCATGTTTGTAGCAGTCCGGATCGCTTGCGCAAACTCTAACGCGGTGGACGCATCCAAACCTCTCGTAGCGTTATCCCACGAGTAAATGGAAGCGCTCATCGCGAGCGCTTCGACCAAGGACACTCTTTTCCGTTCACCACCGGACACACCACGAACGAAATCGTTACCGACTTTGGTCGCGTACGTGTGACGCAGACCGAAAACGGTACACCACAGGTCACGCATGGAGTCGACGTACTGGTGCCGCGTCATGGAGTCGATCCGAACGCGCGGGGTCTTACACTTGAGAGCGAAATCAATGGTTTCTTTGACTGTGATCTTGGGGAAATGGAAATCCAACTCTGGACAGTAGATGACGTAGCCCTTGAAGTTCTGCATCATTTCGTGCTGGTCCAGCCCGTCGTACGAGAAGTCGCCGCGGACTTCGACCAGCTCGGAGGTCTCACCGGACAGACACTTGAGCAGCGTCGAGCACCCGGCTCCGGGCCGGCCGACCACGAACAGCATTTCGCCGGACTCGACAACACCGGACACGTTGCGGACGATGTCGCGGTGGGCCACTTCCTCCTTGTGGCGCATCATGGCGTGCGCCATCTTGACGGGCCAGTGCACGCAGTCGCGCGCCATTTCCTCGACGGAGGGCCCGTATGCGGCCGAGGCGTCGATCCCGACCGCCGTGAGCCCGCGAAACGCGACCCCGGAGTCGCCGGGCTCGATGCCCTGCGCGAGCTGCTGCGCCCGCAAGTAGTTGAGCAGAGACCGCAGGTCGAAGTCGAGCTGGTCGACCTCAAACTTGCTCATCTCGCGCTTGGTCTTGGTGGAGAGAACACGTGCGAGCGACGCGATCCGCTCCGCGCCGTCTCCGTTCGACATGATCGTAGTCACGTGTCTGCTGAGTTGGCTCTGCGCGTTTAGCTGTTCGTCGTCAACCGCCTGGAACGATTCGACGGACTGTGCGTACGAGGAGTCCGGTGTCGAGTCCTTGGACCGCCGGGACGAGTCATGCTCTTTGCCCATTGCATCTTCCTGGGAGGACATTGGCGGATGGCGAGCGAGAGAGGGTGTTTTTGGGTGTGCGAGAGGAAGAAATCCCGGCTTTGTTGCTTGTCGGTGTCACTTAGCTTATATACTATACCAATGCGTGTGTTTACGCGAAGATCCGGTTCTCGCTCGGGTAATCGGTTAGGTCGGAGCCGCTGCGTGAGTGTTATTATTTCTGCGCAGGTTTCCGGCGTTGCCCGAGGCAACGCAGGCGCGATAGCGCCTGCGTTTGCATTTGGGAGCCTTCTCTGATGAGGCATCCGATAAGCGAGGCGGAGCCGGCGGGCGATGCAAAGGCCGCGATCGGAGCCGGCACTAAGCTTAGAAGCGGAGTCGGCTGGTAGCAATGCGACAGGCACGCGGCAAGTCCGGAAGCGAGGCGCGGTTTAGCCGCCGAAAAAAAGCTCGGGTATTGCGGCGGGGGTGTGGGTGCAGGTGTGGCATCGGCATGGATTACGTAACCTTGTGGCGTGGGTGTGGGTGCAGTGGCACGTGACAAAGAAACTCGCTTGGGGCTGTCACGGGGCCGAATAAGGTGTGAGGAAGTGGTATCGTGCAATCGGGGCATCACGTGATCTATATGGCGAAAGAGCTAGAAGCTAAAACGGGTCCATTGACAGCTCTAGAATCGTCAGAACATCGTGATCAGATCGTATGTGGTATGATGAATAACACATGATGAGAATTCGGCGTCTAGTATGAAGAAAGTAACGCAGATGTTTTGCTATGACCGGGATTACATCAGTCGTGATGTCCCCTCCGTCCCCCAACGCCTCGCTTTCGTTAGCTTCTCCCATATTCGTCGTTGTGGTCACGTGACGTTGTCCATCACAGCTCCGCGACCGAAACCGCCGGGTCTGGTTTCACGTACCTCAATGAGCGCAGTCTGACAATTGACGTTAGATAGCGTCGAGGATCGAGACTTTTGCATTGTCCGTCCCTTCATACTGTTGTGCACCTTACCTTGTCTCACTCACGGCCAGGTGCCATTCTCATCCCAGACGCTTGTGAATCTGAATCAGTTAGCGAGCTCGGAAACTCGCTTTCAGTAATTCTATAATTACCAGGCTGATATTGGTATTGAGTATGCAAAAGAGAAGATAACGACTGCGACGCAAATCGGATTATAATGCCCACGAGGTAAAGTGGTAAGAAATATTGTAACACGTCATAGGCCAATCCCATCGACACCAAAAAATACTTTGGCTCCAGGCGACGGAAGAATGTGACCTCTTTTCAAGAAAAGTTCTGTCGAAGCATGTACGAACTCTTAATAACGCTTCAAGATGTACTTAGATTCATAGGTGGAAGCATACCGTCAGCAGAAACCCAAATGTTTTTTTTAGTTTTTCTATCATTCAGAGCCCATTTCGACTTTTTACTGATTGTCAAGCTTCTAGGTAGCAACAATGAATTACCTCTTAAGCTTTCGAAATATCACATGTTTGGTGGCAAAGGGAGGTGAAACTTTTGACGTAAAAAAAGTCACAGATATCGCATCAAGCCAACTGCTCTCATTCAAGTTTAGAATTGCCAAACAAATTCTAATTTTAAAATTTGAACTTCATTTCAACGGCAAGAAGTGCCGATGTCATTCGTGCGAGCACAAAAAAGCAAAATAGCTTTGACGCATTGAAGCGCTTGCTTTGTGTCTCGCTAGTAAAAATACGCAGAGTTTTAACCTCGTTGAGATATCTATGCACAAAAACGAGTTTCGTTTCTTTGAGAGGTATTTAAAGTGCAAACTAAGCTTAGCATTTTCATACTAATGATACGGTTCAATCCTTGGATTTAAGCACAAGCGTCTTGTTGGAAGGAGCTGGCGAGAAGATGATATCGTCCAATTGCATCATCACGTGATCGATATGACAGAATAAAATTAGAGGATTGGACAAAGGATTGGCATTCTGCGAAAGAGCTGGAAGCTAAAACAGGTCCATTGAAAGTTCTAGAATCATCAGAACCTTGTAATCAGATCATATGTGGTATGATGAATGACGTATGATGAGAATTCACCGTCTAGTTTGAAGAAAGTAACGCATTCCAAATTTGGATCAATGTTACAGAAATTGTATAAAAGGAGGCATTCTGCTCAGTCATACAGTGGCCATATCTTCAAGATAACCACGGAGAGATATAAGTACTCAATTCCTTAACAGCTTTATTATTTAAGATCGACTATGAACGAATTAAATGAGCAGTTCAGAAATCTATCAACCACCGACAACGATAAACCTCATTATCTGTTCACCTAATTAGCTCACAGTTGCTCTTTACAAAAAGGTGAGTAATATATCGAGTATTTGTGTCTTTCATTGATCAACTTAAAGATATGGCCACTGTACAGCTGGTCAAATCATCCCCTTAATACAATTCGCGTAATACCACGCCAACTCTAAGATTCGTTACTCGTGATGACGAGCGGTAATTCTCATCTCACATCAGCCATCATACCCCTTGTAGTCTGATTTTGATGGTGCTATCTCTTCAAAATATCACTGGGATCGTTTGAGCTTCCAATGCTTCCACAGAATGCGAATTGTCCATTCGATCTTCTTATCTATTCTGTCATCGCCACCACGTGATTTCAACAAGCGAGAATGCAACTTGGCGATATCATCCGCCGTAAACTCTTTACAACGTTATATTAGTCCACCAAGGACCCGTGAACTTTTGAAAAGATTTCACTCGTTGCCGTTAAACTTTGAACTTTCAATGTGGACTTTTTTGGTGTCGAAGTTCAATCGACAACCCCAATTCAATCTTGAGCGACGTTTGCTAAAAAGGACACACCTATTCCGGTAAGTTAGGTGAGACGCATACTCTCCCCGGACAAAACTCATCTTTTAAATATCCAATTAGATGTTCAGCGGCACCAAATGAAGCCGTCCGTGACATATATGATTCGTTTGCACCTAACGTATGAGGAAGCCCAAATATGCGTTCTCTCGATTATGCTTGTTTGGGCGAACAGAAGCCTACCAGTCACCTAATTAACAATTATATCTGATTTTCCGGAGACGCTCACGACGTTGCAGCACGAAACTTGAATGCCAAGAATACTGATTCCATGTACCGTCATTACTTTTCTCGGCTTTCATCGTCTTTCTATTAAAACATGCTACATTCAATGTCCATTCCATGTCTCGCGTATCTAATACAAGGCCACAGCGTCAAAATTGTTCCAATAACAGGGTTTACCACTGCATTGAGCAGGATCGCAATGCTAGTTAAGATTGTTAGATGATCCGCCCGAATTTTGATTCGGCTTTAAAAACGCCAGAATCTCACTCATTTCGCCTAAGACTTCAGCCCGGTGAACATACCCTTAGCGGCAGGACAATTTTAATTCCAGAAAATTGTGAGAAATACCGTACGTGGTTCAAGAAGCGGGCCGAACATGATGACTTCATCCATCAGCTTCGAGAGTTCATTTACTTTGACAAACGAGCCTCAAAAGGTAGAGATACTGATTGAAAGTCAGCTACGAGGTGATCCCTCCAACCATCCATCAAATGGGTACTACTTTACTATTTGTCTCCATGAGCTAGAGGATTTCTCAAAACAATTTTAGGTCTAGTTTTTCGTGTCTTAATGGCACGGCAGAGTTGCTTCCGAGCGATAAAAGACTTGTCTTAGTTGAAATGTACGCATCACAAGAAATTCATCAAAAGAATTCAGATTGGGTAAGCCAAGGCAAGCTTTTCTATGTGGCAGCGATACCAGATCTAGGTGCCGAGGCGGATGCGCTACACAAGGTGATGTCAGATCAGAAAGATGAAGAGAACTCACAAAAGCCCGCCAGTTCATCAACAACCGAATATCGTGCTGGGTTGATTCGCCAGCTTCAAACTCGGATCCGTTTGCAATAACTAGTACCTTAGTGATCGACGAAACGGAGTTGAAATGGAATTGATAATTCACGGATTTATATTACTCTGAGACGTGATTTGTTGATGATGAGATGCAAAAGGGGGAACACTATGCTTTATCAAGGCGAGTCTCCACTCAAAGAGAGGCTCAAGAACATTGCAATTTAATGGTAGTGGCCAAATCAGGCATCCCGGGCTCGCTACCAAACTCTGCACCAATGGCGTGGAAAGACTCATTTCTTCGGTCTCAAGCGTCACGATCAAAGACACAACCGGATTTCATCAAGAAACTTTCCACCTTTGACGTTGACGAAGGATATGTTAGTTAATCTCGGACTTTCACGGCGTGATGCTGTTCCGCTTCGTGACGACCAAGTTGACAAAGTTGACAAGATTGAGGATAAAAATAAAATGGAAGATTCCTGGACTTCGAGAACCCAGACTCGCTGGAGAATGAGCCAAATCGCTGAATGAAAGCATTCAAAGCATTGTCTCAACTTTTTAGGTGCTGGCCCCGTTAAAAGTTCAGGAACATCGAGAAATTCGGTGTTAGATATTTTTACTGAATTCTACTCACAAGGCGAATATCATAAGGCTTCTAACTTAGATCTAAGAAGTAACACTCAGCTTTCTAGTTTCATGAGTGCGTCCTGAATTAAAACGTCGACGTTCGATTTTCACTGGTTTATGCGAGAGTGCTAAGAAGCCATGTCGTAGACCTGTCAATTTTGGTAGCACTCCGAGAAGAGTAGACTGCCGTTCCAGGTGATCAGCTCTAGAAAGACAATCGTTATCCACGGGTGCACATTCATTGTCGCGTTTGACGTAAGTAAATCACGTGATATTTGTGGTTTCCTCGTACACTGTGACTCTATTTATCCCATGGCGAGGGAAAGGACACGTGTACCAAACAGCCTCGGTAGAACAACCAAGTAGAACGCATGGAATCGTATTACATATATACACGCTAAAGCCGCGCTAAACGTATGTACGTAGATTAAGAAGACGGCGGCTTCTTGTATCGTGTCGGTGCGTCCGACACTTCACAGTAACAACGACACCAGTTGTAGCACTCCGCCGCCGATCAATAAGAACAGTAGCACCACGATCCACGTTTTGGACAGTGGCAACCGCGAACTCTGTTGCGTGTTTCTGGACTTGCCCAGGTTGCGCTGATTGCGCTTATAAAACCGCTCGTTCGCGATACGTTGCTTGGGAGTCTGGATAGCCATTGACAAGGAACCGGTGAAGGGCCGTTCCCTGGCGGCGAGTAGTGTTGGCAACTATCGAGAAAAAGAAGTACGCGTTCATGGGAACGCGTACTTCCGGTGATCATTGAGTACGATTTCTAAATCGCTGAATACGATATGGTCATAATGTACGGTTTTACTTTCCTCCGAAAATGGTGCATGGGTGCGACAAAGTGGTGTCCGGGTGTTTCGCTGCGTGCCTCCCGTGCACCCAGTTGGCGGCAAATATGCACCAGTACTGCATCCCGGCTGCACAATCCTGCAGGCGCAACGGCAGCAGCCGCTGTTCCGGTGCCTGGAACGCGAAATTTGCGCACTCTAAAAGGCAATCAACGCGGCCAACATGCGCAATTTGCGCCATTTGGCAAATCGAACAATGCCGTCGGCACGCGTGCCTTTCGAGTGCCTGTATGCGGCTGTGTCAAAACGGCAATGCGTATGCCGTATCGGGCAAAAAAACGCATTTTTTTGTTCGAAACCGCGCCTGCAAAAGAAACGCCGGTATTCACGGTGCGAAAAAAAAAATGGCTGGTCGAGGTCGCGATTCGCGTTTCAGAACCGTTCTCGGTAGAAACGTAGGTTACGTGGTAGCGTGGCTGGCTTGCATTGCGGCGTGCTTGCTTGCGCCCGCGTGCCAGGAGATTTGCAGTCTCAGTTATCTTGAATTTGCACGATACTTGTTTCGTGGCTTCAACTTGTTCTTGTACCACATTCTTTCAAACCTTCTTGTCCCCCGGCTCCATAGTTCTTCCAACTTGCAACTGCGTATCCCGCTCCCAACTTTAGTCACTCCTTCACTTAAAGCTTTGGATCTATCGCATTCTCTTTAGAAAGAACATGAAGATCTCGCTCGCTTCCGTCACGCCTGTCGCGGCGCTCGCAGCACTCACCGCCGCCTCTTGCGACTTTGTCGCCGGTAACTATTACTGCTCGCAAACAAACGCCGTCGCTTACTCAAACGTGGGATATTCGGGCTCGTACCGCGACGTTACGTCTATGGACGAGACCTCCTGTACTTGTCAACAGGAAGAAGTCACATTCGAGGGTTCGTTGGCTCCACTAGATGAGGAGCTTTCGGTTCATTTCCGTGGACCTCTCGAGCTGTTGCAGTTCGGTGTGTACTATCCGGCAAGTGGCGCCTCTCTAAAGAAACGTGAAAACTGCGACGTCGAAGTCGCACACCATGCGCACAAGCGTGAAGCCGCAGTCAAGATCGTCGAAGTGACTTCCACTGTCTGGGTCGACGGCGAGGGTAACGCGGCGCCTACGTCCAGCGCTGGTTACCAATCGAGTGCCGTCGTGACCATGTCGTCCCTCGTTCCGGAATCCTCCTCTCCTGCTTACGCATCCTCTGCTTCCTCCTCTCCTGCTTACGCATCCTCTGCTTTCTCCTCTCCTGCTTACGCATCCTCTGCTTCCTCCTCTCCTGCTTACGCATCCTCTGCTTCCTCCTCTCCTGCTTATGCTTCCTCCTCCTCCTCCTCCTCCTCCTCTGCTGCTTCCTCGCCCTCGTCGTCCTCATCTCCCTCCTCCGGGTCCGGATGGAACAGAGTTGCCTATTACACTCCCGGTTCCACTACCAACTGTACCTTCATGAACAACCAAGGTGGTACTGCGGGTTCCGGTACTTGGTCCGCATGTTTCGGTAACTCGATCTCCTATGCGGCCGCAGACGGTGTTTCCGGCGCTGGTTCTCCGCAGGCGCTCAACCAAGTCACCCTTGCGTCGAACAAAGAGTACATGATTTTCTCCGGTACCAGCTGCTCCGACGACTCACTTGGATCTTGTGGTTACTACAGAAACGATATCCCAGCTTACCACGGGTTCGGTGGAGCTACCAAGATATTCGTCTTTGAATTCACTATGCCTCACGATTACTCGTCGTCTTACAACCAGGACATGCCAGCAGTCTGGCTTTTGAACGCCAAAGTTCCACGTACTTTGCAATACGGTGACTCGACTTGTTCTTGCTGGAGCACGGGCTGTGGTGAACTCGACTTGTTCGAGATCTTGAGCTCCGGTAGCGAAAAACTCATTACACATCTTCACGACGGCCAGGGCAACGACGGTACCAGCTCCGGTGGAGGTGGAACCCAGGACTATTTCGCCAGACCTACTTCATCTTCTTTGAAAGCTGCTGTCATATTCAATGGTAACGATAAGAGCATTCACGTGGTCGAAGTCTCTGACGATTTTGACCCCTCGTTGAGTGCCGAAACCGTCAACTCCTGGCTCGACGTTGCCGCTTCAGCAGCGAACCTGGTCTAAACCTCCTAAGAGGCCCCTTCTCAAACCCTCTGAGCGGGCATTGTATTATTATGCTTTTTTTCTGTATTTGGCCCGCTCTTTATGTCTCAATTTAAAGTGAATATCCCATCAAACAGGGTTGTGCTGGCGCTCCACTTCGCGGCTCTTGCTCATCGTAACTCAAGGTATTTAAGATAGGCATCACCACGATGTCTTGTGACTATTTGCACGTAACACGAGGTAAAGTTCTCGAAAGTCCCTTTTTTCAAAACTGAGTTTGCGTCTAGTTGATGGAATTTGAGTTGTCGATCTTTGTTAAGAGGGAGAAAGCCCATCAAGAAGAACTGACCAAAAGGAACTTTACAAAACAGACAGACAAGATACCACAAAACAAATCCCATCGAAAAGAAGTCCCGTGTAAACATGTACGCGGCTAATTGTTTGTAAATCATTTCTTTATAAAACTCTATTTTTCTGGTTACATTTCATGTATTAAATTGCTGCAGAGCGAATTACACAGGGGAGTGGCGATTCTTTGCATATTTCGTTGTTTATCTTTGTTATGCGCCTCTCCTTGTAGTCTGTTCTGTAAGATTTGTTGATTGTTCATTGTTGATATTCGAAATCTTAGTTTGAAAACTAAACTTGAAGTCTGACTTTGTTAACGAAATCCATCCGATCACGGAAATCACCACTACTGTGACTACGCGCACGATGCCCTCGCACTCGCTTTTTCTTACCAATGGGATGTTCATTATCGATAAGATCGATGCTTACGACAAGACTTACAACGACGTCATAGGTGGAGGTGGTACCTGGGCTATTCTGGGTGGGTGTATTGTGACCTCGAGCCTGGGTGTCTCGCGGCGACTTCGCTGGATCGTTGATCGGGGGTCAGATTTCCCCGTCGCAGCAACGAAACAGATCGAATCCTGGCAATCGGGGGCGTGCTTTCGTGACGACCTGTCAAGACTCACTACAAGAGGTTATAATCTGTATGGAGCCAATGAACTGCGAGAGTTCAAATATATTACCAAGAAAAAACGTATTGACGTTGAAGACTGGAAAGCGGTCTTAGGGACCCATGATTTGCAAAAAGTGCCCGTTTTCCATTTAGTATGCTCTGATGAACGTGCGCTGCACGTTATGCAGAGTCTTCCACCATGTACAGGTGCCAGGACTTTTGTATGGGAACCAGTCCCAGATTTATGCGATCAACAACATTTTGAACCTATCCGGAGGGTAATGAACGGGCCTGACCACGTTGTCATATCGCCCAATGCGCAAGAAAGTGCCCGTCTTTTTGGATTACCAGAGCCGGTCACATTGCAAGAATGCCAAGATCTGACTTGGAAGTTCGATACCTTTATGAACGATACAAATGCTTGCGTTGTGAGGTGCGGTAAACTAGGGTGTCTCGTGTTGACATCCCGGGACAACGGTGTGCGCTCCCTGGTTCATTTGCCCGCGTACCATTTTACTACGCCGGAGTTGGTCGTGGACCCAACGGGCGGTGGGAACACTTTCTTGGGAGCCTTTGCCCTAGGCTACGTATTGACACATGGAGACTTGATCATCGCAAGTATATGCGGTAACATCGCCGCTGGGTGTGCCATTGAACAGATCGGCGTGCCTGGGTTTAACTCAGACAAATGGAACGGACTCACATTCGTACAGCGATTGACCAACTACTTAAAAACGTATCCTACATCCTTTAAGGTGGGTCAAGTCCTGGGGAAACTAAATCAGGGAGCTCAGGAAGCATAGACTTTAGGAGCGACCCTCGTGGTAACAGGAATCAAAAAATTCGTATTCATGTTGAAGAACCTCGCCAAAGATTTCGGAAACTTCGTCAAAATCGCATTTGTCAACTTCTTCCTGCAAAAACTGGCACCAAGTCTCAAAATGCTCACCTGCGTGCAAATCGATCCAGGTCTGGTATTTCCAGTGCAGATCATCATTGACAGGGTTGGCCTTGGGCCATTGTATATAGACGAGTTCCATGCAGTAACACACCGTGACGAGCTTGGCATAAGAGTAATCCTGGGCCACGAGTCTGTCCAAAAGGGCAATGTATTTCTGAACAGCCGGAATCTGAGACGTTTTGTAATGCTCGGCAGCCTTGGAGTCAAGTCCACCCGCGAGCAAACTCAAACACTTTTGGAAATAGTTGTTCTCGTCGTTGGCGAAAAACCCAATTTTCTTGGCCAACGTAACTAGACTGTGTTCATCTGGTGCTAGAGAAGTCATTTTGCAAGTCATCCTAAGTCCATGCTGGAAGAACTGCAAGTCTTGCGCCAAGTAGACGTAAATGGTCTTGTCGTCCAGAGTTCCATCGCACCATTGTTTGGTTAATGCATGTTCGGTGGCTTCTTTGAAGAGTCTCTGGTGAGTCTCAACTAAACGCTGGGAGACGGACATGTTTCTTCTGTATTGTATTGCACTTTTCACAATGGTTACGGTCGCAAGCCGCTGGCCAGTTCTGGTGCTTTTAAGTATTCAAATCGGAATATGCTAATAGTTTCCGTATGCAATAAGCACGAGATGTAAGACTAAACGACTGCAATCGTGATTCATAATCACATTGGAGCTTGAACGTTTTCCATTGTAGACTGCTAGGGCAGTCAAACTTTAATTGGGCAGGATGATATGCAGTCGTGTGGCCGTGTAGCTCTTGTTCGTCTCACTCCTACACAACGTCTTGCAAGATGGCATGTCTTCTAGCAATCATTTTGTCGATTTCGTGTTTGTCAAGCTCAACACTGTCAATAGTAGAGCCGGGCACACTCACCAATCCAAGGCGTCGTTTGCAATGGCGTGTGGTCTCTTCGACACCGTCCAGCAAAAGATTGCAACTGCAATCCACCGCTACAAGGTTACCAACAATAAGGCGATCTTTGTTCACCGTCACCAGTAGTTTTGCTCCTATGTAGTCTTGCAACTTAAGATACTCCATGTCGGTCGCGCTTCGTGTTCTGCGTTCAGCTTCAAATGCTGGGGATGTGATTTTTACGAAAACAAGAATAGAGCTTCCTATTTAATATAAAGCAAAGGCGCTGAAGCGAGACAGAGGACAAATTACCTAGCACAACAAAACAAAAACAAGCATGACGAGCACCTACTGCTGAAGCTCAAGGGTCTCTAGCGACAAGTACAATAGAAAAACTTTCACTCTTTTTTCCACCAGCAGACTTAGCATCGGCTGAGAAAATCTTAAAGCTACCGACGTTTCATACACACATAAACTGTGCCTTTTCTCTCTTAGCACAACGGTTGTCTGTCAAGTTCCCTTCAAGTTTTCTTCAAGTTCCCTGACCTTGAGTCGCATTAGGTATCTTCGTACATTATTACATCTCCAATTTTCACCCACGTTGGATGGTTTGTTGATGTATGGACGGTGACAAGTAGAGCATTTAGTGAGTGGGTGTTTCCTAGAAAGCGGTTGTCGCATCACCTCGATTTCAAACTAGACACAAACCAGTGTTTCGCACGATTCTGTTCGATTAGCTGAAACTGCAATTTGTCGCGCTCTTTTTCACCTTTCCATGACACAGGGTTCGAACACGACTCTGAGCTTGAAAACGCTAACTGCGCATCAGCTTTTGACTGCTCGCCAAAACATGGCGGAACTTTTTGGGCTACTGGACGATTCTGAACGACAAGAGCTTCTTGTGGGCAGCGATAGAGACCAGACACTGAAGGATATGAAGGCGCAGGTCGAGGCTTTGCGGCGAGAAGACGCAGAGGGTGCGAAGCAGTGAATTAAGTTAACGAGGCGAATTCTTTGGGGTGCCGTGAGAATTTACGACCTCTCGCGTCTCGACTCGAACCTCTACTCAGCTCTCTACTCAGTTCTCTACTCATTCGCCAGAGACGTACGAAAAGACCTCACTGGAAAAGTGATTAATTCAACTAGACCTGCCAGGGGTTCTTACGTCCTGTAACAGGTATCGATTCAAGGACAGGGACCTAGCCATGAGGTAAGTTGACTTTTGTAGGACGGCATATGAACGATTACTGACCCGGTTTTCTTGCAAGCAACTCAAAGAGAAGAATAGAAACAGATGTGATGAAACTTTTGATGAGTGACCATGAAGTTGAACTGGTAGACGATAATATGCAAGAGTTCCATATCAAGTTTCAAGGTCCTAAGGACACACCCTACGAGAAAGGCTTTTGGAGGCTACACGTAGAACTTCCGGACAACTACCCCTACAAATCTCCCAGTATAGGGTTCGTGAACAAGATTTTCCATCCTAATATCGACGCAGCGTCAGGATCTATATGTCTTGACGTGATCAACTCGACGTGGAGTCCGCTGTACGACCTTATAAACATCGTAGAATGGATGTTACCGGGTTTGCTTAAGGAGCCGAACGGGAGCGATCCGCTCAACAATGAAGCTGCCACGTTACAATTGAAGGACAAAGAGCTGTACGAACAGAAAATACAAGAATATATTGACAAATATGCGACTCGTGACCGCTACGAGGCCATGTTCGGGGTCAAGGACCCTGACGACGAATATGACGGCGACGACGTTGACGACGATGGGTTTGGAGACGATGCCGACGACGCCATGAGTGATTTGGAAGATGGAGATTTGAGTTCCAGTGACGAATTGAGTAATATCGAGCTTTCGGACGGTGACGACGACAACGACGTCGACGACGAGATGGATCTTTCCGAAGGAAGTCTTGCAACCTGACCCAAATCTAGTCACCTCGTCCTTCCACTGATTTTGCTCACTCATCGCCAAAACTGCCACAAATCACACTGCAACATTTCCCCTTCTTGTGACTTTTGACACTATACACAATCAAATAAATCTAAATCCCAAAACTAGCATTTCCAATGTAAACCAATGTAAAGCTTATTTTAAAATACTGTATATTGATTTCTGATTTTGACCTGTTCATTTTTGGACGTTGAGTATTTTCTGTTTTTCTTGGGGAAAGTGACATTAAGTTTTATGATCATCATAGGGAAATTCAGATATAGAACAAGATCGTTCACCATAGAAGGACATACAAGAAAGCCCCTTCAGACAGCTTACAAGTCTACAACGATGCACAAGTTCTGTTGAGTTTTAGTGTTTATTTCTCGCATTTTTAGTATATATATATTCTTATGATGACTGTTCATCACGGGTCCTCAAATCGTTCTCAACAAGGGGATGGGGGCCGAAAATTCTGGGGAAAGTCTAAATGTATAAAAGAGACACAAGGAAGCCACGTTTCTGAAATCTTTTCGTCCACCAATTGAGAGCAAAACTTTAGTAGGGATACAAGATTAGCAAGTTAAAAGTTGGCATTGGCTTATCAGTTACGTGAGCTTATCAGTGATACTATAGATACGGAAACCAGTATTGAATAAGGTATGGAACAAGTACCTGAAAATGTCAGGGGCGCAATAGAGTTTGACCCCTGGTTACAACCCTTTGCTCAAACGCTTTCAGAGAGACGTTATTTGGCAGACAAATGGTCTTATGACATTCGACATGCGACTCCCGATAATCATGAAATATCGTTACCAGAACTGGCCAGAAGATCTTATGCGACCTACGGTTTGCATCCAGACGTCAAAACCAAAGAAATTCATTACAAAGAATGGGCTCCTAACGCCAAACGTGCGTTTTTAATTGGGGATTTTAACAATTGGGACCAAAATTCTCATGAAATGAAACATAAAGACGAATTTGGTAATTTCAGCATTACATTACCACCAAACTCGCATGGTGATTTTGCAATTCCCCATGACTCTAAAGTTAAAGTCGTTTTCGAGCTTGCCGATGGATCTCGCATTTATCGTCTTCCAGCTTGGATTACACGTGCCACTCAACCCGATACCCAAACTGCTAAACAGTTTGGCCCCGCGTTTGAGGCCCGTTTCTGGAATCCTCCAGAACGCTATATTTTTAAGCACAAAAGGCCTCATATCAATGGTAAGGTCGATTCCTTGCGTATTTACGAAGCACACGTTGGCATTTCGTCCCCGGAACCAAAAGTGGCTTCTTACAAAGAATTCACCAAAAACATTCTACCGCGTATTAAAGATCTGGGCTACGATGCGATTCAACTGATGGCCATAATGGAACACGCCTACTACGCCTCCTTTGGCTATCAGGTGACGAATTTCTTTGCTATTAGTTCAAGGTATGGTACACCAGAAGACCTAAAGGAACTCATCGACACTGCACACGGAATGGGCATTTTGGTTTTACTAGATGTGGTCCACAGCCATGCGTCCAAAAATGTAGAAGACGGGCTTAACAATTTCGATGGCTCGGATCACCTTTACTTCCATTCGATCTCTTCTGGTCGCGGTGAGCACCCGTTGTGGGACTCTAGATTATTCAACTACGGGAATTTTGAGGTCCTGAGATTCTTGCTAAGCAATTTGGCCTTCTATATCGACGTTTACCATTTCGATGGGTTCCGTTTCGATGGGGTAACTTCCATGTTGTACAACCACCACGGTGTTGGTGCTGGTGGTGCTTTCAGCGGCGACTACAATGAGTACGTGTCCAGCGACAGGTCTAATGTGGACCACGAAGCGTTGGCTTACTTGATGTTGGCCAATGACCTTGTTCACGAAATGCTTCCAGAAAGTGGCTTGACTATTGCAGAAGACGTCTCGGGTTATCCGACTTTATGTCTTCCGCGCAAACTTGGTGGGGTTGGATTTGACTACCGCTTAGCCATGGCGCTTCCCGATATGTGGATTAAACTTCTAAAGGACAAAAGTGATGATGATTGGCAAATGGGGGACATCGTGTATACCTTGACCAACAGAAGGCATGGCGAAAAAGTGGTCGCGTATGCGGAGTCTCACGATCAAGCATTAGTCGGAGATAAAACTTTGGCGTTTTGGCTGATGGACGCTGCCATGTATACGGACATGACTGTATTGAAACCGCTCACGCCGGTTGTCGACAGAGGTATCTCCCTGCACAAAATAATTCGGCTGATCACCCATGCTCTGGGAGGTGAAGCCTATTTGAATTTCGAAGGCAACGAATTCGGCCATCCGGAATGGCTCGATTTCCCGAATGTCAACAATGCCGACAGCTACCATTATGCACGCCGTCAGTTCAACCTTGTTGACGACAAACTATTGCACTATCATCACCTCAACAACTTTGACAAGGGCATGCAAGCGACAGAGCGCAGGTTCAAATGGTTGAACACGCCTCAGGCTTATGTGTCGTTAAAACACGAGGTCGATAAAGTTATAGCGTTCGAGAGGAACGGATTACTTTTCATATTCAATTTCCATCCTACTCAGAGCTTTGTCGATTACAGAATCGGTGTCGAACAAAGTGGTTGTTACCGGATCGCTTTGAACAGTGATCATTCCGATTTTGGTGGCCATAATCGTATCGACGAATCTGTATCTCGGTATTTCACCACTGACCTTCCTTGGAATGGCAGAAGCAACTATTTACAGGTTTACATTCCCAACAGGACCGCTTTGATTTTGGCCCCGGAGAACAGATTTTAGTCGGCAGTCTGCGGGACGGACAATCAGCCTTTTTTGATCAGATGGGTGCATTATATATACAATTCTTGCGATGCTGAACGTATACAAAAATAAAATCAATCTAACCCATGAAACAACACTATTCGAAGTAGGATTAGTCTAAGCCCTTACCGGTCAATAATGGCCCTATACATTCCCCTGTAACCTGCGTCATGCTAAACCACGTGACCATAGAATAATAATGGGACTCGTCAAGATCAAAAATAGGTTAATTACTTGAAGGTAAGTTGACAATATTACCAGATTTTGCTGTAGGATCTAGCCATCGACCTTCGGGGTAAAGGCTTTCTCTGTCATTATGATTTCGCTGAAAGCTAAATACATCCCCATCGCACACACAATTTGCGCAGGTGCGGCTTTTTTGGTCGCTCTTGCGGTGGGTTGTCGCTTGCATTACATCAAAATTGTGACAAACGCGCATTACACTTACCCTGAGGAATGGTTCCCAAGTGTTTCCGCTACAATTGGGGATAGATATCCAGAAAGATCAATTTTCCAGATTTTGATCGCATTGACGGCGTTTCCACGATTTTTGCTACTTCTAGGGCATTATATTTTGAACAAGTCTGTTGCCACTGCTCTTGTGGGCCTAGCGAGAACTGTCACATGCGGTGGCTGGGTCTATATCACCAGTACAGATGACCACAACACTCACGACGTTTTTATGATTTCTTACATTGTTTTAACTATTCCTTGGGATACGATGATCATCCGGCACAGTGAGAACAAGAAGTCGAAAAAATTGGCCATGACGGCCTTTTTTGGCACGCTTGTACCCTTGATTTACTGGTTCATCCAGCACAATGTGCACACGAGACCCGGGGCTTACTCAATTTATGCCTATTTCGAGTGGTCATTGATTGTGCTCGATATAGCATTCGACGCTCTGGCTTATAAGGACTTCGAAAAGCTTACCATTCACCTTGATTTAAATCCAGAAACTGAACGTGGACTTTTTACACTTGAAAATGATGATTTGGAGGCTACAAAGGATGAAAGTGGTGAGCAAATCAACGACAAACCTTTGCCAGCAAAGAGCAATACTTTTACCAGCGATCCCGCGGACGAGGCGAACGGTTCTGATTCTAGTGATGAGGACTATAATGCTTCAGGAAGTGATTTCGGAGATACGGAAATTATTCAGGAAGAATCGACTCAATTGATTTCATGCGAAGATGATGAAATCCAGATAATGATTCAGGAGGAAGAAGTGAAAACAACGACTTTCATTGGGAGCAATTTTATCAAACTTCCTGATCAGCAATCTTTGTTTCACATCACTTTGGCAATTGTTAACTCGTTTCTGTTTTGGACGCTTTTAACAGGTCTATTTTGCAGCGTATGGTACTTCCCTCTATGGTACATGGGGATTTCAGGATACGAAGCAAGTATTTTGTCTGCTACAGCTCCATTCTTACTATCACTACCTTTGATGCCCGTTTTAATAAATCTCTATGGGGGTTTACTTGGAGGAGTCATCGGTGTCGGCGCTTTTCTCGTTAAGAAACCTGAGGCGAGGCTTATGACGGTAGCCCTGGGTTTGGCTTTAATGAACTGCAGTTTTGTGCAAAATCTGAGAATGATTGGTGGCTCCGAAGAGGCCAATATGTTCTCGGTTACCTGGATTTTGGGGCTCGTCTTCTCAGTGATCCTTAAAGCGAGATTTTTCTCCAACAACCCTTTGTGGCCAATTCTCAATGAAGAAAATGGTGGATGGAATAAGACTGGTATGGCTATCGCTTTGATCTCGGGAATTTTGTCTCCTTTAGTGAGCTCGGCTTACTCACAGAAATTTGACGCACTTCGGCCAAAATTTTGCTTCTGGAAGAAACTAGCCATTTCTAGTGGCTTTGGATGTTTGGTTTTTGCTATGCACCAGCTCATGACGGATTCCTCGACCATCATTTACTGGTCATGGGAAGGTTTTGGCAAAGGGGTTGCGCAGGGCCCTCTAGCATGGCCTTACAATTGCCTCACCTGCTGCGTTCTCCTAATGTCTTCCCTCTTTTCCTTGAAATTCGTCAATAGACCAATGGTTCCCTGTGGGCTTCTCATTGTATCAACCGTTGTTCTTTGCGCTAGGCCCATAAGTGGATACTTTAACTACATTTTTGGAGGCCTTACATATATCACTGCGCTCATTTTCATGGTCCCAATTTACTTATCGAGTATGAATTTGGTGGGATGCCCGCTTTTTTTCGGTTGGTCCTTCTTGGTCTATGTGGTGTTGGTGCTCGCTCATGTTTGGACGGTTGCCTACGCGTTTGTTCCAGGCGGATGGCTCTTGAGAGAAAGAATCGAATATGTGTTGGCATTTTCGACCATTTTGATATTAATTGGCTCTTCAACACTCAAGCTACCAGCCGCAAGGTTAGGCTCAAAATTTTCGAAAAACATATATTTCGTTGGACTACTATTCCTTTCCTTTATTGCAAAGACCGCTTATGATCTACGTCCAACTGGTGTCCCTACCCCATACCATCCTCAAGAGAAGTTAATCACAGCCGGCATCTGGACGATACATTTCGGTCTCGATAATGATATGTGGTCTTCGGAGCAGAAAATGATTGATCTCATGAGAGACATGGAGCTTGATATCGTTGGTTTACTGGAAACAGATACCCAAAGGATCACAATGGGGAATAGAGATTTGACAGCCAAGATGGCGCACGATTTGGGAATGTATGCAGATTTTGGTCCTGGACCTAACAAGCATACTTGGGGTTGTGTGCTTTTGTCGAAATTCCCTATCATAAACTCCACTCATCATCTGCTACCTTCTCCAGTTGGCGAACTTGCACCGGCTATTCAGGCGACTATTGAGGCATACGATGGCACCCTAGTGGATGTTTTCGTTTTCCACAGCGGACAAGAGGAAGATGAAGAAGATAGACGTCTACAAACGGCTGAACTAGCGCGTCTTATGGGATCTAGTGATAGGCCTGCTATATTATTGAGTTACCTGGTCACTGAACCCCTAGAAGGCAATTACAACACTTATGTGAGTGAATTGTCCGGCATGCATGACATTGACCCAACGGATGATGACAGATGGTGTCAATACATTTTGTACAAAAACCTGAAAAGGGTAGGCTACGCAAGAGTAAGTCGCGGCTCCGTGACAGATACGGAATTGCAAGTAGGGAAATTCCAAACCATGAATGCTGAAGAGGCGAGATCTTATGGGGAATCGATATATGATGTCAATTACGTTCAAGAGGCCGAAGAAGTGAACGAAGAGTGGAGATTTCCAGACGCATATCTCGGCGAAGGTGTCAACGGACACCATTATCATGTCTTCGACGAACCTCGCTATTACGAGCTTCTTTGATAAAGTCGAGTACTTTCCTCAATGGGGGTTTTCAGCTCGCTATATAATCGTTATTCAATTCATTATTGTAATACATTATCAACTGTTCATACAAACTGCTCTACGTCGATCTCCTCGACAATTAGATTCCCCATGTGTTCACGATCGTCGGTAAACTGGCTGAATTTGGAAGCCGTCACATCTATATCTTCTATGATAAGGTTATCTAAGCGTGGATTTTGCTGCGATTGTGCCAAAACGCCGTGAAACCTGCTACAACGCTTGACGATCTCAGGATTATAGTTTTGGTAGTCTTTAAGTACCGCGTTGCAAATTTCTGAAGCTCGGTCTTTCAACTCTTGATTTTTGGCAATTTCAGTATAGTACGGATCCAATATAGGTGTAAAACTTGCCGGAATAAGCTCAAGCTGCGTAAAATTATCTACGAATTGCTGTAAAAGTGGAATCGAAAATGTACTCATGGCATCCAGACTCCAAGAAGGTTCGCAAAGCCCTAGCAGTAGATCTGCGTAAGGAATCAAAATTTAATACAGTATAATTAATTGGCATTATGGCGAATCAATATGTACGAAAGGCTGACCAACAGAAAGATATCGTGAGATGATAAAGAGGAATATCACGTCATACGGGTAAATTTATAGAATTAGCCCTATGGGTCATTTGACGTATACCAGTTATGTTTATTTTGGTTTCACGGCGGTCGATTTGTCTGGTATAATGGATTTCGTCTCCTTCCCAAATATCATATATTTAGGGTACCGGGATTGTAACGGGCTGTCTCGCCTATTTAGTGCTTTTTTACGAGGACTAGTCAAAATCACGAGCACTATTGACGGTCGGATCCGTCAATAGTGCTATATGCTTTAATAATCCCACACGAATACCTGAAGGATACTCAATTGCATTAACGGACGTATCTAGCGACAACTCATTTGCTACTCACCGAGTTTGCAGGCTGTATCGTAAAACTGGCAACTTGGCTAGCTGTATAGCTACCAAGATGATGGCCTGCTCCAAGTTCACCAAACATGAATAAGTTATTCAATCAACTATTTAAAGTGAAAAGTGACTACAAACCCAAGGGAAACCCATCTAGCATAGTCCTTCATGATAGCATACGTCGAATTAGAATTAGAATTGCCAATTTATTTCTTTAGTCATATCAAAAGCGATCATTACACCAAAAATTCCACCAATCATTTGAACAGAGTGTGGTCGCATGCAAAAACTCCAGTTTTATGGCCTGGACGAGGCGTTGTCAGTACTGCTGTGACTAACAAAGGCCTTTTCCACGTCAGCGCTGTTTTTTCTTGGTTCTGCACTTTCAATGTGCTCAGTTCTACCCAGCAGACCTAATTTGTGACCTTCTTCGTCCTCAATTATAGGCATCTCAGGTGTGTACGAGCCTGTCTTCCATGCGGGGATGTTATCAGCCCACATTTGATCAATTTCTTCCAAAGTCTTGCCTTTAGTTTCGGGGAACATGAAGAAAGTTTGAATGGTCAAAGCCACCGAGAAGACTCCAAAGACAATGTAAGTCTTCCAGGAAATGTTACGGAACGCGGAAGGCACAAACATGGCCAACGCAAAATTGAATGCCCAATTGACCGCGGCACACAGGGCAGACCCCTTGGCTCTTTCCATATTGTTGAAAATCTCGGAGCAGTAAATCCAAATACCCACACCCCAGGTCGGAGCAAAAGAGCAAACAAACAAGTACGACGCTGCAATGACACCATGCGCTGCACCCTTGCTCGATTGTGGGATACGAATGGTGACCGTGGTGTCACCATCGAAACCCGAAGGGGCAGGCACCGAGTAGGTGGCAAGCAGACCGGCAACGACAAACAGCCAAATGAACATGAAGATTCCTCCGACAATCAACACGGGTCTTCTCCCCAGTTTGTCAACCAAAAACAAGGCCGGAATGGTCATAATCACGTTCAGCACGTATTGAATCGAACCCGACACCAACACGGTATTGCCGGAATAGCCCGCCATGTCGAAAATGTAGACAATGTAGTACATCATGACATTCATACCGCATAGCTGTTGCCACATCTGCGCGCAAACGCCCACAATGGTCTTAGGAAGCGTCTTGGAGCGGAACAGATGCAAATAGCTAAAATTCATAGCGGCCCGATCGATGATCACCTGTTCTTTGATTTCCTCCATCTGCAACTTGACCTGCGCGTTTTCGCGATCGCCGTGCGCCCCAACTCCGGCGATCACCTCGCTGGCCTCTTCCCACCGGTCGTGGTTGGCCAGCCACCGCGGCGACTCGGGCAAGAAAAACGTGCCCACGAGCAAAATCAGGCCCGGCACGATTTGCAGCCCCCAGGTGACGCGGAACGCGCCGGTGCCGTTGATGAAATGGCAGCCGTAGCCGATGTAGAACAGGATCATAATGCCCAGCGTCACGCTGAACTGGAACAGCCCGCAGACGAACCCCCGGATCTTGGGAGGCGCCACCTCCGAACAGTACACCGGCGCGACCGAGGAGCCGAACCCGATGCCCATGCCGCTGATGACGCGGCCCACGATCAGCATGGCCCGGTCTTGGGACGCGCTTTGCAGAATCGCCCCGGTGATCCACAGCGCAGAACATATGTGGAGCGACACCCGCCGTCCGAACGCGTCCGACACGTTCGACGACACCAGCGACCCCAGAAACGACCCGCCGGCCATCGACGCCGTGATACCGCCCTGTGTGATCGAGTTCGGGGTATCGAAATACTCGTTGTAGTGCTTGGTTCCGATCATCGACGACATCGACGAGATGTCAAACCCAAACATCAGCCCCGATATGCAAGCCACCATCCCGATGACGTAGATGTTTTGGATTTTCGGGAAATAGTCGTAGAGTTGGCCGCGATACTTGACATCGCGGAGTAAAAGCTTGTTTTTGAGATTACCCATTTTCTTCCCAGGTGATAATTACACCAGTCTACAACAAGAGACGAAAGACAGAGGAAGAGGCCGGCAACTAAGCCCAGATTTATACTTCACACCGGTGCAGCAATAACCTTGGAGAACCGAATCTCAACATCCCCTTGCACCTATCTCCTTATTTTTCAGCATTCTCCGATCTCTTCTCAGTCCTCTCCGGCGTCATCCCGGAATGTCAGCACAGCGTGTGCAGAGCCAGCCGCATGAACTAAGGTTTTGTGCCAATAATGCCGTGTCTACCCCGCATTTTTACTTTTCCAACGGCCTTGCATTTAGACCCGGAAAAACCCCACAGATATTCCGGGACAAATGACGCAAACAGGAGACGTCTCCCCACTTTAATTTCCCCGTGCAACGGCTTCTGGGTCCCGGCTTCTGACCTGCGCCGGCATTTGCCGCTGCGCAGGCAAGCGGCAAGAAGCGGAGCGCCGTTTGCAGATCGGGGACGTCCGCTTCTCGTGGGTGCACGGGCGCTGGGCGGGTGACACCCTAGCACCACGGGTAGCTTGTGAGTATGTTCGTCTGCAGCGATGTGGCTGTTCCCGGGAAGGGAGCTCAGCTTAGTAGGGCGTCGAGTAGAGTTTTGGCGCGGGCGGCTTGCGGCGGGGCGGCGTCTCCGGGGTTCTCCGCGGGCTCCGCGGGCTCGGTGGCTTCCGCGGGCTTCCCGGACTTCCCCTCGATGGTCGACTTGCACTGCTCCTCCAACGCCGCACGCGCAGTACCTTTCAGATCCCGGAAATACGACGCCAACAGCTCGTCATAGCAACTGGGAATCAAATCACACTCGAAAACGTGTTTCAGCAACCAATTCTGTTTCTGTTTCGAAAACTTCCACGTGCTCACCACCTCCAGCTCGCCCGCCGCCGTCGCCGCGCCACTCTCCAGCTCCTCGCGATGTGACTTCGCCGGCTCGTGTTCCCACACGCTTTCAGGCAACCCGCCCACTTTTTCGCGGTAAAACTCGATCAAATACCGGAGTTGGTCTCGCAAAACCGTATTCCGGTGCGCAACTCGTGCCTGCCTCTCGAGCTTCTCGCGCTTCTGGCCCTTGGAATCCTTTTTGCCCACTTTCTTCTTGGCAGTCCCATCCCCACGCAACATTTGACGTTTTTCCCTCCTCGACAACGACGCGGTCGCCAAATGCGTCGTAACATTCAACGGAGTCTCATCCCGAAGCTCGTCGTGCTGGACGTTTTTGAAGGCGATTCTTTTCCAGGCTGGAACGTGACTCATTGTATCGTGCAATGCGTTGTTTCGTGTTTACCGTGCTTCCTCTGCGATGAGATGCCCTCGAGGCCCATCTCTTCCACGAGTTCGATCAAAATTTCACCAGGTCATACTGGACGAAGATCTCCGAAAATCCATCAAAAGCATGAAAAATGCACCCAGGCTTCCGTAGGCTTCCGTGGCCTTCCCACCTCCCAATCATAAACAATTGCGTATAATGACACCCACATTGGATCTCATTTAGGCCTAGGCGCCCTGGAAGTGTGGATCTGGATGTATAGCGCATAGAACGATCTCACCAGTTTGAGTCGGTTCATGGACTTGGTTTTCGCCAAGTGGTTTTTCACCATGAGTTGATATAGAAGTGTGTTGACAGTAGTAATAGTACTTGTGGTAGGGTTCTTGACTGTGCAGTAGCCGAGGCGGGGCGTGTGTGCATGCAATTGAGTCGGATTTGTAGTGTTTGACATGTAGGATGAGCTCTGCGATGAAGGCTCAGAATAGGTTGTTTTCTGCTAACTACACTACCGTGTGCTGTTCTCCTCTTTACTACCCTATTTGCACCTGCATCCTGTTCAACCTCGCCCTTTTGCCTTCCACACACATCCAGTTCACGCTACAAATCAAATATGAAGACTATCCTGATAAGCGATTTTGATGAAACGATCACCACCAAGGACACTATAAGTATCCTGGGCGAACTTCCCTACCGAAGCAAACAGTGTGAAGTGCCTTGGTCTCATTTCGTAGAAACCTACCTACAGGGCTATCGTCGTTACGAAACGACTCCGAGAAAGCTACCGCTGCTCGGTCCAGACGTTTTAGCCGGTGAACAACCCATAACAACTGCCAATTACGATCAAGCGTTTCAAGCGGAAATTCAGTATCAAAACAGTCTGCGACCCATTGAGTTGAACAGCTTAGCAGAACTCGAGCGTACTGAAGCTTTCACCGATGTCACTGAGACCGATGTATTAGATCTTGCTGCAGACCAAAAACAATTGATCCAAGAAGGTTTCCCAACGGCTTTGCCGCTATGTGACGAATTTCACGTCTTGTCTGTCAATTGGTGCACCGATTTCATCCTGGCAGTGATCAAGTCATCCACACTTGATCCAGAAACTCTCCAGAAAATCAATCCTGCTCAAGTCTACTGCAACTCTCTAATAAGACGCGGTCCCCACTACACCGGTCTCTTCGAAAAGACTATAGTGACAGGTTATGACAAACTAGACAAACTGAACAAACTCGTGAATTCATTCCCACCCAATCTTACCTGTTGGTACGTCGGTGACAGCGAATCCGATTTACTTTCAATTTTACATCCCAAAATCAATGGCGTGCTGTTACTAGATCCACATACGAATGAAAAGAAGTTTCGTCGTATTGCCAGTGATATTATGGGCCTAAATCAAGCCGTGGTAACTGGAATCATTCAAGATGCAACCTTTGAATATCGCAAATTTACTTGCAAACAAAATGGCAACCTGTTGGTTTTCGCCAAGAACTGGCACGCGATTGCACGTTTGCTACATCAAGATTGATACATGAAGGTTGATAGATCATGGCAATTGACTGGCGAATGCGATATACTTCCTGCTCTCTTGCCTATTAATCTGTTAAATGGCAGCTATATACCAGCTAGTAGACAACATTCAACTACAGTTACTTTGGCACATGAGAATATGAGACTTTACTCAAGTTGTGCCAATTCCAAACAATTGGATTTGGAAACGGGATGACTTCCACTTCAAGATGTTATAGCCTAATATTTTACAGTGTGTCTGATGAACTATATATCAACTACGCTCTTGTAAAAGACTCGGAAATCGTCCAAAAGGTATACTTGGAGGATTTGAAATCTAGCAGTTTGAATCCGAAGTGTACATGGGTTTATTCCAAGGTTTTGATTTTTTGATTTTACCTTCTAAAAGCCCTGCAAGGGTCCAATTCTTCGTTCAGCTAATCCAGAATAATCAAGGAACCGTCAAAGACGGCTTTACAACCGGAACTATAATTCTTGTTAATGACTCCTTTGTGAGCGATAATGGTCACATCAATAAGCTGGATATCTTTCAAAGTGAATGGCACTACGATGATAATGTCTGGTATGATATTATAGAATGTCGAGAGCTAAAGTGCTATTCTTTGAGTTGGGTTAGCGAATGTCTCAAGAACGGGGAAATAGCTCAAAATCCACGATTTGAAGTTACTTTACCTGGTAGAGAGCTCATAAATTTAGCGAGTGATGAATCGGATCAAGAATCGGTAGAGATGGAAAGAAGCTATTCTGGAAATATTCCTAAATTGCATGATTCTCATGGCGATTCAGATGCGGAGACTGATGTTGAAGCGAAGAGTGATGTTACGGATCAAGCGTTCGCTAGTCGTCATGCAGACACCTCAGAATTTGGTTCAGTTGGGAAGCAAATTGCCATTGATACAACCGGCGGACTTAATGGTACTCTAATTACTGCTCTTGAGCAACTCGCGGAGAAATACCGCCTCAAAGGGGACGTATATCGAAGTCGTGGCTATCAATTGGCAGTACAATCGATACGGGCTTACCACAAGAGACTAGAGAGCGGAGACGAGGCTGCATCACTTCCCAATATTGGAAGCAGTATTGCTAGCAAGATTCAGACGTTACTCAGTACTGGCCTCTTGCCTGGACTAGAAGAATCCAAAACCACGGAACGTCAGCTTCACTATTTTATGAATTGTCATGGGGTCGGATCCCATACCGCCATGAAATGGACACAACTTGGTGCAAAGACATTTCGCGATGCATTCCAATTGTCACCTTCGGATTTCAATTGGAGCGTTCTTTATGGCTGGAGATATTTCAATGACTGGCATGTACGTATCCCGCGGGATGAATGTGATAAACACCTCATATTTATAAAGGATTCTTTGCGTGAAGTGGATAAAACGGTCCAAATTGAACAAACAGGCAGCTATCGGCGTGGCAGCAAAACCTGTGGTGATATTGACACAGTAATGTGGAAGCCAGGATGTGATGACATTTTAGAATTGTCACATATATTGGAGAAGCTAGTTGAGAACCTTTACAATAGAGGCTATATCAAATGTCCATTGAATTTGAACTGGCGATTGGGCGAAATATTTGAAAGCAATGTCGAGAAACTTCTCGCTATGGCGGGGTCCAACAGCACATTCATAAAGACCCCAAAAGTTTCATTGAGAAGATTTTACTTCGGTGGACGACTCCCAGCAGGCGAATCACTCGATCATGGCACTGAAGCTGATGCTCTTAAATACGAAGATTTATACATGTCGGATTCAAATGCCACGAACCGTTGCAGAAGGGTGGATATTTTGACCAGCAAATGGAGTGAGCTTGGATCAACTATGATCTATTTTACGGGTAATGATGACTTCAACAAGAGCTTGAGACTGCGAGCAAATAATAAAGGTTGGAAATTAAACCATCATGGGCTTTTCCAACGCCTTAACGACAGGAGCGGCGATAAAACCTTGATCGAAAGTTTTGACGAAAAAAGAATAATAGAGCTCTTGGGAGTCAAGTACGTGCCACCTTTCGAACGTAATATCGAGGGCTACATATAGAAACTCATTATCGAAGTGAAATATCAATGGATAATATACTATGTAAGAGAAAGGTCATACACACATAACGCATAAGGCTACTTATGGCTTGTTGGACAAGAAGGTCACACCTGGCAATTCCTTACCTTCCAACAATTCCAAAGAGGCTCCACCACCAGTAGAGACGTGAGAGATCTTGTCAACGACGCCGTACTTCTTAGCGACAGTGGCAGTGTCACCACCACCGATGATAACGGTGTTACCAGCCTCAGAGGCCTTGACAACAGCGTTCAACAAGTCCTTTGTACCTTCAGCGAACTTCTCGAATTCGAAGACACCTGGTGGACCGTTCCAGACAATGGTCTTAGCCTTTGCAACGGCAGCAGCGAAAAGCTTTCTAGATTCTGGACCACTGTCCAAACCTTCCCAACCTTGTGGGATACCTTCCTTGTCGGTGACAACCTTGGTGTTGGCGTCTGCGGCGAATTTGTCACCACAGACAAAGTCGGTAGGTAGAACAATTTGGACGTTAGCAGCCTTGGCCTTGGCGGCCAATTTTGGAACGATTTCTGCACCAGCCTTGTCGAAGATAGAGTTACCGATTTCGGTACCTTCTAGAACCTTCTTGAAAGTGAAAGCCATACCACCACCGATGATGATGCTGTCGACCTTGTCCAATAAGTTGTCGATCAATTGGATCTTGTCGGCGACCTTGGCACCACCTAGAATGGCCAAGAAAGGTCTGGTTGGGTTCTCTAGAGCCTTACCGAAGTATTGCAATTCCTTGGCCAACAAGAAACCGGAAGCTCTTTCCTTTAGGTCGAAACCAACGATGGAAGAGTGAGCTCTGTGAGCGGTACCGAAAGCGTCGTTGACGTAAACGTCGGCTAGAGAGGTCAAGTCCTTTCTGAATTTCTCGACGTCGGCCTTGTCAGCCTTGACCTTTTGTCCGTCAACCTTCTTAGAACCTTCTTCCTCGATGTGGAAACGCAAGTTCTCGAGCAAAATGACGGAACCTGGGGCAGCAGAGTTAACGGCCTTGGTGACTTCAGGACCAACACAGTCGTTTAGGAAAGTGACCTTTTGGCCCAAAAGTTTCTCAAGCTCAGCAGCGACTGGCTTCAAAGAGTATTTTTTGTTTGGTTCACCGTTTGGTCTGCCAAGGTGAGAAGCTAGAACGACGACCTTTGGCTTGTGTTCTAGAACGTACTTGATAGTTGGCAAAGCAGCAACGATTCTTTGGTTGGAAGTGATCTTGTCACCGTCCAATGGGACGTTGAAGTCGACTCTGATGAAGACACGCTTGTCGGTGACGTTGACGTCCTTGACACTTAGCTTGGAAGATAGAGACATTCTGGATATTACTCGTAAGATTCGAATTGAGATATCTGGGGTGTGAACACAACGAATTAAAACCAAATCTACTCACAGCTTCTCACCGCCGCCTTATATATGCATCTCGAATGCATGCACTCGTGCAAGAGGTGGCGTCAGGCTCTGGAGTCTTGCGCCTGACACGAGACTCTGGAGCATCCCGAGCCGTTTGTCTGACTACACACCTATAAGGTGGTCCGAAACCCTAGTCGCAGCGTAGATGGTGTCTCCTGGTGGGTTCGCTGCCGTGTGGACTTTGGCGGGCTTCTTGATTCAGCACCATTGGGCTTCCTATTGCAGGCACACGTTCGTAGCGATTTTGACCAGAAGCAGGAAGCCCAAGGAAGCGCATTTTGGCGGCTGCGCGACGCACCACAAAAACGAAGAAGGGTAGGGTAACTCACAGTGGTGTAAGTTACCCGAACTTGGTACATAGTGATATGGGTTCTGGGTTTGGGTATAAAAGGGGTATTCGTCGAATTTGATCTGTGTTTATCACGTGCAATCTTCGTTGTAAGTTACCCCGTTTTATTGGTGTCACTCTCGACGTAAACTACGGAGTTGTACCACTAGTACTGAATAGCATCTTTGAAGGTGAGTTTACCTTGTACACGTCGATTTGTCGGGTTCGGTTAGCTTAAACTGCCCTTGAGACATCCTACTTGTTTTATTATATTAAGCCAAATGCCGAGACATTATATAAGCACCGTGTTGTACAGGGCGTCAAAGAGCAGAATTTCTAGTGCTTTCAAGATCTGTGGCGATTGACCTGAGCTCAATCTTAAAAACAGCGCTCTCGATGTCACTTATAGAAATCCAGCTAGAACTTCTGAACCTGTTTTTCACGCTAAGAGTATGTACCACAAAATTGGAAGTCTCCAGAAAGTCAAATTTTCGACAATCCTTCAAGATATCTTACTTTACCTTAGATCAAAACACAGGGAAATATCTTAATCATATGTATATCGAAAACCAAGGTGAACGAGGCATATAGCGGTCCGTGAACATGACAAGTGGATCCTTAAAATTACGCAGTCACCATGAATTAACCTGTAAATTTAATATGCGTTTGTTGAGGTATGTTTTCTCCGCGCAAATGCAGTAGGCTGCCATCGCTACAGGAAAATCAAGCAGACATTTCACCATGGGTTTCATTCGACTGCTTAACAAGCGGGTTTACTTCAACAGTTCAACGCCATAATCTTTTAGCTATGCTAATCGAGCGGGCTTGGTGCACGTGACCACGTTTTCATTTATCAGTTCTCCAAGAATCGACATCTTGGATTCATAGCCCGATTGAAGATGAAAAGGCGTCCATGGACCTGCTTAACAGATATTCCGGTATCGATGATCCAGATCTTCAATATATGGCTCTTAGAGAGCTGACTTCAGACACATTGGCCGATATGGAAGAGCCTATAATGACTAAGCTCGTGACCTCAATTTTCATTCCTGCGCTATCTGGTAACGACCTACCCATAGCCAATCTTGTGAGTTTGGAACTCTTGCCCACGGTAGCTCAATTCCACAAGGATTTGGCTGCTAGAGGTATAATCCAACCGCTCTCTATGGTGCTACAAGGCGATTGGTCATTTCAAGACGAACGTACCTCTCGCTTACTTGTCACACTGAATAATGTACTCCAAAGACTTTCAGGAAAGATTCCAGGCTGTGGAGTCACGGAAAAATACGCGCAATTCGTCATTGCTTTGCCGCATCGAACCTATTTGTCGTGGGAAGTCTTGCGAAGACTGCTTGAGACTCAAGACTCGGATCACGTGACTGACTTGACTTTTGGCGAACTGTATCGCCTGGCGATTGAAGACGTGCGTGTTGCTGGGTTTGAGGCTCTGAGAATTGCGTCAGGGTCTGTTCATTCACATGTGGTGGCCAAAGCTGTCAATGCGAACCCTTTGGAAGCCGGCCACTTGAAATTACTCACACATGTGTCGCTTACGAGCCATTCCTTCAGGACATGCTACGCGCCTGTGCTCGAAACGCTAATGGAAAACATACACGAATTCTCGCTAGGCGATTCACTCCTCGTAATTCAAAATTTAATGGTGTGGTTGCGTCAGTCGCGTATAGAAGATAATCCCCAAGCGAAAGAGATACTGCGACAGAAAATATTGAGTGTGTGCGTGAATTTGGTAGCAGGAGAGGACGATCAGGACATGACATTTTCGGATCAAGAAATTGATTTCGAAAGTGATGAAGATATTCCTGATTTTTCAGATGAGGAATATGCGTCAGTTGACGACGAAGAAATGAAAACATCAGATTTCGCCGTGAAAGTACTTCAGATACTACCTCTGACACTGACCGATGCCCAGATACACCTTGTCATTCAATCAAGAGCTAGCAGAAATGCTTTGGCCGATTTTGTTCGCGGGCGAAAAATTGGTTACGAGCTTTTGGCAAAAAAATTCCCGGACGAGAAAGACCCTGAGATTATCGATGAAATGCCGCTGGATGCTTTGAGATGTTTGTTACTATCTCCAGTGGTCCAAAAAAGGATCGATTTCCTAAGAGGGCCATCTGTTGTGTCTGAGGACGACTCTCTCGAGACGATTCAAACTGTGTTGCTGGCTCGGGAACAACTCGAAGGGGTGTCCAAAACGCAAATACTACAATCTATAGCTCGGTCCTTGGATTCAGAATCTAGTTCCTTGATGGATTTCCAAGTAGCCCTCGACACTTTACTCCTGGCTACCAAACTTCAAGCCTTTGAAAATTATCAGGACCAAATGTTGGAAATAGTTCTACCACAGTTGAAGCCTAACAAGAACTTCGTGAAAACTCTCAAAGCTGGAAATCTCAAACAGACTATCGATGACGGTTCTGTATTGAGGCTATCTTGTTACACACTTATCAAACATTTAAAACCGTCCTATGAGAAAACTCTGCAAATCCTTGACGCGTGCATCGACAGAGGATTCAAAGACGAGGTGAATGTTAAAGATGCTGCCTTGGAGGTGTTTATGCAATTTTTCCAGCGGACATGGTCAGAACTTCGCATTCGAGACTCCAGCTGGTTTCAAATCGAAATAATACCCAAGATAAGAGAAAGGATCGAAAAAAATGCTACTCAACTACGTGCAACTGCTACATCCCAACAGCTCGCTGACTCGGAACGGAGCCTTAGAGGGGTTGGTCGTTTAACGCAGTTTCTTGACCCTTATGTCAGAATCGTGAGGGACGACTTTGCAACGTGACGATCTTGGCGTACCCTTATAAGAAGGACACACTTGTATGAACTACTCAAAAGAGGGTCCAACTCTAATCCATCTTTTAACGATTCTGATCAGGTAGTTTACTTGACCCAAAAACCAGAAACGAACTCACCATGCCAGAAAATACTCTACAAGCACCTCGCCCTTCAAGAAGTGGAGATTTTACAGATCTTGAAGACCCTCCAAAATACAGACAGACGCCTGATGTTGGCGATTTCAGTGTTTCCGGTCGTAACAGGGGGAAGCAAGAACCTCAGACTGGATCCTACGACGATGCATCCCGGTCGCAATACAGTTGGTCATCTAAACCTGGTAAACGGCAGAAGGAAAATTTGCTGAGAGATGATGCCCCGGATTTTGTTTCGCGAGAATCTAAACATTATCTTCAGCAAGGTTCTTTGGATCTTAAGCCAAGGTCTGCGCATGAGGACTCTGATGACGTGGTACATTTGACTCGAGACTATGCTGAGATGTCCGGAGCGCCAGTAAACAATGAAGACAGTGATGACGCCACATGTGGAATTTGTTTTAACAGAAACGGAGAAAAAGTATGTGAACCGGTAACGACTAATGAGAAACCCGCTATTGTGAGGAGGTCCTCGTCGATTTACGAAGATTACAAAAAAGACTGTTACAACAAATTGCATTTGTTTAACAAGAAGTGATCACCTCACCTTGCTTTGCTTCCAATTTGACGAAAACCACTCATACGACTTTTACTCAGATGCACTGTCCTTCTGTTTGTCTTGCTCTGTGACTGCCGAACGAGAAGAGCATATAACAAACGCACTGTCAAGGGCGTCCTTTCATGCCAATATTTGAAGACATCTATTTTATTAACGAGTAAACTTTCAGGCCATTTCGCTATGCGTGACGATGCTTGAGTATGACTATCGAAAAGCTACTATTGCTGTCGACAGTGATACGTTTCCTTTTTCTGAAATCTATTGACTACATAGCTCATTGGTCAGCTCTCGATGCCAGTTGGTCTATAGTAAAAACCCCTAAAGCGCTCAGAGCTACCATAGTTTTATGAAATTTACGTACTTAGCTGTTATGATTGGTTTTTCTTTTAATCAATTGTTGGAGCTTTAAACTTACTTACCCCAGATAACAGAGCTTTAATAAGGGAAAATAACAAAGATGCGTATTGAAAGCGTGAAACGAGGCACAAGTGTTTTTGAAAATGCGGTAAAAGTCGAATTTGAGGATTTGGGGTCTTCTACTTACGATTGGATCTACCTGCGTGATAACTGTCCTTGTAGTGAATGTCAGCATGTCCAAACCAAGCAAAGGGTGTTCGATATATTCAATACGTTGAGCAATAAGCCGGGGAAAGATTTGGAAACAAGTTTGAAACGGGTCGAGCAGTATTTGGCGGATTCAGATTTTCAAATTATGAATAGTAAACTCGTTTGCAATTGGTCCGATTCGCATATCTCCGAATTTGACGAGAAATGGCTTCTACAACACTCTTACGAGCCGAAGCTAACTTCCAAGTCTCGAAAAATTATACCGAATATAAGAACATGGGGCTCTCATGAGTTCTGGCAATTGAACAGTGACGGAACTGGTGTAAATAGTTACGATCGGCTGACGCATGAATTGCCCCAGATTTTTGAACAAATTCATGTCAATGGATTCGCATTTATTCAAAACGTTCCCGTGACTCTCGAGTCAACGGAACGAGTCTCTGCTGCGATTTCTATTATTCGGCCTACCCACTATGATCCCTGTGTTTGGGATTTTACGTCAGATCTGGCAAAAAACGACACCGCTTACACCTCCTTGGCCATTGACATGCATGTAGACGGCACTTACTGGAATGAACCTCCCGGATATCAATTGTTCCATCTACTCGAACACACCAATGGTGAAGGCGGAGATACCAGGATAGTCGACGTGGCAAAAATTCTAGAAATTTTGGTTATAAAGGCTGCGGCGGATCGTTCCTGGCAGAAAACACTTCAAGTGCTATCCGAACAACCTCTGGTGTTTCACCAGTCCGGCGATTCAAATCAAGAATTTGAACAAGACAGTTTTCCCACCCTCACGCTGGCCAAGGACGGATCTCTCGTACAATGTCGCTGGAATACAAGTGATCGTGCCGCTTTCATAGAACCTTTGCCCCGTTTTACCGTCGCAGACATATACCAGGCGCTGTTCAGATTCAATGCGTTAATTAACAATCCGGACAACTACGTTCAATTTAAGATGGAACCAGGCAAGATTTTTGTGTTTGATAATTGGAGAGTTTTGCATGCTAGAACCGCTTTCACAGGTTACAGAAGGTTGTGCGGCTCCTACTTGACTCGTGATGACTTCATGGCCAGATTTAAAAGCTGTTACCCTAATTCGCATGATGCGTAAAAAGTGATATGTATTTGCTTACAAAGCGATATACACAAATTCGAATTCGGTTCTAGCTATCTAATCACGTGACATATTGTTCAACATACCTTCATACGAAATAGCTAATAATTTATCGGTGTGCGGAAGAAGCTCATCGAGATTATACCACTGAATAAACTTCAAAATAAGACGAGAGTGGGTGGATGTTCTATCTGCGTCGAGCGATTGCGCCAAATGTTTATGGGAAATTCACGTGTCGGATACCACGCTCTCCGGTAATTCCGAACAACATCCAGAGGTTTTATGCCAAGAAAAGTTCCAAATTGAATAAAAAACCAGTATCACTCAAGCCAGTCACTTTCACGATCCCGAACTACACCTCTGTTAGCAACCTTTCGAATCTTCTGAACGTGAGAATTGAGAAGTTGGTGAGGGATTTAACGCGACTTGGATTTTCTGATGTGTCCCATAATTATATTCTTTCCAGGGAATACATCGAACTTATACTGCAAGAATACAATTATGAAATTGACGATAGAGTCTCTACTCTGACATGGGAGAACGTTTACGCAGAACTGAAATCGGCAGTAAATCCTAAGAATTTAGAAAGGAGGCCGCCTATTGTCACTATTATGGGACATGTAGATCACGGCAAAACCACCATTTTGGACTATCTCCGAAAGACGGCGGTTGTTGCTCAGGAGTCGGGCGGCATCACGCAGCATATTGGTGCTTTCCAGATAGAAACTCCTGTTTCTGGCAGAAAAATCACTTTTCTGGATACCCCTGGTCATTCTGCCTTTCTTAAGATGCGTCAGCGTGGTGCTACTATCACAGATATTGTGGTGCTCGTCGTTTCAGCTGAAGATTCCCTGATGCCGCAGACCCTGGAAGCAATAAAACATGTCCGCGCTTCAGGAAACGAGCTCATTATAGCAATTACAAAAATCGACAAGATCTCGAAGAGAGAGAGAGACAAAGCTATTGACAGAGTTAATAACGATCTTTTATCGCACGACATTTCCATTGAAAAAGTCGGTGGTGACGTGCAAGTAATACCCATCAGCGCTCGCACAGGCGAAAACATGGATCTTCTGGAGGAAAGTATAGTAGTGTTGAGTGATTTAATGGATCTCAAAGCGGAGAATGCAACCAATACGGTTGCTGAAGGGTTTATTTTGGAAAGCGAAGTGAAGAAAACGGTTGGTAATACTGCAACTGTTTTAATTACGAAGGGCACACTGCAAAAGGGCAAAGTTTTCGTTTGCGGTAACACCTATTGTAAAGTTCGGAGTCTCTGTGATGAAGGCGGAAGAGCAAAGCTTAAGGCTTTGCCAGCTGAACCCGTCGAAGTCTTGGGATGGAAGGAACTACCACAAACGGGCGACGAAGTCATTCAAGTTAAAAGTGAGGCCCTGGCCAAAAAGTACGTTGCTAAGCGACAAGCTCTGGTCCAATCCGAGAAGCATGCAGGCGATGTCAAAAAGATAAACGAGCAAAGGTGTAGTGAGGCTCTCTTGAAGCAACGACAAGATGGCGGAGAAGACGGGGACGAATCGTCCATTTCCGAAGATGATGTCAAGGCAATGGGGCCTAAAAAAATCAACTTTATTGTTAAAGGAGATGTTTCCGGATCTGTTGAGGCAATTGTGGAAAGTATTTTACCTATTGGTAACGACGAGGTTGTTTGTAACGTCGTAGCTGCCTCTGTTGGCTCCCCGAACGAAAATGATTTGAAGATGGCCAAGATCACAAACAGCACACTCCTTTGCTTCAATCTTCATGATATATCGAATGACATCATCAACAATAAAGAAAACGTTGAAGTCAAACGTCATAACGTAATCTACAAACTGATTGAAGACGTTACTGAGATTCTCACCGAGAATTTAAAACCTATTTATGAGACTAAACAAGTCGCGACGGCTGACATAAGAGAAGTGTTCGATTTTAATGTGAAAAGGAAAATTATCAAAGTGGCAGGTTGTAGGGTCACGAATGGCCAGCTCACGAGAAACGCACTTTTGAAGGTTGTGAGAGGTGACGGTGAAGTTTCAGTGTTTGATGGCAAACTTTCAACACTTAAACAGGGCAAAGAGGACGCCACGGTGGTGAAAAAGGGCAACGAGTGCGGCGTAACTTTTGAAGGTTTTGAGGGCTTCGAAGCAGGCGATAAGCTTATCGTTTACGAAAAGGTAAAAGTCCCAAGGTTCTTGTAGTATATCATCAAAGACTTTGCCATATATAAAATTACCTGTAAATACGACATTCAAGAGTAGCATTTTATTTCACTAACTTTCAGCTTCCCATTGAACACGAGCGGTCTCCTCCACATAACAAACTCCATGTTCATCAAAGTCCGGTGTGTAATTCTCGATGTCACTGAATATGAAAATGGTACCCCAATCCATACCTTCTTCCACAGATACATCGTGTTCAAGATCTAAGATCATCTTTGGCATTAATTGCAACTCGAAAACCCTTGCGGAAGAAGGATTGTAACTGGGGCTTGGTATCGTATTTTCAATGTTAACAGAAGTCTGAGCGTAGTAAAGTGGTTTGCCTCCAAAATCATAGCGTAAAACTTGCAAAGGATTGTAGCCCGCGATTTCCTGAAATTTTTGGAAAATGTCGTCGTCCAAGAATTTCGAAAGCTTTTCAGTTCTTGGATCGAGCTTGATAGGAGATTTTTCCATAGCCGAGTCGTCGCCTACCGTGGCGTCCAACGCGGACTCATCTATTTTCAAATTCTTGGGCAATTTGAGATGATCTGGAGTTTTGTTCTTGAAGGACTCTTCCTCGACGAACAAAAAATAGCCTGGGAATGCCGTTTTTGAGTCAAAATTCTTGTCAGGTTTTGCATCGTGCTCCTTTCGAATGGTTTTAGCTGACGCTTCTTGTTTCAATGGCTTCTTCAGTTCTGTTTTAGGCATCTGAAAAGGATTTTCCGCAGCGTTGGCAAATGGATTGGTCGAGCCCGACAAAGACGGAGTGGCAAACGGATTTTGAGCCGATTTTTGCAAATCAAATGGATTGATGTCAAAATTTTTGCCCGCAGGGACTTGTGTCAATTTAGCAGAAATGTCACTGGCAGAGGTAGAAACCTTGGCCTTCTTCACACCACGCACACACCGGACCGTGTTGGCCCTTCTTCGACACTTGGAACACATAAATATGTATAAAACTCTGTCGTCATTTGCATTGATCCATTTGCTAGAGAATTGAGTCAGGTTCAACTTTTCGGCAGTTTCTTCAACTTGTTCTTCATCCAAAGGTGCAAACGCTTGCAGAAGAAGCTTCATCGAATCAGAAGACTTGCAAGCACCACATTTCAAAAGATCCACAGAAGGTTTCGAGTCTGGATGAAGCCAAAGGGGTTCCCCGCCTATGAAAGTATCTTCGATAGATATCGAGTCTGTCTGCTTGATAGTAGCATCGACAAAACCCAGGTAAACTTGGCCCTGCTTGGAGGAATAACCTTCTTCGACATCCGATGCGGAAAGCTCTTGGATTCGAGACATCACAGGCGGTTTACAATGGGAAGTTATGACAATTGGCGAGTAGGCGATGAGCTTGAATTTTTCAAGATGTCAGATTTTTCATCTTAAAGATATCGTCAACTCATCTTTGGATTCAAACTATAGCGAAAACAAGATGATCGTCACTTTTGTAACTCTATCAAATCAGGAGTAACTTTATTTAAACTTTAAGATTGGACTAAGTTTTCCAATGAGCTTCAGAGCTCTACTATAACCCGAGATATTGGCAATTTTTTTATTAAAATATATTAACGGTAAATCGAAACTCTGAGGACGCTTTAATTAAACTATTTGGCAGGAAAGACTAACAAAAGGAATATTGTATGTTATCGTTGGGTTGCAAGGGTGTTGAGAGAAATTTTCAGGCTCGAATTTGAGAAACAAATGTGCGAACCCGAAATATTTAGCAGTTTAAAGGCTAATACCAAAACTAAGACTAAAAACTCTTTCCGAACTCACGAAAAGTGTTTCAATATTGTTTGGAAACCCATCAAAAAGCCCAGAGCCTTTGAGGTCGACCTCATGGCAAAACGAAAATCAGGTGGCAGCCTACTCCTCTCATATCTTCTTCATACACCATTTCCATCACATAAGAGCGCAAGTGGTTTAGTGGTAAAATCCATCGTTGCCATCGATGGGCCCCCGGTTCGATTCCGGGCTTGCGCATTGTTTTTGCCAACTTTTTTCTTGAAAAATTCAATATCAGAAATTTTTAATTGCATTAAGATGAGAAGATATTCCCACAGCGTAAAGCAGAAACAGGAACCACCTTTACACGCTTTTTTTTCCGGAATTTGTCGCCAATTTTTAGCCCATTTTCTTTGCCGATGTCGAATCTTGGATTGCAGATACGCCAGGCAGCCCCCCATGTGGATCCGGTTGTGGCAGACTACGCAAAAGGGTACCTAGAGCATTTATCAACTGCGACTCAAGATGCCGTTCAGAGCAAACAATTGTCTTTGACAGACGAGGTGACCTTTTTAAAGAGTTTACTAGTGAGTGCTGGAGCTGAAGAGAGCAAGATCAGTCCCCTAGCGGACGAATTGTTGAAAAAGTTGAACTTGCAATTGTCTGAAAATCAAGCTAGATTGGAAGTCACCGGTGACACGAGCAAAAGGTTATTGGATATCAACGTTTTGAAGAGTCATGACAACAAAGCAAATATCAATACCTCGCTTGCATTGCTAGGAGTAGGTGGTGACATCGAGCATCAAGGTCGGCAAATTGAGACTAGAGTCGATTTGAAAAAGCTTGAAAAAGCTGAAAAGAAAATTGCCAAAAAAGTGGCCAAGAGAAACAACAAGTTTGTCAAGTATGAGGCCTCGAAGCTCATCAATCAACAGAACAACGAGGATTATGATTCGTTTTTTTTGAAGATCAACCCTTTGGATTTTGGTTCTGGCGCTGGTAAATCTAAAGATATTAAAATTGACACTTTCGATCTGTATGTCGGTGACGGGCAAAGAATTTTGTCCGATGCGCAATTGACGTTGAGTTTCGGTCGCAGATACGGTTTGGTTGGTCAAAACGGTATCGGTAAATCGACATTGCTAAGGGCACTTTCGCGCAGAGAATTGAACGTTCCACAACACATTTCGATTTTACACGTTGAACAAGAACTTCGCGGTGATGAAACGAAGGCTTTGCAAAGTGTTTTAGATGCAGACGTTTGGAGAAAACAGTTATTGACCGAGGAGTCTCAAATTAACAATCGTGTCCAGGAAATTGAAAAGCTGAGGTCAGAATTCAATGAAGAGAGTCTTGAGGTTAAAAAATTGGATAATGAGCGTGAGGATTTGGAGGGACATTTGCAGCAGATTTCAGAAAGGTTAGTGGACATGGAATCAGACAAGGCAGAAGCCCGTGCTGCTTCGATTCTTTACGGTTTAGGTTTCAGTGCCGAATCTCAACAGAGACCCACAAACTCGTTTTCAGGTGGTTGGAGAATGCGCTTATCATTGGCGCGTGCTCTGTTCTGCCAGCCTGATTTACTGCTTCTTGATGAACCCACCAATAACTTGGATGTTCCATCCATCGCTTATCTTTCTGAATATTTGAAAACATACCCTTCCACACTCTTGGTGGTGTCGCACGATCGTGCTTTTCTCAACGAAATTGCCACGGACATCATCTATCAGCACAATGAGCGTCTGGACTATTATAGAGGTCAAAACTTCGACAGCTTCTATGCCACGAAAGAAGAACGCCGCAAAAACGCACAACGTGAGTATGAGAGTCAAGTCGCTTACAGAAAGCATTTGCAGGATTTCATTGATAAATTCAGATACAATGCGGCTAAATCACAAGAAGCTCAATCGAGAATCAAGAAACTTGAGAAATTGCCAGTGCTTGAACCTCCAGAAGAGGAAAAGAACATTACTTTCAAATTTCCTGACTGTGAAAAGTTGTCTCCACCTATTTTACAGTTGCAGGACGTATCTTTTGGCTACGATAAAAATGAGTTGTTGCTGAATGATGTTAGTTTGGATGTTCAAATGGACTCTCGAATAGCTTTGGTTGGTGCCAACGGTTGCGGTAAAACGACTTTGCTCAAGGTCTTGATGGAAACTCTCGTACCCATTAAAGGTTATGTTTCCAAAAACCCAAGACTTCGTATTGCCTATTTTACTCAACACCACGTCGATTCCATGGATCTCAACACATCTGCGGTAGACTGGATGTCTACTGCGTTTCCCGGTAGAACAGATGAAGAATATAGACGTCATTTGGGTGCATTTGGTATTACCGGTACTCTAGGTCTTCAGAAAATGGCTCTTCTTTCTGGTGGTCAAAAGTCGAGAGTCGCATTTGCTGCTTTGTGTTTAAACAACCCTCACATTTTGATTTTAGATGAACCTTCGAATCACTTGGATACGGCTGGTATCGATGCTTTGATCCGTGCTCTCAAGGGTTTCTCCGGTGGTGTGCTAATGGTTTCTCACGATATCTCTGTGATTAGCAATGTGTGCAATGAGATATGGGTGTCCGAGGAGGGTACCGTGAAAAGATTCGATGGTACCATCTATGACTATAAGGACTATATTATATCAACGGCAACAAAAGCAGGGGTTGTGAAAAGGCATTAGGTAGATATGTTCTAATTAAGATATACCGCGACTACTCACTTGAGCAACAGTTGTGCTTTACGCTTACTAGTGACCGGATCTAAGACCGATTTAACTTGAACATTAACTTTGTCAAAAATGTAGATGTCCTGAACTTTTTTAGCAATGCTGCTTGTAAATGAAAGCCTGAATTGGTCTTCAAAGAATTTTGCTGACTGGACATCGTCAGTCAGATTCTCGAGTCGTATCAAACCCTCAACACCAAACTTAGGAACCAATACGACTATACCGTTGTGGAAAACTCTAATGACGTACCCAGTCTCTTCACTTTCATTGTTTCTCATAACTTGTCCCACATAATATTCTATACTTGCACGTCCGGCAAACTGGGCATTTCTATGTCTCTTGTTGATATTCCGGCATACCATGTCCATTTTATTTTTGTCGCGATGGCCCAAATCCAAAGGTTCATAGCCTATGGCTGCAGCTAGCTGCCTATGTGCAACAACGTCACAGTAGCGTCTGATTGGCGAGGTGAAATGGGTGTAAATATCGACCGCCAAGCCATAATGCCGGAAATCACTATAAGAGTAGGCACCTGCGTAGAAATACTGCGCGGCCATCATGCACCTCGTGGACATGATCCTTACAAGTGTGTTAAAATAAGGATCTTCAGGGTCTTTGCAGCGGTCCAAAGAATCTGCCAAAGCCTTTGACGATTCTAACGATATGGACATATGCTTACGCAGCTGCAACATCTCATTTAAAGTCTCAAAGTTGGTAGCTGGTGGCGCTGCATGTCTTCTCAGCATGGCAGTTTGTGGAAAGGCTTCATAGATTTTACGAGCAACGGAAATGTTTGCTAAAAGCATAAACTCCTCGACTAAAGAATTGGTTGCGAGCAATTCCTTTATTTCCACTTCACCAGGATCAGAAGTTTCACTGTCCATATGGACTTTCACTTCTGGAGATGCCAGATTCAGAGCACCGGCATCTAGTCTCTTTTGTTTCAGCTTTATAGATAAATGAAGCAAAGCCCGCATTCCCTGCGTAAGTTCATCAGATTGGTTGGAGTCGTCAATTCTTAGCTGAGCTTGCTCATAGGAGAATGCTTCCCTAGATTTAATGACCGACTTCGCAAAATCAACATTAACAATGTCTGCATTGTCATTCAATTCCCATAAAACTGAAAATGCAAAGCGATCAACATAAGGCTTTAAGGAGCAAAGGTTTGTGCCGAGAAGCATGGGCAACATATCTATACGCTTGTCAACCAAGTATACGGATGTTCCCCTCGAAGCTCCTTCGGCGTCTAAAGCAGTTCCAGCCTTGACGAAATGGGTAACGTCAGCGATATGAACACCAACTTCCCAGTTGCCATTTGGAAGCTTTTTGGCATGGAGAGCATCATCGATATCAACACAGCCTGGTGGGTCAATGCTGCAGATGAGTTTGTCTCTCAAATCTCTTCTCTTGCTTAAGAGATTATCTTTTGCCAGACTCTCGGGATCGCTCAGATTCTCTGGGGCTTTCCAGTCATTTCCCTCAGATGGCAGGCACTCCAACACCTTCTTTGAAAAAGGACGATATTCGACATCATGTTCTAGAAGAAGGGCTTCCGTTTCTGCTTGCACCGACTCAATTTTTCCAAGATCTCTGACAAAATGACCCAATGGGTACTTGTAATTTTCGGGCCAGGAATCGATGGCGACAACAATCCGCTTGTCGACCAATTCATTGGCTCTGCGCGTCCTCATTCTAATTTTTGGTAAGCACCTGTCCATTAGGATAACAAAAACGTTCTGCGTCCCCCCATTTTTCATGTCGAAAGAGTTAGGCGTAATTTGACCCACATATTGTCTCCAAGACCTCCGGACTATACCAACAACGCGAGCAGTTGGTTGCACGCGACTTGCTTTCTGGGCTTGTATGGCACTTTGGGCTAAAAGTCTCCTCTCTTTGTCGGAGAAAACTGGTGTTTCGGTATCTTCTACGTCATCGGCGTTATCGTTGACGTCAAAGTGTTCAGAGTCCAGCGCAACCGTAGAGGGAGCCCTCCATTCTGAATCTGGAAGCAACTCAACAACCACTTGATCGCCGTTAAAAGCTCTGTTTAGGTTCTGTTGCCCAACAATAATAACAGGTTTAGAAAAATTTGATAGAGAAATTGACCCTTCCAAGAAATTGTATTCAGAGATTTGGATCGATCCTTGGTAAAGAACACCACTTCTCAATCCTCCCATGATTCGAGACGTCGAGTAATATGAAGGGAACTTGAACTCGGACTTTGCCTCTTGAGAGTTGCCATTTGCGGCTGGCGCTTCGAGGTTAGGTAAATTGTCCTTGATTTCATCGCCGTTAGGCAAAGCGTCCACGTATTCGTATAAACTCTTAGCGATGACACCCTCTTTGGACGCGAGCTCTCTGTTTGCGCGATCATTGGTGACCAGTACAACCTTGATGCCGTAGTTCTGGAGATGTTCCGAATACCATTGGCAAGTTTTCCTGACGGCACGGTCATTTCTGTCATTGATGCTTTCGCCCTCTTTCCGCTCAACATAAGTTGGCTCGAAAAACTCATTGTGGAAGATTATGAATCTCTTAACGTCATCGCTGTCTCTGCACAGCGTACGCATCCTGGTGTAGACCGGATAGGATCTGTTTCTGACTTCATCCAGCACGATTTGCGGCACAATCACATCTGAAAAGCACGCGGGACCCTCGAGAAGATCAATGGCCTGCAGAATGATGTTGGCATCGAGCACAACGTAGTGTTTTCCAACGCCTTCTAACTTCATAGGATTCGCAGAAAGCACGAAATTGGGTAATTCTTTGTTCGCATTCGGGGTCACAATCTTGACGCATTCTGTGCATGCCTTCGACAAGCACGGTATGTCACTTCTCAGGTAATGTTCCCGGATGATCTTGGTAGCACCTCCATTGCGGGACCTTACAAACATCTTTTGGGTCACCGAAAGACCCTCAGAGAGCCGTTTTTTTTGATAAACCATTTTTTAACTCCGGTTAAAATTAGGTCAATATTTCCTAGGCAATCAATACCGCTCTTTTATGGGAATATTTCGCTAGCTTGTAAGCTCGAGATGAGATGGTTAAATGGATCTTTAATATAGCAGTGAATATTAAAAAATTATCGTGTCGTTTTGAACGTAATTGTGTCTCGATAAAACTTATGTACACTCCCATTCACATAAGCAGTCCGCTGAGCAAATCTGGCGATCCAAGTGATACCAACAAATACTGGTCGAAGTGATTGTGATTTTCTGGCAGTAAATCATAATTTTGAAGCTCCGCGTAGCGATTTTTAATGGTCGAAATCGCTGTCTGTAAGCTTTTTTCGGTAAATTTACCGAAAAGGATATTAGACTCTGGGACTTCCGCAACCTCTTCTTTCGCATTGGCGGCTTCTAGCTGTCGCAGTTCCATACAGTTGATTTCCGTTGAGATGTTTTCATATTTTTCAGCTAGCGACTGCATATACTGTTCAGCTGAAAACGTCGAATGAAGAGGTTGCGACAGGACAATCGTGATTGTTGAAAGCAAAAAGAAAACAAATCTTAGGAGAAGCATTTTTCACGTCTGAAGTGTGGGAGGATTTTATGTCTCGCAGAAGTGATCGTCATTTATAAACGTTTTCTGGACTTCAGTGTGGCAGGTGAAACTTGATTTCGATTCAAGAGTTTCAGCAAGAGGCGCAGCGAGCAAGCAGCAAAGCACAGATTTCGCTGCCATACGTAACAGTTGCGACATACGGTCATCTGGTCGAAACTTGAACACTGCGTCGCATGTGTATCAATCTGTCCTCGCGGAAGGCTCTCATGCAATAGTAACGTTATCCTATTCTGTCAGTACGGTCACGTGCTCATATTTGTCAAGAATGCGTAATTTTGATGAGATCATCGTCTCAGTATCGGGAAACTGTAGTTGTCGTTGAAGCGTGTCTCTCTGGACGCGCCACTCAAATTTTGGTGTCAATTTTTTGTATTACGTTATTAACGTTTTTGACTTTGACTTTGTTTTTCGTGAAATATGTATGGAACGAAAAGTTTTCGGTTTGATACTTAAACAAAATAAAGCACCTTTTAAAGTACCTTGAGCTTCTGACTTTCTTTCTGTGTAACGTTTTAGGTAAATCTTCGAAATAGTATTAGCCCCTCAATCCAGCTGGTTGGCTTTGAACGAAGACGTTACAAATAGCTTACGGCAGGCGATGATCGCTAAATTGAACTGCGGGTCGTGAATGTCACGTGATTAAAATGACGAAGTAACCAGCTAAGACACTAATCGATCCAAAAATGCTTTAGAAGCTTAATTTCCCCAAAGGTGGCCATAGAGCCTTCAAATCACCGCAATGAGATAATTAGCGTTAATATAAACGCAACTGTGGGAAAATTTTGAGCGCATTTCGTTCCAGAATGATAAGTGACCTCTCTGGGGCTGGCCACATTTGTCACATTTGTCGATATCATCACAGAGAGGAGCAACTACTCGATTATCTATATATTTCACTTTCTAGAAGATCATGCAAGAATAAACGACCAGTCAGAATGCTAAGGGCTACCACTGGTAACTCTTAGAATTTCATACAATTTCGGAGACCGTTGACGTTTTTCTACAGTGCGTCGCACGATTAGCCATATGATCAAGATAAAACAATGAAAGAGTTTCAAAGTGAAATGTAAAATTCTTCGATGAATCGCTTTTGACTCAGACAAGAATCATGGTTGTAATTCTTTCACACGCGTTCATCCAGGATGCGTCAGCCAAGACAGAAGCGTAAACAGCTGTCGAGTGAGTTCTAAGAACTAGCTTGCAAAGTATGAAATACGAAGAATGAAGCACATATTGGATTAAGTAGCTATTCATCATCAGTTCATCAGGGCCCTTTCTTAACAAAGAGTAAATAATAAAGCGCTTCAGCTACAAACAATAGTCGCTTCTATGGCCAAGTTGGTAAGGCGCCACACTAGTAATGTGGAGATCATCAGTTCAAATCTGGTTGGAAGCATTTTTTGATTTTTTTCACTTTACCCTGTTTATATAGTAGGTGCCCTTCATATTGAAATACTCCCGTCTATCAGCTCATCTCGAATTACCAGAGGTAAATGTGAGCCTGCTTGAAGCCAAGTTTGTATCTTGCAATTGGTGAGCCATGATTTGGCAACTCAGGAAGCGCCATCTGAGCAAGAATTTCTTGTTGCTGGCGCTCTTGTCTCTTCTCATATATACGGGTCTGACATTAAAATCGGGACACGAAGAAACAAATCTCATTAGAACAGCCGTTGTGACGGGCCAACGATCGGAATCGTATTCCCCCTTCTACAGGACGCTTGCAGGACGGGCCTTTGGGGATTTGTTTGTTAGGAACCCTTTTGATCTGGCGCAGTGGCACAACTGGTCCCTGCAAGAAAAATGCCATTTCTATTTCGACACCACCTATCGAATCAATTCCGAATGGTCAAATGACATGGTCCGGTATTATTTCGGAAACCCGGGACTTGATAACGCAGTCGTGTCGCTTTTGGGAGAAAGAATGCGTATGTACCGAGACTGTTTCATTGATGCGGCCCTCGATTTGACAAAAGTGCTCGCGGATCGTGATGTGACCGACTTTGATCATCGTATGTTTCCGTTTTTGAAGAGGGCCACAGACGTCCGCGATCTCCGGCCGCAGGTAACACATCTAAATTCAGGAGCCGAAGTGGACTTCTGTCAAAACTTTGCTGCGTCCGAAAACCAGGCCTCTTTCTGGTCAAGTTGGGCTGCGTGTTCTTCTGGCAGTGGGATCGCCCTGACACTGGGCCAAAGACACGTTAACTTATTTGGAAAGTTACTTCGTGTTCTACAGCATCTGGGCAACACTTTGCCCATTCAGATCGTTCAGAAGGGAGCAGAGTTGTCGACCGACACTATCGATCAAATTTCCCAACTGGCCGTTTCAAGCGGCCAGCAGGTATACCTGGTAGACTGCGCACCTATTCTCGCTGATAATTATCAAACCTCCGACATCAACGCCTTTGTCAATAAATGGCTTGCCGCGACTTTCAACACCTTTGAGGAAGTTGTGCTGCTGGATGCAGACGTGGTTCCTTTTCTAGAACCTTCAGAATTCTTGGCCGAGCCTAATTATCGGAGAACCGGAGCTGCTTTTTACAAAGACAGGACCATCCTTTCCGAGCACACTTTCCCTTACTGCATTGAAATGTTCGATGGTCTCGAACCCTCACTAGAAGAGAAATACCTCATGAACCATACTACGAAGATAAACAAGGAGACCGTACCGCGCGGTAAGCTTAACGTCGAAAGTGAAGAGGAACGCTTATTCCAAAGATTCACGTATGATATAGTACTGCATGGCGTGGACAGCGGATTGGTAGTGTTAAAGAAAAGGGACAAAATGGCAACTTTGTTGCTTTCATTTCTCATGAATCTGGACAAGAAGGTCCAACGTTGCGTCTACGGCGACAAAGAATTGTTTTGGTTGGCTCAAATTTACATGGGCGAGGATTTCGTTCTATACCCGACAGCTGGTTGTGCCATTGGAGAGATAGAAAAGAAAAAGCTGGAAAATGGTCAAGAAGAGTACCGTATTTGCTCAACGCAAATGGCACATAGTGAAAATGGTCGTCTCTTATGGACAAACGGCGGGCTGGCAACTTGTAAAATTCGCAAAGCGGCAGAACAAGATTTTGAAACCTCACCCGAGTATTTCAGGACCCATTACCATGATATCAAGACGCTGGACGACATTTATTCGCGCCCGCTCATTATCAATGGAATAATCGTACCGGACGTTTTCGAAAGACCGTGGACACAGAAGGAAGAGTGTAAAAGGTATACATACTGCGCCTCCGCCCTAAAACGACCAGACGGAATTTTCTCACCAAATGCAGAGGTCGAACTGTTGGACGGCGTTGTCTTAAAAGAACTCAACTCAATTTCCCATCTCTGGAATTCGGAACCATGATAAGCATGTCCCTCCAGAGATGAAGTCGAATGCACTTACGAATCAAACCGATGTTTTTCGTAAGTCGCCCCATTGCTTTGTCTTGACGACAGGTTCCCAACAAAATACCGGGTTTCCGGCGGAATAAAAACCAGGAAAACATGAAGAGTAAATGCAAAAATTGAGGTCATACTGGTGATATGAATTTGACCATTTGGTGCTAATGGATAGCAGTAAAATAGGGTTTTGGTATTAAAGTACCCAATCGCGTACCTACTTGATACTCATTTCGTACAAAATGTGTTTCAAGTTTCGTGATCATTTTCAATAGGGGCCTGTAAGAATTAAGAAGATCGTTACTGGCCTTTTCTCGACATAGACTTGTAAAACAGTGGACCCTTCGTCTTCGTTTCCTAGATTCTGGATTAGCATGTACAACACGTACCAGAATCAGGGTTTCCCTGTCCAGGGACAACCGACCGGGTATTTTGGGTCACAAGGTCAATCAGTTCAGCAGAATCAAAATCCGAGTGGTGATTCGTATGGTCAACCTACGCAGGATTCTGCTTCTTACACGGGACAGCAGCCTCCTTTCACGTACAATAATTCTGGTGTAAACTATGGTCAGAATTCTCAGGCGAATTTTAACCAGGGCTCTTTTCAGCAGCCGTCGTTCCCGTACGGAAACGGATCACAGCCGTTTCAAAATCAGCAACAGACAGGATTTCAAGGCGGGAATTTACTAAGTGACAATCGGATCCAGCAGACTGGCCAGAACCCTCAGATGACGGGTTTACACAGCGGTATTTCGGGTGGACAACAAGAATTGCAGCCTCAGCAGACTGGGTTTTATTACACGAATTCGTCTCAAAATTTGCAACCCCAGCAGACAGGAATTGTTAACTCACAAGCCGCGCATCAACAACAACAACAACCACAGCAATCCTACTCTCAAATCCAGCAACTTCCTTTGGCACAGCGACAACAACAACCAGGCGAAAGTTTCGCTGTTCAGCCAACATTCAACGGTCAGCTTTCATTCCAGTCTCTACAACCACAACAAACTGGCTTACCCGCTCAGTCGCAAGAAGCCTTGCAGCCGTTGAGACCTGCCGCCACTGGATTTGTCAATTCCTTCGTGAAGAACGGTATCAATGAGGATGTGAAAATCCCAAATATAAGACTTTCGTTCATCACTGTCAATGACCAGGCCAAGTTTGAGAAACTGTTCCGGGCCTCTGTACCTGCTGGGTCCAATACGGTGTCTGGATCTGAGTGTAGAGCTATCCTCATGAGATCCGGCCTGTCCCCATCTCAACTTTCTAAGATCTGGACACTCTGTGACACCAGCAAAGCAGGAGAGCTTCTTTTCCCCGAGTTCGCACTTGCTATGCACTTGGTTAATAGCGTTTTGCAAGGAGATAGCATACCTTATGATTTGGACTACAAAACGAAAAATGAAGTTTCAAGTTTTGTAGATGCTATCAATCTGAGTATCGCAAATGGCGGCAGCTCCCAAGACCTATCAATGCCGAAGACACCTTTTGACAATCTAACCGCAGGAATGCCACCTCTGCAATCTCAACCAACGGGATTCATGCCTCAAACAAGTTTTGGCATGCCACTACAAAATCAAATTACTGGCGGTCGCCTTAACGTGCAGAGCACTGGCTACATCCCGTCTACCTCGTTCAATCAGCCTCTTGGCCTTCAGGCTACTGGAGGACAGCTTCAGCAGCAGCCAACTGGAGGCATAGCGCAGTCTTTCAACGTTACAGGTCAGCCTCCGAATTCCTTCATGCCGCCACAGTCAACGGGAGGTGCTCTTCAAGCGCAGACCACTGGTGGATTTTTGCAAGGTCAAAATACTGGAAATCTTTTACCTCAAGTTACTGGCAACATGCCTACGACCTCATTCAATCAAATGATTCAGCCTCAAATGACAGGTCCAATACCATCTCAATTGACGGGCCCTATGCAACCTCAGTTTACCGGGCCAATGCAACCTCAGTTTACAGGTGGCTTTGGAAATCAGGCAACGGGCTTGGTTTCGCAACCAACTGGATCGATGCCACCTACTTCATTTGGTCAATTGCCAGATCTGCGGTCTCAACCTACAGGATATCTCCCACCGTCGAATTTCAACCCTGTTGCGCCTTTGTCTGCTCAAAAGACGGGCTTTGGAAATAATGACTTGTATGCGCAGTCAATCTTGCCGAACCAATTCACGGCGGACAACTCTGATTCCATTTCTACGGAGGAAAAATCACTTTTTTATAAGATTTTTGAAACTTATGATACTGAGAAGAAGGGTATTCTTGCCTCTCCAGTCGCCGTTGAGATTTTCAGAAAGTCAGGTTTGAATAGAGGAGATCTCGAAAGAATTTGGAATCTATGCGACACAAATAATACTGGACAATTGAATAAGCAAGAATTTGCGTTGGGTATGCATCTTGTCTACAGGAGACTAAAGGGTTTTGAACTCCCCGCGAGATTACCACCAAGTCTCATTCCCTCAAGCACACTCATTTTAGATTCGGTTAAGAATCAATTGAAGACAGGAACGAATGAACGCGTAAAGGCTCCTACTAAATTTGATGGTTTGAGATTTAAAAATGATGACGATGACTTGCTACCTAGCTCGAGAAATCGTCGCAGAGCCCAAGGCAGCAATCTTGAGGCAGAAGCTAATAAAGACACTATTGTTTCATTAAAAGAGTCAATTGACCAGAAAAAGTCACAGATCAGACGCTCACGTGAAACAGATTTGAGACTAGAATCAAAACCTTCTTCCAAGCCTTCTTCTATGCTATCAGTGGAGGAGCTAAAGCAGAAGATTTTGGCTCTACCAAAGCAGTCCGAATTTTATCTGTCAAACGTCCCATCCGACTTGGCTATCAAATTCCAGTCGCTAACTCAAAGACTTCCAGCCTTGTTGAGTGAGATTTCTGACGTTGACAATCAAATAACAAATGCGAAAATTGAGCTCTACAAGTTGAGAAACCCTTCTGCGATCACTGGAAGCGGCCTTAATGGTGAGATTACCGAGCAGGATAGAAGAAAAGCGAAGAGCAAAGCTTTGTTAGCATCACGAATGGCTGCCTTGACTGGGAAGCCTGCCGCTGCTGTTAGTGACATCGAGCGTGAAGAGCAGACTTTCAATGAGGAGGTAAAGAGAATCAGAGAAGAAAACAACCAAAACCAGGTTATCATCAAGGATATTCAATCATCGATTGGCGATATCGCTAGCTCGTTACACTCTGCGCTCACGGGAAATGGTGACACTGATAATTCTTTCAGCAAGTGGGAACTTGGTGTCGGCGTTGATCCCCAGGTGAGTTCGTTTATTCGCCAACTCAACCAAGATGTCCAGTTTGCTAGCGCTGGGCAGCAGAGCGGCCACTCACAAACAGGTCGTGATGGAGTGTTTCAGTCTGACAACTTAATAAAGTCAAACGATAAAAGTCTAGGGGCGCTCCCACAGGAAAGCAGGGCTTCCACTTTGAAGGATCAGGCAAGAAGAAAAATGAACGAGAGGTTGGCCAAGCTAGGCGTCGGGACTGGTCACGCTCTCGAGACACAGAATGTCCCATCTTCAAAGTCACCTGCTATAAAAAATTCCGAGGTTAATCTTCAAGGAAGTTCATCTGTTGTGGACAACACTGATGAGGACGAAGAGGTGAGAAAGCTGATGGAACAGCTAGAAAAACTCAAGGCGAAGAAGACGGCCGAGCGAGAAAAGTTATCACCCGTGCCAACGACTGCTTATGAGACCACTCAGCAGCAGCAGCCTAAAAGCGTCCCAGTTCAACCCACACCAACGTTAAGCGAGGCTCCGCGTGAGAGAGAGACAACTAAAGATCAAGAGAACGATTCCTGGGATGACGAGCCCAATGAGCCACAGCTCAGCACTTTATCACTGGATTCGAGTATCAAGAAATCGGAAGAAGTGAGCGCTTCGCCAAGTGCGAGTGCGAGTAGCAGCGCGAATGTATCTCATCATGAATACAATCCGTTTAGCAGAGCACCCGATGCGGGAGGTGCGTCTATGAGTGCTTCACCGGCTCCCAGGAACACTGCCTCGGGTAGAAACCCTTTTTTTAAGCAAACTCCGTCTAGCACATCCTCGTTTGACGCCAAGAAGGCAGAAGAGCAGAGAAGAGTTCAACGAGGTCTTGCAGACGATGACGACTGGTCCGATGACGAAGAAAAGCCTGCTGAACCTATAATCGTCCCATCACAGCCAACTCCTGAGCCACCCGTACCAGCTGTACTAACTGCTCCTTCATTGCCTACTATGAATTTGGATCCCGTTAGCGGAGAAAGCGTCACCCGGCCTTCCGAGATTCCTGATAGCGTGGCTGTACCTCTTGCTCCTCCATTACCTACTCTCGCGCCAGATCCCGATAGCAACAGCACGGTTCATCCTATTGCTCCTCCATTGCCGCAGCTAACTTCCAACACACAAGACACAGCTCATGCTGCATCTGAGACTGCATCTGCCCATGCGATACTTCCACCACTACCAAAGCTTGAAATCAACGATCCAATTCCCGCTGTCCCGCTTGCACCTCCTCTTCCTCAAATCAACAGCGACTTAGGATATTTGAATGTCAAAAATACCGTGACAACCACAGCAGATGACGACCAATCTGACGTTCTTTCCATTCCGGAATCTGTAGATTCTGAAGAAGATTCAAACCCTCAACCTCCAGCTGCAAGTACAACGTTACCACCTTCCGGAATCCCACCTCCACCACCTCTCCCATAGATGCAATGTACATTAATTGATCATTGAACTATTACATAAAATACTTATTTCCCTCGCAAATAACCAGCCATTGGATCTGCAAATTCTTCAACATCTTCTTCACCAGTTGCTCCAATAACCTGTTCGCCGACGATATCCCTCTCTAATTCCTTAAACATAGCATCAGCATACTCTTCCTCATCTTTCCTAGGCCTATAGAACGTATGATCAACTTTTATGGTACGACCTGCAATGACTGTGCCATTCAAGTTGTCTACCGCGAGTATCGTGGATCGTTGATCTTCGTATTTGAGAAACCCAAATCCTTTGGACTCTCCAGAGTCTCTATCTCTAACTAACTTCAAATCCACTGGTACACCATACTGTGAAAAAACCGTCAAAATGTCACCTTCCGTAAGTTCTTTGTTCAATCCTCCAATGTATATATAAGCCCAATCCTTGTATTCATCGTGCCAAGAAGCTGTAGATGAAAGTATACCACTTTCAAGTTCTTTTCTACTTAACCTTTGAAGCGATCTTATTTGATTCATGTATGGCTTACTTTGGGTTTATTTAATTGGCAATATATCATGATGATCTTTAATTCCTTTTGAGATCACTAACCTTTAGATTATGAACTCGATGAACTTAGAAACCGATTTTTCTCAGTTTTCTACCTGTGATATTTCGGATGGCCTTTTGAACAAATATGGATTAGCTGAAGGTGGGTTTTTGCCAAATTTGACCAGATGGTCAGGTTCCGAATCAATTACGAATTTCGGGAGAGCTTTTACGGTACTTTTCGCTCCAAAAGAAGATCCTAGACCCGAGGTTAACTACATCGATGAGATTCCAAGTGGATCTTGTTTGACCATTGCACTGACATTACCGTTACAATTAGAATGCGCGCCTTTTGTGCGAATTCCACAGGCTCTTTATGGTGGGTTAATGACAACAAGAGCCAATTACTTAAGGGCAGCGTTTACCGTGGTTTTTGGTCGTATCAGAGATTTGGAAGAACATCGAGCTTTGAATTATCCTACTTTTAGTTATGGTTTAGGGACCTGTGCCGCTAAAATGGCAGTCAAGCCTGTTGAAGTCAATGTTCCCTTGTCCATCATTACTGGAGAAGGCCAGATTCAAATGATTCATCCAGGAGATTACATGATTGGCGATGCCCATGGCATAGTGAGAATTCCTATGCAAGACGTCCTAGTTCAAGATCTAGTAGAATACGTTCGCAAATCGAAAGAAGTCGATGAACTTGTTGCCCAAGATATCCGTGACGGTAAGCCTGCAAAAGCTTCTCAAAAAGCTAGAAGAGCCGTGTTAGCAAGTTTTGTGTGACGCTGCTGCCGGAAGGTGAAGGTGGTAAATATTAAGTAGCTATTTCTCTCTTTAAAATTACATGATTATTTGTGCTTGCTCCTCTTTTTCGTTGCATCTGCCACAAGTTCCTCAAAGACTTGGGCCTCTTCTTGCTCCACTTTGGTGCGGTACGCCCGTCGGAACACCTTCCCAAGCAAGTTTAGCGTCTGTGCTCTTCTTACTTTCGAATGTCTGTCGATAGTGTCGTCAGTTAATACTTTGTCGCAGACACCGCGAAGCGTAGACATGATCTCGAATTTGGATCCGTGCCAAGCGGCTGACAAGACTTTACCCATCAGCAATTGTTCGAACTGAGCCACTTCTTCTGCAGAAGGTTTGGGTATTTCGTGACCTTTTTCGTCTCGTAACACGTCTTTGGATTCTGCTGCTGTTTTCAGCTTTTCCAGCTCCTGCATTGTGTTTTGGGCGTCCAGGGCGGCAGATACCGTCTTCAACGTGTCCATTACAACTCCGCCTTTGGCCTTCAAAGAATGGAACACACCGCCAAACCCCCACACCAATTGAGACTTCAGAAAGATTTGTGCCTTTTCGCAGTACACCTCACCAATTGTATGCAGAATGTCAAGCCCAAACGACTCCATTTTAAGCATGTTGGCCTCTTCTTCAAATTTTTTCTCGAAGGAGTCCTTGCACGGTTGGTCGTAAGCGCTTTCGGTGAGAATGGACAGTCGCCCTATAAGTGTTTTGGCAAGTTCTTCGATGGTTTTCTCCTTCTCTAAGCGCTGTTCTTCTTCAAACGCTTCAAGCTTCGTCTTTTTCTTGGATTTCTCGTCTTCAGACTTCTTCTGCGTCGTAGCAGCCGCCTCGGCAGCAGCTCCGTCTGTCAACAACACTTTCGAAGCTGCCACTTCCGGACTCGCTGCACCGTCGCTGGCAGACTTTTCACCAACCTCTTGCGCAGCAGTGTCTCCGGCTTTTTCCTTTTCCTCCTTCTTCTCGAGCTCGTCCTCCGCACTCAATTCCTCCGTCTTTTGCAGATTTTTCAGCAATGTCAGCTCCCCGATATATGATGCGAACGCATCACCACCAAAAATCATCGAAAATTGCTCCGCAGCGTCTTCAAACCCTTCTTTGGGTACCGCTTCCTCTTTGCCAAACTTATCGTACTTCGCACGCAGCTCTTGGCTACTCAAAACTTGGTACGCTTGCGAAATCGCCTGGAATCTTTCCGTAGCTGACGGATCATTGGGATTCTTGTCAGGATGCTCCTGTATCGACTTCTTTCGGTACGCTTTTTTGATATCTATATCTTTGGCATCTGGCAAAACGCCCAATAGGTCGTAATACGTCGTATCGACTACCATTTGCGTCTCAACTTGGACTCTTATTGAACCGGCTTCGGAGCTAACTCGAGTTCTCCCAATGTCAAGTTCTTTGATTTTAGACATGTATCATTAGATACGGGTATCTACTGATTCTCATCTCATCGTTATCAGAAATCAACTTAGATAACGATACCCCAGGAAACTGAGATGATTAGCGACTTATTAGTATTGAAACTTGCGGATCATACCGGTTTGACTGACATTAGCTCTTGCGGTTCGCATGCTGCAACGGCCTCTTCCTTTCGAACCCTTAAAATTGCTTCTTTTTAAGCCCGTTCGTCTTGATTCAAAAACTTGCTTTGTATGCTCTCATATTGGTTCGAATTGAACGTAAGATGTCTTATTGTTTCTCTTCGCATTGCCTCTTCGCACTTGCCTACTTGTTACTCACGTCTTATACCACTTATGTTCATTGTCGTTTAAGCTGAGTTTCTGCTATATAAGTGTAGATGAAACTGCAGAGACTCGGCCGCGAGATCCGAGTGCAAGACTGAAAGCTCAAGAAAAGTGGTCAGGTCTCGAATGACCTCTTTTAGTATAGCCGCTGAGTCTGCAGCCTCTTTCAAGCGTAATGTGTTGGTAACGTTACCTACTTTCAGTTCAGATCGTCGTGTGGATCTAATTGTTCAATTCTCTCTGTCGTGGATTCTCGACGCTCCGGAGCCTCTGGAGTCTCTGGTTGCTCATCGCCAATCAGTCCCGTGCGGATTTGACGCTCAATCTCTTCTGGCGTGTGACTGATACGCACCGCGTCTCCATTCTGGAAAACAGACGTTCTTGATTCGCTCACAGAGACACTCTCGTCCGATTCTTCAAAATTACGACGCGAACAAGACTTTTGCAGTTCATCGATACTGTTACTGATAGAAGCTGTGTGGTTAGTCTTTTGCAATTCGTCGGTACTGTTACTGATAGAATCTGTGTGGTAACTTGATAGTTCGTTAACGCCTTGGTTGTCCTGGTCTTGTGCCGTTGGTGAAATAGGCTCATCCTGTGGTTTCGGAAGAGCCCCACTTTCGAAGGAAAATTCCGCAGATGTGATCGACCATGTCTTGATTACGAAAATGGAATTTTGTTTCGGCGTAGCAACCACTTTCTCCACATTGGCTAGACTTTTGGGAAGTTTACGACCTTTTGGACCCCGCGGACCTCTTGATCGGGGTGTGTTTGTTGCCTTCGACATTATAGTGTCGGCGTCACTGTCGGCAACATTGTCGGTAACATTGTCAGGGACACCGGAAGACATCATCCCCGGACTTGAGTTCCCCGCTGCAACTTTTGCAGCAGAGTTGACAGGTGGCCCATTTCCTCGCGCAAAAATTCCGTCAAGACTCGAAACGATATTAGATCGATTACCCCCAAACCCTGGCGCTTTGAAACCTTTACTCTCTTCAGATCCTCTACCCAAATCCTTTCGCTGCTGTTGCTCAAGCATTTCCTGGAAAGCTGCGATCTTGGAAGACGGTTTTTTCGGTGGAGGTGGCGGGTTCTTACGTTTGGGACGTTGTGGGACCTTGGGTATTCCTTCGGCTGCTACTGGCGTATGATCGTTAGCTTCTTTCGTCAGCTCCAAGTCTCGTAGCTCATCTTCGGGTTGCTGAACGTCATTTGCAGAACTACTCGCGCTGAGCACCTTCCTTGGTTTATCTGACGTAAGTTCCAACTCAGATTCATTCGCTTGATAGACTTCAATTTTAGGTTCAGTAGTTTCCAGCAAATCTGTCGAAGTGCCTGCCTTGTCAGCTTCATGATCGTCAGATTGGCTTGGAGGGGCGATCTGATCAGAGACCTTCGTTTTTGTTGCACAGGGCGAGAGGCTCTCAATTGGAGTTGTGGCTTCTTTTGAAGCACGGTTTTCAATCTCCACGACGCTTTCGACATCATCTGAGCTCTTGGCACTTGTCTCGAGATCTTCGGAGTGTTCTGCCTCATGGGGCTTGTCGCTCAAAATTTCAGTTTCTATAGCCGTTTCAGTAGATTTATTCGTCACGCTGTTCGACTCTAAAGCATCCCCACCGGTGTAATCGTCACCGCCTAACTTTGGAAATTCCTCCTCCCTCGACTCTCCTATATCCCTAGTATGCCTCCTTTGAGGCCTGTTAGTCGGGATCCGAGGCTTCTTATCCAAATCACTCGTTGTACGTGTTCTCACTGGACGAGACATCGGTATCGATGGCATAACCTCTGTACGCTGTTGAAAGTTAGTGACTGTCAGTGACCATATATCACGTTTATTCATACTTCTGTGGGTCTTGGCGGAACCACTGGTTGCAGCTCACTCTTATCAGTCATTTTGGGTACTTTGAGTACTTGTCAAACGGAACTCGCACCAAAGAGTGTATCGCTAGCTATCGTGACCTAGTTCCCGCTTTACCAAACAATTATGTACTTGATCAACTTTTTGTCATGATCTCTATCGTAAATTCTTACTGCTCTGAAAACTCGGGCTAAGTTGGGAAGGCCGTAACGGTCGGCATCTCGCCTACAAGCTCTGATTGCATTTACATAGATATACCTCGCTAAGCAGAGTAGTTTAAACGGAAAATATCGTTAAACACATAGTACGAGTTTCCCTCTGGCATTAGATGGAAAACTTGGGAAAATCTCTGTGCGTTTTGTTCTTCATCTATCAGCAAATCACCTGTGATCATGACCAACACGTCACCACTGGGTGACGCTGGTTGTGCGTCCAAAGTACTGATTCTGTGTGCCACTTTTTGAAATGGTAGCGAAACCAATTTTTCAACAATGTCCCTTGAACCTTGCAGTTGTGTAGTCTCAAATGTCAACATTGACTGGTCTCTGTACAAGTTTCCCAGCAAAGACCGGTCCGTATCGAATTGGTTGTAGTAGAATTCTGTGAATTGCTGTGCCAAGGAGTTGAAATCCACCGACATCTTATCTTGATTTGTTTGTTAATTCACCAACGATGAGTTTAACAAAGCCTGTTTATTGATCATCAACGATTTCCAAAATTTTCGAGAGTTTTGGATGAGGTCGGGTAACTCCTTAGAATTTCAAGAATCTAAAGGGACATCAAGATGACTAGAACTGGATGTTTTTGACGGAGTTGGTGACGATCACACATGTTGAGTAAGAAATCACCGTTCAAGATTCTGTCACACAGTCGATCTGGATCTGCAGATGAATCCGGCGTATCGAGTTTCCATAAGAGAAGTGTATCGGCTGGTAGTCATGGTCCTCCGGTGTCTGGACATCAAAGGAACGTTTCGCGATCGTCAAACACATCTACCAATTCGAACTTTCTAGCGGAACAATACGAACGAGACCGTCGTGGGATTATACAGAGTTGTTTTGAGCCCAAAAGTCATGAAAATAATGGGCAACCTACGGAAACGTACGTTACGCATGTGAGAGTTATTGAAGACGGTAGGTATCCCAGTTCAAGACCCCCTGCGAACTCGCCATTGACCAATAAGAAAAAAAGAGTTCTCATCATTGGGTGTAGGACGGACGCAGGCGGAATGCAGTTGCACAAGGCGCGCGAAAATGCCAACGGAGGGTTCCAAATTGGGCGGACTTGGGATCTCAGAGAACTCGCCAGTATCGAGCGAGATCGACATCAGGACGAAGGTTTCATATTTGCTATGGGAAAGAAATATTACTGGGAAACCAACAGCGCCAAAGAACGTACTGTTTTTATCAAGAGCGTTGTGAAAATCTTTATGGACAACTCCGGCGGTCACGTCCCGGAATTGCTGAATTGGGATCTGGGGTTGTTTTACTTGGATGAGTCCAGCTACCAGCGTGCGGTCGTCAGACAGCCTTCTAAAAAACAGAAGCCGGCTGAATCTCTGTTGGACTCGGGGAATCGGACCATGAACTCTGAGCGCAGTTCGCACAGTGGATCAGGGTCTATCAACGGAAGACAGCAGTTGAGTGATAATCGCAAGGAGCGCCGTCCGTTGCAAGCTAGATCTGGATCCACGCGAGAAAAACCACATCAGCCTATAATTTTCCCCGCAGAAAGATCTCACCGGAATGATTCTCAGGTCGCAGAACCGATCGCCCCGAGAAGATCCTCACCCAAAAAATGGGAAGAAAACCACGGATCAAGTAATAACAGAGATTCTGAGCAAAATGGGGTCAAAGAAACTGCAGAAACGTCATCTAATACCCAAAACATCAAGCAGCAGCCTGTTTCATTGTACGAAGCGGCTCCTTCCTCTTTGGTGGAATCGAATCCTAGTCTGCCTAGCGCAACCTCGTACGGAAGGGAGGAAACCGCAGAGGAGAGACATGACGCCAGCAATTTTTTGGCAGACCTCAATGCCGCTTTAACACCTGAGCCACAGCTAGATCTAAAAAAAAACCAAATCCATAAGGGACGTTCAGAAACCCCTCCTTCAGCCAGCATTGATGTAGAGGAAGATGATGATCACAAGGACGATGATCACGAGGACGATGATGACGATTTTGCCGAGATGTACAAGTCCAGCTCTGAATCAGAAGAAGATCTGAACGCTGAACTGTCGTTGGACAGCGAGGTTAAAGATTTGTCGTTCGAAAAAGATGATGAAGTACGTTATAGCGGTGTTTTCAATGAAGAAGAGTACCACGAATACCATGAGGTTTCTACCATAACGGAAGAGCCTTTCCTTCCGACCAAATTCGATCATGTTGATGAGCATCTCAGAGAGATTAATGAAACGTCCGAATCAGTTGACACGCAAGGAATACTTGAAATTTTGGATGATTTGAATTGGGAAGTGGATGGTGATCCAGAACGGCTTTTATTAAAGCTCCATAATTGCATGTCCGTGACCGCTTATGAGCTTAACCAAGAAATGCTCCATCTTTCTACCCAGAGCAAGGATCGCTCCGTCTCGAAAATGAAGGTGCAGGCTGAATGCGACAAGCTGGATCCCAGCATGTCCTTTTTCGTGATGGAGATGTCCACCCTTTCCAGAGATATCGAATTTGTCGAGTCTCAAAACAATGGACTCCAAATTGAAACTTCAAATAAAAAAATGTTATGGAGGGAATTAACGGACATTTTAAATTCTGTTTCCATCGATGAAAAGACTCTCAGCAATTTCTTGTCTCTCCCCATTAGTGAAAGAAGCTTAGAAAGCTTGGAAAAGACACTGGGCTCTTTATTCGTTGCTGTGAAAGCTATCTATGGTGATGATCAGGAGAAGGACAACAGTTTAGAAAACATGAAAGCATTGAAAGAAAGAAGACAAACCTATGAAAAAGTAGCAAAGCTTTTTGTTAGGAGAGCGGAGGCAGAAATGGAGAAAAAAATCGCGAATCTGGGCTCAGCGAGCGTTTCCAATGAGCAACTCGAAAATATGCTATCCCGAATGTTAATTTATTCTTCTTTGGTTCTTTTCTGCAAGGGCATTTTGCCGAACTCATATCAGGAAATCGTGTTCAAGTGGAACGAGCGCCTTGCCTTGATTTATGGTTCAAAATTGGAACCTTTTTTAGCTGACATGGACCAAGTACTAAACAATGGTAAATTATTGATTATGAATGAAAAGTCGAATGAGATGAGCCGCCTTATCAAATGCTGGGAAAATTTCAAGGCCTCTAAAACGGTCAAGCGTGAATTGCCCGTTGAAATGCCTTTACTTCGGACTCTTTTCTCAACAATGGACGGAATGAATGAATTATGCGTTACATATAGAAATTTTATTGGAGATTTCTTTCAGGTTGGTAGCGAATTTGATTTCGTCACTTACATCGAGAGATATCCCGAACTGTCACAACGTATAAAGGATCTGCATGACATTCAACCCATGGAATCCGACCGCAACGCAGCAATTGAGAAGGGTCATTTGACCTCCACCACTTTTCAACCATTTTTCAACTCTTACAGCGAGAAACTAGGTGCATTTGCCTCTAACAACTTTACATTAGGGCCTGCAGTTTTGTTGAAAATCGAGAAATTTCTGCGCAACGTGGTGTCTTCGAATCAGGAATTTTTGATAACGGTGTATTCAAAGGTCTTCAATAAGGTTGAACAGGACTGGCAAGCTGTTTTAGGGGAGTGCGCGATCCAAGTTGAACGCAATTCCTCGAACAACACTTCCATAGGCATCTCGCCCTTTGTCGCAGAGTTCACGTACTTTGTTAAGGCAGTGGAAGACTGTCAATTTTCCGTACTACAACAACTGAAGATTGATGACACTCAGTGCGCGGATTCTTTAGGAGCGATATCGAGTGCATATGAAACTTATGGGAAAGCTATCATTGTTTGTCTTGACAAATTCAGTTCGCCTCAACGGAACCAACAGCAATCTCTTATCGACGAGGAGAGCAAGGTAACCTTAGTCGGCATGCTTTTTGACTGCAATTGGCTGGTCGAGATGCTATCACTCTATTCAAATGATCAGTTAACGACTGTGGTAACGTATGCGAAGCAATCGTTCGACGCCAATAAAGATTTTTATGCGGAAGCACTACTTAGATCTTCCATGGGTTATTTCTACACTTTCGTGGTCGGCGCACATGACTTGATAAAAGCTGCTAACAGAGAATCAGCCGATCCATCCAAATGGGCCGCATATAGTCAGCAAAATTTGGACAAGATATTGGAAGCATATACGTCCAAAAGCATCACCGAGTTGATAGATGGCCTATTTCTTCAACTCAAAAATGACTTAGGCGAGGATTCGCAAAATCTGGGCAGTGATTTACGTGTGAAGCTATGGTCCTGCGTACAAGGTCATTTTGTCTCGACCTATTTGAAGTTATACACTTTGATAGATCGGCATTACAAGGGCTCAACTATAAAATTCACCAAGAACGAAATCATTATGGCTTTCAACAAGCATAAAGTTGATTGATGAGAGAGTTGGGCGCATAATAATAGAGGCAACCGAAGTCTAACAGAAAAGACTCAACTCCGGTGAGAGGATGTTGATCTCTACCTTGTTCAACCACTAAATAGCATTTTATACGTACAGAGCATTGAACCTGACGCGTAATGAAATGTTGGCTCATCGCGTTTAGACTAAAACACAGAACGGAAGTTAGGTGAGGTAATGCACTCAGAGGACAGTGACTATGATGATGATGAGATAGAGGATTTGTTTGAGAGTGCTGTCAATAGGAGAGTCGAGAAAACTGTGTCTCGAACGGCGTTACCTGTACAAAGAACGCTTGACGGCCATGTGCTTCCAAATCAGCAGCTTTTTTACGAGGAGATTAAGGCCAAAACGTCTTTTGGTCGCACTCATCATATACTAGATGAGACCAATTTGAGCACTTACGTGTATCCTTCGAATTTTGAAGAGCGTGATTATCAATTTGAGATAGTACGGAAGGCTTTATTTGAAAATGTGATATGTGCCATTCCAACAGGAACTGGTAAAACTTTCATAGCCAGTGCTGTGATGCTCAATTTTTTCAGATGGACCAAGAATGCAAAGATTATCTTCACTGCGCCAACACGACCGCTTGTTGCCCAACAAATTCAAGCCTGTTTAGGAGTTACCGGTATACCTTACGAGGACACTGCTATTTTATTGGATAAATCTCGCAAAAACAGAGTTGAAATTTGGAACTCTAAGAGGGTCTTTTTCACCACGCCGCAGGTCATTGAAAATGATTTAAAGAGGGGAGTCTTGAATCCTAAGGATGTGGTTTGTCTTGTGATCGATGAAGCGCATAGGGCACGGGGAGCATATTCTTATGTAGAGGTGATCAAGTTTATGGACAGGTTCAATACTTCTTATCGCATTTTGGCTTTGACTGCTACTCCCGGGGCTGATCTCGAAGGTGTTCAAGAAGTTGTAAACAATCTCAACATATCACGAATTGAACTCAGAACAGAGAATGACATTGACCTCTCGAGGTATATGAAGAATAGAGAGCTGGTGGAGCTAGACGTTAGTCTCACGCCTGAAATTGAAGATATAATAGAGCAATTAGGGATAGCGATAATGCCCGTTTTGAAGGAAGCTGTGGAGCTTGGAATTTACGATGAGTGCCATCCTTCACAAATCAACGCCTTCGTTGCATTTCAAAAAAGTCAAAAAATCGTGGCAAATCCAACCATCCCCGAGGGGGTTAAGTGGAGGAATTTTTTCATTTTGCAAGTCTTGAGCCATATGGGACATATGCTGAAGAGGCTCAAGATTTATGGAATACGGACTTTTTACAGCTATTTTGAGAATAGGCATAAAGAATTTACAACGAAGTTCAAGATTGGGAAATCTACGAATAAAACGGCCGCTTCATTTTATTATAATCCCATTTTGAATTGCATTATGAAAAAATGCACTCAGCTTCTCACTGAAACCACTTTTCTAAGTCACAACAAGTTGCGCCATGTGTCCGACGAACTCCACGAGTTTTTCAAAAATTGTAGACACGACTCCAGGGCCATCATTTTTACAGAGTTGAGAGAATCGGCTCTGGAAATTGTTAAATTCATCGATTCTATTGGTCAAAACGATCTGAACCCTCACATTTTCATTGGGCAGGCCCGTGGAAAGGATGGATTTGATGATGAAGACTATCTACTGAAACATAAGCCCAAAGGGCGGAAAAAGGCTGACAGAATTAAGCGACAGCAAGAAGGGCTCAAAATGGAACGAAAGAAGAAAGAAAGTAGGGAAGAAAAAAGACTAGAAAGATTGGCGAGCCGGACTGGTAGCTCAGAAGAGGCCCAAATTTCCGGAATGAATCAAAAGCAACAGAAAGATATACTATCCAAATTCAAAGAAGGGGTCTACAATGTTCTTGTTTGCACCTCTATAGGAGAGGAGGGCCTGGATATAGGGGAGGTGGATTTGATCATTTCTTATGACACGACAAGTAGTCCCATCAAAAACATACAACGGATGGGTAGAACAGGCAGAAAAAGAGACGGCCGGGTTGTTTTTCTTCTTAGCGGTAACGAATCAACAAAGTTCCATCAGTCAATGCGTGATTATGCAGAATTGCAATCAATTGTGAAACGTAATTTCATTGAGTGCCAGAAGTCAGACCGTATCCTTCCCGGAAATGTAAGCCCGACCTGCGAAAGAAAGTTTATTACCGTCGGTGAAAGGAATGAAGAAGTAAACGACATGACGGAGGCAGATGACGTTATCAAGTTTGCTACGCAGGCTATGCTGGGGAAACTGAGTACGAAAAGGAGACCAGCAAGAAGGACGAATAAATCCGAACCTAAATTTGAGAAAAGGTTCTTCATGCCCGATAATGTCGAAACGGGAATTGTCAAGGCAAGTTCTCTGGTTAATAAAGCCACGGTTGGTGGCCAGCCGTCGGCTCAGCTGTCGGATCCTGAAGTTCAGCAGGAGCCCGCAGCAGACGACTTCCGTCATCCAATCCTAGACGATATTACATTCACTTCACCGGACATTTCTCCGGGCAAATCTCCAGAGGAAGAGAAAAAACTCTTACAATCTCCAACGAATCTGTTGGACGCTTTGACACGTCATAAACCTTCGTTGCATTTTGAGCCCAACGACCTCTCGTCGGAGCGCAAAGAGTTCTCATCAGAAAGTGCGGATCTCTCGCTCAAAAGACCACTGGACTCCTGCACGTCCTTTGAGTTATCGGACGACTTGCAATCCAGCAGGGGCAATGCTCCTGTGAAGAAGTTTCGCCATGACAACGATGCGACCGCCAACGTTCCGCGATCGAAAGCATTGGACTCCACGAGACTTTATAAGAAGCATTTCAAGAAGACTGACGGTTTATTAAGCTCACAGGAAAAACGTTACTTCGAAAGACATTATTTTGCATGCAGTGGTGTTTCAATTGAGCCCATTCCAAGCATTACGCAGCACCATAGAATGAGTACGATACACCATTCATCAAGAACCGCGGCACTTATCGAAATATTCGAAGCCATGGACCAGAACACGAAACAGGCAATCCAAAACATATCCAACATTAAAGGGATTGCTGCCAAAATTGGTCCCCTGGGTTCGAGCGCGGACGGCTCGATCGGCCCCAGCGTTGTGCTCGTTTCCGACTGGAACAAGTCGGAAGTGGCTCAAAATTTACCGAACAAGCCGGCATCAGCTGGCGGATGGCATGAGCATCTCCACCAAAACGCGCCTGTATCGCAATATAAACCTGCTGACCCCGAACTGTTCCAACTTCTAGACTCAGACTTGTCTGACTTCTGATCCGAATCCATCAAAATCACCAGCGTACATTCTAGTCTCCTAGATGCGAATTTTCTGGGCCGGATCCTTAACCGCATTGGGTAATTAGACAGACCATAGAAAAAAAAACAATTTTGGAAAATCGACTATATAAATACAGGGAAATTCAATTAATGGCAATAGAGATCTGTTTTAGAGAGACCATCCTTATGCACGGGAAATACGCATATCAGTGAGGATTCGTCCGAGATTGTGTTATTGCTGGTTGAAATTAAATTTAACCGACCGCTCCTCATAGCTATATGTGCCTTTTTTGCACTGGGGCTATGTAGGGAATTTTTGGATTCTTTTTTTACTTGTTTTGACAAGCAATTCTTTCCATCTTTTGAATATTTCGACGTGAGGGCACGTTGGAGGAGTTGGGAGATGACGTTGGTTTGTCGTAGCTTGTAGTAGGTCTAACTCTGTAGTTGAAACAAGTGGAAGTCGGCGCTCGAGAGAGTTCGTCCGGGTAAGATTATGAGGCTCTATTGAAATTTTGCAAGCATCGCATCGCATTTCCTATCTTCGTACTGGGAAAGTGTGGGCAGCTTTCCGAGTATAGCAATGTTCAAGAAGTATGTATAAATCAGACGTTTGGCGAGAGTGCCCAATGACGCTTTTCTAGAATCTAACCCTTGAGTTTACAGATTTTCGCGCGAGGACGTTCACTCGAGATCTAATGTCAAATCATCTGTTCAAAGGACGTTGAAGTCTAAGTTGATCGCGCAATATCCGCAGCTGGAAGAAGTTATTGACGAGCTTGTACCTAAAAAAAGCCATTTCGAACTCATCAAATGTGAAGACAAAATTCAACTATATACAGTGGACAGAGAAGTATGCTTTTTCCAGAATTTTGACGAGTTGATTCCAACTTTAAAATTTGTTCACAAGTTCCCACAAGCGTTCCCAACTGTTCAAGTCGACCGGGGTGCCATTAAGTTCGTTCTTTCAGGTGCAAACATAATGTGCCCAGGTTTGACCTCTCCAGGTGCTAATTTGCCAGATGCACCTGGTCTTCCGGAAGGCAGTCTAGTCATAGTGAATGCGGAAAATAAAGAAAACGCTTTGGCTGTTGGTCGTTTGCTCATGAGCACAGAAGATATCAAGTCAATTAACAAGGGCCATGGCGTTGAACTTCTGCATTACCTGGGCGACTGCCTGTGGAACTTTTCCATTGAATAGATCTAGTAGGTGGATGCATATTCCCATTCTGATATAAATGCAGCAGAATTAATTAAAACTAGTCATTTCTTCGAAGTGGGCGCGGGTAATACGCGCAGCATTTGTTCATCTCTAATGTCGTAATCTTGAATCGGAGAAAATTCCAAATTGAATTCTTGAATTGTTTCCCCAGTTATGTATCCAAGGTCAAATTGGTCCAAGCGTCGCGATATAAGTCTGGCAACAATACTTTTGAGAAATCGAACCGAATACGATGGTTGTGCGTATACCTCACCGATAATTTGATTCTCTTGTTTGACGGAAAGCTTCAAAATCTTGAGCTTAGGTTCATCCGGTGCTGGACCCTTGCCTGAAATCTCACCGGAAGATACTATATTATGAACTTTCGAAAGCCGATCCCAACTGCTTGATTGGCGGTCGATAGTCATTTTCCCAGTCAAGACTTGCCTAATGAAGTATATTTCAGCCTCTTTTCTCATAGCAGCACTTAAAATACTACCATTCACTACCTGCAAGTGGCCGTTTCTTGCAATAATCTCATAAAAGATATCGTCGCCATCTAAGGCGTCCCATATAGGATTGCCATTGACCCTCAGATTTTTAATATTTGGGCAAATTGAATCAATTTTCGTAATCTGCGCATGTTCATCAATGCAGTTGTAAGAGATATCAAGACTTTCCACATGAGGTAGACATTTCGTTTGAACCTCTCGTATTCTATTGTGGGCCAAATTTACCGAGAGTTCACTGAGACCATTCAGTATTCCAGGAATGGATGAAAGGCCATTGTTTGTAAAATTAACCACTTTCAGAGATACCGGTAATCTTAAAACGGAGTTCAGATGTAGCCTATTTTCGGAACATTCGAGCTCTTCTAATGAGGCGAAAACCTCAAATAAGTAAGCCAAATCTTTGTCTTCTAAACCACAATTATGAGCCCTGAGTCGTTTCACACCGGGAAGTTTTATTATATGCTTGGTGCGTAAAAACTGAAAACGATTGCCGCTGATGTCTAGGGTGTTTAGCATAGGGAAATTTTGAGCTATTTTAATCACATCGTCAAAGCTCGAAAACAAATTAAATGACAAATCTAGATCGAAGACGCAACTCTTTATTTTACTAAAAATTTGTGACTCTCTCAAGCTTCCCACTGTGTAAACATTGCAATGAGTCAGTGAAAGATGTGCCATACGTTTAGCAAGGTTTCGCCGCTGTTGGAATTCTTTCAAACCGCTGATGTCCACTACCTTTTCACCAAAAAAAATGCTAGGAAGTTCACCATAGTCGCCTTGGTGTTTATCATATAGTGCTTCGGTGAAAGACACTCTTTGTTCACTGCTTTGAATTATTTTCTCAACTTTGATGAATGATCCAGCGTTCAACACACGAGTACTGAAGTATTCTATACCATCGATAGCACCTGAATGCTTTCCCCTTGAGGGATCATCCCATTCGACGCCGTAAGCTATTGAATCATCCCATCTGTGAATTTTGCCAATAAACAAAATGGAGCATTTCTCTCCAGCAATGCTGAGCCGCTCCCCAACTTTGTGAATTATAACAGGCATTTCGGGCTGCTCTCAAAGGTCAGCGATTCTTTTTCAGTCTAAAGTTTGGTGATTTACCTTTACAATCTTGCATCCTATACAAAGGTTACATACTTTGATCTAATGGTTTATACCTTTTCAAGAGCTGAGATCCCGAAATTAGATGGAAAATAAAAATAGATAAGAAATGAGGTGATCCCATGATTGAGGAAGTAGTGTACAAAGTATTTATGATTTATATCATGCAAATTAGCACCAATGGTCAATCTAGGACATTTTGTTGGAAGAATCTACGGCATTGTCCAAACAAGAAAATAATCCATCTAGATCGAACTCTTTAGACCATTCGCTCACTACGGAGGTAGATTCGGACTGGTTGACACTCGGTGCTACTTTAGTGTTATTCTCTGTGCCTTGAGTCGAGGTATCAGAGTCTTTGGAAGCTTTTGGCATAACCCAGCCAAGGATTTTGCCATCTCTCCAATCGCTGAGAACAGATAGACCAGCACTATTCAGGTTGGGAATACCACCTTTTCCAATGCGACCTCTCTTACGTGCAACATGGATCAAAAACTGCTTGGTAAATGAATCTGCATCAGGAGCTGGAATTGGAGGTATTTCATAAAAGGATTTAAAGGAACTGGTCATTTCTTCGCTTTTCGACAACCTTTTCACCAACAACAAAACAGCTGGGTAAGGGTCTGTGATGAATTTCTGTGGCAACGCATTGAGCAGAGCTAGTTCGGCCTCTTGCTCGGATTTTTTCTTCTTTATTTCTCCAGGAAAGCAAATACCAGGGGAATCTAGAATCTTCAGCTTGTTGTCGATCTTTACTTCACGAAGGGACGTAGTGACACCCGCTTGATTGCCAACTGGACAGACTTTTGAATAACTACCGCGACGAGCCGTTAAGGAATTGATGACGGAAGATTTACCGACGTTTGGGTACCCGATAACGCCTACTACAATAGACCTTTTAAAGTTGGCATTGTTAGCATAAGTCTTCAAAGCTTCAAGAAGAGCCCCGGAGGTCGTGGCCTGTGTTAGCTTCTTGTTGAACGAGGATGCGTTCGTAGCACCCGGTGCTGCTCTCAAAGGTATGGTTGGAAAGCTAGACTTGAGAAAATTCAACCACTGTTCTAGTACATGAGGAGGCACAAGGTCAACTTTGTTCAAGATCAAAATTAGCCTTTTATCGTGATTTTGTAGCACCGTTTGTTCTACCTTCCTTGATCTGGTGCCCTCGGGATCACGAGCATCTAATACGTACAACACAACGTCAGAAGCGTCAACAACAGTTTTGAACACCTTGTCGTAAGCTTTCCTTGATTTTTCAAGGTCGAATCTTTCCTCCCTATTACCATCGAAAAAGTCAACGTCATAATCAGTGACTTCAGGTGCGTCTTCCAGTGAGCCCACCTGTCCTGACTCACCATCAAAATCTTCTGCCGCCTGCTGAGCAGCTTCAACCAAAGCCCCTAGGCCATTTCCGTCCTCCATATCTTCTCCTTCCATGTCTTCCTCCATCATTCCCTCACCTTGCTCTGAAGCAAATTTTCTCGCTTCTTGAAGTCTTTGTCTTTCAGCCTCCTTCTCTTCTATCTCCTGCTGCTTTCTCGCTTCGATAGCTTCTAGAATCTTGCCCTTGTAAGGAAAATTGGCAGGAATACCAGGATCTTTCTTTACCCTTGACTTCCATGTAGGATCCTTTTTTGCAAGCTTCTTCAATTTACGGTTATGAGCAGCGGCCTTCTTTTTGATGCCTTCTTTCATACGCGTGCTAGTTCTCTTGGAAGTGCGCTTTCTAACCTTCATAGCAGGCTATGTGTTGGAGAAACAGCACTTGGGCTTTGACTTCGATTTAAAGTTGTAGCTCATCTCAAAGCTCATCGCTAGCCATAAAATTTTTCAGAATTTAAAAGAAATTGATAATTTTTGTAAGCTCGTACATGAGTACTTTAAAGAGTTTATAATCTGATATGAATTCTTGCCTAACAAATAATGATTGTATCCAATCTCTGGCCACTGTGGGACTCGGAAGGGACCGCTAGGAGAGCATAAGCTTGGTATATCTGAGCTCTAGTCTTTTGATTTAATTGAGAAATCATTGCTAGCGCTCTCCGTAGTCTTTTACATTTGTAGGGGAACTTGAAGAAGTGAGATACTGGAGAGATGTCTTTACCACCTGCTGCAGCGGCAAACGGTGCGGTAAATGCGAGGAGAAAAGGACCTAACCTGAATATCGTTGTTTCTTGCCCTGAATGCAAAGTGTTCCCACCAAAAGTTGTCGAGAGGTTCAGTGAAGGCGATGTAGTGTGCGCCCTATGTGGTCTGGTACTTTCGGATAGAATAGTAGATACCAGGTCGGAGTGGCGTACCTTTTCTAATGATGATCAAAATGGGGATGATCCGAGCCGTGTTGGTGAAGCATCAAATCCGTTGTTGGATGGAAATCATTTGTCGACGAGGATAGGCCAAGGGCAAGGCGGTGATACGAGGTTAACGAGAGATTTGAATCGCGCGCAAAGCAAAAGTATTGTGGACAAGAAAGACAATGAATTGCAAGCAGCTTATGCCAAAATTACCATGATGTGCGATGCAGCAGAGTTACCTAAAATTGTCAAAGACTGCGGCAAAGAGGCTTACAAAATATGTTATGAAGAGAGAGCATTGAGAGGGAAATCTCAAGAGAGTATAATGGCATCTGTGATTCTTGTTGGGTGTCGGAGAGCGGGTGTTGGAAGAACTTTCAGAGAGATTTTCTCCCTGACTAACGTCAAAAAAAAGGATATCGGCAAGACATTCACTATAATTAAAAACATTTTGAGGGAGAAAAGGGCAAGCGGGTTTGCCAATATAGACACTGCTAACATCTCATCTAGTCAGACCTCAGCTGAGACCTTCATTCCGAGATTTTGCTCACACTTAGGATTGTCTGTTCAGATTTCAAATGCTGCAGAGTACATTGCAAAGCATTGCAAAGAGATCAATGTGCTAGCGGGTAAGTCGCCAATTACAATTGCAGCATCAGCTATATATATGGCGATCTTACTCTTTAAGGTCGATATATCAGCTACGCAGGTCTCACAAGTGCTGTCAGTTACTGAAGGTACAATCAAAGGTGGGTACAAGATCCTTTACGAATACAAAGATAAGGTAGTTGATCCTCAACTCATCAGATCAGGTAAGGTGAGTTTTGAAAATTTACCCAAAGTGAGTGATAAGAATGACAAAGGCTCTAATGATGCTTGAATATAATGCTTTTTGAGTGCCCTCATAAGGGCTAGTTTTGCTTTAAAACGGTTGTGTTGTCTTTAGTGTTTATGCATTAATAAAGTTTTTAAAATCGGCTAATGATAGAGCGCTTCGTAGCTTTTGCTTAGAGGAATGCGAGGAAGAACCGTTCTTTGTGAAATCAGAACTTTCTTGAAACATAAATTGGCCTTGGTTAGCGGAGTTCCCACGTAAATTTATCATACTGCGGCTTCGGACTTGTACCCCATCATTATCATCATCTTGACCAAAGCGCCCTCTTTCAAAATTTCCTCGCTCGAGGTCGGTGGACAGGCTAACGACTCCGCCCTTTTGTCGCAGCTTAGAGTAATTGAAATCAAGAAATTTGGAAAAGCGCGGCAAATTGCGAAATCTGGTCCAAAATCGTGACGAGGATTTAATCATCACGAAACATAATAGTAATAACACAACCAAACATCCGAAAACTCTTCCCAATCCACTTTTGGCAGAAATATGGTCGGAGGCACTCCCGCTTATCCCTCCTGTAACGAATAATTTGCCTAAATTTTTCATATCATTTGAGCTTGGCTTTAAACCTACTCTGTCTCCGTCCGTTCCTTTCATGACTAAAGAAGATGCGTAAAGTAAAATTCGACCTAAAGTCCACGAGAGTTCTTCACCCTCTATGTCGTTTAAACTGCGGAAATTCGATGAATGAGTCTTTGGTTTCGAGTCCATTTCTTCCGAGCTTTCAACTTCCAGACCAACTCGAGGCATATTGAAGCCTTCGTGAAGCACATTCATGATCCAATTTGCTTTGAAACAGGACTCAGAGAGCTGCTTGGTTGAGATTTTATTGTAGAGGTTGTCTGCGCTGTTTTGTTCCACCTCCTCCCAATCTGTTTCGCAAAACTCACGAACCTTCTTACTGTAATCATAGAAATTGTACTCTCCACCTAGCTTGAAAACGTCGTTTGCGGTGTACCAGTATTCTGAGACCCCAACAAACATATCTTTGTAAAAATCAATCGTAGGGGCGTGCACGCCGTTAAAGAGACAAGGATCTCCTAAGCAGGGCATATGTTTGAGCAGTAAGGGATATATAGATTTGGAGCATTGTTCATAGTTCCCAGAACCCGTCAGCTCAAATTCTTTCCCTTTGAATTTCACCTCCATGGTAGATCCTTTCAGCATACAAGGATCAGAAAACCTTCTAACTTGAAAGTCGTCTCCGTCATCGTCATTGGAATTTTCTGGTAAAGAATTAATCAGCTGTGCAAGATACCTTGATCTGGCTTGATTTGCACCGAACCCCAGCCACGTGCTTACAAAGACTCGCCATTGCTGAAATTCGCCATTTATACTTTTAAGGCTAACTGTCGCAATGTCATCGTCATGTTTTGTGATTTCTTCTTGGTTGCTAGGTTGGAATGCTAACTGAGCAGAAGCACCGCCCATGTCCATGAAGCCCGAGGAAAAATGAGATTCCGCAATGCTGCTGTAGTTGTCAAAATTTCCCATCATATAATTAAGCGCTAGCCATCCATAGAGCCCTTCGGTTTCTCCATCAATGACTTGAATTTGATTCTCGCAATCAAGTAGCCTGAAATCAGAGTCCTTCTTTATATCTGTGCAAAGATTTCCCATGATTTTATTCCGGTATTTCTCTGGTAGTAACCTCATGCCTGCCGTAGCCTGGATAAAGATCGGAGTCGAATGGATCTTATCATGAGGGACAACCTTACCGGCAAATTCTAGTAAAGGCTTTATGTGCTTATTGTACGCTTTTTCGGGGGACTTCTTGAAGCTCGAAAGACCCGGAGAAGTTTTGAAAGTCCAATCCTTGCCCCTCAAAATTTTAGGGACAGAATGTGCTAATGAATTATCTGCATCTAGAGAGACTTGGTGTGAATCCTGCCACTGATAGACGTAAACCCTAGAGCCCGATGAGCCAGCATCTATAACGACCCCATATTGACTCGTATCTAGTTCTGAAGTTGAAGGCATCGAGGAAAGGCTTGAGTAACGACGTCGAGCAGCGACTGTTTTCTATGCTCCTCGTCTTATTTTCTAGTATTAAATATGGTGGACTTTCATTTAACCTATCTCTACCTTGCTTAATGTTTGGAAAAAATTCCTAATGTTGAAATTAATCTGTCATCCTCGATTTTTTTGCACACATACACCAGTCCATCTCACAATATGACAACTTACAGAAGTTCGTCAACAATTGAGCAAAAAAGATTGAAGGCAGTTAGAGTTTGATTCAAATTGGATCGCTGAATTGTGCGTTGAATTGAGAATGGCCGCGCATTGACGAAATTTATAGTATCGAAAATGAACACTTTGCTAGCCACAGCAGGATAGAGTTGAGTCAAAACTGACAAATTCTAAACTAACAGTTAAATATTTTTGAAATAAATGTATTTCTTGAAGCTCAAACTCTAGGGTCTATGATCAAATTAAAAATCTCATGAGATGGCTTTGCCAAAGAGCTCGATATTCAGCAAGGATTTTTAACTGATTCTTAAGCAGCTCACAGAACTGACAAAAATAAGCCAAGCTTGCAAATGATTCTCTTACCAAGGTGTGCGGAAGACAAGATGTTTCGTGAAATCCTTTAAGACAATCATACATTAGCCCTCACAGTGGCACTGAATTTCTAAAACGCTTATATTTGAGTAATGTTTGTATACGGTTAAAAGCAGTCATTGGACGCGTTGTTCCTTCAAAGCCGACTGATCGCCTCCTGCTATTGGATTCTTCAGCAGGCGCCGGCGCTCGCCGGCAGAAACGGAGTTAATCCGTAATCATTATATACTAAGCCGAATTTTCGCGTATTTTAATTTCTTAAGAACACGTTCACCTCGACCAACGCAACAACAAGTTCTCTGACGATCTTTGAATCTAACGAAACATGAGCGACAAACTGTTTAGATTAGATGCTGGTATGTGTTCACAATGGTTCTTTTTAACGGGTCGATTTTATACTAACATAGTTCTCAAGGGTATCAACAATATGACTGGGGTAAAATTGGCTCCAGCTCAGCCGTGGCTCAATTCGCCTCTAACTCCGACCCTTCTGTGTTTATTGACGAAAAAAAACCTTACGCGGAGCTATGGATGGGAACTCATCACAAGGTGCCATCGCTGAATCATGATAACAAGAAGACCTTAAGCGAGCTGATCAGCGAAAATCCAGCGGCCATGCTAGGCGAAGGAATTGTTAAGAAGTTCGAAAGTAGCAAGGAGCTACCATTCTTATTTAAGGTGCTGTCTATTGAAAAAGTTCTCTCCATCCAAGCCCATCCTGACAAAGCTTTGGGCAAGAGATTGCACTTGGAGGACCCCAAAAACTACCCTGATGACAACCACAAGCCAGAAATGGCGATCGCTGTTACCGACTTCGAGGGATTTTGCGGCTTCAAACCTCTCAAAGAAATTGCGGATGAGCTCGTGCGCATACCAGAACTTAGAACGTTGGTTGGGGATGAAGTTAGCGAAAAATTCATTGCTGGAATCAAGACTCCAGCTGAGATGGGTTCCGCCGACGATATTAATAACAGAAAACTATTACAAGCCGTGTTCAGCAAAGTTATGAATGCTCCAGACAGCTTGGTTGTTACTATGTCCAGAGCTTTGATTAGGAGAGCGCAGGAGAGCCCATCTGATTTCAACAAGCAAGATTTGCCTGAGCTGCTGATTAGACTGAACAGGCAGTTCCCAGATGACATCGGATTGTTCTGTGGAGGCTTACTTCTTAACCACTGTTGTCTTAAAGCAGGGGATGCTATTTTCCTTCGTGCTAAGGACCCTCATGCTTACATTAGTGGCGATATCATCGAGTGCATGGCGGCTTCCGATAATGTTGTGAGAGCAGGATTTACTCCAAAGTTTAAGGATGTGGAAAATTTGGTTGAAATGTTGACTTACAGCTACAACTCAGTTGAAGAGCAAAAGATGGCTTCACAGCTATTCCCACGTTCTTCTGGGGATGGTAAAAGCACTCTTTACAACCCGCCTATCGAGGAATTTGCCGTTTTGGAAACTACGTTCAAGGACGGAACCGGCACAAGACACTTTGATGGGTTGAATGGTCCGAGTATTGTAATTAATACCAAAGGTACAGGATACTTACAAAGTGGCGATGTGAAGTTGGAATCTCAACCGGGCTATGTTTTCTTCATCGCCCCAGGCACGCCTGTTAATTTCATTGCCGCTGACGAAGATTTTACAACTTATCGTGCTTTTGTTGAACCTGAATAAGCCTAGTGACAGCAAGAGTCGATGATCGACTAATATTTCTTTTTAATATACATTAATAAAAGATCAAGAAATGAAAACCCTCCTTGTGATGTAACGAGGTTAAACCCTCTTTCGAATGCATTCAGTCGATATTGTTCTTGGCCTTCCATTTTAAAATCCTTTTTCTAATATCACCCTCTGTTTGCTGATATACATTGAGTTTCTGGTCAAAAAACATTTTTTTGTAGTTGTCTCCATGTTTCTTGTAAAGACGGAGAAGCCACTCATCCTCTCTGCTACTCAGCTTCCGCTCCTGCCTTACGCGAGGTTGAGATGCATAGTTCTCTAAAAGTTTGACTACTTCTGTTTTTTCCCCGGTGTCCTTCTTTCCATGATCTCCTGCTTCTTCGGGACGAGTGCCCTTCATCTTTCCGTGAACGACCTCAATCACGTTTCCATTCTCATCTCTTTTAATTCTAGCCTCACCTTCAGGGATATAATTAGCATCGAAGGCATTCTCGTCAGTCTCTTCATTCGAGAGCTCTCTTGAATCGCCAAGTTTATCATCGTCATCATCATCAGAATCACTAAAATAAGATTTGACGAGAGGTTCTTTTTTAACAACCTTCGACATGTCAGCTTCATCACCACCCGCAGAAGTTTGCAGCTTCGCAGCAAGGCCCAATTTCTTATAATTCTGGGCGAGAGTCAAGGAATAGTCCCAGTTTTCAGCAATGATCGGATTTGCATGAATATTCACTTTCCTAACCCTGTCCCTGTGTTTTCTCGTCGCCTTCCGGACGGAGGACTTGGCCATCTTTCTCTTCCTAACCGACGCCATTTTGCTATATCTATTCGATGGTGTTCAACTGGTGCATGACTGTGATGAGATGAGAAGCTCATCGCTCGAAATTTTTTTAACATTGAAAATTCCTCACATGACTAGCAAAACATCGCCAAACTTAATTACGAGAAACTTGCCTTCACATAGTCTCCTGCTTTGAAGTAAGATAAGCCGAGATATTGAGAGAGAAAAGAGATGGGGCCAGGCTTATACCATCCTGCAGATGCAGATGCGGAAGACGAGACAGATTCAAAGGATCAGTCACCCATTAAATCCTCGAAAGCATCTGACATCCCTCAAAAGCGTGACTCTGCAGAAGCTCATCAACAGGAAGTAGACTCGCGATCAGTCTTTGTCGGTAAAATCCCTTGTAGAACTACGCCAGAAATGCTGGCTTATTATTTTTCAGCGGTGGGGACTGTAAACCGAGTTACAATTTTAGTACGGAAAAGAGGAGTTGACAGAGCCTACGCGTATGTAGAATTTGAAGAAAAATGCTCGGTTCCATCAGCGCTACGTTTGCATGATTCGATCTTCGCTGGGGAAACCATTGTCGTTTTCAAGAAGAGGACGAACAAACCTAATCCACGATCGGCGCAAGCTATTAACTTCACGGATTGAGTTGCGCGTTCACATGATGACTTTCAGAAGGAAAAGTACAGGTCAAATTTGTAGGTAAAAGCTCATTTCTTTCCCTACCACATTGATTTTTGAAAACGGACTAGTGCAGAGTTGTATTTGTCAAAGGAATTATGGTTTCATTCTGAATTTAATCTGCCAAAAATTAAATTAAAAAACTGAACATTTGAAAAAGTTCTTAACAAGTCTTATCTAGTTTAAACAGTTCGGAAAACATAAACAACAATACGTACATAAACATTTAAAAACATAGTTTAATGAAATATAATAAAAAACTAATTTACTGAACTTAAACTTTAATGTGTCAGGTGATCAGATATAATTTTATTTTAGAGAGAAACTGTAGTGCGTTGGTTTATTCACGATCGCTACAACTCTCGATAGACATCAAGCGATGCGATTCATTAAACTGGCATTAGTTGGCTTAGCAAGCTTTATTTTCGACCTCTGCAGAGGTGAAGAAGAGGCTGGGTTGCCTCAAATACAATTCAATCTCAGTTATGCAATCCCTGATAAACAGCCTGTAGGCTCTGCCGGTGGATTTCTGGAATTTGACCCGTATGAAAATTTAACCTTGTTTTACTCCTTAGCAAACCATGAGGAGTCAGATATTGAGGTCGTGGGTATGGGGGGCGAGGTTCTCGATTTGACTTCAGGAGAAGTAGTTGCTAATGTCAGCATTGCTCGTATTGGGCCATTAGAAATTTTGACAAACCACACAGAGAACTTCGAGCAAGTCGTAAATTTGGTTCTCAACGAGGGAGAGTACTTCCTGTCTCCCCATATCTTTGTCAACAAGCTAGGGGAGACAATGAAGGTTGTCGCTAATCCTACTTTGATCCGAATTTTACCTCCAACAATGTCATTCTTTGACCCCAAATTTTTGTTTATTCAAATCATTTTATTCGGTCTACTTGTAGCGTACTGTTACTGGGGCGCTGCGACTGGTCTAACTAAGGCAAAGAATAAAAGTAGAAGATCAGAAAAGCATGCAAAAAAGATTGAAAGTTCATGGCTACCAGACAACCACCGGTAGATTGATCTCGCTTAATGGAGGCATATATAAATATAATCGTTATCATGCTTCTAGATTTAGTTCTTTCAAAATCGAATCGAGTAGCTGTATATCAGAGCTATAGCGAACAAGTTCTGGACGCATTAAAGTCTCCGAAAACCCTTCGGCCTCGAGGTCATGTACATCGTCGATATCTATCTCATACTTTCTCAGTAAATAATACCGAATGTCGTCGACCAGCTCGATGGTGTCGGTTTCCTGACGAGATTTGATTCTCGCAGAGCTCTCAAGGATTGCCTCTTTCAACTTTGGGTGTTTGCCGTAGTGTACTAGATCCCGCGCAATAACTTTTGCTGCATAGTGCTCCAACCTCTCGCTCCGTGTGTCCCAGCCAGCAGATAAAATATCGAAAGGCGTTGTTAATCTAAGTAGACTTGAAGATTGAGTGATCGAAACTGCAGCCATGGTTTTGAGACGGTCCAAGCAGAGAGCGTCGGCAGCAGTGAGAACATCCATGGCGACCCTGGACGGCACTTCCGTCTCATCGTAGTAAAGATAGTTGAGAATAACGCAAGCCACATCATCATTTTTCGATGGAAACTTTAGGACAGGAAGTTCAACATTATCACCAGCATAAAGATTTCTGTGTTGAGAATAATGCGTGGATTCTGAAAAGTTTGAGTGAAACATAATCCGAAAATAATCAGCTCGCATTAATATCGACCTATGGCTAGGGTATATTAGCGTCTTCTGGTTTGCCTCATCACTCAACGAGATTAAGACGTCAGGGAATGATGAACAACATGTGATATCCCCTTCAACTGATTTGATGCCATTAGGCGCCTCTTTATATTCACGCTTTTGAGAGACAATAGCTTTTACGAAATTTTTCATTTGAATTCGGGCATGCTCGGTGAAAAGGAACTGTGATTCAGCCATCAAATGAGCCCTCTCAGACGAGTCCCTGGTTTTGCAAAGTTCATTCAAAGAATCGTAGAAGTCTGCCAGTTGTAATTTGAGGCAGATTGCCTTTAAAATCTTATAGTCCTCGGGATAGATATCATGTAAGGTAGGTATCAAGTAGATGTACTTTAGAATGATCTCGAAAGCGGCTTTGAATCTCTCATGGGGCATATGAATGATTTGTTTACCAGCCCAAGGTCCATTCAATTTATTAGCGAAGTAAGCACTCCTTGAAGCTAGCAAGAAACGATGAGCTTTTAACAGAGGCTGTCCGTTGAAGGAAAAGAAAATGTCAAAAGGCGTATTCGTGCTATCCTGTAGCTGTAACGATATGTGCGTGGCAAAGGGCTGTTTTACGTCAACAGCCTTCGAAATATCATATCTTAACAAAATGTTTCTTATGGTGTCTGTCAGGGCACCGTAGACACATCTTGCTCCTTCGTAGCGATCTCTATCGCATACTGCTCCCCTTTGAAGAAGTAGATTAACAAGATCTTCGTGCCCACAGAGGCTGGCTAAAAAAAGAGGTGTGTTATCAAACTCATCCACTCCATTTAGATCGACACCAGTAGAAACTAGTCGATCAACATTCTCGGTGTCGCCAACTCTACACCAATAACAAAGCTCAATAAAGTTTTTAGCTGTGCTCATTCAGTTGAACTTGCTGAAAGTAAAGAACCGTCGAAAAGGATGGTTTGCTCTATTGGTATCATAGTCTTTAACGTTACACAGCTAACGTAAGAGTTGAATAGGTTCGCTTGGCAAACATGAGGCTGCTCATTAGAAAGCAGCCTAGATCAATAGCTATTATCTCAAATGGCTATGTTGTAATTTTTGAGCAGCGAAAGAAACAAAACATTACTTCCGATGATAAGGGCAACCAACCCACTGTTGTTGAGTGTTTACGAGAAAGTGCCTTCTCTCCCGATAACTTCGTGGAGATAAAGCACTCCTTATACAATGGTCTCCTTGGACTCATCAACGTTGGTGGTCATATTTACATCGGTGTTATTGGTAACATAAAAAAGGTTGGATCTCCACGGTGGAGATTATTAGAGAACGGCGAGTTAGAAGACATTGAGAGCATCTATCAAGTTCTAAGCGCCGAGTTTTTTTGCCTTGATAATGATGCGCTGGATCCCATTTATTCAGATTTCCGAGAACAAACTGGTGAAAAACCAGGATATGAACATCCATGTGCGGAGTTCGAGAAGCTATTCAGCGACGGCTCCTTTTATTTCTCGAGAGATTTCGATATTTCGAATGTTCTCCAGGAGAGAGGTCTTATTAATAGGCTCGATTATACTCTCGACAACCAAGTCGAGGAAGTTCTTTGGAATTATAATTTGATATCAGAAATGATACAGGTGAGAAGCAGAATAACCACCAATGAGCTACCTTCATTTGATGGAGGCACTTTCCTAACCTTCTTAATCAGAGGGTTTTGTAAAACAGTTACGGCTGTAGATGGTGACGACTGCAGTACAATCACCCTTATCTCTAAAGTCTCAGCCGAGAGTAAAGAGAATTCTTTCGATATGCAGGGGGTGGACAAGCATGGGAATGTCTCCAATTTCATTGAAACTGAGACAATTCTCTGCACAGAGAGATATGTACTTGGATACACACAGACGAGTGGCAATATTCCTTTAAAGTGGGAAGTCACAGAGGGCCAGCTTCTTCACAGCAAAAAAATTCGTCTGCGTGAAGATCCTGCCCTCATACAATTGGCCTTTGACAAGCACTTCGACAAGCTCTCTTCCAAGTACGGGGTTGTCAGTATTCTTAATCTGCTCAAACCGAAGAGTGAATCTCAGGAAACCCTTGGCTCAGCCTACGAAGTTTGCGCCGCAAATAAAGACATCAAGATTACGAATATTGCATATAGCTCGGACGCATTGATCAACGCATCCCACAAATTACTCTACCTTCTGAAACAAGAACTCTACGAATTTGGAGCATTTGTTTACGACATTCAAAAGGGAATTCATGCCGGAAAACAAACCGGCTGTTTGCGGATCAGTGCTTTCGACTCCATTCGGAAACCGCTGCTTGTTGAGAAAAGTGTAAGTCAAGAAATTATCGAATTAACCACGGCTGAGTTAGATGGCTTCCATTTGCCTAGCAGTCTTTACGGCCAGCATGAAAAGCTTTGGACAGAGAATAGCTTTTGGCTTGAAAACCTTTATGTGAAAAATCACAAGAATTTGAACAAATATAAGAAAGTTTATTGGCGTTTGTTTGCGTCCAGCAGTCGAATTAACCTCCACGATCCCTTTCATGCCATCATTTCCAAAACGTTGAAAAAGCTCAAGAAAGATTATGCTTATCAGAAAACCATAACGACTTTCGCGGGTACGTTCAACGTCAATGGTAAAAACTATACGGACGGTATTGAGGAATGGCTGTTTCCTCGAAATAACGGCCTAGAGAGTCCGGCGGACATCTACGTTCTAGGATTCGAAGAAGTGGTCGAATTGACTCCGGGGCACATGCTATCAACAAACCCTTTTGCTAAACAGTTTTGGGAGAAGAAAGTTCTTCAAGAACTGAATAGTAAGGCAGGGAAGAAATATAATCACGCCTGGGGTGGTCAGCTAGGGGGTGTGCTGTTACTTCTATTTGTGAGCGAGGACGAGTTCTCTAAAATTAAGCATATTGAGGGTGATGTGAAAAAAACTGGACTTGGAGGCATGTCAGCCAATAAGGGAGCGGTTGCCGTGCGTTTCACTTATTCTGCCACAAAATTTTGTTTCTTGGTATCACATCTGGCGGCCGGTCTGGAGAATGTGGATCAGAGACATCATGATTATAAGACTATTGTGAAAAACATCAGGTTTGCCAAGGATCTTAGAATTAAAGATCACGATGTCGTCATCTGGATGGGAGATTTTAATTATCGAATATCTTTGCCAAACGAAGAGGTCAGGAACAGCGTCATCAGCAAAAATTATTCTAAACTTTTTGACAGAGATCAACTTAATCAGCAGATGATCGCGGGAGAATCTTTTCCATACTACAATGAAATGGAGATAAGTTTTCCTCCGACTTATAAATTTGACCCAGGAACCAAAACTTATGACACCAGTGAGAAAAACAGAATTCCTGCGTGGACCGATCGTATCTTGAGTAAAGGTGAAGCTTTAAAACAGCTCAGCTATGGCTGTGCAGGGAATCTTATCTTTTCTGATCATAGACCCGTTTATGCTACCTTTAAATCAGTTGTGACAGTAGTAGATGAAAAGCTAAAGGCCAACTTATCAGCTAGTATCAGCGAAAAAGTTAAAGAAAAACTGCTTAACAAGACTGAAGATGAGAAGTACGCAATTCTGAACGATGCCGACTTTGTATATGATGATGAAAAATTGAACCCACAGGAACCACTACGACCAGAAGTGAAGAAAGGGAGAAAACTGCCGCCACCGAGTTCCGAGACTAAGAAGTGGTGGGTCGGAAATTCAAAGCAGGTGAAGGTCGTAATTGATGTTGACCCTACAGAGTATATGATAAATCCAGGGAAAACCGCTAATCCTTTTGTACCGACGGATGAAAAACCATTTTTTGTCAAGAGAGATCACGCCAGTTGAATAGACAGCATTTAATTATTGATTTAAGTTCTTGGAACCTTCATTCGAATCATTTTTATCTTGTTTCATTGAGTTGACATCACTGATCAATTCTCTCAATCGATCATCCAGTCGATCGAGCATACTTTCCAGGGCATCGGCGGTCTTTTCTCCTTCTTGTAATTGCTTGAAGGTCTTGTAAATCTGGCTTGAGATGTTAGCGTCGTCTTCAGCGGAGGTCATTCTGGCTTGAAATTTAGCCTCCTTTTATTTCAGAGGTTGAGTGGTGCATTTTCCATAAATTTTTAAATGTAGAAAACAAGAACGTTGTGTTCTCTTTTCGGTCCAAAATAAATCTAGCAAAGAGACATGAAGTTGAATTCAGCTATTCGTGGTTTGGTAGCTTGTTTGTTATTTGTTTGCTCCACATGTGAAGCATCCATAGCAAAAGTTTCGCCTTCAAGCAGCAAAAGAACACTTATCATATATGACAAAAAGATCACCGATCTTCGAGCATACTCCGATTATTTCGAGAATCTGGCTCAATTGGAGCTCGATTTGGAGTTTGTTTCTGTTGTAAATGACACGAAAGACATTGAGCTTTTCGACAAAGGAGTGAAGCTATATTCAAACGTTGTCCTCTTTCCATTAAGGTCTAGAAAAATCAGTAAGGACGTCACGGCGGAGACTCTAATCAGATTTTCCGCGGCTGGTGGGAATGTTCTGGCTATTACCTCACCACAAAGCTCTACAGAAGCAGTTAGAACCTATTTGAATGAGTTAGGTATTTACCCAAGTCCTAAAGGCTATCAATTATCTGATCATTTCCAATCAAGACAGGATGGCACATTGCAACTTGATGAGAAAAGCATCCGCAGTAACGAAGTCATTTCCGCAGACGGTAATGCACTTCTTTATAATGGTTCTGCTGCTTTGCTGAAAAACAGCGAGCTACTCTTTCCCGTTCTAAGAGCGCCAAAGACTTCATTCACCAAAAGCAGCAGAGATGAGGGAGAATGGACAACTGGCACCCAGGGTTTTCTAGCTGCAGGTTTTCAAAGTTTAAAAAACGCGAGGGCCGCATGGGTTGGAAGTGAATCCTTTTTTAGTAATGCGTTCTACGAAGTTAACGCCAAAGCTGTGATGGATATTACAAAGTGGGCTTTCCTTGAAAAAGGTGTGATCCGCTCGCTGGGCGCTTCCCACTCGCACAGAGATGGAAGCACATATAATGAGGAGCCATACAAGATCAAGGATGATATTATCTACACAATTGGCTTAAGTGAGTGGCGGGACGGTAGTTGGAAACCATTTAATTCCGACGACGTTCAGCTCGAGATTAAGATGATAGACCCATACTACCGTGTTACGTTGAATCCATCAAATGCAACAGAGGAAGTCCAATTCTACACTTCTGGAGAAATAAAGCTACCTGATCATCATGGTGTCTTCTCCTTCATTACCGACTACAAAAGAAATGGCTACTCCTTCGTGTTCGAGAAAGACGTTAAAGCAATTCGTCACCTTGCTAACGATGAGTACCCAAGAAGTTGGGAAATCTCCAATTCCTGGGTATATCTGACCTCTATTTTTGCTGTGGGCCTTTCTTGGATGCTTTTCGTATTTTTCTATCTCACATCGAGGCCAAAGTCGCTTGCCATGCCGGAGAAGAAAATGCAATAGTGATTTCACTTAAAAAGAAGTTGATTAGAGGTTATGTAATTTGCATATAAGAGTACCATCTTTACTGCCTTACAACCTGAATTTTATTATCTTTTTTCCATTTTTCGAACTCTCCTGCCGTCCGAATCAATTCGGCTTTCATCTTTGATATAGAGCTTTTCATATTTTGGACTTTGGTGCTCAAAACGGGCCTTGTATCCTCCACGTTCGTTTCGACCAATGATCCACCGATCATGCGATAACACACTCTTGACGAGTTGATATCTTCCAAAGTATTGAGCACAATTTCGTGCTCCTGTCTATCGTTGTCCAGTTCAATGACCTTGGATTGTAGTTCTTCTAATGTATGCTTATATTCATTGTATTTCAATTGTAGAGCTGGGGGCTGTTAGTATCTTGACCACTGCAAAATCACTATGAGAATCGATATAACGTACCATTTGATCTCGGTTCGCTCGCCATGCTTGCTATGTTGTCGTTGTTCGAGTCTCGCACTCTTTATCTCGCTGGCTAAGATACTTTACCAATCGTTATACTGTCAGACGAAAATTACTTCCTGAAAGCCGTCAAATTTCAACACACGATGCGAAGTGAGGGATCTCCATCATCTAAAATAAGCCAAGAAGACGATGTTCGCTATTTGGCTATAGCCACAATCAACAGTTTGCGCAAAATAAAAAATAATTCAAGATCTCAATATTCCTGTAGTTTCTATGTAGTTTCTATTTAGCGAGCTATTATTTCTCTCACCAAATTACAAACTGTCGCGCCCTAAAAGGAACAAATTCGCTACTTTTGAACTTCATGAATTGATTCAAAATTAACTCTGGAACTTCTAAGCTTGTTGTACCGACAGTATTGTTTCCTCGTTTCACATTTCAGCACATAAGGGTTTTCGCCAAAAGCGTATACAGGTAGTCTTCTGATTTTTATAACATTTGCGTTGAAATCAACTCTGGGCGATCAATATTGGTTCGAAAAAATAGTGGACACATTGTTATTCTGCCAGTGAAAACAACAGAGATGTTTCCAACAGATTCATTTGATCTTATCGTCCGAAATAGAAATTTATGCGGGCTTGGCATTTGTTTTGAAGCGGAGCTAAACTGTAACCGTAAATCCGGAAGCTTGATCTTTTATTTCATCCCTTCTAACATACTTGGCAGCAATGCCCTTTTGATTCTTGACGACGACTAACGAGCTCGTACAGCAACTTTCAAATGTGGCTAAACCTGTAAGCGTCATCTTGTGATCGCTCCACCTCAAGTTTAGGACCTTGCTTACATGCGTTTGCCGATCCACAGCAATTACGTATGATGGCTAAATCAGAACAAAAGCGACATATAATCAAGAACGTCCTTATGTTTGACCTATGGTATGCCCCTTTAGAAGGTTGTCGCGCTCATATCTTCAATCTTTTAATTTAAGATTAATTAGACAAGATATAGGTTAGCCAAGCCACAGTGAGGGTGAATAGACGAGAAAAATTATAGCACGGCCACTTTCAGTAAAAATGCCAGGAAATTCATATCAAAATTGACTGATCTCTAGGGGAACGCTAACCTTTTTCTTCTGTTGTAGTGGCGCTAAATGGAACATTGTAGCACCATTGATAACTCTACTCAAAGTTCTAAATTAGCCACCTTGTTTCTCCCTTGATTGATATAATCTTTGCTAAATTTATGGGCGAAACTCGTGTGCTTCTAAGTAGCATTTGACTCCATGCGAGTTTTTTTTATTTCATGCTTTTGTTGTTATCATTTGAGTTCAGATTTTGTTTAAAAACTACTTAAATCAAATCGCTTCCGACTGTTTGTAAACAAGAATAACAAATCTTTCGAGTTTGCAGGCATTGTAGGTTTCGACTTCAAGCCCCACCGTCTTAATTCGAATGAAAAGTTGGGCCGGACGACCTGAGAATTTGCGTAGACGAGAAAAAGGGTGCTTTATTAGCGTCAAAACATCAAGCTTCTTCCAAGATATTGAAAATTTGCCGAGCCTGGCGGCTCCTAAAGTGCTAACTCAAGACGCTCTTTTCCATCATGTGGAGCAAGAGGTGAGACAGGTGAAAAGCGACATTCTGCTCATCAATCAGACCTTACTATCTGATATTAAGGCAGAATCTCGACAAGCTGAACGAATTCAACACGAAATTCAGAAATCAACATCTAAAATGTACCACACTTATAAACGGGTACAACGCTTAAGGAATTCCGATAAGGTGGACTTTTTTGAGCAGGTTGACAAACTTGAACAGAAATGCCAAAAGTTAGATGAGTTTCAAGAGAGTTTAGAAACGATGGCTTCCAAGATTGCAAAAAATCTTATAGAACTGGATAAGCAGTTTCCGATGAAAAGTAGGCTATTTAATGGGCAAGATGTTAATTCGAAGCACTTCCCGCTTCTTTTTGACGCAATAAAGGCCAGTTCCTCAATTGAAGTAGGGCCGGAAGACCAAGATGGTGATCGGGCATCACATTCCCCGCCACCACGAAATAGATCAATTGTTAGCGACTCCTCAAGCAACACAATTATCTTGCGAAAAGGGGCTCAAACAGACACTTTTCTGGGATACTCGCAGAGTGCTGACCGCGACATCAATGATGAAGCACCGAGCTCAAACGAATTAGACAAGTCTGAACACTCAACAGCACAAGGTATGCTACAGATTCAGTCTTCAAGAAGGTCTTCAGATGGACGCTCTTCGCCGCTCGAAGGGCATATGCTGGTTAATAGGGAAAATGCATTCGCGACACTTTCAGGTACTCAAAAAGCTGTGAGCAGTGAGTTGAACAACAGGGGAACGAGTTCAGGACGGTCGCTAACCCAGCGTGAACAGAATTCAAACTTAGCAGGACGCACGGACGATAAACCAAGCGATTTGAGTTTTGCGTCAAGCAGCGCTAAATCAGCAAGTAACCGCTGTTCAATGATTTCATTTAGCTTGCCGCAGCAATCTCGACCATCCGTTGAACTCTGTCTCAAAGAAGCTAAAGCAGTTTACGCGCAGAATGATGATATTCACGACGCTCAAGCGACTCTGGGACGTACGTGGCCCGGGTGAAAGTAAAAGCATATAGACTGCACTAACACCCAGAGGTCAGATCCTTGGTCTGGAGATCTTCGACGATTGACGAAAATATTGAGTGAAGTGCCGAGGCCCTGTACAAGGTCACAAGAGGCTGTGACGCCTCTGTTTGTCCCTCGATCATGTCCACGAAGGATGGATCGATGGGCACTGCTCCCAAGAAATCAATCTCATGCGTTTCTGACAGTTTTAACCCGCCACCTTTCGAGAAAATGTTTGTGCATTCGCTGCAATGTGGACACACGAAGCCCGACATGTTTTCTATTATCCCAAGTATCTTGATATTGGCTTTTTTGCAAAAATTGATCTCTTTCTTTACATCTGCAGTCGAAATATCCTGCGGCGTCGTAACCAAAACGGCTCCATCTGTTCTGGCAAATCTCAGTTCTTCTGCAATAGCGATATGTTCATCTGAGGTTCCAGGAGGTGTGTCTATAAGTAAATAATCCAATTCCCCCCAGACTACATCCTGAACAAATTGCTTAATCATAGAAGTTTTCTTAGGTCCTCTCCAAACCACACTGCTCCCACGATCATTGAGTAGAAAGCCCAAAGACATGATTTTCAAAAGTGCGTTCTGATTGGCATCAGAATAAGCCACAACTGGTAACCATCCACGTTCTGACTGGAAAATCGATTTTCCTTCCATTCCAAAAAATCTTGGCACCGATGGACCCGTTAAATCTATATCCAATACTCCAACTTTATGACCTTGACTGGCTAAAGTGAGGGCCATCTGCGTCGTTACAGAACTTTTGCCCACACCACCTTTTCCCGAAAGAATTAAGATAACATGCTTAATTTGCGAGAAGCTTTTCGGTGCTTGATCCGTCATTGTGATATATGGCTGATTAACAGATGAGCTTTAAATCCAATCTCGACTTTCCATTTCTTCTCTTCAAGTTAGCTCGTTCAAAATGAAATATTTAAGAATCGAAGCGTGAATCAATTGAAAAGCTGCTGCGGAGGGAGGCCGACATAAGCCGATGAACTACCGGTAAGTTGAACTATGTGGATTTAAACTAAAACAACCCTTTACTGACTTTCAGAATCAATGAGAATAGCTTTCATTCGCGAGAGGGCAATAGGACTCAGCTTTTTGGTGCGGAATACGATGATTTGACCAGAAGAGCTGCGTCGCCTTACGATCAAAACAGGGGTCTCGATGTTTCTCAAAGTACTTTGTCACAGCTGGAATCTCAGAATGATGTACATATAAGTGCAATGGGGGAAAGGATAAAGAGTTTGAAATCTTTGTCGTTAAGGATGGGGGACGAAATTAAAGGAAGTAAACATACTTTGGATTCTTTAGGAGAAGCATTTGACAACGGCCAGGTTAAGCTGAAGCAAACCTTTCGGAATATGATGGTAATGGCCAAAAACTCTCGTATAAGCATAAAGACGTGGCTCATTATTTTCTTGGTGGTGTTCTTGGTGTTTTTTTGGGTTTGGATCCGTTGATACTTCTAATGAATAGAGAATTACATAAATGAGCTAATCCTTGGCCTTTCCTTTGCCCAAAATGCCTACCACGTCTCTTTTATTGCGATACCTGCGCTCGATCTTTAGATGTTTGTAAAACCTTAGGGGTTTGATTAATTTGAGTAAAAGAATGGCAGCACCGGCCAAGAACAATGAGCTTTTCGGAAAGGACCCGACCAAATAAAATGGCCATCTGCCTCTTAGTCTTTTCCCCCTCATTGGGGATGTTTGGTGAAGTTCCGGAAACAATACACTTGATATGGCGTCTTTTAGCTTAATAGAGCTTTGACTCGTCAAAATTTCATCATGTTGATCTCTGTCATAGAAAACGCTATTTTCCTTGTCTATAACAAGGACATCACCAGATTTGTAAGACCTTTTGGCATCAATGAGACCAGCTTGCGAAATAAAATTGGGGAACTCTGAAATATCCAAATATGTGAAAAGCGCCTTGAATCCATAATCGTGGAATATTTCGCTTCTGAGCTTCTTCACGATCTTTTCTGTCGAAACCTGTTTCTCTTTCATGTCATTTACTTCCTTTTCCTTCTTACTTCTGGTCTCCAAAACCCGAGATCGAAGATATTTACCTCTTTCGATTTCGAGATCATAAGCGGTAAGCATGTTGTTCCTTAGATATTGAGCACTTTTCGACACTTCTTCATCAGAACTCATATTAATTAGCTGAATTGTCATAACTTTGAAGATTTGTGGGTCATGTTTCAAATGCCCTTGGAAATTCTCTGGAGTCAATTCGTTGATGAGCGGGAATATGTCAATACCAATCCAGTCCAATATGTAATCAATATTTCTCATTTCGGTTGTAGAGTATCCATGGAAAACATTTGGGATAAGGTTTTGTTCTTTAAACATGAAAAACGTGGGTGAGCTTGTCAAGGAATTCGAGATGAAAAGATCTGTATCAGGTTCTTGGATCGCTTTCGAATCATCAGACTTAATTTCGTCGAACATTAACTCATAATTAGTTCTTGCCAAAAACATGAGATCATCTGTAGACTTGTAAAGGTAAGTGTTAGGCATTTTGGAAAGTGGTCCGCTGAAAAGCTTTAGTATCTCAAAATCTTCGGGAACAACATCCTTAGGATTGTAATTAAAGACAATGAAAGTCTTCGGTTCATTACTGCCTCTAATATTGCTAGCCAAGAGAGGTTTTCTTGTTTCATCTGCTAAGGTCGAGGCTGAAATATCAGGAACGATCGCATTTGAGTAGCTTCTAGAAAAGAAATCTTCATACGCAGCGACATCAGTTCTCACTCCCTCATAAAAAATAATATTGTTGCCTGTGGATTGGGGCAAAATCATAAGCACAGCAGGAGCTCTGTCGCCACGATGGTTCGTAATCTTGACCAAATTCCCATACCCAAGTTCCTCACAAAGTCTGGCATCACGCACACAGTTTACGTGACCCACACCAAATCCTTCGATTTTCAATTTGTTTGAGAGAACGGTCCAAGTTCTCTGGAAATTTGGGCAACTGTTACAAATTTCAAATTGAGCCTTGGCATCATTTACATCATCGAGGTCTTCCGTGGGCCAAAAAGATATAGCGTAAGGTCTTTTGCCATTCCCTTTCAAAAGTTCAGTTACACTAGATTCTCCCAATAGTTTACTTCTGCTTTGTAGCATGGAGGCGTCCTTGTTTTCCGCATTTCCTGCCTCTGTTCTGGCAAATTTAAGAATACCCTCTTTAGTTCTTTTCAAATTATCGGGATATTCTTTTATAAACCCTCCTGGACCATAAAGGCGTATCTGTGGATAGGCAGGAATTTTCTCTTCAGCGCACAGATCTCCACTTTGAACACAGTCAACTTGAACCATCGTCATGTTCAATTCCGGACCTTCTTCTTGAAATGACCGCCAGGTCTCTTCCCACACAGGGGCAAAAAGTTTGCAATGGTGACAGTAAGGACTGTAAAACTCCACTATATGTAAGCCAGACGACGTATGTTTCTTAAAGTTTTGGATAGTAAGAGGATCAGGAAGCGGCATCTCTTCTGGGGAATTAAGCGCGTCTGCAAAAACGCGCTGCGGCAGAAACCATACCAAGCCCCAAACCAATATAAAAGCACGAAATGCATGCAACATCTTCGAACGCCCTACTTAATATTGGTGATGGAATGCTTGCCAGTTCCTATTCTACTTATTCCTGACTAAACGTTCAAGGGCTACTACTCTGAGTTTCATTTTCTTCGTATAATGAATCATGAAGACCATCAAGATTGAGAACCCATCGAATGTCGACAAGACTAAATATGGGTTTTATATGCCAAAAACGTGAATTGAAATGTGTGCTATATCTTGAAGGTGTCATTCAATTGCCTGAAATATTTCCTGAAATATTCGAAAGAGACAAGTGTTATTGCGGAAGCCGGTACCGTTCTTACCAAATTGGTCATGAATCCAGAATAAAAACCCAAGAACCCCTCTGATTTATAGGTGTGTAGTGTAATTTTGATAAGGCTGTGATGAATTTCGTCTGGTACTTGACGTGGGAGTGATTTGAGTTGCATTCTTGTGCGTAAAATCTCGTGTGGATAGGTCAAAAGACTTGCTACCATTTTCGAAGTACAGGATGCAACAATGAGCCTGCCCATGTCAAGATTGTGATCTGAGGATGCCCCGGTGTTGCAATGAAGCCAAACTTTGAGTTTTTCGTAGACTGGGAAATGGATCGCAACGTGAACGAGACCGAACAAAGACGGCAGCAGTCCTGAATACAAGGCACGAACACCTTCTGTGCGATATATCTTCTTGAATGCGTCTATGGTACCTCTATAAGTAGTCGAGTTTTCGTTCACATGTGTTTGGAGCATAAGTCTGGTCTTAACGACCCAAATCGGGTTCGTCAGCATTGTTGACACGGCGCCCGCGCTGAATGCAGATAAAGAATGCGCCGCAAAATCCGAATTCGGGAATTCGTGGTAGTAGAATGTCTTGCTTCGCTCATAAACAGAGAAATAAATCATCCAAGTTGGGAAATATCCCAAGACTATCGGTACAAACCCTTTGTAAAGGCCTCGTACCCCTTCATCGCGCAAAATCGTTTTCAAGGTACCTACAATCCCGTTGTAATAGTTGCTCGACCCTGTCGAGCGACCCTGTGCTTGTAATCTCGTCTTCGCAACGTCCAATGGACACACTGTAATTCCGGCCAAAAAACCGGCCATCGCACCGGATAAAGCTGTCACTTCAGTATCTTCAAAAGTGCGTCCTATAAATGGTAACGTCCCATTCGAGCCTTGACCATCTCCGCCGGTTCTCAATCCAATGTGTTCCAAAACGTCGGCAGACGACAGTGGTGTCGAGCAGTCCGGTGCCAATATTTCGTCATTACGAGCCACTAGCGAAGGGGCAACGGCGTTTCCCGAAAAATCTATTGGAATACTGCTATCACCATTGTTCTCCTTGGCTGTGACGGCCAGCCTTATCATTTAATCGAGGCCCTGTTTCTTGATTCAAACCATACATTTATTTGAGATTTATCAAGGTTAGTAGGTCAACTTTTTCAAGATATTTTTCGGGTTCGGAACCACAGTGACCGAACCCGAAGATCAACACGGTTTCATTGGACAGATGTGTTTAATCGAAAGAAATCAATTGAATTTTAGGTTTTATATAGTACAGTCATCAGTTAAATAGATGAATCCATAATCGTGAGATTTTGGATATCTTTCAATAAAATGCGGGCCTCGAATTCAAAGCGGTTCGATCGAGGTTAAAATGCTGGTCAAAAAGGAAAATGGGTGAATATTACAAGATGCGTTTCGAATGCTTAACGGATTGCCGCGGCGAGTCGTCAAGGTGAGCCATTTTTGACGGATTCTTTGGATGTGCGATTTGCAATTCAAGTACGGGCTCAACGATCGCACCAAATTTAAGAATTCAAAATGGAATCGATAGGTGATGCCTTCGCAGCGGAAGACTGCGTATGCTTTTTAGAGTCTGCTTGATAGTTTGTAGTATGAATCGGTAATTTTGATGTGGACGACGGGGGCAATGCAGACGTAGTAGATGTCACAGAGGGTAGCGGTACTGGCGCTGAGAACCGCGACGTTTGTTCTTCTTGGCGTGCAATTGGTAGTGGTAGCTGGATCGCAGAAGCCGGGGTGTGCTCTTTGGAGGAAGTTGATAAATCAACTGGGTAAAATAGAGATCCAGGTCTCGAACCGTTTGGCGGCGGCAATTGAAGTGGTCTCGAGACACCATTTTGAAATGACATTGGCACTGGGGACAGCTTGTGGAACGAAGCGTCTTCTCTCGGGGCGGAAATGCGATCAAAATGTGCGACACCATGAGGGGCACCATGAGGGGCACCGAGAGAGACACCGTGAGCAATTCCAGGAGTCAACCCGTGAGCCACCCCGCGAGCCACCCCGTGAGCGACTCTGTGAGGTGCCACTACTGGAATTGGCACGTCTGCTGTACCCATTGGATTAACCATGGGCTCCCGGGCCAGATGTTGGTACGGCGGAAATCTTGGTCGAAATGCCGCTGCTGGTGCCAACCCTTGTTGATCGAAGACTTGCGAATAACTTGGGGATCCGCCATGGTATATTTGGGGGTTGGGATACAAGGGAAGACCCGGGGTAGACGTCGGCGTCGAGAGTCCACTCAAGGGAACATTGGAATACGGGCCCAACATGGTCCGTGCGGGACCGCTAGCATAAGGTGGTGGTACGAACATGGGTTGATGTGGTAGGGGTGGGACTGGAGTATTGAATTCGGTACTTGGACGTCTCTGACCACTTGTACTGGTCGACCGTGAATGCGTGCCTGCTGAGGACCTTTCAAGTGCATCAAGAAGCTCTTGACAGGGTTGAATGTCTTTGAGGAAGGGGTCTTGGGACGGTGTGAGTAGTCTTCCGGAACTTACGTCTTCTGCGGTGAAGTAGGATACAATGTGGATGGTTTGGGGTTGCGAAACGAAGCCATTGCTATAACATTGGGGTAGGTGAAGGGACATGGCCCGCTTCGTGAGGCCACCGGGTCGAAATGAGTGGCCGTTGGCATTGTTGACTCCGCTGACACCGTTAGGAGGCGGCGGCGAAGCGGTAGTCGGAATGGTGGTAGGAACCGTGGCGGAAGTAGCAGTCGACGCAATCTCCGACGGAGACGCGGCCACAGGCGCTGGGAAACTGGCGGAACCTCCGGATGAGAGAGACGACGACGACGACGACGGACTGGATCCTGAGCCAGGATTATGGCCCGCATGTGTCAATTGTTGAGCACGTCGTTTCTTGTCGAGTTCCCGATACACGAGAAAACTGCCCAAAATTCGCGAGGGCGACCAAGGAATACCGTCAGTCCAACGTCGAATCCCGGACGTCTCTTCGACGAAAACGAAGAGATTACCTGAGACTATAAGATGAGGTCTTTCAATTTCATAGGGTCGGCGTGCGACTCGCTGTAGCCGTTGGTCCAACACCGCCTGAACAACGAGCAATACGTCGTTAGTCGTTTCGACGTAACCTCGGAAAGTGGGTCTCACTTCGGTAGGCGGCTGGTACTGCATTCAGGGCCAAAGAGAGACACACTCAGAAACTCGCGTTTTATCGTGGAAGCGGAATGGGGTTGAATCGTGAGCGCGTGAGCCCTGTGTCCATACGGTGACTACCAGGACCACTAACCTCGTGATAAGCTAAAATGCTGAATGCGACGCAACAACGACAGAAGATGATTAAGCTATTTAAGCTTTAAATGGGAGAGGAAACCTACTTCGCTGGCAAAATTAACAAACAGAGGCGGCGAAGACGAGGAAGGATTGGTGAGTGAGAGAAAAAAAATTGCCCGTATTCCACCACCAGACGCTTAGTTGGACTCTACTTTCGCTTACCAGAACTTTGGAATCTCTAGAGTTGGCATAGTCGCATGCATGAATTCTTTTTTTTTCTTTTTACATCCGCCATGCATAAAATTTCCGCCTTTCAAATGCCGAAGCCAAAATGTGGGTTTCCTTGACAGGCGGGCTTATGTGATAGGTGTTTAGGTCAAATGCGATCTTGTTCAAGACGTGGTGTTGTCGAGAGCGCGGGCCCCGTCCACGCCTATCAGGGTCCTTGCGGCCCTGGGCGTCGACGGAGCACCATCGCCGCTGCTGCCACCCTTTTGGTGGTCGACAGCCTCTGCCATTCCCGGACAAAGGCATATGCCGCAGATCACTGCACGTGGAAGATAAGAGCACAACACAAGTCCACGACGCGCATCGACTCGCGCTCGCTGCTTCTTTTTCGGCATTTCGGAAACGTTTGTGCCTGTAGGCACGTGAGCGCATGCATAGACGTTTTGCACGCGTGCCTGACGCGTGCCTGACGAGTGCAGGACGAGAACAATGGCGTCGAATACGATTTGCAACACTGCAGTATTCGATGCAAAACAGGACACTTGTACGGGAGTTCTTTACGAGATGCGGCGAATGCGGCGAGCGCAGCGTCACCTAGTGAAAGCGCAGCGAAACCGCGCAGCGAGACCGCGCAGCGAGCGAAAACAGCGCAGATTACATCCTGTGTTTCCTCGGTTGACCGTTGACATGTGGCTGACAACGGGCCAGGCCAGTGGGCCGAGGGCCCACCGGCCGTTCTAGGCGCCAGTTCGGCTGTCTGGCCGAGAACGCTTACAGTCTAGATAAGAATTTCGGCAATTGATTCCGACGTTCGACGGTGCAGCACGGCAGCCGCGCGGCCGCCGCTCCGAAGGCGAGGAAACAAAGCCAACGACGGGCGAGACACGCGAGACACGCGAGACACGCGAAACGAGCGCCGCGGGAGCCATGCAGGGTCTCGCACCGGGAACTAAAGCCTATCCTATCCTATTGTTGCCTGTTGGGAGAACCGCTGCCGGCCGGCACCCGACATCTGGGCCCTCTACCGCATATTCGGGCGAGTCTACAAGGTTGTCCGCGGATATCCGTCGGAATTCCACGCTACGAGTTTTTTTCCCGGTTGGCCTGAGTCATCACCAGAGAGGAAATACTACCAAGTTGAGTCATGAGAAAAAATTTTCACCCAACTATATAAAGGTCAAAGCACCAGACGCCGCGCCTGCACGCAACACACTACCATCACCAAACAAGAACAACACACCAAAACTCAACCCACGCTTTCCAGCACCAGCAACACCATCTACAACAGCCCCCAATCAACAACTCGCGAACACCTTTTCCCACTTTTATCGCAATCAAAAAAATTTAACCAGGTAAATTTTTCCACATTTAGTCCCATTAGATACAGAGAATAAATTGACAAAAATGGCCTGCTAGATTTTTTTCGTTTACTACGTGAAAAGGATTTCTTAATTATGGTTTTTTTAATGTTACAATAAGTTTTGTCACACTAAAGAGATTGAGTTTTCTTTCCCCCAACCCGTGTTGTTTTCCCACCCCAAAGTTTTTTAAAGATGTTACCGTGATTGCTTCCTGCAACATAGATCATTGATCCCCCACCGTCCACCATGGCGCACTTATTTTAATCGTTCTCCCGTTTTTCCCCCACTTTTTTTGACTCATACTTCAATTTACAAAATGTCCGTCAACACTCCTTCTTTGTTCGACATGAACGCCCTGGAACCACAGGTCCAGGTGGGCCTTATGGCCCCTTTCCCTTCGGAATGCCAAGATTCGGAACTCTTGACCCAAAGGCCCGCCTTCGGCGAACTGGTCTTTGACAAGTTCGTGCCACGTGACGAGCCTGTCGTCAAGCAAGAAGAGCAAGTCCAGAGCCTCAGCTTGGCGCTTGGCGCTGCTTCTGCCTCGGCGGCTTCCTCCGCCGATCTTCAGGACTCGGTCGGCGATTTTTTCTCCAGCGCAGACTCCACTCCGCTGTTCGAGCTCGAATCTTTGCAGACGAGCCCCCACGGCTGGGATCCGCTTTTCAACGACGATATCCCAATCAATGTCGGCGATTCTGGTGCTGCAGCTGCTGAAGTGGCCGAGGTCTCCGAGGCTTCCGTGGAGCCCTCTAGAAAGCCCTCTGCGGCTCCGCTGGCTCCCGCTGACGCCTTCTTGCCCACTCCAGTGATAGAGGACGCTCATCCCTTCTTTACTTCCAAGACCAAGCGGAAAAGCTCTTCTGCCGTTCACAAACCTGATAGATTCGACCGTTTGGGTGTCATTTCTTACAACCGTAAGATGCGGTCTGTTCCATTGACTCCGGTGGTCCCCGAATCCAACGACCCTGTAGCCCAAAAACGGGCTAGAAACACCGAGGCCGCCAGACGGTCGCGGGCCAGAAAACTCCAAAGGATGAACCAATTGGAGTTGAAGGTTGAAGAGCTTCTGCAAAGAAACGCCGAACTGGAAAACGAAATCACTAGACTCAAGTCCGCAGCAGCGCTTTGAGGAAATTTGGTTTCTCTCTTCGAGCATCTCCATGAATTTTTTTCCCCGGCTTACCTTTCATTAGGACAGGCCTGTTCTATATCGACTTGGAGCCCACAATACATCGGGCTCTTTCTAGTTTGTTTCACAAACTTGATTTATTATGTTTAGGATGTATATGGCTAAGTATCATCAAATTATATCAATTCTTGTCAAATCAAATTTATTTAATTCGTTAACAACTAAATACCGTGACAGGATGGACCCACCAAACGAATTCGACGTCTTATCCCAAGACGTGGATCAAACTTTGCGCGCAGATATTGACAACTTGGACCAATTGCCCCTAGCGTCCGTTTTCGATGTCAAGAGTCGGTTGGAATCCGAACTTACCAGGTTGTTCAATGCTCTCAATGAGATGGGTGCCGACATGGAAACGCCTCTGGTGACGAACGAGGGTTACCCGAGGGCAGACTTAGACGTTTTACAAATTAGACTCTTACGACGGAACGTTAACGTTTTACGCAATGATTTGAAAGCTGTCATCTCGCGAGCAGAGGTACTCATGGCTACTCAATTCGAAAAATTGGCCGCTAAGACGCAAGAGGTGAACAGAAACCGAGAATTTGAATCACGAATCCCATTTGCCAAGGTAGTTGACGTTGTTGCGACGAGTCCATCGGAAGTAGCGGTATGCATCCTATTGGCATTTCTATTTCTTTCCCAACTCATACTAACAAAATTCCAATAGGGCCTTAAAAAGGACGATAAAATCGTCGCTTTTGGTCGCGTGCATGCCGGAAACCACAAATCTCTTTCGGCAGTAGCACTTTGCGCGCAGGCCAGCGAGAACAAGCCCATTTCGGTCAGAATTTTGCGGGACTCTGAGTTTCACCAACTCACGCTCACACCGACGAAAAATTGGAGTGGCAGAGGTCTGCTTGGGTGTCAAATCGTTGCAATTTGATGATCGTGTGAATTTCTTGGTATGCTTATTTACAATTACATGGATGGATGCCTTTGGTAGTCGTTCTTTATCCACCGTGAAGCGTCGATGTGAACGACACGACGTCGCCGTCTTCTAGCACATACTCTTTTTCGCCCTCAAGTTCCCAATCGGTGTCATTAATAAGCGTGAGAATTCCGGGCCTGATGTTGTCGTTTTCAATGAAAACACATCGGTCGTTGCTGTTTTTAATCATGTTGTCCACAATGTAATCAATCAAATCGCCCATTGTCACGTCAGACCCGGCGTCGGCCGCAACCGTCACCTTATGGGTTCTTTCCTTGTCGAATATAACATCAAGCCCACCTAGGAACTCAACTTTGACCTTGACCATGCTCTACTTGTCTCACAGAAGCTGTTTCTACAGTCCAAGATGCCAGCCTTCCTGAGCATGGAGTTCATCGGTACTAATTTTTCAGTCACATGCTTATACTACCAATACTTATTCATTTCTAAACTCTTTTTTTCCAAATAGAGCTCGCGTGGCGTAATGGCAACGCGTCTGACTTCTAATCAGAAGATTGTGGGTTCGACCCCCACCGTGAGTGTTTTTTTTGCAATTTTTCCATTTCACCAACTGTTGATGTTTCTTAATAAACTACATCCATAGAAAGATATTGAAAGCGAAGGCCATCCACATAAACATGAAACAATAATAAAACATGAGACATAAAGGTAAAATTTTGAGAATAGGCTTACAATGGCTAGGTTGATATTCTTACGATTACTAATACAAATATTATACTTAATCTGTAAGCCAGTACTAGCAGTCCGGAGATCATGTGAACTTGATGCACTATTTAGGATGTGTTTCTCTGTTTTTCTCCCAGGATGAAGCGGTGGCTCAATGGTAGAGCTTTCGACTCCAGTTAAATCCTGGAAATCCACGGAGTATTGCAATCGAAGGGTTGCAGGTTCAATTCCTGTCCGTTTCATTTTTTCTCACCCACAGTTTCATTACTGATCATGTGATATTACGTTGTCCTGCCCTGCGTAAAACTTGGCGATGCCGAGAGACAAGACTTGTCTCTTCTCTCATATGTCATCATCTCGCCATGGGCCAAGACGGTGTGCACCACGCAGAGTTCTCAGAGTTTGCAAGTGGCGATCGCGAAGCTGCGTTGCAACAGTTGGTAGACTCTTATGTGGCACTAGCCTCCGACCAGGACAACTGGGTTTGCAATTTGGCCAACGCAGCGTCTTTACTATGGCATGCATATAGGTCACTACCACTGGACGTCAATTGGGCCGGATTTTACGTGGCAGACGGTAAAAATGCCAACACCCTGATTCTGGGTCCCTTTCAGGGCAAAGTAGCATGTCAGATCATCAAGTATGGTCACGGTGTCTGTGGGACCGCTGCGTCTCTGCAAGAGACGCAGCTTGTCCCCGATGTCAATGCATTTCCAGGCCATATAGCTTGTGACGGCGAGACCAAAAGCGAGATCGTGATCCCGATTATCGGCAAGAACAAGAAAGTCGTCGGTGTGATTGATATCGACTGTCTGACGTACGACGGATTCAGCGGTGTCGATGTAAAATATCTGGAACAACTGGCCTCCAAGATAGCCGAGACTTGTGAGTTCCCATAGATTTCTATAACGATTTAGATGCTCGTAGCTTACAGTGATAATTCCAAATAAAATGAAAAAATTGATTTCGCCCAGGATCGAACTGGGGACGTTCTGCGTGTTAAGCAGATGCCATAACCAACTAGACCACGAAACCAACTTGTTGGAAACGCTAAGGATTTGGGATCATATACCAGTTTTGGCTTATCACGCGGGTCTTTAGCTCTCCAAAAGAAACCGTCAACAAAATTTTCAGCAAGCGAGATGAGATGAGATGAGCACCGAAAGAGCTGTATTTGTAAAGACGTTGTGTCGACGGTGTTGAGTTTGATTTGATCCCGTAGTAATGGCTGAAGCGACAAAGTTGAAGGCTGGCACCAACGGTAAGGACGTTGCTAGCAAGCGTGCGCTTGACTCCGACAGCGAGGAAGAAAATTTCGCAGTCGATGGGATACTGGACGTAGAGGCAGATGAGAGCGAGGAGGGCGAGAAAGACGATGAGGAGGATTCGGATGCAGAGTTTAATAGACTTCTTGCCGAAGAAGAAGCCGAGGAGGTCGAGGATATGGATGAGTACTCTGAGAGCGTTGAATCTGGCGACGACGACATGGCGTCGATGGAGGATAGAATGGCGAACTTCAAATTGAGAACGCTTTCTGAGGCCTCCCAGGAAGTGCGGACCAAATTTTCGGACGGTACCCCGCGAATTTTGAAACCAGAAATCAATCCAGTCTACGACAGTGACGACAGCGACGTGGATACCGGTAACACGATCGGAAACATACCGCTTTCCGCGTACGAAGAAATGCCCCACATCGGTTACGATATCAATGGGAAACGGATCATGAGACCTGCCAAGGGCTCTGCGCTGGACCAACTACTGGACACGATCGATCTTCCAGAGGGCTGGACCGGACTTTTGGACAAAAACACCGGAGCTTCGTTGAACTTGAGTCAAGAAGAACTCGAACTTATTGCCAAGATCCAGAAAAACGAGCGCACCGATGATTCTGTGAACCCATATGAGCCCATGATAGACTGGTTCACAAGACACCCAGAAGCAACACCTTTGACCGCGGCACCCGAACCCAAGCGCAGATTTGTGCCCTCCAAAAATGAGGCCAAACGTGTAATGAAGATCGTGAAAGCGATCAGGGAGGGACGTATCGTTCCACCAAGCAAGCTAAAAGAACTGCGCAAAGAAGAAGATCAAGAAACCAATTTCGACCTATGGGGCGACTCGACGGAGACCAACGATCATGTAATGCATTTGGTTGCGCCAAAATTGCCTCCACCAACTAATGACGAGAGTTACAACCCACCAGAAGAGTATCTACTGACACCGGAAGAAAAAGAGGCTTGGGAAAAGATGGAACCTAGTGAACGGGAAAGAAACTTCTTGCCTCAAAAGTTTGGCGCTTTGAGAAAAGTCCCTGGGTATGGAGAATCGGTAAGAGAAAGGTTCGAAAGATCTTTGGACTTGTACTTGGCGCCACGAGTGCGTAAGAACAAGCTGAATATCGACCCTGAATCGCTAATTCCTGAACTACCTTCGCCCAAAGATTTGAGACCGTTCCCTATTAGATGTTCCACCATATACCGTGGCCACGAGGGCAAGATAAGGACGCTTTCGATAGATCCAAGTGGCTTATGGCTTGCTACTGGCTCTGACGATGGGTCCGTCAGAATATGGGAGATTTTGACCGGTCGTGAGGTCTACAAAGTTCAACTCATCGACCAGAAAACCGGTAATGGTGACCATATCGAAGTTGTCGAATGGAATCCCGACGCCACCACAGGTATACTGGCCGTTGCTGCTGGCGAAAGCATATATCTGATTGTGCCACCTATTTTCGGCTATGAGATTGAAAACACGGGCAAAACCAAGATTGAAGACGGGTTTGGCTATGACACATTTGGCAACGTCAGGAAGGCGGACATGAATGTGAACAGCAATGACGAGGATGATACGAAAGAGGCGAACGCGGTCAAAAAAACGGTTGCACAGTGGAACAAACCTACACAGTCTCAACTGGAGAAGGATATATGTTTGGTAATCACTTGTCGTCATACGGTGAAGAAGCTTTCGTGGCATAGGAAAGGTGACTATTTCGTCGGCGTGCAACCTAAATCCGGTAACACATCCGTGTTGATTCATCAATTGTCAAAGCATTTGTCGCAGTCGCCTTTCAAGAAGTCGAAGGGAATTGTCATGGATGTGAAATTCCATCCATTCAGACCCCAATTGTTCGTGTGTTCTCAGAGATACGTGAGGATTTACGACTTGGCGCAGCAGGTGCTATTGAAGAAATTATTGCCCGGGGCGCGTTGGTTGTCTGCAATCGATATACATCCAAGAGGTGACAATTTGCTTGCCTCTTCGTTTGACAAGAGAGTGCTATGGCACGATTTGGACCTTGCAAGTACACCTTACAAGACTTTAAGATATCATGAAATGGCGGTGAGAACTGTCAAATTTCACAAGAACCTACCGCTATTTTGCTCTGCTGCCGACGATAGCACCATCCATATTTTCCATGCTGCGGTTTACGATGACATGATGAAGAATCCATTGTTGGTGCCGTTGAAGAAGTTGACGGGTCATAAAACCGTGAGTAACTTGGGCGTTTTGGATGCGATCTGGCACCCCAGGGAAGCATGGCTGTTCTCAGCGGGTGCCGACGGCACCGCACGCATGTGGACCAGCTGAGGCGAATGTTTGCAGTTTTTGACATTAGCCATTAAATAACATGTAACATATAGAAAGCCGTAAAGCCGCGTCAGGAACCAGTCCCGAGCGGGGTCACCAGCCCAATTCGCGGAGTGCGTCCATTTCATCTTCGTCGACGTTGTCAGGACCGGAGGGCAGTTGAGCTTCGGGCAAAGGTTGCGTATCGAGCGTGGGGGACGACGGTTGCGCTGGCGTCGGAGTTGCAGATGCGACTTCTGCGTCCGGATCAACGAAAAGCGAGGGAGCTTGAACTGTGCTGTGGTCCAGCTCTGGGAGCGGCTCGCCGCTCATTTCTGCTTGCAGCAGTTGCAGCCGATACTCGCGAAGCGGGCGGTCGGTGCGTCCCAGCGTGTCGCATAGGCTGACGAAATCGCGAAATTTGGCCTTGGGGTACAGATCGTGAGCCCAGAGCTGATAGAATTGCAAGAAATGGCACAGGTTTTCGTATGCGGATTTGCGCGACGAGATCCGCGCGTGCTTAGGCGCGTGTTTGGCCACGTGTGGCAAACCCCGCGCCGACAACAGTTTCTCAGACGTGAGCTTCACCTGGGGTCGTCTGCGGGTCGTGGTGACCACGGTGGGATCTCGAAGCGGATCCTCGCCATCAAAAGTGGCACCCTGGATCGCAGTCGGGTCCAGCGGCAGCGACGTGTCGGGGTCAAACGACTCGGGAAATGCACCGGGACTGCTCATCACGGGCCTAGCGATGCGGTGCGATGCGGTGCGATGCAATGCGAGGCCTGACGCGTCTTTACCAGGAGATGAGGTTTACGCGTCGCGACGCCAAATTTCGTGGCAAACGACATCAACAAGTCACGTGCCACTCAACCGCGACACGTGACACTCATTTGCAAAAACCCACACCCCCTTCAAAACTGTGGCGTCAGGGTCTCGAGACTCTCTCCGAAACCGCCCCCACACCAAGCGCCACGGCAATAACCACCATGGTGCTCACAGCGTGGTCTTCACAGCGGTGTTTCGCACTATCGCCTCATCGCGTTCTTGACTCGAACAAAGATACATAAGAGACTAAACAACGCGTAACACGCTTGCGCGATAGAATGTGTTTTTCGCCTGTAACCACCTTTCGGCATGTCTTTCCAGCAATCCAAACCCAGCAGTGAAGTTGTTCAGATGTACATGTCGCAGACATCGGCGAACAAACAGAGTGTCGTTGTGGGCAATGGAAAGGGAATGAGGCCGGGCGTTGACGATGATTGCGACCAGGACCTGGTGGTCGACCTCAGCACGGGCAGCCTTTCTCCGATGCGGAGAGCGACGTGGGAGATGCTCAAGGACGTGATGGGCCAGCTGGAAGAGCTGTGAGCGAGGCAGAGGCGAGGCGATACGGGCCTTGTAAATGGGTTAAATGATAGACAGGCGTATAGGAAAATCGACGGTTACGTAAGCGGATTAGAAAAAAGAAATAAAAATCGGTCACACACTACGAACGAGGAGCACGTGACATATGTGTTACCCGGATTGTCACATCGCACGGATTAGGTAGGTCGCTGTGTACGAGATTCTCGGCGCGCGTGTCACCTCGCACGTCCGTCCTGCCCTCTCAGAAAAAATTAACTGACATCGTTAAGACATGGTAAACATCCAAGTGAGATTCTCAGCACAGAAGAAAGATCCCAATTCACCGGTAGTCTCGCCAACTGCATCAGGTGCATACGTGTTAAGCAAGCGGCACTCAAAAGGTAACAACGGCGCAACGCACTCCGGACAACGCGATGTTTGGATCGACGCGAAGCACTTTTGGTAATACAGGATCCACGCCCTTTGGGACGGGTGCTGCCACCAACGCAGCGAACTCTCCGTTCGGCAATTCCGCCGGAGCGGCCAATTCTGGTGCGTTTGGTACCGGTACGACCGGCTCCAACGCCGTGTCTGGGTTCGGTGGGTTCTCTACAGGCGGATCCGGCCTCTTTGGTATGTCCAACAACAATAATAGCAACAGTAACAGCGGCCCCGGTTCTGGTGCCGTCGCCAATACCACGACTAGTCCCTTTGGCCAGACAGCCCCCGGTGCGACCGGTGCGCCGTCTCTTTTCGGTAGCTCCTCGCCCGCAAGCTCTGCAGGCGCCAGCGGCGCAAGCGCCGCTGGTACAGCAGGTCAAGGTACCGCCATCAAGCCCTTTACACCTCATGTCGAGAAAGACGCCACCACGGGGCTCAACAACGTGTTCTATAGCATCTCGTGCATGCCTGAGTACAAGAATTTCTCGTTTGAAGAGCTGCGTTTACAGGATTACCAAGCCAACCGGCGGTTTGCACAACAGGGCGCAACCGGTGCGCCCGGTTCGACTGTCTCGCCGTTTGGGGCTGGCGCCGGTTCCGGGTCGACGTTCGGTCAAAGCAATTCCAATACTAACGCGTTTGGCATGCTAGGCAACAATCAGCCATCGCAACAGTCCTCGAACATGTTTGGCCAACCCAATGCTACTTCTTCACCCTTTGGACAGCCCTCGGGTAATGCGTTTGGGTCTGCTGCCGCTAATACGGCTAATTCTCCCTTTGGTATGAATAAACCGGCTTCTGGGGGGTCCCTTTTTGGTCAAAACAACACAGCCACGGGAGGCGCTAGTGGCACTGGAACGAGCGGTGGTCTTTTCGGACAAACTAATAATACCAACCAAAACGCAGGCGGACTTTTTGGTCAAAGTTCTAACAATAATGCTTTTGGCTCCAACACTTCTGCATTCGGTCAACCCACTAACCAGCCTGGTGCCACTGGCACCGGAGGCGGGCTTTTTGGTCAAGCAAACTCCGGAAATGCAAGTGGTGGTGGTCTGTTTGGTCAACCCAACAACACCCAAAATCAACAAGGTGGGCTTTTCGGTCAAAATTCGGCCAATATGAACGCTGGCGCCGGTATGTTTGGTCAAAACAATACGAGTGGTAACTCCCCTTTTGGTCAAAACTCGGCTCAATCTAACCAGATGGGCGGTGGTCTTTTTGGAAGTAAACCCACTGGTGCAACCACTACTGGTTCTGGCGGACTTTTCGGCCAAGGCAACACCAGTGGTGGTGGAGTTTTTGGGCAAAACAACACAAATACCAACGCCCTAAATTCTCCATTTGGACAAACGGGCCAACAATCAGGTGGTCTGTTCGGTCAATCTGCAAATAACAATGCGTCTGGCGGTGGCATGTTTGGTCAACCTAACAGCGCCAATTCGGGAGGACTTTTTGGTCAAAATAACACCAATACTACAAACCCCGGTGGAGGGCTTTTTGGTCAAACTAATACAAACAACGCAGGTGGCGGTGGACTCTTTGGACAAAATAAGAACACAAATTCGATGTCTCCCTTTGGTCAAAATCAGCAACAGCCTGCCAGTGGCTCCGGTAATCTTTTTGGTAATAAGCCAGCCACTTCAGGTGGCCTTTTTGGCCAAAATACAACAAATTCTGGGTTTGGTCAGACCACCAATACCACTGGAGGTGGTGGCCTATTTGGTCAAAATAATACTCAGGCCTCAGGTGGTCTTTTCGGCCAAAACAATGCGAATCAGGCAGGCAACAGTTTATTTGGTGGCGTCAACAACAATCAGCAACCTCAGCAGCAAGGTGGGGGTCTTTTTGGACAGACTGGTAACCAAGCTCAGAGTAGTGGACTTTTTGGACAATCGAATAATACTAATACCAACCCCCAAAATATAGGTGGAGGCAGCCTGTTTGGTCAGAATAATAATCAGCAACAATCGGGTGGACTTTTTGGTTCGAAGCCAGCAACGACTGGGACAGGATTGTTCGGTCAAAATAATGCTCAACCCAACACTGGGGGACTATTCGGTCAAAATAATGCTACAAACACGACAACCCAGACGGGTGGTCTCTTTGGGAGCAAGCCAGCCACGAGCGGCGCAACTGGAGGTGGGTTATTCGGCCAGAACAATAATAACTCCTCAACTAGTGGCGGATTGTTTGGTGGGCAAAACTCTGCTCTCGGCCCCAATAACACTTCCGGCGGTCTCTTTGGTGCAAAGCCTGGTGGTGCTGCGCCTTCTAGCGGCGGACTCTTTGGAAAGCAAGCAAGCACTGGGGCGACATCGGGAGGAGGACTGTTTGGTAATAAGCCCGCCGCGCCAGGTGCAACTGGAGCCTCGACGGGTTTATTCGGAAACAAGCCTGCTACCGCGACAGGAGGTGGACTTTTTGGTGGGATGAACACAAATACGAACGCGGGGTCCAATTTTGGTGGCTCCAGTGGTTTATTCGGTGGCCAAAACGCACAGCAGCCCGCGCAGGCTGCCCAACTGCAAACGTCTGCACAATCTGCGAACCCCTATGGCACCAATGAATTGTTTTCACGAGTCACTATTCCAAACTCGATCACGCAGCCAACTAAACCAACTGCTACTAAAATAAATGCGGACATAAAAAAGAAGGCTAGTTTATCCACTGCGTACCGATTGGCTCCGAAGCCACTATTTGGACCCCAAAGCAACTCAAAAGCTCCCTTGTCACGTACTGCCAGCATTGTCATTGCCAATGGGACCCCCAAACCTGCCCTCACCTCTGGAGCCGAGCCTTCCAAGCGTGAGATTATGCCCAATAGTGCAGGAAGTTCTCAATCAATTTTCAATGACGAGAGCGACGAAGTCATTCTTTCTTCTAGTAAATTACTATTCAATCCTGACAGGAAATCGTTCAAGAACTTGATTATAAACAGAAAAAAGATGGAAAATATTTCTGACGAGCAAGACGGAAATCATATCATCAAAAAAATTACTTTCTCAGGAGAACCGTCGGGACATGCAATTGCTGACGACATTTCAACATCTTCCTTGCATGGGAAAACTGCATTGGCCAACTCAGACGAAGACTCTGCGACAAAAGTGAGCAGAGATATTGCAAATGGGTCTGACAAAACGGCCAAGGCTTCGATGATACCATCCACACCACTGTCCAAAAATCCGGTCAATTTTACCACTGCTAAATCGTCCTCTCCTGAAAGAACTAAGAAGCCCTCAGGAATTATTGGGGACGACATCTCATTCACAGACGACGGCTACTACATGACGCCTTCTTTAGAGACGCTAGCCTCGATGACACTTCTTCAACTTCGCAAAGTGGAGGGCTTGACCATCGGGCACAGGGATTACGGAAAGATAGATTTTCTAGAGCCCGTTGATTTGTCAGAAGTGTCGTTGCCATCGTTGTGTGGCCAGCTCGTTGTGTTCGAACCTAAGACTTGTGCCATCTATCCAAACGCTAGTGTGAAGCCAGCGGACGGCCAAGGTTTGAACGTTAGAGCAAGAATCAGTACCTATGGTTGTTACCCAGTCGACAAGTCAACAAGGAAACCCATAAAAGACCCTAACCATCCTATTATCAAGAGACACGTTGCAAGATTAAAGTCCATAGCGGGTACTAAATTCGACAGTTACGACCCTCTTACAGGTACCTGGGTTTTCACCGTCGATCATCCCATGTAAAAAGGGCCCGTGATTGCCCATCTGCATTTTGTAAAGTACATAGTTGTTTAATTACTTCACGATGTAAAGAAGATTTGAGAATACATTTCTCTGCAAAGCAGTTTTTCTTGAGTGTTATGTGCTGATAGCGATCTAAGACTGGGAGGCCAATTCGGAAATTTTCTCCATAGACCATGGCTCTTCATCAGGTACGAATTCGTGTCCGTAAACGTTTGTGAACCACTGTTGAAACTTGTCCCACAGTCCCATTTCCTTCAGTTGGTCTCCCTTCGAATTCAGCAAAGCGCTGAGACTAATCAAAATCTCGTTATCTGCGTACAGGACCGTAATCAACTCGTCCTGACTACCCTTCAGAGACAAAGATTGGTCCAATTCATCAATGACCATGTGAAGATTCTCCTCATTTTCCTTCTCGGAGCCACTAAAGATCGCGCCCATGACGAGCTTTTTCGCAAAACTGAGTTTTTCTCGCAGGTCAGCCTTGAGTTCGTTGTGCACTTCCAAATTCCGCTTCTGCGAGAGCTTTCTGATTAAGGTATTTGACTGGTTTATGCTTGAGTTCTGCGGTCCCAATCCGACTATAGACCAGTCCTCGTCGTCTTCGTACTTGTATTTGGGAATTTCAGGGGTTTTCTGTTTTTTCGCAGACGCGCGTGCCTTGGTTCTCGAAGGAGGAGGTGGAGACATGGACAGTTCTTGCAGTTCCACGTCGCGGCCTCCACGGGTTCTTTTCTTAGCAGCACGCGACGTGCGTGCCTTGACGGCCCTAGTTTTAGGCTCTTCATCGAAATCAGAGTCATTTGCCAGGCTCTGGACCTCATCGACATCGCTGACATGCGGGGACGACTCTGGTTCCTGGGGTACTTCTTCCACAGCAGGCTCTTCTTCGACATACTCTTCTTCGTCTGGTTTTCCCTGGGAACCGTATTCGACAAATTCCCAAACGTCGATACCGCCAGGCCCGCGTTTCGCCATTTCAAACGCCGCAACAAGGCGCTTGGGCTTGCGGCGGATATTTTCAAGCCACTTGGCACATTCCTCTGGTAACAGAGGCTTGAAATCCTGTGGCTTGACCCAGATGTAAGAATCGTCGAAAAAAAATTTGACGCAGTACGACAGATGTACGATCCGATTCTTGCGGAATTTCAAAAAATCGCTATGCACAATGTAATTCGAAATGTCCTTATCAGACTCCTCTGTTTCACTTGCGTCAAGTTCTTTGGCAGGCTTGCCCGGTCTTCCCTTCAACACGTTCTCGGGCACTATCTCTTCCGGTATTATCATGGCAGGCCATGCTGGGAACCCTTTCACTTTTGCCAGGACAACGTCCGTGGGCTGGTATACATGTTCAGACATGCGCGACCTTGACGACTTTGAAGATGGGAAAACGTGATTTCAGTTGACCAACGATTGAATAAATGAGTTCCTGACACGCGGTCACGTGACGAAAAGCCCCGAACAGACGCGCATACACCGATCAACAGCTCAATCCAAGTGAATATACAGTCCTAAATAGCCTTTAATGGGGTTGCTGCCGGCGGCAGCGGTGGGTCCTAACGGTGGCGAGGGGCAGTTCAGTATTGACCCTGCTGGGAGTTGACGCCGTTGAAATATTGGTGGTACACGGCGGCCTGTTCCGCGTTGAGGTATGCGGCCGGATTCCCATAGGGCTGTTGGTGTTGGTGGTTCATAGCGTTCTGAGGCGGTTGGTTTGCGACCATGTGCTGAGGAGCGGGTGCGTGGTGGTGTTGCGGATGCGCGGGATGATGGTGGTGCGCCTGTGGCATCGCAGCGGGCATCGCAGCAGGCATTCCCGCGGGCATGCCCGCGGGCATACCCGCGGCAACAGCGGCGGCGGCGGCGTCCTGTTTGGAAATAGAGGACGCGTCGTCTTCGTCGGCGTCGTCGTCGTCGGCTTCGTCGTCGTCGTCGTCATCTTCGGGCGCGTTCAAACACGCCTGGATAAGGTTCTTGCCCTCCGGCTGCGTCACGATGGGCTGGAACTTCGGGGTCGTGAACGTGTACACGAGCCCCGTCTCGGAAACAACAAGCAAAAGCACCTGTGTGCCCGTGAGCACGCTGAGCTCGTACGCCTTTTTCATGATCCCGTGCTTCCGCTTGGAAAACGTGATATGCCGTCTGGTCTTGTCCTGAATGAACTTGATTTCGATCTTGCGTCTTTCCTTCTGGGGTTGAGCGCCGGCACCGCCCGTCGCGGAGCTGCCACTACCGGTGGCGCCTGCGACGCCTGCGACGCTGGCACCCGCACCGACACTCCCTGCACTCGCAAGGTCGCCGGCTTCGACACTAAGCTCTTTTTCGTCTACCGGAGTCTCGGACATGATTCGCTGCAGTTGCTGATCCAGATCTATAGCCTATATGGGAACTCCAATATCCCTTATAAGTTAAACAGCTCTTAACTGGGTAACAAATTTTTCCATTTCCCTAAAGTGGAAGGCTGTCGATCCCGCAAGTGCCGTTGCACGAAAACGTCGCCCCGTACGAACCAATCCAATCACGTGACATATATGTGTCGTCCACAGGGATATCACTCTACACGTCACCCTCCTGGCGCGAACGCTCAGAAAAGTCCCGCCCGCGTCTGCTGTGGTATATTAACGTCAACGGCGGCGCCGCTCCGGTAGCGCGCACTGCCAGCCGGCGGCGCTTGCGGTTGGTTTCCGTTGCGTGCGTTTATTTTGCTTCCTGGAAGTGGCGTTCAGTGGGAAGAAACAGAAGAGAAGCCGCCGAGCTTTTTCAGCCGGCGAGGGGCGAACACGTACCGAGTGACATGAGCATTGGCGCGTACACAGTGACAAGTAACCAGTGGAGATACATAAACGCGGTCACGTGCCAGGCACGTGACCGTTGGCCGACCCCCGGCCTGCTCGCGACACAGGCCTCCAGCGACTCCGGTACGGGCCCTTACAGCGCGTGGGCCGCGAGCGCAAGCTGGCGGAGCCCGTACAGGCACAGCACGGCCCAGAACACCAGGAAAAGCACCAGATTGTTGGCACCAAACTTGTACACGTAGAGTTCGCGCAGCTGTTGCACGTACTGGATCATGACCTTGCCCGAAAGCTTGGACTCACCCTCGGTGCGCACGCCAAACGAGAAAGGCACTTCTCCAATCGCGTTGTGGGCGGGCAATTGCAACTTCACGAGCAGGTCCAGCGCGATCTTGAAACCTTGCGCATTGACGTCGCCCGGCCGGGCCGCGTCCAAGTACCTCTTTTGGAGCCCGAAAAAGCCACTCATCGGGTCCGACGCAACCGTGAGGGGTCTCGCCATGAGGCGCGCGCCCGACGAGATGACACGTCTGTACAGAGGCCAGTCCTTGTCGATGCCGACTCCCGGCGCGTACCGCGTTCCCAACACAAACGCATGCGTGCGCAACGACGTCAGCAAAGCGGGGACGCTCTCGGGCGGATGTTGCAGGTCTGCGTCCATGCACACGAGATATTGGCCCTGTGCGTCGCGGAACCCCCGCAGCACCGCACTCGAGAGCCCGCGCTCGTCCGTACGCACAATGATGCGCACGTTGAAGCCTTGCTGGCGCAATGCGTCGACCTCCTCGACGGATCCGTCCTGGGAATTGTCGTCGACAAAAACGAGCTCGGTCTGCTTGGACAGGTCGTTTCCGAGCGCGGCGAAAAGCCGCGTCGTCAAAGGTTTGATGTTCAAGCGTTCGTGGTACGCGGGGACAATAACGCTGTTTTCGATAGCCATTGGATGAGAACTCACAAAAACCGCAGGGCGTGGTAGTTACGTAGCTGCGACGTGGTTCGTTGTTTTAACGCGTTGCTACGTTGAAAACCCGGAAAAAAAGAGAGCCGTACAGAGCGACAGAGTCGTTACATGTGATATAGGCATGTGACTTCCACGTGATATCCTGCAAAGTTCGCTCCCTACCGCCTCTCGCGCCCTCAAGCGGCTACAGGCCACTCGGTACTGCTCTGCGCGGTGCACTTCACTCCTGGGACTCGACAGCCGATTCTGGGGCCGTCGTCGCGGCCAGCACCGGCGCGGTTGTTTGCTCCGCCGCTTGCTCCGTGGCCTGCTCCGTGGCCTGCTCCGGCTCGGCCTCGCCAATCCACAACACATTATTACATCTCACAAACACATCTCCCAGTACACCGCGGCTCGTACCGTCGATAAACTCTTCCGCACCGCGCAGCTGCACATTGAAATAATTATCAGTCGACACCAGCGTCCCCCGATACTGTGTCTTGTTGAATTTCAACGCCACCACAATCTGACGATCTATAAGCTCTCTCAAAAACGGTTTCGGGTTGATAGGTGCTAGTTCGGTCATTGTTTGTCTGTTTTTGTTGTAGTCTGTAGTGGTTAATGGTTTTCAATTGATTTTTCACTTGGCGATGAGCTAGCGTAGTGAGCGACTTGACAGAGTCAAGGCCCATTGCAAGAGCAGGAGTAGATCCACAAGGTCAATGGGCAGCGCGAACGCTGCCAAAGGATCGAAGGGCAACCTCTACGTCTTTTCAGCGTCGATTTCGGAACTTTGGAGCCTATATTAGTGAAGAGTGTATTAATGCATATCGTGCATATAGAGCTAAGTAGCAAAACGAGACGCCCGCTCACACGGGAGTCATTTTGAGCGTGAGGTTGGGTTTACCGGCATCGTATTCGGTTCTCAACATGGCCCATACTAAGTCGACGAGCATCGACGCCAGGGCAAGCGCGTACACGAGAGAAATCGCATAGAAGAAATTACTGTTACCGGAACCCAAATCCACCCACAGGTGGTAGAAGATGGGCGAAAGCACGATGGCGTGTACGAGTAACAGCGCAGTGACAACCGAGTACCGGAAATACCCGAACAACGGTTGGAAAAACGGCAAGAAGCTGAGTACGAATCCGGCGTCACCAAGCGTCGGATAAGGTTTGGTCAATGCTATCCACGCAATGCATAAGACGAATGCATAGAAGGGCTGTTTGTAGAATCGCAGTGAAAAGGGTAGGATGCATGCAACAACAAACAGGTTGAAAACGGCTTTGAAAAAGGGCACGAACATTTCAAAGAGTTCAACGAAAAAGTACCACCATAGGCCCAAATTGGGTACTAGTTTGCCAAACGTCGCAACGACACCGTACGTGGAGTAAACGTATTGCCAGCTGTCGTGGGAGACTCTGTAGCTGGACACAAGTAAGAGAAGCAGCGTGGCAATGCACGCGGCGGTACACACCGTTGCACAACGTTTGTTGGGCAATATGGCCGCTATGGGGACAACCAATAAAAGTGGGTATAACGATAGGTACGCGGCAGCAGCGACGCCTGCGCCGGCCCATGCGGAACGTCCTTGCACCGCGGCGACTGCCGCAGTAGCCACTGCGAGGTGTGTGAACACGAGTGTGGATCGTGATAGAGTGGATAAAAGAACGAGCGGGTTCAGGACGTACAACGCGCCAACGATCCATGGCTGAGGCAGCGCCGCGTTAGCCGGTATTCCGGCTGCGCTGACTCCACCAGCTCGCTTGCGCAGTACTCGTGCTGCGACCATCAGTTGATGCGCGATCATCGCATCGACACACGCATACGCCAGTGCACGCAGCGTTTCACCCGAAACCCATGCCATAGCCGCCACCAACAGCGGAGCCTGATGGACCACACCTCCATCATAAACCGGCAACTCTCGTTGCGCCAAAAACACACCTTCTTGCAAACTTCGATAAGAAGTCACCGGTGTAGAAAATTCGACAGAACGATCCAATTGTTGCTGGAGAAGCGGGAAAAAAACCGCTGCGCCGAATCTAGACGCCACACATGCTACAACAACCTGTGAACTCCTCGAAAACATGCTATAACAATGGGTTTTATTGGTGGAAGTTGCGTGAGTTTCACCCGTTTAAGTTTTTCAGCTAAGGGCAATGTTTATGAAAATAACAATGGAAGTCGGGTGATGAGAAGAAGCCCGGTAATGTGACAGTTTGAAGTATATAAAGAGAAGAGATGGAACTTAGAGAGAGCGGACTGACGAGGGAAATCGGAACGGGAAATATGAATCAAAGAGCGAGAATTGGCATTCGTGCCATACAGAAATGGATCTAGAACGTACAGGAGTATGAGAAACCACGAAAAAACGTGCCAAATTGGTGCCAAATCGATGCAGAAATGGTGAATTTAGTGACATCGAGAGAAATCGGTGTTTTTGGTGGAATTTGTAGGCGGGATCAAATTGCAGTAGGCGGTTGGTTTGTGGATATGACTTCTACTATTTCAGAATTTATTGTCCTTCCATAATTCGGTTAAATTCAGTTTTGCCTTTCAACTTTTCATTACTCATTGATGCGGTGACAAGAACCGGAAAAGCGTCTTCATTCATTCGTAGCGTGTCCAGATTCAATAAATTGGATTCGCTATGGCGAAGAAGCTGGAAGGCGGCTCCTTTGAGAACAAAAGTGCTAAGAACCAAGCGCCCACGTATTTTGAGCTACTATAGCGCGAAACAAATGGGCTTCCGGAATTGTTGGCCCCTACCAATGAGCTTCACAAAGACAGTAAACTCCAACTACACCGCAAATGACGTGCATAAGATTTGTAATAAGGCCAAGAAATAGGGTACCGACTCCTGTCTCTACACGGTAACTGCAACGCGTTTGCGAGAAAAGGCAAGGCTTAACATTCTGTTTTACGCTTACTCGCCGTTTTCGACGGTTTCCTTACACGTAAGCTTTGATAGATTGAAGAAAGGATGAAGAGGCAAAGTTTCGAATCTTAGGGCCCAAATGCAGGTTGAGGAAAGACGAAGGAACAAGGTTTCGAATCTTAGTGCTTAATTTGGATGAGTGCTCCAGCTCGGCCCACCACTTGGAGACCCGAACACACGAAAACTGCTCCGAGACCCCTGTTCGCAGATGGCTTCTTTTCGAGGACTGACTACCCGTTTCAAGAGCACGTCACTTAAATGAACGTTTTGGTTAATGGGACAAGTAAGATGAATTCGCCATTCAAGCTAGATATCCGAGCTCTGCTGTTACACCACTGCTTGTCGTGGCATGTTGGACTTCTTCGTGAAGATAACGAGCTTCTCAAGTTCAAATCGAGACGCACCTTTGCTTCCAGCACTAAAGAACTGCTTACGAGAACATGTCATGCTTCGGAAAGGTTACTCATTTTGCTGGGGTATGGATAGAGAACATTGTTTTCATCTGGTGGGAGTGTAATGAGGCGAGTATCCTGAACACTGGAGACAAGTGCGGCTTTCGGCGAAGGCTTCGGACCAGGGTCGCAGTCGGCCCGAGCACTGTATCTCAGGTTTGCACCCTATCACGCTTATCAACGGGTCTCAGGGACTGGCGATAACAAAATCCGTCGGTTCGGATCTCGGGCCGAAGCTCGGCCCGAGAAGCCGAGCGTGTGACGTTCATGTTCTGCCAGCTCGTCCATTCATAAAGGTCAAGGCATCGACGTACAGGGTCCACCATTGGATCCAGCGTCGTAATACACCGAGTCCATCGACTCTATGTCTTTATTCAAGTCTGCTGCCAAAGCATGGAGCAAAACGTTCCAGTTCGCCTTGTCACAATGGTTCTTCATAGTACTCGCGATCTTTATCATTATTTCCAGATTCGCACCCAATTTTGCACGCCATGGCGGCCTGATACGCGCCGAGTATTCCATCGGGTACGGCGCGGTTGCCATAATCTTTCTTCAAGGTGGCCTGAGCATGTCGTCGAAACAACTGCTGGTCAACATTGCCAATTGGCGTGCACACAGCGTGGTCCTCATTTTCTCGTTTCTCGTCTCCAGCGCCGTAGCGTTTGCGTTTTGTTACGCAGTCGCCTGCTCCAACGACAAGCAAATTGACAACTGGTTGCTCGTCGGCATTATTTTGACCATGTCAAGCCCCACCACGGTCGCGTCCAATGTCGTGATGACGCGTGAGGCACAAGGCAACGACGTTCTGTGTCTCTGTGAAGTGTTTATTGGGAACGTTCTAGGTGCGTTTTTGACCCCTGCAGTGGTACAAATGTACCTGAGCAGCCCACATTTCGAATTCGGTAACCCCGCTGCCGGATCTAGTACCCGCAGAGTGTACGCAGACGTTATGAAACAAATTGGTCTCTCCGTTTTCGTACCGTTGTTCGTGGGCCAAGTCTTGCAAAACTTGTTCCCTGAGAAAGTGAAATGGACCCTCCAGAAATTCCGCCTTAACAAAGTGGGTAGTTTCTGTTTGCTGCTGATCATGTTTAGCTCATTTTCAACCGCGTTTTACCAGCACGCTTTTACAAGTGTTTCTCACATCAGCATTGTGTTCATCGTACTGTTTAATGTCGGAGTCTACCTGTTTTTAACCGTCATCTGCTTCGTGTGCGCCAGACCCTTTTTCATTTTGAAATTGTTCCCTAATGAACCTACACCCGAGTCTTCCTCTGCTTACAAGATTGCATACAAGATATTCAGACCTTTTTACTACTCGCGACGCGACGCCGTGGCCATACTGTTTTGTGGACCGGCCAAGACCGCAGCGCTTGGAGTCTCTCTAATTTCTGCTCAATACGGTGACAATTTCTCGGAATTGGGCAAATTGCTTGTTCCCTTGGTCTTGTATCAATCCGAACAAGTTGTCGCGGCCAAGCTTCTCGTGCCTTTGGCGAGAAGATGGATTCTTCAAGACGTATCGTCCGCACAAGAACCTACCGAGGAAACGCCTTCAAAAGACGAAAAAGACGACCAAATGGAACTACAGGTCCATTCCGACGCAACAAGTGCGGAATATACCTGTTAGCAATAGGTCACGACTTCTTGCCCTGCATCAATACACCTTTATAGACTTAGAATAATGTGAATGAATTATTGGTTATTTAACACAGTCCTTATAGGATGTCTCTCAACAATCAACAATGATCCGGCGCTTAGAGCATTACCTTATCGGATCCTTATCAGTAATGTTGAACGGATGTTGTTATCTCGGAAGGGCTTCGGAAGCGGTTCCGAAACAACTTCCAAGACGAGTCGACTCCCAAGACTCGAATCGAGTATAAAACATGGATTCCGAGTCCACGAGTGGACCCTGCTTTCGGCAACGCTCAATTCATCTAGAACCAGCTTCAAAATGTCTTTCAACTCCAGTAGGAGATCCGTTGTACATTCGACCAAAGGAATTGTCGCCTGTTCACAACCTCTTGCTGCGTCGGCAGGTATCAAGATCCTAGAACTCGGTGGGAACTCCATTGATGCATCAATCGCCGTTTCTGCATGCTTATGTGCTCTGGAACCGGCGTCTACTGGTATAGCTGGCGATTGTTTTCTCCTGCATTTCGATGCTTCCACTAAAGAAGTTATAGGAATGAATGCGACCGGTCGAACCCCATCAAAGCTGTCGTACGAGTTTTTGAAAGAGACAAATGCAGTGGACCCCAATGCATGCCGATTGCCCAAACATTCCGTACATGCAATTACCGTACCTGGCGCCATAGCTGGATGGATTGACGCTTATGCGAAATTAGGTTCCGGAAATGTCACTCTGGAGCAGATATTTCAACCTGCGATTGATCTGTGCTCTAATGGGTACCCTGTGAGCGAAATTTCCGCTTATTTAATCCAAATATCTTGGAAGACCTTGCAGCGTCAAAACTCTCAGAATCCTGCTTTATTGAATTGTTTCGCTCCAATTAATAGACCTGGAGAACCGCCTCGAGATGGTGACATCTTGAAGAATCCGTCACTCGCCGAAGCTTTTGAACTGATTGCTAAAAATGGGAAAGATGGATTTTATCGGGGTCCCATTGCTGAGGCAATCGTAGACGAGATTGAATCGAGACAGGGCGTGCTTTCTGCCTATGATCTGGCAAATAACGAAACCACGTTTGTCAACCCGATCTACCTAGATTTTTTGGGACACCGCATTTGGGAAATTCCACCTAATGGTCAGGGTCTCGTTGTTTTGCTCGCACTGGGTATCATTCGGGAATTGCACGCATCCGGCAAAATCAATCTGTTTGAGCTCAAGCACAACTCTCCAGAATACTTACATCTGCTCATCGAATCTCTTAAAATTGCATTTTACGACTCTGACGAGTACGTTTCAGATCCCGATTATCAGGACGTGAACATCCTAGACAGATTGCTGTCGAGATCATATTTGAAGTCCAGAGCCGCGTTATTCAAGGGCGATTCCATTATTGACTCGAGAACAATGAAATATGGAGTACCCGACGCTGATCTTAACCAGTCTGACACGGTTTATTTCACAGTGAGTGACCAAAATGGTAATGCTACATCATTTATCAACTCGGTGTTTATCGAATTTGGATCTTCGATTATTCCCAAAAAGTTTGGCGGGTTTACATTGCACAACCGAGGTTCCAACTTCAACTTAACCGAGAATACCAAGAACTTCTTGCAGCCCAACAAAAGACCATATCATACAATAATTCCATCCATGATTACGGATCCAGATACGGGCGATCTTTTGTACAGTTTTGGAAACATGGGTGGATTCATGCAACCTACGGGACACGTTCAACATTTTTTGAATTTGGTTTTATTCAAGATGACGCCGCAAGAATCTTTGGACTCTCCTAGAATATGTCTTTCGCCAAATCCCAAATTCGCTTCTTTGGACCGCGGGCTGGGATCTCACGGTCCCGTCTCTACTCCAGTGACTCTAGTATCAACGGAAGAAGACATGCCAAAAACCACCGTGCAAGGACTGCGCAATTTGGGGCACGACGTCGAAGTCTTGTCCGGTATGGACCGTAGTCTTTTCGGACGTGGCCAAATCATTAAAAAGACTAAGTTTGACAGTGTAGGGAGTTTTTCGTATTCTGCAGGCAGCGACAAACGAGGCGACGGCTGCGCCATCCCTTTGATTTAGGCAGGGTTTAGCGTAAGTACAAAAACTTACTGGGTTGCTGCAGAGATCATGGACAATCGCATAAAATATTCATTTAAATTAATCAACCCCTTTAGCATGAAAATCGCCGCCGAAAGACAGATTTAGCACTTGGATACACTTTTAATAATTGACGAATTCCGAATCAGAGTTTGATTTCGAATATCGGTGTTACGAAAAGTGTCTAGCTTGTTGAAGCCGTGCTAAATTCAAAAAATCATGTAACGTATAGAAAGCAAGCTTTCAGCATTTAAAAGTATTGATATTTGGAAATGTCCGTTCAAATGGCGCTGGGCCTCCGCGGCACAGGAACTCGTCAGCATCATCGACATCTGCTCAAGGTCTCGATCCCAAAACGTCGTCGGTTATCACGTGCTTTGTACTAGTTGACCAAGTTACTGATATGAAGTATCGTGGGCGTTCGACAGGTTCAATTCTGAGATATTTACCAAGCTATAGCGTTTGCCTGAAGCATCGTGAGTTTCAAATCGTGCCTCGTTCATCGATTTATGTCGGTATCCAAAAAGACAAAGCGATAATCTAGCCATTGCCGTCGAGACCGCCAAAATTCGTCAAATCCATCACAGGTCGCTTGGAGGAGGGGAACCGAGCCGGAATACCTCAACGGTAGTTCTTTTCATTCATATATTATCTTATTCAAATTGAAGATATTCATTCCTTTGTTCATGCTGTTCGGTAAGTATCTAAATATCATACTTCCAGTTTAATTTTCATTTGACTACATCAGGCCCCACACTTCAATTGATCATCAATCAAGTGTTGAGATATCAAAGGAATCTAAAACTTTCATTTATGTCCAGTTGTATGAAAGTACAACATTTATTCCTTCATGAGCACTTCCAGTATAGGATCCCCTTGCAACAGTCACTGCAAGAATCTTTGGACTGTCTCCGAATCTGTCTCTCGCCAAATCCCAAATTTGTTTCTCTAGTCCGCGACCTTGGGTCTCACGGCCCCGCATCTACCCCAGTAACACTAGTGTCAGCCGAGGAAGACTTGTCGAAACCAGCGTTGGAGTTTTTCGCCACCTAAGGCACGATGTCGAGGTCATAAGCGGCGCCGAGCGCCAACTTTTAGACCGTGGTCAGATAATTAAAGAAACCGAGCTGGCCGAATCTAACAGCTTTTCGTACTCAGCAGGAAGCGACAAGCAAGGCGATGGGTATGCCATTCTCTTAATCTGAGACAACCAGCTAGCAGCCGTAAGAAAGCGAAACGAACTCACAGGAAGAGCGGAGAATGTTTTGTTAAGCGAAACAGCCCTACCAGCGGACAATCGCGTGAAAATACCAGGGGTTACCTCTCATTGCCGGTTTGCTTCTCGCTTTAGATCCAAATGACTCGAGGGTTTACTTGGTAACTTATCGTCGTCGACCTCGAGTGTCATAATCTGATAGATCATGATGACGATGATCATAACGTCAGTCGAGAACTGGGGAACTGATGAGCATAGCTCGTCAGCGCATGAAACGAGGATCATTATATCATAAGGCAACGTGTTAAATCCGATGGAGGGTTCAAAAAATGAATGGGCAAGTGGGCGTTTGACAAAAGATCGGTGTTTCGATTCGCAGTTCGGTCTCTAAGTGCGATGTTGCAACATGGAAAAATGATGAAATACTACTCTACAGCCTTCACCGACTCCTGTAGCGTTTTGAGCTCGAATCTCGGAGATGCCCACGCGTGTTTCTGGCTCCTGTGCAGCCACACCAGAGAAGGTAGCATCAGCAACATCATTGCGTCGAGTGCGATGTTGTAGGCGTAGCCCTTGACATATCTCGGCGCGTCCACGGTCTTCCACACGAACAGTGGCACCCACACCGCAAAAGTGTTTCCCAAGGTGTTCATACTGCTGAGAGTAAGAGCTCTTTCCAGAGCATTGTCGGAACATATTAGATTGGCCCAAGAATACAGTACAGCAGCGATACTGTCGGCAGTGCCGGACAAGAAGAACGCAAATAAAATACCGCCCTTGCTCACATTCCACACCACAAGAATGATGCCAGCGATCATATTGAGAATGGCAACGTAGGCAATTATGGCGGGATAGGACCAGGACACGTTTTTCCAGCTGTCGACGATTATGGCGTTGAGCAGGGAAAACACGATTGTCACTGCAGGAATAACGGTGGTTATCACATTCACCTGGTAGCTCGAGTAGTTTTCGGCGTCGAGCCACAACGTGAGCCCGCTGTTTGAGCTAATGCCGTCCGCTTGCGAGAAGAAGATAGCAAACACAACCAAAACCCAGAATCGATACCCTTTCACGCAACGCAGGAGCACAGAGACTTGGAATTTCTGGCCAGTGGGGCGGCCTTCTCGAATCATGCGCAAACGCGCCAGTTTCCGCTCTTTTTCGTTCAAGAAGGAAAAGCCCGTGAAGAGACGCACTAGGCGCGAATGGTTTGTGCGCCTCGGCCTCAGCGACTCCGGCAATCCGGGCAGTGTGAAGTATCCGTACAGCGAGACTGGAACGGTGATGATGAACGCCAGAACGTAGAGCCACTGCCAGCCCTCGAGCCACGCTTTCCCGGACAGATTCCTATAAGCAGCAGCCTGAATGTACCCCGTGGCCATGGAGCCGGCCTGCGACGCGGTGAAGTACAGTGCGGATCTTAGCGCGATCTCGGTTTTCTTATACCAAGATCCGATAATGAATTGCACGGTCGGGAAGAAAAACGACCCAAACAGGCCTGTGCAGAACCGTAGCGCGTACAGCTGCTGGTACGACTTTATTTTGAAGATGAAGAGCGTGAACATGGCCCACACCACGTCCATGGCCGGCAGATATATGTGGATTGGCAGTTTAGTCGCGAGCATCGTTAGCGGAATCTGCCCCACGATAAACCCAGCCATGTAGCACGAGCCCTGGTAGGTCAGCTGATTGCCAAACATCTTCAGGTCCTCCTTCATACCGGAAACGTACGCATAGGGTACTGCGCTGGAATCCAGCGTCTTGACGAAAGATGACAAAAACAAGTATATCAAAATCAGTAAATCGAGCTTTACAATGAGCTTGCGCTCATCTGGCGTATCGGTCGGAGAGAAATATTTGTACCAAGGCTGGTGCACCACCTTGATTTTCAAGAACTCATAGTCCTCTGCGGTTAATTCAATGTCGGCGGGTACTCTTTCTCTCCAGTAATCATCAGCATTCTCGCTTTCAGTTGCTTGAGCCTCGAGGATTCTGGTCTCTACCTTCGTCGACGCTTTGTGTAACGAGGTCATGATCTATATTTGCGTGCCGTCAGAGATCTCTCCACTATGGTAATGCTCTTATGATCGATCTCTGCACGCAGCTATAGGTACAATTTATATGACCTTGCAATCTCTGCCAGCCATTTTCCGACAACCATATTATGACTTTGAAAAAAGTCATTGATGCTTGACAAGACCGAGACATCCAAGTCACGGGCCTGAAAGGAAAAGGTGCCGCCTAAAACACCCGCTTGCAACCAATATATAGTAATGTATCGAGTGAGGTTAACTGCGTCGGGGGTCGATAGATTCCTGAAATGTTTAACTCATACAGCTGTATTTCCCGGTAATTGTTTTGACAGCAAGACCACTCTAAACCTCACACAACCTTCCCGTTCATAGGATGCTGCAATACCATTTCCACCTACCGCACTCATCTCCATGATGGCCTGAGCTCTGCGGCTTCCGATGACTCAGATTGGGACCTCCCGTTCAAATCGCTTTTGTTACAATCTGTCATTATGGTCACGTGATGATATCACTTTCTCGCTATCTCCTTCCAACGAATATATCGGTTCAAAATTGAAGATGTTTCTTGGTTCTCCCTGTTCAGTTCAGCAAGTATATCTAAATATCATATTTCCAGGTAAATATTCAATTGATCATCAATCAAGCGTTAGGAAATCAGGGGATCCAATACTTTCATTTATGTCCAATTATATGAAAGTGCCAAGTTGATTAATTCTTTCATATGCATTTTCAGTACTTATATCTGAAAGCTTTGTTTTCAATGTCGGTCAAATCCAAGACCGTCACATCTCTGGTTAATTCAACGGGATCTATTCCCGCTGTCTGCGAGTCGCGCAACTTGTTTTCACGTACCACTACGAATCTTAGGACAATGCACAGGCAAGCTGCTACGGCAAGCTGCACTATGAGACCGATCTTAGCTGGAGTATAATGTGGAGCGTCTTTTGCCTTAAACATTTGAGGTCCAATCAAATTACCGATGCAGAACGCTATAAGTGTGAGTGCATTTCTGGTGACCCGCTTGGTATGGCCTGAAGTATTGACAGAGTTCCAATTGTAAATCATGGGTAAAATGGCGGGTGCAAAATTCAGCAAGTATACACCAAACAGTTTGCCAACTTTCTGAGAATGGCCAAGTGTAATCAACAAGATGGCTCCGAGTACTGAGGGAAGACACACGCATGCCATAATAACGGCTCTTTCTCCAATGTACCCAGCCAAATAAGAACACGCAATTGTGGCTAAAATGGATACTGCGCCCGATGGCATTTGGATTAAGGTCGCCCTTTCATTGCTGAACCCAAAGGTCGAAATTATAACACTGGTAAAAGTGGACACGGCACCGTTCGTGATCATCGTTAAAACCGTGATGAAAAACAAGAGCCACGTTTGTTTGTCCTGGAGTAATAATTCTTTGAGATGAAACCATTTGATGGTTTTATTGTCAGTGCCAACTTGATTAACCTTTACGTGGCGAATTGCCTCACGTCTTTCTTTTTCGTTTAGGAACCGGCATGTCTGAGGACTGTCCGGTAGAAACACAATTGTTGCGATACCGACAAGAAATGTAAGGCAGCCCATGAATATGAACAGAATTTGCCAACTGGCGACTTTTTTTGATACAACATGTTGGAATCCGTATGACAAACCTGAACCGACGATTTGACCTACACCAATTTGCATGTACCATAACCCAGTTCTTCTAGATTGTTCTGAGCTGGTCCACCACATACCTGTAATTTGAATGAGACACCCGGCAACAGAAGCTTCGAAAATCCCCAACAATGTTCTAACAATCATGAGCCCCGGATAGCTTTTTGTAGCCGCATGGAAACACACGATGATCCCCCACAGTGTTACATTAATTCCTAAAAATTTGCCCACTGGAAGTTTCTGGATCAAAAACCCAGATAAGGGCTCAGCAGCAAGGTATCCCACGTAGAAGATTGTGCCCAAGTCGCTGAATTGATCTCCGTGCAAATGTTTCTTAATACCCATGACTGCAGCATAATTGAGTAACGTTTTGTCCAGATACTGTAAGAAATAAATGGCCATACAAAAGGGCAAAATCCGCAAATCAATTCTCCAACGCAGTGATTTGTCAATTGGTTGACTTACTTGCGATATCGAATCGGATATGTCTTCTAAAACACCGGTTTCAACATCGACAACTTGTGGTGACTTTTCAGTAGTGGAAACTTTACTCATCGCTGATGCGGTTTGATGAACTCCAAGAACCTCGGCTTCTTCGCCTGCGATTAGTTATTTATACTTGCTTAGACCAGTACATCGATGGATCGACGAGGGCAACCATACTAAGAGCTATTGATTGTTCATCGTTGCTATGCTTATCAGCGATAAGCGTTCCATTGTTCACCTTATCGCACTTCGGAAACCTCGGGCCGAGAACTCGGCCCGAGATTTTGAGAAAACTCATCTATTCGGATAAGGCTCGGAAGCAGATTCGGATGATTATAAGGTGCTTTGTCACTGATAGCAGTCGTAGGGGTAGCATTTACGCTTGAACCCTTATCAAAAGTGGGTTGAGTTGTGGTATCTTTAGGGAAATGAGAGTCTTCAGCAATGACCAAGATGCGAGTAATGGGAGTTGAATGTGGAAAGCCGAGAGTAGGTTGGGATGAGGCATACAAATTTGAGATTACAGGCCTTTGGATCGAACTGGTAAATGCCGTTTTGCTGACTCTTATCTATTATAGAGGTTCTTATATACTTGGCGTATCACATGGTGTAAGTGACAGAATTCCTTATGGTGGGATCAAACTGGAAATGATGGGGGAGGGATTCCTGTCTTGAATTTGGATGAGCCTACTTGAAGATTACTGGCACTCCTTATGTTGTTTGCAAGATATATGTATTGGGCTGCAGTGTCAAGGGGGACTTACTACTGAGTCAGTTGAGCGACAAACAAAGCGTAATATAGAAGATGCATAGAATTGTTTTGAGAGCCAGATACGATGGGGGCGAGTAGTAGATACATGGTCAGTTAAAGTGTATTGTTTGAGAACTCTGATAGTGATTACAGAAAGATACAAAATTATCGTAAATCAAGTCTGATAGGTTATGAAAACTCAATTACAAAAACGCGTTATGGCTAGAAGAGTTACAACACTGTGTTTATCATGCTTGAGGTAAAACCACCCAGTTTTAATAAATATACTCGATTCGCTGTCAAGATCAAGTCGAAAGAGAAACACATTAAATAGGTGGAGCAATGTATTCACATCGCATTTTAATAAGGCAGCAATGAATGTCAATGGGCAAAAGCGTCAAGACTCGTTTCAAAAATATGAAAATAAATGATCTTCGATAGATCCACTAACTTGTTTTTCCTTGTCTTAGAAGTCGGACAACTCAGAAAAGAGTCGATTGACATTAGTTTTATCAAAAAAAGGAGAATCTCCGTAGCCATATTGATAGTATTGCCAAGCCAGAAGGGACAATCGATTCGGCTACATTCAGCATTGACAAAATCTTTACTACGTTTAAGAAATACGATGAGATTAGAGTAATCAAGCCGCATATATTTAACTGTTAAGAATCACTATGGTTGAATCAAATCGGAACAACTTTGGATACCGACAACGGTTACTTTCTATAAATTCTGGAAAGGTGGGCGCATATCATTAGATAAGATCTATGAACCATTTCTTAGTGTTTCCCTTATGCAGTCGATATCAAGGTGATTCTACTAGCACATTGCATATAAACACTGACGTTAAAATGATGTTTATCAGTCATTCACTCTTGATTTAAAACGAAATCGAGGACAAAGTATTAAAGTTCAAATCAGCCTCATTTGACATCTCATTTTTTTATCAGGATATATGAATACAAGAAGAGCCAAAAGCCTAGACAGCTAGATGACAATGGATGAAGCCTCACTGAACTGCCAGAGAGAGATTTTTATAACATCTGCTCATCCGGAAATCAAAGCATAGCTCCGAAACTCCCACGTAGAAACTATGTGATGGTGCGATGCCACTAGCCACATCAGTGGCCTGTTTCATTGCCTTATGTTACACATTAGGAAAGAAAAACCCAAACTACACCCTGAACCGTATTAACAATGCCGATAATTACGCGCCTCTTTAGTCAATCATCAGGTCGAAATTCCTCCTGAATGGTCACGGATTCATTTAGTAACGTCACGATACAACAGAACGTACTTGCGAGTTGCAATCAAAAGCTGCACAGTGGATCAAACCCCAACGGCTCAAATATCTGACCAACAAGAATCGTACGGGCAACCAAAGCATGAGAATTTGTTATGGTTCCGACGTTTCCCAGGTTTCATCGCATCCTCCAAGGGCTGACACCTTTCGCCATTAGACTTTAACATACACGAATCGCACATTTCAAATGTTGAAGCTTGGTTTGAGTCTAGAGAGTCAGATAAAGCTGGAATTCTGCCGTTATCGAATCAATTCTTCACGCAATTTTAAAACAAATCAACCAATGTCTATCATGTCAACCGCACTCAAACTGCGATGGCCAGGTCCAACACCACTTGTTAAGACAAATAAGTGTCAAAATGAAAAGTATTTTACAACGGAAGGACAAACCAATAAGTTTTAGCAAATCAGTCTAAATGCCGACAAGAATATATCATTTCCCTGCCACAAGCTTTCTCTCTGTCGTGCACTCACACACGCTGTCCCACCCTATCACAACTCACAGAACCCCCAGAAAAACGCAAGAACCTGCGCTTAAATTCAAAAGATTAGCTCAACATACAGAAACTGAAATCAATAATCAAAAGAATCCGGTTTCAGATTTCGGTCTTGTCGTCGACGTTCTTCGACAACTCGAACATAACTGGAGAAGAATATGAAAAAACTCACGTGATCTAAAAGACAAATCGTCCAGCACGACAATTCATTTTTTTCCAAACAATCCACGGTGGCAATCAACAACAAACATGTCTATTGAGACTTCACCACCACCAACACTACCACCATCGTCTACGTGTCAACCCACCGCCCATTGCCCGCATGGATTTCGAAGCAAACGAGGACATCAATGGGGTGCGTTTCTCGTGGAACGTTTTCCCCGCGAGTCGAACGGACGCTAACAAGAATGTCGTTCCCGTTGGATGCTTGTATACTCCACTCAAGGAAAAGGAAGATTTGGTCTCTGTTCCGTACAATCCGGTGCTGTGCGGTGGCCCTCAGTGTAAGGCCGCGCTCAATCCGTATTGTGAGATCGATTTACGGTCCAATTCGTGGGCCTGTCCGATCTGTGGGACCCGCAATCATTTGCCTGCACATTACGCGAATATGACTCAGGATAATATGCCTGCAGAACTCAGTAATACCACCATTGAGTACATCACGAACCGGCCCGTTCAAGTGCCTCCAATTTTTTTTTTCGTGGTCGATATCACCGCTGAAGATGAAAATTTGAATGCGCTCAAAGAATCCATTATCACTTCACTTTCGTTACTGCCTCCTAACGCTCTCGTCGGGTTGATTACTTACGGTAACGTCGTGCAATTGCACGACCTTTCTTGTGAGTCTATTGGCCGTTGCAACGTGTTTAGGGGCGATCGCGAATATCAGCTTCCACAGGTCCTCGAGATGCTGACGGGTGAAAAGACCGGCAGCGGTGCTAACGCGGCTACGGGAGCTGTGGGCAAAGTGACTCCTTTCTCGTTGAACCGATTCTTTTTGTCCCTGGAACAAGTCGAGTTTAAACTCACGCAATTGCTTGAAAACTTGCGCGGTGACCAATGGTCTATACCTGCGGGCCATCGTCCTTTGCGTGCCACGGGTGCTGCGCTCAATTTGGCCACTTTGTTACTCCAAGGATGTTACAAGAATGTGGCGGCTCGTATCATCTTGTTTGCAGCCGGTCCCGGTACACTTGCACCGGGGCTTGTGGTTTCGTCAGAACTCAAGGATCCACTAAGGTCACATCACGACATCGATTCTGACAATGCCAAACATTATAAAAAGGCTTCGAAGTTTTATACTCAACTCGCGCTGAAAGTCGCAGAAAATGGACACACTGTTGACATTTTTGCCGGCTGCTACGACCAAGTGGGTATGTCCGAAATGAAACAACTTACCGATTACACGGGTGGTGTCTTGCTACTTACCGACGCGTTTTCCACCTCCATTTTCAAACAGTCTTATCTGCGTCTTTTCTCCAATGACGAGGAAGGTTATTTGACTATGGCCTTCAATGGTAACATGTCTGTCAAAACCAGTCGTGACCTCAAAGTTCAGGGCCTCATTGGTCATGCCTTCGCCGCGAAAAAATCTGATGCGATCAATGTGAGCGATTCAGAAATTGGCAGTGGTGGTACTTCTACTTGGAAAATGGCATCGCTGTCTCCAAACCACACTTATGCGGTATTTTTCGAAATTTCGAACACTGCCGCTACCGCAGGCGTGGTGGGCGACAGACCTAAGCTCGCTTATACCCAGTTTGTGACCTCCTACCAACATGCGTCTGGTACAAACCGTGTTCGCGTCACCACGGTTGCCAATCAACTGCTACCTTTCGGGTCACCTGCCATCGCTGCGTCTTTTGACCAAGAAGCCGCTGCTGTTTTGATGGCACGTATCGCTGTCTACAAAGCGGAATCGGATGACGGCGCTGACGTGATCAGGTGGATTGACAGAACTTTGATTAAATTGTGCCAGAAATATGCCGATTATAACAAAGATGATCCCAGATCGTTCAGGCTCGCTCCAAACTTCTCTTTGTATCCACAATTTACCTATTACCTGAGGAGATCCCAATTTTTGAGCGTGTTTAACAACTCACCAGACGAAACCGCATTTTACAGACACATTTTCACACGCGAGGACACTACCAACTCGCTCATAATGATACAACCTACTTTGACCTCTTTTTCCATGGAAGAAGAGCCACAACCGGTGTTACTCGACTCCGTGTCCGTTAAACCAAATACTATCCTACTCTTGGATACTTTCTTCTTCATTTTGATTTATCATGGCGAACAGATTGCCCAATGGAGAAAAGCAGGCTACCAAGAAGACCCACAATACGCAGACTTCAAGTCATTACTCGAAGAGCCTAAGTTGGAGGCCGCCGAGCTTCTGGTCGACAGATTCCCCTTGCCCAGATTTATTGACACGGAGGCCGGTGGGTCCCAGGCCAGATTCTTGTTGTCCAAGTTGAATCCATCCGACAGCTACCAGGACCAGTCCGCAGGCGGTTCCACCATTGTCCTCACCGATGACGTTTCTCTCCAAAACTTCATGGTCCATTTGCAAGAGGTCACCGTAAGCGGTCAGACCTAATCATCGGAAGGGATCTTTTTCTATGTGACAATAAAACGAATAATATACAATTCTCCAAAACGAAATAAACGTAAATTTGTAAGCGCGATGCCTTCATCGTTCCATTTCGTATTTCTTAAAGTTCCAAGACTTGCATATCGAGAGTGACTCCATCGAAGAAAACGAAATTATTGAGCGGCGACTGTCGTTTCCCCAAAATGTTTATGCAATCCTGTGCAACTGCACCACCTATAACAGCTGCTACTGGTGCAAACTCAATACTTGCTTGCTCGACAAATTGCTTCATGTACTCCGGTTTCAACGTTTCTGGACTGACTTTCAATTGTTTGCAAACTTTGATAGCTTTTTCAGCAAGTGAGCTCTCTGTAAGATCAGTAAAATCCATGTCAAAGTGAAACATAGCTAACAGCAAAGGCAAAGCGCTTGAAAGTCTTTTAATTTGTCGACGCGTGAGCTTACCTTCCAATGAAGCCTCTGCAAGTAAAGTTTCAAATGGCTTGAACTTATTTCGCGTGGTAATCAATTCTTTAACCTTGTTTTGCTCCTCATCGACCCGCTCAGTGACTTCAATGATTTCTCTGTTAGCAGATATGGGGCCCAGCATGGTCGAAACGGCGCTCTTGAGTTTTTCATCCTGTGCGTCGAATTCTATAAGATCGACAAAAATGTAACCAAACAGACCGTGCAAACCTGTAACATATAGCGAAATCTCATATTTCCTTGTTATCGCATTTATTATGGTGATATGAGACGCGGATAATTCTGTCGCTACGATCAAATCAAATTGTTTAAAAAATGTATCTGGTTTTGCAGTAAATTCATCCTGAAAAACGTCCAATTTGACCCTTGGATTCATATCTTGGATACGCAATTTCGCGGCAACGGCGCGGTTCACTCCTACTTGCTCTCTATTGCTGAAAAACTGGTTACCAATGTCGTCCTTGCACAGATTATGATTATCCAAAATTGTTAAGGAACCAATACCGCTCAAGACCAGATTTTTCGTTATTTCAGTACCCACGGACCCCAAATTTATGATGAGCACCCTGGAATTTCTCATTCTAGCCTGTGCTGCCATGCCCCAAAGCCTTATTTGTCGGTCATACAATGCAATTTCGTCTAAACTCTAAATTGTTAGAAAATGTACCCTCATTAACTCAATTTTAACCGGTTTTCGATCCTGAAAGAAACGTACCTTTACTCAATTGCGCGTTCATTTTGTTACACAAATTAGAGCTTGCCAAATCTGACGTTTGTACACCGAAAGAACGGTTTTCCAAAATCTTTTCTTTGCTTCAAATTTCCCTCTACACTTGATATTGAAATTCAAGAACTTAATATATTGACCACCACTATATATATACACAAACAACACAGGATATCATTATAAAACGACTATAAGACCATCCCTCGAGTCAATTAACGGATGCTGATACAGAATTCGACGATATGGATTTACTAAAGATACTTGATACGGTTCCAGAGCCCGCCATTGTTGATGCGAAAACGATGGGTGTCTCGGGTAATATATCAGGAGATTACTGGCTGCCGACTCCCATGTGCCTTTACCAGAAGCAACTGAGCGATCAAATCGTTTCATTGCATTATTCGGATATTTTGAAATATTTTGAAACCCACGACTACAACCAAGACGTCGTGGTAGCGTCTATGAAAACCATGTGTTTAAACAGTGAATACGTTGCTACACATCCATATTTGCTGATCGACCATTTGCTACCAAAATCCTTGATCACGAAAGATATTCCGAATAATATAGCCGAGACAAGTGGAAAATTTTCAGTTTTGAGAGATTTGATCAATTTGATCCAGGATTATCGTACCGAGACGGTTATCGTGTGTCGCCCGGGACGCACCTCTGACTTGCTGGAGGCATTGTTGCTGGGTAACAGGGTAAATATCAAGCGATATGATGGTCAGTCGGTCAAAGTAAAACAGAAGAGTAAGAAATTTCCTTGCACCTGTCACATATTTGCGTCGGATCCCAGTGATTTCGATGAAAACTCTGTTGATGGGAATATCCATTTCGATTTGGTACTGTGCTTGGATCCATCTGTAAATACGAGAGAACCTCATATTCAGAAAGCCTTGCGGCAGCAAAGACCATCAAATGGTCCGGGAAACAAAGCTCCCATCGTGCGGTTAGTAACGATAAATTCCATCGATCATTGCGAGTTATTTTTCGAAAAACAGATTGGCAAAGATAGCAAAGATTTTATTGCTCGAGTTTCAGCCGCTGTGGTGGTTATGCGAGACTCTGTAGGAACTTTGCCGCCCGATTTACGACCCATTTATTCTCAGAATTTGAAATATCTCGTCGCGTGGTTGGAGGATCCAAGTTTACCGTGGCCTTTACCCGATATATATCCACTCAAGACTTATACACCAATGGACGTTGAGCGATCATTGCTTACAGAAGTGAAATACAATCAGAATAGCGACATTCTTGAAGAGGCCTTTCAAAGCGGTAGGAAACGCGGCAGAAAGCCAAACTCTTCATTAGAACAGGGCCAAACTCCGGTTTCGTTTTATAAGATGAAACGACTGCAGAATGACTATTCGTCTAATCCACTGAAGCAGGATATGGCGCAGTTAACCGGTATAAACGCCATCCAACATTCAGACGCTACGCAGTATCACCTCGCCGGTGGTTTGCTGACGCATAAACTAATACAGTCGATCGGAATGGTTTATACCAACTTGGATATCCAGTCGACAGAAATTAGGCATTTTGAAGATATAGAAGCCTCACAACTTCAACGCAGCCAAGTTTTGCAAAACGATCTTATAAGCATCACGCGCCAATTTCAGGAGGCCCAAAGACTCGAGATCACGAATGAAGAGGAAGCTGTTAAGTATCATCGATTAACGGACCAAAAACTAATACAGATAGCAGAGGTGCAAAAAACAGTGGATGAACTGATCGATTCACTGGCTTCGAAAGGTCCCGATTTCAAAGAACTGTCGCGCATTTATCGAGAGTCATTACAAGTTCAGGAAGACATTGAAAGAGAACAAAGGATTTCTGAATCCAGAATATCTGAATCTTCATATATGGGAAAAGAGATAACGAGAGCTGAAGAGGTAATCAAGGAAAAGACAGACGAGAAAGCTCTATTGCTGCAACAGATCGAGGACCTCAATGCTGCGATAGACCAACAATCGAAGGAAGACCATACGGAGGAGGATCGTATCAAGGAGAGGGTTGAGAAATTAAAATCGCAAATTTCAAGTGAATGGGCAACCATTACGGCGCAAGAAGAACAGACATCAGAGCTATGTAAAGACCTTAAGAAAATACAATTCCCAAAGATTAGAGCCTCGCAAGCTTCTGGACGGAAGAAACAGAGACAAGTTAATTACACTTAATGTAAAATTTTTACAAATCGCATTCCTAATTAATTAAAGCTTCCAAGTTTTCACTGATCGGTCCCATCCGCTACTAACTATGGTCTTGGAGTCGGGTGCCAAGTCCACGCACATAATCTTGTCCGTGTGTCCCTCGAGTGATGCCACTTTATGCCAATTATCGGCGCTAAAGACATTAACCTTTCTATCATAAGAACTGGAAATCAGAAACTCTGCGCTTGGATCGAATTTGACCTCTGACACGATATTTTTATGTGCTAAAATCGATTCTAAGCATGTTTTGACTCGAAAATCCCAAATTTTAATGGTTCCATCTGCACTTCCCGTAGCCAGTTGGTATCCATTAGGAGACCAATCCAAACCGTAGATTGGCCTGGAATGGCCATCCAAAGACATTATCGAATTACCACACCTAATATCCCACACCAAACCTAGAGCGTCCATTCCTGCGCTACACGCCAGTGACCCATCCGTTTGGAACGCGATACAATACACTTCTTTCATATGTCCCTCTTGTAATTGTAATTCCGTGGCCCTTTCAACGTCCCATAACCTCCATGTCTTGTCAAAGGAAGCACTGCCAACAAATCTGTCACTTGGATGGAATCGTACTCTGGCCACACGAGACTCGTGGCCTCGCAATATTGCTCTTTCTTTCAAATTTTCGCCGTCAACGTCCCAAACTTTGACAAGTCGATCTGCTGCACCCGTCACCAGACGTCTTCCATCAACACTCCAGTCCAAACCGCCAATTTTGTCCGTATGCGAATTTGGCGATTCAGTGGTAATTTGTAATGTTTCTGAGTCAAGTAACTTAATTTCTCCACCCCAAGAGGCACAGGCCACAAGATTGCCAGTCGGAGCGACCCGTACGACCGAGACTGGCCTCGACGAGGCCACCTGGGACGCATTCAGTCGGAAATGTTGTAACTTCTCGTAAATTTGTCTTCTATGCAGTATAATTGTCTGTGGTAATGTCTTGTACATTAACCGTTGGTTTTCGAGCCGTTTTCGAGCCCTAGCTATCGAAAACTTGATCATGAACCTCCTTGCTTCGACTAAATCGTAGGACCCAGGTGTATAAAACTCTTCCTCGTCATCACCATCGTCTTCTGAAATCGATGTTTCACCATTTCTAGACTTCATAAATCGCTGAAAAATCTCAGGATTCGACGCCAGCAAAGCTGCTAACCGACTTCTACGAGCTGCTGCATCTTCGCCTGTCACTTGTACCGGCTCATCAAGCAATTTTAATGTTTTCTGCACTTCATCATCCATAGTGGGTAAAACTGATAATCGATGTTTCCGTTGAAATTCAAGCCTCTGTAACGATTCTCGAACGTTTTCATCACCAACATTACTCCCCTTATTGTCAATTTCGACTCTCAAGTCATCCGGAATACCCATTGAAGTCCTTCCCATTTTATTCTTATGGGGGGTTATTAATGGTTTAAGGTGATGATCTTCAACTTAACTTCTACCACAATCATCACAGAAATAATGAAAACAGACGAATTGGCTAAAAGTCAGCATATCCAGTATATCAAAGCCTTGGACGATAAGAAGGACGATTATGAGTACTGGTTGACTGAACATTTGCGGTTGAACGGTGTTTATTGGGGTCTTACAGCTCTTTGTATGTTAAATGCGAAGAACACCTTTGATAAAGATAAAATCATTGATTTTGTTCGCAGCTGTTACGATTCTAGTACAGGTGGATTTGCAGCGTTCCCCGATCACGATGCACATTTGGTAACAACGTTATCTGGGATTCAAATCTTGGCCACCTATGACGCATTAAATACACTTTCAGAGCCAGAAAAGTTGAAAACGACTGAATTCATCAAAAGTAATCAACTTGCAGACGGGTCTTTTCAAGGAGATCGGTTTGGAGAAGTGGACGCCCGGTTTAGTTATACTGCGTTGAGTTCATTATCGATTTTGGGCGCATTAACCAGAGAAGTGGTTGACCCGGCTGTAGAGTTTATCAAAAAGTGTTACAATTTCGACGGTGGCTTTGGATTGTGTCCCGGTGCAGAGAGCCATGCGAGTATGGCCTTTACGTGTATTGGAGCACTTGCCATTGTAAATCGACTTGGAGATCTTTCATCTGCGCAAATCGATCAAATTGGATGGTGGCTTTGTGAACGACAAGTAGCAGAAGGTGGACTCAATGGACGCCCTAGTAAATTACCCGACGTGTGTTACAGTTGGTGGGTACTTTCCGCGCTTGCTTTGATCAGGAAACTGGAATGGATAGACTTTAATGGGTTAAGAAGCTTTATTTTGAAGTGTCAAGACATTGAAAAGGGTGGGATCAGTGATCGGCCAGGTAACGAAGTCGATGTTTTCCACACCATTTTTGGATTAGCAGGGTTGAGTCTCATGGGGTTTGATGACCTGGTTTCGATTGACCCTGCGTACTGTATGCCTTTTTCTGTCACGGAAAAGTTCAAGAAATATCCTTACTAAAATGTTTCTTCTTCGGGTACAGCTTTCCTGAGAGACGGTGTATACTCGACATATCTTGCTCTTCTCTTGTGTAGGAAGGATCCGACGTTTAATGACTTGCAACCATTATAAGTGACATCGAACGTAGAAGCTGTTGTGTCGGAGAGAACTAATGTTGACGGGATTGGTGCTAGTTGTAGTGTGTTGTCAAGGTCCCAAACCACGGGTCTATTTGATGTGTCAAACGGTGATAAATGTCCTTGATCCAAAATTGTCTTGACAATTTTCCTACTTTCCACTACGCGCGCTGGTAAGCTGGCCAAATTATCTTGACTCAAAAGATTTGAACCATTTGAGTTTCCCGAGCCATTTGAACGCATCTCCTGGAGCTTTGATTCTTCAAAGGGGAAAACCACGCTATGGCGCTTGAACCTGCCGTTAATGTCATCTCGCATAATTACTATTTCTCGAGATAAGTAGGCGATTCTTGTCGGGTTCGAAGCCCAAATGATTTTTTTGCATACGCGCATTCGTTTCACTAGATTCGTGGGAACAGGCTTTTGTGGAATCATGCCAGCAACACCCAAATCAACTGATGAGCTCCATGGATCATTTTGCCCTGGAATAAAGATGAAAGTCGTCTCATTGATGATTCGAGTAAAATTAGACAGCAGACTTGCCAAAGAGTCAAACCCATTCTCATATGCGCTAGTGGCACTCACAGCCCTGCTGCTTGCTGAGGGAGTGACGGGAACTGATGAAAAGGAACCTTGAAATACTAAAACGGTTGGTGGATCCAATTCTAGTTTCTTGAAAACGTTCCGCAGTGCGTCCAGAGTGTTCATTTGATCCAAAAAGCAATCCCCACCGAGAAATATGAATCGGTGATCTGTCAATTCTTGTTCTAAGAAATGTAATCTGATCTTTAGATCCCGATCGAGTCTAGAAGTATAACTGTTTTTGGAAAGCTGATGAACTCCAAGAAAATCAATGTTACCCACAGCTTCGAGTGTGTTCTCACGTCGCTCTCCTGGAGGGTGAGCCATGGAAGTGACGTGAAATTTGTGACCGGCAGAGAAATAGATGCCTTCTACTAGGACAAAACACCCTGCGACGTAATATGTTCCTTTAGTGGGAATTGCTTGGGTCATTTCAAGCTCTACTGAACCAGAAGGATCTTCCAGGGCCCAGTTGCCCTTATGATTCTTTTTTAAAATGCCAAGTAGACAAAAATTCCTGCCGTTTCTGCCCAAAAGGTTTTTAATTTGCGTCAGCGAGATGGGTTGGGTCTCCTGAGATGCTAAGCTTCTGTCTGTGGCATTGAAATTTGATACTGACGACAATGCATTTACTTCTGAGTCCTTTTGAAATGATTCGTTACGCATAGTGCGGTCCTTCACGATATGGTAACGCGATGCATGTAATGAAATTTTAGCAGTGATATTGGGGATTTTCAATTGTAGGCTACAGGATCCAGTTTTTGAGGTGAGTTTTGGAGCCGGTGGAACGTAGCGATATTGTCTGGTTGAGTAATTGTAGATGAATTTCTGTTGTTCGTAAGCATTTATTACTTTGAAGTAGTCTTGCCAACTGAGTTCACTACTAATATTTCGAAGGGTTGTTTGGGGTTCGTCTGCGACTTCTAGAGCTCCTTTGGCGGTAGGCGCTTCGGAAGGCGGTTCAGAAGGCGATTCGGAAGCAGAGTTTGTCGCAGCATTCGACATGCTATTATCCTTTTTCAATATAAAACGATCTAAAGTCTGTGATTTCAGCTCACGACCGGCCTCGCGCTCTGCGGCGCGACCTGCATCCTTAGCCAATTCACTAGTCTTGGCCTGCTCTTTTAATTCTCGTAAAATGCTCTCAACGCCAACTTTATCCACGAATAATCCACGCTCCTGTTGCTCCCAAGTAAACGCAAACTTCTCCAAGAACTGAATGGTCTCAGTGTTTCGCTTCCAATCTATACCAAACCGTCCACCAATAAAGTTTGCAAGCTCTACCAACCCATCTGACTTGATGTTCAGGCCGTATTTCTTTGAAAGCACCCTATAAGCCAGCGGCCGAAGCAATCCGGGTTGAATTTTCACAGGTAAAACGGTTCCATCCATACTTTTGATCGTAAATGTCTAATTTATCTCTAATTAGCCCTTAGAAGTGCGATATGCTTTGGTTCTCTCCAATATTCAGCCAGCACCGGTGATGCCATTTCGAGTTACGCGTCTTTTCCAATATATTAAAAGGCGCGTAAACTTGAAAAGGCCCAAGTTGTCATCAAACTGAAAAATCACGTGGAGCTAACGCGAATCTAAACCCAAAAGACCTCCGAATTGGTCCATTTTCGGCGATTAGAACGATTGATCTGTGTTCCACGCGCTGTGGCGAACATTTGAGCTCTTGGAGACCAAATTTGATCTCCACTTAGAGGTGTTTTTGGGCAATGGTGACATCCATCAAAGAGCTAGTGTCTGGTCTGTTTGGGGCGAAGGAAACTCGTAAACGAGAGGATGGGTCGCTGAGTAGATGGCGTAGGACGGCTCGGGAGGCCCGGAAACCCCAGTTTCGGGTACAAAAACCACGAGAAAGGACGAAAATTGGACCACGTAGGGTGACAAGAAGAACCACGAATGATTTGAAGACGGTTCAGTCAAAAGGATGGCTAGACAGAATCAAAAGCGTATTCTCTTCAGAAGAGGATGACTTGAAAGCTATGGAGAAGGCGTATGCCGGTTATACCGTGACAACAGGTGTTCCACAAACGTTGCACACGCGATCCCAAATTCAAAGACGTATTGCGAACAGCGCGGCCCTGAAACGCAGGTTACTAGAGAAACAATACGACGATCGGATGCTAGATGAGCTCAGAAGAGTGCCTCGTAAAGCGTTAGGACCAAAGCGACTTCCACACGCTTCCGAAATGGATCAAGTAATTTTGCTCGAAACACAACTCGCAGACGTCACACAACGACTCGCCACGACCAAGGACGAACTTAGAGTCATGCACAAGAAACTTAAGTTCGCCACAGAGAAAAACTCGCTTCTGGAAAGTTTGATCGATGATACCAACATAGATGACGATTATTTGAAATCTCGACGCAGAATTACTAACTTGCAAAGAAATGATCTGAAACCCGCACCCGACACGCTCTTACCATCTCCAGTGCACCACGTCGCGCCGTTGGTGACATCCAGTCCTTCCAAATACAGGATTCCGGCCGATATTCTACAAGACACGGAACTCGACTTTTATGCCAAGTATCCCACCATTCCAAAAGCTGAAAATTTCAAAAACGACCCCAACGACCTCAGTGATCACAGTGACTCGTTGTCGCCGATCAGAGTCGACTATTCCAAGTACAATTCGTCCCATGTCGGTTAGGAATGGCCCAATTATAGCGATGATGTTACCCGGCATCTTCAGGCCAAAAAGCTCTTGAAGCTGGGTTCGGTTCTCTCTGATAGGAGATTACTCCGGTGGAAGAAGGTATCAGACGAGTCACTTGTGGGGTTTGTCGAATCCATCCATTATATCCAGTGGCGGTGGGATGAGTACCGGTGATTTTCTTACCAAAGGAATTGGGTTGATTCAAAAAGCCATTGATTTCGACACCGCAACGCAATATGAAGAAGCGTACACTGCATATTACAATGGATTGGATTATTTGATGCTGGCTCTCAAATATGAGAAGAACCCTAAATCCAAGGATTTGATACGTGCCAAGTTTACTGAGTATTTAAACCGGGCAGAACAGTTAAAAGAACACTTGGGATCGGAAGGAGAGAAGAAGAAAACCAAGAAAGAAACCGCTGCAAAGAAAAGCAGTGCGAATTCGAATAACGACGATGATACGGATGATAAAAAATTGCGCGGTGCGTTGTCCGGAGCGATTTTGACCCAAAAGCCAAATGTGAGATGGGAAGATATTGCAGGTTTGGAAGGTGCGAAAGAGGCTCTGAAAGAAGCTGTCATTTTACCTGTGAAATTCCCGCATTTATTTACTGGGAACCGGAAACCGACGTCGGGGATTTTGTTGTACGGTCCCCCTGGTACTGGTAAATCGTTTTTGGCCAAAGCTGTCGCTACTGAAGCGAATTCCACGTTTTTTAGTATAAGTTCCAGTGACTTGGTTTCCAAATGGATGGGTGAATCTGAACGACTAGTGAAGCAATTGTTTGCCATGGCGCGTGAAAACAAACCTTCCATCATTTTCATAGATGAGGTAGACGCTTTGACTGGTCAAAGAGGCGAAGGTGAAAGCGAAGCGAGTAGAAGAATCAAGACGGAATTACTTGTGCAAATGAATGGTGTGGGTAATGATCCTACGGGTGTGTTAGTCCTGGGAGCAACAAACATCCCATGGCAACTTGACAGTGCTATAAGGCGACGTTTTGAAAAAAGAATTTACATACCTTTGCCAGATCTTGCGGCGCGTACCAGAATGTTTGAACTTAACATTGGTGACACTCCATGCGCTGTAAATAAGGAGGATTTCAAGACTTTGGGACAACTCACCGACGGTTACTCGGGAAGCGATATCGCCGTAGTGGTCAAAGACGCTCTCATGCAACCTATCCGTAAAATCCAAAGTGCCACCCACTTCAAAAACGTTTCCGAAGACCCCAATTGTCGCAAATTAATTCCTTGTTCACCGGGGGACGAAGGTGCACAAGAGATGAGTTGGACTGATATCGAAACAGACGAATTACAAGAACCTGACCTAACCATTAAAGATTTCATGAAAGCTATCAAAACCTCAAGACCAACGGTCAATGAAGAAGATTTAAATAAACAGTTACAATTCACGAACGATTTTGGTCAAGAGGGTAACTAAAAGGCGAAATAAAGGTCCCTGTGTAACATATTTAGCTCATAATAGTCATATATTAACCATAGAATCTGGTGTGATTTTCACTATCGGAAACTTTAGCATTTTCTAACCTAACTTTGACTAGGGCAAAATTCTTTCCCTCAATGTAAACAGAAACGTCTGGATTGGTTTTCAACAATTCTGCCTCGTAATATTTAGATTCTTGGGATGTGGGGTCAATGGACTCTGCATACCCTCTTAAAGTGGCACTCATTTGAGATAGTTCGGATTGGTTCAATTCCTGTAATAAGTTCAAAAGTCTACTTGGATGATCGGCATTCTGGATCCCAGTAGGCTCGGGAGTCGGAGTATTCGATTGACTATTTTTCCGTAATGATAGTTTCTTGGCAGTAACCCAATCATGTATCAATACAGAAACTTCTGGATTTTGTTGAATATTGGCATATTTAGCCGTATCCTTTTGAGTTCCCAATATAATGTAATGTTCTTCTTTTTGATATTCTTCTGCAGTTTCATCGTGACTGTTGTAAACCTTGTGAGGTGGGATATACGTATAGTTCATCAGGGAGACGGATGGAATACATTCTGGCTTTGAACAGGTTGCTAAATGAAGATATTTGGAAGTTTTCAAGAGACTCAAAACGTGTTCTGGTAAACTGGCGGGGCATGACATGATTGGTGATTCTAGGGGTGGCAAAAATAAATTGTAAATGGATTTCTAGAGACCTAACTGGTTCAGCTTATATATACATTTTCAAGTTTTAGCAAAACCCTTTAATTATTGAAAAAAAGCCGTCTCAACTTACCTATGCAAATCTGGGTTTATTATATATTAGATAGTACATGACTAAGAGTCTAGGTCGAACGAGCTTCAGGGAACGTGCAGAAGCTTGTGGAGGCCACGCCAGTCGCTTGTCGTGAAAGCCTCTACATTAGGGTGATCCAATGTCTGTAAATATTGATTTTAGATTTCATTGAAAAAAATCGAATTTAAACGGGCACCAGGATATCCAGAGTCAATCCTACTCGGTTCTAAGGCCACGGTCGCCGCCGTGGCCACCAACCGGTCAGCGCTGTCGTCCTTTTTGACCAGAATGCAAAATTATGTCTTGGTTTTCAATTTTTCCAATTTCAATTCGCGTATGATGGGTGACCATTTGTCCAAAATGGTGGTACATTCTTCATGGAATTCTTCCAAATTCCTATCATTCGATATGACCTTTAGCAACTTGTGTAGTTTGCTTTGTCGCAGAGCGTTAATATCGAAAAATTGGTCGTTGGCAATGAGGTTTTCGTTGATTTTACGAAGCAACTTGTGAGATTCCTTAATTTCGTCGTCAGACGGAGGTGTATCTCGTTGTACCAAGTTCCTTTGCAATTTACGACGGAACAGAAGCGTTATTTCAATTCGCCTGCTTTGATCTAACCTTTGTCGCTTGCGATCTGTTTTAGCTGAGTCACGTGACTTCGAAATGAGGGGCACAGGTTTATTTGAGCTGGTACCATTGTCTTCAGTCGAGCGGGGCATACCATTCTCATTGTCCGCACTCTTCGCAGAACGAGGCCGTTTGTTTTTAGATTTTGTCGTCGTCGTCGCGGCAGCAGGCGACTCAGACTTTTTACCCTCAAACGGATCCTGACCGGCTTCCAGTTTCTCTTTACCGTCCCAGTCGTCAGTACGCCCCTCATCACTGAGCCTTCGCATGATAAACTCATGTAACGAGTCGTAGTCCGCCGCCTCTTCATAGGCTCCCACCAGAAATTCGTCAACGTCTCCCGACATAGCAGCATCGTCCAAAAACTGTCGTATTGTGTCCTTTTCCAGCCGTTTCAAACGTGCAGGCTTATCCCAGTAATATGTCTCGTCATTCAAAAAACACACCGCAACGCAATCCGCACGTCTCCTGCGATATACGTCCTTTCTGAGTAGTCGCTGCGGGAACACGACGGCTGGCCAAGGTGCAAAGGACCCGACTTTACACAAAACCAAATCCCCAGTTCTTAGATCCTCACCCATCTCTTACGCTTTTTAACTTCGCAAGCAACGATTAAGCACACAGGCACTCTGATTCCAGCCCCTTTCAACGCGCTTTTTCGCTAAGTGTGAAGCTGCTCGCTTGGTGTATTTCACCTGTCAAAAAAAGCTTGTTTTTCCAAGCTTTTCACAATCAAGAACTTTTCAAATGTTCAAGGTCTCCCTGCAGCGAGATATATCTAGCCCGTCAGTGTTTATACCTGTTCCAGTCCTAGTGGACGCTGTTGTTGATATTGGCATTAAAGTCAAAATTCTTTCTAGAATGTCATTGCACGTGACCCACTCACGAATTTTACATCTTCCGTGTAAGGTGATTTAAATCGGGAAGCGCGTTCAACGGCGTGGAAGACGTCCTCGAAAGCTCGCAAAATTGCCATTATGTGATTTCTCCGCTGCTTGAGTCGACACGGTTTTAAAAGTTTGCATTTCGCGAGCGACTTTGGCTTGGATAAAAGCCTCCAAGGAGTGCACGTGACTTTTCGCGTCAGAACCGGATCATCGCCATTCGGCGTTCGATTGATACGTCAAAGGCTGTCATGGCACGTTTCTCGTATGTTCCTGGTCATTCCAAAGAGACTAGTGCAACACTCCTCGAGTTTCTGTCCTCAAGACCATGTACTCTGATCTTTACCCACGAAACTTATATATTCTTGGGAGGTTTCCGCTTGGGACCACGGCTTCTCTTGGCGGTAACGTGAGTCAGAGTACTAGAAGAGCTTGAGGCGAGACTTTCTACGGAACTAGTGCCGTTTTTCTGTTGATGCTCAAGTGCAGGAGCGCTACTTCGCTTCTCTTTAGCGACAAAGTCTTCAAAATTGAGTGTCGAAACGTCGTTCCTTTTACCCGGTGTACCGACTTTTGAGATTGGATTAGATTGAGTTGGTTTCAATCGCTGTAAAACCTGGGCGAGTTCAGCGTTGTCATTTTGTTGCCACGGTTTGGACCCTGAAATTCCTGTTCTTTGCGCTTTAGATTCTCTAGCCTTCATTTCCTCCACTCGCTTAAGCGCTTCTGGCATAGATATCTTACGTGTGGGCACTGGCGGAGCCTTTACCAGTTTCTTCGTGAGACCCTCTGGCACTTCTGCCTTTTTCGTAGGAGTCGGCGGAATAGTCTTAAGACTGGCGAGTTTGGCGTATGCTTCTGTTTTAGCAGGTTGATCTTTGGATTGTGGAGCCAAGTACGTCTTTTTCTCAGGAACTGGTGGCTTTGGCTTGGAATGTTTGGTAACTACTTCTTTATCATTTGCTTCTGTTTTCAAAAAGACCGGTTTCTTGGGCACCATTGGAGTTTCAATGGACGAAGATAAGCCCAGGGGCAGCTGCTTCGGGGTTAGATTTTCTGTTCCGCGGATGTTGGTAGTTCGAGGCGGAAGCGAATCAGCCGTTTTCTTTCTATTGGGGAGTTCAAACATATTCGGAGCCCTTCTCTCAGGTGCAGTGTCTGGACGCACACAGCGACTAGAGCGGAGGGGCGGTAGAGGTTTTGATAATTCCAAATCTTTGGCCGCCTTACCGGTTGCAGGAGGACTTTTTTTATCGATTGGTTGTAAGTGAGGTTTTCTCGATTTCAAATTAGGAACAACGACATCCGAACCCTTCCCTGAGACGTTTCTTAAGGAGAAATTACGTCCGATCAAACCTTCTTTCCCTGTAGATACCTTTAGCGGATAACTAGAGTTTTCTACATTCTTTCTGATGGGTAAAGGCGGTGGAGATTCCTCATTTTGGGGCGATACTGAAACATTGGGAATGTTCTCCGGTTTGGAATGCACATGCCGCATCGGCAGAGGAGGGCCTTCTTCATCCTCGAAAACCAATCTGGGCTTCCCACGAGACGGGAGGCTGTTGGCACCTCCGGTCTTGTCTTTCAAGCGTTGAAGTAACAAATAATCCTCTTCAGATACCGTATACGTTTTCGATCGCGTGTTGCCTGAAAAAGAGTGATTTTTCAACTCAAACGCAGATCCTAGAGATTTTGGTTTCTCAAATCGGGCAGAATCCCTTTTCTTGGGGGAATACGTCTGTTCATAATTGTATGCAGATCCAAACGAAATCGAAGATTCCTCTAAGTCTGACTGTGGGACTTCAAACCGTTCACTTTTATAGTTACCATTGAGTATATTTTGAGCCTTTTCATAGTCAGACGCATTGTAAGCAGGTGACAGTCCATTTGGTTTGGGTTTGGGTTTCGGTGGTTCTTTATCTCTGGGTAATCGTTGTCGTTGTTTATCGAGTTCTTGAACTCTAGCAAGATAAAGCTCCAAATCCGAATCTCGAACTGTAGGCATCTCAATGATGAGCCAAACGACTCGATTTCCCTTCGCTTGATTTAGTTGGTTTATCATCTTCTGGAATGCTGGTGACAGATTCCTCATAGGTATGAGGTGATGATCACGTGAACGGAACCAAAAGCTCGAACCAACTATGGTCAGTTAGGACCAACTGAGGTACTTCGACGGAATGGAACTTGGTTAATGTGAAGTATTTAGCTGTCCAGGACTATTTTGGTGTATCATGCCAGAATATTGGCTTTACAATTGTCGCAGTTGTCGCTTTCGAAGCGTGCAAAACATACGAATTCTAAGATGAAATCGAGATTGAATTGATTTCGGGTAATCGTCGTGGTCCAAGTGTCATCATTTTGATTACGCTAGTCCTGTTTGGTTAAATAGTGGTTATTTCGTTGCAATGAAGTCCGTTTTTTGGGATCGATCGTTCCAGGAGTTGTCTTGGGTAACGTTGTAATCGTGTCGCGGGTCGTGAGTCGTAGTCAACTCCATGGGCAAGGACGTGATATAATACAGAACAAACATTGGGAGCAACCGTATTAATTCCAATGATATATTGCTAATTATTCAAAAATAAGGGTCCCTTTTTTATCCGTTTTTTCAATCTATTAGGAGTTTTGACAGCAACCTCATCCAGATTGAAATCTTGTAACACCTCTAGTTGTAAATCCCGTGGCTCTTTTTGAAGTATAGCCACGCGGAACGTCAAATTGAACTTATTCCACTGGAGCATGCTCACAATTGTGATTGCCATGTGTATTATCTTATAATTCTTTGTCGTCAGATGCTGTCGTGAATGAAGCGAGATTTCCTGCTTCACTACAATATCTAATGATTCTAGTAGGCCTTTAAACTATGTGAGGATTTACACGAGTGAGTTGGGGCTAGGGCGAAGGCAAAATTGTTCGTATCGTAACTTAAAGTCTGCCCTGGCTGCAATGCAGAGATTTGCGTCACTTGAACGAATACCTCTCTATCTGCGCTAGCGTAATTCTATCGAGGGCTTCTTGTTGCCCATCCAGATCTGGGATCCGCAAAACACAAAGAATACCAGATAAACTAGCACTGCCAAGAATATTGTATGTGCAACGCTGTAAGGTTTGTTGTTAGTACCGGAAGGGGTATAGGAGAAAACTCGTCGAATAACTGAATCAACATACGCTGGTCCATCTTTTGGATCACTAATGGATCCCACGAACGATTCGTGATTGATATTGAACAAATAGCCTATCACGGATAAAATCACCACCCCAAATGCGGATAGTATGGTACAGAACCACGCTTTCCCGGCCTTAAAAAAGGCTCAAGAGCCTCAAAGTTAGTACAAACCATCCAAAAGAAGATACCACGCTTATCTCATTTGCACATACTGATACCACAGGTTTCATTGTCTTGATTCTCGTCTGGTCACACTTCACTTGTCTGTATCGTAATACAGACAGAAATATCGATAAATCAGGAATAAAGGTTTGCTTGTCGGGAGCCCAATACCGCCTTATAAGTAGCCTTTTTGCCCATTATCCACTCAATATCAGGTCTCTTGGCCCAGTTGGTTAAGGCACCGTGCTAATAACGCGGGGATCAGCGGTTCGATCCCGCTAGAGACCATTTTTTTAGATATTTCAAAGAAAGCGGCCTTGAGCGTGGAAATACGCATTCTAGTCCATTTCGGTTTGTACAGTATTCCTATTATCACATACGGCTTGTTCATTCGTATTATGATCGTTGTAAAGTGACCTACTCTTGATATGATAAATGATTATATCCTACTACGTTAAACAGGAAGAGAAAATGTACAAATTCTACAAAAGCTGTTGGGTTATTTATTCCTCGTCTTCCAAAGTTTGAGCGGCGATACGGTCCAAATCTCTTTGACCGTTTTCAGAGATTCTTCTACCGCCCTTTGGAGAGATTTCGACAACACCGATCTTCTCCAAAGCTTGCAAAACTCTTCTGTTGACGGAACCAGAGGCGTCGACATGCTTTTGTGGTCTGGCACCTCTTCTTTGAGCGTTACCGTACAACTTGTTCAACTTGCCAACACCAACTTGCTTTCTCAAGTAAATGTGTCTAGCGACAGAGGCGGCACGCTTGTAGAACCATCCCTCGGAGTCTTGTGGTGGCAATTCATTGCCGGCAGAGGTCTTGACAATGTCAACGTAACCTGGAACTTCCAACTTACCTTGTCTTTGCAAGAAAGAAGCGTAGGCGTTGATGAATTCTTGAGCTGGAACGTCTCTGCTCATGAAAGTTAGTATTTGATATTCAGATTTTGATGTGTTCAACACAGTGCGGTGTCTAGCAACGAGGATGGGCATTATATTTGGGTTTTACCTCCAAATTTCGCAGTATACCAAATTATGCATCGAGCTCTTTCACGGGATCTCTACCATCTGATTCCGCATATAAACTTCCAGTTACACGTCTCATTTCACTTGTTCGTTTTAGTGCTAACCTCACGCTTCCGAAAGAGCACACATTCATAAATTCATCGATTCAGCACTATTTCATCATGGAGCACATTTTCCACCAATTCTTCCCACTTCATCTTCGCAAATCAACCGAAACACTATTATTGACACTCATTTATCCCACGAATTGTACGTACCTAACGGAAACACCTGGCATTTTGACCTTTGGATATCTTCAACACTATGTAAACGTTTCAAATTTGCCAAAACAATTATATCATATGGCACTACAAGTTTCATGAGTGGTTGACCTCCCCCCCGCGGACCACTGCCAGGGAACGCCCGTCAGAGCATGTCGTGAGAGTTCCCAGTACGGAGCTGGACAGTGTACGCCAACCGTCCGCCTACCGGCGGGCGGACCCAGGCAGCCACGCAGCCAGGAATCCTACCTGGCTGCTCACAGCACTTTGGTGATCCTCTTGCTAGGCCCAACCGCTAGGTGGAGGAATATTCCGCCTACGGAGTGTCTACGCCCTTTAGTTTCAGGCGATTAAGGGCGACGCAGAAAAATAAATCAAACTTTTCAAAAAACATTATCATCTAAAGATAGATGTATGGGTGTGGAAGTCGCAATAGTTTTATAGTATTAGGGCATGCATTTATGCCCTATTATCTATGAACAGTCAACAAGATGCTATAGTCAATGAGTTACTGACAAGGGAACTGGCTTCGATTACTTTATCCGTGAAGCTTTTACAGCTTGTCTTTACGTTTTGAACACCTCGAGAGCAATCTTTTAAGCATATTTGAGAAATTGAAGCAAGCGATTCGAATAACTGCTAACCCCTAGAAGGCTGCAACTTCTGTAACGATACCCAGAGGAAGACAACTTCCATCTGATTTCCATATGATATCGTTTATTCTATACATACATGCTAGGTGTGGATTTGACGATGCCCAAAGTTGTATTATTACTACAAAATACACAGTAAAGCAGATCGAGGTAAGTTGAAAGGATACAAAGCGCAAAATCAAGCATGAAAGCCAATTTACACTTTGAAAGCCTTAGACTTTCTTCTACCTCTACCTCTCTCAAACTTTCTACCAGTAGACTGGATTCTTGGAGCCTTACGCTTGTGAGGACCGAAACCGAAGTGTCTGACGGCTTCTCTGGCGTTTCTGGAACCTCTGATGATTAAAGTGTTTTGACCCTTTGGAGCTTTGACGGCCAATTGGTCTAGAGTGATAGCCTCACCACCAGCCTTCAAGATTCTGGCTCTGGCACCGGCGGTGAATCTCAAAGCAGCGACAGTGGTCTTTGGGAATTCGAAAAGTCTGGCGTCTTCCGTAACGGTACCAACAACGACAACAATCTTGTTAGCGGCACCCTTTTGTTGCAAAGCTCTAGCTATTCTAGAGACGGAAACAGGAGGTCTGTTGATCTTAGACAAGAACAAAGACTTCAAGACAACCTTGTTGAATGGAGCGTCGGTACGACCTGTGAAAAATTGTTAGTAACACAGAAGAAAAGGAAGAGAAGGCAAAGGGGAAAAATAGAAAAGGTTCTGCTCACTTGTTTTCTCACGCCCCTGGGCCTTTGAAGCAGTGAGAAATAAACCGCACGACAATCAGCCGACGCCTAGAGTCTAGGACAGACCGTGTCATACTTGCAGAACGTGCATATAGCAATTTATGCACAAAATTGCATAACAAATATCAGATTCGAGAATCTCGGATCTTTTCCGCAGTGAGAGAGCCCAGTCTCTTTTTCTTTCTTTAACTGTGCAAATAGAAGGGGAACATACGAGCCAAGAAGGTGTAAAGCTTGACCAACAATTTCAAGTAGACATTGTCGGACTTTGGAGCGGTTCTGTGACCAGATCTCTGGTGCTGCTTGGAAGTGTGATCAATACCCATTTTCGCTGTCTGTCTTTCCTCTATTGAAGACTAAGATAAGATGATAAAGCTGAAACTTTTCATATTTACAAGCAGACCTATCTTCTCAAGTTTTTTGCGTGAGTAGCGTTCAGCATTTCGAACGAATTCATGACTCCAATTAGTTCCAGCTTCTAATATTTTGATGGTGTGTGGGTGCTATGGTTCTGATAAAAATGATAAACCCACACATTTGATGAACAGTCTAAGCTTCTGCATCCGAAGCCGACTCGATGAGATGGGCTACTCGGTCGGACTTACTAGCAAGCCAGAGTAAACATTTGGATAGTATCGAAATATGAATGGAATTGAGTTGTCATGAAATATGGAGCATAATCTATGTATTAGTATTAGAGAGTCAGAATTTGCAAAAACTGTTCCCGACGCAAAAAAACCTGGAAATCACGTAGCAACCGGCGCTTGCAATCATTAAAATTGATGTGAAAATGATGAAGTTATTGTAGCTTTTAATTGAGCCCTGACCAATGATCGCACCACCAATTGGAATCATTGGCAGAATGACGAGAGCTTCAATCATGTAGCCCGTTGCGTAACGTTTACCGAAATCTGAAGTTTTAGAAATTTGGCCTAAGCAGACCGGACTTAGCGACAGTATTGACCCAGTTGAAAAGCCATACAAGATTGTATAGGCCCATAGGACGTTGATGTTTGAGCCAAAAGGCAGCCACAGCACCAGGTTGAAAATGGTAGTAATCGTAAGGGTTATTATGATGGTATTGAACCTGCCAATCCACTTGTCTGCGACGTAGCCAGAAACAAATCTGCCCGGAACACCTATAGCGTTAGTAGCAGCAAGTAAAGCGTAAGAGATGCTCTCGGAATTTTTCTGGGCCATGGCGTAGGATGCGAAAAAAGTAGCTGAGGCGGTGAGTGAACTTTCCGCCAAAGCCATGCCCATCACCGCGAACATGTATTTAGCATCCGAGAAGTAACTCCAGTTGAAAGCAGAGGTCATGTAAAATTTAAGTCCTTCTCGTTTAGATTCGAAGGGAACCGCGGACGCGGTTTCTCTTTCTACCGCAAATACTATGGAGCACACAAGCATGAACAGACAAAGAAGCGCGACAATTCGCAGAGCCCATTGAAATCCGACCTCCGAGTAAAGTTTACGTAGCATGACCGGGAAGATTACACCTCCCAAAGATCCACCGATGGTCGCTATACTGGTCGCGGTGCCACGTTTTCGTATGAACCAGGTCGCGATGCAACTGACGAGCGGTGTCATCAAAATGCCCGATGCCAGTCCGCCAAGCACTGAAAATGCCAAGATGAATTGCCACAAGGTGGTACAATTACCCGTAGCAAAAACTCCGCCAGTATACATCACGGTCCCCACAATAAGCGGTCTTCTACCGCCGTTACGATCGAAGTATCCGCCGGTAAAGATGCAACTCAGAAAAGTGATAGAAAGGTAAAGCGAGAAAATCCAAGAAGTGCTAGAAGATGAGACCGTGGCCAGCTGATGCTTTGAGATGTAAGACTGAATTGCACCAAGTGAATTTATCATACCGAAAAGTGGTATGAGTCCCATAAACGATCCAAACACAACTAGCCATGCCTTGAGACCTCCTTCCGGCAATTCCAGATCTTCCAATTCAATCGATCCTGGCGAGAGCACAGGATCCATCTCTCTGGAGACCTCATGGGCCGTTTGAATAGTGGATAGATTGTGGTTACGTTTATCATTTAGTTCGAAACCGGTGTTTCTTTGTATTTGGTCCTGTACACTTGAAGATGCTGCGTTGCCCCCCAGCGGATCGATACTGTCAGGTTTCGACCGAGACGTCCAGGAACGTTCTGGTCTCTTCAAAACATGTAGCTCAAACATCTTGAAAGCGTATGTTGCGCTCAGGGCCGGTTTTTCTATCCTTCGCTAATTGATATAGCTCGCCTCTTGTAGAATGTTAAGTAGATGAACATGGTGTTCATCAGACAAAGTATTTTTTCACGGAAAGACATTGGAAGTCTTGGGAATTGCCAAGGCTAATTGGGAAGTGCTAGTCGGGAACTTCCAATAGGCTCGAAGCTTGACTGCCTCACTGGCATTGGGATTTGAAGATGTGGTTTGAAAATCGCTGCAGGGATATTCGAGAACTACAACAGCCGCTAGATTCGCAGGCCTACTTAACAGAGTTGAGGAGATGCAAAATCATTGCCCAACCCTGAAAAATGAAAGGAATTTGGCGATCAGGAGGTTGAGCTCTTAATCTTGTAGTTTAAATGATAGACGACTTAGCTTCTTGTTAGTTTGGTGAATATTTGATTTTCAAATTTATGTTTTTGAAAAACCATGTTATATTCGGAGATGACGATACGAAAGGGAAGAGGCGGAAATGAAGACTAGCAATACTCGGAGTTCACGCTCTAAGTATGGGGAGCACGGTTTTAATGCAAATCACTCATATAAATCGTTAAAACTTACTATATGTCACTAACTATATGTTTTCACTTACAAAGCCTTCAAGACGTTTTCAGCAGAGGAAACCTTTAGGCCAGTCTTGTCTGGTTCCTCGAAGACCTTGCTGACAACACCGTCGTCGACGATAATGGCGTAACGACCAGAACGCTTGTTACCGAAGACTTCTTCGGAGTCAAACAAAGCACCACCGGACTCGGCGAAGGCACCACGGGTGTCAGCCAAGATTCTGATGCCCTTTGGAACGTTCAAGGAGTCGGCCCAAGCCTTGGTGACAAATGGGTCGTTGACTGGGACGATGAACACCCCCTTGACTCCCTTGGCTTCCAAGTCTTTCAAATGTTCAGCGTAACCTGGCACGTGAGAGGAGGTGCAAGCTGGAGAAAAAGCAGCTGGCAAACCGACAATGACGTACTTGCCCTTAGCGACTTCTTTGCCGATGTCAACGTAGTTACCTGGAGAGTTTTCAAAAATGCCTGGAAGGCCAGTCTTGATGCTGTCACCGACTTGAAACATTATAGGTCTGGAAATTGAAAAGTTGCGTATAGGAGATGTAAGATAAGGTGTGATACCAATTCTTGCACTTCTTAGCGGTTGAAATTGACGGATGAGGAAAGACATGTTCAACCGTGCGTTGTTTATATACTGTGAGTTGCCACCAGCCGAGTGTTTGGCTTATGTATCTGCGCGCATAACGTATTGCAGCGCAAGGGGAGCCTCTACGCAGGTGGATGCGAAGCCGCAATTGATGTAAGTGCTGCGGTCAGCTTTTGCAAAGATCGAAAACTAATGGCAACGGGATAGAACAGAAAAGAACTACAACCACAGTGAAAACCCGCACCCCCCTGTTGAAAATTGGGTCGCTGTTAATTCGGGTGGAGTTAATTCGGGTGGAATTAATCCGGGTGGAATTAATCAAGTTGACGTTACCAATGTCAGGAAGTGCATAGAGAAATAGCTTGCCTGGCAGCTGCTAGTTCCTAACTCACGTGACCTGGCTTCCGTCAGGAAGACGTTCGTGCCAAGCAGAAGCGGCTTTTGGGAGTTCGCCTGCGTGTCAGGAAAGGGATTACGTAGGGGATCGCTGCGGAAGGGGGAGGAGGAGTTTGTGTTGCAGAAGTGGTTCCGCTAAGACATAGAGAGGCGTTTGAGATGTGTAAAGATGAGCCACGGTCGTTACGAACGGCGATGCCGTGATCGGTCAAGTGGCTTTGCACGGCTGTGAGACAGCACATCTTCGTAAGATGTGCTCTCCACTGATTCTTGGCGATCTCCGCGGCATGGAATTTAGGGGAGCAGGAAACCAAATAATGGAGAAGGAGGAGAGAGGAGTATATAAGGAGAAAGGTGGAGGGGGAAGCGACTTTTGCCACTGCCGATCCTCTTTTTTTCCGTGTCACGACTCGAGGTTGGTATCATGAAGAAACATCGAGCTTTATGCAGTAGCGATTACAGTGATCGAATGCAAGCGGTTACAATCGACTGGTGAGCGCTGAGAGGGCAAGCGAATCGGAAAACGAGGATAGGCATTGGCGGTGGGCGGCAATTCGTACAAAATGAGACATTCTGGTCATTTTCTCGAAGAATGTGTGGGTTTATATTCGTGAATTATTGCGCACGTGACAATCACATGATCAGAACCGCTACTTTCCTTGCACGCTCCGATGAGGTCCTCTATTACGCCTCAGAGACGCCGAATGCCCCCAAGACAAGCATGGAGCTGCAGGTATCGCGAAATGAGCATCGAAGATGACCCAGAATGGATCAACGATGATATGGACTACGGCGAACTACTGGAGGACTCGTCAGCAAGCAGCATACAGATGGAGAGTGACGGCGACGACGAGGACGGTACGGTTTGCTCCGACGAACGAGGAGACCAGCCGGAGTTTTATAGCCAGATGGCGGATTTTTACGGACAGGCCAAACATCTGAAAATGGACGAACAGTTCTGCGAAGCTAGAAAGACGTTCAATAGCGTTCGTGAACTGGCTTTAAATGCCAATGAACCCCTCTGGGCTTTCAAAGCCCAAAAACAGGTAGTCAAATGTGCCATTGGCGAGTTTACGTTGGATTCAGCGGCACAATCCATACTTAGCAACGAGCTGCTCGCATTGTTACCACCTGACGTAATTTTGACTCTTCCAGCCGAGTATTTGCAAAAATCCTTAACTAAAATCATCGACCGCATTGCTCCGCCAATTGCAGGGTGCTTTTTATTCGATCGATGTCCTGAAGTTGACTTAGAGAAGCTTCGTTCCCGGCTCAGTCTGCTCGACGGTCTCAATCCATGTGTTTCACTCCTGGAACCCCTCTCGACGCATTTACAACTTCGTATTTGCGAGCTCCAATTATGGGTAGTAAGACTAACTGAAAACTCCATTGACCTGCCAGCTCTTGACAAATTGGAGGCAAACTGCGGTGCTGATGTACGTGCGCTTGAAACTATGCTACAATCATTCATGTGGCTCTATTTTTATCGCGAACAAATCGACACGCATCGGTGGTCTCTGCGCCTGTCAAAATTGCGAGCCATCTTGAGCACAACGTTAGTCCTTTCTCAAAGTATGAGTCTTACTGCATTAATGCACTTCTCCGAGGCTATCGTCCAACTTCACAACTCACAGCTGGTATGTACTGTGCGCCATCTCAATGTTTGCAAAGACGGCTTTTGGAAGTGCTTCCGAGATTTGGAACACGCAGGGCTTTCGATCACTAAGGCCAAAAGTACATTTCGCGATTTGACTTTGAGTTGCTTTGTTATATCGTGCACTTTACTTCTACCTCACACGGAAAATGCTCAGGAGGACAACATTTCTCCCTTCGAATACGAAGCAGTACAGCTTACCGAGAACGCAACTCTTCTGGCCAATTTGCGAGAAATTTACGACTCCTTTATAAAGGGTGATTTGAAGAAGTATGCTTCAATCTTGCCTATAATCGCTGTTGATCGGTTGCCTTTGAAGCTTCTTATTCTCAAGATGCACGAATCGTTTCGCCTGCGAAGACTTTGGCAATTTATTGCGCCAGTTTACTCGTGTCTGTCACTTGCCGACTTGCAGAAAGAGCTTTACATTCCTTCGGAACCGTGTTTATCTCAGAGTGATATCATAAAGCTATTAATGCGCAGTATCATGAACAACACGGCAAAGGTTTACTTTAAGCTGGACCTGAAGCAAAGATTTGTCTTTTTTGGCGAGACTTACAAGGTACGCTTCTCAGCCCTGACAAAACGTCAATCTTTGGCCAAAAAGGCCCAAGAGTTATCAATCTTCGACAAATATTCATCTCCACAGCTAGCTTGGCCCGGTGCAAACGCGACACGTGAGACGCAACCCGAAACGTGCAATGCGCTTGAACATCACCAAGAATGGCTTGAAAACGTTGGAATCTTTAGAGAACCTTCACAAGCCGATAACAAGAACAAGACTTGCTTACAGTTCATCAATGAGCTGCAATCTTTAAAAGGTGAGGGCATCCCGACTTGCAAAACATCCGCGCAAGATTCCGTTCTAAAATACTACGAGTTTCTTGAAGTACTTTCTCAGCAATTTTGAAGTGGCTCAGAATGGTCACATGAACTAGAATTTTCCGGATTTTTTTCTTTGACAGCTTTTTTTTTCCCGTTAAGTTCGTGCCTTTCTCTGTGTCATAGTTTTCGCGTCAGTTCACCGACTAACGCGAAATACAAATCCATATTACAACAGATCATGATGATGACAGTGTACGGTTTACAACTTGACAAACCGCGAAATTTCGCGGGCTCGTCAAAACTTTTTGATCGTCGCTCAAGATTATAGATGGCGCTGTGCTTTTAATTTCGCGTCTTGCGAGTGCAATTGGCGTCTTGCCAACTGTCAGACAGGTCTGGATTCAATGCTTCCGTTGACGGGCATCCGCGAGCACCGGTTTTTTTTGCAAGCGCTGTGAGAGAGTCGATTATAAAAAGGGCCCCGAACTCCAACTTACCTTTCCGCGATAATTTCAATTTAATCCCACCATCCATCAGGTCATTCTTTCGTTCATTATCAAATGCAATTCTCCGTCGTCGCTACAATCGTTTCCATCGCTGCCCTCGTTGCTGCTGATAACATCACCTATGTTGACGTTACGACTACCCCACAAGCAACGGAATCCGTTGTGTCTACTGTCCACTCCACTTCTACCCCATACACCTTCACCACCATTGCAACTTCAAACTCGACCTCATCCGGGAACGCAAGCTCTTCATCTACTTCTCCCACTTTGAGCGTCTACGAGGGCTCTGCCAAGGGCATCAGTGCTGGCATCGGTGCCCTAGTTGGTGCTGTGGCCGTTGCTTTATTGTGAAATCTGCACAACCTCCACAACCCACCTATCGCATTGTATAATATATGAATAATACCCCCAAAAATAATACACAAGCTATTAACTGTCTTCGAAGGCTCCGATAAGTCAATATTTCATGAGTGGTTCCGTTTATTGAAGTTTCGTTTTTCGATTCTGGAAAGGTTCTTATTATCATGAAATTTTTCACAGATGACAGACAGACCTCACATCATCCACACACTAATAACAGTAAATTACAAGAATCAAGAGCACCTGCGAAGGCCCTGGTAGACCAAGGATAAGAGCTGGAAGAGCTCACCTCATTAAGACAAAAGCAATGGACGATCATGATTCCCTTGTTTCTCGCATGTCTGATATGGAACATCAGATGGCTATGTATGAGAAACTATTTCAAACATTTAGTGCCAAGTTGGACCATCATTTTAAAAAATATGACATGATTATCAATTCTCAACAACAGCAAATCTCGGCGCTTAATAGCGTCTTGCAAATGGTTTTGAATGATCAACATCGATATGCAGGTATTATCAAGGATAAATTGCTGGATTCACTTGCAGGTGTCACTGCAGCGTCACCGTCGCCTTCTGTATTGGCACAACAACAAATTTCGAAAGAGGAAAGACATCAGAATCGCGACAGACCGTATATGTACATGTGTGAATCTGGCTTGAACCAGAATCCTGGTGAGCCGTTGCAATATTCCAAAGGCGTACAATCAATGTTCGACAATATCATTTCGCCGCAGTCGCTTACCACCACGCCGAATCATCCTAATAATCCAACTTTTAAAGCGTTTCCTGCGGATATCACCAAAGAGTTTGTACCAGATTTAGCGGATAACAGTGACGCTTTACCTGAAGCCAGAAATAAGCATCGTACGGCAAGAGAAAATACAGAACCCGATACGACGGATTTTGTAGCGTCTCAAATTTTGGGCAAACGCGTTTTTGAATCGGACCCCGCAACCAATGCACCTCCACGTGGATCGTCTCCATCGTTGATGTCTGAATCTGGCCCTGTTGACACGTCTACTCACGTCGTACCGTCTTCCGACAAAACAGATATCAAAGAAGAATCCTACTACACCTCGGGAGGTCAGAAAAGAAAAAGGAAAATATTCGCAGGCGAGTTTCGGTTTCTATGCTCTCCGCAGTCCGTAATGGAAGTTTGGAAGGAATATTCAGAGGGTTTTGCTGGTCAACCTTCGCTAAAAGAAATGGAATTAATGTATCAAACCGCGTGGAGACGCGATCCAGGGATGAGCAAGAAATTTTTCCGACGGAAAGCACTATGCAGGGCCATAGAACGCGGACTCGCCGCGGGTTACTCTTTAAAAGAAGTCATAGAGATGCTCGAAACTCATCGGAAGACTCACTGCAGCAATGGCCAAAAACAACCCATAGGTTGGCTTTGCAGGCATTCCAACATCCCAGAAATGTTCAAATGAAGATGCAGGAGTTCACGGACATCTCAAAGACGTCTAGAAAGGCGTTTCACCAGGCAGCATCAAATGATCTTCAGTCTCGATGAAGTCACGTGAATATGATATCATGTGACTTTCGGCTGGTCATAAAATTTTCAATGGTAAAAGAAGCTGAGATGATGAGCCTTCTACAAAATAGAGATATCAACACAATTCATACATTCTAGGTGACTCTAGAGTCAGTGATACGGGGCTGACAATACGTTAATGCGTGAGGGCAAAAATAAAGATAATACTAATATTGTCAAAACAAAAAAATCGGGATTTCGTTCACAGGAGACCCCAAAGAACAAAAACAAGAAATTCAGAAAATTACGGAAATCGTCACTCAGCAGAGCCCAGAAGAATTTTGCTGTTTTCAACAAGAATGATGAGTTTTTGAATAAGTACGAAAATTTGGCATTGGATATAAGCGACGTTGAAAATACCGATATGTCGACAAGCGAAAAAACGAGAGCTGAGAACAGCGGCGATGAGAGTACGGGAGATGTTCCCGTGAGTGAGACTCAAAATGGAAATGCATTGGATGCGAACCAGGACTTTATATCTATCGATCTTTCGTCCGAAGACGATGAGGACGTCGATGACGAGGCCAACAAAAATGAGTCTCAAAAGGGTTCAGAAGAACCGAGAGTTGCGGGCAATTACGATTACGACAATTACGACGACGAGTTTCCCAACGAGGAAGAAGTCGGCGTTCGCCAAACGCTGAACACGGACTATCCATGGATTTTGAACCATGATCATTCTAAACAACGAGAGATAGCGGATTGGTTGACTTTGGAAATTAAGGATTTCGTTGCGTATATTTCACCGAGTCGTGAAGAAATCGAATTACGGAATGCGACCATCTCGAAAATTAGACAAGCGGTCAAGGCTTTATGGCCAGACGCCGATCTACATGCATTTGGATCTTTTGCAACAGATCTGTACTTGCCAGGGTCAGACATTGACTGTGTGATCAACAGCGCTGCGGGTGACAAAGAGAACAGAAATTGTCTTTACTCTTTGGCCAGTTTCTTGAAAAGACGAAATTTGGCAACCCAAGTCGAAGTCATTTCCAAAGCGAGAGTGCCCATCATCAAGTTTGTTGAACCTGATTCGCGAATTCATATCGACGTTTCATTCGAGCGCATAAATGGACTGGAGGCGGCGAAAATAATTCGCGGGTGGCTCAAAGAGACACCGGGATTGCGGGAACTAGTTCTAGTAGTAAAACAATTTCTCAGTTCGCGGAGGCTGAATAATGTCCATACTGGAGGTCTAGGTGGATTTAGCATTATATGCTTGGTCTACTCTTTCTTACAACTGCATCCGCGTGTCATGAGCAGCGACATTGATAGCATGGATAACTTAGGAGTTCTTCTCATAGACTTTTTCGAACTTTATGGTAAGAATTTTGGTTACGACGATGTGGCAATTTCCGTGTCAGACTATTCTGCCAGCTTTCTGCCGAAAATGGATTATCCTAGTTTGCGAAATCCAAGGACCACATTTTCGTTGGCTATCCAGGACCCTGGAGATCCTGATAATAATATTAGTCGAGGCTCGTTCAACATCCGTGATATAAAGAAAGCTTTTGCAGGTGCCTTTGATTTGCTCACGAATCGATGTTTTGAATTAGATTCGGCTACTTTCAAGGATAGGCTGGGGAAAAGCATATTGGGAAATGTTATCAAATACAGAGGCAAACAACGAGAATTTAAAGATGAACGTGCATTGGTAGTTAATAGAGCCATTGAAGAGAATGAGCTCTATTACAGGAAAAGAGGTAGAATTGTACATGAGGAAGTTTTTACGGATGTGAGCGAAGATGAGCAAGATGTGTACAAGGTTGAATCTCCCGCTCGTAAGAAATCTAAGAAGTCAACTAAAAGCGATGGTGGTGAAACGTCGAAAAAAAAGGCAGCAGTCAAGAAGGTTGTAGATCAAACTGAAAGGCAAAATGTCAAGTCAGTAGAGGATTTGTTGGGCTTGCAGCAGGAGGAGGACGAAGGAGACGACTACGTTCCACCAGCTCCCGTTGGAAACGTAGCTGAAGGTGATGCCCAACTGTCGACACTTCGGGAAAAATCGGTCGATGCCCAAACGCGGCGGGACTATTGGTTGAGTAAAGGGCAGGCACTGTGAGATTTCCGCGGGAGCGAAAGCATTTCAACAATTACATGTAATCTTGTAATAATAGAATTAAACAGCATACTCATTCAAAGGTGGGCTCATATCTTGCTTTCTTCTTTTGACCACTGAGCTTTTTATTGCGAAGCCGACGTTCGTTTGAATTTTTCTTGATGGAGTTCCATCGATCGACAGTTGCCTGTTCTGTGGGTTCGGTGAAGAAGCAGGTCGTTTTGATTGTCTCGACCAGTTTTTCAAGACAATCTTGTCTGTTAGCATCGCGACTTCGAAATTTGTCAGACTGAATGACAAGAGTGTCACTCGTGGGATTATAGTATCGCATTTTCTTGGAAATAAGTTGTTGTTGAACTTCCTGGGGAATCCAAGTCGTCGGCTGAGAAAATTCGTTTAATTTCAATGTACATTTGCTGCTCACTTTGTTAACATTTTGACCACCTGGACCGCTCGATCGGGTATATTTTACGATAAATTGGCTTTTTGGAACTGTGCTAGGTGAAAGGCCCCGAAGCCACGTTTCGGGCAACACCGTGCATTTATCTCCCAATTTTTTCAGAGTTGGATTCATAGTAGAGGCACCATTTGCGACAATGGGAACAATAGGAGCTAACAAAGGAAGAGGCGGTGGGAAGCCTCCATAAGATGGGTCTCAATTGTCGCAAAAATCTGATTTTCACACAATTGTAGCCCACAATTGGTATAAAGAGCTCAATCCTTCCAAACTCAGAACCCTACTGTTCTACTAAAGATCCTTTCTTCTTCTTTTTTGCTCATCCATTTGTCAACGGTCAAACAAGAATCGACCGTCAAAGTTCAGGAAGTTATGACCCTTCGTTAATTATGACATCAACACTCCAAAATTTTTATTACTCAAACAGGAACCTGAGATTCGATCCTGTTTCACGTTTAGAATAGAACATATTTCGAGAGACACGATAAACACCTTTCCCACCAGATAGCAGTGGTTATCGGAGCTCAACTGGGCTAGATATGTCGCTATCAGCTGCTGCCAACAAGATCTCGGACAATGATTTCCAAAATATTGGTCCAGCTCCAAAACCTCCGGGAGCTGCATTCAATAAGACACAACCAATAACTGCCTATATCAACCAGCTGGATTTGAGAGATAAAGCGCCCGGAGCACGTGGCAGAGACGCCGGAAACAGGAGGACTGGCTGGGTTTCGTACAAAGATGATGGATTATTGTCGTTTCTCTGGCAAAAACGATACATGGTTTTAAGTGATTCGTATTTGACACTTTACAAGGGTGTTCCAACACGACCAAATGAGGATCCTATGTTACAAATTCCATTGACAACGATTGTGAGTGTGAGTCGTACGCAGTTGAAGGCTAATTGTTTTGAAGTTGTGAGAAATAATGATCGGAATTCGTCGTCTGCGTCGTCTGGTACGTCGTCGTCGTCATCGTCTTCAAATGTGAACAGTAACAGTGGTGCAAACTCTGACGGCAACAGGAAGTCTATTTACATTGCAACAAAGGCAGAAATCGAGCTGCATACATGGCTTGACGCAATTTTCGCGAAATGTCCATTACTTAGCGGTGTTTCTTCACCGACCAACTTTACACACAAGGTACATGTGGGATTTGATCCAGAAACCGGTAGTTTTGTTGGTATGCCTTCGAATTGGGAAAAGCTTTTGAAGCACTCTAGAATCACTGGTGAGGATTGGAACAATAATTCTGCGGCAGTGATACAGGTCTTGCAATTTTATCAAGAATACAATGGCGCGAATGTCAATCCTAATGCCAATGCCAATGCCAATGCCAATGCCAATGCTAATGCCAGCAACCCTTCTTTGTCAAAGTCAATCAATCTTGGTCAATCTCAAACAAGTGTTGCCAGTGACGTTCACAAACCTGTAGGCGATTTGGTACCTCTACGAAAACCACCTACACCTCCTTCGTCTCAGGGCAAACCTCCCTCATTCAGACAGGATTCACAAACCTCTTTGCAACCGTCACAACCAAATTTCGGTCACAAACAAGCCGGCCTAGTACCAAAAAAATTCAATGAGAACAGACCTCCCACAAATGAGAGAACGGCTCCCAACGCGGGACCGTATTATGGCAATCAACAACGTGCACCAGTATTACCACCATCCCAAACATCATCGGAAAGTCTCCCCAAATTTCAACATAACATGCAGAATCCTTATGCTGTGAAGGGCCACATCAATCAAAGAAACATATACCCACAACGACAGGCTCCTTTCGCTCCACAGAATGGAGTTATTTCCAGAAATAAGGAGGCTCCAATACCACCTCAGAGACTTCAACCTCAAAGGCTGGCACCTGTGGCTCCTAATAAGGCGCCACCAACGGCGCATGCACCACATGCATTGGGTCCCAAACCCGGACCCACTTTACCTTATATTTCTTCCACTCATCCCCCTCACCAGAGAGATGCTCCAAAAAAACCAACTCAAAAGCCTACGAAAGATGAAGGCGTCACTAAGCCGCGTAAACAGCAAAAGCCTTCAATGTCTAATGCTGAAATTATGGCTAATTTGAAAAATGTCACTATCAATACGGATCCTTCAACATGTTTCAAAATGATTGAAAAGGCAGGCCAAGGCGCTAGTGGTTCTGTTTACTTGGCACAAAGGACCCAATTACCACCGTACGATGAAAAGTACCCTTTACAAGAGGTCGAGCAGCAACACGTTGGGGACAAAGTTGCGATAAAACAAATGATTTTGTCAAAACAACCCCGCAAAGAATTAATTGTTAACGAAATCTTGGTCATGAAAGATTCTCAGCATAAGAACATTGTAAACTTTCTGGAAGCGTATTTGAAAACAGAGGACGATTTATGGGTCGTTATGGAGTTTATGGAAGGCGGTTCATTAACAGATATTATCGAAAACAGTCCTGCCACCGGTAGTACCACTTCCCCGTTATCAGAGCCCCAAATTGCTTACATTGTCCGTGAAACTTGTCAAGGTCTCAAATTTTTGCATGATAAACACATTATCCATCGAGACATCAAATCTGACAATGTACTTCTTGACAACAGAGGACGTGTCAAGATCACGGACTTTGGATTTTGCGCAAAACTAACAGATAAGCGTAGTAAAAGGGCAACGATGGTCGGAACACCTTACTGGATGGCACCTGAAGTTGTCAAACAACGTGAATACGACGAGAAAGTTGATGTATGGTCATTAGGAATCATGTCTATTGAAATGCTCGAAGGTGAACCACCCTACCTCAATGAAGACCCATTGAAAGCGCTTTATCTCATAGCTACTAATGGTACTCCCAAACTCAAGCATCCAGAAGGGCTCTCTTTGAAAATCAAGCGCTTCCTCAGTGTTTGCCTCTGTGTGGATGTTGAATACCGAGCTTCAACTGAAGAACTTTTGCATCACACTTTCTTTGAAATGTCGTGTGAACCTTCGGATCTATCTGCCTTGTTACAATGGAAAAGATAGTTTCGAATGTAGAAATGAATAAGTTAAATGCGGATGACAATTTTATATGGACTTTATTTCTTAACTTGATTCTGAGTTAATGTTAATGAAAGCTCTTGAATGATCAACTGAACTCCTTTTACCTTGTGAGCGCTTGGTATTGTCTTTAAAATAAGCGCGTAGAGGATCCCAAGTTCATTCAATTCCTCGCTAGCAGCATAAACCTTCAAATGTCGTGCCACGTTCAGAAATCCACTAAGAACGCAGTATATCTCGCCCTTTGTCACCTTGGACACAGGCGCTTCATTAAGTAGAGAAACGATAGAAATAAACCGTCGTAGGGCGAACGCACACCTCGAGACGAAGTATACCAAACAAGTTCGTCTTAAAATTTGGCTTGCTTTCCCATCTGAAATCATGAAATCAGCAAGAGTCTCAACACATTTCTTTGTGAGATTGACTTTTGTCAGGAGCGGCGGTTGATTTGTAGATCCGAGAACTTCGTCAAATGGGAATGAGGCGAGTATTGTGGTAACTTCTCCAAGGGATGAGCTGTCTCTCACTATAGCATCCTCTATCTCATCCAATTCATAAAAGAAGGACGATTTGCGAATTTCCGAAGCGTAATAATCAAGAAGCTCTTCACCAAAAACATTGTTTTCCAGTCCTTGAAAAAAAAGCTTGTTGAAATTTTGGAATTCTATAATATCGTCGCCTTCTGTTAGAGCGTCAACGTTGGCATTGATTCTTATGATGGGAGCAACTGCAAACACAAGGAAATTGTCGCCGAATTTAGCCTTGAAGTCAGCCGTGGGGTCGAAGAGTTTGGTACTGGCTGCGCTCTCAATTACTTTTCGAGAAATGATATAGAAACATTGGGAAGCGAGACACCACAATGCAACATTTTTATGTTCATCGAGGTTTATGAGAGACTTGGCTTTAACCACGTCTTGTAGGTTTTTGCTTAATCTCAAAATGTGCTTCGGATCGAGAAATTCTGCATTGTTTTCGAGCAAGGTTATTAAGCGGTGATGTAAAAACAAACAGGCCTTATAACTCACTGCCTCGAAAGAGGGCACTTTGGCACTGGATGATGCACTCGTGAGTTTGGGAGCTAATTTCATTTCAATTTTTTGCCGAGCATCAAACGGCAAGACAACGAACGCACTTAACTGGGCTAGGAACAAAGCTTCGAGTTTGCATGATAGATTAATGTCAAAAACATCGAGGCATTGAAGCACAAGAGATTGCAAAGAAGAGGGCTTCTTGTGATCAGACGCAAAACCAGGAAGTAAAGGATACCTGGCGGCCGTATTGAGCACATTCAAGGCGGCTTCCATTTTCTTTCCATCAAATAGTTTCTTTTGAACCAAAAGCGTGTGTAAAGAAGGATAACAAGAGAGAAGTTGCTCAATGCAATCGTAGCTTGTTTTTCTTTTGAATTCCGACGCCGCTGAGTAGTCTGTATAGACAATATCATAGCCTGACCAAAACTTGTAACATTGCTCAATAATTTGAACTGGAACATCCTGGATTCGAGCCGCAACTTCCAAGAAAAGCTTAAAATTGACAAAAACTGCGAAAGTGACATCAAAAGATGACCTTGACGTTAGACTTTTCATGTACTCGATAAACGCTAGCCATGAAGTCATGAAAGGTGCGCAGGTAGCAGGATTATTGAGATGCGTTTCAAATAAATGTACCAAACCATTTAGTTTTACATGCACAAACTCGGCATACTGTGCATTATCTTTGAAAGCACTTGCATCTTCGACCATTGGCTTAACAACTCTCAACGCGACTACATCCCAAGGCGGGAAACAGGAGGAGTGAGAATCCACTATTCTGAAAAATGTTTGAAGAGCTCCACTTTTCACCTCAATTCTTGGATCGCTGCTGCATCGTATTAGGTTCTCCAAAAGATACAACCATAAAGCATTACATTTCTCGAATTTGTTCTGTGCTAGATTTGTGAGAGCTTTAACAGTTGAAGTTTCGAACAGATTCTCTAGAAATGCAGGACTCAAAGACTTCTGAGACTGGTCAGTACTTTCAATGCAAACCCTTAAATAGTCTCCCACGATCCAAAACTGACTTATTGACGAAAATGATATGTTCAAATCTTCCTTTTGAGAAACAAAATGCACCAACGTGTCTATCAAACTCTCAATGGCTTTCAAAGGTAAAGTTTGTAGAAAATCGTCAGTGATTAACTTGAAAACGTCAAAAGACATTTGTATCATGCTATTGTTTTTGGTGGTCATTACTTCAAGCATAGAGTTATCTTCAACGCCATCAAATCCCGTCAAGTCGAGATTGCCACCGGTAATCATGAAAGGTGAATTGAGGATCTCAAAAACCATATCCCAAGACGATTTCATTGACTCTCCAAAATCATCTAAGAATCGCTTCAGAGTTCGAAGAACCAAAAAAATGATTTCGAATTCTGTGTTAACCGTTCCACTGTAAACGTCATCTTTTGAAATTCCAAGCTTAACGATGGCCTTGATCAATTTTTGGAGTGCATTCAAAATGTGCTCTTGTATTAAGTTGATTATTTCCCTATCTTGCGTGTTTTTCGCGTCAGAGAACCCAACTGCCACTTCAGACAATAGATTCGTCAAAGCACTGGCCGCGCATAATCTAGAGGTAGTGAAAGAAGAATCCGAATGGCGCCTTGAAGCAATTTCAATCAAAAAATCAACAATTTTACTCCAACACCGTTGACCCTTGCTTTCTGTGAGTCGACCGGAATTATATTCTGCTATAATACCGATTCCACTCAAGAAGAAGTTTCGATTAAATTTGCAGTTTTGTGGGCTACCTGCTTTATCAAGTGGACGAAAATCGGTTTCAGTTATGAGGTCAGAATCCTCATCGAGTCGTAGAGTGTTTCTCGCCTCAGTCATCATGCTCTCGATTAAAATCGAGAAAGATTCATTAGAATAAGTTTCTGTGCTTTCTACTAATTTCGAAACACTTGATTCGATTGCGGTGATATCTGATTTTGAGAGCCTACATTTTTGAGGGCTCTTGTTACTAGAGTCGAAAGGTTTCGTCTCATCCTCACTATAATGAGCTGTCCATTGCCAGGCTACCAAAACGTATCTCCAATTTTCCACTGTGAACGAAGATCCCAGGGAGATTGAGAGAGATATCATTGCCCGAAATAGACCAATAGTTCTTTGATATCTGGGACGCTGAAGCGCTTGCGATTTATGAGAAACACTATGGCTTGGCAAGCCCGGTTCGCTGAAGGTGTCCGCAAGGGCTGTGAAGACCCCATTAGATGAAGAATATCCTTCTTCTTCGGGTGGTGACGAGAGAACCTCTTCTTCTATTTGTATAACGGCAACACAAAATATTTGCAGGCATTGGCTGAGCATGTCACTGAGTCCAAAAATTCCTGCAGCCTGTCCTAGCCTTTGAAAAGATCTTACCACTGACCTGAAGAGTGAAGTATCCAAAGAGGCAGCGTACAACCACTTCTCATGGATTTTTAATAATTCATGGAAAACATGAGAGAACATCAACACCGCCTTCTTCATTAAGGTTTCGTTTTTCTCTCCCTGGGAAAGCGACAAAGCTTTTAAGCCCATCTTGTCAGAAATGGAGTTAGAAATCGACAAGACTAGGTATAGAATGTAATTTTCATCGACATAAGGGGCTGTAGCTTTGTCCAACAGCTCGATGAATGGGATGCGGGCCACAGAATGTTCTTGAGAAATAAGAGCCATATCGAGACTTGGCAACACAGTCAAGATGTGTAGGTTTGCCTCGTAAGGCTTGGTGGTAAGCAACTGTAAGAAAGCGCTCAGGAGTGAACTGAGTATGTCCTTTCTTTCTGCAATGTTGTCGTAGGTGAGATATATCCCCAGTAATAGATCGAAATCTTTAGAAATTATTTGGATAACTTCCAGCGAAAGAATCTTTTTCCAGTGCGGTGAGTCCGAATTTTCCGATAACGTGTGTACAAGCAGTGATAGAATAACCTCGAGCTCGAGCTCCAAAATCTTCAAAAAATCTACCCTGATCAAAAGGGCGATACATCGAGAGCTTCTGACAACCAAAGGAAAATGCTTGGAGGAAGAATAGGAGCGTAGCAGGAGTGGCACAGCTTTGGTTCGCAAGATAAATTGTAAATCTAGCTGACGTCTGAGCAGGGACGCATGATTTTGAAATAAACTTTCTAGAATTTCCAAACCATATTCTTCAGGTATGCAGCTCACTTTCAGTATTGTGCTCTTGTCGGTCGTGCCATTTAAGCTGCACAGATCGTGGAAAATGCGGTTGATATCGTACTGAAGAGGTCCCACCTTCATGAAATCACTGTTGCTGGTTGCTACTTCATATTCTTTGACTTCCTCCGCCCTGGATCGTTCAAACATACTATTAACAAGCTGTTGTAATGTAGCGCTCGCGGTACCGACGACCATTGGAGCCTTATTTGGAATCTGAAGAAGGTCTGTACAACAGACGAGCAACTTGGCGCTCAATGGGCCAATTATCTGATCACTGTAAGTCTTGAAAAACATGGGCAAAATCTGGAGCACTTTAAGCTGGATTTCGACGGCCAACCTGGTCGAATCTGAAAACGCCTGTAAGACATCTGGAATCCGCTCAGACGGTATGCATTTGTCGACAGAAAGCCTCTGGAAACAGTGCATTGAAATAGTCGTGCATTTGGCGTTTTTCGACGAACATGACTGTATAAATGGCGAAACGAAATCGGGATGCCTTGAAAGCTCTTGAAAAGAGTGTACAGTTTTCAAAATTTTGATAGATTTCTCACTAGCATATCTGATTTCCGAGTTTCGTCTTTTGGACTCTGACGCCAGCGTTTGCAAGTCCGAAGTGAGCTGATGCGATAATGTTGTGAACGAGACAGCCGTTGCCATATTTAGGGCAATTTAAGCTCAAATTAGAAGCTTTTTTAAAGGTTTAAAAGACGATCACCGATATTAAGCAAACCAAAATCTCTGTGCGAGCTGGAATCTCGCTTTTCGGCAGTCGTATTCGCTTTCAATTGACCGTGGCAGATTGTGGTGACAGTTAAAGGTCCTTTACATAGAGTTGTATAGAAGTTGAAGTTACGAAATCACGTGTAACTTGAAATATAACAGTTAACGAATACCCATTTGATACTCAGAACGTACAGCACGATATTAAACAATGTCGTACGAATACACATATTCGTCATCAGTGACACGAATCACATGATATACTCGTGAATCATGATCACATTTTTAAACGCATATGATTGGTCAACGCGGTATTACAGTTAAAGAGATCGCGTGAAAGTCTAGTGGAAAAAAAAAAATTTTCTAGACCGGAGCTATCGATTTATATAGGATATAGAAATTGAGCTTAACCGAAGGCTTCTCTTGGACTGATACCAAAAAGAAGGTACCGGACCTTTATCAACTAGTAATCAAATAGTATGTGATTGATGTGAAAATGGGAAATGTGGATTGATCAGTGCAGTTTATATGCTTTTTCACCGGCGTCGATAGCTCTGTTAAGCTTCGACTTAGGCTTGTTGCTCCGGACTTCGGACTCGAGGGGAGGTGATGTGATGTTAAGGAGGTGTATGGAAATTTGAAGGCTGATCCGGTTGAGCATGTCGTTGAGAAGCTCTTGGAGCCGGACGCGCGGGGACGAACATGTCAGATTCAACTGCTCTTGTTCACCCCCCGGAATGAAATAAACCACTGCAGCGTTCCACGAACACTAGCGATTACAAGTACTAACAGAGTTTTACAGTGCTGCGTTCTACTTTTACCCGGGTTGCTCGCGTAACGCCCGCCAGATTTGCGCAAACACAAGCAATTTCCAAAGCTTCAATTATCGATTTACAAAGCAGATGGGAAGACCTACCAGCGGTCGAACAACAAGAACTGGTCACCAAACTGCAAGAACGTCAAAGACTACCCTGGAACGAATTGACCGAAACCGAGAAGCAGGCTGCTTGGTACATCTCATACGGAGAATGGGGACCAAGAAGGCCCGTGCACGTTAAGGGTGACGGCTCTTCTATAGCGAAAGGCGTTGTTGTGGGCCTAGTTGGTTCCATTGCCATTTTCGCGTTTCTAAGACAATTTGCCGGTGAACCACCCAAGACCATGAACAAAGAATGGCAATTGAAAACCGATGAATACTTGAAATCTAAGAATGCCAACCCATGGGGCGGTTACTCTCAAGTCCAATCCAAATGAGATTCTTGGGCTGAATCTCCGTTTTCTCTTCAAAAAGTGCATATTCAAAATCGAAATTGTCACCTTTCCTCTCACTATACATTTAGGGGTCCTTTCTCATTCCCATGCACCTCTGGTTGATTGAAGATAAGCTTTTTCTCACCGACGGGCGTGTGATGTTATGTATCTTATTTAAGTCTTCAGAATAAACGACAATAAAGGAACACGAGGTTGCTCGCTATCGCGAGCATACCGAGGGAGTTAGAGACCGAGTCAGCCAGTTATAGGCTTATTCATTGTAAGTTATTTGTGGTGGTGTTCACTGTGGTTATCACCATGGTACACTTCGATAATCGACGAAAATGTAACTGAAAAATTTTGGATGAAGCTCATCGCGTTGACGAATCCTATAAAAAGTAGCTGATAAGAGCGATTATTCGTCCATTGGCTCCGTTCTGAGCCTTGCATAGCATCTGGGATCCCCTAATTACTATAATGTCATTTCAATTTGGGTTTTCGGAGGAAATCTTATCTGATAATGGTGATTCTAACCAATCAATGGGCAATCATGGACATTCGGCACCCGAGGGACAGAATTTGAAGCCCAGTCCACTTGATTCCGAATTTCTGAAAAGCCCTGAAGTGAAACAACCTGTGGTGATCGAATTACAACAACTTCTCCAAACTATTCGTGGAATTCGAGTCTCTTACGAGAAGTTCAAATCGCCGGAGTGCCAAACTCAATTATATCGCAGAGAGCTTTTTGATGTTAAGCACCAATTGATGACGGAAGATACCAAGACTGAAATCGGGAGCGCTGCAACGACAGACGAATTTCAGATTCTGCTTGGAGAAACGAACGAAGATCTGCGGAAATACGTTTACGAGGGAGGGCTCAAATCTTGGGAGTGCTCACTAGATCTTGCTGATGTGCTTTCTTTGCAAAATTGGAGGGATAGATTTCCTGATTGCGTAGTTGAAATGGGGTGCGGCAGTGCTTTGCCCTCTGAATATCTTTTTCTACAAGTATTGCAGCGCAATGTGCCCGGAACTAAGTTTGTCCTGACAGATTACAACGAGTTCGCACTGCGGCTGGTGACGTTACCAAATTTTGTGATAGGGTGGGCTGCAACAGTTCTGAACGATGTTGAAAGGGTAGAATTGCAAAGATGCGATGACGACACAATTCCCATTGTGGAGGGCGAGCTGCTTTTCACAGATGTGCTTCTGGAAGCGTTTGTCAAAGACATTTCTAGCCGTGGAATCGAACTCACTTTCATATCGGGCGCATGGGGCCGTGTATTTTACGAAATGCTCGAAAGTTTGACTGTCCGCTCCACGAATCTTCTGTTACTCACGTCAGAGACTATTTACAATCCAGAAACCCTTCCTGTCATTGGTGAAATTATACTAGAATTGACTTCCAAAATCAAGCAAGATCCTCGCCAGGTAATTACCACTATGGTGGCCGCAAAGGACATATATTTCGGCGTTGGTGGTAGCGTCATTGAATTTCAACGTTACATGGAAAACAGAATACGAGAAGAATCTGTCAAAATCACGCTAAGCACCTTGAAAGTGAACAGCGGTTTGAAGAGGTCCATAGTGGTATTTGATTGATGGTGGAAATGAATCAGACAGGACTCTCGAGACCCGGATATAGTGTATAATAGCATGGTCACCATAATTTTAATGCGAATCTACTAGATCACGTGATCTCATCGAAACTCAATATTGATAGACCACCTAAAGCTAGAACTTTACCTCTATAGACTATCATCAACTCAACTGCCAATATGACAGCGGATCAGGCTGCTGATGGATTTGAGTTCATATTAGAAGATGACTATAGTGGAGTACGTTATTGCAGCGAGCTCTTGAAGAAAGATTCGAATCCCGATGGATTAAGCATAGATTTGGAAACTCCGATTAAGAAATTGCAATACGATATAGACGAAATGGACAACAGAGTAGAAGCCATTATTAAGCAAAACTCAATTCATGTAATTGAACAAATTGAGACTCAGAAAGAAGCTCACAGTTTTGCCCAGAAGTCAATGGAACCTACTTTAGACTATTTGAATCTTTCTTACAGAAGACTGGAGACCGACATAATTCAGCCTTATGAGCATGCATTAAGGCTTCAAAGCGCATTGAGCAAGATTCATCAGACCTCCAATGGGCTGAGAGAAGTTCTTGTATTTCTGTACTTAACGAAACAGGTATCGAATGTGCGATCTTTAAACGAAAAGGACCCAGATTTCGTGAAACAGCTTCTGGCAATGGCATCCGCTCACGAGCAGATTCAAAAGACTTTTTCTGAAAACGTGGGATTGAAATCTTTGCGGGTGGTCAAGAAATATGAGATCGAGGTTGTCAAACCAAGTCGTCAACATGTCCTGAAATCTATTGCCGTTCGGTTTGGCAGTTTATGCTTGGATCAAGAATACTTGCAAAATAATTCTGATAACCTCGCCCAGCTAGCGCTTTCGCTGTACGCATTGAGTCCCAAAGAATGTTTCAGTTGTCTTGACAAATCCATATCTATGAAGATTAGTCGCGATAGCCAGCTTTTGACGAAGACTATCACGTCTATAAGAAATTTTTCCAACGCGCTGGACGAAGTTGTTATGAAATGCAAAGTGTTGGGTCAACTTGAATCATCATTGACAAATTACAACAGAGGAAGTCAAAATTTGCTTCTGGAATACATATCCCACAAGAAAACAGAGTCTTTGGTACGATTATATTGGTCGCGCATTGCTCGCAATTTCAAGACTGAGTTTGAAGTGTCATTGAAGAGAGGTGGTCCAGTGGGAAAATCTTTAATAACCAACTCAAAAGCCATAATACAAAGCATTAACAAGTTCATGAAACTGTCTTCAGACGACGATTCTTGGAAAAAAAACTTGGAATTGATGCTAGATGCGGTTTCGTCATTGAATAGCATATAGAAGTTTTCGTCATGTAATTCATTCTGTTCTAAATTTTGGTTTGACTTCGGGTTTGACTTCGGGCTTCTTGTTTTTCCTCCCGCCTCGTTTATGAAACTTCTTTTTAATCGCCTTCTTAATGTCTCGAGCTCTTTCTTGACGTTCAGATTCTCTTTGGGCGCCAAGTTTCTTAGCTAGGCGTTGTTTCTTCCCAGGCCTTCTCTTTTTCACTTTCATTTCTCTTCGTATCTCTTCATCAACTTTCAGATTATGCGCACTAACATCCAACACTTTACCCTTGAACTGTGGCCATCGGTCTTGCGTCGAAATCTTTTGCTGTGCAATAATCTGGTCGTAATCCACAGAGCTCTGTATGAACTCATTTCTCCTCTCGTTGGAAACTTCGGCAAAATAGAAATTTCTCGGCCTTTCTTGCACAATCACTTCTGGTGATGGTTCACGTAGCGAGACTTTCATCAACCGTTCTTTACAACGTCCTCTATCATCGTCAACATAAGAATTGGCAAATTTGGTATTATCCGAAGTTATAGCAGAGAAAAGTGGGAACTCGAACTCATCATCATCATTATCAATTTCGTTTCCCGCGCCATCAGATGGCACTTCAACAAATTCAAGGTCCAATTCAGGTAAAATGGACTCTACATGAGTAGTATGCTCTTCTTTGTCGAATACATCTGCTCTAGAAACGCTTATTTGAAACCAAATGTCAGTAAACTTGTAAAACTCAGATGGTGACAAATACCACTTCGATCAAAATTTCAGAGTACTATATCAAGCTCGAAATTTCATCACATATCATACATATGAAGCTCATTCATTAGCCTTGAGCTTGCAATGTTCGTCAGATTAGATTACTAGTTGATCGAGATGAGCTTGGTTTTCGAACAGCAGATGATCTTGAAACAAACCGGTAACGTGACACGATGTCATGGACACCGAAAGGAACCAAACCAAACCGAGCCCTGTTCACACCATCCCTATACTTCACTGACCTTGGCATAGCGTTTAACAGGCGCAGCGGTTTTTTGATCATACCAACCAGAACAGTATAAGTTCCCGTAGTAGAGATGACTAAGTACACTTTAAGATAATGGTTATATAAAAAAGATGGGATAGAGCAGTCTATAAGTTTGGAGACTGGCCTTGCAAGCAAGTATGCCGGGCCAGCAACCAAGACACTCACTATTTGCTGATTTTGGTTTTGGTGCTTTGCAAAAATTCGCGGTAGGACTGGCTGTTGAGAATTTTGTCTTCAACAAGAGAACTTGAAGCCCATAATCTAAGAGTAGCGACTTCTCTGGCAGAGGCATGGTTAACCGGTTCACTCAAGGAAGCGCCTCTCACAACGTAGAGAGATTGATATGTGATCACGTCATCGTGTTCTCTTATCTTAGATATGATGTTTCTGACTCTCAAGTTGAATTCGGAGTCTTCCAAAAACGGTAGCTCTTGTTTACCAATCGCGACATCGAGAATATTTGGAGTACCGAATACATCGAGCGTCAACTCGTTGACAGCGTCACCACCAACCCACAAGAACAGTTCACTGCTATTGTCAATTAAGTACAACCCGTATCTCTCAAGCAAAGAAGAAGTTGCGTTAATTGGCTCGGGTAGGACAATTTCGCCGTTTTCGTTGGGGAGACCTGCTTCATCGGACATGTCATGCAAAGAGTACACTTTTGCGTAGATGTTCTTTATCAAATAAGGCAGCGGTATGGATTCCAAATTATTGAGCGCAGCGGCACGGTGATCACTTGGCACAATTCCGGCACGGAACGCCATGTGCTTTGTCAACGCGTGCATGAGTAAAGGAAGCATTCTGAGATTAGCACAGAGTCTCAAAGGAGCGCCGCCTGCGGTGTTCGAGACAACAATTTCCTTCTTATAAGTGCCCAAAATTTCTTGCACTGTGCGATTCAGGAATTCACGCGATTCTTCCAAATTGGTGTAAGCCTTCTCGACTGCTTTTTGCGTAAAATATGCAGACAAGGCAAGTTGATCAGCTGATGCATAGACTTCAGCTAGAGAGTCAGTGGTTGGGATCGCCAAAGTGATGACTCTAATTCTACGTTGTCCCGTGTTCAAGGATAACAAGACTGCAATTTGTAGGTATGCGTAGTCGCGCACCATTAGTTCATCAATGCTGATTTCAAAAACGTAAGATTGATCTCTGGGGAAAGTTGGGAATGCACACAGATCGGAAGATCTGTTGAAAAAATGTCCATAAAAGCGTGACATCCTCAATCCAGAAGATCCACGAGCTCTCATAACGGCCTCCATCGACAAATCCATCGACAAATGTTTGGAGAATTCCTTGGTGAATTTGGCCACGTCTGGCAACTTGGCAGCTGTCCAGCCAGGGTAGAAATGAGTTTGACCACCGGTGTAGCGGGACAAATTCGAAAGGGAAGCAACGTCCATGTAGTCTTCTGAAGCTAAAAACAAGTCAATGGTAACTTGGTTCTTGTTACAGTCAATAGTAAAATTCTTGTAGAATGCATCCTGGCAATTGAACAACTGAGCAGACTCCTTCGAAGTATTGGCAACGACGGACTCATTTCTTCTTTGAAGTTTCCCAATACCGACGTTGGGCAAAGTAGAAGAAACAACAATGATCTTACCACCAATACCTTTGATTAGATTGAATGCAGATTTCAGTGCTGGCCCCAAGGCGAATTTTGACATAATATTAAATTGGAAAATTTCTGGCAACCGGGTCAAAAGCTTTTCGATGTTTGATCTACATCCCTTCAATGGCACGTATAAAGTGGAGGGCAAAGGCAGATATGGCTCGTCCAAATCAACCACATCCATCATCTTGATATCATTACCGTCCTCATCAAGAGGAATAGAAAAATAATGAATTGCGTTATCGACACCTAAGATGGTAATACGAGTTCTTTCGTCATGGTTGGGCAAAGAATCCAATGTCTCCAAAATTGTTCTTGCAGTGGAAGCAAGTAGCCCATTTTTTATGGCATTTTGAGAGACATCAAGCACGAACGCGTAAGACGAAGGTGGAGGTTGCCTGACGGCATATTCCTTAGGAGCCAAATATTCGACAACCGCGTGTTGAATCTCGTTACGTTCATATCTGTTTACAGGGGCACCTTGTTGGTTAACGTCAAACAACATTGGAACGTCGTTGGCAAGGTTGCAGAAGTTACAACGCCATCTTCTGCCACCTTCCAAAAACGTCACAAATGGGTTCATGTAGGAGCGACATCTGCGACAACGAACCACCAACCCGTCGGTGTTAAGGGGAACAGGGTCGATATTATCCTGGAGGTGCTGGTAAGGTCTAATAACGAGTGCCAAAGGTAATTTCGATTTTTTCAACAAAGAGTTCGATTTGGGCATTGCGTTCAGTGTAGATCTCACGAACTGAGGTTGCGCGTTTGCCGTTTCAACAGGAACCACGAATTTCTCAGGTTGAACCAGAAGAGGTGGTGGTGGTAGCGACAAATCGGTGATGGGTGGTGGTAACTCTGTGAGCAAATCGACCGGATACAGTTGGTTCATGGGTCTCCCAACAGACATTGGTTGGCCGTACGGCGGGTTCGCAGCAGCAACGCCGTCACCAAGACCCATTGGAGCACCCATCGGAGCACCCATCGGAGCACCCATCGGAGCACCCATCGGAGCACCCATCGGAGCACCCATCGGAGCACCCATTGACGCACCCACAGCAGGACTCATGGCTCCATTCACAGCAACACCTTGTTGTGGGGAGAACGTTTGCTGGATAGGAGGTTGCTGGTAAGTTCCGTTGGGATCAACCATTGGAACATTGTGCAGCTGCATATTCCCCATAGATTGAGTTGCCTGACCGATTTGCTGATGAAGTTGCTGTTGCGCTGGCGTCATGAACTGCGCTTGTTGTTCGGTTACCGGTGTTTGAAACTGAGATCCCACGTTTGGTTGAGTGCCCACCGGACCTTGGACGGGAGACTGTCCATATTGAAACTGTGCCTGCGGATAAACACGCTTCCTAGAATGCGACATTGAGACGCTACTGATTAGACCTGTATTACTCGGTTCTGTTTGCCACCTTGTTCTTTATTGACTTCTTGACGGGGGACGCGTTTCTTGGAAGCTTTTTTTTTGATAGTTGCCGTAACTTTCGTAAATAATGAGCTTCTTTAGAGGGAGAGAATACAGAAGCAGTCACGCGATCTAAATGACAGATCATGCGTGGCTGTCGCAAAACATTAAAGAGGGACTCACTACGATGTTTTAATCAGATATTGGACTGTGAGTTGAAGATAATCGCGTTTTCAAGATTTCTTTTCATGCTGTTTTGAGAAAGCTGAGTTATCAGGTTTCCCGGTGTGTCAAGAAGCAAATCAGAGAGATATGGTATTCATTGGTGTCTGAAATGCTTGGGGCACGTTTTGAAGCTGTCGCACGACCTTCGTGGCTAAGAGTTGCTGCTTTAAATATGGAGGACATTTGGGGTCACGTGATCACAATGTCAATATGGTATCTAGTGATGCGCGTTGGCACTACGAAGAACTTGGACGGAAGCGTCTTAATGGCAATACTTTGGCCTCGTGTCGGCGCGTTAGCACTGCGGTGAATGTGTTTCGAATTTTATTTTGACTCGTGACTTTAAAACTGAAGGCGTTCATTGGAATTGGAACCCTAAAGCTATAACCATCGAATACCAAGAAATTCCATCAGTATTTGTTATTAGGGGACATAGTGTTAAGGGCTCTTTACCGTTAGCATGTATACTGGCATATTTTTCCGATAAGACATTAAATGCCTAGAATGAAGAACATATGGAGTTATAGTCAAGGTTAGATAAGCACCGAACGGCGATTTTATGGAAAATCGTCAGCGTCGGTAGATAGTAAGCGCCTTGGTTATTTCATTTGTAACTTTCTTATTTGAAAACATACTAGACGCTGTGTACTCATATGTCGCAATTTTCTGAACACCGATCAATCCTAGAGTGGCCACATAGTCTGCTCTAGAACATTCTTACTTTAGCATTTTGCTTAGTATCACGGACACGATGAAAAGTGAAAATTCCTCAACGTACGCCATCCGCTGTACTACTACCAGATTAAATTAAGCGGTCTAACTAGCTAGGGCCTCCTGGTCTCTTGTCGCTCCCGGATCGATTCGAGCTATACTGGGTTATTCTGTCATGATAAGCACGTGATACTACCTCTTGAATAGTTCAAACTGACTATAACGCCTATTGTAAGCTATTTCGACCATTTTTTTTTTGAGTCTGCTGCTACTAGAAAAATACTTCTGACCAAAGATTCAACAACTACTTGCGTATCTGATACGTTTGAAATTTCGCAACAGAGATTTCCTACTCGCGAATATCTCAGCATTCAGGGCCCGAAAAAAAACCAGGAAGAGCTTGAATACGGCGAAATCAACACTTTAGCCCAGGTGTAAATGTCTCATACTCTCAAAAGTAGCCCCTCTTAGTCTTTTTTCTTTTGTTCGTTCACATTTTTTTATTTACTACGGGGAACAGTTGCTTTAAGGAAAAATGAACCGTGCAAGTTAAGGTTCGAGAATTAAAGAATACGAAACAACCGAATCGCCCCATTTTGAAGCCGTGAAGCTCATTGCAGTACCAAAATTGAGAGTGGAAATTAATTCACTCGAAGGTTTAGGAAGAAGCAGTTTACTTTACGTTTTTTAGCGATGAAAGAACTTGTAATTTACAATTTGAACGACAACTCGGAGGTGTTTTCACCCTGTATTGTGGTTCATGGTAAATGTTCCGCCGGTAATACTTCTTCTATTCAGGTACAGCATCCCCAATTACCACCGCTGAATTACGCTATCAATGATGGTGGATTCAAGTGCGTAGTTCTGCTATTACCAGGGGCCAATAGGCTCACTTTTATCACCAACACAAATATCTCGAAAACTGTCACCTGTACATACTCAGCTATGTTGCAAGACGCACCAATCCATCTGTGTTTGCTTGTTGGAAGGGATTCACCATTGCAATACGATTCGCCACAGTCTCAGATCCGGAGAGAAGGCGGGAACAATATCGACATGGCAATAAGGAAACTACGTCTTGGAGCACGGTTAATGCAGGCATTCACTGCAGAACAGATGCTTCGGAATGGATTTGGGCCTAGGACATTTCAATTTGTCGAAGAATACGAGGTAGATACCACTTTCAGACGATCTGAACTCAGAAACAGAATCAAAGTGCACATTCTACCCTGTGATAAAACAGCAGCTCAACTTAGAGACCCGAACCTTGCACAGCAGAATCCAAAGGCTTCGGATGCCGGTGGACTCTTCGGTATCGCAATGGATGCTCTCAGAAGATACGGTGGACCGTTCACAAGTGGTGCCAAGCCCGTCCAAGCTGCTGTCATGTTTCTCGATACTCATTGGGACAGAAAAATCAATTTGCTGACTGCACACGCAGCTTTGGGCGGTGGTGATGACAGTATCAAGCTTGCAATTTTTGGGTCCCATGGGCTGTTTTCTTGGCCCTTATACATCGAAGATGTACCCGCTTATTTGACTGACGATACAAGAACTTCAACTGACGAGGTGGCCAACGATGCAAACGAATGCGGGACTCATTGGGAGACTTTAGTCGTAACATTAGGTGCTTTTATGCATGAGATCGGCCACTTGCTAGGATCTCCACATCGTGAAAATGGTGTAATGCTCAGAGACTATGTGACTCTTAATAGATCCTTTCTTACAAGAGAAGCGTTTTCCGTAAGAACCAATTCTACCGGAGCAAAACCACCTATTTTACCTAGAGAAGAATGCACCTGGAATCGGATTGATCTTCTAAAATTTCTTTACCACGCATCTTTCACCACACCACAGGATTTTTATGATCCATCATTTATGAGACCAGGAAGACTGAACAATCCTAACACTGCTTCTCCCATTTTACTACCTCTTCCAAATGAGTGCATTTGCTTAAAATCGGAAACTGGAATCTTTTGCATCGAGCTAGTCTGCGACGACTTGGCAAGGGCTCACATTGAATACTTGCCACAGTCTCTAGGAGGTACTGGCCCTCAAAAAGAGATCATTCTCTCTCTTGACGAGCTCAGGTCCCGTCTACCACCCGACTTCGCTAAATTTCGTAACAGCTTCAAGCTACGTGCAATTGCCGTCAATTCAGGCGAGGAAGAGTGGAGTGACTTACCTCTGTTGCTTGCGAATTCCTTCATCGATATGAGTCCCTATGGGTTACCCAATATTTCTGGTGTGAAAACTTCCTTATATGGTGATCCAAACAGGGGGAGAGACGTTGGTGTCATTCCATTCGATGGTCGTAAAGTGGGGGCTGTTAGAGTTTATTTTGGTGCTGCTCTCGATGGAATTAGAGTTTATATGTCCCGGAACGAGAAATCCACTCCGTCTGTGCCACCAAGAACTTACATGGGTAAAATCACTGAGGCTCTTCAAAGTGTCAGAATTGACCACCCTACCAATGCAAACAATACTAGCAGCCTTTTTGGTAATGAAACTAATAATTTCGCCGACGTGGTTTTTGAACCAGGTGAATATTTAGCCGGTTTTAACGTCAGAAGTGGCGCTTGGATTGACGCCGTTCAAGTCATATCTAGCACTGGACGACTAAGTCAATATTTCGGCAATGCAAATGGTGGAGGAAAACACCAACTTCTCCCTCCACATAACCAACAAATTTTGGGGCTCTACGGAAGACTAGGACAATGGGTTGATGGTATCGGTCTTGTCTATGGCTCATTTTGAAGGTCATTTCATCATGTCATTATTAAGTAGTGGAACCTACATAAGAAATATCTGCCTCTTGAGCTGCAAACTCAAAATTTATGCTTGGGGTGGAGGGCTTTTGGTCATCATGTGTTATTGCAGCAGGGGGCGATTAATCATTTACCACCTTGGTCAACAACTGAGCGTGTCTCTTCAGTCGCCCTTAGTTTTGCGAGTTTTTCACTGAGTTTGTCAACTTGGATTTGTTGGTGTTGTGTTGGTGGTGGTGTGGAGCTGGGGCGAGGTGGCCATTTTGGCGAGGCAAATGTATTGGACGCTGGACGAGCTAATAGACTTGATTTTGCTAATAAGGACGGCTGTGTTCTTACAGCTGGGCGCGACACGGACATCCCTCCGCCGAGTGCAGACATACTAGGTGCCTGTTTAGGAGGCATTGAAGCCAAGGGATTTTTCGTCAGGCTAGTTGAACTAGCGTTGTTAGCAATGAAATCACCCTTCGTTTTGGTAGTTGCTGGAGCTGTGGGAACTATCGAATATCTTCTCTCTGCATGCACAAGACCTACTTCTTTAACCCTGGTCGTGTTGAGCTGTTCCTCCGGCACCATAAAAAATGTGTCTTTGGTTTCGTCGTATTCATAAAGAGACCAAGTCACGCCATAAGGCTTGGGTTCCAAACAATATACGCAGTGCAATGGCACATCTAAATTGGCAATGATATCGCGACTTAGGTTGAGGAAATACCCCAAAAGAACTCTGGCTACAACGCGATGCGTGATTATTAAAACATTCTCTTTGATTCTCTCAATTTCAGTAATCACGGGTCTCAATCGATTGATGACATCCATATAGGACTCGCCACCAATACCTGGATAACGGTACCTTAGCTTATCATGTAACCTCTCTTCAAACTCTTCGGGGAACTTTGCGTGAATATCTGCATACGTTAGGCCCTCGCAATCACCCGCGCTGAGTTCATCTAACATTCTCATCTGCTTATTTGGATAATCGTCTTCGTTAAAGTATTGCCCTGTTTCTACGGATCTTTTTAACATAGAAGTCCAAACGAAAAATTCGGCCGGACTAAAAGACTTTTGCTCGGAATGAGTCTCAAGATATGTCTCCATTTCATGTTCTGTGAATTTGACGCGTTGTTCATCAATGAAACGCGTCAACGCGCGGGCGTAACGCCGTCCACGTTCGGTTAAACCTGAGTCCCCGCCAATCTTACCCATGACGTTGAACTCACTTTCACCGTTTCTCGTAATCCAGATCTGACGTTCAGCCAAGTTGAAATTGAGAAGGTAATATACCGTTTGTGAGGCCAGAAACCCTTGGATGTTGTAAGATATTACTTTTTTGCCCACATCAATCATCTTAATGTACTGTAACTCTTCATCATCTTCAATAGGTTCGTATGCTTTCATGTAATTGGCAAGCCGTTCCTTAAAATCACTTAAAGAAGCCTCCGGATCCTTGCCTTTATAATCTGGTCCAAAAAGCTTAAGTTTAATGTTTTTCTCGACAGTCATTTTATCGGAACATATACTCTCGAGAAAGAGGACTTTAATCTGAGTGTTGCGAGCATGAATTGCCTCTAGCACTTTCTTACGCCGCGCACGATTTGAGTTGGTCGCATCAAAGATACCCACTGATCCAGGACCGTCGAGCAGATAGTTGAGTAACTGGTCCAAAGTATCCATCGCCCATTTCTCGCGCAATTTTTTGCTCTCTGGGTTAGTGGAATCGAAAAACTTGGAATCTTGATCTTGGAGGTTGTTTTCTTTTGCAAATTGTCGCCTCGTATTTCCAACGTTGAAAACTTTGCAGTAGTACATAGAATAGTTCAAAAATCGCGACAGTTTATTAGTGATGAACGATTTACCCGTGGCAGGCAGCCCAACCATTACAATAACTAGTTTTGAACCCGGGTCTTGCTTTGAAATTGTCCCGTCTGGTGAGGTTTTGGATTTCGTGAGTCCCGGAACATCAATTGTAGTCGGCCGGTTCTTAGGGTGAATAAATTGACCGCTAATGGGCGATATCGATCCGTCATTTTCCTCAATGGCAGAAACAAGCCGTCTTAAATTCTGGGAGCTCCCATGTGGCGAAGCGACGGGCGTGGATTCGCCTGAGCTATTTTCCTGAGAATCACTAGGCGAATTCCATAGCGACGTCACAGGAGTATCGCTTAAAGGTCGTTTGTTGAAAACGGGAAGTCCGTCATTGTCATATTCATCTAATGGATCCGATTGGCCTATGGTCTCAGTCTCAGACGCCATATGAACATGCTTATCTTTATGGCGTGATGGCCTACTGTCCAAAGGTTCCACTTCGGAATCCGAGCTGGAGGGCGTTGCAGAGCTCGAAAACTTGACTGGTTTGAACATTATATAGCAAGCCAAACCTGAAATTTCCAATGCTACACCTTGAAACCGGTCAACGTCCCTTGAAGCAATCGCACTTTTGCAAAGTTCCTTTAAATTGGGTCACATCGACTACATCGTTTATCTTAACAGGGCTACAGCTAATTGAGTAAAATAAAAATGATCACGTGATAAGTACAAATATTGCTGGAAAGGGAGCAAACCCAGGCCAAGGAAGCTGTGAGACGAACATAACCTACTAATTCTTATTTAAATTTTATAGAAAGCCTCCAAAATACGTTTAGCCGATTTAATGGCGGTATGCTGGCACAAAATAAAGTAATCACCATAAACGAAAACATAATGCTGCTACATCTGGGCATATATGCGTGTCAGAATAGCTTGGAGTCTATCAAAAAATTTCAAAAGCCTATAAGAGACATACCTGAGCTTTAGAATGCGTTTACACACCTTAGGTGGTCTTAAAAATAGATTGAACAATACATGCAATCAGTACATCACTTACTACGTAAGGGTTTAAACTCATCACGAATCAATCAATATATAAGGCAAAACACAAACAATACTCAAACAGAATATAAACTGGCTCATAGCACAAGAATAGAGCAGTTTTGGGTAAAATAGACATTCTTACTGTGTTTGGAGATGTCATTTTTACAAAATTTGTAAGTTTCGGGGGGGTTTTCGGGATTCTGGGAGCCATTTTAGCGTCAAATACATTTACTAACCAAGATCATACGTCTGAATAGCCACTTGAGCCCTGGACAAACCATAAGATCCACGAGAGGTTTCAAATGGAACACTGGGAAGCCACCTAGCGGACTAGGCGGAATAGAAGGAGCTGAAGCCGGCGGAAGCAATGTAGGTGCTACCGGTTCCGGTGAGGATTTGGGACCCGCGTTTCGCACACCACAGAAGGAACGAGAAGCAATGGTGACAGATTTCAACTATACGCCATCGCACCAGAAGCCTTACTTAAACGTTTCGCGTGGAACGACGGTTTCCTCGCACAAGGATCTGAAACAAATCGTCGAGACGACTTTAGGATCCGAGGGCGTGCTGAATCAAGCCGTGAAATTGCCCCGTGGAGAAGATTTGAACGAATGGATCGCAGTACATTGTGTGGACTTTTACAATCAGATAAACATGCTTTACGGCGCGATAACCGAGTTTTGCTCTCCAACAACGTGTCCGCGCATGATTGCCACGAATGAATACGAATACCTGTGGTACGTCCAATCGGGATCTCCTCCGCTTTCTGTATCGGCACCTCAGTACGTCGAGTACCTAATGCGGTGGTGCCAGGAGCAATTTGACAACGATGGTGTGTTCCCTGCAAAACCCAATGTCCCATTCCCACACAACTTTGTCGAATCACACGCCAAACCCATTTTAAAAAGATTATTCCGCGTTTACGCGCACATGTATTGCCACCATTTCAATGAAATTCTTGAATTGAACCTCCAAACGGTCTTAAATACGAGTTTTAGACATTTTTGTCTATTCGTACAGGAATTTCAACTTCTAAGAGATCAAGATTATGGGCCCTTAGTGGAACTTATACAGGAAATGAACACCAAGTGAACAGTGCAGCCAAATGTGAGTAAACAGCGCCCTCATGGGAAATCCCTGGGGCAAGCTCGCGGGACCGGTTTCTTCTTGGGGAATTTTTCGGTCCGCTTGACGCTAAAGAAGTCGGTTGATTTCTGGGAATTACGTTTTTACATCACAATCGGCTTCAATGACGATACCAATACCTTTGATTACGACATATCTGCGTTCAGGCCTTGTCGATGGGCGTCAAACTTATAACCAAAATAAGGTCACGTGGTTGGTTTCTTTCAGTTAGAATAGTACATAATGAGACAAGGTTAACCATTGACGTCTCTGCGAGAAGAAGAAGAAAGGGCTGGCTGGTGACTCGAGGTAAACAATCTAAGATGCAGCTTTCCGCTTCGACCTTTTTTGTAACTGCCATTGTCATTGTATCGTATTCTATCGTTTTTCAAAAGGTTGTTTTCCGAATTTTACCACAATTTTTGACCACTCCTCCGTCAAGATGGAGAAAACGGGTCAACGATGCCCTCATAAGGGGAAGTTCTGATCACACGAAGACTCCAGTGCTAGACTTTGGTTGGAAGACGGGCAGCGTGCGTCGAAACATGATTTTGGCGTCATTTTCGCCTGGAGCGTACGGTAATAAACGGTTTGGCAGTGGGATTAACGTTGGAGTCGCAGATCGAAAGGAAAGAAAGGAATTTGTCAATAGAATGGTTCCTGGAATGCGATCTTATAAGCGCACGATTTTCGGGTTTTTCCATCCATATTGTAACGCAGGTGGTGGTGGTGAAAAAGTGCTGTGGAAAGCAGTTGAAACCACATTGGCAAAAAATCCGCAAAATGTGATTGTTATTTATACTGGCGATTTAGATGCGTCGGAGGAAGAAATAACTACAAACGTGGCACGCCGGTTCGGGTACACACTTGATAAATCTCGGATTGTGTTTATTTACCTGAAAACAAGACATCTGGTCGACGCCAAGACTTGGCCACGCTTGACATTACTGGGACAGGCGTTTGGATCTGTGGTTCTGGCACTGGAGGCTCTTTACAGGCTTTGTCCCGACGTTTGGTGCGATACAATGGGGTATCCGTTTGCATACCCTTTTGTACACTGGTGTGCTCATATTCCTGTCGTGACTTATACGCACTACCCAATAATTTCTTCCGATATGTTACAAAAACTGAGGTTAAGCCCCAAGTTCACATCAAGCATTAAATTGCTGTCCAAATATTGCTACTGGCGTGTTTTCATGCTCCTGTATACATTTTGCGGCTCGTACGTTGACCTTGCCATGACCAATTCGTCCTGGACAAATAATCACATTAAGCAAATATGGCCCAAGAGCTCTCCGCACATCGTCTACCCTCCATGCTCGACGGAAAAATTAGTTTTTGAAAACCAAGTGAACACATGGAGTCGGAAAAATCAAGCACTTGTGCTCGCTCAATTCAGACCAGAGAAGCGGCATGAGCTGATACTTACCTCTTTTTCCTCGTTCCTACTAAGCATTTCTCCCAAAAAGCTGGCCGATGTTCCCAAACTTGTTTTCATAGGCTCTACGCGAGGTGAGCAGGACCGCCTCTATGTGGAGCATCTGAAGCATCTGGCTTTTGATGAATTGGGCATTCCTGAAAAACTCGTGGAATTTATCACAGATTGCGAATACGATGTGTTGAAAAATTACCTGAGAGAGTCGTCATACGGAATCAATGCTATGTGGAACGAACATTTTGGAATTGCAGTGGTTGAATACGTCGCATCTGGGTTAATTCCTATTGTACATGCGTCCGCGGGCCCTCTTTTAGATATTGTGGTACCATGGAATTCAGATAAAGGCATTCAAGAAAATTCGGAAAACGCGAGCAATAGAACCGGGTTTTTCTTCAAAGACGCCAGCGACCCTGATTACCGAAAGGATATGGATAAAAAATACTCAACTTTGGATTCAACTTTCGCAACCATTGTAGACCTTTCTGACACTGAAAAGATAAATATCAGCAATCGCGGTAAGCAATGCGTGCTTGACAAATTTTCGGATATAAATTTTGACAGAACATGGAATGAGAATTTAGCGAATATTGAGACCCTGGAAATTAAATATGCTGAGGGGAGACATGATATCTGAATATACTTTTACAATTTAACTGCGATTAAAGACTGCTCATATTTTGGATGAAGTCCGGGATTTAGCGCATCTCGATAATAGTCATAATGTTACAAGACCAAGGAATTTAAACTCTCTTTGGATTATCTTCAAGTTTTAGTCTTCGGGTACTGCATTTTTCCACCTGCAGTCTCGATATATATGTTCCCATTGTATACGCGCTGACCACCGTCCAATGAAGCCCTGGGTGGCTGTACTACTGGTATACCTCCGTAATCTGTTTCAGGAATTGAGACAGAAGTGTTAGTGTTCGTATGAACATCGAGGTTAGGAGTGCTCATAGGTCCCTGTGGAGCTCCCGAAGTAGGTGTACGATCTTTTTGATTTTCTGAAATACTTTCCTGTTGTGTGAGTGAAGATATCCGTCTTTGTTTACCATCAGAAGTCAAATTTAATTTTTGAATCACGAACTTTGATTTTTCGTTGGGATTAGAAGTGGAAGTGAGGGCCTTGAGGTCTGAAAACCAGCTCATCATCGACTCATGAGATTCGGCACGGAAGACCCAATTGTGGCCTCTATGAATAATTCCATTTTGCTTGGCATGCAAGATGAATTTGTGCTCTGAGGAGCCTTTCTTGGAATGTTCGGCAACAGAGCAATCACTGAGAGCCAGCGACATCACTGGTATCAAATCTTTTCTTCTATCCGCCGATTTAAACTCGTGCAAAAAATTCGAAGTCAAAACGTAGTAACCACGCGAATAAGATTTCAAAAATTTTGAACGTCTTTCCAAAATTCCAGATTTGACTTCATAAATCATCGTATCATTTTGATGCTTGTACTTGATATCACGCGCGTGTCTCATGGGAAGCGTTGGACTTATGAAATTCTCGTCGTTCGAAATAAAGCTGTCCCACTCAAATGTGGGGCTTTTATTGAAAAACCCAAGATCAAGTTTTGAGATCAAAACGTCGAAAACAACTTGTGCATTTTGTCCCAATAGTCTAGCGTATATGGTCAGAGCGTTTTGAATTTCCATAACCACTACTTTCTCAAGTTCTTGACCCGACCCCTGCAAATTATTGAACGCTTCATGCAGAAAATTTTCCTCCGTGAGTTGTTTCTTTATTTGCTTATCGAGCACGATTTTGAACAAGTAAGGATCATTTTTCATGGACCCAAATTTGGAACTTTCTATGGCTTCTTGAAACTGCTTCATATCTGATTTTGTTTGATGTAACTCTTTGGCGCAGGAATTCTTAAAATCCGAATGCAAAGTTTTGATTTCTTTGATTTTCACCAACAAATCACGTCTCAGCTCCTCAAGACGCGGTATCACATCGTTGGCTAATTCCTTTGACATACGAGATGCACTGCCAGCAAGTTGCGAGTGATATTGCGTTAAAATGCTTGGTAAATCTTGAACGGAACCACTTCCAAGGGGCAAAAAGAACCGCTGAATCGCTTTTTCTTCGGGTGTCGAAGGCAAATGTTGATTTTCGGTGGCAAAGAAGGGGAAATTAACGGCACGCGCAAGTCTCACTTGTTGTCTCACAATCTCGTCTTGAATCGAAACCGTTTCGCTCAAATACACGAGTATCGATTTTATCACAGCTCTCCAAGCGGCAAACCGTTGCGCCAACATCTCAGTAGGGTTAGCAGACGTAGGAATGAGCGTAACGAGTGCTGACCTTGGATCTTGATTTTGCTGTAACTTTTGTTGTTGTTGAGGCGTTTGTTGCTGATGACGCGCCCACTGTTGCGACAAACGCGGCCGATTCGCAGTGGACGCACTTGTCAGTGAAGAAGCATGGCTTTTCTGGTGTTGGAACAAAGTTTCGAGAACTTTAGCATTATGACTTACCGCAGTGCTATGAACACCAATCCCACGACCAGCAGTGCTTGATCCACTGTTCATTTCAGCCATTGAAATGTTGTCAGCGGGATAAGGCGTTTGAACACTACCATTACGACCATCCAGACCAAGATTGTTGGTTGCTTGATTGTACCCATTCTGTTCATCTTCTGACTTCAAACTCGACTGTCCGGGGTCCAAATTTTGTCCTGAAAAGGACCCCGGTTGACTCATTTTGAACCCAGCTTGATTTCTACTACCAACACTGTTATATCTCGACATACCAGTGCCGTGTTGCCTTGTTGTTTGGCTGTTGTTCAGGGTTTAATCGGTCTCCTTGAAATTTTTTTTCTTATGAATGTTGTCCCTACAAAGCTTAATATATGCATGGAAGGTGAGGAGCACGAGGAGAAAGAATTTGAAGGGAAAGGCAGGCAATCAGCTTCGCAATATGATTATGGTCAAATTGAGCAATGAATTAGGTTCGGATTTGTTTTTCTTCCGGACAATAACGTGGTATACGGTATATAAAATTCCTACTTCTTCAACTTGATAATTTCACGGAAAATTCGAGTGTTGAATCGCCTAACTATGCTACAAATACTTGAATGAAAAAATTCTATTAGCAAAGGTACTTCTTTCAGATATTACAAACTTTTAAGCTTCCCGTAGAGCATCTGTTCCGAAAAATTTCAAAGCGAGCCGCATGATTGTTAAGCAATGTTGGCGTCAATCTCGAAAGCAAAAATAATTACAATAGAATTCACCTTAATGTTCGAAGCTGTGGGAATATGGCCTCGAAAATAGTTTACTTTTAACTTGTTTTTTTACCAACGCCAACTTTTTTTTCAAGAGACAGATATGTCAGTTTAAAATAAAGTGATATGGGTATTTCACTCTTAGTGGAGACATACGATGAGAGGGTGAGAACATGTGAGAATTGATTCGGGAACCATTTTGAACATAGTAAAATCTCCTGGAATTTTGTGGATTTCTCATTAATCTTTCACGACTATCTCGTATCAATTGGAATTATGACATATTTTCAGTGTATGATCACGTCACCAGGAATATTAATTTAGCAATTGTTCACCGAAACTCCACCCCCCTAAAGTGAGCTATCTTGAGTAAATTCTTTCAATTTTCTGATTTCTTGCAAGCGGTAAAATGCTTCCGTTAAAGGTGAAACTTGGTCTTCCGTCTTTCCAAGAAAATACAAAATTTCACATTCATATGCATACCCGAAAAACCAAAGATTTTAAGCATTCGTGGCAGTCTCCTTTTTTAATGGACTGCATTGCTGAGTTCGCCCTGTAAAATGTGCCAAGTGCACGCGCAGAATCTTCCCCTTTTAATTATCAAAAATGCACAAAAAATCGTGCAAACATAACATTCCACATAGCCTAAAGAACTTGCCACAATCGATTGCCGGTCTTCAATCGTCATAAAACCACCTCAACATGTGCTATTGTACACTTTCCACATTTTCATCACTTAGGACTTCATATATCGCCAAGAAAATCGCTGAACACGAATATCAACCATTCCAACTTCGGTTAACATTGAATGTTCTTACTAAGAAGTTATCCACGAACGGTACGTCAATTGAGCATGTCAACACACGTGGTTCACGCGAAGCGTGCATCCAGCTCTCTTCCAGCGGTCTTAGAAGCGCGGAGGCCGAGGAAAAGTCCTCAAACGGACTCGTCAACGTTGTCCAATTATCATTACTTTAAAGTAAAGAAATCGTCTTTGAACATTGATTGCTCGTTTGAAACTAAGGCTATCAGTGGGTTTGTGAACTACAATATCAGTAGATTGGCTGATGTTGACCAGGTTTGGCTGGATACTTCGTTTTTGAAGATTTCAGACGTTGAGATTGACGACAGAAAAACGACATTTGAAGTCCAACCAAGAACAGAGCCACTGGGATCACGGCTAGCGATAGATTTGCCCCGTGAAATTGCGTCAGATTTTCAACTCAAATGTTTTTTCAGCACTACAGACCGATGCACTGCGCTACAATGGCTCGAAGCGCACCAAACCTCCGGAAAACCTTACGTTTTTTCGCAGCTAGAAGCGATCCACGCAAGATCTCTGTTTCCTTGTTTCGATACGCCTTCAATTAAATCGCCTTTTGATGCCAAGATAACTTCTCCTCTCCCAGCTGTGTTTTCTGGTATTGCAACCGGCAACGAGGGAAACGCTTACCTTTTTGAACAAAATGTGCCCATTCCAGCGTATTTGATTGGTATTGCGTCGGGAGATTTGCAAAGTGCTTCAGTGGGACCTCGTTCCAAAGTTTACACCGAACCGTTCAGGCTCCGGGATGCACAGTGGGAGTTTGACGGTGACGTTGAGAAATTCATCCAGGCCGCTGAAAGCATCATTTTCAAGTATGAATGGGGCACTTACGATATTCTTGTCAACCCCAACTCGTATCCATATGGTGGTATGGAGTCACCAAACATGACATTCGCGACTCCTTCGCTGATTGCCTACGATAAGAGCAACATCGATGTAATCGCACATGAACTGGCACACTCGTGGTCTGGAAACTTGGTCACCAATTGTTCCTGGGATCATTTCTGGCTGAACGAGGGCTGGACTGTGTATTTGGAACGCCGAATTTTGGGTGCGTTGCATGGCGAACCTGCTAGACATTTCAGCGCTTTGATCGGTTGGAACGACCTTGAAAACAGTATTGCAGCCATGCGGAATCCTGACCGGTTTTCTACATTGGTTCAAGATTTGAAGGACAACACCGATCCAGATGAGGCGTTTTCGACGGTGCCATATGAAAAGGGTTTCAACCTCTTATTCTACATCGAAAATCTTGTTGGTGGACCTGAACACTTTGATCCTTTCATCAAGCACTATTTCACCAAATTTGCGCGTCAATCTCTTGACACTTGGCAATTCCTTGACACTTTGTTCGATTTCTTCAAGGATAAGAGGGGCTTATTGGAAAACATTGATTGGAATACATGGTTGTTTACTCCGGGAATGCCTCCAAAGCCTCATTTTAATACGGTTTTGGCCGATTCCGTCTACGCGCTTTGTGAGAAATGGATTGAAAATGCTCAAGATTTCCAAAATGAGAAACATTTTAACGACATGTTTAATTCTACCGACATCGCCAAATTCAATTCTAATCAATTAGTTCTCTTCCTTGATACTTTGGTACAAGGCGTTCCTTCGAACTCTCTTCAATTTGATTGGGCTGAAAACAAAGTCGCTGCTAACGCGCTACTGAAAATCTACGCGGACGGTATTGGCAATTCCAGAAATGCCGAAGTTGTTTTCAGGCTTTTCCGCTTCAAACTCACCGCCCGCTTGCAACCCTATTATCAAAAACTTGCGGAGTGGCTGGGCACCGTTGGTCGCATGAAGTTCGTTCGTCCTGGTTACAGGCTTCTCAACGAAGTTGACAGAAGCTTGGCTCTCGCGACATTCGAAAAATACAAAGACACGTATCATCCCATTTGCAGAGCCCTTGTAAAGCAGGATTTGGGTGCATGAGTACTACAATTGCCAAGAATTTGCAGCGTAAATGCTCAGAATGTCCGCAATTGAATTATCGCGTTTCCATCTTTTACTTAGTTACAGGCGTCAAAATCTTCGAAGCTTTACAAAACTGATACTTATTCAAAGCCCGAATTTTTCTCTTTCTAATGGTATTTTTCAAGGATAAGTGAAACTACACTACTTGATGTTCTTTCTTGTCTTGTTAAGTTATGTTTGTCTTTGCGTGTACAATTTTCAAAAACATCTGTTCAATCTTAAAATTAGATTACCTGAAGAAACACGTATCAACAAACCGGAAATATCGCCAAGAAATGAATCAAATCTCCAACCTTTCAGTAAGTAATTACATTTCAATCAGTACTGTGAATAGAGATGTTTGAGACCTTTCAGGGCTTTATCTGATGTTTCCACAGTGATCAGCGATGATCAATTCCAATAAGAAACCTACTAACTTCATTCATCAAGCAAATGTCGCGTTTTGCCGAGAATCTGTCGTACGATCGTCTCAAGTCTGAGTTTCAATCGGTTCAGGGCAAGCTGTCTTCGGTGCGTCCTTTGCCAGAGTTCTTGAACATGCGTAAGATGTCCAAGCCTCAAAATTTTGGCGACGCACAGTCGAGAATGTCTTACAATTTACGCTATTATTCGGCCAATTATGCGGTAATCGTGGGTGCTTTGAGCATTTACACGTTGGTGACAAATCCTTTGTTGCTTTTCCTGATCGTGTTTGTGCTTGCTAGTATTACCGGTATCAATAGACTCCAAGGTCAAGATTTAGTGTTGGCCGGAGGACGTGTTTTCAAGCCCTCGCAATTATACACTGCTTTATTCTGTGTTGGGGTTCCTTTGTTTATTCTCGCATCGCCAATTTCCACGATGACTTGGCTGATTGGTGCCTCGGCGGTGTCCGTCTTGGGGCATGCTTCTTTGATGGAAAAGCCAATTGAAACTGTTTTTGAAGAAGAGACAGTTTAAGCTTCGAGAAAGGCTTTGAAAGCTGGAATCGATTTATGTAAAATAGAAGGCGATAGAATCCTGGCTCCAGGACGCGTGCCCTAAGCGTTTTTATACGTTCCTTGGCGGACCGTTGAAGATGTACCCACTGTATAGTCATTCACACCGTGCATTGTATCGCTTTTACAGTAGTATTTAAACCAGTACAGTGCATCAATCAAATACTCGAACTACAAGAGGCGACTTGCTTGGTCTTTCGTCTCAGATAAACCGTCTCTAGAGTCTTGGTCGATCGATTTCTTCGCAATAATCCTTCTCTCCGGATTAGAGTTTCATGTGCTGTTAAGCCTGTCATTGAAACACTAAGAACCACTTTAATCATCCTTTCATTGATGTCTCGGCTTTATAGAAATCCGATAAACACCATTTCTCTCTTGGGATTAATCGACTTGTTTCTTGACTGCCCGATCAGCGAATTTAAGGCAAAAAGCTGCAAAAAATAGACCAAGATCTACTCAAAAAACCTACTATTCAATTTTCTTCTAAGCCCCAGGCGTTAGGGCTCCTTACCCATCATCTCATTGTTATCACCAATACCTGTCCAGATCAACTTAAGTCTTTTAAAGTTGAAAATAATTGAAGAACCTATTAAATATCACCAAAGAGTTGATGGTTTCGAGAAATAAGAGCTGAGGGCCCCAAATCGATCAGAATGAGTAGTAGGGATGACTTCCAGAAGTCAGTAACGCAAATAATGACGTCTTTTTTCGGTGAAAACTGTTCGCAATGGCCATTTTCAGAAGAATCATTAGCCAGGGCTTTAGAATTCAAAACGCAACAAGAAAAGACCAAGCAACATTATTATAAGCTTGAAAGTATCAACAGATCTATAGAATTGTTGAAAATTGCCACAAGGGCCGGTGTTCCAGGTCCCATGCTTCACAAATTGTTTCAAGGAACAGAAGCTGACACGCGATCCGTTCAGAATGCAACGGACGGTCCAAAACCAGGTAGCTCGTCAAACGTTGGTGAAATGCCACAGGTTACTGTATCTGATGCGGGACACGAAGAGATGCCGTTGAATTATCGATTTCCGCCTCGTGCAGTTTCCAATTCTGCCAGAAATTTGCATAAGAGAACCAATAGTCCGGCACGGATTGGGGCAGCAGCAGTGGCGGTTTTGACTGAGAATAACCATTTGAAAGAAGAAGAAATTTCTGAAACACAAGAATTGCAAGGGTTGGGCCGACTGGATCGGTCTCCAGGTCAGTTTCGTGCTCACCGTAGAAATTATTCCTTACCTGTAGCCCGACCCGTGGGCCAATCTCCTTTGGATTTGCCTTCCCAGTACCATGGAACCGGCCGCAAAGTACAAGACTCTATGACTTCGGTACTGAATTTTGGATCCTGGCAAAATTATAGCATGGCTTCACAGCCCACTACTGCTGCTGTGAGAAAACCGTCTTTGAGAAGGCATCGTAAGACTAAATCGGCTACTTCTACGCCAACTTTCGGTGTGATAGACCTCAACGTGATAAACCATGTCAAAGAATCAGCTTCAGATATGAACAAGCCCGAAATACCCTCTTTACACAGCAGTCTAGCCGAGAATAGAAACGAATCGGATGATCAACGTACATGCAGCGATCATAGCAGTAGGGAAGCAACGCCATTAGCGCAAATGTCAAAGGGTCCTAATTTCGCAAACAATCTATTGAACAGTTGAAAGACATAAGCAACATGCCCACAAATGAACGTATATAGATTCGCACGTATGTATATATTGCTGTTATTGATTTAAATAGCGGGCTGGTCCTGCCGCAAATACTCTGATTCAGCTAGTTGTTCCATCTCAGCTAAAGTCATATTTTCCCGTTCAATTATTCCATTAACTTCGTCAATACCTGTAAAACAATCGAAATCTATCCTGTCCTTAGTCATGCTATCAACTTCCTTTTTCAATTCTGCTGCTAAGCTTCTAATGACATTTTCACTGCCATTGGAGATAAACCATGAGCATAGATCGCCGATTAGGATCCTGTTGTAAACGTAATAAACGTCGTGAAACCTGAACACTTCATGAATGTCGAGTAAACATTGAATGACAAGTCTTTTCCCACCGCGTAAAAGGTAATAAACATAATTCCAAGCCTTTAACGAAAGATCATAATTTCTGTGCAAAGTGTAACTCAAACTACGCCTGATTCCTGTAACGACAATGGCTCTTAGCACAGAAGCAATTTGAATGTCTTCTTTCCTCAAGATATTGTGATCTAAAAATGCGATTTGCGGTGTCAATTTGCCAATGGTCCAAGCGGACTCCGTCGTATGGGATCCTTCGTTTTCGATTTGTTCAAACACGTAAGCGAACAACAGGGAAACGAGTGTCAAATAAAGCGTTTTGCCATCAGTTACCAAATATTGCCGTTTCGGTATATTGTTAGCCATCTGTTGCTGCTGAGTTTCATTGAAGTCGACTGGCATTACGTCGTTCTTGTTTTCGGTCTGCTTATACCATTTCAAAAACTTCTTAACCTGGGGCGGAATAAAGGACAACAACTCTTTAATTCCATTTATCTGCAGTTCTTCTTGCTCACCGTACTTCGCTGTCATATACTCGCTGATATAGTATTCGGGATCAAACTTTTCGTTCTCTTTAGCAAGTCGTTCGCAAACTCGATCTTCAGGTGAAGTCGATTCTGGGTCGCTTAATTCATTTATATCATTACCGTTTGCTATTGAGACGCCTATTATCCCGCTGTATTGATCATCAAACCCATATTTCGACACAAGTAAGCCCGACGCGTCTTGCGGTGTCTCTTGACGTATTTCCCAATTATATTTTTCACCAGTTTCCCGCAGGTTTTCGCCGCTGGCATCTCTAGAATCATCTACCTCCTGAATCAAAGGTCCCTTCGTCTTCTGAGTTTCTCCCGTGGCCCCAGTGTCCAAAACATTTTGCCTTGCAAGCAATTTCGTTGTTAAATCCAAATCTTCGAATTGTTCACCTGGTGTTTCCTTCGCAATACGAACCAAAATGATCTCTTCTTTTGCCTTGTACTCTGCTTTGCATCGTTCGTCGTCAACAAGCTTGTGTGAGAACCTCAATCTCAAGTAATATGGTGCCAAATGGAAGATGAACAGGTTTTCATCAACGACGATTTCCAAACCGTCAGGTTTGAATCTAATGCTTGAGATTGATATCGAAATTTGAATAAACTCATCGTCCTGGATCACTTTGAATTGTGGAGTGATCATTGAGCTCGAAAGTCACTTGATTTTGGTTTGTCGTAAAGTTGGTTTTCCGCGATGAGCTCGCCGATGAAGTTGGTGAGGAGCTCAGATGGAAAAGTGAAAAATTTCCAAGAGAGAGGTCGTCGCGATGAGCTCAAAGGCTAACATCAACAAATTGAGAAACAAGCACTAGGAAGGCTAATCTTCTCTAGATTACGATGGTCATGGAATCAACAGACAAGAAACCCAGAAGACGGTTTGTTGGAGTAAAAAAAGAGCCAGAAAAAAGCGTTGAAAACGGTGGAAATAATGGTAAATTAGTACGCAAGATACGACCTAGAATTAATGTGAAAAGAGCCATAAATCAGATCCCAGATGAGATCTTGAATGACAATGAGTTGAATGAGGCGACTAAACTGCTACCGTCGAATTACAATTTTGAAATCCATAAGACTGTGTGGAATATCAAGAAGGCGAAAGCGAAAAGAGTCGCTTTACAGATGCCCGAGGGACTGTTGATTTATGCACTGGTTATAAGTGACATCTTGGAACAGTTTTGTGAGTGTGAAGCTATTGTTATGGGCGATGTTTCTTACGGTGCTTGTTGTATTGACGATTTCACTGCGAGATCACTTGATTGCGATTTTATTGTTCATTATGCACATTCCTGTCTTGTTCCTATCGATATCACGTTGATCAAGGTTTTGTACGTGTTCGTGACAATTAATATTGATGAGACGCATTTGATTAAAACCTTTCAAAAGAATTTTGCTCCTGGATCAAGATTGGCCGTCTTTGGAACCATTCAGTTCAACCCTACGATTCATAGCATTAAGAACAAGCTTTCCGAAATTGACCAGCCAATTTATGTGATTCCGCCCCAAATAAAACCTCTTTCGAAAGGTGAAGTTCTGGGTTGCACGTCGCAAAGGTTGGACAAAGAACAAATAAATGCGATGGTTTACATCGGTGATGGTCGTTTTCATTTAGAAAGTGCCATGATTCATAATCCTGAGATTCCAGCGTACCGGTATGATCCTTACAGTCGAAAATTTACCGTGGAGCGTTACGATCAAAAACAGCTCGTCGAAGTCAGAACAGAAGCACTGGCCGCGGCCCGAACTGCTCAAAAGTTTGGTCTTATTTTGGGTGCATTAGGAAGACAAGGTAACTTGGCTACACTTGACAATCTGGAAATGAAATTGAAGGATGCAGGAAAAACGGTTTGCAAAATAATCTTGAGTGAGATTTTCCCACAAAAATTAGCAATGTTTGATGATATTGACGTTTTCATACAGGTGGCTTGCCCGAGACTTTCCATCGACTGGGGTTATGCATTCAACAAGCCTTTATTGACACCTTACGAGGCGAATGTGCTTCTAGAACAAGATCGTATGTTTACTGAGAAATACTATCCAATGGATTACTATGAAGTCAATGGTTATGGTCGTGGAAAAATCCCTACTCATGATATTGAGTTGTGATTTACCTATGACTTTGCGAATCAGTCGCTGAGCCCAAACAGCATAGCAGCCTCATCGCCTGTAAATTTCAACACCGTTAGAACCTCTTCTTGGCTATCGGGGTACAAATGCAGAAGAACTTGACGGAATACTTGATAGAAACGAAGAAGTTGTCTCAGGCAAGTATTCGTAATTTGTTCTCCAATTCTCGGTGACATGATGTGGAAAACTTTGTTCTTTTGGAATTCATCGAGAGCGGCAGGCATGAGGTCCGAGACCGGTTTTTCCACAGACTCTCGAATTTTGGTTAAATTCATTATGGGATTTTCCAGCGTCGATAAGTACATGTCGTAATCCAGTTCATCTTGCACAGACTCGACAGGGAAAATCATATTGAAAAGATTAAAGTAAAGCTCGAGTCCCGTTTTTTGGAACAATAAGCGACTCTCGAACTCTGTCAAGGCTTTGATTGATGACTGCATTTGATTTTCCACCTTAATAAGGATGTTGCCATCGTTATCGAAGACCGTCGATTTGAAAGGTTTGAGTTTAGAGATAACATTGTCGAAACAGTTGATTTGTGCTACCAGAAAATTTTCCTTTTCCGATGGATTTCTTTTCATATCGGGGAAATTCTTGTGAAGAAACTCTTCGAGCTTGTCATTGACGAGACGCCCGGTAGTTTCATTCAAGAATTCCACGCTCACAATCTGTTTTGCGTCTTCTGGATAACTACTTTTCTCATATCGAGCGAAAACACCGCAAAGCGTGGTCAAATATTCTGCTAACCAGCTAGGTGGTAACAGATCGGCTCCAATTTCCTGCCGAGTATCGATGGTTGACAAAGTGTCGGTGAGCGTCGAGCCTATCTTGTTGGAAGAAACATTTTCCAGAGCATTCAGATTTCTTATAAGTGTGCTGTCCTCGAAAATGCCATATTTCGTAAATATCATTTCGTAGAGTTTTAATAAATCGAAAATATCGAAGTTTGTGAGAATATCGTCTTCAAATCTGATAATTTGTTCCAGTCGAATTCGAATAGAGTTTTCCAGGGGTACCATTATATCGTTAAGGGCTTTTAAATTCAATTCACTTAGGAATTTTTGGTTCTTATTAATGATGGATTGTGGGCTGTCCTCTTCCTCGTCAAAGGTTTGGAAATCGAACATAGAGTTCACGAAGTCTGCTTCATTCACAATGAGCGAATGGACATATGCTAAGACATCGCCCAGGTACCTGATTGGGTCGTGGGCTGATAGTATGATGGGTTTCGATTCCGACGAGCTTTCGACATCAAATTGCGACAAGAAATTGTCGAGTGCTGCTTGGGAACGCATCTTGACGACGCGTTTCAAAAACTCGCTGAAATAGGGCAAATCGCTAGACAAATACACAAGGCATTTGCGAAATACGACAAACGTTTTGTCGTTAGAAGTGAAAGATCGTTCACCAAAGGTTCTGTAGGCAGATTGTAGGTCGTAAAGAAAATCAACCAGATAATTGTAAATGCGTTTGTTTGCAATCTCAAGCTGGGAATTGACGTGCTTGAGAAGCGCTTTACCGGCTTCTGCGCTCGGTAACGTCAGTAGGTAAGTGGCTCGTTCTTTTATAATCATAATCCGATTAACAACCAGCAGAAATTCAGTATCTATTTCTGCATTCCGGATAGCGTGGTCTTCAATCTGACTCAACGTAAGACTATCGCGAACAGCGGAAAGCACGGTTTTTTGCATTTTAAGCGTCTGTAATTGCTCTTGTTTATCTTTGATCCGGCACCACACCTCGTCAGGTATAGGAGTCGGCCGTTTTTCACATACACGGTTCCCGATCGTGAGTGTGCGCTCGATTGGCTCAGAGAGCCGTTGAATTTTATTAACCACAGGTCGTATGTTTTCCAGAAACGTGAGATTATTTTGTAACAACAAATGCTCCAGATTGCTCTTCAGAGACTGACGTGCCAAGGAGCCCATGACGCTGGGTTGCACCAGGACGGACTCATTGAAAGCCAGAACTTTCCGATGCGCTTCTAGCGCAAGGAAGGAACGACGTAAGTCTTGGTCTTTTTGATACGTTCTACCGTCGTACTCGTTCAGGATTCGTGACAGTTTTCTGGAAATGACGCTGTCGGAGCTCTCGGGTTTGTAGTTCCCACTGACTTCGACCATTTGCTTAAGCGACTGTTCCCTGTCAGCCAGATGACTTGTCGCACCTGGAACCGCGCTGCGGTCGTGGTCACGGTTCGACGCCGGCTGCGACCTCAGTTCTAGCCCTCGCATGGAGCTGTCAACGTACAATTTCATACGCTCTTGTAAAGTGTTGGTCTCGACCTCGCGAGACTCAAGCAAATCCGGCACTGGGACTTGGAAACCTTTATGGGATTCGCGCAACGGTACGGAATCTAGCGGCAATGCGGACGCAGGCTCGGGTAAAAACCCGCTATCCGTGAACGCGTCACCTAATTGGAACTCCAAGAAGCTCATGGACTCGAGGTGATCTCTGTGCAGGTGGTTGGGGACAGTTCCGCAGAAAGGTTCTGTTATTGAAGACGGTCTTAAAGATGGAATCTATGTCGTGAATATTGACGGAGCGGACGAGATGGAGATAACTGTATACGAATACTCATATGAGTATGTCGCTTTGTACGCTTTTCATGAAGCGTGCCAGGACTGGTTTCACATAGAGCAAGTGGCATCATGCCATACGGCATCCGATCACCGTCTCAGCTGGCGCTACTCCTGGGAAGCTTAGCCGATTGTTCAGGCAGAGTGATGTTGGCACCTGTAGCTTCTGGCTTTGTCGCATTCGAGTAGTGCGCTTTATTCTGTCATCGCGGTCACGTGATACTTGTGTCTCAGCCGACCAACCTGAACACGACCGACCTTTCTAGTTGTTGTGGTATTTCTCACACTATCTGGCAGCAGCTCCGTCTGTCTTTGGGCTACCATGTAGAAACGCTTCTGTATACAACATCAACAACGTTCATAAGATCATCACGAAATAAAGGATATAAAATAAGTGAAATAGACAAAATTAACAATACGGAGTAGGGTCCAGTTAGTGCACGATTCGTGCAGAATGTTCGTTAGGGTCCTTAGTTTCCATGTCGCGCGGGTGGTACATGGCCTGCATGCCACCGGGATAAACGTACCTGTGGCCATGGCTATTGTAGAAATGGGCGAGGTTTGCGAGCGGGAGAGGCGGGTGCGCGCGTGGATGTGCGTACGAGGGCGATCGCATCATGACAAAATGAGAGTCCGGTGGGGTGGCTCGGTAGTGGGTGGCGGAGCGACTTTCCACAAACGTGGGCGAATGAGGTGCGCTGGCGGTTGATGCAGTTGTGTCTTTCCAAGGTGCGGGATCGGCCATGCCAGCGGAGATGGGCGGAGACGGGTAAAGTTGCTGGTCGAGAGACTCGAAGAGGGACTTGATCGGGGGCAGTGTCTCGCCAGCGGATTGCTGCGGCTTGGTATCCGCGCCCGAGTTGCCAGGCGCCCACGAAAACGAGCGCGTACGGAACTGCGGCACTGGAACGGGCACGGCGGACAGCCGGTCGTAGAAATTGCATTCCTGGACGCTTTGGCGCCGGGAGATGTCGAGCAGGTTCTGGGACGCATCGAGCAGCTCTGCATCGACCTTTTTCGGCCTGGCGCGAAACTGCGGCGCCGGCGCAGCCGGCGCAGCCGGTGCGGCGAGCATCGCCGTCGCGGCGGCAGCGGTCCCTCGCTGCGCCGCAACGTATTTCTCGTACCACTCGGCACACTCGCGCGGGAAACTCTGCCCGAAAATGGGCACCAAGAAGAACCGGATCGGGTAGCAGAACCGCACGCACAGCTCGCGACACACCTCGTAGGGCAGCCAGGTGCCCTGGATCTTGATGTAGCCGCCGCGGATGCGTTTCATGAGGTTCTGGAACTCCAGGTCGCCCTGCAGGCCGTGCGTCGCCTTGTAGACGTTGCAGAGGTGCGCCTTGAGGTCTGGGTCGAGGTTGTACCAGTGCACGTCGGAGTAGTGGACACCGGAGTTACCGCCGGAGCTACCGCCGGCGCTACCGCCGGCGGTAGCGCTTAACGCCGGCCCCGGCCGTACCGGCGGCTGTTGCTGCCGGTACGGCCGCTTAGCCGCCGAGTACCGTCTGCGGTGATGCCAGTCCGGCGCGCCCGTGGCGTGTGGGTTTTCGTAAAAGCAGCGCGCCACCGCGTAGTCGAGCTCCAGCTGGCACTGCAGCCTGCGGTCGACCGCGTCCGGCGCGCGCCGATACAGCGTGCTGAGCCCGTGCATCACGTCCTGGTACAGCCGCCAGATGCCCGTGAAGAACACGTAGCCGGTCTGGTGGTCCCACAGGACGCAGTTGTTGGGGTTGATGATCTGCGACTGCGAGTGTTGGCGCTGGTCCGAGTACTGGATCTTGCGGAGCTTGAACTGCTGGTTCTTGGTGAGACAGTTGACGTCGGCCGGGTCACGTGCCGCGGGCGACGCCGCGTTCAAGAGCGTGGCCGGGCGCGCGTGCAGCGCGGCGCCGATCCCGGCGCCGGCCTCGGCCCCGGCCCCGGCCCCGGCCCCGGGGCGTCGCCGCAGAACGTCCGGGATCTGGTACTCCGAGCACTCCAGCGCAAACTGCTTGCGCGGGTGGTGGTGCACGGGCGGCGGCACCGCCTCCGCGGTGCCCCGCGCCGGCAGCACGTCGTGAAACCCTTGCACCGCACTGGTGCGGTAGCGGGTCTTCGACACGTGCAGGTCGTCCAGCACGGCGCGCGCCAGCGCGTGCGGCTGTGCACCCAAGGTGCACATGTACGACCGCTGGTAGTCGTCCAGCGGGTTTTCCGTCAGGGTGAGGTCACACCCGTCTAGGCTATGAACGGGGTATTCGGGCATGGGTGTAGAAGAGGGTAAGGGGGTTGATTGTGCAGGCAGCGCGAGCCGCGGGCTGGCACGCGAGCCCGGCCGCACATGTGGCGCTCTCTTATATACGAGGCCGCGTTGGCTGCGGAGGGGCCCCGACCTACCGCTGCACACCGCATTTTGCTGTCGGGAAATGCGAGCTGAGAGAGTTCGAGATGCGTGGGGCGAGGCTGTCAGAAGCTCGAGAGCAACGGTATTCCGAACCGGTGGTAAGCCGTTGGCCTTGGGGACGCACTGGGTGTTGTGTGCGTGCTGGACGTAGCGAAGGATCCTCTACCGGAAGGCTTGCCTACGGCCCGGCGCGGGGCGCCGGGCCTAGGGCTGGGCCTGGGGCCGAGCCTAAGCCCGGGCCTAAGCCCGGGCTTAGGCCAGGGCCGGTTGCATGAGGCATAGGCGCAAAGAATGGGACGCCGATGGATCGGACGCAGGCGGGGCAAAGCGCCTGCGAAGACGGCAGCGGAGGGCGGGGGGAAGGATCGGGGACGAAGACACAGAAATCGCGCAGGACTGTGCGGGCCCTGCGGGTGTTCTGGGCACGGGTACAACGGCAGATCTGCACTCGGCGGTGGGGCGGACGCAGGCGATGCAGGCGATGCATGGCGAGCATCCGTACATCGGGGCAGGTTGCCTAAACAAGGAGGCAGAGGCCAGTCGTGCGGGGTGAGCTGGGCTGCGAGCTGCGGTGGTGTCGGGGTGGTGCAAAAAGGTGGATGTCGCTTTGTGGGTCGTGTTTGCGCCGGGACTGGCAGGCTCCCCGGACCAATGGCGTACTTGAGCACTGAGTGGAACTGAGTACAATATGGGTATTCGTACGGCGGTGTTACCCGCCTTCAGTCGGCTTTCCTCTGGTGGCAAATTCCCAACAAAGTCGACCAATACATGTGATCTCTGAGCCCACGTGACCTGCCGAATCAAGCAGCGCTCAGTTTGGTGTTTCTGTGATCTGGCATCGTGGTCACGTGATACAGCAATTTGACGATATCCGCGTCGCGCTACCTCCTTCTGACATAGATATTAAGGCTGGTGAGGTGTATCATTGTCGGTGGTTGATAGGTTTTTGAGCTGTTCATTTAATTCGTTCGTAATTGATCTAAATAATTGTTGGAAGGAGCTGGCGAGGAGATGATATCGTCCAATTGCATCATCACGTGATCGATATGACAGAATAAGATTAGAGGATTGGACAAAGGATTGGCATTCCGCGAAAGAGCTGGAAGCTAAAACAGGTCCATTGAAAGTTCTAGAATCATCAGAACATTGTAATCAGATCATATGTGGTATGATGAATGACGTATGATGAAAATTCACCGTCTAGATTGAAGAAAGTAACGGATTCCAAATTTGGATCAATGTTACAGAAATTGTATAAAAGGAGCTGATATGAACAGAATTATAGTGGTCATGGTCGTAAGATAGCCACGGAGATATATAAGTACTCAATTCCTAATCCGCTTTATTATTTAGATCAATTATGAACGAATTGAATGAACAATTTAGAAACCTATCAACCTCCGACAAGGAAAAACCTCATCAATAATAAAGCTGATAAGGAATTGAGTGCTTATATCTCTCCGTGATTCTCTTGCGACCATGACCACTACGATCCTGGTCATACCAGCTCCTTTTATACAATTTGTTGTTGAGGTTTAACATTATCGGTGGTTGATAGGTTTCTGAACAGTTCATTTAATTCGTTCATAATTGTTGAGGTTTGACATTATCGGTGGTTGATAGATTTCTGAACTGCTCATTCGTTCATAATTGATCTAAATAATAAAGCTGGTAAGGAATTGAGTACTTACATCTCTCCGTGGTTATCTTGAAGATATGGCCACTGTATGGCTGATCAAAACATCTGCGTTACTTTCTTCATACTAGGCGGCGAATTCTCATCATACGTTATTCATCATACGTCATTCATCATACCACATATGATTACAATGTTCTGAAGATTCTAGAACTCCCTATGGACCTGTTTTAGCTTCCAGCTCTTTCGCGGAATGCCAACCGTCTGTCCAATCCTCTAATCTTATTCTGTCATGTCGATCACGTGATGATGCAGTTGAACGATATCATCTTCTCGCCAGCTCCTTCCAACAAGGCCTTTCGGGCACAGGCACCGTAAACCTGAGTGCTCCTGACAAATGCGTTGGCAACGGCCTAACTAGGGTTACGCTACTGATTTGATGGTACCAAGGGTCTCATCCAGACATTCTCACTTCGACTGGCTTGTATCTCATGCTCCGCCCAATCCTGAACAGTCTTCAACTTATCAGGAGGCTCTTGGACCGACAGAGCACCGGCATATTCGTCATTTACATTTCTCGTCCTCTCAAATCAAATTATCGCTTCTTATCTAACCTCTATTAAAATCAACCGTACTAGTATACAACCCCTTTAGTTACACCACTTCGACGCGGCCCGTGCCGACGTCGTACAAAAGCCCGTACACCTCGATGTCGCCGCGCGCAAGCGCGTCCTTAACGGTGCTGATCTCCAACAGACGGCCACGCTGCTTTTGCACGTTCAGCTTCGACAATAGCCGACTCTGCTCCTTGACGTCGGACGTTTGTGCAAATACTTCTTGCTTGTGCTCGTGGTACAGGTCATCGACATCTTGCAAGTACGCATGTAGAGAGTTGCACGTGCCGCTTTCGAGCAGAGACTCACGTTTGTTGCTCAAACACGTGTTAATGCCGCCGCAGTCCGTATGACCGCACACAACGACTTTGTTCACCTTGAGCACGTTGATGGCAAACTCGAGCGTCGCACGGCAGGTCGCGTCGCTCTCAGTGATCACGTTGGCAATCGTTTTCCATGTGAAAATCTCACCTGGCACGACTCCGAGACACGCTTCGTTGTAGCGCGAATCGGAACATCCGATGAACAAAGTGTGTGGGCTCTGTCCGTGTGCGTTGTAGTCCCTGAGAAGACGAGGGTGTTCTTCCTCCATGTGCTCACACCATCTTTCGTTGGCAGCGAGCAAGTCCGCGAGCTTGGACTGGTGTGAAAGCGTGAACACGTTGGTAGATGCTGGAGACATGTGGGTGTGGTGTGCGGGTGTGCTATGTAATGTGGCTGGGGTGAACAAACCATCCACTTGGCAGACAGCTTGTAGCAGTTGTCCATATATATATATGCCCAGCATGCCGTCGCAAAGCGTCGCCGCTGCGTCGCAACGGCGACACAGTACGACGGCATGGTTTTGGACCCAACCGCATCATCATTATCGCTACCGCATCATCGCTGTGGCGGATTTCTGCCCAACAAGCCGGTTATGGCTCATCACACTGATGTAATCCCGGGCTAGAGCGGTTCTCGACGGGATTATTGAGGAGACGAGCGCAGGCGGTCACCTGCGCCCGCAGGTGGTCACCTTGACGTCAATGCAGGATCGTGACACGGGCGCCAGGGACGACGGAGGGAGTTGCAGCGTGACCAAGAGTGTGTGGGTGTCGGGGCGTGGGTATGGGTGCTGTGGCGGCAGGTATCACGTGACTTCGTGGTTTGGGGCATGTGTCACTTATCACGAGCAGTGTTCGTCGCTCCTGGAAACCGCCGTCTCGCGTGGCAACGTCTTGTGACTAAAGTATTGCCATTGTCGCTGGCTCCGTCGTCCAGGCTCTGTCAGACGTCGTTGGCCCGTCGTTGACCGTCGTTTATGTCCTTTTTTGTACCGGTTTCCAATGTACTCCCGGTTGTCTGCAGTGCGTCTGCAAAAAGTGTTGCTTATCACTTGTCATTTCACCAACTCTCACCCCTTCAGACCCCCCACGAAAAAACCGACATGCTGAAGGAAAACCCGGTTTCAATCGACCCGACTCGACGCCAGCACAAGCCTCGTTTGCCTGGAAAACTGGCCATTGCTGCTGGCGCCGTGCTGTGTTTTTTATGGTTTTCGTTGTGCCACGACTCTCGCAAGGGCCAAGCGAGCTACGCTCGCTCGGCCCAAGACCCGCTACAAAGGCACACCCGCAATGTCACTATTCAAGATTTCTACGCCGGTTCTCATGTCCAACCCAGCGCTTTGCCTAGCTCTTTGCCCGATGAGGACCTCTACTTTCACCATCGGATCAAGCTTAGACCCTTAAGTCCCACAACTGTGTCACGTGACCAGTTCGACATTTGGCTCAAACAGCAAACCCGAGTGTGTTTCGAAAAGCTCCTCGCGAATATTGGGGATTCCAATTTGAACGATTTGCCCACGGCGGAACGAGTCTCCGAGGGTGTCGTTCTAGCGTCTCCTTCCAAAAAAAATCCAGACTATTTTTACCATTGGGTTCGAGATGGATCTATCACCATGAACACCGTAGTGAAAAGTTTGGTTCCAGCGCAAGATCCTTCCAGTTTGAATTTGACACTCGCGGGCACCGTTCTCAAATTTCTGAACACGTCTTTTGTTTTGCAACGCACTGATAATCCTTCTGGCACCTGTAAGCGGGACTTGAAGGGTCTGGGCGAACCCAAATGGTTGGTCAACAACACTCCGTTTACGGGCAACTGGGGGCGTCCTCAAAGTGACGGTCCGGCACTTCGACTCATTACTGTTTTCAATTTTTTGGCCACGCTGCGTGCCTTGGAATTACCTTTGGAAACTGTCATCGCAGATTTCCAAAAAACCTATAACCAGGATTTACAATTGCCCTTCCACAACGAACGTGACTTATTTGAAACGGTGGTAAAGCTCGATTTGCAATATGTTGTCAATAACTGGCACGCTGACACTTTTGATTTGTGGGAAGAAGTGAATGCTCAGCATTTTTTCACGACGTTATGTCAATTGAAAGCGGTTCAATTGGGTTGGCATTACCTCACCGAAATTCAACCAGATTTCGATGACCCAGAGACTCAAGTGGCTGCGTCGTCGCTAAAGCAAGAATTTGACAAAATCTTGAAATTTTTGATGGTTGACGGTGGGTTTTTGAACGCCAACAAGAACTATATCATCGAGACGCCTGCAATCTTGGGTAAAAGATCAGGACTTGACATTGCAGTTTTACTCGCTGCAGTGATCACACACGACCCAGGTTTGGACGGGACTGTGGACTTCAACATTCCCTTTGACGTTGACGATACCGGTGTGTTGAACACTTTGCATGGACTTGTCGCGGAAATGCAAATCTTGTATCCCGTCAACCATCAGCGTGCCAATTTGAACCTGGGTGTCGCTTTGGGTAGGTACCCGGAAGACGTTTACGATGGTACTGGCATCTCGGAGGGCAACCCTTGGTTCCTTGCAACGACCACAGCGGCAGAGCTGCTCTATAAAGTGATTTCCCATTTTTACACCGCCGAGACAGACTTGGTCATCCCATTGGATGGATGGACGACCCAATTTTGGTCACTCATCTTTGAAAATATAGATTTCTCCCAGAAGACCGGCGACTCGTGGCAATTAGTAATTCCATTTGATTCTCCGGCATATACACAGACTATGATTTCTTTACTTCGGTTTGGAGATTCGTTTTTGGACAAAGTTCGTGAACATGTCAGTGACGATGGGAGCATGTCGGAACAGTTTAACAAGTACAGTGGATTTTTACAAGGTGCAACTGATTTGACGTGGTCTTATGGATCGTTTTGGAGCAGCTCGCACTGGAGATCACAAGTGATGTCGAAGATGGCTTGCGCTCAGAAATAAGGTTTTTAGAATGCATCACATATATATATGTATACACGGCAAAAAATTCCAACAATGATTTGGACTGCTTAGACTGGGATACTTTCTGGTACTTCGAGTCCGACTTTGGCGGCGGTTCGCTTGACTTTTTCCGCCTGCGACATCTTCAGTCCCGGATTATAACGGTCGATTAATTCTTCGTATTCATGTTGATTCTGCACAAACGACGCGATATCCCGAATGTGATCGATACGTTTCGCTAGCGTTTCGGGCGTGCTCGGTTGTGCAAGGCTTTGCCGCAAAGCCCGTACATCGTCGTAGAAATGTAAACGACGTAAACGTGCGGGGTCCGATCTTTTCAGCACGTCTATGTCTTTCGTCACTTCATTTAGCATGGGTAAGAACTCTAACCGCTTCTGTGCGTCCTTTTCTAGTGCTTGCTGTCTCACAAGATTGATTTTCTTGTAAGTCAGAAGCGCAACTTGCCGTTTAATCTCGTCCTCCGCTTGAGCTTTCTTGTAACGCCTTTGCGCGCGCACCAATGTTTTCACCAGCGCCTTATAAGATGATAATATTTCGTTCCTTTGCATTGCGCGTCGTGTGAGAACTGAGATGCGCGGTACTAAGATGGGCTTAAGCTTTACTATAGTAATTCCTGTAGATTCCAGGTCGAATATGGAAGAAGGTCACGTGATACCATTACGTACGCTTCCGTCACGTGGTTGCAGGGGTTGTTTGTCATTAAATACGGATCAGTCGCGTGACCTTTGGTAGACAAGCGGGAGTTGGTTTATACGGATCCATTTTCTAAAACTTTCTTTCCCTCCTCACTTCAACGATTGTTGCTTCCCACTCACTAGATCATCTTCATCCGCGAGATACGTTTCCTTTCCCTTCTTTCCTCTTCTTCCTAACAGTTGTTGTCTCTGTTTTAGTGGAAGGTGCCAGCCGCTCACCCCTTATATTCCTCGAGATAAACTAATATCGCTCTCTACGATAGAGTTAGCCGCTGATCTCCTTAACGTCGCCTCTGCGAATCTGTCTGAGCATCTCTTGGGTCTTACTTAGAAACTCTCGTAGATCGTCGCTAACCAAAACATTGAGTCACGTGCCATTTAAGTAAGGATGTCTGGGTGGCCGAGCTCGGCGCCGGATCGAGGTCAAGGCCGAGTCGGGGCCGAGCTCTTTGTACGAACTACAACAACTATATAACATGGGCTCAATAACAGGACGACATAAGGGACTTCATGAAGTTTTAGCGTTGTCGTCGAGAAGATACACTTGGAAAAGGTTCTGTTTGGCTTGGAACAAGGGAATTGACGCGCAAAGTTTGGGCAAAGTAGCTGGACAAATTGCAGGATTTTTTTTTTGGATTAAAGACCCAGAAAATAACCATATAGACGTGACACCTGATATTTCATATTATACACATCATGTTGAGACAGAGCGCTTTAGGTTGTAGGAGAGGATTGGCGACGTTGGCGTCGGAAAGCCTTTTGCCCAAGAAATACGGTGGTAGATACACGGTGACTTTGATTCCTGGTGACGGTGTGGGTAAAGAGGTTACCAACTCAGTGGTGTCGATCTTCGACTCGGAAAACGTGCCCATTGACTGGGAGAAAGTGGACATTTCAGGTCTAGAGAACCAGGAAGGTGTTCAAAAAGCAGTAGAGTCCCTCAAACGTAACAAGATCGGTCTGAAGGGTATCTGGCACACTCCTGCGGACCAAACGGGCCACGGGTCCCTAAACGTTGCACTACGTAAACAGTTGGACATCTTCGCCAATGTAGCGTTGTTCAAGAACGTTCCCGGTGTCAAGACGCGTTTGCAAGGTGTCGACATTGTTGTTATCAGAGAAAACACCGAGGGTGAGTACTCGGGACTCGAACACGAATCCGTGCCCGGTGTCGTTGAATCTCTCAAGATTATGACCAAAGTCAAATCCGAGCGGATCGCGCGTTTTGCGTTCGATTTCGCCCTCAAGAACAATAGAAAATCCGTGTGTGCGGTTCACAAGGCCAATATTATGAAGCTGGGTGACGGACTTTTCAGAAACTCGGTCAACGAAATCGGTGCTAAGGAGTACCCCGAGGTCGAAGTCAAGAACATCATTGTGGACAACGCGTCCATGCAAGCTGTCGCCAAGCCCCACCAATTCGACGTCTTGGTGACACCTAACTTGTACGGTTCTATTTTGGGCAACATCGGCGCAGCGTTGATCGGCGGGCCCGGTTTGGTTCCTGGCGCAAATTTCGGTCGCGAACACGCCGTCTTTGAGCCCGGTTCCCGTCACGTCGGACTTGACATCGAGGGTAAAAACGTTGCCAACCCAACTGCCATGATTCTTTCATCTACTTTGATGTTGAGACATTTGGGACTCAATGAATACGCCGACCGTATTTCCAAAGCCACCTATGATGTCATTGCTGAGGGTAAAACCACCACCAAAGACATTGGCGGCTCTGCGTCCACCACTGAGTTCACAGATGCCATCATCGAAAAGTTGAAGACTTTGTAATGAAGTGAACAGTTAATTACATCTTTTAACGAGCCAATTTGGAAAGAAAACCCCTCAGATAACGGGACCGAAATCCCTTAGTATGTATCGACGCAAATAGAATTACTGAAAAAGACGTCCACGAATGTTAATCTATTGAAGCCTCGTAAATCTTGCTGATACTCGGTATATTCGTAATGGCCTAATGGAACGTTACCATACAAAACTTTCTAATTTTTGACATCTGACAGATCCTTCGTTCGGAATGATACTCAAAAACTCGATTTCTCAACATGTAAGGGGAGTTGTATTTCATAAGATATGAGATGAGGTACTCGGAACAAGGTACGGAACTGGCTTTTGAGGTAGCTGGTGATAGCTTAGTGGCAATAGATTACTAAAATCTCATTCTACACTACGTTTTTATCGATCGTGAGAATTTGACCCTAATCTAATAATCTATCAAACAATGATGTCACAGCTAAATGAACCTAGCGTTGATTTCCATTTGAAATTGAACGAACAGTCTTTTCATATCCCAAACGAATTGCTAAAGAAGAATGTCCGACAGGTGAACAAGCTTGTGGAGTTGGAAGCCAAGAAATTGAACACGCTTTTCACAGAGCTTGACAGCATAATGTCAACGCACGATAATGCTTCGTCTTTAGGGAAGCTCAATGAAATCATCAAGGCTGTTGAAGTGTTGGAAAGAAAACTGGAAAAACGGGTAGCGTTCGAAGTTGAGTTGCTAAATCGAATAGAGTGCCGTATAAACTATTTCAAGGAGCTGGATGATTTGAAAAATGCCGAAGATGCGGATGGACTTATAATGTGGTATCAGCGATACACCAACCTTTTGGTAGGTGACTATTTAACGCGAAATGGGATCTTATACGATGCAGAACTCCAAGACAAAAAAGAGGAAGCGCAACAACAGCCGGGAAAGGAAAATAACAGGCAAAAACGCAGGCTTTCGTCTCCTGCATCGTCTTCACCACCTCCGAATTCAGGTGTACAATTTTTGAAGCAACAAAATCTGGAAAATTTGCTGGACTACGACATTTTACTCACTGCAAACAAAATTTCCAAAAGTCTTACGAACAAGCACGCATTAAGTCCACTCTTCAGCTGGATTAAAGAGAATCATTCTTACCTTGAAAGCAAATCTTCGAATCTGGAATTCGAGACGAGGTTTCAAGAGTACATTGAATTGGTGAAAGTTCAGGATTACAAAAATGCAATCAAATGTTTCCAAACGCATTTGGTCAAATTTTCCGACAGCAACTTCGAAGAACTTAAATTAGCATCTGGACTTCTGGTCTTTATCAAGAACTGCCTCTTGACTATACCTAAGAAAGCCAAAATGGATGCTTCTACACAGGGCGACAAAGAAGTTTCGAAACCGCGGACCAGAGAGGGTTTTTTCAGTTTTTTCTTCAAACACCAGCCTCCACGGTCTTCAGGTTCCTCATTTGCAGTAACATTGGAAGACTTGAAGAAAAAAGAGTTTTCAAATAATGTCGAACTCGATAGATATAGCAGAGTTTTAGACGATTCCCGGTGGACTTCTTTGAAAGATATCTTCCTCTATGAATATTTCTCAATGTACGGGATATCTCATCACGACCCGTTGCTCATATACCTCTCGTTGGGCATTTCCACATTAAAGACTAAGGCCTGTCTGCAACACCCGAACACTGAGAACTCTGATAATCTTCAGATGGATCTTTTTTTGAATAAAGAAGTGGTCCATACTTCTTGTCCCGTTTGCAGCGACGAATTTTCGCCTATAGCTCGCGATCTACCATTTTCACATCACATTCAATCTTCATTGTTTGAAAATCCGGTGATGCTGCCAAATGGGAACATTTACGACTCTCGAAAACTGAAGGCCCTTGCATCCACCTTGAATGACAAAAATCTCTGCCAACTGAACGAAAATCAGATCATGGATCCGATAGACAAGAAGATCTACGCTTGCAGCGATTTTATCACAATGTATCCCACGTAATTACCATTTCCACTCTTTCATGTTTATTCACTTGCGTAGTTCCCCTTCTCATTTGCTTCTTTCGCAGCTTTCCTGCTGTCCCCCCATCTTTCGAATATATACACACGCGCACTTCTCTCAGACGCGGGTTTCGTCGTATCCTGTTCACTATTTGTCCTTCTATGGTGGTAGTCGGGGTACTGATCCCACCAAAACTGACTTGATCTTTCTACTTTCCAACCGGACTTCTTTGCTAGCATTTTAATTTGCCATGAATCGTAAGGCTCGCCAGTAAATACGCTCAAAATTACCCTGCATTTATTCTCTTCCTGCGTAGTGGCCCCCATGTCGTCTTTGAAAATAGAGTAGTCCTGAGCAAGGTTTGTCTCATTCACCGAATTAGCAAGGCCAAAAAGATCTTGGCTGCTTTGGAAAAATCCAAGCACGAGCGCTTGGTGTTCAGCAATATTCCTATCCTGATCTTTAATTCCCCTTCCGGTATGCGGAAAATTGAACATTATATTCTGAAGACGTTTGTTCCGCCATTCAGGTCCCAGAAGCTTGGTCCAGGGCGATTTTTTTGTGATCTTTAATGATTTGACAAGCATCGTTGCGTCCGTTTTAAAGAAAACCTTTACCTGATTTTCCATCAAAATATTGTAATTTGGCCCGAACGAGTGCGGATACTTCAACTGCAACTCTGATGGTGAGTTGTCATAGCTGGTGACTATAAGATTCTCGGGTAAAATGAGGCCCTGCTTAACGATCGAACAAGCATACGAAAAATCACCTTCGCCAATAAGCATTAGCGTGGATTCCTTTTCAAACGGCAAAACATTCTGGGCCTGTTCTCGTTGCCGTTGCTGATTTCGAACAACATCTTTTGTCAATTGACCTTTATTTTGAGTATGCGATATCTTTTTTTTCAATTTTTCTTTAGATTTTACGTCTGCTTGTTGCCTTGAAAGCGCGGCTTTCAAACCTTTCATGCCCTTTTTACCCTTCAATTTACGAGCCATATTGAATGTAGAGCTAGCGACGAGATGCGGCTTTTGTCACTGCTGTCTCTAGTGATGTTCAGTACTCCATCTCATCAGGCATCTCATCTCATCTATAGTGGTATCTGATCAAATTTTTCGAAAACCACGCGTAGTTCACGTGACTTCTTCTCAATCATCAACCGTCGAGGCATTGCCTGGACAAGTTGTAGATGAGCTTCAGATCAGAGAGCCTGGGTTGTGAAGACTTGGGTCTAAGGTTAGTATTGGATTCTTAGTCAAAGGTTTTGTAGTTGAGAATTTTCTGGATCGTTTTGCGATAATTAAGGCCAAACATACTGGGAAAACGAGTTTTAGGTCGCTCTTGTCTTTCTCTAAGACCGCCAAGTAGAATATGACTTTAAATCCCTTGGTAAAGCCTTCATTAATAATAACATCGTTTATGGAGTCTCTTGGAAGGAAATCATCAGTCTGAAGTAGCTTAAAGTTCAGCCAAGTGGGAAATAAAATACAACCTCTCATCGCGGAAATTTGGATTCCACCGCTTCTGAATATTGAAAGGAACTCAATTGGTGGATTTCTTATCAGAGCCAATGAAACTAGTACAGACACCATCGTGAACACCTTTTGGTGTTGTCCATTGGTGAACTCTTGGCAAATGAAAAAGTGAGCAGAGATCACCACCACGGTGAAAACCACGAGATTTAAAGCCCAAATTCGGTTATAGTTAGTTGGAGTGATTACGAATTTCCTGAAACTTCCCGTATCATTTGATTCTGATTCGAAAATGTATTTAGTTTGACCCATTACCAGTAACTCGAGTTATTAATATTGGTAATCATTTTCATTCTTGTAGAAATCTTACTTCTATAAGTTACTAAGTAACGGTGAATAAACCGGCCTACGAAAAGCAGTCAATGCATGAAAATTTCTCATGCGAGTACGCAATCCTTTATAACAGTCCTTCTATATACCGTCGCCCCACAGTGATCTATGTATGTTTGGATAGCATCCACAATGTCGACAATGAAAAATTCGATGCCATCAATGTTATCAATTGTTCGACCCAACTTCTGCGTCTTTGACCCTGTTTTTCCTGAGATCATCAATCGTTCCTAACACCACCTCGGTTTTACGATATGCGGTTAATTGATCTTGTCGCAGGCCACCTGAAGATTTTTTGCCTCCCAAATCCGCTTCTTTCGCCTTTTGCATTTGTAGATCTTCCTCCTTGGCACTTTGCTTGGATACCTCGATCTGTTTGAGATTTTCTTCGTGTTCCAATTGAAGTTGAAGCAATTTGGCGTTAAATTCTTCCAACGTGCTCAAATCCTTGCGGACATCCATGCAATACTGGTCGAAGTCGGGAGGCAATTTCGATCGCAATGCTAACTCGACCATCACCGGATGTTTTCTTTCCTCGTTGATGAACTTGGCCTTTATTTGACGTCGTGTACGGTAAGGGAACATCTGAGATATAAGGTTGAAATCGGTGCCCCACATAGACAACGCCTTATAAAATTTAACCATCTCATCCATCGACCAGGGGTCCGTATACTGTTGTCTTCCATAAGTGGCCGAATTGAAAAGATTTTCAAATGGGTTTTCGTCCATTCTTTCCTTATGTGCATTTTGTAAAGTGGCATTTTGATGTCGATCCACCACAGTAGATTCTTCATCGACGATGAAAGTGCCGTCAGGGTTCATTTTAAGTTGAATACCTTGCAACTTAGTGTCAGCCTCCGGTATCTCTGCGTTCATGACTGCCTCGGCAGCCTTTTTCCGGTTCTCTTGGCGCAACTCATCTTCCTTCTGACTTAGTTCTTTCAAAGGTTTGAATTGTTGCCGAGCCTTCGCGCGAAGTTCCCGCCGCTGTTTTCTTTTCGCCTGTCTTGCCTTCGCGGCTTCTTTGGCACGCTGGAAGTTGTCAGATATTTCCCCAATGGGCAGGTTGGGCTTGCACAGGTCGCCCATTGTGAAATTATCTTCGTCAATCAAATATCGGTAGGAGTCTCCGTCGGATATGTGCCTTGGAATCTCCTTTACGTTCGATATCGTGTATTTTTCATACAGACTATCCGTTCTTTGGAACAAATTGTCGTTAGCTCCATTCGAAGAATCTGCAGCTCCCGAGGCCGTTGAAACTTCATCGCTGCCCATACGAGGAACAATACTGATTCGTTGGCCAGACCCTGACTTTTTGGAGATCGCAGACCTGGAGGACATACGACGTTTCTTGATGGCTTGGAATGACGAGTCTGTTTCCGAAATGCTACTCACTCGCCTTTTCTTCCAAGAAGCGGCTGAAATAGATGAAAGACGACGATTCCGCGATTGTTCCGGCACAGACGTACCGGCAACTTGCGTCTCCAAGAAATCCGGCTTGAAAACCGCATTACCCGACCCAAGTGAATCTAGCCGACTAGACCGTCTACGCTGTTTAGCTAATTGGCTCATTGACGTGATGTCATGCATATTTGGGTCGCCTGACTCGTCTTCTCGAACCAACAAGCTTTTCAACGAGCCCTGACTAAACGGATCCGCACTATCCAAGCTAACAGAGTCGGAGCGCGGTCCAACAGGTCTATCAGTGGGCTTTAGGCCAGCACTTTCATCTTCATTATTCACTAACGACTCGGGCTTTCTTTTCTCGACGTTAACAGCGACGCGACGCTGCCTTATCTTCGGTGCAAATCGTGTACCACTCTTGTTAACAATACTACTCATGGATAGTTATGGACTTTTTTAACCGACCCAAAACCTGAAAGCCAGAATAATATGACAGCCAATCACCTTAGTTTCGACGTTACGAAGTACGTTAGGCTCCGTGTTGACAGTATGATAATGCTGGCTCTGTCGCGATGCCAGGTTTAGATATTGAAAATGAATTTCATTCTCGGATGAAGTTCAAAAAACCATCACGTGATTTAGTGATAACTAGGCGAGTTTAAGAATAAATACCATGATGCATGGGCTTAGTAAGGTTTAAAGCGCGACTTTAACCGGTTTTTGTCCTTGTCACTCTTCTGCTTTTTATTGCTCTTTTTTTTGTCCTTTGACGGCTTTTCTTTGTCCTTTTCTGACTTTTCTTCGGGCTCTGTTACGGTGCCTACTGGTTCCGATGTAGGATCGTTCATGTCGGCTTCAATCACAGTGTCCTGGAAGAGGTTAAGTGGCTTGGAGTAGTCCCAAAACTGGGCCACAACTTGAAGTTGGTTGGCCTGCTGTACGTTCCAAGATCTGACATATCCATCCTCGCCGCAGCTGTACATTAGGTTCGGGTTTTGTTCAGAAAAGTAAATGTCTCTTACAATGTCGTCACCATGGGCCGCAGGTATGACAACCGAGTTCTTCGTGTCAAGTTGCTCCGAGTTCAACGGGATTAATTGAAGCTCACCGCGACCCGCTTGAGATCTGCCAGTGGCTATAACACCAGGGTACACGTCTACGACGTAATCGCAGTTCCAGTCGCTTCTAATGTCGCCAAAATCCCTGGGCTGGGGTTCTGTCGGATCGTCAGATTTGTCGTTCAGCTCGTGGATACCAAAGGTCTCCATGTGGGATAACGTGAATATGCGTTTTGGTGCGAGCCATCCGCAGGAATGAATCGAAGCGAAATTGATCACCTGGTGTAACGCGTCGTCTTCTTCTGGCTGCGCCAGATCGTAAATGTTGACGTATCCGTCCGTAGACCCGCTCATAAGGACGTTAGGATCGCTAGGATGGAAACAAATACTCGTAATGTCGTCGTGATGCGAATCTATCATCGACCGCACAGGCCCGTCCGTTTTCCGGATGTCGTACAAATGAAGCTCAGCATCAACTCCAGAGAGTTCTGTGCCACAAGCCAAAAGTCCATGACGCGAATCTACCGACAAAAACGGTGACGACTTTTCACTTTTCAACGATGCTACTGCATCTTTCATTCTAACGTCGAAAATTTTGGTTCCCTCTTCATTAGCTGTAGCAAACCCGAATCCATTGGCGTAATCTCTATCCAGCACTTGCATATCGTTGATTGACGTCAAATGCGCTACGATTCTTTGTTTTGGCTTGTTTGTTTCCCAATCAATGACAAATACTTCCCCACTACTTAAACTGGTCAAAAGGCCAGCCTGGTAAAGCGGACGAAGCTTCAAACACCAATTGTCGGCGCCAAAAGAGTTCTCTGCAACGTTGAAGTAAGCCATTGAGCACCCGAACGGTCGGATTTTTACTGCTTATGGTGCGTTCTTATAAGGCCGTCGGTTGGTTGATTCTCATCGCTTAAATTTTCAAGATCAAAGATAGCCAATAAGGAGCCGTGGCGAATTTAGCAAGTGTAGAGACAGGGCCAAAACGAAGCCAAAATGACCATTTGAGACCGAGTCATAGCTATGAATCGAATTTTCGCGTCTGGTTGTGGTTGGTGAATGAACATCCGACGTGTGTGGGTACTAGTTTCATGAAATTGGAGTGCCGTTTTCTGTACAGCAATCAAATGGAAAATGGATAGTGTGGACTGGCAGATATCAGCCGTTCTCTTTAGACGGCTATTGAAGTTTATTTTTCAATGGTATGAGCAGAGATTCAAAGGTCTATGTACGCATTATGGCCACCTTCACGATTGATTTCGAGGTTCACCTTTGACGTCAGAAGGGCCTGATTAAAAGGGCACAGAGTTGGTTTTCTCGAGCTTTAGAAGCTTCCTATGGCATCCGAATCGACTTCAAGACTGCTGATGCCCGTCTATTGCCTTCAAATACTCGTCTTTCATCTTGAAAACTCATTTCATTTTAGCAAAAGTGCGTATCGCGCCCGACGCGCCGTTAGAATCTTTATTTCTTGAATGTTGAGTCAATTCACTCGATTAGGATTGTTTTAGCGGTTGTAAACCGCTTGGAACGTCTGTTGGTGCTCATATCTGTACTTGTTTACACCACGACGTTCGAGATGACTTTGCCTTCTCACGGTATTGGACCCCTTTACTTTAAACATCTTAAATTTCGAAATTTACAGAGATGAAAGAAGTCGGATTTTGAATAGTCAATTGATCCCAGTGGGCTACCATTACAATTTATTTCGTGTGTCTTTTGGGTTGCAAAGGTTTGAGGAAACTTTTTCCAAGAAACTGGGTCATTTTTGCATCAAAAGCCACCGAGTTAAGCTGTCATATTTGAAATGAGCCCTCCGATGCCTGATCTGTACGCTCCGGGCACGAGATTGACCGTGGGATCGCACCAGGCTCAAGTCATCAAGTACCTGACCAGCGGTGGGTTTGCACACATTTACACTGCCCAAATCATACCGCAAAACACTAATGAGAGCCCTCGAATCGCATGCTTGAAGCGAGTTTTAGTACCAGATAAACAAAATTTGAATACTCTGAGGGCAGAAGTCGATGCAATGAAGCTGCTGCGCAATGAGAAGCATGTTGTGTCGTACATTGATTCCCATGCATCGAAATCGGGTCATAACGACGGAACTTATGAGGTATTCTTGCTTATGGAATATTGTGCTCGCGGCGGGCTTATTGATTTTATGAATACCCGATTGCGTGACCGACTGCAAGAGCATGAAGTTCTCAAAATAATGAGCCATGTGTGTCAGGGGATCGCTGCGATGCATGCGCTTGAACCACCGCTGATTCACAGAGATATTAAGATCGAAAACGTTTTGATCTCCGAAGACGATATTTTCAAGGTGTGCGATTTTGGTTCCGTTTGTGGTATCATTAGACCTCCCAAGACTCAGCAAGAACTCCAATATGTTCAACACGACATTTTGAAAAACACCACGGCCCAATATCGTGCTCCAGAAATGATTGATCTTTACCGGGGATTTGCCGTTAATGAAAAATCTGATATTTGGGCGCTTGGAATTTTCTTATACAAACTGTGCTATTATACAACACCTTTTGAGAAAACCGGAGAAGTGGCCATTTTGCATTCAAAGTTCCAGTTTCTTGCATTCCCACAGTACAGCGACCGAATGAAGAATTTGATCAGCGCAATGCTTCGTGAAGATCCGACAAATCGTCCTAATATTTGCCAAGTTCTAGAAGAGATTTCCCGCATGCAGGGTGTCGCATGCCCGATTAGAAATTTCTATTTGGTAAGATCCATGCACCACTATTCGCCACCCGAAGAAATTCAACAGCAGAATGGCTATCAACAACAAATGGCCATGCACAACTCTACAAGCCAGCCACAATTAGCATCGGTGCCCAGAAGCACACCGCCAGCAAGTCAGCCAAACGGCTCTCTTCCATTGAGACCAACAAAATCGTTCACCGCAGTACCTGCTGTCATGTCCAGTATTTCGGGAGCACCGTCTTTACCCTATCAAGGGTCCCAGCTGCCCTTGTCGCTTCCTGCACATGTACATACTATTGCGAACGCCAATTTCGATCCGTTCCAGGCAAATAAGAACAGCTTCCTTTCCGTTGCGTACTCTCAGTCTCAAAAGGCTGATCATCATATGCAACCAAGAGCGCAAACTTTTAACACCAGCTACTCAACAAATCTTGAGCCAATTGAACCAACGAATTCACAAGGTGTAATTCATGCTGTTGACTTACCAAGCATACGGGCCTCCAATAGTTCAACGAGAGCTTCACCACCCAACTATGTCGACTCTGGAACTCAGACTTTGGATGAAGATGTGTTTTTGAGAAGAAGTGCGTCCGGCGCAATTTCTCAACAATCGCTTGACTCATCGTCTTCCGTGGAATCACTAGAACCACAGTCAAGCGGAAGTAGCTTGAGGAAAACTTTTGGAAAGAAACTGAAGAGGATTTTGACTGGAGAAGGGCGATCGGTTTCCCCCATTAAGTCTAGACATAACACTGGTGACTCGGTAAAATCAGCGTTTTCATCACTGCGTCGCGGCCTATCTTCTGGTAGCTTCACGGGTGATCCTTCTTCAAGAAAAGCTTCTAATGAACCATCACGCAGTCTGTCGCTATCCAAATATAGAGTGTCGTCCTCTGAGTCAATAGAAGAAGAGCCGCTTACAAGTGAGGCGTTGAGGTCAATTCCAAGAAGAGAACAGAAAAATCCTTCGATTGTTGAAGATCTAGATCGGCTAGAATTGGAAAATGACACCGAAGCTCGTGAGTACTATAGGTCGCAGGCAAAGATGCACATCACGTCCAATAAGGCATCGAAAGATTCTATTCAACAAAGAGTCAAAGATCTCCTGAATAGCTCACAGACTACACCTCTGAAGAAAACCGCAGAAGGATATGGAAAGTATACTATCAGCGCTTTGGAAGGGATAGCTCGTCAAAGTACGAATGAAACTTTGGTCTCGCTTTCTGGGAATTCTGATTTATCAACACCGAAGGTATTGTCACCAATCGTCAGACGGCCTGCTGCGGTCGAGAGTCCCCTCAAAACGAAGAAGCGGACTTCGGCAAAAAAGAAACCGGCGAAACCTCATAAGCCTCAGCATTTGAGACCAAATCCACCAAAGAAACCCGCGCATTTGAGAGGCGGACTTGTCGTGAAAACTGAGCAATCAGCTGTCTCTAGTGATCTCCACGCGGATCTTAGTTACGAGGACCTCGAAAAGGATTTCAAAAGAAGATATCCTAGCGCCGTCTAACCAAGATTCGTTGATTTTACCTTTGGGTGGATAAAAGAAATACTTCCAGGATATTATTTAAAATCATTTTCGAGTCATTTTCATTAAGCATATCTGTTACCACAGCAGCGCTATTATTTTTGAAATGTATTATAAATTAACTATTAAGCCCAAGTGTTCATAGTTTCAGGAGTTCAATACTCTATCAAGCTCTCAATCAGTGTCGCTCCACTCCTCGAACGAATCTAGAATAAAGTCTGTCGCTTCTTCAAAGCGTTCTTTGAAAATGTTAGACAGTCCGTCCGAATCGCACTTCAGAACACGACCAAACTTCTTCCTTGGCTTCTTGGCTTCGCTTCCATCGGAGCCCCAGCAAGCATGCTCAGAACTTGCAAAGACAAGAGAATTTTTGAAATACCAATCAGCCAAAGACTCGTCAACGAGCGGGACTAGCGGTCTGAGCGGTTTTGTATCCAAGAATAGAATTGCTGAACTGACGACATTTCTTGTATCACGATGTCCTAAGAGATGAACAATCCCGCTGCTTGCATCCCCAATTCCAATGAACGCCAGCCTGCTGAGGTTAGGGAAGTATTTAAGGTAGTTGTCCCACATGAAAAGTATCACTTCTTGGGAAGTCATAACTGCAGAATAATTATCTTGTTCTGCTAAAGATTGTGGAATGTTGACGTCTATAACGCCATAATTTCGTTCTACGGACCACTTGATAACGTGCACTGCGGTATCGACTACAATGGAAAGAGACGGGTCGACAAGGCCTGTCACTCTGTTTCTCTTGGCCCATATTTCGGGGGTATCGTGAACACATATAATAATTGATTCTGCTTCATGGATGGCTGGCGAACACGTAACGGTGTTCGTGGGGAGACCCATATCGAAAAGAGGTAATGTAACGAAATTGTAATCATCTGTGTAATTTTGCAGCTGCTGTTGTCTAATGGCATGTTGCAATGGAAAATTCTCGGACATCAAAGTATTGTCAACTTTGGCATTAAAATCGCAACCGTTGTTCGACTGTGTCGTTTTGAAGCAATCCCAAAATCGAGATTGGGTTCTCATTACCGTATCTATGACCTCGATAACTTCCGCTTTTGGCTGCTTCTTGGGTTCTGGCAGTTCATCTGGTGGTTCACCGACTAAAACTTTAGCCACTCCCAACGCGCTTAGTGCGATGGCGTCCAAACTGTACCCACCTTCGAGCACCACGCACAAATTACCCCTGGCAAGCGATTTCAGCAAATGAGTCATATGTCCGTAGCAGCTCGGTGTGACATGACACTGGCCGATCATGTCACCGTCCGCAGCATCAAATCCAGAAGAAATAATCACTAAATCAGGTTGAAATTCTCGACCCAATGGAATGACCACTTGCTCGACGGCCCACATGTACTCTGCATCACCCACGCCACCGCAGGGCCATGGAATGTTACAATTGAATCCTTTTCCCTTGCCTTCTCCTATTTGGTCGTAATTACCATGAATGGTGCCAGGGTAATATTTCCCAAGCTCGTATCGATGCAAAGATATGTACATGACGCGCTCATCGTCGTAGAAGGCCTTTTGAGTACCATTCCCATGATGCACATCCCAGTCCAAGATCAAAATCTTTCGAACGCTTTCTGGATAGTTTTTCAAAATGTTCTGGGCCGCTACTGCGACGTTACTGAAGAGGCAAAACCCACCTGGAACCGCAGGCTCCGCGTGATGGCCTGGAGGCCGTACCATTGCAAGCGCATTTTTGACACGACCTTCAACGACAGCTTTACATGCCTCAATGGCACCGCCACACGAGAGTTTGGCACTCAAATACGAGTCATTGTTGAAATACACAGAATCTCCCCGTTCCGTTTCTTTCAAAAGTTGTTCTCGTGTCATATTGCCGGTTTTCTCGATAAACTCCAAATGTTCCTGCGAATGAACTTTCAAAATCTCTTCTTTCGTAGCTTCTCGCACTGGAATTTTCTGCATCAAATCACCAATATCATCAACACCGCTCAAAGTTGGGTCCGAAACAAGCCCATTTTCTGCCAAAATCTTGTAAATACGATAAATTCGTCTGGGATCTTCCGGATGCGGGTCTATGTATTCGAAATACGACGTCAATATCTTGGCGTGGTACCGCATTCGCACATCATAACAAAGTCCCGTTTTCAATAACGAATATCGTATTTTGGGACGACATTTCGGCACTATCACAGCTCTATTTTGGCTTTTTTTGACCCCATTTTCGGTCGTTCCAATTCCATCATCTAAGTCCACTTCGGGACTTCTTTTAACACCGTTTTCAAGGCCATTTTCGCGCTTCACAACCATATTTTCACTACTCTTAACCTCCCCAGTTTCCACACTATTCAAAGCCATTTTATACCGCTCAATTGTTGTTTTTGTACCGGCTTTCTTTCTGGTTTTACTGGTTTCTTACTAGTTCTCAGAGGCCTTTGATTTTGGAAAAGTTCGTTGTTGATAACTGGAAAATGGGTCAGATTCGAAATTGAAAAATTTCAGAATTCGAAAACACAGCTCATCGCACAGGGATACTCTAGAGCAAACGCGTATGGCTCAACATAATGGAGCTATACAGAGATGCTAGCTGGGTGTTAGAGTTTATAGAAGCCGAGGAAAAACGTGGCCAAGTTGCTGGGTCTCTTCAGACGCTTGTGTTTAAGAGCTGTAAGCGCTTTAAGTTGAAGACAAATCCGAAGCACATTTATGCTATGGTGCACTCCTGCTGGGGCTACAGATCATTTATAGAGACCATCATGGCTAAAAGTGGTATTATGACGGGCATACCTGAAAAAAAGGGCCGGAAAGTGTTTAATAGGCTGACAATTATGCTTCTGGTACATGATATGCTGTTTTCGAAGAGTAAACGGATTCAAATGGGTAAACATCCCATCAAAACCTTTGTGGTGAAGCACAAGACGCGATTACAGAGTGAACTTGCACGTTTGAAAATCAAGCATGGAGTGCGAGACTTGAAAGAATTGGTGAAAGACGACAGAGTGGATAGAACTCCGGTTCGATGGATTCGTTTGAATCTGGTTAAATGTGCGGATCAAATAGACGATGTGATCGCGGAATTGAAGCGGAAATTTAAGAACGAAGTCAACGACTGGCGTGACATCGTTCCCGGGTCGTTGTATCGGGACGTTTACGTCCCACTTTTGTTCGGTGTTCATCCCACGGACAAGATCACTTCGCATGAACTTTACAAGACGGGTAAAATCATTATTCAGGATCGAGCGTCGTGTTTCCCAGCGCATATACTGCATCCTACTGGGGACGACGTTGTGATTGACGCCTGTGCAGCACCAGGTAACAAGACTACGCACGTTGCTAGCTACATGTTTGCTAAGGAAGAACCCACTAGTGTCAAGATACATGCCTTTGAAAAGGATCCGGAGCGTGCCAAGACGTTGCGGACCATGATCAAAACTGCGGGTGTGGACCAGGGGATTGATGTGCATGTGGGGGATTTCACCAAGTTGGCTAAACCTGACATTTTCCCTAACGTTACTGGGTTTATATTGGATCCCAGCTGTTCGGGCAGTGGTATCTTTGGCAGGCAAATGATAGACGATATCAACACCAACAAACGCGATGATTCGACTACCGTGGAGCAACAACCCGAAGAAATCACGGATGTGAATTTGAAAACCAGACTTTCTAAACTATCTTCATTCCAATTCGAAATTGTGAAGTACGCCATGTCCTTCCCTTCCGCTAAGAAACTCGTGTACAGTACATGTTCAATTCATCCTGAGGAAAACGAGCGGATTGTGATTGATTTGTTGTTGGATGCCAAAGTTCAAGAATGGGGTTGGAAAGTTCGTCAAAGGTCGGGTGTGATGCCGGATTGGCCTCGAAGAGGGCTCGTAGAGGAATTCGACGACGTGTTCAGAGACCAAAAAGAGGCATTAAGTTTAGCAGAATCCTGCATACGAGTAATGCCAAAAGAAGACGGCGGCATTGGGTTTTTCGCAGTTTGTTTCGAGCGTGATTAATCGATTAAGTAGTAACTATATAGCATATCTAATTCCGACATGACTAAAAAGATTATAATCTAGACAAAATGTCCTCGGTGACTTGCTTAGTGGAAGACTTTCCTCCTAAGTCTGGGGTCTTTATTTGAGCCTCGCGCAAATTGGCGTCGACCGCTTTGTGAATATCTTGTGCTGCTTTCGCATGTCCCATAAATTCAAGCATTAGCGCGGTGGATCTAATCGTGGCAATTGGGTTTGAAATACCCTTCCCAGCAATATCGGGCGCGGAGCCATGGCACGGTTCACCAATGACAAAATCAAACCCTACGTTGGCACTAGGCACTACACCCAAAGAACCAACCAAAGCAGCAGCACCATCGGACAAAATGTCACCGTACAGGTTTGGTGCCACTACAACGTCAAAACATTCTGGTTCTCTAAACATACGGTACACCATTGAGTCCACAATTTGCTCATTGTAGCCAATGGATCCGTATTTCTCTTGGTTGGAATCATAGACTTGCTTGCAAATCTCTCTAAAGAGCCCGTCACTTTGCGACAACACGTTCGACTTGTGAGTCACCGTAAGGGTGGCTTTACCGTAAACCTGCTTTCTCTGTAGAGCAATATCTAAAGCAATAGTAGCGATGTTTCTAGTTGCAGTCTCGGAGATACGCTTGATTGCTTCTGCGACTCTGGTTCCGGTCTTTTCATCGATATAGGTTCTTTCCGTCTTGATATAAAGATCCTCAGTGTTTTCTCTCACGATAACCATGTCGACGTGTCTATCGTCAGCGCCCTCAACGGATTTGACTGGACGCACATTGGCATAAAGACCCAATTTCTTACGCAGGGCAACAATGGGCGAAGAATAACCTTCGACTTTGGTCGTAGGCGATTGAACAGCACCAAAAAGCGCACCTTGGCAGTCGTTTTTCAAAATGTCCACAGTTTCATCGGGCAAAGCTTTACCAGTTTCCTGGAACGTTTTCCAACCCGCTTCGAGGTCAATAAAGTCGAATTTAAGCCCGTGTTTGGGACCCAAAGTATCTAAAACCAACTTTCCCGCAGGAATAACCTCTCTTCCAATTCCATCACCTGGAATTAGACCAATTTTCAAAGATTTGGCAGCGGTAGAATAGCCACGATGGGCAAATTGTTTAAAAGATGCTCTCAACATTTGCCTATAAGATATATCGACAACTTTTAGCTAGAAGAACCAAATCTAAACTGATATACCTCGATAACACTAATCAGATGACAGAACTGAAGTCACTGAGTCCTCTTTGGCTTGTTTTCGTGCAATTCTTATATCACCACTGGGTGTCAGTTGATTTCAAAATTCCGTAGGAATTTTTCACTCGTTATACCAAAATTTGAAGCGACGCTTGAACTGAAGAAACACGGCTTTTAGAGTCGTTCTCAAAGATGAAATTCACCAGGAACCACCTCGAGAAAGATATGTTTCATAACGGTGATCTGTTTGAGCTGTGTTCGCCAAGTGTTAAACTCAAATTAACACGTCTCACTAAATTCAGTTACAAAGTGTGTTTTGAAATTCTAAAAAATGCATTGAAATCTGCAAAATCTACTTAGTCGAGTGAATTGATGTTTGGTTAGATAACATTTCTCTATAGCTCATAATAATTTACTTTGTTTATGAATATTTGGTAGCCTTCAATATTGTCTAGATGAGATGACACGATTTTCCAGATGAATGAAAAACTGGCTCATCGCTCAAGAATCTTACTTGCTTCAAATCGCTGTAAAAGAACAAAGCATGAAGCCTTCGAGCGAGTTGTTCGAAGATATTTCCAGCAGCGAGGATTACGTTGTTGTTGAGACTCTTTCTGAAGAGATTAGCCATGAAGAGCCCGAGTTAGTGTCTTTAAATGATGGAATTAGCGAAAATGAAGTTGATGATAGTGGCTCCGAAAGTGAGAGTGACAGCAGCGATTCGAGTGATTTGCCGTATTATGAACAGGCTATTGAAGATATCAAAAAGGGTGATCGGTACCCGTGCATGATATGTACTATGGACATGGATTTCAGCTGCAGTATGTACGCCTGCAAAAGCTGTTTCCGAGTGTTTGACTACGAATGTATCAGCGAATGGGCTGCCAAATCTGTAGCCAAGAATTTAGACAAATCCTGGAAATGTCCCAACTGTCTAGCTTTCTCGAAGAAAGTACCTTTGGCAGGTCGCAATACTTGCTGGTGTGGCAAGACTGTGAATCCAGAGCCCAATATCTTGGAACCCAACTCGTGTGGACAAACGTGCGATGCAAGAATTTGTATTCACGGATGTAACAAAGCCTGTCATTTGGGTCCACATCCGACTTGCATGGCATCGGTTCGAAAACGGTGTCTATGCGGCAAAGAAAGTAAAAATATGTTTTGCAACGAATCACGCAAGATCAAAGGCTCTTACCAATGTTCGAAAGTGTGCGATTTGACGCTTCCTTGTGGGTTCCATAAATGTACACGGCGCTGTCACCGGGGACCCTGTGGTGAATGTCCGCAAATAATATCTGGAGAGCTAAAATGCTTCTGTGGCCTGGAATCAAAAACCTCGATGCCTTGTGCAGATGTCCATGTTACGAAAAAATCAAGAAATGCTCGAGGCTCGATTTGGATCGGTACCTTTGCCTGTTCTAATGTGCGTACTGTTGAATTTGCTTGCAAAAACCATTCGTTCACAGAACGATGCGAAGCGCCTCCATCGATTTCGGGTAAAGTTCCATGTCGGCTCTCGCCAAAACTCCTTACAACTTGTCCCTGTGGCAAAACACCTTTGCTAGCGATGGACATAGCTCGAACTTCTTGCACTGACCCGGTACCCACTTGCGAAAATCAGTGTGGTAGACCATTGAAATGTGGAAAACATTTGTGTCCTTTTATTTGTCACACCGGACCATGCATGGATCCCTGTCTGAGCATCGATAAGGTCAAATGCGCATGCGAGACTAAACAGTTTACGAAACCATGTAGGTTTGAGGATACACCTCGATGTCAAACAAAATGTGAAAGTTTGATGTCTTGCCGCCGCCATAGATGTACTGAGCGGTGCTGTTCGGGGAAATCGGCAGCGCGGAATCGAGAGAAGAAGATCTTTTTGGCAAAAGACAAACTTGATGAATCTCTTGTCGAGGCGAAACACATATGTCTCAAGCCGTGCAACAGGTTGCTGGCATGCGGACAGCATTCTTGCAGGCAGAAATGTCACCCGGGTAGTTGTCCGCCTTGTCTCGAAAGTGATTCGAATGACCTGGTATGCCCCTGTGGGAGCACATTGGTACCAGCACCTGTGCGGTGTGGGACAACTTTACCTCCATGCCGCCATCCTTGTGTCAGAACTAGAATGCTAAAGATGGAATGTGGTCACAAGCCAATGCCACATGCGTGCCATCCGCTAGATATGCCATGCCCAGGGTGTACTGCACCAGTTTTTAGGCGCTGCAAATGTGGAAAATCTGACAAAGTGAGAACTCTGTGCTTCCAAGACGACGTTTCTTGTGGTATGCCGTGCGGTAAAACCCTGCAGAACTGTCATCATAAGTGCCAAAAGACTTGTCACGTTTCCCAGGCATGTCAAACTGTATGCCAGCAAGTATGCCGCAAATCACGATATTCTTGTAACCACACTTGCGCGGCTCGCTGTCATGGTTTGTCAAAATGTCCTGACATTCCTTGTAAGCAAATGGTGACCCAAACGTGTACTTGCCAAAGACTTCGAAGGGTTTTACCTTGCGGTGCAACCGAAAGTTCTTCCTCTGCTGGAGAGGCTGAAATTCCGTGTACTGAAGATTGTGAAGTGGCACGCCGACATTTGGAACTAATGGAAGCCTTCGGAGTGCGGAAAACTGAAACAGGTCTTTCGAGTGTGGGCGCTATATCCAACCTGGTTGGGAAAGTGAACACTTACGAGGAACTGCTAATTCCATTTAGCGAATTGACCCTGTCAGTCTATGGCAAGCATCCCGAATGGTGCACTCAGATCGAAAGGGCGCTTTCAGGGTTGATGTCTAACAAGGCGAAACTAAGCCTTCATTTCAAGCCTATGCCTGCACCCAAAAGATCATTTATTCATGAACTTGCCAAAGCCTACGGCTTATACAGCGAGTCCCAGGACAAAGATCCGAAGCGATCCGTTTACGTGAAGAAGACTCACATTTCGTGTGAACCTTCTATAAGCCTCGAGGAAGCGTTTCCTCTGTATGAGAAGTTCAACAACTATCAAAGAGAAAAGAGAAAGAAAGAGATGAAAAGCTCCACAACTCACAAACTCGTCAATTATCCTACAGCGAATTTTAGGACTGCTACTCCCAAACTGGCGGAGTTTAATGGAATTTTGATCAAAAACGTTTTTACGGGGGTTACCGAACTTGATATAAGCGAGGCGCTTGCCATTTATTTTAAGACCACATTGATATCCAACCCTCAATTCCGTCTTCTAGAAACTGGTGATGCCATTGCTTATCCAGAACTATATGGTGAAGTGTCGGTGAATGTCGAAAACGACATCAAACGTCTAGTGGGCCACTTTGACGTTCTTGTCCGCGATAAATTCCTCGCTGAGGGTTCAACTCTATGCAAAGTAGAAACAGCTCTGGTCGCCATCAGTTCATCAATTGACGTATCTCAAGAGTTGTCTGACTCTTTTAACGATGCCAAAAGCTCGGTGACAGATGTTTCTGGCCTACTTACAGCTGATCCTTCAGCGCCCAAAGAATGAACAAATTCCAAGATATCACAATGAATAAAACCGCACGGATTGCGCCATTCATCAGGAATCAATTCAGGATGGATTCACCCCTTTCGATTAGCCTTTTGTCAGTTTTCGTATGTAGTCTTACCATAATAACCTCTGGTAACGGTCTAGCCGGGATAAAACATCGTATAGAGAAAAAACTCGGGTACCCAAGAGTTGATCTTTTTGAGTAACTCAGGCTGTCATCTTGGTGCGATGGAGGATGTGTTTGGGTTCGAAGGTATCGTTGCTCCAAGGCCAATTGAGCATCTAGGTGATAGTGACTTCAGTTTTGGAGGTCAACTTACACCGCCTTTGAAAATTCATGAGGATGGTGGTGAAAGTGGGTGTGGTGGGAAAGTTTGGATTGCAGGGGAGTTACTATGTGAGTACTTAATCGAGAAATCGACTTCGGACGCAGTACTTTCTCGAATGGAACGAGGTCTGGGCCAAACTGGTGAATTTGAGAAAATTTTGGAACTCGGATCTGGAACTGGGCTTGTGGGAATTTGTTTAGCTCTTTTGTGTGAAACTCGAGATTTAGAAGTCTATGTGACCGATATTGGCGGTTTAATTGGGTTAATGCAACGAAATATCGATCTCAACGGTGTTTGTGCCAAAGTTCACGCTAAAGAACTCAAATGGGGCGATCCATTGGAACCAAAATTTCAACCTGAGGCAGGTAAACGTAAAGTTGACCTAGTTCTCGCTGCTGATTGTGTTTATCTGGAAAAAGCTTTTCCTTTGCTTGAAAAGACTTTGTTAGATCTAACTTCTTGTGACGATCCGCCCATGATACTGATGAGCTGCAAGAAGCGTAGGAAGGCTGACAAGCATTTCTTCCAGCAGATAAAGAAAAACTTCCAGGTTATTGAAATCCAAGATTTTGCCAAATTTGAAAGGTATTTGGCCCAGAGGACTCGTCTTTTCCAATTGAAAAGGGTTCACAAGAAACCGTTGATGTTTTCTCGTTAATCCGCTATTCGATATTTACATGACAAAAATTAGTACATATACAGATTGGTGGCGGGTATGCATTTGAGGTTTGGTTCGCGGTCTTTTATAATGTAATTTCTTCGTTTATCTCATCTGACTCTTCTGCCCCGTCAGCTTTGCGTTGTGGAGTGGTCCAAGATTCAGACGGGTTTGAAGTTCTTGCCGATATGAGTTCGGATTGTTGAATGGCTCGCTTTTTCCAAGTTTGGATGACTTTTTGTTCCTTTTCAAGACCAAATTCTATCGCAGAAGGACCAAAAACGGAGCCGAACATTTCGGCTTCTTCTTGGGCTACTTGATCTTGAATTTCCTGCTGCATCCGCAGACGATAGAACTCGAATCTGGCTTGATCGTATGCGTCGAGCAAGCTTGCGTGCTGCTTGATTTGTAGCAAAAATAGAGTCCTTTGTACTACGCTTTCGCCGTCTAGCGGTTTTCCAAGTTGCTGTATATGGCTCCAATCGTAGTTTTCAGTTCCTGTGTTTTCCACAAGCATTTTGGGTCTCGACAATTCCCATGGATGTTGCTCGTAAAACAATTGTCTGAGTTTGTCTTCTGTAAATTTCAGTTTGGGAGCCCGGTAAAGTGACCGAGTCACTTTCCGGCTACTCTTGGTGTTCTTTGTCTCGAAAAACCCGGTTTCCGCATTCAATTCCGCCCTAAGAGGGTTCAACATAGCTCGGCTCTCTAAAGTAGAAGGATTTACCAGTTTGGGGCTCCGCTCAAACCGTTTGGATGGTGGAACAAATGCCACTACTTCATACCACGCGGGAGTCTGCCTCAAAAGCCCGGCTCTCAGGTATGACGACGTCCGTTCCAGAATGTTAACCGCGTTCGTCTGCGTCCTCATGTCGCTCGTTTACTCTCCAGGATATGACTCAATGCTACGCTTTATTTCAGTGTTGAAGTTCGGTTTTCAGCTTGGCTTAATGGTTTCCATCAGATTCAAAATTTTCATGCGAAGATATCGTGTGGAATAATTGTTCTTCGACCGTTGGCAAGAAAATGATCGCCAGACCTACTGCTATTAAGAGCCACAAACTTAATTGGAAAACAGCTCTTCAAAAATTGGATTATAAGCTTAAAAGCGTCTTCCTTGTCTGTTACGTTTTTTTCGCGGCTCGATACGAACGTTTTTGGGCTAAATCCCCTGTGCCAATTGCTTTAACAAAGTTTTTGGTCGTATTTGGTTGATAAACTTACCTCCGGCATGATTGCACCAGGTAACACCCTCACAAAGTACACATTTTACGTTCTTCCCGTCTTTTAGCTTCTCTTCAGACACAGCTCTTCCCTTCGCGATCAGAAAAACTAACACACACCACAGGAAAGACAATAAAAAAATCGGAAAAACAGTGCGTAAAACGGTTCAAACGCGTACTATACTAGTACCATTGAAACCTCACGAAATCAGTCTCGAATTCAATTTTTAGACCCCGATGAACCAAATTTGGGCCTTGTTTAAGCGATAGAGGGTTTCGTATCACTACTGACGAAATATCATATTAAGAACCTCATCTTGGATTCTCAGGGTCTCTCTCTTGATGTTAACTTCATTGAACTCGCAGACCAAAAATCACTCCAAGATTGCTCTAGTGAATCTGATCCTTGCAATTCGTACTGGACTGAAGATATATTGTGTTTTCGGCGGGAAAAATGAGTGCTCTTTTCAATTTTCGTGCGCTTTTACGTGTGATTCTCTTGCTCATCTGCACTTGCACGTATATTCACTCGCAATGGCCGTCACTTTTGGCCAAATACAAAAACCACAGCATGTTGGGTGCATTCTGGAAATGTGCCCGTATTGGCGAGCGAGCAAGTCCCTATGTTAGTTTGGCTTGCATTTTCATGGCGATCAGCCAATTCAACGATTAGCATAGGTATATGGTATATAACAAAGAAATGAGTAATTACTGAGTGTATCGTGTCTACCATTTCGGATCGGAAAGACTGCGGTGATGATTTAGAAGTGGAGGACTCCCGACGTAACTGACATTAGTCTCCACGTTTTCATCACTTTAATGTTTTCCATGCACAAATTCACATTTAGCAAAAAAGCTTGAAACTCTTTAAAGGCAACAGCTTACAATATCTATTCTACTAGGCAAAAGCCCCCAAGAGTTTCACCGAAGCGGCTATTTAAATTCGTAAACTTCATTTTGGCCATGGGTCAACACGGCAGCCCTCTGGGATCCTACAATCTTTTCCAAAGCTAAGCTGTCAAGTTTGGAAAATAGGCATCTGACAACAGATATGTTCAGATCCGCAACACCGTGGAAGGCACTTCGGCCGATAAATCTTACGACTTCTTGATAAAATTCTGGATTGGAAGGTGGTTTGTAGAAAATCACATTTTTGACACCTTTTATGTCGTATCTCCTGAAATGGTGCAATCTCTCTGTGTACAATAAGACCTTGAGACGGCCTTGCTGGAAGAGCGACCTTCTGGACGTCAGGCGCCGTTGACTTGAGTATTCGTTGACGTCACCGAAAAGCAGGGTTGTCCTTTCATGGAGGTAATTTCTTACTCTCACGTAGTCAGTATAGTCTGGAATATACAGCAAAAAGCCGTCCTCGTAACCGGTGGATTTGACCATATTGGGTATGATGACGCTTGTGAAGAATTTGAAACGTGCGTCCGGCTCTTCAGAGACAGACTTGTTAACTAAATCAAAGCGTTGGAAAATTTGGCGAACACGTAGTCCGACTTGACTTACTGCCGACTCCTCAGCGCCTATTGTTCTCCTATTTTTCCACCGGCCAGCGTGGTTGCGGCATCTGCCGTTGATTAAGGAGTTGGCAAAAGGAGACGCATATTTGGTGAAAATGAGCGTTTGACGGAATTGTTTGGCTTGGTCGTTAATGTACCACATGCGTATTCTACTGAAATCTGCATCATGCTGCTGTTGCGGTATCTTATTGATATGTGCGAAGATGGAAGTAACATGTTGCACGTTCTGAAACTCGATCGAGTGAAACTGGTCATAAATCATGAGTTCTACCGATGACAAGAAATCATCCTGTCTCTTTTTCTTGTCTGTATTCTCGAGGATAAGCTGAATGCCCAACGGAGAGCACACGATGACATCTGATTGGTAAAAATTGCTGTAGAGCTTGATGGCCTTTCTTGTGAACTTCATGCCTAAAACGAAAAAATCGTCAGTGTTACCGCTGAAAATATGCTGAAATGACTTGGGTTTATGGGTCGGAGGTTCCGCACGCGCATTGAACTGGTCTTGGAATTTGCCCTTCTTGTCAACTTGAGCCACACCAGATTTTTCGATGATTTTGGTGACGACTTTATGGCAAACGTCGCGTGTGGGCAACACTAACAACACTTTGGGCCTTGTAAAACCCTGATCAAGTAGTTCTTGTTCATTATTATCCTGCAATCGTTGATTGTCCTTCAAGATTCTATCACGGGTCTTGTACACATGGTTTAGTAAATGCAGTGTGTACAGATCCCGATATTCGTCCTCGTTGTCATAATTGGCGTATTCGTATAGTAAATCGCGATACTGAAATATCGGGTCAACCAGCTTTCTCTGGAGAGACGTGAGAGGATCCTTGCTGGAGTCCAGCAAATCGTTCTGGACCTTGAGTCTGTTCTTGATGAAATACGAAGACAATGATTGTTTCCCGCTGGGTGTGTGACACTTGTTTGGCTCTACGCATGGTTGGGTGAAGATAAAACTTTCTTGGCCGTTGTCCTCAGTATTCTTTGTCGAAAACGTCTTCAAAGAACCTGCATCAAAGCCGGCTTGCAAAGAGTCGGCCTCTCGCTCGGAAACCGCATTGAAATGCGACTGGAATGGATCTTCTTCGTCTTCACTGTCCTCTACCTCTGATTCCTGTTCCTCACCGTCATCTAAATCAGAAGTGTCATCAGGAACAAGCCCTTCCTCGATCAATTGATCGCCTGAACCGGTGGGTTCGACTTCCACATCTCGATCTTCGCCAGTTCCAGTCTCATCCCCATTCTTCTTACCGACTTGACCTCGATTTTCATGCTTTAAAAGTGTCAAAAGTGCACTATAAACTTCTCCACTGTCTGCAGCATCGTTTCCACTCTCTATGTCCTCTCGGGCCTCATTTTCAGACTCTGAGGAGAACTCATCAGCTAAATTTTGATCAACGACAATTTCTTCATTTTTCGATGGTTTTCTGGCCTTTTTGATCTGTCGAAGTTCCTTTCTACCACTTTTAAACCCTCTAAATCCATTTCGATCATTCCCACTTCTGTTGAAAGACCTTTTTTGGCTCATTTTGGTCCTTTTTTAATAGATCTCGTCTACCTCATCGCATCTCATCTCATCTCAATATTCTTGAAAAAATTTTCAATATCTCCTTCCATGTTAGAACTAACCGTAACATCAACAGAACGGGGAACACGTAAGGAAGAGGTGCCATAGTCAAGTTCCTTAGGGTGTGTTACGACTGGATAATGGTTCCTCAGGGAGTGTTACGGGCCGGACGCGTTTGTTTGACGTCTTTTTATTTGTTTTTGGTGTTGATCACCGTACCGATATCGTTTCAAGTCGGTGGATTGTACTGCGGGCTGGCATTCACTGTAACGCTTTTCAACTTGTATTTTGTAACTGCGACGCTTAAAATCGTGGCACGAGCGCATCGAGCCGCTTGGATCACTAGTTTGGCATATTATGCACAACATTTTATTATTCCCTCCCTGCTGTTCTTGTTCCTTTCCGGGTTTTCGAACGACGAATTGAAAAAACAGCTCGATACTAACACCAAGCCGGAAGAGTCTCTGGTAGATTTGTTGCGGCGTGCGACGCAGAGTCAGACCTGGGTTTTTTACTATTATTATTATCAATGCGTCGTGCGGCCTTGGCAGTATTTGTTACTACGATCAACACCATATTTTACGCTTCTGGAAGGGTTTTTCGCGGTACTCGGAATACAAGCTGTCGGTGAGACGAATAGATGGTTTTTAAGACGCAAAAAGTCTAATATGTGGGTGATTTGGAGTCTTTTGGCCTCTGGTGGTGTGATTACTGCGTCCCTATACTATTTGCATCGCATCTACGTGACCCCCAATTGGGAACTCTCGGTTCAAACCGCGTCGTTACTTGGGTTTACGTTTTCGCTCGTGTGTGGACTTGGCATTTACGGGATCATCTCCAACAGAGGATCAACTATCGAGTCATCCTTGTTTTTCGCATACATTATCCGGTGCATCTACGAAATTTCGCCTCAACTCGCTACGAGCGCCATGGATGAGATTTTCACGCTTGTCAAGGAGACGTGGCAAAGCCATCAACACAATATACGTCGTTCCGACAACTTGCTCAACTATTATCGCAACGTTGTACTGAAAAATGGCGAAATGATATGGGATGCCATAGTACAACGCACCAATGTTAACGTGAACCCACAATCGTCACCGGTACAACAGTTTTGGCTTCGGTTGCAACCGATGTGGAAATTCGTTAAGAATTTCACCACGAGCGTTCCAAGTTCCCTGAATGAGATATTTCAACTCACGTTGACTATGGCTTCCGACGCGGTGACACCTGCCGTGATACTTACACTGTGCTTTCGCATTTTGATTTTTTACTCTGCAACTAGAATCATTCCAGCGTTACAGAAGAATAACCGACGCCGATCGCGTCGTTTCATGCGCATGCTGTACTGGTACAGTCCCTGCATTGTGATTGCCATGTATACGCATTTAATCCTGCAGTATTCGGGCCAGATCAACAACGATCTTTGTCTGTGGGGGTGTTTCCCCTGGTCGGATGTTAACACGACAAACAAATTGGTCGTAGACTCATGGGGGTTTTGGAATTGGTGTAACATTTTTTGCACCATGGCGATCTACGCCTCGGAACTACTAGGCGCCAACAATGCATAAAGAATTTGTAATTTTAAGAATCAAGATTTATCGCTAAAACGGCTTCACACTATAGTCTCAAAGTTCAATCTCTGTTGATGCATTGGGGTGTCAGATTTGTTTGCAATTCTCTTCCGTTTCGAGGCCTGTTTGAAGGGCGCATCGACTCAGAGCTTGACTCTATGTTGCTTGGTTATTTCATCCTTTAATCGCGACAAAACAGCAGAAAATAAAACTTTGAAAACTACGATAAAGTCGCAGTGCTCGCCTGAACACCGACACCAGGGGCAGTTTGGCATATTTGACTATGCAAAGATACGACGACTAGGCGTCTACCTCAAACTGGTCAGAAATAAAAAAAAATGACAAGACCATGAGCCAAGAACAGTAAGCTCCATTGAGTTACACCCTTTTAGAGTGCAATCGTCATAACTATCGTTTGGAACCCATAAGAAAGGATTCCAGTACCGAAGACACCGCGACTTTTAAACGCCACGGGACACAAAAAATGCGCAAAAAAGCATCTGCCAACTCCGAAGAACTGACAGAACGCCAAAGGAGACACATCTTTAATGAGTTGATTTAAACATCTTGTAAAAAATTTTTAAATCTCATTACGTTTTCCGCAAAAGAAGTGGTCGGAGACTTTCTACCCAAAGCTTTGGAGGGCAAATCAATGCGCCCATTATGCAAGCTTCGAACACTGACGATTCTTTGGCTATGGTCTTGTAAAGTTCCCAAGAAGTAGGATGAAGATGGAGCGAAAGAAGTTTGATTTTTTCTCCTTTATATACTCGGAATCCTAGAGAAGTTACCCGAACAATCATCAAGACCATCTGAATAACGATTGGAAAGGGTTCTGGCTATAAAGGTCTTGGTATGATTTGTATAGAAATAGGAATCTCGAGGGTTGAAGAAGATCTAACGAGTTGTTCAAGCAATCCCGTGTGTCTCAGCTGAAAAGGCGCTTTTTTGGCTGTCAGGATGTCTGCTAGTTATTGGAATTCGACACAACGACAAAAATGGCAATACACACGAGAATCGTTACTCTTGGAGCGTCAGAAACTGTGGATTTTGGAGCGTCAGTTGTTCCCGCAGGGACTTAACGTGACGATGGACAATTACAAAGGGTCCAGGGAACCCGTGACGCGGAACATCCCGATAACACACCCAGATTTGCATTACGGACGAGATTACAATTTACGGATTTACTGCTATTTTCTTGTGATGAAGTTAGGACGACGCTTGAATATACGACAATGTGCGTTAGCCACAGCGCAGGTGTATGTGGCCCGGTTTTTGTTGCGAGCCTCTGTGCGGGAAGTCAATTTGTATCTTTTGATTACAACGTGCATATATTTGGCGTGCAAAGTAGAAGAGTGTCCGCAACACATCCGTACGCTTGTGAACGAGGTACGATCGTTGTGGCCCGAATTTGTACCGCCGGACCCGACCAAAGTGACAGAATTTGAATTTTATCTACTCGAAGAGCTTCAGAGTTACTTGATCGTCCATCACCCGTACCATTCACTGGAACAAATCGTCGCAGCCTTGCGGTCGGAGTCGTATACGCTGCAAGTGTCACCCGAGGATTTCCAAAACGCTTGGTCTTTGATAAACGACAGTTACATCACCGACGTCCACTTGATTTACCCGCCACACGTTGTGGCGATGGCATGTCTGTTTATAACACTGTGCATGCAATCGACAACGCTTCCAGAACATCAAAAAAAGTTCAATAGATTCATGGCCGAGTCGCAAGTCGACTTGGCAGAGGTAATGGATACGATTCAAGACCTTATCACGCTCTATGGCCACTGGGACAAATACAACGAGCCCTGGATGAAATTCCTGCTACACACGCTCTACCTGAGAAACTAACCAACGCACAGAAGCCTGAAAATTCCTGGCCGCACAGCGTTTTGAAGTATGCATACATTAGAACGACAAACCGGGCTAAAATCGAACTTGAATTTAGGCCAAATTCCCTGAAAATTCTCTGAAATCCTCCCTGGTGTTTCCTGCTCCTTTGCCTAGACGGGCGACTCCTCTAAACTTCTTCAAGCTCCTAGTTGAACCCATTTCCACTGTGTCCACTGGTGTCACGTGGTATTCTTTTTCATTCTCGATGCTTATTTAGGCTTCTTGACATGTGAGAAAAAAAAACCAAAGACTCGATTTAGACCATTTTGACCGTTGATCAACAATCCGGTAATACCGATTAATCTCGAAACCGGCCGAGCTCTCAGAAAGGGAAATATACTAGAGAATGGCGACCGAACTGAGACATCGCAAGCCAGTATCTTCGAAGTTTTCGAAAAAACGTGGTGCGATTGAGAGGAAAACTCGTCGATCGGACACCAGAACCCAGTCAAAGGCCGATAAATACTCGGTATTGTTATCATTGGCATTTTTCGGCTCGCTTCATGGGCTTGCTCGCTTCATACCAGAATACACGCACAAATTCACGCATCTCCAGTACCGGTACGACAAGCTGGACGCGTATGATATTGGTGTCGATGACACGTACATGGTGATCACATTCATAGCGGCGCTCACGCTAGTGCGATCGTCGCTGCTGCAATACGTGTTGAAGCCCATTGCGATGCGTAAGTTTCATATTGGGTCCGTGAAGGCACAGCAGCGATATGCAGAACAAGGCTGGTCTTTGGCGTATTACAGTTTTTCGTGGATCTACGGATTTTACCTGTACTATCTTTCACCTTATTTTGGCAATTGTGACCACATATACCTGGGTTGGCCCCACGATAGACTTAGTGGCATTTTCAAGACGTACTATTTGCTACAAATCTCTTCTTGGTTGCACCAGATCATAGTTCTGAATGTCGAAGAAAGACGTAAAGACCACTGGCAAATGTTTGCGCATCATATTATCACGTGCTTGCTGACAACCGGTTCCTACTACTACTATTTCACCAGGATCGGTCATGTCATTCTTATCCTGATGGATGTCGTGGACGTGCTACTGTCGAGTGCGAAGATGCTAAAATATTGCGGATTCTCTAGGGCCTGTGATTACATGTTTGCCGTTTTCTTGGTATTTTGGGTTGCCTTGAGACACGGCGTCTACAACTACGTCTACTATCACGCGGGGACTAAGGCGCCAGGGTTGATGTTAGACGGAAAATGCGTCGCATTTTCGACCCAAAAAAGGTGTTGGACTCCTATTGTCATTGACGTGTTTCTGTGGTTACTAGGCGGTCTGCAAGTGATCACTATAATTTGGATGGCACTCATATTAAAAGTGTTATTCAAGATCATAAAGGGTGGGAACGCAGAGGATGTCAGGAGTGGTGACGACAGCGATTGATAAAAGAATTGGGCTTGTACAAAAGTGTGATAGAAGATAACAGCTTTGAGCCGGAATCGTGGAACATATTGAACTGCGCTTTCCTGTCTCAGATATTTTTGAAGGATAACCATTGCATTGCCATTTTTTGTCGAACATCTGCGAGTACTGACAAATGACAGAGATAGAGTTAGTTGCAAAATATGTAGACCAGCCGTTTTGGTTTACCTGCGCTAGAAGCATGGGGTGAACCAATTTCCAGTCTCCAGATAGAGCTCGAAACTGGAAACAGAATGTGCCAATTTTGCTCCTTTTCCGTATTATAATACTACCGCATTTAATGAGACACTGAATAACACTTTGATTTATTTTTACTCACTACACTCTTCCCAAAACCAGCTTTAATACGGGCCGGAACGGTGTCAGTAGACTTCTTAAGGCCCAAACTTCAAAGTCACGTAGAGGGATAGACACATGACTGAGATTCCGTAAACGGTAAGTAGGAGACTTGCGTACCTGTAGAACGTGTCGGATCTAGACATTAATCTTCCTGTCATGACGGCGCGTGATCCAATGAGCTTGTAACCAAAAAGTCCCGGTAGTGTAAATGAAATTGCGGTCGATCCTGTAGCGCCTACTAATGCCAACACCAGCGCAAATGATGTGACGTTGAGAGCCAACAAATACAAAGTGACGAGCAAAATTGCCGTAATAACGTAAAAGTGCTTGTCGGGGAAAGGCACGGCTTGTGATTTTTCTTGGCTGTGATTCAGTTCAACACTGGGTACATTAGCAGTGCTTTGGTAAGTATTTTCGACACCCAGTAAAAGCCGATCTTCTTCGTCTTCCACAACAAGTGCTATAGGAGTTCCCGTATGATCATGGGCATTGTTTCTAGCGTCATGTTCCTCGCACTTGCCGTATTTGAGCTTGAGCCAGTAATACATGTTGTTTGTCGAGATGCGTGCTGGATGGAACATCAGTGGGAACGATAGCAAAACCACAGTGCCAAGACACAGTTTAGCAGCCATAGTCCAGTACGAGTTCGGGTCATAGTTCAAAATGATGTTGCCAACGGTATTGCTTCCAAAAGTCACATATCCGCAAATGCCCACACATAGGAAGATAGAACATGACACCGTTATTGAGTTCCAAACCACGACACCAATGTTACGCATACTGTTGTCGCGCAGCTCGTTGATTATACTGAAAATGTTCATGGACCCAGTGAACGCAAAGATTAGTATCGTAAATGTACTGATTAAACCTTTACCATCGTAGACGCTTATCCATGACAAGTCACCGCGGTGTTGGCTAGCATTATCCGTCAAAAGCACGTCTCTAAAGAAAATGGCAACCACAAGTCCTACAATGTAGAAAATGGCCACTAGCCCCAAGATACTAGAGTATTTCAAACCGTCCAACTGACGGATCATGGTCAAAGGTCCAATCACAACAATACTTCCCAAAATCCATGCATGTCTTGTACCACCCAAAACAGTGGGGAAAAGGTCGCCCAACAGCACTAAGTAGCTCAAACCAACTCCATAACATTGCAGAAACATAGAAAAATCGAAAAGCATTGATAAATTCGGATACGTTATTGAACACAGCGAAAAAAAAGACGCTTGTCTCGGGTCTACGAGACTCTTGGAACATTTTCCCAGCACTACAAGTCCGAAACCAGAACTCAGTGCTGCCAATAGCGTTAAAAGTGTACCCACTAATACTCCGTCGTTTCTGAATGCATAAGGGATAGCTAACATCCCGGCTCCAACGATAGTCTTGGTCAAATTGACTGCGGAAAAAAAAGCAGTGGCCTTACCAGCCATTTTTCTAAAGAAAACGAGCTTCCCCCAAGCACTTAAGAGCCCACTTTGCTCTCCTTTCACGCTTCTCAGTAGTCTTCAGCTTATATAGAGAATGTATTGGGATTTCACACCTTGAAATTTTAGGAAACTTGGTGATGTCTGGAGTTGACAAACCAGTATGAAAGGAGACAAGAAGAAGGAATAAAGGAGCCGCGAAACCGATCAACTACGATGCCAGGACGTCGTAAAAATATAGAACAATTGATGGAGCGAAATCCAGACGCGATTATGAGGATTTTGGAGCGAGAAGAAGGTATATTAGAGATTGAAATGGGATCGGATACTGGGATGATAGATGTGCATCGGATGTTGAAAGAGGACTTACATTTGCAAGAAGAGGTTTCAGGAGCTTTGGAGAAATTCTATGAACCGGGACACGCCTCCAATGGTGGTGTTGTTGGCCATGAAGAAGACGTAGATGACGTTTACGACGCAGATGAACATAAAGCCAAGACAACAGAAGTACGAAAAAATCGAGAAACTGGAGGCGTTGTGCAAGAAGTAGTACCACCGGAGAATTTCAGTCATGTCGTTGGTGAAATTTACCGATCAAGTTTTCCAAGGCCTGAGAATTTCGATTTTTTAGAAAATCGGATCAAGCTCAAATCGATACTAGTGCTTATTCCAGAGGATTATCCTCGTGAAAACCTGGAATTTATGGAACGGGCTGGAATTCGATTGTTTCAGGTCGGGATGAGTGGCAACAAAGAACCATTTGTCAATATTCCGTCTGATTTGATCACAGATGCACTTGAAGTGGCAATGAACCCGGAAAACCATCCTATCTTGATTCATTGCAATCGAGGCAAACATCGGACCGGGTGTCTAGTGGGTTGCATCCGTAAATTGCAGAATTGGTCCTTGACAATGATTTTTGACGAATATCGTAGGTTTGCGTTCCCGAAAGCGCGCGCGCTGGACCAACAGTTCATTGAAATGTACGACGATAACACTATCAAGGGTACTGCGGCCAAGCATCGTTGGATTCCTATAAGCTGGTGAAACCGCGTTACGTGTGTCCTATATCTAAATAAACCCGCTGGTTACGAATTCCCGCGTGTACAGGTACGCGTTGGACGCAGCCGCGACGCTGAGTGCCAAAGGCCACGTTCTGTACCGCAACGCTTTGAATGATCCACGACCTGCCACTATAAGGTATAACGCGGACCATGCGGCGAGAAACCCAGACCCGCTTTGAACGTCCCCGTCGTAAATCATCCAACTTCCAAGAGCCTGTGCAGTTCCGAACAAAGCTACAGTCTTATTGGAGGGACCAATAGATTTGGTGCCGGAGCCCAGGATCCCAGTGAAGCCCCCCAAACTTCTGAATACACCTCCTGAAGCATCTACCTTCACCGCAGGTGATACCATCGGAGTAACGAAAAGGAGCGCAGAATTGACCAAAGCCGGTAGAGGGGACGATCCTAGGCTCGTTACCACACGCTGTTCTTGCTGTTGAATGCTTGTTTCGCTGTTGTTCGTCATTTCCGCCGGTAAGTCTATTCGATTATTCCGACCCTTTATTTCCTAATTTTTCACATCCTATTATCCACTATTGATACACGGGAAAATGTAGTAAACACCTTATATATAAGCGCAATGCGACTCCTGGCCACGCCTAAGCTCTTTCGCCACGTAGTCTTCTGGCAAGCTTGATGTCTTTCTTTTGGATAGTGACACGCTTGGCGTGGATCGCAGCCAAGTTGGTGTCTTCGAACAACGAGACGAGGTACGCTTCAACGGATTCTTGTAGGGCACCGATAGCCGAGGACTGAAATCTCAAATCGGTCTTGAAATCTTGCGCAATTTCACGCACCAATCTCTGGAAAGGCAGCTTTCTGATCAGCAATTCTGTGGATTTCTGAAACCTTCTGATTTCTCTCAAGGCAACGGTACCTGGCTTGTACCTGTGAGGCTTCTTGACACCACCGGTAGATGGTGCGGACTTTCTAGCCGCTTTGGACGCTAGTTGTTTTCTTGGGGCTTTACCACCGGTAGATTTTCTTGCTGTTTGCTTAGTTCTAGCCATTTCTGCTGTGTGAAGTTTTAAGGGAGAATTCTAAAAAAGTTGGAAAGATCCACTCAAATACAGAACTACATATATACGCGGGGCCCCTGAATCTCTTACTTGCTCGTTGGAACAGTTTCGGGCGCCAAACGCGGCCTCATCACACTCGCATTTGGCGTGCGAATATGTTGGTATTGGTATCGTTCCGCGTCATCTAATAGGTGAAAATACGCGAAAAATCTGGTCTGAGTCGCGTACTGTGAGTTTCGCTGCGCGAAAAAACTCCGAGCTTAGCGGTTCCCCTCCGCATCGACCTGCCGTTTACGGTAATTTATTGTGGGTCAGCTCTCACGGCGTAGTTTTCAGTCTCCTGACGGACCCATAACATTCACACTTCCCATACAAAATCCAAACGGAAAACCTTGAAATTAACCCCGAAGAAAATGGTCCGCTTTCCAGGCTGTAATTTTCGCGTTTTCTCACTTTATCGTATACCCGTGAAAGTGCAAGAACAGCCTGTGTAACCAGAAAGGCGTGGCGTCTAGGTTGCGAAATATGGCGTCAAGTTGATACAATTTCGCGCTAAATATTTTCATATATATTGAGTATAGATTTAGTTATAGAGCTCTTTTCTAATTTTTTCTTCCTTTCCTTAACAACAACAATCAACAAACATGTCCGGTAGAGGTAAAGGTGGTAAAGGTCTAGGTAAAGGTGGTGCTAAGCGTCACAGAAAGATTTTGAGAGACAACATCCAAGGTATCACTAAGCCTGCTATCAGAAGACTAGCCAGAAGAGGCGGTGTCAAGCGTATTTCCGGTCTTATCTACGAAGAAGTTAGAGCCGTTCTCAAATCTTTCCTAGAATCCGTCATTAGAGACGCCGTTACTTACACAGAACACGCCAAGAGAAAGACTGTCACGTCTTTGGACGTTGTTTACGCTTTGAAGAGACAAGGCAGAACTTTGTACGGTTTCGGTGGTTAGAGCTGTTGACCAGCATGTATACGTTCTAGGTGTATTATAGTTTTGATAGTTATTAAAAGGAAAAAGTTGTATGGAAAATGCAGACGTCCAATCGTCGATCAAGGCCGCGTTGCTTCGTACCACTTGGCGAAACATTCCCAGGCATTGTCTTCGACGTCCCGTTTGCGTGGACACTCGCATCTGCAGCCGACGCCGTACTCGGTTTCTGGGCTGCGGAAACGGGTAAATCTACGGAAAATGGAAGCGGATCGGGACGATTTAGAGGCGAAAATGCGAGCATGTTCGGGATTCGTCACGTACGGAAGCTGTGCGCCGGCTCGATTGGCCGGACAATGCGCAAGCGTTGAATGTTGGTAGCCTATGTCACGGAAATAGTGTATATCTTCGATTTTGAGCGACAATGCCAGGCCTAGGGAGTGTACAGGTGCATCGCCCCACCGCTCGGTCCAAAACCCTCCCGAGTTCTCGAGATGCTCGAAGTACGCCTGATAAATGCGGCTATTAAAAATATCAACACGCGCAATCTCGAAATTGGTCCAAAAATGGCATAGATTGTATTCTTCGTTATCGAACTTGTCCTCTTCAATGGGCAGTGGATTCGTTGCGCGCGAGATCAGGGCAGCAAGCCGGTCTCTCGGATCGATATTCTCTAAAGGCTCCGGCTCGTGCTGCTTGCGCTCATCAACAAAAACACGCCATAACGGGTGGCCCACTTTGATCCCGTGTTCCCGCACAAAACTTCTCGTCTGGCGGAACAGGTTCGGCACTGTCCAGTAGAGTTCTCTGATCAAAACCGTGAACGCGTACTTCTTGTTCCGGATTTCCATTTCGTAGAACGGATCGTAAGTTATATCGCAAAAAAACTCGACATCTGGCTCGATGCGCCAGTACCACCTGTTGCGCGCAACTAGTGGATGTTTGAAAAACGTTCCCGAATAGAAACGACACATTTTGTGATAGGACTCCATGTTTCCGTACATGATCCCACGATCTCCTTGGTCCGCAATATACTCTTTAAACTCGGCAGATTGCCGCACATCGCGAGGAAACTCCCAATCGGATTCTTCGACAAGTCCGAAGCTAACATCTGCCGCTGTAGCGTCACGAACACGCTCTTGGAATTCTTCAGTAAACGGATCTTCATTCAAAAAAACGTATGGATACATAAACCATTGGTTGAAATGGCGTTCCAAGCTTCTCATTGTCGCTAGGACGTCTTTCAATTCATTGTTCCGGGTCAACATGACAAACGTCGCATTTTGTCGTTGATACCCAGCTTGTTCTGTATATGCAAACGGATCCCGGCAGCCCGCAAAAAAGACATCGTCAACCTTGGAGCCTACGGCGACTTCGGAAAAATCGTTAGGTTCATTCAGTTTTTGTAAACCTGCTCTTCTAAAGATGAATTTCCATGCCAAAAACGTGAGAATTATACCGTAAAAAAGCCTTACGATCTTGTTCCTTGAAGATAAACGCGCAACATTACTGGCCATCTCAACCTCCACACACTCGAATCACACTTGAATTGAGCTAATTGTGACGATCTTTGCTCGCTTCTGTTTACAATTGTCGTTTAGTTCATTATGACTCTAGGTTCGGAATCTTGATGATCTCGAAAAATGGTCACGTGGAAATTATTTCCAACACCGAAATGTCACCATCTGTGGGCTTGGCTTTTGAGATTCGATTTCTAGTGGGGAACGCGAACATGCCATGGATATACTGTTCGATGAACTCGTTAAGTCTTTTTTTAGTGCGAAATTTGCCCTTTTAAGGGACACTGTGCGACATGAGAAGACGCCAAACACCGACAGAAAGCAGGAAACCGCATGAATTAGTTCTTAAAAGGTGACGGCTGAAGCCCTGCGAGAGACCGGATCAATGCGATATCTTCGTTGACTTCGTCAGCTTTCAATGAGGGCAGCGGTGGCGCTGCCTTTGTAGAGTACCGTTGCGCAGAACGGGTCTTTTTCTTTTCAGGCTCCTTGTCTCCGAACAAAAGACTTTGCAAGTCTGTAGAATCGCTCAAACCTTGTAAAAACTCAGAATCTGAGTTGCCATTGGACGTGTTGCCGATAGCAGAGCTCTCGCGTGCCGCGGATTGATACTCTTGATCGTCGGCTAGAGCACGTGATGCAGTTGTCATTGCGAACCGACGTCTCAAAGATCTGCGTTCTGTGCCAGTATCCGTCGCACTTTCGTTGGCAGAAAGTTCGCGGTTCACTTCGGTTGGTGACGAGTCCCATGCGCTTGCTGCTGCGCTTCTAGTGTTCTTGTGGTAATTGCCTCGCATGTAGTCCATCGAATACGAATGCATGTTTGCCACGTCCATCAGAAGTCGTTCCTCTTGCAACTTCTTAATCTTATGATCAATCGACTCGTATAACTTCTCTTTGCAAATCTTGATGAACTTTTCGTGCTCTTCTTTGGTCTTTTCGATCTCCTCTTGAAACTCGATTTCCGACCTTTTCACGCGGTACTCTTCGAAAAGTCGTAACCGCACAAGTTCTAGGTCTCGTTGCTCTTCAAAATCACGGAGCGTGCGTACATAATCGCGGTTGTTGCCCTGATGCAACGTAGTAAGTGTGGTTTGCAACGACGTCAGTCTGTTGCGGTAGTGCAGATCTCGGTCCAGTTTGAAACTGTGTGCAATTTTGTTCACACGCGATTCAAAATTGTGTCGTCTCTTGTCCTTTCGGGACACAGTTGCTTGTCATACGTTAGTATATTTCTTCCAGAATGAACCCTCAGACCCCTTTCCAAGGTGTCCTGTAATCGTTGAGTCTTGGTCAAAATTGATTGGATTTTGTGCGGGAAAAAGGCCCACAGTAATTCAAAACCGGTACAATGCCAGACATACTCTCTTGTTGAGCCACAGATTGACTCATGACCGCTGCTCTTGTCAATTTAGCCTCTGTTGATGACTTGTAAACGTAGACAAGTAGACATTGTAATTTCGAAAAATTTAAAAATCTGACCAGGCGATGAGCTTCGAAACCCAACGCAAGAAATGACTAGAATTGAGCTTATTATCGACGATGCAAGACTTATAAAAGCGGTGAAAACTGAATTGAGCGTTCACGATGCATTCATCAAACCAATCGCAACCGAAAACGGCGCTAAAATCATCAAGACAGCGCTGAACATTGATAACCCAATTGTAAATGACATTTTGAAACGATTCCCCACAATAGTTGCACGTGAATACACCGAAGAAGCTGTTACGGCTGTTAAGACGTCTGCTACGCTTGCTGGGTTTGTTGAAGGGTACTTACGGGATGCTGGCGTCCCGCAATCGGAGCGCGATGAGCTTTTGAAAGGTCTGCCAGTTCGATACACTGTCTATACACCGCTGGTGCTTTTCAATCACTCTGACCAAAAAAGTTTTCGGTTGCCTTGCTGGCAAACATTCTTCGCACGAACCAGCCAAACAGGATTCTTTGAGCCGATGCTAAGGGCCCGGTTTGCAGGGTGTACGCATATCGCTGTAAATGAACCTATTGTTGAATCAGACGTGATGCGACGGCCCTTCAACATCGTGGCCCTGTACGGATCCCTGTACGAAACGCCATCTGGTGCGTCTCCCGTCACGCAACAGACCTGGGACCAACCGGGTCCGGCAGAATTTTCTCGTACGCTATGGTGCCATATAGTGCAGAACGGTATCCACCAGTGCTGGGCACCCATGTTCACCATGTTCAGCCGCGGAAACGTTAAGGAGAAGCGACGCATCCTCGAGAGCTTTGAGGGCATCGAGGATACGGACGTTGTTGACCTGTATGCCGGTATCGGCTACTTCACGCTCAGCTACCTCCGGCGCCGCGCGCGCCGCATTTTCTGCTTCGAGCTCAATCCATGGAGTATCGAAGGTCTGCGACGCGGCGTCGCACTCAATAGCACTGCGACTACGACGCAATGCCACATCTACGCCGAGTCTAACGTTAATTGCCCGCAACGTTTGGCACAATTCAAAGACCTTGAGATAGGCCATATCAACCTCGGTCTGCTGCCGACAAGCAAACAAAGTTGGCCCATAGCCATCGAAATCATACTAAACCACAGCGTGGCACCTGAGACCATTCTACACATCCACGAAAACGTACACATCGCCGACCTATACTCAAACACGTTCGAGCGTCAGATGCTAGCAGAATTAAAGATCTTGACTTCCGAGTTATCCTACACGCTACAACACACGGAGAAAATCAAGACTTTCGCGCCTGACGTCTGGCACGTTTGTTTCGACGTTTTGGTAACGAAAAATGTGGCTGAATAGATCATCAAACGCTTGTATTCGGATGATTTTTGTAGTGTCGATGGACAATCGTAACGTTGCCGAACTTAAAATAATCGTCGTCGTCGTCATTGTCGTCGACAACGAAGACGGTCAAAACCGAGGGCAAACATCACTATTAACGGACCTCTCAAATTTATCCATCTGCCCTCGGAATAGCTCCAAGGCTTGGAATTATTACGGTCTATGGGATGAACCAGAAGCGAAAAAGCCCACTTTGAAGAGAAACGGTATATAACAGCAAGTAGAGCAGGATTGAGGGCCTAATTGTTGATGGGATGGATTTTGAGTCCCTTTTTGGTTCTGGACAAAGTTTCAGCGACAACGGACAAGATTTTAGGCGAAAAACAGGCGATGACAGTGTTGGAGATGAGTTCAATTTGATAGAAGACGACCAGCCAAAACCCCAGACTATTGAGGCCGAAGAATTGCAAAAAAGCATGTTTTTGTCGCCGCTGAGCGATAGAGGGCCTGAAGGTTGGCGAAATTTCCAAACTCCAACCATTAACGTGGAACGCAGCGTCGAGTTGGACGACAGTGGATCTATGAGCCATTGCTTCGGAGAGTCCTTGGGTGAGGCTATGAATGAACGGTCCAATGCCCTCACTGGATCACTTGCAGGGTCGCTTGTGGCCACAGAGTTCGAAAGGCAGAGACCGTCAGTTTCCTTGGGTGTTGACTACCCGGATTCGTCGCGGAGATCGTCGGCATTGTTGCCCGCTAGCCAAGACGATGTTTTGTCAGTAGGATCATTCCATTCCAGCTTTGCGTCGGACTCGGGCAACAACACAACAGGTGGCTTGTTGTCACACGAACTGGCGTTGTCTCCGGCCCCGTCTGCTTTCACGACGGGCGATGACGAACTGGACGAAATCCTGAGCGTAAACTCGGGACGTCAACCCATTCTCGACGCTTACAACGATGCAGGTGCTCTGAACGGGCTCCATGCGTTTTCGGAGCTTGACAGCGCGCCTTTCGATACCGTCGCGCCTACTCTACAACCTGTGGGCAGTGCGACATCGTACCAACCGTCAACAGTAATGAAGCACAACCGAGAAAGGCCCCAGATATCCGTTCAAGAATACCAACAGACTGCGCATGCCTTTGCGCAAAATTCGTGGGGGAGAGAAGTTGGGACCCCTTCGTCACAGGCTTCGTTGACTAGTGGACAAACACCGACAAACCGTAACTGGCTTTCTGTAGAGTCCGAGGACCAAGCTATAACCAGTGAGGACGAGAACATCCACGACCAGCAACGGCTCGGACGCAGGATGAGACGCAAGTCACAGAATTCGGCGCGACGCTCTTCGTCGAAGAGGCGAAGCATTTCGATGGAAGAACGAGCACGGTCTTTGAGTGAGAACCGGGACAAACTGTTGCAAATGGCAGAGGTCAAACCTTCTCTTTCGAACACTGCAGATGAAGTATCTGGGGATAATTCCGATTCTGGAGACGACAGAGCATCATTAACACTGGGAGCAACGGCCAAGAGGCGAAACTCTCAGAAAAATCCGGCCAATTACGCCTGCGAGCTTTGCGACAAAAAGTTTACACGGCCTTATAATTTAAAGTCTCATCTGCGCACCCACACGGACGAAAGACCCTTCTGCTGCAGCGTGTGCGGTAAGGCGTTTGCCCGACAGCACGATAGGAAGAGACACGAGGATCTACACACGGGTAAGAAGCGATACATATGCGGTGGGAAACTTAAAGACGGAACCAGTTGGGGTTGTGGCAAGAAATTTGCCCGCAGTGATGCATTGGGACGACATTTCAAAACGGAAAGCGGGAAACGATGTATCATGCCCTTGTATGAAGAGGCTTCACGCGAGAAAAACGACAGTCAGTTGCGCGAGCTGGACTTACAATTTGACTTGAATTGAAGCATCATGATTTGAATAACAAACAAAAAAATCGACGATAAAACTAACAAGATCGATCTACGGACCTCCATCTACGATTTATCGATAGAATTTGTACTATACGAGCGAGCAGCAAGGACGAAGTTTGCTTAAACCGTGTGTTTTTCAAAACTCAGTTCTGAACTTGGTTCAAGTTGATATGAATCGCAATTTCACCGCCCATTCAAGATCAAATCTGCAACAGACTCGAGTCTCCCACATTTGAGAGTATAAAATCTCTAAAGTGAAGAAATTGGGGGAATTCTGACCAAGTTATCAGAGTTGGGCTCTTCCTATATAGTGGCTAGGTACTCTAGCGTGTAGCAGATATAAAAAAAAGAGCCATGTTAAACATGAGATGAACCTCCAACAACCAAACCAAATATGGCAGACATAGATGGCCAAGAGTCGCAATTGGAAGCAAGAATACTGGAGGCGGGTATCAAGGACTCGAGTATCAAAGATAACGAAAAAAAACGGGAAGAATTGCTTCAAAATCAACAAGTTCGGTACTTTAATGATCTCTTTGAAAAACATCAACATTTACCGGTGAAAGTATCACATATAGCCATCAACAATTCTCAGGATGTGCGAACAGAAGTGTTACAGTCGATGGTGGATGCCACAGTAGGAACTGCGATAAATTTGCAACAATTGTGCGAGAAATCTGATCTTCTTGCGCTAAAATTGGTTTCGAGCGGGCTTGCTGAAAATGCGGCTCAAACGTTAGACAGTAGAGGTACTTTCAAAGTTCCCTTGGATTCTGCTGCTGCCCCTAATCTGTGGTCTGTGTCTGGTCGGCGTGGCTCGTCAGAAACGCTGTCCGTGATCGACGTCGTACCGAAGGTCGAACTTCTTCCTGTCAAGAAATTCTCTGCAAAGACCGGAACAAACGTAGGAAATGGTGAAGGAGACGGCTATTTGCAATTCCAATGGCGGAACGCCTTTGGAGGAGGTGAAAAATTCACATTTGATGCTACAAAAGGTACCAAGACGCATTCCTCGTATTTGTTGGCTTATTCTCAACCCGTGTCGCCCTGGTGGTTTTGGGATTCAATGCTTTTCAAGAACTCACGGGAGATGGGGAGAGCCGAGCTACTTTTGAGGGGCATTAAGCTGTCTCTGCGAAGCGATTTTATCAAGGGAAAGAATCTGAACCATGAACTTTCCTTCGAAAGTGTGTGGAGGTCTACTAAAGCCGCATCCAGTAGCAGCTCCAATTATCTTTTAAGTCAGTGTGGCGATGACCTGAAAAACGCTTTGAGTCACAGCCTATACTGGGATACCAGGAACTCGACAACTTTTCCCACGCGTGGTTCTCATTACAGAGTTACTAACGAATTGGCACTGGGTCGATATGTGAAAAGCAGCTTAGAAGCATTTAAAGTGAGAAGCTGGCTCGACAAAGATTTCATAACCACGAGCTTCACGCTCAGAGGTGGATACTTGAAGAGCTTCAGTGCGGCAAGGAGGCAAACGCATTTTGCCGATAAATTCCATGTTGGTGGCAGTAATGATGTTAGAAGTTTCCAACTTATGGGATTGGGACCTAAGGATCATCTTGATTCGATGGGTGGGGACGCTTTCCTAGCGTACGGGTTTAGCACATTCAGTAGATTGCCCATCAAGAGGTGGTCTAATTCGAGTTTTAGATTGCACGCATTCTTCAATGGTGGTCGTCTGATAAGCCATGGCAACTCGGATATACAAACACTTGCGAAATGCTTGTTTTCACAGCATTCCACGTCGATGGGTTTGGGACTCGTATTTGCTCATCCAATGGTACGATTTGAAATTAATTTCACAGTCCCACTTACCGCGCATTCCAGCGATTCAATCAGAAAGGGTTTCCAGTACGGAATTGGACTGTCGTTCCTGTGACTCCCTTGCAATGAGATCATGTAGATAAAGACATTGATATTACATTATAAAGTCAAACTTCCGTCTCTATAAACAAGCAACTGCATTAAACCGTTTGGCGATTGACCCAAGCGGAATGACGTTTGATGACTTCGGGAACGATTAATTCTTCAATCACCTCCGAGGGATCATGTATTCTTATCCATTCCCCATTTCTGCTGCTCTCGGATACGAGCACAACTTCCTTGCTACGTGTCTGCAAAAGATTACCTATCACAAGTTGATGGTTATAGCGATCCAGCGCCTGTGTGGCTTTCTTGATGAGAATGGATTTGTCGGTTTCGAGTTTGAAGGAAACTATCATAGCCTGTGTCGCCCAGGACATGACGAGTCGCCTCAAAAATTTGGGCACTGGATCCAAGTTGACTATTAATTTACCCTCGGCAGTTGTATGACTTGCTTCAGCCGAATCTAGATCCCGATGCTCCTCATTAGACTGTATCTTGTGCTCTGGGATGCGAGAACTGGGCACAAAGAAATCGCTGACGGCAGCAGCCAAGTAAAATAAAGTGGCGTCGCGATTCAACAACTTCGCGATGGCCTTCAAGGACCATAGATATTGGTTGACAGTAGTAAAGGGCAAAAGTAGCAATTGTTGGTTTTGGCGTGTATATTTGTCGTAGAGTGCCTTGTTGGCCAAGATACGGGTCTTGAACTCTTCGTTAGCATTACCGTTTTCATCGAAGTAGTCCAGAAAGCAAACTTCGCTGTTATGGGTGAACGCTCTGTTGAAAGGAGTGAGTGAAAACTCTCGATGTAGGAACAGAACTGCGTAACCGTGACGTAGAAATTGTTCTGCACTGGCAGCTCCTCTAGTGCCTGCAGAGAAATTGTCGATGAACCTGACTGTGTTATTTTCCAGAGGAACCGTGGTACCTCCCGAAGTGATCACTACAATACGCTTGCGGCCCAGTTTCGATTGAAGTTCAATGAAACTGCGGGCCTGGTTGACAAGATCGTCAAGGTAAAATGGTCTGGGATTCGTGAGGAAAAACCGTTCTTCATCGGAGACTTCTGCAGGAGGGAAAACGTCCTCAGTGAGGGTTCGATCAATGGCTCGGGAAACTTCTGTAACGGAGGTGTGAATGGGCATCTTTGGGCTGTCGTCGAATATCGTTGGAGGCTTCAAAGCTGCTGTTGCTGATGACAAGTCTAACATTGGAGTATGGTCGACGACCGGTGGAAATTGAGGTCACGTTTTTCCCAATTAGTAGGTGTAAAATGAGTCGAAATCAAGCTAAAATTGACCTTTGGAGAGCTGAAACGTAGAAATCTCGATGATTGTGGAATTTGCGGACTTTCGATTAATGGTGTCAAAATTTTCGGTGTTGGTTTTAATTTTGGAAAAGGTGTCACTTAGGTCAGTTGCTTATAAACGAGACCCGATGTGACAAATAGCGTCAAAGCAATCTGCATTCGACAATAGCATTACTTTGGCTATTGCTCAAATATCTAGAAGCCTTTTACGTCCATAAATCTCTTTCTAAGAGAGTCTATGTGATTTTATAATTCTATGACCATATGTATATATATATGGTCATATGCATATATACAGCTGATCAATTATGACATTAATGAAAACCAACACAAGAATTCAAGCCCTAATTTTAAAGCTCACACGATTCCATTACAAAATACTCAAGCTGCAGTGAAATGTGCGCCTTAAGTGCCAGTGGACAATACGACAAGCAATTAACGCCTACGATCGGTGTCAAAGTTGCCAGATGAAAGAGTCGCTGTCTCCGTCAACCTTGTTGAATACCGCTAAGATTGATAAAATGAGTAAGAAAACTGTACGAGGCTTCTCAAAAGCTTTCAGGTCCCCGAGCACCCTCGCCACACACCTCTGAAACTGTCCCGATCGGCATCGACCTTCTCCTGTCACCTGTGCCAACACATCGTCGGCTGAACATAGTATGGATTGAAAATTTGGATCGTATAACTAAAATTGGTCTCTTGGCCCAGTTGGTTAAGGCACCGTGCTAATAACGCGGGGATCAGCGGTTCGATCCCGCTAGAGACCATTTTTGCACCTTTTTCCTTCTCTTTATCACTTTGTCCCCTTCCTGCTCTCAGCTTCTAAGCTGGAAAATTTTTTCGATGAGTTAATCCCTGTAGTGAAAAAGTTGGGCTACCAGAAAACTCTGATGGATCCATCTAGGGGGATTACAATTTGACGTGGAAAATACCGATTGTGGGATCATATTTGGTCATTGAAATTCAGCAGATTAGTGTCAGGTTAGTTCAGAATTTTAAGGTGTCTTAGTCGGGTTTCTTTCTCTCACTGTATCAAATGTCAGAACACGAAGAAAAACCGGTCGAACAACAAATTGAAGAGTCCCAACCGGCTCCCACGGACGCTGCGACTACAGAGCAGCCGCAAGCGGCACCTGCAGTGGAAACGACAACTGCTGACGACGTCACGGACGCCGAACAAGCCTCTGTGAAGCCCGCTAACGCTACTAAGGGCGGACGTGAAACCTCGGACAGAATCCTGTACGTGGGCAATTTGGACTTGTCTGTGAGTGAAGAAATGCTTAAACAGTATTTCCAGGTGGGCGGGCCTGTGGCAAATGTCAAGATCTTGATGGACAAGAACAATCAGCACGCCAATTACGCCTTTGTCGAGTTTTTCAAGCCTCACGACGCTAACGTCGCGTTTTTGACATTAGACGGTAAACAGATCGAAAACAACGTGGTCAAGATCAATTGGGCGTTCCAATCGCAGCAGGTCTCCGCAGAAGACGCGTACAATCTTTTTGTCGGCGACTTGAGTGTAGACGTCGACGACGAAACGCTTGCGGGCACATTCCGCGAGTATCCATCATTTGTCCAAGCACATGTCATGTGGGACATGCAAACAGGTCGTTCCAGAGGTTACGGCTTCGTGTCATTTGGAGAACAGGAACAAGCCCAGAGCGCCATGGAGACCAAGCAAGGATTTGTACTGAACGGTAGAGCTCTTAGAATCAACTGGGCCTCCAAACGTGACAACACTCAAAATAATAACAGCCATCACAGCAATGGTGGTAACATGAGAGGCCCGCGTCGTGGTGGTTTCCGTGGTCAAAACAGCAACAACCAATTTAGACCTATGATGGGCCCCTCCATGGGGATGCCACCTCAGGGAGCTCCTATCCCCGGCATGGGCATGCCGCCAGCCCAAGCGGGTGGTCCTCAGGTCCCGCAGATGCAGGCTCCAATGGTGCCACCTCAAGTGAATCCTCAAGCAGTTGACACAATGATCAGAAGCGCACCACCAAGGATAACAACCGTTTACATTGGAAACATACCTCATTTCGCCACGGAACCGGATTTAATCCCACTTTTGCAAAACTTTGGTTTCATTGTAGATTTCAAGCACTATCCAGACAGAGGTTGCTGCTTTGTGAAATACGGCACCCACGAACAAGCTGCGGTTTGCATTGTTGCCCTGGGGAACTTCCCTTTCCAAGGCAGAAACTTGAGAACAGGCTGGGGCAAAGAAAAGCCAACTTTTTTCCCACAGACCAAATCCGGTCCTATGATCAATTCCATGCCCGGAATTCCTGTTCAAGAGCCTCAACCCATTCTTCAGCAACCATCTGAACAACCCGAAGAGTCAAACTAAGACTGTATATCTGATGTATCGAGATCATCTGGCAGCGCACCGATGTCATCTGACCAAATAAAATTTCACCACCAAGGAAGATCAGTTCTTCCAGAATGAATCGCATTCAGATGTAATTCTCTAAGCCAGAACGAACTCAGAACGAACCCTGCATTGCCTTGCAATGCGCCACATGCTGTATACGTCTCGCCTAGTTCGAGCGCGTGCTAGCAGATTCTGGGGAAATAATCGAAAACAATGAAAATATAGTTATAAAGAAGAGAATCGTTGTTCTCGATCGTAGATATCGCACCAAATTCATATCTGATTGCTGGGTGACAAATGTAGCGTTGGAGGATTGAAATGTTTATGTAATCTACCAACGTATTATAACTAACACAGCTTTCAGAGCTCTAATGGTAATTTTGGAAAAACCAAAAGTGTTTAACAAATCCGAAAAGACTTGTGAGCACTGTGGCATAGTCCAGTTCATAGGCCATCTTGCGTAATAATTCAAGTTTCCCTCAAATTATTCATCATATAACAAGAACATTTCTTCTGGTATAGTGGAAAAAAATTTTATCACGTTAACCATCTACGAGGAAACTACTAAAGATCCACAAGCTCCGAAGTCCAGATTGAGTGTGTCGAAGTCGAATCGAGAAGTAGCAAATCGTTCAGTTTGTCAAACAATTATTTTCAAGGTCGAAAATCGAGCCGAGATTCATCTCAGCTACTCATTTTTCAACTATTTTATGAGCTTTGTTTCTTCAGATCTTCGATCACTTATTCTATCCATTTTTGACGGTTTGTCTGAGAGATTCGAGAGCCGCGCTTTAACCTTAATTGTTTTAGTTGTATCAAGTGGTTTTTTACTATTCAAGAATAAAAGGTATCTTACCAGGATTATGGAAAACATTGGAACGGCGGGAGGAGAGCTGACCAGGAATTTTAGAAACAACTATGGGGGAAGTATGTTTGGCGGGTGGGGGAATCAGAATTCAAAGCTGGAATCGGAAATGTTTCGCCGAGGTGGCTACATTGGTGGTCTTGTAAATGATGGGAATACCTGTTTTATGAACTCTGTATTACAGTCTCTTGCTTCTTCCGAGGAATTGATGAAATTTCTGGACGAAGAGATTGTAGCTGCCACGGAGGAGAACCACGAGGAACAAGAAACGCACGTTGAAATTCCTGCTACTCTTGATGGTGTGAAAAATAGCTGTACGAAGAAGGGCAAGTGCTATGGGAAACGCAAAAAGAGACAAGCGAGGCTTGCTGAGAAAGAAGCTGCTGAGCAAGATACAGAACCCAATGTCGCCTTCAGTGCTGCCCTAAAAGACCTTCTGGATAAGCTCAATGCCGAACATAATCGCGATAGACCTTACTTCAAAACTAACAAACTTTTGAAAACTATGTCAAAAGCTCCAAATAAGAACATCATATTGGGATATGACCAAGAAGACGCTCAAGAATTTTTCCAAACGGTCTTATCAGAGCTTGAGAAAAACGTGAAGTCGCTATATGGAAAAGATCCAGAACATGGAACAGATCGAGTTTCCTTGGAAGACCTGCCTGCGGATGCGGCCATAGGTCAAAGTCAGCTCGGCAAAGTCGAGACTGTTTACATTCCATCCGATCAAATAGACCCTAACTTCGTGCTCAAAAATTCGAATAGCAAGGATTTCACACCATTCCGTCTAATGACGCCCTTCGATGGTCTAACTGCAGAAAGAATTGGATGTTTACAATGCGGAGAAAATGGTGGAATTCGTTATTCTGTGTTTTCTAGCATCAGTTTGAATTTGCCAAGTGAGAACATTGGAGCCACATTAAAATTATCAGAGCTACTCAAGGAATGGGTAAAACCGGAAATTATTGAAGGTGTGGAATGCAACCGGTGTGCTCTTACCGCAGTGTATGAGCATCTGCGGGGAGCGTTAGCAGACCAAGAAAAACTTCCGAACGTTCCCGAAAAGCTGTTATTAGCGGTCAAGAACCGACTAGCGGAATTAGAACAAATTCTATCGAAACCGGTTGTGGATGATGATGACTATAAGAAATTACACACCGAGAATATGATCAGAAAATGTTCAAAAAGCAAACAAATCTTGATTGCACGCCCACCGCCACTGTTAGCTATTCATATTAACAGATCCGTCTTCGATCCTCGAACTTTCATGATTAAGAAAAATAATTCACGCGTTGCGTTCAAATCTAGGTTAAATCTTTCACCATGGTGCTGCGATATTGATGAGATCAATTTGGATGCACGTCTACCTATGTCAAAAAAGGACGAAATTTTGCAAGAGTCATCTGAAGACGAAAATGTCGGGGGAGATTATTTCGCAAAATTGCATAAGCGGTTTGAAGCTGAGTTTGAGGACAGTGACGATGATGAGGACGAGCAATACTTACGCCGTCGCGACAGAACGGTCAAAAACTACGATCCGTTAGCTGGTGAAGTGGAGAGTGGCAGCGAAGAAGAGCAAGAAGTGAATTCCCCGGAACAACGGTACGACGCTCTGGGCAATTCAATCCTACCTGCAGTGCAACAAGCGCATGGCGATGAGGAAAAGCAAGTCGAAGATGTGGATGAAACTGAAGACGATCAATCTTCTGAGGAAGAAAGCCAAGATGGTCCGTACGCACCAGTGTCTACGAATAGTGCCTCGACTGTACCTGTCGGTCCGCTCACATACGCACTTCGGTCGGTTATCGTGCACTATGGTACGCATAACTATGGTCATTACATTGCATTCAGAAGATTTCGTGGTCTGTGGTGGAGAATTTCAGACGAAACGGTCTACGTGGTGAACGAAGAGGAATTACTTTCGACGCCCGGCGTTTTCATGTTGTTCTACGAATACGCATATGACGAAGAGACTGGTAAATTGAAAGATGATCTTGACTGGGAAGAGGGTAAAGATACACAAGAAGACATCTAATACATAAAAACATTCGTAATTAAGACGGTGTGTGTAAAAAGCATTATACAAGTGCTTCGTTCTCTTCTTGTTCTTTGCCTTCAAATTTTGCGTATCTGGCCCTTTCTTCACGTTTTTCTTCTTGAATTTCGTCCTGGATCAATTGATCAACATCGTAATCGTAATCGTTAGGATCCTTGCTGTAAACACCAACATTACGTCTTTTCAACCCGGTCTTGCTGTCCATCTCAAATCTCGCAGGCCCCAATTCATCTTTGAGTTGAAATTTTACAGGATTCTGCTCTCTGCTTAATTTAAGAGAGTCCTTAACCTTTTCACGAGCAGAGCGAGCCTTTTCTCTATTTTGGAAGTTTTTACCTGTAAACTGTGGTTTCTTGTAACGGTATGATCCAATTCCAGACAAAAGTGGAAGAAACAAAACCACTATAACAACAATTACGAAAACAACGAAAAATGCGAATGGATCCATGTTGTCCGCTGTTTCAGAACTATTATCAGGGCTCTAGTAAGGATTTTGCTTGCTTAAACTAGTTAAAATATTCATTTATGTAGACAGAAGGCGAAGATCATCATCAAAACTGAAAAATTAAGAAACTGAAAAATCGATTTGAGCGATTTAAAGAGGCCCAAGCGTGAAAGACAGGCAGTGACGCACGGTAGTTCTCAGTGATACTAATTGTTCATTCCCGTCTTTTCTTACGCAAACATTGAAATATCGATGCTAAGACGTTCTGTACTCGGTTTTTCGACGTTGGTTACTCGTAATGCCCCCGCCGCCGTGCTAACCAGAGCTGCAACGAATATAGTGAAACTGCAACCATTACGAGTTCCTGTCTCGACTCCAATCTCGAACATTGCAAGACCCTACGCGTCTGCCTCGACAGATGGACACGAAATCCCGCAGGAGATCCTCACATTGACAAACGACGTGTATCACGAAAAGTCAGATCAATTTCTGCAAGCGTTGCAAGACAATTTAGAAGAAATTAGCGACGAGTATCCAGAAGTGATTCCAGACGTCGAGCTTTCACAAGGTGTTATGACATTGGTTGTACCGGAGCTTGGCACCTATGTGATCAACAAACAGCCTCCTAACAAGCAAATTTGGCTTGCATCGCCTGTATCAGGTCCGAACCGCTTCGATTTGTATGGTGGAGAATGGGTGTCACTGCGAGACGGTAGCAAACTGTTGGACTTGCTACGCACGGAATTGAACTCTGTCTTGCCGGAAAAGGTGGATTTCTAGGCTGGAACCGATTTTCGAGCATTCCATACATAAGTAGCATACACATTTCACTATCAAGAACTTTATTAGAAATTGGAGCAAGATTAGTGACAGAGCTCTCGAAACCTCACGTATTTTCAGTGAGAGGCTCCAAGCCTTATTAGCTCCCACCGGCATTGGCTACAAAGGCATTCACCCGAAACCTTTCTGACTTCAAGATTTCTATTCTACAAAATGCAATTTGCATGGTGCGATGCCTTGCCTTCTCAAATCTGAAAACTCTGCCAACTCAAAAACTACCAGAACAAAACTAGCTTATTTCTCCCGTTCAATACTATTCGTCTTGTAGACGACGCACACGCTGCGCGCTCACGCTTCTATCCATAGTGTGTGGCCGTTGTCCCGTTGCTCATATCAACCTCGCAGCTTGGTCGCTTCGATGCATCTTACCTCATACGGACGGGTTGCAACTCTTAACCCCCGACCCCTTGAGCCAGGCGCAATGCTGTAGATCAGACTCTATATAAGGAAGCCAAAACGGGAACTTATACAAACCACATCTCGCACAGACCTACCTGTCATATCCCGTCACACTTACATATGTCCTCGAAATCGTTTATCATCACTCTCAAAGATCACGTCCCTGAGGTCGATGCCGAAGCCATCAAAAAATCCATCTCGGGCCTTGGGGGTGAAATCACTCACGAGTTTTCATTGATCAAAGGTTTCACTGCAAAACTACCGGAAACTCTCAGTATTGAGAGTCTAAAGTCTAAGCACTCTGACGCCATTGCCAACGTCGAAGAAGACAAAGAGGTCTCTATCAAGAAATAGACCCTGGGTATAAAGATCGTTCCTACGAGCTCCAATAAACACCAGTACTATATGTAGGCATTCTAATTACGAAAGGACCAGTTCGAACATCGAGCATGTTTCATCTAAGCCTTACAGTCATTCAAAGCCTCCAGTTATTCAAAGTCTTTCAAATGTCCTCAACTTGATACCCGTATCAAGCGAAGGAAACAAATTGTAGTCACTATTCACGCTTTGAGTTCCAATTGGGTATTCGTCTGTAACGAGCCTTTATATCGCTTTGAACGTGGTTTGATATCCGTTAAATATGATCTCCGTTCTCAAGAAATTAGGGGTTTTGTGGCATCCCTTGCTTCGCTCGGCCAAGGCGGTTACCCCGAACGCCAGCCCCGAATGTGTCGGTATATAAAGGGGCGGGGAAGAGAAGGCGACAGACATTGGAAGTTGGGAAACAACAACAACTATATCAAACACTTCTGTACTGGAAGTGCGTGTTTCAATTGTTGTATAAATACGGTACCGCGGTACCACGGTAGCGAATAGTGCTGTGGGAAATGGTGTACTCGAATATCACGGCGGACCCGAAGTTCAAGCCCGTTCCAGGCATCTATGAGGGTAGAATTAGGCAGTTTATCGACGATGGGGGTGAATACAGAGACTTGAATTTGCCCAAATTTTACGATAAGGACAGAATCTCGCTCGACAATGAGCATGTCAAGATGCAATGGTACCAGGTGACGTTCGAGAAAGGTTCGTCGCCAGTATCACCGGACAAGAGACCGAGCTGGAAGAGCATCGTAGAAAGTGACTCGCGAGGCGAGTTGCTGTTTCGGGACGCCTACATGGGCCAGCCGTTTGGGCCCAGTTGGTCGACTACGTGGTTCAAAGTGACACTGCGAGTGCCAGACGAATGGGTTGAGTCTGGAGACCAGCTAGTTTTTGAATTTGACTGCGAAAATGAGGGCATTGTGATCGATCCCGAGACCCTAATTTCGAAAACGTCGTTTTCCGGCGGCGGTGAGCGAACCCAGTACATGTTGCCCGTTGGGCAAAAGCACTTCCATTTTCTGATCGAGTGTGGCAACAACGGTATGTTCGGGTGTGGTGCCGGTTCTACAATCAACCCACCAGACAACAACCGGTTTTTCCATCTGCGGAAAGCAGACCTAGTGCGCCCCAATTGGGAGGCCAGAGCGCTTCATGTGGACTTCTGGATGATGTCCGATGCGGCGCGCGAGTTACCGGGTGACACCTGGCAGAAGCACAAGGCTCGCGAGATCTGTAACTTGATTATGGACGCGTTTGACCCCGAAGACGTGACCAGCGTCGAGCGCTGTCGCAAGCTTGCCAAACAGGAGTTTTTCGACAAGAATCTCGATACCCCTGGCGTTTACCAAGAGGGAGACAAAGCCGTGGCGACAAATGTGTTTGCTGTCGGCAATTGCCACATTGATACGGCATGGCTTTGGCCCTTTGCGGAGACGAAGCGTAAAGTTATTCGTTCTTGGACCTCACAAACCACTTTGATGGATCAATATCCCGAATACCAATTTGTAGCCTCGCAGGCGCAGCAATTCAAATGGCTACTGAAGGAACATCCCGAGTTTTTCGACAAGGTGCTTCTGCCTAAAATACAGCAGTCGCAATTTTTCCCCGTTGGCGGTTCGTGGGTTGAGAACGATACCAATATCCCATCTGGGGAGTCTCTTTGCAGACAGTTTTTCTACGGGCAGCGGTTTTTCCTGAAATACTTTGGAGCTAAATCCGACATCTTCTGGCTACCGGACACCTTTGGTTACTCGTCTCAAATCCCACAAATTGCTCAAATCTCGGGGATCACTAAATTTTTGACTCAAAAACTATCTTGGAACAACATCAATGACTTCCCACACACGACTTTTAATTGGTCAGGGATCGACGGATCCCAGCTTTTGACGCACATGCCACCTGGCAATACTTACACGGCAAGCTCGCATTTTGGTGATGTGTTGAGGTCGGCAAGACAAAACAAGAACCTCGAGAAATATAAATCTGGTTTGATGCTCTACGGGATTGGCGATGGCGGTGGCGGGCCCACTGCTGAAATGTTGGAGAAAATGAGACGTATAAGGTCTATGAGTAACCGGAACGGTAATGTTGTTCCTAAACTTCAAGTTGGAACCACAATTGACGAATTTTACAACGATATCTTGCAAAACACAAATGATGGAGAAGATCTTGCCACTTGGGTAGGAGAGCTTTACTTTGAGTTTCATCGTGGTACTTATACTACTCAAGCAGAGGTCAAGAGACTTATGAGACTTTCAGAAATTAAATTACATGATTTGGAATGGATCGCAACTAAGACTTCGATTTTATATCCAGATGATTATACTTATCCTGCAAACGATATTAACAAGATTTGGGAAGATGTCTTGCTATGTCAGTTTCATGACGTGCTTCCCGGATCCTGCATTGAGATTGTTTACAAATATGAGGCACGTCCTATGCTTCGCGAAGCTGTTGAGAAGACGGAAAAGCTCATTCAAAAAGCGCTTGAGGTTTTGGAGCAACAAAGTAAGGAAGAAAAAGCTCAGATCGGTTGTTTGTCTCTTCCCATTGCGATCGATGAGGTTTCCTCTGAGAAGCCATACTTGTCAAAGGTCATCGACACAAAAGACGTTTTCGTGCTGTCCAACAATAAGCTTGAAGTCTCGATCAATAAGGAAAGCGGTGTCATCACGAAAATTACGGATATCGAAGGGAAAATTGACTTTTTGGACCTCAAAAATGGAAGAAATAAGCTTGGGGCCAACCAATTTGTCTTGTTTGATGACAAGCCTCTTGGCTGGCAGGCGTGGGACACAGAGTTGTATTCGGTAAATCAATATGAGTATCTCACAAAATTGAAAAGTTTAGAAGTTGTCAACAATTCTGACGACTTAAGCACGGTCAGAGCGATTTTTGAAATTTCTGAAGATTGCCAGGTGACAACGGAAATATCGTTGGCTTCGACTTCCAAAGGAACGAAAGAATATTCCGGAATTGAGATCAAAACTGTTGTGGAAAACTGGAATCTCAGAAACAAGTTCTTGAAAGTGGAGTTTCCTGTTAATGTCCGGAATGATTTTGCAAGCTACGAGACTCAGTACGGTGTGACAAAGAGACCCACTCATTACAACACTTCGTGGGACGTGGCCAAGTTCGAAGTTTGTCACCACAAGTTTGCAGATTATTCTGAGTATTCGAAAGGTGTCTCGATTATCAACAAATCCAAATACGGATTTGCTACTCACGGGAATCTAATGCGTCTTTCGCTTCTGCGCTCTCCGAAGGCTCCCGATGCTCACGCAGATATGGGTACCCACGAGATAAAGTATGCCATATACCCTCATCGTGGTTCTTTGTCATCCAAGACCGTGCAGAAGGCTCTGGCATTCAACTACAGTTTCAAATACGGAATTCCAAAAGATTTAGCCGCTAAATTTGATGAAATCATAAGCTTGGGTGGTGACGAGAATTTGATTTTGGCGAATTTGAAGCGTGGTGAAGACGACAAAAGTTTGGAATCGGAGTATGCACTGGATACCAAGAAAGAAACCACCATTGTGGTACGTCTTTACGAGTCACTTGGTGGTGAGGCTCACGGAACCCTTGACGTAAAACTACCAATCAAAAGGGCTTTCAAAATCGACAACTTGGAGACCAAAGTTATCGAAGACGTTTTTGAAGCACAAACCACTGATACTGGTACCTCAATCCCTATCAGATTGAGACCCTTCGAGATTGCGACTTTCAAATTGGTGCTTTAAAATAACCTTAAAATGTCGAAAAGTTCTGACCTTTCTATAATTAAGTATGTATGAAATGAACAAACCTTATGCCATGATTGATGATTTCATCATATTTAAAAAACACTTCAACTAGTACAATTGTAGACTTTAACAAGACTAACAAGCCATTGGAAACGGGCAAATGCAAGGTGTGTTAACCGATAAGCATAGCAAGTTCCTGAAACGACACCTTGGCGTTCTTCCTTCCAGGTATCAAGAACACGATGCAAACAAATTGTCGATTGTTGGCTATTCACTTCTGGGATTATCGTGTCTCAGTGACGAAGCAACAGATCCATTTAAAGGCAGCCGAAGCTGGCTGAGGCGCCATTATAGGACCGGGTTGTTCAACGGCAAAAAAATAGGAGGCTTTTGCCCGAGTCAACTGCTTGATGTCGAGAACGCTACATCGATAAGTCTTCCCAACACCCTATTTGCATTATGGAGTTTTATTTGCTTGAAAGATACAACAGTTTTGACTGAAATTGATCGGGTAGATATATGCCGGTTTGTTTCGATGTGTCAGAGTCCCAATGACGGTTCCTTTGTAGGGTCTTTGGATGTCTTAAAGGAATCCACCACTTCACCCACCGAGTCTAATGACTCTCGCATGAGCTACATAGCAGTGGTAATATTATATTTGCTTGGGCTTAAAACTCCTGAAGAAATGTCTGAGTTTATCGATATTCGCGGGTTGGTGGAGTATTTGAAAACGAAATGTTGTATAAACGGCGGGTTTGGAGAGTATGGTGAAGCACATGCAGGTTATACTTCATGTGCATTGTCCGTTTTTGCCATCTTAAAAACGGAATGGCACGGTCTTTCGGAAACCTTTCTTGAGGAAACACTCGCTTGGCTCAAGATGCGTCAAGTTTCGAGCCAAGGTTGTCACTGTTTCCAAAATGAGAACGAATATTTTGATGCCCAAGATAATGGCGGATTTCAAGGTCGTGAGAACAAGTTTGCCGATTCGTGCTATGTGTTTTGGTGCTTGAATTCTATACGCATTATAGAAGAAACCCACACCAACGAAACGGAACGAGGTGCCATGCGATTTCTTTTAGAAAGAACCCAGAACTCTCTTATCGGTGGATTCTCTAAGAACGACGAGGAAGAGCCCGATCTCTATCATACTTGCATGAGTCTCGCAGCAATAGGCTTGATGACAGGGAAATTCAACGGTCCCTTGTTTTTGCCAACTCACTTAGTAGTGGCCGCTTTATAGCTTTGAAAGCGGTTTATCTTCATGACATGAACCTCTTGATTAGCTCCTCGTATATGCCCCAGGCAATACCAGCGCTAAGTGCTTTCCTGGTAAGCCGCAAACCCAATCCATCGAAAAGATTTCGCGGACTTTCTTCTTTTAAAATGGTGAATACAGATTTGGTGAAACCGGTATATTTGGTTGGTTTCACCTGCATGCGTGTTTTGATGGTATCAAAAGGTGCAGTAACCGTGGACGCAGCACTCGCGGATACAATTGCCGCTATAGAGTTGATGACCGTGGACGTAGCGGAAGAGAAGACGCCTTTGTCAGAGAATTGAAGCATCGATGAAGGTAATAAATCTGGCACTTTATTCTTGCAATACTCATAAAACAGCACGTAAAGACCGGCATAAGGAGCGTCCCTTAAGACTGTAGCTCCACAACCGTTGAAAAACCCGCGAATTCCTTCATGTTGATAAATATGTCGAAATGCTTGTCCCAGTGTTTGGTAACTGTACATGGTAGACTCAAAGCGAACTTTCACAACCGTGATAGGCATGGTCATGAACCCCACGGCGGCCCTTGTAAAAGCTCCAGATAGCAAGTTTTCATGCATGGTCAAGCGTGGTAAGAAACTGCTACCACTACGTCTCTGTTCCACGGGTTTTCTTTCCGCAATGCTAGTTCGTACCAGATTGAGCGTCGAAAGGTAAAGGGCACTCCCAATTGAAGTCCTTAAAGCGGAAGGTAAGGTACCTTTCCAAAGTTGTAAAGGATTCTCAATGGATTTCAATGCAATTGCCAATGTGGCCCTGTCGCCTTGTTGAACTCGGGTTTTCAAAAGGTCGAACGGTTGTAATGCAATGGCAGAGGTTAAACCTCCTACAAGACCCCCGATGAAATGGGAACTGGTCTTTGACTTTTCGGACATTGGATATGAGACAGAGTGCCAAATATCCAGATCGCTACCTTATCCACAACATAGGCCGATGGTGATCAATGGCAGTGGTTCTGAAATGAATCCAGAATCCAGTGGGTCGAGTCTGGTCCGTCAACAGTGATCATTAATGTGGAACGTTTTCGTGAGACGTTACTTTAGATGCGATGAGTTCCAGTTCCCCCCACCAATAAAAAGATAACTCAGTAAGAGATCAAACTGAGTAACCACACAGCTCAACTATCTCTCAACTGGATTGCGTTCCAGTAGCAACTGGCTAAATGCTACAGAGGTAATTTCTCACTTCATTTTCGATTAGTCCCGAGCGCTGACAACAATATCGGAAAACGTCATCGTGAGATTTTAGATCAGTGCTTGGGGTTCAACCTCCTACGCGGGCAAATAACACTTATCCATACTTCCTACTCGAAAGGCAACTTTTACTTGTAGTCGCGCCCTCGATCGACATCAGAAGCCTCAATAAAGGCTCGAAACGAGAATTTCGACATAAACGGATCCGAGTGTCCATTCATTACTAAAACAAACGCTTAAATTACACAATGTGCCAACTTCTGATTTGCCTTTCGGAGCTCAAGCAGATTGGGCGGAAAAGTGATTTAACCAATAAAGTTGGTCATGAAACACCTTTTCCTTAGCGTACTTTACTACTGGATCGGAAACGTCACCTCTGGCGGCGAATCCGTGGGAAGTGCCGCTGAAAAGATCAACCTGGTAAACGGCGCCGATCTCCTGCAATTTAGCTTCGGTGGAATGTCTGTATTCGGCTGGGAAAAAAGAGTCCTCCTCAGCAGCCGAGATCAAAAGCGGCTTTTTGCCCACAGCGGCAAACTCTTCCATGTCGACGAAAGAGGGGTGCGCGACTGCTGCTGCGTCCGCAACTCCCGTCGTTCCGTCGACGAGTTGGATGGCATACTTGGCACCAAAGCAGTAGCCGACAAGACCCAAAAACTTGGGCTTGAGCTCGCCCTTCACGGCTTTGACGAAGGGTTCCGTGATATTCCTGGTAAATTCTGCGTTGTGTTTGGCTTTCCAATCCTCGAAATCGTCGGATTTGCTCATTTCAAGCGGATCATTATCCACAATGTCTGGAATATAAACCTTGTATCCGGCTTCCCCGAAAGCGTCTGCAATTAGCAACACGTTGTTGGGCTTGTTTCCGAACACGTTTGTCATGATGACTATGATTTTATCATTAGATTCTTGACCGGTCACATAGGTGTCTATGCCAAAAACGGTGGTATGCTTGCCCTTAGCGTCACCGCTGTGACGCAATCCGACGAAGCAGTTTTTTCCTTGTGGGTTAGAAACCATTTTACCTTGGGAGAAGAGGAACTGATTTGGATTGAGTTGACGAGTGGTCTTTAAACAAATTATTTGAACGATAATAAACCAGTGTTTGCAAGACTTCTGTAATTACAGCAAAAGAAGGCTGGGTTTTCTTATGAGGCGAAACTTGCATCCGTCATCAACGGCTTCGCTCGCGCAACAAGAGACAGCAGCTTATCAGATATGACACACAGAACTCTAATTGGGCTTATTTGGCGTGTTTCCTTCGCGACCAGCCGTGCCTCTCTCATACGAAAATGCAGGCGATTGCTTGGCGTTAGTCAGCCGGCTATTTTTCCGGCTCGGATTATCTCGTGAATGGACAATGGTTTCGGAAAAACTCGGGAACTCGGAAAAACGCGGATTTTTGAAGGTGGAGAAGCCGGAGTTTCTTCTAATGTTTCTCACAGCACTAGGGACGAAACCACGACGGGTCCCTTTGCTTCAACAGACGATGATCCACTCCGCTAGCTCAATTATCTTTCGACGAGACTTGTATTGAGCAATAGCTCATTAAATGTTCGGGGCTGATTCCAGCATTCATTTTCGATCTATTCACAATGTTGACAAGAATATTCGAAAACTTCACTGCGAAAATTCAGGTCGTTATGGGTTTCACATAATTGAAAGCAGCTCGACCTATGTTCGTCGGGCCAAAAGTCCCTGTGTCCACTTAAGGGAGGCCATGTTGGCATTCATTCGAGCGTGAGGTTCGAAACAAACGTGATTGGAGATATTCCCGGGACGGGCTTATCGATCCTAGATTTGGATGCCCAGGTCAGAGTTGTGCTCTGAATGGTAGCTTTTCCTCGACTCTCGATTTGTAACTTTTCGAGGATTCATGCAGCGCGACACTTCGGCGGTGGTTGAAGCCGCAGTAGTGATTCTAGCCCTCGTTGGACTTCTCCTACTTTGTGCTGTCGCCAGGGTTTTATCGAGATTTTAAGGGAAATGGATTCTTTGAAGCTCCCGCTTATCTTCTCTGCGGAAACGGGAACTTTTTGAATCGCTGTGTTTAATCTAATGGTGACGTGTCCAGCCGGCCAACACCGTTGTGAGCTCATCAGCTTTTGAGATTTTTTTTAGTGACGATTCTCCAGAATCGGGGAAGTGCTCAAAGCGTTATGATTCTTTTTGTTATTGAGGTTGTCTAGTTTGTGGCAATTCGCTGTAGAGACCCTTCTTGGACAAAAGAACCCACACTTATAACAATGTCTTTCATCCGATGAAGTTTCTCAATTCCCTACTCATTTTCATTTTCTCGAACATTCTTCTTCACCCCCAAATTCTATATGTTGTAGCGATCACATTGTTTATCACTCGTGTGATACCTACGCCATTCCTGGTGACCTTTACAATATTCTTTTACTTCGGCTTTACTGCAAGGCTTCTGACGCACGGTATGACCTATGAAAAACAATTTTGTATTATTCATATCGAAAACTTAAGCTAACCTTGCCGCTTCAACGTTGGAGATGGAGCCGTTTTAACCACCTTAGCTGTGTTAGGCGGTGGAAGGTTTGACGGAGGTTACCAGAGATTTCCCACTGCCCCCTCTAGTCGCGGTGTGCCCAGAACTTGAGAGCACCATAGAGCTCTTTTATGAATGATAGCGAAACGCCTTACCAGGACTTTACAAACGATGGGAAACCGTACTCGAAGAGCAACTCTTCTTTGTAGTCGCAACCTTCACCGATAATATTCCGCATGAACCATAGTTTTACGATCCATTACATCGTCAGAACTCTGGGGAAAGGTTCCAAGCGAGAATTCATACATAAACGAACTTGAATTTCCATTCATAAAAAAGGAATGTTTCAATTACATGAAGGGCCAACTGCTAAGCGGTCTTTCGAAGCTTAAGCAGATGAAGCAGAAAAATGGTCGAACCAGAAAACTTGGTCATAAAACGTCTTCTCCTTAGCGTACTTGACCACTGGATCCGAAATGTCACCTCTGGCGGCGAAACCGTGGGAAGTGCCGCTGAAAAGATCAACCTGGTAAACGGCGCCAATCTCTTGCAGCTTGGCTTCAGTAGCATGTCTGTTTTCGGGTGGGAAAATAGTGTCTTTCTCAGCTGCCGAGATCAAGAGCGGTTTCTTGCCGATAGCGGCAACTTCATCCATGCTCACGAAAGATGGATGCGCGATCGCTGCCGCATCAGCAGCGCCCGTCGTTTCGTCGATGAATTGAACGGCATACTTGGCACCGAAGCAGTACCCCACGACGCCGAGAAACTTGGGCTTTAGTTCACTCTTTACCGCCTTCACAAAAGGCTCAGCGATCTTCCTGGTAAAATCTGCGTTGTGCTTGGCCTTCCACGCTTCGAAATCTTGTGATTTGCCGAGATCAATCGGATCATTGTCCAGAATATCTGGAATGAAAACCTTGTACCCGGCTTCTCCGAAAGCGTCTGCAAGTAGCAACACATTGTTGAACCGGTTTCCGAACACATCGGTCAGGATGACTAGAATTTTATCGTCAGATTCTTTGCCAGTCACGTAGGTGTCTAAGTCGAAAACGGTAGTGTGCTTGCCCTTCGCATCACCGCTGTGGCGAAATCCGGTGAAGCAGCACTTTCCTGGTGGGTTAGAAGCCATATTAATTTGTTAGAGGAGAATTTGATTTCACTTGACTGAACGAGTCGTCTTGGCAAAAAAATCAAAAATTCGTGTTTGCAAGTCAGTCCAGCAAAAAAGAGCAAAGTATTTATACGGTTCGAGACTTCCCCTCAAACGGCTTAGCTCGGGCGACGAGAAACAGCAGTTTGTGAGACAAGGTCATGCCATTCCAATTGTATTCATCAGGCGTGTTTTCTTTGGCGTGCCGTGCTTCTCTCACGAAAACAGAGGTAGGCGCTTGACGTCAGTTGGCCGGTTACTTTTGCAGCTCGGATTATCTCCGTTTATGGGGCTTGGTTTCGGAAAAACGCGGATACTTGAAGGTGAGGCAAAATCCGATGACGGCCGAGGTTAAAGCCGAAGTTTCACCCGGAGTTTGTTGCCTATTGATTTTAGACACTGTCTTGATGCGAAAAAAGTTCATCATCAGAAACATCAAAATTTCTACGGGCGCCTTACAGAAATCTTTGAAGCACGAAAGTTTGTTGAAAGGCGGCTAGGCTCAAATTCGAATTTGCGTTTCTTTAGAACTTGTCACTACCTTTACTGAACACCGTTTCCGAACGCTACAACGCACAAACATTGACTGTAAAAGAAACGGCTTCTTGCGAGCAACAGAGTTCTATTTGCTCCGCTACTGTTGTCGTATAGCTTGCTTGGATGTCGCCTGAGAGCTCCGCAGTTCTTTTCCATCGCCGGAAAAGAGTGTCGCTTACGGCCGACGATACGGCCGACGATCCGGCCGACTGTAACTCATCGGAGATGACAGTATTCGAATTTTAGGAACTCATGTCCAGTGTGCCTTTGGATAAAACGTTTAGCCTTGTCAGAGGTTTAGTATTTCGTTAGCGAAAGAAGGAATCACCTCTATAATTTTCTCTACAGTGCGTATTTGTTCCCCGCCTTGTGAGGTGGTATAGAAGGTTTTGTTTCGCTGTTGGAACACTTCAAAAAACTGTCTCAATATGAAAAACGACCCGCAGGAGCAAGCGCCGTTCAGATCCGGTTCGCCACGGAGCAATTTCTCGGATAATGTAGAGATTGACGAGCAGCCCAGAATCTTGGCGGATGAACACAAGGAAGGAAATCGGGGTCTGCCAAGCCAAGGGCTAAGTTTTAAGCAGGACATCTCGGAAGGTGCGAACGATGAAGACAGCGCGGATGGTCAGCCAGGAAAACAAGATCTGAGCTCCGAGAGCGAGCAGGAAGTGCCGTACTCGCGCTTCGGGCGCCGCGAAAAATTCCTGCTCGTCATCCTTTGCGCCTCAAGCGGGCTTTTCTCCACGATAGCGGCCCCGATATACTATCCGGCCTTGACGACGATCGAAAATGAATTTCATGTTTCGTCAGAGCTTGTGAACATCTCCATAGTGGTCTATTTTCTGCTACAGGGTCTTGCGCCGACGCTTATGGGTGGACTGGCAGACAGCTTCGGAAGACGACCCGTTGTTTTGTGGTCCCTAGCAGTCTACATGGCTGCGTGCATAGGTCTGGCTCGCACGAAGACGTTTGCCGAGATCCTGGTTCTGCGTTGTATCCAAAGCGCAGGCATATCGCCTGTTGTCGCCGTTAATAGCGGGATCATGGGCGACGTGACCACCAAGGCTGAAAGAGGCGGCTACGTGGGACTCACATCGGGGTTTCAAATTCTGGGCAATGCGTTTGGGGCCCTCATTGGCGCTGGACTCCTGGCCACCTGGAACTGGCGGGCTATCTTTTGGTTTTTGGCCATTGGCTCGGGCGTGAATCTTATCGTCGCAGGTATCCTGTTGCCCGAAACTAAGAGAACCATCGTTGGCAATGGATCGATCGAGCCCTCGAAAATGATCTGCAAATCTCCGTTTATCCTGTTCCCACCTGTAAGACGGGTGCTGCACTTAGAGCAGCCAGATCTTGAAAGTCAAGCTCCGCGCGAGAAATTGAACCTTTTAGCACCTTTGGAGATCTTCCGCAGACCTGAAGTTGCGCTGATGCTATTTTTGACAGGCTTGCAGTTTTCGCTATGGACCTGCCAGCTCCCGCGCTCTCTTCGACGCTCCAGAATGACTATCATCTTTCAATTGCAAAAGTCGGCCTTTCATACTTGCCTAGCGGTATTTGTACCCTCATCAGCATCTTGGGCGCGGGTCGTCTTTTAAACTGGAATTATCGGCGCAGATTAAGGATGCATGAGGAGTGGATAAACCGTGTCCAAGAGCAACTGCTGAAAGAGAATGATTACGACGCTGCAGTTGTTGGTAATATCTTGGCAACCAACTCGAAGTATTTTTTCAACATCTTCCGCGTGCGCCTCGAGATAATTTACGTACCACTTCCTTTAAGCGGTGCAGGTTTCATAGCCTTTGGATGGTGCCTCTACGTGCATGCGCCATTGCCCGCTGTCCTAGTCATGAGCGGGTTTGCATCTCTGTTCTCCAATTGCATTATGTCGTGTGCCCAAACCCTCGTCATTGATCTGTATCCTCATATGGCATCTACTGCCAGCGCATGTGTCAATTTCTCCAGATGTATTATGGCTGCTATATTTGTCGCATGTCTCGACAAAATGCTGAAAGCCATGACGGTTGGCGGCACATTCACTTTCATGGCTTCTCTATGCATGGCTTCGACATTCGTGCTCTGGATACCGATCAAATACGGTATGGAACTTGAGTATCAAAGGAAACTGAAAAGTGAAGCTCGGAAAACACAAAAACTTGACAGTGAACATAATCCCGATATAGAGTCGCAAGCCTCTCCACATCTGCGAAATCAGTCGAGTTCCTCTTCCCCTGGTTTCTCCAATAATGATAGAAATTTGTTGAGAAACATCTCAACGGCATCAAGCGTCCCGCCACTGTGAAGATCTGCGCTGAAGACGAATTCATAATGCAGCGATCAAATCCTAAGGTCAATAGTTGTGTGTCCGACTCATAATGTAAAGAATCACATTAAGCGCAGCGAATCTGCGATGAGTTTGTTAACTTCAACGGACAATCACCCACTCAGAGATGAACTAAGTAACACGATGAGCTCCTATTGCCCAACAAGATTTGGGTTGAGTACCAATTTGTCAAATGCTTACGGGCAGTTCCACACCCAATAATGATCCCTCAAATATGTGACAGTCAAGTTCACGAAAAGGGGCTTGATTCTCAAAAAGCGGATTCGAGACCCAGTGCTAAACTTTGACTGTTCTTCGACTGTAGACCTCTAAATATTCATTTATGACTTTAACATCGAATCCAACATAAGACTTGATTGTAAGATTTGAAAACATGGTGAATGCTTTGAGAACGTACTATATTTTCCCTGGAAAATATGAGTACTCTAATTACAAACCAGTAATATTAATTCACCCTTGTCAGAACAAAAACAAGAAGCCTCGAGTAATCTGGCATTGTTCTTACTGCTTAAGGCAGGGTGGCGAGGAACGTGGATTGCTCAAATTTAGAGTCCATTTCACCTAATGAGTTTTATCCCTCCAAGTTTCTGGAACACTCTACATATTTGAGCTAAAAATCTGCCAATTCTCAATCGCAGAATTTGAAATGTTGTGCTTTGAGCTGCCGCTACCTGATTTGGTTAGTCTGTGGAAGATTACCTTTACGAATTTAGCTGAAGATCGGCCATGAATCCATGCCCCTGTCATCATTTCTGCTGCAAGCCTTCTAAAATATTTGAGTTATAGAGCCCCTTTTTTACAGCCGCAGCATCTTTTAATGCAAAAACCTACTACTGAAGCATGCTATTCCAACCCAGCTTAATTCAATGATTGAGATGCTATCTCCATCATTCGGTCCGTTTTAAAACGGTGCCAATAATAATTCATGATTTCAGCATTTTTCGGTGCAAGCATCGCATCTTTCAGTCATGCAGGTGCTAACCATATTCACCAAGGACTACATTTACAACGACCCTTTGATTGAACTCAGTGGTTCTTGGCTTTCGCTGTTTTCAATTAATAAGTGCATCTCATAAAAATAAGCCGGCGAAAATTGCTTCTCTGATTATCTGACCTTTGCAAGAAACAGCTGCACTATGAGCTCCACGAAAACCGTCAAGATTCTAAAGGTTGCGTGATTGACGACCCAAGCAACTCTCAGAGGAAAAAGCGGCTGACTTCTTTTTGGATCGTCTCTTACAGCCTTCGTTAGTGGCTTGTAGCGTAACTATCTCCATTTCAGCTTGGAAAGGCAATGAACTCCTGCTAAACGATTCTACACACTTACCTGGTTCCTTCCGACAGATATTATCAAAATGATTGGATAGAGCATTTACTGTTATCAACATAACGATTCTGCTCATCACATTGACTTTGAAGGTCTTTGAAATTAGAGCCTTTGCAAAATTGGCATTGATTTGAGTGCCAAAACAGTCCATGGCCTCAATCTCTTAGTTTGACAATCTGAGGTGATCTTCGCTATTATCAATGATGTCCAATAAGCTTATGATTCCCGGTAACGTGCTGCGGTCAAGAGCTGGGGCTCAAGCGGACATGAGTTTTGCCAATTTTCTTCGTCAATTTTCTTTGAACTTCACTATTTGACCATCAGCTCGTGAAGAGATGTATCAAATATATTTTTGTCGTCAGTATCACGGAGTTCCGCACCGAAAGGTAGCCAGGATTCGCGAAGGCTTTGGAAAATCCGTTGGATGAAATTAGTCCGCTCTCGTTTGTTACAGGCTTGTGGTATCGCACTGAGAATTGCCAGGCAAAGCTTTCCGCGATAATTCGAGATTGCCTTTATAATAACGTCATACCTGTGAATCTCCGATGAAGATATGGATTCAAGTGTCAGGGGAGAATTTTGTGAAAGTGATTCCAAACTTGTGATAGGGTTCAAGACTAACCTTGTGGCTGAACGCTCCGGAGAAAAGGCCCACAAAAAGCTTACATTTGAAAAACAGTACAACAAGTTTTCACTGAGGCGTCGATTGATGTTTGAGAGTGCCAACATCTCGTTGACCAGAACTGGTGTAAAATCAAGGAACTTCAAACAACTCAACGTTCCATTTGTTTTGTAAGAATCAAGCTCGGCACTGACGTCGACCGATTTGCGCCCAACGGCCAAAATTGTCATTTAAATAGGGAGAGTTTCGAAAAATGCTGCCAAAACAGCGCTTGCTCGCCCGAACTTGAAAGGACCAGAATTTGCTCGGCTGTTTTTCGACATGCCAGAAACTGCTGTAGTAGAGGCCCCGACGCAGCCGCATCTGGTGAAGTTTTGTTCGATATGCCAATCGTGTGGTTTTCTTCGGGTTAAGCCAGGTCCTCGATTCCGTCCGCCTTTATCCTGGTTGACCTGGCTAGAAACGAAAAGCGCTCAAACAGCGAAGACTTTCAGCATGGAAAGCCAAACAACAACAAATTGTCCGACTTGCGACTCCCAGTAGTGCTCAATGCCCGCTTGTTCCACCAGTTTAGGATCTGCCGGCCGTAGGCGGGCCAATTTTGCTGCGTACGGCCGTAAGCAACGGCCGTACCAACAGGCATGTACTTTACGGCCGGAGTTTATTCATCTCATCGCAAGGCAAGGTGGCAGATAAGTTTAAATCAGACGCAGCTGGAGGACCGGACGGAAAACTGAAGAGTTGATTTGAGATCAAACGACAGGGTTTAGAGGTTTGCGCGGCATATATTGCTCGACTTCGCTCGGTTAAAATTTTTTGCAGAGTGGTCAAATTGCTCCGTTGTCAGAGAAGACAGAGTGGTTGATTAGAGTCGTATTAAAATTTAGGTACCACAGTGCAGGTGAGCTTCCTTTGAACGGGCGGATACGCATTCAGAGCTTTTTTTCCGCCTTCGCCGCGCCTCGAGACTCACTGGAAACAGTAGAAAACGCACGCGCAATGAGTAAAGAATTACGAAATTCCTGCTCTACTTCGGATAACGAAAAGCCAGAGTCTCTGTACGCCATCAACGAAAACAAGGTAGACAGAAACAGGCCCGAAACGTTCTTGAACAGCGATGACGTCGAAAAAGTCACAGAGTCCGAGATTTATCCGCAGAAGCGGCTGTTCAGCTTTCTGCATACCAAGAAGATACCGCCGATCCCCACGGATGAGGAACGCGGCGTCTATCCGCTGTTCCGTACAAACTGGCTCTACCGCCTCTTTTTCTGGTGGGTGTTCCCGATCCTGCGCGTCGGATACAAGCGCACGTTACAGCCCAACGACCTGTGGAAAATGGACGACCGCATGTCTATCGAAACGCTGTCCTCTGATTTTACGCGGTACTTTGACGTCTATGTCGAGAAGACGCGCGCGCGGTACCGCAAGAAGAACCCTCATGCAACAGAAGAAGAGGTCATCGACAACGCAGTGCTACCCAAACACACACTCGTCAAAGTGCTACTGTTTACGTTTAAGTGGCAGTATTTCATGGCGTTTGCGGCAATGACGCTGTCCAACGGGGCATCTGCATTTTTACCCATGGTCACCAAGCGCCTTATCGACTTTGTGAGCGATAAGACGTATAATCCTGAACTTCGCGTAAACGCTGGCGTTGGCTATGCGATTGGAAGTTGTGTGATGATGCTCATCAACGGCGTCGCTTTCAGCCATTTTCTTCACAACTCGCAGTTGACAGGTGTACAAGTAAGGACAGTTTTGACAAAAGCAATTCTAACCAAATCCATGAGACTATCCGGCTCTTCAAGGCACCGCTTTCCAAACGGTAAGATTACTTCCATCATGTCTACAGACTTGTCACGGCTCGAGCGAGCTGTCGTTTATCAACCTCTGTTGGGCTCCTTTTTCGTGGCCGTTGCTATTTGCGTCGTTTTATTAATCATCAACCTTGGACCCATTGCCTTGGTCGGTATTGGCATTTTCATCGTGGCGACATGCCTTTCCGCTTACGCTTTCAAGCGAATGATTTCTGTCAGGAAGAAAACTAATCTGTTCACAGATGTGCGCGTGACATTAATGCGCGAGGTACTGAATAATATGAAAATGATCAAGTTCTATGCTTGGGAAGACGCGTACGAGATAAGCGTTCATGAGCAAAGATCGAAGGAAATCGTCAAAACAAGATCCATGCAATTCACACGTAATTTTGTCACTGCGTTGGCCGTTTGTTTGGCAAACATTGCTTCCATGGTTACATTTCTAGCTCTTTACAAAGTTAAGAATCACGGTAGAACACCCGCGAATGTGTTTTCGTCTTTGTCGCTTTTCCAAGTCTTGAGTATTCAGATGTTTTTTATCCCAATGGCGCTAAGTACTGCTGTTGATGGTTATATTGCCCTCAATCGTTCTCAAGAACTTCTGGATGCTGCCGAAGAAAACTGCGATATTGAAAAGGGTTTCCGTCCCTGTGACGATAAAAATTTGGCCCTTAAGGTGGTCAACTGTTCTTTTGAGTGGCGGAATGTTAAAGCTGAAGAGGTCAGGCCATCTGCAGAGGGGAAACCTGAAGGCCAAAACCAGGAATGGAAAACCAAAGAACTCTCAGAGCCAGAAGAAGAGTCTGCTCATATCAGAAACGGGACTATGAGTGACACAGAAGACGAATCTTTTAAAGGTTTTCACAATTTAAATTTCGAAATTGGAAAAGGCGAATTGATTATCATCACAGGGCCTATCGGAACAGGCAAATCGTCCCTATTAAGTGCGTTGGCTGGCTTTATGAGGAAGATTGAAGGCGATGTCTTCAAAAGCGGATCCTTACTCCTGTGTGGGTATCCATGGATACAAAATGCCACGGTCAGAGATAACATTATATTTGGTTCGCCCTACGATGAGGCCAAATTTAAAGAAGTGATTAGAGTTTGCTCTTTGCAGGCCGATCTGGACATGCTGCCTGCGCATGATAAGACCGAAATAGGTGAAAGAGGTATTACGTTATCCGGAGGTCAAAAAGCACGTATAAACTTGGCAAGGAGCGTTTACAAGTCGGTTGACACTTATTTATTTGATGATGTTCTGAGTGCTGTTGATGCCAGAGTTGGTAAGCATATCATGGATGAATGTATGCTAGGCAGACTTAGAGAAAAAACGATAATTTTGGCCACTCACCAGCTGAGCCTGATCGATAGAGCCTCCAGAGTTATTTTCTTAGGGACCGATGGATCGTTTGACATTGGTACTTTTACCGAGTTGAAAAAGAGAAACACGGGATTCAATAAACTCATGGAGTTTGCAAGCAAGTCTTCCGATAAGGAGAAAGATGAATTGGATAGCACTCAAGCTTCTGGAGATGACGTCAGCACTGCTGAAGAATTAGAACGTTTTAGAGACGATGAGCGGCAGCGCGAAATGGTTGCCTCTCGCTTGAAAAAAGAATTGAGCAAGAGGTCATATGAAAGTGGTGGAGAAGACAAGGAAGCCGCCGGTCGCTTGATGGCCAGGGAAGAAAGGGCTGTCAACAGCATCGATTTCGATGTTTACAAAAACTATATTTCTGCTGGTATTGGCAACAAGGGTTTCGTTTGTCTACCTTTCTATCTGATTTTACTGACGGTGTCTACTTTTTCGTTGTTGTTTTCATCTGTGTGGTTATCTTTTTGGACTGAGGACAAGTTTAAACGTCAGGCCGGGTTTTACATTGGCATGTACGTCTTTTTCGTTTTTTTCAATTACTTTTGCACTACTGGCCAGTTCACTTTGTTGTGCTACCTTGGTTTGACTGCCTCTAAGATGCTGAACCTTAAAGCGGTAAAAAGAATATTGCACACGTCCATGAGTTTTATCGATACTACACCCATTGGGCGTGTCCTTAACCGTTTCACAAAAGATACGGATACGCTTGACACGGACCTCACCGAAAGTGTTCGTTTGTTTCTTTATCAAACGGCCAACATCACTGGCGTGGTGATCATGTGTATCATTTACTTGCCATGGTTTGCCATTGCCGTTCCATTTTTGATCATCATTTTTGCATTGGTAGCTAATCACTATCAAAGCTCGAGCAGGGAGATCAAGCGCTTGGAAGCCATACAAAGATCACATGTCTTCAACAACTTTAATGAGGTGTTGAGCGGCATAGATACCATTCGCGCGTACAGAGGCCAAGACCGATTTTTGATGAAGAATGATTATTTGACCAACAAGATGAACGAAGCCGGGTACTTGGTCGTAGCGGTTCAAAGATGGGTGTCGATTGCCATCAACATGATTGCCATGGCTTTTGCGCTGATCGTCGCGCTGTTGTGTGTGACCAGGCAGTTCCACATCTCTCCCTCTTCGGTCGGTGTCTTGCTGACGTACGTCCTGCAGTTACCGGGCCTTTTGAACACACTCATGCGAGCTATGACTCAAGGTGAGAATGACATGAACAGTGCGGAAAGAATGATTTCATATGCGACGGCACTCCCGCTCGAGGCCAACTACCGTAAACCTGAGATGACGCCCGTAGAGCCTTGGCCCAGCCAAGGAGAGATCGTCTTTAACGACGTGAGTCTTGCGTACCGTCGAGGTCTACCGCTCGTACTCAAAAACGTCAGTATCGACATAGGAGGCGGCGAAAAGGTCGGTATTTGCGGGCGCACGGGTGCTGGCAAGTCCACGATTATGACTGCTCTGTATCGTATCTGTGAGCTGCATTCGGGCAGCATCACAATCGACGGCGTCGACATCTCCAAGATTGGTCTGTTCGACCTGCGCAGCAAGCTGTCGATCATTCCACAGGACCCCGTGCTATTCAAAGGTTCGATCCGAAGAAACCTGGATCCCTTCAACGAGAGAACCGATGAACAGTTGTGGAACGCTCTCGTTCGGAGTGGCGCGGTCGATGCATCGGAGATAGAGGAGATGAAGGCGGAATCTCTGGGGACCTCTGGCGCGCACGCAAACGTAAACAAGTTCCATTTGAGCCAGGAAGTCGAAGACGACGGCTCGAATTTCTCTCTGGGCGAAAGGCAACTGCTGGCATTGGCACGTGCGCTGGTACGCCAGAGCAAGATCATCATATTGGACGAGGCCACTTCCTCTGTCGATTACGAAACCGACGCCAAGATCCAGACCAAGATTGTCCAGGAATTCTCGAGCTGCACGATTCTGTGCGTTGCGCACCGTCTGAACACGATTCTGGACTACGACCGGATCCTGGTGCTCGAACAGGGGAGCGTCGCTGAGTTCGACACTCCCAAGGCGCTATTCCGCGCTGGCGGCATTTTCACAGAGATGTGCCAGCGGTCCAGCATCACGAGCGCGGACTTCAAGTAGGCGCTACGGTCCGGCGCGGCGCTCCGTTGCACCTACTCATGAAGGATGACCGAAAGAGAACAAAAATCAAAGTCGAAAATACAAAATTCGATCTTCTAATCAGCATCAGCTTTAAAAAGAAAATTTGGCTTTAGTTTCGAAAGGTCTTCAAGGTGTCCTTTCACCGAGTCTTATCTTGTTGTAAGTTCAGTTCCAAACGATGTCGATAAGCAAGTCATTAGAAAATTGAAGCTTGGCTGTCGATTTTACCCTTAAGGATTTAAATCGTGGAGATATAGGATAATCTACATCATGCTGTTGCGGGTTCAACGGTTGTGAATACGAATGTACTTTACGTGGTACTCGTACCGCATCCAAAGTCGTAAGATATCTTAAATGGCGACATAGAGCTGACTATGAGCTCTTCCGGAGAAATTTGAGTTGCAACAAAGAACTCTTGATGTTTATCCGACTGTTTTTCAATTCACAAAATGCCCCTCGCCTTGATTAAACGATTTTTCAATTTCTGCCCATCAATAAATTAATGAGCAGCTGATATCCAAAGGGTATGCTCATGAGCATTCGTTATCTCTTGATCAAGCATTGTAACAGCATCACTTCATATTGAGGGCTTCTATAATGACTTCGGGTAATTCAAGCGAACACATGGTCAATCCTGGACTTCCCGCATCATCAGAACCCATTTCGTAGCAAACGGTAGCTACTACCGTTTCATTGATCCATTTTGATCGAAAAACCATGCATCGTTGATCAATTTGTACAGTCCTTATAAACTCAGCATTACGATTGTAGTCACTCTCACTAACCGAACCCAAATCGATTTCACTCAGATCACAGTTCAATCCCGTGCCCGTAAACTTAGTATACGCTTCTTTCATGGACCAATAGTGTGTGAAAATTCGATCAAGCAGTTTTCGACCCCGGCCGGCATCCAGTGTCTTTCTCAGGTGTGTAAACTCGTGAACTGAAAATATGTCTTTAAATTCGTTCAGGTATTCATCGTTCCAGGATTTACAGTCAGTGGTCGACGCCAGATCCAGTCCCACCTCGCTAGGTATGCCATTTTCGTCGTCCTCGTCGCCGCTGTTTCGTCTCAAAAACATCGCACAGAATCCGTCGCTATTAGACATACTAAACGCCGGAACTCGTCGACCCAACAGTCTTGGTTTCCCAAACTTTCCATTACTAAACTTCAAATCACCAATATTCCGTCTTGTAGCCTTACAACACCCCATCAGCTGTAGTAATTGCGAAACCAACGCTATTTGACGCGTTCGACCTCGTTTCTCGAGAATCCGGGCCTGTTGTTCCAGCGGCAATATTCGCATGCAGTTTTCGAATTGAAAATCGTCATTTAAATATGCATCACGTCCATTAATCCTAATATAGATAAGGCATTGAAACTGCTCGTTTTGGTGGCAAATATCCTGGAATTTATCCATGCTTTTAAATGTTCTGTGACATATCCTGTTATCTAAATGAAAACCTGGTTTTCTAGTATCACTGAAAGTCTTGTCACATTGAAAACTTTAGACTCAAGAAATCTGAAAGCCGATAGGGATCATGGTTTCGGAGCGTTCGAACGATCGTCAGGAATTGTACGAGTCGGCAGTGGCTTTTTTGCGGGATTCTAGCGTTGCAACGGCCCCTTTAAGCAAGAAAGTCGAGTTTTTAAAGTCAAAGGGATTGACTTCGGACGAGATAAACCAAGTAATCAAAGATGCAGAGAAGGTAGGGAATGGTGGCGGTGACAATGCTTCCACCCCTGCAGGGCCAACAGCTGGAACAACAGCGTTAGAGACAGCTCCTTACTACGAAACTATGCCACCTCCGTTGCCAGCGCGAGACTGGAGAGATTATTTCGTGATGGCCACTGCAACTGCAGGAGTTTGTTACGGTGTGTATCAGCTTGCAAAACGGTACGTGATACCTAACCTGGTGCCGGAACCAAGACACAAACTGGAACAGGACAAACAGGCTATCATGGAAGAATTTGACAAAGTCGAGAAACTGCTTACGACGATCGAACAAGAACAAGAAGCGTTTAAGAGACAGGAAGCCGAAAAGTTGGACGAGCTGGATCGTACCGTGACAGATCTGCAAACTGCTTTAGACGCCACGTCCAGAACTAGAGAACGTATTGAAACTGAATTCAGAATGCTAAAGATGGAAATGACCACTTTGCAAGGAACCGTCGACAAATTTATCTCTGAAAACAGTGGTTCTCGTGAGTTTACGAAATTGAACGATGAAATCAATTCTTTGAAGAATCTGATCAAAAACAATAACGTTTTGAGATTAAAATCACCCTCGGAGAAATCCGCTGTTTTGTCGCCTGCTGGTCAAGCAGCGGTGACCAGTATAGCTCCTGGTGCCACGACGGTCCCCTCAGCATCCGAAATTCTTGCGAAGATGAATATACCTAAAAATACCGACGCCGATCAACCGGCTTGGAAGAAAAGTCGCGAAGCACTTGCCATTCCAGAATGGCAGAAACAATCGAGTCAAAAAGAACGTACACCGATCCCGGACTGGCAAAAGGCCATGCTGAACGCAGAATCGCCTAGTCCAGAAGAGGAGCAAGCCACTTGACCTTCTTTTCTTTGACGAGTCACGTGAGTTGTGTCATTTATTACGCAAAAGGTGCTATTTGGACTAAGATCACACTGATTAGAGAACTGGTAATATATCTAAGAGAGGGAAGACGGACAAGCCGGAGGCGGACTTAAAATCGATTGCGAAACTTTTGCTGGTCATATGAGTGATGGATCTATGAATGTGGATAAAGAGGACGTATTTAAGTTACTTGTCAATTCCTCGGAAAGACATTTGACTGCCAAGCAGTTTTTGAACTTCTTTAATGAAATATTGAATGAGAGGCTAGAGCCCTTGCCAAGCAATGGCGATGAAAGTGAAAACAAACACCAGGAACAAAGCGTATATACGCGTATCGCGGATGAGCTTTTTCGCGGTCTCGAGACTCAAAAAAGTGTTCTAATTGCCGATTACGTCGTAGAAGTGGTATTTGTCAATTATAACCGTCAATTGCTGGAAGAGTTGTTCTCTCGTCTTTCCAATGTTACAAATGGCAGACTGATCATCCATCTCTTCAATAAAGCTAGTGCATTTCTGCATCAACTGTCCGACAGGTTGGTTATCGAACAAGTATCTCAAGATATGGCAGACGTTATTCTACCGTCTCTGTTGAGCAGGGATTTTGATGGCATTGATCCCCTTTTCGTGAAACCCATTGCCAAGTTTCTGATGAGGTGTCTCGCTTTGGCGAATAAACCTTTGAAATTGAGCTCTCCGCTAGTGCTCGAGCACGTTCATTCGCTGATGTCACGTCTGTCGCGGACGGATAAACTGCTTCATAAAAAGCTTTTGGGGAGCGTTACCCAGAAGCTTAATTACCATGATCAAGGTTCTGGAATACCGTCGGTGCTGGTCAATGGGGCAGCCACATCACCTGCCACCACCTCACCCAATTTCGCAGTGAGCCCGTCCAATTATAACTATAAAGAGGAAGGTGCTCGCAAATCGGGTAAATCTTATCAGGCGATCCGAATGTCTCGCTACTACAAAAATTTGTGGCTTAATAGTAAAATCATAAGTTGGTCTGCTGGTGGTTCTGATTTTGCTCTGAAGTACAGCTCGATCGATAGCATATTGAACTCGAGTGAGATGTCAAATAATTTCAATTCTGAAGCGGTGTTTTCTGATCTTATCGAAACTACATTTACTTGTTTTGCTCAGTTCGTAAGCAACAAGCAGTATCATGAACCTAACTCAAACTACAACCTTCTCGAACGACAGTGGGTAATTTTCATCACCAAGCAATTGCCGCTTTTGATAATGGAAAATGCCTCCCAGTATCCAGGGCTGATTCAAAAAAGTATTGAAGCTGTTGATGATAAAGTGGCCAAGGCCTTGAGGTCCTACGGCTCGGAGAAGGAAAATTTCAAAGAACGAAATGAAGATCTTTTTGATGACTTTCCGAATAATAGCCTTGACATACGCCATGACTTCATAAAAAATCTTATCATGCTAAAATTGCAGCCGCCTTCCCTTCTCAACGACTTTCTGAGAGAAGATCAAGTGGTAGACATTAAGTCATTGTCATGCGACGACTCGGTAAAGTTGAAGAACGAGCAAGGTGTCCGAGAAGTAATTGATGACTTTTCTGCATTTATCACAACTGCTCTGAGATCCATGGACATTGAAGGAATTTTTGAAACATCTGGCACATCTACTATTGCAACTGGGGACAGACTCATTCAAACATTTCAGGACTTTGAATCTGTAGCACCAACAAAACAAAGAGAGGCAGCTCAGACCATTTTTCAGTTACTTTGTGATGCTGTTAAGGATTTCGACTATCGCTTAGTAGCCAAAATTTGTTGCGTTCTGACTATGAACTGGGGCCATTCTTTGACGTCAATTCTATCGTTTGTGGCTCCCTCAAAGTTCGCTGTTCCACTATGTGAATTCCTGGAAGACGCCTGGGATATGCGTTCGGAACGAGTTAGTGAAAGTTTAATGGAGGACTCGGATCTAGAGTTGAATAGCGACTTTGTCATTTTCACGCATGCATTACTCTTTCTCATAACTCTTCAAGAAACATATGGAATAAAGCTTACCGATATATTTTTGAGCTCTAAGCGGCTTTCAACTCAAAATTCCTTCATATTAGATTTCGTCTCTCACCTAGGGCAGATTCCTGATCGACTTGAACTTTCCAATGGCGCTCAAGAGAACAAGAACTTGCTAGAAACGTGGTTCCGCGATCTTTTCATAAACGGATCGATATCTGATTCTCTTATGAAATCGACCGGTGTCAAAGACCTAGCCCACCTTGTTCCCTTCATTTTCAAACAAAGTGTGGAAAGCGTTGAAGTTGGTGCTCTTAGAGACGTTTCACCTCTCATTGGGGGTTTTGAATATTTTCTACAGCCTTTTATGATCATTGGTATGATTGGTATCGTTTTTTGGCTCGAGCCGTATCTGTGCACAGTGAAGAGCAAAGGAAGTTCTGACGAATTTTTTGAGTCTCTACTTGAGATGCTCAACTCCTTAATTAATCCAGCAACCTTAAATGATGAATCGAGACCTCTTCACACAATCATTTTGAGACTCAACGCACCTAAACTTCTCAAAGCTCTGAGAGCCTTCAGAAGTCAAACACAGCCCAATTATGGAATCTATTCTGCAGATGCCCAGGGACATCCAAAGCTAGAGTCCTTGATTTCTCACTTAGAAGATTCACTGAAAACTGGAATTGTCTACAATGTCGACCCTCGTCTGTTGTCAAATTCAAATGGATATTCTCAGAAAGATGTCATTTACGCTCCCTTCATTATCACCAATGAAACTACCATTAGCAGTATTTTGACAAATCAGATAAATTCTTTCTGGAATCTTCACAGCAGTACCTACTTCAATCTTGATTATCTGATGACCTTAGTATCAATTATTACTCCGGGGCGATTTTTAGAAGAAGTTCTGGAAAGTTTAAAGGAAAAGACGCTCGCTACTTCGACTCAAAATTCCAAAATTGAAACGCACGTTATTGAATCGCAGAATTGTCTTGACTTGCTGTTTTACTTTTTGGTTTTTCATGATATGTGTCTGTTCTCAAACAAGGTTTACTTACTTCAATATATGGAGTCTACGGAGGATACTCTATCGCTTTCTCTGAAGCAAAGTGAAGAACTTAAATATGAGCCTGATATGAAGGTTGAACAGCAAGCAGACGAAGATTTCGACATGCTGTTCGGAGAGGACACCAGCACTGCCGGTAACGACCCTGAATTATTAAATCAGGAAAGACTTGAACGCGATATGATGGAAAGACGTGTTCCAATACTTCTGCGATCATCGTTTGCTCGAATTTTGCATGAAAAGAAGCTAGCAACAGATGAGTTGCGGCATGACACTAACTACAAAGACAGCCTTGCGTCGGATGTTGATGAATATCATAGCAGGTATGTTAGACTACTGGACACTGTTGTCATCTGAAAATCCTGCCTCGGAGATGGAGATTAAGATTAAGAATGTTCTTTTATATTACATTTAAGCGAATGCACATTACATATATAACTGTAGAAGGAATGCAAAAAGAGCCGATGGTAATTTCTGTCGTATAAAAATTAAAACTTAGTATTTGCACGGGGAAAGGCGGATACGCCATTTGCGGACACTTCGTGAATGTTTTTCTCCTGAGTCTTGCCCTCCATGACGACTTGCTGAACATGTTCTTTTTGTTTTGCCCTGTCTCTCATTCTTTCCTCTATGGTTCCTTTGATAAGCAATCTGTAGACAGTGACTTGTCTCGTTTGACCCAATCTATGAGCTCTATCCATGGCCTGTGAATCTATGGTAGGGTTCCAATCTGAATCATAAAAAATGACCGTATCTGCTGCTGTTAAGTTGATACCAAGTCCACCGGCCCTTGTACTGAGCAGGAAAATGAAAATTTCTGGTCTTGTTTGCCAATCGTGGACAAGGTCTCTACGGTCTTCAAGCTTTGAAGAACCGTCAAGACGAATATGTTTGTACTGTTTGTATGTCAGATACTCTTCCATCAAATCCATCATTTTCGTCATTTGAAAGTAAATTAGAACTCTATGGTCGCCCTTCTTGAGATCCACCAGCATCTCATCGAGCTTCTTTAATTTCGTGGACTCTGTGATAAATCTATCCATCGAAGGCATAGATATGGTGGAAGTGAAGCTCTTGTTAAGAGGCTTTGGATACAGGTCAGATTTAGGGAATTCAGAAACAGGGATTTTATGCTTGGTGAACATCTCTTGTTGAATTCTTGGTGCTATTGGGTTTAGAGCCCGAGTGACCTTCGGCTCGAAAAGCTCTCTCTTAAAGGTGGAATCGAAATGCTTAGAACCCAAAACTTTGAGTTCAACTGGAGGAGCGCAAGCTGCAGGATGATATGCAGGTTGCCAAACGTTCATGTACTGATCTTCGTAAATTTGAGATTTGACATTCAGCAAAGATTCTAAAACGCCACCTGTCGTTTGGTGGCTTTGGTTAACAAGTAAAGTCGTTCTATCGGGCACAGAAAATGAATGTGCCACGCGGAGAGATCTGGCTTTGAGTTCGTCAATGGAATAATCGCAAGAGCTTGCAAGCTGAATTGCCTTGCGGAGCACATTAGTTTGAGAATTTTTGAAAAGATCATTTTCAGAAGAATCGGTGAGTAATGCCAATGCGAGACACAGTTGTCTTGAGTTCATTGGATGCAAAATATTCATGGAATGATTGAGAAATTTGTCTTTGATGCTTTTGGCGCTGTTTACGCTTGGAATCAACAACTCATTGTAGATCAGTCGCGGCATAGTGTAAGTAATGAAGTTCTTTGTTGAGTACGTGACATCCAATTCATCACTTTCGCGCAAAAGAGACGCAGTTTCGCCGAATTCTGCGAACGCAAAAGGGCTGCTCACATCCGCTCTTTCAAAAAGATCCGGATGATTGCAAACTTTCCTGAATTGCATCACGGTATTGATAAGGTTTTGATCAGAAGATGCTTCGTCGTTCCCGGCTGCATTTTCGATTGCATCGTAAGCAGCAGATACCTGAGACTTAAGCACTTGATAGAGCTTTGACTGTCTTCGGGTTAAATCACACATAACATCGATCTCGATTTTCTCGCCCAATTCCGACTGCACATTCTTCTTTATACGTCTCAACATGAAAGGTTTCAGAATCATGTGCAGTCTCCGTAATTGCTGGTGATTCAACTTCGTATTGGATTGCGCATGAGATTCGATGTCTTTAGAAAACCAATCGCTGAATTCGTCATGGGAATCGAACAAAGAGGGCATGATAAAATGTAAAAGGGCCCATAACTCCTGCATATTATTCTGGATGGGTGTACCGGTCAACAGAAGTCGATTTCTGCAGTGGAAGCTCAACAAGTTTTTCCAGCGCGAAGATTGTGAGGATTTGATGGCCTGTGCTTCATCGAGAATCATATACTGCCATTTCATTTTTTGCAAATAGGCCGCGTCCGAGACTACCATTTGATAAGATGTGATCATGACATGGAAGGGCGCATTTTTGCCGTACCGTAAATGTTTCCGGTCCCAAAATCTTCTGAGCACTTTTCTATCATTTCCGTTCCCCCAATAAGGAAGGATTTTGAAATCAGGAACAAATTTAGAGATTTCGTTGACCCAGTTATGCAAAGTGGATGCTGGAGTGACGACTATGAAGGGCCCCCAGATGTTGTACCTTTCGGCGAGGTGTGCCAGCACCGAAATAGATTGCACGGTTTTACCAAGTCCCATCTCGTCTGCCAAGATACCGTTGATACCTTGGTCGTAAAGGTTTGCAAGCCAGTTAAGGCCCTTGAGCTGGTACTCTTTCAAAGTGCAAGTGAGTAATTTAGGTTGATCAATGGTAATTTCGCCGAGGGAAGTTGGATTTTGGAAATTGAGTTCTTCGTCCTCGTCTGGGTTGGCATCGAATTCACGAGCTTTGGCCTGGGTGGCAAGCAATGCGTTAGAAGCATTTTGGGCCGCTTTCAACCGCAAATCCTCATCGTTTTCGTTATCGAAATCGATCGCGTGGAAATCGTTTTTCGCGGCCTGCGTCTTGGCCAAATCGATGTGATCCAATTTGGAATCGTTTTTGGGCTTGTTTTTCAGCGTAGAATCGGCCATATTGCCCTCGAGCTCATCGGTTTTAATCTTGCTGCCGATAAAATGCGAGTAAAGCTCCGTTTGCGTGAGTAAGAAGTTGAGTTTCCGCGCTTGCCGTTTGTTTTCACGTTCTTCTTCTTCGCGCTTGGCATGTTCCATGGCCTCCTTCTCGGCTTTCTTCTTGAGGTCTCTTTCCTCACGCTCGTTTTTCTTCCAGAAGCTAGACATCTCGCGCACACCACGGCGGGCCTTGGTTTGGAAATCCTTGAGTTGTCGGAAATTACGCATCTGCCACTTGCGGGCTTCGCGTGCCGCTAACGACGACGTTTTTTTGCAGTTGAGAGCCCGTGTAGTTTGCATCTGTTGTACGAGCCGGGCGATCTTGGCCGAGTCCTTGCGCGCCAAATCTTTCCAGATCGTGAAATAGGTGTTGTCGTAGTGACGCTGGACGGCGCGGGCTTCTTTAACGGTCATCTTCATGCCGTATGTGGGCAACCCGTCGACAGTCGATTGTATGCCACCGGTACCGTCGCTTTTGCCAGTCTTGCGTCGTTTCGCGGCGGGACCTCCTGCACCTGCGCCGCCGGCGCTGTTGTCGCCGTCCCCGTTTTCACCGGCGCCAGCGCCAGCGGCACCGGCACCACTGATGCCGCCGTTTTCGCCGCCTCCATTGTAGCCTGCAGCGGCTTCTTCACGAAGTCGTTTCTGCTCCGCGATGAGTTTCTTGAGCTGCCGCACGTGGTACTGCTTGAGCGTGATCTTGAGCTCCAGTTTCTCGCCCGGATCGTGGTCGATTATCGTCGAGTTCGTGAATCTCCGTTTCTTGGCCTTGACGTTCTTGTTCTTGTTCACCATTTTCGCGATCTCGCGCCGGATCTTGTTGCGCTCGGACGACAGGTCGACCTTCTTGGGCTTGCCGGCGTCCGACTTGGCGTCGTCTTCCAGCATGAAATCTTTGTCGTTGGCGTCGTCGTCTTGAAAAACGACTTCCTCGGGCTCGTAGTCTTCTCCGTTGGCGACGTCTTCGTCAACATCCTCGACGTCTTCGACGTCTTCGACGTCCTCGTCGCTGTTTTCAACGCTGGCCTCGATCTTGTCGTCGCCACTCACCACGGGTCCCTTTCGGCCCACAGCTTCTCTCTCGGCGCGCTTCGCACACTCTGCCCGTTCCGCACGCTCTTCTTCTTCCTCACGCGCTCGCAGCTCGCGAGCGCGGTCTTGCCGCTCCCAGTACTGTTCCACAGCCCGTTCACGCTGTTCCAGGAACTCCTGCAACCGCGCTGCTTCTTGTCGTTTCTCCTCCATGTTCGCCACGAGCTTCTCGCACCCGTGGCTGCCCAGCTCCCGGGCTTGGTTGTTCCACTCGCCCACCACTTCGAATTCCTGGTAGTTCAGCATCTTCCAGTCCTGGTACCGCTGCTCGACACGGTCTCGCCGCGCCACTTGCTGAAACTCGTCCATCAGGGCCTGTACGTACGATTCACCGCCCGCTTCACGGCCCGCTTCGCGGTCCTCGTCGTTCAACAACGCGGCCAGCGACATTCGTCCTTGCAATGGCTCCTACTGTCGGCTTCTTTTCGGGTTTCTTTCCGGTTTGTTCGCCTGGTGTCCCAAACTTTTTTTCTGGGACCGACTTGATCCTTGAACAGACGCACCCGTTGCAACTCAGCGATCGTTGCTTGCACGTTCTCCTATTTCAAGACCACGGCCCGCTTGGCCACAACAGAAAAATTTTCACCAACTCAAGAGAGACCTCCTGTTGGCTATTGCAGAGGTGAGACAACGCAGGAAAGGGCAAAACGTAAAAGTGGTAGATAAGAAATGTAAGAAATGTAAGAAATGTAAGACGCAAGAAATACAAGAGACAACGCAAAACACAGGTAAGAGACATGGTCTACTAGAGGTAGGGGCGTTTTTGGGGTTTTAGGATGTTCCTGGTCGAAAAATCGGTGTACGGAAAAATCACCCATGCAAGACATGGGTGATTTTTTTTCCTTTGTGCGTTGTCCACGTATGCTGTTCTTGTTGTTGCGTGCCGTGGCTTTAAAGGATCGAGTTAGTCAAAGTTATGGAAAGCGAGGGGTCATAAGTGGCAGATTTGAGAAGGGTAGGTGAGTCGCTGTGTACGAATACTCATGCGTTACCCACAAATTAAACTTGAAATCTACTCACCCGTATGTAGCTATTTGAGCGAGTCGCCGCGCATTTCATACGAACAGTAGGCTTCTATCTGTCCGGGTAACCTTTGAGAGGGGAGGTGTGTGGGTGTGTGGCACGTGTTGTGCCAGTTCCGTTCGATGCTCTCGTGCCAATCCATGGCGCCAGCTCAGTAGTACACGATCTTATCTGGAAATCTAACTATGAGCGTGTAGTGGGCGTGTTGGAAGGAGGTAGCGAGATGCGGTATCGTCCAATGGCATTACGTGGAGTCCTATGTCACGTGATGACGATGACAGAATAAAACAAGACTTGCTTGGTTTTGACTTGCATGTACAGATATGTCTCGAATAAGAGCAGACATCAATGATGAGCAATGAGGCTGCCGCCTCACCTCGAAGCTTGCTGTGAAACAAGAGTAATGTTTACAAATTCTCATTGCGGAGATGAAATATCGAACAAACAAACGTCACGGATATTGTATAAAATGACAAGATATGGCTAGACGTAGAATGGTTATCGTATTAAAGCAATCACGGAGAGATATACAAGTACTCAATACCTTACCTACTTTTTAAGATCAACTATGAACGAATTATGTGAACAGTTCAACAACCTCTCGACGACCGACGCTGGTAAACCTCATTAGGTACGCTGTCCGAAGACATTCGCAAAGCACAAACATGTGGGTAGCGCTTCCACGACTGTCTGACCTTGACTCATCTTCCTATGGTCCTTGTCTATGTTCCAGGATCTAGTTGTCCTGCTACGAGCCGATTTTCTCGTCTTGTTTTTCCCTTGCCCATCAGCATTCGCTGGTTTCTCATATAACCTCTAAGTCCTCGTGGCGAATCCGCTCGCCATCCTCAACTTCTTTCATATAGCTCGTAGATGTGCCGATAGGTCTTCGCACATCCAATCGTAAATCATAACGATGATGTCATCTACGAATCAGTGATGCCATTGTTGCGCCTTTTCACCAATACGCATGGCCACATCTCTAGTTCCGTCAGTCCGCATTTTGAGACAAGAAAGTCTGTTATGGCCTCGTACCAATTGGATCCTGATTGTTTGAGTCCATACAGTGATTTATCGAGTCTGGATATACCCTATTGCTTAGCCCATAGTGAGTTGACGCTCTGGTGTAGAGTTCTTCCTTTAGAGGTGCATGAAGGTATGCGGATGTGGCCTGGTTGTTTGATACTCCATCCGTTATCTAACGCGATGGATAAGCACGTCATCAGTGCTTCATGTGCGACTGTGTAAGTTTCGGCGTCCGGATCGTACGTTCCCGGCCCCTGCCAATAAACTTCGATTACACCTGCACGTTCTACCGTCTAGTTTGGTTAAAAAAAAACATTGAGCTCAGTCTATTCTTTGGTACCTCTTCCATATCTATTGGGTTGCTCAAACCCCACGTGTTATGCTTCTCGAGTTGATCAAACTCCTTGCATACGCATCTTTATTCTCTGTTGATGACTTCCTTGTAGTTTCTTCTCTACCGCAACGACCTTTCCGTAATGTTTGCTATTTGAGGCGGTGCTCAATAGCTCTGACGTAATAAGCTTTTGGACATTCCGGATTCTCTATCTCCATTCGAAAGCCTTCGCTTTATTCGCTCTCTTGGCGACAGACTCTTTGTTAACTCTGCAATGCTTTCTTTAGTAACTTTCTGTATCATAAGTCTTGTTCTGGCTCATTCAGCTAGCATTCCTTAACCCATACCGGGATAACACTCTGATGTAGAGCTTCTTACAATGGTCCGCGCAGGTAGCTAGACTGTCGGATCATCTAACGCTCCATCCTCTAATTGAAGGGACAGATGAGCGCGCCACTGTTCCTTCATGTGTGGCTTCGATGATTCCGTACTTTCCCGGCCTCTGCCAGCGTCTCTGGTTACCTGTATTCGCTACTATTACTCTGCGTAGTGCGGTTAAACGTTGAGCTTGGTACCTTTCCTTTTGTACCTTTCCATCTCTGAAGGGCTACTCAAACCCCTTTTGTGGTACTTTCCACACTGGCCAGTCTCTTTGTCATGAGTATCTCTATACTCTTTCGCCTCATGGCTTCTGATTGCTTCTTTGATTTGCAATCCTTGTGCAATATTTACTATTATCGGGCAGGCCGTCTTTTTCACGGTCCTCCGTACTTTCTCAAAGATCTGAGTCTTCTTTTCACTCATCGAGTTCAATATCTCGTCTCTTAGCCCACTCTGGGGTAACGCTCTATTGCAGATCGCCATTTCTACAATGGCGATTACAGGTATGTTGAAGAGCTCTTCAGCTTTGATATTCCATCCGCTATCAAAGGCGACGGGCAACCACGGCCTTAGCTTAATGAGCAGCTTCAAGTCTCGGCTTCTGAACCTTACACTACCGGTCTCTGCCGGTGTCCTCTGGCTTCACATCGGCGTTCTTTGCCGTCTTCGAGTACATTTTCCATTTCTAACGCGGGAGACCTCTCTGGCAACGCTTCGCGAATAAATCTGCTTGGCATATACTCTTCCCTTTCTAGAGGCTAGAGTTCCTTGTCAGTCTCTTTACATTCCAATCTTTCGGTAACGTCAGCTACTGCTTGCATGGCTCCATTCGCATCTGTTCTCATTCGCTAATGATAGACCCAATTCTGTCTAACGAGGCGACTCATACGTGTTTCGAATAGAGAAACTAACCTTCTAAGTATACGCTTCGCGGGCAACAAACGTCTATAAAAGATGGGCCAATATATGTCTCCCTCGGAGGTTCGGCGTTTTCAAGCACCGTTCCTGGAAATCCAACTTAAAGAGGTGGACTTCCTACGAAGCCGCAGCATGCGGCACCTCAACGAGGTAACATAACTCCAGGGGTGTCAATGACAGCCATGACATCATCACCTCACCGAATTTATTTGCCAATGATAGGATGAGCAGGGAGGTAGTGTTTGATAGAATAAGCGACGAAGGGATGTTTAACTTGACTCCACGAGATCAGACGTCGTCGACAGCGATGGGACTATTTTGGTATAGGCAATATTGAGTGTGATATGAATAGAAACATACCGTCAATCAACACCTTGTTGGGGCCGATTAATAATCAATTTATGTGGAAATCTGTTTTACTGACGAATGCAAACTTCAATACGCTTTTTTGTAGTATCATTTGCATCGACCGTTTTTTCTGTGACAAGCAGAGTAACGTGGAAAATGGTTTGCAGGTGTTCGATTTATCATACCTCGGGTGGTATGATTGCGGCGGTGTGACTCGGTGTCCTTGGAAGGATGGTTGGGACTCTCAGAGGTTCTTCTGGTCGGATTCGATCTATTGTTCCGTTCATCTCTTTTATTAAGTCATGGTGATCACGTGCTACCACGCCGTTCTCAAAACTCACTATGCTTTACAATGTATATATGTATTATCTTCTAAATCTACAGAATTAGCTTTCGTTGCAGTCATTATGCATGTTTGTCTAAAGCTCGGTGGGCTAATTGCGTCCCAACCGCTTGCCGATCCATGCTTTCATGTTATGTGCGTTCTCGCGCACAATCTCGCGCGTGGGCTTCGAGAAAATGTCGTCGATCTCTTCCAAGGTCTTGTTCTTGGTCTCAGGCATGAAGAACAATTGGTACGGAATACCAATCACAACCGCGATACCGCCGTAGAATCCCAGCGTCAACCCGGTGTATGTCATCGCGGCCTGCATTTTTTCGAAATTGTAAGTCACCGTGAATGCCCATAGGTACAAGAAAGTAGAGCACACGGTCATTCCGATGGAACGGGTCGCAAGCGAAAACGACTCGGAAGGAAGCACCCATGTCAAAGCGGAGTACGATCCGAACGCCATGTTGTACAAGATCTGGCCCGTGAGGTATACCCCTTCCGCGGCGCGCAGCTTGGTGTCGATCGGGATCAAGTACCCGACACCGACGAAGACAAGCCCGACAGAGAATAGTACGATCGTCATTGCCCAGGTACGACGTCCGAAGCGGTCCATCCACAGAATGGCAGGAATCGTTCCGAGCAAAAGCGCGGCGCCTCCAACCATCGACATCGCAATGGCACGCTCGTTCGAGAACCCAATCTGCTTCATCAAAGTCGACATGTAGTACATGATGGCGTTGATACCGGTCAATTGGCCCAACGAGATCATCATGATCGCATACACAAGCGCTCTGCGGTTACGAGGGATGCGCACCAGGTCGAACATGGCCTGGAACCGGGACTCGTTCTTGTGCAACTCGGCGTCCTGCACCGCAACGTGGCGCATTTCCAAAAACTCGAGCCTCGCGTTCGCCTGCGACGTGTCGCGCAGCCTTTTCCACACGTTCCAGGCCTCACCCGTGCGGCCCTTGTGCACAAGCCAACGGGGCGATTCCGGCAAGAAGAACATCCCCGTGAGCAGCGTGGTCGAGAAAACCAGCGACGAGCCCACCATGAACCGCCAGCCGCCCTTGACGTTGAAAAAAATGACTCCGATGATGTATCCGAACAATTCGCCCAGCGCAATGTTGAACTGGTACAGCGACACCAGGTTCCCGCGCACCGTCGAGGGCACGGACTCCGAGACGTAGATGCCGACGCATCCACCCTCGATCCCGACTCCGACACCCAGGATGAACCGGCCCGCGTACATGATGTGCTGGTTTGTCGCAGCGGCGCACAGGATCGCACCCACGGTGTACCAGACACACGAGATCATGATCGACGACTTCCGCCCGAACCACTCGTTGAGCGGCGTCATGATCATCGACCCGGCCATGGCTCCCAGCGGCATGAGCGACGAGATCAGCGACGCTTCGTGTGTCGAGAGATGCAGCATCTCGTTCATTCCGAGCGACGCCCCAGAGATGATCGACTGGTCGATACCGGACAGGATACCCGCGAACGACGCGAACGCGCCCAGCATGTACACCATTTTGCGCTTGTCTTTGAAGTTGGTCTCGAACTCAAGCGCCCGTAGTTTGCCGAACCAGGAGCGCTCCTTTTTGAACGAGTCGCCGAGCTGGTCCAGCTCGGCGACCTCTGCGTCGAGATCGAGTTTCTGCTCGAGTTCGGCCACGGCACCGGGGTCTTCGAGGTCGTACTTTGTAGGCTTGACGTCTTCGAAAATCGACACGTCTTCGTCATGTTGTACGTGCGGCTTGATCTCGTCGTCGACAGGCGACGCGGATCCGTAGCGGACGTCTGTGACAGATTTCCCAGAGGAGTCCATTGTATGAGGGGTTGTGATAGAAGTTGTTTCTGTGTATAGAGGGGGCTATCGACGAGAAGTCCCGTGTCTCGGTGCTTGTGTTAGCCTTTTATACCACAAAAGCGCCGCGGGCGCGCCCGCGGCGCGCCCGCGGCGCGCCCAGCCGGCCGGCGGTCCGGCGGTCCGGCGCGTCGGAAAATCTTTTCTTGGCAGCACTCCTCCCCGGAAAAACCCTTTTTCCGGGGGCGGAAACCCGGCGCGCATACACGCGCGCGTTGCTGCAGATGCAGCCAACGGCCGTCACACCGCACGACCCAGACGGCGCCGCAGCCTGCCTAATAAATCCGGGGTCGCTGACTCAGGGTTTGTTGGGAGCCGCAGGTCCGGGGTCCCGCCAGTCACGCCAGGCGCCCCGGGGAGAATGTCCCCGCCATGGCGCGCGCCATGGCGCCCGCCAAGGTCTTGGCCGGGCTGGGCCTGTGACCCCGGGCGGGTGGCGCCGCCGGGATGTTCCGCGTCGCCTTTGTGGTACAGCACAACGGCTGTTCGATCTAGTTAATCCGGGGGAGAGGCTCGAGGTTAATCCGGTCAGCGGTTTGGCACGTGCCTAGATGTCGTTTTGTACGGTCTGCGCAGCCTGTGTAGAGTTTAGGCTTTTTTCCTCTGGGGAAAAAAATGGATTTGGATTCGAGCTGGTTTTTTTCTCGCGAATGTTATGTGTGGGGAGGAAACATGAAACTGGGGGAGTGGCGGGGAGACGAAAAACTCAGGTTGGTAAATACGCAGGGCGCAGTACAGAAAGGGTGCTGATACGGGAGGGCGTGGGTTGCAGCGGGGCGGTCACGTGACCCGTGGCGGTATTCTGACATGGGGGTCACGTGACTTTTGTCTCACACTTGTGCTACTCCGTCGACTCCGGGTCCGTCGCAGCGCCATTTCATTCTACACCGCATACATAATAGCGCAGCTTTACGCTGTTCCTCTCTATACGCTTTCCCTCAGACCTCCGTCCCGTTCTGGTCAATCTCGTGTGTTTCGACCTGTCGGGCAAGTAAATTTCATCTTGATGAAATTTTTTTTCCAGAGCGATGGGCCTACAAGTATGACTCTCATGGCTAGAGAGATACCAGCTCCCAGAACAACAGCATCGCATCGCCCACCATGTCTACTTTCGGTCGGATGTTCCGTGTAACCACCTACGGTGAATCTCACTGCAAATCTGTCGGCTGTATTGTCGACGGTGTCCCTTCAGGAATGACTCTGACTGAGGCCGACATCCAGCCTCAGTTGTCGAGAAGAAGACCGGGCCAATCCAAACTTTCGACCCCAAGAAACGAAAAGGACAAAGTCGAGATCCAGTCCGGTACTGAGTTCGGAAAGACGCTGGGCACGCCTATCGGCATGCTCGTCAAGAACGAGGACCAAAGACCTCACGACTACAGTGAAATGGACTTGTATCCTAGACCCTCCCACGCGGATTTCACTTACCTGGAGAAATACGGTATCAAGGCTTCGTCTGGCGGCGGCCGTGCCTCTGCCAGAGAAACCATCGGCCGTGTTGCGGCCGGTGCCATCGCAGAGAAGTTTTTAACGCTTTTGTCTAACGTGGAAATCGTGGCATTTGTCACGCAGATTGGCGCTGTCAAGATGAACAGAGACCCGCAGGACAAAACTTTCCAACATATCCTCGACACCATCACCAGAGAAAAAGTCGACGCTGCAGGCCCCATTAGATGCCCTGACGCTTCCGTCGCAGGTGCAATGGTGCACGAAATCGAGAAATACAGAGGCGAAAAGGACTCCATCGGAGGCGTCGTCACATGTGTTATAAGAAATTTACCTACGGGACTTGGTGAGCCTTGTTTCGACAAGCTTGAAGCGTTGCTTGCACACGCGATGCTTTCCATCCCGGCCTCCAAGGGTTTCGAGATCGGGTCCGGTTTTGCCGGTGTCGAACTGCCCGGATCCAAACACAACGACCCGTTCTACTTTGACTCTGAGACCAACCGACTCAGAACCAAGACTAACAATTCCGGTGGTATTCAGGGCGGAATCAGCAACGGTGAGAACATCTACTTCTCCGTGCCATTCAAGTCTGCCGCCACCATCTCTCAGGAACAACCAACCTCTTCTTACGATGGTAAAGACGGTGTGCTTGCAGCCAAGGGAAGACACGACCCCTCGGTCACTCCCAGAGCCGTGCCTATCGTAGAGGCCATGTCCGCTTTAGTTTTGGCTGACGCCGTGCTAATACAAAAGTCTCGCGAAGCGGCTACCAAGATTGTCGCTTAAAGACAGGGACGTTTGAGCACCCTTCGAAGACGAGCTTGTTGCCCAACGGCCTAACTGTATAAAAGTTTTATAAAAGATTCCAATTTTCTTTGAATTTGGCAAATCCGGACTCATGGAAAAGCAGAAATGCGACTCTACTATTTCGATAGATGATTGCTAAAGTTCTAGTCAATCCTTAGCAAATTTATGCTTTTTTTTCTCGTTTTTCCATCTTTCAATGCTTGGCATCGCTGGGCTTTTCTTATATTGATCCCAGCTGAAAAAAAATTAGTTCAAGAATTCAACTGATGGGGACGTATCTTAAATTGAGACGAGCCAAAAACAACTGTAAAAGCATCAAGGCTCGTCCCAAAGATTCCATTTCACCGTAGGACTTTGCTTTTGAAAAGGTTTTCAATAAACTACATTTTTCCAGGTTCAATTTGGCCCCAAATCAAGGAAGTTTTTAAACAAATTCAATTTGCATTACACACTGCATTATATCGGCTTGCATGATCTGAACAACGATTTTAAAGATCCCAATTCTTGAAGAACAAGTGACTCCTCAATACCAAACGATCAGAGAAGTGTTCACTATTGCATTGAGTTTTAAAATCTCATCTTTCTCTCACAAAGCCAAAATTTCACCAGACATGACTTCTCTACACTTGATCCCACCTTTCAAAGTCAAGGCCCAATACTCTTGGTCGGGCGAGACCAAGAACGACCTGGGGTTTTTGGAAAATGATATAATAGAAGTTTCCAAAATCAAAGGAAACTGGTTTTACGGTACACTTCTGAGAAATTCTAAGAAGTACGGATTCTTCCCGAATAATTTTGTAACCGTCATCGAAGAAAGATACAATGGCTTCCGCCAGGAATCGGCTCCCAACTTGACCACGAGTCATGCCGCATCGATGGACCTAGGAAACACAACGGTATCCAAAATTCCTCCTATTCCCAGTCGTGGGAAGGGCGGTTCCAGATCTCAAGGCCACAGATCCGCTCAGACTCGTTCCAGTCAGCAATATGACACGGGTTCACCAAAAAGAAGTTCTGGAACTGGTGGTGGGGGTGCGAGAACGAGCCATCCTGCCCCACGACCACTGCACTCTTCTTCTACTTCGAGTCTGCTGGCAACAAGGCAGCAAGAATACGTGGAAAAATATTCCAAGCGAAAATCGTTGACTGTTCCTGAACAGCTGCATTACATGCCAGACAAAACTGGACGAAATGATCTGCCTCCTCTGCCGCCAATGCCATCCCCACAATTGAAAGAATACGCGATGCAGAAATCACGCTCCTCTAATGACCTTTCCCTTTCTCCCCTGTCTGCATCGAAAAGATACTCCTATGAATTAAGCTCCAACAATAACAGCCCTCGTGATTCATTGGGATTTTTAACAACATCTCGTTACATGGATGACTCCATTACAAGCAGCGAAAACAGCTTAGCGTTCATGAGTGACTTCAGTGCCACAAGTGCCGGGAGTTTTGCGAGACACAGATTTGCTAAATCCTTTAACGATTCTTTGCAAAGGTCTCAACTCATTTTGGAAGAGAGTTCCTCCAATGGCCATTTTGAATCGAAAAGCCAATCAAAATTCGGCAACGCTTTCAAAAGATTCCTTGCTCCAACTGAGACCCCTAGAGGTAAAAATGCATATCCCAAACTACCTGATTTAACAAATTTGCATCTATCATCATCTAACGAGGGCAACTCTTGGGTTGAAGCCAAGGCGCAACTACACAGAGCTCAAACAATAAACCAAAGGGAGCGACACGAACGGCAGATACTCGCGTTGGAAGAGGACAGATATTTAGTTTTGCATCCACAGGAATACGTGAATGACAAACTAAATACCAACGAAGTGAAGCACGGGAGGCAACCCGGTTTAGTTGATATCGAATTGGCTCGCCTAGATGTTGATTTTTTGAGAGATTGTGCCCTGAGGAGAGCCAAAAGAGGTTTATTTAAGAGTGTCGAATCGTTTGCCAAGTACGCTTTTTCAAAATCCTTCAAAACGCAAATGGAACAACTTCTTGGCATTTTCATTTTCGTAACCGAGGAATATGACTTGGTCGATGATAACGGCCAAACGGATTTCAATGCTCCACCGCCTAAGATCGATAAGGTTTTACAAAGATCCTGGTGTACCCCGTACGAGCTGGCCTGGATTTTCAAATTGTTGGCAAATGCCATTAACATTCCTTGCGAGCTGGTCATTGGATTTTTGAAAACTCCTGGAAGTGATAATCAAAAGTTTCGATACAATCATTGCTGGTTGAGTGTCTTAATAAGCCAAGAATGGCGGTTTGTCGATGTCATCTTGGGGAACAAAACCAATCCTATTCACGAATACTCCAAAAACAAAATAGCTCGTCAAGGTGAATTTTTTTATTTCATGGCTCAACCATTGCATTTCATATACACGCATGTTCCTAAACTCTATCAGGAACAACACATAATACCTTCCATCGAGCACACCGTCGCTCTGAGCTTACCGCTAGTGTTCCCGTCGTTTTTCAAAAACGAGATCATCTTGAATAAGTTTAGCAATGGTCTCTCGACGCTATATGACACACAAATTTACGAGTGTACATTGGCGCTTCCTAACGATGTCGAAGTCTTTTCTTCCGTGATTGTGGATGGTGACGAGGAAACTAGTCGCAATGAACAAGATTTATCACTGGTACAGGTGAGACATAAGAAAAAAGAGCGATTGGCAGTGGTCAAAGCCATTCTGCCACCTTTTGCGTCCCGCGGAACTTTACACATCCACTCTGGTATCAAGGGCACCCAAACCACGGTTGAAAACGTACATCCGCTGTCGCTTGAAATCCCCATCACACAGCGTGGATTAGCGAAAGATTACGAGTTCGTGACTCGCGTTCCTTCCAAGAATGTTCAAAAAGTTGAGATGTATATCAAACAGCCGCAAAATAAGTTCTTGTTCCCACAACAAGAATACCAATTCCAAATAATACAGGCTCCTTGCGATGGCGTGGTTCACGGATCCATGGGCTATTCAAAATCCATAAACCAGTCTCTTGCAATGCAATCTCCCAGTGGTAAAATTGTCCCGATGAAGAAGGTGGACCCAAATTGCGAGTACGGGACATGGGAACTTCTTCTCCAGACTGTTGAACCGGGCGTATGGTCCGGCCTCGTGACTGCAGATACAGGCGTCGGGTGGTGCACTTTTGCGAGGTGGACATGCATACGAGACTAATGACAGCACTCATACCAGCCAGATAAATATCGATAAAATTTGCAAGTCAATTTTTAACTATAATAAATAATAAGCTGTACTGCGCATAAACTTAGTTTCCTTGATCTCATGAGATCTTAATGATCTAAATTTCTTAATTGTTGATGGTTTGAGAAGTGTAGATGATTTTCGTTAATTGGATGGCATAGCGATACTGTGAACCTAAACTTGAAAAATTTAAATATTAAAGGATCTTAGTCTAAATAAAATTAAAGAGAAAGTACACTTCAATCGTTGGGATCATGGAAGTCGATTTGACGGAAACTGATCGAGTGCTTGTTCAATTCGCAAAAAGCTTGGAAGATTTCAAAATCCGGGCTTTACGCGACCCATCAACGGACATTTTAAGTGTTGCAGCAGATTATAGATCTTTGGCAGGTCAAGCCGCATTGACATTGGTAGAAAAGTCATCAGTACATGATAAAGAACAATTTGAAAACTGGGAACTTGAAGCTAAACTTTGGCATTTAGTTGATCTGCTTTTCAGATACCGAGTAGCCGATATAAATGTCGATGAAGTGGTACCACACGCTTACAGCTCTAATGCAGTTTTCAAAAAAAAGTTTTTGCTAGAAAATCGGCCTCTTTATGAGATATGGATCATAATTGCTTGGATCCGAGCCAATATGGTTTCACCAGAAAGACCCGAGGGAATGCCGTCTTCACAATGGTCAAATACGGTCATGTCCGGCGGATTAATGAGTTTTGACCTCGATTATCCTCTCCGGGACCCCAATGCACAAATAAGCCCGGAGGACAGGAAATCAGGAACCATTTTCCATCGATTCGTCTATGAACTGCTATTGAAAGGTGAATTTGACGAAGTGCGGAAAGAATGCGAAAATGCTGAAAACATGACTTTGGGAATGATCATATGCGGCCTGGAAGATTACATCAATCCAACCGTAGACGTGGAGTTAGACGAAAAAGTGCAGGTACAAGAAGGTATCAACAAGAAAGCCCTTTGGAGGAGAGCCGTTTACGCATTAGCGCAAAATCCTGGATTGGACATTTACGAAAGGGCCATTTATTTCTTCTTGGCGGGTGTCAACTGTTCGGAATTGAGGTTGACTGATACCACATGGGAAAGCGATTTTTTAACATATCTCAATGAAATATGGGAAATCAACATTGAGAACTTTTTAATAGAAGAAGGCCGCATTGATTCAAAGGATTTGATCATACCAATGCCGTCAGATCCTATAACGTTACAGAATGCCCTCGATTTAATCTCTTCGAAACATCCGTTAGCGGGTCAACACCCAATCAGAGTTTTGATTGGTTCAGTCATCTTGAACAATCTTCCTTCTGTGATTAGCTCATCAACGGAAATGCTTGTAAACATTGTTCAAGGCGAAGAATCTAGTAACGACCTTTTTCAAGAGCCATACCTCCTGAGGGTTGTGGTCCATTTAGTAATAGTAACAGACGTTCTGTTTCCAGGGTTAGTGGACGCTGACGACAAATCAAGGCTTCTTACTGCGTACGTCTCCATCCTTTCATTCCACAGGCTTTATGATGCGGTTCCGGTCTACATCAGTTTTCTAAACAGCTCAGATGTCCTTGATGCGTACTCCTACTTCCTTTCGAACCTGATAGATCCTGCCGTCAGGCAAAGGCAGCTTGATCTAAGTAAATCGCTGCATTTGCCCACAGCTAATATTCTCAAAAGAACGGCTCAGAGAATTTTCGATGATACTGAAAAAGATTACATCCCAACGGCATCAATTAAAATAGAAGATGAATTAACTGACGCCGACCGAAAGTTAATTATGGCGTCTGCGTGGCTTTTTCTAGGGGATTTGCAATCAGACGGTATTGATTCACTTATTGCGACGTCTCGACGTTTTCTGATCAATGGTAAGGTAAAAGCTATCGAAGTGATGTATCAAGAGGTAGATTTGAGCAAAATCATAAACAGAGCTGGGATAGACACCTTGATCAATGATAAGGGCGCTGAGAATAACCGCGTCGTCCAGGAGCTCCAAAATTATGAGGCCTTAACTCGTGCTCTCCAAGAATATCAAGGCTGGAAAAGTTTATTGAGCGATCAGAAAGAGCGAGCTAATGTCACGACTCATGTGCGAACGCTCAAAAATCTTTCGGCCACCTTTTACAAACTCGCACGTCATTTCTTGGTGGAGCTTACCGAAAGCGATATTGTACCAGACAAGGATGTATTATACGAAATTCGCGCTCTATACACACCATATCTGCTGTTAGAACTACACGGTGCGCTGGTGACGGCATCAAAAATTCTCAACATTCAGAGCTTTATCACCGAGGCCCTTTCGTTGACTAAGTTTGTGGCGAACGAAACAGATCGCATATATTTACTGTTTCAGTCTAGTGGCAGGCTAGAAGAATACTTGCAATTGGTGGCGAGGACGGCGAGCATGGTAAAGAATACGAGGTAAATGGCCCTCAAAGAAGAATGCCATGTTACGGTGTAATGTATATCGTGCTAATTCATGGCAAACCGTTGCGTGAGACATGCCTGATTAACGAACGGAAGGAATTGCTATATGGGGCACATCTGTATTGATATTGATACACATAAGATATCAGTTACCTATTTAAGCCTCCTCGACGAAGCCCTTCTCGGAAACGTAGATACCATCCAAGAACTTACGGATATCCTTGTTTCTGGCACGGCAGACTTGTTGAATGTCAGCAGCGTTTTGAGAAACGTTTTCAACGGAGTTACCAATCAAGAGCATTTCGTCCTTTTGGATAGTGGAGAACTCGATGGTGACACCTTCTCTAACTGGCACTTCTCTGACCTTCTTGTCACCCAAGTAGTTTCTGATCTCGACGAACTTAGCACCGTTCTTCTCAATCACGTTAACATTGATGGGAAAATGTGCGTACACGTATCTCATCTTGTACTTGAAACCTCTGGTAACACCAACAATCATGTTGTTGACCAAAGACTTGACGGTTCTCAAAGCAGCAACGTGCTTTCTGTCACCGTTGTGGACGGTAATCTTGAGTTGCTTGTTGCTCACCTTGGTGAAGGTGACATCGATGTGCTTCAAGTTCTTGGTCAATTCACCTCTTGGACCAGCAACCTGAACGATTCTGGACTTAATATTGACACTAACGCCCTCTGGGATGTCAAGAACTTGGTCGGTTTGGATGTACTTCATTTCTCTTCACTGATCTGCCGTAATAAAACCTCCACATCTGCAGCTTGTCATTCAAATTACACTGTATTTCCTTCACTAGCCCGTCCGCATGCTCTGCTCCGAGTCCCCGCGGTTGCCCAACCCAGCATGCCATTCCTCGACAATTCCATGAATTGCGTCGGTTGAAAAATTTAACCCAGACATCAGTTAGCATTCTGTAAAATTTTGGGTTTTGCTTTTTTCTTCAAGAATAAATTCAAATGTCACATTTATAAATATTCAAGGACCCAGACATTTTGACAAAACAGTCATAACTTGTGAGAATACACTGTTGGTAATTTTCGGTTAGTCGTCCTATGCCATATTGAAGAACTGTATTGGGGAAAGCAGAACTTAAATTGAAGTCAGCCTTTTTTAATCATGGTTTCCAATTTATTGAAAATTCTATCTCGATGAATTGCTAGCGGATCGTCAATATCGCCAGGGAAAAACATGTTCCGTCGAAAACTAGCGGTGTTAAATCCACTGGCGACAATATCAGAGTTTTCGAAATTGTCACTTTCGCCGTAATCGCCCTCGTCATAATTGTGCTGGTCATGCAACTCGTCGCGAGCATTAACAAAATCCAAAATGTCGCTATGACCGTCGAATTGTTCAAAGAGAGTCTCGAAGTGATCTGATTCTCCTTCTTCAACTTCTGCAGGTACTTCGCGCGACCCATCGCTGTCCCCAAAATCGATTGATCTATCGTCGTCCTCATCCTCAGGGTAATCGTTTTGGTAAAAAGTCTCTTCATTTGAATCCTGGTCATCTGACAGAAGCCCCGATTCGTCAACATCAGCCTCTTCCGGTATGACAGATCCACTCTCTTCGACAATCCTGATGTATCCCACCGTTTTTTCATCGAAAACGTACTCGTCCTCTGAAATGTATTCCCTGTAATATATGTCGTAGACATAGTCCAGCGTCGTGGGCTCGGACGTCTCTAAACTGCCGGCGTTCTTCCCATTATGAAGGCGTTTCCGCTTGGGCAAACGATTTGCCTTGGAATCCTTGTGGAGAGTCAAGTAATCATCAAGCATCTCTGAGATGGGAATTGGGAGTTCTTCCGATTCTAGCTTACGCTTCTCCTGTTCCAATACGAAGTGTCGGTTCGAACCGTCATTCGTAGTTTTCAGCAACGGTGAAAACCCATCCTTATCATTTCCCAAAGATTCTCGTTCGACTGTTTTCGCTAATTTGAAAACATAACGGCCCCTCTTGGCCTTATGATCGTCTTCTAAGACTAAACTTTCAGTTTTATTTGTTAGTTACACAAAAGTTCACCAAAACGTTCTAAAAACACAGATTTCTCATACACAAAGCATGCACAGAGTCACCATTTCGTTTCCTCTTGACTCTTATAATCTCAGGAGCACCCATTTGATTAAATGAACTACTTGTCTGTACATATAAAGCATTCTTCAATGATTTCCATCGTGTAAAGTTAAGATGATTTTCTCAAATTAAGAAGCAGTAAGGAAGTCAAAATCGACTTCATAGTGATAGAACTTCTCATGCAGGTTGTAGCTCAATTACCCTAGTCAACTCATTTTGAGGATACGCAACTAAACAACTTTGATTCATAAAAAACTATCAACTATAAGCTCACATATTGTCTTCAAGCTACTTTGGCTTTGTACAAGTGGTGAGCATCTTTTTTTTTATCGGATTCCAAGGAAGTCAAGTTTCACAGGTCAGCGAGGTTGTTTTGACGGTTTTTCACTTCGTGCCATATCTCTAGATTCTTGTTTGCAAAATGCTCCAAATACCTGGAATAGTTTTTGAAAATCTCAGAAACTTCCTTGCTCCTGTCGGAAGCAAAACTGGGCAATTGAATGTCCCTTATAGTGGCGGATATGATCTTTAAATCCTTCTCGCTTACCTGAAGCGATTCTGTTAATTGATCAATATCCCTTTCGAGATTTGATTTTGCCATTGCGGGATCAGCATCTTGGTAGCTGACCGTTTCTCGTACCATTGAGGCAAATTTATTGATCTTGTTGAAAAATTTGCCGCTGTAACTTTTCGCTTCCGGATGTTGTAAATTAATATGACCGCTGTCCTTCATCTGCTGACCTACAAAATCGTCAATTTGCTTTGCATCCTGTTCTTGTTCTTGAAACTTCTTCAATTGCGCCTTTCTGTACAATAAAGTTCGATTCAAAATATCCTTTTGCACCATTTTGAGTTTCCGATATCTTAAAAGTTCTCTTGCAGCTCCTGCCATGTGGACCGACTCACTCAGAGGCTCATTTATGTTGTAATACAGTTTTCCCACAATGGACTCAAGCTCGATGGCGCTTTCGTCAAATGCATTGCTAAAATGAGACAACTGTTCTGCGAGTTCTGCACCTCTTTTCTGATCGTTTGCAAACTCTGCAAAAGCTTCACTTAGCTCTTTCATGTCTTGTCTCAAAGCAAAAAGATTTTTTGTTATCCTTCTGTTATATTTGTAAAACCCATCGTTGATGATCCCCTCGTATTCTTTGTATTCGTGATCAATCTGGTTGAAACCGTCATCCGGATCTTCAAAATGGCCACCACCAACAGCATCCTTATGCAAAAGTTGCGACGAAGAAGAAGGAACCGGGAGGTAAGCGTGAGCTTTAGTAGTATTGGTAGGATCCAACGGATTGCATTGAAGGGCGCTTTTTGGTAAAGACGATATTGTGGCAGAGCTTGTAATCACATCGCTCCAATTCGTGTTGTTGGGATCCAAAAAATCGGTGATTATGGAAGTTTTAGTCACTTCTTTGTTCTTCAACAGCCGGTTGAGAAAGCTCGTGAGCATCCTTATTCGATGTCTAATCAGCTTCTCGTCGTTAGTATTGACAGAGCCGTTTATCACGGAAAGCGAAAGATCAACAGAGCCAGCAGCTTCAGAGGGTAACAAGTAACTGGCCTTTGATCCCGCAATCGACTTTCCATAGCTAGTCAATGATTGTTTTTCTGGAATTGGTGGTATGAGAGTCATAGGAAACAACTTGATGAGTATTTTACGCAAGCTTTCAAATTCGCTATATCTTCGCCTTACCGTCTTGTTCCCATATTTGATTGTATAGGCAATGTACGTTCTTCCCTGTCCCTCAGACACCTTTGACGCTTCCAAAATGTAAACTTTGTCCCTTGTGTGAGGGTGAACATCCACAGCATCCCGCTTCACATCAGCAGGACACAAATCAATGCTTCCAGAGCTACTCTTTCGACTGTTGTTCTCCGCTACCACGCCACCTGGTTCACCGTTGTGTATCGCTTCTTCCTCTCCGTCCTCCAATTCCTCCTTATACTGCTGATTTGGGTTTACAAGCTGCTTTTTCTTCTGACCAAACGCAGTCGTCGTCGCCCTTGATCGCGGTTCCGACTCTTCCAACAACGCAAATGGATTATCCTGCTGCGTAAACTCTGTTCGCACCATATGTGTGGGAACTTCATCGTCATTATTGTCTGATACCGTCTCTATTGCTGTTTTTGCCCCAGAAATCATTTCTTCAGAATCTACCATTTTTGTAGCTGTTTCTTCAACAGAAACTCCTTGTTGAACCGGGTTTTCGGGCGGTTCTGTTCCTTTCAAATCTTCATTTTTCCTATCCTCCATTTCCTAGGCTTGCTCAGCTATGATTGCCCTGCAAATCAAGCTCTTTGCCTCTTGTTTTGGTCTTTACCAAGACCTTGTCTAACCAAGGGGTGGGTTAACCTTGAAACGCTGATGCGAGCCGGTTCTGAAACCGAGGGTGAAAAAATTGAGAAATAATTTGCCCTCGGTTTTCAATAATTTGAAAAGACTTGATAATGAAATTTTGGGATGAGCTTTAAACTTAGTGGATTGGAGAACTTTAGTGAGACTAGTTTTGGAGCGTCTGGAGGCTAGAAAGGCCTCAGTCTGGGAGGTAGAAATGAGTGGAATTTTGCAAGCGAAATATCTACCTGTGGAAAACCAGCGTCAATTATTGACCGATCTTGTAGAAAATGATGATTTTTCGGGGCTACAGTCGATATTGACCGCTGTGAAAATGGAGGAGGATGTGCTTAACAGTGTTTGTGGCCAGGTGACTGACAAGATTGTTGAGTTGCTAGCGCGATTTGCTAATGAAATCGAGACGAAACATGATATTCCAGATCAGTTGTTGGAAAAATTGGCCGCTGTGGCGGCACTGATCGGAGAAAGCCTGCTGCAAGTACAAGATACAATTTCGGAGCAATTGAGCTTGCTTGCAAATACTAGGCGAAAGCATGTTTTTGATGAGGAGTTTCTGATGCATAACTTAGACCAATTAATTGGCACAAACTCAGAGACAAACGACGAGAGTAGGATTTCAGGTAATGAAAATTTCTTGGTTTATTTGAACTTCCTGGTGTTTGCCAGTATGCAGCAGTGTGAGCAGCGGCCAAGCGCGACTTTGGATAGACTTCTGGTAGCTTATCTAGCCAGTAAAGACGAAGCACTTGCTTTAGCTGCACAGTGCGTTTGCAGATGGAGAGTGGAACAAATTTCTACGAATTGCGTTCTTGACCATGATTTTGACCATGCTATTTGGACCTCGGTGGAGGGTATACTTTCCAGGCCTAATCTACGGCCTTGGATAGTACGAAACGGTTATATGTTTCTTTTGCAACTCTTGCGCAGTGGGTCTACATCTCCTTCACTAGCAAAGCTGCACAAGACTGAGGAATTTTGGCGATGGGTGCAGAACGGACTGAGGAATGACTCCCACGATATACGGAAATTTTCCACTTCAATTTTAAAGTTGTCGATTAAGAGAATTGATCCCGCCGATACCATCACGAACAGTCTACTACATTGGAAACCAGAAACCTACGAGGAGAATATTTCTTTATGGAAGAGGTTCACTACGCTTTACGAGATTGTAGCCATTGATACGTCTATGAATCAGTTCGAAGCAGCATCGCAAGATATTCTGGGCTTGTTTAAGTCCAAGACAATCGATTCAAGCTGGGGTTTGATAATTTTTCTGACGGGGTTGAAGGCTAACATGGAAAGTGTCAGACGTTACGCTCTAAGATTGCTTTTCCAGATAGAAAACAAGGCCGTTTTCACTTCTGACTTAAAACTTCTCAAGGAGCATTTTCTTCCTGCAATGATGCAGGCGTATCTTTTTAATGTTGATCAAGGCTCATGTCACTACGGAGAAAATTTCTCAGCGGTTATCAAAGACATTGTGCTACGATCAAGCCATGATTTCTCACGAAACACTTTATCTGAATTGCTGTTGACTATTCTGGAAGGACTCAAGGCACAAAGCAGTGGGTTTGACCCTGCAAGAATTTACGCTTTTTATGGGCTTCACGGGGCATTAAAGGTGGGAAAGATTAAAATTCTCGATGAACGTCACCTTGAGATTATTGGGGAACTCTTCAATACCACAACAGAAGAAGAGATCATGGAAATAACGGTCCAAACACTATATTTGAGACTTTTATTATACACAAGCGTCAAAGTATCTGATAAAACATGGCTCGAAGCTTTAGGAAAACACATTTCATCAAAGCAAAATTACTCATATTTCAAACCTTTGATAGAAGATTTTAAAGATCTGGTGGTGGTAAATTTTGGAAATTCATCTGCTGAAGCCGAGCTTTCGGACTTTGTTCAGGAAAACGCTGGGCTTCAAGTCTTGAGCTATCTCCTGTTCGACTTTCGTCCTACTGTCATTGACGATGATTTCCTTATTGAACTGGCCGCAGCGGGAGAAGGGACTCAAGATTTCAAAGATAATTATATTGCCCTGGTATCAAAATTGATCCAAAATTTTGATTCTATTGAACCAAATAGGAGACTATATTTGCTAACTGGTCTTCCATTTTTCACACATGAGACTTGGCGGAGCATCAAGCTGGAACCCATGTTTCATTCATTAGTGGACAACTTCGACGTTGATAAATTCAAGTTTTTAGTCTCTCTTCATGCCAAGGCTGTCGACAGCACGACTGCTCCAATAAACATCGACTACGAAGAAATTTTTGGACTTTATGAAAGTATAAAGAGCAGCATGGATCTATCGCAAAAGACATTCAAAGAAATGGATGCTGCATATGGTGCCTTTTTCACCTTTGTAGATGATTTCCTCAAGGTTTATGCATTGGATACTGAAAAGAACGATGTTCAGAAGCTAATTGAATTGATGTGGGATAATTCGTCGAAAGACAATGGCCGATACGAAGGTAATCTTGCGATCACTCGAATTTGCTCACACCTGCTCGATGTTTATTTAACCAACGTCAGGGGTAAAACAAATTTAAGGAGGGCGGACGAACTTCACTTGATTAACAGAATTTTGGCCTTGAACACTGACATTTGGGAGCTCTTGGCAAGTGAACGACTTGTTTTGAATCAAAGGGATTTGCATCTTTCCTTGATAAAAACCATATTCCATCCGAATGTCCTCTTCGCTGCCTCTGAAAGCTCTGAAAACGGCAACGAACGTTGTCAACGCCTACGCAAGTGTGCATTTGAAATAATAGAACAAGCACACTCAAGAAGAGGCTTTTTACCAGCATTGAGTGTTCAAATGGATACTTTCATGAAGGCCTATGGCCAAGAACTTAAACCCTCCAATGCAAATCTCACATGGCTGGCCGACATCCTGTTCAGAACTTTCACTAGGAATCAAATGGCAATAAACGTTTTTTCGATTGTACCGACCATTGGTCGTCTATTTGATGACAGGATTGACCCTTTCAGAGGACTTGCGTTGGGAATATATCGAAGAGTGTATGGAGAATCGGAAAGTGTTGCGCGAATTCATATAATAAATGCAATCTTGAACTCCGCGACGGACTTCAAGCGAATGGCGTTTTTTCATCTGTTAGAAAAGGATACCAACCTGCTCTGTGCAAAAAAAGGTGTAGATGGGTATGAAGAATCCGAAAGACTCTTAAAATGGCAATTATTGTTTTTGACAATTAAATCACTTAAAAGTGATAATTTCGAGGAACTAGTGGAGCATTCAATACTGCCCAGCGTTCTCCAGGAAATTTCTCCATTGGTGAGAGTTTATATGGAGTGGTTTGTCGCTCTTGGTTTGATTTCTTTGCTTGAGGAAGATAAGTCCTATGCATGTGAAGACATCCTTTTCAAGCATATGACAGATCACTGTAAACCGCTGGTTACGATAACGGTGATCAGAATAGTTTTCCTCGCGCTTCACGTTTCCAGAAGCAAGAGACTGTTGGCCAAATTCCTTTCACACTTGATACCATGTGCTACATCCAACAAACCTTTGGTGAGGCATTTCGGCAATTCATTGACGATACCATTGTGGGAGACATTCCAACATGAAATCAAAGATGATATTCTCCGCAGTATTTTGTACAATTTGTATCGGAACGCCAAACAAAGTGAAGTGCTTGGCCAATACAGGTTAGGCGATGCTAGAATTTGGAATATCCAAAAAGACTTGACTCTCACAAACATATTCGGAGGCCTTTTGTTGAAGCTAATTGACCATGATGTACCATATATCGACGCAAAGGCCTTTGCAAAATTTGGGACAAACGATGACGAGTTCCCCATCGGTGTGGACGAGAGTGACCTCTGGTTAGCAAAACGAGCTAAAAGCCAGGACGTTCAGCGAAATGTGATCCAAGGCGACTCGCCTTTGCAAAAGAAAACGAGCTCGTGGGATGAGGTACAAGGTGCGGATGAAGAGAGAACCGCAAACTCGATCAAACGGTCTGAATTGATAGTCGTTGCTTCTTTGGTGGACAAAGCCCCAAACCTTGGCGGTATTTGCAGACTTTGCGACGTTCTTGGTGTTGGCCTTCTAACTGTTCATGATATCAAGGTGAAAAACCATCCTCAATTCAAAACGGTTGCTGTCACTGCCGATAGATGGATGCCAATCGAAAGCGTCAGCACCACCGAAATCTCGGATTTCGTGAAGTGCAAGAAGAGGGAGGGATATACTTTGATTGGGCTAGAGCAAACTGATCAATCTGTTAAATTAGACAACAAGTTTTCTTTCCCTCCGAAATCGCTTATTTTGCTTGGTACAGAAGCGGAAGGCATACCAGGGCATCTTTTAGCAGAGCTGGACGTGTGCGTTGAAATCAAACAGTCTGGTGTCATTAGATCCATGAACATTCAAACTGCCACCGCGGTTATTGTTCATGCGTACTCTGCGCAGCACATGTAAATATACACCCAATCAATTATTGCGCAGCTGACCATGTTCGAATTTCATCTTTTAAAAGCTTATTTAGACTACGTGACACTTCATAACCCGTCCAACGCTTTGACCACCGCGGGAGCCGTTTTCTCAACTAACTCAATACTTTTTTCAAGAAGCGTCACATCAATTCCCGTAACGTATTCGTCGTTTAGACCAATTGTGCGGATGGGGGCAGTCACTTTACCTTTGCTCCAGGTAACGAGAATCCCACTACAAGCCACTTCCGACTCGCTGTGAGCTGGATCAATGACCGCGTTGTTACCGATAACAGCAGTGGTAAACAAAAGAGGAGGATCCACGTCTAGTTTGACCATGTCGTAATCGTGGAATGTAGGAAGTTCGGCGACTTCAAGATCGTCATCACTCGAAATCAGCTTGGGCAAGTAGGTGGCTTTGAGCGCGGAGTAGACCGCAAAGGAAATCAGGCTGAGGGGATGACTTTTACTGGAAAGAACCAGCACGTCGACAAAAAGTTTGAATGCATATTTCTGCGTCAAACGCAGATTCTTCTGATGTATTTTCTGGTTTAGCACTTTGGTGAGTAATGATGCTATACTATGCACGAATGGCGAATCGTCACGCTGACCGGCAACGTCGACATCCACCAAGATGAGCTCTTCCTCTAGAGCTCTTTCCACGACTTTCGCCTTTACACTCACAACGCATTCGCTACCATCACTAGCCGAAATTTTGGCAGATCCGTTACACGCGGGAAGGAAATCAGTAAAAATCTCAATGGGACGCAACTGATGTGCTACTCGTCCGTCAGGTCTTGCTGGAGGATCAAGGCAAAGAGAATCGTGCAAGTAACTTTTTTCAGTGACAGATAAACTCATTTCGCCTCGAGAAATATGTGAGACCAGCTCCAAACAGCTAAAACAGGTGATTTATGATAGATTGGGGCTTTCAAACTGAATCGATGTCAAATCATCTCATCTATTATCCATGGCCTTCGCCATGCAATCCCATGAAATTTTTCACTTTTTTTACAAGTCACGTGGATTCAAACACAAGAAACCACGTGATCTCCCCGGCTTTACTGGGCTCTGCCAATATTTCATCACCGATGGGCTACTAATCATCGGTGTCGGGCCCTCCTGATACGTTGTTTGACCAGATGTCTAATATAGTAGCTTATGCCCAGTTCCAGAAGAAAATGCGTAATCATTATGATAGTTTGACCGCGAGTGTACAGTTCAAGTGTGTTTTCGTTAATATCGCGATGACTTTCTTCCGTTTGAACGATCCGTTTGTCTTCTGCCAAGGCACGGGTATGCAAGACAATGCCCTGTAAAAGGTCTTTACTGGAATCGTCTGCCAAAACGTCTTCGGACCAACGATGACCACCGGGGCCCAAAACGGTTATCGTGGCAATTTTGTCCATATCAATTGTTCGCCAAGAAGCATCATAGACCAAATTGGTAAAGCACACGTTCAGAAGTGGGGTGCCTGTTGCAGGAGGCTGCAGCCAGATCCCGGTTTTACCACGAGGTACGTTCCGCCGTGCTCGAAGGAGGTTACCAGCGGTGTCTGTGATTTCAAGATCCAGTGACTGTTTCCTAGAACCAATTGATTTGGGACCCAGCCGAGTGAGATCAACTTCATAAGGTAAAGAGTTTTGCACGTCAATAAGTAGCGATAGACCGATGAGCTCCTCGGCACGTGTGTTTTGCACAAGCGCGTCTTCCGCCGAGAACCCAATGCACGTAGTGTATGCGTGTGGGGGCATCTCGTGAATACGAGACACTTTCTTGGCACGACACACCAGAGATATACTGGATCGATCAGATGAGCGGGGAAGCTGGATAATGTTCTTTGAAGTGGACGGTTTCGCCAAAACACTCAGAACCCCGCACCAATGAAGTAGAAGCCCAGACCACATTGTCAGAAGTGGGCTACAACCTAGTGGCAGGCTTTGATGCCAACACGTCAGAAATTCAGTTTCCGCTATTCACCGTTACACAAATCAAAAATAATGGTTCACAAATACACACTGTTCGGCGCATTTGTGTCGCCATTGGTATTGTCTGTGTCAAATGAGGGCGCGCGTGGCTTTTTTTGCGACGCAATGCCGGTCTGCGGCGACGCCCCAATGTCTTTCGTTTTGACGTGACCGCCCCGGTACGCTTCTTCCTGGTCCAGTGCATCGAGTCTCTCGTTGTAGTTGCGCATCACTATTTCGTTCTCGCGGTGCGAATCCTGGTACAGTTGCAAATCGTTTTCGTCGATTTTGTCCAGTTCGTCTTCCTCGACCCCGTCCGGTGTATCTTCGCGTTTGCCTTCTATCTTAGCTATGTATTTACGGAGCCGCGAATTGGACCTGTCTAGATGCGAAATACTATTTGTGAGTTCTGCTCTAATTTGTTGCAATTGCGAATCAGGTAGGTCCCTGATGACCTCTTTGAAGTCTGTGATCTCAATTGGTCTCTTGGCGCTTGTAGATGAGCTCATTTTTGTTAATTGTGTTAACTCCGCTTAGTTCCCAAAATCTATCAGGGCAAACCTACACAGATGATCCCAAGAGATGAGCTTCGAGAAGGGATCCGGAAGCTTTTAGATCTGCCCTTATATACTCGGATTTTTCAACGAATTCCAGAAAAAAAGGGGGTGAAGAGGGATAGTCAATTCGCATTGGCGGGAATAGCAAAAATTATTGGAGTACGGGGTGAAAGAGGGGACATTTTTGAAAGCCACAAAAACAGTGTTGGAAACCTAAGTAAGGCAAAGATAGACCCGTATCAAAGTATATAGAAGTCACATGACCGAATTTGAGGATCATCTCCTGGATCACCTTGGACTAAAAGTCACTTCGAACGGATTATCACGTGTAATACACGTGATCTCTTGTTAAAAAATATGTCAATCTCCTTGAGAATATAGTGGGGAAGAGTAAGAGAAGCTTACGACGACAACTGCCAGATGCTCACATCCGTAGAGGATTTGAAGGACATTGGGAGACTGATAGATGATGTACAGTCGGAGCGGAGTCATATAGCGGAAAAATTGAGCCTAGTAGGGCGGTTCGGCGCTGAGAATGGCGCGTCAACAGGAGCCACAGAGGACGTAGATGATATGGTGGACAAAGCGGCTCAAGAGATCAGTGAAGCTAGAAACATGATGGATGTAGCGAGACTACGGCATGAGTATGGAGATCTGACGATTTTACGCGAACTGGAATCAAATTTTCTGCGTGAGACGCGTCGAATTGCAGAAGAAGACGAGCAGAATGAGGCAGAGCAAATGGTGCACGAATTGGAAACCCTACAAACCACTCCAGGCATCACACAATTGGAGAAGTGGCATGCTAGGATTCAGAGTCTCGAATTGCTACCAGAAAATGCCGTTTACCGGGCTTTAACTGAGAAATTTGGCGCTCTTGTGCAAGAGAAAAGCGCGACACAACAACAGTTATTCGAGAAATTGGCTCTAGATGTCCGGTGGGATTCGTCTCATTTTCAAAACGATGTGGACGACGTACAGAATTTGAACGAAATGGCCAGTATCCTTTTCAGACTAGACATTCTTGCAGGTCACACGCCAGAAAGTGACGAGCTTTGGAGTTTCAGCAGCATGGCCAAGAGTTTTCATCTAAAGTTCATTTACCTTTTCAACAACCAGGTCCAGGAGCAACCGCAGTCCATCCAGACGTACTTTGCGTTTCTCGACAGATATTTGGCGCATAATCTGTTTAAGTGCATCGACATTTTCAGCAATCCAGAAATTGGTCTCACCCCAGAAATGGTGCTTCGCAACCTTATAAACCATATATTGCATCCCATCAGACAGAAAGTGAAATCTACGCTAATGAAGACAGCCGAACAAGACGCGGGGGAGAGCTTGAAAACGCTAATCGTGCTAATATCTCAAATTTTCATCAACGACAACAGTTTACTGAAGAAACACTACTACGATGGACCGGGACTAGTCTCTATGATACCAAGTGATGTTATGGACACTTGGCTTACATTCGAAGTACGATCCGCAACAAGTCAAGTCGAAAAAATGAAACAGTTGCCGCTATCTAAAAGCTGTACAGACTTCCAAATTTTGTTAGAGAACTTGTTAAAGTATTTTGAGCCTTTTTTCGATTTGGAATACCCTCCCTTCATGGAACACAAGCTGAAAGTGACTAACCGCATATTCATGGGTCTCCCTGGTAGTCTTTGCGACCATATATTGAATTACTCTGGCGATAACATGATTTCATTCGAGAATGAGGCCCAGTTCAAGCAAACCGTCGAGAAATTACAATATTTGCGCAAAGTCGAGAACATTTTGAATAAATATCAGAATATGCTGCCTTTCGTCAACCAAACGGTGTATTTGAACGAGCAGACAAATTCGTCTTATCCAACAGTCTTCTCAGACGTCCTGAAGCGTTTTTCCAAAGCCATTATAACAGTGAGAGAGTCCATTGTGCATAGGTTAAAAAAACTAATAAGTGCGAATCTTCGAGTTTACTTTAAAATTAACGAATGGGCGAGACTGACAGTAGCCACAGACCAACCAATGGCGGAGCTTTTGGGCACGGTGAGGTCATTGCAAGACCTATTCAATTACATGACCCTACACGAGTCCGTCCGCGACGTGATATTCTGTGTTCAAAATGAGGCTCTCAAAATTATTATTCATTTTATGGACGATTACGTCGTGAATTTGAACAAATTTTCCCAATGCGGTCTTGAACAGCTTCAAACTGACTACAGTGCATTGAGGGAAACTTTAAATATGAATCCAGAACAATCACCATACAATACAGAAGAAGCAGCGTTTCTTGAAAAATTGAGGATCCTTGAACTCAAACATATTGGTTCTGAGGATTCCTCTAAATTCCTTTCCAAAGCGTACATTGAAGGACAAAGCTACGCCGAGTTGCGTACAAGCCTCGAAATTTGGCATTTGCCCGATAGTCAAATAGCTAATTCTCTGTATAGAGCTCTATAAAATTCACATCATGCTGCCTTCCGGCTCTTCATATTTGAAAAGGTTTTCCTGTGCAAGGACCGTCGGATCTGAGTTTCGAGCTGGCGTTGAGTTCACTCCCAATAATGGATTGTTTTTCCCTAGTGAATCCAGTATTTCGCCAACTGTTGAAATCATGCCAGTAGGTCCAACATCAAAGAGACTATCTTTCTCAAGTCGGGTTATCCAGTCATTATCATGACTACAAGTGCTATTATTAGTTTTGCAGTCGTCGGTCAACGGCAAATCGACGCTTGAATTTTCAATTCCGTTCGCAGCATCATCACGAATTCCATTGAAATGATTCTGGACAAGGTGATCTATTATGGGCCAGCCATAAGCGTTCGAAAAGCGCCGGCGAACGATTAAATTGTTATGTGCGTCCGGTTTCAAAGAAACAATTACTTTTCTCCAAGACATGCCATCATGCCATCTTCTCGCTATCTCGCTTTCTAAATTTCGACTTTCATCGGACCCTGTCATTGTAAAAGCCTTGAGTAACAGGTTTTTGCTGTCTTTGAGCCTTTTATCTGATGATGATTCTCGCAGGGGGATGTCATCAGGTGAATAAATTTTGTCATGAAGTATAACATTCTCTCGAGAAGCTGGATCCATGATATAAGATCTGTCTGGGAGCGGTGGTATCAAAACCGAGGCCGCAGATTCTATTATCGAAACTTTAGGTAAAGTAGAATCGCTCTGGTTATCAGGAAACTTTTGAGGAGCCCACAGATTGATAGCCTTGGTGAATGGAGACAGGAAGTTTTTTTTAATGAAGTCTCCTCCACCTGCTGACGGCGCTTCAAGACGCTTTCTCGAGGCAGGTAGTTGTTGTAATTGTGAAAGGATTTCCTCGTAGTCCAAAAATAGTAAACCCGCAGAATAAAGGGGAACGATCCCATCGTGAGTTGCATTTGCATAAACGGTACGTCGATGAAATCTTCTCAGGACATTTTTGGTTGGTTCTCCAGGTAGCAAATAAAGCAGAGGTTTATCGTTCTGCGCGTCATCTTTTAAACCAAGATCCTGGCCAGTTTTACCCACAATACCGAACGACAAGAGTATGTTAATGTAGGCAGGATTATCGGTGACAATTCCCAGCAGAGGTGATGCCAAAGTAATGAAATTTTCCGGTTTGACCTTTTCGAAAAACCATGGATACTTTTCAGCGATATAAGCAATGGCAAACGTCTGTACAGTACCACCCAGGGAATGCCCAACAAACGAAATTTTGCAGGTCTTGTCATTGTAAAAGTGGTTTATAATATGTTCCGCTAATCTTGTACCCAGGCGTTTGATCCCACGTTCCGTGCCGCACACGTTCCCGTCGAACCCCCGCACAACTATCCGCTCATTATCGTAGTATTTTTGACTTCTCTCGATCTGCTCTTTCATATAAAAGAGATCTGCTGAAACGTTAGAATGCAATCCATGTGTCAGAACCACTAAATGTTCCTTTTGATTCGCGTGTAATGAAACCTGCAAAGGTAAATTCCATAAATCCAAAGTCGTCTGTCTAGTAACTGTCATTTTGGTGTCCATCGATCCACTTTGCGCACTCAAGTCCCAATTTCGTGAAATCGAACGTCTCGATGACCCAACACAGATTTCGAACCCAACTTGCGCTGTATTCGTGAAAATGATCTGACTGACCACATCAACAACCCAAACGTACCGTTTTTTCAGATTGTGCAATGAAAGCTCGGCTATGAACTCCTGCTGTGGCAAAATGTTCGGTTGGAATTTGGGTTGATCTGCCGACACAAATAGTCGTTGAGAATGGTGGTAGTTTTCGTTTCGCACATCACAGTAAATCATATATGGTCCCATAAGGTATGCAGCTCTAAAAGTAATATTTTCCACATTCTTGATTCGTAGCCAGAGAGGATCTAACGTTATATTCGATGGCATCTCATCCTCATCGTAAAGGCTGTAACTGATAATATATCGTTCAATTTCACCTATCTTCAACGATGATTTGTAGTAGTATAGTAAATCTCGGGAGCTCTTTTCACACATAATGAGGCCATGTACCACCTGTGCGACCCGGTCGATTGTCTTGTATCTCTCGTTCGTCATCTTATATTAAAGCATCGATTTTCAAATGACGGGAACGACGTCTTTAACAATGAAGCTAATAGAGAAAAGAAGGGCGACTAAAATATGGCAACGAGCCCGATGAGGACCATGAGAGACTAAAAAATTTCCTGAATATTTACATATAATCTACTGCTATTTTAAGTCAAAATGTGAGCCAATATGCACATGAATGGTCATTTTCGGGTGAAAATTCATTTTTCCTCGAGAAGTTTTTTCGCTTTGACTTCTATATCATGCTTCGACACTGCCTGGATCAAATCGTCCAGCCTTTCACCTGCCATTATTCCTTCGATGTCGTGTAATGTGAATCCACATCGATGATCTGTGATCCTGTTTTGCGGATAGTTGTAAGTCCTGATTTTGTCGGACCTGTCTGCAGTCGTGACTTGTTCACGACGAACAGCACGCTCTTTGATTTCTTTCTCTTTCCGTTCCATTTCAGCCAGTTTTGCACGCAGTATGGCAAAGGCTTTGGCACGATTCTTGTGCTGAGATCGTTCATCTTGCATCGAAATGACAATTCCTGACGGAAAATGCGTCAATCTGACAGCTGAATCGGTCGTATTGACGTGTTGGCCGCCTTTTCCACGCGCACGCATGACATCAATCCGAATTTCGCCTGGTTTGAACGTTCTTTCGTAAGCCTCCGATTCGCGTTCTGTCTCCTCTGCCATTTGCGGCAAGACAATCACAGCCGCAGTCGACGTATGGGTACGACCTTTGGTCTCAGTAGCAGGAATCCGTTGCACTCGGTGCACCCCAGCTTCAAATTTCAATTTATCGTAAGATCCAGGCTCATCGATGCTCAAAATCGCATCCAAGATACCAGACCCACTCTCATTTTCGGTCTTGGCAACAATATGCCATTTCCACTTATGGGTTTGTGCGTAATTGATATACATCGTTAGCAAGTCCTGAGCAAAAATCATCGCCTCTATGCCTCCGACACCCGGTCGCAGTTCTAAGATGCATGGCTTGTCTGCAAACGGGTGTCGCGGCAATAGCCAATTCAGTAAATCGGACGAAGCCTTCAACAGTGACGGTATCGTAGCTTGAATTTCGGCTTCGGCTTCTAGTTTCAACCCCGGATCTTCAAGCATCTGTTGAAGGTCCCGGTAATTGGCCAACTGTTCCGCATAAGATCTGTAAAAATCCACAATTGTCGAAAACTTCGCAAACTGTCTCTGCTTTTCGACATCAAATGTGCCACCTCCTGATAGCCATTGTTCCAGCACGGCCAATTCATCAACGTATTTTTGAGCTCTTAAAAGCAAGGACGGATGGAGTTCTTTGAAGTCATTAGCCAGATGACTTTGAAGTCGCTTAAATGTCAATGGTATTCGACAACCCAGTGACGTTATCCGTCTGGTTAACATACCGCTAAGCGAGTCGCTCTTTTATACAGTTTTCAAAAATTTTCGGTTTTCGAGAAATCAATGTTCAAGCTCATCTCAGTTTCCCATCCGTAACGACTAGAAAGACTCAGAAGATGTTGAGAAATGAATATACTAAGGGTAAGTATGAATTTGTCATAGGCATTTCATATCGTCACATTTTCTAACACTGAGTATAGAGAAACGAGTCGGTGAGGGCACTTACGCTGTTGTCTATTTAGGAACGAAGCAATCGAACAATAGAAAGATCGCTATAAAAGAGATAAAGACATCAGGATTTAAAGATGGTCTGGATATGTCAGCTATTCGAGAAGTGAAATATTTGCAAGAGATGAACCATGTAAATGTTATTGAGCTGGTAGATGTTTTCATGGCTCAAAATAACTTAAATTTAGTACTAGAGTTTCTACCAGCGGATTTGGAAATGATAATTAAAGACCAATCGATCTTGTTCACGCCTGCAGATATCAAGTCGTGGTTGTTGATGACTTTGCGAGGCGTCCATCATTGCCATCGAAATTTCATCTTACATCGAGATTTAAAGCCCAATAATTTGCTTCTTGGACCGGACGGTCAACTCAAGCTCGCGGATTTTGGGCTCGCTCGGAACTTGGGATCCCCACAGGATTTGTTGACAAGTAATGTTGTAACCAGATGGTACAGGGCCCCAGAGCTTTTGTTTGGTGCCAGACATTATACCGGTGCCATTGACATGTGGTCCGTTGGAGTTATTTTCGCAGAATTGATGCTTCGGATACCTTACCTTCCTGGCAAAGACGATGTGGACCAAATCGACGTTACTTTCAGAGCGCTCGGTACCCCCACTGACAAAGATTGGCCCGAAATTTCGACTTTCAGTGCCTACAACAAAATTCAATTTTATCCACCACCTTCAAGAGATGAATTGAGAAAACGATTTATTGCGGCGACCGAGAATGCTTTGTATTTGATGAGTGGAATGCTCAGTCTGAATCCGCATAAGCGGTGGGACTCGATCAAAGCGCTTACGAGCCAATATTTCGTCGAATTACCGGAACCAACAACGCCAGAAGAGCTGCCCAAATTAGGAGGCAAATGAAATGCATATCTTCACCTAGAGCCGTGATACAACAGTTTCACATAACGTCCAATTGCTATACTTGCGGTCAGACCAGGACTTTCGATTCCCAGAAGGTTTACGAAACCTGGGAAACCAGGTTCTTCCTTGATATAAAAGTCCTTGAAACTTCGATCGTGAGGTCCTGCTAACTTGGGCCGAATACCACTGTACGCGGGTTGCAGATCACTGGGCTGGATGTGCGGATAGTAGGTCGTAATGGCTTCGTATGCTCTTGGGATATTGGCAGAGTTCACGGTGTAATCGTCCAGGTTGTCCACGTAATTTAGGTCGGGACCAAAGCGGATACTTCCCTGCAAATCTATAGTGAGATGCGTTCCCAAAGATTTACCATTTCGTGGAGGTACAGGATACACCAACCGACGCACAGGAGGGAAACCAGATCCTTTTAAATAGTAATAATTACCCTTTGCGTAGAATTGTTTAACTTGTCGGTCTGCTGGCAAAAGCATGTTGGCAATATGATGCGCATGCAACCCAGCAGTATTAACAATATTTTCAACCAAGATGCTCGCGGTGTCTTGGCTCTCGTTGACAGTATCCTGACAAGAAAGCAAGTAACCTTTCTTATCTTGATACTCGAGATCCACGACTTTTGATCCGACGGCGAGGTCTCCGTCGTTGTTGTCGAACACAGTAGACAAATATGTCATAAGCGAGTGAGAATCTATAATTCCCGAAGTTGGAGAGTTTAAAACGCTTCTCCGAACTGTAATTGCCGGTTCAACCCATTGCGTCTTGTTTGAAGGTAACATCTCAACCGGAAGCCCAAGTTCTTGTTTCGCCTTGAGATACATGGTCTCCAAGTAAGAGTCGTCTGCATCAGTCTGGGCAACAACCCATTTCCCGCATTTAGACCATTCGACTCCCGTCTTGTAGCTGTCCAGCTCATTGTAAATTATTTGACTTCCCTCGAGACAAAGTCTGGTCTTGAGCGAATTAACTGGGTAATACAGGCCGGCATGTATCACTTCTGAATTTCGACTAGAAGTCTCCATGCCAAAATCGGAGTTTTTCTCAATCAAGAGAACTCTATTCCCGGGAACTTTGGAGAGTTCTGCAGAAACAGCCAGTCCTACAACTCCGGCTCCAATTACAGCATGTGAATAGTCTGGTACAGTCTGAGCTGGGCTTGACAAACATCTCAAGATCTGTCTTCCCCGAAGGCCTGATTTAATTGTGATCATGTCTAATTACTGTAGTATCTTTTTCAAGTTCCTCGTTGTTCAAATCTATAGGTAGTGTTCCTCATAGATTACTACCAATAAAACCATAAAATCAATCAAACTGACGAAGACCTTAGTATTGTGAAATTTTGTGAATAGGGTAAAGCTCTAGTATGCTAGAATTAGAATTCGCCCATTCAAAAGCACATCCACCCCCATGTTGTTTTCTGTAGGTTGCTTGACTTTTATTACTTTTACAGGATTTGAACGAACTATGATAGCTCAGTTGACCATGGAAAAGCTGATAGTCTAATCAGTCAGTATTTTAAAGAGTTTTAAGCAAATTCAAGAGAATAGAGGTCTTTTCTATATAATATCGTGAGAGCCATTATGATTTCAGCAGATTGGACTGGATTCGATTTTTTGCAATGGTGAAATTATAAAGATACTTCGATGAGATGAGCTACTGACGATTGAAGAACCTTTAAAAAAAACCTAACATGCAGGGATTTAAAAACCCAAGGCTAATAATTAGACAGCTTTCAAGTACAATTCCTAAGCGACCGTTGTTTGACCAAGTTTTCCCTCAAAAAAAGCTTATCAATAAGATACTTTTTGAACTCGACAGTAAACTTAATTATGGAACGTTGTTACCAGCTTATGAGTCTGTATACGATGGAATGAACAAACTGGATAGAGAACCCCGTCTGCCTACTTCTTTTGTTGCTTCTGATGTGATGGTTATGAAAAAAGTTCTCGAGAAAGTGCGACGCAAGTCAAAGAGCATTAATGTACATCTACTGGCGCTGGAAAATGCGTTACTTGAAAAGGCTGCAGAAATGGGTGACAATGACGGAATTGCACTTTTAGCATTCGAAGTTTTGAAAGACGCTTCTAAACAACCTGTTTCAGATGTAGAACACGCTAAAAAACTCATCAAAGAACTAAAAAACCTGAATCATCCGCTTACCCTGAAACTCACTGGAGATTTGGTATTCAAATTAGGAGACTATAATGGAGCAGAAAATTGGTACAAGAGGTTTTTGAAACTTGAAGATGAAACGTATTTGGCTGGAGAAGTTTATCAACAACTGGGAGTAATTTATTTCAAAAAAGCTGCATTGCAAGACGCAGAGAATAGCTTTCTTAAGAGTGTCAAATTTTGTCCTCTGGAGCGTGTGGTTCATTCATATTATTACTTGGCTCAAATTTATTTGAATTCTGATCCAATTAAGGCGCGGTTTTTGATGGAAAGCGCGGCTACAGAAGGATTTGTGCAATCGTTTAGAGCACTGGGTTTTCTCGAAAAGGACTATTTCCAGAATAACCGAAAAGCGCTAGAATGGTTTCGACTTGGTATGGAACTTTTGGAAGTTGATTGTTTTATTGGATATTTTGATTGTTGTATACAGCAGAAGGATTGGCAGAAAGCGAGCAAGTGCTTGAAAAGTCTTGAAGAGATACTAGGCAATCATCCCAACGCGAGGGCGACACTTGCACAATTTAAGGAAAAACGGAAAGCAACTATCAATTCACTTGAATCAGAAAGGCATTTAGGTGAGAGTTCTATTGAAAGCGCGAAATCTGGTGATAATTTATCTCAGGAAAACGAGACAAGAAGTAGGTGGGATCTTTAATGCTTTGTTTGACGTGCATACTTTCAATATATTAACTCGGGCCTATAATAAATTATGACATCTCCAGCCCTTCTGGAGTCCCAATGACTCTTAGAGTTGTAAAAACTTTGAAATTTCATGTAACCACTATTTCTCAGATAATCGTTCATGAAAATGTCATCTAAATGTTGAAATATGATCAAAAATTCGGGCCAGGTGTGATTGAACCGAGACTGTGAATCTTTGTCCAGAGAAAAGGGCGGGAAGTTGCGCTGGAAGAATAGCGGGATATCATCATAAAGAATGTCACTTTCATCCATGTAACATTGCAGCTTTTCTGCCGAAGAGGGATCTTTCAAGAGAAATAGCGGCGGTTCACACGATATAGACCATAAGTCTAAGATGTCGTTGCGATGTAAATAGCTCTGCCAGGGAGTCGAGTGACAAGGCATTACAAAGCCGATACTTTGTACATTGGGGATGTTATGCAAATACTTCATTACCTCCACAACCCCGGTTTCGTGCGATGATGACAACAACATTGCAGCAATTACAGATATGAGTGGTAAAATCCAAAACCGCGTCTTTCTAAAATCGAGTCCGCGATATTTGAGTGAAAGATCGAGTAGAGCTGAAGTCGCTAACGCTGTAAAAAGTGGATGCAGCATATAAAGAAAACGAAACTCTTTGTGTGGGATGAGACTGAACAAAATGATGTTGACGATGATAACAACTTTGATTTGTGACAGTGAGGTAAGCAATTGTTGATTGTTCCGTTTTTCCGGTTTAAAAAATCCATACAGGACAAGCGGAATACTGTAGCCTAGAATTATTGGAATGCTTTGTAATAAATGGAAATGCCAAGGGGATTTCCCATAGAAGGACGACAAAGAGCTAGTGACGTTAAATTCGAAAAATCGATAAACTGGGAAAGTCAATTCGCCATAAAAGTAAAAATCAATAGCCAAATTTATTGCAAACGCCAAGGTGAAAGTATAGCTTATTTTAAAGCCAAGTTTGCCGATCTCGTAGTACTTTCTTTCACCCAAGAGACCCATTACGAGGAAAAGTCCCAAAGGAATCCAAATGAAGGCATTAGTGGGTCTTTGGAGGCAAACGAAAAACGCGCAAAAAAGACTCTTCGTAAAATTGGTCGAATTTATATTTGTGCCACCACTCCAATCCCAGAAATAAAGCGCTATGCATGTAAGATCCATTTCAAAGGTGTTGATAAAACTCCGAGTAATCATGAAACAGTTGAAAAAATTTGTGACACACAAGATCGTCGCGTATTGAGCCACTGGAACCAGAACCGTGGTTTGGTCCTTTTTATCAGCTTGAAGTGGCCGTTGCACGGCAAAAACCTTTTGGACAAACTGTATAAGGTAAAATTCTCCCGTGGCTCCTAACAAAGCCATTGCCACCTTAGGTCCATAAATGACAAGTGTGTATTCTATCAGCTCCTTAACATCCCGATTAAATTGCCTGTATTGCCAAATAAATTGCCAAGCTGCTCGCCAATTTGGAAAACCCACTGTAACACATCGCATTAACAAACCCGCACTCAAATTGCTCCATGTCTCATACACTTTAGCTACAAATCTCGCAGCTCTGTAAACAATTTCAAACATGAACGGAAAAGCATAGCTTCTAAGCTTGTTTTCCCATTCCCAAGTGATCTCGCCATAACCAAAAGCTTTCCAATGAGCTGGCTCTAGAGATTGCCAAAACTCGTCGGCTTGAAAATATGATGATATGACCAGAGCATTTACAGTTCTAATGATCACTAATGCAAGGAAAAGTGGTGAGATTCGCCTTGTTTTTATACTCATCGCCGGGTCTTCCATAGTGATGATCTCTTAATAAGGTGACCAATTATTCAATGTAGAATTCCATCTTTCAAGAAACCTTCAGGTATTGACAAATTAAAAAAGCAGATCTACAAGTTGACTATATGCTCAATTTTACGGGCCAAACGAAACGGAGGACTGTCAATCTAGGTTCAAAGACCAGAAAAACCCGGTCAGAGATCCTAGAAAATGCCAGAACCGAACGCCAACGACGGGCGACAGAAAAGAGGAATTTCGAAAGTGCTTTGACTATCCAGAGTAGCATTAGAAGGAAATTGAGTAATGAGAGGTTCTTTCGAGCGGCAGTAGGGAAATTAGATTCCAGAACGGCAAGAATTCTTTTCCTGGTATACCCGATTCAAGTTCTGGAAGAATTTGGAGCTGGTGACCTGGAGATCGTTTTGAGGACTACTAATGTTAAGATGTTACGGGAGAGGGACAAACTACTGGCCAACCATGCTTTAATTAAGATTCTTGAGTCGATTGGCAAGTTTGAATGCTCTTCCCAACTCTTGGATTTGATAATAGAAAGCTTGGATACCGAGCTTATACCAACAAGAGAGTTTGTCACGGCCTTAATAAAATTAGTGCACGAAGCCTCTTTTCAAGTGCCCTTAAATTTCTATCAGAAAGTTTTAACTTTATTTGATGTCGTTCATATCCAGGATGTGGAGGTTAGAGCGTTATTCGCAGTAAACAGATCAAGTGCAGTAATTATTACCAATATCGACACCTTTTTGATGTGTATCAAGGACGAATACTGCCCCGCGAATTTTGCAAAAGACGCCTCGTTGGCCGATCTGCTCGACAACCTTTCGTACGTTTACAACCATTCTAGTGGAAATCGACAATTGGCATTTGCCGATGCGATCATAAAATGTCTTCATCTTACCTCGCAAGAGGATATGCAATATTACGAGGAGTTCTCAAAGCTTTACCAAAGTCATTTAATTGCTTATCTCGCGCAAAATGAGTCTCAGGATCGATTTAGCGACGCTGCCGCTTTTGTTAAGTGTGCGCCCAACCAGAATTGTAAAAGCAATTCGTTGATTAAACTACTCTCAAAGTCGCATTTTATGGCTGAACTTCATGAAAAGACGTTCATGGGTTTGACCATGAAAGACCCCTTTGACCGGCCGTCTCTTTTCAGCCTTTTCTCTTTGCTCATTGACTTGGTGGATTTATATCTTTCGGTCACAAGCGATCATGAGATAATGACCAGTATCAAGATATATTCTTTGAAGCACTTGAAGCAACTAACTGACTACTTGAGGCGCGCGACCTTCGAGAATCTCTGGAATAGTAATGAGCGTGGCTCATCAAATGAAAAAAGAATGCTTGTTCTGTTGAACAGGATTTATCTTCGAGACTCAAGGCTACATTTCTGTTCCACGCCTACTGATAAACAATACTGGAGTGTACGGGATGAAGAGTTCCTTCATGTCAACATATTTAAGTTTGTGGGTGATTTCGAGATTTTCTATAGGCAGCATATGCATGATGATGATGAGGAAATTGGAGGCTACCCTGTTCAGTCAAGTGTCAGCGATTCATCTCTCAAGGAGAAGTTCTTGAATGAAATAAGGAAATCCTTCGGCAGCCGCGATCCAACTAGGCAATTCAAAAAAACCGAAATTCTTGCCAAAGCGCCCTTCTTCATACCCTTCGAGCAAAGAGTTGAGCTCTTCTACTGGCTGATATCCTTGGATAGGAAAAGATTAGGCTTAGACGCAATGGATCCCGGTTTTTTCGCGCCATGGTCGTCTAGCCCCATGAGTACTCGTCAACAAGCTACTATCTCTCGAGAGCATACATTAGAAGATGCATTCAAGGCATTTAATCCAATAGGTGAAAGCTTAAAGTCTCGTCTAGCAGTGACTTTTGTAAGTGAATTTGGGCCAGAGGCAGGCATTGATGGAGGCGGTATTACTAAAGAGTTTTTGACGAGTGTGACAGAAGAGGGATTCAAAGCGGACACGATGGAACTTTTTAAAGCGAATGAAAAGCATGAGATTTATCCTTCGCCCAAAATCAATTCTAAGCAACATTTCAATTATTTGTTTTTCATGGGCAAAATATTGGGCAAATGTCTCTACGATCATGTCTTGATAGATGTTGCGTTTGCTGACTTTTTGCTGAAGAAAATGCTCAGTAGCCAAAACTCCTTCCAGTCCAGCTTTGATGATCTGGCCAGTTTGGACAGCACTCTGTACCGGAATTTGGTTAAATTGCTTGCCATGGACACCAAAGAGCTGGAATTGTTGGACTTACGGTTTGAGGTAACAGATGATGAGTCTAAACAAGCCGTGGAGTTAATTAATAGGGGCTCTCAAATACCGGTGACAAGATCCAATGTGCTCGAATATGTTCTTTCCATTGCAGAGTACAAATTGAACAGAAAATCACGAATTCCAACTCGCTACTTCTTGGGAGGTTTAACTGTCATGATTCCAGCTCACTGGATCCAAATGTTCAACTCTGTTGAGTTGCAAATGCTTATCAGTGGCGGTGGCAAAGACATAAACCTTGCTGACCTGAGGGCAAATACAGAATATGGTGATTATGTCGACGGCGACATTACAATAAGACATTTTTGGGACATCCTTAGAGAATTTTCACCGGAACAACGTCTCAAATTTGTCAAGTTTGTTACATCTGTTCCAAGAGCCCCATTGCAGGGATTTGGCTCTTTAGACCCGCATTTTGGTATCCGAAACGCTGGCCGTGACATCGCAAGATTACCTACTGCTTCTACATGTGTCAATCTACTAAAATTGCCCGACTATCGTGATAAAGATTTACTAAGACAAAAACTACTGTACGCTTTGACTTCGGACGCCAGATTTGATTTATCATGAGACTTGAACGGTATCAAGCTGGTGTTACTAGGTGATGAGATGAATTTTCAAGGCCTAGAAGTATGAACCAGGTGATCAGCATTCTTTCGTTCAAAATGAGAGGCAAATAATAAAGATTATGGAACCATTAAGATATATGACAAACCCATCACCATTTTAACATTTCAACAAGGTTACTCCCGAGGTGGATTTCGTTGGGCTCGAGCAGACCGAATATGTTTGCAGTGGCCTGGCCGTATAAGTATTTCACCGTTTTTTGTCTTGGAGGACTTGTAGGGTCCAATTTTGTGTGTGGACAAGTACTTCCGAGACATGAAGATAATATTTATGAGTCGCGACCACCGTATGGAGATGACTTTGACAACGAGTTTGATGTTGATTTGATCTTATTCAGTGTGTTGTTTATGGTGTCGTGCTATTTTTTGCTGACGATCATCTATTTTTGTATCAAGTACCTGGTAAGGAGGTATTTGACAACGGGCATTTCGCTGAATGGGCAAGGTACCACACGGATCTTGGGACCCGCTGTTAATGCAAGATGGCCTAGTGCACTGGACGATGAAAATGTGGTCAGGGATAAATTAGCGAAAATGTCGCCTGAAGAGCAATTTTATTACAAACAAGGTGAAGAATTCATTCGGCAAAATCCACCCCTCGTCATACCTGAGGCCATTGGAACCGACGCCGAAGATCCTATAATAAACGAGCAAACTTTGCAATTTATAGAGGAAGAAGGAGCCCACGCTTGGGAATTCCAGCCAAATGCAAATCTTCCAAATGACACGATATTGGTAGAAAACCGAACCGAAATTACTTTCCTGAATTACAACTATGACGCATCCGTGATGGCAAATTTACCGATTCCGCGCATCAACCGCATCTATTACTGTGAATTTAAAATTTTTGAACTCAATACTGCTGGCAGTGGCAATAATCAGTTGTCTGATAGTGAGCTCATATCTTTCGGTTTGTGCACGTCTCCTTATCCTTACTTTAGGTTACCAGGAAGACATCACCATTCGATTGCCTATGACTCTTCGGGAGGCCGCCGGTTTAACGATTCCTTCGAACAAGCACCCGAGCTCGCATCCCTATTCCCCAGATGTGAGAAGGGGGATGTTATCGGAATCGGTTATAGGAGTAACAGTGGTACAGTATTTTTCACTCGCAATGGTAAAAAGTTGAAGGAAAAATCTGTCGGTGGTCATATCAAGGGTTGGAAACTCAAATATCTCTATCCCATAGTCGGCGCTAATTTACCATGCAAAGTTCATGTCAACTTCGGCACGCACGGATTTGTTTATATTGAGGCTAACGTGAAAAAATGGGGGTACGCTAAGTTAAACGGTATCAAGCTACCCCCTCCCTCTTACGAAGATTATGACCAAGACGTTCTGGTCGAAAGCAATTATGAGGACGATCTCTCTGACAACGAAAGCGTTTCGACCTCTGAAGTTGGTAACGTGGTTGATCGTGAAGGACATTTGCTGCCACCCCCACCGGGATTTGAGTTCAGTACTTCTCCTTCCTCTGTTGTGGGTGATGAATATACTTTGAACTCTTTGCCAGCTGAACCCCCCTCCTACATCTCTGATGATCATGAATCAATTGAAATTCAGAATTCTGCACCAGGAGCTGGAGACTCTCGCGAAGACGGTAAAAGCTCACATGACGACAACGATGAGGCTAAAAAAAATGCATTTGTCAATCAATTCTTGTAGTTTAAGCACTTTTTATGTGTGAGAGATAGCTAGATGACTAGGAAATTTGTTTGTGCGATTTAAACAGCCTATGTAATGAATGGAAGGGGATTTATATTCTATGCCGACTTACCTCAATATAAAGACTGAGAAACAAAACTTTTTGTTAAATCGGTTGAAAACCATCCATAAAATAGCTTACCGACAAGCAAAAGAGCCTTTGAGTCGCTTCTAATAGAGTTTCCATAATAATGGAATAATGTTCTGCAAAATTGAGTCGGTAACATCCCATTGAGTCTCATCCTCTCTCATTACATTTTGAACACTTCCCATTCGGCATAAGCGCAGAAGATAGCTGTTTCGACTTAAGCCGAACTTGATCCGAAAAATGGTTACATCATCATTCAGGATGAATGCCAAACATTGTCAGACACCGTATCAAAATAATAACAAATGACCCTCTTACAATAAAACTTACCCATGCAATTAGAAAAAGTTTTGACCATTTGCCGGGGCCGAATTTCCTTGATCGTCAAAGATAAGTAAATTGTTGAGACCTCCCTGTTCATCATTATTCAGATCACTAGCATGCTTGAAAAAGTCAGGCGTTTTGGGTAGCCCTTGCTCTTGATAATGAGGCGGTACCAGGTGGTCGTTGCCCTCGGACCCATTTTGTTGAGGGTGAAAGGAGTTCGTTTCATTCATCGTGGTGGAATTGAAACCAGGCTGACTGTTCGTTACAGGGTCATGATCTTTCAATCCGTAAAATTCGTTATGCCTCTGATAATCGTCAAAGAAGTTTTCCTCGCGAGAATCAATTAATGCTTGCGGTTCTGGGTGCAGTAGCATGGTTTGTTCAGTACCGTGCATATCCACCATTTGATTTTCGCTGTTTTTATTAGGGTTCGTGGTGTCTTGCTCCACGCTGTTATAATCGTGTATTAAAGATGTCAGGTATTTGAGAGAATCTTCCATTCCTGACAAAATATGCGGAATATTGGATCCACCCAAAAATGCCTGACTCACCTGAGTACCTTCAGAAAAGTCATCGCATATAGACCATTGATTTGAAGATAGCTGGTCTGAAGCATCTGAGAAATATACGGCGAATTTCGGAGGCTTTGATAAGTTCAATTTGAGCTCGCTGTGCCTTTGTAGATCATTTTTTTCCTCAGACTCATCTTGTCCGTCGTGAGACAATGATTCTGTTTCATAACTTATAGAACAGTCGATGACAGTCGCTATTGGGAAAAATATCCTGAAAAGAATCTTGGTGTTGTTGGCAATGGCACTAAAGAAATAATTGATTTCAAGGTTTTTTTTCGAGATGATAACTATCAAATCTGTGGCATCGGCCATAATTTCATTGATAGACATAGGTGATAGGTTTGATAGTTGCTTAATGCATTGAAGACCTTCTTCTTTCAAATTCCCACTTTTCAGCCTTTTCCAAGACCCGACTACAAGTGAGTTTGCATCGACAAAGCAGTAATTGTGGTTAGCCCCAATGGGAACTCGGTCGAAATCGACCGCAGGGCTCATGTCTCCCGCAGCTCCCATATTGGTGGCCGAGGGCCTAGCAGTCTGCTTATCAGACTTCCTGTATTTGGCACGTCTGTTTTGGAACCATATACGGACATTTTTCTCAGGTAATCCCGTCAGTTCTGAGATTCTTTTCCTATTTTGAGCATTCGGATTTGGGTTCTCATCGAATTCGCGTTTCAAAACGTTCAAGGCTTCACCAGTGGCCCTTGTACGCTTGGAGCGGGGTTTAGAATCTCTAGCACCGGTTGAAGCTGGGTTGGTCTCGTTGTGAGAATCCTCGGCCTCCTCATGTTTTTCCGCCTGTTCGCCGCTTTCCAAGGCCGCTGCGGAATGTGAAGTTGAGCTCGACAAGCTGCCATTGCCATTGGAATCCTGCACCTCCGGCTGTGCTGTACTACCACTAGAGTGGTTATCTGTTTGTGATGCAAAATGCGGATCAAATGTTTCCATTCGAGCTGTGATTACCCACTGTTTATTTGACGACTAATTCAACCCAAAACGCAGGAAAAACCCCCTTGAAAAGAAGCTAAATGAAAACTTGTTCTTGGCAAAATCGTTTCTGCTATTCAAAGCTCAGTAGTGAAGATCACCAGGCCACAACTAGAGCGTGTTGTATACACTTGGCTCATCAGTTTCTACCTAATTCAATAGCATCAATTTTTCCGTCGTTAAAAATTCCGGAAGCCACATGTGTATCATTATGTACGAAGATGTGTTTTTTAAGAGATATCACGAGAACGAAGCACAACAATCAAACTGCTATTTGAGAAGTGTTTCAGGGAGGCATGCTCATCAGCCGATGGTAATTCTGATGCTTGATAATAATGCTTTTGTAATAAGCGGATGATACGTTAGGAATATCACGTGACCATCATAAGATACTTATAGAGGAGCCATGCGATAAAAGTTTTGATGGCGCTTATTATTTGCAGGCGACTCCCAAATTTCTACTGAGCTTAATGATACCGCTCTAAATCACTTGTCGCCTGTGTAATGCCATGTCTCTTTTCTGCATGTCTGATATATTTTTCATTCTGTCGCTGTAGGCATTTCTGCCAAGAAAATACAACCGAGTTGACAAAGGATCAAGAACGAAGAGGATGGTTTTCGACGTGGCGGCAATAGATCCAAGTCACTACACTTGCCAGTAATATGGCGACCAACTCACCGCTTTACATAGGGTTTCTGTGCAAACAAGATTTATATCGCTTTGCACGTTTTAGGTCCGAACCAGCTCCCAGTCCGAGTTTGAAGTGCTAGTGCGAACTATAGTAGGGCCGTAACGCTTGTTAGCCTTTAATAACTGGATGCAGACCGGTGTGGATCAATTCTGCACATTCAATTAATGCTAACTTTTTTCTGTTACTGCACAGAGTTCTATTTCTGTAATGAATATCATTATATAAGTACATGACGTTTTATTCAACGGTCTTAACGAGCACTACAACTTGTTGCCTAAGTTCAATTGAACAGATTTCACATTTGTGAAATTTGCCAGACCGTATTCACCCAACTCGCGACCGTAACCGCTCATCTTCACACCTCCAAAAGGACTGTTGATGTCTACATCATTAGAGGAGTTTATCCAGCACATACCCGCCTCGATCTCTGCCGCGAACTTATGAGCGCGAACGATGTTTTGCGTGAATACGGAAGATCCAAGTCCGTATTCTGTCTGGTTAGCCAATTTCAAAGCTTCTGCGTATGTGGAAAACTTGGTAACGGTGATCACGGGTCCAAACACCTCTTCGTTGAATACTCTGTGTTGAGGCGTCACGTCACCCAAAATTGTGGGCTTGACGTAGTAGCCATTTTTATGGGTAGATGAGCTGGCAATAACGTCTGGCAATCCCTCACCACCAAGAACGACACGACAGCCTTCGTCGACTGCACTTTTAATGTAGCTCTGAACACGTTCTTGTTGTTTCTTCGAGACCTGAGGCCCAACCAAGACTCTAGAATCGTCTGGGCTGCCCACAACGTATGTCTCGCGGACATGCTGTTGCAACGCGGTCAAAAACTTATCATAAATCGAGTCTTGCACCAAACACCGCGACGTTCCGGAACAGATCTGACCCATGTTGTTGAAAATCCCCCACGCGGTCCATTTCACGGCTTGGTCGAATTCTGCGTCGTCGAAGATCACAATAGGCGATTTACCACCACACTCTAGGGTCAACGGCTTCAAATTGACCGCAGCGGTTTTTTGAACTACCTGGCCTACCGCGGTACTACCGGTAAACGCAATCTTGTCAACACCCAGGTGAGACGCGAGTGCGTTGCCAACCAGCGCGCCGGTGCCACTAATAGCGTTGAAAACGCCTGGTGGGAAGCCAGCTTCCTTGACCAAATTGGCAAAATATAAGATCGATAGCGGCGTCTGTTCTGCGCTTTTGAATACAGCCGTGTTCCCTGTGGCAATGGCGGTCCATTTCCACGACATCATCGCAAGTGGGTAATTGAAAGGAATAATGCAACCCACAACGCCCAGAGGCTGGTGTAGAGTGTAGGTTAGCTTTTTGGCGTTGGGCACGAACGACTGGCCCGTCGATTTGTCCACCCAACCGGCGTAGTACTTGAGAACCTCAACGAGTTCCAGAATATCGTATTTGGCATTTTGAGCCACAGGTTTCCCGGTGTCCAGAGATTCAACCTCTGCCAATATTTCGACGTTTTCCTCTACGAGAGCGGCAAGCTTAAGCAACAAGTCTCGTTTTTCTGTCGCAGGCGTATCTCTCCATCCTGGAAAGGCCTTACGGGCAGCTGCCACGGCTTTGTCAACGTCCGCACCCGCGTCGGCAGCCATGACCGAGGCAATCACTTCACCGGTCGCTGGATTGTACGAATCAATGCTTTCATTACCAGAAGCTTTAATGAACTCGTTATCGATGAAAAGTCCCAAAGGTTGTTTGTATGACTTACCGGAGGGCAATTGGATTTCTTTGAACAATGACATGGCAATTGTAATTGCAGTAAATTAGACTCGAATGTTACAATTCGATCGACTAAATACACAAACCCCACTTGACTGGTGTCTCAAACATTCCGCTTTTATAGGTTTCTTCTACCTTGATTTGTCAATTTTTCAAGCCTTATCTAAGCGCATCTAAGGAAATCTCCAATCGCGCTATTCTCTTTCGGGCAATTTTTCCGAGATAAGCATTTACAATTTTTCTTTATCAGTTGAACAAGATAGGCGACTATCAAGAAACCAAAGCCGAGCAGTAAAGCGATTGTAGCTGGAAAAGTGATTGTCCCACTTTGCAAGACCCTGGTAGATAGAACCTCGAATTCTAAGCGCGAGATTGTCATAAGTGCCCTTTGGGTTGAATAGGCTAAACGATGTACTACATAACGATAAGACAAAAAACAGCATCATCATTGCCATGAACAATGGAACGAAGTAAGCGCTGTCCATCTCCGTCTCCATACAGGTATCGAATAGATATGTGTAAATGACTTGGTAGCACATTATGGTGGATCTGTGATTACCGTATTTAATGTCGGGAGGCTGCAAATCAGAAGTCATGTGCCACAGTTATGGTACTTGAAATATAAGACGTAACTTTAACACCGAGCACATTTGTCATTTATTAGTCTATCAGTAGTCAAATTCCAACAAGATGTTCAAGAACATAGTTATTGCCAAAGTAGACAAGTCATACGAGCAGCCTTTAGGGCTTTTCATTGACAACGAGTTCATCAAGTCCCGTGATGAAGCTACAATTGAGTCTTTAAACCCTTCCACAGGAGAAAAAATCGCATCTTTCTATGCTGCGAGTGAAGCAGATGTTGATGCTGCTGTGGCAGCGGCCCGCAGGGCGTTTCCCTCTTGGAGTCACACTTCTCCGGAAGAACGTGGCATTTTGTTGAGAAAATTGGGTGATCTGATCGAACAAGAAAAGGAACTTTTGGCAGCAATTGAGACTTTGGATTCCGGTAAACCGTATAAGTCCAATGCACTGGGCGATTTGGATCAAATTATCTCTTTGACACGTTATTTTGCGGGAGCTGCTGATAAGTTTTCCAAGGGCGAATATATCCCTGTGAACAAAGACAAATATGCATTGACTCTTAAGGAGCCCTATGGAGTAGTCGGCCAAGTGGTTCCCTGGAATTATCCTCTTGCTATGGCAAGCTGGAAAATTCAAGGTTGTTTGGCTGCAGGTAACACTATCGTCATAAAACCGGCGGAAAACACTTCTCTTTCGCTCTTATATGCGGCACAGCTTTTCAAGAAAGCCGGTTTCCCTCCTGGAGTTGTCAACATCATCCCTGGTCACGGGGGTATTGCAGGCTCCAGATTAGCCTCTCATCCAGATGTGGACAAAATCGCCTTTACGGGAAGTACCGCAGTGGGTCAAAAGATTATGTCACTTGCCGCTTTGTCAAATCTCAAAGCCGTGACCCTTGAGTGTGGAGGTAAATCGCCTGCGGTTATTTTCGACGATGCGTCGATTGAAGAAGCCGTCAAATGGACAAGCATGGGGATATTTTACAATTCTGGTCAAAATTGTACTGCGAACTCACGGATCTATGTCCAAGAATCCATTTACGAGGAATTTTTAAGCAGATTTATTAAGCACGTTACAACCAATTGGACATTCGGCGAAGCTGCCGACCCGTTCGACAACGAGTGTACCGTGGGCCCTGTTATCTCCAAGACACAATACGACAGAATCCAAAGCTATATTGAGCACGCTCAAAAGAACGAAAATCTCAAAACAACACAAATAGGAGCAGCAGCTCCAGGATGTAATGGTTTTTTCATCCCCCCAACCATCGTCACAGACGTCCCGCAGGATTCCAAACTCATGAAAGAAGAGATTTTTGGTCCAGTTGCCGTAATTTCGAGGTTCAGAGACTATGGTGAAGTGATTAAACTTGCCAATGACACGAACTATGGGCTTGCAGCGGCTGTTTTCACAGAAAGCATCCGTCAGGCCAACAGATTTGCCCATGACATCAAAGCCGGTACCGTTTGGGTCAATTCTTCTAATGATGAAGAAATTTCGGTACCATTTGGCGGCTATAAAATGAGTGGAATAGGTCGTGAGCTTGGGCAAAGTGGTATGGACGCTTATACTCAAACGAAGGGTATACATGTCAATATGGCCAAACTTTGAGAGCGAATGTGATATGTCACATATCACATGCCTTTTCACCCACAATTGCCAGAAGAAAGCGGGGCCTATAATTCTCGCAATGCGTCTTTAAATACATAGTTAAACAGGCTTAAGTAAGGATCAAACCAGTTATCTTCTCATCCAAGTTTTACCTTTTTTATATCTTTACGCAAGTTTAAGTTGTCAGGATTAATTAAGGAGAGATGTTACTAGAAAACATCAGAAACAGCTTATGATATGGCCACATAAGGGCAATGATTCCGCGGTCAGGTCCTCTCAAAACAAGAAGCCCTTGCTCCATATGTGTCAAGCGGAAAGTCAAATGTGATAGGCAAGTACCCTGTTTAAATTGCATCAAACGAGGTCAAGATAAAGAATGCTTGAAAAGTTATCAACAAAACGTCAAAAAGTCGGTTTCGTTGGCATTTCATAATGATAAATCGCTTCTGAGTATTTGGCAAGAATATGAATACTGGGTATTGGCGCTAGGGGCGACTCAGTTGGAAAATTTTGATAATTCTGGATTTGTAGATGTAGAATCTGATCTGGAAGAAGTGAGATATTGGAGGGAGTATTTGAGCAGAGAAGCGTCTTTCAAGCTTTTAGACTATGCCGTGGCAGAGCTAGGAGGCTTTTTTTTCGGTTGCGTTGGAGACGTTGGGGAACTTTACGTCCAATTGAGTACGTATTGGTCCAGACAAGAGACGGATTCTCTGCAAACGATTGACGATTTTTTTTGGAACACTATTCTGTGGTCTATATTTACCATGTGCGTGTTCTACATACCTACTGAAAGTCTTGCTGAAATTTTGAGACCCGCCGTGGTCTCCCAATGGCTTTACGACCGAGCTGAACACCACTGGAACAGCGGCCTCAAAAATGAACTTTACAAAGGATTCTTGAAGACTGCAGTGCGCACTTTAGAGAATGCCAATTTTCTTAGCCATCCGGACGTTCGTGTCATTCAAAGTTATCTGATTTTAGCAGTGACACCTTTTCCGCAGTTGCATAAACCTCTGGCAAATTCTTTACTTGTTCACAGCCTTCATCTGGCCAAATCTCTGCGAATTGATAATTTTAGGCCGCTTGTAACGGACTCCACTGAGCTGAGGTTGAAAAAGGCGAGCTCTGAAAGGTTATGGTACCGCCTCAGTGTCCAGGATTATTGGCAGTCGGGACCCAATAAACCGATTAGCTTGCATGAAGAGAATGGTTCTTTACTTACACACGCGGCTTTTCTGATGGATAAACCTACGATCGATGTCTATAAAAGTGAGGACACGTTCGAAGCTCTCATGTGGAAGCTCGTCTCCCTAGATAGAGACTTGGAGCGATATTTCGTGCAACCCAGTAAACCTCCTTTACGAACCATTGAAGCTGTCCAAAAGCAGACCGAGATATTCCGACATAAAATATCGATGTATGACGCGTATGAATCCACGTCCTCGAAGCTTGAGAAATTCTTGGCAACTTTCTTACTCGGTGCTGTCGAATGGAGGCTATTCCAGTTGGATTTACTACACTACGATACTGCGCGGTCTCTTCCAAAGCTGGTGCAGCAAACCAAAGTTTCAGTGACTTTGATTTTGGGGAATATGGCCAATGGTAGTGCCGCCTACAACAAATTTCCAATCGTTACGACTACTCTTGCGAAAATGTACGCATTCCACTCATTTTGTTTTGTTTTTAGCAATTCTGCAGAGAACGAGCAACTTCTAGGTGACCTTTCAGAGGTTTTTGCAAATCTTGAAATTAATTCCTTAGTGGCCACCCGAAAAATCATAAGCCTAGCTCGGAGGTTCGTTGAGCTCAGAAAACTATGGCGCTCAATTAAGGTACTTGACAAAGTCCACCAAGACGATCACCCAGTCATTAAAATACTTCAAAGCGATATTGAGACGGTGTCATCACTTTACAGTAGAGTATCTGGTGTAGCGCGCGATAATGATTCAATATCTGATCGCCCTAAAAGTCAAGAATTTGAGAGGATCGTCAGGGCTTTTGATAGTGCTCATAGCTTCAAAGACATTCTTGACTCATCCTAATAAGAATATGTGGGACGATCAACATCTTTCGAAAACGCGATAAAGTCCGGGTAGATTGGCGATTTCAGCAACGTCATATTTGAGGTCTTTTGATGCTAAGAGACGTTTCTTGATGCACGGGAAAATGACATGCTCTAAGCACTGCGATATTCGCTCAATTTTGGAAGCATACGTCGCTTGCAGATCGACGTCTTTGTCATCATTAGCAGTTTCTATAAATTCGATGACTTCTGGAATGTAGAAAAGAGCAATCTGTCTCAAAACATCGTCAAGACAGCATATTTCATTGGACCAGTCCGTTTTCATGGCAACTTTGTACAAAAAAATTGATAGCTTAGATAGCGGTGGGTCATAATCTTTGAGAAGCAGTGGCAGAGTTTCAATTGTACAGTTCTTCAAATCATCATCGCCGTTTGATATTTCAATACAGAAGTACTCGCCAAGCATCTCTCGCATCTCCCACAAATTTTTTAAGCTCCTAAGCTTTGCATCCTCTTGGATGTCGGGCATGACACTCAAGAGGTCATAGATTTTTAGACCTTCAGAATTCTCATCGCTGCAAATAGTTATCCTCCCGAAGTTTGCAAAATCCGATAATCCAATTTGATAAAACAAATGATAGCACAGAGAACCATAGTCCACCAATAGAAGTTTCAAGTCAAATTGAATTGAGGCCAGTCTTCTTTGCGCGTCAACGAGGCCAATGTACGTCAAATTTGCGAAAACGCTTGTCAACTCTCTATCCGTATTATCATCAACCCTTTTCCGTAGTTGTTTAATACTCAGAAGATTAACAACAGTGCGAGTCCTGCCAGTGTGCTGGTATGTCGAAGGGATATTTCCAAATTGAGACGAACTCGTTATGCCACTTTTCAGATCTGAAGCGCTGTCTTCCTCATCAACGGCTTCTATATGCCTCTTTTTCGACTGACAGGCTCTTTGAGATTGCGAAAAGTCTATTCCATTTTCAACTGAGGGCAGATAACTGGTTATTTTCGCTTGCGATGCATCAATGCGGACAAGCTTATTTTCTCGTACTTTTGCCCTGTCACCAGCGAGAGTCATTGGAGGTTTGTGGAAAGATGATGCAGGAGGGATACCCTTATCCATCGCTGTGTTACTAGGTTTTTCCGTGTATATGGAAGTTGTTCTGAAAGCGCGAGATGTGTCTACGCTGGACAGCGTCTCTTGCAGCGAGTTTGCAATATGGTTGATGATTTCCTCGTCATGCAAAAATCGAACCTCGCGCTTTGTTGGATGGACATTGACATCAACTAAATCGGGCCTTATATTCAAAGACAAGTAGACGTAAGGTCGGCTGGTTTTGGGTAAATAAGTGGAATAGACTTGGGCTAAGGATCGCCGAAGTGGCTCACAAGTGACAAGTCTGTTGTTAATGAAGAAAATGAAAGAGTAGGACTTTTTGTTGTTGAAATTCAGGTTACTGACTTGACCCAAAGCCGTCACACCAAATTCTTCCAAATTCGGCACTTTCAATTCTATCAAGTTGGACGCTATACTGCCCCCATAAATGGCTCTAATTCGCTCTTTCGCTTCGAGTTCTGGACTGACTATAAGGGCAAATTGTGGATCGCCGAATTTCTTGCAAGAAAAGCCGACTCCCCTCGTATGGATGGCATATCGACCGACGCATTCGACTATTTTAGCCAGCTCTTCACTTCCAGACCTCAGGGATCGCAGTCTCGATTGCATATTATAGAACAAGTCCTGTACTTGAATCGTGGTACCATCTTTACCAGCGCACGGTTGGATTTTGCCCGCTAGTTTCCCCTCAACGTAGTTGGCTTTCCAAGCACATGGACTATCCCTGGTTTTCGTCGTGACAGACACACGGGAAATGTGCGACAAACTGGCCAAAGCCTCTCCGCGAAACCCATAGGTCTGAATGGATCTTAGATCTTCAAAAGACGAAAGTTTTGACGTGGTGAATCGCTCGCACAGAATATCCAAATCTTGTTTATTAATACCACATCCATTGTCAGTTACTTGTAAAAGTTTAATACCACCTTCTCTCACCAAAATGTCAACATTAGTCGCTCCAGCGTCTATCGAATTTTCCATCATTTCCTTCAACGCATTGACCGGTGCTATTATGATTTCACCCGCAGCAATCTTGTTAACTACCGACACATCGAGGGCCTAAAGGGAAATGTTAATATTATATACATTAATGCTGTCAAAGCAGACCTAAAATAGGCAGAAAGACCCCTTCTAAATTCTTAAGATTCTGAAGCTTCCTAGCCATTTCAAAACACATACTTTGATCCTTGCCGCTTGGTCTATCATCGCCGTTAATGTATATTCTGTTCTCTTTCAATTCACCAATATAGCATAGTGCCTTTCGGTTTTCAAGAAACTTGAATATGAGATGACTTGCAAGAAATTGAAAGTCGGGAACACCAAACCTTGAAAAAGGGCAGTTGACTCGCAATAATCATGTCAGATCATTCCAGAGCGTCAAACAAGCGACGGAGACTACCAGATGGATCTTTTGAGGACTCTGAAACAGCCAGGGAAATTGGTAAAGAAGAGATGAGCTTCGAACTCTTGAAATCTTACCGGGATTTGACAGCTGAAGTGGTCAAGAATCGAGTGGAATTGGCTCGTGATGGTGATATTGGGCTTGCTTTGAATAGAATTGGCGATATCAATATGTTATTTGACAAAATAACCAATGTGGATTCCAATAAGACACCGTTATTGGCGCAGGACGCTAGACTTGCACTAGGTATCAGCCAGCTTGCGGAACTTGGGGCGCAAAAGTTGAAAATCGATGACTCTGGCAAATCTTTGTCCGTGGAGGATTTTATAAACAGTGCTAAGAGGTATATGTTGAGGGATCATGACGTTGTCGCGACAGCTGAAAGTCAAGAAGAAGACCAGGAAACTGGTCACCAGGAATCGGGTGACGTTCCATTCAGTGAACTGCAAAAACTGCGCGCAAGAGAGGAGGGACGTAAATACCTTCAGCAATTTGCGCAGTATCAAAATTTCTTCCAGTTTGACTGGTTCAAAATGGGGACATTGTTCCAGGTAACCAGCAAAGCGGCCGTTACGACCGACCATATGCTGGGACCGTTTGGAGTGGAGAAAAGACCCCGCAATGTGGCACAACGGCAGCAGAGAGACGTGGTTGGACGAGCATCGCAAGCCAAAAAACTTTCGGAAATGGCCAGCGATGACCAAGGTCAAAGCACTCTGCACCAGACGGTCAGGTGTTTTGACGTTCTGCGAACAAGAAAAGGATTCGAAAGTGTTAATTTGTTTGAATTCGTGCTACATCCAACTTCCTTCGGCAAATCGGTCGAGAACCTGTTTTATACCGGTTTCTTGATCAAAGATGGCAAAATTGTGTTGGAAGAAGGTGCGGATGGTTTCCCAACAATCAGATTGAAGGAGATGTTGCCGCGAGACCAAATGGAAATAGAGAGACAACGCAGAAATGACGCCAAACACAATCACCTCATTTTCCAACTTGATCATGCAACATGGCGGAAATTGGTTCAAGAACTTAATATACAGCAGCCCTTCATAGCTGACGACTAGCTCCTCCATCCATCAACGTTTAGCAGCTCAGCAAGAGGCCATTTTCGTATTGGAGTTGCATCTAGACTCGTATGCAAATTGAGAGACTCGTGGAGCTCAATGCCGGCCCAGCCAATCATAACTGCATTGTCAGTACACCATCCAAGCGGCGGAAAGTAAAAATTGTCGAAATCTGTGGCAAGTTCCTCTTGGAGTAACTCTCTCAAACGAGTATTGGCGCCAACACCGCCCGAGCATACAAAGTTTCGAACGGAACTTAATTTGTCGCGGTTCAATCTTACCACCAGTTTAATCTGCGTCAGAAGATGCCGGAAAATTGCCTCTTGGATTTGATGCGCCATAGATCGAATTTCCGCCTGGGAATAGTTCAATATATCCTTTGTTATGCTCTGACGCACGGCAGTCAAAAATGGTGCAAAAGAGAAAGCTTGTATGTTCATGCGTTTATTTTGATTGCGCAGCGGGTTGGGTAAACGCAAATTGACGGTTTGACTTCGCGCTTCTAAACTGTTTTCCTTAATAAAGGCTTCCATGTTCTTGGCAATCATGTTTCCACGAATTCCTATCTCGCGCGCACACTTATCGAGTGAATCACCAATGGCTATATCGATAGTGTCGCACAGAATCTCGTGCTTGTCAATCGCGGTCGACAACACTAGCATGGTGTGGCCTCCGCTGACGAGCAAGCTGAGAAAGGGAAAATTAGGCGCACTACCGTTAGAACTAAAACGCGGCATAAGAAGATGTCCTAGCATGTGATGTACACCGAGGAAAGGCTTATTCCATGCCACTGCGAGTCCTTTGGCAAAATCCAGTCCACCAGAAAGAGATCCTGGCATTCCGGGCCCCCGCGTGGCACATACCAGATCAACAGCGTTCCTTGACTCAGTTTTTGCCAAAGCTAAATCGACCAATGGTGCAATCTTGATCTGATGATGTAAATGCGCTTTTGTCGGAATGATTCCGCCTTGATCATGGCTTTCCAGGGTCTCTTTCAAATGCACAAGCACTTCCGGAGCTGAATCACACGACAACCTGTCTATTACTGCAACACAAGTGTCGTCACAAGATGTTTCTATCGCTAAGACTCTATAAAACCTGTGGCCGACGCCTAGCCGTGTTTCCGCCAGTTTTTCGCTTGCAAGGAAACATTTTTTACCCCGGAGAATATTCAATAGGTTCCCAGAAACCATAGAAAAGAATGCAACTAGATTTAGGCCAATTGGTTGGTTCCAAGGCTGCCCAATTTTCCTCTTTTGTTGTCGACGTTGTTCGAGTTTAAGATTAACGTTTCCGGCTCTAACTAGATTTTTAAGAAGGGTAACCACTTTTGAAATTTTTTAAGATTCCAGGACTTTAAGATATCTAGATACAGTGGGCTATCTAAGTGAACGGCTATCGTTAGATAAAACAAGCAAGTTGTTGGGCACCGTATGTTCTCCTTCACCTCCTCTATACCCGTGCTGCACCAGTCGCACGATGGTCATCATCGTGCAACGGACCGGTTGCCAGTGAAAGATGCGGGGGAAGGAGAAGAAAACGAGAACCTAAGTCCTTTGATGCATTGCATCACTGCAGGAGGCGTTGGAGGAGCCATTGGGGACTCGGTGATGCATTCGCTAGATACGGTGAAAACGCGACAGCAAGGTGCGCCCGGAGCTGCGAAATATAGAAACATGATCATGGCGTACAAAACAATATTTGTAGAAGAAGGTGTGCGGGCTGGGCTTTACGGTGGGTACGGGGCTGCCATGCTTGGGTCGTTCCCAAGTGCTGCTATTTTTTTCGGCACGTACGAACTCTCAAAGCGGAAAATGATAGGAGAATGGGGCTTTAATGATACAATTGCGCATCTGAGCGCGGGTTTGCTCGGAGACCTGGTTTCGAGCGTGGTCTATGTGCCGAGCGAAGTTTTGAAAACGAGAATGCAATTGCAAGGGCGTTATGAAAATCCGTTCTTCCGCTCCGGTTACAACTACCGGAATTTGCGGGACGCAATTGCGACGATTTTAAAGCGAGAAGGTTGGCAAACGCTATTTTTCGGTTACAAGGCCACTTTGTCCCGAGACTTACCGTTCAGCGCTTTGCAATTTGCATTTTACGAAAAATTCAGAGACGTGGCGTTTCGGGCCGAAGGTAAGAGTACAAGTCAAGATTTAACCGTTTTGAGTGAATTGACGACAGGTGCTACAGCAGGCGGTTTAGCCGGTATCATGACGACGCCTCTTGATGTGATAAAGACTCGTATCCAAACGCAGCTGCCCATTTCTTCGTCGTCGTCCCCGTCGTCGCGCTCGCGCTCGCCGGTCACTATCGAAAACTCAATCTTGAAGGGTCTCGTGGCAGTCTACAAATCCGAAGGCACGTTGGGATTCTTCCGTGGTGTCGGTCCGAGATTCATATGGACCAGCGTCCAAAGCAGTATAATGCTGCTTCTATACCAGGTCGCGCTGAAACAATTTGACAAAGTGTCAGCGACAGATTTAGCGCTGAATCCTTGAAGAGGTTTCCCCACCACAACCTTTTTCCCCTTAGCATACGCTTGTAAATACGATGGATATCATGGAGAGGGTCATCACAGCGATGACAGCCCTCTCGCGCTCGCATATATTCAATATCTCATAGATTTCACAACTGGCCGGCTGAATCTTGATCTTGCAGAAACTGTTTTGGCATATAAACGTCCACTTCAATCGCCTCTTGAGAAGCTCAAAACTACACGAATTTGACGCTAAAAATTGCAATATGTAGCTAAAAAGAATCAGTATCATTTTAAGCATAATAATGAAAAATTCACTCTATACACGCTTCCCGGTAAACTCATTTAGTTCTTTAAGCGAAACTAGTTTTCATCGCTTACACTTACACTGTTGGTATAGAGGTTGTAAAAGCATAAAAAGGTGTAAATGGGGAACTGGAAAAGGAGATCACGTGATCGCAGCGCTCAATTAAGGTGAAATATGGAATACGAGAAGAGGTTTCCATTCTTACGTTCTCCACCAGTGGGTCCTGTAAGAGATGCAGTACGTTGAGAGGGCTATTGGCTCAGTTTCGAAGACTTGGTCGTCGATCAACCCAGCCACACTTTCGGGAGCGATCGACGTGATAGTCGTAGAGCATCCAGACGGAAATCTGGCTTGCTCTCCTTTCCATGTGCGGTTTGGGAAGTTCCAGATTCTTAAGCCGAGTCAAAAGAAGGTTCAAGTGATTGTCAACGGTCAGAATACGAATATTCCAATGAAATTAGGCGATTCGGGAGAAGCGTATTTCGTTTTCGAGACCAAAGCGGACGCAGCATCGATTCCAAACGAGCTCATCTCATCTCCTGTAGTGAGTGCTGCAAGTAGTCCAGCGTCATCCCCGGGCAAAGAAAAGAGGTACGGCGCAGCTTTGGATGAGCCCGATTTCCTAGACATTGGTAAACCTGCTAAGACGGACGACGTTCCGGAAGAATACCCGTCTACGCCGTCGCAACAGCTACCTCTACGACGGGCCTCTGTGACGTTTGAAGAACGGGCGCGCAAACTAAACCAAAAGCTTCACGAGAAGAAAATCCCGAGCAAATTCGATAACAACGGTGATTTGTTGTTGGACATTGAAGGTTACAAGCCGAGTAAAGACCGAGTGCACTACACTGATGAAATGCTAAAACAATTGCTCATGGACGAACTTGGCAGTGAGTACGATATCTCCAGCTTTGTAAAAGAAGATGGCAGTGGAAACATGCGCATTTTGAACCCTTACGAACACTCACCTCCCGCGTCACCTCAAGTGTTGTCAGCGGACTCTCTCGACACTCCAAATTCAAGTGTGTCAGAAATATCCTTGCCCAGCGACACGACTGCGACGCTAGACCATAATACAAACTATTCTAGTGGCTATTCTAGTAGTGCGGATCCAGATAAAAGATACATCAAGACGATCAGGTTGACCTCCGAACAGCTACATTGTTTGGATCTCAAATACGGTGAGAACGATTTGTTGTTTTCCGTAGACAACAGTAGAGCAATTGTTGCTGCCAAGCTCTTCCTGTGGAAATGGGACGACCCGATCGTGATCTCTGACATCGATGGCACTATTACAAAATCTGATGCCCTAGGCCATGTCTTGACGATGATTGGCAAAGATTGGACTCATTTGGGAGTGGCGACTCTTTTCACTGAGATTAAAAGAAATGGTTACAACGTTCTTTATTTGACCGCTAGGGGTGCAGGTCAAGCAGACTTAACCAGAAGTTATCTGAGAAGCATAGTACAGGATGGAGTCAAATTACCACTTGGTCCCGTCATACTTTCCCCTGACCGTACAATGGCTGCCTTGAAGCGAGAAGTGATTCTGAAAAAGCCGGAAGTGTTCAAGATAGCGTGTTTAAACGATTTACGCAAGCTCTATTTTGGAGATCTCGATTTGAACCACAACGATAATGAGAACGCGAACGATCAGTCTCCAACTCCCTTCATCGCTGGATTTGGGAATAGGATCACGGACGCGCTGTCGTACAGAACTGTGGGAATACCCAGTTCACGGATTTTTACCATTAATCCTGAGGGAGAAGTTCATATGGAGCTGTTGGAACTTGCTGGTTACCGAAGTTCCTACGTGCATATCAACGAGCTAGTAGATCATTTCTTCCCGCCGGTGAAGAAATGCTACGTGAGTACCAACGAAGATATAAGTCTGTCTCCAACGCCAGGTTCACCCAATAATCCCGCTTGGGAAGAGAGATTGCTTTACAGACCCAAGGATATACAATTCACAGATGCCAACTATTGGCGTGAGCCGGTACCTAGCTTAGACGATTTTTCCGAATCAAGTAGCGCTGAAAATGACGAACTCGACAAGTTTCAAAACGAAACACAACTGGGAGCTATTGGTAAGATCTCTAAAAGTCAAAGCCCTGGCGGTTTAGCTGACTTTAGAGGCTCAGACCAGCCCAAAGCCTCGTTTTCGCCATTTCAGGACGGCCGGAACAACGGAAGACATGCAAGTCCGCCCGATATGGCTTTAGACAGTCATTCAAGAGATTTAGGGACGCATATCTATTTGGAATTGGGCTCACCTTTATCTTCGCCCAGACTGGGTCATTTGAACACGCGGCATGTCGATGCCGGTATCGATCGTCTTTCCATTTCATCGCCATCAAAAGCGAGCACCCAAGTCTCTAAGTTGAACGTTTTGAACAATGGGCATCGTTCAACAAACAATCAATCCTCATCCGGCAAGAACTCGGCTGAAGATTCTCCAGACGACGAGTTTGACGAGGATGAATTTGATGAAGACGAAAATGATGATGACGGAGACGATGACGGGAACGGCGACGGCGACGATGACGAATACGAGAAATACGCCCACAGAGACGACGAGTTTGATGAGGACGAATTTGAGTCCGATTTTCAAGACGAACAAGACGGGAAACACATGCCTGTTCTCACAAATTAATTTCCTACAAAAAGGGTCAAAATTCGGCTATTGAACTTGCGAGACCAGCCAGAATTTCGCATTAAGTAGAGGAGTATATAAAAAATGTTATTAGACCATCTTATGGAATTTTAATCTGATACATTTGTCCTGAATGGTTTTTTGGCTTCTTGTCTTCGAAAAGCGGTCATATATTAAGCTTTTCGGAGAAAGAACCCTAAGCTACAGAATATTCAAACAAACAAAGAAAGCCGGGAGACTTCGCAACAGAAAACAGTAGGAGTCCTTCTCGTAAATCTCGTACTTTTCGCGAGTAATGGGACCAGTCAATCCAAATGAAAATGATGGTATCCCGTTAAGAGCAGGTGAAAATGGTGGTTTAGGACCAGAAAGTTCAAATTTACGTGGTAATGTAACTGGCGGTGAAGACGCCATTAACACGATAAGGGTATCGTATGAGAAATCAGGGAAACCTGTGTTTAACCGAGATGTTTTGATCTCGGATGCAATGGCTAAAAACTCGAGACAACTGTTGTATGCGCATATTTACAACTATTTGCTGCACCATAAATATTATGAAGCAGCAAGAAGATTACTGGACGAAGCAGACGTTCCGCTGTCCAAGACCGTACCACAAGCAGTTTACGGACAAGATGAGCTTTTGTATGCCAAGATGTTAATGAATTCTCCAAGCACATTTCTGTTCGAATGGTGGGAATCGCTTTGGACTTTACATGAATTCATCGAAGCTCAACCAATAGAACAAGTATCAGGACCTCGAGCCTTGAACGAGCTCATTACGCCGATTTTTCCTCAACGGCCTGCCGGGGCCGCTAACGCTGCATCGATGCCGCAAAGGCCGCCCCAGCAGCAGCAGCCACAACAACCCCAGCAACACCCACAACAGCAGCAACAGCATCAGCATCAGGCACAACAGCCCCCGCAACAACCGATGATGCAAAGTGGGGCGTCTCGACCTATGGACATGATGGGATCTACAGCCGCACCAACAAGCATGGGACCTCCTAGAGGTAATCCTGAAGCCAGAGTGCTTAGAGGTAACGTGATCGGTAGCTCCCCCGTGACCAGACAAGGTACTTATGCACCTACGGCTCAGGTTCCGCCTGGTGCTGCTCAGAGCCCCTTCGACATGATGAATTCCGCAGACTCTTCCGCGACGCTAACAAGCACACTATACACAAGCGCATCACCTGCATCTGTACCACAGGCCACTCCGACAACGAATCCTGCTACGGCGAAACAATCAATTTTGAAAGATGCACATCAAGTGCCGTCTGCCACGCACTCCGTAGCAAACAGTTCTATGATGCCTGAAAACATGTCCATGTACTACAAACAGCAACGACAACGAGATTTGATGGGACGAGTACCGCCCACCGATCCTGCGCGTGGTCAAGCACCCGCTAATAACTGGAATATGGCGCAACAGCAACAAGTCTATGAACAGTACCAAAAGTCTATGTACACAATGCAACACCGTCAGCACCAACAGCAGCAGCACCAACAGCAGCGACAACAACAACATCATCATCTTCTTCAGCAGCAGCAGCAACCGAAAAGGCGAAGCGTTCCTCGACACTCGCAAACAGCTTCCAAGTCACAGCAGGCTTCGCAAAGAAACCAGTATTTGGAGCAAGGATCTAGGCTCGAGCCTCAAGTTCCTCCTCAACAAAAACAGCATGTACAGGCACAACAGGTTCCGAGTTCGCAAGGCATGTCTACAATGGGACCCCGTGCGGGCTCTGGTTATCAGCAACAAACCCCTCATTTCGCGCAACCCTTGGGCGAAATGGCGTCTGATCTGGATTTTGGTGGGATAGCACCCGCGACCGCATTTTCTGATCAAACTCTGCAACAGCAGTATATGAATATGATGATGATGCAGGGTGGCCAGAATCAAAGTGGACTTCCGTTGGCAAATGACGGGAGAACTGTAAACGGGGGAGAAAAATTGGCCGATGGGCTTGGGAATGAAATCTATGGCTTCGGAATGCCAACCCAATCTGCTTCTTCTCCTAGAGGTGGTTAAAAATGCGTTCTTGGGATTTTAAGCTATGGAGGGAGAAAGCTTTCAAATGATAAATAAAACTTCAACATGCACACCTGCATTGAGACTGTGAGTGTCTATGTATTGATACGGGTTAGTCATCGTAGAACATTTTTAGCATTAGAATTATAGTAACAATGGAACTTGATCAGTTCCATGCATCGTCATAACCAGCGTTGCAAAAGTTGTGAAATAGTAAATGACGTTACAAAGTGTTGAACAGAGCCAGCATTAGATAAATAGTGATACTTGAGCAGGTGTACACGCTCGGTGACGGCTTCAGTGGAGTGAGCCGCGGTAAATTTGGCAAAATAAAAAGTTTGATTTCGCCCAGGATCGAACTGGGGACGTTCTGCGTGTTAAGCAGATGCCATAACCAACTAGACCACGAAACCCCTTGTTGAGCAATGGTGGGAGCCTTGACTTTATAACGCATACAAGCTGGCATAAATCATGATCTCAATATTCATGAACAGATAGATTACTCAAAGACAAAGCTTAGCAGGAAATTACGATTCATAGGCTCTACGAGCATTTGGCCAATCAGGATTAACCAAAATTAAGTGGAATGTCATTTTTTTTACGGCTTCTTGACACGTCAAACATTTTCATGGCTCTTTCTCACCAAAAGTCACTCTAAGCCATTGAAATATAAAAATCATCTGAAAAGGTCTGACTGATCCTTTCTTATGTAAAATACCTTGGCAGTACTTGATTTAGCAGATATTAGGCTAGTAAAATGTGCATATAACGTGGCCCCTCCCTACTAATCTTCGTTCCTGGCTCCAAGCGTCATTATTCGAAGTCACGGTCGAGGGTCTCATCGAGGTCACGGTCGAGGGTTAAAAAGGTCACTTCAATGTCGTGGCTCGGCAAGACGAAGAGGAGCTCCAAGAGGCTATTAAGACTATTTTTTTCAACGAGTGCGCATAAACCTGATAATTACAATAATTGAAACCTCTCAAGGACGATACATGAGAAAGCGGGAAACTGAAATAAGGTGGTTCCGTTACGGTCATTGTTAAAAATTAATACAAGATATTTTAGCCATCAAAAGCCTTGTATCTCAAATTTTTCAAGTTTCAAAATATAGTGATCACCTTGCTAGATCGATATTAAACAGCTCCTCTGTAGCTGTCTCTAGCAGAATGCTTGTCGACTCATTTGACTATAGTCATCTCATAGTCTTTTTGACGATTTGATCTATATGTAAACAAACGTGAAAAAGTTCGGGAATTCAAATAGCTAAGGCATCTGACGGACAGAGACAAACAGAGATCCCATTGCACGTTGATTTAGTGGTAGTAGACCCTATGGTGGGTTTGGAACAAGTTAATAAGCCTGGTAGACTGAAGTTGTCAGGTTTACAGATCTTTTCAAATGAAGAATTCAACTCATCTACAAGTACTGTTACACAAAATAAAGGATATGGAACTGAACGAGACTATGGATTGCAAATAGAGTCGAACGCTGCGTCGGCGATCCCGTCAAGACTGAGTGTTGCTAAAAAGTTGTCTGACTGGGGTGTGGACGGCATGAACGATTATTCGCCGACTTTGGTTAACGGTTCGGAGTTTGGAGATGAGGAGTTTACAAAAGCGGACCAGATAGTACCTATGTCGCAAATATTTCGACATTTGCCCGGAAAATCCAGAAGATTTGTAGACGAATTTCAACACGCCATTATTGCATGTGACATGCTCGCTGAGAGAGCAAACGTAAGTTTCCCATGGGCTCCAGCGTCGAGCGGTTCTGGTGTGACCAGCCTCACCACTTTTCGGGACAGCCTCGAACATTTCACACCCTACGGCACAATAACACTTTATGGGCGCAGGAAAATCGTTTTTAAGAGAACAATTGAGTTTATTCCGACAATGTTGCGCTGCTACCGTTGCATGAGGGCCCTGTCACGGTTGCCTATGTCCTTGCGACGTAAAACCATCAAGCTAATCACGACAATCGCGATATGTGCTTATTTGGCCACACAACAGGAACTGATATACTCAAGTGCGATCCGATCTTCGTCTTTGGCCAACCTCAGGACTACATTGACACATTTGCAAGAAATATCAAAGCAACGAAGCCGTTGTCGAAACATACACAAAGATCTGATCACTTATAGAGAGCTTTCCGTCGTACGACGTCGGCAATCCAGCGAATGCGTAACGCCGGGTCAATTTTCGGAAGTTTTCAACGCAGCACAAGATCTACTATTTTTCAATTTGCACACTGCCGTTATAACCATCTTACCGGTTATACCACTGCAGGAGTTGAGCGAGTGCTGCCGCATATACGGCATAAACTTGAGTAGTTTGTTTGATATTTGCCGCGAGAGTGTTGACATTGGCTCCAAGGTTAGCAAATGTGAAATTTTGGAACGGTTTTTGCTTTGTTGTCTATTATCCTCTAGCGCGACTGTCTCGTTTCGCGCCCAGTATTCTCAAGAAGCGTCAATCGTTTTCGGAAGGATCTTTCCAAACATTTGCATGGGGCAAAACGTGAGCGACGCTGAACGTTGTAAGATTGTGACCAAAATTTTAGCCCACTTAAATCATGTTTTGCCGGCAGTTATAACGAGTCTAGGCAATTTAATGACCAGTTTTTCATCCAGGAGATCCGATATGAGCGGCCTATCCAGAGACGTCTGTAGCAAAAGTGACGACGCGCAGACTCTGATGAGTTTAAGGAAACTTCAAAAAATCGAACGTCTTTTGCTTGCATCTGAAAAAATCGACGAGGACCTGGAAAGAGCAGTTTTGGAAGGTTTGAGAGATCTCACCAAGGTTTGGGAAAAGTCACCAAGCCGACAACAATACGCAGGCAGGTCCATAATTAGAAACGAAAAACGCTTGAATTCACTACAGCTAAGTGTGTTGTCACCTGAGGGACCGAGTCAAACTTTCCAGAACGAAAACCCCTCACAAGAGTCCCTTGTTAAGCTCAATACTCCTCCATATTTCACAACCGTTGATGACACGGACTCTATTTGGGACAGAAGTTCCGTATCAATGTACAACAATCAGAACTCTACTCATGGAATCCATCATGCTGATGGTGTCAATGCCGCTTCAAGGCAAGATTTCGGACACCTGACGGACGATCAATTACGCAATAAACTGGATAACAGAATACAAAAGCTTGCCATGGAAAACAAAAGAGGCAAAAGACAATTACGAACGCAGAAAAGTTTTGAACTATTAAATAATTCGAGAATTGACAGACCGTCAAAGCAACATACTTTGAAAAGCAGGCCTTTTCTCCCAAATGAATGTGTATCAGAAGAGAGCATACCAGTCATTTTTGAACTAACAGAGCTTTTAGAAAGAAGCTAAAATGATAATATAGAATCAAGTCTTTCAGACCAAATAAGAGCCATTTGTAATTTTTTTACCCTTGAAGTTCTCAAGGCCTTCACCCTCATATGTGATAGCACTAGAAATTTCGACTTGCGCATCGTCGTCAACCTTGGCACCTGCCAACTTCAACCAGCGCACACATAAATTCAGGAAAGCTTGTCGACTTGTTTCCGGATTGTCGTTAGCACTACCAGATGCATTCTTAAGCGGAGCAAATTCACTCTCTCTATCAACTTCCAAACATCCGAATTTGTTCAATGGCACCGAGGGAAAAACGTCAAAAATAAACATTTCAAGCTTGATACCATTTGGAGTCTCGGGTTTAACATATTTTTGAGTCGCGGCGTCATAAATAGGTATTTTTTTCTTAGCAATGTGGTAAGGAAGCGTTTCGCACCAGGTGTTCAGTTGTTTTTGTAAAAGCTCGACCGAATAGTAATGGTTGACAATGTTTGCGGCTCTTAATTTCAACAGGCCGTCTTCGTCGCGAGCTTCAGCCATTTGTTTCGAAATTTCTGAGTATTCGATCACACAAGGTTTTGCTTGTTTCGTTGCGATAAGACCCACAGATTCGGCAGCGTCTCTTTTGCGCACGGCTTTAGTGGCTAGTTCGAAACTGTTTTTAATGGCATAGCCGATGAAGACCGGGTCAGCGATTTTAACTAACACATTATCGACGCAGTACATGTGGATATGCTTGATATTTTTCGCAGCAAACTCTTCAAGTAAATGATTATCTCTAATGGCGCGATACAGGCCTCCATTACCGTCAGGGGACTCAACAAGAGACGTGGGAGTGGCTTGCAGGAGATGTTTTCCGTCGAGATCGAACGCTGGCAGCGTGCCCTGGTTGAAAAACGATACTTGCTCCGAAGAAAGCCCGAAAAAGTGGTTATCTTCGAAGAAAGATTCTGTAGCGGCTCTTGTCGGAGCCGAGGTCATGATATACCATTGTATAGGTTTTTCGCATTTTGCAATCGTCTGAAGTCTACCTAATCGCTCAGCTTGGATTTGGAATAACGATTTTTGAGACGGCAACCCAATATCATAGCAACCTTTGGGCCTTGACGACCCCAAACGCGTTCCTTGACCTCCTGCCATCAAAATTACGGCTACTTCACCGCGCTGGATCGCTTCTAGCCCCAATTTACCGTAAATTTCGCGTTTCTCAAGATTCCCGATCACTGACTCATAAGAACTCGCTGGTAAAGGCTCAATGGCAATTTGAGAGTTCTCATTCTGCTCTGCCAACTCAATGGCCCGCTGACAATTTTGAACCAATTTTCCCACATTATTCTTTTCACAGATACGCTGGAAATTTCGTTCCAACAGCGTTTTGTCCGCTTCATTTAACTCTTCCCATCTATCAAACAATTGACCCTGTCCAGCTTCCACAAGTACCTTCTTCACCCTCATTTGTTCTCAATTTTTTGATCTTTCGATGTTCATTTTCTTTGAGGCTTGTAATATCTACTTATGTATATATAAATATGATATATATATATATAAATGAGAGAAATAGTACAAGAAGCATTACCGAACCAAAGACAAGAACGCACACAAGTAGAGCTGGTACCCGACCATGGGCAGTCATAAGAGGAAGAGAGCGCACTCGTTACGAACTCAGTTGTTCAACAAGCAATTGCACGATAAAATTCATAGAGAGCACCGGGAAGAGATAGAACTCGAAGGAATTGATGAAAATGAGCCGATAGATGATGCAAGAGACGAGATCAAGTCTTGGGGATTCGAAACCATCTTAGATAAGCTTTTAAACCATAGGAGATTGCGAAGCACTAAAAATGGGCGAATTATACCGGTTTCCGTGAACAAGAGGGAAGAGTTAACCGATGAAAGAACGGGGAAAGCATACTTGAACAATGTGATTACGTCGTCGAGATATACCGTGTGGTCATTTCTGCCGCGGCAACTGTATGCACAGTTTTCGAAAATTGCAAATGCGTATTTTTTGCTCGTGGCCATTTTGCAAATGATACCGTCATGGTCGACTACCGGTACATATACGACGATTATCCCGTTACTGATCTTTATGGGCATATCCATGGCACGTGAAGCGTGGGACGATTTTCGACGCCACAAGTTGGACAAACAGGAGAACAATAAGAGGACGAAAGTTGTCGTGAAAGGGTCTGGCGCAAGTCGCGATTCGAGTCAATTTTACAACTTGCCAAAATGGCAAAATACCGCAACTTCCACGAGCGCACTGACGACGCCATCGAAGCCGGTCGAGAATTCGAGCGTCGCAGGGACGGGCAGTGAGGATTGGGATGTTTTCACCAACTGGGAACTTTTAAGCTCTCGTCACAACATTCACATCGCGGAAAAAGAATGGAAAAACGTTAAAGTTGGCGATATCTTACTCTTGAACCAAGACGACTGGATTCCAGCAGACGCTTTAGTTCTTGCATGTGACGGTGAAAACGACGAGTGTTTCGTCGAAACCATGGCATTGGATGGGGAAACGAACTTAAAAAATAAACAGCCGCTGGCCGGGGTTAGTAAAACGTTGCACCAGGCATCTGGGCTTTCGAACTTTGAAGCCGTTGTGACTGTAGAGGATCCAAATTTGGATCTATACAATTTCGAAGGCAAACTGGAACTCAGCAGCGAACAAAACAATGATACGGTTGAAAAACATACGGTAGGCCCAGATAACGTAATATATCGGGGTAGCATTTTAAGAAATACACAAAACGTCATTTGCATGGTCATTTTTACAGGTGAAGAGACCAAAATCCGCATGAATGCCATTAGAAATCCAAGAATCAAGGCACCTAAGTTACAAACCAGAATAAACGCAATTGTCATATTTATGGTTTTTATCGTGGCTTCCATGTCCATGTTTTCATTCATGGGTCAACGTTTGATCAAAAAACGCTACGTGGACACGAACTTTGCATGGTATTTATTTCAACAGGATGCCGGTGAGGCGGCTACAGTCATGTCTTTCATTATCATGTACAACACCTTGATCCCACTTTCCCTTTACGTGACTACAGAAATCATCAAGGCAATGCAAAGCAAGTTAATGGAATGGGATATTGACATGTATCACGCGGAAACAAATACTGCGTGCGAATCTCGCACAGCTACCATTTTGGAAGAATTGGGCCAAGTTTCTTACATTTTCAGTGATAAGACTGGCACTCTAACGGATAACAAGATGATTTTTAGGCGATTTTCTGTTTGCGGTAGCTCCTGGCTTCACGACAATGATTCGAATGCCTCTAGTTCGGAATCTAGTATTCACAAGACTATTACCGTCGATGAGCTTTCCGTTGACGAGCACCATGTCCTGGAAAGGTTTGAAAAAGAAGGTATTGCTCCTTCCAAATCTGCAAGGACCTCAGTTGAATACAAAGGAAATAGCTCTGCAATTTACACTGGCAGACCAAGCATGGCTTCGAGAATTCGTGATGAAGTTGATCGCAATGTTCCAACGGTTGTACAAAGATTTGACAGCAATGTCGATCTGGAAGGTATAAGGTCCTCGGTAGATTTGATAGAATACATTCAAACCGCGCCAGACACAGTTTTCGCTCAAAAGGCAAAATTTTTCCTTTTATGCCTTGCGCTTTGTCATTCATGCGTACCAAAGAGAACTTCTTCTAATTTTGAAGATGCCATTGAATATCAATCTGCATCGCCTGACGAACTGGCATTAGTCACTGCTGCTCGCGACATGGGCTACGTTGTAATGAATAGAAACGCAAACACGCTGACAATAAAATCATTTCCAAATGGATTCGATTCGAAACCAAGAGTCGAGGAGTACGAGGTATTGAACACGATCGAGTTCGATTCGAATCGTAAGAGAATGTCAGTGCTGGTGCGATTACCAGACGAAAGGGATAGGGTTCTCTTGATTTGCAAAGGTGCCGATAATGTAATACTAGAAAGACTCTACAACCGTGATCTTGCCGACCAGAAAGCTGGTGAATTGAGGAATTTAACTAACGAGAGGAAAATTGCTGAGGCAGAAGTGGTTCTGCAACAGCGCAAATCCTTGGAAGATGACATAAGAGGTAGAAACAGCTTTGCGTTACGCAGGACATCATCTAGTCGCGTACCAAGAACGAGTTTGTCACTCACTGCGGCGCGGAAGAGTTTATCGCGAAAAAGTCTAGGCTCTGGGGATGCCGAAGGACAGATAAATTCGATCGACGACTTCTTAACCAGTGTTCAAAGGGCTGATGGCGAAGTTAAGGACATATATTCTAGAAGTCGCAAATCCTTCCATAAACAACAGAAGGAACGCTATAACGCCGCAACAGGAATCTCGGCTGGCTCGAGTTCAGCGAATGCAGGCTCATCCGGCTCTATAGCAAGAACGCCTACAAATTTGATTAATGATGAGTACCGAGTAGCTATGGAAGATTACGTCGGCAACGACGATCTTGCTCAAAATGAAGAGTTCATCATCGAAAGAACTTTGCAAGCCATTGACGAATTTTCGACAAATGGCTTGAGAACGCTACTTTTCGGCTTTAAATGGATAAAGATGGACGAATATGAAAAATGGAATGAAGAACACCATGAGGCGAAAACGAGCCTCGACGGTAGGAAAGCCAAGCTTGCGGCAGTCAGCGAGTCGATCGAAACCGATTTAGTACTTTTAGGAGCGACGGGAATCGAGGATAAGCTGCAAGAAGGTGTCTCAGACGCAATTGAAAAAATCAGGAGAGCAGGTATAAAGATGTGGATGCTCACTGGTGATAAGAGGGAAACTGCTATCAACATCGGCTACTCTTGCAAACTCATTTTTGATTACTCAACATTAGTTATCCTTTCTGCCGAAGATGAGAATTTGTCTTCCAAAATGAGCGCATTATCTCAAGAAATCGATCACGGCAACATCGCACACTGTGTGGTAGTTATTGATGGCGCCACGTTGGGCATATATGAAAGTAATCCAACTCTCATGTCTGTATTTGTTGAGTTGTGCACTAAAACCGATTCTGTGATCTGCTGCAGGGCGTCACCATCCCAGAAGGCCTTGATGGTGTCCCATATGCGGAATACAGACAGGAAGTTAGTGACATTAGCGATTGGAGACGGAGCAAATGATATTGCTATGATTCAATCAGCTGACATTGGTGTTGGCATAGCTGGGAAAGAAGGATTACAAGCCTCAAGATCGTCAGACTACTCGATTGCTCAATTTAGATTTCTCCTCAAACTCCTCATGGTGCATGGTAGATATAATTACATCAGAACTTCCAAATTTGTTCTCTGTACATTCTACAAGGAAGTTATGTTTTATCTCACCCAAATGATATACCAAAGGGAGACCATGTTTTCGGGGACATCGTTTTACGAGCCGGCATCACTCTCGATGTTCAATACCCTTTTCACATCCTTGCCTGTTCTGTGTATAGGGATGTTTGAAAAAGATCTCAAGCCCTCAACCCTCATTGCCGTGCCTGAGCTATATGCGCTAGGACGCCTATCAGAATGCTTCAACATGAAGGTTTTCATACAATGGATGGTTTTCGCAGCTGGTAACGCGGTTTTGATCACTTTTCTGAATTGGCAAATCTGGGGATTTACTGCTTTGTCTGACAACACCGCATATCCACAAGGAATGATCAATTTCACCGCAATCGTTGTCTTAATCAACTTCAAGTGTCAAATTGTGGAAATGCGTAACAGAAACTTTCTAGCTTTTGGATCGCTAATCATTTCAATTTTCGGGTGGGTGATTTGGTGTGCTATTATACCCAGGTTTTCAAAAAGTGACATCATCTATGATGTGCCTTCAGGCCTATATGACCGTTTTGGGAGTGATCCTACTTTTGGGGCAGCTATTGTTGTCCTCGTCTTTTTGCCAGCAATTGTGGACATCGTAATTCAAACATTTAAGGTGATGATTATGCCTACTGACTCCGATGTATTCGCTGAACTCGAACAGAAAAGTGAAATACGGAAGAGACTAGAATTGAGCGCTTACAATGAGTTGAAGCAAGGATGGACTTGGGATAAAGATCCGGGAACTTTGACGCGCTATGCAGATAAGGTAATCAAACGTGGCAAGGATGTTGTGGATGGAGATACAAAGAGCAAATTAAAGTTTAGACGAAACGTGGATCACTACAGTAAGAGAGGCTCTGTCACTTCGATAGAGCAAGCGACTGCGGCTTTCGGATCAGAAAGAGCGGAAAGTCTGTCTGGCGGCAGAAACTTCAAACGTAGATCCTCTGAAGAATCTTTACAGGACAAGGGCGATAACAGCAAAGGTATCAGCGGGAAGCTTGGTAAGAAGCTTAGATTCAAACTCAAGTCTCAAGAAGCAGATGAAGATGTCGACGCCATTATAGCGAAAAGGTTAAGAGATTTAGAATGAGCTGATCTCGAATATACGGTTCAAAGTAATCATTTGTAAAACAATAACAGGCAAATTTGCATTAGTTGGACTAGACATTATACAACTGGCGCTCGCATCGTTCTGAAGTGGATATGCCCTGTACTAAAGAAGTGCGTAACAATGGCATCTCAAGATAACTCAAGAACCGAAAAGTAACCTCTCCAACATAGGAAGGAACAATATGAAAAGAAGCGGCACCAAAATTCGTATAATCTGGTGAATTTCTCTATTCTCAGCCTGCTCATCCGTCTGTGTGGAAGCCCCTGCGGCCGGCCTTCTTGCACCTTGACCATTAGTGTAGACTTTGAAGCCATTAGGGCCACCGAATGTGAAAGTTGTTCCGCCACCACCAAAAGGTCCATCAAAAGGGCTTCCAAAAGCGCCTCCAAAGGGTCCGCCAAAGGGTCCACCGTTAAATGGATGGCCACCGCCAGCGGCATGAGCGTTAAATAGGAAATCAAAAATGTCCTGTGGGGGCCTTCCTGCGGCTTGTCTATAAAACATTCCCTGGGGACCAAACCCACTCGACCGGAAGCCGGAACTGCTACTTGCAGCACCACTAGAGAAGGGATCGCGCGCTGCGCTCCGGTCGTCGGGATCGTATCCAAGTTGATCGAACATCCTTCGTTTCTGTTCATCGCTTAGCACTTCAAAGGCTCTATTTATTCTTTTGAAAGCCTCGCTGGCACGAGGATGTTTGTTCTTGTCCGGATGGAGTTTTATAGCCAGTTTCCTATAGGCCTTTTTGATCTCGTTGTCAGAGGCTTTCTTTTCGACATGAAGAAGTTCGTAGAAAGCAGACTTTTCATGCCCCAATATGGATAACGTAATCTTCTCTTGATCCTCACTGTACTCGTTTTCTGACATTTTTGACTGTGGTGTGAGATTCGGCGCGTGTGTTATTTCTGGTTCGGACTGCGGCTTGAGTTTGATGTTAAAACTTCTTGTCTATGCTGTGCAAAACTTTACTGTGACGGCCTAAACGATCGTGTGTATAAGTTGAGGTAAATGATGTTCTATCCTTATGATTCTAAGACCAAAATAAGCTTGCTACCGTTTGTAGTGGCCCAATTATCTGTCTTGACAAGTTTCCACCAATTGTACTCGATTTGTACCCGATATCGCTCCAAATTTGACACTGAAAACCTCGCTAAATGAGCAACTTGCCGATGAGCAGATCTTGCCAGCTAGAAATCGTCGTGAGGTCTAGGATTCAAGCGCTAAAGTAGCCCTTTTTGCCCGTTCTCACTGTCAACTTTAATTCTAGCCTGTGGCCTAGTAATTCATTGTTGGAAAACGATAAAGAAACGAGGTCACGTGGAAAACATGGGTCATGGTCATTTTGTATTAAAAAGACACAAGCCAACAAAACTGAACGATCTATCTGGTTCTTTCCAGCATTATACTTCACTCTTTATCTTACTTTTTTCCGCGTTCTTTGTTTTGTATTTGGTTCCCCCGGTTGGGAAATAACAGTTCATATCAAGATAGTCTTTTCAATAATTTGTTCTTTCAGTCGAAAAAGCGGATCCTCGCGCATATAGTAATTATCTTGGGCAGAAAGGGCTACATATTTATATATTTCGTCCACACTCTCCGTTCCAGGACTTTATGTTTCTTGATGATTTAATGACAATGGCAATGTCAGAATTGAATAGAGCGACAAAATCACGTGATCCATGGAATTGCGAACCATTAGAAACAAGTTCGGGAAGGAAGTCGAATTTATGCCTTGGATTGTCGATATCTTGCCAATTAATATGATGGATAATTTATTCATCTTGTCGAATGTTGATATTTGAGTTCAAGAAGTTAGATACATTTGGTTTTGAAGCCTGTAGGATTTTCCAAGCTTTTAAAAGTACCCATGTAGATCAAACTAATCATGCGAAGGCGGTGAACTAGCTTAATATTGATTGGAAACTGGCACTAAGTCATGAAGCCAACAGGTAGAGAATGAGTTATATACGTACACAATGACAATCATATAAGTAACGCGTAAATAACAAAACGCGTTTGATGACAGTAGTTAGATGAGCAGAATCAAGATCGGTGGGAAGTATAACGGAGAACAATAACATGAGTTCTGACACTCTCAAGAGACCTGGAGATGAAGATCTAGAACAACCAGAGGCCGTTGAGAAAAAAGTTCGGATTCAGTCTTATGACCATAGCTCTTTGAGTGAGCCCGTTTCGACCATTGAAATCATCCCAACGGACAAGTTTCGGAAGCAAAGAGAACGAGGTTATGTCTCGAAAGATGGTCTTAAAGAGTCGAACAAAGTGAGCAAAAGCAAGTTCGAAGAAGAACTGTCGGCCATGGATCACGAGAAAGTTGCTGCGCTCGAAGAAGAGCAGCAATTGGGATGGGCTCGAAGCCCGATCCCCGAAGATTTCGACCCAAAAAAAGATTCCATTTCGTTTCAGCAGTTGGACGCGGAGCAGAGCGTTTTGCCACGTGTGGTGGACGAAAATACTTCCTCAATAGTGCGGTTTTTCGGGGTTACTCAAGAGGGACGCTCTGTTCTCTGCAACGTTACCGGTTTCAAACACTACCTATACGTACCTGCGCCATCCGATTTTACAAAACACGATATCAAGGCTTTTCAAGACTATCTGAACAGCAATTACGACAACGCTGTCGACAGCATGGAGATCGTGAATCGCCAGTCCATTTGGGGGTATTCTGGTACTGCAAGCATTCCGTTTCTCAAAGTTTTCGCTACAACCCCAGGTGGGATCAATAAAGTTAGAACAGCATTTGAGCGTGGGTATATCAATTTTAATGAAAATTGGTTTTCCGGCGGCACTACGACTTATGACAATATCGCGTATCCTTTGCGATTGATGATAGATTGTGGCATAGTTGGTATGTCTTGGATCACACTTCCAGCGGGAAAATATCATTGGATCCCTAAAGCGGACCGAATCAGTACCTGCCAGTTTGAATTGCGCATCAATTTTAGAGACTTAGAGGCACACCCAGCCGATGGTGACTGGGCGATGTCGGCACCTCTTCGTATCCTGTCCTTCGACATCGAATGTGCTGGAAGAGTAGGTGTGTTTCCCGAACCCGAGATAGATCCCGTCATTCAGATTGCCAACGTCGTAAGTATTGCAGGCGAGTCAAAGCCATTTGTGCGCAATGTGTTTACCGTTAATACTTGCGCATCCATTACAGGGTCTCAAATTCACGAACATGCGACAGAGAATGAAATGCTCAAGCATTGGAGAGATTTCGTCGTTCAGGTGGATCCAGATGTGATCATCGGTTACAACTCAGCCAATTTCGATTTGCCGTATCTCCTAGACAGAGCACGGGCTCTGAAAATTGAACAGTTCCCATACTTTGGCCGACTCAAAACAGTCAAGCAAGAGGTCAAAGAATCTATTTTCTCATCGAAGGCATACGGTACACGAGAGTCTAAAACGATCAATATTGACGGCCGCTTACAGCTGGATCTTATACAATTTGTTCAAAGGGAATACAAGCTCAGGTCGTACACTTTGAATGCTGTGTCGGCGCACTTCTTGGGCGAACAAAAAGAGGACGTTCACCACAGCATCATCAGCTCTCTTCAGAATGGTGATGCCGACACGAGAAGGAGATTAGCAGTCTATTGTTTGAAAGATGCATATTTACCTCTGAGGTTAATGGAAAAACTCATGGCACTAGTCAACTACACAGAGATGGCCCGTGTGACAGGTGTGCCGTTTACTTATTTACTGGCGCGCGGTCAGCAAATTAAGGTCGTATCTCAATTGTTTCGTAAATGTCTTCAAATTGACACGGTCATTCCCAACATGCAATCACAGGGCTCAGACGAACAATATGAAGGTGCTACAGTTATTGAACCCATAAGAGGGTATTACGACGTGCCGATCGCAACCTTAGATTTCAATTCTCTTTACCCTAGTATTATGATGGCACATAATCTGTGCTATACGACATTGTGCAGCAAAGGTATTGTTGAGCGTTTAAATTTGGTGAAAGACGAGGACTATATTATTACGCCTAATGGCGACTACTTCGTCACCTCAAAGCTTCGTCGTGGCATCTTACCCGAAATTCTGGAAGAACTAATCAGCGCCAGAAAAAGAGCGAAGAAAGATTTGAAAGAGGAGAAGGACTCTTTTAAACGTGATGTGCTTAATGGTCGACAACTTGCTCTAAAAATCTCTGCAAACTCGGTGTATGGTTTTACTGGTGCTACTATAGGAAAATTGCCCTGTTTGCCAATTTCATCTTCGGTTACTTCTTTTGGGCGTGTTATGATCGAAACTACCAAAAACGCTGTCGAAGAAAAGTATTGCCTGAAAAATGGTTATAAACATGACGCGATGGTTGTCTATGGTGACACCGATTCTGTCATGGTCAAATTTGGTGTCAAAGAACTCGAAGAAGCCATGAGGCTGGGTGCAGAAGCTGCCGCGTATGTTTCCACGTTGTTTAAACACCCGATAAACTTGGAGTTTGAAAAGGTATATTATCCATATCTTTTGATCAATAAGAAAAGGTATGCTGGCCTCTATTGGACGAAACCGGAGAAGCCTGATAAATTGGATCAAAAGGGACTGGCCTCTGTTCGACGTGACTCCTGTCCTCTGGTTTCTATCGTTATGAACAAAGTGCTAAAAATGATTCTTATTGAGAGGAATGTTGACGGTGCGCTATCATTCATAAGAGATACGATTGCCAAAATTCTACACAATGAGGCAGACATCTCAAAACTTATCATATCAAAGACTCTAGCCCCAAATTACACAAATCCACAACCGCATGCATTGCTAGCTGAGAGAATGAAAAAACGAGATGGTGTAGGACCTAATGTCGGAGATCGTGTGGACTATGTTGTCATAGGAGGCAACGACAAACTCTACAACAGAGCTGAGGATCCACTTTATGTCTTGGAAAAAAACATCCAGATAGATTCAAAGTACTATCTCACAAATCAGCTACAAAATCCGATTATAAGCATAGTCGCTCCAATTATTGGAGAAAAGCAGGCTAATGCGATGTTCATTGTAAAATCCATTAAGATCTCGTCCGGAATGGCAAAAGGTGGCCTGATGGGATTTGTCAAAAAAGTGCAGACATGCAAAGGTTGTAAGGGCCCTCTCAAGAAGGGAAGCGGGCCCCTCTGTGAGAACTGCCTGGAGAGATCTGGCGAACTATACATCAAAGCCCTTTACGACGTGCGCGAGCTTGAAGAGAAGTTTGCACGTCTATGGACTCAGTGCCAGCGCTGTTCAGGAAGTTTGCATAATGAGGTACTCTGCTCGAACAAAAATTGTGACATTTTCTATATGCGGGTGAAGGCCAAGAAAGAGTTGCAAGAAAAGGTTGATGATTTGAGCAAATGGTAAAGAGCGAGCAAGTGCACAAGGACTTTTTATATAGATCTAATGACATGATAATACTGCATTGACGTTTTAAGCATTATATATTTCGGAGTAAGTTCGCAAAGCACGAGCGTCGCCCATTGGGCGGCGTGCGACATCTTGTTCTTGTGGAGCAGCATCTGTTGGTTTAGAAAACCAAAGATGATCAATGGTTTGACTGACATCAAATCTTAGCTCTGGATCGACAACAAGTAAATTGGTAATTAGGTGCAAGACAGAGTCATCGATATCGTCCCAATAAGGTGAATAAAACGAAACACAACCTTGAAGAATTTGATCCTTCATAGAGGGTGGAGCGAGTTGTTCGCTAAAAGGTGGGAAACCGCAAAGGCATACGTAGAGCAATACGCCTGCGCTCCACAAATCAACTTTAGAAGTATAACCAGATTTTTTCAATACTTCGGGCGCAACGTACGATGGCGTTCCACACAATGTGTTGGTAAACTGCATCTCTCCGATGAACTTTGCCAAACCAAAATCTGCGATTTTGACGGTCACATCTATTTCACCTTCATCCCATGGACCCATCTGAAGTTCTGTTGCGGTTTGACGTCGCCGTATGCTCAGTAAAATGTTTTCAGGTTTTATGTCGCGGTGAATGATATTTTTCTGATGCAAGTAATTTAAACCACTCAATAACTGCTTGAATATGGCTCGCGTCTCATCCTGTCGCAGTTTTGTCTTACGGACAATCCTATCGAACAATTCTCCATCATTCACTTTCTCGAGAACCAGGTAAGTACGAATCTGGGCTTTCGTCACTGGTTCGACAAACCGTTCTATTAAACGGACAATATGCTTGTGGTGAATACTCATAAGAATTTTAGTTTCTTCTCTGAATTGCTTAGTTTTTTTTTGATCATCGTTTTGCTGTGGATGGAAAATCTTGACGGCTAAAACATCGCCGGTGTCCTTGTTAATAGCTTCTTTGACAACCGCGTAATGACCAGTGCCAAGCTGCCGGCCTTCAACGTATTTGTCAAAAAATGAAATGCGGCTGTTGGTATGATAATCAAAAGAAGTAGTCACGGAGCCTTGTGAGTTTTTAGACGGTACTTTAAAGTTCGAATCAGAACTCGAAACTTCGCCCTGGCTACTCTGCTCTGTCGCATACTTGAACAAGAAAGAACAACTTCTGCCAAATATAATTCTATCACCATTTCTCAAAACGCAGTCTTTTCTTATCAAACGGTTCCCGTTGACAAACGTGCCATTTCGGCTTTTGTCCAGGATATTAAGCAGGTTGTAGCACACTCCGTCAATATCAACTTCCAGAGTCTTCAATTGACAGTGTAACGTCGATATATCGGGCTCCAAAAGCACAATATCGCAAGATCGGCTTCGTCCAATGGTTGTTGTAGGCTGTAATGGAATTTCATATTGGCCCTCTTTTCCCGGAATTAAGCTCACTAAAACCGCATGCGGGAGCTTCGATTCATCACTGGCAGCGTTGTTGTCAAGCTGAAAACGCTTAAGAGGCGTTTCGGACACGCTAGAATGTTCTCTCTGGCTACTTTGTTAGTATATGATCTGGTACCATAAGTTGACACTACTCCTGCCAATATTTATAGTAATTAGCACCGTATACATACCCTTTTCAATGACATTTTGGCTATTTTACTTTCCATAAACTTCGCAATTGCGGGATCAAAGTCCTTTAAAGAGTTATCTCGCCAGAATTAATGGATATCTGATCTCCATGTAATACCTTGTTCTGTTTTTTACAGCATCGATTAACTTGAAAATACCCACCTAAAGAGTAACTTCTATTCAAAACATATTAGTCGTTGAAAGAGTGATTATTTCAAACTGGATTAGAGGTCATACGTGAACTTATATATTTCGTTTTTTGGGCATTTTCAGCGGTTTCAAAGGATTATAAAACCATGAAGGTGTTGATATGGTCAGCACTTTTCTTGATATCTGTCAATTTTGACATTGGCTTCTTGAGGCTGCGAATTTAGTGACCTAGATCGGCTATAAGATCAGCAGGAGATGAATATAGTGATAAGAAGCCCAAGACACGCTTTAAGTGCTTCAAACCGTTTGTAGGAGGATTCCAGTTCTTGGAAAGAGTCCAGAGGTCGGAAAGACGCCGTCTGGCTTCTAGTGAGTCTTGTGGAAACGTCACAGGTTTGGGGGCTGGAAAGAGAGGTGTGTTGAGTTCTCGAGAGAAGTGGAAGGTTAAATGCGGCGTCGGTTGCACAGGAAGCGTTTTCAACTGAATAAAGCTCTCAAAACAGCTGTGTAACCTCCATACCAGGTCGTACTGATTTCGTTTACTGTAAATGCTGGGACAGATTGTGGTAGCAGATGACAGATGCATATGGTTTGGTTCAAGCGGCGTAACAGTCTTTACAGTGTTATCAAGGAAAAGATCATACACTGCTGCATCATCGAAAAGATCATTTCTGACTTTGACCATCTCTGGGTTCTTATTGGAGCTGTAGCAAATGAACTCCAGCAACTGCTGCAAAGATTCCGCTTTTTCGGGTACAATCGAGTCAGGTAATAGCTGCACATCTTTCCATTTCGTATCCATGTCTTGAAACCACGTTCGCGTTTCTGCAAGTTTCTGTTTTCTTAACACAGGCGTCATACTGTGTTCATTAAATGATCTGGAAATATAGAACGGACTGATCAACCGCATCACGGGAACAAACGCTTCTTTCCCCAGATTGATCGCCAGAAGGATGTCGCTCATTAAAGAAATCTCGAACAATCGTTCTTCTGGTACGTTGATGGGACAATCGAAATGTGGCGTTCTGGCACTAACTCTCGAAAGAGAATCCCCGGCTCCCGTTTCTGGCATCACTCCCAGCGGGGCTCCGTCGCACCAGGCATGCCGCACTATATTAGGGTGTTGATATTCGACCGCCAGTTTTTGGGATATTGTCATGAAATTGTCATAAAGTCGGCCAATAAGAGTTAATCTCGTAGATCGATGATAATGCAAAATCCAATCCAGAGCCTGCTGGACTTTCAAAGATTCATCAGAATCATGATTTTTGTAATTGGCAAATTTGGATAAAAATTCCTGCTGAACCTTGGTGCTATTTTGAAAAAGAGCCTTTTCTTTAGAAGCATACGAACTGGAAGACGTGTCTTCGGGATTCACATCAGAGCTATGGTCCCAAAAGTCGTAGCCACCTAAACAAGATTCGATGGCAAGTAATCCCACCGGTACATCTGGGAGAATCCCGTACAGTGTGTGTTCTTTGAGTAGATGTTGCAAAACCAACAAAACTAGAGGAACACTGTGATATATACCACTCAAAAAAATTGCATCGCAGTCGCGAAACAAATACTTCCAATTTTGTATGAGTTGCGTAGCTTCTTGAAAGCAGTCGTCGAGGCTTTTTTGGTCCAAAGGACATTCGAAAGATAGAGCTTTAATGGAAGCGACGTGACGGTTTTTCAATGACGATGAGATATGCATCGAAAGATGACGTGCAGAGCAACTCTTACGTAAAACCAGTTTTTCGTATCTGTCCGGCATTCCACCGACAAAGCTTAAGACAAGAATTCTCTTACCTTCCAAAGACCCTGCAGACGTTGTCCTTCTCATATACAGATGACGGTCGGTAGGAAATTGGTAATATTGCTTTATAGCTTGCATAAGCTTCGTCTTGGAAGGTCTTTCTCGAAATATTTGGTCCGGCCTTTCATTCGGTACCATGAGCGAGTTGCGCACGTAAACTTGAGTGGCGGAGCCCTCAGAAATCGGATATTTTTTCAGCGGCAAAGGACACACTGCCGACCCCGTGGTTGCAACGCTTAATTCACCCCAGGCCTCAGGCTCGGTGGATATCATCTCGTCTACAGCTTCAAACCAGCACCAAGTACTTGTCTTTTTCAAAATGGCTTGCTGCGCTTCCAGCTCTAAAAGTTGAATTTGTTTGTTTGAAAGCTTAGAGTATTCTTCAAGATTCTCCGGGTCTACAATTTCGACCTGGTTTCTGAACGGGAATGACGGCAACTTACTAGCCAGACCTGTACACCACGACGCTTGTGAATCAGCAGCACCTGGACAGTTATTCTCTGTCTGTTGACGTTCCGCGTCTCCTACTCCGGCTGAAATCTTTTGATGTATGGCAGTAAACCACCACGGACGCCATCCTACTTCTGGTTCGGGTTCGGTTGCTTTTTGAGATGGATCACCATTCTCGCTCATTTGGGTATATTGGAACTTCACAAAGAGGCTAAAAACCACTAACTTGAGAGCCAAAGATATGTATTTTAACCTTGCGATTGAGACTCTCAGTTAAAAATGGTAATCGATATGCCAAACATGTATCCTTTGGTTCTCTGCTACCTATTTTCTCTCTCTAGAAGGCGTAGGCCCTTTTCCTTTAACTCTTGAAATTAATAGATTAATGAACTATCATCACCAACAGCATCATCAACATCAAACAGAGACGATAACAACCAAACCGGGGTCCAATGGACGTTGAAGTGGCTAATAAAGAACTGATTAAACAGCTTGTCGAACGAGACAGAGTAGAACAGAATTTTTCTGCGCTTTTCCAGTCGCCCGTGGTAGAGATTAACAGCAGTTTAGAAACCGCATCGCCTTTGAATGAGACGATAAAAAGGCTTAAAAGAGAACTGAAGTCCAAGACAGATGAGGTTGTCAAAGCCCGTGAGATTTTGCTAATCAAAAATAGGGACTCCGAACGACTTAGAGATGAGATAATTTCGCTAGATATCGAAAACAACGTCTTGCGAGAACAGTTGGAAAAAGTGACCTCTGAATACGACGCTCTTGTTACAAGGTGGCTCGAAAAGGCGCAACAGGAAGCGGACAATCTGAATGAAGGCCTAAGCTAATTGAGTTGTTTGTTCGAGAAGGTCCGAGAGACGAGCTTAATGGGGGCTTAAGCTAAGTGTTTCGCTTACGCCTCAGTTATCTTTTGGCCTCTAAGCCGTCAGGGACAGTTCCTTAGAGAGCATGATTTGTAATCGAAACTCACAGAACCTTGTGTTTAAAGCCTGTTACATCTGAGGTGAAGAGCGGGAACATGGGGGTGATGTCCCAGAGGGTTTATCAATGCTAAAGACATACTTACCACGGTTGCTCAACGTAAAAATGCTTCAGTAGCTCAGTCGGAAGAGCGTCAGTCTCATAATCTGAAGGTCGAGAGTTCGAACCTCCCCTGGAGCACATTTTTGATATTTTTTGCAGATAATTTAGATGTTTGGCCCATCCCATTTGACTACCATCACCCACGCTTCCTCTCCACCTTTCCCATCCACAAAGCAAGTAAATCTAAGAAGCGCCTTTATAAAAAACTTATTTCTGTTCTTCTAGCTCGTAAATCACTTTATTGTCGGCTTCAGGATCGTATTCCTTGTCCAAAAATTTGGAAAATTTCTTCAAATTGTTCAGGCCTCTAATTTCACCGGCACAAAGTGGCATCTTGACGACATGGAAGTCTTCGTAAAGTTCGTCGATTTGGTCTAAGTATTTTTTTTGCATCTTCCACCTCGAGTGGCATCTTCTACAGTTGTGTTCTGCGTCGCTGTCGGCAAACAGCAACTGATTGACCACAATGGAGTTCACGTCCATGTCGTAGGAAATCAATTCCTGGATCAACCGCTCCGTCTCGTATAGCGACAAAAACTCACTGATACAGACACACACAAACGTCGTCATGTCAGGATTTGTGAACTGTTGCTTGATCTTCTCGACGTTGGCCTTCAATTCGTTCATCTTACCCATTATGTCGACGTTCTGGTTCCCACCGGTCAAAGAGTTCAGCATGGGTCCGAAACGACCCGCAATTTCACCGAATTTGTCCAACAATTGCGACAAAGTCTGCGGCAATTGCAAGAAACGCAGCGTGTGGCCCGTAGGAGCAGTGTCAAAAATCACGGTGTCGTATTTCTCGCCCTCTCCTTCTTCTTGTCTCTTGATATGTTTCATAACTTCCATAAACGACAAGGCCTCATCAATACCGGGAATTGACCCAGTCAGATCCGCAAGAGCCCCTCCTTGCAGCAAGTCACCCAACCCGTCACCTCCATTCCCATTTTGCGCTACTGCCATGTCATTCATGTCTTTTAATGCGGCAGAGGGGTCAATTTCCATGCACGACAAGTTGTCCATACCAGTCACTTTCCTCGCGTCTTTACCAAATTTTTCACCAAACGCATCACTCAAATTATGAGCTGGATCCGTGGAAATCAATAAAAACTGCTTTTGAGGTTGTGCAAGCGCCATTTGGATCGCTATACTGCAAGAAGACGTCGTCTTTCCAACACCACCTTTACCGCCCACAAACACCCATTTGTGAGTCGACGAAGTGATTAGAGAGTGCAAATTAGGCTCTACAGACAAATCTAAATCACTCATGCTTGTCTTCTAATACCTAGATTCTGTGCAAATACCTTGATCTTGCAAGGTTTACTGACCGCTCTACGTAGGTGGCAAAATGGATGAACTTCGTCAAAGTTCATCAAACTTGAAAACCTTCGTGCACAATGCTATCAACAAAGTCTACATTAACCATTTTTGGAAGGAACCCTGAGTTCTTGAACAGTCGAAGATTGATCACTGCAAGAGTCGAATAGGCAGTACAGAATGTCGTTGGAGGACGATCAAAGGGCCAAACAACTTGAAGAAGCTAGAAAGCGGGTAGAAGAGCTTCGAAACAAGAAGAAAAAGAAGGGTAAAAAGAAAAAGACGCAAGCAGAGGATGACGAGAGTGCAACGAAGGAAAAGGACGAGGATACTGTGAAAGATGCTGTTGTGGAAGTAAAAGACCAAGATAAGGAAGTGACACCACAAAATGTCGAGAATGCGGGAGTGGAGGACGCTCGTGAAGACGAAGAGAAGCAGGATGTAGCGGAACTGGCAGAAGAAGAAGTAGAAGAAGCAGGAGAAGAAGCAGGAGAAGAAGCAAGAGAAGAAGCAGGAGAAGAAGCAGGAGAAGGAGATGCAGATGCTGCCATTCCAGACTCTGAAAACGGTAAGACCGAGATATCAAAAGAAAACCCCCTTGACGGGAAACCGGTAGGGCATCAAGCAAACGTTGAAGATCTGTTTTCGACGTCAGACGCACAGGAGCCCGATTTTCTGACGAAGCTTGCAGAGGAAAAAGAAATAGACGCCAAAAAGGCCCTCCAAGAGCAAGTCGAAAATCTGACTCAACAGCTGAAAAAGCAGAAATTCACTAATATGGATCACGAAACAACAATCGAAGAACTTGAAGAAAAAGTACAAGATTTGCAGTCCGCCCTGGAGTCCTGTAAGCAAGAATTGGAAGCTACGAAACGTGAATTGGAAGCCGAAAAACGTAAGCCTGCCATGTTGCTGGTTGAGAATTCGTCAGGCAACGAATCCAGCCTTAACTCGCCGCCACTTTTCACGAAATTTACGTCGCACGCGTCAGGAGAACACGCGTGGCCCACCATGACACCAGTTGCAACGCATGTGGATCGTGCTCTGATCGACAAGTGGAAAAATTGGAACGTCGACATGACAAGCTGGAGAAGTATTGGATCTGGGCCCATTGTGGACCTGTGAGTTGTCTCATTGGTTCTTAATATGTACACGTATTTAACATCGCTCAATCATCTCACTTTGCACAGCACTCAGGCGCTCATCTTATTCTGCATAATACTTCGCCGCCTAATTTTTTGGCCACAGCTTCATTGATGTCCAGCAAATCTTTCCCACACCGCACCAAGATCAGTTCGCCTGGTTGCAATGGCTTGATTAATCTCACAGTGACACCGGTACACAACTTCCTGAGATCTTCGAAAGGAAGTGTGATCCGCAAGTTAGGTTTGGAAATCAGTCTGCACGAAGATATTACAGGACGATTCTCACGGTATTTCAGTCCAATCCAAAGCCTCCTGGTTGATACGTTATCTGGCGTCACAGTGACAGGAGTTGTATCCGGACCTTTCGTCGACCCCTTCTGCAATGTGGTCAAAAACCCATGTTTGTACAGGCTGTAAGCAAAACTTAAATGCAATCTGGTAAAGGGTATTGCCGTCAGAGAGATTTTGGCTCTGGAACAATTTTGGATGTGCGCGCACGTGTTAGCCAAATGTACTAGTGACATGATCACTGGGATATTAGGTACAGTTATTATTGTTAGTTGTTGATTTAAACCATTTCAAGCTTTTTCAGTAACATAGATTTTTTTTTCAGACTGAAAATTGGATATTGGCTGGTAACCTTTCATCCCACGAACCTCTAAACAGCAGCGATTGGCTGACAATCCTGCTTCTTCATGCTTCAATTCAAGTTGCCAGGAAGCAGCAAACATGCAATGGAACGGTTTTTACTTCGTTTCCCGCGTTTTCCCCGGGTTTCTGCGACGTTGAATCATCGAAATCTAACACAGAGACGATTGGCACATTATGGTAGCACCGGAAATCGTGACGATGCTCCAGGGTTCATGAAAATCGCGATTTTGGGTATTGTGGGAACCGTGATATTCGTGCAAGCGGTGAAATCGCTGGACAAGAATCAGCCCAAGAATTGGTACTCAGAAGAAGAGTTCGAGAACGTGGTGCAAGGATTACGTAGAAGAGTGTCAATTTTCAAACAAGGTGACCTAGATTTGACGCTAATAGCACCTGGAGTCTCGCAAGGTGTTGCTAGACCGGCCGCTGTGACCCAAGTGTTTGACGCAACCGAAATTGTAGATTTTTTCAGAAAAGAGCCCGACGGGAGATACGTCGCTTTACTGGAGGAATTGTCGACGAAGGAAGGAGAAACGCGATATATTCGTTGTTTACCGAAAGGGATGCTTGTCATGCTTATAGGGACGTTTTTGAAGTCGAATTGCTGTCAAGGTGATTCTGTTGTGATCATGAATTGTCCCTTCGACGTCCAGGACGCAATAAAATTCGAAAACGAGGTCTCTGTCGTGACAAAATTCGTGTGCAACAGCTCCGAAAAGGATGCAGAGATTGCCAAGTATTACGATACTGTTGGGAAGACAGAGTTGGTATAGCCATGGGTGCGTTGTCCTGTAAATAGCGAAATGTGTAACTTTTTATGATTTTTTGGTGCTTCCAAAACCTTGAAAGCCCATGACACCAGCGACGCTTGAAGATACCCCGGGCGCTGCCTCGGACGCGGCATTCGTCTTTGGAGCGGGCCTAAGGCTCTTCTTTTTAGGAGTTCTTGTCCGGACCTGCGCCTTCTTCAAAAAATCGTCCACGATCCGCTCATAACACTGTTCAAATTCCTGCCGCGGAACTTCTTCGTCGTCCCGAGTGTCGTAGATTAAGGGCTCTCCAAATACATTTTCAAATTTAATCTGGTGCGACTTATGATTTAAATGGTTCACGTACTGGAGTGTATCCTTAAACGTCAGATCGCACAGATCGCAATAAAACCCAAACTGTTTACCCTTCTTGTAAGTCGAGGCACCAGTAGTCAAAACACGACGATTAGAGTCTTGTGTCACGCTTTCTATGAGCGTCTTGTGGTCTGAAAACTTAGATTTGAGTAGTGAAAGCTCATCAGACGTTAACTCATCGAATTTTGAGCTGGCTTGATCGTGGGTAGCACGCTCCAAAGCCGCATATTCTGCACGATCCCAAGTCCTTCTACCGAAGCTTGTCATGTTGAAACCGCTCCCTGAAGGTTTTGTTCACGACTTAAGTGTCCCTCTTATGTGAAAACTTTCACTTGCGATTAAATCAAGAATCGTCATTACCGTTAGATTTGGACGAACATCATGGCTCAGGTGTCTCATAAGGTGATAATTCTCCCGTATTTGATCAAACATATTCCTAAATCACCGCATCTCAACGAAAATGCCATCGTTTATGCCTTTGATCTGGATCATACCATCATTAAACCGAAATCGGGCTCTAAGTTCAGTCGGGGCGTGGATGACTGGATGTTTATGAAATATACAGAGAGAAATCCACAATTGGATACTCTTGAGTTGCTTACAAGGCTTATTGAAAATGAACCCTTGGCTCATATTGTCATCTTTTCGAATCAAGGCGCTGTCACAGCAGTACCGTCAAATTCGAAAAGTTGTACGAAATACGTTGGCAAGGTCAATGCGATTTTGAGTCAAATTGCCAAGAATGACAGGTCCAGAGTTTTATTAGAAAGACTTTGGGTGTATGCTTCGCCCAAATGCCCGGCGTCCTTTTTAAAGAAGCGCGGTGTGAAACCAAATAGAGTGAACAAAGTGGCTACCGTGACCAAAAATGATGCTATGACGACGTCAATTGACGTAAGCACATTCTCACTTATGCGAAAACCAAATAGCGGAATGTACGACGAATTTCAGAAAGATATGAAATGTGGTTTTGATGTTAAATATTACTGCGGGGACGCTGCTGGTCGGGCCCAGGATTTCAGCGACAGCGACAAACAATACGCCGCTGGACTTGGCATTGATTTCAAAACTCCAGAAGAAGTTTTCGGGAACGCGGGAATAAACGCAGCAGCGGTTTGAGAATACATCCGTTATTTTAAATACGATTCTTATGTCATTGCTTGCTCAGCTGAGAGTCGCTGCTTTCTCGAAAAGCTGTTCGACGACGCGGTGGAGTTGGCCAATGAGCTCTAAAGACGAATCATACGTGGCGTCTTGTTGCGGTGTTTCGTAAATGTAGAGCCAACCGTTGCCCTGGTCCAGCACTCCGAAAAAGACTTTGTCGAGAATCATTTGAGAGAGTTTGCCCTCCACTTGCTGGAGATCCAGCCCGATCATCTTCGATATGTGGGAAACTTCGACGCAGTCGAAGGGCTCGATGATTTTGCACAAGTTGGACTCGAGTAAAGTATCGTAAAGCGCGTTGAAATGAGATCTGATCAAAGAATCGCCCATTAGTTCCTTCTCGTAATCCTTGAGTGCGGAATTGAATTCGAGTAGCGATCTTTGAGAATAGGCCTCCGCAACGGCCTTCATCGCGTCGATACCGCGCGATTGGTACGTCTCTTTAGTGTATTTGGCATTCAGTATAGATTTGACGTCGTCGATCAAATTAGTCATGATCTTGGACAACAGCATGTATTTGAGAACTTGACACGCTTTGTCCTGTGCGCCCGTTGACTGGTTGTGGAATCCCTCAAACGCTTCGTAAAAGTACGAGAACGCAGTCTTATAATCTTTGTCCTCACAATGAAGTATTCCGCTCATTAAGTCGAGTTCCGCCACGGTAAGTGTGGGGCAATAGATCGAGTTTGCAGAAGTTCTCGCGCTGGTCAAAGCAGCCTTTGCCTTGGCTAAGTTCCGCAGCTTATGGTACACCTTGGACTCGAGCAAATGCACGTCGACCAAAGACGACTTGTCGTCAAGTCTTCTAAACTCCTTGAGCAAATCGTTTATGAGTTGCAAAGAGTCGTTGTAAAGTTGTTTCTCGTAGTACAACAACGCCAGTCTAATCGAAAGCGAATGTTTCAAGAACGCTCTTTTTTCACGCTTTGCAAATTCAATGCTCTCCTTGCAAACTTCGATTTGCTTGTCGAGAGAATTGGGTATAAGTTCAAATTGATCGATGAGCGCTTTTAGAACTTTCGCGGTCTTGGATTTCGCGTAGGTCATCATAATCCCACGAGCTTGTGGAATGAACTCGGCCAATTTATTCTGTTGACCCCAGTCAGTGTAAAGTCTACCCAACTCAAGGATACATGTTTCCTGGAGTTGTGTCTGTTTACTGCCTTGTTCCTCGCTCCCCTTGAGGACACCTAGATAAGCACGTTCGGCCTCCTCATATTTTTTCAATTCCGCTAAATTTCTTGCCTCGTTCAACGTTGCCATTGCTATGGTTAAATCAACTATAACCGCCTGCTTTGCCTACTTTGTATGGTCGATTTGCCACCGATATTAGTATCACCTTCTTTACATGTTAAAGAAGCTTGTTGGTTCTTGAAAGAGAGCACTTTTGACGAGCATCGTAAAGCCGGGTAACCACACCTAAACACTCGTAATATATGACTGTAAAAAAGAGATGGACTTGGGCGGCTAAAGTTGATTGAAAAGAAATGATGAACTCCGGTTTTGTGGAAAATCGTTACATACGTAACATTTCCAAGATAAGTCATTTATGACGAAAACACATCATTGCAGACGATAATGAGCACGTGACACGTTTATGCGATTTTCGATCATTAACCTTCAAAATTTTCAAATATAAACCTTTATTTGACGTGTTAGAATAACAGACCCAGGCACACACGGTAAACACGCTGAACACGCTGTAGATTACACACGTAACCTTACTTTCGAAGTATTGGATCTCGTGAAAGCCCTGCTGAGGAGTTGAAGATTCGTCCTTTTTGCTGTTAAAAATTGCGTGTTTTCTAAATGACTGGAAAGGCTAAAAGCACCACGGTCAAATCGGCTGAAGGCTGTGACCCCGTGCCTGAATTGGACGTCCGAAACGGGCCCGTGAGGCCCTACATTGTCACAGAGGCGCCTGCATCTCTCAGCGAGCTGCGTTCACCAACGTCGACCAAAGAACGGCTGCTGGTGGCCGGGCTGGCGTTGTTCACCGCGGCCGTCAGACTGCATGGGCTTTCGTCGCCAGATTCGGTGGTTTTTGACGAGGTCCATTTCGGTGGGTTTGCTTCCAAGTATATCACCGGTACGTTCTTCATGGACGTGCATCCCCCTCTTGCCAAGATGCTGTTCGCCGCTGTTGGCGCAATTGGTGGGTTTAGAGGTGATTTTGATTTCAAGGCCATCGGCGACAAATTCCCGGCATCGACTCCTTACTTTTTTATGCGGCTTTTCCCTGCGACTTTGGGCGTGCTTACGGTGCTTATGATGTACTTTACACTCCGGTCTTCTGGTGTTAGAGTGTTTACGGCTCTTGTTGCATCCCTGTGCTTCGCAATTGAAAACGCCTACGTTACTATTTCCCGCTACATTTTACTTGACGCCCCACTCATGTTTTTCATCGCTGCAGCGGCTTATTCTTTCAAAAAATACGAACTGCACCCTCAAGGTTCTTGGAATTCATACCGCTTCCTGTTGAGCACCGGATTTGCATTGGGTTTGGCATTGTCCTCCAAATGGGTTGGACTCTTTACGGTTGCGTGGATCGGCGCCCTGTGTATCTGGCGTTTGTGGTTCATGATTGGTGACCTTTCTAAGCCCGTTTCGTCGACTTTCAAGGAAGCGCTACGCAAATTGTTATTCCTTTTGGGCATTCCGGCTGTGCTCTATCTTGCCTTTTTCTACTTACACTTTGATACTCTCACCGTTTACTCCGACGGTGCAGGTTTTTTCTCATCGGCGTTCCGCACCACTCTCCAAGGGAATACAATTCCTCAAGATATCTTAGCCGATGTTGGTATTGGCTCTACTATTTCCATTAGACACATCGCTACTATGGGTGGATACTTGCACTCTCACAATCACATGTACGAAAAGGGCTCTGAGCAACAACAAATCACGTTGTATCCCCATCTTGACGGTAACAACGAATGGCTAATCGAATTGCATGATAAGCCCAATGAACCTGTTACCTCATTCGAAGGACTTGCCGATGGTACTATGATCAAATTGAAACACGTTACCACTCAGAGGAGACTGCATTCGCATGATCACAAGGCGCCTGTATCTGAAAGTGCTGACTGGCAAAAAGAAGTTTCTTGTTACGGTTTCGAGGGCTTTGAAGGTGATGGAAATGACGACTGGATTGTTGAGATTGACAAAGAAGCATCTGAGCCTGGTGAAGCTCAAACTCGTGTCAGAGCTTTGGAGACCAAATTCAGACTCAAGCACCCGTATATGAATTGTCATCTATTTTCTCACGAAGTGAAGCTTCCCAAGTGGGGGTTTGAACAACAAGAAGTCACTTGCGCTAGTCAAGGTAAGCCTCATTTGACTCTATGGTATGTGGAAGATAACTCACATCCGCTTTTGCCCCAAGATGCGGAGCGCGTTTCCTATAAGAAACCTGGATTTTTCGCAAAACTCTTGGAATCTCATCAAAAGATGTGGCATATCAACAAGAATTTGGTCGATCCTCACATTTACGAATCTCAGCCATATTCTTGGCCTTTATTGCTTAGAGGTATCAGTTATTGGGGCCAAGAGCACAGACAGGTATACTTGCTTGGCAATGCGATTCTCTGGTGGTCGGTTAGCACTTTTGTTCTCATTTTTGGACTCATCTTGGTGTTTGAACTGATAACCTGGCAATTGGGTTATCCCATTTTGCAAGATAAAGATGTGGTCAATTTCCATGTGCAAGTTTTGCACTATCTGTTGGGTTACGTTTTGCACTACATTCCTTCTTTCCTAATGGGTCGCCAATTATTTTTGCACCATTATCTTCCTGCGTATTACTTTGGTATTCTTGCCTTTGCGCACGCTCTTGATATTACCGTGACTTATGTCTTCCGAAACAAGCGCGTGGTAGGATATGCGGCGATTGGTGCATTCTTTGCCAGTGTCGCTTACTTTTACGTTTCGTACAGGCCTTTGATATACGGAACGCCATGGACTCAAGACCTATGCCATAAATCACAATGGCTTTCTGGTTGGGACTACGGTTGCTCAAATTTCTTCAATTCTTATGAGGAGTACACCGACTTTGATAGCCAGTTGTCTAGCTCTCATGACATATCTCCATCAAAAACATTAGAAGCTGATGCTGATAGTAAACCAACGCAAGCGTTTGAGAAACCTGCTTCCCAGGATATCAATCAAAACGACATTGATGTTGACGAATTAATGGCGGGTCCTGGAGTTAAAAAGTTTATCGACCAAAATGGCCAAGAACTAGATCCAGAATATGTCAAGGAAATTTTAGGGAACGGCGGCTCCGTTATGAGCGTCGAACATCGTTCTCATACCGAAAACGCTTCTCCATGAAGCGGATCAGGGACTCTTCCATTCATACGTTACATGCATTTGTCTATAAGTTTTCATTCTTTACTTGGGATACAATCCGTCCATTACAGTAAATAGTGTAAAGCATTACCAACTCCAATAAGTCAATGCAGCTTATCTAAAAATCCGAATTCCTACATAATATATATAATATCTAGAACCTCCAAAGGTGATGAATCGTAGTTGAATCACTATTTATCAGGGCGGTTGCAAGATTTTGTCCAGATTGAATTCGCGACCTTTCACTTCAAACCGAACATGCTACGACAACGGGGACGATTTCTAGTCTGTTTGTCATGGAATGCTCTCGATTTACAGTGTTAAACTTCGAATACCGGTGATCCACAAGGTTGCCAAGAATTTACCGTGAGTTAAGAAGAATCAATTTCAAAATCCACCCGATGTCTTTGGGTTTGCCGTCTTTTTAAATTTTTCCAAAAGCTCACCGCCATTATGGATGAAATCAGCATGGCGGCAACGAGTGCTATCCGTGACAGTAAATGAAAAGTGCTTGCATAACAAATAGGACCGCTGCTGCAAACTTTCTCGTCAGGCCCAGTGTTTGCAACCAAATCACGCGCGAAAATGGCCGTGAAGATCTTGACGCTAATCATTCCACCAGTAGTAAAAAGCCCCCAAACTGTACTGAAGCCTTTTGTGCCAAATTGATCTGCAACAATTGCCGGAAATGTGCCAAAGGTTATCCCGAAACCAAATCCGAACAGCACCGATGAGAGCGAGACATTATCCACTACGGACGAATATCTGCTGTTCAATAAAATGGTAGGCTTTCCAGGATCGGATACAATCTGCCTGCATGCTAAAAACATCAAGCCACCTGCAAAGAGAATACACCAGCCTCTTTGAGCTCCGAGTTTTTTAACTAATAAATCTGATATAGGACCCGCTAACAGCCGTCCCCCAAATGACATGACTGAAATCAAAGAGACCTGAAGCGATTGTACTTTTTCATTATTGAATTTTGCTTCGGGATACGAGTGCGCCAAGGTATCAACTACGAAGCCGACTGAAAAAATATAGGTTTGTCCTATGCCTTGAAGAATAGCCAAAGTGAGATACAATGCAATAAACTTCAACTGAGTGATGGTCTGATATAGATGACTGTCTTTCCAAGTCGCGAGCTGATCTACATCTATTGGCTGTGGGGCAACGAAATCAGGAGTCTCGGCAGAGTTCAGCTCAACAGGTCTCATCTTCATGAACGAATCTCGCCCCTCAACACGATAGTTCTCGTTGAAATGTGGCCCATCATCAGCTCTAGGATGGTGTGCTGACTCACTATCGCGTCTAGAAGATCCTATGTGAGACACCGAACCTCTGGGCGCCCGCGTTTTACCCCACCCCCAGAATGAAAGTGAGCCCGGTAATTCCCGAGCCCATATGTAGGATTCTGATTTTTGAAAGAGCGACGCGAGTGACGATCTGGAATCCGTAGATTCTTTCCTTTGCATCGACTGTCCTTCAAGAGATCGGTAATCATTGTGGCTACCCATTGAATTTCTGCTCAGTCTTGGTGATTGCCTGATTGCAATAGGTTGGCTCTGTGAGAGTTGAACTTCCGGCTGGTCCCGCTGTTCAAATTGAAGCACAGAGGAGTTTCTTCTTTTGACTTCCGGAAACTTGACTAAAATTTTAAGCGTGAAGCATCCAATTAATATCATAGACGAGCAAACGCACATCAAAAAGGTGAAGACCTCGTCAATACGATCTTGAAACAGCCATGCGCAAGTAGATGAATAGATAAGGCCAGCCAAAGCATACAGTGAGACTGGAAACGCACCTGCGGTACCTCTATGATGCGGAAAATTGGTTGTACAGCACTTGACACTGCCGTAAAAGCCCGACACAGACCCAAACCCAATCAGTATAACCGCAGTAGACAGCAGTATAATGCTGGCGATTTCATTCGTGTAACAAAATTTCAAAGTCGCGTAGCCCAAAAAAGTGCAAAGCGCGCCAATCCCACACGAAAACTCTGGAGACTTCTGATCGATCACCATGCCAGCTAAAAATCCCATTGCGGCTGACCCTATCGTCAGCGCAAAAGAGAGGGTACTAGACTTGGAGATTGGCAGCTTACATTTTTCTAGCAGTTGCGGCGCGTAGTAACTGTACAGGTATGGAGTACCAGCTCCAAGGGCAACAATGTTACTTCCAATGAAGCAAGTTATCAGTTGACCGCGGCTTGAAGAGCTCATTTATTCGTTGTTTTGGTATAGCACTTTTATGAAATGTCGGTTTGTTCCACTTTTAAGATAAAAAAGAGCCAACTTCTTAAGCCCACTGAGAGCTCACAGCTCAGAAAACCACACTAAAATTTGTTATAAATCACCCGCGATTAACACGAAAGGTCAATTTAGATTTTATCGTCTTGTTCCCGTAAGACGCGTAAAACTCGTCAAATCTGTCCAAAATAAATGTGATTTTCTTCGATTAAACGGTAAACCTTTTCAATAAACTTTGATCTCTCAAGATCCAACCCAATAGATATCCTAACAAGTTGCTATCGGTTGAAACGCTTCGTTTTCTTTGTTGTTGTTAAAGTGTAGTATTCCCCTGATTAGCAGATCCTCATCTGTTAGCATAGCTCGATGCAACGGATATTGCCGACCGTATCAAAGCAACTTTTCTTGACTTCCTATTACAGCAGGTATTTCCAGTTCCAGGAATCATGTTTTTAACTGCCGTTTAGGGCAGTTGTGCACCGAAAAAAAATCAATGAGTCACTAATCACGGAAATACTCATTCCATACTCGTTTTCTTGTTTTTTTTCGTCTATTCCACTTTTCGACGATTGGGAAGATGCTCCACTTAAAAAACCTCCAAGAAGTACCCAAGGTTTGATTTTTCGAGATAGAACTTAAACGGAGAAGAATTAGCTAGATTTGTCGAGTTCACAGCTACGATTTCCTTCATATCCTGTGGTTGTTGACTTTCTTAGCCCTCTTTTGCATTAAAGTGTAACTTCTGTTCGTTGGCATACATGAGCGAAAACCGCCATTTCAGTGCAGAGCACTTTTTGTCGCACGTTTCGACGCTTTTTAAGGAAGCAAATGCCAAACATCGTACCGTGCGGCTGTCAATGAAGCGTTTGGTGGAATCAGATGGTGTGAGCCAGACTCCAGAATCGAATGCAGCCGGCCAGCCATCCTACGACGTTTCACAGATGTCACAATTTACACCAGTGCCCTCTGACGCCAGTAAGAACGAGTACAAAGTGCTTGTACGTGTTTCATGCAAGCTGGACGGTAAGAAGCACAAGTTTGGGACTGTCCTCTCTTCTCAATCCCTTGATAAGTTTTGGAAAGATTATTCTGCGACGATCAAGGGCAATATGACCGGACTGGTGAAAAAAAGAAGAAAGCCAAGAAGGCACACAGATAGTGATAATGGACGCCTTCTTCACAAGTCCGCCTAATATAGTTCGCATGCATAAGTAATTTTAAATTAATCCAATGTTTCCACGACGATACTACCAGACGGGTACACGGTGCTTGCGTCTTTGATGAGTGTAGAGGGTTGCAACTCAACTCGTGGAACGGGCGTAATTAATCGGAAGGGGTAAGCGTAATGGTAATCAGGTTCGTCATTGACCGCTGCACTTGCAGCAGCAGGTGCAGAGCCATCCGTACCCAATAGCCCTTGCTTGTAAAGTTCCACAAATGCATATATTTCTTCGATTGGAAGCTCTGCATCAAACCTGCGCGTTACTCGAATATTATCGGGCATCCGTATGGCCAGCCGCGCAGCCCCATCGGAAGCACCTGGCTCAGGGCGAAGCTGATATTTTCTCCACAGCAGCCAAGCAGCCCTGAGTTCCTCCTGACGCTGCTGCTGTGTTTGGCGTTCTTGCTCTTGCATACGGTCGCGAGAGCGCTGCTGGTCACGCTCCTGATCACGCCTTAAAGACTCAGCAAAGCGCGCATCTTGTTGTTCACGCATCAACCGCTGCAACTGCGCGTTCTGTCTCTGCTGACGTAACTCTATGAGTTTTCCATACTGTTTGGCAAGAACAGCCTCAAAAGCCGAGAGTGGGTTGCCAATCACAGCGCCCTGCATTCGCCCTATCATTTCTATCTTACTCCCAGCCTTGATGCTTATAAGTCCTAAAAATGGTGATTGCCGCGTTTTCAAAGCATTGGCCACTTGCAATCCCTCCTTCGTAGTAATGTCGCCGAACCACAGCAATATTTGGTACTTTTTCACCAGCGACACGAATTTCTCTGTGCAGAGGATCTGGCGAATGTACTTTATAGGGTCATCGATTAGAGGGTTGTGCAAGTAGACTATTCCAAATTTAGCTTCCTGAGAGACAGTATCCAGCAGCGACATGTAACCCTCTTGAACCACATGGCTCGTCAATGATCCGCCCTCGATTCCATAAAGAGAATCAAAACTGTAGCTGTCCTGCAGGGGTGAGCCCTCAGCGACTTCTTGAGTTGAATGACTGCTCTCATAGTCCCTTCCCAAGGTTTCCAGTAAACGCGACAGCTCATCGACGTGATTTTGCATATGCTTAGTCTTCCTATCATAGAACCCCTGAACTTTGGCTAGAGGTCGTAGCCAATTTAATAAAAACAGAATTAAATTAAGCACGTAGTACGCGATGGTCAGCGGAACCAACAGTACTATTCGCATTATTTTTTGACCCAGGGTTCTATGGCTAGCTTCCACATCATCGCCATTCTGTGAGTCGTTATTTTGCGGGGGAAAAGTTCCGGGAATCGGGGTGTAAGGTTGCTGTTGCGATCTGATTATTCTGTTCCATAGATCCATATTTAAACAGTGTTTAAGGAGCTCTTCAATGGAGTGACTTGATATCTTCGAAATAGCTCTCTCTTGATGAGCACTTGGTCCCAAGACTGCTAGAATTCGTTATTGAACTTCGCTCGTATAGAGTTACTACAGAGTTAAGGATTTCAAAGACGGTCCTTATTAAAGATGATGATGTCTGCTAAGTCCTTTGATGGAAGACCGAAAACAGGGTTTATGGGTTGTAAATCTGTCTCTGGAGTCCTTAAAATCCGTGAACTGTTTACTAGCGCGTCTGGACCTTTTTTTGCCTCGAAAGAGTATTCCGTAATGGACAACCCAAGCGCTATGTAGTTGGTGTGATAAAAATCTGGAGACTTGCCCGGTTTATCTCTCAAACCGGGCCTTCCAGAACTCTGGCAACACTTAAGGATGTACTCTCTTAGCTGGGGTTTGTTTATGCAGTCTCCGTACCCGTGGGCCTCGAGAATGGCACTAGTAGCTCCGATCCAGTAGCTGTAACATCCGTCTACAAGCTTGTTACTTCTCCCAGACAAACCTTTCTCCTCGTTGTATTGACGAGCACTGCACCATTCCATGAGCTGCTCAATGTTCATAACAGGAATTTCGTTCAATATGGCTAAGCTGGCGACTGCACAAAATGTGTAGCCTCCGTGTGCCTCGTCACCCTGCGGACATGCCCCAAAACCGCCCTCGTAGGTCTGGCACCGGATCAGAAAGAATTTGACGTTTTGACAAAGTTCGGACGTCATTATTTGCAGCATTTGAGCTACTGCTAGTGCACAATATATGCCTCTGGTGTCGCACTCGCCAACTTCTAAACATGTTCGGAAACCTCCATCGGGAGTTTTGAGTTTCATTAGCCAATTGTAGATCGCTTTCCGGTCAATCTGTTCCCAACAGTCGTCTACATTGTCGCAGAGGGCCAATGCTGCGATTGAAGCGTAGGTGCACAGCAAATTGGGCAGCTGCCCTTGCCCACCGGCAAACAATCCATCTGGTTCTGCGATTTTCAACAGTTTTTGACATATTCGACGCTGTGTATCTGTAGTTAAGGAGCCAGGGCACATAACTTTCAGTGAATTGGCAATCCAGTAAATAATCCATGGTTGCGAAGCCTCTAATGCCTTCATTTGCGGCGGAAGCATGTCAGAAAACGCCCACAACAGATATCTTTCGTGAAAATCGGCCATTAAATCGTGAGCTTCGCCAGCAAATTTATCGAATAGCTCCTGGCAATCGCGAATCACTTCTTCTCGATCACAAACTGTTTCAGTTTCTGGTAACATGTTAATATTGATGACGTCTACTTCAGATTGTCCTTGTTCTTCGGTCTCTTCCAAATGAATTTGCTCAGTAACGACTCGTTTACGTCCCAAAAGAGAGCCATTTATGAAATTCAGCCTCTTCATATTTCGTCTTGCCATCTTTTGGCTTCCAGAAACCCCAAATTAGTCCTCACTACTTGGGCTTTTGGTGTGGTGAAGACGTGCCTCTGAATAGAGTTAATATATATGAAAAGAGTAAAGACAATGGAGATCGACGATCAAAATGGAACAAACATGTCGCGTCATATGCCAGAGGGCTATGAGCTCTCCGAGTCATATAATATGCGTCGTAGGTGTCGTTTTTCGAAATGATTTTAGATAGATGACAAGTTATTTACATCTTGTTACACTAGGATTGCCTGTGTGAATAGGATCCTCATGCAGAGACTTGTTCCGAGTCTGTTGCTACTGGCTTGTCGTCAGCTAGTGCGGGAGACTCCTCAGTTTGCTCTTTGTCATTGCTGCGGTCTGGCTTTAGCGCTGCAACGTCAACGGCAAGCTCACGGTCGTTAAATTTCTTACCCTTGAATTCGTCCACTTTAGCAGCGATATCGGTGCAGTTCTCAAAAGTGACAAATGCAATACCACGATTCATCTTCTTAGAAAAGAAGAATTTCTTGGTTTTCACGTCGCGCATCCTTCTCAAAGGAAGCACCACGAGTTCCGGTTGCGTGCTGAAAAACTCGGCAATTTGCTCTTTCGTAGCGTGATATGGAACGTTGTTGACGTAAAGCGTGTCCTTGGACCGCTCCATTGTTTCCAAAGGTGCTTTGGTCCTTTCAGGTTTCTGAGGGGGCGCAGGTACAGACTTGCGCGCCACTCTATGGGCCGTTTCGCCTTTTTTCTGCTGCTGCTGACTGGCCCGTGCAGTACGCTTCGCGTCTCTTTCTTCTTGCGTCTGCGCACGTCTAATGTAGATGCCTCTTTCTTTCACCACGGTTCTGTCGTGTTTTTCGCGGATGGCGTCAAAGTCAATCTTCGACGGGTACTTGACAAACGCGTATCTCTGCTTGAAAAACCGGCCACTCTTGGTCGACGGGATCTCAACTTCGACTTCGTCACCAAAGACACTCTTTAAGTCTTCTTCTGTACAATCGCGTGCCACATTACCGATAAAAATCGTTGTTTCCGGGTCTACCACCGTCCTGGGCACCGTTTCGGAGTTGTTCACTTCTGGTTCTGTCACTTGTACTTGGCTGCTAGTCTCAACTTCTGTCATATTCTCTGTAGAGTCGATTGCAATTCCTTTGTAAACTATATCAAAGCTTGGTAGTTGTTAATAGCTTACTTCTATGGCAGGTACGATTGAGGGTGGGGCCCCTTTATATAGTCGCCACGTAATAAATTTTTCTTGCATATAGCAACAGATTTTTCCAAGAATTTCCAAAACTTTGCAGAATTCCAGCATAAAAGTATACATAATGGCACCTAAACGAATAAGAGGTTTCTAATTTTGATCCATCCACTATAAACATTTTTTCGGAGACTTCTGTCCTTCACTTGTTGTTTTCCGTGAGTTTTTCTCGTGGACGTCGTTTGTTTTGTTCGATATGGAATCTTAAAGTGTCAAAAGGTGTTTCGTATAATATGCTATCCTGAGAGTTAGATTAACGTCTTGGTACAAAATAAACGGTTATAGTCAGATGTTGGGGCTCGAGTGATGCGAATATGCCTATAAAGATGGGCGTTTAGGATGCAAGGGGCCCAAGTTGGTCTGCTGAGATGTATTTTCTATAGTTTTATTTGATTTTTAAGTTGGAAAGGAAATTTTGAGCTCTGACACTTGGGATATGCCAATAAGAAGATCGTGCAAAAACATGAAAGTACGAAGAATCATTCTTAATGCAGCTATCTGATGTTGCTAGAACAAGCGAGTCCAGTTGAAATGGTGAATGGCTAGCTCTATTCCTATTAGGTTAGAGACGCGACGATACATTGTCACGTGATCCCAGTGTCAGTTTCCGGTTGTTTGGATCGAGCCCCAACCAGATCAGACCAAAACCATCTGAACGCCGCAGCCAGCTTCATGCGGAATAAGGTCTGCAAGCAAAGCACTGCACTGATCCCCGAAAAGCGTCCCAGGTAAAACGGAAAGAACGCCCGTAGGATGTCACGTGATCGTGCCAAGAATCGAGCTCCAACTCACTCCTCGTTGCCTTGCGGAGAACTGGCTCAGCTGGTGCATGTCAATACGCTTCGGTGAGTTTTGCCCAGCAATTTCACAGCGTAATCGTAAACCCAAAGACTCAAGGCCGTTGCCGGTGCAGTCTTCAAAACCCCCAGCGTGTAGCCACGGTAAAATGCAGATATTCCTTCACGTTTGGCGATTTGTACAACCAATGACAGAATTCGTTCACTCTTGTAAGTGTGGTAGAGATCTTCGCATGCCGTAAACCGCGCCAAATGCTGCGAATTCAATATCTGGAGTCTCTTGCGCAAAGTGTCTATCGGAAACGTGACCGTCTTGGATACTACGCCTGCGACAACGCTAGCCATGTTTTCGAGAATGCCTATTCCTCGTCGTTGCTTGTTGCGTCGATTCTCGCAATATATCTTGATCGACTCATATGTCGCGAACATTGAGGCCGTCGCAAGGCTCACAGATACTACAGACGTAGACACGCCTTTGAAAAACCCAGATAAGCCTTCCGTATTCCAAATACTTCGACAACTTTGTACCATAGAAAACAATTTCTTGTCACGATTAGCAGCGAATCGTGTTCTTAAAACGTCCAGCGGATATGTTACCATTGAACTGCAAACGCCAGCAAGACCACCGGCTACGCAGCTATGCACTTGGGCAGGCCAATCGTTCTGGGCAAGAGCACGATTAAAAGTCGAATATCCGCCGAATTGAACAGCCCCGTAAGCCACGTATAACGACATCGCAGGCGTGTTACCCTTCCATAGCGCCCGCAAGCCCTCTTCCCTGATTATGGTTTTGAAAGCTGACACTACACCCGCGTATTTACTCTCATGCGCATGTTGTAATTGAAGCCGGATCTTCACGGTATCCAATGGGGCTGTCGCGGCCCTTGAACAAATACCCGAAATGCATCCAGCTACAAGCGAGTCACGTAGGGGTACATCTCGACCCTTCCTTAGAGGATCTTCACCCATAGGGTCATCTGTAATTGGTGATGGCTATTCGATCAAGATCTTAAAGCTCATCTCTTGAAAAATTTCTGACCAAGATTACTAGTATTTCAAGATTGGGAACGGTGACAAAAGATGGCAGATTTGACCGATTTCGAAGCCAAGTTCCAGGTTTTAACCCAAGTTGATGGTTCTGCTCGGTTTGAGAGCTTTGGGACGAGTGTACTATGTTCAGTGACAGGTCCAATCGAACCCAAAGCTCGACAGGAATTGCCCACTCAATTGGCATTGGAAATCGTCGTCCGTCCCAGTAAAGGAGTGCCTACAACAAGAGAAAAACTATTAGAAGATAAGCTCCGTGGTGTGCTCACTCCAGTGTTGGTTAGATACCTGTACCCGCGTCAACTTTGTCAAATATGTTTTCAGATTTTAGAGAGCGGTGAAAATGAGCAATTTCACAGTGTCAGAGAACTGAGTTCCTGTATAAATGCTGCATTCCTAGCATTAGCTGATGCTGGAGTTGGATTACAAAACTGTTTTGCGAGCTGCTGTGCCGCTGTGATCTCTAATGCAGATCAAGATGTCCTTATAAATCCAAGTGCCGAACAATTGAGAAATGCTTCTTCAACGCACGTACTGGCGTTCGATTCCGAGAACGGGAGAGAGCCGGATTCACACTTGCTTCTGCTCGAAAGTAGTGGCGATTTTGAGGAAGAGACCTTGAACAAAATTCTTGATGCTGGCGAAAAAGCTTGTTTGCAGACTGTGCAGAGGCTACGCCAGGCCTTGAAAACCAAAGTCGAACAAGATCTTGTATGGCGGACTTGAGTTCCTGAAAACAATTTAATTAATATCGCAAACAAAAATCTGTCACGCATTAAGGGCTACTGTGAGACTCAAATTCTATCACACTAAGTACTTTATACAGCAATTATTCATAACTTTAGAAATTCTAAATTGGCGATCGTAACTTCTAGACCTTCGATTTCAGCCATCGCATTCTCTAATCTCGTGTTGTTCGAAGCCTTTGCTTCATTGTTGGCCTTGGCCTCGTAATCTTTACTTTCAACAATTTTTAGAATCCCCTCTTTGGTCTTTTGAGCCTTGTCCAACTTTTTCTGAGTCTTCTGAATTTCCACGTCAATGTCGACGTGTCCCTTCACCAAGACGTGGACGTTCATGTCGGGAGTGACTGCCTGCAAAACTGTACCTTCTGGAACTTCAGAGGCCGATTTAACAACTTCAACAGCATCGATGGCCTTGATCAAGGACACAACAGAGTCACGTTGAGACACAGCAGTTTCGTAAAGAGAAGCGTTGGAGGTCTCAATAAATACTTTGCCGTTTTTCAAAATACTGTACTGCGCTAGTAAAGAACGAGCCTCCTTGGTGGCATCAAGAACAAATTCGTAGTCAGCCTCAGCCTTTTCGTCATCAAAGGAACTCTTGTATTCAGGGTAAGGAGCCTTTACGATGGTTGGAACCTTCTCGGATGATCTTCTTGGCAATCTTTGCCACATTTCTTCAGAAATGAAGGGCATGAATGGGTGAATGAATCTCAAAGCATTGTCCAACAAAATGTAAAGAGTGTCCTTGGCAGATTTTCTCTCAACGTCAGTGCCCTCATTGATGAGATATTTCGAGTTTTCAATGTAAACATCGCAAATCAGGTACCAAAACTCGTAGATAGCACTAGTGGAGTTGAGAAAATCACGCCTCTCAAGTGCTTCATTTATCGTCTTAGAATAACGAGTCAACTTGTGCAGAATCCATTTCTCGACTAAAGACTCGTTGCCTGAAAGTTTTTCCTCGGCCGGTGGTTCATAATCGTCTCCCAAACGCAAGAGAGCAAACTTGGTAGCTTGGTAGATCTTATTACAGAACTTTCTGTAACCCTCAACACGTAGGATATCTAGGTTAATGTCACGGCCGCCAGTTGTGTACGCACAAAGAGCAAATCTCAGAGCGTCAGTACCACACTGAGGAATACCATTTGGATACGACTCATTTTGTCCTGTTTTGGCCCTTTCCAGTTCTCTTGGGTCTAAGTTACCTGTCAACAATTTGGCATGTAGATCATTCAAACTAATACCCCTTATTACGTCCAGAGGATCCACGACGTTACCTAAAGACTTGGACATTTTGCGACCTTGAGCATCACGGACCAAGGAATGGCAGAAAACCTCTTTGAATGGTACACCACCATTTAATTTCAGACCCAATAAGATCATTCTAGAGACCCAGAAGAACAGGATGTCCCAACCCGTTTCCAGCATGGAAAATGGATAAAATCTGGACATGTCAGCAGTTTTTTCAGGCCATCCCAAAGTAGAAAAAGGCCACAAACCAGACGAGAACCAAGTGTCTAGAACGTCTTCATCTTGCTCAAGAGTGAATGTAGCATTAGGGAATTTAGCAGAAGCCTTTTTCTCAGCTTCCTCGAGATTTCTGCCTGAAACCCAGTATTTGTCGTCGTCTCTCTCGTTTTCCTCGCCTTCAATCTTGACAAAGTAAACGGGACAACGATGACCCCACCATAACTGCCTGGAAATACACCAATCTTGAATGTTTTCCATCCAGTGGAAGTATTCTGCTTCCGAAGATTTAGGAGTTATCGTAATTTGGCCGTCTTTCACAACCTTGATGGCCTCTTTGGCCATCTCTGACTGAGAAACCCACCATTGAGGTTTTAGTAGGGGCTCAATTATATCGCCAGATCTCGAGCAAGTTGGAATTGTCATTTCGTTGTCCTCCTGGCCAATATATAGTCCTTTAGCCTTCAGTTCTTCAATGACCTTTTTCCTAGCGTCGAATCTCTTCATACCTTCCCACTCTGGACCACAGTTCTCGTTCAATAAACCATTATCAGTCAAGATGTTGACGAACTCTAGATTGTGACGCTTACCGGTGTTGTAATCGTTCTGGTCGTGCGCTGGAGTAATCTTAACAGCACCAGTACCGAATTCCATTTCAACAGCTTCGCTGTCACACACAATTGGAATTTTGCGAGGCAGGAATGGGTGTTGCACGAATTTACCATGCAGATGCTTGTAACGTGGATCGTCAGGGTGGATAGCAACGGCAGTGTCACCAAACATCGTTTCAGGTCTGGTGGTGGCGATAATGAGCCTTTCATCAGAGTCCACGACAGGGTATGCAAACGAAGTCAAAACACCGAATTCGACCTTATCGTCGTAGCCTGGAACTGAAAGTAGAGTTCTACCTTTGATGTCTTTGTTTTCAACTTCCAAGTTAGAAATGGCAGTGTTCAACTTCACAGACCAGTTAACCAATCTGTTAGCACGGTAAATGATTCCTTCTTCGTGTAGTCTCACAAAAGCCTCGGTGACGGCTTTAGATAGTTGTGGGTTTAAAGTGAAGGCCTCTCTTGTCCAGTCGTAAGAAGCACCCAGTTTCTTAACCTGGCCCTTAATTCTCGTGTGATACTCTTCTTTCCATTCCCAGACTTTGTCGACAAACGCTTCTCTGCCATAATCGTGTCTGGTTTTTTTCTCCTTGGCCCAAATTTGCTTCTCGACGACTGATTGCGTAGCGATACCAGCATGATCGAAGCCCGGCAAGAACAAGACGGTCTTTCCCTTCATTCTGTAGTATCTGATTAGCGAATCCTGGATAGCAATCGTCAACGCATGTCCGATGTGAAGAGCGCCAGTAACATTGGGGGGAGGTGCAGGAATACAGAAAAGGCCCTCGGGCTTGATATCACCGCTCTCGGTGAACTCAGGCTCGAAAACACCTGATTTGACCCACCAGTCGTACCAAGAGCTTTCGACGTTGGCTGGATTGTAAGCCTTGAGAGCTGGGTCTTCTAGGGACACAAGCACCTTCTTCTCACCTGCAACAGTGGCATCCACAAACTCGGGAATAACTTCGACTTCCTTCTTTTTCTTTTCTTTCTTGGCACTTCCAGCTTGTTTCGCGGCCGCTTCTTGCTTCTTAGCCTGTTTAGCTGCGAATTTCAACAATTTTTCAGCCTTTTTACGCTCTTTTTCAATCTCTTTGGCACTCTTCTCTGTTCCGTCTTCCTTCAAGGGATTGATTATGATCTCTCCGCTTTTTGGATCTACCGGTGGTAGCTCTTGACTATCGCTCATCTTGATTTTGAGATGACGCAAATACTGTGATGGTCTATAAAATCGCACAAGATTTGCCCTAAACGCCAGTCTCTGACTCAAAAAAAAACTAGCTGGTCTGAGCGACTTTTGCAGATGTCTAAACATCTACTTGAAAACTCGTATTTCATGTTTCTTTCATTATCTTGTTCCAATAAGGTTGAGGTGCGAGAGAGTTACTGCCAGAGTCTCTGCCTGGCCCGGCCTCTGCGTAGAATTGAGAATTCCGAAAATTTTTCAATATTTGAAGGAAAATTGAGTCAATCACCCTTTTGGGAAGGTATTCCCTTGAATAGTAATACTTCCTTACGAAATAAGTCTTTTTATGGTTCTATCACGTGACTCGGGATTTATTATGCCTCATTTCCTTTTTAGGAAAGGCCTGTAAATATGTTTCTTGACTTCCGTTTTGGGTAGTATAAGTTCGTGATGTATGATATTCGTAAATTTACCCTTTACGGAAAGTTATACTATTACCTATCTGGGCAATTATCTATGGATATCTTTGCACGGTAGTCTTGGAAAATTTTAATTGAGAGCTATCTCATCTCATCTCATCTAATCGACTTGGACTACGACTTCGAGCGATCACAATCAATACTCCTAAGAAAGGGTATTTGTGGGTTTTTACAGGTGTTTTGGTATCAAAAACTAGAGCTTCCCATCATTTGAATAGAAATCTTTTGGGTCATGTCTAGAGTCATTGTGAAGGGTTTACCGAAATATGTTAACGAAGAACGTCTAAAGGATCATTTTGGCAAACGACTCACACAAAGGCAAGGTGATGGTGCGGCTGGGAGCGGCATCACTGATGTAAAAATACCAAAAGACAGAAATGGCGAATCCAGAAGATTCGCGTTTTTGGGGTTTCGCTCAGAAGAAGATGCCTTTGACGCCGTAGAGTACTTCGACAAGAGTTTCATCGACACCTGCAAATTAGAAGTGTCGATGGCTAAGAGTTTTGCCGATCCACGTGTACCGCAATCCATGAAGGAAAAGAAGCGAGCCGCTCTCAAGAGACTGCGAGAACGTGAAGAAAAAGTGTCACAGGCACAAGGCCCATCCGACAAGAAGCAAAGGGGCGAAAAAGCGACTCTGGATGCAGAAATAGAAAAGAATAAGCAGTTGAAAGAATTCATTGAAACGATGAAACCAAGCAATCAAGTAACTTCTTGGGACACGATGGCAGGAGCGTCAACTTCGTCGAACTCTGAAAATCTGCAGAAGGATAACCTGCAGGAGAGCGAAACAAAAGACAATAGTGATGTTGGCAACGAGGAAGACAAACAACCGGCCAACTCGCTTCTGGCGCAGGCTTTGGCCCTTCGGAAGGAAGGCGATGACGATAGCGACGAAGAGTATGAAGACTTCAGCAAAATTACCAAGAAGGAACAGCAGTCACAGGGGGAACCTCATGATGAAGAAGAGATGATGAGCTTGAACGACTTCGAACATGGTGAAGTTCAGGACAACGAACAACCAAATTTGGCTCAGAATGCTGGGATTTCTGATCTGGATTGGTTGAAGCAACGGCGCGTGCGGATCAAGGAACGGCCTTATCAGGAAATTACCGAAGGAGCACCAACTCAAAAGAAGCAAGCAGAATCAGCAGATCAAACGGACCAAAATTCGGCCCAACTCGATGAAAAAGAATTTGGACCAAGTGAGGAAGAAGTTGCCATCAAAAAAATTACTGAAAGCGGTCGCCTGTTCTTGAGAAATATTTTGTACACCGCTACCGAAGAGGACTTTAGAACTCTTTTCGCGCCTTACGGTAAACTTGAAGAAGTACATGTTGCTCTGGATACCCGAACCGGCAAGTCTAAAGGATTTGCCTACGTTCTCTTCACAAATCCTGGCGACGCAGTCAATGCATACATTGAACTTGACAAACAAATTTTCCAAGGTAGGCTATTGCACATTCTTCCTTCCGACGCTAAGAAAACACATCGACTCGACGAGTTTGATTTGAAAAACATGCCATTAAAAAAGCAGAAGGCTTTGAAACGGAAGGCAGATGCTTCGAAAGATACTTTTTCATGGAATTCTTTGTTCATGAGCCAAGACGCCGTTTTGAGTAGCGTTGCATCAAAGTTAGGTGTTCGAAAATCAGATTTGATTGATGCCACCGATGCAAGTGCCGCTGTCAAACAAGCTCTTGCCGAAGCTCATGTTATTGGAGACGTCCGCAAATATTTCGAATCGAAAGGTGTGAACCTAGCAAAGTTCGGGGAGTTTAAGTCGCCAAGCGAGCGCAATGATAAGGTGATTCTAGTCAAGAATTTCCCATATGGGACAACTCAGGAGGAGCTAGCTGAGCTGTTTTTGCCATTTGGTAAGTTGGAAAGATTTCTCATGCCACCAGCTAACACGATCGCGATTATTGAGTACAGAGACGTTACGAGTGCTCGAGCTGCTTTCTCGAAACTATCCTACAAGAGGTTCAAAGACGGAATTATATATCTCGAAAAGGGCCCTAAGAATTGTTTCACGAGAGACGCTGATGGAGAAGAGGGTATTCACACAGATTCTAAGCCAGACGTCAAGGAGGCCAAAGCCTCAGTGGCGGACATTCTTGAAAGCAGGCCTGAGATCATTGACAACCAGGAGGAAAGCGATGTTTTGAACTATGGACCTACGGTCTCGATTTTTGTGAAGAATTTGAATTTCTCGACGACTTCAGCACAATTGTCTGACAAGTTCCGCCCATTTAGTGGATTTATTGTGGGGCAGGTCAAGACCAAAGCAGACCCTAGGAACTCGTCTCGGGCGTTGTCTATGGGTTTCGGTTTTGTTGAATTTCGGACAAAAGAACATGCGATGGCTGTCATTTCTGCTTTAGATGGAAGCGTTCTCGATGGACATAGAATCCAACTGAAGTTATCTAATAGACAAGGCTCTAGTGCATCGACAGGGAAGAATGTCAAAAAGAAAGGCAGTAGCAAGATAATTGTCAAAAACTTGCCATTTGAGGCAACTCGTAAAGACATTTTCGAGCTTTTCAGCTCGTTTGGTCAACTAAAATCGGTCAGAGTTCCAAAAAAATTCGACAAGTCCGCTCGCGGTTTTGCATTTATCGAATTTCTTTTACCAAAGGAGGCTGAAAATGCAATGGATCAACTGCAGGGAGTGCATTTACTAGGTCGCCGACTTGTTATGCAGTACGCAGAACAAGAGCCAGAAGATGCTGAGGAACAGATTGCTAAGATGACGAGAAAGGTCAAATCGCAGGTGGTCGCAACCCAACACGCAGCTCTGAGAAATGCTAGTCGCTCCAAAGTTGACTTTGGCGAAAACCATGATGATAATGATGGCTTGAATGGAATATGAAGGGGTGCTGTTTCCTTTAAATTTCCGAATTATTTTGCATGAGAATATTTTGGTAATGAGATGCCTTTCGAGAAGTTAACCGAAGTCTCATTGTCGCTATCAAAATTGTTCAAACTCTAGCATGACACGGTAGTTTTGATTTGATCGCTCATTATTGAGTGTCCTTGCATAAACAGACTCTTATAAAACATGTGTATTTTAACAAATACTGATAAGTTCCTTAGGGCCAAAATGTCGTCCGACAGAGTATTTGAGCCTTTACTAGAAAATTAGTACACAGCGTATGCATTTCAAAATTCTGTTGGTGCTCATTATGCGGTCTTTTGAGTTTTTGCAGCGTTGGCTTCAATGCTTGTCAAATTCGACAAACGTCTTCCGAAATTCGAAAACCTCTTTATTTTCTTCGTCCAACGATTGGCGACAATTTGGTGAGTCCCATTTGACCCTATTTGACAAATTGAGTAGAAAAGCCACAACACGCCTACCAAATTGTAAATCGACTCTTTCATTTTTTTGAAAGACTGCCAGGTAGATTTTATAAACATTCCTTGATTCATAAACGGTGAATTTGAGATAATTCGACTCGACGTCATTTATAATATCCAGATATTCCTTATCGTCCGAATTATACTCGCGGAAACAAAGCCTAGCATTCTTGGTGAATTTTTCATTGTTGAAGTGAACCTGTCGTTCCAATGATGCAAGGAACTTTCCAATCAGGTATTGCGGGACTGGCATCACCTGTTTATGGAAATGAATTGAGTTTTCGTAGTCGATTTCAAAGACAACAGTGCACGTATCAAATCTTTTTGAATTCATCTCAGCCACATCACTTTCATACTGCACCATTTCATTGAAGGTGGCATCTTGAGTAAGATTCGAGCATTCTTGGTCTTTATAGCATAATTTTGAAACATGCTTAACCGAAATTAGAAGGCAATGGCCTGAGAAATTCATTTTGCCCATTGGCACGGTCAATGGTCCCTTGGCTATTGTCATATAAACGTTCGTTCCTATGGCAATAATCAAATGCTGCTGGACTTGAGGGTTGCTGAGACAAAATCTGCAATCACCTGGTAAAACTCGCTTAATTTTTTTGGCACCCGTTCCTTGCTGGGTTGGCGTGCTAGTACTCAAGCGACGTTTCGGGGTTATATCCACTTCGTAGGGATTAGGTCCCAGCATATCTTGCGTTAACCCTGACATTGGCACGCTGAGAGTGATATTGAAGGCGTAAGCCCACTTTTTACCTGACCCAAACGTCGCTAACTTAATGCATCTTGTAACTAGTTCGGTGTTTTTCCATCTGAAGGCAGGACATTCGACAAAAGTCTCAGAATTCAAGGAAGCAAAATGGTATTTTGGTTTGAGGGATTTGATAATCTCATCGACGACCTGATCTGAGGTCTCAAGGCCAAACGGTTTGCCCACTTGATGCGTTAGCAAGAGGTCGATTCCTTCCATTTCGGAATTCTTGAGGACATCATGAAGGGCATTTTCGCTTTGATTCAAAAACCTCTCATCGCCCGTCAAATATCCAATACGTATTCCATTCAAAAGTTTCAAAATGCCATATCCATTCAGAAAGACGACATTATCGCTAACATTGATCGAGCCAGGTTTGTTCGTGAGAACACGATGCCCATTGAAAAAATAGATGGGAGTGCTCGATTTGATTAGCTTAGCATGGTCCAGATCATCAACTATATTGCCATGGATCAAGACGCAGTCGAAGGGTCCGGATTTTGCGTTCAAATCTTCGCTTTTTGATATGGCATCATGTAATCCCTCTGATGAAGATTTAAGAATAAGACTAAAGACAAACCAACGTCAGTATAACGAAAATCATAATAGGCACGTTCCTCAGAAATTCCATACATCTTTAGTTTGGACATTGCAAAGTTCGGTGTATGTTCGAACTGTTTCTCATCGAAATCGAAGATCACGTTCGCTTCAAGCTTTTCAAATGAATAGGATAATATTCCGTAAGATATTTCACTCTTGAGCTCTGAAGTTCGGGTTTATGATATATAATTGTTCTTAAACAACCTTAAACAGTGTGTCCATTTCTAATTTATCTTCCTAGAGAATAAACTTTAATGTTCCTAGTAAAATGTAGCAAACGGATCGGCAAATTCAGATCCACCGTATAATACACCGCTGGTGCCACTCTTGCCCTTCCGGTGCCTATAAGTGAATCCCACTAACTTGGAAACGACTGCAGAATCGTCCATCATTGCAGTGAGTTTGTCCTGACGCTTAAAGACATCAGTGTATTTGGCCATATCAGCCTCATTGTTAAAATCATCAAAATAACCTGCGTCGGTTTCATTATCGAGTTGCGGGATGAACGGTGGACTAATGTTACGCAAAGTGTCGAAATTGATCTCTGCAAAGTATTTCATTCTCTTAACATGCTCAAAAGACCTCAGTCTGTTGATTGGATCCGAGATAAGTCTTGTGACAAGTTCCCATGTTCTATCTGAAAATGCGTACCTTCCATTGTCACATCTTGGTCTCCGAAGTACTTGTTTCCAACGTCTCAGATTCTCATAAGTCTCGTTAGTCGATGATCCACTGAAAGGTGTGAAACCCACCAAACTTTCGAATAATATGCAACCCAATGACCAATAATCTACCGTGAAATCGTAGCTTTTCGCTTCCAGCACTTCCAACGCCATGTAGTCTGGAGAGCCTACCGTAGAAGACGCGTAATTGACGTCCGAATCCCTTAGCTTGTGATACATTTCTCTCCGATCGTCCATCGATTTCTCCTTGAATTCCGGAAAATCCAAGTTTTTCACCTCTTCTAACCTGATTTTCATACTTTCTATCCTTTCCATCGAGACCGTTCCTGCTGCAAGCCCAAAATCCGTCAGTTTAATGTGACCCTTTGAATCAATCAAAAAATTCTCCGGCTTCAAATCCCGATGTGTGTATCCCAATTCATGCAACGCATTAACCGCGCAAAACATCTCGCTTATATAAAAGCGTGCATGTGGCGCTTGCAAAAATCTTGTATTTATCAACAGCGTCCGATAATCACCTCCAGGGACGAATTCCATTGCCAAATACAGAGACCCCGGGTCTTGAAAGGCATACAGTAGTTTGACAAGCCATTCGGATCGCGTAGTGGTCAAAATGTCTCTTTCGGTCAAAACGTGATTTGTTTCATTCAGCTTCATAAGGAGCTTTTTGTTTAATATCTTCAAAGCACAAATCTCGCGTGTGTCCCTTTTTCTCGCTAAGTAAACTTGTCCGTAACCACCCTGTCCAACTTGCGTAATCATCTCAAAATCCTTGTTCTTCGGTTTAAGCCGTCTTTTCCGTAAAATTCCAGCTTCTTTGTTGAGATACACTTGCCATTCGCTTGATATGCCGCTGCTCGTGCCGCCTTGGGCTCTTTGTTGGTCTAAATATTTCAAAACCTGTTTCGTACGTTCTCTTCTGCTGATCACGTAATCAAACATGTCGCAATAATAGTCCAAGAAGTACATCTGACAAACACTGACAAGCCGTCTTGTGTTGTTGGTCGACGCCTTGCGATGGAAGTCAGCCGGTAATTTTTTTGGAGATTTTGTCACGTCCACCTCGGTGCCTGCTGTATTGCCGTCGATATCCATCATTGACACGTGCGACGAGTCCCCCGCGTTCTCATCGAATACCATGGATTTGGCAGGTGACGCATTCACGTTCAAACCTTCTCTCTTAGGTTTTGTGGGCGTAGAAAGATCACAATTAAATGGTGGCCGACCTGCGTCAAAGCTTAGTTGTCCTATGTTGTCCGCTAAGCTTTCGATCTCGCGAAAATTCTCATTTCCAGTTCTTGAAAACATTTAGTTCCCGATTTCAAACCTCTTGAACCTGTTGATGAGCCTCCTTTAGAATTCCAACTCTTCGTGATTCTCCTTTTGTAAACGTTGATGGGTTCTGTTTACTGTGTTCCAAATCAAGAAAGTCGAGAAAGTGGATCTATCACGTACCACGTGATCCAATGAGATGTGACGTTTTCTTTTATGGCACGTCAGCAAAGCTTGACCTAAAGTTTCAAAAATTACAAGTCCTTAGAGTCACGCTGGATATATTTTAAAAACCATTCGTTGCTTCGTTGCATCTCAGCAGTATTTTTTGTGTTGTTTCTGACATCTTTCTGTGTAATGTTGTCGTCAGGATTCAAAGGGGAAGCACGCGGATCGCTGGCGAAAAAGTCATTGAGAGACCGCGATTGATTGGCAAGTCTGTGCTGCATGGGCTTGCGAAGCTTGGTAACGCCCTTGGTAGCACGTATGACCGCGGTGGACGGCGCTTGCAACGTGTTGGCCATCCCCATGCCAATTTCTTCGCCGAAAGCGTCAAGAACGCTATGTTCTTGCTTGTTAAACTCCATGCGGTTTTGCAACTGTCGTAAATGAGAAAGTTGAAATTGCTGTTTGTACTTTCTGAATCGACGCCCGGCACGTTTTTTCTTAGGTTTGTCTTCCGGCACTGGTAAAGGTTTGACGTTTGAGATATTGGCTGGCTCTTGAAGCTTGCGCAGCTTTGATTCTATTTCAAAGCGCCACTTGGCGCCTAAGTTGCTCGTCGGAGCACTGTGAGAGGCATCTACACGCGCTGCAAGTGAACATTTGGCGCACGCCATGCGGAGCGCTTGTTTCTGGAAATCGATGGCCGTATTCTGCACAAGCGGTGACAGGTAAATGTAGCCTTTTTGACGCACGTTACTTTCGTCCACATTGAATTCGTGAGACCGGTATTTCGGTTTCCCTAGCGACGCCAGATTGCAGCTGGGCGTTTCGCTGAGCTCACCGACACCTCCAACTGCAGACAAGAGGAGCGCAGCTGTGGCTGGTCCAAGTAGCTGCGATACGTTCGGTGCAATCGTTTCGACACGCTCAGTGACGTAGGCTTTGATCCTGTCCTGCAGCGTCAGAAGCTGTTCCAGACCATTCATCGCAGATGCCAAGAGACTGCTATCTACTAGTGCATTGGGCTTGAAATTTGTCTGAGCAGATATGGAAACAATCATGACTTGCTCTTTCGTCAAAACGCCTTCGAGCTTCTGCAACCCTTTTGTCCCGCACTCTTCAAGCACACGCACAACAAAAACGTACTCCAGCGCCGAAGGGACTAAGGTTTCCAGCTCAGGGTACTTATGGCTGTAAATTTTCTTCACAATTCTGTATAAAAGGTTGTATTCCTCTTGCACAACCACCTGGGTTTTAATCAAAAGAATGGTCACTTCACCGCTTTCTCCGTCATTCAAAAGCTCGTCAATCTTGTCAATCCACCTAAATATCACACATGCATCTTTCCCATTTACCGGAATTCCGTTTGACAATGCATACGGCCTATAGTTATCTATTGCCGCAGCAAAGTCGTCACCATTATAACTATTTTCTCTGTTGGTCGAAAATTGGCCGTTTGAAGCGGTAAAAGTCTCCTCTACCTCCTCTGTCTCTTCTTCCTCGTCTCCGCTAATAAAATCTTCATTGAAATCATCGATCAGGTCTTCATTGTCCATAATACAAACCGTTCACCAAGCGTGACTAGCCGATTAGCCTTGGCATTGGTTAGTGATATTTGAAGATGTTGATGAGATTCGTACATAGGCATATTTCTGAAAAATTTTCCCAAGATCAATGCGATGAGATGCCTGTCATCAGAATAAGTACGTTAACTGGAGGCCGAGCTAAGTAATTATAACGTCTAAGCACTTCTGTCATGTCGAATATTGTTGGAATTGAGTATAACCGTGTTACCAACACCTCTTCGAACGACTTCCCTGGCTTTTCTAAGGACCTAGATGGGGCCTGGGACGTCGAGAAATTTAAGAATACTTTTGATGTGAAGATTTCCAGTTTGAACGACAGAGAAGCAAATTTCGACCTTATTCACATTGACACTTCAATTGCCAACGCATTCAGAAGAATTATGGTTTCAGAAGTTCCATCTGTTGCTGTGGAATACGTATATTTCTTCAACAACACGTCCGTTATCCAGGACGAAGTTCTTGCGCACAGAATCGGTTTGGTACCACTTAAGGTCGACCCCGACATGCTGTCTTGGATAGATACATCGTTGCCCGAAGAAGAAAAGTTTACCGACGAAAATACGATTGTTTTAACGCTCAACGTGAAATGCACGAAAAACCCAGATGCACCAAAGGATGCCACAGATCCCGAGATTTTGTACCGTAGCTCTAGCGTATACGCGCGTGATCTCAAGTTCGAGCCTCAAGGCAAGCAAGTCGAAACTTTTGCCAAATGTCCAGTGGTCGCTGCTGACCCCAATATCCTTTTAGCCAAGCTACGACCTGGTCAAGAGATCTCTCTTAGAGCGCATTGTATTCTGGGTGTTGGAAATGACCACGCCAAGTTTTCCCCTGTATGCACAGCCTCTTACCGCCTCATGCCGCACATCAACATTACCCAGCCTATAACAGGTGAAGACGCCAAGAAATTTGCCAAGTGCTTCAGTGAAGGTGTTATCGGCATTGACAGCAACGGTCAGGCCGTTGTTAAGGATGCTAGGCATGATACCGTTTCCAGGGAAGTGCTAAGACATGAAGAGTTCAATGGCAAAGTCAAACTTGGTAGGGTCAGAGACCACTTTATATTCAACGTCGAAAGTTCTGGGGCAATGACTCCAGAGGAGATTTTTTTCAAAAGTGTTCGGATCTTGAAGAATAAAGCTGAGTACTTGAAGAACTGTCCTATCTCGTGAGCTTTTTTGTAGGAAAGGAAGTTCTAAAATGCATTGTATAGACATAACTGTAAACTAATATTTGGAAATTAAGATGCTTTTTCTTTGAACGTTAAAAGGACTTACACGGTTTGGGTACGGTCCGGCGTAGTGGCCTCTGGGTAAGATATCAAGTTATTCTCATATCTTTCCCGTAGAATCCGATCCAGCGACGCGCTTGGATCTATAACAGCCACTGCTCCATAGTGACCAGACTCACTTGTTTCCTCACTATCTTGACCGGCGCTAGTCTTGTTTTCGATCGATTCCTGCACACAATCACTGCAGGTCAAGATGTAAAGCCCAATTTGACATATCATGATAAACACATTAAAGAAACACAGTTGTGCGTTGCCCCATACATTGCTGGTAGGAATCCGCTCTCCGATCATTTGCACGAAAATTCTGCCGCGATACTCTCCGTTTAGCAATCCATGGCTATTTTCAAAAGGTGAAGGTGTACTCCCCGAGTTGCTTAGATCTGAGGGCATGTTTCTAACCTTGTATGTGAAATCCATCGGACTCAAGAGTCGATACATGGTGATCATCACATTAAAGGTAACAGAACAATGTAGCAAAAACCACGTTATATTGTACTTCAAACGTCCAATCGCATGTTCATCGCTTTGCTCTTGCCCCGTAGGTGAATTATTGGAGTTTGGATGACTTGAAGGAAATGCCCCCGGCATTTCTGCAAGGTTGGACGGCTCCCTAGCTGCTGTCGCACTGCCAGTGACAGGCATTTCGCTTGATGGGAAAACTTGTCGATTTCGTTGTGATAATGCCAGAAACCTCATCTGAACTTGTGTAGGAAATGGCGACGCCAAAAGTGACTGAATGAAAAGCCTGAGAACGAAAATCCATACCGATGACTCAAATTTCATGTATTCCAAAATAATGATCAAAAACCCCAAGTAATTCAAATGATTAACTATGCTTCTCACATATGCTAATTTCAGTTCTTTTCGGCGTAAAGCTCCGTCACGGGAAATCTCATTTGACATCTTTACATGCCAGTACTCTGCTCTCACGCTGTTGGTGATGGTATGGTTGAATGTCGAGGTTTATGAAGGCTATTGTTTTTGACGCTACCGTCGCTTATGACTGGCAAGAGCCACGGCATATCTAGAAACAGATAGAGATAGATTAGTATCATAGAAACTTGCAAGAACTACTGCGAGATGTGTTATCTATTGTACATTGATTAAAATGCGTATACTAATTAACCTCGAATGCCGTAACAAAATCTTGCCCGAAAGCTGCGATTTCGTGGAAAATTGCCTCTTTATTCAATTGAACTTGCACATCGTCAACGGGTTCGATGTTAGCATCGATGTTCACTTTGAAACGTTGTGAAGTCTTAAATAAAGGCTTGATTAGTCCTGTAATAACGTTTCTGCTCCCGTCGAAACCCCCGTTGACAGCCATGTATTGATGGCTTGAGAAAATTATGCTGTTCCTGTATTTCAGATTGAGATATTTGATCAACTGCAGTGTTGGATCCATTTTTTCACTGAGTTGAGACAAGTCAGATGGGAATCCGGTAGGTTGTTCTGACAGGTTTTTGTAACCTTGGGAGTCGAGAACCCCTGAGGACAGTTTCAAAGCTACAGGGCTTTGTAGTTTGACGACAAAATCGTAGTCTTTTAGAGCGGGAGTGAAAAGTAGATCGATTGTCTGCTTATTCAAACCATGGTTCTTTATCAAAGTCATAGCGACTTTGGATAATGCTGTCAGTCTTGTAGCTATTGGGAGAGGAACACTGCTTGAGTATAGTATCCCGCTGGGGTCGATTCTGGATCCAACGAAAAACTGAACATGAAATCCCTGGGGATCGTTCTTTCTCAATGTGCTGAAATTGCTTTCCATTGTCTTGTACTGTGACAACGTGAGACTTTCAGAAAATTTTTTCGCATCAATCGAGGACTCGACTGCATGCTCTTCACTTTCGCTGGGCCTGACCAAGTCTAAGACGAGCGGATCTTCTCTCCAATTCCATTCGCTGAGAAATGCGATGATCTTCAAAAACCCATTCTCAAGAGAAGCCGATGGCAAATAAGGAGAAGCATCGACAAAAGGCTTCATGGCTAAAGTTTCCACCAACTCTTCTGGTAGATGTCCCAGAAGTAAATGGCAATCCAACCATTTTTTGAATAATCTCACTACAGGCGAGTAAAGAGGAAAACCGTGAGACACGTTTTCGATGGTTCTTGTATGCCTGACTGAGGTCAAGTACTTTGCTGTAAACTTGAGAAACGTTCTTTCCAGTTCTGGCTTTAACTCATTTCTAGCATTACTGATGGCCCTCAAATATAGCACTTCATCACGCTCTGTGAGTACTCTGATTCGGAAACCAAAGCCATCGGGGGTCAGAACGTTCAGGGTTAGAACTTCCAAATTGTAAGGAATTGACTCGTCCCTAATGAAAAAAGACTTGTATTTCCCGGAATCGAGCTGTTCTTTGATTTTTAATAAAAATGCAGCCTTAGCCTTTTCTAACGAGGAAACCTCATCCGGCCACTTGGGTGTACTTTCGAATTCCAAAATGACATCTTGAAAGAAATCGGGGCTTGAAAAAGCAAAAGGAACTGGCTGGCACAAGGTAGTATATCGAAAAGCTGATCCCACAGGTAGCAGCGATTTAACGGTGAGAGGAAGTTGCATTCCAAAAATCACTTTGTGGAAATCCTCAAACGACTTTTTTAAAGTCAAGTAACTCCCTAAATTGGTGATCGATGTACTAGAGCTTGCCGGAAGATTTGGAAGTGGCAGCAGTTCGTGGAATTGCTTCAATGTCTGGCCGCTTATGATGGCATCTTCGGCAAGATGGAGCTTAAAAACATAACTCAAAATTTGGACAATGACAGGTTCAGATGCAGAGGTAGGCCAAACACAACAGTGAGTGATGGTTCCATCCTTGAAGCGACGAAGAGAGCTTTTCTTGCCCCAAAAACTCTTGAAGGATAAAACCTCAGGAGAGTTTTGGTCGGAGTTAACGGGGCCCCTCGTCAACAATTTTTCGTGCTCAGTGGGATTAACTAGAATTTTTATCCTGATGTTTGATATGTTCGCACCGCCTGAAGGCTTTCTCCTTGAGATTGGAAAACTGCTGTGGCGATTCAAAAGCTCTATCTCAAAAGATAAGATTCGTTCGCCAAGGGCGATTTTCATCACGTTAGAGATTTTGTTCACAACGAAATTTTCTAGATTGATAAAGCGAATTTTTTCGACCGGTCCAAACTGCTCTTGCAGTACGCTGTCTGTTGGGAGGAGCAAATCAAAACAAATGTCATACTTCAAATTTGACACCTTATTTAAATTGGTGAGGAAAATATTGGAAAACTGATCTTTCAGAGTGTCATTCAGATTTCGATAGGTGCCCTGTGCATATAACTTCAATGTTTGATAACAGCTTAAAGACATCTTGTTGAGAATGTTCACTTTCGTTGTTTTATCAAATATGGTTGGAGTCTGGAAACCTTCTTCAATGTACCTGGATGTGGGAACGGTTGCAGAGGAATCGATTTCCGAGTAAAACTGCAGATGCCCTTCGGAGCATAGATCCATGGTCGCAAGGTATTTTATGACACCCTTGAACAACTGGTATGAAGAAAACCCATGCAAAAGGATCTTATTCCCATTGACGCCACCGCCGCTGAGAAGGGCACTCATTAAAGTAGCAAACTCAAAAGGACCGAAACCACCGAGCTTGCCACAGTAGGAAATATCAGATGTGAATCCTCTTTGCTTGATCCACAACCTCCCCAACATACAAGCGTCCTTAAACGCTTCGGTTTGTTTCTTTGTCTTGTACAAAAACTTCAAATAATGATCGTAGGTGGTTGCGGACAATACTGAGAAGTTGTAAAATGGAGTACGCGTCTCCTTGTCGTCTTGAATACGTATGCAGTTTTTGTTTGGCCGTAGTTTCTTGGCATCGAATACTCCGTAAGGAAACCCCACCATCAGATTGATCGAAAACTTGGTCTTGTAGAAATTGTAATCAGATGAAGCAGCGTCAGGCTTGCATTTGATGTTCAAAATGGGATTTAGCGAGTCTCCGTTGAAGTATGCATATTCCAAGTGGAACAGATCAGACAGCTTTTCGTCAGCAAGAAGTAGCGACAAATGATGTGTAAAATAGGCCAAGTATACGCTCCTCTTGTGAATACACTTGAAATTCATAAAATCTTTCTTCTCGAACAAACTTTCTGGCATCGTCAACAAAATGTCAACTGATGATCCTTCGGGCTGATACACCACTGCCTTGAGAGCAAACGAACCGATGAGTGAAACATCGGGGGTCTTGTATTCAAACTTGTATTTGGTAGAGGCTGTCGGACGTGGTTCTACAAACGGCACTGTCACGATTTTGCCTTTGAAATACGTCTCGACCTCCGAAATCGTGTGAGAACCCCACTCCGGTATCCTTTGGATCATGTCATACAGTTTATGCATAAATTTCTCGACTTTTAAAATGTGCGAGTCCTTTAGCTTGACCTGTTGTAAAAGCTCATCAATCTGTAGCTTAAAGATGTTGGACTTGAACAATTCCGCGGTTTCACGAGCTATTTGAATATCTTGAGCACCGATTTTCTTGACGGCATGACGCGCTTGAGGAACTCCGTCCTCATGCCCCTCTGCGCTCGAATCATCATCATCATGCTCATCGTCGTCCTCATCCTTACCACTCCCGGTAGCCCTGGTATCTTCACTCTCACTTCCATTACCACCTTCAAAGTGAACGTCTTTTTCGCCCGTTTGCGAACTAATTGTATCTATGAGCGCCTTCTTGCGTAACCCAGACTCCTCATACTTGATAGCGTCAGATGCACCTCTTTTCAAGGAGGCCATTTTGAGTTCCTATAAATTTCTATTATGAAACGTCCCGATATATAGACGCTGTTCCAAGTAAACCCTCCAGAGCCTCTCCTACGCTCCGACAGCTGGGGGTATTACTGGTTTTTGTCAATTCCAAGTTTCTAGGATGGCTGGCACGGCTTCTCTAGCGATGCCCACAACCTAGAAAATTTTTCAAACGTCAGAAATGAGTCGTTCATTCTATACGGTCTGTGTGTCATAAGCAAAACTGTTGAGACAAAGTGATAATCAAAATTTGAGATACTTTCAAGTTACAAAAAAATGCCACCTGCCAGAATTGAACTAGCGACCTTTGCATTACAAGTGCAACGCTCTACCACTAAGCTAAGGAGGCAAATTTAAGTGATATCTTTGAACGTTTTGACTACTTATATTATTACATACCGATGATACCGTTCAAACTCGGTGCTCCATTGCTAGGTGGCTTTCCCACAAAAGTATTGAGACGAAACTAAGGAAATCATCATTCTCATAAGTTTAACCAGACCCTTCAGGCTGTCTGACAACTTATGACAGAAGTGCATTTGTTCGATTTCAACAAAACTACGTAAATCTACTTAATTTGTACTTTGGGAATTATTGAATTTCGACTGTCCATGGGACTGGATTCATGAAAACAGACGGTATCCTCTCCGTTGCACAGTAAAAGAATCGAATTTGTTTCTCTGAAAAACACAAGCGTGGATTGTAGCCTCAAAATGCGGGAAGCACTGAACGCATCGCGTCATTCTCGCCCTCAATGCGACTAATATCCTGCTCCAGGCCCTTCACCTTCAACTCATAGTCATTCAGTTCAATGGCCCGCTGCTCCTGTCTAGCTTTTCTTTCCTCTTCGCGTTTAGTGAGAAAACTCTCCTTCAGATTGTCAAGACCTTCTTCTTGTTGAGCTACCTCTTTTTTCAACTTTTCGCGCTTGGCGCCAGTTTTTTCTTTCTTGGAAGTCAGCTGGTTGAGCTCCAGCTGAAGTTTGTAAAGCTGTTCATCATAACTCTTCGATTCCTGTTCCAAAGTAGCGCGCAGCTTTCCGTACTCCATCTGTTTTCGCAAATGTTTATCCTTACACTTCAAATACTCTTTTTCCAAGCATAATTGTTGACTTGTAAGAGCTTTCAGTTCGTCCTCGAGCTTGCATAAATTAGCTTCACTTTGTTGCAGAACCGTCTTCAAATTATCCATTTTGAATGCGCTCTTCTCATCTTGGTTGGCGTTTTGAGAGATCTTAGCCTTTAAATGGTCAATTTCTTGCCTCAAAGAACTTAGTTTTTTGGAGATTTCTTTCTTAGTCTTTTTCAATTTGGCGCGCTTCTCAGCAAGATTAGTGTTAGTAGTCAAAACTGAATGTTTGAGGGTCAAAAGAGGTGACAAAAATTTCCGGTGGTAATACGATGGGAAACTAAAATCGAGTGGCTCCTTGACTTCTCCTTTCTTGGGACTCGTGCGGACCATGAGATCCGCTATCAAAAAATCTTCTCCCCTGGCGAACCTATTAACAAATTGAATGTCGTAGGAACAACTTGGCACCAAGCCGCTGACAACAGTATACTCCTCGCCTGATTTCTCGGAGACAATCGCTGACGAAACCTGTGTCCATATGACTCCGTTTACGAGCACCAGAAGCTCCCCTTCAAATAAATTCCTGATGTGGAAGGTGATTTGGGTGGAGCCAATGGTGTTGACACAAACTTGATAAGAGTTCTCTTTTTGGTTGATTGGAATCAGATGAAGGTCATTGTAGTCGTCAGCAAAGGGCGCAATCAATGCCATGCAATCCGTCGAACGAGACCCATTGAAAACACTCGAGTTCAAGGCGTCACCTGAAGCGACTAAATGATTCAGTTGTGCATTGGGTTCTCGTGGCTTGGTTTCCAAACCTTTTCGGTGCTTGACCTGTTTCCTTTCAAAACTCATGGTTTTGATTGTAGCGAAAATTGACCAGAGAGGTGGAATCAAATGGTGGTTGTTGAATTTGAATAATTGCAGAATGAAGTTTTCGAGGTTCCATGTGGATATGTAAAAGTAGTCGGGATTTGGTTCGTCATATTCATCTGGGAGGTTAACTTCTGCCTCAAAAAATTGATTGGTGTAATTAGCGTGCGTCTTCATTTCGCCGTTATTTGACATCGTCAGGTTTGTGGAAATGGTTTGAGAATTGCTCTGTGAGGGAGATGTTATGGGTAGCTCCGAGAGATTATGTTCTGTCACATATTTTGAGAATTGAGGCTTCTGAATGATAGTTGGTAGATTTGAAGTCAGGGAACTTGACCCTGAGTTAGTCGTACTGATTTGGACCCCTGAAGATGAATTGATCATGGCAGATGCTGTTGGCCCCGGAGTTGAAGCCACACTGTTTGGAAAAGGGCTAACCCCTGGCGGTGCAGGCTGAAAGGTATTTTCTTCAGAAGGACGTGTGCTAGGAAAAGGTGTGGTCATGTTCCGATAAAATTGGAAAACCACAATGTGGAACGACACGAAATAGCGCAAAACGCCGAAATACTTCCTAAAATAAGGTGCCCAACGGGTAAACTCCACTGCAACTTTCGAAAACCACAAATGACTCCTGGTCAAGTCTAATTGCCCGTAAAGAAAGCCACTCCCGAGGAGTGAGTCCAATGTCAGCTGAAAATTAGAAAAGTCGGCAAATTTCTGACTGAAACTAGAAATCAGGCCATACAGTATGGAGCAGGATGTAGCATAACTTAAGCAGTCTTTTGGATCGTTAATGAGAGAGGAAGCCACAATTGACATGGCCAGGTTCTCTAACGGACGTGTAAAATACTGATTTCCACGCAATTTTAGCAGGGCTGCTATGCCGATCTCCAAAGCCAAAAGGCTGACCGTTGAAAAAACGGCAAATCTTCCAGCAGTAGCGCTCGGTGTTATCTGGCCCTTTTTTGTGACGGCGGCTCTGCTCAAAGAACCGAACCGCTGTTGCCTCAGCTCTTCAAAAGGTCGTTTCGCAAGAAACAGACGGATAAAGCACGTCGCTAGAAAGTCTCGACATCTAGTGGTTAGCACAAAAACTGCGAGTACGCAAGGAGCGACAAAGTGGTTAAAACTCAGGAAAACAACCAGTAGTGCAAAGGTGTCATTGAAATGATGATCAGTAATAAATTTGAGTGAGTGGTCAACGGTGGAATCGCACCTCCCTTTGTCAATTGAAGTCATGGCCCATGCACAAGTAAAGCTTTACCGGGCACCGAGAGTCAATTGGCCCTTTTACCACTTTAAAAATTGCAGTCTCTTCGTTTCGTGATTTGTCTACCGAACACGAAATTTTTCACAACAAGGATGAATGCGAGCTATGAAACCGTCCGATGATGAAATTAGAACCCTGCTAATTCCTGAAGGTAAAGAAAAGCTGAACCTACTGGCACTAAACCTCCTTGTTTGAGTAAGACTTCTTGAACTTTTAGCCTTCCTGCTCAGTTCCATAGTTTGTAGTTTCTTTCAAGTCATCGGAACAAAAAAAATCCCATGCCGTCTTTTAAGATTTTGAAAAAAATCTCTCGGGGGCGATTCGAACGCCCGATCTCAAGATTACAAATTTTCAATTACAGTCTTGCGCCTTAAACCAACTTGGCTACCGAGAGTACGGATATGAAATAGTAACAACTGCAGTTGACTTTATACAAAAACCAATCAATTAGTGGCTAACAAACTAACTGGATACAACGAATCGTTATGCATTTCATGCCCTTGACAACCCTCTTGATAGTTACTGCGTTGCTCAATCTGTTCTTTTTTATATCCAGCGTTTCTGCATATGTGGAACATGATAATATATTATATTTATTACTTAGTAGCAGCTTCACCGATTGATGGTTATTGGCCCAGTACCGGTGCTCAATTTAAAGCCAAGGAATTCTTGTAGTTTGCTGCTACGAGAATTAACTTAAAATATCTAGATTAATTATCTTTGTTTTGCGAGTTTAATATTCAAAACATCCGCGCCGATAAAAACCGTTAGTTGTTGTGAGTTTCCTTCTACTTTGCGGAAGGTTAGACGAATATTCAAAGAGGATGTCTTGCCGCTTTTCGGGGTAGAAGTTGAATAGATTACAGATTCTCAAGAATTGAGCTCACCTCACCAATCTCAAGTAGAATTTATGAGCAAGAAACTTTGACTGAATTCATGTTAGTGAATCTCAACGTTCTGCAATTTTCGAACACCTGGTAACCGATCTCGTTGGTAACTGTTGTGTAAGATGATAGTGTGAAGAACTTATATGGTGACATGATAGAAATCACATCGACTGAGCCGGTGCATTATTTCTCTTAGCAGCCGTCTGAATAGTAACTCAGATAAAGATTACTTTTTGATAACTCGTGTATATGTATACTGCAGGATAGAAACTCTGGTCAAAATGTGGAGAGTGAGCTCTAGCGATGAAATCTTTCCACTGCTGAGATTATTATAAATTTTGTTGGAAGGAGCTGGCGAGAAGATGATATCGTTCAATTACACCATCACGTGATCGATATGACAGAATAAAATTAGAGGATTGAACAGACGGTTGGCATTCCGCGAAAGAGCTAGAGGCTAAAACAGGTCCATTGACAGTTCTAGAGTCTTCAGAACATTGTAATCAGATCATGTGTGGTATGATAAATGACGTATGATGAAAGTTCACCGTCTAGTATGGAGAAAGTAACGGATTCCAAAGTTGGAACAATGTTACAGAAATTTTATGAAAGGAGCTGATATGACCAAGATCGTAGTGGTCATGGTCATAAGATAGCCACGGAGAGATATAAGTACTCAATTTCTTATCAGCTTTATTATTTAGATGGATTATGAACGAGTTAAATGAGCAGTTCAGAAATCTGTTGATCACCGACAATGATAAACCTCAAAAGTTATAATAAGTATTTGTAAAATTTAAAACATAATGGGAATATATAAGAAAATCTAGACTTTAATAGTCATTAATAGACATATCTGTGGTGAATGTTGGCCTTGTCGGTAAGGTCATCATCAATTGTTACTGTTTGAACGGTTTGAAGTTCCATTTTTTCCTTCTTTTTGTTTTCATAGATGGCCTTAAATCTGTAGAAAATTAGCAAAAGAATCATTATGATCCACATAATAACGACGACAATAAGACCGCCGCGATAAGAGCCAGTCCACCACTGTGGATAAATAATGGCTGCCAAACAGTATCCAACATAAAAAGCATTTGAACACAGCGACTTTTTAGTGTTTCCTCTAACGTTACTTGCGATTAAGCTCAATATAATCGTCATGAAAGAAGTGATAATTGAAGACATCCAAGAAGCAACAATCATCCACCATCCACTGCTCTTTTTGAGACATAGCAACATGATTGTCCCAGCTAATGGAATGCCCACCAAACAAGCAGAGATCATGGCACGCTCTTTAGGAATAAGCCTGACTGCCAATACACCGACCCATATGAAGAGAAGCTGAAGAGCACCTGCTGGCGAACCATATTTCATGGTATCCCATTTGTCGTAACCAAAACTTGCCAGAAGTAGAGATTGAAAAATGATAGGCCCACTTGTTACAGTAACGAGAAACCCGAATGCGAAAGAACTCATAAAGAGCCAGTCAAATTTCAAACATTCTTTTAATTGATCAAATTCGAACTTGTTAAGTGCACTTCTGTCGTTTTCCTCATGGATTCTTTTCAAAGCAATTTCTCTTTCCCTCTCTGTGAGAAACCACGCAACCTTGGGCGAAGCTGGGAGCAAGAAGTAGAACAAAAGTCCAGCTAGTAATGACAACGCGCCACAAATCAAGAACATGACCCTCCAATCTGCAATATTCGCACTATTAGTTTTACCAATGCCATACATAATATAACATCCAATAATTTGCGCCAGTGCGTTCATGGAGATGTAAATAGCGGTTCTCAGTGGTTGTTCTCTCTTTCTATACCAGTAAGTCGTGATCATAACACAGGCCGGCTGTACAGCAGCTTCAAATATCCCCAAGAAAAGTCTCCCGACCCAAAATCCTTGTTTAGTATTTGGCGCCGCCAAACACATACAACATACGGACCAAATCACAACACAGGCACCAGTCAGCGGCGCTCTTGGAATAATTGTCATCAAATAGGCCAAAACGAAATTTGCTCCCAACTGGCCCAAGTAAAAAATGGTAGTACACCAGGAATAGTCCGTCCCAACCATCTTCAAATCCTTCTTCAAACCGAAAACCGCTGTGTAGGTCAAAGATTGTTTGTCAAGGTACTGGGCAAAATATATGAAGCAAATTAGCGGCAAAAGATGACGGTCAATTTTACGAAGGACCGCCTTTTCTTCCTCAGCTGTATATTGGACTTGATCTATATCAGCTTCATTGACCGATTTCTCGCGGACGGACCCATTCTCCAAAGAGCCGACATCGTTCACTTCATCGCTGATGATATTCTTTTCGTCCGCTAACATTTTTACTCCGTTTTAAACTTAAGTCTTAATGCTCCTGACACCTGACGTGCTTTTCTCTAAAGTAACCTTGTTAATATAGTTATTCATTAATCTGTTAATTTAGACATTATCGCTATATCAAAGAGCTCTCGGTCGAAATCCAGATAGATAACGTGCAAGCTCGGTCAGGCGAGATAAAGTACCGAAAAATTTGAAGGAACCTATGTGTAGGACGATCATTTTAGATTGTCGCCTGCCTTTCCTTGATGGAATCTCCGTCATGTCTTCGGCTTTACACGCAAGACACGTTCGGGTTGGAATTTCCGCTCTCTAACTTAACAGTTATGCAATATGATAACGGTCTACACTAAACAAATTTTTCGGAAAACCCTTTCCGATTTGGCTTTATCTCGTCTTATCAGATGATTACCCGCTAACCCAATGCGGAAGCTGGATGCCGATGCTAAGATGTAAAAATTTTATCGCAAGTACAGGCGTTTGATATTGATCGTGAGGAATCTACGTGTAGGCCGAGATTTGGACTAGCATGCGATCAAATTATAAGAATCGAAACATTTATGCTCTGGCATTAGGGCAGAGGCATAAGTTTTTCAACAATAAGGATGTGGCTTAAGATGGTTGAAAATCTTGAAAATCTAAACATCGACGTTAACGAGCGAAACTGGAAAGACCTGGAGGACTTGGTTACTCCATGGGGGGTGCCAAAACCAGAAAAATACTGTTTTTCAAATACAAATATTGTCGACGTTGTGAAGGGTAATGTCGTGGAGAACTCGAATGTTTTTGTTGAGGAAGGAATAATATCTAAAATTTCAAGTTCTTCAGATAAGGAGGTTTCTACTGCCGGATACAAGGTTATTGATGGGACCGGCAAATTTTTGATGCCAGGTCTATTTGATAATCATGTTCATGTAACATCGGTTCCAGGCGAAAAAGATTTGGCGAGCACGCTCGATACTGCAAAGACTGCGGCCTTGATAAGGATCCGTTACAATTTAGAGGCATCCCTGAAGCGCGGCTTTACCACCTTGAGAGACTGTGGTGGTGCAGAGGGATACGTGAAAAAAGCCGTTGAAGAGGGAAGTATTAAAGGACCTCGCTTAATCACATGTGGCCATGCGATCTCTCAAACTGGCGGTCATGGAGATATGCGGCGGAACGATATACCTGGAGAAGCTCTTGATGACTGTGAGTGTCATATTAACAATTTGGGAGTTGTTGCAGATGGTGTTCCATCATGCTATAAGGCTGCTCGCGAAGAATTTAGACGGGGCGCAGACTTCATCAAAATTATGGCAGGCGGCGGTGTAGCTTCCCCTACTGACAAGATTTCAAACCTGCAATTTTGCAAAGACGAAATTAAAGCTATCGTTGACGTTGCAGATACGTATCATAGCTATGTCACGGCCCACGCATATACTCCTGAAGCCATTAAGAATTGTATCAACCTAGGCGTGAAAGGTATTGAACACGGCAATCTCCTGGACAAAGAAACTGCCGTGCTTATGGCAGAAAAAGGGTGTTACTTGACACCAACTCTAGTTACTTACAAGATACTTGCTTCTGATCAGTTCAGCACTTTTTTGAAGAAAGAAAACCAATCCAAGAATTTAAATGTTTTGAAAAACGGTCTGCAAGCCTTGAAAATTGCCAGTGACCACAAAGTGAAGATTTGCTATGGTTCAGATTTGTTGGGCTCTCTGAACGGATATCAGACTCAAGAATTTTTTATAAGAAATAAAATTTTATCACCGCATGAAATTTTGTTGTCTGCTACTGTGACGCCTTCGGAAATGAATGGTTTGGCAGACAAGCTTGGTCAAGTTGAGACTGGGTTTATAGCGGACCTGCTTTTGATGAATGGTAACCCACTAGAAAACATTTACATCCTTGATGAGCCCGAAACAAACTTGGTAACCGTCATGAAGGATGGTTGCATTTATCTTTGAAAAAAGTAACACCCCCGAGATGAAATCATATTCATAATATTTTTAAGCAATCTATCATAGATCCCCATGTCTGCATTCAATGCGACGCGAAACGTTTTCTTTAGAGGGTAAGGCGTTGCGGCAAAGTCCTTTGATGAGAGAGATGTTTATTCGGTGCTGAACCATTTTCGGCTTCATTCTTAAAACTGACACTACTGTCACGTGGTTTGTAGATAAGGTTATCCAATAATACGCTCTTTATTAGGACTTATCGGTAGACCGAGGGAAAAGGATTGCGAAAGGAGACTGACCGGTGCTTTTTACAATATTATTCGTGGAAAATTAAATCTATTCCGACGTTCGTAGAAGATCAAACCACTCGTTGGCGTCTCGAATTTTCGAGAGATTTTGCATCTTGCAAAAGTTGTTACATTGTTATATCATGTGCTCCAGTTTAACAGGGTTCCAAGTGGAAATTCAGGGTATTCTTCTATTTTCAGCCCCTATGTGGCATTTACCAATACGCTGGAGTTTTGGTATGCTTTTAAGTTAAGAAATTCATTTTCAAAACGAATACAAAGCTTCAAAGCCCAAAAATAAAAACCTTTGCTCAGGCTACGAATAATGCTATTCAGTGTCAATGGGCTCATTATTCGAGACCATTCAGCTTTGTGATAAAAAAGGTTTTGAGGTTTATCATTGTCGGTAGTCAACAGACTTCTGAACTGCTCATTTATTTCGTTCATAATTGATCTAAATAGTACAGCTGACAAGAAATTGAGTACTTATATCTCTCCGTGGCTATCTTATGACCATGACCACTACGATCTTGGTCATATCAGCTCCTTTCATAAAATTTCTGTAACATTGTTCCAAATTTGGAACCCGTTACTTTCTTCAAACTAGACGGTGAATTCTCATCATACGTCATTCATCATACCACATATGATCTGATCAAGATGTTCTGATGATTCTAGAACTGTCAATGGACCTGTTTTGGCTTCTAGCTCTTTCGCGGAATGCGAACCGTCTGTCCAATCCTCTAATTTTATTCTGTCATATCGATCACGTGATGATGTAATTGAACGATATCATCTTCTCGCCAGCTCCTTCCAACAGATAAACCTCAAGAGATTTTAACTGCCATAGTCATTCGAAAAAAATCATAAGTATGACACTATTGTACAAAGTGATAGTTTCACAAGCCATGGCCAGTCAACGTACTAAGCGGTAAAGCGATCTACGTGCGGTTCCTCTAACATCTAGGATGTGACGCTTTGGATACTTTGTGAGCTTTTCTCAGGGTCAAAGTTTGAGATTATGCTCCTTGTGTCATTTTTGTCTGACTGTACAGTTTTGATCAACGTTATCAGTCAAATAAACAGCCGATGTAACTCGCGCAGAACCTAAATTATTGCAGAATTGCTTATAAAGGGCCAAGAATTTATAACATGAGCCAACGAATTTATTTGGAGATTGCGCTCACGGTGATGTAGTGCCTAGTTATTGACAGAGGTCTGAAGTCGTCGATATATTATAACCAACATAAGGTGACATAATAAAACACGAAACAAAAAGTGTCAATCATTCGACCTTCAGATTCTTTAGCGCCGACTTGATTTGTCTTGAAGATTTCTTCATTAGTTCTGTCTCTTTCTCGTCGAGCGGTATCTGGTCGGTCGGGTGAACTCCACTCTTGTTGAGCTTCATAGGGACACTAATCGCAATGTTTTCGACTCCGTAATAATCACCTACAGTGGAAACAGTGAGCTTTGTGTTGGTGTCGCCTAATATGGCTTTCACAATTCGAAGCAGCCCTGCTGCAATTCCGTAAGAGGTGTATCCCTTGCGTTTTATAATATCGTAAGCAGCATCGCGAGTTTGCTCGAAGATCTTATGATAGATAGCATCATCGTGACTGTGATTTTTAGATTCGCAATAATCGCGCAGCTTCATACCGTCGATGCTTGTGAGAGACCAAACGGGCACACCGGAATCTCCATGTTCTCCGATGACGCAGGCGTCGACGCTGTCGGGAGAAATATCGAAATGTTCGCCCAAAATATACTTTAGACGTGCAGTGTCAAGAACGGTACCAGAACCCAAAACCCGGTTCAAAGGGAAGCCAGAAGCTTTGTAGCTCACATATGTCAAAACGTCAACGGGGTTTGTCGCGATGAGCAGAATCGTATCAGGCGCATATTTCGCTACATTGGGAATAATGTCCTGCATAATGGCCGCGTTTTTCGCAGCCAAATCCATTCTAGTCTGGCCGTGCTTTTGATTTATCCCACAGGTTACTATGACGATGGCAGCATCGGCACAGTCTGGGTAGTCACCTGCTCTAGATTTCGTGTCGGACGATGCGGCATGGTTCAAGTCCATACTTTCACCTTCAGCTTTATCCTTGTTAACGTCGATGAGCACAATCTCTGACACGATTCCGCTTAACAAGAGCGTATACGCCGTAGCTGAGCCCACACTCCCGACTCCAATAACCACAATTTTCACACCTTTTGAAATAGATTCAGCCATCGTTTCGGTTGAAATTGACCAATCCGTTTTGTCCAAACCCAACCTGGCAAGCTTTGCTTAAATCTAGTGCATATAGTTGCACACCTATATATGTGCAAATCTTTATACTTGGCTGTATCCAAAAAAACCCCCTAGGTTGGTAGCAATCAGGTGGCAGATGGTGAGCAGTTTCTTGGTTAATAATTCGCTCTCCGATTTGAACCCTGGGTCTTTGAACTTCAATTTCACCAGTAAGTATGTCTTTGCGGCGGAAGCACCGAAAAACGAGATGAAAGGTTCTTAGAGCCACCAGCCTTAGAGACACAGGTAATTTAAACAGTATAAAAGTAGTTACCCGTTCGACGTTCAACACCGGTTTCAAGATGGCCCATGGCCCAGGATCATCAAATAAAAAAGGTATCTATCAAAAGGCGCTAATTTGGTTATTCACGTAGAGGGCCCTTCGTTGGTTGGCCTTGGTTTGGCTTGTATTAGCACTGCACAAGGGATCCTTTCATCTCTCGTTCATCATTACAACCCCTAATTTTTTAAGGTTCTCATGGAAAGGTGAGCACTAGACTCACTTAGGACGAAACAGGGCAAAGAGCCGCTAATAATGCTCTAGGCCCCGAGTTTTCGTAAGAAGCTACTAAAGTCTCAATGGAGTCCGCCACGCAAAAGGCAACGAAATATGCGTCGAGTCCACTGAGAGACCAGCAACGTCTTCGCACAAATCCACTGTTGGTCGATTGGATTAATTCCAAGTCCACATTTTTAGGCATTGAAAGAGATGAACTCGTCTAAACAGGCTCGTGACAAAAGACTGAGTTTGTCTTCAACGATGACTTCGAGAAATATCACTTTTTACGCACGGTCGGACTTTGCCCGGAACTTGTCCGGAATTAAGAACCAAGTCCTCTGGCCGTTGCTATAATCTCAGACTATCGACCACCAGAAGCGCGCAAATGTATTTAAGTGTATTTAGAAGAATTTAACAGTGTTAAAAGTTGGTCACCACCAGCTGAGACTTTACCGACACAAACTGGGATCGTCCAAGGATGTATTTTGAAACTTACAAGAACACCTTTGCAGTTGATGTTCTCGAAGGTCTGGGCCTGGTAAAGCTCGACAACTTTGAGTTCCTGACTCCGGCAGCAGATAATACGGAGCGAGAGTACGATCCTGAAAAATGTGACTCGACGGAACAATCAGGGGACGGGACTCAACAGGATCCGTATCTCGTGGACTTTAGCCGTGCAACAGATAGCGAGCACCCTCACAATTGGACGACCGGTAAAAGATTTGTCACCGTATGCAATATAATGCTTCTGACGTGCGTCACGTACATGGGCACGTCCATCTACACACCTGGCCAGGATCTTATCCAGGACGAATTCCACGTTGGTCACGTTGTCGGCACGCTCAACCTGTCACTGTACATTTTAGGGTTTGGGCTTGGCCCACTGGTGTTTGCGCCGCTGTCGGAACTCGTTGCCATTGGTCGCCAACGGCTTTTTATTGTAACGCTGTTTGCGTTCGCAATACTCCAGATCGGATGCGCGCTGGTAAAAAATATTGCCGGGCTGATCATACTTCGATTTTTGGCCGGCGTCTTTTGTTCACCATCGCTGGCGAACGGCGCCGCTGCTGTGGGTGACGTGGTTAAGCCTAAACATGTGCCCGTGGTTCTCGGTCTGTGGGCCATCGGTGCGCTTGCGGGACCTGCTACGGGACCTTTGCTGGGAGCGGCTATGATCGACGCAAAAGGTTGGCGCTATATGTTTTGGATCCTCATGTGGATAAGCTCTGCTACGCTGCTACTGATGGTTTTCTTTTTCCCTGAGACCAACGAAGACAATATTCTATACCGGAGATGCCAAAGAATACGAAAAGCGACGGGCGACAGACGATATTATACAATGAAATCCAAAGATGAGGAAAAACTGACTTTTAAAGATATCTGTGTGATGACTTTGTACAGGCCGTTTCAGATCATCGCAAGAGAGCCCATTGTTATTGCCTTGAACACTTACCATGCTGTGGAATATGGAGTTTTCTACTTGTTTTTCGAAGCTTTCCCCATTGTATTTTCCAAGATTTACCATTTCACGCGGGTTCAACTAGGGCTTTCGTACTTGGGATTCTGCGTGGGTTGTATTACTGCCTACGCAGTCGCAATGCTCTTCTACTGGTGCTTCGCTACGAAACGAATTGCCGCCAACACATTTACGCCAGAAACACATTTGGTTTTGACCATTTGGGTATGCTGGACTCTCCCGTGTTCACTTTTTCTATTTGCATGGGCTGCCTCGGTACATTGGATCATACCAATGATCTCAGAAGTGCTTTTCATTGTTGGGCAATTTAACATTTTCCAATCTGTGTTTTCCTACCTGGCCATGTCCTATCCCAAATACATGGCTTCCGTTTTCGCCGGTAACAATCTTTGTCGCTCCGTACTCGCGTGTGTTTTCCCACTGTTTGGACGTGCCATGTACGACAATCTAGCGATTCCCGGGTACCCCGTCGGATGGGGGTCGTCCCTGGTTGGATTTCTATGTTTAATTCTTAGCTTGGTGCCGTTTGTCTTATACAAATACGGACCGTATTTACGGAGTAGGTCAAAATTTGCTGGTTAATTGATAGACAATAGCCGTAATGTTTATATTAAGGCTTACCGGCGTCGGTGGTCGTTAGGTTCTGAAATGTTTACTTAATTTGGTCGTGTTTGATTTCATTACTATTGAAATCGCACATTAAATATTCTGATATCTCCGTGATTATCTTTACGGAACGAGCCTTCTAATACAGCCCGTACCGTTTCCTTATATACACTTTCTGTAATCTCACTCTTGTTACATTAAATTGAGATGAGACGTAGCGAAAACATTCTCACCTTACACCATCCATTGTACCACTCACAAATTTTCGGTGGTTTTATGATAGTGCTGCGCCCGCCACCGGGATCATCGAGCTTCCAATGCTCCTGTAGAATGCTAACCGTCCGTTCCATCTTCTCATTTTGTTCTATTGTCACAATCACGTGATAATCTAGTTCGACAATATCAATTCCACTACTGTCTCCTTCCGGGACTTATATGTAAAAAGCGATGTATAAGACACTGGCTAAGAACCTCATTTGCCTTGAGTAACGTTCATTACGCCAGGCAACTCGATCGTGATGGATGATATTCTCATTTATCTCGCTCCATTCCCTCACCCAAATTTCGACAAAGCTCAAGCAATTGACTCGGGATATTTCACAAACGACTTTCGAGCAGTTATTGGCAAAGCTCGCGAGAATTAGAATTTGCAAAATGATCAGGTTCGTTCAACAGGCAAACCAGTGCCCGGCCTATAACATTGTGTACGGACAAATCAAGCCAAGAAACTGTCTTCAAGGAATTAACGAATTACCCGAAAAAAATTAAGATGAAAACCACCCATAGTGACGCGTGCGAGGTTCGAACTCGCGCGGACAACTGTCCAACAGATCTTAAGTCTGCCGCCTTAGACCACTCGGCCAACGCGTCATACCGTAATGGACGACTTACATCTTACCCAATCTCCTACTGAGGATACTCGAACCCAGGTTGCCTCTTGAAGTTGGGATATCTGTCCCCGTCGTACCAGACAGGAGACACTGTGGGAACACGTTCCATCTAACTCTTCTTTTAGGAATTGCTTAAAGATGGTGGAGTTGGAAAAACCGGATAGGTTTAAATCACCCCGATCAGAGGCTGCTGCGAATCGACTAGATATCAAGCAGCCCTCCATGAGTGGAGACTCACGACTCTTTCTCCAGACGCGTTGTCAAGCGATTCGTGCCGCATTTCGGTGGAGCATCCTACAAGACCAATAAAGATCAAAATTCAACACGATTCGTGGCACACCAAACTCGGAAGCGATGGCCTCGCCGTTGATGCTTACATTTTGGTTTCCACTGAAGATAATTGTAGTCTTACTGGAACTGCGGCAACACCCCAAGCTCAAGCATTTCCTAAAATGCTCTGGGAACCAACTACCTAGTTCCGCAGTGTTTGCCAGCTGCGTGAGAAGTCAGGATGAGGTTATCTCAATGGCAGGTTTCTTGGTACTCTGGCCGAGCGGTTAAGGCGCCAGGTCGAGGTCCTGGTCTCTTCGGAGGCGCGAGTTCGAATCTCGCGGGTATCATGATTTTTACCAGTTCGTTTTGTAGCGAAAACCATTAATACCGAATGCGAGGAAGGTCTTTATAAATGCTTTAACTAGCAAGGCTGTGCTACCTCAAGTCCCCTTCTCAAAACTAGGAGCGAGGCTATTGGGCGACCTGCGCTAACTTAGCTTTCTGCACTTTCCGCGGGGGAAAGAGAGTCCGAACGCATCGTATGGGTGTTTGAAGTGTTCTCACGTAGTTTTTCAGCCGGTCCCAAAGCGATTGGCTTGGTAGGCGGCTCCGATGTTGTCAAACTTAGTATGAATTCCTTGCTTTTGGTTTCGCACCCTTCTGGGGGCAACCTTTTGGGCGTCTCATGTTTTCTATGGACGGTCGAGGTCAATAACAAAAGTCTCATCTCCCCTAAGCGTGGATGCATCACCCGTTTGAAACACAACTGCACATTTTGCTTTATTTGAGGTTGTTGCTGCTTTCCAAGGGCGTCCGTTTTTGGCATTGAGTGTTAGCCGCCAAGCAGTATCACCTATCACGTTTTCAAGCTCCCCTTCCAACAAGCGACATAATAACAGTTCAACCGGGTCGCAACGGTGCAGACTTCAATATATAAAATATGCAATGTTTTCTCTTTCATAACGTGATGCACTCCTTCAAGTGCGATCTGTGACTGGCCTAAGCAATAGATAGCTGATTGTATACATGAACTGTCAAGAAAACCCTCTAGTAAGTTTCAAGTCACGTAATTCAGCGACCTAGTGTCCACATTCCACTCGAGAGAGATAAATGGGCTGTTCTCTTCTAGATAGCTATACAACGCTTATCTACAGAGACGAGCAGAGCGTTAGGCTCTCGAATACTGGTCTGTAACGGTTGAAATTCATACACGCTCTCATAAATAAGTACTTTAACATTTTTAAAACGCAGATGCAACGGTCAAGGAATTGACATATTCGTCGAACGAGAGAGGCTTATATTCAATTCCAAGTCCCTTGGCAATCTTGGCACCCAAGTCCTTGTTGAGAAGACCAAAATATTGAGTCACTCTAGTCTGAATTTGAGGTTGAGATGCGCCCGAGACATGGCCCACCACGTTGTTGACGAAATGTTCCTTGTCCACGTCGTTGAACACTTTTTCGTAAAGGGCTCTCGGTTGTTCCAGATCCAAGGGCGAAACACCAGTAACAGCGTAGTACTCGTTCAGCTTACCGTGAATAATTTTCTCGTGGCGAGCTCTGTCCTCTTCCTGCTTTTCCAAGTTCGCCTTATAATCCTTATCTAGTACAGGACCGGTGAACTTTTCGTGCGAGGCAGCGTCGCTTTTCAAATCCTTGAACTTGATCTTCTGGTCGTGAATAGTAGAAATGTAGTTGGGGGAAGAGCCCTGGTTGTACAAGCACATTGGACCGTCTCTGTGGAAATTTCCAAGGCTGAACGGACATCCTGCGCTATTCCGTGGAGGTAGATTTCTTGGACTATTGACCGGCAACTGTTGATAGTTAGCACCCAATCTGTGACGATGTGTGTCTGGGTATGAAAAAAGTCTCGATTGCAAAACTGAGTCGTTTGAAGGTTCGATACCGGGAATAAAAGTGCTGCTTGGAGAGAATGCAGCCTGCTCCATCTCTTCAAAATAATTCTCGAAATTTTCGGTCAAAGTTATCTTACCGAATTTTCTTAGAGGAAATTCTTTGTGGGGCCAGACTTTGGTCAAATCGTTGATTGAGTATCTGAATTCTTCAGCCTGCTTTGGCGTCATCGTCTGTACGTAACAGGTGTAAGTGAGTTTCTCGCCCCTTTCCAGTTGTTCAAATAGCAATTTCTGGTTATGATCAGGGCTCGAACCATTGAGTTCAGCCGCTTCTCCGTCTGTTAAAGTCTTAAATCCGCCGTCAGGTCTCACGTGGATCTGGACATATGTCAATTCGTTTTTTTCGTTGATAAACTTGTAAGTGTGGCCGGAATACCCGCTCATGTGGGCCCACGACGCAGGAGTGCCTCTGTCGCCAAACATGTACACAATTTGATGGATAGATTCCACATTTTGCGTCAAATAGTCCCAGTACATAGACGAATCAGAAAGATGATTCAAGTGCGTCTTGGGGTCTCTTTTCTGCGTGTGGATAAAATGTGGGAACTTGTTAGCGTCTCTGATAAAGAATACAGGAGTGTTGTTGAACACCCAATCGTGGTTACCCCAGTCCGTATAGAACTTGACTGAGAACCCTCTGGGGTCTCTCAAGGTGTCTGGAGTTCCTTGCTCACCTCCTACGGTCGAGAACCGCACAATACCTGGACACTTGTAGCCCGGTTTCTGGTATGGAGCAGCAAAAGTGATATCGCTCAACGAGTCAGTCAATTCAAATTCCAAGCGACATCCACCGCCTTTGGCGTGCACAACTCTTTCGGGAATTCTTTCGCGGTCAAAATGTGCCAAAGTCTCGATCAAATGAGTGTCTTGCAATAGCAAAGGACCCTCAGGACGAGCGTATTGCGCTCCATAAGGATGGTGTGAATATGGGATACCATTTTCCAAAGTGTAAACCAAGTTAGAGTTGGCGTCAGGGTTGTGATTCTTCTCGATCATATTATATAAAATTGGTTGATAGCCTTGTTGACAAACGATAAGCTAATAATGGCTCCCCTACCCAAGTTAACCTTCATTTTATACTATTATATATTAAATCTTTTCCTAAACGTGCTTAGTGGCCTATAGCAAAAACCTGGCCAGTAATTTCTCTGTCAATTGCTTTAATTACTAACCACAGCGGTCGTCTGGACCTGGCCCTACTCGATATTAATCATTTGCCGTGGTTCGAATCCTGTGAGTTAACCACTTTATATCGGACTTTGGCCTACAAAATTTAGGTTAAATTGCTGTAGCCGATAAATGCGAACCGTTGTTGCGCCATTCGAAGGCACCTTTTAGGCGTTACAAGAGAAAATCACCTAATTTGTCACTTATACGAGCAGTACTGGGGCCGGCAGTAAAGGGTCTCGAACTTGGAGAGAGGAAAGTCAAAAAGTGATATTTTTCCCTCGATCCACTTAAAGTCCTGTAGCGCGTCTAGGATAACCTAGGATATCGTGCCGTTCAAAGATCAATCGGAGAGCTTAAAATTTTTGGTAGCTAATATGATTTTGGCGGAGGTCCCTAAAACTGGGGGTTTTTCCTTGAGGCGATCGTCAGCTTGTCCGTACGTAATGCTTGGAGATGAAAACCATGCTACTACACATAAATCACTGGGTTGATGCTTGCCGGTGGATTCTGAGGCCAAGTATTCGTCAGTCACTAAATTTCTGTACATAGGCCATTTATTCTGTTAGGTAATAGGTGAGTTGCATTTTCGTAGTACTTAGTGACGCTTTACAGACGATCTCGGTTCATCTGGATGAACCCTTTTATGCTAACGACCCGGTTTCTAGTAGAGAGAAAAGGTAGTAACAGTCACGTGATCGTGCCGCGGTTCAGAACACGGCAGAACGGCCTTTTCGAAGTCACCTCATTTAGTATCGAACTAATCTCTTACAGGCTTACGCTGCCCGTCCAGCACCCGTAAGTCTCACCGCAGCACCATAACGTTGAAGCTTGGTTAGTAGACCATCGCCTTGTTTTATCAGTAAATGATACTGCAAATTCTTATTGTCAGGTCTGTTGGTCTCGACAATCCCGTTCACACGGTCAATGACGCAGTTCAATTGTTTGTTTGGGATAAATTTGCCCAAATCCCGGTCTAGGAACTCTACCGAGACACCGAAAGCGCCTGCCATCGAACGTAGCGACAAAGTCTTGTAAGACTCCAACAATTGCGCATACACTTTTCTTCTCATTTCACGCACGAAGAAATCCGCGTGCCTGCTCAAGTATTTGCAAGGAATGAGAACCTGTTTGTACGTTTCAAGCAAATAAGGAAAAAAACTAGAGTACTCTGAAGTGTACAGCGAAATGGTGAGAGACGAGATAGACTGCAGAGCCGGTGTGGTGGTCATCAAAGACAACAATTCAGGCGAGTCGATAACTTTCTCCTTCAGTTCAGTTCTTTCTAGTGCAAAGAGCCCAGCTACTGACGCATATGTCGCAATACTCTCGTATGATGTCAATTCAACAGACGTGAAGGTCGCCAGTGAGTCGACAAGCAACGCAGCAGCTTGCTTGAAATCTCGAATGGCAAGACAATGAACACCCATATACGTCTTGTAACGATTCCTTCTTTCCCAGTCGCCGCCTCTCTCGATAAGATTGTTGGTGCTTTCGAGCTTGGCCTTCACAAATTTCTGGTCATTGTAAAAAAATCCAAGTCTCGTTATTGTGAGCATGATATCGATCTTCGAGCCCGTAGACACTGCTTTCTCGAGGGCAGTATTAAGCGTTTCCTCTGCATTCTGCATGTCACCAATTTTCGCGTAGTACTCGCCCAATTTTACCCACGAATGTGCCTTTTCTAACTCACCTTCGTCTTTGTCTTCCACTTCTTGCATGTGCTCCTTTATTTCTGTAATATCCTGTTGATTGCGGTCCAGCAACGACCTGTAAAAATCTTCATCCCACTGAATCGTGCCAGCAGGTAGGTATGTGTCGTGTAGATATTTGTAATATGGTGCCATTGCGTCTTCCTTGATCTTTTCCAGAACAAAGTTCAGGCTCGATTCATGTTGATCTTTGAGTCGAGGATCCGTCAAGAGAAACGCCTTTTCAGAAACCTCATAGTTCGGAATCTTGTTTACCAATGGTTCGATATAAATGCCGTCGTCTTCCGCCATTATGAATACAGCTAGTGGCTCTTTGCCGATGGTCGGCAGAAGACCGGTGGCGAATGTCTTTGAAGGTTGATGAACTTAGACGATAGAAGTCCTCTGTCGTATATAATGATGTATCCTGCACACCAACCCGTTAGCGTGACGTTTCTAAGGCAAGTAGCACGTCTCACCTTCCTTATATGCCATTGTAGTACGACAAGCTGCTAAGGTGACGCGCAAAGACGACTTAGAAGGACGTTCTGATCTCACCAAAATTTAGTTATTTTTTATTTACGTGGTACGGCCGCTCCGATATTGACAACCGTTATGTAACCATGGAAAGCGATCAAGCTGACGGAATTCCTCCTAGACATCTCAAGAAGCCACCAAATCGACTATATGACGCTTATACGTAGTTTCTTTGGCGATCCTTGAAAAGGACTTGGACAATAGCGGCCTGAATGAAACTGACACCTGCCATACAACCCATCGTGAGCATGGATAGCCAGACGAGTCTGCTTTCGGTGGATTTCACGGTGTCCATGTTTCTCCATTCTCTCGCTCTGAGGTAGTTCATCATTTTGGTGATTTTGTTTAGGTTGCGGTCAATTTCCTCGACAGCGTGGTCCGAAATGGCATCTTCAGGGTTGTGGTGTGCGGCCAAGTTTTCCTTCTCAAGCTCCAGGGTCACTTCAACCTTTTTCAACGCTGTGCCGTACGTGTTCGAGAAACAGAACGAGTATTGTCCCAATCCGAAAGATTTCAAAAGAAAATCGGAATATTTCTGCTGCTTGGCAGTGGTGATAACGCTGTGATCTGGGGCAGTGATCTCGAAGTCGATTTCAAAATTACCACCGGTCAAAACTTGGTAACTCACTACAATGGAGTCCTCGTGAGACAACAGGTCGTAGTACAAGCATTCCTTTGTAAATGCCGGAAGTGTGATAGCGACAGGAGCATACGTGTTTGACGAGCTCGCAGCGCAGATACTATTTAGCGTAGTTATCAATGCCAAAACCAACGGGATAATTGACTTTCTAAACATCATGTCCAGTATATTCTTTCCACTTCAGGCTGCTGTTCTGCTCACCACGTCGTGTTTAATTTCGCGAATTCTAAATTTTTTTTGGACCACTTCGAATTTACTAAGAAAAGACGCCAACTTGCAGCAGAAATCTCAAGGGAAATTCAAGTGAAATAGTTGGTAAAGAGTTCGGAGATACCCCGGACGAGCTCAAACTTATTTGCCTATATACAGTTAAGCGCCTTGATATGTTGCTCAGATGTTATCATTCCACCTATATGGGTTTCTTCTGGTTTGACTTTTCAATCAATTGGGCGTGTGGTCTAGTGGTATGATTCTCGCTTTGGGCGAAGATTGGGTTATACTCGGTCTAAACTATCACAAGCATGCGAGAGGCCCTGGGTTCAATTCCCAGCTCGCCCCAAATATTTTTTTCTTTGAAAATAATACGCGAATGAGGCCTCTGGAACAACATTCATCTCAGCTTTGCGAAGAAAGAACAATTGTCTTTGTAGTTCTCTTTTCAAAGGCGTTGCTTGGGACTCGAGTAGGGCTTTTGTATTCAATTTCGATAGCAGAATTGTTGCATAGCGGAAATCCCGGGGCGACATAGGCAAAAGTTGGAGCGATTCAGAAAAATTACCAGTCCCATTTATTAAGTCGGTAATGAAGACACCTCTGTATACGAGGCGTCTCACATTTGCCACGTCTTCGCTTTCGGACTCCATGTATTTCAAAGCGATGTCAATACCGTAAGGGTCACTGTCAGTGTATATCTCAAAGGTCACGTGATCGGAACATGCTCTAGCGAGACAGGACAAGAACCGGCGCGTTAGTAAATCGGGATAACCCTTTCCTGTCACTATTAAGGTTTGGTTAGATATTTCTGGGCTTTTGATTATTCTGTTAAAGACAGAGTCTTTCTCCAAAACTATGACGCGCCCTATTCGGCTCCAGTCGGACGTCATCGCCGTGTTTTCCACCAAATACGGTATCAGATTGCTATGTGATGCCTTAAGTGTCAAATTTCCACATGAAAGATCCTGGGGCAAAAAGCACAGTCCCTTTTGAGCCGCGACTATGCAAAATACGTCCCGATTCGAGACCTGGAATACGCTTTGAAAAACCTTGAGCCAATCACTGACGACCCTCTGCCTCCCGTAAAGCTCTACGTTCTGATAGTAAACATCTCGTACGGTGCAGACTTCTTCGTGCACCATTTTGGTCATGACGCACCGCAACATGCTTGTCAGCGTAGATATCCTATGCGCTGGCGCGTCTTTCACACCTTCTTCACCAAAAACTGGATATTTGAGCGGGGAAACATTACACTTCTCGTTTAATACCTTAAACGTAATCAATACTGGTTGACTCTGCTGTTGGAAGGCATTGCGCCAGAGCGATAGCACCATTTTGATGTCAGCGGTTAAGGTTTCAGCACTGTCGCATTTCGACAAAGAAACTTCTCGGTAAGCTGGAGTAAGCGCACGCCATAGGTCTGCTCGAGTGCCACATTCATCCATGAAATCAGAAAGCGCTTTACAAGGCATGACGTTCTTCGTCGTCTCTTAATGTGGGGATGATTAAGTTATAACAGATAGTTCTGTTGGCAAAAGCTAGACAAATACTAAAAAACATAAAAATTTTGACTTCCATAAGATCATGACCTGTTGGTCAAATTGATCACATAAACTTTTCAGATAGATAACGCAACTTACTCTTGAAACTATCGTCATCGACATAACAGCCCTTCAAATGCCTAGTTCCGGAAAATGCCGTTCTTCCATGTAAAATCCTTCTGTTGTTGAAAATCACGCAGGTACCCTCTGGGATCTTGACTCGAAATTGATTATCTGGTTTGTTAATAATTTCTTCGAACAGGGCGAGTCTCCTAGCAAAATCTTTAAACAAGAGCCGCTCGGTCAGTTTGCTGCTAGGAGTTGAGAGGTCAACACCCTTTGGTTTTTCCCATATTCCAAATGAGAACGGTGCTTGGAAAGGTGGAGAATAATTTATCTGTTTGATCAGATCGCCATAGTTCGAGGGCATGGTGTTATCCGTTGTCATGTCATTTTCCACAATCACTGGCCTCGCCTCTTGGTATCTTTTGTCATCACGCATGTAGTGGTAGTTTATGGGTACATGTTTCAGCGCCTCGTAAGCGTCTGCATCGGTGTCGCGAATAATACGGGCCGCGTAGAAGGCATCAACAAAGAAATTCATGCCAGCATCTCCAGCGCCATCAGAGTTATGAATCGAATGCAAAAGCTGCCATCCAGGTATCGATTCCAGGTATAACAAATCTTGGTGAAGCGGTAATGCTCGAGAAGTGTAAGCAATATTTTCTGGTGAACCTTTATTCACGACATCGAAGGTTTCTCCATAAAATGTGTGCTGTATATTCCCGATGCGTTCTGCGATGCGTTTGACGTGAGCATCAGATCTGGTTTCAGTGGGGATATTAGAGACAAAGCAAATCCCATATTTTTGTAAATTCTGCAACATTTGAAACAAAGGCTTAAGATCGGTACCATTCATAAGAGATTCGTAGTTTGTCGATAAAAGTTCTTTAATATTCGATTTCAACAATTTCTTATCCCACAGTAACGGTGACAGTACCCCAGATTTCCCATCAAAAAGCCCTCTGGAATACCTGACAATAAATTCTAGCGGATAAGTATATTCGTCACCGTCCTGCCACTTGATAGTAAGCCCCTGACAATCGGTTGTGACATTTACCTGTGAAGGAGTCGTTGCTTGCGGGTTTGATAGAAGTTGTCCGGTGGTAAAAAGTTTCTGTCCCGAGGCTTTATCAGTAGATTTTGCACTTCTTGACGAATCTCTCAAAAACAGGTTAGAAAACGATACCGTCTCAGGCGGATCTGTTTCTTTGTCCCTGAACGTAATTGACGTACAATCCTTGTTAAACATCGTGTGCAAAATAACCCTAGGCACGAATTTGTTACCACCGATGCTCTCTACACCAGCTGATCCTAGCGTGCTGGAGAACCTTACAAATCCTTTAGATACTTTCAACATATCCTAGTTTTTCGAGTATTGTGTTCAAGAGAATCTGTCAGTTTACCCTTGTTGAACCCATATATACATGTCACGTCACGCCATTTAAAGTCTCAGTTATCGCAAGAATCAAATGGAATAGCTGGCACCTTTGCGCAGATAATAACTTGCCAGAGACGAACAAGTTGTTTTTTCATTAATGTACTACGAAAGAACTAGCAATGATCTATGGAAGTCAGATAAATTCGTCACACAAGAGTGAAATCCAAAATGATTGATCGATGTCGCTTGCTCATTGGTCGACATTGCCATCAGTCGAGGAGGCTACATGTGAGTTTAAGAAAGGCCGATGAAGACAAGATCAGGGACTCTGGTCTTCGACAAGATTTGAGAAAAGTACTTTCACTGTCCAAAGATATTCATGAAAACCAGAAACATGGGTCACTTAAAGAACTAGAGGATGAAACCCTTGCGAGCTCGCCACGCACCGATGGTGCTATCGATCATCTGGTGAGGTCGGGCGATGTTGAATTTTTAAGGAATTTTGGTGTAACGGCAGTTAATGGTCGAGACCCTGTGAAAAGACCTACCAGCGGACCGAAGCAGAAACCATGGAAAGTGAGTTTCAGAATGAGTCCTAAAGATTTGACGGTTGAATCGATTCGATTGGAAAATAGCTGTGTAAAACCACCAAAACTTTCGCATGAGCTCGAACGGGTCTTATTTCAGCCCATGAATTTCCATCGGTTGCAAGATCCACGTTCTGGCGTTTACAACTTCAGTCCCTGGCTTGAAAATATTATAAAAGTGAACGATTTCGATTTTAGTGCCATTTCAGGGTTCGTGACCCCGTCCAAGGATGCGACAATGATGGACTTAGCGGAAACGCACCAGAAAAAGTTTTATTCGTCGACCAGTTCAATGACTGGCATCTTATCTCATCTGCATTTTTTATTTTCGAATTTCCGACAGATTAACCTTTCCCAAGTATCGAAGAATTTCCCCAAATTGTCTGCTGATTTCACAAGAGGCGCACAGTTACCTGCTGTTGTGATCATGAAGCGCATGAAGTCCGGAAGGCCCATCTTTTCAATTGATTCCGATAAATCTACAGATCGAGAAATCATTCTATCGGAGCTGGGACATGCTTTAGAAGCGGTGCTGACGACAGACGAGGCTTCGTTCGAACAACTGTACGATAAGAGATCCGAAAAGCATAGTCCTTCCGAGAATTTAGGGCAAGATTCCTATCATTATTCAAAAGCTGGCGATTTCATTTTGAGGTCCCAGCTTGATGCATATCATCCTGATCTGCCAGGTTCTGGCGTATTTGATCTCAAGACACGTGCCGTAGCAGCTGTTAGGCATGATCTTGCATTTGTTGAACACAACAATAACTACACAGGTTACAAACTTGAGCATATGTTTGGCAAATACGAATCTTTCGAAAGAGAATTTTTCGAACTTCTTAGAAGCACTTTACTCAAGTACTCTTTGCAAGCTCGCATTGGTCAAATGGATGGCATTTTCTTGGCTTATCACAATATATCAAAGATTTTTGGGTTCCAATATCTACCGCTCGAGGAAATAGATTTCATTTTGCATAGCTATGGAGACTCAAGTTTCTTGAAAGCGCTCAAAAATAGAGAGGCTCTGTTTAAAGCTATTTATGGGGACGAATCCTTTGTTTTACGCCATGATCACTCCAACCACGAGCGTAAAATAGCTTCTAACGTTGCTGACGCTGAATTCAAGATGTCCATGTCTCTGTTGAGCACCGTTTTCAAAATGATTCAACAGCAGATGCCCCCCAAATTCGACGTTTGCAGAATAATCTTTAAGACAGAGCGGGTTTCAGGAAGGCGCCTACGCAAAGATGCTCCCAAAAAATCTGTGCTCAAGGTTATTGTCGCGCCTTTAAGTTCAACCGAAGTAACGCAGTTTCAAAAAGGGAGGTTTTCGAAAGGGGAGACTGATATGGTCAAATTTTTGGAACACTCAAGAAAAAATAATGAGAAAACGTCCCATCACCTTTTCGGCTTTGAAATTGATGTAAATCATTCTCTCAAGCATCATCCATCGACTGTAATTTACCCAAAATTTGCGGGACAAAAGTCAAAAGTACTTGGTGAAGCGGAAAAAACATTTGTACGTCAAGCAATATCCTCTAATTATTATGCTTCTGCTTCTGAATGGCGACATCCGCATTTCTATCATTCGAGTGATGTGTCAGACTGGGCAATTGATGTTGAAGTTCGATCCATTACTGAGCGATCAAAACTGAAGCACTTGTATATGGGATATCTTGACGATAAATTGGATATATTAGCAGAGCATACAGCGGTAAATCAGGATTCTGCCAAGGCCCAGGCAGAGATTTTAACAAGGATAAAGAGGTGCATGGAAGGGATAGATGAAAGGAATACGCAACCATCAAACAAAGCTTCGACCATCACGCAGCTGCAAGCCACGCTTAGAGCTTACGCCAAGAAAGGAGAGCTAAATCGTAAACTTTGATTGAGAGTGTGCTTTTTAAGTTCTATAAAAGTATGCATTTGATCGAGAGTGTATGTAAACGTTCCTTGAGCAAAGATTATTTTATCTCAGTTAGCTCTATGGATTCAGGTGTGCTCTCAACCACGCGCGGGTAATAGAAACGATAATAGATGTATTGCGCAGCGATGTAGATATCGAGCGACATTTGGAACAATGCAAAGAAAAGGAAAAGAACGGAAATGTTTTTGGCGCCAAACATCAAATAGCTTATTTTCAAAACATCGCCACACAGCCAACTAATGAGAAGAATAAATTTGAAACCTTGTACGGACTTGAGTTTGTTCAAAATCGAAATTTGGGGCAAAGGCAGTAGGGACTCTATCAGTAGTCCCAAAGTGCCTATTAGAGACCCAACCCACTGCGCGAAGCCATCCCAATTCATGATTCTCGAGAGGAAAACGGCGATACTCATTTGTAAGACGGTGAAAATACCCAAGAACTTCCAAAAAGTTTTTTCGTCGTTCCATTGCCAGAAAGACATAAACCGTTTATAACTGGGATCAAAGAATTTGAGAAATTTGTAGACGAAGACCAGGATCAACTTGAATGCAAAGTCGCTTAAGTTCCGGTACGAAAGAGATTTCAGTAAATTTTTCCAGTCGGAACCTGAAAATGGGTCGAGAGGGAAGTATTCGAGCCACACGTCATGCACGAGTTGGCCAAACGATTCGACAGGCTCCAAATTCTCGCTTTTGTATTCTTCAGGCCGGTAACGGAGACTCGTGTGCAGAAGCACCAGCTGTATGAAGATCATCACCAGCGACTGGCGCAAAAGTGTGATCTCATAAGGTGTGATCAGATAGTAGGATACACGGAAAATGCTAGCAATAAGCATTGTTGCACATATATCGATGGAAAACCCGAGCGCTGTCTTTGATCGGCGAATGCTCAACACTGTTGTTCCGTACGACACCAGCGGTGTAAAGCAGATCACATTGCTGAGAACAAATTGCATGGTAAGCCAATCAGGGATGTAAAACTGGTCGATTTTTGGAAAATACGACTCGGGACCCCGATGCGACGGCTGTTCGCCAACCGTTCCGCCATCTGACATTATTGTGTGCCAACACTGTTAAGCCTGACCAACTCTTCGAGAGATGTTAATTAAGTTTACAAAACCAGCTGCAATAACGAGAAAAGCACCCAAAGCTTGGAACTGTGCAAAATGGCGAGGAGAAACCGGCTTTTCCGAGGTTTTTGAGAGTGCCCAGCAACCTCTTTAGCCTCGACTCACGAACCTATTCTAGATGTTCAAAAAGCCATTGACGATCTACGACGTATATATATTTTTTTCCGAACCCTGGCAACCTCTAACAAGGCGCGAACCTACGAAAAGGACAAGCTGGAACGGAACGGAACGAAATACTGACAACACCTTTCACTGGGTCTGTACACTGGCAAGATACTCTGTGCGAATCGCACTGGAGTCCGCATAGGGCCTGCCATGCGCTACCCATTTGGGCTCGTCCTTAAACAGCCTCAGGGCCTTGATGTAGTTTCTCGTCGTAAGCGTGAACCGATGGTAAATGCCGGCAGGTACAATGAGCAAGTCACCAGGTTGAAGTAGGACTCGTATCCATCTTTCGTCGCGGGGGTCTCTTAGATCAAAAAATCCGTCACCGTCAAGGCAGTACCGGATTTCTTCGTCTTCGTGAAGGTGTTCCGCATAAAACATTTTCAATTTTGATTCCAATGCTTCGGCTCCTAGTGCTTTTTCAGAAATGCTCACCGTGTCTCGATTCCGATAGTTCCGCTGTGTGGCCAGCTTGTTGACGTCTTCGAATTGCGGAATATGTTTGTAGAAAACCCCAATATCTGCGAGTTGCTCCAAAGAGACCGGAACACCCGTTGAGTGGGGTTCTCTGCTGTCGACAGAGTCCTTTTCGTCATGGTAATAAACTGTAGCCATGACTTTGAGGTGGGGTATCTCTTGACTCCTTACTATATTTCGTCTTGATATCTTTTTTGCTTTATCTCACACTTCTACATCTCATCGCTCTTAATTTTTTCACCATACAGGGAGATGCCACACTTAGACAATAGCAGTCTTGCATTGGAGACACTTGTAGACTGGTAGCTAACAGGCGATAACGAGCCATAACGAGTCCAAACGAGTCTCAAAGAGTGTCCAGTAAATCCAAATAATAACATGAGTGCGTTTTTGTCGTACTGCGAATCATAAACCAGTCGTGGTTTAGCATTTCACAGAAAACGCTTGCTCTACGAGAATTCGAACTCAGCAAACAAAGTATTCTCAATAGCTACGCCTCAAAGACCATGATAGAGTTGGCGTTACAGGCTATATAGCGTATTTTCTACAGTAGACTTAACATGTTATATTTATAGTATTACTCTTCTCATTTATGATTAGCTATATATTACTCCCTACAATACTATAAAAAATATGATTAATATATTTATAGGATAAATTATAATTATAGATGGATAAATGGTAGGTGTAGGATAAGACTAGGACGGGACTGTATGAGAGAGGTCTCTGGCATTTGTACCTTAATAAGTTGTCAGAGTCACGATTACGAGCTCGTGAAAGGCTTCGTTCGCGTGCCACCACAGAATGTTCACTTCGGTTGGTTTCGGCGGCTATTTGGTTCGTATCCAATGACACAGATATACAAGGAGTATAAAAGGGCCAAGGGGTTCAGCGGGAAAAGAATTCATCTTCCCTGAACCTTTGCCGGACACAGAGAGTAAGCATGGTTTCTAGAGATAAAAAAACAAAATTGTTAGAATTCCAGTTTATGGGCGGTGACTAAGAATCAATTGAACCTTTCCCGTTTATGATACGAAAAGGCTGTAGAGGGAGGTGCACCTGCTAAAATGTGCAATATTATATCTTCATGACTTGATTCTCCCTAACGAACAGCTTCTATGGCCAAGTTGGTAAGGCGCCACACTAGTAATGTGGAGATCATCAGTTCAAATCTGGTTGGAAGCATTTTTTGCAAAAATCATTTTCTTTTTTCGACCGTTCGAAATCAGGTCTGATCTCTGTTTACGTTTGAGTTGAACGTCTTCTCGAAAAACTTTTGGTTTTTTATGATTTGTTTCCTAACATCAACTTTCGATTGCTCTGACTGAAACAAAGCTGCTGTCCCTCTCTTTATCAAGATTTGCCATGAATTTGAAATTTGGGCTTTTGATTGCCAGCAGTTTGACCCTCTTCACTGGTCGCGCTACGGCGGCCAACTCTTCGCTGCCTGAGATCACTGTCAAGGGTAACGCCTTTTTCGACTCCAGTTCCGGTGACAGATTTTACATAAGGGGCGTTGACTATCAGCCGGGCGGATCTTCCAACTTGACCGATCCGCTCGCTGATGAGGAGACTTGCACAAGAGATGTAGCCGCCTTCAAAGACCTGGGCATCAACACCGTGCGTGTCTACACGGTTGACAACACGCTCGACCATTCCGCGTGCATGGACATGCTCGCCGAGGCGGGTATCTACTTGATTCTTGACGTCAACACGCCTGACAGCTCTATCAGCAGATTCAACCCGGGTTGCTCCTACAATGCGGCCTATTTACAAAGCGTTTTTGCGACCATTGACTGCTTTGCCAATTACACTAATGTCCTCGGCTTTTTCGCCGGCAACGAGGTCATCAACAATGCCGATAACACCAACACGGCCACCTACGTGAAAGCTGTTGTCAGAGACATGAAAAAATATCTTCGTGCGCGCGGTTACAGACAAATCCCTGTCGGATACTCCGCGGCCGACGTTAGCAGTAATCGTGTCCTCGCGGCCAATTACTTCAACTGTGGAGACGATGCCGATGCAAGAATTGACATGTTTGGTGTCAATGACTATTCTTGGTGCGGTGCTTCCTCTTTCCAGACTTCCGGTTACGCTACAAAGATGCAGCTTTACAAAAACTATTCTATTCCCATCTTTTTGAGTGAATTCGGTTGCAATGAAGTGCCAGGTTCCAGACCTTTCACCGAAATCGGATCTATCTACTCTACTCAAATGTCTTCCGTTTTCTCAGGCGGCCTGGTTTATGAATATTCTAATGAGTCGAATAATTATGGGTTGGTCGACATTGACAATTCAACTTCCGTTACCAAATTGCAAGATTTTGAAAATTTGAAAAATCAGTACGCCAAAGTGTCTGACCCAACTGGAAACGGTGGCTATTCCTCTTCTAACAACTACTCTTCATGTCCCAGCTACCAGTCTGGAACTTGGGAAGCCAATAATACTTTACCAGCGATGCCAAGCCAGGCTTCCATTTTTTTCTCTAAAGGTGCAGGAGATCCCATGGGAACGGGCTACCCAACTCAAGACATGTGCGACTCTGATGTCGATTTCAACGTCACCAGTGCATCTTCCAGTATAACTTCCGCAAGTTCATCTTCGTCTAGCAGTGCACAAACCTCTTCAACAGCGGCGTCGTCGTCTTCCGACAATTCAACTTTGACTGCTCCTTCTACAAGTGCGACGTCATCTAAGAAAGCGTCATCCAAATCGAAAGGTGGTGCCGCTTCGTTGCAAGTTCCGCTTGTTATCAAATTGATTGCCAATGTTTTGTTGTTCTAGCTTTTTGAGTTTTACACACCAACGTAGAAGCGTCGCTACAACGAAGCGATTGTTGATCTCTCTCATTTCAAGGGATACCCATAATCACGAGAGCAAACTAATTACATGAATATACTGACAGAGGGTTCGGTTACGTGCTCAGTTTACAGAAACCCCCTTTGCGTATTTATCACCGCACATAGATATAGGATACCAATCAAGGATTAACAGCCACAAAATTCTTAGGTTCCATTTCACTAAAAAATCTCATTTTCCTCCGCGTCATTATAAACTTCACCTAAGCCGCATCTTTACATAAACAAGTAGACGCTTCGGAGCAGAACCCACAGCCTTGCCCACCCGATTCTTCGAAACTGAGAGGGTCGCTCAAACTGCTTACTTCTACCGCTGGTGCAACCTGCTGGCCATTTAATCGTCTAAATTTAGGTAGCGGTTTAGTACCAGAGTGCCTAGTCCGCTTCCCAGTTCGTTGCCATGCCACTGCCTTCATCGGCACCAAGTTGTTAATTTTCTCTTGTAAAACGGGGTCCAAAATCGTAGACGTGGGATTCGCCACGCTTGAAGATTCTTTACAACTGCAAGCCGTTTGCTCATTTCTGTGACTAAAGTTTTCTTGCCTCGAAAGTTGCAGTTCCTTCTCCAGTTCAGTTATACGAGCTTTCAAAGCCGTCTGCACCTTATGACTTTCATCGACGCTGTTCTTAAGTTCGTTTTGTAGCATTTCGCATCTGTTCTTCCATTTGGAAAGTGAATCACGCAGTTCTTGTGCTTCTGAAGCCTTTCTGTCTCTGAAAGCCCGTTGCGCGTCTCTATTCTTTACCTTACGCGATTGCAGCGACGACAACGAAGAGTTTCCGCCGTTAACGCTTCTAACATCATCCCTGGTATTATTACCACGGGCCGTCGACCCCAATGCTTGTCCTGGCCGTCGTCCAGGTTTCAGTCGCGGTGGCAGGTCCCATTGGCGACTAGTTTTCAGGACTTTTGAAGCGGTTGAAGAAGCCGTCGAGTCCACTTTGGGCTCGATCATCGAGAAATTCATCCTGCGTAATCCTACCCAGTATGATCAATGAACATCAGCCAGAAAAACTTGGCGTCCGATATGTCAATACGCCACGACGCTGAGTAGCGTTAGCAAGCTGAGGTCTGTAGGAGTTTCTCTAAAACTTTCACCTCTCGGATCTCGGATCAATGAATTTCAAAAGTCATCATTATAGAAGAGATCGAATCTTTATCAACATTGAACAACTGAATAGACAGCGGACTTTATCGCGGACTTTATCACAAGCAAAGCATGCGGAACAGCGGGATAGCGGGTTTTAGCTGGACGTACCACTACCTAAGCGCGAGGCCCCGTCTTGGTATGAACAGGACATATCAATTCTCTGGCATTCTACGAAATTTCTGAAAGTGTTGACGATAACACCATTCAATCGCAATCTGCCCCAAACGCGATCAGAGAGGGCCAGTTGCCTGGAAAGAGAGCACAACCAAGGCAGAACCGCTGAAAACGGTCTAGGTCTCAAGGATCACATGACGCAATGTCAAGATGCATGACAAACACAGAATATTAGTGTCACTTAAATTAAATCTAATTTACCCAGTGGCGGCCTCTACCTGGTGATTGTAATCTGTCCCGTTAACCGGCTATTACCTGATTGAATCATGCCGAACTCTCGTGTCATTTACGTCGCCTCAGCTCGGTCCCTCTAAAGAGCGCTACTCATCAGCTTCGAAGGTCCCCGTGTATACATTTTAAAACAGTGATCCTGTTACTGGTTAGATAATTATTTAAGTAAACCGCCTTGCAAAGCACTGTGTGGTACTGATAGCAGCTCCTCATTGAGTACTCATACAGGTACTTAGCGATGACCACTACAAGTTACCCTGATACATACATTTCTCGAAGCTCCACGCCGTCTAAAATGACACAGACCACATCGATTTCCGATCCGGTAGAAAAGCGACGGAACACTCTCCGAAATAAATCCGAGCAGAAGAGCAGTTTAGCCGGTAAAGCTTGACGAAGCCAGTATCACATCACACCGCTTGCTACAGGATAATAATATACCAGAAATTTAGATTAGTATGGATTTGAGAAGAAGTGCTCAAAAGTCTCCCAAAACTCGCTTAAAAATCGCTTAAAAATCGCTTAAAAATCGCCCAAAAACATATAGCATTCACCTAAAAATGTAGAAGTAGCCAAAAAACCAAGAATTTGCTTGTAAGATTAAATGTGAGTCCAACTGGAGCGCTAGCATCGTCACTTTGCCATCTTGTGAGAACTTTGATTGTGATATCACGTGACTTCTGGCACACCCGTTGATACTACAGATTATTGGAAGTTCGTAATCCAGATACTGAAATTGAAAAAAGCTGGCACGCTATTATCGCGCCAATTTGCAAGAATCAAACACACCACTGACAGGGGTTCCAGACGGTCCTGATGCGCGCTGTACTTATATTTTCATGGCTGGCAGCTTTGTGCGTGGCAGATTATACCTATATCAACTGCTACCAGAGCCTTCCCTCCTCTTTTTCAGTAGGAGATGTCTACGATTTCCAGAGTAGTTCGCACTGTTACAGCGTGTGTTCCGAGAAAAACAGCAACTATTTTGCGCTGACGAATCATAGTACTTGCTATTGCGGCAGCTCTAACCCCAGCGGGACAGAATCGACAAGCTCGTCGTGTAACGCGTACTGTCTGGGGTATGGTTCGGAGATGTGCGGAGGTGAAAACGCGTTTTCCGTATACACGATGGGGGGTGGGTCGTCGAGTAACTGGCAGTTGAGTTCCAGCGGGTCAGCGTCGCTGTCGCAGTCTTCTTCTGGCGGGTTGTCTTCTGGTCGGTCTTCGTCTTCGCAGAGCACGACTAGTTCTTCAGTAGGATCGACGTCGTCTACGGCGGGATCCGGATCTTCGACCACCGCAGCTGGGCCTTCCACGACCGGGAGCTCTAGTAGCTCCGACCCAAAAGTCGTGTATTCTACCTCTGTCCAAACCCAGGGTGGATCCACGGTTTACGTGACAGCAAGCATGGCCCAGAGCACTCCGACCGGCGACGAGCGGGGCTCTTCGTCTAAGAAGAAATCGTCGCCTCGAAATATTGGCGCCATAGTTGGCGGTGTGGTCGGTGGCGTTTGTGGCGCGCTCGCAGTTGCGGCCCTCATACTGTTACTAGTACGTCGCATCAACCGGAAACGAGAACACGATCGCATGGAAAAAGAATACAGAGAAGCCATCAAGCCCGTAGATTTCGACGAAGCCCTCTACAGATCCTCTACTTCGTCCCACAAAGGCAAAAATCCGTTTGACAAAGATCCGTTCGACGACGCTCGTCGCATAAGTAACGGGTCGCTGGCCGAGAGCACAACCCTTGAAACGGCACAGGCACCCAATGTGCTTACTGTGGCCAATCCGGATGAATGAACGAGCAATTAAAAAATGCTTCAAGAAAACAAGGTGTGTGTGGCGCTAGATGCCAGTGATTTTTTACATAGAGATTTATTCTAACAGCGGGGTTTTCATAGTCGAAGTCAAAGTTCTGGCTGGTAAAGTGCCCTTAGTTCAAAGTGACATCAACAACGATTGACCACTCCGAGGGAAATAAAATAGAGATAACCTACCAGCAATTACAAGGTTTAAATCTGGATACCCGAGGAACAAGCTAAAGAGGGTTCATAATCACTGAAAATATAGCAGTCTGTGACATATAATGGGCTCGAATCATCCACAAGAAGTTCCACCTGAGGAAGAGGCAAGTTTGAATTATTTTTTGGAGGTTAGGACGTTTCTTTCTAGACTAAAGCAAAACAGGAAACAGTACCTGAACTCTCGGGACGTTTTAACTACCTATCAGCAAGTGTTGACCAAAGTTCGTGAACTGGATGAGATCCGTAAACGTGCGCACTCAGCACGTCCAGCAGGCGCTGCCACTCTTATTCACAACGAAGAATTGCACAACCGTGTCGATTCAGTACTTGATGACGTTTTCCAGCTACTGTCACTGAGTTTTTTGACCGTTGGACTTAAGAACTCGGCTCCTGCGACCTACGCTTCCCTCAGCACCGTGCAAAGACTCTTGGAACATCTAGACGAATCGAACGTTTTCACCCATCACGATCTCAGGCCCATCAAGGAGCGTCTGGACGAAATTTCGGATATTGTGGTTAAGAACAGCTACAGTAACGATGTCAGTCGCAAAGAAGTTGGCAAGGAAGAGGAGTCAAGTGCGTCGAAATCGAATCCCGAGCTTAATGAGATCTCCAAGATTGACGAAGAAAAGGACAAGAACAAGATCGAAGAAGATTTGCTTTTGCGCGCGAAATTGCAGCATTGCATGGAAGAATACAGCCATATCGAATCAAAACTCGAGGAAATTGATCCTGCTCTGCAAAGCACTGTAGAAAAACTTTTTCAACTGCGGCGTGCCCTTCTGTCGTTGGCCGCATCGGCGAAACGTGAAGCAGAGATTCAAGGCGGTCACAAGGTTACCACGCATGCTTTGACCTCCGATCCCGTAGGTTCAAAGCTGCAGGGCCTGCAACAAGAGCTCTCGAAACTTGAGTCTCACAGGGTAGTCACAGAGAACATGGCGCAGCCGACACGCAAGGGCCAAAGCGTTTTAAATGGACTTCTCGACGATTGCCACGACCTTCTCAACGACTTATCCCATCAAACAAATCGGGGGATATCCCTTGACCCCAAGCTGCAGCCCATTTACGACAGCCTGATCGAGACTAAAACGATTCTCGAAAATTTACTCGTGACGAGAAGATGGACTTTGAGAGAAACGGATCTTTTCACATACCAGAAAAAGTTGTCCGAGATAGACAGACTGAGGGTTAGTGGCAAATTCCCGACAGAGTGCAGTGACGCGAAGGGACAGGCAATTTTGCTGTACCTTCTAAGGCGGTGTTACGCCATTATTTATAAATTGTTAGAGTGCTCGGAACCCGTGTCGGAGGCTTTACAACCTATCCACAACCAGTTGTCAACGGTGCGGCGCTGTTTGCTAGAGTTGAAAAGAATGGGGGGCGTGAACAACGATCGGGAGTTGTATCCATATCAGATGAAACTTGCCTCTCTCGACAATCTCCGCGAAGACGGTAAATTCTACGATGAAGACGGAAATATCCCAGAGGGCCAAGGCACTCTCAACGCGCTGCTTGCTGAGTGTTTCGACATTCTTCATGAGTTGAAGATCGAGGCCGAAGAACGCGATCATAGTACAGAAGATGACAACGAAGAGCTTGAGAAAAACTCAGAAACTTCAAAAACTGAAGATGTCCACCTTACAGGTGGTAGTCGGTCGCGCTACTTGGACGATGCCAAACAGTACGACGACGATGACGACGATGAAGCTGAGGAGTACACAACAAATTACAGTGAACATAGTTACGAGGATGACGACGATGAATATGCTACTACCAGTCATGCTGAAGAATGATACGCACTAAGTAAGTTCCAAACAAAGAAAACATTCTAAAGTTTCATTTCGCAGCCACCGTAGATTTTCTATAACTAACTTAACTCTCAGGACCTTAGCCTGGATCTTTGACCTTTGAGTTAAGATAAGTAAATGTCCTTACCCGCACGATTAAACAATCCTCGTTCCCATGTATGCAGCCAGTGGATTGGCAGCCATTGGAGACCCAGGCGGTGCTGAAATTACATTAAGTTGCTCACAGGAAGACAATACACGGACATATATAGTACCTTGACGGTAGACCCAAATAATGGGCGTTGCTTCGCAAAGATGATTGTAGAAAGCTTAAATATTCACAAGAGAGAAAACCATGGTTGAATTACGTCGTTCTAGCAGAGTCAATGGTTCTAAGCGTGCGCATGACCCCGAACAAACTGTGGAGTCGCCCCCGAAGAAATCAAGAACAGCTAAGACTGAAGAGAAAGGGCAGACCAAAACCTCAAAAGAGCTTGAAATTGGTGACAAATTACCTCAATTGACATTGCAAAATCAAGACGGCGAAGATGTCGACCTTAAAGAAGTCTGTCGTCAGAATAAGATTGTAGCTATATTTGCATATCCTAAAGCAAGCACTCCTGGGTGTACCCGTCAAGCTTGTGGTTTCCGCGACAACTACAGTGAATTGAAGAAATACGCTGCTGTATTCGGCATCAGCGCTGATTCCGTCAAGTCCCAAAAGGGTTTCCAAACCAAACAATCGCTGCCTTATGACCTTTTATCAGACCCTAAACGTGAACTTATAGGACCCCTCGGTGCTAAGAAAACGGCACAAGCTGGTGTAACACGTTCGCATTGGATTATAGTCGACGGAAAGCTTAAATTCAAGAGAGTTAAAGTGTCGCCAGAAGTTTCGGTCCGGGATGCTTTGAAAGAGGTATTGGAATGTGCAGAAGATTCTACGTCGGACAAAGCAGAAGACAAGCCTGAAACAGATGGAGCGAAGGAAGAGCCCAATAAAGTTGCTGGAGAAGTAACAGAGCTCAAAGAAGAGGAAGTTGCAGAAGCCAAAGAAGAGTAAAATTGAGCCCAAGCTTTTAAAAGTTAAACAAAAGTAGTATTTACCGTGAATGATTAAGTGGTTCTTATTGTATAGTCATCCCCACTCTGGGTTATGTAACGGACCCAAGGATAACTCTGGTATTGCAGTTTGGGTTCGTTAACTTTCAAATACCGTACTTGTATGCCAGAAGTGGTGAAATAGGGAATTTGAAATTTGACCTGTACGGGCCGTTTTGACTTTGGAGTATCAACATCTGTGACAGATGGTAGTCCCATTTGGGCAGCCATAGAATATTCTTTACCACCGGGGAAAGTTTTGATTTTCCATACAATTGCATTTTTTTCGGGAAGGTATTTGACCGAACCATGGAAATATCTGAATTTGGGTGAATCGACATCCTCTGGAACTGGGATTGTGATCTCGACGTTATTAGCAGTCGATTTCTTCTTGATTTGAGCCGCTGCACGACAGTGAATTTCGATTCGGGAACGTGAATGAACTTGTATCTTAACATCACACCATATAAGTGGCTTGATAGGTGTTGTGAGCCGGTAGTTCATTAACTCGAAATCGCCATCGGGTGGAATGAAAGTAATGATTTTCTCATTTTCGAATTTGCTGAGTCTTACGCATTGATGAAACTTGAGATCTTCCAATTCGATATTAGATTTCTTGGTGGTCGGTGGTGCAGTGCCATCCGCCAAATCCGTACCGCTGGTGAAAATTCCCTTGTCGTTGAGGCCAAGTTTTAGATCGGGCATACCTGACAAACGAGATTTGACTTTGACTTTGCCCAAAATTTCGGATCTCAGAACCTGACCCTGTGCAGAAATGAGCATATTAATAGATTCGACGACATCCAAAAAGGCTTCGTTCCTCTTGTATACAATGCCTTCGGGTCTCCAACTGACGGATTGAGTGAGTTGTGAGGGCGGTCTTACGACGTTTTTAGACTTCTTGGCGGATTTGATCAACTTGAAAGACTTCTGCGTGATGTACTGTTTCAGCATCTTGGTTTCTGTGATTTGCGGAATCCCATAATCCATCATTTCATCCAAAAGCTCATAAATAATCACGAAATTGTCACGAATCGATTCTTCCTCCACTGTTTTCACATATTCCGTCAGCACTTCTACAAGTCTGTACAGAAACGCAAGACTTTGTGCGACATTAATGCTCATAGATCTCGTCATAGAAACCAAATAGATGTCATTGTGTTGTATAAATGAGTAGTAGACTCCATTATGGCTCAAACACGGCGGAACAACCGCAGATTCTTGCTCAGCATCAACTAACAAAGTTGGGAACTTTTCGATTGCAGAGCTAGGAATGTCATCTCTATATCGACGTGACAAAATACACTTGCCTCTTAAATCACAGAAATACACACACGAAGCCATTAGAGCTCTCTGTCTCTCTACTGATTAGCACTGTTCTTAGCGTGTTCGATCTACATATGGCTTGCACGATCTTCAGCCTTGAAAGTCTATCATTATCAACGAGGTTATATAGCTACCATATAGATGAATGAGCCTGGTGATTTCAAAAGCGGACGATGGAGGACAACTGTTCAACGTTGACGAGCCGTAGAGGGCCTTTGACCTCAACCTGGCTTTCTAAACACTAGTGTCTTTTTTCGCGTATTTTTTTCCGTCGTCCTTCATGCAATCAAGAAATTTATCCTGCTCGTACAGGTATGGAAACGCTCTGTGAGGAATGACTTGATCGAGATCGAATGCTACACATTCATCGACCACGAGCACGGGCAAAACATGTAGATCTGTTACGGAAGGGCTGTTCACGTGCCAACTCTGGCGCGCCTGAGCGATGGGGACGTATTTCAGCGAAACTCGACCGATGAGAAAAATGGTATTGGTCGTTTCTGCCGTGATTCGCAACCGATGATAGCGCTCAAACCGTGCGACGCATTTGGGTGTAAACTCAACTAAGTACCACGCAACAATCGTCCCTAGCGGACGCATACACTCGGAATTTATTGATTTTGTGAAATCGCGTTACTTTGACGAATCGACGCGCATCGGCAACGATGCGCGGTGGTAAATGCGAATCTGGGCTCTTGAGATCCAATTTCGGGATAAAATGGTGCACTTGAGGCCACATTGGAGCTCGTGAATGTGCGCGTACCATCGGACAGATGCTTGCCTCTAGCCAGCTGCGTAAGTAAACAGATTCACTTCGCATCTTGATCCATTCATCCACTATTATGCTTGAGACAAACATGCGAAAACACTCCTTGCGATATATAACCTTCAATTATCCGCCGCGTTGTCCTTATGCTGAGATACAACTGGGCGACGACTATGATTTTTTGATGAGATCAATATATTATCTAAAAAAACTCCGCGACGGGGAATTGAACCCCGGTCCCGAGCGCGACAAGCTCGAATTCTAGCCACTAAACTATCGCGGATAACCGATGCATATGAAAAGTATATGAAAGTATACACCGATAGGATTAAAGCACGGGGCCGTTTTGAGAATCGAACAAAAAATGAAACGGACAGGAATTGAACCTGCAACCCTTCGATTGCAATACTCCGTGGATTTCCAGGATTTAACTGGAGTCGAAAGCTCTACCATTGAGCCACCGCTTCATTTTGTGGAGAGATAGAGAAAGCAAAACTATATAACGACGGATATATGGGCTAACTAAGAACCTTATCGAGGAAGTTTTAGTGAGTAATACCAATATTAGTTAACGTTTCGAGGAATTTGAGCAGTTCTACTTCGTTTCGTAGGAGTTATCTGCTAGTCGATTTGATTGCGTATTACATAGCTTAGTTTCTCCTGGCACCTTTATTTCGAAATGTAATGAAATAAGACTAAAAAAACAGACCTGGCACCAGGACAGTACCTGAGGATAATACCTGAGGAGTATTCATTGGTGTTTGGTTAGGGCAAGTAGCGCATAGATTGAAATCAAGCGTTAATGGAGAACTCAGCAGACAGTTTTGAATTTGTGTTTTTCCTGGTCAAGACCTTGAGCAGCAGCTGTCGCACGACAAGACAAAGCTCGGAAAGAATTGAGCATCTGGTTAGAAGAGTAGCCAAACTCTCGCATGCATCGTACGAGGACTTATCCAGGGAGCCTAGCGAAGAGCTGCGTGAAAGATATGATGCTCTGGCTGTGGAAACCGAGGAGGAGAGACTTTTGCGCGAGAACTTCTCTTTGATCTACGAGATTGAGATGCAAGAATTCATTTGCGAGCGCATATGGTCGCTAGTGGACCAAATAGAAGAACTTTTACGATCGATTAAAAGATTTGCATTGGAGCAAAAAGCACACAGAACTCAAAAGGAGCGATCTTTCATTGAATCGGTCCTTAAGCAACGGATTTCTGGGCTTGAAACCAGTACTAAAACGCTCCAGACAACGGCAACGGTCTCACGGAACAAGGTAGAATCTCTGGTGAACTCTTTGAAGGATTTTACAAAAGACATTGATTGGGACCTCTTGGCCCAGTCACAGGACGGTAGAAATGTGCTCACCATTTTGGACGCTGTTGAATATCAGTATAAACTAAAGCTCAAAAATAACTAAAAAAATGCATTAAGAACGCCCTATAAAGAGATTTACAATTAGCAACATACTGCTCTCAACCTCATTTGCTGCTGTCGCGGGGAAATAGTGCATTGGAGAATATCTTCCCTGTAAGATAGAGCCACACTTTTTGCGAATCTTCTCTAAAACTCACCGGAACCAGCCTCCACCAAATATTTAAGAGAATGCCGTTATACCTGCAGTGTCCATTCTTTAAATATTCTTTGGCACATCTGTCCAGGTCTGATGGGTTAGAAAACCGTTCTGATGAGATCAAATGGGAAGTCTGCTTGTTTTCCATTGCTTTGACCAAACTCGCGAGTTTCGACCCGTACTGAGAAACCCGGTCCTCTACGTCCCTCATTCTTCTATCCAAAATGCGAATATCGTATCTGAATTTTGATACAAGCGAGTCCAGCTCGGATATATCAGCTAGTAGCCTAGAGTGCTTGCTGCCTAGCACGGCACGGCTCTGTTCCAACACTTGAAGTTTCAGGTGCAAATTATTATAGTTCTCTTGTAACCGACTCAAAGGAATTTCAAAGCCTTGTGGGTCGGTTGACGTCGTCTGTGAAGCTTGACCATTACTCCATTGGAAGTCCTTTTCCATTCTAAGTAAATCGCGGGCCATTTTCACAACGGATGGCTCAAACGGTAAACTCCACGATTCAATGGCATCCTGGATAACAGAAACGCTATGGCGACGTTGCATAGAGTCCAAATTGCTTACTTTATGAGGTAAATTCTCATAATCCAATTGGAGAGCAGCGACATCTTTCAGTAGGTAGGGCACAGAGGCACGCCTTTCAATCTCTGCATGAAATAGTTTATCGCTGTGGCTTCTTTCCTTTTCTTCTTCGTTCATCCGAGCAGCTTGATCGTGTTCAACTGATGGAATGCTCTCGCTGAAATGCTCACTGGCCCCGTATGGTGAGGTCTCGTAGTTTTTTTCGTACCTTTTATCAACCGACTGAAGCCAGCCTTCGGGACTCTTGACAAAGCCTAGATTAGATTTCAGAATCTCATCATTTGCGCTACCATGATTGAAGCTTATAGTGTCGAATTCCGGCTCACATCTCTTCTTAGTGCTTATTCGCCTGCCTCCTTTGCCTTTCCATAGTAAACTTAGATCTCCAACTTGGACGCTTTTCGCCAAAACTTCCAAATCCGTGGTGAGGGGGCAGTTGGAAATTTGAAGCGCGTTGGATTTGCCCTTAATATCCTGTACCGTAGACTTTACGACTTTTTTGATTTTGAAAATATCCGAATTGGATGTCTTCGAAGTGACTTCGAAAAGCTTACCGAGAACGATCACATCTAAGCATGGCTGATGGGTTTGCGTGAGACTCTTGCCTAGACTGTATTTTTTTTGAAAATTCCACACGGCTGCGTGGAATCCATCCTCATCAAATGGATCTTTTATCGAGACGCAGTCTTCTAGCATTAGCTTGAAAAACGCCGTTAGCACAAGACTAATAATACCAGCCACAGTCGTAGGACCTAGGGGACCCTCATGCTTGGGGCGTTCCATGCCTAAATAGTGCATGCCGTAAGCACTCCACCACTTGTGTGCCGCTTTCTCTGTGCACATGCATAACATACCATCCTTGTATCGTGGGTCCAGCAAGTCAAAATACGTTAAGCAAGTTTGCGCAATGCTAATCAGCCTCACAACAGCGTAGGTCAGTGAGCTGGCGTCCAAGTCCTGGGAACCCTTTGAAGGCATGTGGATCTTGTAAAGTTGTGCAAATTTGTCCCACGACGCGCTGGACGGTTCACAAAGCAGCAGCGCTGATCTCCCACCGCATTGAAGGCGCTTAAGATCAACATTGACTTTAAAGACGCTCCAGATTTTTCGCAAGTCTCCACATTCCACATGTAGTAAATTTAGCGTTGACGGTATCTGCGAGGAAGTACTGATAAACAGCGTCCCATCCTCAGTGTGTTTCGGGGTAGACACTGCGATAAGTTCCTTGTAGTACTCCTTAAATGGCTGCGGCCATAGCTCAGGTAACTCGGGCAGCGCCACTTTCACCGCATGCACAATATCCTGCAAATTTCCAGTATACGACGTCATCAACGCCGAATATTTACGTTCTAGCGCCCATTGCTCGACAATGTACACTTCAAATCCAAACAGAGTTATCTCGTTGTAACACAAATCGCGGCTTTCTTGTAACTTTAAACTGTAAAGCGCCCTGTAATCTGGGAAGATAAATGCTGCTAAAGGAACCCCGTTTCCGGGCTCTGCGAACCTCTCTCCGGGGGAACGCTTCGGCGGAGACCTCCAACTATTACCATTCGGCGTTGACGGGGAGATATAAGTCTCTTCGTACATTACCTGGGGGTCACTAGTGGAATAATAATGATATTAACCCCATGTCCTTTGGATTCCTCATCGCTCAAAACCCTATTAGAAATAATTCACGTGACTAGAGAGTCACGTGATCAAGGTTTGACATCGGATCTCTATAAAACGATAAAAGGGAATTCAGCGAACCTCGACATACCTCCGGGTGAGCTACCTGTTTATCGCAAATCTCATCCAAGATGAATCATGAAGAGGCAATTTTTAGTATGTTAGAGGTTTAGAGACATTAATTGGCGTCAGTCACGAATTTTCGTGGCTTAATTTGGACTGATAGAGCTTGAGAACTAACCGAAAGAATAGGGTGCGCTGACATGACTTATGTGGAGCTTTACATTCCACTTGAACTGTCGAGAGAGATTGTGTGTGTTTTGGGCAATCTGGGAAACATTATGTTTAGAGATATGAACACCGATCTAAGTACCTTCCAACGCACGTACATCAATCAATTACGGAAATTTGACGAGATTGAGAGGCTTATTAACTACATGCGAGAAGTGACTGCGAAACATCCATTTGCATCATGGAAAAAGCGATCGGGGTCACAGGCTAGTGTTGAGTTCGATGGAAGCGCGTCTCAGCATTTTAACCTGGGGCGATTGGTGATGTCAATGCAGACGCACTCGATGGACTCCATCAGTAGCGCGACAGCAGAAATAACGGAATTCGAAGCGCGGGTGCGGCAGCTTGACGTCTCATTAGAGAATTTACAGAAACGTCTCAATTTGCTGGTCGAAAATCGGCATGCGGTTTTTGAGTGCGGCCGGTTTTTGGAAGTAAATCCCGGATTGGCTGGGCAGATTCCAAGCACGTCGCATCCCGACAGTGAAAGACTTGCCGTTGATGATTTCAGGCTTACGGAGGATGACGTGAGCGATACTTTGAGCGACACCTTTTCTTTTGACAGCCCGCCGCCACATACGAACAACTCTTCTCCTGACGATTCAGGGACAACAAATTTTGAGGAGAGTTTCAGCCAAAGCACTACGGTCATTGGTACCATTAGCAGGACGAAAATTGACACACTCAACAAGATTTTGTGGAGAATACTCCGAGGAAACTTGGTTTTTCATCATATTCCCATAGATGAACCTTTGTATGAAGGCGATACGCTGATAGAAAAGGATTGTTTTATTGTATTCACTCACGGTGAGATGCTAATCAGACGCGTAAGACGTGTCGTAGAATCTTTAAATGGCCGCATTTTTCCTTTGAAGGCCAGCCAAACTGATATTCAAAAGTTGAACGCTCAAATTACCGATCTGCAGCAGGTCTGTGATGCAACAGAACAGACTTTACAGACTGAGCTATTGATTGTATGTGACCAATTGACCCATTGGACGGCGTTGGCGAGAAGAGAAAAATACATTTATGCCACACTGAATTTATTCCGGCAAGAGTCTCAAGGCTTGGTCGCCGAAGGTTGGGTTCCTTCTAGTGAACTTGTTCGTGTTTCAAATGCTTTGAAGGAGTACAGTGAACAAATAGGTGCAGAAAACTCCGCAGTGGTAAGCGTCATCAACACTAACAAATCTCCACCGACTTTCCATAGGACGAATAAATTTACGGAGGCGTTTCAAACAATAGTTGATGCTTACGGTATTGCAACATATAAAGAAGTTAACCCCGGTTTGGCCACGATCGTTACTTTCCCTTTCATGTTTGCAATTATGTTTGGCGATTTGGGTCATGGATTTATTTTGTTTCTGGTTGGTCTTTATTTAGTCCTCAATGAGAGGAAAATTTCCGAGAGGCCTAGAGATGAAATTTTCGACATGGCCTTCACTGGGAGATACGTTATTATTCTGATGGGTGCCTTTTCCATTTACACAGGGTTTCTTTACAATGACATCTTTTCCCTCTCAATGACAATTTTTAAATCTGGTTGGAAATGGCCCTCTGATTTCAGGGAAGGAGATTCGATCGAAGCCAGCCAAACCAGTGTTTATCCGTTTGGATTGGATCCAGCTTGGCATGGTACGGATAACGGCTTAATCTTCAGCAATTCCTATAAAATGAAGCTTTCTGTTCTCATGGGCTTCGCGCATATGACATATTCCCTTATGTTCTCATTGGTGAATTATAGAAGACGCCACTCAAGAGTCGATATAATTGGTAACTTCATACCCGGATTTGTTTTCATGCAATCCATCTTCGGCTACCTGTCGTGGGCCATCATTTTTAAATGGTCTAAAGATTGGATCAAAGATGAGAAACCGGCTCCTGGCTTGTTAAACATGCTGATAAATATGTTTCTCTCGCCAGGTATAGTAGATGAGCAACTCTACCGGGGTCAAGCTTTCCTACAGGTTGTTTTGCTTTTGGCAGCTCTTGTGTGTGTTCCTTGGCTTCTTCTGTACAAGCCTTTGAAGTTAAGAGCTGACAACAAGCAAGCAGTTTCCCAAGGATACCAAAGCATTCATGACCAGAACATTTCTGAGAGCCTTCTAGAAACTCAAGCAAATGCGGGAGACGAAATGGTTATTACGGACTTTGATGAAGGGGAGCATGGGACATTTGATTTCGGAGACGTCATGATTCATCAAGTGATTCACACTATAGAGTTTTGCTTGAACAGTATATCACATACAGCCTCCTACTTGAGATTATGGGCTCTCTCATTGGCGCATGCCCAACTTTCGAGCGTTTTATGGACAATGACCATTGCGAATGCATTCAGTTCGGATAATTCGGGCTCACCTCTGGCGGTCATAAAAGTTGTATTTTTATTTGGCATGTGGTTTGTTTTAACAGTGTGCATTTTGGTGTTGATGGAGGGCACTTCGGCAATGCTACATGCTTTGCGACTGCACTGGGTCGAAGCCATGTCCAAATTTTTCGAGGGAGAGGGATATGCTTACGAGCCGTTCTCGTTCGATAAAATAGATGATAATATTTAGTAAATATTTTGAATGCATTAGTCGAACTTTGGAAATAAAATCCGATATTAATTTCCATTTTTGCCAAGAAATTTATAGTTCATCATGTTCGACAGAGGTGCGAGATTTTGATGTCTCGTCCATTGATGTGGTGGACTCGGAGTTGCTGAACGTTTCCGTTTTTGTGAATTCAGAGGTTTCCACTGGGTCCACTGAGGAGGTTTCATTGGAAGACAAAAATGTCGCTTTCCGCCGCTCTTCTCTTTTCTTCAGAACGCGCTGTCTCCTACTGTAAAGTGATGCCAGTTCCTTCAAATGGTGACTTTGAGTTTCCTCTAGGGCGAGGAGGAGTTCGGCCATGTTTTCTGAAGCAGTTTCATACCTTAGCTTGAGTTCAAACAGCTTTTCTCTAGGCTTCTCTTCTAATTCGTTTGATTCTAGCAAACTTTCAATTTCTGCTAGCAGGGCTTGCATCGTATAAATGTTCTTCGAAAAGTGAGACAGACTTTTTGAATGTTGCTTTGGTGTCTTAAGTTTCCAGTATTCAGCAGTCGCGTTCAAGCCGACTTCTTCGAATTCTGGCACCAAGGCTTTCAAAAATTCAGCTGTCGAATCGTTTTGCTTTTTTACGGCTTTCAAAAGCGTCGTACCATTACTGAAAAAGCTCTCAAACTGGTCAGTGTCCAAAGGCTCATGTTCGGAACGCGCAAATTCTTTAACGAGCGCACTCAAGGAAGTAATCCGAGCTATTCTTTCGTTCACGTCTTTCATAGTTGCCTGAGAGGCATCGTAATCGAGCCACTCCAGGTATTCAGATACTAGCTCTTTGAGGTCTTTGGCTTGAGAGAATGAAGCAACAACATTTCCGGCTTCTGAAAGCAAATTCCGAGAATTATAAAGCACAGCTTCCAAATAATTCTTGCGTTCTTGAAGCTTGGCTCGCTCTAAATCTTTCTGATTTAAGTTTTTAATGTTTTGCTTGAGTTTCAAAATATTCTTGCCAGTCAAACGTGCCAGCGAGCCTGGTCCATGAGCAAAAGTAATCTTTTGGGACTTTCCGGCCTCTGCTTCTTTCAATTTTGAAGCTTGCTCTGTTGTATTCAGCCTAACTGCATCGAGGACTTTATCAAGGAAACCTGGAGCGCTGCTATTACCAGAATTGATACAGACGCACTCGATTTGAGATATATCAAATATTCTGTCCCGAGACAGCGTAAATGTAGCGTTAAAGATAAGGCTACCTGCACAGTCATCCTCAGTGAACTTTCTTTTTGGCAGTCCTGCAAGAACATCTATCGTGGTGAAGAGATGGCCGTTTTCGTAGAGACCCAAGGTGAAGTTATCCATGCTATTTGTTGGTAAAACGAGAGAGGTAACATTCGGGTATTGACTGCCACGCTCAAACAGAACGGTAGGCGTATTATCGTCGAGCAAAGAAACAGAGTAGTCGAAATTAGATCTCTCAATTATATCCATGGGTTTCACTTGGAAGGACCCTAACGTCTGTAAGCCTCTCATGGTGACACCGTTAACAGAAGCCTCGTCCGCGTTCACACTTTTTGCGAGTTTTTCTCCGCCAAACGCGTTTGCCAGCTGCCTCTGCACCACAGGCATTCTAGAAGCACCCCCAGTTAATATGATGGCATTGACATCACCTATGGATATATTTCCCCCGCAAAATTGACCCTCGATCGCATCAACGACAGGCGTGATCGACTGGAGCACGGAGTCTTCAAGAATATCCTCGAATTCCTGACGCGTGACGGACGTTTTGAAGTCGAGGTCTTTATAAAGGGATTCAACGCTCACTGTGGCTTCCGAATTAGCACTTAAGATCAATTTCGCCTTTTCTGCAGCTTGATAAAGTTTGGCAAGACTTTTGTAGCTTGACTTTAATTCATCAGTGCGTACTTTGGGGTTCTGCTCTAGGAACCGATTTTGCAGAAAATCTGCCAAAGCAGAAGTAAATGAACATCCGCCCAGTGTTTTGTCGAAACCATATCCACAAAATTCTATCTTTATTGGAGCAGAATCATCATGAGAGCCCTCAATGGAAAATAGTGACGCTCTTGTAGAACCGCTGCCCATATCGTAAATAACATAGTGGGATGACTGTCCGGAGGCAAACTCTCGCTGTTTCCATGCATAGCTGAGAGCAACAGATGTTCCATCATCTATCAAGACAGCGTCAATGCCGTCTAAGAGTTTAGTGGCGTCCAACAACATTCCGCGTTGTTCTTGTCCGTAAAAATGCGGAACACCAACTGCAATCTGATCTACCACATCACTACCACCTTTTTCTTTCAATAACGCATTGGATCTTTGAACAAATTGATCCAAATTCATTGCCAGGATCTCCTCAACAGGAAATTCGTCTCCATATACTTTAAACGCTACGGTTCCGCGATCAGTTTCGGCAAATAATACCCCAGGATTTTGCTCATGGTACAAAAGATGGTCGTCGTCAAACTTCTTGCCAAGTAATTGTTTTACATGCAACAAGGCATTCCCAGGGTATCTTACCCGAACTGCATCGATTCCTGATCCATATAAGCGTTCTAGATCTCCTTCCGTTTTCTTGAATGCCACTCCAGATACCTCTTTCCGTTTCGAATCAGGAGTTAAAACCAATTCTAAAGGTGCATGTGGTGAAACCACCATTGCCTTGCTGAAATCTTGACCATAATCAATTCCAACAAAACCCGCTAAACTCAACGGGATCAGACCCAAAAAGATCACCAAAAGTTCTCTTGAAAGCATCAATGGCCTTGCAGTCAATTCGATATGACGGTTCCAGTTTACTAGAGCAGCTAAAGTGCCTTACTTGTTTGTTTTTTAATGGACACCTGTCTTGATCACTTTGCCTCTAACATCATCAAGAAATTTTTCAAGATCATCAAGTTCAACCTGTAGAGGGTCCCACCGCACCAGCTTCAATCTGCTTCGATTGGCCACGCTTCAAGGAATTTTATAACGAAAAAATTGCGGGGAACGTGATGGCTTCGGCAGAAGCGAACAACGGTTTTAACAGTAATATAAACCGTGCCCAAAGCCGGTTTCAAAGTAGAATGGTAGCGCATAATGGGTTTGATGACAGTAGGAATATAAATGGCAGGGATGTACGGAATAGATCCAGATACGATGACAGAGGGTATGAGGATGATAGGAGATCGTGTTACGGTAACAGCAGGGGCCCCAAGAACTTCAGAAATGAATCACGCTACCGAGGTAGTAGTAGACCTCGGTCTTCGCATTATAACAGAACCCAAGAAATACACAGAGGACGTCAGTTAGAACCGAATTGGGATGAGATTATACCTATAGACCAGCGTGTACATATGAGGCTGACTAAATGGGACGTAACGCCTAAAGGATTTGAGAATGTTCCTGCAGAAAGAGCCAAATTATCGGGACTTTTCCCGCTGCCTGGCCAGCCACAAGATATTGATAAATCCAAATTAGAGGGAATTGTAAGTAGTGGTGCCTTAACTCGCCGCACTCGCGTCCTTTTCGAGGACTTAACGGCTACAAATATGGCAGCTGTCCGCGCTAATCGTCGTTTGATTTTGACGTCGTTAGACGCGAACTTTGCATGCGATCAAACCGTGATAGAGCTCATAGCTGAGTTTGCGAGAGATCTAGAAAGTGTGGAAGAATATGAACTATTGCGAGGAAAATGGCTAGAAGACCGAAGACTTTTGTTAGAGTTTTCCAAAGAGGAAGCGGTCACGCTTGTACTCGCATGCCAAAAATTCATCGAGAAAAGACTGAACACCAAGTTTGTTTGGCAGAGGCCCGGCGAGTTTGTACAGAAAGCTGCTGCGGACGATCCCATATGTGGTGGGAAAGTAATTGCCGTGCATGACATCCAGGAAAACGATGAAGAAACTATCAGACACTTTCTCACGAGTAAAGGCATTCAAATCTCTTGGTTGAAACTCATCAAAGTTGGGAAAGGATTGGAATCTACTCAGAGTGTCTTGTTTGAGCCAGAAAATGAAATACAACAGCTCAAGGATCTGAAATGGTCGCGACCAAACGACTCCAAATTGAAGCAAAATTTTACAGATATCACTTTCCAAAATTTGCCACGTCTTGTCTCGAAGCAGGGACACGAGGCCACAAGAGTGCTGATGCTATTGAATTGCATTGATCCGATGGATCTTAAAGATGATGAATTTGTTGCAGAGATAGAAGACGCCATGCAGAATTCTGATGTCATGTTAAGTTTCGGTGAAATAGAGAGTGTGAAAATTCCGGTACCCAGTGCGGACTATCGTATGAGTTTCGACACGATTTCAGACAACGTTGGCAAAATATATGTCAAGTTCAAAGAACTCCAGGGCGCAAAAAATGCAATGAACAAGCTTGCAGGGTCGAAATTTAATGACAGGACCGTGCTGTGCTCTTATTTCAGCGAAAGAGATTATAACATGAACGTTTTGTAGAGGATGAAAAGTATATAATGCGAACTTATGCTATCACAATGTCGGGATTTGTGAGATGCTGCACTAATAAATCGTAAACATTCGAGGGAATCTTAGCAACAAAGCCGACGCCAAGCCGTATGATGTCCTCTGCGTCAAATTCAGGGAATTGTCGCAACAAGTTCATCGGCGAATCGCTTTTCAGGATCTGCGCTCGTATCACGACGAGTTGTGCGACAATGAAGAGAATGTTCATGTGGAAACCGTACGCAAACATGAAATCCCATAGCTTACAAACTTGATCCAGTGGACGCGTGCAGCTCGAGAGCGTCAAAATAGAAGGTATTCCGTAAATCTCTGCGGTCAAAAGGCTGTCTGCGAGAAAGCTGCTCAATTTTGGATCAATGATCTTGACACAGATGTCAAGAAGTTTCGCTCCGTTATGGACACCGGTCAAACTGCTGTCCAAGTAAGTCGGGATATGTTTGTGACATAAATTTCGGAACAATCGGTAGGCCATGGGTTCGGACGGGCATATGTACAGCAGAGGCGCGACAAGCACATTCATGCCTTGCACGTACGAGCTTAGCGTAAAGGTGTCTTTGTCGTCTACGAGCTGCTCGGAATCAAGTGCTTGCCATGCGTAACAGGAGAGACAGCGGGTGATTGAGTCTTCGGGGACGCGTTTGACAAATTCTGTGTCTGTGTTCAGCGTTCTGAAGGTATCGTTCTTGATCTTGGTATACACTGAGTGCGGTGGCGGGCCTCTCCGCATGAGTGATACGTAATCAGAGGTGGCTCCGTCCATAGAACAGCGTGTTAGCACTGACCATACGTTACAGCGCAGTCGGCCCGTGTTTCTGTCCACAGCAGGCGGAAGACCCTCGCTGAGCACGAGATATCGGAGTTGCGCGAGCGACGAGTGGACAATAAGTGGTTGTTGAGCGATGAATTTCTCGATAGAGGACATGCGCGATGCGGTGTGTCGCTGTGTTTACGTTTGGATCGGCAAAGTAGACGGGCAACGAAACGGAGAATGGGGAACGAAGGCGAAACAGAGGAGTGAGATATAACTTTGAGAGCAGTGATATGACGTGAAACGGACAGGGAGGGGGCCACTGTTGCTCGCAGGGTTGAGCGTGGCCTGGGAGTTATGATAAAGCGGTTAGATGAAGTTCGTATCGAAGCGATGATTCGCTTGAAGTTAGTCACGTGATTTACCTCATTATTTGTCACTTTTAACGACATACTGGAAAAGGTAGCGGGCTCATTTTCTGTAAGGCTCAAAGGGCAGATTCACCCGTGTAAAATTGTAGAGTGCTATCGCACTGGGAACTTATGTAGAGTATATTTGAGGAGCAAGAGATGTCAAGCAGTCGTTGTGTAACTATGGGACTCTCGCGGTATATGAGCGAGTTGGAAGCGTGCGTGGTTTTGCAGTCGTGGCAGAAGTTGAAAACAAAGTGCGCAAGTAGTCACGAGAATTCGAAATGTACTTCAATTTAGGTTCTTCCTGCGGTAGTTTCAGCAAGTGGCCAAGATTATCTCTTTGAAATGTCGTGATATTGAATCAGTTTCTTTAAAATTTCATAATCCGAGATCCAAGGCGTAGAGTTATTTGCGGGACATAAGATAGGTTAAGTCTGGCAGTGCACGGCATGCCAGAGGTCAGGGGAGCATTTCAGGATAGACGCTGCCATGGATGCTAAAATCGAGTCATGATAACGACTTCACGTGAGAAAGATGCCAGAATTTGCAAGAACGTATTTAACCCGCTCAAAAAACGGTGAAATGTGAGGATATACGTCCAAAATTGTGTAGCCAGCCGATAACTGGAGTTGACTTATATTGGGGCTCTCCAACCATTTGCAGCGTTCTAAAGGTCCTACTTCTGCAATGCTAGTATCCTTCATTTTTAGACGCCGCGTCGTCTTCAAGGCTTGAAATGGCGTCCTTTTCGGAAGAAGTGTCAACCTGTGAAAGTGTGTTTTTTCGATCGCTGCTATCGTCATCACGGATAAGACGGTCGTAGGACTCCAACCTTTTCGATCTTTAGCCAGTCCATAAAAAGATCATTATCACGGGGGATAATATGTTCATTTGGAATGATGCGTTTCTATTCCCTATTTGTGGCATTTTGTCGAGACTTACCATCGTCGGTAGTCAATACATTTTCGAACTGTTCATCTGTTGGAAGAAATTGCGAGATAGGATATCGTCCAGTTGCTGTATCACGTGATCAAGACGACAGATTAAAATAAGACGGAACTGGACGGACGGTTCGTGATCAAGATGAAGTCCTAGGAACCGAATGATTCCAGCGATAATGATGAGGCCGCCGCACTCCGTCATCACTGCAAGAGTAACCTACTACGTGGCGTAATGATGACTCGCCGTCAACCTTGGAGAAAGTAACGGATTCCGAAATTGGAACGGCGTCACAAAAATTGTATAAAAGGCATGATCGAAAATAGCCACGGAGAGATATAAGTACTCAACAGCTTATCAGCCTTATTATGTAGATCAGCTATGAACGAATTGAATGAGCAGTTCAGACATTTGTTGACTACCGACAATGATAATCCTCAACAGTTTAAGTTATCATCCGTGTCGGCCCTGTTGACGTCGCGATATCTTATATCGATGGCGAAATAATGACGTTTGCCCTTTAATTCTTGTCACGACGCCGCGTTACTGACATCAGAAGGTGCACCGTAAATCGCGTTTTCGAAAACTTGGTCTTGCAGAGGGTTTAAATAGCCCATCAATAACATGCGCTTTACTATGAGGGGTGAAAAAGGCCACCCATTGCCAAGAGCACCGTACACGGCGAAAACCAACACCGCGTGACCACAGCACAGCACCCCTACACCCTACACCTACACCTACACCCCTGCACCCAACCTCCACACCTTTTCACTCACGCCCAAACTGCACCCTGCACTGCACCCTGCGCTACACCCTGGACTGCATGCCCCGCGCAGAAACGCCCGCATATGCTCTCTCACACCCTGCACACACCTGCCTAGAAACGCATGCACACCGTCCACTCACACCCTGCACCCAGGAATGCCTCCCGCACCCGCCCGCCAACCGCCATATATATGAACACGCTGGTCGGTCCCCCACTTAGGCGCTGTCTTGTCTCGACTTCTTCTTATACATAACCCATACCCCACCACCCATGCCCAGTCTCCCCCGCATGGCCTTCGGTGCGCTAGCCGCGCTTGCGGCTCTTTCCCCTGCCGTAGCCGCCGACACAAAAGTCTTCAACTGGACTACCGGATGGGGCAACTATGACGCCGACGGTATGCTCGAGCGGCCAGTCATCACGTGCAACGGCCAGTTCCCTTGGCCCGACGTCCGCGTCAATAAGGGCGACACCGTGCTCATCTATCTGACCAACGGGTTTAACGATCGCAACACGTCTCTCCATTTACACGGGCTGTTCCAGCGCGGTACCAACCAGATGGACGGCCCACCGGGCGTTACCCAGTGCCCCATTGGTCCGGGCGACACTTTCCTGTACAATTTCACTGTCGACAGTAACGTGGGCACCTACTGGTACCACTCGCACACTGCGGGTCAGTATCAGGACGGGTTCCGCGGAGTGTTCATAATCGAAGACGACGCGTTTCCTTACCACTACGATTACGACATCCCGTTGCAGATCGGCGAGTGGTACCATGATACGACAGACGTGCTCATCCCCACATTCATGAACCTGTATAATCCCACGGGCGCAGAACCCATCCCGCAGAATTTCATTCTGAACAGCACACGAAACCTGACCTGGAACGTCGAACCGGACAAGACCTATTTGTTGCGGCTCGTCAACACGGGCGGGTTCGTGTCGCAGTATTTCTGGATCGAAGACCATAACATGACCGTGGTCGAGGTCGACGGCGTTTACACGGAACAGAACACCACGGACATGATCTACATTACGACCGCGCAGCGGTACTCGGTGCTCGTGCACACCAAGAACGACACGTCGCGTAACTTCGCGATCATGAACAAGGTGGACGACACGATGCTCGACGTGGTGCCCAGCGACCTCGAGCTGAACAGTACTTCGTACATGGTTTACAACTCTAGTGCGGCGCTACCGAAGCAAAACATCGTCCAGGAACTGGAGTTCCTGGACGACTTCTATCTCGTTCCGTACGAGAAACAGGAAGTGCTACCGGAGCCGGATTACACCATCACTGTGGACGTGATGATGGACAACCTCATCAGTGGAGTCAACTACGCATTTTTCAACAACCTCACGTGGACATCGCCCAAGGTGCCAACGCTACTGACAGTGCTGAGCGCTGGCGAGAACGCAACGGACGCGTCTATCTACGGGTCGAACGTCAATGCGTTTGTGTTGGAGAAAGATGAAGTGATCGAACTTGTGCTGAACAACCGCGACACTGGTACACATCCGTTCCATCTACACGGACACACGTTTCAGGCCCTAGTGCGCGACCGCGAGTACAACGCGGACCTGGGCGAACAAGTGCACCTATACAACTCCAGCGATCACCCGGCGTTCCCGGAGTACCCCATGATCCGTGACACTTTGTACGTACGCCCGCAGTCCAATTTTGTCATTAGATTCAAGGCCGACAACCCAGGTGTGTGGTTTTTTCACTGCCACATCGAGTGGCATTTGCTGCAGGGGCTTGCGATCGTGCTCATCGAAGATCCGCTCGGAATCCAACAAAATGCGTCTCAGGCGCTTTCCGACAATCACCGCAAGTGTTGCCAGAACCTGGGCGTGCCCATCGAGGGCAACGCTGCCGGCAACTCGGCCGATTTCTTCGACTTGGCCGGCGAAAACGTCCAGGAAAAATCCATTCCTCCCGGGTTTACCAAGAAGGGCATCGTTGCCATGTTTTTCTCGTGTCTCGCAGGTGTTCTGGGGCTCGTTACCATCGGCGTCTACGGGCTCATGGGCATGAACAACGCCGAAGAAAGAGTCATGGCCGACTTCGACATCTCGCCCGACGAGGTTCTGCAAGAGGCAAGTCGCGACGACGACAACACCAACCATTCTTCTGTCGAAAAGGAGGTCGCACTCGAGACGGTCGAAACCAAGCACTAACTCGCCGCACTGTGTATAGATAAGACAAGACACTAATTCGTTATAACTAATACTAATTCTACTGAGCGAACCCGTGGAAAGACGGTCTGCGATGCCAGATGATGCTCTGCAGGAGCCTCAGGCTCCTCCGGTTCTTGCGTGAGTAGGTGATAATTACTGGAATGCCCCATATAGCGGTTGAAAAATTTATAGATCGATCGACTTCAAACGAACAGGCATCTCAACAGAACAAAGTGACCTAATTTGACATCCATTGAACGCTTAGAGCTTGGAATCGATCAAGTATCCCAGAGTTTCAACCTTCAGGAATATATTGCGAAAGCCGTTTTGACCCTCGATCCGAGATGCAAACCGAATTACGGCCCGAAGAGCCCTGTACATGTGCGAACTGCGTGCAGACCACCAAACCCAAGAAACAAAGGAGATCCGTGCGATACAAGTTCAGTTTCACCAAAAATTTGCGTGTGGATCGCACGAATTATAGAGAAATCACTTCGATGTCTTACTTGGCGCGAAAGTATGGCGAAAAGAGTGCTGTGAACATTCGGAAATTCATCAAATGTATCCATCGGAAAATCAATATTGGGGTCTCAGCGATCAACGACGAGCAGATCGAGCAAATGTGGGCCTGGGACAAAGTCAAGCTTTTTCTGCTACTGGTGACTCTTTCCCAGCGAGGAGGACCCGATTACTGGATCGACAGAGACGGCGAATCAAAGGAAAACCTGAAACCAAAAAACGCAGATCCACCCGTGGAGAAAAATGAAAAACGGTTCTACACTTTGACCGAACAGATAATGCGTTTCAATCTAAATGAAGATTTCAACGAGCTGATACACGACGAAAACTACGTGCTGAGCTCGATTTGGGCCAATTTTATGGAAGGTCTCATAAACCACTACCTTGAAAAAGTGATTATACCGCAGAGCGAGATGAAAGTGTGCCAGCAGCTTTACAAGCCTATGATGAAGATCATTTCACTTTACAACGAGTACAACGAACTCATGGAGAAAAGTGAACGCAGCGGGTTTCTTCCGCCGGAGGACTCTGATCGTTCCGACCTTCCAGACGAACATGATGGCATGGCTGAGGGCGGTAAATTAAAGACTGCACAGCGGCTGCTGTGGCAAGCTCGACAAGATATACCGAAGACTATCAGCAAGGAGCTTACTTTACTGTCTGAAATGTACTCGACACTGTCGACCGACGAACAAGATTATGAGCTCGGCGAGTTCGTCTCAAGTGCCGAGGAGTACATTGAAATGGAGTATCTACCGAGCTTGACAGAGGTTTTATTCGATAATTGTAGCTCCAACAACTTCTGGAAGATAATGCTCGTTTTGGAGCCCTTTTTCTATTACATTGAGGACACCGGTGAATCCACCGATTGCATGAAATCTCAAACCACCACTTCCGCACCCGATCCGAGGGTTGTAACTCTAGAAAAGATCTGTGAAGTAGCAGCAAGACAAGAATGGGCCTAGTTTCGTATACAATCGTATACAAACAACTATTTAACTTTGTTTACTGTTCTTCTTGTTGTATGACGGAAGCTCATCGTAGCGACGATTGTTGATATTCTTGTATTTTTTCATATCTTTGAATTTACCAATGACCCGGCGCCTCTTGCTTAGCGCAAACCGTCTGACATCGCTAATATCACGGTTATGCCTGTTCAAATACAAGAAGAAATACATGCCCACACAGGCAATAAGAACGGCTGTGGGAATCGATAGCGCCACGTAGTACCAAGTGTCGTCCATAATTCCAGCATCCTCCAGAGCCAATTGTTCTTTAGTTTTCTTGAAAACTCTCGAGCCAAGCGCGATATTTATGAGCAAACCATGCTCCAAATGATTGAATTCATCGTCCGGGATGGTAGATGGTTGAACCGACAAGACCACCTTACGCTCATACTTGCCATTTAGCCATTCTTCGTAAATTTCAAGCGGATATAATCCATCGACGTTTCTTATCCATTCTGAACTGAAAAATGTCGCACGCATATCTCTTTTGCCAAAACCCTTTTCATGTGATTTTTCTCTCACATAAGACAAGTGAATCCGGACTTTTTCAGCGGTCTCGTCTGTCAGCTCGCTCCGGAAGAAGTTGGTGTACCAAGTCACAAAATAGGTCTTACCAACTTTCAACTCGCTGTTTTCACGCGGGGTGCAGAAAGGCTCGCTTGGAACATTCTTGGCAAGTCCCTTGTTAAGGTACCGGTCTGGAGTACATCTGATAATCGGATTCAAAGACACGTACGTCTTGTCTTCATCTTCAAAGACTTCTTCTTCGTAGACGTCATTGGGATCCATGTTGTGTGCTTGCAACTCTTCATAGTCAAAAGTCTTGGTGCTGACGGTCTTAAAATAGGTGCTGTAGGTTGGCGACGCATTTTCGGTGCGCCCATTTTTTATTTTAGGTTTGATCGTCTTAGGCAGACCTTCTTTATTCAAAGAAACCCAAGGTTCTAAAGGATCTGGCGTCGCTAAGGGCTTACGAGAAAACGTAACCCCCGCGATCACGGTGGGAGTGACAACCTCCTTGACAGTAGAATAGATTGTTCTCATCCACGGTCTGATTTCTTCCGAGCTTGTTGTCTTGGGCTTCGGTTCAATAACATTACGTATACCCAAAACAAAGCTGTCAAAACCTACTAAAAGGAAGATCACAATATTCAGCAAATGCATTGCATGCAATTTGGAGCTTGTAAAGGTCTCAAAGGGGGTCTAAACGACGATCAAAGACCTGTTCAAGTTTGAGTGATTTATACTGATCTAATAGTGAAAAATGTCAAATAACGATTGAATTTTTCACAACAAGAAGATGAGCTAAAAGGTCAAGTGCTAACCAAATCGAAAGACAAGTTCATAGCCAGTTGATGGTTAAAATGGACAACTCTGGATTAATTCGGTTAGTGTCAACGAATTTGGCGTTCGAGCAATTGTGGGACAACGTTAGAGAGACCCAGTTGACCAATTTGAATTGCTGGATTTTGACAGGACGTCCTGCGCACAAGTTGAGCAACGATGATGACGACATATGCGATGAATGGGTACTTCCAGTAGAATTGCTACAATACCGATGTGGCCGATTAACATTGGAAATTTTGGATACCGTCTTCCACTCAGTAAAAAGTGAACGCATCACATTGGCAATAGTGAGCGACGACGGAACCATCGTGTATTATTTTATCTACAAGGGACTTCACAAGCCGAAAAAGAATTAGACGACGTAAAGGGACCACACTTTCTGCACAGCAGCGTATGTGGACATGAGCGGATTGCCGTTTTCTGCAAAATTTGGCGGTCTTTGATCGAGACTGCATGCCAGCTTGTCACATCTTCGGAGCTGTTCCTGGATTTCCTGGTATGCCTCTGCACCCAAAAATTCGTGAAGATAGTCACCGATTCGCTGGCCACGTGGTAGGGTAAGCTGTACGTGCAGGTTCGCCCATAATAGAAAATCGGCTGCAATTACTTCTTTGTTCAGACGACCGCGAGCCTCAAGCCACGTCTTGAGTTGCTCGCCCAGCTCTGACAGATACTGGACACTGTGACGTGTGTCGGCGAGCAATTCGCGGCCACGTGACTTGGCACGACTCGAAAGTTTCAAGACGGAAGATTGGGTCATCTCCTCAACGGCAACGTTTTCGTCGCTCTCCTCGTCGTCTGGGTGACTCAGATATTTGAGCTTTTCGCATTTCTTACGCGCCAGAGCTCGGTACCGCAGTGGCGTGTTGTACCAATACGGCCATTGCAACAGATGTGCGAAAACTTTGCGCGTGAACTGCTCGTAGTTCTCTCGCTCAAGATACAGCTGGTACTGTGTCAAAGCGCAGATCTGGGTCTGCGCGAATTCCAGCAGGGCCGTTTCTAGTGCGCTTTCTTGCTCAAAGAGGTACTGGGCTATGTTCCCGTACCCGTATATGCTCTGGCCCTCCTCTATTAGCACCGGAAGCTCTCCGTTAGGGGACAGATCCGTGTTGTTCGAGAACACTATGCATATCTTTTTGTTACATTTCTGACTGCTCAAAAGCCAGAAAAGCGCTATACTTTCGGGCGAGACCAAGTTGGGCTTCCCCTTGAAGCCCCACAAATGCAGATTCCCCACCATTAATCTGACAAAGGTGTCCTTCAGATGTGTTCTTTAGCAGGGTTTACTGCGTGTGATAGATCCTCTCGATGCATCTTGATCTTGTACTTACGATCATTTGGGTGAATATACGTACACAGTGATGATTACGGGAAGATGAGTATCAAACGGGTTCTTCGTGAACGAGGACGTTGGTAAATAAGAACTTGAGATTGATATTGAGACGAATATCTAACTAGTAACTAATTAGCCATACAAGTAGTGAGTGTGAAGCGGAAGTCTTGATCATCTAATTCATATTAGACCAAAGATTGAGTACTTGCCACTATGTCAGCCACGCCGGAGCTAGTAAAAAATGGGGAGACGGCTTTCGTGCGTCCCACGAAGCGTGAGCAGCGATCAGAGAATGACGTTGAAAATAGGTTGAAAGATTTGATTGAAGAGGAACCGAGTGATATGAGTCTTTACGTCGAACTTATAGATCACTACGCAAAGGCTGAGCAAGTTGACAAGGTGAGAGAGGTTTTTGAAAACTTGCACGAGAAATTTCCGCTATTTTCTGCCTTATGGACAGTGGAGGTTAATTATGACTTGGAAAGAGACGAGTTCGGGCACGCAGAATCGCTGCTCACGCGGTGTTTGTCGGGGAGCTGTGAGAACAACGACCTGGGCTTATGGTTTATGTACTTGGACTATGTCCGTAGAAAAAACAATTTAATTACTGGCGGTGAAGAGGCCCGGGCGGTTGTTTTGAAAGCGTTTGACGTGGTTGCCACCAAATGTGCTAGCTGGGAACCGCGCTCTTCTGTGTTCTGGAATGACTACTTACTATTTTTGGAGCACTGGAAGCCTGTGAGTAGATGGGAAGAACAGCAAAGAACAGACTTGACCAGAGCTCTTTATAAGCGAATGCTGTGCATTCCTTTCGATGGTCTGGAAAAGAGTTGGAATAAATACACGCAGTGGGAGCAGGACGTCAACCCTTTGACGGCAAGAAAATTCATTGCCGAGCTTTCTGCTAGCTACATGAAAGCTCGTTCGCTATATCAAGAATGGTCGAACGTTACTAAGGGCCTGACAAGAGCTTTACCGACCCGATTTTCGCAATGCAATAAACAGACATTACCAAGACCTGGCGGTTACGACGTTGGCCAACTGAACACGTGGATGCAGTGGATCAAGTGGGAATCTGCCAATAAGCTTGACTTACCTGAAGACCAACACACCCAAAGACTGGAATATGTGTATAAGCAGGCAATCCAGTATCTTATTTTTGCTCCAGAGATTTGGTATGACTACTCTATGTTTAGTGAACCAGACAAGGCGCAGGAAATTCTGGCTCAGGGAGTTAAAGCAAATATGGCATCGCTCACGCTGACCTTCAAGTTGGCAGAGCATTACGAGATACAGAATGAACCAGAAAAAACGCAGCTTTGCTTCGAAGACTGTATCAATCGATTAACATTAGAGTATCATATGTTAATAGACGAAGATCGAGAGGAAGAGGTCTTCAGTCAAAGGCAAAAGCTCACAGTTCTTTATTGCATATACATGAATGCCATGAAAAGGGTCTCTGGGCTGTCGGCGGCCAGAAAAGTTTTCGGGAAATGCCGGAAACTTAAGCAAATGTTAACTCATGAAATCTACATTGAAAATGCTCATTTGGAGTTCCATAACAACTCCAATCACAAGACTGCTTGCAAAGTTTTGGAGCTAGGTCTGAAATACTTCTCTGATAATGGAGAATATATCAACAAATGTTTGGATTTCCTTATCCTTATTAATCAGGAAACATTAGTTAAATCCCTGTTCGAAACATCTTTGGATAAGGTGGTCGATTTGGATCAATTGCAAATTATCTACAAGAAAGTCATCAATTATGAATCGAAGTTTGGGAGTTTGAGTAGTGCGTATTCCATCGAGAAAAGATTGTTCGAAAGGTTTCCTCACTTGGAGAAGATTGAAGTATTTTCCGATAGGTATCAGATCCAAGACAAAAACTTCATTAAATCACTCGAACTGACCTATCTAAGCTCACAGGATGAGAACATGAGTTTAGAATCAACCGATACGGAGGGACGTCGCAAGCGTACCCGGAAGTCCTCCAAAACTAATGACGATGGCAACAAAAGACAAAAAACGCAAGAGTTCTTGTCTGAAAATCTCGTTAATTTGTTGAAAAATCTTCCAAAGCGACAGTACTTTAAGACTGCTGTCCTTGATGCCGAAAAACTGGCCAAATATTTGAGTGAAAATGTCAGTATTCCAGCAAATGTCAATTAAGAATGCATTGTTATATATTGTAAAAGTGTTTATTATTCTGCCGGCTGATCAAAGCTTCAATAGCGCCAACTTGGCTCAACTACGAGCGATAATCCCCATTGATGGTAACGTATTCTTGAGTCAAGTCACAGGTCCAAAATTGACATTCCTCCTTACCTGTGCCTAGGTCAACTAGAACCTCGAGATCTGGCAAACTTAGAATCTGAGACGCTCTCTCCTCATCTACATCCAGTTGTGGTACGCCATCAACGATCAACTTCAATTCGCGAGGCTCTGACCCATCCGTGGAGACAAAACTTACGTTAATTTTCGATTGATCCAAAGAGGCCACATCGCCAAGCTTAGCATATCCAATCGCACACAAAATTCTACCCCAGTTGGCATCCTGGCCATACAAGGCAGTTTTCACTAACATGGAGTTCGAAATTGCTTCAGCCATGACCCTGGCATCCGCAAAATTCAACGCATTTTTAACATTCACGGTAACGAATTTTGTGGCACCTTCTCCGTCCCGAACCACAAGTTGAGCGAGACGTTGAGCAAAGCTCGTAACCTGATCTTTGATTTGTTCGTATTCTGGGGACGTAACATCAACAACTGCGGTGTCAACAGCACCATTGGCTAGCATACAAATCGTGTCGTTTGTGCTCATGTCGCCATCGACAGATATGCAATTGAAGGATCTTGTCACAGCGGAGGAAAGCATGGATTGTAAAGCATTGCTCTTTATAGGCAAATCGGTAACAATAAAACCCAAAAGTGTGGCCATGTTAGGACAAATCATACCTGCACCTTTCGCCATGCCTGTAAGCGTATACTCAGTGCCACTTGGCAGCTTAAATTTGGAAGTGATCAATTTAGGGAAAGTATCGGTGGTGCAAATCGATTTGGCAAGATTCAACCAGGATTCATGATCGTCACCAAACTTGTCTGCATCAAAGATTTGGTCGATACCACTGGAGATTTTGGCCATTTGTAAACGTTGGCCGATAACGCCCGTCGACATTACCAACGTCGCATTTTCAGAACCAATTTTTTTATTGACCACACCAACCATCTGCTTTGCGTCTTGCAATCCAACATCACCAGTAACAGCGTTAGCGCATCCAGAATTCACTACAATAGCATCAACTCCTTCACCTCCCGAAATATCTAAAACCTTCTTCGATAATAGAACTGGCGCAGCTTTGAATTTGTTCGTGGTGAAAACAGCTGCTGCAGTGGATGGTCTGGATTTATTGGTGTTCAAGATAATGCCAAGGTCGAGGTTCCCGTTCTTTTTAACCCCAGATGCTAAAGAGCCCGCTTTAAATCCTTGAGGAAACACTCCAGACTTTGGTACATAAAGAGAGTACTTATCAATAGACTTCACAGCTTTTTGGCACGTAGAAAGTGAAATTTTCATCTCTGCTTAACGATTGATAACCACTGAACAAAAAGCTTGTTAGAAATTAGTAAAGCTTATCCGCTTAAAAGTGTTTTTTTTAAGCGTAATGGTTAGCTTGCAACCGTGAAAATCAAATAGTGACTAAGAGTCACAACTGTCAGGACTGTCGAAACTGCCAAGACTCGTAGTTTCCAAAAGGCGATTAAGAGTCACAACAGTCAAAGCGGTTGAGGCTAATAGTAAACAACACTAAAATTAAAGAATAAACCAAATTTTCATATTTATGACTCTTCTTTCTCTGATATTCAAACGTTACATGATATATATCTGAATGCAATTAAGGGGAAAGATAGCAGAATGGAATCTATTAAGTGATGACGGATAGGGTGGAGATTTGTGAATTAAAATCACTCTGTTTTGTGAGAAGTAGTAGAAGAACCTTCAGCGTTTTGCTGACTTGGGATCTCTTCCTCATTTGAAGGCTTCTTTTGGAATAGAGTGTAACCATTGACACCTTGATTGGCCTCTTTCTCAAGTTCCTCGTTCTCGTCGTCGTTCATCTCTTCTTTCTCGAGATCGTCGTCATACAGACCCATGGCGTTAGCATAGTCCTCAATTTCAGAGTAAGACAACTTGGGCAGAGTCGCGGCGACTCTCCATGGCATAACACCATCGGTATGAGACTTAGCGAAAATGATGTCGATTTCTTCCAAAGATCTACCAGCAGTTTCTGGGTAGAAGAAGAAAATGACTGGGATGTAGATCCAGTTGATCACGGCGAAGAAGAGATAGCAACCCCATTTAGCATCGGAAATGAAAACAGGCGTGAACATGACAACGGCAAAGTTACAGAGCCAGTTGGTACAAGTAGAGAACGCGTTGGTGGCCGAACGAACACGCATGGAAGCGATTTCTGGTGGGTAAATCCAGGGTAGCGACAAAATGGACATACCAAAGAAACAAATGAACAAAAACAGACCCACAGCAGCACCCTTTGCATTCTGGGTAGTGTCCTTGATTAGACATGCAAAAGTAATGGTAAAAGAGACGGCTTGACCGGTGGCACCGAGTAAAAACAGGTTACGTCTACCCAAGCTCTCGACCAAGAAGAAAGATGGGATAGTGAACAAAGCGTAAATGGTGGAAAAGACACCACCCAAAATCAACGCTAGTCTTCTCTCGAGACCGATACTTTGTTCGAAAAGAACGGTCGAATAGTAAATGGCCGCGTTACAACCAGTAAACTGTTGAAAAAACTGGGTAGAAGCGGCAATTAGCGCTCTCTGCAAGTTTTGGGTGTTACCTCCGGTGAACAAGTCCTTGATAGATCTCTTTTCGTGTCTAAATCTGTTAACGGCGTCTTGAATCAAAGTGGCCTCGGCGACAATCGAGTCATCGTTCTCGTCGAGATTGTCCAATTTCGCTAAAACATAGATGGCTTCCTCGCGCCTGCCCTGGGACATGAGCCACCGAGGCGAGTCGGGAAGTTCGGAAATACCAACTAGAAGCATGATGGCGAACACGATCTGCATGGCGACGGGGAAACGCCATTGGACCGAGGAGTCGACAAACGACAGCCCGAAATCGATCCAGTACGCAATCATGGTACCTACCGCGATGACGGAACCTTCCAAGTTGACCAAGATACCTCTGTTTTCCGGCTTGGACATCTCGGATTGCCACACTGGAATAGTAGATGTGTTCAACCCGGTGCCCATACCAGTGATGACTCTGCCGATGACAAATTGACCGAGACCCCAGTGGGGCCCAAATGCAGCTGTAGAGATGACGGTACCGACGATAGTAGCGATGGCGCCAATGATCACGAGCGGCTTACGCCCGATGTGTTCACCGCGGAACATGACGAAGAGGGATCCAAAGAAACATCCAATTTCGTAACAACTAGTTACAGCACCTTGTACGACGACCGGCTTACGCAAGTCATCGTGTGCTTTCGTCGCTGGGAACTCAGAGTTGAATTGGTCACCGGTGATAAGACCGGACATAAGACCCTGATCGTATCCGAAAAGTGAAAACCCAGTCACCGCGGTAATCGTGATGGCCAGACGTAGAGCGCGACCCGAAAGGCCCATGGTGCTGGTTCTGCCGCCAAATCTGAGTTTTCCAACCATAGCGTTATGTGTAAAAGTCTCGAAAGTTAAGACGACGGCGATTTCTTTAAGATCTGTTAAATCTGTAAAATCTGTAAAATATTAGTCTCTAAAAGTGTCTAGTCTCTAAAATCTCTAAAACAACTCGAGATGCGAACTCTTGTCACTTGTTCAAAATGGACTCGCTAATTCTTGATGAACTCTTGAGATTTCTCCACGAAAATTTCCCAACAGACTTAATAATCACCCGCTTTTATATACATCTGCAACGTCTGAAACTTATATTCGCTTGCTTTGTCTATTTCTGTTGCTCTCCCTGCGGTGCTCCCTGAGGGCATCACTGCCTTTCACGCCCAACCAAATGACGAGTTTCTACTTGCTCTTCCTTGCTTCAGAGTAGCCCTGGCGCCGATCTGCATACTCTCACAAAAGTATAGAGTTAGCGTTTGCTTGCAGAAATGTCTAACTCCGCACGCGCCGTGCGGATGTTTCTGAGTGAAAGCATGGTTGACGCACAGAAATCCTCGTAGCTGGGCTTACAAAGCATGTGCCCTGGTTTCTGAGCCACAAGACGCTCTTTACGACGCACGCTTACATAACCGCGGCGACAGAAGGTCTGGGCGTTCTTGGGTCGACCGCTTTTTCGGACATTTTTTGCCCAGAAACGCCAGAGCCGGCGAGATGCCCGATGGGATGCCTCGGGCCGGCGGAAGTTTTTTGACGTAAGACGTATGCGCTGGAGGCTCGACGCAGGGATTAGCAAACCCGGACGAAAGACGTCATATGTAGCGTACGTACGTCTTTGAGAATGCAAGTATCAGCACGTAGATTTCTTTTTTCGCTTGACACTATGACTTGGCGGGGAACTCCGCTGCAACGCATAAGGGGTGTAAGGGCTCGTGGGGCGGCAAAAGGGGGATGAGGCTTTGGGGGGCCCGTGTGAGTCTCGAGAAGTCCGGGGAACGTTCGAAGGAGGCGGTGACAGTCCGTTGGTCCGAGCGTAGCTGGGTCGTATAATTGCTCGGTTCGGCTTCTGCTTTGCATGCGTCTAGCGGTATCTGTTTCTTTTGGGCATATGCCTGTAGTACGTGGGTAAACACTACGATGAGGTTCGTGCTTAGAGCCGTATGGAGCGCTCATTTCATTAGCGCCGCTGATGTCCTTGGCGGGCCTCAGTGCAGCATATGACGTCATTGCTGCGAGGGGGGCCCTGCAATGATTACAAAGGATCGAAACCTATGTCTGTCGCGGTCAACGGCCGTAGCGATAGCCGAACACACAAATGCATGGGTGTTGAAATGATAATGTGTGGGTTGTTGTTAAGTCATTCAGGCCACTAGTGACTGCCGGGCTTTCGTGAGTTTAGCCGCCGAGGTCCCCTTTAGGGGACCTCGGCGGTACCCCCGCAACGGTTCATCCTCGGTATATATGCATTACGTAAACAAGCCACAGCCGTGTCAGCGAGCACTCTCCTTTGCCGCGGTTAACCCGGCTACCTCTTGGAGCCACGACAGCTCTATGCGGCTCACGTTCCGAGCGTAGCCCTTCGTAGTAAACACGTACTCGATATACAAGATCGCAGGACATGTTCCGTCCATAAACAGCATCGAGGAGGGGTGCACCGAGATGGGCTCGCCCGTAGTCACGGTTCGGAATGATCTGTCGGGCATCCCGATGGCCGTGTTCTTAACGAAACCAGCGAGAAAACACTTGAGAATCGACTCAACGTCGAGGGTGTCGCTTGTGTCGTTCACGACGTTTGCAGCATCGCCTGCTCGGAATAGGAACAGTCGCTCCATGTACGACACCAACTGGGCCCTTACCTTGACAACATTCTTGAATCCACGCTGGGAAATACACAACTCTTTGCACCAGTCCTTCTGCTCGCCTCTGTCGCTGAACGACCCGTACGCATCGTAGAGCTCTTTCAACATAATAAGGTCGCCGTGGGTCGCGCCTTTGGTAGCGACGGAAAACCGACGTTCGTTCACTTGGTCTCGTTGTTCGGGTTGCGGGTTCAGGAGCAGGTTCTCGACAGTAAGACACGACACTATGTCTATTACCGGTAGCAGACATCCGGTCTCATGTGCGCGAAGCAGCACGCTACTGAGATGTGGTGCCAACGGCAGTAACGCCATCTGTTGTCCTCTGTTAGTGATGGTCCCGCTGTCATCCAGGGCCCCTAATTGGTACAGTTCCTGCAACGCAAGCAAAATGGCCTCTTTGCCTGGGCTCTCGAGCCAAGACCAGTTTACGAGGTCCTTGACACCGATTTTTTTCAAAAACAGTACCGGTGACACGACGTCGCTTCTAGCAATCTCAGCCTCTGTCTGCGCTGGCAATTTGAAAAAATCTTGTTCGCGATACAATCGGAAACACTTGCCGGCGCTTTCTCTGCCAGCACGACCGGTTCTTTGAGCAGCACTTGCTTTTGAAATTGGAACTGTCAGCAGCGTCGCGAGTCCGAGCTGATGACGCCAAACTTTGACCTTACGCAGCCCGGAATCTACCACGTACTTCACGCCTGGAATCGTAACGGAGGTCTCGGCTATATTGGTCGAAAGAACGACTTTGCGCTTGAATCCCTTGATTGGTAAAAAAACCTTGTTCTGCTCCGCTGGTGGTAAAGCTGCGTATAATGGCAGCGGCACGAGACGCGGCATTGAATTGTCTAAATGTTCACAAATCTTTTTCAGCACCAGAACCGCTTTGTCGATTTCTTCCTGACCGGGCAAGAAACACAAGATATCGCCTGTCTGCTCGGATTGATTGATTTGCACGCAGCATCGCACTACGGCGTCGACAATGTCGTCGCAGGGCTCCTTCAAGCAGTTTCGCTCGACGGGAAATTTACGGCCCTCGACAAACAAGATCGGCGCCCCACCGAAAAAATTGCTAAACTTGTCGGCTTGTAAAGTGGCAGACATAACGATAACTTTCAAGTCTGGTCTAGCACCATTGAGCAACTCTTTCAAAAACCCAAGTATCAAGTCCGTCAAAATGGTTCGCTCGTGCGCCTCATCTATAATCACATGCGAGTATTCACTCAACTTCTTGTTGAGCATCAATTCTCTTAAAAGCATACCATCCGTAAGATATTTCAGTCTAGTCCTCGAGCCCGATTTATTATCGAATCTCACGGAATATCCAACCCTGTCACCCAAGCGGCATCCGTGTTCTTGGGCAACCCGTGACGCCAAGTTGATAGCCGCGACTCTACGGGGCTGAGTAACGGCAATTTTTTTCTTATTGCCGTTCCCAAGTTGATCTAATAGAAATTGTGGAATTTGAGTCGATTTCCCCGAACCCGTCTCACCGATCAAAATTGTGACAGAATTCTTATTGATATGACCCAATATCGCTTCCCTGCTTTTATAAACCGGGAGAGTTTGTCTCAATTTCAAAAGGCTTCTTGAACATTCTTTCAATCGGTGCTTATTTTGTATACGCTCGACAATATCGTCGTCGCTATGCTCATCGCTTTCATCGCCAATTTTTCCTCTAAAATTTACAGTTTTCGAAACCTTGAAAGCACTATTACCATTGCGGCTGTATCCTTTCTGCTGTTTCATGAGGCTATTATAATTCGAATGCCACCTGGTTTGTTCTTTGGTTTGTTGAAGCTTTTTCTATCGATAGCTCATCTCATCGCGAAGATTCGAATCTCGGACAAATTTTTCATTTTATCAAACTGACTTAGTAGACGACAAAGGACCAAGAACCGCATTAACGATTAAATCTTAAACCTTGATTGGGAAAAACTGATGACAACGTCCGTAAAGTGGGTCGCTGGTTGACGTTTTTTTGAGACTTAGCGGGGAAATGCTGGAAATCTATCGAAAAGGCGTTTTCGTCCTGACTTCAGTGGCTTTAGCATTTCAAATTCTGCCTGTTATATCGATCCCGGCTGTCGAGTCGCTTTACCTCTGTATGTATCAGGACCGAAAATTTGGAGTTTTTGGATGGTGTTCGGTTGATGGGAATACATGCGCGAATGATAGCATTCGGTATACGACAACTATGAAAGAAATCGAATATTACTACAAGGAGGATTTTTTCCCATCAAGAGCCAAAGCGACTTTATCCAGATTATTGTTAGTACATCCTATTGCACTTGGTTTCACGGCGGTGCTATGGGCTATGGCCGTTGTTCTGAATTGTAAGAAATTCGAACAATCACGTCAGCTTATCTTGGGGATGGTGCTGTGGTCAATACCTACAGTATTGCTTTCGCTTCTGAGCTATTTGGTTGACATCCTCTTATTCGTCCCCTACCTGGCTTGGCCAGGCTGGCTTTTGCTCGTAAGTATCATTTTGATCGTCATTACTACATGCGTCATGTGTTTCTTGAGAAGAGTGAATTCCATACAGAGATACGATCGATTACACGGAAAGGACGAGGTTGAGTTCATCCCGTTACATCAAGGCAAATCCTCTGATTTACGACCAACTTTTTCAGAGGATTCGACGTTTGACGACTTGCAGAGCAACCATCTGTATCAGAAACCTCAAGTCGGTTTCACGAGAGACGATACGTAGCGAGGGACTGATGATTACTGTCGCTGTTTGATCAAGAAATCACGCTGTCGAGACCGAGTGAAATTTATTGTGAGATTCAGCATTCTATCTATTTGCCGGTATGTACGCCTCGACCATCAGAAACATAATGGAAAGAGAACCATCTAGGCAAAGGTATTAGATCAAGTCGCGATCATCGCTAAGGCCTGCGTCGAGACACTTCAGAGTGTCCCTTCAAATTTCTTCTGCGTAGCTTTTCGTCGCTCGACAAACAACAATAAGTCGCTCAGTTCATACCATTTTTATGAGCTTTTTTAAGCTCTCTAGCCGTTAATAGATAACTACAAGTTTAAAGGGCCTAGAGCCTCGGTCTTCGTCACTGTATTAACTCTTGATGTTTAACTGATGAAGTTGATGAAGATCTAAGAACCTCAGCGTCGAAAAATTTGTCTGTTAAACAGTGCCGAGCGTGTAGAAAGAAAGCTTTGAATTGAAGACAATTTAAGCCTCAATCGTTTAGCGAGTATCCCTTTCTTTGAAATATGACCAAATGGAAATTGCAAAGTAAACGGTTCTTGTCTCTGGGTGCCGATATGAAGGCTATTGGTTCGATTCCGAAAAATCAGTATAAGCACGATAACAATTCGCCTTTTTGCAGATCAAATCATGTTGTACCTCAGACAAACGATCTTAACCATGCATTTTACTCTCCAAATGTGGCGGAATGCGTGTCTTTGTGTATGACAGAAGTAAGGCCTTCCCTGCTTGATGGACTACCTGTTATGCCGGCTATTATTACACACCCAAAAAATTTGACAAAGATCCTGGTAAATGCAAGATGCGAGTTTGATACGGTTCGCGGTGTAAGTAAATGGATCACTGATTTAAGAGAAAAGTCTGTTAACGCCAACAAATTAGCCATTATCGAGGCAAACAGTAATTCTGAAAATGTACGCCCGACTAAATTGAATTTAGAACAAAAGAATCAATTAGAGCAGGCTTTATTTGACGCTTCTGGGGCTACAAAACCTTCTTTGAGAGTGGGTAAGATTCTTCAGGGTCTGGAAAACCTGCAAAATCGTTCAAACGACCAAAAATTATTCAGTGAAGAAGTCTTTTTATGCCTAATGCAGGACTATTGTCGTTCAGAATCAGATTTAATAGCGATTTTAAATTGTGCGGCTAAATTTCTGACTATTGACATTGATCAAGTAGCCGTCGCAGAACTAATTCTGTTGCAAGCGCTTTATTCGATCGAAAAATTTGACTCCCAACCGACTCCGGAGCTTGCCTCTAGTGTCACTCAATTTCTGCATGCAATTGGAGACCGCTTTAACGCCCAGCATTATTTACTGTGCCAGGATGCTAAGATTTCTCAGGAGCTTTTAAAATTCATGGTGAGCGTCAACAATCTGAATGACAGTAAATTTATAATGAGCGATCTCATCGGAAGAGGGCTTTGTCCAAACAAGGATTTGATTGAGACGTATTTGAACTTAGTCGACAGCGCATATCCCTCAAAAAATAATCGCGATCAAATTTTAAGAAGATTTGCCTACATTTCAGACTTTTTGCCGGTGTTCCGCACAGTTTTATCTCCTAAGATCGTTCATCATTTGATATCGAATTGCCGTCATTTTAATGAAGTGGGTAGTCTCTTAGAATTAATTGAAAGCTCGGATTTGAGCGATACTCTTCTCACAGAAAGTTTGCCTCACTTCATTGAGAGAGTAGGATCTCTGACCAGGGATAAACTTCAAAATTCGATCGGACTAAATTCACTATATCATCGCGTCATTAATGTCAGGATAAGCTTACCTCTTGATGACATCCAGCGCGAATTTGCAATGCAGTTCGCACTCAATGATAACTTTTCAATGGTTGGATTCCTTTTGAATGAGATTCAAAAGCCTCCAGCTCCTCAAGAATTACGCAATTTGCTGGGCGCAATCAATCAAAAATCAGACGGCGCCATAAATGTCGTTGGATTCAATAAACATAGCAGGCAGCAACTAGAAAACATCATAAAATCTGCCAACTAGCAGCCTTCCGTCAGACGGCTAATCAATATTACTCCTATAAGAAGTGATTTTCGATCGCATTGTGTTTACAGATACATTATGGCTGGAACCTAATCGCTCCGATAGTAAAAGTGAAGCTCAGACTGCTGTACAATTCGAAACATTGACTTCTCATCTTCGTTGATTTTTTCACTTTTTCTAGTCTATGTTTCATCGTGGTATCAACTTCAAACTTCTTTATTGATTGATCTATTAGTGAAAGTTATAGGTGGAGAAGTAAGCGAAAAAAATCAATCAGTCATGATAAGCTCGGAATCATGAATTCTGGTTTCCTCGTGTTGCCGATTTTTTTCTTGGTAGTCGTGGGTGGCTTTGGAATTTCTTTACCATCTAATCATCGGGTGTTTGATGGGCTTGATTATGATTTTCGGGATAATCAGTTACAACAAATAGTTTCTTCAAATTTCCCATTTTTCCGGAGTTCCTGTGCTAGTCTTGCTCTAAGCGAGTTGCTACCGCTATGCTTGCAACATGGGTTGGAAACAGTTCCGTCTTTACTCCGTGTGAAGACTGCGATCAAACTTTCAATGTGCGAATTTGAAGCATCTGGTCTTAAGTCAATTCCTCAGAACTGCGATAGATTTGATGGTAGTACCATAGAAAATTGCGTTCGCGAGCTCGAGACGTTACCCCAATGGTGGACAACCTATAGTGGGAATTTTCAAAGACTTTCATCTCTATGCTACGAAAACTCGCTTCCGTATGAAAAGGAACAGATCTTGGAGCTCTTCTTGAACATTACGAGAGCATACGAGGATATGCAAGCAGTATTTGACAGAAATGTGAGGGAGGCGTATAGTTCTTTCGAAGACCTCTCGGCCGAGAATGACGAACGTTTCGAACAGTTTTTTGAAGAACAATATGAAAGATTTGAGAACATGACCAAAGCCCATGGAAGTGCGACTTCGAGCCAAGTTGCTCATTTTCAAGAAGAGCTGTCTGAAAGACTCTCAAATAGCTTGAGTCATACAAATGCTTTCGTCGATGAATTAGGCTCAGACGTTTTCGACGGATTGCAATTGATCAGGAAGCTTTTCCGAGAATTTTACGCTGACCTTAATGACTCGAGCTATTCACGTCAAATACAGGATTTAAAAGACGAACATTTGAGTAACTTGGAGGCTCTTTCTCGAGACTCGGTTCATGTAGCTGCTTCTCAGAAGGAAGATATGAAGAAATTCGAGAAAATGATGACTGAAGTTCAATCTCATGCTATACTTGAGCTGAACAAAATGGACCAACAGCTCGAGATTGCTTTTTCAGATGCCGTCACGTTTTTGCAAGGTTTTGACGGGGTAGTGCGAAATCTCGTTTTGCCGAGCATACAAGAAGAGCTAATACCCCAAGTCCATAAATTGAGCATGCAAGTAAACAAGGCCCTAACGATGACAGACACATTAATTGAGGGAAAAATGCGCGCTTTGAACCAAAATCTAGACGAAACGTTAGGACAAATTAATAGTAATCTCAACTCCACTTTGACCACCATTAATGAAATCGACAGTGATATTAATATTCTAAAGCAGGACTTTTTCGCCATTATGATTTTGATTCACTCGTTAAAGCGTGTATTTTGGGTTTTTGGCCGCCTTTTTGTTAGTTCTGTGACTAACTGGAAAGTGGCCAGCTCCCTTTTAACAGTATTCTACACTGCATGGCGATTGGTAGCCCCCAGAATAATGTTACGAAACATGCCGTTGGCCAGCGGTGTCCTTCTTTTTATAAGAAACGTTCTACTTCTCATCTTCACGCCGCTATTTGGAGCCATTTTAGGTCAATATTTGGTCATGACAGTTACGAATGAAAACGAAAAGGCGAATTGAGTAATCAATCAAAAGACGCCCAATTTGTAGAGATGTACGCCTTGTCTTCGGTCTATCATTATCTGTTCATTTCTTTTCATATAACTTCATTCATACACTCTATATCGTACAACTATGCTAATGAAACTGCTGTCCCATTTTAAAAATTAGAAACGTCAACATGTTCTCCCAGCTCTTTTCTTAGATTGAGTCTACCGGAAAGTATGTCGCCGATCTCGTTGAACTCATGCCAGTGGATATCGCGTCCCTTCCTCAAGCCAACGTCAGTCTCTTCTCTCCACAACTGAGCAACAGGCTTGAATGAGATGTGTGAACCGTTCACAGCAATGATAGCAGCAGAAGCGTCTTCATCCTGGAAAGTGTAAATTTTCTCGCCATTCAAGTATTTGAATCTTAGAATCTTAAAATCTTTGTTCTCTTGATCGGAGTTCTTTTTGTTCCATGCTTCAATGAATTTAACACACTTGACAGCGTATCTGGAAGCAATAACACGATCTTTGGAAGAAGGAACACCACCCTGTTGAACGTGTCCTGGAATGGCGGTCCTGACGCCAAATTTCCCAGTGGATTCCTCAGCAATGATGTCAGCAATGATCTCAGTAGAGTAAACTGAAGAAGCTTGCTCGTTTCTGATTAGCACCTTACCGTTACGGTTTTCTCCCTTGTCGTGGCGAAAGTTGGCACTCAACAGCTTCAAATCTTCTCTGATGGTGCTCAAATCAATCGTTTGCTCGGGAGTGTAGACAGACACGGCACCAGTAACCAGACCCGTGAAAGAAGCTACATAACCTGAGTGACCACCTTGAACTTCGACAACAAATACTCTTCTCCTCGTGGCAGATGCGGACTGCTTGATACAGTCGGTGTAATTCACAAGAGCATTCAAACAAGTGTCGACGCCTAGAGAGTATTCAGTACCGGGGACGTTGTTAGAAACAGTCGAAGGGATATGAACCATAGGAATGTTAAAAATTGGATAGTCACTGCGCGCATCGCGTAGCTCCTTCAAAGACTTGAAACCTTCGAAGCCACCGAGAATAATTAGACCATCGAACTTATTCTTTTGAAAGTGATAGGCAACTGTACCCATGTCACTGCTTGCCACGGATCTGTTGGTACCTATTTCCGAACCACCTAAATTGTGCCAGTTTTCGACATCAATCCAGCTCAATGCTTTGACTTCACCAGTTTGAATCAAACCACTGAAACCATTGAGAATAGCGTAAGGCTTATGTCCACGCGACAAACAGTATAGCGTAGCGGCACGTGTGGCAGCGTTCAAAGCAGCAGATGGGGCACCAACGTGAACAATAGCAACGTTTAGTCTCTCATCCTCTGGTAGGTATTCAGACCCGTCGTCCTTAATTGTAGTCGAAATGAAGTTCTCATACAGCTCAATAAACTCGGTGTCACGAAGGGAAATGGCCTTGTCAAAGTCTTTTTCCTCAATAGCCGCAGGAACGGATTTCGTAAGTTTGACAGACTCCATGAGAGGCATTCTAATGATCTTGTTTTCCAAGATACCAATCAACGGAGATGGCGTCTCTGGGGTCATTTCCAAAACGGCCTTAACAGCATCAACACCTTGCATTGTCGCCAACCATCTGTCGTGAGCGACTGCAGTACCACCTCTTTGAACATGGCCCAAGATAGTCACCTTAGTGTCCAATCCAAGATCGATCAAAGCATCCTTAACTTGCTCGGAGGTAATAGGGTTCAATTGGTCGTCAATGGCACCTTCGGCAACAATAACGGTGTTGTTTCTGCGACCCTTGTCTCTGTGAGCTTGACAAACCCTTTTCAACTCCTCTTGCCATTTGCCAGCAGCAGGGGCTCTCTCTGGAATGAAGATGTAGTCCGCACCGGTAGCAATACCTGCCATCAAAGCTAGCCAACCACAATGTCTACCCATGACTTCGACCACGAAGGCTCTCGAGTGAGACTTAGCAGTAGCATCGATGTAATCGACCAACTCACAAATTCTTTCGAGGGCAGAATAAGCACCGATAGTGGAGTCAGTACCAGACATATCGTTGTCGATAGAGCCGACAAGACCAACGATCGTGAGGTTCTTGTAAGGATCGACTTGTTCTTGAGTAAAGGTGCCGTCCTTGACGAGATCTTCAACCAAAGAAGGCCATTCAGATCTGAACAAATCGGCACCCGTTAGAGAACCGTCACCACCGCACACAACAAGAGCGTCGATACCTTCAGATATCAAGTTACGAGCAGCTTGTTTACGACCCTCACGCTTTTTGAACTCCATGCAACGAGCAGTACCAATGAGTGTACCACCTTCGCTGAGCCAGCCTCTGACATCTTGCCACTCCATTTTCTTCAGAAGGTCACCGCCTTTGAGAAGACCTTCGTAACCTTCGTAAACGGCGTAAACGTCGCATCCGTAAAAAATACCGGACCGAACCACAGCACGGACAGCAGCGTTCATACCTGGAGAGTCACCACCAGAAGTCATCACTGCTATTTTCTTCTTGAAAGTGGCAGCATCAGGTGGGGTGTTTTCGGCCTCTTTCTTCTGTGCCTTTTTAGCGTCGCTTAGACCCCTAGCGTGGTCCAGGAAGAAATCTTTGTCCAGTGGCTTGGAGTCCGTGGCGAGAGCCAAATTAGAAACGTTGACAACATTCCCTAGCGGGTCGGTCAATTGGTAGAGACCCTCGCTTATTTTCTTGGCCTCTGAGACCTCTTTGGCGAATTCGTCCAGCGAAGCGGAAAAATAAGTAACAACGCAACCGGTTCCCTTTAGAGACTCCTTGGCGACCAATCTGATTTTCAAAAGTGCACCGTCACTTTGCTCGTGGTTCGAGGCTTCTTGTTGTGGAATTCTGAAGCCATCTGCGTCCACTTCACTCAATTTGAAGCTCTCTAACCAAGTCTCTTTGATCGATTCCTGAGCAGTCCCGCTGACTTGCAAAATATTCTCGCCGGCACCCCTGAACTTGTCATAGGTCCGGACCGTCGAAAACCCTAGCTTGTGGTAAAACTTTATGGTGTTTCTGAAGGCAGCTTCGTCTGCCGTCGCGACAGAACGAAAGGCAACCCCATATATAGACTCCTGCGTCATTGTAGATCGATCTCAATGATCAATTCCGCTGTTCTGATGCGCTTTATTTACGCCGTAGCACCACTGGTTTTCTCAAATTCGCCTTATATATGCTCCTTTACTGTGCTCGTCATCCATCACCAGGTCTTCCTGCCGTCTTATGGGCTGGCTTCCTTTTCTTACAGGCTCAGCTTCCTCAGGAAGCTAGCGGCGCGCGTCGCTTTCCTCTATCAGTATTTACGAAACAAAAAAGGTTCGTTAAGGATGTTTGGGTTTACGAGAATCTGCGATCAAGCCGTGGATAGCGATTGTCTGTCACATGACTTTTTGACGAATCGCATTTGGACTGGCGGGTCTCTGGTCCAGAAGGATAAGCTTGTAGATGATTATAGAGATACAATGAAGTCAAATGTCGATGAGGTTAGGCGCCTCGTTGTACATCGGATAATGATTTTGTTGAGGGAATTGCTGCTGCGGGGGCTGTTGTGGGTTTTGTTGCTGGAAATTTTGGTTCTGGAAATTCTGACCCTGCAAGTTCTGAGGCGATTGCATTGGCTGAGCAAAAGGGTTGAAAGGTGTCTGTGCTTGTTGGAACGGCTGACCCGTCTGTTGCCCTGTGAATTGACCCGTAGTTTGCCCTGTTTGTCCCGTTTGCTGTCCTGTATAATGGGGCATAGGTTGCCCCGTTTGCTGCGGGAACACAGCAACCGTAGGCAGGTTTTCAAGCCCTCCAAATGTGTGAGCTTGACGCTGAGGTCCCGTGGGCATTGAAACCTGTGCGCCGGGTTGCGTACCCATGTAGTTCGACTGGGAAAAAGGATTGACACGTTCCCGGTCATCTCTATCTTTCGCTATGTTTTCCAGTGAGAACGGGTTTTTGGATCCCGTCATTGCCGGAACCTGAACTTGTGCGGACTTGTCGGGCGAGTAACCACCAAAGCCAGCACCGGTAAAGGACGGCGTAATCTCAGTGTGCGAGCTATAGAACCCGGTCTGATGCGCCTGCAGCTGGCCTCCCATTTGAGCCTGGTTTGGCGCAAAAGAAGGATCCAATGATTGCACCGGTGTGTACTGTGCATGCTGCGGATTTGGAGCCGTGTGTGCAGCCTGGAGCGCGAAATTTTGAGGTGGCAGTTGAGCCTGTTGCTGGGGCTGCTGTTGAGCCTGCTGCTGATGGAATTGAAGCCCCGTTTGGGCACCTGTCAGCATGTTTTGCTGCATTTGTTGGGCTGGAAAGGCATTCGAGATTTCAGGGTTTTGGACAAAACTCTGTTGCTGTGGTTGTTGCGGTGTGAACTGTTGTACAGAAGCAGTTTGTTGCTGTGGTTGTTGCGACGTGTATTGTGGAAAAATTGTCGGGTGCTGCTGCTGTTGCTGTTGTTGCTGTTGTTGGACGTTCTGCGGCGTCTGCACCTGTGATACAAAAGGGTTACTAGTTGGCTGAGATACCAATGGCTGTTCGAAGGAAAAACTTTCGCCAAAGGGATTGTAGCCCGTCGATTGCTGCGGTACCGTTGGCGACAGCACCATCTGCTGCGACTGCAATTGTTCTTCCAAACGCCTTTTCTGCTCTCGCACTTGCTCGAGTTGCTTCTGGGCAAAAGTCTTACCGTCCGCATCATCACTGGAAAAAGTCTGGCCCTTCTTGACATCGTCGCGCAAGTGTTCTTCTAAAGATCGGATCAATTTGGTGGTGATGTGTTTGATAACTGGAATTTTGAGCCCCATTGCTTTCCCGGTCTTGAGGTACTTTACCACGCTCTCCGTAAGTTCAACGAACCGCTTGTAAAGCTCTAAAGTACGCTCTGCATTTGCATGCGTGAGCTCGAAAAAACTCTCAAGTAGCGTGATAATGCCCTCGTTCAAGGAATTGTAGAGAACGAGAAGATCTTGAACCAGTAGCCGGAAAGCACACATGAGCAGATCATTGCTAAGATCATACTGGGAGTACCGGTTTTTGATGAGTGCGGAGATTTGCACTTCCAGAGACTCGACTAAGTCGAGTCCTTCCTTCGCGGCCTTTCCCGACGTTTTGAGACTGGTATTGCTCTCGCGCACAAAGTCTCGACCCGTACGGTCATATTCTTCGCACCGGCACTGCAGGTACTCCTTGTAGCGGCGTAGCGCCTGCAAATCGCCCGAAGAAAGCTTGGAGTTGAAAACGTCTTTGAGGCGGAAAAAATCAGGATGTCTGGAGAGATAATCGATCGTCACGTCCTTCTCGCCCTCACGGATCAGTAGGTGGACCACAATAAACGTCTTGTAAACGACGGTCCACGCCGTGTCCTGGGCGCGTTGTTGCAACGCCCGGATGATCTCCCGAAACTCATCGAGCTGGCCCGAGCCGAGTAAAATCGGATCAACGTACTTGGCCTTTGGTGGCGCCATTTTGATCTTTGTTGCGCCCTTGACGAGCTTCACGTAAGTGGTCATTGTTGGCGCAATTTGTAGTTCGTACGTTCAAAGTCTCCGACACTTAAAGGAGGAAAAGGGACACAACCCGTGCAGAGTTCAATCTATCGAGTCGCGACCCGTCACGATGTGAGACAACTGTGCTGTTGCGAGCCTTGCCTTGGCTTTGGTGTGGCTCACTCGAAGTATCACCACTGCTTGGTAACCAAGTGTGTTCTGTAAGACCAGATGTGATGGTTTGGTATAGGGGCTCGCTGCCCTGGCTTTTTTCTCGGGATGGTGCTAGGATCACGTGATTTGAAAATCTCAAGTGTTAGCATTTCGTACGGACCGCTTCTCGTTGCTCGACTTGGCAGTTCAGGCATACCGGCAAGCCGACGCAGCAGACACCGCATGCTGGGTTGGAGCAGAGTGCGCACGCGGATGTGGCGCGTACAGAAGAACAGTAGTAACACGCGGCATGCGCTTGGTCCGATGTTTTACGCTCTTCTGTCGGCTGGGTGGCGCGCTTCGCGCCGCCCCGCGAAGCGCGCATCAGCGCAAGTAGTGCGTCGGCGCCCGACGAAGCAGCATAGCGCTGACATTTCTTGGCAGTTGCGAAGCTGAGCTCGCAAGGATCTAGAGGGCGCTCGAGCAGGTCGCCACAGCTGCGTTTCATGTGTCGTGCGGTGCGTGTGCGAAGCGAGCGGACGGATTTAACGCGTCGCGTGTCTCTCTTTTAACGCGTCGCGGAGCGGAACTCCAACATCGCGGTGCGTATGTGGTGACATACATCACGTGATGTTTATCGCTCCGTACGCGTCACATGCCTCTCTTACCGTGGTTAATGACAATAATCAAAGTCACGTGGTATCTCTATTTTCCGTGCATAGCGACTACACCACGTGCTTTGTTCTCCCGTCTGCAGTTACGTATTGTGTACACCCACACCCCCCACTTCCCCCGCTCGCCCCTCCCCAGTCGTTTCCGCATAAGCCGACCTTCGGGCTTTTCCTAGATGCACAGAACCATGCGCATCTGCGTTTTTGATGACGTGTCTCAGACGCATCCGCACCTCCTCGAACCGGCACGGCTCCCCTGCTAGTGCCACTAGGCTTCGTAACCCTGGCGGGGACCCAACATATACTACCGCAAAATTTTTTCTTTCCCTTCAAATTGTGTGGCTGGCGTTTCCTCGCTGTCCCCCGCGGGCCCAGGGCCCGCTCGGAGCACCGGCCGGGCGCGTCCTATACGGCGCCGCCTCCTCTCCATCGTTTTTGTTAGTCATGAATTGAATGACCCATGCGGGCCAAACTTATGTGGTGCATATATATATAGAGAGGGTACGATGTAAAAGCCAGTTAGAAGAAGTCTATAAGATCAAACAACCGATCAAAACACCGAATAGCCATAGAAGGCATACTAAAGGTTAACAAGCAAATTACACAACAATGTCCGCGGCAGCAGGAGCGTTCAGACGATTTCTAAACAGCGAAACGGGTCCTAAAACAGTCCACTTTTGGGTATGTGGTGAATGATTTTTTTTACACGGGATTGCAGTGAGGCCCCCAAGCCGGGAGCGGTGGTGCAAGTGCGCGCGAGGCGCAAGTTAAAGTGCGCGGTCGCTACGTACGGCAGCGAGTGAGAATGAAAATGGTCATGTGATCTATGCTTGTTCTGGTTTTTGTTACCCGCCCTTGCTTGTGTTTATCATCTCTCACGGAGTCGCTGGTTCCGGTCCCGACTTTGGCTCAAGCAGATTTACTAACATCAGTTTACCAGGCCCCGACCCTCAAGTGGAGTCTTGTGTTTGCAGGTCTCAGCGATCTAAGGCGGCCCGTCGAGACCGTTTCCGGGACCCAGAATCTGTCCCTGATGGCGACCGCGCTCATTTGGACGCGGTGGTCCTTCGTGATCCGGCCCAAGAACATGCTTCTTGCTTCCGTCAATTTCTTCCTCGGGTGCACCGCTGGGTACCAGCTTACGCGTATCACGCGATTCCGCCTCGCGGAGGGCGACTCTCTCCCGCAACTCGCAGACTATCTCATCAACGGACCCCGCAAAGCGGTGTCTGGTGGTGAGGACGGCCACAGCGGATCGTCCAATGGTCCCAACTCTTCTGCATCGGGAGGCGACGCGCTGGATCGCGACGACGACCGCATCCACAAAGTGCAAGGCGGCAACGTGGGCCGTGGCACTTTAGGCCACGGCTCGCCTGCGTGATTAGGGTCGCCGTCTCCCGTCTCCTCCCCCCCCCCCCATTGCATTCCACGATCTCTTTGACATCACTTTTACAGTATTTTGTTTTATAGGACGTCGCAATTATAATACCTAGCATATATCATATTTGCCTTTGTTTGCCGAATATGTCAAAAGCTATACCGCGAATATATAGTTTAATCACACTTGGACCGTCGCGAAACGTCGTGTGGAAGAAGCGAGAAAAGAAAAGACCTAGAGAAAGCCATCGCGCCGTCTAGTTCTTCCCCTCTGTCAATTCCACGACCTTTTGCGCCGCTGGGTCCAGCTCATCAAACGAATATATCTTGAGACCGGATTCCTTGATGATTCTCTGGCCTTCTTCTAAGTTGGTACCTTGCAATCTAGCCACAATCGGAACGCTGACCGCAAGGTTCTTGGTAGCAGCAACAAGCCCCTCGGCGACGTAGTCGCATCTGACAATGCCTCCGAAAATGTTCACGAAGATAGCGTCCACCTTTTTGTTGGATAGAATCAATTTAAACGCGATCTCGATCGTCTCGGGAGTGGCACCACCACCGCAGTCCAAAAAGTTGGCTGGGTCACCACCGTAAAGCTTGATAACGTCCATGGTGGCCATTGCCAGCCCGGCACCGTTCACAAGACACCCTATATTGCCTTGCAACTTGACAAAATTCAAATCGTACTTCTTGGCAATCACTTCGTCAGGGTCCTCTTGAGACAAGTCTCTCCACGAAAACACTTCTTCCTGTCTAAAAGCAGCGTTGTCATCGAACCCGAATTTGGCGTCCATGCACATCACCTTGGTGTCCTGACCAACGACTTCGCTAAAGGGATTGATTTCGATTTGAGTCGCGTCCTTGTCCTTAAAGATTTTGTACATCTTCGTCACGGCGTCTGCAGCGTCTGATTCAGCCTCGGAAGAAAAACCAAGGTTCTGGGCGACTTGGCGGGCGGTCTCAGGCTGCAAACCCTCAGACTCTGTGATGTAAAATTTCTTGATCGCATCTGGGTTGCGTTTCGCGACTTCCTCGATGTTCATACCACCTTCAGGGGAGCAAATGATCATGGATCTCTTGGTTTGCCTGTCCATCAAGAAAGACAGGTAAGCTTCGTGTTTCGCATCAACGCGTTCAACAACGTAGACAGCGCTGACTGGTTTCCCCTTGGCCCCTGTCTGCTTGGTGATCAGCGTGTGTTGCAGCATCTGAGAGGACAAATCACGCGCCTGTTCCGCGCTTTCAATCATGTGCACACCGCTTTTCAATCCAGTGTCAAAATGACCCTTACCACGACCACCAGTCAAAGCTTGCGCCTTGATGACCAACTTGTCGTGACCCAAACTCTTAGCAGCTTCGTAAGCTTCTTCAGGAGTCGTAGCGGCTCTGCCAGCAGGTGTACCAATTTTGTACTTTCTCAAAAGTTCTGCAGATCTGAATTCGTGGATCGACAGCATTCTCCTTTGTCTCGAGACAGACTGTCCGGAGGCAAGCACTCTTGTTCTTAGGCCCGCTTTCAAAGTTGTCGCTTTGGATAACATTATCGATGATGGCACTGTTTAAGTCAGCTGATCAATTGTTTAAGATTGGATTGCTCGATCGGTTTATCGATAGGTTTATCAATTGGACAGATTGTCTTGTTTTAAAGCAGAGAAATTTCTGTTGTGTCGAGTAGCGCAAACGGTATTTCAAAAACTGCGGGGTCCGTTCATTTGATTTTGGTCATGTGACTTTAGCCTCAGAAGAGGATGTAGATGTTATGTGGAAGAGATCTTATAGCACCAACGAAACCAAAAAGAGCAAGTCTTCCTAAATAATCTTTCCAATATGCATCCCAAGATTACTGGTTTCTCAAATGTCTTCTTGTTTCTACTTCTTTGCTATATGCCTTCGTCTAATTTAATAGAATTTAATATTTGGGGCCAGAAACATCGCATTTCAAAAATTTCAATGTAAACAACCGACGACCAGATAACAATGGCAAATGGAAATAGCGGAATCCATTGGTGGGCTGTTTATTGAAGTAGACTGTCGAATGACGATAATGAATCTCCAGTATTTGCGTTTATTGTCTTTTATCAGACGTTTCCGTATGAAACTGCACTATTATACATAAAATTTTATAATCTCCGGAATTGAATAAATGAAATGCGTGGCTCAATTCCCCCCAGTTAATGGCCACGCTTTTTCTGTTTCGTGGTGTGGGCCTTCAGCAATTTCTGACGGTCTCTTAAAGACATTTTTTGTTTGCCTTTCACTGACCTCTTGTGAATCATCATCACATAATTCTTTCGGCGTTCTTTTTCTCTGTTCGTAGTCGAACGAGCCGCTTCTCTTCTTCCCTTGCGACTGCCGAACTTCTCTCTGCCCTCACGTCCCTCTAAAACACTCTGAAGTCTCTCTTCCTTCGTGTTTTTGTGCTTTACAGGACCAACAAGTCTATCAGAGTCCACAGTCTCCTCGTTTCTGTTTCCCATCAAGCGGGCGACACCTTGTTCTGTACGCAGTTCTTGCAATTTGGCAAAATCTGCCGGGGTCAAAATGCGATTAGACGCTAATTCAACAAACGCTTCTTCGGAACTCATGGCTTTTGGTTGAGCCCTTTCTTCAGAATCAGGATTCTTCTCGTCGTCGCTGACGCCCATGTCGACGTCATACTCTTTGTCATCCTCCATCACGACCCAATCACCTTCATCACTGTCGTTTTCTTCGCTTTCGTTTTCAGCCACTTCCCAATTATTGTCATCGGCTTCTTCTCCAGCTTCGTTTCCCTCTTCGTTTTCTTTCTTCCACTTCGCAAGCAATTCAATACCAGCGATACCCTGCACGCTGTTTTCAATACCAAACTGAGGACGTTCAAAGTCACGCCCCTGGCGTTGAGCACTTTGAAGCTCCATAGCTGCAGTTTTACCTCTATCTTTCCGCTTCAACATATCAGGTGCAACTTCACGGTACAGGGAAATCAAAGATTTTGCCGCCATACTCACACCTTTGGCTTTCGAGCCCTTGTATTCAGTTAAGTCCTGAAGCAAAGTCTCGTCCATTGCCAATGGGGCACGCGAACATATTTCGCGGATGGTGTTCAAACCAGCAGCGGCGACTTCCGAAGCAACACCATCGGATACGAACTCATCTGCGATTTTTCTTACCATAACAAAGATGGTCTCAGGAGGCACTAATTCGTGTGAGGCTTGGGCAGCAGCTGCCATAATCTTGGTCACGTCTCGCTGTTTGGGCGTCAAATACTTTAGAAAGAAAGTGTAAACTCCAAGAACAATCAGCTTGTGAGTACCAATCAAACGCGAAAGTAACTGCAACAAGGCGATCTTTTGGTCCAAATTGAACCTGGCGCTGTTCTTACTTGACAAATGCTTTGCAAACAGTTTTTCAGCAAACCCCTGCGGATCACGTAGCAGATGAATAGCACTGAAATTCAAAAAGTTCTGCCCCGGATTAGATTTTTCATTGGATTTTTTCTTGAGAGTTTTCAAGGCCATGTCCAGCTTTTTGCCTCTCTTACTGCTCTTCTTATTGACTTGCATCTTATGTTTCAACGCGGTCATGTCAAATCCATCCTCGTCGTCCGAGTTTTCCTCAAAGTTCTCCTCACGCTCGCGGTCTGCACCCAAAAAGAACATGATACCCGAGCATGCAACTTTAACGTCGTCGTGCAACGAAGCCTGAGTCATAATTTCGACGGCACGCGAGTCATCCCAGATGCCGCGCCTCCATAATTCACGTGTCAATCTTGCTGGCCACATACCTTGAGCGTCAGGCTGCTCAAGCAGGTTGAAGCACAGCGACTGAGTGGACCTATTCAACTTTTGATTCTTGGAACCTGTATTACAACTTTTCAGCAGCGAAACCAACGTGCCATAAATAAGTTTCCGCAATTCGCGCGCGTGAGAATTCGAAGCAAGCGCATTACTTTGCGTAGAGTATGCGATCAAAAGTGGAAACATTGTCTGGATCAAAGTTTCAGGAGAAAGAATTCCTTTGTTTCTCAGCATAGTCAAGCTTGTGATGATCTTTTCACGCACTTCGAAAGGTAAAGTCTTGTGGTGTTCTAGCACCAACTGTTTAAGCTCATTGGGAAAGTTAGCTGTTTCTTCCGGAAAGCAGGAACACACTTGACTGACAAAACCAATGAGCTCTACGAACTGTGCCGTCGCAGAAGCATCGTTCGCCTCATTTTCGACTGCATTTAGCATGAAAATGTCTCGTAGCGATCCATAATGCGAATACTGTTGCAGAAACTCTTCACGGTAAGATTCTGGGTCTCTCTTGACCAAATTTTGCAGTAAAATGACATTACTAGGTAAAATAGAGGCTCTAGATCTCTTTGCCATGGTTCAAAATCGTCGAAATAGGCCACAGATGCAAGTTTTTCTACCACCTAAAGCTTCTTATCCTGCGATGAGATGCGATGCCCTCGTGAAAAATTTTGTTTTAGAGATCGAAGTAACGCTAAAGAAATTCAAGAAAGCCGTACTCCGAAATACGAAGGAGGCCAGAGGAAAAGACAAGTGAGTAAGGTTGTCCATCTTCATGACGTTGAGGCTGAAAGAAAGAGCTTGTGCTAATGTATTTTACCGTAAAACCGGGACAATCTTAACTCAAAAGTTTATGCCAGCGATTATAATTACACAACATCTGGTTCATCTCTAAGTTTAACATTCCTCAAATGAGGAGAGCCATCAGGAGCCTCCAAACAACCCATCAATGGCATCGTAATTGATCTTTTTGGAGAAACTCGATTTTTGGATCATGTTTTTCACGTTTTCTGCTGTAGTCAAGTCCCCAGAATCTTCAGCCAATTTGAGAGCCATTTGTAGACCCGAATCGTCTTTAATTTCGGCTAGTACAGTCTCAGAGTTGAGCCCATCCTCATGCTTCCGTTTGCGGCTACGCGGTCCACCCCGTTTTCTCTTGGCGACGGCGTTGCCGGCGGCAAGGTCTGCTTCTTGTTTCAGCCGCTTGCTCTCTTGCTCTAATAAAAATTCGCCGTTGATACCAATCCAGATGCGCTCCTTGAGACGCGCTGCGTCTTCGTCGAGTAATTGCGCATCCAGGTCCTCGTCATCAACGTCTTGCAGGTCCTCGGGGTCGTCAGACACCTTCGAAAGGAGAGTCTCGGTTGTCGGCAGGAGGTGCAAATTGCGGGGTCTGTGTGGGTCTGTTTCAATGGAATATCCGTCTATTGAACCTGGATGCTCATCCTGAGCATGATCGGAGTCAGAGACTAGAGCGCGGGCCGTGGTATCTTCGTTCGCACCTGGCGAGCTTGCTGTCCCGGTCGCGCTTTGTTTCCGACGCTGAGAAAATTGTTTGAGGTAGAACAGCACTTCCCGAGACGAGAGTTCTTGCTCACCCAAGACTTGTGACAGGATCGGGTTTTTAGTTAATGCTTCGTCACTGGTTTCAAACTCGTTTTCTTGCGAGGATTGTTGCATTTGTTTCCTTTTTTCACGCAATCGGTTCCGCTGAAATGATGGGGGCCCGGCCCCCGCATGAGCATCTGTTGGTTCGCTTGCTGTTTCGCCTGCTGCGGCCGATCCCAGCGGAGCTTCCGACGATTCGCCCGAATGGTCCCTGAAGGCCTTGATAGATAACTGTCCCGACTTGGTATTTTTGAACTCGTTCAGTCGCTGCTGCAAAGTTTCCTCTGCGACGTGCGACACGGCGACTATTTCCGAGTGGGTACGTCGCAAATTGTTCATACGACACGCCAGCAGTAGACACGCGCCTGCGATACCAGCGGGACGTCGTCCCTCGTACATCCAGTCCTTGGACATACGCTGTGCGAGTTTGACGGCATCCCTGACGACTTTTATCTTCCGGTTACCGAGATCTAGCTTTTCGGCGAAATGCTGGATAAACAAAGACGGGTCCGTCAAAGGAAGCTTGGTGATATTGAGCGCCTTGACCATTTTCAGAAAAGTGGCTCCGATCGAGTATACGGAGACTTGCAGCCTCGAAGAGAAATCGATCAGCATATGGTGCGTTTTCTCCTTTCGGCACGCGACGTAAAGACACGCGGCTATCACGTTTTGAGACCTTCTTCCCTGAACGAAGTTCTGGGCCAGTGCCAGCTTATACCACTGGCCCGCAGCGTCCGTCACGTACTCTGGGATATGAAGCGCGTGCGAGACGGCACGCAGCTTGCGTTTAGCGTTTTGCAACGTCGCTTCACGGGACTCCAGAGCTGTGGACGCGTGCGACTGGCCCGCGCCGACGAAACTTCCGTGAACAACGGCCGCGCCAGAACTCGATTCGCCAAAGGTCACCTCGGAAACAATAGGGTTGTCCTCCGAGACCGTGCCACACTGTTTACACACCAGATCATTGTTTGCGTTGGAGATGTCGCGCTCGAACTCGGAGCTGCCGCAGTTTTTACACTTGACCATCGCCAATGTGGGGGTGTGCTGCTTTCAGTGGGTGGTGTCTTGTGTTGATTTCTATGGCATCGGCAGACAGGCGGTTCCGTACATAGCGACAGCAACGCACGTGATCCGCAGCTCTGTATCGCGCGCCACGACGCATGTGCAATCGCGCCTGCGGATCGCGACTCTGCTTAATGCGCCGGAGGGTCTTCACCGACGTGGCAGAGGCGAGAGGAACCAGTTCGCTGCCGACTAGAATGGCTGTTGCGTTGTGGTTTGTGCCGCAGGCCAGTTCCAACACCTACGTGGCGCTGCAGTCGCTGATCTTGTCGCTGCAGACATTGTTCCCAGACGCACCGAGCTTCGAGCCGCATCTGACCGTGACGTCGCAGCTCAAGTGCGAGACTCGCGAGCAAGCGCACGAGATACTGGCCGCGTGCGTCGCGGCCGTCGAGGCCGTGCGCGGCGCGGTGGGGCGCGGCGGCGACGCCACGTCGCAGGATTTAGTCGCATTTTCCGGTGTCGGCATAGGCAAGAGCTATTTCAGGAAGGTTCGACTGGAATGCGTCGCAAACAAGTACCTGGTGAGCGTCGCGCAGCTGATGCGCGAGCTGTTTGTGTGCGACAGCGCAGAACAGGCGTCGCACTGGGCCGTGCGCGAGTTTGCGCCCCACGTGTCGCTGGTGTATTCGGACGTGTACCACGTGAACCAAGCGGTGCGGCGTGTGCTTGTGCAGCGGATCGAGGACGCCTTGGACGGTGAGCTGCGGCCGTGTGCGGCGGTCGCTGACGGCGACGACGCGGCCTGGCTGTGTGCGCGCCAGCTGCGCGGGTGGGGGCTGCCGGGCCAGTTCAAGGTGGTGCGTTGCGAGGGCGGCGTCGCTGAGTGGCAGGTCCTGGCCAGCGTAGAGGTGTAGGCATAAGCCACGTGACCCAATGACAATTTACGTACGGTGTGATTCAGTAGGCGGCTAGCGCCAAAGTTATAAGCAGTAATTACACACCATCTTGTTCAGCTACACGCATGATTTCTTCATCTTCCTCGGCTGCCTCCGGTTCTAAATCATCATCATCTAATTCTCTGTCACTGCCGCAAAGAGTGTCATCAGAGGCAGCGTGAAGTTCGAACGGATCCAACTCCTCATCGTGAGCTTCGTAGATGTCATACTTCTCGTTGCAAACATCACGGAGCGCAGAGGGGCCGCCCTTATAAAAGCCAAACCTATCAAATCTGTCTCGCAGCAACATTAGGGATTTGAAGTTTCTTGCTGAAAGTCGGGTTCTATCCTTTCTCGTGACCCTCGAGGCCAATGAAAACGTTCTCTCCACTTCACACGAGCTTAATTTAGTGTAGAATAAGGATATGGCAAGTGGTAAGAGCCTCGGAAATCTGCTCCGTTGTTGGTACCACCAAGCAACCGCGGTTTCAGTAGACCTCTTTTTCAACAACGGCTCTCGCAGGTAAGTGTAATACTCCTCCATAAGCTCCTCCTCATCTGTGATTAGTGTATCCGCATCATTTAAAGCCTGCGAATTCTCAGATGTCTCCCGAAAGTCCTCCCTGTCGAATATGAGATCGCCGGATCCATGTGTGGCTTGCTTCTTTCATGCGCTCGTCGGCCTCTTCGTTTGACATCATTCTGTACAAGGCACCCGCCTTAGCGCCTGGATCTAATATCACTGCCACATAATACAGTGGTTTCTGGCGGACCCAAGTCAAATACTTTTGGTGGCTTTTTTCAGACGCTAGAATCGCTTCTAAAACGAGCCGTTTATCGCTGCGAAGGAGCTCTGGCGTTCCATTTAAGCATGAAAAATCGGAGCCAGCCCTCTTTTTCGGGAGCTCGTGCCCCTGAAGAGCACCTTTGCAATAAGAATAGAAGCTGTCTATCAATTTCATCGAAAATTCATTGAAAACCTGGAGACTTCTGACGAAATAATGCAACATGCTCAAAGTTCTCTCATCAAAATGAATGTAGCCTCGAAGCATGTAGATGATGTCCGTGTCACCGCCGTCCTCATGCCCCTCGAGCCATAACTTGTACCTAACATAATTTTCCAGGAACAGTTTTAGTTGACGCCAAGTGTACATCCACCGGGTAGGTGCTTCAAGCGGCATTAATGATATACCAGCATCTTTCAAACTGGCGCATATTCGAGGAGACCTCCTCATAGTTTTGGCTAAAACCTTTATTTACGCAGTGCTTCTGCAACGTCAGGATTTCTGAATAACTCTGAAACTATCGCCTTGAGATGTGTGTTCATAGCGCGTCTTACCGAGGAGACGGCCAGCCAGGGGTTGCTTACCGTTAAAACGCGAGAAAATGAACGACTGGTACATTAGAACATTGTTGCTGGCGTTGTCCATCGTATCGTGGCGACTTTGTCCGTAAGATTATGCTTTTTCAAAAGGTCTGAAAAAATACTCAGAATGTTCTTGCCAGTGTGAAAGTTGAGAGACAGTGTTTCGTCTAACATGGCAGAATAACTCTGGAGCTTTTTTGCAAACGTCGCTCTAGATCGAATCGGAGCTGGACAGTTCTCGTCGCCAAAGGTACTCCACATTGTGAGCTCAACAAAGTTGAGCGGCAAACCCCTCTACAACAATTAGAGCCGTTCTGAACTCACTGGATATAGACTGAGAAATTTGAAGTGACTTTCTTTTCTTCAACAAAGCATCTAATGCCGTCGTTTTGCTGATCTTTCCATTCTGGGCTCTAAAAGCTGCCGGGTGTAAGACTTGAACATGCCTGCTCAAGTTTCCGGTCTTGCGCTTGCTTCGGCTCCCTGTGGCCGCTGATAGCCACTCCAGCTTGGTTTGACGTTTCCTGCTCAATGACGCGAGGACTTGCTTCCGACTTGCTTCCGACGTCTAATGCTTCATTCTAGCGGATAATACATTTAACGTGACCAGAATTCATGAGTACGCAACAGGTAGCGTACGTAATGGGTGATGAGTTACGCAAGAACCATTTCCGTCTGTCGGCACGTGACAGGCTACCCGCACGCCACGTGCCGCCCCGCCCCCCGCTGCCCCCGCCCGCAACCTCTCCCCGGGCTTTCCCACCTAACAGCTCTTTGCCGCGACACAAAACCGGCCCAGCCCCGCCGCACTCTACATACACGTACACCTACACGTACACCTACACGTGCACCTACACGTACACCTACACACTACACAGCCTGCACGCACCCAATACCCATGGTCTCCGTTAAAGTACCCTCGACCCCCGCTGCATTCACGGAAGCGCTCGCCGCCTACATCATCGACCAACAAGACGCCGCGTTGAAGCGGTCTAACCGCTTCAACGTAGCCATTAGCGGCGGCTCACTCGTGTCCCAACTCTACGAGGCGCTCGTGAAAGACCCGCGTTCCGCGCCCAAAGTCCACTGGGCCCAATGGCACATCTACTTTTGCGACGAGCGCCTTGTCCCCCTAAACGACCCCGACAGCAACTACGGCGCCTTCAAGCATCACGTGCTCGACCCGCTTCTGGCGCACCACGAAAACGCCACGCCCCCTATCCTAGGTCCTACCTGTTACGCGATCAACGAGTCGCTGGTGGGACTGGACGAAAACGACCGCATTGCCGACGAATACGCGTCACTGTTACCCGGAGCAGGGTTCGACCTGGTACTTCTAGGCTGTGGCCCAGACGGGCACACCTGTTCTTTGTTCCCCGGTGAGCGCCACGCGTTTTTGCTCGAAGAGCAAAAACGCCCCGTTATGTGGTGTCCGGAGTCTCCCAAGCCCCCTGCGGACCGTATCACCTTCACGCTTCCGGTTCTGCGCGCGGCGCGCGCCCTGTGCTTTGTCGCACAGGGCGCCGGCAAGCGGGCCGTCCTGCAGCGCATTCTGGGCGGGGCCGATGGCACCGCGCACGACTCGGCCGATACGCCGCTGCCCTGCGCGCGCGTCAACGCGGAGTGCCCTCACACGACGACGTGGTTCCTGGACACAGAAGCCGCCGGAGACATTGCCGCTCGAGCCGATATGTGAGGGCCGCGGCGGCGTGAGAGCGCGTGCCTGTGGGTGTGTTCTTTGCGGTTGTCTTTGCGGATGTTTCTGGGGGTTGCGTCATGCGCGCCCATTGTTTTGCGCGGTGTGTGGGGGGAATGGCGCTTGGAGTTGCCGCAGCGGGGCGGATGCGCCGTTTGGCGCCCGGCGGCGCCGCCGGGCGGCCGCCGGGCGCGTTCCGCGCAGCATCTGGGCAGAGAGGGCGCCGGGTGGCAACGGCGCGTCGCGCAGTCGCCGCTGCAGCCAAGGCGTTGCGTCGCGCAGTGCAGCGCGTAGAAGGAGATGCAAAGACGCGCTGCGACCCGTGGCGAGCAAACGCCGAGAGGCAAGATACAGGCCGGCTGCAGGCCGCAGGCGCGAGTTTCTTTTTCAGATGTGCGTGCAAGTGTCGTTCGACACAGCAGCAGTTGAGTAGAAAATCAAGACGATGTGTGGGGAGAGCTACACACCTCACCGAGCACTCTGGAGCCGTTGGCAGATGGGCAAGTCGATGCAGTGCAAGACGTTTATCCACCAGTTGCACGGGATTCTCGCGCGCGCAGAGCTGGAGTCGCTGATCTGGTGGGTCGCGGAGGCGGGCGGAGGGGGCGGAGCGAGCGACGCGAGCCACGCCGGGGCCGGGCCAGACCCCGGCGTGTTCGCGCTCCGGCCCTACGACGCGCAGTTTGCGTGTCGCGTGCTCAAGCGGTTCTTCAAGCACGGCAACGTGAGCAGTTTTGTGCGGCAGCTGCACATGTACGGGTTCCACAAGCTGGGCGCCAGCAGCAGCCCGACCCGCCAGGCGCGCGACGCCGTCGTGTGGAAGTTTTCACACCCGTCCGGTCTGTTCACGCGAGACTCGAAGCTGGCCGGCCTGAACCGGATCCAGCGCAAGACTAGCGGTGTGGGGCGGGATGGGCGTCGTAAAAACGTCTTGTCCCCTGTATGTGTCAACTACGTCGAGAGCAAGACCCCCCTGGCGCCCTCGCGCCCGGCAAGCGTCCCCAATCCCACCGACGCCTCCGGGTCTCCCGCCGGGTCTCCCGCGGAGTCTCCCGCGGTACCGAAGGCCCGGGTCGCTCCGCTACCCAGTCTGCGGCCGCCCCTCGCCGAGGGTCCGCCCCCGCGCTGCTGGTCGTCCCCCGAAATATCGCAGGCGACCTTCACGCTCAAGCCTTCTGCAGTACCGCCGCTCCCGCCCCTCGTGCACCCGTTCGCGGGCCAAGAGCTCAATCGACTGCACGTCAACATCGACGTGCTCCAACGATGCATGGTCTCGACGTTGGACCTGCTGCAACACTACCCGGCGCAAGACCCAGCTCCTATACTCGAGAGCTTACAAGCTCTCAAAAACGAGCTCATAAGTACCGATGTGGGTTGGACACAGCTGCAGGCTTCCTTGCTCCCGTCTGGCCACTCTAGCTTCAGCAGCGTAAGATCCTCTACGGCACATCTGCTTCCGACGCACGATAGCCGATTTTCCAGTTTATCGTCCCAGAAAAACTCCATTTTCAGCAATCCGCGTTTTAGCAGCGTAGATCATCACAAACATCCGTCGGCTAGTCTAGGCGGCGCCCGAACCAGCTTTGCCGATCTCGGGGAATCCGAAGAATTCGAAAAGAAGTCTTGACGCCCCGAACTCGCCCCATACCAATCGACGCAAACCACTTCACCCAAGGACAAGTCGAACATACTTACATGTAACATTACCGAGCAGGCTTTAACTTCAAATCTAAACAAATATATCTGTTATATATATGTTATTCTCATCATTTTCCAATTGAAGTTACGAATTTTGGCCACCAACTCGCTTGCTGTCTCAAACAGGTTGGTGGCGTTATTTTGACTACATTAATCTAAGTTAGCAAAAACGATATCTTTTTCTCAATTTTTGAACTCGCAAAACCCTCACTGCGCACTCAACTCGCTTGCTATATCAAGTGGATCCGTAGGTTGAGGCTCTTCCTTACCGGTCGACTCCTGACCGAACCCCCGATATTGAGGATGTAAAGGTTGTGTGCAAGGTACAACAGAAGCTGGAGTTACCGGTATTCCCATCGACGCCGGCCAGCTTCCCCTAGGTCTTGAAAACGACTTTCTATTGCCTTGCTGCTGGAACATGGCGTTCAAAAATTTGGGGTTGTAGTTCCCGAAGAGATCAGGTCCTTGATTCGGTCCGTTTTGGGAGTTCTTCCTCGACGACGGTCTTGACCCAACTGATACATTGTTTGAGCTCGCATCTGGCCCGCTTACCGATTTGGCTCTTTTCTGCGCAAAGGAAACGTAGAGTGTGTGATTTTCATCAACTTGATATCTGTCAGTAACCATTACCGCACGCGAGGCATCAAGCGGATTCTTGAAACAAACGAAGCCGTACCCTTTCGAAGTGCCCAGCGGCAATTCGTCTTGTTTTTTGTCCGTTTGAGAACCTTGCTCCTCGTTTTTGCTACCTCCCACAGTGATGATTTTAGCGCTAATAATCTCACCAAACTTTTCGTAGAATTCATATAGATCATCGTCTCCCCAGTTTAGTGGCAGGTGCTTGACATAAAGATTGGACTCTTGCTGATCTTTAGTTGGAATTGGCAACAAAAAAGGCGCCGGGGATAAAAGCCCCTGCTGAGTGCCATAAATTGACCCACTTCTTGACGACTGAACTGACGAGCCATCTGAAGTCTTCGCTATATTTGACTGCAGAGCATAATATGGCACTTGGTTTGAGCTCATATAGCCGCGGCTTGAAGGAGGAGACGATATTGGAGAAGCATCATCACCATCGCGGACCACCTGTTCGCCGTTAGCAGGCATGGCACCAGGAAAGGTACTACTAGGTACACCTGGATAGTACGTGAAACCTCCCTGAAATCCACCAAAGGGGGGATAAATCGGAAATGTCGTAATGCTTGACTGCCTGGAGGGCAAAGAACGATCGCTGTGACGACGGCTCATACCATGATGCACATATGGCCCGTGATGATTGTTATTGTGATGATGATGATGATGGTGGTGATGATGATGGTGATGATGGTGTGGCTTAGTTTGTACCGCCTTGTTCACCACCAGTTTATGCTGGAGCCATTCTGTATCATTAAAAGACGTAATAGCGTTGACAGCCTGTTCATGAGCTGCAAATTTGATAAAACCATACCCTTTCAAAGGGGACTCTTCATGCTGAGATTCGCAAGTTTCGGCATTGTCCATAACGTCGTCATCGTCCTTATACTCTATTTCGCTCTTGCTGTTTCGCTTTGGAAAGTAGTAGGATATAATTTCCGGTGATCCGTTCTCATCCGACAGCATTTCCTTAAATCTGTTTATGACATCTTCTGGTACTAAAAGCTTACCATCTTTGTCCTCAGTTGGGAGGTTTCCGATGAAAACACCCTTGAATCTCTCGTCATCGTTATCTTCTTTCATGTGGTCCCAATGAATTCTCTCTCTTTCTTTCCTCTCGACATGATAGTTAATGAAAAGCGGGCAACCATTCATGAGGTTACCATTCAGCTCTTTTATACAGAAAGAGGCCTGAGATCCGAGCGGAAAGGAAAGGAAACCATAACCAAGAGATTCGCCAGTAGTAGAGTCGCATATCACTTTCATTGAAAGAACTGGTCCAAATTTGGAGAATATGGGGACCAAATCTTCAACCGTCAAATCCTTGGGTATACCACGCACATATAAATTGCCAGGGTGTGTCAAAGCTTGTGGATTAGCACTCAAAGACCACTTACCAACAAAAGAACTCTCTTCCAGAAGAGTGGTCACAGCATCTGCTGCAGACTGCAAATCGGAATAAACCTTGAATTGCGCATGCAAGATAAAGTCGTAAAGCCAATTCCCATCGTCCACCTCTTCGGGAGATTTGGCAAGTTCTTGATTCCCAGATTCGTGAATGTAAACCTCGCGATTTTTATCAATCACCCGTAACCTTTCCTTGTCTGAAAGGTATTCATAGTGCTCAATCATCGAAGGGTTGACAGCAAATCCCCTACGCGCATGAATTACCTCATGCAATCTGTTCAAAAATTCGGTCTTCTTGTAATCCATAATCAAATTATCCCTCCATTTAACCCTTACCGTAAGTACGTTGGTATTGGCCAACTGTTCCAACTGCGACACACTAGATCCTGGCGTGCTTGCCTTAGATAGTTCTTCCTCGTGTAGATTGCCATCTCCCGACGACTTACTCTCCTGAACATCACCAGCACCGTTAGTAATCACTATGTCCCCCAGACCACTCGAAACACTGAAGACCTCCGGATCTTCAGATATTGTCATCTTTACGTCGACAGTGGTACCTCTTTGAAATCCCAATCTTGAAACAGGCTTCAAAATGATGAAACACTTCTTGAATCTTCTTAATTATAAAGTAGATCGTTTTTTGCCCTATTATTTAACCAAACGGACTTAAAAGAAGTTAGGGCGAAATTAAAAATCACTCTCAAATTCAAATCTCGGCTCCGACTTCCTGGAAACTCCGCACCTGTCGACTTTTCGAAATGAATTGACTAACAAAGTAGGGCCTGATTTCAGAAATTCTTCCGCAATTTACTAGTCAATGACCCTCCTTAGCTTAGCCTCTCTGTGCTCGGTGTTGTGCTGTTTGTCGAGAGGTATATTATTACCCTTATAGTTTTAAGTAATAAAACCTTCCCCGGTTCCTTTTTTTACCTGGGCCGGGTATCTTCAGAATAACTTAAGATTTTGACCGGTATGGCGAAGCTCAAATCACTCAGCTAAGTGCTGGACAATCTGCGGCCGTAGGAGAAATTCCGCGGCATAATAAAGCAGCGTGCAGCTGTCATATTTCAATGGGAAGCCCATTTTGTCACCCTATTTGCTCCTGGTTTTTGCAGCCTTTAAGAAAAGCTTAAACGGTCGCTACGGGAATCAAAAGCCATAGTCACGTGATATTTCGGCCGAAAATAATATAGTCGATGACAGATGGTCTATCGTAGGAGCCAAATAAGCCGACGACAGCATTTGAGGCGCTCCGCATGACACTCACATACCATTTAGGATGTCGCGGACCATGGGTTTGTCCTCGACCAACTTAGAATCAGAGGTGATATTTTTGACTCTGAGGGGAACAGACATGTGTTTTCTTACAGCGTCTCCTTGGGAAGAATCTTTGTAGTCCAGACGATAGGTTCTCAGACAGTCCTTCGGTAACTCGTAAATCCAGTTTCGAGCCTTCAGCATCGAAAAGAAATCCTTTAGAACCTCAGTTGAGCCAATGGTACTTCTTGACCCGATAATAATTAGTTTAGTTTTCGCTCTTGTCATTGCTACGTTTACGCGCCGCAAGTCTTTTAGTAAGGAACCACTATTGAGTTGAGGGTTGCGTCTCACCATTGAAATGATTACGCAGTCTTTGTCACGACCTTGAAATTGATCTGCTGTGAGGACTTCAAGGTTCTCATCGTCCTTTTGACTGAAAATCTTCTTCAAAACGCGCAACTGAGCTCGATACGTGGTCATGATTCCAATAGATCTTCGATCAACGCCGCAATTAACCATTGCCCTCACACAGATTCCTACGAGTTTAGCCTCGCCTGGATTTCTTATGTTGTCTTTGTCACAAATCTCTGTAATTTCCTCGCAGTCGTCATAATCCAGAAATATGACCTTCTTTTCACTATCGAGAACGTCGTAAAGCCAGTTCTTCGAATTCACAATATATTTATAATCCACCAGCTTATCAATATTAGGAATTTCAAGTCTTCCATTCTTAACCTGTTCTGTACCACATTTTAGCTTTTGATCGTATATGATATGATTCGAAAGCGCCATTATGTCTTCGCACATTCTGTACTGATACGTCAGTTCGGCAATACACTCGCGGTGTCTTTCGCAGAGATTCTTAAAAAGCGAGACTTCTAACCCACCTATGCGCGCAGCTTCATTTCTCACCAAAGGTGGCAGCTGGTAATGATCGCCTACCATGATGAACTTTTCTCCGAAACGAAGAGGCCCCAAGGCGATTGGGAGAGAAAGTTGACTCGCCTCATCTAAAATAACATAATCGAAATCTGCTTCACGGAAATTTAGCAAACTATCATGAATTCCAAGGCATGTTGTCGCAACAACGCTGGCACCTTGAACTGATTTAATAAGATCCTCGTAACTTTGAGATTCCGTGAAATCTAGCATAAACCTCTGGGCATCTGAATGAATCTTATGTTTATGGCCCAAACGAATCGTAGAAATATTGTCATTGAGAAGTTTCAAAAGAATATTATCGACAGCGGAATGCGTGTAAGACGTCAGTAGAACAGTCTTTCCCATAGATACCAGCTGTCTAATTATTTCGGCGATGACCGTTGTTTTTCCTGTTCCTGGCATACCCAAAATGAGCGCGTAATCTTGTGCTTCGAGTGCTAATTTTATGGCCTGAATTTGATCTTGATTAAATTTACCTTTGAGACTCGAAATCAAGGATTTCGCATCAAAAGGCTTAAAAACAGGCTTCCTGTTTTCCACAATAAGCTCCCGCCTTTTGCTATCTCCACCAAGCGAGGGTTTCAATGGTAAGAGATCGTCATTTTGTTCAGCGCCTGCAGCAGGACCTTTGGATACGGGAGGAAGAAAGAGATTAAGCACATTGTACCTAGCCAAAGCAAGACCTTGTTGAATCTCGTTCCTGTCAATCCTATAGGAAATATTATTTGAACCACTTGCTTGTCGCAAGCTCGAGCGCGGTCTCAATACACTTTCGTAACGCTGCTTATCCTTGCTCTCAAAGTCCGAGCCGTGAACATCATGTAGGTCGAGCCGTCGGGTAGTTTTGATTGTAATGCTTTCCTTCATAATTGCCGATACGCGTCCCGTACACAACGCAAAATGCCCTTGCTCATCGCTTATTATAACCATATCATAAAGCGATAGTTGTGAGTACGTCATCGGCGGTTTGACTAAATCGGAGTTTTTCCTCACAAACGTGTAGAAATAAATATTTTCGTCACCACTCCTGTAATCCGAAATGCATAATTCGGAAAGGCATTTGCCGCTTAGGGATTCTCTTGTTGTACTCTTTAGAAGAAACATTTCATTGTTAATTCCATTCAAACTCGATTCCTCTTTGGTAATTAAATTTTCGTAATGCTCGTAGAAGTCCTTGTCAAGACCTGTATTAAGGTGCGACGTTATGCTTTCGTATTCCCCGGGCTTGAGACCACTGTCATGTGCCGTACCACTTTCACTAAGCTTGTTGATGACCATGCATGCCTCTTTCGTAAAGCAATTGTCACAGGCAGAGCTTCTTAGGATTGATGGTAACATTCGCGCTTTCCATAGAGGATCGCGTATCTCATCTATTCCATGCTTCAAATGCCTCGACAACTGATTTCGAAGAATTAGCAAGTGCTTCAATGACATCAAAATCGTATTGTGCTTGACAAATTCATTTGTTCTTGTATAATAGAGGAGGAAAAACGATACTGGAATCTCGTATCTGTCTCTCAGTAAGAGGGTATAGAGGCTACCTTGTACCTCATGGGCCAAAGATTTAGTCCGACCTGACTTGATCTCGAGAGGTGCAACGTAAAATTTACCTTCAGCTGATCTGGCTTCTATAGTAGCATCGAGAAAACCTTTGATACCAAAAACTGGCGACCAAATGTTTTCCTCAATATCTATTATATTATTAATTGAGAAGGGCTCTTTTGATCTAGTCCCACTCACATTTATCAGGGACTCTCCTTGCTCTGTGACGTAGTCGTTGATGAACTTTACGATATTGGGTATATGTTCCTCGCAGACGATATCGACGACAGCGTCTTTCGAAGACCCGCACATCACAATTTCAGTCTCATATTCGTCGCACACCTTTTGACACTGTGACTTCAATAAATGTTGAGTCACACAGTCATTTTGCAAACGATGACGAAGGCCACTTTGAAGAATCTCGTGTACAATATTTCCTATCAAAGCAGGAAGACTCGGTTCCATAGGACCAGAAAATAGACTAGACAGGAGAGATCTTCTAGAACACTCAACGGATTTTCCAACTGTTGTTGCCGAAAGAAGAATATCCGGATTCTGTACGAGCAAATTGTCATTGATTCGCTTACTTTTAGGGTTAACTTCATTAGAAAGAACGCTGAAATCGTTAACGTTTTGGCCCTTTATTATGTGAAGGACATCTCCTTCCTCGTATTCTAAAACTGTCCATGGAGGGCGGATTGTCAAACTGGTTCTTTCACCATGTTTGTTAATACACGTCAGGTGCTTTTCCCCTGTGGCGTTGTGTACAGCTGGTACGTTAACACTCACTATGACAAGCCTTACAAAATCTTCTCTATCAACTGAAAAGTCTACCAATTCCTTGTAGGCCTCTAGTTTTTCCTCCGAAATCGACAGTTTTTGAGAAAAGATTTCCTGAACCACGTCAAGACCCTCTTCTACTCCTAACCTGTCGTCTTTCTGAGTCTCTTGATCCTTTTGATTTTCCAACAAGTCGAGGAGAGAGTCGTCGTCCGAATGCTCACTAGATTCATCATCTTGTAAAGAATACGAATTGGAGGATTTGGCTTGCTCTTTTTCGTCTGTGTACCTTTGAGTAAGTATATGGATTAATGAATCATCATCTTCAATAGAGTCTGAAGTGGGCAAGCCGATTTCATATCCATTTCTATTCGGAGGATGGGATTTCATTGGTGAGGACGGTAAATCTGCGCAGCATGATTTTGACTTCCGTTCAAATCCACCCTCAATATCATGTATAATATCTTCAATGTCCCGCGTTGAAGCGAGAATTGCTGGCTGTATCGTGGAGCTTCTCGTGGTAGAGCTTTGCCTCAACGAAGCTTTCCTTGACTCGAAAAGTCTACCTTCTTCATCCCTACCTTCATCTATATTAATGTGCGAAAAATTGAGCACAGTTTTGAACTTGTCATGAACTATTGGAGTAGACGATTGGTGTGCCACTTCTAGAAGGGATTCTTGAGAAGACGATAGAACTCCTCTTTCTTGACGTGAAGTGATTTCCCGAGAAACTTTGGAAGGAAAATACTGCCATATAACTTCTTCTGACGGTGCATTTTCTGGGTTTTGAACTTCGGAGCGAACAAACGGCTCCCCCAAGTCCACTTGGTCCCCCAAATTCTCGTAATTTTCCGACTCCCCCTCTGCTTGTGGTGGATCGATATCTGCTTGTGCTATTTGAACGCGCCTCGTATTTTTAACAAAGGAAACAGGAATCGAGCGTAGAATTGTATCCTGGTTATTATCCTGCACCATCTCCTTACCAAATGGAGTGAACCGATACTTCTTTTTCGGTTTCAATGGTTTGTCGACACCACTATCATTTGCCGCCGAGCCCTTATCCTCGCTCTGATCATATTCCACAAATTCTGGCTTTGCCGGTGATGCATTCAAGCTTGCTCGTCGCTTCCTAGCAATCTCAGAATCCATGAGCAGTCTAACGCGTTATCAAAAGTGAGTAAGTCTGGGTTTCCTTACATAGATCCCTCTTGAGAGCCTCATCATGAAAACGTCCTCATAATCTCCTTTTCATTTTTCATGATTCGTAATTTGTGATATCCACATCCTCGACGATCAAAAGCCGCTTTCGGTGTGTGTTCGCTTATAGGTCATCAATTGCAAATTTCAACAAGCCTCAGCAAGCCAGAGGCTTCCTGATAACTCATTTCCAGCTTATTTATGCTTATTTATTAGTTTTAATTAATTAAAGTAGCGTATGAACAAGACAAGACAAGAGAAATGGACAAGATTAATAAATATCAAGATTGAGAGGAAAGTTGTCAAAGTCGATAATTTATGTTACCGATTGCGATGAGATGTGCAAGATTTTGCAGGGCATTAGGATTGCTCCAGATGTTTTCTAAAAATCTTTGAATTCCAATTCTATCCTTTGATGAAGAGGTAGCACAACATACCACTTTAATGCAAGGAGGAATAATCACGGTAAATTAATTATGCTCTACTCGTCTTGCCGTGAAAATTCCTTCAAAAACGCATCTAAATCATCACACACATCCTGCTTTTTAGCCAGCAAAATCTCGACCATGGAGGCACTCAACTTAGAATCGTCGTCTGTGTTGGCGGCTCGCCTTTTTAAGCGCAGAATTTCGATTTTAAGCCGCATTAATATTCGCGACATTTCTGCGTTTAAGTTTAGATGTGGAGTAAGCGGCTGTTCCTGCGTGGGCACAATCGTGGACGTGTCAGTTTGAACTGCATCCTCCTCATCGCTTGATTCTATCTGTATTACTAAGTTTTTTAGCCAGTCCGGTTTCCCTTGTATCCTCGCTATCTTTGTCGAAGCTTCTCCCACGTCTATGACATTTAATTCAACATTTGACAGGCTCACTCCATTCGTTTCAATTTCGTAGCTAGGACCGGCGCAGGTTTCGTTGTTTGTATGTTGTCTTTTCCTTGGAAGTTCACCGTGATGATCACCAGCAGACGCGGAAGACTCCTTCTCAATGGGGTCATAATGGTCATTATCCGTTACCGGCATATTGAGCAGCTCATATTGCTTCTTCAAAAACGATTTGTTCACGCCCGACTCCGCCAACAGTCGTTTAAAGTCATATCCCAACCTCGTGAGTTCATATATAGCTGAGGTTACTTCCTGCTGTGTATGTTTTTGAATGATTTTTTGATCGCGTTCTTGCTTTCTACAGCTTATAGATTCCAGTAAAGCTCTTCTTTTGGCCTGAAGTTCTTTCAGAACCTCGCTCGAAGGCGCAATATTTGGAGATTCTGCCATGAACTTTAGTTTCGGTTGTCATTTCAGTTTATCGATAACTTTTTCGTAATTATCTTGAAAATTATCGAGCCTAGATTCCAATCAAGGTTCCCTCCATCTTCAAACCTCAAATAAACAAGAACTCTATTATTCACGAAAGTCATGATTGTAAAGATTTGTTATAGTATGTTTAAGATCAAAGTAAAATATCGAATAACAATATTATTGAATATTCAGGATTAAATTTAAGAAATATTTTTGACTGGCACGACATAGGTATGAGTTGATAGAAATCTGTTCACAAATTGGCCGTCAGCGGACAAATGTTGCATAGGAAATTTACTTATTGATTCGGACATCCACTTTTCCACGGCCTGTTTCTCGGGATCAGACAAATTCGTGATGTAGCTTCTTGAGAGCCAATAAGGAAATACAAGCTCTTTTGGCATAGAGTCAATACCCATGTCAAAGCTCTCGATAGCACGATCTGCATCAAAAAAATTTTGATTTTCCATGCAGCGGCGCCATTCGCCATGTCGATATTGGGGCACAGCGTGATCGTACCTATAAACGTGCGTTGCGAGTAAATCCCAACTCGTTAATTTACCCACCAGCATTTCCACCAATTTGAAAACGCGATCGCTACTATCAATCAGTCCATTGAATTCGAGTTCTTTAACTGTCTCGGCGTATATTTTCCCATAAAGCCTGACCTTGTCGTCCCCATAGCTAATGTGCACTTTTGTATTAGCATTTGGTATTTTTTGAGCAGCGCTGGCAGCATCAAAATTCCAAATTAATGCTAGTCTACCAGTTTTTTTATTCAAAACTCTGTGAATTTCTGCCAACGAAGAAGAATCCGCAAACCAATGGAAACCTTGCGCTACAATGACACAGTCGACCGAATTGTCCGGAAGCGGAATGCTATAACTCGAGCCTTGGTAAACAGCTACATTTCTTCCAACTTCAATATTCTTTTGGAAACTTTCCAGCATCCCTTGCGACGGGTCCACTGCCGTTACATTTACTTCTCTGTTTCTCATTTGTACAGCTTCAAGGAATGCCTTGGTAAACTTCCCCGTCCCAGCGGCAAGCTCTAGCACATTGCATGCTTCGCCGCGGGTAAGACATTGATCAAAAATGAATTCGGTTAGAAATTTCTTGTTTCGGTCAAAACCAGGTCTGACCTTATCATAAAGTTCATGATTAGAGTTGAAAGCCGTCAACGAGGAAGAATTCACAATCGACATAAATCTTTTGAATAATCTAATTTTTAACGCATTACCAGATGCTAGAACATGTCTTCTATAGAGCAACATGGCAAACCGATCCTCCAGTATTGCTTGTCAAGTTTCCTTTAAGTAAAGTATTTCTGTCCCCTGACTTTAAATTTCTGAGTGGAAGATATACTTCATTTAGCATACCAGTTGTTTAAATAAACACGACGAATTGATAAAAATTTATATGATCACAAAACCTTCTTGCTTGTGAGCTGAGTTTTCGTAGATAAGCAAAAATGGAAAGCAAGGAAGTGTAAACTGAAAGTCCTTACATGAACTAGCTATTTTGAATAGTCAACTTTCAAAGTTAATCCATTGTAATTTTCAGTCTTTATCGTAAAGAGAGACATGAAGAAGACAAGACATCGCGATGCGACTGGAAGGCGGCAGCACCGAAGATAGATCAAATATTCTGAAAGCTCGATCGCGTTAGATTATCAAGCTTTTTTTTCTTTTTATAATACAGAGTTTACAGTCCTATTATGTCACCATTTCAAACGGGTTTGAGATGAGCTTAACTATCTAAGCGAAGACATCGTCTTGTATGGCTTCGAGGTCCTGATCGTCGGTAATTTCGCTAAATTGCAGGAAATGAATAGCACGATGAGTCTCATTGTAAAATTCGAGCGGCACGTCTACTTTCAATTCGTAAGGCATTCCTGGTGCGAAAGCAGTTCCACTGAAAGTATAATTCCAGAAATCGGTGGAAGGAACAAAGAAGTAGCCCTTTATCTTGTTTGACAAAAGCAACTGAGAATGTTCACTGAATTCTGGCTCGAATCCTTCCGGCAATGTGTCAAATAGATTCATATTATGAGCTCCCCATGTGTATCCTTTTTCGGAAAGATTAAACGCAGAAAGCGAAACCGTGCCAGGGTTAAAACTGACGGTTATGTTGACCGCATCTCTGTTTCCTGACTGAAATAACTTGCTATGCATTGTAACATCAGCTGGTGACATAAACTGTGTTTCGCCTGTTTGTGTATGAATCCAACCAAGTAGCTCGAGGTCCCCGCCAGTAGGAAGAGACGATGGAATAGAAGCCATCTGGACAAATTGACTATTACCCAGCTGAGGAGGCAGAGCCAACGCTCGAATTTCCTTTACATTTCTATGCCCTTTAACCGAGGAACCGTAGACGTAACACCCTACCTGTATCCTCAAATCTGCAATGTCCACAAGCATCTTGAGCAGATTGTGAGGTAGAACATAGACGTCCTTCTCTTCAACAAAGTCCTCTGATGCAACAAAAATGTTTTTCAAACGCAAATGAAGCAGCGAATTAGTAACAGCATTTTTCCGCCACTGGCTTCTGGAGTTGAAGGCTCGAGATTCGTAGTTAGCAGAAGCAACAACAGTAATATCCTCCCCTTGGGCATTGGTACTTTTCACTTTTATTGCTGAGGATGTTGCCTCATCAAGGTTTTGTTCAGTAGAATTATTTGCGTTCTCAATCTCGGCCATTTGTTGCCTTTTGACGGATGGTGCCTTAATGTTTTGCCCGAGAATAAGGTCTTTAACTTCAGTCTGAGTTAAGGAGGCGATATTAACATTGTACTTTTTGCCATATTCAGATAGAATGAGATCTCGCATTTTGCCTTCAACCTCAATCCATTGCTCGTCTGTAAATGAGGGCCAGAGATGGTGCTCTTTGATCACAATGGTAGGATCTGCCTTCAGTATAGACTTTGCCAATTCCTCATTACTTTTCAAAGCCCTTAACAATAGCACAAGACGAGAAAATGCGGTATAGGAGGAAATTCTGTCAAGCCAATCATCATAAATATTAAAGAGCATCATTTGAGGTTCAGTAGCTCGAAGAACAACGTTGGACAGCTTATCGATTGCCATGCAGGCCGAGAAGGGTAGTTTCAGTTCGGTAGGTCGTATTGATATATTCGGAAAATCCAACATGTGAACTTCCAGAGGATCAAGCATTGCCTTCCTTGTAACAATTATCTGCTTCGGTTGCTCCTCTTTCGGCAAGGATCTGATCAACGCACTAACTTCTTCTGCTGTTTTCCATTTTGCAAGTTGACTTAAGCGTTTTTGTCCCGCCCAAACTGAGGTGTGGATGATTTTGAGAAACAATTCCCCTGACCTTGGGTTGAGGGTAAAGATGCATCCATTTATCGGCTTTGTGGCAATATTCCCTTCATAAGTTTTGTGGACAGCAACTCTATAGACATTGGTATCGTCTATCATCAGCTTGAGTTCATCGCTAAAGAGTTCAGCATAGTTGGAAGAGTTCAAAAAGGGTTCTTGGGTTTGAGACTGGTATATTTGCAAGCCCTTTCTAATTCGTTCGCGAAGGACATAGAGTGATGGATTGGCCCTCATTATCGTTTTCATACCATTTTGCATCAAAGTTTTCATACCTTCAAACCAACTTCCGTAAGCATCATACATGTTATAGGCAAGATCAATAGCGATCATTACTCCTGTAGGAGATGGGTACATGCTTACGTTGTCTGTTGTGTAATCAAGAAATTTGGCCCGGACATAGCGAGAAATATCATGGGAATCGTAATCGCCATATCGAAGCTGTACGTCGATCCACATCTTTTCTGAGGTAGCCGCACTAAACTCATCACCAGTTTGGTGAAGTAGAGAAGGCTTTGAAATGTTCCACTTGTATACACTGGTCATCGTGACGTCAGCTGCCGATGAGTTCATCTTGTATGATTTGCGAGGGTGAATTGACTCCTTATTAACATTTTCGATCTGCAAAACATCAAGCTCCCCATCCAAAATCTGGCATATATCAAATACAACACTCTCATGAATTTTTTGCCAAAGATGGGCGCGAAAGATCTGAATCAGTGACATTTTTAACGTAGGGATTTTTCCGTGCAAAAAAATGCCCGTCAGATCCAATTGAACTAAGAAGCCAACGTAAACGTTGGCTCGATTAATGGTGGGAGACCACCACAATGTGAAACGTCGATTAGGAATTTGGCTGAGACCCGTCCTCTGAGCATGTGTAAGCTTCTTGAATTGCATAGAATCCTCGAAACCTGATGCTTTTTCCCAAAAAAGACCTTCCCAGGAGTTGAACCCTGTCCCTTTGAACAGAGTGTGCTCCAAAATCGTTTCAATACCACCAAGTGCCTGAATTACATCAGTTCTGTAGGCATTCAAATTCCAAAGCTTGCCGTCATGGCGTGCATCTGTCCACCAGAATGGATTTGTTCGCTCTAACGAATATTTTTTGAACTCTCTTCTGACTCTGTGTCCCTTATCGTAAGCTAGAGTGTGACGATCCTTTTGGAACAAGGTGCTTATTCTTGGAATACCTCTATCCCAAGATCCTTCTAGCTCTTCAAATGCAAGTCTGCGGTTTTGCCTTAACGCTTCTTGTCTCTTTGCAACGTAGTCAGCCCATACCCTCTGAGAGTCTAAAAATTCATTTTCCCAGGTTGTAATGTACCTGAAAATCGTTGGAATCAATTTCTCATCATAATGCGTCATTCCTGCGCGGAAATGCGTCACTCCAGTATCTGTCTGCCGTGACCACTGCAGATCAGAGGCCGGAATTAAAATATGAGAAGCGCTAAGCATACCTAAACCACCCAATTCTTTAGGTGAATAGAAAACGGCGGGAGGAAATCTCGTTGGCATCTTTGAATTGAGCCCAAGCTTGACTCTGTTTTGGATCCTCGTCTCGCACTTCACCAAGAGATCAAGTAAAGGCTTAGTTGCCACGATGGCTTCCCTAAAATAAGCGAAAAGAGATATCAAAGCGGTGTTCCATCTCGCTGTGATCTTAGTGAAAGTAGTTGAACCAGATGCCATCAAAATACTGCGTATGCTACTGTTGAACTTTTCCACTTCTTCATTTGAGACTTTTAAGTAGGCTTTTGCTGTTCTCTGTTTTGTTACTTGATTTACGAGGTCCCAAATTCCCTCGTCCGTTGATAAAACTTCACTCGTTCTAACATTGGGTAAAATCCTAACTTCAAATCCACACATGGTGAATACTAAATTGGGGTTATTTTTGCTGTACACCGAAGATAAAGAGTTTTCCCAAGTTATGTGAGACAAAGCCCGAGGTACCCTTCCTTCTATTTCCCAAAAGACAGCTCGTCCCAAGTTGACATCAAAGCGAATCAGTCTCATTCGAGAGTCTCGTGGCCAGCAACTCTTATTGTTATAGCCGACCGCATTCTCGAAATGAGGATCAGGATTTTCCGCTAAATATTCTTTAACAAGCTCAGCCGCCTCCATCTCAGTGAAACGAAAGACAATATGCACTGTATCCAGATAACGACAGTAAAGTTTGATTACGTCGCCATTCTCATCATCAGAATTCTTGAACTGTAAAAACTCATTGCGGTTTTCCGGACTACCGCTGATTTGCAAAGCTCGTTGGGGACTCAATAGCAGAATATCAATCATAAGGCCATAAAATTGATAAACAAAGGAAGAAAACTGAAGTCCACGAATGAGACCATACTTGTTAACATGGCTCATATCTTTGAAACTTAAAACAATGTTGTTCTTTGAAGTCACATAATCTGCTAAATTTGGATCCATAACCAACCTCAGTAATCGATTCAATAAGGTGAAATCGACTTTTTCCAGCATTTTACCCAGCTTGGTTTGAAATATCACCATGGATTGGTTCTTCGAGACATCCCAAGCGTCAGTCAAGTTGTTTACCGCTTGACACCATTTATAAGTTAGCAAAGGGGGAATTTCGTTATCACCAGGTTTTACCCAGTTGGGAAATAGCTGTCTTTTGTCAGCTTCGTACCACAAGTATTGATCTAGATAGGCATCTGTGATCTTTTCAAGAGGATCAACATCAAAAACAGGTGAAATATACTGAAAGTGCTCCTTCATTGAGAGTTTTACCGGCTTAAAAATCCGCTGCGTTAGCAGATACTTTTTGATCCTATTCAAAGTCTCGTGGGGGTTATCGTAAGCTTCTTCGATCAGAGCTAGTTCCTCGCGTTCTGAAGCATTCAGCCTTATCTTTGAAGCGTAAGCATCTTTCAGGTTTTCGAGGGCAAGTACCAAAACTTTTGTATCGTTTTTGTAAGTCAACGGAGGGAAAGGAATAGGCGCAAAATTGTTCACTTCCAACCATTGAACCATCGTTGAAAACACTGTAGTAGCTTCAACGGGACTAATCTCAGGACCGTCTTTCTCAATCTCCGTCTGGCGTTGCTGTTCACTTTTTATCCACATTCGAGTGAGTCTTCCTAGATTCTTTTTAACCACAGACTTTTCGACGTGGGCGCCGCGCTTTATGCGTTCCCGATTATGGTGAGCAGTGGAGATCCAGCCGTCTGCTTTGGCTCTGATGTACCTCTCGATTATGTTCTTTACAGGTAAGGGCATGCCTGGTACATCCCAGGGTATATTCGCTTTCCAGCACCTCCACGCCTCGCTCAAGTGTTGTAGAATGGTTTTTGCTTTATTTTGCTTCACGCCATCCGGTATCATATCAAGAATATCATTCATGACCGCAGCCCTCAGTTCCAAATCGTAATATGCATCAAATCTTTGCTTGGTTGCAGTCTTAACGATCTCATTCGAGCGACCCTCGAATTGTCGGGCCAATAGGTTACCAAGCCAGCGTTCAAGCAAGGGGATAATACCTCTCATGAAAAAAATCCACACTCGCCAAGCGGGTTGCCAAAATCCACAGCCAGGTCCTCGGCCAATAATTCGATTAAACCTCTCATAGACGATATGCTTTAGATCCTTGCAGGTACGAATCTGATGCATGACTTTATACTTGTATCGGTAGATACCAGTCAGTTGACCAAGATGATTTAAAATATAGTACAATCCATCGGCCAATTGGAATGCATCAACATTCCCCATTCTATACTGAACGTGTGCATCGACTATCAATTTGATCATTTTGAATATTTCTCGAACAAGATGAAAAGCGTTGCCAAATCTGGATTTCTTTCTTTCCTTTGTTGTTAAAGTTTTTGTCGGCTTAAGATTGAAGTTGTAATCCAAATGCAAATATGTGAGTCCTTTTCTGTGGATCAAAAGGTTTAGCATGTTATGACCTTGCCTGCACAATTGAAGGCCCGCCTCAACCCAGTCAATCGAAGTTTGTTGAAAGAACTTTGTATGTCGTAACTTTTTCAGAATTCTCTGTTTTCTATGCCCTGACGTTCGCGAGCCTTTCAATTCATTGAAAACATGATTCTTTAAAAGCTTTTGATGCGAAATTCTCACCTTTAGTGGTGCATCCGTATCGGGTCTTTCCTGACACCAGCGCTTCACAAGAGAAATATCTTGCGCTCGCTTCATACTTCCAGACCTCTTGTCAAATGGATGTGTTTCGAAGTAGAGCGCTAAAGCATCTGAAGTTTTAGGAAGAATCAGTTTTTCATCATGCATTAAAGGCTTGAACGTAGGTGGTAGGGAGCAACCCTTATTGGTATGGGGAGAACCCAGCAATCTTGGCTCTGTGAATTGACGAGATAGGACCGGATGCAGCGTCTTGTCAAACCTAAACACGTTGGAGCTGTCCCTTAAATCAATCTCAATGAGGCAGAACACTGGATCATGATAGTGAGACAATTGGACCTTTCTTGGGCGCGAGTTATAGAGATGGGGAAATGCAATTCGATATTCGGTTCTTATCGGCAAACGAAAGATAGTACGATCGAGGGAGTTGAACTCATTGAAGTCTTCTTCCTCTTCGTCGGGAAAAAGTGGTTCAAATTTTGGGCCGCCTGGTAAAGCGTTGTTTAAAGCTTTTGCTGTGAAAAAGGACTTTCTGTCAAAAAGATAGAAGTAATTGGGGTCTTTGACTTCTGCTAAGATAGGCATAGAAAGTCGATGAAGGTCGCCCATTGTTTGAATGTTCAACTTCCATGTTTTGTAAGACGAGCCATTTGTGCTTTGTTCGGAGTCGATCAAAGGTCTCGTGTCAAAGAGCCAGTATTTTAAGTCTCCATCGTCATTATTGTCGAGTCTTAAGGTGATTGCATCTAAAGGTTCTATTTCGAGTAAGTGGTCAGAGTAGGAAACAGGCGGCTCCTCATCATCAAAAGGTGGAAAGCGCATTCTTTTGAAGTGTTTCCGGTCTCTCTTCTCACGACGCATCGCGATCCACATAGACGCCCACTGAGCAATGTAAACAGGCTCTATGACGCGAGGAATTTCGTTCACAAATGTGATGGCGCCTGTGTTGTGGTACAGAACTTTCACCTCTTTCATTTGCTCCCAAGGCTGTGGCATGTTTTCTAATAGCTTTAATACAGCATGTGGCATATATTTTAATGCTCCTAAAAATGCACGCTTATCTTGATCAAAACGTCTAGATGTCATGTCGGAATGATCATTGACGATCTTCCTCAAATGTTCTGGAGGCATATCTGCCTTGTGTGCATGACTCAAACCTCCTCGTACGCCAGACTTTTGTAAGACAACATTTGATGATTTTCTAAATCTCTTCTTTTGAACCTTGGCCCAATGCCGGCTTTTTTCTTGGAGTTGTTCTTGGCTGATGCTCGGCGTGGAAGGCCTAGCCTGGTCACATTTGGGTCTTTTGGAATGAGTTATATCTAATTGGATTTGTGGAGGTGAGACAGGGGGTGGAGGAGGGGCTGACAGCACACGGGACGCCGTTGAGTAAGCTGGCGGGGGCGGAGGAGGAGGGCGAAGCCTAGCCTGGGAAGTAACGTTGTTGTCCAAGGCATCAGTGCGTCCTAAGCTTGTATTGCTATCAAAGCCCCTTTTACCATCTCGGGGCATGTTACGATGCCCAACATAGCCTGGAGGAGGTGGTGGTGGAGGAGGCAATCCGCTCATCTCAAGCGATTAGCCCAGAAATGATACACTCTTCGAAGCTCAGAAACGGGAATATTTTGCAAGCTTGAGAATTAGCCGTCTTTCTGAAAAAGAAGAGATCTAACTCCGGTAGCTTTTTCGCTTCAGTGAGACCTTGGCGATTCCTTAGTGGAAGACTGTATTGGCTCATCTCTAGTATGTCAATATTGACGCTGTGATATCAAAAAACATACTTACATCTCCTTTTACGGCTGACGTATCAAGTGCCATATGGGAAAGTGAGTCCTGCGGGTAGCAGGCCAAGCCCATTGATAGTTAGCGTCCGCTAAGCCTAATGCCATTTCATTTAACAATATATCTATTTCAGCAACTTCAGCGATCGAATAGTAGTATTTTAACTTAACAGCTCTGTCCTGCCAGTAGCTGATGACTCAATCTCCCCATTGCCATCCTCATTCCGGTCGATAGTAAGCAGGCAAACTTGAAAAATGATCCGATATTCTCTAAGATTTTATGGGATATTATCGACCAATTCTAAATTCTCGTTTCCTCTGTTACTCTGAATGTTTCCTCTTTTGATTCGGCAGGAGTTTGATGCGTTCAATCAGTGCGCTTGGCGATCATTACAACATAGGCGCAGGTTTGAAGAGAAATGATGACGGGCTAGAAAATGCTTTCTCCCATCGACTTTTCAAAACTTTGTAGCACCCACCCGGGGTTTTTATACATCCTAGTCCATTCGCCGCCGGCATTCACGAGCAATGGTTCTTGCTTCTTCAATCTCTTGTGAGGTACCGTGCGTTACACCTAGAGCAAGATTATAAGAAGTTGCAAAATTCTTGACTTTGAATTCGTAGCGGGCCAGCCACAGCCTGGCTTTTGCAGTTTCATCATTAACCATCCCATCAAAATTAGTCTCCACCGCAACACATTTTTCCATGTATCCCTTACAAGTTTTCAAGTCATCAAGTCTTTCATGAAGGACCGCAAGACAATATAGCAACGCGGTATCCTGTTCCGGGTTGACAGACAGTTGTAAAGCTCTCTTAAAGCACTTTATTGCTTCTCGAGAGTTACCGACCTTATCGTAGCAGCTTGCTAAGGCTTGCCACATCCTTTTATCCAATGGCTTGAGCGCACATGATTTTTGAAAGTAATAAAGTGAATACAGATGCATGTCGAGGACTTCGTAGGCCTGACCTAATCCATACCATGCCTTAAAATCGCGAGCATTTATATCCACCGCACGGCGATAACACTCAATTGCAGCATGTGAGTTTTTAAGTTCGACAAACTCGTGGCCCATTAAAGTCCACGCACTGGTGCAACTTTTATTCAAAGAAAGGGCCCTTCTAAAGTACATTATCGATTTTTCATGCTCCTGTTTGGCACTATAATAGTTGGCGATAATGCAACAGGTTTCAGCTCTAAACTTATCGACACCGGATGCAAACTGAGCGAGGTAGGCAAGCTTGGATGGTTTTTGCGTAACGTACAGTATGTTCGAGTAAATATCCAAATCGTCCAAACGATAAGGATCCAACTTGATAACCTGATCGAAAATAAACTCGGCATTGGGATAGTCCATATAGTGGTAATTTATGAGAGCGTGTTGAGTTTTTAAAAAAGCGAAATTTGGAAATACCATAAGAAGATAGTCCAATTCCTCCAGAAACTCATCAATGTTCCCACTGAACTCCTGAAAAATTGCCAACTTGAAGAAACGAAGCATTACCTGATCTCCATCGAAGAATAGCTCGTCGGTATTTTCTTTCACGAATTTTTCATTCAGCAGTTTCAATAACAAAAATGATTCGTCTGGTCTTGTGAGGCAATTGAGAAGCTCCGTCCAACAGGTCCAATTAAAGGGATATAAGGTAATGGATGTTAAAAATGATGTTATTGCAGAGGATGGAATCCCTTGATGTTTATAAAGTACACCGCGCAAATAATATAAAAGCGCCATGCCCAGCCCGGTTTTTTGGATTCCAGATCCCAAAAAATCGTTCAGTTCTTTCAAAAGGATCGATATACTGGTTGGATCTCCATCACCCAAATCAACGCATTTCTGCGCTTTCTTTGTCTCATCACCCTTGTGATGGCCGTACTTTTTCAGTTTCTGTAGTGTCTTGTTATCATTAGAATAACGTCCCGCTTCGTCGAGACCACTTTCCAAAGTCATAATATTTTCAACGCTCTCTTGTGTCTTCTTGTCCCACGACAAAAGCTTGCTATAAAGCCTGAGAAATAATAGTCCTGGATGAGCGCAATTTGCTAAGTAGTACGCACACCTGTCGAATTCTTTGCAATCAAAAAGAGCCGACGCAAGAAGATATAAGTCGTATTCAGCGTTTGACATCCCATCGTTTGCTGATATTTGTTCTCGTGTCCCATTCTCAGTATTGGGCTTCTGAAAACTATGTCGGTTCTTCAACGGCGACTCATCGACGTGTTCTTGTTTAGAATGGTTGTTATTGATTTCTTGTTCATCGCACAGTCCACACAGTGCCTCAGCGGACCATTTTGAAGAATTATAAAGCTTCCATCGCAGTAAATCGTTCGCCGATCTTCTCAATTTCAGTTTAAGGTCACCAATGAGTCGAAGGAATGAAGCGTCCATTACCTCGTTGAGCTGTCATTGGTCAAGTATTCTTGATGGTTTGTGTATATCACTAGCACAAAAAATTAAAGCAGTATTGAAAATCCATCAAACAGAAGCGCATTATAAATGGATTTCAGTGTAATTGAGAAGCTTTTGCACGACATCAAGAAGTCGATAGATGTGAATTGTGATGTTGCATCGAAACTTTTGGATCAAGTGGCACTTTTGGTAGTCGAAGAACAAACATCTAGCGTTTGTTCAGATGCCATGGCGACGCTGCGAATGATATTTCCAACGCACATAATCTCTTTGGCTGAGATTCGAGATCAACAGACTGCTGTGATCGAATGCTATAACACAAAGATGAAACTTAGTCCCTCGGCAGACGTGGCCAGAAGCCAACTTTCTTTCAGTAGAACAGGTCATCCAGAGGGCTCCGAACTGCTCGAATATATAAATGAAGTCCAAGAGTTGGAGCTATCGTTATTTGAGCATCAAAGTCTATTAGGGAGGCTGTCTGCGTCATTAGACCTTTCTGAAAGTGCCAATGAAAGATCTGTTCGGCCAGCCAAAGACGATGACGCGACTAAAAATGTTTTCCACCAACTTCTGAAGCAATATAGCGCTACAAATTCGAGCCAGGACGAGTTGACCAAACTGAGAGATCAATTGATGGAACTTATCAACGATCAGAAGCTTGAAAAAGCGCAATACTCGCTAGAGAATCAGCACACCCTAAAAGAGGTTTTCAGCCAACTGGCGCATCAGGTCACAGAATGGAAAGAACAGTTTCAATCCTTGGAAGATATTATGTTTGGGAATGGACCTCGCTCGATGTTGAGCTTATTTCACGAAGTGGACAAGATGAAGCCCCTATTGGAATCCAACGATTGAGCATTCGATTTGTCACACGCATCCTTGTACCAGTCATTCTGGATCGTGACCTTGAAGATGCCCAGGCTACCAATACCGTGAAACTCACATGTCAAAGCCTAATATACCTAAATTTTCTCCAAGCTTCAAGACGCAATGTGTACATAAGGCAGGTTCGCCTAATACAGATGTTCAATGAAACTAGCGGAAATTGTGGTGCTTTTTTCTTGCAATAATTGTTGATGCCATTCTACACACTTCTAAAACCTTACTTGATAAAAGTTGGAACAATTATAAAACCAGAAAATTTAGTTTGGCTCCCACTTAAAAGCTTACCATCTCTTCAGTCAATTTGTGTTAAGTCAAATCTTCTTTGATGAATTTTGGACTTTCGTTCTTTTCTTGATATACTCCACAACAATCAGTATAAATTTTCTAGCGACAAAATAGAACTAGGGTGAGTAAAAAGGACAAATTTTAAAGTGTATGCTTCGCTCCCATTCCCTGCATTTTGGCAATCCTGTGATATCAAAATCTTTCTCTTTGAGGTTGTTCTCAAAAGTTGCCGATAATGCACCCTGCGCTTCCGATAACGAGCGGTGGCTGAGAAACTTGCAGGATCAAGCACATAGGAAAGAGCATTGTATAGTCAATCCCAACGATAAAGCTAATCATAGCAGTGATGACTCCCAGACGCACAATTATGTGACTCGTGAAGAGCGCCCCAACGAAACGGACTTCTTCAAGATAGTGTCTACTCCTCCAGATTCAACGTTCATCAACGTTAAAGCACCGCTATCTAAGTTCACGTCTGTTAACTATGTGAAAAAGAACCAACATCATATATCTAAAAATCAGGGCCTCGTTGATTTACGAATCATCAAATGCAAGAGTGGCGTTGGAGGTAATGGCAGTGTTTCGTTTTTTCGCGACGCAGGTCGAGCTATTGGACCTCCCGATGGGGGCGACGGTGGTAAGGGCGGTAGTATTTATGTTCAGGCTGTAAGGGGCCTGAATAGCTTGGCAAAGCTCAAGACAAGCTATATAGCTAGCAACGGAGCTGACGGTGCTGCAAATCAACTTGATGGCGCCAGAGGAAAAGACGTTTTGATATCTGTGCCTGTTGGTACAGTCGTCAGGCTGGCTATGGATCCGAAAGTAGTTCGAAAAATTATCGGTGAGTCCGAAGGGTCTACAGAGCAACCTATACGTCAAGTTCTCGATAATGTGGAGGTTGAATTGCATTGCACCGGCAAATTCAAGATGGATCAAAGACCAACCGACATTCAGCTATTTCGTAACGCTTACAGCGGCGGTGACGGGTGGATCTTTAAGGGCAAAGATAAGGAATATCATTTGAGCAAAGCGTGGTTTACAGAATTGGACGAAAAGGTCAAAGTTTATGAAGAAGAGCAAACAGAATCAGAAACCAATGAGGATAAATTTCCCCTGAGGGGCCTTGACCTTAGTATACCTCCAGAGAAACCTGTTTGCATCTTAAGAGGGGGTAGTGGCGGCTTGGGTAACATGCATTTTTTGACCAACATGATTCGAAATCCAAGGTTTGCCAAGTTGGGACGAGCAGGCTTGGAACAGTTTTTCATTTTCGAGATGAAAACGATCGCGGATTTGGGCCTTGTGGGGCTTCCGAATGCGGGGAAGTCCACGATTCTCAATAGGATTTCTAACGCTCGTCCTCGAATTGGTCACTGGGAGTTTACGACCCTTCACCCTATAATAGGAACAGTTATGAAAGATGCCGTGACAACCTCTTTCACCGTTGCTGATATTCCAGGAATAATAGAGGGTGCATCGAAAGACAAAGGCATGGGATTGGATTTTTTACGACACACTGAAAGATCTAAGGGTTGGGTGATAGTTTTGGATTTATCTCGACCAAACCCTCTCGATGATCTCAATATTTTACTGCATGAGTTGGGAGGCATCAAAAGAGTCTCGAAGAAAAACGTCCTAGTTGTTTGCAACAAGGTTGATGTCAAAATGATTCAAGACGACACAGGATACAATAGGTTTATTGAATTGAAGGAGTTTTGCCTCAAAAACAATTGGGACATCGTTCCAATAAGTGCTCGAAAAGGAGATAATATCGACGTACTTATTGAGAAAATGATGACTTGTGCCAGGCTTACTTAGTTTTAAATATTCGTTTGCAAGCATTTTTTTTTCTTGCAGACATCCATCCATCATCAGTGAAAAATTACTGAAAAACTAAGCTCATCTCATCGCATGGATTCACATAGAATACGCATTTCTAGCATCAGCAGAATAACGCCTAAGGTGCGCGAGAGGTCTCAGCTTTGACAAAATGAACTCATCTTTAGACAGCTTTAAAAGAATCGGTATCTCTAAGTGGTTGGTGGAGTCTCTAAACGCCATGAGAATTGATACGCCAACAGACATTCAGCGAGCTTGCATTCCGGAAATTCTGAAAGGAAGAGACTGTATAGGAGGGGCTAAGACGGGTTCGGGTAAAACGATTGCTTTTGCTGCGCCTATGTTAACAAAATGGTCAGAAGATCCAAGTGGCATGTTTGGTATTGTATTAACTCCGACTCGTGAGCTAGCTATGCAAATCGCGGAACAGTTCACAGCTCTCGGAAGCAGTATGAATATTCGAGTCGCTTTGGTTGTCGGTGGAGAAAGCATAGTCGATCAGGCTATCACGCTCCAGAAGAAACCTCACTTCATAATAGCAACGCCAGGAAGACTCGCGCATCACATTATGAATAGTGGAGAGGACACAGTTGGTGGGCTGAGTCGTGTGAAATTTCTGGTCCTCGATGAAGCAGACATTTTGCTAACGAACACGTTCAGCAGTGACTTGACGACATGCATAAGGCGCCTTCCACCCAAGGACAAAAGACAAACGTTGTTGTTCACGGCTACGGTCACTGATCAAGTGCAGAAATTACAGATAGCCCCCAAACCGAACGGAAAACCTTCCCTGTTCTCATATCAAGTCGAGTCCTTAGATAATGTGGCTATTCCGTCAACCTTGAGTATCGCGTACCTGCTTGTGCCTGAACATGTCAAGGAAGCCTACCTTTTTCAAATTCTAGCTAGTGAAAAGTACCTCGAGTCCACTGCTATCGTTTTCGTGAACAGAACTGCCACTGCTGAGATTTTACGAAGAACATTGAAGCATCTAGATATAAAAGTGGCATCGCTTCATTCGCAAATGGCGCAACAAGAAAGAACAAACTCGTTGCATAGGTTCCGCGCAAACGCAGCCCGTGTTTTGATCGCCACCGATGTGGCATCCAGAGGTCTTGACATACCGCAAGTCCAGCTTGTGGTGAATTACGACATTTCTGCCAATCCTGACACCTTCATTCACCGTGCAGGGCGTACTGCTCGTGCTGGAAGACACGGTGATGCCCTCTGTTTTGTTACGCAGAGAGACATTACAAGAATTGAAGCGATTGAGTCAAGAATTAACACGAAGATGGTGGAGTTCACTGATGTTCATGACACTGCTGTTATAAGGAAGGCGCTGAACAAGGTGACTGCGGCGAAGAGAGAAAGCTTGATGGCCATGGAGAAGGAAGGATTCGGTGAACGTCGGAAAACTCAGGCCAGGAAAAAGGACGGTAAAGGTTTTAGAATCTAGAAAATTGGATAGCATCTCCACAGTAAATAGCTAAAGATTTCAACAGAATCCTCATTCTTTTTTCGATATTCATTTTAGATTTAAAACAGTGCGATGACCTGCAGGCCAGTATCTTTCCAAAAGGATAGAAAAAATCAAGTGAAATAACTAACACTAAAAATTCGAACGGCTGCCTCTGTAAGGAGGAAAATGAAACCGACGGTAATGTCAAGAGCTAAGGAGATCAGCGAAAGGCTCAGTCTGCAAGTACATATCCAAGCCAATCTCCAGAATAAGAAGCTTAAAGTTTCGCAATGGTTGGTTGACGCACAGGCGGCGAACTCATCGGGCCCTGAACATGAAAAAGAAAATGACGGGCGGACCGATTCCCAAAACAGCTTTTACGATCTCCCAGTCATTGGAATAGGATCTGGCTTAAATCTAGATACTAGTGGCAACGATTCAAATTCTAATGACATATCCACGATCGGCGAGTTCATCGACAGTGGTAAAAAGGTCTCTTCTCTTACGAAAAAGAAAGTCTCGAAGGTCAGAGGACCAATTTCAAAGAACAGTATACACCAAAATGATGCACAGGACTCGAGGGCCATGATTGCACTCAAGCGCAAGATGCGAAAGGGTCACAGCCAAGAGCTGCGAAACCGATTATCGGTCAAGGCAGGTCTTGAAACTGGCGTACCCAAACTCGTCAACGAAGAAATCAACCAACTCAGCAGCGATGATGACGAGGGGGAGCGAATAGAAAAGACAGCACCTAAGAGTTTTGGACTTTTGTTTGCCGCGAAAACAAAGAAAAAAAGGAAGTAATGAGCATATTCGCAAGGCGGTGAGCATGGCTATGAGCATAGCGATGAGCATAGCGATGAGTTGTCACGTGGTCAGGTGATCTAACTCATCGCTAATTTTTTCTTTTAATGGGGACTTGATTCCAGTTAAAAGAAAAATTTTAACTCATCTCATCTATGTCTTTGATCTGACAAAGAGCATCCTTGAGCATAGAAGCAAGCCTAATCGTCATGAACTATACTCCTTTGGATCATAATGCCATGCATAATCATCAAGCTGCTACGGTGCTATGTTGTAACTGTGGCGTGCCCATGGATGGATCAACGGGCCTGGTAATGTGCTACGACTGCATAAAACTAAATGTGGACATTACTGCCGGAATTCCAAGAGAAGCGCATGTTTCCTTTTGTCGAAACTGTGAGAGATTTTTGCAGCCGCCGGGGCAATGGGTGCGGGCAGAGTTGGAGTCGCGCGAATTGCTTGCGCTGTGTTTACGTCGCTTGAAGGGGTTGAATAAAGTCAGACTGGTAGATGCATCTTTCATATGGACAGAACCCCATTCAAGGCGTATAAGGGTGAAATTGACCGTTCAGGGCGAAGCAATGAGCAACACTATTATCCAACAAACTTTTGAAGTCGAATACGTCGTGGTAGCCATGCAATGTGCCGACTGTGCAAGATCGTACACGACTAACACCTGGAGAGCCACCGTGCAAATCAGACAGAAGGTTTCACACAAGCGTACATTCTTGTATTTGGAGCAGTTAATTTTGAAACATAGGGCCCATGTGGACACCATCAACATATCGGAGGCCAAAGACGGTCTTGACTTTTTTTATGGCCAAAAGAATCACGCCGTTAAAATGATCGATTTTCTGAATGCGGTGATTCCTATCAAATACAAGAAGTCAGAAGAACTGGTCTCCCAAGATACCCATACGGGGGCGTCCACCTACAAGTTCAGTTACTCCGTCGAAATTGTGCCCATTTGCAGAGACGACTTGGTTGTGCTTCCTAAAAAGCTTGCTAAGTCCATGGGCCAGATTTCACAGTTTGTTTTGTGCTCCAAGATATCAAATACGATCCAGTTTTTAGATCCGACGACTTTGCAGACGGCTGATTTGTCGGCTCCTGTTTATTGGAGAGCCGCGTTTGAGTCTTTGGCGGACGTTTCGCAGTTGGTCGAGTTCATTGTATTAGATGTTGATCCAACTGGCTACTCGCATGGTAGATGGCTACTCGCTGACATCACAGTGGCGCGTGCCTCTGATCTCGGCGTTAACGATCAAGTCTATTTTGTTCGTTCTCATTTGGGAGGTATTTGTCACGCTGGTGACAGCGTCATGGGCTATTTTATTGCAAACTCCAACTATAATTCAGATTTGTTTGATGGCCTCAATAACGATTATGTCCCAGATGTGGTTTTGGTGAAGAAACAATACATTAGGAAGACTCGGAAGAACAGAAACTGGAAGCTGAAGAGAATGGCCAGAGAACACAATGACATTGAAGCATCCCAGGACTACTCTTCAAGACAGCAGAAGCAGGAAATGGAGAGAGCCGAGAAGGACTACGAGTTGTTCTTACAAGAACTTGAAGAAGACGCTGAAATGAGACAAACTATCAACATGTACAAGAGCGCGCAGCAACCGCAAGTAACTAATGAGGGGGGTGATATGGAGGGCAATGAAGAGGACGATTCCCCTCAAATAGACATCGATGAACTCTTGGACGAGCTTGATGAGATGACTTTGGAAGAGGGATCAGAGCCTCAGGTTTGATCGATAACGCGCTTGCTAAATGCGCTCAAATATGTAACATGTTTTTGGATCAAAAACTCTCCTACATAACTTAGCACAGCTTAAGTGGACTATAACCTTGCATTTATCCCTGTGACACGTTCAATGGTTAATTGCGTAGGAGATGACCACTGCAATCTTATTTAGAATTAAACTATGAAGCATCCCAGGTTGATCTAATTGAAGGGTCAAGATAAAGAGAGCAATACTAGTATGTCAGAAACCCAGCTTAAGTTTTGTTATCCCTTTATTTCCTTCATTGATATCTCGTTTTTCCAGGAATTGGCGCGCCTCAAACTCGAGGTATTCAAGTTAGATACCGAACTTCGAAGTCTTTACTCCACAATAAATTGTAATCACAGAGATCAATCATCGCAAAGTGGGCACTTGTTCTTAGATTCACAAAGTTTTGATGCTGAGGGCAGCTCGAAGGATGTTCCACTAAGTGGATCTTTACTCAACTTCAATACCTTAGAAGATTTCCGAGATTTCGATAAGACCAAGTTTCTAAATGAGAAAGCTCGAACGTTGTTTGAGCAAGGCCTGAAAGATCCTAATCACTGCATTCAATTTTTCATGTTGAGTTTTGCCGACCTCAAGAAGTACAAGTTTTACCACTGGATCTGCGCCCCCTCCTTCCAAATGAGTGATACAAGCCTTTTGGTCAACCGAAATGAGTTTATAAGAGACGTCAATAAATTTGATATGCTGGCTGGACACTTGCAAAATAAGTGGATTGGCTTCCTTGACAAGAATGAAAACTACCTGGGAGATCAGTGGAGTGTTGTTAATGATGCGAGTGCTATCATGATCCGAGATACGAGCTTTGCACCTCAAACACCGTCCGCGTTCGCCAAAAATCTGATCACATTGGTCGCACACCAGAGACCGAAACTTGAAACCATCAGAGTCTACTTTATTAGAAATGAAAGCGATACTTCTTATTGGCTTAGAATTCAGATAAAACGACACGAGGGTAAAGACGCTGCTTACTTGAAGACTTCTGGCTGGGAGCGCAATGTACAAAATAAGCTAATTCCTAAACTCACAGATTTAAATTCTTTGGTGAATCCCACGAAACTTGCAGAACAGTCGGTAGATCTCAATTTGAAGCTGATGAAATGGCGCATAGCACCTGAACTTGATTTAGACTCGATTAAAAGTTGCAGGGTTCTCCTTCTTGGTGCTGGAACCCTAGGATGCTACGTTGCCCGAACTGCTCTTGCGTGGGGAGTGCGAAAGATCACTTTTGTCGATAATAGTACTGTTTCGCTATCGAATCCTGTACGCCAATCGCTATACAAATTTGACAGCCATGGCAAACCGAAGGCGGCTGAGGCTGCCCTAGCACTAAAAGAAATCGCGCCCATGGTTGATGCTGCAGGTTACAATCTGGAAATACCTATGATAGGCCATCCTGTTCGAAACGAAATCGCACAACATAGGGACTACGACGAATTAGTGCGTCTAATCAAGGAGCATGACGCCGTATTTCTTCTAATGGATTCGAGGGAAACTCGATGGTTACCAACCGTGCTGGGTTACGCCGAAAACAAGACAGTCATTAACGCAGCTCTAGGTTTTGATAGTTATCTTGTCATGCGACATGGCACTTCGAATTGTAATGACACTAATATGAGGCTAGGATGTTATTTTTGCAACGATGTCGTTGCTCCCAGCGATAGTTTAAGAGACAGGACTTTAGACCAAATGTGCACTGTAACGAGACCTGGTGTGGCTTTGATGGCTTCTTCGCAAAGTGTTGAACTTTTAGTGTCATTATTACAACATCCTTTGCGTGCCAACTGTACTCCAGATGATGTGAACGTGCTCGGTAGCATTCCTCATCAAATCCGAGGTTTCTTAAATGAGTTTAAAACGCTACAACTGAGGACACCAGCATATGTGCATTGCTCGGCTTGTAGCTCAGCAGTTGTAGACAAACTGAAAACTTGTGGTTGGGATTTTGTTCGCCAAGCCATGAACAACTACAAGTACGTTGAAGACTTGTCTGGCCTCTCGGAAGTTCAAGATTTAGCTGAAAAAGCAGCAAGTAGTCTCGTTTTCACGTCAGACGACGAATACGAAGACGATGTTATGTGATAGGATGAGCCAGTTCGATTTCAGAGACGGGAATTTGTTTGTATTGTTCTGTAGCTAATATCAAATATTCCTTGACGGGATATAAGCATCAACATTTGAAAAATTAGATCAAGACAAATTAACATCAAAGATCCGAGTTTATGACAACAAAGATATCGTAGATTCAAATGGTAACCAAACGGAGGAAAAGTACACATGAGCCAGCAGACGAAAGTAAAAGGATAAAGCTGGAAAAGGACGAATCGATTGATACCAATGACATCAAGGGTTTTGAAGAAGATGAAGGCGGCATAGAAGAACCAGTAATCGTTCATGAGAAAGAAACAATAGGAATTCAAGAGAGTGAAGAGAACGGTGTTACCAAATTTATGTTTGGAGGGTCCGAATACAATTTTAAGGAGCGGGCCAGTGTAATAGAAGAAAAAGAGGGTAAAATTGAGTTCAGAGTGGTGAATAACGACAACACTAAGGAAAACATGATGGTTTTGACAGGTCTCAAAAACATTTTTCAGAAACAGTTGCCCAAAATGCCGAAAGAATACATTGCACGACTTGTGTATGATAGAAGTCATCTATCTATGGCAGTTGTGCGAAAGCCATTGACGGTTGTGGGAGGCATCACATACAAGCCGTTCAATAACAGACAATTCGCAGAAATCGTTTTCTGTGCTATAAGCTCAACGGAGCAGGTACGAGGTTACGGTGCACATCTCATGAACCATTTGAAAGATTATGTGAAGGCGACTTCAGACATCAAGCATTTTTTAACCTATGCCGACAATTACGCGATTGGGTATTTCAAGAAACAAGGTTTCACGAAAGAGATTACTTTAGAAAAAAGCATTTGGATGGGATACATCAAGGACTATGAAGGTGGTACTCTTATGCAGTGCACGATGCTGCCCCGAATCAGGTATTTGGATGCTGCTAAGATCTTACTTCTACAAGAGGCTGCTATACAACGAAAAATCCGATCCGTCTCCAAGAGCTATATTGTTTACAGTGGATTGTCTCAATTTAAGGATCTAGACAATATAAATCCTATGGATCCAATGGAAATTCCGGGTTTAAAGGAGGCGGGATGGACCCCAGAAATGGACGAATTGGCTCAGCGGCCCAAGAGAGGGCCTCAACATGCAGTTATGCAAAATATCCTAACAGAATTGCAAAACCATGCGGCCGCATGGCCGTTTCTGCAACCCGTAAATAAAGATGAGGTGCCAGACTACTACGAGTTTATCAAAGAACCAATGGACTTAAGCACAATGGAAATGAAATTGGAGAACAACCGCTACGAAAAGATGGAGAATTTTGTTTACGATGCTCGTTTGATCTTTAAAAACTGTAGAGCATACAACGGAGAGAACACGTCGTACTTCAAGTACGCCAATAGGCTGGAGAAATTTTTGGACAGCAAACTGAAGGAACTTCCAGAGTATTCCCACTTGGTAGATTAATAATGTAAGATTATGATTAATGCACGATCAGTTTACCTCGTAATGTAAAGCCTTCAATATATGCATTTACATATTACAATTCAGTCAGATATTTCAACATCCTGGTCGCCTTGTTTCTCTTGTTCTTCTTTTTCCTTGAGATCGGTAATAATGGAACCTGTTTTTGCGTCACTGTATATTTTGAACCCATCATCTTTTGTAATGCTACTCAATTGAGCATTGTTTTCGTCAAGTTTCTCTTCCATGACTTGCTTTAAAATCTTCAAAACTAGAAGCTCCGCCTCTTTCAATGTGAGAGACGAATGCCATTCGTTTTGCAGTTCTGATTGCGCACCTTCAGATCCAGAGCCAATGGCTTTGGCATTATATCTGTAGAATGTTCCCGAGGGTTCGGCGTGATATAGTTGATATCCTTCGTCCTTGTCGTAACCGGCTATCAAAAGCGCTACTCCGAAAGGTCTCGACATAAGTCTCTCCTCACCAGCAGCACCCTCACCAAACCTCAACGCCAGATCGCATACCGACTGAGTCAATGACTCAACAGCTATCTCCTCGTCGTAATACAGGTTATGAGTTACAGACGCCACTCGAGCATGCTCGATCATAGACCTGGCATCCGCCGTCAGGCCACTCATAGCACACCCAACATGCTTGTCTATTTCCACTATCTTTTCAATTGAGTCACTTTCAAGTAGTGGTGATGTTACTCTCTTCTCAACGCCCAAAACGACGCCCTCACTCGTCGCAATTCCAATAGCTGTCGACCCTAATTTGATCGCTTCCAGGGAATATTCCACCTGGAAAAGACGACCTTCAGGTGAGAATGTGCTCACTCCTCTATCGTATTCGCTTCTAGTTAGAAACATGATACCACAATCTACGCTGACTTAGCCCAGGTCGATGAGGTTGGAGGTTAGAGTTGACCTTTGCAGATGTTTTGCCACCTTCAACGATCATGCGAACGTACCACCATACGAATCCATAGAATTTAGCCCTAACGTCAAAGCCCTGATGAGGTTTGAACACTGATGCCAAACATCGCTTAAAGAAGCAGCGTCATTTGGTAGCATGAGCTCTTCAAAGGCATACTTGATTGCTTAAATGAATGTCTTTGATTGTAGCCTATTTATTAATGCCTAATTTTTGTTCTGCCCATATGTATACTTTCTGTTTTGATCACTTAAGAATTTAAAAGTTCAGTCGTCATCGAGCTCGTAAAGGAAACCTGAGCACATGCACACCCTGGAGTATAGATTAGACCAACGTTTAGCAGAAATTGAAGTAGGTATTACAGTATTTTCTTTACTGATAGGATACCCAGTGCGGGTTATAGCGCTGCAACGACAACACCTTTTGATTTTGGGCGTTTTGGCGGGATTAATAGGTTCATGAGATATGCTGTCAAAAGTGAGCGGAGAAAATGACCTCTCCGACGATGCGTTTTCCGGTAAATCGTTGGATTTTATGACAAGACCCTTTTCGATGGGCTGCAAAAGTCGAAATACTTCCGGCGAAAAGTACTCAGATGCGAAAATGCGAAGAGCACTAGTGTCCGCAAAGTAGACGTCCGCTGGCTTTATGTGGGACAGAATGGCCATGTTGGAGTACGTCAGAAGAAAATCTTTAATACTTTTCATATCTTCAGAAAAGTCACCATCAAAGATTAAATAGGTATCGGCGTTGGTGGGCGAAAGTTGGTTTTGCTGCTCTCCTAGAGAGGTGAATTTATTATTGACGTCCACCAGAAAAGTTTCAAACTTTTCAAAATTAACCTGAGAGTCACCTAACACCTTTCTCAAGTATACAGAGGACTCATTGAGAATAGGATAGTTGGTCTCGGGAAATTTGGTTATTAATTGAACAATTTTCTTAATTTCGCTGAGTATCGATAGCAGTAATGTTCGAGAAATCTTAGATGCCAATACTGAAAGCACAAGAGTTTCCTCCTTCATTTGTGAATTGTTGACCAGCACTATCAACTGCTGAGTGAGAAAAGTGATGAATTTTACAAACCACTTCGCACATGGGATTAGAGAGTAAATTAGGTCTTGCTTCGAGAAGGCAAACTGAAAAAGTTTGCTGGCCGGTTGTTGTATGGTCATTGTGGTGATATGGTGGACAATAACTTGAATATTTCTTGAGACGCCGTTGAAGGCGAACATGATGTTCCGCAACAGCATGATAGCACGCGGCAAGCTATACATGTTCTTGTTGTCAAAAGAGCCACCAAGTTCAAGCTGTAACAAAATTGCTCTTTGTATTGGTCTGCTCATCATAATTTTATCCTTTAGCTCTTTCGGGGTATCTGGCGTTAAGCCGAATAAATGCATTACCTGTCTGATCACTTCTACCATGAATTGCCTTCCTTTCTTATTATCTTCTTGCCCCCATTTTAGCGCAACCTCCTTGATGGCAATTGATAGATCTTCCCCAGACAGTTGCTGGTGATTACTGACAACAAAGGCGTGCGCAAACGAAACTGCGTGCATTATGTTTTCCGTTTCGTCAGAAAGATCTGGTATAGAAATGGCTTTAAAAGAAGCTTCGCTCTGATATTTCATTTTAAACGCATAACCTCCCATGGCTGGGGAGAGGTGAACCCAGTCTATTACTTCTAGTGCTGGAACTTTCGGATACTTCATTCCACTGCAAGTAATAGAGGTTATTTTCTTTGAGTCGTTCAACTTAGGAGCATCGCCTATAGTGACGCCTTCCTCAGACCACAAAAATCTGTTGAATATTTTGAAATAACCGTTTTTCAGTCGAAATATGACAACAGTATCAAAATTACGAGTTTCTATACCCACAACTTCGCCATCGAGCTCGAGACTGCCCATATCGGACAAGGAAAAATTCGTGGGGCCCGAAGAGGCTGTCTGTGACGTAACTGTGCCGAAAATAGCCGTAAGTTCGGTAGCTGGAGAGAAACTGGTCACTTCATATCTTTTGATCAAGCTCCTCGAAGACTCTTGAATTGTGTAACAAAGAAGAAGCTCCGCTCGAGATTTTTTATCGTATGAGGCTGAAATCATCTCAAAATTTGATAGCTCAAGCAACTCACCATTGAGACCCAGTAGATCAGGATTGAAACAAAAAATTTGATGTAAAGCGACAGAGGGCTCGTTTGTTGTGTCAGTAGTGGTCGAATTCCAATTGATGTCCAATTTGTATAGGGAAAATCTATTTTCTAAGGCCGAATAAGTCCCCACCAAGCTTGAATTTCCTTCGTAAGAATGCGCACACTTTGCGAACCGCAGACATTCTAGTTGTTTTGTTTGTTGCTGCCTCAGGTTATTCAGTTGCAACGATATTTTCTTGTGCTCTTTCGAGTTCGAAAACTGGTACCAAAAATCTAGTTGAGCGTTTCTCCTTATTGCAAAAGATGCACTTTTAATACTTGCAGGATGAAATAGACCCCATGGTTCACATTGCTGAACCTGACTTTTGAAAAATCCGGTTGCTTGATCTTTTATTGCGCCATGCATGCAAATCGCCGGTTTCTGCCCGCTCAGCCATTCAAAGTGAATCACAAGAGAGCTTCCGGTGTTTTTAGAAGGCTTCGAGCCCAATTTTGGGCCGAATCTGGCCTCGACAAGAGGCATCATCTGGCTGCTCATTTTGTATACGGTATCCTGAAATACTACTGAAAGCCTGTCAAGTGTGCCTGATCCTTCCGCACCATGACCTGCGACGATAAAAGTAACATTTCCCTTCTGATCGCAGACTGCCAGCATGTCCCCAGCGAGAGTTCCAACATTGTTCCAATGAAGAGAAGATATCGGGTAATGGCAATTGACTGTTTTGCCCGCAGCCGATCCTGTCTTTGTACCGTTTGAATTCGAAGTATTCTGTTCGAAAATGTGCGGGCTTATCGCATACCTTCTTGACCTGTGGAATTTCCAGTTACTGCCATTAACTGTCTCTAGGAAAGTTATTACCAGGTTTGACCTGATATCCTTTCTATCACCGTAAGCCAAAAGTCCGCATTTTGACCAGGATACTGGCTCCTGTCCCGAAATTCCAGCACTGAACATTCAATGGCTCGGCTTCTCTACGCACACCTTGTGGAAGGTATTGATTAGAGAGGCTTTACATGGTCAAGATGTCTTTCATCACATATCGTACACAGCGACTAAATTTCTTCTCGCCCACCTTATAACTGCTTAATTCCGTCAACTAAAATAAACTTTATAATAGAGCAATTTCACTTTAAAGCTCTGGATGCTTTAAGTCAACACTCCATTCGAGGTTAGTTTACTTACTTGTGTGATGGACCTTGGCGTTTTTGTTAGCTTTTAATAAAGGATATTACGCCCTGACTTTTGATTGTTCGCTATGACTTTCCATTTCGAGCTCTTGAATTTTTTTTAAATTCTGGGCCTTATTTAAGGGAGGACTGCAACCGAATTTCTCTTTAGCACTCTCCGAAACCTTTTTAAAAACAATATCAACTATAACAGTCGATGAGGACAGGTTTATAAGACTTACAGATTTCGATATCCAAGTCTGGTACATTTGTACTTTAGCTGGGTTGTTGTTGAATGCACTGTGGCCGCCTTCACCACCTTAAAGCAGTGTTGTATATTACTGAGGCTGTTTCATGTTGGAATATAGTAGCTTGTTCATTGGCATGGCCGAAACATAGTAACTTGTGCTAGTGTATATAGTTCTCTGCGGTGATAGTTAAATTAACATTGGTTTCAGAGATCGAAATCGTTGTTGCTTTTCTTAACAATGTTAGAACGGTTTAGGCCTACTAGTAGTCAAAATAGATCTTGAGGCGTTAATTGAACAGAAGGGATCTTATAACCTATTGTGTGGAGGACCTGAGAACTTATAAGTGCTTCTGGCGCACTTAGTTCTTCAAAAAATTAGAACGGTTTGATGCTTAAAAGAGAAACCTCTTAAACTTGAATCGGAATTGACTTGGTAGCTTATCGGCAGGGTCGATTCTATGAGCTTATCGCCTTAAATTCCAATTTCAATGTTCCGCTTCAAGGTCCTCAAGCTCGAAGTCTGTTATACCACCTTGCGTGCTCAATCGATTCAGGTTCATTGATTGGTGTTCGTGAGATAGCCCTGTCAACTTCAAATAAAACTCGAGCGAAAGTAGCATCCAAAGGTATGTGACAAAAGCTGCCGAAATTACGACCAAAATGTAGGCACTATGATCTGCGCCAAGTCTTAAAACAAGCTCTAGTTGCTCCTCATTTGCGCTCATGAAAAGAATTCCGGCGCATACGAGACAAAAAGGAGCTAGGTACTGAAAGGATCTTATCTCAGTGTCCGTTCTTCGGTCCTTCAAGATAAACGAAATTTCAATAATTCTTAGAGCACCTCCGCTCATTAAAACCAAGCCAAACAAAGCATGGACTTTCGTGCTAATAACCAAGTGTTGCGAGTGTTCTGACATGGCCCATCCTGTGAAAACTATAAGTAAACTAGGGACAAAAGACCTCTTTCCACCGCGAGTCAGAAATATCCCCAACAACCCCCCAGCCCACCACAGGATACCCATAGCTGTGTGCTGATAATCGCCATGGGACCAGCCTTCTTTTCCCCATCTGTGCTCAGTGAATGTATTCACAATTCCCCAAATACACATAACCCAGCTATCGATCTGGTCTTGCGAGTAGGCTCTCTTTGAATTTCTAATCCACGGAATCACTAGAACCAGTGAATAAACGAACCCATAGAGCACGAAAGATGAGCCCATGATCCCATGCGCAATGCATTGTCCAGTATGTTTTTCTCTACAAAAACCAAACAGCGCTGCCGGTGCAAGGCATACTCTGACCCACCCTGTCAACACGACTGCGAACGACAGACCTCTATGAAAAAACTTCAACCTCCCATCACCAGCCTTGGTCACAAATGACTCTAGCCTCTTTCTTTCGATAAGCACTCCTGAACCACTCGCAACACTACCGAAAAAAACCGTTATCCCAAGCAAGAGCACAAGAAACCAAGCAGTTCCCCTCGACGTTCGATTTTCAATTCCGTTTCCATCCGGAAACCTCAGGATTAAAGCCTCAACTGCTGCATATCCAAGTGCGATGAACTGCAAAATCAAGGAAGAATAGAGCCGACCTGCAAATGCCAGCGAAGTTGACAGCGAAGGTACGATCAGAAGCAAAAAAACCGAGCACAGCCAGTGGAAAGTTTTAGACCCCGCATCGACAATTTGTGGACGAACCCATTCATTATTGTCCATTTCCATCTTCGAAAGCTGTAACTTTTTTATGACCTTAATTCTTAAGATCTTGTTCTCTGCGCTAATTAGCGCTAACTGAAATTTCTTAACTCCGAAAGATCTAATTTAGTTCATTGGAAGAGTTTTGTTAGGCAGCGACGAGAGAGAAAAGTTCACGTTAACCTATAAATAAGAAAACAATTGTGAGGTTTTGGACAGGCTTTTCATAATTTCAATATATGAATAAACTCAAGTGTTCATACTAAGCGAGTTTGCGTTTCCCTTTTATAAGCACGACTCAGCTGAGACGGAACCTTTACTGGTTGATGCCTACAATCATAGCTTTCAACTACCGCATCACAAATGAGAGTCTCTCTTTGCGAGTACCCTAATGTTCAAGAATCCCATTGTCCTAACTCCTGCGCCCTACATGCTGTATATTATAATATTGCTTATATAATTCCTCTATGAGGCTTGGTTTTTGGAAGAAGGACGGTAATTGAGACTATAGCACAGAGGAAATGTGGCTCGTGCGTATTCTCGTGGGGGAGGCGTTAGTCAGTTCTTGAATTCAATAATTATAGTCACAAAAGCTGTTTTTCACAAGGCACTGATGTCTAAAAAGCGCGATTGTTTGGGCTTCTTTTGTTCTTAGAGTTCAACAAGCTGAATGGAACGGTTGTCAGAGATTTACCACCTTTTTTTTCGCTTCTCAGTCCCTTCCGAAACGTCTTGATTTGTCTAACCTGCTCAATGAGGATTTTTCGTTTCGCCAGTGAGTCCAGCACCTGATACTTTCGTTGATTCCTGTGTGATATTTTCCATCACAGCATCAATATTCGTCGGGGCAGCTGACACATGTTGATTGATTGGAGAATTACTGGAGCTTCTCAAAAGTTCCTCGTCTGACAAATCGAAATCGAATTCGGTGCTGTCATCTATCATGGGTGCTGTCGTGTTTCGAGAGCTATCCAAGGAAGAGTCGTTTTCTGAATCTGTGTCGATGATATCAAATTCGTAAGCTTCTGCTCTAGTCCTTCTAATGCGTCTTCTCGATCTTGAAAAGAAAAGCACATACATTACAAGGAATATTGCACTCACCACGAAGAGCGCAATGAAGTAATGCATTGCATATGATGAGTTGTTAATGACATTGCCCTTATTTGTGCCATGTTCATCAGCCACCGCAGTGGAGCTAGGGATAAGCTCTTCGGTTTCAGCTGGGTCTTGCGTGGACGTCATAGGGGTTGTTGTGGGGCTCTGAGCGAGGCTCGACAAGGAGATCGTGGAATAAGCCGCATTCTGCGCACCATCTCCAGACATTACTCCCGTAGACGATCCAACAAATTCTCTATCATTCCCAAATTCGAACTTTGCAGCTTTTTGCGCATCGATCGCTTCCCCGAAAAGTTTCAGCCTCCAGTCCTTCAACGTGACATTGTTATCATCGTTTATTGTTTTGACGATGAGCTTCCAGTCTCCAACACCTGTCTCACCCCAGTGAGCTACAGACATAAAAGTCCAGTCCTTAAAGCCTTGAGGTGAGTTATCACCGCGTCTAGGAACGCCGAGATTTGAAACCATTCCGGAAGGCGAAACTAAATCGACCACCGTACGACCTCTAAAAGTGGTCTCGAGATTTATAGTAACAGTAATATGCTCAATGCGCCTCAGATTAAAACGCTTCAGATCTTCCTCGCTCACAGTCACAGTAGAATGAATTTCATCCGAGGCGGACTTGGAGCTTTTGTCGACCGGCGTGGTTGGCAAGTAATACCATGCTTGTGGATTGACATTTTCCCAATCTCGCGCCAGGCGTGCTATTCGATATGCGTCTAGTTTTCCGTAGCCATATTTGTGAGAATAGCGCTTTCCAAGAGCCCCTTGTTGCCAGAGCCCATCTTCGGTATTAATCTCAACTGATGAAAGAATTGTTAGATATTGAACGTCTCGCCAGGTCAAGTCAGGATTTGCTTCCAATACCAAGGCATAAATGCCAGCGGCCAACGGGGCAGCCGCTGAAGTCCCACCGTGGGTCTCGCTACATCCGCCATTGATATCTGTAGAGTGTATAAACTCACCCGACCCAGACGAGTACGTGACGACTAAAACAGCGGAACAAGATTCAGCGTAGGGTGGATGCAAGCCCTTATGGTCGATGGCACCAACTGTAATTGAATAAATTGAATTAGTGTACCCATCATAATTACAATTGTCATCAAAAACACCACCGTTTCCGCTAGCAAAAACATAAATGGCTCCCTTTTCTTTCCTTCCAGAGGTAATTCCCCGAATCATTGCCTTTTTCACAAGGTCGTCAGGCCCTTGTAATGTCGCTCCATCATCAGATGGGCCCCAAGAACACGAATATATGTCGTTTGTGTCAAGCGCATAAACTAAAGAGGCGGCTTCGTCTTCAGATGTTATTTCTCCCGACAAAATTCTAATTCCGGCAACTTTTGCATTATATGCTACGCCTAATCCACAGGCTTCATTCCTGACCGCAGCTATTTCTCCTGCGCATCGAGTCCCATGGTAGTCGTCCTTCAAACGAGGTTTAGGTAAAGGGCCATTATCATTAAAATCCCAAGATCCCTCCGCACTAAAATTGTCTCTCAAATCTTCACTTTCGTAGTCAAGTCCATCATCTACCACTGCTGCAACAACCCCCTGTCCTGTTATATTTTCGAACCAAAGTCCAGTTACATTTACGTCATTTCCAAGGTAGTTTGAATTTATCAGATGCCATTGTCTCTCGAAAAGTGGGTCTGCTATATCCAGTTTTTCCTTGACGTCCCAAAGCCTGGCAGAGCTTGAATCCGTTGGATAATCCGACACAGGAAGCCGCTTATTCAGGCGCTTTGGCGGTAGTTCATGGATCATTTCAATTCCGCTAAATTCCCTTTTCTCATAAATCTCACTCTTCTTTGCTTCGCTACTGTGGGAAAATACGTAGTGATTTTCAAGCGCCCGCACATCGTGCTCGAAAGTCCAGTCGGGATGCAGAGCCAAAAGCTCCTTTGAGCTCAGCTTACTTTGGACAGCAAAATATCCACGGTTTTGGTGGTCTTTCGTCGGTATTTGAATGCATGACGCCGCGAGTGCAAAGACTGTCAAAGTAAGACTGAGAAGTCCACAACCACCGTTCATCAAAAAAAACAGAGAAATAAACCGAGGGAGAATTCCACTAAATTAATAGTGCTCTCGAGAATCAAATCAGAGGAAGATAAGTCTCCATGCGTTTTCCTCTTGCCAAGTTGTTATGGAGTGCATCAGACTTCTACGTAACTAATGTTTCCCAAAATTCTTCGGTCATGTGATTGGTGATTTCCGGCAAATCAAGTAAGTGCGTGTTAGATGAAGGTAGTAAGTATATGCGTTTAGTTAGCTAAAGCGCCCATTGGATCCCAGATGGGTAGCACAATAGGAGTCTTCTCGTTGCTGGTTAACTTCTTGACTAGATCTTCAGGCAGTTCATCCTGGCTGACAACAATTTGGAAAGCGAATTCCTCAAAATATTTTTGAGTCATCAAGTAATATCCGTCTAGCCCTGAGTCCTTTCCCCATGAGTTTTCCACGCGATAGCGAGAAGGCGAGGTGTCTTCGGAGTCTATATTGCATCCTGTTATCAGCATCGCGTGCGTCATAAGACTGTCGTTGTACTTGATGCGAGACTCTTTAGATAAATCCACATTGTAGCCAATGGCTTTGTAGTTCCAAAGCTCAGTATCCATGACACCATACTTCTTGTTCATGAACTTAGGAGTGTGGGAGCCAAAGAACACGGCTTTATTGTTCTTCAATCTTTTAACTAGCAAACTAGTCAAAGTCTCATTGTCGACGTTGAGGTAGATGACCGCATCGCCGTCGAGCACATTGCCCAATCTGTCAATTTTTATCAATTCCCCATATGGATGTCTGGGGTCGTTGATGAGCGAGACAGCTTTGCGGGAGTCAAAGTTCGCGAACTCCTTGGCGAATCTCTTTGGTGTGCTGCGAACAGTTTGGACCTTTTTTTCTTTGTCCACGTACTGCCACACAAACTCCTCATCAGGACTAACTGGGGGGAGGTCGAAAAAGAGTGTTAGCAGGCGAAATATCTCTTTCTGCATCGAGGTTCTCAATTTATAGATTTCGCCCTTTTTGTGCAGAGTCTCGCGCAAAGTCTCGGCGAACTCTCTCAGCTTCCCGGTTAATAGCTCGTTCACTTTAGATGAAGCAGTGGTGGAAAAAGGCAGGTCTGCGTACAGATCTTTAGGAATTAGTCCATATTTGTTTACCAAATTCATGAACATACTGTACTGCCCGCCGTCTTCGATTGGGCCCGACAAGAGATATTGCACGAGTCTCGAATCCACGTCTTCTTGGTAGGTATCAATGATCTGGTCGAGGAAGTAATTGGCCTTCTCTAGTTTGTCGTAGAAGAACAGATACGCCTGCGACAGTTCAAACTCCTTCAAGTCGAGTTTACGAGCCACGTTCAAACGAAGCTCGTTGGTCGCTGCAAACAGCCAGCATCTGCCGGAGGACCTTTGGTTGGTCACAGGTGTGCCATCGAGGTCGACCGTGACATTAAAGACACGCGGATAGCTTTTTTGAAGCCTGCTTTTGTCAAGTAGAATTTCGTCTGCGTTAAAATTCTTGAGTGCAGTGCATCCCAGTTGATGCGACAAATTTGAGCCTAGTTCGTCGTTCCAGCTCTTTAGCTGCTTGATGTTAAGAGACATTTTTAGAGTAATTGCGGTGGCTATTGCAATGGTTATTAAGCAGATTCAACGTTTCTTCCAGTTGTTAGTAAGAGATCTATAGATTCCGTTTTATAGGGTCGAATAAGGTTGTCTACAGTCGTCTCAAATATCCCCTACAGTACTAATCTATTCTCTTCCGAAGTCTCCAGAGACGAATTCAAAGATAAGAACTTAGGAACGAAAAAGATGCCACATTGTAGCTATCAACGGCAAGAGCCTGCGAGAACGACAGCCACACGATGGAAAGGCAAATGTTGAGCAGCGTCATCAGCGTGGTAACGCTATTGGTGGAATGAGCCATGTCTTGCCGATTTCGTCGTCAATGGCGTCTACCCAGCACTGGAGACGAATCCCGCGTGACAATAGAGCGACTTAACTGCGACGATGGCCCAGTAAAGGAACAAATTGAGTAGCCACATAAATCAATCATGTTTCAAGTAGATTAAGCGGCTTAACTAGTGATTCGGCCAATGGTTCGTGGGGGGTTCAGTATACTTTTACCGATGAAAGTGATAAACTAGCTAATCGTGAAAAGAGACCGTATTTGGGGGATTCGTTATCCAGTGTTGCATTAAAGTGTCAAAGCTCTATCGAGAAAGACATTGACGTACTGTAGACCCATATCACTGTATTGAACAGACACGAAACTCATGATGTCAAGCAAGGGTAATCAAGATTGTTGCTAGTTTACTATTGAAGAGAAATTTTTTCCCACAGCGCAGGCCCCCAAGTAAACAAATTGTAACATAATTAGCGGCAAAATGAGCAATACAGGTGCAAAAGCGAATTTAAGTAATATAGCTACGTAACTCTTGCTGAAGCACTGCCTCCGGGCGGATAAATTGGTGCTTTTATGATTTACTATTCTTCTTCCTTCAAGCCAAATATGGATGCACGTGATCAAGTCGTTGATGCTGCTTTCAAGTTACGCTCATCATTGTTAGAGATATTGATAATCAAAAGACTTCCTATCGCTTTAACCTACAGAAACCAGGACGGATTACGATACCCTCATGAGCTCGATACTTTCCGAAGCAGATTTGAATGATTTCATTTCACCAGGTTTGGCCTGCATAAAGCCTGTACAAAACGAACAGAAAAGACCAGAAAATTCGGAAGATGCATTGGTCGTTGGGAAAGAGCCCAGCGAGCCTCAAAAGGTGTCGATCTCTCTGCAAGATTGCCTGGCATGTGCTGGCTGCATAACTTCTAGCGAAGAAATTCTCTTGGGCCGCCAGAATCACAAAGTCTTCCTAGAAGCTAAAAGTAATTTCACAGCGGGCATGAGTCTTGCCGTCAGCATCTCTCCACAATGTCGGCTATCGTTGGCGAACTTTTACGACCTGTCTCTGGATGTGTTTGACGCCGCTTTTCTGAACCTTATGCTTTGCTATTTTGAGGCTCGCTATGTCGTTGGCACACAAATGGGCAGGACTCTAAGCATTAGTGAGACAAACTATGAACTGAGCCGCCGAAAAACTTTGGATAAATACAAAAAACCTCAGCTTTGTGCGGTTTGTCCCGGTTTCGTCCTATATTCCGAGAAGACCAAACCTGAGCTGGTGCCGCATCTGCTGGATGTAAAGTCTCCACAGCAGATCACTGGAGCGCTTCTCAAGGCTAACAATCAAAATATCTACCATCTCGCTGTGATGCCCTGTTTTGACAAAAAATTAGAGGCCAGTCGAGCTGATACCGAGGGAGAGGTTGATTGCGTGATAACCCCTCGAGAGATGATTTCGATGCTGCAAGAACTGAATTTGGCGTTCAGCGATTTCTTGAACGGGCCCAGCCTACAAGATCTTCAGCAGAGACTAACGCCTGAGGGCTGGAACCCTCGCTTGCATTGGGTGTCTAACTCAGGTAGTAGTTCGGGGGGATTTGCGTTCCAGTACGTTCTCAACGAGCAGCGGTCAAATCCAGGATCTGAAATAATTCAAATTATGGGAAAGAATGCGGACATACGCGAATACAGACTAGTGGATTCTACCAGTGGTCAAGTCCTGGCGTCATCTAGCGAAGTATACGGATTTCGCAACATACAAAACTTGGTGCGCAAGCTCGGGGGAGCGCGTAGAACAAGTCGCAACATAGTAATAACGAGAAAGCGCGCAAGCGAGAAAAATGCAAGCGACTCAAAGCCTACTGAGCCTGAGCCGGCGAGAACGGATTTTATAGAAGTAATGGCGTGCCCAGGAGGCTGCATCAACGGGGGTGGACTACTTAATGAGGAGGCAAACACAACACGGCGTCGCGCCCTCGCAAAGAAGTTAGACACTCAGTACTCTACTCTTCTACCACAGACTGAATGCTCGGAAGAATTTGTTTCCAGTAATCGCTACAAGTTCAGCGCCATTCAAAAATCCACTGACGTCGTAACAGTAGGAAACACCTGGTAAAACCGAGTCTAAACCGATGCAAGAGACAAATATGGCAAAGTCGGTTAAAATTCAAGAGGTATTTGTCAACTTCAAGACTCGTTTATGAAAAACACCGTCCGACCAACAGCGTCTTCCACAAAGTCTTTTGGCTGCCATTTTTTTCCGGCAAAGACACGACCACACAAGCATCAGCCGGGTGGCTTGGCGTTGCCCATAAGAACTAAAATTCGTATCAGCTACTACCTTTCTAGATTATTAATTCAAAACTTCCATTGGTGTCACATCTTGGTTTTGATCTCAATAGCATGTGACGGAAAATCACGTGATATTTCAGATTATAAGCATTTTGTACGGATTCTGAGTTCTCGAGTGCCACCTGAATTTGTCATGAAAGGATACTATAAAAGGGCCAATGCGGAGAGGGGAGAATCATGATTGCTTTCAAGATTTGCTCTAAAGAAAACAAAGCAGGCTTGGCAGTAAGTGGCTCTTCAAGAACTGTTAATAAATTTCGTAAAGTAACATTACCAAATGAGCACGCATACAGAATTCAAAGAGAACACAGTTGTTGTTGTCTTTGGAGCAAGTGGTGACTTATCGAAGAAAAAGACGTTTCCGGCTTTATTTGGTCTTTTCAGAGAAGGGTATTTGGATTCCAGTACAAAGATTATTGGTTATGCACGTTCAAAATTGACCGATGAGGATTTGAGAGGTAAAATAGCGCCAAATCTCAAGAAACCTAACGGAGCTAAAGACGATGAAAAAGCGGAGCAATTCCTCAAGATGGTGAGCTACATTTCAGGGCCTTATGATGAAGACCAAGGCTTCAACACATTGAGAACGGAGATCGAGGAGTACGAAAAACAAAAGGGTGTAGAGGAGCCTCACAGGCTGTTTTATCTTGCGCTGCCTCCAAGCGCTTTCATGCCCGTGGCGAACAACATAAAGAAGCTTGTTTACGCTAAAAATGGTATAACGCGTGTTGTTGTCGAAAAGCCTTTTGGCCATGATTTAGAATCTTCCCGTGAACTTCAAAGGGACCTTTCTCCACTTTTCACCGAAGACGAGCTGTTCAGAATTGACCATTATTTGGGCAAGGAGCTAGTGAAAAACTTGCTTTTGCTCAGATTTGGCAACACGTTCCTCAATGCCGCTTGGAATAAAGAAAATATTCAAATGATACAGATTTCTTTTAAAGAGCCTTTTGGCACAGAAGGTAGAGGTGGCTATTTTGACGAAATTGGTATAATCCGCGATGTCATGCAGAACCACTTGTTACAAATCTTAACATTGTTGACAATGGAACGTCCCGTTTCTTTCGATCCCGAATCTGTTCGCGATGAGAAAGTACGCGTTTTGAAGGCATTTGCCCCAATTGACACCAACGACATTCTCACTGGTCAGTATACAAAATCTGAGGACGGAGAAAAGCCAGGATATCTTGATGACGAAACTGTAAACCCGGACTCGAAATGTGTTACTTTTGCTGCTCTTGGTTTCAAAATTCGTAACGAGCGTTGGGATGGTGTTCCAATCGTCATGCGTGCTGGAAAAGCTTTAAACGAAGGCAAAGTTGAAATAAGAGTTCAATTCAAAGCTGTTCCTTCTGGAATTTTCAAAGATATTCCTCACAATGAATTGGTCATAAGAGTCCAACCAAATGAAGCCATTTATTTGAAAGTTAACTCAAAGACTCCTGGACTTTCGACAACCACTCAGGTGACAGAACTTGATTTGACATATGCTAAGCGTTATAAAAATTACTGGATTCCAGAGGCGTATGAGGCATTGATCAGAGATGTGTTGAAAGGAGTTCACTCGAATTTTGTGAGAGACGACGAACTTGACGTAAGCTGGAAATTATTCACTCCACTTCTCAATTTCTTGGAGGGCCCTGACGCTCCACAGCCAGAGCTATACGCTTACGGCTCAAGAGGACCTAAGCATTTGGCTGAGTACTTGGAAAAGCATAAATATGTTTTTGAGGAACAGGGCTTATACCAATGGCCTGTTTCCAGTCCAGACCAGTCTAAAGTTTCAAAAATGTGAAACACTCCACAGGATCTTAATGAGTCGGATGGCAAACGAAATACTTCACAAGAGCATATAAATTGCCTCATTTGGAAGCCGACACAAATTAGTTCCACCTCATGATAAGATTTCTGATTATATATAGATACAAATGGCACTTTTGTGAAATCGTTTCAATCCATACCAATTCTTTCTTTGCCTTTTATCTCAATTCTTGCGACAGAAGTTGAGTTTTTCATCGTAACAGATTCGCCCACTTTGTACTCCGAAAAGGTGACTTTCCCCTCCTTTACATGTGCCAGTGCAAATTGTTTTAGACTCTCTGGGTCGTAAAGATTTTTCTCCTGCGCTCCTTTCAGTAGGTTCATCATAAATTTCGGAACGATTGACATGTCTTCATTATGGTTTATCAAGTAGTTTACAACTTCAATTGCTAGAAAATAGTTCTCTCCTTCGTTCTGAGCAAATGCGTCTTTGTAAGTGTTGTGAATAGCTCCACCGTTCACCGTAGGTTGTGTTGATGTGTTACCGAGATGATAAAGAATATTAGGTGTGATGACAGTTGAGAGATTATGAATGTCCATTTTGGATCCCATCTGACTGTCGATATGAGAGAACGACGAAGTCCAGTGGAGGAATGAAAACAACACCTCAGCAAGGTTCCGATGTGATGTTGGCAGCAGTGCATACAGCAAATTATAGTATTTGTGCTTTTCGAAGTCTGAGTCAATTTTGGCAACTTCGATCCAAATGTCATATAGTGGAAAGGTAAGCAGTGGATCCGGAAGGTCTCTCAAAAACTTTTTTAATAAAGCAGATAACTGTACAGCATTTTCTTTTGATAAATCCGGCACTTCGGAAGGGTTGCTGTCGATTGCATTAGCGAGCTCTCTTAACTTCCTAATATTGCCGTTTTTCCTGAAAATACCCTCAACCGACATGTCCATTTGCCGTAATGAAGAAATAAGCTCATCAATTATTATCGGAATTTTAATCTTCGAGGGACCTATACCAAGGTCCGATTCGGTACCCCACTCGTTACTCAAAAGGTCTAAACTTGACCCAAAAACCTTTTGACAGGAAGCTCGCTTAGTGTCCTTTGACATCATAATTTTCATTCTCGACCAAAACGTTCCTGACGGTTGTTTTGGTTCTTTCGGAGGCTGAGGAATTAATTTCTGTACCTGACTCGGAAACTTTGACAACGGGCTATTGGGCTCAGCGCCAAGCAAGGCCAAGGCCAATAACCTCACTATATACATTTCACGAGGTTGAAGTTCAGAAAAATAGATGCCACCTTTTTTGTTCACAATTCCAACCACTTCGTCGTCATTATCTTTCAGTTTTTTGAAGTATGTGAAGGCGTTAGGTCTCAACTCTCGAGCCTGTTCAGCAGCCACAATTCTGGAGATGTCATCGAGTGTTAAGGTTTTGGTACTGTTAAACATATTTTGCCCCTCCTTGGGTAGATTAATTCTCTCGGTTTGAATTATTAAGGACTTTTCTTTTGCTGATTCTTCGTCTATTAAATCCATTTCAGAAGTCTCGATGATTTTGGAGCGTCGTGCTTCCCGTTTGTTACTGCTCAGAGGAACACTTTGTCGTCTTGATTTGAGCCTTTTGATGTCATTAAGGGTTCTGATGTAAGTTTGCTGCATTGATATTGACTCTTTCACACTGTTGGACCTGTTGAGAGCATCTTTATTCTTAAGCTGAATTTCCATGACAGCCTTTGACCGTATCAAGGCGATTTTCAGTAAAAATATAAGCTGAGCAAGCTTGGTGACGGGCTTGAATCCTGGAGATGATTCAGGGTTTCTCACAGCACATTGTGCACAGAAAACCTTTTCCTCTCTTAGATCAAATGCCGCGTCTGCGACACCATACATATCAATTGGAGCCTGACAACTAGAGCAGCCTAAACAATTTTTATGCCAACGGTAAGTGCGGAACTGAAGGCACGCCTCTTGGATGTACTTTCGGCAATGTGCGCAACAATCTGTAGCATCGATTGAAACATCAACGTGATCGAAAGGTTTGTCCACAAAAGCCTCATTATGCTCGATATCACGTAGAAACTTGATCAAAGCATTAGCTGTGTGGACAGATCTGTTTCTCTCAAGTGCAGTTTGAAGTCCATGTCTAACAAGAAGCTTCAAAAAGTGGGCCAGCCCTGTGATTACTGACATCAACGAAGAAACATTAACATCCTTGTCGCTAGGGGCGGCACTGAGCTTGCGCAGCAACTGCAAATAAATCATCAATTTCGTAGAGAAATTTCGAGGGAGTTTGGCATACTTATATGCAGCCGATTCCATTTCGATAGGCACATCCAGGAGAACATGGTTAGGATCATTAGCAGTGAGAGAAGAATTTGGAGTTTTCATATCAAAATTTGTCAGAGAGTTTAGAGAGTCCAGCCCTCTAAAAAGGCATTCCGTTTTCAAGACAAGGAGAGCAGCTGAATGCAGACCTTTCAATTGATCCAGACTTGTAAGGTATTGAAACATATCAGAAATGCAAACTGCAGCTTCTTCTTCAAACTTGTAAAGGACAGACCATGTTTTCGCAATGAGGTTTCCGAAGCTATTCACCTGTTTCTCTAGCTCTTGTCGCGAGGGATGAAGCTTTTCAAAACTCTTTGGATCGGTGTTTTCTTTGTACTCCTTCAGTCTAGGGAGTCCCACCGCCTCGGGTGGAATATTGACGTGCCAGTACTTATGAATTCCATAGCATTCCGGATGCCATCTGTGAACCTCATCCCCTCTCGGAAATTCAATGTACTGGTCTGAAATTGGGTAATTGCAACCTTTGCAGCGATGTGAAAACAATTTGAGGAAGTGATATTTGCAATACAGGTCGTCATTGTAGTTGAAGCAAGTGTTTATACCGCACTTTTCGTGGCATATTTTGCAACAAAAATGTTCTTCATCATATAACTTGCCAAATGCATTGTAATAAACACCTCTCAAAGGCTTGTCGCACACATGGCAGAGCAAGTTATTTCTCTTGAAGTAGTCTTGTTGACAAAGAGGGATTAGTTGATGCGTTTTGGGGTCTTCGAATGGGAAATACTTTGGCCTGCAGGTATCACCACAATCAAAGCAGACAAAGCATTCTTCGTGAAAATATTTTCCGAGGGCCTTCAAAGATCCTTGGTGTATAGCGGTACCACATCGAGCGCATATTTTGCTTGTTTTCGAACTTTGGCGAGGGCTTAACGTAGGCCTAGCAGTCGATACCAATCTTTTGCCCCCGTACGCAGCTTCTGGTTTGGATGGTAGTTGATATCGTGGGTTGTCTGTATGATCTCCGTGTGTTGCCGAAACATGGGCGTTCGACAATCCCGCTGCGAGATTCATACTCTAGAGCTCTCCAAAAATTTGACAGAGGATCAAAATGAGGCTGGAATCGAATCTTAAACTCAAGATCCTGGGAACGAAAACCAACTCTGGCTGTGATACCTTCAAATAGACTACAACATAACACGCTATATTGTCAAGTGGAGAACTATTGTTTCGTTGATTATTTCTTTATCACGTGACAAAATCTTGTCTATGTTTTTGAAACTATACATTCATCAGCCCAAACCCAGCGACATGACGATTATCATCTTTTGCGTGATTTATACTTTTGTTCTAATTCTTGTAGCTGGTTTTCATTGAGTTCATTGGATAGACCTTGAAGAGTCTTTGATATCGCCTCCGTGACACCAATTAAAGGTCTCAAAATAGCCACAGGCAATGCATGCGCGACGGATGAAGCCGACTCTTGAGCGTTCGCGGCTGCTGTGAATTCTCTATGTGCTCTTTTTATTGCCTCGTAAGCAATTGAACTATTTCGTTCCATGGCACCTTTTGCTTGGCTAAGTCCTTTCTGAATCGTCCCTGGTTGGTTCGCATAAAGGCTGAAAACTCGAGGTGAGCCAACAGAAGACGCTTGCTCTACCACGATCGCATCTGGATCTGAGCTTCCGCCTGCCGTTGGATTTCTGCCACCAATCAGTTTTTCGTATTTTCGGAAAGTGGCTTCCGAGACGAGGTCCACTTCCAATTCATCATCTAAAATGGCTGTAGCTGAGACTTTCCCACCTAAATAGCCCTCGGTATTCTCCAGGACACTTTGCGTTCCCGACGCTACTTTGACCCCGAGCCTCACAATTTCGCCAGTTGCCACTTTCATGAATATTTGTGCCCCTTTCTGAACGCCCCTTATGACTGGCTTATCCCTCTTATACTCTTGCACCGGCAGAGTAGCCAGAGCCTTGATACCAGTACCCAAAGTTACCAGCGTTTTCATGGGTGCTACTCCAGAAAGAACACCAGCCAGCTGGGTACCAGTGATGTCAGGGGTCCAAATTTTATTCAGAGCTTTATTCAACTCTGGCAACCCAAAAACGCCATATAAGACAACGTGCTTAAGTTTTATTTTAGAACCGTCTAAGATGAAAAAATTCATGAGCTCGCTTGTGTGCCCTGATTTGAGACCAGCATAATCGACTTTTTTTGGCTTGTAATCCAATTTCACATCAACTGAATTTATCTCCACCTTTTGAAAATAAAGTATATCTGGATATTCATCAATTAAGGCAAACCTGGTATCTCTAAACTCTCCAAATCTTATTAAAAAATCCAAAGTGTCTTGGTCAACGTGCAATCTCAACGGTGAGACACGTACAGTTAAAATAATTTCGGTTGCTGCGAGGAAATCGATTGGCCTTACAGTTTTTATCTTAGCATCAAGCATGGGAGCACCTTCGAAAGGAGTCTCACCCTTCAGACGGGTCAAAAATTTATTCCATGTTGAGGTGAAAACATTGTCTATAATCTCAAAGCTGTTACAGCATAGTTTGATTTCATTTAGAGTGTCAGCAGACTCATTGCTCTGAGACTTAGTCAATCCATCAATGTCAAAACCCTTGAAAGTAATTTTTAAATGCTGCACATCGATGAGAGCTTTGTGTGCTTTCGACGGCCTCAACCGTAATTTTTCATTCTCCTCCTCCAGATTGAGCTTCTGCCCACTCTGTATATCTTCGTTGACAATATGTCTCAATTTAACTTCTCCTGATTCAGAGCCGGGTGCAAAGATGTAGATAGAGTCAAAAGCAGATCCGGCTACTTGCTCGCCGGCTTGAGATTTGTGATTCTGACGTATTTCATTTTCCATTGTTTTAATAAGCTCCGAAATGCCGCTTCTCGTAAACTTCCAATCAAAACCGTCATAAAGTTTTATGGACAATCTTGAAACGCTAACAGACAGCGAAACATTACAGTTCGTGTCATCTCCAGAATTTGCGGTCGGTATTTCACTCTTCTCGGTATCAAAATATCCCTCAACGGCTTGTAACAAACTTCCTGATACCCTGGCGTCAGCGACGGTGGAACCTAGGAGCACACTTGACTGGTTGCTAGGCAGATCTGAAACTTGATTAAAAAAGTCATCTATCACCGCAATGGACTCTTCTTTAACATTGAGATCGCCTGATTGTATTTTATCTTCAGTGAAATAGAATGGTTCCACATCCTCAAAAACATCAGTCAAGGGAATGCGCGTCTGATATTTTGCATCGTCGCTGAAGGATATTGGTGGCTTCAAGTCCGCTAAGACTTGCGTGAGAGTGTGATTTGAATCGGCACATACAGAAAGAAAAAGCGTACCAGCATTTACCTGACAATTCAAACCTAACTCATTAAATGATCCTGACAAGGATACCACATCAAGTCTTCCTAGATTAGCGAAGCCACTTTTAACAAAATGTGACGACAGAGATGTTGTGATATTGGTTGTGCTCTTGATATTGGCCAGGTCATCGATGAGAAGAATTGATAGAGCCTTGAGTGATCCACGAAAACTCAAAGAAGGGAATTCAATCACTAGTATTGACCTGTTAACCGCAATTAGAAGCTCTGACTTTAGTCTGTAAGGTCTCAAATGTAAAGCACAGTCATTCAATTTCAACTCTACACTCTTATTATCAGTCACGGGAGCTGTTTTCTCGGGATGCATCGTTTTCTTACCATTCGTATTTTCGCCCTGATTCTTCGTATCTTGGAGAAAGTCGAGCAACCTGGCATGATAATATAGCGAGCATGTGTTCAAAATGAGCTGTAATGTCTTACCATTTTTCAAATGGAGCAACAAAGATGGTTTGGTAACGTCTCTTGTAAAATTGAAATTGGAAATGAAAAGCTCCTTCTCACCATTTGCTACTCGCTTGAGTCCAATTGCTTCACTACAAAAAGTGAAGTCACCGTCATCCGGAATGTGAATGATTCCCTTTTCCACAGTACCTTCAATATTGCCAAATCCCTCCCCTAATGATTCTTTGATAATAATTTTAATTTTATCAATTTTAACCACACATTTTACAACAAGACTTTGTTTGTACGTGATGCTTGAGGCATTCATAATTCGGACGCTCTTCTTCAGGTTTTTCCTAGGGGGACCTGGCCCTTTCGCTTTGGAAATATTTGAAGATTTGAATTTTTCTTTCAATCGTGTCGACAGTAATTGAAGTCTATTGCACAAGCAAAATATGTCTTCTAGCCTTCCACTAAATGAGATATCTTTTATGGTCCAAATGCTCTTTGAAGAAACTAATCGCTCATTCGATCCAATATCGTAGGTGCAAGTTTGTGTCATTGTTGTCTGGCTTCTTAAGGCGACGTCTTTCATCGAAAACTTTTGATGGTTGCCGAACTTATCACGAAAAGTAACTGTGAATTCGGGCATAGTTAAAAGATTGGTGTCTGTGGATTCCAAACTGGGTATCTTAAAATCTAAAGAGCCCTCTGGAAGAGTTAATGTTAGCAAAATGAGACGCGAATTGATCTTGTGAAACAAAGTTCTCGAATTTGTCGACGAAACTCGCTTATTAGATGTGTACGTTTGCCAGTCTTCTAAAGCTCGCGACACCGCAGCAAACGAATCCATCAGTTCATCTAAAACTTCAACGCAAATGTTTAATCTCAGTTCATGATACAAATTGACATCCAAAAAGGAGGTTTTGCAGTTGAACGAGAAATTCAATATTTCCAATTCATCTACCTGTGAAAAGCACTCGTGCTTCTTTCCTTCGAAAAGAAAATGTATGTTATTAACAGACATTTGAATCAACTCGGTTTGCCGCCTCGAGATTCCTAAGTTCTTCACCACAAGCCTGAGTTTCGATGACAGCAAAATGTCGATCCGGGAAATGCTCAGAGATGAAAACTGTACAGCACCGTCCATTTCTTGCTCTAACTGAAATCTTTTATAATTATTCAAATTTGCTGCTTTAACCTTGGGTGCTGACGTCTCTAGACTGATGATCTTCATTAGCGTTTTCAGAACAGGATAATTTGACGTAAAAAAAGCATAAGCACCCACCTCGATGGTGTCAATCTTAACCTCCAAATCTCGCACCTCAAAATCATCCACCGATCTAAATCCTTCAAAAGACATTTGAGCATTATTAATGCAAAAAAGCTGATCGACTTCGCAATTGTTAGTCATGGAAGAGTATTCCTCTTCCGAAGGGTCTGGCGCCGTTTGAAGGGCGCTCAAATAGAGTGACGTTGACTCCGTTTTGGACGTTCCCATTGATTCGTTCGAAGCCTCGGGAAGGTGGGGATCCTTCAGGCTTTCAAATTTTCGGATACACCGCACTTTGAACTCCTGCAAATCCACTAACCGTCTTTCGGAAGAAGTTTTGAAAGTTGCATTTGCTAGCGTCGCCTCCAAGGTAATGTTTTCGGGAAAGAGAAAAGTGAATGTGGCATTTTCAACGCACACAGATAAATTCGCCAATGCAATCTCTAGTCCCTTGTTTCTCATAGACTGTAATAAAGTAGGCTGCACATTTTTCGGTAGTTGAGAGTGAGAATCTTCGCCATCGCTGCTCCAATCCTCTGCTTCCAAAGGCTTGGCTTCTCCATTTTGAATATCAACCATGGAGCTTGTCAAATCTAGAACGGTCTTGGTTATCGAAAACCCGAGGGTATCCAGATTATCGTCTGGAGAAGGTTTCAGAACGAACGACAGCCCATCGGCGATGACGTTGACTCCTCCACTCACAGTTAGTTTGAGATCGAGTTTTTTGACATAGCCGCTCCTAACGACAACATTGGGTATGATGAGACTCTCTACGTCCAGGTCTAAGTGATGGAAAGAAAACTGGGAGTTTGAACCTAGAGAGACGTCCAGCGTCGATACATCAACCTGAGAAAAAAGAGAGATTTTCTGTAAGAAATATAAAAGAAGCCTTCTTTGTATATTCTGAGGTAACCAGGCCGCCATAACAATTCATACAACAATTAAACGTCAAGAAGCATGAACATATTTTAGCGGAGACCCCCTTATGAGATGCTCTCTTCGCTGGCCTCTAGTGTAAAAGTTACGACTACTGTGTAATAACATATTTGAAGGGGTTTCAGTTCCTGAATCAGCTTTATAAATGAAATCAGGTATGCGGTATTCGTCGTTTAGGATGATTTCGGTGCAGAATTATTGTGCCTGAGTACATGTGACTTTCGCGCTTTAGCGACAAAAATTGAAAGGGAGAAAGCGGGTTCTCTTATAGTTCAAACATATCCTAAACGTTTCTGGTCAGAAGTCTAACAGCCTATACACGGGTGAGGCACAATGGGCGCCATGCCAGTTCGAAAAGATCTTCTCATTTAACATATTATATTCTCTCGCTATCTCTTGACTTAACACGTTCTATGAACAACAGTATCTGCTGGCACGTTTACCTTACGGTCTTACGAGACTGCTATCTGCTAATATCTTTTAATTTCAGAATTAAAAACTTTCTTCTACAGAGCTTTCTTACCGCGTGAAAGATTTCAAAAGAATGTGGACGCTTTTGATGCCGATATTATACCGATCCAAGGCTGAATATTTCTTTCAAACTTCAGATAATAAAGTAAAGCAAGCGCAGGTTTTAACGGACTCCTAAAAAATCAAAGTACTGAAATGTCGCTTTGGCCTTACTAAACATAATTTCGAAAAACTTTTTAACATAGTCTGCCGCCTACATCCCAAAAAGAAGTACTAGTACAAATTCGTAGCTAGGCATCTTTTTCGGGTTGTCCATCATATCATTTTGTTACCAGACTCTTCGAAAGACTGTCAAACCTCACAATTATCGTCCACCTTCAAGGTGCCACGTGCTGATCCCCATCAATAAGTCTATAGAAAGAAACTTCAAACGACAACATAAGCGGGAGAAGGCACAGTCACCTCCAGGCAGCTAAAGGCACCTTGATAAGGGGTTCTAAATGCACGAATGAAAATCCCCAGATAATTTCAATTCGGTTGAAAACCAAAAGAAAAGTCTCCGAAGGAGGAAATGCATACCGAGCTTAGAGCCGAAGCACGTGGCACTTGACAAGCATAGAACTCCTAAATAAACCGCGCAATGCAGCTCATCAACTTAAAAATTTTCCGCCTTAGCATAAAGGCCTCGGCATGAAAGTAAGCCTCAATTATTCTTCGCCCTCAGATAGAGATCACTCTAGTAAGGCCCCGGTAGTGCGAGTTTTTTTCGTGCAGCGCTTTCCGCCTCCCATCTTTCAGTACTGTTTACGGTCATGTCTGCTTGACTAGCTTTGACACGGGTTTGGCGGAAAAATACAAAAAAAACCGGATATCTCGGGTCGCCAAGAGCCCTCATGCAAGATTACAGAATGATACATGCACATGATGCATACACTTTTGTGCCTATAGGCACACAAACCTTCTTTGCTCGACGTAGACCCAAAGAAAGCGCCCCACAGGATTAGGAAAAGATGCCGACGGTCCAAAATGCGACCGATAAACAAAAACAAGGCCGGTCCATTTCGGAATTTTAATATTTAAGTCCACCTCTTTTCTTTGGGCTCAACAAAGTACAAAGTTTAGCTCTCTTCAAAGAAAAACACTCGCTTAAAGATCAAAAAAAATACAATTAGAAATGTCTGCTCCTCCTGCTTTGGGTGGTATCAATGTTGAGTTCTCTACTCCGGCCTTGGACAGCCCCTATTGGACCGATTCATTTAATGACTGTATAACCGGCTATGGTAAAGGAGTTGCTTGTCAATACGAATACGGTATTTCAAATATTTTGACTTATTATCCAGGTCAGTTGCAAAGCCTTGTACAATGCGTTCAGGATGTTTTTGCCACAACCGAGTTTCCGGTCGGTATAATGTCGGAAGTCAATGGAGCCCTTTCGCAAAGTGGAGCGTCTTTATCCGATGCGCTCTCGAATGGGGTGCAAATATACGAAATTGAGGGAACTATTAAGAGCACCTGTTCGAAAGGTTACCAGTGCTATTTGAGCGACTACTGTGGTTCTGATGCACCAGACAATTCTCTTGCCGGAACGTCTGGATCTTCCCAAGGCGGTTCATCTACAGGTGGATCTTCCCAAGGCGGTTCATCTCCAGGCAGTTCATCTCCAGGCGGATCTTCCCCAAGCGGTTCTGCTCCAAGCGGTTCCTCCCCAAGCGGTTCGGCTTCAAGCGGTTCCTCCCCAAGCGGTTCGGCTCCAAGCGGTTCCTCCCCAAGCGGTTCGGCTCCAAGCGGTTCCTCCCCAAGCGGTTCGGCTCCAAGCGGTTCCTCCCCAAGCGGTTCGGCTCCAAGCGGTTCCTCCCCAAGCGGTTCGGCTCCAAGCGGTTCCTCCCCAAGCGGTTCGGCTCCAAGCGGATCTTCCCCAAGTGGATCTGCCTCAAGTGGTTCCTCCCCAAGCGGCTCTGCACCAGGCGGTTCTCCTGCTGGCGAGCCCCCAGCCATTTCAAACAATTGGGCTGGGTACACTGCTAACTCGAGCACGACAGAAACTGTGTCTTCCCCTTCCACCACTGTCGTCACTATTACCTCTTGCTCCGAGAACAAGTGCTCTGAGGTCGCCATGACCACCGGAATTACAACCGTCACAAACGAGTTTACTACTTACACCACTTATTGTCCATTGACAGCGGCTACCACGTCTAAAGCACGCTCTTACTCTTTTGGTGGACCATCTGCATCAATTGAGGCCGCTGCCTCGTCAATGGTCAAGGCGGCGTCTACTTTGGTTGTTCAAACTACGCAACCAAACTCAGCGACGGCTTCATCATCGTCGGCACCAAAAATGTCTTCTTCCACCACTGCAGCTGTTTCAACTTTCACCGGCGAAGGCTCTGCAAACGCTGCCAAACCTTTATACTTCTTGGCGGCCGCCCTCTTGCTTCTCTAGTTGTCCATCAACAGTTTATATATTCACGCCTCAATTTATGACATCTGGACGACAAAAAAAGCTTTTCCCATAGGCGTCTTTTTTGAAGGTTTTCATCAGGCAATTCCCTGCAACAGCTTTTGCATCTTTTTGAGCCCGGTTTTGGTGAAGAGCTTTACGTTAGAATTCAGCGCAGGAGGTTTATAATTGAAATGCTTGCCAAGCTGCATGGAATATTGAACAGAATGCTTCCGACTTTCGAGCCCAAGAGACAATTTCCCGTGTAGCAAGGTAGAACAAAATGCCTCGGGAGAGCGTATCAATCATAGAGCAAGAAATGCCATTCTAAGCTCGCGAAATTCATGAGCGGCTAAGGGAGATCGATATTACCCCTAAATTAGATACAGGGAGCGATTTTAGAGAAAGCATCAACCGTCAGAGAAGATCTTCCGAATTTGAAAAAGCTAATTCAGAACGAAAATGGATGGAGAGGTCTTCATTATTGGAATTTTTTGAAATGAAATCTCGAGATGGCAGAAGGACTGCAGAATGTAAGCATTGCACAAAATGTTACAAAGAAGGGGAATCCACGGGAAACATGGCTAAGCACGTCGGAGGTTACATCCGGGAGCATTCAGAGCCCATAATGGAAAAGTAACCAAAAACAGGGGACTGGATGCTTTTGTAAAAAAGAGAACACTCAAAATTTCTCAGTGAATTTCAAATGAGTTCAAGAAGAATCCACACACTTTCAAAACGGCTTAACTTGTTGCAGACGGATTTCTTCCGCTTGACTTTGTAAAGCTTTCGACGTGGAGTTTTTTTGGTATCGAGGATCGATCAGCGGCCCCCATTAGATCTCGTGCAGCGTTTGCGAAAAAGTTACAGGCTTATTCCACTATGTTAGACGAGACTCTCTCTCTCAATCTGAGAAATACCCACCTTGTGAATATTCAATTAGATACTAGGACCGCACGAAGTGGAGAATCTAACATAGGATTACTTGTCTCATTTGCACCTAACGTAGGGGACAAAAATCTATTGGAAGAGATAGGAGATCACAAAATATTGCTCAACTATGATGGGGTAGCTCAAAATACGCATTTGCTTGATTTTGTTTGCTTAGGAGTAAAAAAGTCTATTGGCCAAGACATTCTGAGTATCTTTTCGGAACTTATGGAAGAGCATAATCTGACTGACAATGTTGCAATAATAACCATGAATAATGCTCGTAGGAATGACTCAATATATCAGTTATTCACTTACTCGGTTTTTGATGAAAGGAAACCTTTAGCGAGCCGTCTCCTTGGTAAAACACGCTACATTCGTTGTGCAAGCCATGTGTTGAAGTCACACTTCGAGGAAATAGTTTCTGCGCTATTCAAAAATGAGGAGTTTGCCAAAGCATTGCGTAGAATTAAGATGCTAGCTAAAATCATGAGGTGCTCCAGTCGAGTTTGCTCTAGGATGAAAAGCGCCAATTTCCTTGCATTCCGCATAAAGGTCCCACCGAGTGGATGTACCTTTGGCGTCAGGTTAGTTCGTTTCTCGCCAACTATGAAAAATATTGGACGTGGTTCAAGAATCATGACGAACATGGTGATACCGACTTCGTCTCTCAGCTTCGAAAGTTTATTTATTTTGACAAGCGAACCTTGGAAATGTTGAAATAGTTTGTAAAAAGTCTTCAGCTCTTCAATGATTTGTCACTTAAGCTACGGAGTAAATCTTACAACCATCTGTCGAATGGTGTACCATTTTACTATCTGGTCGACCACTTTTATTCTGTGTGGGCACTGGCTCTTAAAGGCCAACAAATCTCTCGAAGCAAGTCGGGCCCTGACTTTTCGTGCTTGAATAGCACAACGCAGCTGCTACCCAGCGACAAGAAGCTTGTTTTGGAAGCAATCTGTGCGTCCCAAAAAATTCAAGAAAAGTATTTGGATTTTGTTCGCGAAGACGAGCTTTATTATGTGGCAACGATACTGGACCCAAGTGCTAAGGCGGATACGCTCTACAAGATGATGTCAAATGAGGAAGCAGACGCGAAAATCTCAAAAGCCAATCAGTTCATCAAAAATTATCTAAAGGAATACAGTAATTGTGTTGACTCGCTGGCTCCCAACCCAGGTGTGAGGCCGCCTAAGCAGGCAACCTATAGTTTTGAATTCGACAAAGAGGAGCGATCGTGCGCCGTTGGCGACTCACAGAGTTTAGATGATACTGACACCTTGTCTGTTGAGGATGAGCAGCCAATGGAAGAATATTATGCGTATCGACGCGAGCCTCGTCTTAAAGAGAGATCCAAGTAAAGCGCCATTTCATGGTGGTATCAGCATCAGGCCAGGTATCCCAGACTCTTTACTCTCGCCATTTGCTTTTTCTATACCAAAATCAGCTCAAGTGAAGTAGAAAGAGTGATTTCGTTGGCATTGCGTGTTGCGAGGAAAGATAGAAGCCGGCTCTCATCCCTAAATTTTCAATCTTTGATGCTGTTGAGAGACAGGTTTGTTAATTTTGGATTTTATAAGCATCGTCCCACCGCGCTTCGTGATTTCTGCGATGACCTGTATGACATCAATGAGAATGAAAATTACATGCCACTCTTTCAAGCTTTATGCTGCTTCTGATGATACTTTATGCGGTAGCGACCCAGAATTGAATGACGAGGATTCATACAGTGAGATGGACGAAGAACCAATAGGAGTTGCTGAGCAGTTTGAATTCCATACTATTGTATAGGATACGATTGCGTTGGCTAGAAGAAAAGACGCTAGCAGCCAACAGACAGATCGCACACGTAAAGTTCTCGCCAGTCACCAGTCATGCATAGAGGTACTTACCTGTGTGTTGCTCAAAATTGCTTGTGGGTAAAAAACCATTAACTTGGTCATTTACTCGCTGCTGCTCATTACTTTTCAGATTCATGTAACTCTTTGCTCACGTTTGCATAGAACTTGCTGCGGAAATCTACACGAAGGTTCCATACGAAGATGTTCACGGCTCTAAGGCGGACTTTTCACCGCGTTGATCACCATTTCTATTTTTTTCACGTTCCCATGTTATTCAAATGTCCATGATTGTAGTAAAATACCGCTCTGCCTGATAGAAATTCCGATGGCGTTAAGACGGAAACTAGGGGAGTTTTTCCGGAGCCCACTGGCATTAGTTCGAGGTGAAAGGTGTCTATGAGTCGTATTGGCGCAGTTCAAAAAGGCCGAGTCATGAAGCTCTCTTGGGTATAAAAAGCCGGGATTTCCTGTGATGCCATGACCATTGCACCAAGAAGTTTTCAAGCTCAATTGATCAAAAGATAGATCAGAATTAAATAAGCACCTTATCATGCCAATTTCTTCCCTTCCTGCTACTCTGAATCCCGCTCTAAGTGGGCGCGAGGCGGTCTTAGATGCTCTTTACCGTTACCTGTTGGCCTTCGACATTAATGACAAGGCGCTCTTCGAGTCTGCTTTCACTGAGGATGCCGTATTTGTTATGGATGGTACGGTCATGGATGGAAGAGATGCTGTCAAGGCTCAGACCTTCGATGTGCTCTCGAAATTGGAGACCACTCACTTTTTGACAAATCCACGAATCAACATCCTGGACGGAGATATGAACGCCGAACTCACCTGCTCAGCTCTCGCTCAGCACTATCGGCAAGGTGAAGGAAAAGGCGGGAGTGCTACTCCATTGCTTGCTGGCTCGTTATACCACGCGGATCTTGTCAAGTCCAAAGAGGACGGTTTGTGGAAAATAAAGAGGTTAGACTTAAACGTTGTGTGGGGCCAAGGTGATTGGGGAGTCTTTGGCCAATGAGTTGGCAAGTGTGTAAGACGGTGAAGGCGCGTTTCTACTCCGGAGAGTGAGACACTATTATAGTAAAGTTCGAATATTACATAGTTTGATATGGAGTATACACATGCCAATTCCCAGTTCCCTATGACAAGTTGCTGCCAGGTCAATGAAGATCACTGGCGGTTAAAAGCAAAAATTATTGGCTGTTCAAATCTGACAGCTGCTAATAAAGCCTGCCCCAGAGAGGACAGAGTTGTCTTTGAATGTGGTCGCTCCTCCTCCTGTTTCCATGGTGGCCGACGCGTGGCCCACTAAGAAATACTGTCCTTTACCGTAAACTGAACTTCCAGAGGTACCGCCTTCCAAACATATCGAACCCCACGAACGTTAAGAGCGCACTCCGCACACACCCCACCCACGTCTATTTTGCCCTGGCCGCTGTCGTCCATTCGTGGTCTCCCTCTCTTGCTTCTCTGACTCTCGTAACACCCCTACATCCCATACCCCTCTTCTCCGCATGGACACTGATTCGCTAAAACTATCAGCCAAGGAGTCAACCCCCGTTAGCCCCCCTAATCCTGGGTTGACTTCCATGCATACAGAGCATATGCGGTTGATTGCGCTTATTGTGACATTATTTGCAAAGATTGAGGCGATGCACAAAAGTTACAGCGTTGGACCGGTCATTGAAGATCACATACTTGAGCGTTGGCGCGATGCATGGAAGTGGGATGAGCAAAGGGATCTTTTTATAGAAGATGCGCTGCTTCTGTCTACTCCTTCACGCTTCAAGGCCTTTTCTCTTGCTGATTTATAAATTAAGTTTTCTCACGGTTAGGTTGCTCGAAGCATGCAAGGACTGACTATTTTTATCGCCCGTCACAAAGCAATAAGATAGTCGTTGTGGTTACCAGCGTCGATGACAGTTTGTCCATTCGACACCATTTCATCAATGAAGTGGTCCAGCGGATTAGCGCAAGTGCGAATTTCGGACATCTCTCCGTTACTATTTTCGATTAGCGACGACGTGCCGAAATGATTAAATAAGAGATATGCAACCGGAATATCCGTCCCAGGTTAAAGGATGGCTCGAAGGAAGCTACGAATATTTAAAAACTGGTAACTTACAATTTCGCACGAAAATTATCTCGTCATCTAATCGAAGGATACGGTCAAGTTTGAATTTCTTTGGTAGTAATTATGCTGAAGGTTTGAATACCCTACAACAAAGTCGTGGAATTGTGGATTGCCGTCCATACAATCACAACCATAGAGAAACAAAATAATTTGATGAGAATATCTATACGACTGTTAAGGAAAATTGGGTAAACTGAACAACCGAATTCGTGATCTTCCTACCAGCGATGTCGTTAACCTCCAATTTTTGCCTTGTATTATTATGTATTATCGAAATCATTCAAAAAGACGAAAGATCAATTTACAAAATTAAAATATCAAGCTTCGCGTTCTTTGGAATTCACTTCGACGTTAATTTCGATAACCTCTTCGAGTCCCTCGATTACATGGGAGGGTTGGGCAGATAACAACTCCTTTTCAATCCTTTCTTGCTTTCCTCTGGAAATGTCCCAAAGTTTGCGTAGTGTGTTTCTGCTCTGGTATACTGGTAATAGAATGATAATTGTGGCAGCGATTAAAAGCCAGATCATCACAATAACTACCCAGCCGCGGAAAAACTTCTTAGAGTAAATGTAATTCTGACCATACATGGGCATTGGAATTAAGAAGATCAAAATAAAGAACAAAGACCACGCAATGATCTGCGAGTAAAAGGAGTATATCTTTAGTTCGCGCTTCTCGTTTGGATCTTTGATTTTCATGGCAGTTGCTTCTTCGACGGTCGCATCATCTGCAGCAACGAAATTCTCATCAAGAGTTTCAAAGTCATAAGGTTTCTTATCTGGCTTAAGCAGAGAAATAACGATTATGAAGATCAGGGAGCCAAAAAGACCGATAAAGTTACCAACAGCACATGAATATTGTTCACCTAAAGTATCTTTGTTAACAGCCCCGTAGAAGGACTTAGCAGAAGCACACCAGCCGATTAGAGCAATGATAGAGGCTAAAGGCGGACCAATAATGATGGAGAATTTGGTCATTCTGCTCCAGAAGAGACTCAAAGTGAAAGCGAAGACACCCGGTCCCAAGATGACACCAATGAAACTAATAATCCAGCTGATTGTGATACCAATGTAGTTGAACAAAACCGTCAAACCACCCATAGCAATGGCGAAAAGAGTGACACAGATGTGGGTGACGTTAACAAGCTGCTTACCGCTGGCTTTTGGGTTTATGTAAGCACGGTAGACATCGTATGTCACAACAGAAGAGAACCCGATCAATTCCGCAGAAGTAGCAGAGGTGGCTGCTAGCCAGATCATTAGTAGACCTGCTGCACACCCACTCTTACCCAAAGTCATAAACAAACCATACAGCATAGGAATACCCTCGTTGACAAGAGTTGTTGGAACCAAGTTCGGATAGGTAGGGGATGTAGGGTCGTTGACCAAGGCCAAGTTTGCCAACGAAGAGGCCAAAGAAAGTGCCAGTGGAATAACTAACCAACATAGGCCACCTAAGAAATAACCAAACATACTGGACTTTGGCCTAGCAGCAATGGCCTTTTGGGAGTAAGAAGGGTCGCAGAACACGGTGGAAAACCCGCCAATGACGATATTCCAGCCGTTTAGCAACGCGGTTTTGTTGGTCCACGTCAAATAGGACCCTTTGTATCCAGCAGATGGGTGTGTTTCAGCGACTTCAACAAGCATTTCATACATCCTGTCGATAGAACCAATTTTCTCTGATCTGGTGAAGGTATTGAAGATGCTTATAATGATGACAAGGTAGATGATTATGGTATGAAACCAGTCCGAAATGAAGGTACTTTTAAGGCCACCCATGACAGTGAAAACAAAAACGCCGATGGGTAAAAGCATAGCTGCAGCAACCAAATGCATACCAGTGATGACATTAATGGCCTGGCAACCGCCGAGTAGAAGCATTGCAGAGATAATAACGTTGGTACCCAAGGCGTAGAACAGCATGATCCAATGAGCAACTTTGCCAAATCTGGCCTTGACAATCTCTAAAATCGTGTGGGCGCCGGGCGCCTTCCGTTTGATTTCCAACGCCAGCACAGCAAAGAACGTAATTTGGATCGTGAACGCAAATGAGTACCAAGCACCACCACAGATACCGTAAGAGTACGCCATACCACTGGAAGTCAGAAGCGTCCCGGGCCATGTCCATGATGAGACAACCGCAGAAGCAATTAAACCAGAGGAAGTGTTACGCCCAGAGGTGGTGAATCGCTCCGAGTTCTGCTTCTCGCCAAGCAGTTTTGACAAAATTTTTGTAATAAAGATCATCAGTGCTGCAAACCCAGCGGCTAACACAAGGATGTAGCAGTAGCCATAGGCTTGCCCTAGAATTGGCTCAACCATTTCGAGAAGTGCTGCTTGTTTGTCTTGCTGTGGAAGCTACTATGTTGAAACTGCTAACTCAAAACTACTAACTCAAAAGTTATAACGCTCGTTTGTATATACTCGAGATAACCTCGATGACTAAAACGCCCTTAATCCATCGCGCTTGTATGCCATTGCTATCTCGTAGCTACTCTGAGTCGAGTACATTCTATCAAGATAAGATAGGGTTATTCTGTCCTGCATTTACAGATCCTATCTTGCTGCACATCTCACTCCTTTGTTGCGCATATACCTGCAGATGCCTGCTGTCGACTCTGAGCAAATAAAGAACAATTGGCGGGCATCGACGTCTGCAGTCATCTCTCGACTGTGATGTGCGATTGGGTAAGTAACGAAAATCTAGTTAAAGCACCCTTGAAATATAGCTATCGCACACAGATAAGAAAGAAAAGGTTGCAGATCAATCTTTTCGATAAAGCAGGCACTTCCTTATCGCTTTTCGCCAAGAGATTTTGAAATACCAAATCAGACATGGGTATTGACAACTTAGCCGAGCGAACGAATCACGCACTCTCTCAGAATTGGCTACTTATGGCCGAGTGCGTTCATCGTGTGTTTACCGTGAGTTCAAAGCGCTGATTGGCCTGGCGGCAGAATACATATGAAGGCACTGAGGCTCAAATACGGCTGCAGGGTTATACACCTTATCACTTCTGATGGTGTACTGATGGTATACTGGCCTAAAGATAAGACTCCAGCATGCCTGCCTCAGAGCTGGTTATCGGAGCCATTGTGGCTGTTCAGAGTTTTTGCCCATGAGTACGGGCCCGAACTATTTCTAAATGGCGACGGGACAAACTTCCATATTTTTTGATATGTGGTTAAATGACTAATCTGTCGATAAATGAAAGTGAGACCTCAGTTCGAGGTTGCAGGCTGGCCGTGCCGTTAGGTAGTATCGTATAAATATCCTCAGCATATTCTTAATTGTTACGTGCTACAAAAATATATGGGTGACCTTCCTCTGAAACTCCGAACTTCCCCTTATCATGTCCGATTACATCGTTCAAATTGATATAGACAAGCCCGTCTGCGAAGAGACCCGTGAGCATAATCATTGAAATCCAAGCGCGCTGTCAAACACCTCCATCAAGCACAATATTTGGTATAGGGCCGAGTTTCGACATGACCACCTGTTAAGTTTGTAACTATTGAAAAGAGTTTACGGCGGATGGTACCATTAGATTGGATTATTTGGTTGCTTCTATCACGTGACTATAGTGACAGCATAAAATAAGATAACTCGACGGCCGGTTGGCATTGTCAAGGAAGTCTGGAAGTCGAAGCGATTCTAGTATCTGTTATGGAGCATCACACAGCTGAAATAAAGTAGTAGTTAGCATTTTGGGTGATATGGGCGAGATATTATTCTCTATCCTAACGAAGGTAACAGACGGTAAGTTGAAATGATATTATAACAACCTACAAAAGGGACGTTATGACCAGCTTCAGAGCGACCATATTCTCAAGCTAACAGCGGAGAGATTTATATAAGTACTTAATGTGCGATACAATCAACAACCAAAATGAAAAAAAAATTGAGTGAACAACTCGAGAAACTATCGATCGTCTATGCTGTTCATCCTCAATGCATTTATCTTGACAATCCAAATTTTTTTGAGCGGTACGAGAATCGAACCCGTGTCCCCACCTTGGAAGGGTGGGATGATAACCACTACACTAACCGCCCTTGAACTGCTTAGCGTCGACTATATAAATTACGTACAGACCGCCGACGGAGTTTAGTCACGTGATGAAACTACCTCATGGGTTGGACAAAGGCAAAAGGCCAGAATTACATCGGTAATTTTCAAGGTCGGCGCAAGGCGTTCGCGTTGCGTAGCTCATATAGTGTTTAGAGTGTGCATCACTTGATACTTTCCTTAGAGTCCTACAAACTCCGTAGTCGGACATCGACTGTCTGTAAATCTTCGGCCTAGCCCCTGTTGCAGGCACTCATCAGGCACGCACCCATACACCCATAATTGTACATCACAGCAGAAGCCATTGTTACCGTTACTTTTCCCTCTTCTTTAATCCGACAAGTAAATACCCCCCTCTCCTCCACCCTCACACCCTCCCCTGGGTTTTGGTTAGTGCGGCGGAGAGTACCGGAAGTTGTCAAAAGTTGCCCAGGTCTACTACGCTACGACTAAGAAAGTTGTTCGGAGGAGATAGGGAGATGGGATATCGTCAAGTTGCAGCATCGCTTGATCACTGTGACAGATTGAAATAAGACGGAATTTTCTGTTAAGTTCATGATAAACTGAACAGGAAGTCATGGAAACCAAATGATTCCAATGACCTTCATGGTGTGGTCACATCCCGCCATTGCATCAAAAGTGATTTAATGGATGACGTGTGATAATGGTGAGGTTTTTCCTTGTCGGAGGTTGATAGGTTTTTAAATTGTTCATTTAATTCGTTCATAATTGATCTAAATAATAAAGCGGATTAGGAATTGAGTACTTATATCTCTCCGTGGCTATCTTACAACCATGAACACTACGATCCTGGTCATATCAGCTCCTTTTATACAATTTCCGTAACATTGATCCAAATTTGGAATGCG